TTGGAGCGGGCCCGTGTAGGAGAGTTTTCCACCAGGACAGAGCTTGGAGGCATAAGCACCAGTAGGCCGACCGAACTTTTCACAAGATACATGACGATCGCCTCTTGTCGGGTACTTGACAGAACAGACTAATGAATGCCTGCACATGTTAATACTCACTTGACAGCCTCTACTCCAACTGCCGAGGTCTTCAAATGCTCGGTTATAATGACAAAGATTCAGTATGCCTATGTTCTTATCATGTTCGGCTCTTGATACAAGTAAACATCTGATGGCCACTACAGCACTATCATCAAAGCATTACCATGGTATTTCCACCACGTCCATTGGTCAAAAATACTGCAAGAGCGGTCCGTTTTCCGTCGTGATAAATTCCCAGTCGCACACACCCCTTACGAAGAATAGTTGAAAGTATTATCCAAAATAGGCAAAGGCTATCTAGGCCGCAAAGAGAGGGAGGCAACGGGGTGTGAAGCATCGCCTATTAAAACAGTTCGTCTGTCAGTTTGTGGCGTTCAACATATTCGCTCAGTCGAACGCCAAGACACACAACTGAGTTCTTTCCTATGGCGTGGACACCTGTGATCCAACCAATGTCACCAATAGGAAGACGGAACGTGGAGGATGCACGACATATCATCCTCGTTCAGGAGCGTTGAGGAATGACATACGGGACCCCCGAAATACTGTAGCTGCAAGTGCCATCAACAATGGCATTGATGCAGAAAATCGATGGGCCGTTGAATGCATTCTATACTTGAGTCTTTTTCAGGTCCACTTACCTGCAAGACAACTCTAGAAGATTACTCTTAAACAAGAAAGACCAGCAACCACATTCCATTGTTTGAAGCCACTATACATTATGGCTGGGGGCTTTCAGCTATGACCAGCTAACTAAGCGTGATCGATTTCCAAGCCGAAAAGTCTTCTATGTTTGTGAACGAACCTATTGCAACAACCTATTTCCTGGTTCATCCATCACAACTAAGCACACTGTACGACCATTTCAGTGCGATAGAAAGGGAGAATGGCCCAAGCTCCCACTTCATGGAGGTCTTCACCGCTACTCTTTGCCTTCCCTCATTCACACCCTGAGTTGATCTAGTCGATATCCACACTTGCCAAGTAACTCTACATAGCCGCGATCCCTGTAGAGGTCTCCATCGCGCTTGTCCGATGATCGCCGCTTGAAGCCCATTGACAGCGAGCGGGCTATACTTCGCTATCACTGTCTGCGCCGGCCATGAAGCCAGATAACTTTTTTTAGGCTTTCCCACCATCCGCCGTTGTCGTTCCTTCGGTACACGGCTCGCGTTAGCATCCATGGCATTTCAGAGGTTGAAGGCGGGAAAGGCACTGGAAAAAGAATCTAATCACAAACTCTGTTGCCATTTCTCGGAAGAAATCTAGCAGCGGGCTTGTTTCATGTTTTTCTATTGGTCTGTCTTTTCAGGAGGCTATGACGAGCCATTCTGTCACCTATGAAGCTTTTTCCAAACTTTGTTCCCCAGCCATGGAATAACCTTGAGGAAGAACTCTTGGTCCCGTCCGCAAATCGGCGCCATTGCACGATTGGCTTTGCGAGGAGGCTGAACTCGTACCGAGCTCATCCGGCTCGCCTATGCACGCTCCTGCCATTCTAGTTTCCTATAGTAATTCTCAATCTAAGCCGCGGCAAACCACCGTTGAACAATGCACTTGACTAACAATCAGCGAGCGCAAGAAGGTCTCGGCTTCAAAGGGAAGCCACTCCGGAGCACTCCAGATCCCGGGATTAAGCTTCACGTGAACTTTGTACCCACTTTCGATAATTCTCAAGTCCTGCTAAAGTACGATACGTAGTCGGTGCAAATATGAGGGTATCTTTGTACATTGCCCTTACCAACTATCCCATCACGTATCTATGAGCCTTCATCGTACGACTAGCAAGGATGGTACTCGGCTCGTGAGTGAATGTGTTCATTGTGATCCCGAGCAAGGATTCGAAGACGGGGTAAAAACCCCCCCAAGTGAGGCCAGCGCGGCTATGTATTGTGCATGAATGTGCATATTCAGGGCCCTCGCCTATGCAAGATTGGCGCAAGACATCTCAGCAAGTCCGTTGAAACGACGGACAGTAACTGTTACTATTCATATAGACCGCAGTAGTATGTCCTGGCACGGAGCGTCCATTTGAGGATCCCCTGGGGGTGTGCTCTTCATCGATGCGAGCTTAATTCATACATTACATTGGAGTTGCGTTGCGCATCCGCTAGGTGCAGTAGTTAGGGTTGTGTAGGGCGCAGTGGAAGCCAGAGCCGAACGACCGACCGACCGATACGACTTCCTTACCTTGCCTACCCGCACTTCACATCTCTAGTGCTGGTCTTCCAACCCCATCTCTTCGCGCTATCACTGTGCTAGGAAGGTAAGGAGGGGACGAGCTAGCCTTCCAGATAGATGCCGGCATAATAAGACCTATCGAAAGCTCGATCAAGCAAAAAGCCGCACCCCGGTCCACCCAGCCATGCAAGACGCAGCAGTGTGCATGGATCATGGAGGTGCAATGCTGGTCCTTCGCAACCCTGGTCATGATCCTGGTCTTGTCTACAGTAGAGTCCCAAGGCGGGAAATGGGGCGGTGGTCTTTACTGCTGATGCTAGACTAGCCCCAGAGAGAGAGAGAAAGAGGACCCAGTGCGACATCATCCCGCTGGCCAATTCGGCTCTATGGTTGCTGAAACGTATGTACTATGTATTATCGTGCGAAGGACCGCACAGCCACCCATTTGATCTAGGAACCCACGAGGATGTCGGCTAGTAGAACATCCCCAGCAGGCCCAGATTGAGGCAGGCAAGCGGGCAAGCAGCAGTATTACTCCGTAGGCATGGCTAAAAGCAAGCAGAAGCATGTATGATCCGCATATGTCGGTGGGCAATCTCTTCAAATGCCTGCTCTGTATAACCTCAACGACGGTATGCCGTGTAAGCCAGTTGTGATTCAAGGGCTAGCCTAGACTCCTTGATCGTCAAGCCAGTTCTAATCGCTAGGTGTATCAAATAACTGCTCGCAATACTCAATTGGAAGAACATCCGACACCATCGCAACTTCGGACAGCTTATCCCAGCCATCGAAAAGAAAAGAAAAAGCAATGCGGAAGAAGCCATTGACGTGACGAATCAGGAATTCTAATTTTGACATTCCGACCGAGTAGATCCACCCACAACGGTCAAGCTGAAAAATCATTAGCAGACAGGATGATATGCTTTCCAATTCGAGAATCGCGGCGCGATACAAAATCCCTTAGTACACTTCACCTGGTCTAAAAAGCACTTTCTTTCTGAATGACCCTGCTTATCCGTCAACCAGTATTGCACGGACGCCCCAAATCTCGATAATTGTTGACAAGGGGGCTGCGGTCGGGGCCGTCAATAGACCGTGAGTGGCACCGCAACTACAATCCCCTGGTTAGAAAATAAGGAACAACCCGCGCTGTCAATAAATGTACCAGTGGCGATTGTTCATGCCGGTAAAATGGCTTGCTTGAAGGATTGCAATAAGACGGATATGCAGGCCGTGGGAGCGCCCATCAAGTAAAAAGGCAGGGAGGGCCCCATGCTGGAAGCAAATGCTAGAGGAGATCAATACTTGACAGATGTGCGCTGAGATGTGCGTAGACAAGCCCAGTCGAGAAACGACTCTATCGTGCATGAACGCTTGGTCAAGCGCTGTTGTGCAGGAATAATAGACCCGTTATACATGGAGTCCACAGTAGTTTCCAGCCTCAATAATGTATGTGGTTCTTGTACTTAAATACCAGAAGACCAGAGAATCAATTCACTCCGTCACGAGCCCAGCGACAGCCACTGGCATAAATTTCAAATATGCTTGCCCGTTCCTGGTGTTATGTCTTTGTAAGACTGAAACCCGGGGACATCTGCTGTCAGCCAGGTAGACTGCTTGCCTACCTGCTGCACATTGCATCCCCCAGTGCCAGATAGATGCACGTCACCCCTCTTTTGCTCCCACTGATCGCTTAGGAAATATGGAGGGTATCCAGATGAGGCAGGCCACCTGGAATATTCCTGGCGGGAACAGCGGAAACGGACGTCGTCCCGGGGTGCGGGTATTGTGCATGAAGCAGCCATAGCGCCCACGCAGTCTCGATCCCATCGCTCGACGTTGATCTTGATCATATTTTGCGGGGGGCAGCACCATACAGCACCACATGAGTATGTGTGCCCTGACAGTTGTTGCAGCGCGAAGATCCGAGCAACGACAAGACTATTCAAAAACGAGAGGGCATGTCCAGGCCCCCAGTCTCATTTCGGCTTCCACACGAAACAGCCAGAAACAGATCAGCGAGGCTTCAGAGCCCAACTTCGATTTATTTCACGAGCCGCACTTACAGCGCAGGAAACAGTACTTTGCGGTGGTGCGAGAGTTCACAGACGCACCCGATTGGCTGCCAGAACTCTAGGTGCGTTTTCGTGCTGTTCTCGCGTACTGTCATCGAAGGCTGGTTGGATGTGTTGATTACCTGCCCCTCTTTCATCTTACAAGGGTGGACAAATCGTGCAAGGTTGATTGACAAACAGACGGTTCTGGCAAAGTCGCGGCTGGGATAGGTTTCGCAATATGTATTGCGACCTAGAGGCTCAAAAATGATGCAGCTCGACTCACAAGTTCGTGCCAACTGGAGCTTTAGAACTTTGTCCTACAGAACGCAGACTGCACGAATGCACATGAATGCAGAATTGCAGGTAGTGCAGATGTCACGTGGTTTCGTGCTCTAGTCGCGCTCTCCCGAATTGCTGGGACGAGTCATGACATCGTCAACGTGGTCTAGTAGATCAAACAAAAACTCAAGCAGTTGTAGGGCGCATGCCTCATGCATGCAAGCCTGTTGTATCTCGCATTGCAAAAATAGAGTCGTCCAATAACATAAGCAATTTGTTTACATCCATCTATGTACATCTGATATAAACCACTTAATCAGCTGTTTCAGTGCATGGGGCACAATGCCGCCGCCTCCAAAAGCAGACATACCAAAGGCTGCCACACCTAGATATGGATCGTCCTTTGACCCATGGAATTCATCATCCACTGGCCACCAGCGGGCTGAAAATCGCCTCGGTGGAAGCACAAGCTGGCGCGAATCTCGAAGCACAAAACTGCAGTCGCAATTCGAGGGCGGCGCGGTAGGTGGCAAACGTATGTCTGATGCCGTTGAGGCAGGGTCCAAACACTGGGACAACAAGGCACAGGCTATTATACCGCCAGATCTACGTACTAGGGCAACATTTTCGGTTATGGAAATGCTAGCTACGCCGGGAACCATGAAGCAGTCTTTTGGGAAATCAGCACCTGCTCCTGTTAAAGGTAATGTAGAGAGTATCACTGCAATGGAGAAAAGCATGGCCCGGCGCCAGGCTGAGGACGAGGCCCGAGAGGAGATACATGAACGGCCGAGGAAGCTCTTTGATGGTATCGTGATCTACATCAATGGAAGCACGTATCCTACAATCTCAGATCACAAATTGAAACATATTCTGGCGGAACATGGTGCGAGGATATCCATCCATCTGGGCAGGAGGCAGGTCACACATGTCATCCTGGGTCGTTCTTCTGGGGGAGGCGGTGGTGCCGGAGGAGGATTGGCTGGTGGTAAGCTCCAGAAGGAGATCCAGAAAGTCGGCGGTGCCGCAGTAAAGTTTGTGGGAGTTGAATGGTGAGCTTCACATAGCATATGAATTCAGCATTCTACCAGCTAATGATTGATAGGATCCTCGAAAGCATCAAAGCCAGGAAACGGTTACCTGAGGCGAGATTCAGCAATTTAAAGATCGCCCCAATGGGACAGCAAGGTGTCTTCAGTATGGCATCTAGAGTAACAACGCCAACATTGGCTGTAGACAATGAATCTTCAATCAACCAATCCCAGGTTGTGAGGTCCAACGCGCACGCGCCCACGCCCAGGGACGATGAGCCGCCTCCAAGTGGGCAGCGATCTTATATCTAGGCTTCACAACATGATGATATTTGCATTGGTGCTGGCGTTTCATGGCATTTGATACCAAGGGCAAGCAGTGATAGAGTTTTGAGCCACCAACGAGTATCGTACCGGCAGTTAGGGATAAGGAGGGCATACTTTCAGGCAGGTGTACATGCTTTATGGATTTAATTATAAAGCGAATCAGTCAAGTAAAGGGTAACCATAACCTGCTACGAGGTGAATTAAAAGAATTGTGTTAACGGAATCCAATGAGCGAATAATTCTAGAAGTATCTATATCATCGAGAGCTTCATGAGATATTGTGCTCAAAGCACAACGACTAAGTAAGCACGGGGTTGGCCGAGGCTTGGGAAATTAAATAAGGGAGGTTTGGTTTGGACACAACAAAGGAGCGGTTTACGCAAGATTTATTGTTTAAGTGTTTCCTGCTTTCCCCAGATGCTTCCGTCTCATTAAATGATAGTCAAATAACTCCTCAATTGGATAAAGTCGAGCGTCACACGCAAAATGGAGTTTCGAGTTGGGCGGTTGCACTATTTTACGCTTCCTGGGACACTATTCTCCCTATTTTTGGCCGTTGAGCTTGTCCAGAGCGTCATGTCGCTTTTCCTCTCCAGGATTTTCGCGGTTCTCTTGGCCAGCCTGCGCGGCTTCGTCTATCATCACGTGAAGCAAAGAAAGCCCCCCCTCCCAAATCCGCGTCTTTCTCCATATATCTCTCGACCTTGACTGGTATAGGGCCATTTAGTAAGCCAGAAGGATCGCCAGTCGCGATGATGACTGCCTTAGCTTGGAGGAATACAAGGTCGAAGCTTAATTAACAGTTTAATTAACAGCGGCTTGGACGAGTGGCCCCAAGAACATCAGAACTCAGGTACGGAAAGCCCTGTATTAATCATTCTACACGAGATGATTGGCTCTACTCATACCCGTATAGTTCTAATCAACCCCAATCAGAGACTTTAAGTTGTCTCCCTGCCCAAGAGTCCTACCCCGAGTTAGTCGACTAAACGTTGCAAAATACCGGCAAAAACCGTCTGATACAGTGGCCCAGATGCAATGACTTGGGATTGTGAGGGCCGTGCACATGACGAAGAGGATTTAGTCAAGCCCTTGACCGGTAGCCGAGTATGTATAACACGGTGTGATGGTTCGACCTAGAAACTCGCGGGAACAAAACAATCCACACCCCTATGAACAACTCACAGAAGATTTCTCACCGCATACAGAATTCAGGCTCATTGACCTAAGGCAGAGGATAATTCTGGCCGTTTGTCTGTCTGGGAGAAGAAGCAAGACTTAGTCCTATATGTATTTTGCCTTATGCTAAAATGGCTATTTACACCCAAACTTACCACTATTTGTCATACTAGTTTTGTGGTTAGACGCGCCATTCACGAGGCATCATTAGTGTATATCGCAGGAGGTGTAAGTGGCTCAATAAAAATTGGCTTCGAAGTCGTGATAGCTTGCAATGGTTCAAAATGTGGCTAAAACACCACACCTATAATCGAATACGGATTTCTGACGGTATATACGTACAAAATCCTCAACGGCTACAATTTGCAGTTTTCACAGACGCTGAGCGTGTTGTGTTGAACGGAGCCCGAAGGCTCACCTTGTGATCTGGTAATTCAATAACGTGACTTCTATATCCCCACTGGCTGCCTATAGTCATCCTTAAACTGATCGTCCACAGACCCCATTCCGGATATCAGACCATACGACCCATATCGGCAGCATATGGCTCATTTCCCTTATTTTTTTTATATTTTTTTTTTATTTCTTCGGATATTCCAGTACTTCTCGGCCTAGAATGACGACAGTTGTCACACTTTATTCCTTGCGCGCGATTAGGTTTCTTCGCACACGTGAAATATTCGATGTTACACGATATGTGCACGCTTCCTATATCGTCTTCGCGACAGTTCTCTCAATACGTGTTGGAGCTGTCTGCGCTACTACCGAGGCTCCTCTGGGCACTAGCACGGATGTGTAAAAGGCTACTGTGGTAACTGTTTTTCGAATGGACATACACCGTTCGAAATACACCTCTGTTCGAGAAGGCTTAGTTCTCACCAAACCCAGGAATAATTTGGTTGAATCACATGCAAGGACCTCTCGAAACATGCTAGAATGCATTTCAGATCCACCGTCAATGTTACGCGTCGGAGAAAGTAAATTATTGCGCGCTACAAGCAGTGTTTGAACTTTAAATGTCTTTGCTTTAGCGCCTCTCTAGAAACTACCAAACGCTGACTTACTTGCTTTGTGTTTCCAATGTCTCATTAAGTAAATATTTATCTTGTCTGAATCAAACGAAGCCATTTTCTGGAATTCTGAAGGGAGGTGATGTAAGCATAGCTGAGGTTGAGCGAAATACAAGTATTGTTTTGCAGACACCCTCCAGAGATACATTTCGACATGCTAAATTTGACTTCGGAACTAACTTAGACTCGGGCGAATCTGGCCGGCCGCGTAAAAGGTTGAGGCTAACCCGTCGCTTCACTAACAAAGTCGCAGTACGTAGTACCAAGTATGGGCTCGCCTATGGTGCATAGCGTACCTGCACCGCATGTGAACGGCTTTGCACAGTACATAGCATCGCTCGATGTGAGTTGAAGCGAGCATTAGTCCTCACAGAAGCTCAAGATGGACACTACTGTGTAGATCGCATCTACGCATCCTTTCCCCACAGATTCGGTTAAGTGCTATCCCATCTAATAGATCACATGTTTGTTGACCGCACAAGACTTCGTCGTTGTGATGCTGGGTAATTTAGAACAACATTGTTGGGGTGCTTGGACATATCAGGTTGTAACGCATGTACAAGCCTACCATTTTCATCCGCACTGGCTCAATTGGAACAACGTCAAACCACATTTATAGCTGGTAAGTGTCCTGCTTCTAACGCGCATTTTATTCACTAGGCATTTTAGTCGGTCAAAGATGGGTCGTTTGGTATTAGCAACCAGGAAATATACGACAGTATGCCCAATTGGCTGGTCAGGACATGTGGAGAATTGTGCGTCCAGAATGCTGCTGTAGTATATGCAATAAATTATCATCAAGGATGGATTATGTTAAGCATAATGCTGAGGATCATTGTGATGCTCTGTCGCCAATTACTAACATATAATAGAAGCAACTGTGACTACAGTCCCATTTACATTAATGGGAGTTTTCTTGTTAATATAATGACAAAGTGTACAATGTCAAGTTTGGACCAAACCAACACTCATCTCGATAAGCACGTTACGATGATACACAACTTGGGCGATCGTAAAGTACTATGGTCGAAGTGTTTTATTGCCAGGTGATGTGGTAGAATAGACAACATCATAGCCGCCATGATACATAAAAATAACCTCTCAAGTTGGTCAAATCGAAGCCTGGCACTATTGCCGTAGCACCAATGCCATAGCTAATGAACACAAGCTCCATTGCGCCCAACACCACGTAACCAAGATGCTGTTCGTTCAGCATATACCAAGACAGCATTCTCACAAAATGATACGGCCAACAATAGGTCGTTATAGCCAGTCGAACTTTCTATATTGCGAGCCCTTAACCTTAATTCCACAGAGATGCAGTCCAGGACAAGGAGAGCGAGTACTAATGGATAGTATCTGTCTCGTGCTGCCATGTTGATGGTAATAAGAGCAAATTCTCGGCGGCAGTGACAGGTAGACGGAATGAAGACCAGCTATCGATTAGTTATGGATAGCGGCAGCGAGACTGGAACGAGCCATCAATTAGAATGGGAAATTGGCATTAATTCGATCGCTCTGAAACCATGTTACCTATCGCTCAAATTCGCACAAGCTGTTGCCACATTGTTATCTAATTGAGATTGTTGTTGCCCAGGAAGCATCGTCCAAGTCCAATGTCTGAGTACTTTCATTTGCCTTTCATGAAAAGAACGCGAGTAGCCTCAAATGTAACAAATTTCCCAACGGTGGAGTACCGTGATGCAAAAGTCAAGGGCTCGCCTGGAATGAAGTACATGGCTAATATCTATTCAGTGTTTTCATGCTAAACACGGAGCCTGATAAATATTCTGTTCATATCATGCTGGCTTGGGAGCGAATTGCACGAATCCAACGATTTCTCTCCTATGGCTGGAATAAAGTTCGCAAACAGTTTGCTCACTGGTGGTCGTACACCAATATTGAACATACCGGTACCATCAGGGGCAAAGTGTTTGTATTGTGTGCTATACAATTTGGAATATATTAGATCGGTCTTTTGAAAATCCGGTGTAGATTCTCTTCTTTGTTCATCTATCAAAGTTGCCCTCCCGGCCCAAGGATTCCGGTCGGCAAGGGTATTTCGAGGATGGCGAAATTTACAACACGCCACCGTGACAAAACTCTAAGAACAAAATGCGCAACACTCTGCATTCTTTGATTTTTGTCATGCAAAATATGCAACACTTCACAGAATTCTCTAGACTTCATCATCAAGTCTCGTGGACAGTGTCGGGCATGCTCCAAGAGAATCGATTACGAGCCAACCAACTTACGTCTCAATCGATTCGAACACTACGTTGTGGTGATTATCCTAGTGATGTCTCCACGCAAATGACGAACTAATAGTAGCTAGGCGACATTCTACATCGAGGCCAAGGGATATCTATGCCGGTATGTCGTTCAACGTTGATGTGGGATCCCTAGCGATAGCATTAGGCGAAACAATAATTAATTTGCCAAGAACCCGGTCATACGATCGAATGCTCCTGGTAATCGAAACGACCGATTGAAGGATAAAACCCCAGAGGCACATTTCTGGACACAATGACTATCATAATAATCTGAAAATTCCAGACTGTCCTAACTCGCATGCATTATGGCGAGCCTATGTTGCATTGTCTACATTAAGACTGGAACTCAAGATGCCACCCGTCGACGATATTCAACATCTGCCCACAACGAAAGATGAAATTTCAATCTCCTAGCTAAGCGGCATGTTGGGCCACCAGCTACGATTTTTCCAAATAACATCGACCATATTGATCAAGCTGCGGGCAAGGTCTTTCCGGCTGTGCCATACGAGAAGGAGTCTGATAGCCCACGGCCAACATACATTTGTCCCAAAGGCTCGTTCAATTCAGCTATGATGGCCATGGAGAAGGGTACAGTGATATTCTTCTGACCATATACACCCGTGAAGTCAATTTCTGCTAGAATGTCATACGAAAGCTTACACTGACGAGGCTCCCAAAGGTCTGGAGCACTGACGTAAGTACTAACCCGGATCAAGGTATCCTGGTGATGGACGACCTCAACTCCAAGGGGTTCACTTTTGGGGAGCCGACAGAGCCGTGGCCCGTGCGACGAGTCATGGATGGAGTCGAGCAGCTTGCTGCACTACATGGCAGTAAGAGACCCTTGACCGTCCTAGACCTCCATCCTTCCACAGAATCAAGTTGCCACATTTTTAATTGGTCCAGCGTTGGTCTCATGTTCGACGAAAAAGAGAGCCGCTGTTGATGTTAGATATGTAGCTACATGGAACTTTTCCCTCGAGAAACCTCCTGCATTCATTCCCGCTTACGAAGAAGTCATGATTGACCGCGCAGTTATGTGTGACAGTGTAGTTCTCGGTTCGGAGCGGTCAAAAGTTTCAGTTGTCATACAAGATCAATACCGGACCGTTGTGGCAATGAAAAAAGCACTTTGCCACGAAGAACCCCAAGTTCCTCTACCTGGTCCATGGTGATCCGCATCCCAGCAACACCTTCATTGAGACGGGTGGAATGCCTGGTTTCGTCGATTGGCAAACCACCCATATTGGCTCGGCATTTCACGACCTTGTACACTTCGTTGTCGGCTCATTGTCTGCCACGGATCGACGAGATCAGGAGGTGGCTATCCTTGATCATTATCTCCACGAGCTGGCCAAGAATGGCGGCCTGTCGCTGTCCGGAGAAGACAACAGAAATCATTTTGGAATATAAGAAGTCGATGATGGCGGGTATGGGGCGGATCTTGACGCCTTATGCTATGCAACGCAAGGAACGTGTTGAGGCTATGGTTGAGCCCTATTGCGCAGCTTCGTTGGATCACAAGGTAATTGAGCTTGTCGAGTCGCTGCCTGATGTACAATCGGTCTGTCAAAACATTCAAATTTGAGTTGGTAGCGTACTGGAGTTGTAGTGTAATAGAAACAACTTAAGACAACTAGTGAGAAGATGTGTGGTAGTTGGCTACACCTATTTGAGCTCAAAAAGCATCGCTTGCGAGTGCCATATTGTGACTGCATTTTTCTTTTGAGCTGAAGTCGCACAACAACGGCACGATGGCTCGCGAATGCAACATCAACAAGAAAGGATTAGGTTCAAGGAACTGATTAAGTCAAGCACAAGGCGACTCTTCCTGTCCCAGCACCACAATATTACATTGGCCATTACATTGGTCTGAGTGGTAACGTTTAACAATTAGATTCACTCTCTTCTCTTTAATACACTGTGATTGCGGGCGCTTTGTTTGAATGCAGCGGTCTGTCCAATTTATAGGGGATATGAAACCAGCATATGCTGCGCCTCTGTCATCAGCCATGATCTTGTGCTACACCGGACAGTACACCCCGTGACCTCGCTTGTTGGTAACCAGACGCGCACAATTCTGCCAGCCTTGGATCATGGACACAAAGGAAAATGCATTTAAGAAGTTGCAAATGATCAGGCCTCCTAAGTAAATCAGCAGCGTGTGAAAATCATGCCTGTAAATCACTAACAAGATTTCATTACATAAGGCTTAGGCGCCAAACCATGTTTCCGCAAGACTTCATCCATTTTGCCAAATATCGTTTAGAAATATTTCAGAGCTTGTTCTATCTACCAAAGCAACTTAAGGAACAATCCACAAGATGTTTAATAACTCGAAGATCAAATTGACGGTATTCTCGGGCGACCAGACGTCAGCAACAACTCCATTCAGCATATGCTCTACAAGGCTTATGGCCTACCAATATGCAGACGATCACAACCCGGTAGACAAAACACAGGCGGAAGAGCTTAAGACAATTGTTAAGCCAGCCTGGAGCAAGAGTTCTGACGGTCTGTTCAATGTGCCAGGCTGCAAGACACGCGTAAGATTCGCGAATCGCATGCCAGATACACCCAGAGGTGAGGCAGTACCCACGGTCATGGTGGTCGTCGACTTCGGCGACAAATCATTTCCGATAGACTCGAGCACTGCCGAGGCAATAACAAAATCGTATCAGAAAACGCGAAATTTCTTGTCGACAAAGGGTCCGGCTGGCATCGCCTTGGAGTTTGTCGATGAGAGGTCGATCAACATCAAAGGTTATGAGGGTGCGGCATGCTGGATCGCTGAATAGACAGCAACAGCACATCAGTCTCAAATGCTGTGCATGGTGAGAGCTTTGCAGTTCTGGTGACCCGTGTGGCTAGTCTTCCTTTGACTTTTATTGGTATTCACCGCCATTTTCTGTCGTTCAGACTGGAGTAGGAGTGGTGGAAATGTCAGCTTCAGCCTCGAAGCCAGGAAAGTAGTGCTTAAAATACACAGATACAGTAATTTTCATGCGAAAGCAAAACAAATGTTTGTTCCAAGTTGCGCGCTATATGAAGAAAACTTTGATTTGGAGCTTTTGGGGGTCCACGGTTCAAGCTTTACACCATCAGCATATTGATGCAGATATTCGAACTTTTGCCTAAGTGCACTCGAAACAAGTAGCTTCGTTACGTTATGTTGAGTTATGGTAATAACTTACTATGTGAGGCACCTCCGAAGGATACCCTGCTCAGGCTCTTTAATATAAAAGGTCCAATCTGTATGGAACTCCTAGACCGTTTTCTAATTATTTCACATGAAGCATTTCCAGAAGAAAGTATGCTCCTTTATCCACCAAAGCGACAATGTCATTTTTTCTGCAACAACAATACAGCTGCATCTATACCATTCTCAACTTCTAACCGTTCTGCACTCAACGATCTATGCGAAAAGTACTTTCACAGAGATCCCACGGGCTCCGAATTCTTCCCCCACCTCCCCACAGCGTAGCACATTGACCAGACCACCTTATCTAATAGTGTCGTGGAAACCAACGAAAGGGCGCACCATATCGATCCGTTTTGGCCGCCACGGCCCACACTCATTGTATGGAACAAGGCACAGCTTTTGAAGAAAAAAAGATAGTAGAACATGTTAGAAACGCCGCTAACGTATATCTATACAACTTTGACCAAGTGCCCGACATCAATAGAGCGCAAGAGACGGATGACAACGAATGCTGCCCTGTTGTATCTTATTTTCGAAAACCATATGAAAGTATGATGGCAGTATGGGAAGTCACAATGCAATTAACTTATTGTAGATAAATAAGACTTAATTAATATTATTGTAACAGTCTAGAGAGCGGCTGAAAGCGGTAGAGGCTTGGTGAAAATCCCAAGAGCTCATTATACACGGTATCGGTATTGAATGCAGCATCAGCGAATGAACTATGAAAAGATTCCTGACCATGGATGTCGCTGTTGATGATGGCACGGCTTGGTGAGTGGGTAGTAGTGAACGACCAATGAAGTGTAGTGTGTCAGTGTAGCAAAAGAGCTCCGAGTTTTGTACAACTACCCTCAAAATCCGATTAATTTAGCTCGACCGAGATCTATTCTGTCGAAGAGATTGCGGTCAGCCATTGGTGAATTATCCTGAATCTGGTTCTCAAATTGTTCTTTCAACACTTTACGCAGGCGTGTGCCGCGATACCGTCTTCGTCACACGATCATTTATCTGGATTCGAACGATAGGGGAGGTATCAATTGTGAGTATCTTTTGTCTGCCTTCTCTTCCACCGCCTTTGTCCTCTCCGCTCAAAACTATATTGCTGCCTTGGCCAGGTTTGCAGTGAAAGTAGAATCCTTGAATGGCACAATAGCATCACCAAAGTCGGTATTCGTCAGGGCGGTTCTGGCTGCACTCGTCAGGTTGTCCCAGTAAATGAGTGGTTGCTCGCCACCCTTGGTGGATGTGGTGCCGAGCTGGTGGTTGACAGGCCACACGCTGTAGTACCTGATCTTGGGTCGGGTGCCATCGAGCGGAAAGTCTGATGTGATGACGTCGAAGTCGCCGTGGGCGGACGTTGCCAGTCCCTTAATAGTCTGCGAGGTAAGGTTGTCAATCCAGACAACAATACCTTCCCAATCATGACGGTGACCAAGACCATCGGACGGCGAGTCCTTCGGCATGTACCTTCAACCAAGTGTCAGTCTAACAGACAACAGTCTTAAATTATTTTGGGAAAACGGCTCAACACACCAAGAGTACATCAGCGCGTAGTAATTTCCATACTGCACGGCACGGGCGTAGACCTGCCCAGTACTGGAGCTGCAGCCTCCATTTGAGCTCCCCGAAGTGGCCAGGCCGCCGCTGGAAGAGTTACCGTTAGCATACACGTTGGCTAGAGAAACGTCGTGCGAGCTCTTACCCAGTATTGCCGGCAGAGTCAACGGCCGGAAACGGGACACAACCATTGACGATATATAGATACGGCTTGAACTTCAGTAGCGCAGCGCCCAGCGAACCACTCGGCACTGCTTGGGCGAAACCAACAACGGCATCATGATTAATTACAGCGCGGGACTCAAGCGGGGCAGCAATCACTCCCGCGAGAGTCGTCAAGAAGGTTACAATCTGGCTGACGCGCATGCTGAACAGACACAGTACTCGAGACTGGATGGAAATGCAGGTACAACGGTGCTCCGCCGATCTTGTCTGTGAAGGTGGGAGGGCGTTGCTATTTATGATGACCACCACCACCACCCTAGTCCCGACAAACAAGCCAGGAACCAGCCATGGTACCTTTCACCGCAAATGCTTCGGCGCCTAGGCCGTTGCAAAAGCCTCGAGTAGCTCTCTCCTTTCCGAATGTCGCGATGGTCGGCTGGACACCTAGCAGTAGCTCGAAGCTGTGAACAAGGGTCTTCTCCACATTGACAAGGGCCAGCATCTTGGAGGTAGTTGATTTATAGAGCCGAAAGCAGCAAAGCCGTGATTTGGCAGGTCGCAATCAGCCAATTCCCCCGAAGAACACTCCAGAATGCGCCACTTGAACTGCGGCAGATGACCACGTTGTCGGGATAGCAGACGAAAACCGGCCGTTTGTTCCAGAGTTTCGTGCGCTGTAAAGACATAACCAGCCAAGTATGGCGCTTCGTTTGGCATGCCAAGATTTTGATCACTAGAAATGCGGTATTAAGCGAGCATCCCATATGGGAACGTGGGTAGATGTTGGGTTGCCGATGGTTCCCTACTACTTTTCCAGAATAACGACTTGCTTAATGAAGCTACCCTTGCCATCAATGCAATACGCTTATGTGGGATTTCGGCATTCGCTCGAACTGCACTATGCATATTCTCAATTTAGCTCAATTGAGCATTGCATTGAGTGGTGGGAATTTTGTGGTTGTAACCAACTTGGGAGTTTGAGCCGCTTGCTAGTGCATTCTTATTCTTGACAGAATGGTGCCGTCCATGATCATCATGTAAGATCGACCAATGGGCGTCGAAAAGCTCGTCGCGTGTGCTAATCATGCCTGACAGATCAGATGCAATCTACAAGATCTCCTCGGCGACTGAACGGAACGGATGGTCTGGTCAAATTCGCAGGTGTCAAATTAATCTTCAGCTTTCAATGCGCACCACATGCATCTCGAAGCCTTGGCTAACGAGTAAGCTGGACTCTGGATGGTTGAGATCCTGCGGAACTTATCACCCTTGTATGTACCTTCCGCATGCGGATCAACATATGCCAACATTTATTTCGCAACGTTTTTAACCAACAGTGCCAGAGTTATCAGCACAACTAAAGGCAGAGCCGATCTCTCCAGAGGCATAAGCCGCCTTAATAGAGAGGACGACTGAGTATCTATTGATAGATTGTCAGCTATTTGATTTACACATGTGCTGTGAGGAATGCGTCAACTTACGTTCCGCCAATGCACACAAATAACCCAAGTAGGACCAGGAAACAGTGGAAGAAGTACTGAAACTTCTCCCACACGCCACCCCTCCTGTAATGCGAGTAGTCGTAAAGCCATAGGATACCTGGAACGCTGATAGCCATTGGAGCAAAGCAAATCGATCCGGTCAATGCAATCAAATAATTAAAGATTGCCACTGCCTCAGCGAGGATGAAGGCAATGACCCCTAGCGAGATGGAGCATCCAAGCCATGTGACCCAGTGGATGACAGTGTTGGATTGCAGATGCTTGGTATCTCTCAGGATGCGCACGAACAAGTACTTAGCTGCGACATGCTGGTATAAACATCCGCTTACAATCAATCCAACCAATGCAATACCATAAGCCACCTTCTTGAGGGTGCCGCCTGCGCTACCAAGCGATGGATTGGCTACCCACTGTCCACACCATCGATAGACGACAAGGGAGAAGGAAAGGTACATAATACCAACAAGCCCCATACAAATGTAAAGAGCTTTCTTGTAGTCCCTTGGGTTCCTCATTTCACTATAGTGTTAGGAGTCAGTGATTGCTTCTTTGGTATGATCGATGTATTCTTTGAGTATTCTGAAGCAGTCTGGAAGATCTTGGTTGTCTCTGGCAAATAGCATTTGCTTCAGAGATATGCTGGAAAAAGTAGAAGATAATTTCGGAAATTGCTTACGAGATGACAGGCAGGAATGCAGATGTACCGGCGGACGAAACGAATATTGTCGCAGTGGCCGTCATGCCCGCCACAAATGTCGGGTACGCAATGGCATAATACCCAAGCTCATAGTCGCCTGTCTGTGGTGCAGCGGCCGGTCTGTCATGAGTCGTGACTCCGATCACGACCACTAGAACCGCAATGAAGATGGAGAAGAACCCTACCCAGGTGAGCCAGCCAATATTGCGCAGTGTGCGAACCGAGGCTGCTGCGGTGATTATCACAAACGAGATAAACGACCACCAGACGGTGCAGGCTGCATGGTCTGAGAGAGTGTTGAAGGCAACCGAAAGCCCAACGATACCACTTCCGGTGCAAAGGATGTAAGCACATAAGTACAGAAAGCCAATGATTTCCTTCAATACTACACCTCCAACAGTATAACCCATATCGGCCAAAGCTAGTTGACGTTAGTAGAGCACTATTTCTTTTTGGCATGGTGACTGCCTTACAGTGGCACTCTGGGTGTCTCGTCTTGAAGTTGCCCTGTATTACTGCCGTATCTGTCACCACTGGTCAGCTATAATTCGAAGTATCATACCTTTTCTTCTCACATGTGTTCAGCAGTTGCCATCCCACCACTGAAAGTGCGCCACCAACTGCTCCCAGACTATACATGGCAGTCGGAATTGAAAGGACACCAGTTGCAAAGATGATTTTGAGGAAAATGATTGTCGCTCGCTGCCAGCTCACGTTGCGAAAATCAACACCGTCGGCCGTCTTCTGGAATACTTCGTGGCTTTCCATTTCGGCCTCCTTCATCGAAGCCGCATCTACGCCGTCGCTGCCGGGTGCAGCCGGCGAGATGCCGAGCTTCTCGTGCTTGGTCTCGTTGGTCGCAGCCATGATTGGAATTGTCTCGCTGTTAAAAACAGCTGGTCTCTGGTGTGACGGGAACACTACGTCAAGATAGTGCGAGAATCGGCAATCCTCGTGAATGCAGGAAACAGGAGGACCGAACGGTCTCTATATCAATTTACGGAGGAATGAGCTTAGATTGGGCTTCGGATGCTCGTAATTGCCATAGTATCAACCGCGAGGGCTGAGAGATTACCGTCTTGTCAGGCTGTCGGAGCTATGCGAAGGCAAGTCGCTTTAGATACAAGACATGAAGTTTCCGAGACTTTATCATGTCGAATGTTATCTCTATATCCTAGCGTAGATCTACTCAACTTCACCGACGTATCAAGAGATAGTGGAAATGGGGCCAATCAGAAATCACCACCGACCAGATCCGGGATTGGTATCGGCAGACAAGTAACTACTGTTGCACAATCACCGGAATTTGCATGGGCCCCTAAGTCATGCCAGGCTGTGGCCCACAAGCTATGGGCTTTGTGCTTTCGTTTTCTCATCGGGACTACAATAGGACGGGAACGGGTTTTGACGGATCCATATCTTGAAGTTTTCCTATGTAGAATAAAAATCGAGGGGGTGCACAAGGCAAGGCCTTCCTGTGAAGAACATATGGGTTTCATTTGAAGCAATATTTCTCTGAAGCCTGTCTCATATGACGTTGCTTTCGGCGAACACCAAGAGATACTGCTTCCCCATCCCACTCTACCGTAGAGTGGGGTTCCCGGCAGGAGCTGGTAGTGGTGGTGGTGGTCTTCTACGGTTACGTTCTGGGACGTAATTGCTTATCAGTGCAGCCAGTGATCGGCACGTCCGACAAATCGACCTGGCCCCTGCGATAAGGTCCATGGTTCAGTCAGCGGAGGGAATTGGTGGTGTGATCGTGAGGTTTCCTTTAACTTCATAAAGATGTCCGTCTTGGCCAATTTGTGATTTTGTAGGATCTTGACTGGTGACTATGAATCAACTTAATGTTTGAAGATGGCGGCGCAATGGGCATCGTTCAATCTCATGACACAAATCAAGACTTGTATCACCTTTTGTCCGCATAACATATCGACTCCCAGGCGGGCGACAGTTCTTGGTGTTCGAAAATCACAGTAGTGAGAGCTGGAAGAACTTGCCTTCCCCCCAGAATAGAAGTTGTCGAAGCGTAGATGTTAGGAGCTGACGCGGTATGTCTGGCCAGCCACGGAAATGATCAGAGCGAACCGCACTTGGCCAAAAACAGCCAAGCGGCCGAGCACGGATTGTTGCTAAATAAACCGATAGATGTTCAGATAATCTCCATTATTGTGCAGAACTCGCCCAGCTGTCTTCATCATATTTGTGATCCCCTTGTTATCGAAGTAGCTGCTCTTCACCAAAGGCAATGCGCAATCCATGAAGTCTCAAATTTGTTCCATTTCGGGGTGTCCAATTAATTTCCAAAGTCAGTAAAGTCGATGGCTGAAGGGTTTCGAGATGGTTCCCCTTCAGTTTCCATGTGACATGATCGAAAACTTGCAACATTCCATGTTTCTGTACAATCACGCAATTCTTCGGACTACATGGCAGATCACTATATCATGCATTTTGAGGCATACTTCATACTCGCTACGGTGTGGCAATGGCGGCTTGCCGTTGTTACCATTTGCCCCCGTCATGGTCTGGATGCTATATTGAGGAGCTTGGGACCATTTCGCCAGTTTTCCTATGCGCGCGTTGCATTCCATAGCCCACCCAGTAGCCGCTCATATCGCTCAACCAAGGAGAGCCTCGACAGAGCAATGATTCATTCAACGCCCGAGCTCCCGTAGGGCTACATGTAAGTTTTGAAGTAACCCTGGTCGAACCATGCGACGCATCCGCTGCAGGGATCTTTGTGCAAGCTATCCAAAATATCCATGTGGATATTATATTATGAGGCCAGGACTGTCCTATGTTGTGCCATTTGAGTAGTGCCAACCTTGAGAAATTATAATTAGGTGTCGATGAGACCCAAAAATTAGGCGACTGCATCCCTCTGCTTAGTTCGGTGATAGATATGCTCTACCTCTACCATCGTTTCCCGTTGTAACAGTTAGTCGAAGACTGGTCCTGAATACCTATCCTAGGATCTTGGTTCGGGTCCCAAGCAGAATTGTGGAGGGCTGATCAAGACACTGGATCTGCACGATTGACTTCATATCAATCATAGGATGGGGATCAGTGGACATGATCAGAGCACCAATATCAGGCAACATAAGTTGACCTTTCATATAGCAGTCTTTGTTGCCCCTAGCATTTATCATCTTGATTATCTCTATCCGTGAGCTGCCTACTTCGAGTTTGCACGAGCTCGAATCAAGAAACCTGTATTTGAATTTTCATTTGTTTCCTCAAGATTCTACGCATCATGGAAGGCAGATGCCCGGCATTTGGGTCGCAGGATCATCTGCGGACCGAGCGTCAAAAGCTTCCCCAAAACCATAACTCCCGAAAGCTTCGGGAAAAAGTTCGAGGCCCGCTTTCATGGACCTACCCAGAAAAGTCAGGGCCTGTATCTTGGATCTCGCGGTTTGTCCTGATGAGCCCTGCCCTGCCCATGCGACCTCTGCCGCCAGAAATGCTGTATGAGAATAGCATGGTCCATGTCGCCACTGGATACGGAGTTCAAAGTTTCATCTATGAGAAACGTCTCTCTGATCTGGAGGATGATGAACAAGTTCAGTCACACCCGGCCGAGGGCCAAGTGGTTCCATGCTTCCGGGATTGGGGATGGCCTACCATGGACAAAAGTCGCTCGTCTGCGTCCTTGGAGGACTGAGGAATTCGGACTGACTGCCGAGCTTCGAACCAGGGCATGAAGCGACGGTTCAATCGCCGCCAACTGATGATCACATTTGGGAAACTTTCGGGGTACAAACTCTGCGCCTGGAAAACATGGTTTTATGGACGGAACATACCCATGGGGCTCCTGGCGTGGAACATGCCTGTAATACCGAGATTGTCTCTAGATTCTGCACAAGGGGGAGGATATTCGACCATGTTTCCTCAGCAGGATTTAGTGGTGCTGCGTTCCGAGGATCCTTGTCCACGGTTTGTGCCTAATCTTGCAGGAGAATTCCGTGACCTGTACCCGTGGTTTGCGATCCAGTTTCCGGGGCATATCGCTATCGAATGGGTTGACGCGTGGTCAGATGAGAAAATATGGATTGGACCAGACGCGATGTATATTGAACGAACGCAGGCCATAATTGATTTGCATAATGCCTTGTCCAGACTAGGTCCGACAACAACGGTTTAGTTCATTGACTATAAAATTGTACGTACGAGCCATGTTCTCCCCGCAGATCGTCCGCCGAGATCGTTCCGGGCAGCGGGAGGGACCTTGGTCGAGGTGACTGGTGGCGACCCGGGGATAAGATCGTCCAAGGTGATTGGCTTTATTTGCAAGCTAATATGTGCTTTGCATTACCCTCCAGTAGTCCCAGTATTATCTCCGGAATGCAGGGGGCCACACATTGGCCTATTGGCATCCGGAGAAACCAAAAGACAGTGGCCAGTTTAGACCGAGTAAACAAAAGCCTACACTTCTACCGATGTGTCTCGTTGTGCGAGATATCTTCGAATTTGGTAGAAGCCCAGACCAATTGCCCAAACGACGATCAGGACCAAGGCCAATAGGGGTGCAAAAATGGCACCTCGAACGACCACAAATCCGCTGACGGCAGCGAAAACCAATGGCACTAACAAGAAGGGCTTGTAAGGGCGTTTCAGGTTAGGCTCGCGGAAACGCAGAATCACCGCGCCAAGCACGGTCAAAAAGAAAAACGAGTACTCTCCCAGTCCGTTGAAAGTCACCAAAGCACGAAAGTTGCCAAGCAGGATATAAAGCGCCGATAGCAGAGTCGACAAAAGGATGGCGTTTAGTGGTGCATCTGATTCCGATTTCTTGATGGTGGTAGATTCGTCACTTGAGTTATCTGACGGAGAATCTTGTCGAGGCTGGAAACCAACATGACCAACGAACGAGAAAAAGCGTGGCAGCCAGTCTTTATTTGCAGCGGCCACAGCCATTCGGCCGGCGACAAAAGAGTTGCCTAAAAGTGACCCTGCAACAACCAGGCAAATGAGTATGGCAGCAATCACACCAAGCACGGGTCCTAGAAGACGGGTCATGGCAGTCTGACAATACAATCAGTCATACTTTGTTGAAAAATTCGGAACGGATGGCTTACTACTGCCACGCTATCGGTGGTAGATACTACAGCCCAGGGTAGCAGAATATAGTAGCCTGCATTGGCAGCGAGGAAGCAAACAATAATAGCAGGGACCGCGGTGTTGATGGCTAAAGGTAACTGCCGGGCTGGTCTTGAAAGCTCGGCGGACACGTAAATTGCCTATAGAACATGTTAATAAGTTGTTAATTTGCGAAAATAGCAGAATGCATAATTACTTTATCCCAACCAGAATATGCCCATAGCGCACCGTATAATGCTGCTGAGTAGTGCCCCAATAACTCCCATTGGGACAGCACAGTCCAGTCAGTTTTGCTGCCGTCCGGATTGACTGTAGTTCGATATCCAAACCAGGATTTGTTGTACCAATCTCGACCACCAATGTCACGATCCGGCTTCGACACTTGGAGAGCCACTACGATAATTGCTGCAACGACGATGCCGACGATGCTTAGGAATTTGGTGAAGACGAAGAAACTGTTGAGCCGGGTGCTGGCTTTTGTGCTGATGGAGTTTGCAACATTCATGACAACCAAAATTAGGATAGAGAGCAATTTGTGCCCGACTGAATCAGCCTGATCAGTCACACCCACAGACGAGAATATGCTCTCGACGAAGACAATACTCAGAATGGCCAGTGTCGCAGGCATGACCGCGACTATCCACGTCCATGCAGCAAGGAAGCCAAATGCATCTCCAAAGATATATTGCAGGTAGGGTTGTACACCACCTATACGAAGTGTTAATACTTCTCACTTTGTCTATCGTCGTGATGATGCATACCTTCTCCCGGAATGGCGGTTCCCAACTCCGCCATAGTGCTAGCACCGGTCCATGCTAAAATACCACCGACTAACCAAATAACCAGTGCGATGCCCGGCGACGGAACATTTGTATCACTAGTTTTTAGAATAAGTAAAGTTTTTTTCAAGAAGGCTTGAGAGGTCTTTGCGAATTCTGCAAAATAAACAAAGACTGAGATTGCCTCTGATGAGAGCAGGCACTCCATACATGGCATGCTGAACTGGGTAGGACTTGGCTCCGAGATTGCTTACATGGAGCCAGGAGAGGTGAAAACGCCGCTCCCGATCACGATACTAATGACAATGGCAAATGCGTCCTTAGTGCCTAGATTGCGCGAAAAAGTGCCTTGCGCTTCAACATCTGGCGCAGGCGCTGCATCAACAATGCTTTGGACCTGAGTCGACTCATTGCTCAGCAGCGGCTGGCGCTCGCCGCTTTCGTTCTCGGACGGGGAAATCATGTTCTCTGCATCGGGTGGCTTGTGTTTGATGAGTTACCGAAGCGCGAAACACGCGTTCAGCACGGGCAGACGACGCTACGAAGGTGGAGAGAGCACACCATCGGCCCGGTTCTAAAAGCTGCGACGAGCTCCGCTCCTCACTTGAACATACACCAAAACAAGACGGACCAGGACGAAGTTGTCTATGGGTATACTATATATATTCCTATCAGTGGAAACATATCAAATTAGTGATACGTAAATGTGCGGTATACTAGTATCACACTAGCAAACGTGTGTGTCTGTTGAGATAAAAGGCTAAGTTCGATAAGGGGAATTGGTAGAAAGGTGCATCGTGGGAAACATCGAACCAGCGAATTTTTGAGATTGTGCGTCCCAAGAATGTTAAGGAGGCGGTTTCGTTCTAGGACCAGAGCATGCTCTTATTGGCAAAGTGTCGCGCAGCACTTGTTGATATCATTCCCCCAATCGATGTTTGACCCTGCGATTATCGTTGAGCCGATCCTGCGGATGGTCGAGGAATGCTGTCTGTAAGTGCTGCGGCAGTAACGTATGTTTCTGGGCCATTGTTACCATTGAATTGCCATATTAAATTGGGGGAATTTGGCGCTGAAATGGCTTTGTACATGTACCAAGTATGCTGAAGCTCTAAGCTAACCTAAGCCACCGCAATTCTCCCCGCGTTACTTCGTCTGTGGTCTCCAGCCGGAGGAGAGGGTTAATTTCCCTATGCTGCGTTGCGCTATTGCAGCTGCTTGATCCGCTGCGACTGGTATATATATGTCTGTGTGAGGGGCAATCTTAGCGCTTGCATCCAAGCCGTCTTGGTTGTATTGAGGTGCTACAAAATTCCTCAGGCGAGTCCATCGCGTCTTTCCCACGGCAGCTTGACTTTGACCGGTTTGCTTATCAGTTATGAAAGACTCAAAACCAAAACAAACTTATAAGTTGCCCGTGTATCTCCCGTCCTGCACTAATGGTCAGGTGGAAGGCCAGCACGATGCCCACAAACAACACAAACTCCCACCAGCACGGTGGCAAAGCACCCGGGCGATCCTGGTGACTACCAAGTTTCGAAGGACGCTGGCTTCAAGAGCACGATGAGAGATACCAGTCTTCGAAGCAATCTGGTTCCGGTCCACGTACTACAAAAAAGTAGTATGAGGTCTCTCTATCACCATTATCAGACTTAACATCTATCTCAGGCGTGCCAGGCCTAGGAGACACGTAAACACAATCCGTATCGAGATCTGCTAGGAAGCAGTGTTTTTGAGGATATGAGTGACTTGGTAACTTAGACAATATCACTCCTCATGCGATCAAGCACTATACAACAACCCCGCTTCCCACCTCAACCATCTGGCGCTGGGTTATCACACGCTACTAACACGGCCTCTAAATAGTGAATGCTGCTAAAAAAAAAAAAAAAAGCTTGTGCTTGCTTCATCATAACTCGATGTAGCCAGGTAACAGCTCTCGATCGTACAGTTCACCAAATGGTTGGCAAATAATCAACTCGAATAGTTTCCTGGATTTCTGTTATGAGAATTTGAACCGTACTTCATCAGCGCAGCTCAGAAGTCTCGCACACTGCAGCGATTGGGGGGATGGCCGCTCTATTCAGATTGGAAGAGTACGTTGGGAGGCCTCTTGATAGGAGTGAAACTGTCGAGATGCCAATATCCCCGTGGGGTGATGCTGGCAGTCGATCACATCACTCCTTCATCATAGTAACAAATGGTGCTTGCCGCAATAACAGCCGAGCCGAAGCATGAGCACTGATTGGTATCTTTTCGGGCAGAATAACAGAGCCGAGAACAAAGCCGAAGTGCTTCCTCGGAGAGATGCAACAACTGAGAGAGCAGAGCTCTGCGCGGCTCCGAGGACAGTGTAGGTCACCTACACCAAAGTTGCAGACGAATGGTGGCGGTTTGTTACTGCGTCGACGGCTCTCAAAATGGTCTTCATCAGGTCGAACTCGGATTGTCTTGTCAAAAGCCAACATAGTACATCTTCAAATATATGCACAACGGTTACGCAAGCGCTACAGGGGCTCAGGTGCAAAAGTTCGACTTCTTTTTAGGGTTAGTCGAGGCCATAAAGAAATTGGAACAAGAGAAGCTGTGTAAGATTTTTTCTGGAAAGGAGGCAGGCATTTTAATCACGCAGCCGACCGGCTCATGGACGTCGCTCTTGATTCCGGTATAGTAGCACCAACTGAGGACTACCAATCGCCGAATACCAGGGAATAAAACAGTACGCATGGGAGCGAAAGGGTCTGGACGCGGCACGACCGACTGGCGCATGCCTCTCTTGAGATGTTACAAAAGATTATCAGAGTAAGCAGAGGCATAACTGTCACTGTGGAGCAGGTCCCCAATTAGATACTGACAGTGGATTCGTCTGTACGAATCGTGTGAGCCCTGGGACACGGCCCTTGTGGTTTTTAGTCGATGGATGATACAAGTTGGACGTCTCTGCTTTGCGCCAGGAGGCAGAAATCTGGCGCACCACACCCACTGAACTAAGGATATCACGCGTAGTCACGCGCACTGTACTGTCAAAATCATCTCCCTCTATTAAAAAGCGACTAGGGGATTCCAAGGACTCATCACGCTTTATGCTATTCCTCCATTCGCGTGGAAACTCTTCGCACCATCGCATCGGAAACCAGCTCTCTAAAGTAACGACCGTTTAACCAGACACATCCTCTATGATCGATCTCATCCGCATGGACTCTTCCTGCTGCTAAACAACCGTCTAACAGCTGTCCCCAACCTCCATGAACAAGCCAACGCCTTGGATCTCCTGGAAAGCAACCCACTCGTTGCTCCCCTCCTGAGGCGCGAGCTTCAGCTGATAAGCCATCACGTCGCGGCAAGCAAAGCTGTTGATAAAGGTCTTGGTCGCCTGGGTCGGGGAGCTCTGGAGGTGCGCGGTGCCGACGACGCTGCCGGCGGCGGGGCCGTTGACGTCGACGAAGTCCACGAGGGGGTTGCCTGCGGTGCTGACGGGGTAGCCGGCGGGGAACTTGGCGACGAGCGTGCAGGGCCCGACACTGTTGGGCGGGATCAGGAAGGAGGCGAAGGGGCTACTAGCCGACGAGATATTGTAGTTGATGGGAAATCCGATGGAGGAGGGCGGCTGCGAGAGGCAGGGGCCGCGCTTGCTGCCGCGGGAGGCAGGGGAGGCAGAGGCCAGGCCGGCGGCGGCGAGGGCAGAGACGACAATGCTTGTGAAGTACATTTTTTGTGCTGATATTACTCTTCGCCCAGGTGAAATTAAGTCCTTTGAAGGTTTCTTCGAACTATTATAATGAAGAGGGTTTAGAGAAGAATTAAGATGATTAGATTACTGCTGTGTATTGTTGATGATGATGACGAACAAAATGCCACAAACTTCTGGGTGATACCATCTTATATACTATGATATCCTACTTCCCAACCTCACCAGATCTCTTTCGTCGTCATTCGGGGTATCGTTACCATGATGGCGTTGAGGCGATGTAAACGAAGTCCAGATACGAGCCCTTGGCACCAGACGCCGGCTTCCGAATGATGAAAAGGGCATCCCGACCACACCAAGAGAGTTTTCTTTCTAAGTCACTTTGGTATGATAGTGAGCCGGCAGTGCTGTCATGCTACCGCCATGCTACAGCCATGGTGTCTCAGCTGCACTTGATCTGGGGTGCTTACCGTACCCCAGAAGCTTGTTCTCCAATAGGACGTTGGTAGGGCCGGTCGCTACGTTGCATGGAGTATTACATAGTGAAGGCGACTTTGGGGTAAGCGAAGCTAAACCGGCGCCACATAGCTGACAGATCGAATTTGAGCTGATGAACCACTTCAGCCTCAACCCGTTGCTGAATTAGAGTGTGCTTAAATTAGAAACAGTTGAATAATGAGAATTTCGGCGCGATATCATGATATGGTCCGGTGCCATAGGCCGGCTTGTGGTGGCGCACGACGAAAGGCTACAACACCCGTAATAACGACTAATCAGCCAACAATATCGAAGAAACTCTGGTTGGCATTATTCATTGGTTGTCCTTTCAGTGTCCAATAATTTCAGGAGGCCTGCGCTGGCCACACCAAGGTCAAACCCCGTTGTAATATATTAGAAGAAAAGATTCATCGCACTGGCAGAGCACATACATGTCGGTCAAAATTTACCAATCGAATTTGTCAATTGTCTCCTCCATTACCATCCAAAAGACTTAGTTTGCCTTGACACACACATCTCTCTCCATGATCTTCCCTTTGACAGAAACCCGATGACCGAAGCTTCAAGCTAAGCTAAAGCGGAGAGAATCTATATGACTAGCTCAGATTGCCGACGGACTGTGCCACGGCTCCTTTCCTTTATCTTTTTGTCTATTGGTCGGCAAGCTCACCCACCTCGCCACCTTCGACTCGGGGGTATATTCTAGATGTCGACCCGAAGTTGCGTGCAAAAGGCCCGTTGTATGATACAAGTTGATTATAGCCAAAGAAAGAAAAAAAGAAAAACCAAACATTCGTTCGTCAAAGGACCCAATGCAGGCCTCCGACGCTATATGTAGCATTAAACGAAAAGGGCATATATCGTAACCTCGTTCCAAACCAATAATTAGAGTAATATAGCCCAGAAAGTACGAGGCTTATTAGTAACCATCGCCATTTGCGTAACCTCCAGGTTGCGGACTGACGGCACCACTACCGCTCACGCTGCCGGTACCGGAAAAGTAGCTTTGGTCGATGCGGAAGATCCAATCAAGCTTCTCGCGCTCGTTGCGAGCCGCAAATAACCACGTATTGTCAGTCCCATAGACTGCAAAGACGCCTGTTTGCAAGCGCTCACTTAGACCACCCAGACCGGGCCCAGCAGAGCTCCCGCCAGTACCTGTCCACATGGATGATACAATACGTCCCGATGAAGTCCTACGATGACCGGGTCGGAAGTCTCCACTCGATGTACCCTCTTCGTCGTCATGTGGGTCTTGCCCGCTGAAGAGCGCGAGTATTTCGGGCTGACTATCGACCCTTGAATTTCGCAGGCTAACAATAGCGACCTCATCCCCGTCTGTGGAGTTATGGATATGGAGATATGGTCTTCGTAGTTCTACAAAACGCTTGATCCATTTGCTGGAGTCGTTGTTTGGTATGAGAAGATAGCCGCCCTTCAGGACCTTCGGATTCTTCGGTACCTGTATTATCGTGGTGATGAGTGGCGGCGGGGCGCTGGCCTCTGGAGCCACGCCGTCGGCAGGCGGTGCCGTATTTTCAGGGCTCAAGATTTGAATCACCGGATCAGGATACCTGGTCCAGAGCTTGATACATTTCTTGAGAATAAGTGACTCGTGTTCGTTATATTCCGGTTGCGCAGGTGTCTCCTCGACAAGCTCCACATATGTATCGGATGTCGCAGGCTCAGCTCGATCAGCTTGCTCAGCTTGCTGAGCTGGAGACTCTTCTGGGGTTGGTGCTTCTTGAGCCTCTTGCGGAGCTTCATCGTCATCAGGTTTGGGCGATGTGGGACGTGAAGTTTGCGGAGTGTCGTTGAGAAGGGCGTGAATTGAGTCATCATCATTGTTGCCTTTGGATACCGGTGAAAACTCGTCCGATTCAGATTGATGCTCATCTTCTACAGGTGCATTCTTCGGCTCTGGAAGACCAATCTTCTTGAGGAAGAGCTGGGCGGCACCGATTTCAGCTATGCGCCTTCGTTTCTTCTGCGCGGCAAGAAAATCTCCGATCAGCGAGACGCCCCTTGGTGTCCAGTTGTTCAGATTCTCCTCGCCCTTGACATAACCATGCTGGGTATCCAACCTCCATATATCGCCGACTCGCTTGATAGGCGCTGGGCGCATAGTGAGAGTATATATGGTGCTCGCTGAATGAACTATGCGTACGTGCTGCCAAAGAGCAGAAAGCATGGAGGCTTGTCGAATAAAAGACCGGCCCAGAATTTGGCAAAAAACAGTGGTTGTGAACTTCATTGGTATGGCGAGCTTTTCTGAACTGATATCCCAAGATAAAGTCATTTGCACTTTGTACTTGTCCACTGTCGTCCGATCCAGCAGAAGTGAATTATGTAGACTTGAATCCCACTGGCCACTGATACTCACGCTGCGGGTACCATTTGCGTTCTGACGGAATGTTGGTTTAGAGCTGAGCCTTAGCGGAATGTCAGGAGCTGGTGCTCCCATATCAGGTGTCTTCCCGGCGTGGTCCACAAGCTGAATCTTTCCAACACGTACAGAAGTGATGTCGTCCCACGGCAAGGCATCCCCAGAGCTGTGTGTAAGGTTGATCGCTATTCGTCTCTGAAGACCTTGGTGGAGTTGGAAAGTGCCGCTGTCCAGCTCGCTTGTTTGTGTGACTTCAACCGGAACATAATCGCCATTCTCTGAAAGTTCTAGGAATTGTACCCGTGCCAAAAGATCATGCTTCTCTTCTGTGAGGAAATGGGATTCATTGATACGAGCATCTTTCCTCGACTTGTTTTCCGCACCGGGAACGAAGTCTCGCATCTCATCCCAGCTCAGAAGCTTGTCGAGATGCATCGTGGAAACCTTGGCAAAGATTGCAACACGCAGGTTGAGATCCTGCGACCCGAACAAGGGAACGCTCATACTATGAACGCTGTCAAAGCGAATTGGTCCCTCGTCAAAGTCCTTGATCATCTGAGTCGTGGTGACACTATCTTCCGACACTCCAGGGATAAAAAGCTGGGCATGAACCTCGGTCCCTTCCCGTTCCGCGAAACCGACCATATCATGCATGACCACATTGTACTTCAACGTGCTAGACGGTGCACGGGCACTTGAGGGTTCGAGAGAAAGCTTGAGAATGCCAATTGCATGAGAAGTGTGTGGCGACAACACGTCCAGATTGAAGTCTTGTACGCGGCTGTCGAAAACAGCTTTCAGTGGTATATCGACTTCACCAACGAGTGAGTATTCCGGCATGCAGGGCTCCACAAATGGATTATCAAGCTTGAAGTGCTGACTGTATTCTGGTTGATCCAGATATTGGTGCATCTGGCGCATCTGTCGAACTCGGTCGTGAAGCTTGTCAAGGCTCCAGAGGTGCACGACGGCATGTTTGTAGTCAACGACCCGAACACCGACACACGGTTTCTGGGCTTCTTCCAAGGCAATGTCGTCACCCTCGTTAGACACCCCGTTAAGCACCATGTCATAGGATGAACACAGACCATGCCCGGCATCAACAACAGTAAACTGGAAGACGACATTTTCGCCAAGCTCCTCACTCATGATTTGGGCCTCTTTCAGAGTTGCAGCATTCTGTAGTACCGTTTCGGCCATCTGTACATAATGACGGCTTCTCCAGAGCTTGACAGCCTTCTTTGCTCGTTTGACCTCCTCGTCGGACAACCTTGGCTTCGCTTTAGGCCTCTTGAGCGGATCAAGTTTTTCGATTTTGGCTTCAAATTCTTGTTTTTGGACCTCAAGCTGCTTTTGCATTTCAGCTTTCAGCTGAACCAAGGTTTCCTCCATCTTGACTTTCTCCGCCTTGATCTCCTCAACTTCAACGTTAGCTGCTTCGGCACTCTTAATCTGATCATGGTATTCTTCCTTTTGCTTTTCAAGCTGCGTCTGCATAACCTCACGTATCTCCCTGAGGCGTTCGTCTGTGTCGCCGGCTCTCGGAGTTGAAGGCATGGTGAGCGCTGTGTCGAGGGAGAAATTGTCAATCGTGCCTGTTGACATATATTTCTCTCGTATTGGATACGAAGTTACAGAGTCAATATCCTCATCGCCATCTTTGCCAGAGACACGTTCAGCTCTAGCACGCTGCACATCCTCGAATAAAGCATTGAGCTCCTCATCATTCAAATTGGCAAGATTTTGCTCTGTTTGGCCCAGAATAGCACCAGCAGCTTCTCGTCTAGCATTTGACCAGTCCGAATCACCGCCACGAAATGGAGAGGGAGAATCAGGTCGACTCTCACCAAAATCGGACACTTTACTAATCGACCGTTCATGGCCTGGCCTCAAAGGGGTGCCGGATGGGGTGCCGGATGGGGTGAGATCAAGTCCGAGCTGAGCCGCGGTGACAGACTGACGAAAGAAACTCTGTCGATTCTCCTCACGTTCTGCCTTGGCCTCTACAGGATTGTTAAAACGGAAGATGTGAAAATCTCCCAAGATGATACGATACCCAGATCGCAGACGAGTCGGTTCGCTTATACGTTGTCCGTTGACCATTACGCCAGCGCCCTCGCTTGGAATAATAGTCACGGTTCCCTCAGCAGCGTTTTCGAACGTACAGTGCTCGTGAAGAATGCGAGTTCCGTTGAGACGTATGTTGACCTGGTTGTCCGCGTTTGACTCCACGTTTCCGACTGTGGTGGTACCGGGCTTGAGGTTATAAACCAGGCATTCCGCGAGAAGTGGGTCATCAGACAAGTTGACCAAATGGGGCATTTTCTTAGGCATATGTAGCCCAACGAATCCTTTTTCGATGCTGACACCCAGTTCTTCCAACGCTGCTTCACGCTCCTTGTGGATTTCCTCGGTCTTGAGTAATTTTTCCTCCCATGTTTGATTGAGATCCGTCAGTAGCTTTTCGCTTTGGCTGAGTTGCTCGGCAATCTCGGCCTTTGAAACTTTCTTGACAGTGCCATCTGCTGATGTGATGCTGACTATTTGCTGTTCAAGAGGCGTTCCTTCAGCGTAGACTTCGTCGGGGTTTATACTCGAACCGCCGGCCGCACCGCCGCTACCGCCGCCGCCCAGTTTGCTCCGCAAGAGATCAAGTTCTTCCTTGAGTTCTCTAATCATGCGCGCATTGGCGTCTTCGTTGACGACAGCGTGGTTCTTGATGCGCTTGGCAGAGTCGGCATAACGTAGTGTACTGAGCGTCTCATCATAATTGATATCTGCTGGACTGATTGCTGCTATCATAGCAGTCATGCTGTTTCCTCCCAGCGAGTCTTTCAAAAGCCAAGTTAGGACACTGTCACGATACGGCACTTGACCACCCGGCCCCTTTTTCTTCTTCCCGGTCGAGAGGTCGGCAAGCGCGGCAATGACACGACCCAAGGTCGACAATGATCTGTTGATCTCAGCACCTTCCTTGAGACGGGCTCCCGTGGCTCCAGTGGAGGTTGCTCTTTCCGAACCAGCAAGATCTACCAGACTGATCTTGGCGGCTTTCTCCATTTCCATCTTGGTTTCCGTGTCGAACTTTTTCTGAGTGACCATCAGAGTAAAGACAGCATGACTTCGACTGGATGTTGCGTTCATGTTGGTGGCGGCGACGGTTCTTGCCTTGTTGCCCTCATCCATCAAGTGTTCGATTTCCTGAAAGCTGGTGACCACGAGTTTTGCTAGGTCCTCAACATAGGGACCTGTCGAGGGATGTTCTCGGACTTTAAGATTGCCTTTCGTCGCAGGGTTCAAGAGATCTTTTACTCGTTCGTTGTAGATTTCCAGATAGGAGACTTCGACCGTGCACTTGAGTGTCTTGTCTGCCTGCATCTGTTCGATCCGTTTGAACATGTCTTGGCAGATCATAGGAATGATACCGTGCTCTTTCCCGTATCCCATCATGGAATATGACTTCCCTGAACCCGTCTGGCCATATGCGAAAATGCAGTTGTTGTAGCCCTGAAAGGCATTGTCTAAAAGCGGCAGTCCCAGGTCTTGGTGGAGGTGATGCTGTTCGGCATAGTTGGGATCGTCTCTGCTGAATGACCAGTACGATCTGTCGAAGGCGAAGGCCTTCTGTCCCGAGTCCTTGGTCCCTTTCGCACCACCGAGCGAGGCTTCTGGTGGAGAGGTGAGGACAGTCTGGTTGCCCTTCATCTCCACGATACATTTTGCCCCCCTTTCCTTTTCTCTGCTGTTGAAGGGTCGACATCTCACCACCACCTTGATGTTTCCACCACCGGCTGGAGCCATGTTGCGAGTGGCGGGGAAGGGGGTCCGCCTTGCCTCCTATGCTACGGTAATCGTTGTTGGAAATAGCCGCAGCATGCGATCGATTCGATGGGGGTGGTGCAGACTTCGTGGGCTCGACGTGTCGGGTCGCGAACAATCGGGGGGGATGTCGCGATTCCGTCACAGTAATGGATTCGGGCCTGAAACTTGTATTGGGCACTTCATGAATACCGTCAGGGCTTCATTACCCCTTATCGCCGAGTGCTTTTCCAGCAGAAACAGTTACCAAGCTGGCAGTTTAGCACTCGAGTTTTGTTGCTACTTTTAGCGAGGCGACGATGCAGCAATCTTCGGGCTTCAAAACAGGGCCGGGGTGACCGCAAAAGGTTCTATGCAAGGTGCTAGGTTAGCACTTGCGCCAGCACAAAACCTTGTGTTGACGTTGCCGCCTCAGCCTTATATTCGACGTTGGAGCAGCCGGCCCTCGGAGTATTTGATTGACTGATTAATTGCTTGGGTTATTCTTATTTTTATTCTTATCTTCGGCGAGAATAGCCCCCTTGGAGTTGAAGTGGGAGTGGGAGACGGCGGTGTTTTTGCGGTGGTCGCTGCCTCTCCTGGGTCGTCGTCGCCGTCGTCGTCCTTGGTTACTGGTGATTATTTCGTGGTCAGCTGTCAACAAAAAATGACGAGCGGGTGGCTTTCTCCCGTCGGTAAATTGGCCCCCAGCAGCCCGCCGACGCGATCGCGACTTGGACCCCCAGTAGTTGATTGGTCGTTCGTCATAGGGAAATTGCAGCTTGGGTGGAATCTACGTCTTGACAGCAAGGGTCGTGCCTGTCCTCCAATCACTCAAGGGTCTTCAGAGGTCTCGCATGAACACGACAGGTCGGGCAGACCCATGCTACGTGACCGCCTTCACATGAATGCGACAAACTCTATATAAACAGTTCCAAAACATGGAGGCGCAGGTCTGTGTCTGTTGCTTTCATCTGATGGCGCCCATCCTGAAAGCTGGGTCAGTTCAACAGCCAAACCAACCTTATGTAGCTACTCTACTGTACATAATGTATCTGGGCCCCCCGCATGCTAAAAGGAAGAGCCCCCGCTCTCTCTGCACTTGTCTATTCTGGGCAGCATCTAAAGTATCCAAAGGCCCCCGTCTCCCCGTCCCATGTCCCACGTCCCACGTGAGTGAGTGAGTAACGGCCATGCCCAACGGGTGTGATTCACCAGGTCAGCTGACATGGACGTGACTTACTTCTCTATATTAAGCATACACGAACTTAATCGCAATATGAGCTTAGATATTCATACAACGTTAGCAGTACTATACTTGTTCCTGCCAATTCCCCAAACATCAAGACCATGACTGCTCTATTTAATCACAAACAAAACATGGACCCGAAGGACCAATATGCAGAAATACCAACATTATAGTCATCCTGTTGCATCAGCATATATTATTATGTACTTCATCACTTCCCCTTTGCCCGTGTTGTGCTTCAAGGCGAGGAAATTTGAGGAGGTAACGATTCTCCCGCAAAACATTTGCAGCGGCGATTTCACTGTTGCTAGTTAGTGGATCGTTCTTTGCGGTAATGTGACGGGGTACAAGTGAACACCAACTGAATACACCAAACAAAGAATCGAATTCCTCACAAATACAGCCAATTAGACCCCAGTCATCAGTGGTTTCCTCGATCGACACCTTTCAGACCTCTCCTTCATGCTTACATGGAGGCATATAACCCAATGGACGACATGTGAGATGTAGACGACGAACCCAGGCGCGGCTTCATCGAATGCGACCCGGATGGCCCGAGACTCGATGAATACTTCTCCGAAATACAAATGAGCGAAATGCAAATTGCATTGCAGAACTTGGCCAAGAAATATTTCAAGCCCCACACCATGACAGCTGGCTATGTCGAAATGGTTGTCGACCAAACGGGAAACGTCGACTACCCGGTGGCATGTCTCGGCCGCGAATCCGAGGTGCAACTCATCGCGGATATCTATACCGTTACCGTCGCCATACCTGACAAGATGAAAGATGCGAGACTGTGCAGGGCTTGCGGCGTCGCGGTCAGAATGGAGATCTTCGAGCCCCACCATGCAATCAATTTCATGATCGAGTTTTGCTGGACGGACGAGAGCGGCACTCGGCAGCTAAATTACTACGTTCCCAGTATCTTTCTAGACGACTGCGGAATTGGCACGAAAACAGGAAACGTGGACGAGTTGGATGTCTTACTAGGCCTGCCAGGCACAGACGAAGGAAAAAAAAAAAAAAAAAAAAAAAAAAAAACCTGGCTCAGCAGGCAATGGGCTGGGTACACCTCAAAGCCCAAGAAGCCCAGAAGGTGGAACCAATCAAGTTATGCAAAGAGAACTAGAGTCATCTCGAAAAGAGCATCGACGTGGTCTCCTTAACTAGTCGAATGCACTTCCTAACAGTTCAAAGAATGTGATGTCGTGTCTGAGCAATAGTATAGAACGTGATGAATATGTCCGTCAAATGTGAGGCCTTCCGTAAACAACCGCGTTTGACGGCATTTCATCATGCGGTAGAACATGATGCATAATTACTTCAATCTGTTGGAAACAAAGACATGTGTGTCCGATACTTCCAGAGCTCACGACTTCAGATTGCCAAGAGTTCGTGTTGATGGAAAGGAGGTGATAGGGCAATTTATCCTACACGAAGGCGCACTATATTTCGCTTGCCCATTTCCCTGTGGATAGTCGCTCCGGCTAAATACGTATGACCATGATTGATCTTTCACCATTGATTATAATTCTACACAACTTTCAAAAAGCCACACATTATATGTTTATTATTTTCTGCAAGTAATAGATTTTCGATCAATTACGGTGAGTTTCGAGATTTGTTAACTTATTGGACAATTCTCGTAAACCAATTTCTACCTCAACTTTTGTTGTGAATCAAGCAGGTATGCTCAGTTCATTTTGATACCAAAAATAAAAAGGATTTTGTGAGAAATTTAAGCGGATTTAAACAAAGTCACAACATAATGTTCAAGCAGTTTGATGTGTAAGATCGGTGATCCGTAAGGGGGAGTTTTCTGTTGTTGAAAATTCAATGACATGCTCGCTCATAACATGCAGCGACTTGATGCGCTATAAACCCAATGGTACCCACGTGGAGGATGCGGCCAACTGGCTCTGCTCGCTCCGAGTTCTATCTCCCTAAACGCCAGTAACGACAGACGCATTCAGTATCTCATGAGCGAAAGTCTAGATGCAATTCGGCATCTCCCTTGATGCCTGCGTAAAATCTGAACCAATAAAATGATTCCCAGAATAAGATTCCCCATCTGCATTTGCTCCGTGCTTATAATGTGCTTTAATCCTCCCAGCTTAGTAGTTGCCCAGCCTCCAGAACACCAGTGATGTCCCCATCTTCCATGACAGCCACGATGGAATGCTCGTCACATGACTCTTCGTCTGACGATCGCATGTCGTTGATCCACTCAGCGGCTTGCGATATTCTCGTATCTCCAGCAATCGTGATCCATTCTTCCCGACTTGCGCCCAACCCGGGCAGATCACTGAGCTTGTTAAGGAAGTCTGACGACTCCAGTCGCCTGATACGACCGGGCGATGCAACAAGGTCGCCGACGCGCACCCAGCCAGTGGATGAGTCGTATGCGGCCTTCAGTACATCGCCGCCCCGGACATCGAGGATACTGTGGCAGGGCAATGAGATGATCTCACATAATGGTGTCGCGATCTCTGCCATGCTCTGTGCCTTCTTGATTGTTGCTCCGATCGCACCGCCAGGGTGGTTACGCAGGAATGTCGCCGAAACGCTGGCATGAAGTTCCTTTGACGCGACGATAGCGACCGCATCACCCACCGCGATGGCCATTGTGGTGGAAGTGGTTGGTGCGGACACTCCGAAGGACGCTGTCTCCGATTCGTGGATTGGCGCCGACAATAGGATCATACCCGGTCTTTGCTTGATTAACTCGCATGTCTCGGGCCGCGTATGCGATGTGAGGACGATTGTTGGAAGAGACGGATCGATGTGCGGGAGGAGCAATAACAACTCTGGCGTCTTTCCTGAGAACGTGATGAAAAGGACTGTATCGTTTTTCCCGATTTCGCCTAGATCACCGTGCAGAGCTTCCGTAGGGTGCACAAATACCGCCCGAACACCAAGGCTGTTGAAGCTCGCTACTAACTTCCTGCTGATGTACCCCGATTTTCCAACACCAATCACGACGACTTTGCCTTTTTGGCCCCTATGCCTTGTGATGGCCTCAACTGCAGAGTTGAAGCCCGCGCCAATGATAGAATCTGTCTCGTACAATGTAGTGAGGTTCCTAAGTGATAACGCCTCAGTATTCAAGACATGAATAGCTCCCGAGATCCTGTCATTAGCCCGCTTGTTTTCTTCCTCGAAAGCCTTTGCAAGCGGGCCCTCATCTAGACAAAACTCCTCTATCGGAGTCGCGGGTCCGGTAGCGGTCGGTGTGAGAGGCGAAGGGGGAGATGGAGGAGGGATGAGTGGACGTTGCGCCGCCGGGCCGCATAGGTAGACAGCGCTCGTCTGTACTGGATGGTGATGGTCGACCATGATGCTCTGTTGTTTGGATGATGTTTAAGGTGAATCCGCCAGACCTTTACGCTTATCGCAAGCTCCCCTTTTAACTGCCTTTGATCGATTTGATTGAAATCCTTATTTGGTAACCCCGAGAACTTGAAGCACTTCAGACCTGTCGCAACATTTGATACCGAATCTCAATTCCCATAACTGATACCACAGCTACCGTGGGTCTTGCTTCCTGAACAATATCTGCAAGATTTTAATTGCAGTTTGTTTCAGTCTTGACAGAGTATACGTAGACAATGCGTCTAAAGTTCGGCAAATCCCGGCAGATTGGAGTTGCGCCAAGAAAAGAAAGACGTAAATAGCCCGCAGCCCAGATATGTATCCCAGGATGAAACAGATGTTAAGTGGAAGGGGAAGGAGAGGTGCGGACCCAGCGACGAGGATCAAGATAAATCTACAATTTACGAAGGACCTTTGCAAGAAATATCGATCGAGAGAGGAGATAGGCCGCGGCTCGGGCTCCGTTAAACACCGTCGCAACTGATTGCTGTTGCGGTAACTGCAGGATACAGTCGCGATCTGCGGAATACATCTGCCAACGTCAAGATTTCTAAGCACGGACCGGATGTGATCTTGGTCCAATCCGATGATTCATGACAAGCGACCATAGACCAGGCACCATCGTGGACGAAGGGCTTGGATAGTAGGGGTCGCCTAGGGGGTCTCAATACGGGCTTTGCCGTAACGTTTACTGAGCGCACTCTTGCGTGATCTGGACCTTGCCCAATGCGACTTGATATCGATCTTGAACTCCGACGATCATTGGTTTGATTGTATTCAAGAGGGGTACGTACCGCATTAGACTGGATGCGACGCGAGACTTACATACTGTGAGATGACCCGCATGGCCTTCGCAGGCTCCAACCTGGACGACTGCAAACGCCAGATTAGAGTGATCTAGGCGGTGAATTCAAGGACCGATTCGAGCATGCTTTTCTTTGGGGTTCTGGGGGCCCTGGCATATCTTTGGCTGCAAGCTTAATGCTGTAGCGTGGGGCTTGCTCGAGTCTCGATTTCCAATCAATGGTGTCGTGGCTGGCACGACCCAAATGTTTTCGATTTTGTGGATTGTCACCAAGTACTCGGTTCGGCCGGGGAAGGCGCTTACGGCTTGACTTGAGATCAGCGTCTGCCGTGAGCCGTATCGAGGGTTCATCTGGCTACCTAGAACGGTCTTATTTGACATTGATAGAATGGTTTCATCTGGTTTCAATGAAGCTGCCAGAACGCGTAAGTTCTCGGCACTTGGCACCATGATCGTCAGAGATACTGATCTGAGCGATCTGCAAGCTAGGACCAGGAATTTCGCTGATAAGGCCGGGGGCCTGCGCCATTATGTGCGTCTGCGCCTTTTAACTAGCTGAAATGTAAAACGTCTCCATTTGAGTGGAACTCATGTCTTGACTTTGTCCCAGCACATTTTAGCGATAACACAAATGGAACAGTCGTTGCCATGAAAAATGCTTCCAGAAGGTCATCATGAGTTCTATGAACTCAAAGCCGCGTGGTACAAGGCATAGACCGAGTCGTTGCATGAAACTGTGACATGTGCTGCAGACATTTTGTCAACCGTTGTATACGTAGAGTTCGGTACCTCACCTAGCGTCCATCAAAATCAACAAAGTTGACATGTGAAGCCTCTGAGGATTTGTATAGTTTTGTAGGCGGTGGGAACCAAAAGTTCGACAAATCCGCCAAGTGAAATTGGCCTTCGTTCAATGACGCTTGTACTTCGCTTCAGTAAAAGTGTAGTTGACTTCCACTTGGAATCATCATGTGTGTGGGTGAATAAAGCCAGTAGTCTGGGTTTTGATGCATCTCAATGCAAGCTTTTTTTTTCTTGGCGATATAATAAAGACAAACTAACAAACAGGAATGAGAGAAGCGCCTCTATATGAAGATAAGACAAGAAAGTTGCTAGGAAAAGTTAACCGCTGTTGGCGAGATGAAAGGTTAAAGTAGGTGTCCATGATCCATCAGTAACGCAGAGTAGAAGCTGTAGCTTGCAACCCTGTCACTGCTGCGCAACTTTGCATCTCACCAGCCACACGCTGACGATCGATTGGATCGGATCCGGGGTTGCACTCCTACGAAAACCGCATTTGCCCTGCAAACCGCCCTGTCGTCATGCGGAAAGACATTTAATCTTCACTCCACACCGCTCATACGATTGTGTAGCTGACATTGAAGTCGAACATCGAGCCAGCCTTCGTATATTGATATGAGTATATTGCCAACTCTGCGCCCCTCAAGGTCATTGTCGCAGGAATTGGAAACTAGCCCATCATGACGCGCATGGTAGTCTATGGCGTGGCGCTATCCGTCTTTATCGTTGGTACGTCATTGTCACTCTTCCAGCTTGGCTGAAAACAATGGTTTGCGAGCGCTCGAGTCTCGCCATTGGAGGTTCATCGCAATAAGATAAACGAGTTGTGATATTCTCTGAGGCCTAAGCTTCAAAACTTGTCCATAATCCGGAGAATATACCACGTCTTCGCGTGTCCAAATCAACTGCCAGTAACTAATTATGTCTGCCAATAAACAGCCACGCTATTGACGATTGTGTCCGTCCTCACGACTCACTGGCTCGACTACGAAATCCATAACAAAAACACCGACACGACGTTCAGACACACACTGGGTCTCCACCACAGTTGTTCGTCCTCGAGTGACCCGTCGTGTCGACCATTCCCCGACGACGATGATTGCCGGGAAGATAAGACCTTCTGCTCGTTGTGGCGCAGCTCTGGCTTCTTGCTGTCGTTCGCGACGGTAGTAGAGCTTGCAACGCTCGTCTCGTTCATCGTAGTCATGGCCGGCGGCAAGTTCAAGCGTGAGGATGGCTGGAAGCTGGTCGCCGGACTACTACTTGCCGACTCGGCTGTTGAGTTTACGGGCATGGGTATTGTGGTATGCTCCTCCCACCGGAGCCGCTGTAGTTCGTCCCCTGTTGCTAACATAGGTGACTCTCTAGGCGTACTTATTCAATCATGACTCGCAGTTTATCATGTCCGGCTGGAGTCTCGGCTGGTCGTGGGTCCTCTGCACAGTCAGCGCCAGTGCATCGTTCGTTGTTGCCGCTTCCCTGGCGATATCTGCTTGGGTGTTACCGTCGGAGGACGATTATGAGCCTTTGGGTGATGGCATCAACGATATATAAGCTTCGAGACGACGCTAGAATATCCCAGCAAATATCATTTGACGGGGCAGTCCTGATGGCGGCATTCTCTCCCAAGAGAACCTCCACCCGGTGGTACATTGATGAGTGGTATCTCCTTCTGTCTGAACAATCCAGATCTTTGTACGGGTCCAGCCCTGATGGCTACTAGCGGACGACCCTGGCAGTTATGATTTTGGGACATTCGTGACAGGGTTTGGTCATAGTAACATAGCCCCGAGGGCTGTTTAGCATGTTGATATCTTCGGAGCATTTGCTTTTTGTGATTCTATCAAATAAAACATGGGGTACGGCGTTTCCCGGTTCCGTAAAGGCACAAGTCCTACACAACTTCTTTCCTCATGAGCAGTTACAGCGAAGATTCATTCCTGATTTAAAAAAAAAAAAAAAAAAGATTTTAAAAAAAAACCCCCCCCTCCCGAAACCTGAAAATTAAAATTTACCGGATGCAATATCTGACGCTTCACACTGAAAATAGGAAGACTTCAAGCCGTCTGAGGATTGTATGCTCATTTGAAACTGTCTGCTGTTGTACATCAGGGAATTCGAACAATTATTGATATAGCTACTTGAGCATCCTTACTAAGTAGCTATCACGAAATCGACGTTTCCTGCTGAAGTACTATGATTCGTCTTGATCGCTGGAATCATCGTCTGATTCTGCCTCGGATGACGAAGATGAGCTACTACTTGACGATGTCTCTGCCTCGTTCCGTGTTTGATCAACCTCCATGACAACATCTGAGTCTGAGTCGTCCGATGAGTCGCTGCCACTGCTGCTCGTGTCCGAGTCCGAGTCCGAGTCCGAATCATTGTCTGATGAGCTGCTGGTGTCCTCCACCTCAGCTGTTCGCACCTTCTTCCTTCTTATCCTGCGTTGGGTGCCGTCGTTGAGTTTGGCTCTCTTGTCACCGTCCGGGGCACCTGACCCACTCTCTTTGGAGGCTTCTCCGGCTGTGTCTTCTGACTCTGCGTCAGTTACTGTTGCCGTGCTGGTGGACGTTTCAGAATCTTCGCTGCCTGAAAGTTCGTCAAGAACCATTTCCGCACGCATTCGCTTCACTACACGCCGTTGCATCTCCATGTCCGTTGTCCGCAGAACATAGTCCACCTCTTCGAAGCGCCTCTTTCCGGGCGACGTCCCCTCCTTGAGAAAGCCTGCGATGATCTCCTCATACTCCTTTTGCTTCCTCACGGCGGCTTGCTTGTTGGAGGACGAGAAGCCCTCGGCGCCTTGATCCATATCCTTGTTCTTGACCTCGACCGCGGTCTCACGCAACCGCTTCCGAACAAAACCCTTGAGGGGGCTGATGTATTTGAAGAAGATATCGATATCGACAGCTGGTATGGTCGTTTCGTCGGAGAAGACGTACTCGAGTAACCTTGTCTGGTGATTCTTGTTGAACTTCCAAGAGTCTCGCGCAGAATGCCACTGCCGCAAGTACTCTAGAGCGGACTGCAGGTTCGCGACGGCGTTCTCCTTCTTGGCCAAAGGTTTCACGGCGTTGTTGGGTTGTGTTCCCCTGGGAGTCTGCTGAGCTGGCTTGGCGGGCTTTTGCTTCTCCTTCTTCGGAGGCTTCTTCTCTTTAGCTGTAGGCGTAGTGAAGGTCCGGACTTCGGGTTCGGCAGCAAAGGAGACAGCCTTGGGGGTATTGGACTTGGAAGGGGTAGAGATGTTGTCCCTCCGCGGCTTCTTTGCAGAATGGTCTGGCTCGGAGGCGCCAAAAGACTTGCGTTTGCCAGCCGCGCTTATGCCGTTGGCGAGAGGGGATGGGGCAGCAAGTGCTCGCGAGGGAGCGCTCTCGGTTTGGCTATCGGGAGCAGCTTTGAGCTTGAGGCCCAATCGCTTCCAGGCTGGAACTCGGCCATCGGTGGAGGAGGACATGTTGAGAATCCAAGCAAGAAGGATGGAAGGGGGATGGTGATATTAGGATGCAAGCAAGAATGCAAGAGAGTGCAAGTTGCAGTGTCCACTCGCCTGTCTTCCAATGGAAGAGCGCGGACGATGGATTTGCTGGCTCCAATGATCCGCAGAGCACAGATTGATTGATTGACCGACCGACCTGATATGCTTTGAATTCGGGCCCGCGCCAAAGATGGGACTCGGTGCTGCTCAAACAGCCAACGTTTCTTCCTCGCGAGGAGCACTGTCTCCTATCATGCAATGGGACTCCGGGACAGGGAGCTACGATGTTAGAACAACAAACTCTCATGAGACTGAACACTCGCCAATAGATTCCACGGGGCTTGAAAATCTGCTAGTGATCTTATCGTGATAGCCGAGTCGTTCCTATGAACTTTTTTTGGTGGGGCTGACGGTTGAATCGATAATTGCATTGGAAGTGCCCAGGTGCCGTAGATCCCACTTCTAGCGGCATGGAGGAGGCTTAGTTATTCCGGTCTCCGACCTGATACCTTACTGTGTGTTCCCTTATGGCAGGGGCTGAGAAGCAACTGGAAGTGTGGCTGTAGTCTATGTAGCTAGCTGTAGCTCTAACTAGCTGTAGCTGGAGTGCCTGCCCCGTGCTTTCGCTTCTAGGCAAGCTCCCAGCAACGCGTCTCAGCGTCTCAGCGTCTCCGCGCAGCGCAGCACAGCACAACCAGCTCCCTGCAGCAGGTGAACTAATAAGTAGCGCAGGCTCAAGGCTGGCGAGCTCACATCATCGCCTTGCCTAATTCACGACAGCCTCTTGTCTGTCACAACCTCAATCCCACCTCACGACAAATAGCCAACGATCTCGCATCACGATCCCACGACCATCAGGACACTCGGTCACCGCGTTACTGTTTCGACCCCACATCTAACCATTCCATTTCCACCTCCACGCCCGCACAGCATCCGCCATCATGTCGGGTAGGTCAGAACGTCATGCTCCCTCTCCAGCCCCCATGGTAGTATAGCTTCAAGTCTCTCAACCACGATACTAACCTGTTGCCCCGACTCTAGGCAGTGCAGGATTCGACCGACACATCACCATCTTCTCCGAGCAGGGTAGACTGTATCAAGTTGGTACGTAAACCACTCCACCGGCCGACACCTCAGCAAAGCTTATCTCCTCGCCGTATTGGATGTCAACTGAGCCGGGTTTCCGGGTGAGAATGTAAGCTGACGGGGAATCGCCTCTACAGAATATGCTTTCAAAGCCATCACAGCCGCCAATATCATGGCAATAGGAGTCCGGGGCAAGGACTGCGCAGTGGTTTTGTCTCAGAAGAAGGTACCCGTAAGTACATCCGGGGGTGTTCTTGGCAACCCAAAGCAAGTATGAATAGCAACACAAGCTGATGGCGTCAATCAGGACAAGCTGATCGACCCCTCGTCTGTATCGCACATCTTCCAGATCTCGCCCTCCGTTGGGTGCGTCATGACCGGCTCTATCGCAGATGCTCGGGCCTTTTCACAACGTGCACAGGGCGAGGCTGCCGAGTTCAAGTACAAGTATGGCTACGAGATGCCGTGTGATGTCTTGGCCAAGAGACTGGCCAACATCAGCCAAGTCTACACCCAAAGAGTAAGTCGGCGTCGTTGGAGATTATATTTGGGCTCACGCTACTGGACTCTGCTTACTCCTAATGATAGGCCTACATGAGACCCTATGGCGTGGCAGCGACCCTGATATCACTGGACTCTGAGACCGGGCCTCAGCTCTTCAAGTGCGACCCGGCTGGATACTACGTTGGGTACAAGGGTACGGCTGCCGGCCCCAAGCAGCAAGAGGCACTCAACCATCTTGAGAAGAAGCTCAAGAACAAGAACCACGCAGACGGAACATGGGAAGATGTCGTCGAGTTGGCCATTACTACATTGAGCACGGTCCTCAGCATGGACTTCAAGAAGGGCGAGATCGAGATTGGAATTGTGGGAGGTCCTCGAGGAGACGGCAAGCCAGGTCCCAACCCAGGATTCAGGACACTCACGGAAGACGAGATTGACGAGAGATTACAGGCCATCGCTGAGAAGGACTAGATGTTGGGAGGACGGTTGAGCTGGGAGGTGGTATCGTTATGGACTCTGACCGCTTCGGAGGCGAAGCCTACTTGCTGGCCGGTTCGATTAGGCGGCATGGTCTTGGAGATTGTGAGCTCAGCACAACCTGCTCTCATAATCCTCGTGTGACACTAGTTATCCTGCGATAACCCGATAGACTTGGCCTGTGAATAGAGTGTGTATAATGTCTACTGAGGCAACCCATGGCATCATCACAGCCTTGCAAGGCTGGCAATTGGTGCTGCCAGAACATGCATCGTTTCAGCCTCGATACAAGACAACGGCTCTTCGTGGCGGGTGTTTGAGGAACCCCAGAACTCGTGGTAGCGGCAGGTACCACAGTAAGCATGCAGTGACACTTGCAGACTGCATGACGGCGTGGCGGTGCTTTGTAGGGTAAATAATCCAACGCGGACGGTAAATATTTCCTTGGGAACAAGCACAATTCGTCTTCGCGAAGCCTACTGGCAGACAATGACGGCGGTTTGGCGTACCGGAAACCCAGTTCCTCGTCTAACGTTGCCGTTTTGCTGAATACACATCACCGCGCCAATTGGGCGTGTCCGCTATCCTGGTTGACCATCGACCCGCGAGAACGGTAGACTCATGTCAGGGCAGGGGAGTGGGTCGCTGGCTTATTAGCGCAGCCCAGCAATAATTACATAGAACTATCGCAACTATCGCGACCATCCCAGCTGACCACCCATGAAAATGCCATGACTTATTCTACGGGTGCTTGCCGATACTCGTGGCTATCGTAAGAGGACCGCCTGCAAGATCTATGTCGAGCTGATAGCGGTGGGGACTTTTCTCCTCAGAGCCTATCTCCAGTGCAGGATGGATGAGGTACGACAAAAATATCCTTTTTCAGCTCACACAAATGTCGGTCTAACCAGCCAGCCATGTTCTCCCATTGGTCGCTTTCCGCATTCTGCTGTCACACTCCACATATACACTCAGCATCTCTTGTTCTATGCACCAGAAGACCACACCACTTTTGGACAGGACTGTTTGTGGCGTCCCCGAGCTAATCATATGCTTTCCCCATTTTGGCTTAAAGGTTGCCGTTCCAAGGGTGAACTGCTTCATGACATCCAATGCTGCATATGTGGTAGTTCCACATGTGGGCAACGGTTCTGTTGTTGCTAACCAAGATTACCCATCTAAAAAAAATTAAAATTAAAAAATTAAAAAAAAATTAAAAAGTGCTTAACCTCAAGATGCTATGGCGGGATCGCTTAGTCTACGCCTTGCCTGTGGCCCGCAGCTTTGACAAGACAGATTGGATGAATACCGGGGAGGGGGGCTTGTTGTGCGCGACTACTCCATACTCCAATGACCCCATCGTACAGCTCCTCTAGGATAACCCAAGTCTGAGCTCACACGCAGTCAGAGATCGCAGCAATATCTCCGATTCGACAGAAATTGGTCTTTTCGGCACGTATATGTCGATGGTAGCTGATGATGATGTAGGCTCGTCCAAACTACTGCATAGGGCCGCCGCGCCAAGCACACGAGCTACTACCTTCGCGTGTCAATGAGCAATACTTTCTTGATTAGCTCAACATCACGAACTTCATGTATATTCCTCGTTCATGATGTTGATGTTGTAGTTCAGGAGTTAGTTCATACAAAAGCCAACCAGATTCGCCTCCCATCATGGCGTCTCTACAATCATCCCGACCATTACATTCTGAGAAAGGCGCTTTTCTAGTCCAGCCGCCTTGTCGCTCCTTGCCTTTTTCGCTCTCCAGAGCCTCGATAATTCATTCGCTGATCAGATTCAATCGGTCCTCTTCGATAGTTGGGCCCTGATCCGATCACATAATAACCTACTACCGAGACTGTTAGGCTAGTCCAACGTTTCGGGACCACGAGTCAGTGACGCAAAATTAAATATTCTAATAGCCCATCGCCCGCTACTTAGACTAATACCTGCCAAACCATGGACGGATGTAAGTCAAAAGAGAAACCTGCAAGTGATCTGTAATCTGGGCCACCGGATTGGGGAAATATGGACGACTCTTCTCCCATATCTACTCGTTCACCAACACCAACACCAACACCAATACCACGAAGCCTTACCCTAACGACCGCTATAGTGAACGATTATCGCACGGCACGGGTTGCAGAGATATTATCAGATTTTCGTACATTGCAATACTACATCGCAGCAGCGCCATCTGAACCGCCAAACACCGAAGACTATTACACAGAAGGGTGGGCAGCATTGCGGCAATGTGCGCTAGATGGACAACATATACTGAACTGCGCGGCCGACACATCGGTCCCAGAGACCTCTGGTGGCGAAGATGAGCAAATTAAGGCCGAGTTGAAGCAGTATGTAATGCCCATACTGTAGTGCTCACGCAGGAGTTGATGGCTGACGGCCGAAATCATTAGAGTAACACTAGACGCATTTACGCGCCGACACGAGGGACAGAAGATTTATCTGCGGCAGGCGGCAGCACAGAGATGGCTACAATATCGAGAGCAGGTCCTCCAGGGCGGACGGCCCAGTTCGTCGAACCGAAGACAGTTGCGAGCTTGTGATGAGCAACTGCGTAATGTAAGTCAAAAGTTCTCTCTCTTATCAAGCCCACGGCATGAAACACCTCTCGATGGCTCCTTGAATTTCTTCCTCGTCTAATATGCCTTACAAAGGAATTAACACAAATCACCGACGAGGCGATATACCAAGAATTGCGAAACTCGGACGCGACTATGGGCCGCTGGACGGTAGAAGACCCGAGTCTACGAGCAGTGCAGCGCTGGGTTCGCTCGCGCCCGCCAACCGTTTAATAACAGTCAACGGGACTAGTAAAATTCCCCACGGACAGTTCATTGCATTATATCCTCGATAGGACGGAGGATCGGAATTTGCGGCGATTTTTTTACTTTCTATTTCTATTTCTTTCTTTCTTTCTTTCTTGGAGTGGACGACTCAAGAGCCTACAGGGAACGCGAGAGCCAGACTTGTGTTCAGGATACCCCGTGATGTTCTCTTTTTCATTTTCGTTCAGTACGTACATGAGCGGCATTCTCAACAGGAAAAGCGCATTCGATTACTCGGTCGGTTTTGCATGGTGGTTTATCGAAAAGAGGAGTTCTGGGTTTAAGGGAAAATAAGAGGGAAATATACTCGTAAGAGGATCTGTAAACCACTGCCTGGCGCATGGTTGCAAAGTATTGCGAATTGTACTAGTCTATTTGTGTACACTAATACACTGGCATTTTGACACTTTACACAAGGCAGACAAAGTTGGATTCCCAACACTATTTCCGTAACATCATCACCACTTACGTTTTGTTTCACTCGATGCTTGCATGTTCTAGTGGCTTTGAACAGTCCTGTCTTCCTCATCCCAACTCACTGTGGGCCACAATCCGTCGGATATTTTGCTCCTTGGACTGTGGACTTTCCGACTAGGCATACGCCAGGATGCCTAGCCTTATACCCGTTGGGTACGAGTGGGCTTTTCTATGAAGCACTGGGTACGGACCTACTAACTGTATCTCGTAACACAGTGTAGAAGAACCTCGGCACTACTGCAAACGAAGCCCACGCCGTTGGAGAATCAGAAACGAGTCCGGAGAAAACGGAGCAGATGACAACGGCGTTTGGCTCCACGGACTATCAATAGTTGTGACAGTTCTGGGACCATTCTAGCCGTGCAATTGGCCCAACCCTCCAAAACGATACTATCATGGTTTGCATGTGCCGCGGAGCCATGAGCTAAGCACGGAGTGGCTCCGGGGCTAGTCACCCGTTGAGTTTAGTCGGTTAGAATTTTGGCGCGCCGGCCCGGATCTGGATTTCTGGAAGGACTCTAGTCGGTGGTCTAACTACGAGATCCCAATCAGCTGGGCTCCATCGAGCCCCATTCGTTATCATGATATACATTAAGCTCGAGTAAGATCTGAAGAAGATGCCTCAGCCTTCTTCATCGAACGACGCTAGAAGCGGTCAACGGAACAAAGCCGATCTTTTGATCTTCACATCGAGAGTCCACTTGAACGGTTGAAAAGCGGGTTGTACATGTCGATCCAGCACGAGATGCTATTCCGAGAACCGAGAGGAGATGTTGTGTTATTGCACTGCTCAATGACTCCTTTTCATTTCCTGTGGGTTTTTTCAATCTAAATTATTTTTCACAGGCTTGCGCAACATAGCAAAGGTGGAGAATGCAGATATTATCGGCCAGCTACCACTCATGAAGTCTGGTCTACACTGGCAGATTTTGTCCGGTAATAAGCTACTGCGTTTAGCTCCTAAAATCGAGCTCTTGGGAAGTTACAGATCCGTATCTGGCAGGCAATGAAGGGGAGAGTTGGCGTAGTGCCTGAGAAGATGAGATAATTGACAACAATCTACTGCATTGGGAGGTTTTGCTATATTATGCCAATTCAATGAAAGGAGGAGCTGGCTTGTTTAGTTAAGCATCCCACGCCATGCTATCTGTGCCATATCTTGTTAGTACTCACCGGATTGTTTGATACCAAAGTGCTTGCGTAGCGAAACCACCTCTGATATTCTCTTACACAACGAACGAGTGCTCTGAACTGCCGTCCAGCGCTTGTCTGGTTCAGTTTAGCATGACACCACTCACTGCCTTAGTAGTACTAAGTGCTAAGTAGCCACCTGCGAGGCTTGGCTTTGTGGTTGGTTGCGTGCAGATCGCGTGACCAATGCACATTGCGGAGTTTGTTTCGTGGGCCAGGGGGGAATGCGAAGTATAAGAGACATGAAGTGACATGAAGATATAAAAACGCCTGGATCCAGCCATCCTTCCTAGCAGAGAGCAATAAACGGTGCTCAAGAGGCGTGTCGCCTGACACACAGATCATCCGATAACGAGACAAACATAGGTAGTATCATAAGATTCATGGCGCAAACATGGAGCTCTATCGATCTGATTAGCAGTTGTCAAGTTCTTGCGACAAAACTGGATTATCATGGAATGGGAAGATGCTCGTTGAAGCTGAAGTGGAAGTTAAAGCTGTGATCGTCGTGGGGCTTTCCGGAGGTGTTCGGCCCTGAAGTCAGACAAAAGTTTGAAGTCAGCCCCACTTGCGGGTATCATTGAATCACGGATCTGCAAAATTTCATACAGCATCTTTCATTCCGTATCCTGCTATACAAAGAAGAAATACGGAAATCAACCGTGTCGCATTGTCTCTATTTCTTGGGCATTTGATCAATCACTTCATACCGAAGAAAAAAAAACCCTCCCGTAAGTTTTGGTAAACCTGTGCATTGCTCGTCATCTTCTCTGCATCCGGTCATTCAAGCACCATGATGCGTTTGTTTCGCTTGGATAGCGAAGAAGTGTTGTTCTCCTAAGTCAATATCATCTCTGAGCCTCCTCTTACGTATGGTGGATGCAGATTTTGGCTTGGACTGCACCTTTACTCCCCGTGTCAGCAGCCCTTACTCTAAAGGAATCCTTCAGCTCCTACAAATGGCAACCTGCAAGGTCTGCGATGAGCCGCTCCTCCTCGAGATCGAAGACGAGGAAGGAGGTGGCGAAGTTCAGTCGGTCCCTGATGATCTCGAGCTCTCTTGTGGCTGCCACTTCCATTGGCAGTGCCTCCTTGACCAGGCATCTGAAGTTGGCGTGTCGTTGAAGTGCCCTTCTTGTCAGGCGCAGATTGCCACAAATCCTGCAGGGCCGTCAGTCACAAATCCCTATTTCTTCGCTGCCTCTGGAGCTCGCATTCCGACAAGATATCACAATGAAGGTGGGTTGCAAGAGGATCTTGATATTCTTCCTGAGATCACAGAGGAAGCCTACTTGGCGGGTAACCCCGAAGCAAGACCGGCACGCGCATATCATGTCATGTGCAGCGAAGGCGATGTCAATGGGATTGTAGAGCTCCTACGAGACTTGAGTCAAGATGCCGGTGACGAGCCGTCCATGAACACAACCCAGCTTCTACGCTACCAGGATCCTCTCAACGGTTCCAAGAGTGGTCTGCATCTAGCCGTCGAGAGGGCGCAAGATGAAGTCGTGTGGTTGTTGCTGTGGTTAGCATCGCCGTTATCGACTGAATTCTTCCCTGCTGCTGCGGTACAGCAAGCGCAAATCATGGATATCCAACGACCTACAACAACTCGTGATCAGGACATCCGCTTGCTTCAGGATCACAGCGGCCAGACAGCTGAGTCAGTTGCTGCCAGCATGGACGGGATTTGGACAATCACCTTGCAGGCTAAAGTTCTTAATCCGGGCACATGAGACTTTTTCTGTTCCTGCCGCGATGTTGAGCTGATCCGGACTTAATGTGAGGGTGTGCAGGCGAAGTCAATATATTGGAAGATTTTGTCATGTGAACAATCTTTACCCCGGTCTAGTAGCAAGAATGACTTGCATTCACTAGCAATCCTCCCGAACGAGCTTCAATAGACTTATTCAGATCTGTATCGATCCGGAACTTTCCGGTCAGAACGGCCATTCTTACACGCTACTGTAGAGGGCGAAACCGTGGCACCTTTTTTCTTTTCCTTTGTAGGAGCGAGGGCTTTTCCTAGCACAATTGACTTCTGATACCTTTCTTGGTTTATTATTGGCCCATCTGTATCTCGTGAGATTCGGATATGCGGTACTGTGATAGCAGGTGACTGTGATCCTCATTCGCATCTCGCATGGAGTATGGCCCGAAATCCTCTTCCATGAGACGTCATCAACTCGGCACATGTCACTGTACCCCTGGTTATTTTCCCCTGGCGACTTGTGCATTATCAGCTCGCAGTGAGCCTATCATGACAGTCCGGACTTCTAGAAACAAAATCCTCCCGCCTTGTGCACCCCTTCGTCACAGGTGAATTGTTTCCGTCTCATCGGGGCATGGTCCGATCCCAAACTGCAAGCACGTCCTTGTTACAAAGGCAAAAGCGAGATTAACTATATCTGCAACGATGAGATGATGGGGGGAGGGGGGCTTTGCCGTTCCCCTCGCCTCGGGTCCATGCGCAAGGGTGAATCCTACAAGGCCACCCTTGTCCTGCATGCTTGCGCTTTGATCCTCTGCGGTCGAGGGGTTCGTCTTTGCAACCCCCTGTGAGTGGGTGTGCAGCTCAAGCTTCTTTCACATAGCCCCAGCACGCAGGAGGGATATGGTTGGTGTGGGGTAAAGAGTATATCCCCTCATACAAAATAGCTACTCCAATAAATGAAAAGGCAAGAAGAAGAAAAACACTCCTTCCAAGAGAATGGGGATACTCCCGATGCAACCATTGCCGTGCGCTGCATCTGCCTTTGCGTATGTGACGACGGAACACTGGATATGCAGATTGACTGATTGCACCCAAGCTTCCTGTCGGACAACGACAGATACTTGTGACATGTGCCGCCCAGCTGTCATAGCACGCACCCGCCATGTTAGATGTGTGCCTTGTTGGACCACTCGGTTCACGACGGCTAAAGCGCGCGGAGAGTGCCTTTCCAGCTTCAGGTGCAGAGGACAATCTGTGTTTTCAGTGTGTGTATTGGCTCGAAATATAGTAATTACTCCCCACGCACATTTTCCAGAGGGGCTTCTGCAACGTGTGCCGCTGCAAGCAAGCGTCTGCATACTCTGCGAACGGAAGAAGCATTGCAGTATCAGGTTGTGCTTCAGCTCGTGTAACAACAGCAAAACAGTAGGTAGTTGCCGCCGAGCATCTCGGTGTCGGGTCTGATACCTCTAAATGGCTGCGGTGGTGGTGGTAGTGTAATTGTTCTATCAGCAAGATACGAAAGACCGCTCAGGTATCTTACGATGCATAAGTCCGGGGTGACTGCATGTAGCAGGACCACTGCTACGGCACATAGCTGCATGAAATTTCTTTTCCAATTGTGGTATGGCTACCATCCGTGGGAGTATGGAATTGTGCTGGCTTTCGGCCGAGAACATATTTGTGTTTGTGATATGTTTGTAGTCAAGCCATATTTGTGAGCAGGATTTGTCAGAGGACCAATTGATGCATGTAATTGTAAAAACTGGGTTTATCTTAATCTACGGACCTCACATAAGCTTATCTATAAAAATAAGTAAAAAGGAAGTCTTGTGATCAAAAGAGGTGCGATCCTTCTACCTGCCGTCTTGGCATGTTCTGGATCTAGATAAGTCCTCTTGCCAAGTGTGAGTGGGCGTGTTCAAGGATCTGTACGCTTGATAGAGCCTACTCACGAGAGACTTTGGAGGTCAGGCGCTAGGCAGTTTCGATATTCAGCTTCAGTGGTGTTTCGCTTTGACCTCCAGTTGTTTGATTTGCCTAACCGTACATCGTCCTGTAGAATGGGCTCGTTGTAGTGGAGTGGTGATAGCGAGTGGTCTTTCAACGTTCACGAGTGGCGGAGTATGTCAGGTAGAATAAACAATCTTTAGTCTATTACAGAGGATTGTGATATCTAAGGAAGCGAGCTGTTGGTTGACCATTGGCCAAAAAGAGCCTTTCTGGGCTTTCTGGGTGTCCTCGGGATTCCAATATTCAATCTGCTTGATACAATGACAACGCCACCTCCCACCTATGTAAAAAAAAATACAAGAAATAAAGATTTGTTCTGATCCTCTCAATGGTTTGATAGCTAAGCTATACCAGTCGCACTAGGGTATATGAGTCACACTGGGGTATCTTTTGCTCGGCCGTTATTCGTAGACGCACAAGAGAAAAAGAGAAAGGAAAAATACAAATAAAAGGAGAAAAGAAGATATTTTATTCCTAAAGAATATATCCAGAAATCCTTGAATGATTGCCAAATAGGCTTGGTGATGTACAATAAGAAAACGCGTTTGAGTCGTCCGCATGACGACAGAATAAATGAAATTGAAGTGCTGTTGTGAATGAAATTTGAGCTGAGGAGCCCATTTCAAACGAAGGATCGTGAGTGGCCGGCCGTAAATCATGGAAAGTCGATGACTTCGTGGAAGGAACGTAATGGTCGGAAAGGTCATAAAGATAAAATGCTGTTGCAGAAAAAAATAATGCGAAGGAGATTTAAGGGGCTCGTATAGCATTGGGTTGAAAAACAGCAGAAGTCAACAAGATGCCTTCGCCACTTGAACTGTCTTTTATCGGAGGAGTCGGGGCTGGAGGAGACAGGGGCGATGTTTTGTCCGTCTTTAGACATGTAGTGCCATTCAAAATCTCACGGCTTTGTGCACGGTGTAGATCCTTATGCTCGTCTTCCTGAACCTCGGTCATCGAAGGCTCAGGGCTTTGTCGCCCCACTCCACTGAGCTTAGTGAATTCCGTCTCAACGTCAGCGAGCAGTGCGTAGACATCGCTATCGGCATAGATACGGATACTCTCCATTCGAGCAAGTGTTGCTTGCTCGGAAGCCTTGTCATCTAGACCCAGGCCAATGGCTGCCTCCTCTGCAGGCGCTTCAGGAATGACAGATGGCACACGAGCTACAACTCTTTGGGGAGACGGTGATGGGGAGTGGGCATATATCTGGGTTTCTGCTTTTGTAGGGCTTCGTGGCGGCGTCGTTGCTTCCACTGAGCCAGCGGATGCCAGAACACCCAAGACTTGATGAAATGACTCGCTGGCGCCATTGACATCGGATGAAGGGATGGTCAATGTTGCGGCGGCAGCGACATGCTCAAGAAGCTTTTGCCTGACGCGGGTTCGACGATTCTCTGCCTGCTCAAGCTTGGCAACCCAGTCATCAATAGAGGCATCCAACTCCGCTAGAGCTTCTTCTTGCTTTAGAATGGACTCGTAGCTAAACTTGGCTACGCGAGGTGAACGAAGATATTGACAGATGCGGGAATGAAGGTTGCGACGTCCTGCTCTCAGAGAAGTGTACGTTCGACGTAAATATTCTGTTCGTTCGTCAAGATGACGAAGCTCCTTGGAAAGACCCTCGACCTGCTCCTTTTTCAAAACTTCGAACCTCATCGCTTGGCCAAGAGCTTGCTTCTGTAAATAAGAAACCTCTTCTTTGTCCATCATCTTTGTTGCCTCATAGGGTTTCCATCCTTGTGGTAAGGTCTCAAATGCTCGACGCTCGGTGCTCTTACTCCTCTTGGACGGGGTCCGACGAATAGGAATACCGACAGCTGTTCCATCACACCTCTTGCGAGGGCGTCCGCGCTCCATAATGCTCCCAGTATCAGACTGGTTTCTTCTATGAGACATCACTGCATGTGCTCGTAAGGGATGGTCGGCATCTGTTCTATGAGACATGGCTGTGGCACTTCTCGGTACGTCAGCCTCTGCTCTCGGTGTAGTGATAGGATCCAAGTTGCCCGGCGGGGGCGTTCCCGTTGGTGTGGTGTTGCTTGGCCTTTCCCACGGCCTTGGAGACTCCCGATTCTCCAGAGGGCCAGATATGGGCGTGGGTAAGGTCGACGCCGTCACCGCAGATTTGGGCGTAGTAATATATGCGGAAGCAGGCGTATATGGCGTGAAAGGGGTAAATGGAGTACGGATCCTTGGAGACTCGTCGATCTTCGAGGGTCGAGTGTTCGAGTCGAGCGGGATAGTGCCAGAGCGGAGCTTGGTATGAGATGTCTGATGAGCTAGACGTGGCAGAGCACCGTTTTGTTGTGGTATGACAAGGGGAGCTAGGCTTCTTGGAGACATTGGTTGTGTAGGTACACCAGTTGGTTTTTGAGGGTCTATGAAGTTCAATCTCTTTGTCTCGACGTTTTCTCTAGTGCTCTCCCGAGAGCAAAACAGGGACTCGGATGGTCTATGGCGACGCCAAGTATTGACAGGCGAGCTGATAGATCGTTCGTGTAATGCTGGACGACCTGGAATGGTTGCTGGTTATATTAGTTTAATTTGACCAGCCCAGTTCACATCTAGGTTTTAAACTCACGAGAGTCCATGGGAACCTCCTGTACTGTAGTCATGGGGCCTAACTCGGGCACACTGACTTTTCTACGGCGTGTGAGATTGTGTTCCTTGATCCTGAGCCGTAGACTTGACTTCTCCGTCTTCTCCGATTTGTCGGTAGACTGAGCCATTGCTGCTGCGAAAGCTTGCTCGGGATCAAGTTGTTTGCCAGCGGTCACCGGAGGCAGCTGCTTCTCCCTGGGGAACAGCTGATATTTTCTTGACTCTGAGTGCTGCATCCTCCAATGATACGGCTTCCTCTCTTCAGGTGAGCTTTTAGATGATGTAATGGATGTCAACTACACCATATGTCGAGATTAGCGATGGGTTTGAATATATATGAGCAACTATATTCGTAAGTACTTACAGAATCAGTAGAGGTCTGCTGCTTTGCTATATAGCCTTCAAGAGCTCCATCGGCATCAAGCATGCAACTGACTATATGGGCCATTGGGCCTGGGATCCCGAGATTAAACAGAGGGGGATGGGTCCAAGTCAATGCCAATGAAACTATCGACAGGGAGATAGGTGAAGGGACTTAAACCGCGAGGATAGATCGGATGGTATAACAAGCGAGGATACTTCTTGGTATATGCATGCACTAGTAGAGCCGGACGTCTCAAGCTGGAATGACGAAGGCGAGATTCCACTTGACCCTGCTGATATGATAGGAACATGCAAACACTTTAAGAGAAGCTCTCAAACGATCATAGTGATAGTCATATAGGGTAGCCGGGAAGAAGAATCAAGCAAAAAGTAACAGACGGGATGCCTGGGCTTATTGGGGTCAAGTATACCGTCTGTGGTTTGGTATCCTTAGCCCATGGAGAAGGAAGAAGGTTCCCTGGTACCTGCGAGGACGTTGAAAATCTACTCGGGGGTGGCGTCTTGATACATAGGAGACATGAAGCCGCATGTTTCCACAAACTGGTGCGAAGTAGCACCGTCTTTGGCACGAGGGTGGGATAGTAACGAAAATACACCAGTCCGTGGCTGGCGCAGGTGTAAGCGGTGGTATCAAGAGAAAAAGCAGCCAGGGTCGGAGGAACCTTACGAAAACAGGTATAGAGTGACATGGGGAGGTCCTGCGGCTGCATGGGAACAGGGATACTGAAACCGCTTGAGCCTGCACAGGGTTGTCACCTCAAAATCTGACCCCACCAGACCACACTACCACGCTATACCCCAGGCGAGCCCACCTAGCCAGGGGGACATGAGACAAGGATCCAGTTCCATGCTAGACTAATCCACAATGGAAGCACGATGATGTTGGGCTGTGCCATTACACAGTACTTTGGTGAGGGCGAAACCTCTGAGACGTGACCGAGTGATCAAGTTTCCAGACTCAAGAGGGCTGTTGCGGCCTCCGGAAGAGGCTTGATCTTGGTGGGTTTTCAGTTATACCCCCGTACGCAGTTTGCAATAGCTCGGATCGGGTTTGTTTCGCCATCCGTCAGTGGAATTGGGCATGAAACTTGATGGCCTTGCGCGAACGACTCAGATAACAGATGATAATGAAGATCGAAATCGATGAGACGATTAGAAGGCCGTTGAGACCGAGCACTGTAATTTGCGCATCACGCTTGAGCCATAGCTACCTACCGCGGACCCCTTATAGACAGGCAGATGAAAGAGAAAGGAAAGACGAAGAAAAAGTACGACATGCACTTGGGCCGCATGGCTGAGGTTGGCCAGGTGCACATGAGGCTCAAGTGCGTGACCTTGATAGCTAGACTTTCCTTATTCAGTGGGGTTCAATCGTGCTACCGCATATTACTTATGTGCGTTGATGATCTCGAGAAGATCTTCAAAGCAAGAGCCTCCTGATCGAGTCAGTGAAGAAGCTTTTTTCACATCGGGTTGGTTAGTTTGATTCCCGGTGCCAGCGAAATCTTGGTGATGCTTGTGGAAAGCACAGGCTGCGACCTATGCGCTCGGACAGCTAGAGTGATGAGCTCTAGTCTCATGCAGGTACTCTAGCCTACCGGTGGAAGTCCTTACGCGCGAGGCTAGGACAAATAGTCGAGGTCACCAAGGCATTTCCAAAAGTTTATCACTTGAGTTGAGCCGCCGTTGTCAGGTCATAATTAAACAAAATTTATTCGAGATCTTCCATTATCCCAGCAAGCTTCAATCGGGAATATAGATATCGTTATCATGTATGTATAAGGTTCAACTGACAGCTTTCAGTCAGGTGGGATCTAGTCACGCCATTATAGAGGGAATCGGCAACTCTATCGTAGCAGAACTGGTACATAGAGCGCAATGATCGGCATATGCAAAATCGCTTCCAAGACTTAAAGCTCCTACTGCCAACTGTGTCGATCATTTTCTTGCCCAACACTCATGACGCTATACATAGCCTGATGCCTGCAGTCGGCGCAAATGTTTCGGGAGCAGAACTCGATGCGGCTAAGTTCAAATTCTCAGCTCACGATAGTCAAGCCAAATGAAGGGACTCGTACAACGTGATTTCTATTTTGCTTCACGAGACTGACCCCTGGCTGGATTTCTGGAAGGAGAACAGCAAGACTGATCGCTTCCCAGCAGCCGTCATGGGGCCTAGTTAGTGAAGTCAATAAGCGAGCGTCCAGAATGATGTCTGTGCACAGAGGTTTTCTCTTTCAGTATGGCCTGGTGAGGACGACATAGCGCTAGCAGCATAAGTTATGTATCATTCTGTGTTGTCGCATGAACGATATGACCATGGTTGTAGTTTTTCGACGCCTCAAAGATGTCATCCATCCATCATACTGCTAGACAAAATGAAGCCATTGTGGCAATCGCGATTACAATTAGCCATAGGCAGTGAATGCCACATGTACTTAATGGATGACCAGTTTGGTCTCGTCCCGTCCCTAGTGTAAGGCATTGATTATTTCTTCGGCTGATAATGTCATACCTGCTTGAGACGTACTTTCGTAGAGAGGATTATATCTTCTTGTGACACCACACGTATGCTCCTTTACGGTGGCCACGACTCATTGTGGTCTTCTGTCAAAAATGAAGCCCCAAATGCTCCTGCAAGGCAGATTCGTCGTGACCGGGAGGCAAGTCAACGCTGGGAAAACCATCACCTGATTGTGGTGTCTCACCGTCTGGTTGAGAGTTGACGATCCTAATGCCGCGCATGGCCCTAGTTTCAAGGCATCTGCCCAGTTGCAGGCTATGCGATGATGGTTCACAGACACCATGGTTATTTGGTGATCCCTGATAAGAGTGTGATTTATGTGACTTGTTGCTGGAGGCCGGCTGTTACATAGTACTGGCTATGTTTCGGGGCACTGAACTTGGTGTTGATTTACCCCTCCACAGCACTATAATAGCAACACAGAAGGTAAATTTCCGAAGAGGTCAGAGCTCTTAGGCTAATCATTAGGATAGCTTCAATGCGCTCGTGTTAATTTGCGACAAAACGGACGGGCTATCAGACTTGACACATACTCGTCCTTCAAATTGCTGACGAGTCAAACATAGCTCTTTGATGATTACAACATGAAAGAATGCCAAGTAGATACTTGCCGTGTGCCGAGAGGCCACTATATTCGCTTTCCAGCTAACGATAGCGCGTGTATACCCGCATCTTTCAAATGCTTACCAGTTGACAAAGGTTAGGAACAATTGCGCTTGTCCTGGATGCCTTGGTACTCGATTTGCTTCTTTAAGATCCATTGACTACAGTAAGACCAGCGTCATACCCTGTGACGCATCTCTGTTGCGACATACCTCCAGTCCACCTTCAAGATGGCAAAGGTACGTCGTAGAAGCCAGGATTTTGTGGTCTTGAGGCTTATCTGAAAGGCCTGGGCCTCAATTTGCAAATCTTCAGTAATGGGAAATATTGGGTCTATCGCATCATAATAGAAGGTACCATGCCACAGGCTACCATCACGCTCCGCAGATGTGAGAATGTTTGGCGGCTATCAAACCGGTCACACCGCTACCCATCAACAACACCTCCAAAATTGTCCAATGACAGTTCTGGTCACCGGTCCTTTCGCATAGTCTGATCAATGGACCACGTTGTAGAGTATGGAGATAAGTCATACTCGAGCCACTTTTTTCCACAGTAGCTGAGACAAGATTCCTTGCCCAAACACGCGATATCTACTCCTCTGCATTAGGTCAAAAGCACTTCGCCATAACAACCCACTGGTAGGGCATGCAGATATGTTCAAAGATTCCGGCAGTTGACTGTCACGAGACTGGAAGCTGTCCCTCAATTGTGGATTTGAGCAACAATGATTATTTCAAGCTTATGCGGGGTCAGTCAAAGTGCTCCAATGCTGCTGCTACGCACCTGCATTGCCCTTGCAACTAGAAATCTGCATTGACCGTCAGCGCGTCTGACTGCACAAAGAACGTGACTTGATTAAGATTGTTGAGTATATCGAATATTTTGATTGAGATATGAGTCCACTTACGCGCAATGCCACCAGATACGTTGTGACTTTTTGGGCACAACACGCCTACATGTATCGGCTTTTTTCTTTTTTGAATATGATCATTGGTAGACTCAAAACGAGCCAACCTGTCCCCACTATTCTGGGACAAGCGTTAGAGCTAGGATAGATCTTGCTAATGCCGCGATCTCTGGGGTCCCTGAAAATTTCCAATTATCAAGCCGCACTATAGGCGAGGTAGTCATGTTGTGAATCAAGGGTCTCAAAAGGGAGAAAACAATGCCTACCATGGTAGCCTATCGGGCAGTGAGCCGTGATCCCAGCAGCACTAGCTCAACGTTACCAAACTGCTTGCAATTTAAACCAGAAGCTCGACCTTGTTTGTTTCTCGTCATGATGCCAGGCGTCCCACCGGAATGGCACCCTACGAAGTTTGATGGCCCCCTGGCCAACTCCATTCTCTCCGGCCACTTTAGCCGGGGTGTGTAAATGACGAGGAGGGACTGGCACTCTATGACAAATGTGAAAGAAAAAGCCTCACTCATTGCAAGACAACACTACTCACCCCAAGTCAGAGATAGGCATAAAGAGGTTCTAGAATATGTCTGATTGCGAACCACGGCAACTTCGAGTTGGTTTTGTTGCAGGCTCACCGCTGTGGGTGTGCGAGATCTGAACTCGGAGGATTTTGTCGGTTAGTCCCGAGCGACAGTGCTGACTGAGACAAAGCGGCACAATATTCCGCATCATTACAACTTGGGGGGGTCCAAGAACTCCTGCTTGCATTCGCAGATTCTTGGTAGAATGTACAACAGTCATGCGCCGGATGCATTGCTATCTGTACTGATCGGTTACATCGCATTGGTGACCTCTCAAGAGATGTACGTTCCACAGATACTCGATGCCTCCTAGGTGTCCGGTGTCCGGTTCCGGCCGCATCCCAGTCTGGTCAATCCTGGCTGCCTGGTTCCCAATCTACGCGGTGTGCCATGAAAGTCAGTGACGTTCAGCACTGAAAACGTCAAAACGTGGGCCTAACATGTCTCATACAATCTATATCGAGGCATGTTAAAGACCTTTGTCCAAGACCACTGAACCTGTTCAAGCTTTTCCCTCATCAATCAACTCGAAACTTCTCACGAGGACCAGCCCCGGCTTTCAAGATCCATTGATTGAGTCTAAAACAACTAAGCTTAAGCTTGCCAAGCTTTTGGAACTAAAATCGTGGATGACAGTATCTTGACAGTTCGTAATGGCGAGTCCCACATCGTTCTAATTTCGGTGTTGATTCTCAAATGATATTTGGTGATTTCCAAACTCCCTGTAAGAAGAAACAGATCGGTCCGTATATCAGCACTGACGAAGACCATATAACCACAGAGTCTGGTTCCCGGAAAGCGGACGACTTTTGCAGCATGTGTCTAGTAATCCTGTCAAGATTGCATTGAGCGCTTTGATGATATGACAAGTACATGGGAAAAAAGTGGCCTTGTTATCAAAATGAAGATGGACTTCACCGTTGAAAGCCCCGCGCATATCACTTCGCAGTCTGCATTCACCCAAGTATGCAGGAATTTTCAATGCAGCCTGGGGCACTGCATTAGCAGCAATACTTTAGGTGATTATGCGGGGTATTATGCCTAAACCTTCTTAGCTTGAGTAATCCCCTTGACAAGGACTCAATGATCGTTACTATGTATTGAGCATCACGGGTCTTTTGTCATGTACCTTCTTCCTTTCGTAGCCTTTGAACTGCCCGGGGTTTCACAGCCATTATTGCATTGCGGCTTTAGTACCTAGATCCAGACATACAACGAAGCTATCTCGAAGTTGAATGTCAGCTATCACAAAATTTGTCTAGGAACCCCGACCATTAATCACCGCATTATGGCGGACTAACAAGGGCAAATACATACTATCGAGCCGGAGCATGCACTCGACGCATGCCTCATGCAAGACCGTTATCATTTGAGATGGAAATATATCTGAATATGACAAGAAGAACATATCGCTTCCCGAAGACGGTACATTGGTCCTCCAGAGCCACCATCTAACTGCAGTCGGTGTCAAATCACTGCTGTGCCTCAAGTAAGACGTGGGTTTGCGGTCACATTCGTGATTGCTTCATAAGACTAGACGTATTCACGTCACCAGGTGCCGTGCGTGATTATGTCGACCATACATGCAAAAAATTTAGAATTTGGCGGTAAGCGAGCTGTTTTCTCGTGATCATTTGTCAATAGTCACTGAAATGCTTTTGATGCATGATTGCAAATAGTTGCCAAGGTATCGCTCAAATTGTGACTGATTAAGCGTTTCTTCGCAGGGGTCCATATGGATGAAAGGAGATTTTTCGTCCGAACCTTGTCCTCCGTTCCTGCATGAGCTTGCGATGCCAGATTTTCGGGTTCTGTTAGTTGCTCCTGTTAGCTACTCATGTTGGCTTCTGCAGAGGCGAAGTGATGTCGAGAACACAAATAGTATATTTACTACACCAGACATCATTATGCATAAGTAGGAGATCTCGGGGCAAAAGATCGTTTGCCTAGACTCGATACAATAGTACCGCATGCACGGGTATCAGGCACACAAATGAGCAGGCAAGGTGAGCCGATGGTATGCTGAACTGTTTCAGCGGGGTTCGGAGATGTTCTCGAATTGACGAAGAAGGCATGGATCTATAGATAGCTGAAGGGATAAACCAGAGAACCGTTTCTTTCCCAGGGTTTGCAAACCCGAAACACCCGACCCCCTCATGGTCCGGGTTATGGCGACTTCGACAGTGTTAACACAAAGTGACCCCAAGATTGATGGCACGAACCAGGAGTTTTCACCTCCTTCTCTGGGGCAATTCTGGCCGATTGGTGATACATTGGCCGGTTGTTCATACACCATGCAAGTATGGCGTAGATGAGTCGCATAAGCATTGGTGTTTGGTGGCCTTCATGATGCGTGATGGTGTCTTTCCTTTCCCCACGACATGGGTAGAAACGCCTCAAAAGTTGTTTGGTGCCCTTTTGCTGTGGCTTAACATTTCGCGGCCAGCCACGGAACTCTTAGGGCGGGGCGACAGATAGCGCAGGTCTCCAAACCAGCAATTGGGTAAGAGGTCCCATTGAACGGGGCGTCTTTGCTCGAATCTGGAAGGCGAACAATTGCACTGCAGCGTCGTCAGACTGCCTGGTATTGCCATTAGCAAATGAGGGGCCAAACCATTTTCAAGAGGGGCAGTGTTGCTTTTAGAAGTCTTCACATCACGATTCGAAGCCCTTCCTTCCAGTCGGTAGCAGCAAGTCAACAGCAGCAGAGGCGTCGTTTCAGCTCCGGCACCACCACAAAGATGGCTCCGCGCGATCCCAACACGCTATCCAATTACAACGAGTGGTTGACCAAGCACACTACGGTCAACTTTCGCGTGAACTTTGAGAAGCAACGTCTCGAAGGCTCGGTCCAGCTTGACCTCGAGTCTCTTACTGATAGAGAGAGCAAAGAGATTGTTCTAGACACTAACCATCTCCACGTCTCTTCCGTGAAGCTCAACTCCTCTGATTTGGAATGGAAACTAAAGGAGACGGTGGAGCCCTACGGCTCTCCTCTTTACGTCTCACTGCCTAATGGTGCTTCTAAGGGCGAGCTTGTCAAGCTGGAAATTGCCGTTCAGACCACCGCAGAGTGCACCGGTCTGCAGTGGTTTTCCCCAGCTCAGACGGGAAACAAGAAGCACCCCTACGTGTATTCTCAATGCCAGGCTATTCTGGCTCGGTCTGTCCTCCCTTGCCAGGATACACCTGATGTGAAGTCTACCTTTACATTCAACATCACCTCTCCTCTTCCCGTGGTCGCAAGTGGAGTTCCTGTACCATCAGATGCTTCAGTTGAGGCTGAGAAGCTTTTCAAGTTCGAGCAGAAAGTTCCCATTCCTTCTTACCTCTTCGCATTGGCTTCGGGAGACCTAGAGACAGCCCGTATTGGCAAGAACTCGGTCGTCGCGACAGGCCCCGAGGCAATCAAAGAGGCACAATGGGAGCTTGAGGGTGACATGGACAAGTTCCTAGACATTGCACAGAAATTGATTTTTGATTACCAATGGGGCGAGTATAACGTTTTGGTTCTTCCACCAAGTTTTGCCTACGGAGGCATGGAGAACCCCATCTTCACATTTGCTACTCCTTCTATTATCAGTGGTGACCGACAAAACGTGGATGTTATTGCACATGAGTTGAGCCACAGTTGGAGTGGCAATCTCGTCACGAGCTGTAGCTGGGAGCACTTCTGGTTGAACGAAGGCTGGACAACTTACTTGGAGCGACGTATTGGCGCAGCTTTACATGGTGCTCCTCAATTCGACTTCTCGGCCATTATTGGTTGGAAGGCATTGGAGGACACCGTCAAACTGCTTGGAGCAGACCACGAATTCACTAAGCTGATCATCAGCCACAAGGGTGTTGACCCCGAAGACGCTTTCAGCACGGTCCCCTACGAAAAGGGATTCCACTTCCTGTGGTATCTGGACAAGTTGGTTGGACGTGAGCACTTTGACAAATTCATTCCGCACTACTTCCAGACATGGGCTCGTAAGAGTTTGGACTCGTTTGAGTTTAAACAAACCTTCTTGGACTTCTTCAACTCTTACGGAAGCGTCGAAATCAAGGAAAAGATTGCCCAAATCCCTTGGGAGGAACGATTTTACACCCCTGGCTTGCCACCAAAGCCCGAGTTCGACACATCTTACGTTGACAGCTGCCTAGCTTTGGCAGAGAAATGGAAGCAGAACGTCAGTATTCGCTTTTGTATGAAATAATGAACCAGGTATTAACAGCATGTAGGATTTCAAGCCTGATCTTAAGGACATTGAAGGCTTCACGGCTAATCAGATTCTGGTTTTCTTGCAGGCTGTGCAAGGCTTCTCTCCCACCATTTCTGTAGAGAAGTCGCAGCTTATTGGTAGCACTTATCGGATCAGTTCTTCAAAGAACATCGAGCTGAAGTCGGCGTATTATGGGATCGCATTGGGCGCAGGTGACAAGTCAGAATTCCCCGGCATCGTTGAACTCCTAGGTAGCGTTGGTCGCATGAAGTTTGTACGGCCACTCTACAGAGGTCTTGCTGCTCTCGACAGAGACCTCGCCGTAGAGACGTTCAAGAAGAACAAGGACTTTTACGCATCGACGACCAAGGGTCAATTAGCCAAGGATTTGGGTTTGAAGTAGGAGGGATAATCTAATTTAAGGAAACGCATGCCCTCGAATTCTATAAGAGACCGCGTCTAGCTAAAGTAGGACTGTAAGTCTGTTGACACGACGATTCAGGTCTGTTGTCATTATGTGCAAACATTGCCCCATGCTCTTACTTTGTATACTCAAATCATGTAAATCGAACCGGTTTAAAATCATCCCTAAGTCTACGCACCAGCCAAGAAACTGGTACCAAAGCTTGTGAATTCGCATCAACTTGAACACTTCTCATTTGACTGTGATCTCTCACCTTGTCCCATATGACACTACGAACTTAGCTTCCTCCTTACTTCCCATCTCAAGGACCTATAACTTGAGTAAATATTTTTTGAAAGTATTCCTATCTTATATTAGTGGAGTCAAGTAAAAACCTACTGTAATCTCCGTTGCGTTTGTACACGTCAGTTGCTAGCTACTGCGACTTGTTCGATGTCAGGTGGGGTATAGCATGATCCATGCCACCTCCACTTGTCATCCAGAGCCCCCTCCTTTTGTCAAAACATTTGTGTCTCATATACACTCATCTCTCTATTTTTCAGCATGGCGCCTAGAATCATCTGTGTCGTGGGTGCAACGGGCAACCAAGGCGGTTCTGTCGGCCGTCGCTTTGCCCAGGATGATCGTTTCAAGGTGCGAGCCTTGACGCGTAACACTGCCTCGCCATCCGCGCAAAAGCTTGCAAGCGAATATCCTGGCATCGAACTAATCACTGCAGATCTCGAAGACGTGAAGAGCCTAGAGATTGCCTTCAAAGGAGCGAATGTCATTTTCAGCGTCACTGATTATTGGGAGCCTTTCTTCCGTCCAGACTGTAGACAGGAGGCTCATGAGATTGGGATATCGTGTCGCAAATATGCCTATGATGTGGAGTATAGGCACGGCAAGAACATCGCTGATGCTGCCGCGACCACCGTGCGTACACTCGACGAGAATGGGTTCCTGGTATCCACGTTGAGTCATGCACGCAAATGTAGCGGCGGCGAGTACAAACAGCTATATCATTTTGATGCGAAGGCGGATGTCTTCCCTGACTATGTGAAGGAGAGATATCCGGCTTTGGCCAGGAAGATGTCGTGCATTCAGACGGGATACTTTATGACCAGCTACAGGATCTTGCCTGATTCTTACCTCGCAAAGGTTTGTCTTCAGATAAAAGCATATCAGTATTGACTCATCTGGACTCACCATAAACACAGCAATCTGATGGGAGCTTCCAGACTCGCTTTCCTACCACTCCCGATAAGCCGACTTTTCATCTGGATGTCAACGCAGATACAGGGAACTTTGTCTATGCCGTGGCCCAGATGCCCGCTGGCAACCATTACATGGCTTGCGGCACGACCTGCACTTGGTCTGAGTACATGAGGTTATGGAGTAAAGTAACCGGTATGTCAGGCACTTACAAACAGGTCACTCCACAACAAATGATCGATGTAACACCGGACAAGCCCTGTGGTGAAGAGGTCGCTGACATGTGGTCGTATACATCTAACCCGGGCTATGATGGTGGCATGGAACTTTTGTTTGCCGATGACGTTAGAAAGGTGAGTCAACCAGACTGTTGGTAGCAGCAACATATGTGCCAGAACAGCATAACACTAATGTCTTCACCGTTCTAGGCTGGAATCGATTGCCCGATGACTACCTTGGAGGAGTGGATGGCAAACCATGATTGGAGTGCGGTCTTGAACAAGTGATTCTCAGTAAGGTTGATATACAATTCATAACTATTAACTTTCAACCCTTTTGAATCATGCCACATTTGTGAGACTTCACTTATATCAGACAGTTTCTTACTGCGGGTATCTCTAATATTCCACCGAGGGTATCATCTCTTCTCCACCACCTCAGTTATCCACACGTTCCTAAGCTTATACCTCGTCACCCACCATTTTATCAACTATCGCGTACTCGCTACCTGTTTTGCCACCTTCCACCTATCAGGACTATAGTCTGAGTATAATAAAATGCCGCATCTAGCGTTGAAAACTCTGTCGCCGGAAACGCTGCTATTCTAATAAATCTAAATAACGGCATGGTATGTCAACAAGGTCCGTTGGCAGAATTGGCATTGCGTCTGACTACGAAACTACTCGTTTGGGTTAATCAGTACGACATCAGGAGATTCTGGGTTCGATCCCCAGGCGGACCTGATTTAACTTTTTACTGTCCGTCGAGAGTCTATTCACGCACTTTTTGCCTACTCAATCAACCTGCAACTAGACTAACCCCAAATTTTGTTTTTCCGCTCCGGTACCCACCCAATCTTAGCTGGCATCATTAATTCGGCGGGCCAACCGATTTGGCGAATGTCTGCACACTCATCTTGTAATAATGCCCTGATTGATGTTCATATATTATGGGTACTTATACCGGTTGTTGCTATGTCCTGGTAATATTTGTAGTGATAGTGTTTGTTGGTGATCGACAACTTCAAGTATACATCCTTGCCTCAAGCCAGCGCCAATTAAATCACAAACAATCTTGGTAGAATAAGTAAGCTAAAGACTAAACTACTATATCTATAGAATAACTGGGGTTGCGCAGAAGCATTTTTATGTATTAATGATGATTGTCTATTGCTACAATGCCACATCTTGTGAAAACGTGTATGCCACTGCGGTTGCAACCGGAAACAGGACAAGGCAGCAAGCTGTGCTTGTAGTATCAGCACACTTGATTAATAGTATATATATATGTACTCGACGTTTTCAGTGTCATAAATCTTTTTATTTTCTCTCGTTTTTATTCTCGTACCTGGGTGAGTGACAATGGGATTAGTCTCCACGATTATTACTGCAAGTACTGCGCCAAGATTTGCATTTCTCAATTCGGTGAGCTAACATCCGTTAATAGATAACCATGTTTGACATTTTGATACCCTCACTGTGTTTCTTTTTGTACCTTCCAAGATGATCCCTTTGTATAAGCACGAACGACCACAGATCGTACTTGGTTAACACCCAATCTTGATCAACGCAAACAATATCCACGACCTCGAATTTTACTGGTCAACTCTACCTAATTATAACATAACTTCATATTCTAGTTATAAGCCTTGCAGATGCAAATGAGTATTCACGTCTTCAAACCCCGCTAGTCTACTCTACCTAGTCATAATACCACTCGCCCACCCACTCAGGCTATGCTCTGTCTCACAACGACCTCACGCTCAAGGTTCGGGCTATACTCTGCAATATCATAGAGACTGAACTTTACCTAGACGACCTTGACATCCTAAGCCGCCCTCTTTCCTCCAAGCTTCGCTACTGCAACATAAAACCCGAGACCAGAATCTTCTTCGACATCCCAGATCCTACAGACCAGGATAATCCCAACGGCATCCTCATTCCCACCATCATTGTAGACGTTTTCGGTAACAGATCAACAAGCTAGCACTGGTTAGCGTGTGTCAATGTCCTGCGGGGCAAGAAGACATGAGAGTTATCGGAGAGCTGGGTTGAGTTTCCCCCTCTCAAGAAAGGACGCAACAGACGTTTTGCTAACGAATTTCGGCAGGAGGTATGGGCCAACGGCAATGGTGAGGAGTTCGAAGAGGGGCACGGAGACAGGAACATGGTGGAGGATGATGAGCGGGTAATTCTGAAGACACAGTAGAGAGACTAGGTACGAATGTCAAGTGTACCCCGGTTACTCAAAATCGACTCGGTGACTCGTTACACTTGTGTTCGAAGCATGTGGTGAAGGAAGGGAAGGACGTGATGCACCGCTAAACAGTTTTGGATTGTGGCGAGGCCTGAGATGGAAGGAGACGATGAGGATGAGGAACGGAAAGAGCGAGGTTGTCCTGGGCAGGTAGTATTTAACAGTCATTTTGAGGTCGTTGACCAGCTTCATGCAGCCTCGTGCTCTGAGTGATTGCTTCTGATTTTTTTATTATTATTTTTTTTTCGTATTCAGCACAAATGATGTTTCCAGTTTTGGATATTACCGAATTGTTTTAGATGGTCATCGAACGATGCAGCAGTGAATTTCCGTCTGTAATGAAGAGGCCGCCGGCAGGACTACTCACACCCAACGCAGTGGAAGGCCCATATCACCTCTTGCAATGATCTGTTCAACCACGGTACCTGAACGATCGCCACAAATCGAAATGGATTTCCTGATTGTCCATCGAAGGGATCTGATGTTCGAGGCTGTCGCATGCGGCGTGTGATGGATCCGGATTGCTGCACTGCTGCCACCCTTGCATTGTGTGCCTGAAGCTTCTGGGTCTCCATGTCCGCCACGTATTTGTGCATGGCGCTTAACGATCCGTGAAGTGAAATGCCGGCATGAAGAGCGAATTCCTAGTCGACCAGGACAGATGGAGCACACACCCTCTTCACGTTTGGTGAGTAGGTGCCACGTATGACTCTCATGCGGGGCAGTGTGTTGATGATCTGGCTATCCAGTCCAACCTTCCAGCTCGCACGTCTGGGTGACAGTGGCAGATATAGCCTGTCCTGCGAAAAACAGAGGAAGCAAACCCGTTTGCAGGTGAGAAGATAGAGGTAACTGCCGAAATCGCCACACTGTTCGCATCCTGGCGTACACAGTTTCTCGTATAGAGTTCTACAGGTAATCCACCTGCCGGTTTTGATGCTTAGAATGCTGCGCAGTGCATTGAATGCATGTGTGTTGATAGCTTTCTATTGGGGCAGGGAGTTCACCAACTCTATGACGCGTCTGTTGATCCGTCGAAAATCCGTGAGAGTGCGCAAGTCAGGTTGGGATAGAATTTTCTGTAGCAGCTCGGGAGGGAGAGCATCGAGGACACCCACATTCGTTCTGGGTGGTAGGCGGAGGCACTCACTCTCGGGCTGAGATTTGGAGGAGGGTAAGTTGTCGTCTAGGGCGTGATCATTGAGATTCACGCGAGGATAAGTTAGATCGTGAAGTCTGTGGACCAGTGATTGCTCTTTCATGTCGAATCCTCTGCGTTATTTTAGAAGAGGGCGCAAGGCGAGAGAGGACTTGCTCGAGATTCTACTCTGCAAAGTTTGGCGCGTTGGCAAACGCGATATTATGTTGAGGCATGCGCGGTGAGCAACCAAGTCATTGCCCACGTGATGCTTCATCTGGCCAAGGTGAACCCGGCTATACGAGACGGCAGCTATGATACATAGTCAATTTGCCCCACTCAGCGCCTTGGCCAGTCTATAGCCCTTAGCAAAACTTCCTCGTCGAGAGATACAGGGTCACACTGAGATACAAGGCCACACCAAGATCCCGGTCTTAGGTGATCAGTTCAAAGGGCTAGATACTCTCTGATTTGCGAAGCCGAAAACGGAAGCGTATCACGGGAATCGTTTGATCTGATTGCGGCCTTTGCTGCTCTACCTAAGACGAGCACAGATATCCGCGAGCTGGCCGGGGACACATACTCAGGTTCTCGTGGCCACCATATTCAGGGTCAGGTTGTCTACTTTCTTGAAGCGGGGAAAACGTGCTCCTTGGTTGATTATGTAACATTGCCTCGAGCAGTACATCAATTTAGACGACTTATTAACAGTCGGATGTGCCTCCATGATGCAATTATTATCAGATGAAAATGAATGACATGTATTTTTCGCTAGAGTCAAACGTCTTTTACTACGAGTAAATAGAATGCACCATGTTAACTCGCCCGTATTGCGCCGGGTTGCATAAACCTTGGTCATACCTCCAAGTCACCCTCTCAGATGCGGCCCTTAGAAAGTGGGCTTGGCGTTCTTGAGCAGCATCTCAAAGTAAGCCTGGTTCCAAGTGCCAGCCTCAGGAGCAGGCTTGTAGGCATCGTCCTTGCCACAGAAGCTGTCGTAGCGGGTGGCACCGGTGTCCGAGGTACCGTCGCTCTCACCACCGGGCTTGCCCCAGACGAAGGCGTCGGTCTGGGAGTCACCAGTATCACTGGTGGGGCGGACACCAAAACCGGCGCCGTTGACGTTGCACCAGTCACCCCACTCCTTGCGCAGGCCGGTGACGGCGTTGCGGCCTGTGTCGACGATGGCGTAGTTGGGCATGCCGGCGGTCTTGAGCTCGGCGCTGAACTTGGAGACGTATGTCTTCTCGTTTTGGCAGCTGTTGTACTTGGCGTCGGCCGCGTTGGCAAACTCGCCGGGGCTCTGGTCCCACGCATTCCAGCCGGCGATGTTGGTGGCGAATCCGCGGACCTGCTTGGGGTTCCCTGCGTTCTTGTAGACCTTGGCGAGCTCCTGGGCGCCGGGCTTGAGGTTGGCGTCCCAGCCGAGCCAGCCGCCGTGGCCAGCGTCGATGTACATGACGACGTTGGGAAGGTTGAGGCTCTTGAGCGCGTAAGCGACTCCCTCCTCGTAGGCCGACTTGCTTTGTTGGCAGGTCGTCAGATCAGCGTTGGTGACGAGGTTAGGGAGAGAGTCGGGCTCAATCAGCAGGGCGAAGGCCGTGTTGGGGTGGGCCTTGAGGATCTTGACCACGGCTATGAGTTATCGTGTAAGTGTAACGTCCCGATAGGAGGAAGCGCGAACAGCTAGCAAAGTAGGAGGAGAGGAGAGGACATACGATCGATGTATTCGGACTTGTAACGGCTGATCTCGCTGTACTTCAGCTCACCGTTGGAGGCCTTGGCGGCGCAGTCACGACCGGGAAGGTCGTAGATGACGAGACCGAGGATATCTTCACATGGAGTATCTGCAATGGCAGGCTCTACCTTGGCAATGTTGGCAATTGTGTCACTGCGAGGAATGGTCAGCATTCTGCCCTAGTCTACAGCTCAAGTTGTTGCTTCCCGCCTGGATCATGACTTACATCCACAAGAAGCTACCAACATCGGCAACCTTGGCGGCCGAGGCCTTCAGGGACGAGTCGGTTATGGCGTCGAGAGCCTTGTTGACCTCGTCACGGTAAAAGGTGTTGGCGTGAAGCTTGTACTTCTTCCAGACGTTGGTGCTAGCGTCCAGGGTTACGGCAGAGGCACAAGCAGAAGCACGCGCGACGACCTTCTTGGCAGGGGTAGGCGCATCACCGCTTGGCGCGGCGATGGCACCGGCGGCGAGAGCCGCGACAGCAGCAGTGACCTTCATCTTCGATAAGGTTGAGGTCAAGACTGAGGTTGTTTTTTGCGGGTGAGGTGCCAGTAGGAGGAGGTTTTAAAATTGTCGGCCATTACTCTTCTTATACCTGAGCCTAGTAGCATTGGCTGTATAGGCCACCATTGCCATTCTAGCCATAATCGATCATTCTCCGACCACAAGATTTGCTGGAAGCGGTAATTAGGAATACAGGCCCGTTGACTGCGGAGCGTGGCTCGGCGCTGTGATTCCGAATTATGCCGGGGTAAATTCTCAGATAGACACATAGTATACCATTGCGGGGGTTCATGGTAACGAAACTACGACCACGCCACTCTGACAGTCCAATGCCATGCTCCTTGTGGACAGCTAGCGGTCGTCGTCTGTATGTTTACGAGATCGGGCCTACTGAACAGGCACGGGCGGAACATCACGCTGGGGCAAAGTGATCTGGTCATATACCTTGATCATGCATATCTTGTTGGAGTGCCACTTGTTGAAACCAATCGGATCGTGATGCTAGACAAACTCAAGATGCCTTTTGGTCCAAGGGTGGCAACCTAAGGGTCAATATGTGGTTGATCGACCTGCCTTTGTGGATGGACTATTGTGAGCTTGTTGCTCCGCATTGCTCTGTAGACCTAACACGTACCCTAAGAACGGTTAACGTTGCAGTGAGACTTGTCCTTTGTTCCCCTTCCTTCCAAACGGCAACCCAAACCTTTGTTGGCATTGTTGTTTCTTCGGCATATGTGACCAGGCCTTGACTGCAAGGCACATTGGTGTGGAGCACTACCAATAACCGCCCACGAACGTCAGAATAAAGTTATGAATGTGAACGAAATGCTGCGGGACATGGAAGCAACCTCGACCTGTGGATTTAGCCGCAAGGAACGAGCAATCAGCGAATCAGGGGGGCCGGCTAAAGCTGACAGTGCCGAAAAGGGAGACTAAATCTCGGCATAGGATCGAGAACAGCAATATGCCAAGCACTTGTAAAGTGGCCGGAATTTGGTCATGTGCAACCCATATGGAAAATCGTGCTACAGAGATTGGTCGCGGAAATCGTCTTGGACCAAAGTCCCCGAGTCGACGGTGCAAGCAGACAATTTGCCTCATAATATATGCTTAATCTACCACGTATTAATGGGGTAATGAACAGCATAAGACGCCTGGGGCACGCAAAATACTGTGCCCCTCGAGTGGTCGGGACCTTGAAGCACTAGCAAGTTGCCATTGATGCCACAAAGCTTGTGGGTGGTGCATGTGGCGTTGTCATCAACATGCAGTAAAATGTCTCGAGGTTCTTTTAGGCATCTTTCACATTCTGTTCTATCTTGCGCACGTGCCATTGCATTTGGCGGAAGATATATGGTACACTATATACAGGCATAGCTTTGTGCACGTAGCCATGTTCTGGCTGGCAGTTTCTCGTGCTTTTCCAAACAAGCTTTTTGGTGGAACTGCAACTGGTGGTAGTCTTACCTCAACGTCGCTTGTAGAACGCCATTTACGCGAAGGGAGGAAGGGCGAAGGGATATCCACCATTCTTGATGCGGAAAATGGAGAGGAGCAGACCGTAGAGAAGGAAGATGCCTCCACTCATTACGATAACGAAGGCTTGCTGGTACTTTGAGTCGGTTTGTCTTGGTGCTCTCAAGATAAGGGCAATAACCATGAAAGAAAGCGCACCGTCTAGTTCAGTTAGTGTGACTCCAGCGATTGGTGTAGGTGCAAATGTGCTGGGCGGAACTTACAGATGAAGCCCACGATCTGAGTCTCAATACCCAGCTGGTTTTGGAAGCCTCCAGTAACGTAGTTGATCCCACCTTTACCATCTCCTGAGACGTAAGGAACCTTGCGAATCTGGTTGAACATGTGTCCTCCAGTACAGGCGAGGATCATGATGATAGTGATGGTAGCCCATACGTTTCGGTTCTGGAGAACGGGGAGGATGTAGGGCCAGGCCTTGAATCCAACTCCTGCAACTCCAAGCACAGTGACAATGGTGACGAGCCAGAAGACATAGTTGACGGGACGCTTGACCGGGGGTTGGGGTCTGTCGGCCATGTGGCGGGCGACCCAGCTGTGGACCTGCTCGGCAACCTGGGGACTGGGATAAATATGTTAGTCAAGACTCGTGAGAGATGTCGATATATCTACAGGTAGATGTGGATGTGGATGTATATGTGTCCTGAAGTGTTCGTGGCTTACCCGTTGGTGAAATCATAGCGTAGAGGCTCGGCAGCGGCAACAGCGTGAGGGCCGGTGGTGGGCTGGAAGAGCAGCAGCACGGGAGCAGTCTGAAGGCCGAGAGAAACAAAAGTGTCCCTTCCGTCGGCAAAGTCCAATGTGCCAAAGACAAGACGCGAATCTCCCTTCTTGTCGCCCTTGATCCAACTCTTAGCAAGGAGGTCCCACTCGGGCTGGAACTCGCGACATAGTTGGCAGCCGAAGCGGTTGTCCATGGCAGTCAGGAGGACTGCGGCAGTGAAGTCTCGAGGCGCCGAGGTCAGCTTCTTGTAGGCCCTGTCATCTAGCTTCGCAGGGGCGTAGGAAGAGAGGGTCTTTGCGTGGAAGTCATCGAAGCGGTCGACAGCGGATGCTGATTTCTTGGCAGCGAACGAGCCAAAGGGCAGAGCCAGAGAGAGGAAGACGGGCAGCCAGCGCATGGTGAGGATGACGACGAATTGAAGAGGAGGGAAAAGAACGTGGCCGTCTGCGGGCAATTGGTGAGTCAGTTGCGTGCAAGGTGTACACACACGAGAAGGACGCTGAGGTCAATTCAAAGACGACGTCCTGATCTCGAAGGTAGCTACGCTGTGCTGGTAATATTGAGACAGGTGGTAGATAGACAGATTAGCTCTAACTATCCAAAGCGTTCCAAGTACAAAAGGTGGCCTTAATCGGGATTGGGGGGGAAGACTAACCGTAACTGACCTCCGGCTGGCCTGTTGTGGCTTGGAGCTTCGTGACGTGACTCGTCACCCACTCAGAAAACTGGCGCTACATAGTGGCTTCTGGCGGAGTGCTCTACAGGGGGGCAGGGCGGCCTTTCAACACCTACAGTACTAACCTTAGTAGCTCTGGATCCACGTCGGACCGCTGCTAATTCCGACACTAACCCCCTTCTGGCACTCTGTTTACTTTACCCCCAAAGCCCCCGTTCCAGCCCACCAAACACCGACGTAGGTTCTTTCCATGTCTCACATCCCTTGGGACCCATCCCGGCGTCATCTGCTATAACCTTGTCCATTCAGTTATATCCCTTGTCTAATTACTTGATGAGCATGTTTTGACCTGTCCACACCACAGTCATTTGACGAGACCTTGCAAAACCGCCAACCTCTATTCCTTCATCACTCTCACACAATGGTCGTGCATCAACGCGTCGCCCCCATGAGCAGGCCTAGAAAGCCCGCCGGCCCGCGCGAAGAGAAGGTCGACATGGAAGCCGTAGGAAACGTATGCTACTTGGACCGTTGTTCCCCGAGCTCTTGGATGCTGTTGGTTGCTAACACCCCGTTTCTCCAGCGCACTGAGCAGTTGCACAAACTCGAGATGAAGCATCAACAAGGCGCAAGCAGAACCGACCTCCTGGTCAAGGACGAGGATGTGCGACGCCTCAAACTCCGCATCCTTACATTACGCGATGAGAACACCACATTGCGCGATCAGATCACTCAGAGCAATGATGAGAACGCGAGGTTAGCCTCCCAATGCGACAATCTTGGCGCACAGCTCGAGGCCAAGATTGAAGTCGTTCGTTCCCAGGAGAAGCAGCTGCGCAAGCAGGAGCGCGAGTTCTCCAGCCTCAAGGTACTAGATGCCCCCCGTTTGCGACCATGGGACAAGCCAACTAACTGACTTGCCTTTCCTTCCAGAGCGAACTACAACTCATGAACAACGCCAACCAGAGCTCTACCAATATCCTGGCGGAAAAGCTGGCTCTAGGTCGCGAGCTTGCCGTCCTCAAGCCAGAACTGGAACATCTCAGGTCTCAGCTCACCCACCAGTCAGCCACCCTCGCCGAGAAACTCGCACTGGAGCGACAGGTCAACACTTTGGAGGTCGAATTGGCCAACGAGAAGAAGGCTACCAAGAGGGCCATGCAGAAACGCGAGAGTACCGACAGAACTGAAGACGACCTCCGACAGAAGCTGCGAGAGACAGAGAAAGAACTGAACGCCGAGAAGGCTCAGCGTGAGAGACTGGAGGACCAGCTAGCCCAGGAGAAGCGCACACATCAACTAGCCCTGCAGGATCAGGATAGCACACGCGAATTGGAATCTGATTTGCGCAAGAAATACCAGGACGCCCAGAAACAATTGCGCGAGTCGCAAGAGGAGAACGAACAGCTTGGCGAAGAGCTCAGCGCTGAAAGGCGCCAGGCACAAAAGACACAAAAGACACAGCAGAAGGGCAGCTCCGACGAGGCAGACGAGCTTCGCACCAGACTCCAAGATTGTGAAGCCAAGCTCGCCGCCTCACAAAAAGAGGTCGCAAAGATCCGCAACCAAGCACAGTCCTCGGTAGAAGAGGCTGATCATCGCAGCGATGCATTTGAGAAAAAGTTCGAGAAACTAAAGGCCAAGTTCAGGGAGCTCCAGGACCAGCTCAAACAGTGCCAGGCAGATCTGAAGAAGGCGCAGAAGAGCAAGCCTTCAATCTCTGAGGAGATTGAGATGAAGCTCGGAAGACAGGCGTTTAAGAAGCGCAAGGTCGACGACATCAGTAAGGGCGATTTCAGTGGCATCACCATCGCAACACCAAACGCAGACGACAAACCGCGGAAGACGGTCATCAAGAAGAAGGCCGTCGAGCACTCAATACTTGGTGAGAAGTCCACTTTCTCGATCACGCCTTTCCTGAACCGTGCCAAGGGGCTTGCGGCCGACGATGACGCGGATGAAGAGGATGAGATCGCCGACACAAGTTATATACCACAACAGCATAGGACTAGCCCAGCTGAGGCTGTCACAACAGCACCACCAGCCCAGGCCGAGACCGAAACACGCGATTCCTCGTCGGAGCCTACCTCAGCTGCAGCCGAGCAGCAGAACGAGGAGCCGTCGAAGCCGCAACCCAAGGCCCGTGGTCGCCCCAAGAAAATACTTGGCGATGCTCCATCTGCCAAGAAGAATGCCCAACAACTCCCCAAGACTGCCATGAGGAAGGTGCCAAAGGTCGCTTCAACACTGGAAAATGTGGTCGAGGAGAGCCAAGAAAACGTGCCGGAGCCAACAGATAAGGCCCAGGCCGTGAAGTTTAATACTCTACCGCAGGACACGAGCACATCATCTGCCAACACATCGAAAACGGAAGAGGTCAAGAAGAAGAAGCGTAAGGTTCTCGGATCTACCAAGACGCTCTTCGACGAAGACGAGGAGGCAGTAGCACCTACTGTTGTCGAGGCAGCAAGCAGAGCACCTATGAATGGTGCAAGGAAGCGCGCGCCGATTGCTGGCGGTGTGAAGAACGCTTTTGCAGCCGCTAGTTTCTCACCTCTGAAACGGGATAGAAGGGGCGTTGGCGCCAGTTTCCTGGCATAGTCGTGCCTTTTCCTATGTAGCGGATTTGGCATATGGCGTTGTGTATTACGGACTTTTGCATTAATCGGCGTTTTGCTCGGATATAGGGCATCATTAAAGTACTGGTTATTGGAGTAATGGTCGCATAAGTTCTGTATGAATAAAACAGAATTCTCTGATGTCACTTGTTAGATGATTTACTTGCTTGAATTATTGCAGATCGCATCTGCCCTGCCTCGGATGTGGCTATTGTCTTTGTCGTGAAAAGGAGACCTCTACTCGTGTATCTACAAAACCCCACTATTTGCATAGAGCTAGGACCGCGTCGAGCTGGCACCTATCAAAGCTTGCAGTCCAGCGCGAAAAGTCCAAGATTGCCTTCCTTTCCAACAAATGTGGGAAAGCGTGTGAATTACGTTTCCCCGGACTATCAAGTTTGATGAAAGGTCTGGTCAAGTTAGGAGCGCCTCTCAATGGAGGCTCCCTGAGGCGGACTGCTTCTGCGGCCTGCGGCTTAGCACGATGCAGCAACTATGCAGCCCCTGTCATGATGTTGTGTGCCAACACTGTGCGGTATTCGTCGTCAAATTCTCGGTGGAAGCAGAGACAGGGCAACGACTTTTTCGCACGCGAGGCGAAGGTCCAGGGCTTGAAGAGCCGGGCTGCTTTCAAGTTACTCGAGGTACGTCTCATCAAGTGATCGCATGCGGCAGATATCTGGGACGAGAGCTCAAAACCGCGACAGATGGACGCGAAATACAAATTCTTCAGAAAAGGACAGACGGTGATCGACCTCGGTTACGCGCCCGGGTCCTGGTCCCAGGTTGCCCTGGAGCGCACCAAGCCTAACGGCAAGATCGTGGGCATCGACCTGATCCCCGCGCAGCCGCCCAAGGGCGTCTCGACAATCCAGGGAAACTTTCTGAACCCGGCCGTGCAGAATCTGGTTAAGGGGTATCTCCAGGAGTATGCGCCGAAGAAGCCCTCCCGCAAGGCCAAGAGCGAGGATGAAATGGATGCGCCACCGTTAACGGCCGAGGACTTTGAGGCACTTATGCTGGGGAAGCCGAGCTATATCGATACCGAAAGAGCTGAAACGGTGGATCACGACGAGCCGTTGGAGGATTCAGGGCGATTGGTGGATGTAAGTTGAAGTCAATCTGGAAGCAAATGCAATCAAATGTACTGACAATGTCCTCAACATAGGTGGTATTAAGCGACATGTCAGCACCTTGGGTTCAAACCTCCGGCTTTTCCAGTAACACATTGAGTAACCCGTATCGTAGGATGATGAACACGAGCGGAATGAGCTTTCGAGATCATGCCGGTAGTATGGTGAGTCAAATGACGATACACCCGATTTTGTCATCTCTAGCTCACTTCGCCTCTCCGCGTAGGACTTGTGCCTTGCCGCGCTACAATTCGCTAGCGACACGTTGAGAACAGGTGGACACTTTGTGTGTAAATTCTATCAAGGATCCGAAGACAAGGAGATGGAGTTGAAACTCAAGAAAATGTTCGGCAGGGTGCATAGAGAAAAGCCCGAGTCGTCGAGAAATGTAAGTTACGTGGTCTTTCTGAAGTAACTGGTGTTGCTAACAATTGATTGCTTAAGGAATCGAGAGAGGCGTTCTTCGTTGCGCTTAGAAGGAAGGGTGATGTATTACTAGAGGATGTCACCAAATAATTGTATATTTACTGTATAAAAGTTATTGTATAAAAGAATACAACACCAACGAGCAAGTCATTTGAGGTTGCGCTCATCATGCATGACATATTTCATGGTTCAGTGAGCAGGTGCAGTTGTCGTGCCAGACAGACTCGAGATTAATAGTCGCTCCTGCCTCAGCAGATCCTAGATTCCCGGCAATGGCGAGACGACGCAACTTACCTCGTCATAGAGCCTTGCGCGGCTTCATAACCGATTCTTTGACCCCCATCGAACACCTTGGACGAACATGATGACCAACTTTCCAATCGCTTGACTCTTGGCTTTTTGATACTGTTTTTTTTTTGGCGGCGTCTTTGGATAAGAAACAAAAGCTCGCACCATAGCTAGAATGGCACACGAGAACCACGATCGTTGGAACTCATCAACGGAGACATTCCGTGAAGACCTGGACGATGTCTGCTTAGACGAAAATACAAAACCTACACCACTCTTTTTGCCGCCAGGCAGTCGCCCGGAAGTGCTCAGCAATGTAGTCCACGAATGTCTCTTCATCGCCATTATTGCGTTCGCTGCCGCATCGTCAGTTTTCTTACAACGCTCTATGATTGTGATCGCTGCCGATATCAACGTAAGCCTCAACATGAGCCCTGCTGAAACAGCTTGGATCAACGGCACTTCTGGGTGAGCCAGCAATAGGCCTGATAGAATCGAGGTTCTGCTGACAAGTGTAAACAGGCTCATGACTGGCGCATTTCTCGTCCCTTTCGGTCACCTGGCAGATGCTTGTCCTGTCTTGACCCGCAAGTATCTTCTCATCCTGAGCCTTACAGCCTTCTCCCTTATTGTGGCATTTACTTCTTTCTCCAACACTGGTATCGTGGTTGACATAATGACTGGCCTGGCTGGCCTTGCCTGTGCTGCTACGATCCCGACCGCTGTCGGAATGTTGAGCTTAGTTTATCCTGAGCCATCTCGTCGCAAAAACATTGTCTTTTCCTCTTTCCTCATGGGTAACCCTCTTGCGACAATAGTTGGCGGCCTAGGTACCGGCGGTGTAGCCTCTGCCTTCAATTGGAAGGCGACGTTCATCTTCTTGGGTATTTTGTATGCATTGATTACAATCCTCAGCTGGTGGATCATTCCCAATGTCTCTGAGTCTCGGTCGCATGAGAAGATACAGGAGGCACAACAGTTCGATCTGCCGAGTTCTTTCGTTCTCGTTTCCAAAAGCGCACCGACCTTTGCTCTGGCCCTTCAAAGATTCGACTGGACTGGGTTGTTTTTTTTGGTCAGTGGTGTCTTGTTGTTCACAGTTGCCTTGACTATTGGCCCAGAAGGTCCACAACCATGGAAGACTCCGACGGTGATATGCCTTCTCATTTTCGGCCTCCTGTTCCTGGGTACCTTTGTCATGTGGGAAAGCTCAACAAAGACACCAATGATTCCTCCAGCTGTATGGGAAAATCTGAATGTCATTTTGGTAAGCTATATCCTAGAGAAAAGCAACACGGGGACTGACCTCATCTTCTCAGGTCAACTTATCAGCTTTGACTTCAGCCATGGCGTATTACCCGACAATTTTCTGGATCACCATGTTTCTGCAGAAAGTACAGAACCTGAATCCCTTCGATGTGGCTGTTCGACTTTTGCCACAAGCCTTGATGGGTCTCTGCTTCAGCCCTCTTGTGGGGCTTATAATGCACCGCATTTCGGGAACGATATTGCTTGTTGCTGCTGCTTCCTGTTCTGTTTGCAGCAACGTCTTACTTGTGTTCTTGCGAACAGATAGCAACTATGCCGCTCTGATATTTCCGTCGCTTTTGTTTAGTACTATCGGCATGGATTGGACAATGAACGTCGGATCTGTGAGTTTCAAAGTCAAACTTATCTCTCAATTCAACAGCTAACACGTTCCCAGCTTTATACACTCTCGTCATTGCCGGTGGAACACCATTCCATCGGTGCATCTTTGCTACAAACAACAATGCGACTTGGTCTTCCGATGGGACTAAGTGTTACCACTGCGGTTTGGTCCTCTTTCAATGGCAAGACCGACGAAGTGATGATGCCATACACGAAAACCTTTATCACTACTGCTGCTTTTGCTAGCTTGTCACTTATCGTAGCTCCTTTTATACGCATTGGACGGCAAGGATGTACACTTCGTAGTGTCATAAAAAGGGAAAGACAAGTGAAGGAGGAGCTAGTTGATCATCGGCCCAGCAAACGCTGGTCGTATATCGAGACCATTTCGAGCAAGTCTACAACGACCAGCACAAAGCCTGAACTTCCCCCGATACGAACAATGTCCTTTGCCTCCGAAATCTCATTGATACAAAAGAATCGAAACTCGTCCCGTGATACTGCGATGTCAGAGCCAGCGACGCCTAGAATTGTCTGGGTAGTGTGCGAACAATGCACCGCCAGTCGACGAGTTACAGAGCCCATTGGCGACCCTACAAAATACTTCGAAGACATTTGCTTGGAAAAGCCCAATCATGACATGATCATCAACGGAGGAAGACGGTTTCCATTGACGGTGAAGAACCAGAACATGAACCGTTAAGAACGTCGTGATATCATCGGATATGTGCCTGCAGATTTATGATAACCTCCCGTGTAACGGTTTGCCTGTGTCCCATGGCGGAAACGAAAATTATGTACCGGCACGCTTGGGCTATTGGCTTCGTACAGGACGTATTGATCTTTGGTTTATCATCTTTAGAATGGCTCTGGTTTCCTCAATAGACACTTTGGGTGAGGGTTGCGAAAATTTGGCTGAACTGCACTGGTATTGATATCAAGCTGAGACGATACAGGCATGTAGACTTGAAGTGGTCTTAAATAATGCAATGGTACTCATATATTTCCAGCATTCTTTTCAAATTTGAATTTGTCTGATGTTGAGGCATTCCAGTGCCGCTCTGATTTTATGATATATGTATAAAAGAGCTTGCAAATATTATTTGTACACCTGAGCTTACTTTCTTATCTACGATAGTCTTATAGTCGATTTCATGTAATATCATCTTTTATATCTCCTATGTGAGTATTGAGTTCGGGAACTCGATCGTGCGCGTAGTTTCGAACCTCGCGTGAAATCATGCTTTTGAGAAATGTTCAACTAACTTAAAACTTCATTGTATCAAGATAAATCGCGATGTTTTTTTAGTTACGAATTCGTGGTTTGACGACACAGTGAGGCAGGGATTACTAGGCTAAACTCGTCTTGTCCCAGAACCGGCCACGCTCCCAGCTCGTTTCGTCTGCCAATAATACATCATTAAACCTCATACCATATTGTCTCTTGCCGGTTGCCCGACTTTGACTTTGACCTGGAGCCAACCTGTACTGCACGTCCAAACCCCTACCCAACAATTTGCTTTGTCACTCAAGGAACGAGACATTGGGCCTAACAGATTCGTAGGCAAGAGGCTTCTCCGCCGCGTTGATGTCCAAGTCCACCGGTGCAAGGAGCGCTACAAGAGGTACCTGCGTATTCTCTGCCTGTTTTGTTGCCGATAATGTGGAACAATGTACGAACTTGTGAGGCCTATTGATGGCTTAGACCTGAGTATGATCTCAAATTGATTGACAACGCCTAATGCGTATGTGATGGTTGTACAGAATTATAACTTAGCATTTGGCATCTCCTTCATGGCTTGCCTTACGCCAAGATCGCCAAGAACCTCCTCGGCACCACCCAAAATGGAATCGAACTTGTATGTCCTGTGGAACATCTCGATCACTCGTCCCATTCCTGACTGTGTCAGTCCACGGCCACCGAATATCTGTACAGCTTCATCGGCGACCTCGTGGGCGGCTCTCGTTGTGGACATCTTCAAGAGACCGATAGGGCCGCCCAAGAACTGTGCTTGCTGCTTGTAGGGCATGTTGCACATTTGGTATGTGATGGTCTCGAGCCATGATTGGTGAGACTCGACCAAGGCGATCATCTTAGCCAACTTCTGGCGAATGACTGGTTGGTCGATCAGGCGCTTGCCGAAAACGATGCGCTGATGAGCCCACTTGAGGCACTCCTCGACAACTGTCCTTTGGTTGCGGACGGAACCACCTAAAAACACATTCATTAGCAAAGTGGGACGGGTGTGGAATATGCGACCAGACTTACAAACCATGGTCCATCGCTCGTGGTTGAAGTTGGACAGAATGACGTAAATGCCCTTGTTCTCCTCGCCGAGCAGGTTCTCGACAGGCACCTTGACATTATCGTATGTGATGTAAGTCGTACCGGCGACGGTGGAGTACGAGGTTTTGATGAGCTTGGTCTCAACACCCTCGCAACGGGGAATCAGCAGGACGCTCAAACCCTTGTCAGTCTTGACACCAGTGACGAAGTAGTCGGAGAAAACACCGTTGGTGATCCACTTCTTCGTTCCGTTAACGATGTAGTGCTTGCCATCGGGCGTCTTGACAGCTGTTGTTCTCAAACCAGCAACATCAGAACCGGCAAATGCTTCTGTGATGGCGAGACACATCTTCTTCTTGCCGCTGAAGACTTCGTCCATAATTGCCTTCTTACGCTTTTCGTCCTTCATGTAGTTCATGACACAAGGCAGCCCGATGACCATGCCGGCCATGTTTCCATCTTGGAAGCCGCGTGCGTTGGCTCTCGAACCCTCCTGGCCCATGATCAGGTCATGGAAGTAGTCAAACTCGTCACCCTTGACAGCACCGTCGAGCAAATCGACACCGTGCAAATGCTTGCCGGGACCAAGACGCATGTGCAGGATACCCGCCTTGGACATGCGGTCGATCAGCTCTTGCGAGATGTACTTTCCATCGGCCTCCCTTAGCAGGGCCTCTGGTGTGATGTACTTGTCCTGGAACACACGCATAGCCTTCTGCAACCGCCTGTGCGACTCATTGTAGTATGGGCTCTTGAAGACGGGTGAGAGCCAGAGGGGCTCGGCGTAAGGAACGGGGCTCAAGTCACCGGGTTGCGGCGTGACCACGGAGGGCTTCTCGCCTTGTACAGTGCCTACGGCGAGATCTTCGTACTTGGTAAGGACCTCGTGTCGGTGGAGGTTGTAGAAAGAAACGGTTGCGTCAGTTCCAGCAACCTGGCGGAGGACGGCTTCACCACCGGGGTGAGCATCGAGGAAGTCGGAGACATCGTAGACTTTGCTATCGATGATGAACCACACGTCGTCTTCGGTGGTGTGCTTGGCGACCTCGTCGCGAGTAAAGGTCTTGGACATGTCGGAAAGCGGGAGGAGGGTATACTGGGTCCTACAAGATAACGTAATAGATCGAAGAGGACTGTCTCAGCGCAGCTATCACGATACAAGACGACAGAAAGAGACAAAGTCAGGAACGCAGGAACCTAGGAACGTGGTCTGCTCGGTGTCTTAAGGGACCCTCAACCTGGGGTTCCTCGGCGCGTGACAAGGCCTTGCACTCCATTTTACCATGGCATTTCTAGCTCTGCGCCGACTAGCGACCTGGGGAAACAGCACGACAACCCACTAATCTTCCGTTTTCGATGAATACCTCGGCACTGCGGCTCAGGAAATGCTTTGGCCGATGTAATCGTGTTGGTCGTGATTGGTTACGGCGGCTGCCGCTAACGGGGGGCCGCTAGTGTAGCTTGATTCGAAGAATCTGGGGCTGCAGGGCATGGGACATGAGGCATGATCTGCCTGCTGCCCAGCAAGCCCAGATCTGACTTTCGCATGTGAACAACCCAGGCTTACCGTGCTGAGTACAGTATGTAATTGCCGTAGTCCAACCTAACCGTAGGTTCTTGTTGTAAATACATACTTGACTAGGACCCATACATGGCAACTATGCTCCTTTGGAACCACGACTCCTGTAACCTCTCAGATATACTCAGAGAAAGCACCATTCATCACAATGTCTACATTATCCACAAACTTCGTCGGCTGCTGCTGCTATCTCTGCTACTGAGCCGCCAAGGCACAGTGCAGCCTCCCCAGAATCGCTGCATACTCCACATAAGGCGCGGAAGCCCGCGCTCGCACGCCCGCAGACGGCTTGGTTGGAGGCGGAATCGCAAAATGCTAGCATTCAGCATCATCGGTGATAGGCCGCCGGACACATCGGCCTTCGTTGATGCGGTGTAAGATTGAAACCTACAGATTTACACGATAGCACGTGTCAGCCTCACTTCGTTGCATCCCATATCTTCGCCTCGCCGTTTGTCGTCAGTCGTGATAGGGTCAACGCCGGCTCCTCATCCACCGTCCAATGCACAGTATACAGATATTGTCCTAACGCAGTCTTGGGTTTTACATGACGCTCTCTATTCGAGCAAAATCCCTGCTACTTGCTCCCACCACGTCTTGGCGGTACGTCTGTCGTTGTTTCGCATCTCATCCAGATGCACAGTGATCACTTCGTTTACCACAGCAATGCCAAGTAAGCGCCTTTGTCAAGCACTGGGGCCCAGATCAGCTTAGTAGCAGCTTGTCCAATTATAGAGAACTGTCTAGCGGCGTGGGCATCAGATGCGACCTTATCTCACCAACCTTCCCACGAGCTCAGGCGGCACCATCAGCCATAGTCTGGGCTGGTCCGCTATTGGCCGGTCCTGCCAGTTCTCGAGAGACAGTGCCCGTCATTTGCCTGCGTCAAGGGCAGCCGCATCGCGGGATAATATTCCACCACCGCGAAGCGAAGCGAAGAAGGCGATGATAGCCAGGTCGCTAATAGTGCCACTACAGTCAAGAGTAGCTCTGCTTTCTCATTAGACGTAATGGCTGGTTCCTGACCTCCGCCTATTCTTGGGCCGTGGCAAGTGCTATTGTGATATACTTGCCCCACGCTGATTCGCGCGTGTAACTACTTGTGATTGAATCTGCCAATTTCGGGCGTTTCTGTTTACACCCTCGACACATGCACTTATTCCGATACTCCTCAAATCTCAAACTTGGTACATAGATGCCACGCTAATCACCACTCCTCAAAATCGTCTATTTACATACCCCTCGCTTTCCTTTGCGCTGTTGCATGCATGATACTATTGTTTTGCCGTGAGATATCAATATGGATACTTACTCGATGAACATTAACAGTGGCTTTGGCCGAAACACATCGCGCATTTCGCAGGACCTGAAGACCTGTCGTCTCGCGAGCGTCTTGACCTCGGACTCAAAGATGGTGGACCGACCCCATCCTGGCCACAGAGTTGACATGGTGAACACCCCAGCACCACTATAAGAAATCCTTGCTAACTTACTGTTGCAAAAGCGCCGCATGGGAAATGCTAGTCGCAAACCGCGCATAGCAGTAGTTGGGGCTGGTATAGCTGGCTTGAGATGTGCCGCTGTCCTCCTGGAAAAAGGCAACTTCGAAGTAACTATCATAGAGGGCCGCGATCGGATCGGGGGCCGAGTGCAACAAGCAAAACTCCCAACGGGACATTTTGTTGACTGTGGTCCGAATTGGATCCACGGGACGGAAGACAACCCGATATTGGACATCGCGACAGAGGAAAAGGTTCCATATAGTCGCTGGGATGAGAACTCTTACATTTACGACGAAGACGGCAAACTATTACCTCAGACGGTTGGAGACAACTGCTCCACGATGATGTGGGAGATCATCCAGGATGCGTTCGCTCACAGCAACGCACATTCATCGACCATCAGCCCTGAGGTAAGCTTGTGGGATTTCTTCCAGCAGGAAGTTGTCAAGCGGATACCAGAAACCAAACCAGATTTCGAGAGTAAACGTCGCTATATTCTCCAGATGGCTGAAATGTGGGGGGCTTTTGTTGGAAGTCCCGTTCATACCCAGAGCTTGAAGTTTTTCTGGTTGGAAGAATGCATCGAAGGAGGTAAGTTGCTTCCGTCAGTTTCACACCTCCGAGCCTTGACTTGTGAGTTTTATCGCCACCAGCTCATGCCTGAATGGCAGTCCAGGTGCAGTCTTTCGAATCGATGATCGGTCTTTGGATGGGCAGAATGGCGCAAATATTTGCTGACATGTTTCCCAGAAAATTTGTTCTGCGCTGGCACTTATCAAAAGATCTTGCAGTCGATAGCAAAACCAGCGATAGAGAAAGGGCACATCAAATATTCGACAGTTGTTACCAATGTCAATACAACTAGTCGTGACGGGGGCGGTCTTCAAGTGGCGGTTGCTACAGGGGAAATTCTTGAATTCGATGAAGTCGTCTTCACATCCCCTTTAGGTTGGTTGAAGCAACATCCCGAGGCATTCAGTCCAGCACTGCCAACCAGATTGTCCAAGGCCATAAACAGCATTGGCTACGGTTGTCTTGAAAAGGTGTACATAAGTTTCCGTGAGGCCTTTTGGCTTCAAAAAGACTCACGCGGCCGTACTGTCACAGGATTTTGCCAATGGCTTTCGCCGAGCTACGCGACTAACTCAAATCCAAAGAAGTGGAATCAAGAAATAGTCGAGTTGGGTTCGCTCCCCGATGGCACTGGCCACCCAACGCTGCTATTCTACATATATGGGGACCAATCACGCCATATCACCAGCGAACTTCTGAAACTCACCTCCGCGGAGAAGAGAGAAGCATTCCTGTACGACTTTTTCAAGCCTTACTACTCGCGTCTGCCGCACTACAACGCTTCGTCCCCTGGCTGTCAACCTGTTGCGTCATTCTCTACAGATTGGGTGCATGATCATCTCGCAGGCAACGGTAGCTACAGTAATTTCCAAGTCGGGCTTGAAGAGGGAGACAGGGACATCGAAGCTATGAGAGAGGGTCTTCCCGATCAGGGTCTGTGGTTCGCTGGGGAGCACACAGCCCCATTCGTCGCTCTGGGCACAGCGACGGGAGCGTACTGGTCTGGGGAGAATGTGGGCAAGAGGATCATGGCAGCCTACGGATCACAGAGGAAAGACAATTTGGTCGTAACTGGCTAGTCTACAGAGAGAAGAGATTCCTCTCGTGGGGCGACGGTGTGTCGCTGAGAAAATCAAGGACCTCGACGGCATGCCATGTATGTGGAAAGAAGATTAATTCCGGTTTTGTTAGTGAAAGTAGTAAATCCGAAGCATCGAATACATTACTGTAAGGAGAATGCTGTGTATCTCCCCAATCTAAAGCTGGTGAAATCAAGAGGCTTCCAAAGATACGCATCCACATAAACGGGAAGTCTATCTAGGCTGCCAACGAAGCCCCATAGATATTGTTAATATCTATTCCCCCAAAAAAATTGACGTTCGCCGGCTTAAAATTTAGAGAAGAGAAGAATACTGTTCGAGTCTAGGTATTTAGTGTAATACATCATAGCGCACAGGCCTCCGCTACCCGAGGTATACTACGAAGGCCCGATCCTCAATCGAAAGATCGTATACGGATGGAAAAGCTGTGCCGCTGTCAAAGGTTGATTTTACGTGCTTACATGTCTTATCGGGAGGCTGCCAAGGCTATGCTAATTTGGTTTATCGCAGTATGTTCATCAATGATTTCGAGAAAGCTGCCGTTTTTGGGTCACGGCCCAGTGGAGGCTCGCGTTTGGTTTTCACTACCATGGCGGTATCTCCTGCGGTATGGATGGAGAAATGGTGAGGGTAGTTGATGAATTCTGTCCCCGACACAGGCAGAGGAATGCTCTTTGGGTGGTTTGACAACGGGTGGCGCCGGAGAAAGACTCACTCTTGTAGACACACTATGCCTACGTCAAGTAGACACCAGCTGCATATCCAGTCAACCTGCCTCGACCACCACAGTATAAGGTTGCGGCTGGTCAGCAAACAGGGTGTTTACGGTGCTCGAATTGATCCAAGTTGGGAATGCGATGGACTTGTTACTATCGTTAGATCGATGGCTTCACAATAGGGACCCCGCGGATGACTACTGCTCAGATACAGTTGCAGAATGTTGGACAGTTTATATATCCTGTGAATTCAAGAGCAGCGGCAGCAGCACGCAAAGGACATGACATGTGTTGTTAGTTGCAGTAAGTATGGTATGGTCCATGCTCAAACCCAAGAATGGAAGCAGCGTTCTCTCGAAAATGCAGATGTTGTTTCTGTGACGACCATGGGATTGACTCAGGTTTGGGTCAGATGCCTGGGGGTGGAACTCGAGGCAGCCACTAAGACGGCTATACCAGCGCCTGCGACCACTAAAAGTTGACCACCCGTCACATCGCCCCCGCTATCGATAACACTACATCAGCGGATCAAATGACACTATCGGCCTGGGGGTCCCTGGCGCCTTGGGGGATGGCATGAGGAGCCTGGCGTCTGGCGTAGGGTAATATTCCCTCTGCTTGTTCACGTCAACCACCAACCAGCAAACAAAAGCACAGCTGTCAGCCCGTCATAGGAGACAGGTCGTTTCGTAGGAAGGTGATACGCCAGGTATTGGGCCTTGTGCACTTTGCTCCGTTCGAAACCACGCTGTTCCACCGAACCTGGCCCTTGTTCGACTCAACTCTACACTCACATGGGCCGTCTTCAACGATGAGCTGCCGCCCCGCATCATCGCATCGGGGCTATCGATACCGTGATAGCGTTCCAGCCCGACATCGCCTCCATCATACGGCGTCTGGCCTCTCAAAAGCGCAAACCACCACTCGAGCCTTAGTAGGCTCTGTAGTTTCGTGCCGCTGCTGAGCTACCACTCGCGCTCAGTATGGCGTCAATATTTCGCTCCTTCGGGAGCTCCAACATGTCGAAGCGCCTGTTGCGATATGCCCTCTCTCGGCTGGAGCTCCTCGATACCGATACTCTGGATGTGGATAAGTTGGACCTCGAATGGGGGGTGAACAACGTCCTCACATTCCAGGATGTCGGTATTAGGCTAGAGGTATGTTCAGCTGCGTCCGAACTTGCTGGCTATCCGTACAGCCGAACGCCCCATTGCTAACAAGACGCTTCAATAGAAACTCGAACGGTTGCTGCAACTCCCGCCGTCGTTCAAGCTTCAGAAAGCCAAAGTCCTCCAACTACGGGTCTCCATCCCATCAGCTATATACTCGAGTCCCATCGTCGTTGAAGTCGACGGCGTCCAAGTTAAGCTAAAAGTTGCTTCAGAAGAATCCCTCAGGGAAGAACAAAGGCAAGCGCGAAGCAGGAAATCTACGAGCCGCTCCGTTGATGAAGACGTTGTGCCGCACGCTATTGACTTGGCCCAGTCTTTCCTGGATGCTCAACCCTCGCAAGAAAAGGCCGAGTTGCAGGCCGCCCTGAATGCAGAGAGCCACGACCTTGCGGCATCCGTCGCAAGCAGTGAAGATGGCAGTGACGATGACGTACCTATGGGAACGGGACAGGCTCTGTCCCTGCCTGCGTTCTTGGCAGACTTCCTCCAGGGCATTGTCGATCGAACACAAGTCTCTATTAAAGGCGTCACCTTTGAGCTGGATGTCGAAGTACCCGTCGAAGTTCACTCGACTACCCCGGAACTTGTGACTTTTCAACTTGCCATCGATGATCTTAGTGTAGAGGGAGTGACTACACAACTCCAGCGGGCGGATACCGAAGGACTACCTGCCATGGTCCATAGGGACGGCAAACGTCATATCTCTTTGAACAGAATCCGAGCTTCTCTGATTACTGAGGCCAACGTTTTCTCGACGCTTGCGCGAACTCCGTCAATGCCTTCCTCCGCGGCAACGAGTTCGCCAGTGATGACGGCCAAACAGCCACCGCCATCATCCCAGGAGGATGACAATCCACTCTCCAATAGTGTTTATGGACCTCTAAATGAATCTACTGACTTGACCCAAAGTCAGTATTACCCAATGATGGACAGTGAAGATGCTTTCAACATTCCATATGAATTCAACAGCTCGCAAGAAGATGATTTGCTGGAAGACGACCTGAGATCTGCCCCTTCGACTCCTCGTGCGCTAGCACCACGAGGTTTCTCACCTTCAGAGGCGGTGCGCCGTCCTGCCCAATCTACAGTAGCAACGCCGCCAGAACGCTGGTCGGATTTTGAGAGAGATGCGCAATCAGAACCCTCTCTCCAGCCTACAATTGACTGGAAGCCAGCGCCTTTTGTGGATTTGCCCACTGAAACGCCTGCAAATGATAACCCTTCGTCACCCCTTGAAGACCTCGCACAGTCTCACGTCTTTAGCCATGAGGAAGCTGAAAGCATGTACATGAGTGCATTCTCCAATACTGGAGCTTCCAACATCACACCTGTCATGCCTGGTGCTTGGGACGATTCGGACCTGTCAAATTATGACAGTTCTCCGGACACGAAAAAGGGCTCAACAAAGCCGGTGCCACAGGGTCAGCTCGTCGACGTATCAGCCGAAACGGAATCATACTCTCAAGCGGAATCTGCCCACCTGTCGTCTGTCTTGGGTCGCGCAGATTCGCCCTCACCTTCTGGCAGAAAGTCGACAAATCGACCAACAGTACTCTCTGGGGAAGTGGAAAGCAGGGGCCGTAGCCCAGAGCCTGTAGCACCCGATGGTACCACCACGCCCCGCGGTCCTACTCGCCTTGTGAAAGAAATCATCTCTCTTGCTTCCGTATCGGTATATGTACCATCCAATCACAAGCACGTTGCAGTGCCTTCACCGGCCGATGAGGCACCATCCGCACATCGACATGGTCTTGAGCGATCGGTTGCGCCCCATGTGCCTGGTGCGTTTTCGATACATGAAAACACTCATTCGACATCAGCTCGTCCCTTGACACCGCCTGAATTGGATGAGACGCCTTCCATATCTCCCGAACATGAAGTTGTTCAGGACGGATCGGTTGAAATTGTTCTCGCACCCCTTGACGTACGATTTGACTCTTCCATCAGCTTCTTACTTGCTATGGTGGTATCGCGAATTATGGCCATATTGAGAGAAGAAGGTACAAAAGCGGTTCGGAAGCCTGCGTCGTCAAAGCAAGCCGCGTCCCCTCAACCTGACATCAAGATATCTGTCGAGCAGATATCTATCCAATTTCTAGAGACGCTTATTGGCGTTGCGGAAACTCCTCAGCGGGCGCTTAACTCCGGTTCAGCTGCTTTTGGCTCTGATGCCCTATTAACATCAACCTTGCGAAACCTGAAGCTACAGTTGACAAGAACTGAAAGCTCGACGATAACATCTGTCGATTTAGAGAAGTTCCGATTCGGCTACACAAATGATGACATTGTATCCTTTGATCAACGTTTGCAGATGCGCGCTTCCGTCAGAGATGCGTTTCCTTCTGCAGGTTCTGATGTATCATTGAAAATCACCCAGACCGCAGAGGCGACTCGCTGCGAAGTGAAGACACTTCCTCTACACCTAAAGCTTGACTGCCAAAGGCTGGATGAGACTTTCAGTTGGTTTGGCGGACTAAGCAGCTTCTTAAATATGGGTTCATCCATAACTTCGAGTGCATCTCCCACGGCCAGCAGTCCATCGAAACCGGTGAAGAAAGCTCGAGGCGTCCGTTTTGATGCACCCATCAAAGCCGACGATAAGTCAGCAGCGCAAGATAACAAGGTCAATGTGCGAGTTGGCGGGTTCCATCTAGACCTCGTAGGACGAGAATGCAGTGTCACTGTAGATACCAGTGCTGTGAAGCTAATAACCCGTGACGAAGGTGTAGGCATTGGTATTACAGAGATTCGCCTTGCAGGGCCATATCTTAGGAGGTCTATGGGCGACCCGCCCGTCAATGCAACAATCAGGAACACCCGGATCGAGTACTTGTTCGCTCCAAGAGATAAGGACCTTGAGCGACTATTGGAACTCATCATACCATCGAAGAACAAATTCGACGAAAATGATAACGAGATCATGGTAGATACCCTGCTAAGGCAAAGGAGGAAAGGTGCCGTGGTTCGACTAAATTTTGACAACATTGGGGTCAACGTCAAAAATGTCCAACAGCTCCAATGCCTTGCAGGCTTGGGCGAAGAGGTTGCTCGGCTTGGAGCTGTAGCCAAGTATCTTCCCGAGGACGACAAGCCAGGCCTGCTCACCCTTGCCATGATCCGGAGTTTTGATGTGGCGGTGGACATAGATAGGCGCTTCGGAAAACTCCAAGCATCACTTAAGGACGTGGAAGCGGGCCACATAACCTTCCCTTCCTTGATTGCTCTTGCGTTAGGTTCTGTCTCTGTGCATCGAAACAACACCGAGGAGCTGGTAGGATCTGGTATAGGAACGAGGAGTAATGGGCCGGTCGTCACCTTGCGAATGATCCCAGACGCTATGGAGCCCGTGATAAAGCTTCGCTTGCTCAACGTAAATATTGAGTACCGAGTACCAACTATTATCGACGTCCTGGACCTCGCAGACGACGCCACCCCGCAAGATTATGAAGCTCAACTTGCGGCATCAGTTGCCAATTTGGGCGAGCAAGCTCATACCGCAATCACGGGAAGGCAACCTTTTATCGAGTCAAACAACGGCAAATCGAGCCCAGGCAAACCAACAAAGCTCGATATCGTTTTCAGGGATTGTCTTATTGGCCTGAACCCTCTGAGGCTAGATTCGAAGTTGTTCGTCGCATTAACGGATGCGCAGCTGAAAATATCCTTATCCAAAACTGACAAGGTAGAGGCTGGTTTCAATTTGAACAAAGCCTCGATCTTACTCACTGATGACGTAAAAGCCTTGGGGTCTGCTGCACATTCCGCTCGCCGCCGTCCATCCAATGCTACTTCTGAACAAGTTGTCGAGCTATGTTCGAAGGGCTTTGTGGATATCTGCTTCATATCGGCCGCCAAGGCCAGTATCCTTGCAGACACAAACCCTGATGGCTCCAAGTTCGTTGACGTGGAAATTCGGGATGATCTCCTAGTCATGGAGACATGTGCAGATTCTACACAAACGTTGATCGCATTGGCAAATGCCCTCGCGCCGCCCACGCCTCCAAGTAAGGTCCCGAAGTATAAGACTTCTGTTGTACCGGTGCAAGATCTTTTGGCGTCGATATCTGCAGATGCATTTGGCCAGGCTGAAGGCACTTTTGATTTTGATGATGACTTTGGTATAGCAGAAGAATTAGGTGGTGAAGATTCGGAAGGGGATGGTTTGGAGGACTCGAGCCAGTCAAGTCCGCTTGACATCCATTCCCAGTTTTACGACGAGCATCTCGGCGACTCTGGTGGCCTTGCTGATTCGACGATGGAGCATACAATATCGCAGGACACAAATGACGGGGTACTACTCACGAATTTCAGTAGCCAGCCCTCCGACACAGATGATGACTCAGATCTTGTCGTTCATGACAACTATTTCGGATCACAGTCAGTCATACATGGGTATGCTCCAAGGTGGAACTCGAATGAGAATAGATATGAGTCTCCCGAAGACGCGAGGGCACCGAGGTATCCTTTGACTGTACGAGTGAGAGATGTACATTTCATTTGGAACTTGTTCGATGGTTATGACTGGTCCCATACTCGAGATGTCATTACAAAAGCTGTGGAGGAGGTCGAAGCAAAAGCTCTGGAGCGAAGGGGCCGTTCAGACCGTGTACGTGTGACAGCTGACATGGAAGCCATGATTGAAGAGGAGGAAGAGGTTATTGGCGATTTCCTGTTCAACTCTATCTATATTGGTGTGCCAGCCAATCATGATCCTCGAGAACTCGCACGAAACATCAACGAGGCGCTCAACGACAATGCCACGGAAACCGAATCGATAGCGACGACAGCGATGACCGCAACTCCTAGCCGCATGGGTAGCAATCGTAAGAGGAAGAGGCTCAGACTCGACCGCAGCAAACGGCATAAAATCACCTTTGAATTGAAGGGTATAAACGTCGATATGGTCAACTTTTCAGACGGCTCTGGCGAGACACAAAGTTCCGTTGACGTCAAAGTTAAGGATCTGGACGTCTTCGACCACGTTCCGACTTCGACCTGGAAGAAATTCGCGACATATGACCAGGACGCAGGCGAGCGGGAGCTCAGTACTAGTATGGTTCACCTTGAGCTACTAAACGTGAAGCCGGTCCAAGAACTTTCGGCGACAGAGCTTGTAGTCAAAGTCACGGTCCTTCCGTTGAGATTACATGTGGATCAGGATGCACTAGACTTCATCACCCGGTTTTTCGAGTTCAAGGATCCGGATGCACCAATACATGCTTCCGAAGCTGATGTGCCGTTTGTCCAAAGGGCCGAGGTTATGTCTATTCCTGTCAAGCTCGACTTCAAGCCAAAGCGCGTAGACTACGCCGGGCTCAGGTCTGGCCACACAACCGAGTTCATGAATTTCCTCATCCTGGATGAGGCTCGGATGGTATTGCGACATACTATCGTTTATGGTGTATCGGGTTTCGATAGGTTGGGCAAGATGCTGAATGATATCTGGATGCCCGAAATCAAGCGCAATCAACTGCCAGGCATTCTGACTGGTCTTGCAGCAGTCCGCCCAATTGTCAATGTTGGCAGTGGGTTCAAAGACCTAATTGAGGTTCCTATCAGGGAATACAAGAAGGACGGCAAGATTGTTCGTAGCATTGGGAAGGGAGCCGCAGCTTTCGCAAAGACCACGGGCACGGAGATTGTGAAGCTCGGAGCCAAAGTCGCCGTAGGTACGCAATATGTCCTTCAAGGCGCAGAAGGATTGCTCGTCAGGCCAGGCCAGCAGGAAAGCAGCTGGGAGGACGATGATGTGGACAATGAGAACACCAAGAAGATCAGCTTGTATGCTGAACAACCGAATGGCGTCATGCAGGGCCTCAGGGGTGCTTATTCGAGTTTGGCTCGGGATCTTAACGTGGCTAGAGACGCCATTATTGCAATCCCAGGCGCCGTGCAGGAGAGTCAGAGCGCACAGGATGCTGCAAAAGCCGTCCTGAAGCAAGCACCTTTTATTATTTTCAGACCATTGATAGGTTCAAGTAAGGCTATTGGGCAAACTCTGATGGGTGCGACCAACTCGCTTGATCCTCACAATAGGAGACGTATAGAAGAGGTAAGCTTTTCTACACACTAATCGCCTCAGGTTTCGAGAGTCACGGTTGCTAACTACGTTTCAGAAATACAAGCGACATTGAAATTAAAACAACATTTAGCATCACGATCATTACAGCATGGCGCACCGGATACACTGGATGGGCAATGTCTTCTGCCCACAAGGACGACTTGGACGGATAACATGATGGCTGCTTAAATTGCATCATAGACGGCGAAACTGGGCGGTTTTCATTTCATTTACACCCCGACCATACCTCAGATTGGATGCATTTCACTTGAAATTAGGATGAGACAGAACATTGAAGATGGCAACCTGCTACGAAGCTGTATGATATCTTATATCCTATTTGTACCAGTAGAATACCAGATTTCAACAAATCCCGGCGGCCCCAGCCGCTTTAAACAGCATCACAATGTTGTTTTATGCTTGTCGTCATAACCAAGCAGTTTGGTATATCATATGCGCATGACGTCCAGCGTGAATTCCTTGATAGGCAACAAATGCCATCATGGAGGACATGCCACAAAAAGGTATTCTCGAGGATCACCACTACTGTAGACCGTGCTTCACGCACAACCGCAACCGATGCTGAGATCCATCTGGTTAGGTTACGCATGTAGTGCTGGTGGGGCTGTCTGCCGATTTCCCCGCTATCTACACCTGTGTATCAACCGGAAACACAATCAAGTGCCCTTCGAATGCAGAGAAAACGAGTCACCACAACACGATGTCAAAAGTGGACAACGATGTTAAAGGCCGTCTAGCGCTTATCACTGGCGCCTCCGGGGGGTATGTCAATCTGCATTGGAAACTTGAGCGTTTTGCTACGAGTGTTGTTGCTATACCGGCGGGACTAATACAAGCGCCTCCAGCATTGGCGCGGCCTGTGCCAGAAGCCTCTGGGCCGAGGGTGCCTCGCTGGCACTGACCTGCCACAAGAATCGGCAACCAGTCGATGATCTGGTCGAGGAGATCTTGTCGTCGGCGAGAGATGTAGGTACTACCGCCACAAGGGGAAACGAAGGGAGAAAGATTTCGGTCCACACCGTGGACACTGGGTCTGTGTCGGACATCGAACGCCTGTTTCGAGATCTCAGACGGGACCACCAGCTGGAACCCCACCAAGGGCCCGACATCTTGGTCTCGAATGCCGGCCATGGCAAGCGTATCCCAGACATCCTCGACATCTCCGTCGACGAGTTCGATTATACGTTGAACGTCAACTTGAGGGCCAGCTTTGTGCTGACCAAGTTGAGCGTGCCGTGGATGCAGGGGAATGGCTGGGGTAGGATCGTCTTTGTGAGCTCGATCGCAGCAAGTGGTGGGGGGATTAACGGATGTCATTGTATGTGCAACCCTGCTTGTACATCTGACCACGGAGACAGTACAACCTCCTGCCATGCATCTTCACAAAAATATCGTTTGTTGCATTTTATGTGCATTTTCAGATGGTAGTGCCGAGTTCCCAGTGGTTCGTCTGGCATTACCGAAGAGGGCATTCTTGAGACGGGACTTGAGGCGTTGACACCTTTCAACTCATGTCAGAAACGAACATGTTACGCTTGCGATTAACCTCTTGTCAATTTTTAGATGCGGCCTCGAAGGCAGGTTTGACCGGTATGATGAAGAACCTGGCAGCAAAACAGGCCCAATTCGGCATCACGGTCAACGACGTGGCACCCGCCATGATCGGTGACACGGGCATGATACCAGACGCGAAGTTCGTGGAGGGGACGCCTGGCGATGTCAAGAACATACCTGTGGGCCGCCTCGGCACGCCGCAAGAGTGCGCGAACGTCGTGGTTATGCTCTGCAAGACTGGCTATATGACCGGCCAGAGTATCTTGTTGAGCGGCGGCTTGAAGTGAGGGGCGACGGTCGAGCTGTGTCGAGTCAGGAAGGCTGGCGATGCGACTGTGGTCGTCTATGGATAGTACACTCGCTAGCTATCGACTTCTAGAAGGCGATCGCTGTTGAGCGCATTTCGGAATGCCATGGTTTGAACGCGTCGATAGCCTATGCGGGCCCCACGTGCAGTGCATGCAGTCCCTGTGGATATCAACTAACCTAAGCTTACATAGTAACCTTTAGATGTAACCTAGGATGGCCTGTAGCACGTCATTCAAGGGTATTAATCTCCCGCTTGGTGGGGTGCTGTTCGAGGGGCATGTACAAATGAGCAGCTCTTTTAGAGGGGCGCGCTCTCGTCCGAAACCATGTGTTTACGCGGCTTAACAGTTCCTTGACTCGGAGACGAAACTGGAAGTTTTTCTTGGGTATTTCTATTTCGAGTACTGAAACCCCAGCCTTATCGTGTTAGTGCCTGTTATCTGGCTCTTGGACTATACTTGTGTCCACAGCGCAGTGACAATCTGCAGATCATTATATACCGCAACTAGATCCTCTCTTCTTCTGGGCCTCTTCTCGAACCAACTTACCATTCCCATCCCATATTTAATTCTGAAGATCGCACTGCGGGCCAGCAATCCAGAGCAAAATCCGTGCTATCGTTTCCTGCACATATACTACAATAACTTCGACGATATAGTATTATCATGGCGGACGGCAAGAAAGCAGTTGAGTCTGACAAGGGTATGCCACCCAACATCTGCAGCTTTGCGGTCTCTCTCACGTGTTCCTAACTTGGCTGTCTCTATAGTCTGGACGACTTTGATCACAAACAATGCCTACCTCTCCGGCCTCCTCACACTCGACTTCTCGCTGAAGCAACAAAAATCCAAATACCCGCTGGTCGCCCTATACACGGACACATTCCCCGAGTCCGGGCTCGCCGTCCTCAAGGCGCGCGGCGTCCCGGCGCAGCGCATCGAGTATCTCCTGCCCACGCAGGGCAAGGACTACAGCAACGACCCGCGGTTCTACGACTGCTGGAGCAAGCTGACGCCGTTCTCCCTCGCGCAGTACAAGCGCGTCGTGCAGCTGGACTCGGACATGCTGGTGCTGCGCAACATGGACGAGCTGATGGAGATGGACCTGGACGAGCCCTCGGACGTCGAGAAGGGCGTGGGCAGCCGCGTCTTCGCCGCCGGCCACGCCTGCGTCTGCAACCCGCTCAAGAAGCCCCACTACCCCAAGGACTGGGTCAAGGAGAACTGCGCCTTCACCCACCAGCACCCGGACCCCGAGAAGGCCCAGACCGAGGGCATCGACCCCAGTGTCGGCCCCCTCGGCTTCATGAACGGCGGCCTCCAGGTCGTCAACCCCAGCAAGGCCGTCTTCAAGCAGATCGTCGACTTCATGGAGAACCACGCCGTCAACATGGACTTCGCCGACCAGAGCGTCCTGTCGGATCTGTACCGGGGCCGCTGGGTGCCCCTGCCATATATCTACAACGCGCTCAAGACCATGAGGTGGGAGGGCGTCCACGATCCCATCTGGAGGGACGAGAGCGTCAAGAACGTCCATTACATCCTGGCGCCCAAGCCCTGGGACGAGGTGGACGAGCAGGGCAACTTCATCGGAAAGGACGAGTCGCATGCGTGGTGGGTGAGGGTCAACAATGAGAGGTTAAAGGCCGAGAGCGAAAACGGGGTGCCGAAGGACGGGTTTTAACCCTTTTCGTAAAAGGAGGAAGCGGATGGGAACTTTGTTTGGATCGTTTGAATGAGATATGGGTTGGGCATTGAGCGCGTGCATCTTGGGTGGCATTTACGGAGCGGTATAGGCAGGGTGGTCGCAAGATCTGACAGAGTCCTTTGACTGGTTTAGATCGCCAAGTCGAGTATAGATCTCGAATTCCATTTTACGTTCAGCATGAGAACGCGTCAAAGTCAAGTAGTGACTCGATGTAAGCAGATTCGTTGCGCTATGCTGCATGTTAAGTCTGAAGTCTAGTCGCCGGGCTGGGTATACTTGAGACAAAGCACGCTAGTTTTTGCGGCTGTCGGCAGGTCAGACGGGCAATCCAGACCTCTCTTGTCTGCCCTCACAATGCCGTCATTGAGGACGATTTTGATTTGTTACAAAAAAGCACATGTCATTTCTGGTTTCTGCGATTTGGAAGACCTCGTGTATTTTGACCGGGTTGCAGAGCCTCTTGCCACAGGAACAAACCATATCGTCCTCGGTGAATCGGCGTTCTGCTGCAGGATAAGATCAACCCTTTCTAGGCGAAGCTAAACAGCTGCAGCCATGGAGGAGACTCATAGAGTACCGGACGATGCGCCGTGTGCCGTCAACTTGACCATGTTCCAAGGCTTCGAATGGCATCTCCCCGCAGACCACCAGCACTGGGCCCGACTGGCAAGGGCAATACCGGACCTTGCCACACTGGGCATCACGAGTATGTGGATTCCGCCCGCCGCCAAGGGCATGTCGCCCGTGAGCACAGGATACGACACGTACGATCTTTACGATCTGGGCGAGTTCGATCAGAAGGGAGCAAAGCACACAAAGTACGGAACGAAGGACGAGCTCGCGCGGCTGGTGGATGCGGCCAACGGTCACGGCGTCGGCATCATATTCGATGCTATCCTCAACCACAAGGCCGGAGCAGATCGCAGCGAGGTGGTCTCGGCTGTCAAGGTTGATCCCGAGGGCAAGTTCCTCTCCCCCGGTGGCAGCGGGTGGGTGCACGTTGTTAAGCGTGAGGCTGACTAGGCCGCGCCAGATCGTCTGAAAGACATCAGCAAGCCACAGCGGGTTGAGGCGTGGACCGCGTTCGACTTTGCGGGCCGCCGAGAAAAGTATAGCGCTCTGAAGTGGAACAAAGATCACTTTAACGGTGTGGATTGGGACCAAAGGTCCAAGTCGAACGCGATATGGAGACTGGATGGTAAGAAGTGGGCTCGCGACGTCGACGAAGGAAATGGCAATTACGATTTTCTGTGCGTTCCCAATTTGTGCAAGTGTCGTTGCAAAACAGTCACTGACGGTTTGACCTCGATAGCATGTTTTCAAACATAGATCACAGTCACCCTGAAGTTCGCGCCGATCTATACCGTTGGGTTGAGTGGCTTGGGTCACAGCTTAAACTTGGCGGGCTACGCCTGGATGCCGTCAGACACTTCTCAGCGTCTTTCCTCCGCGACCTGATGCGACACATCGATACATCAGTTGGCCAAGATTGGTTCGTGGTCGGGGAATACTGGAGGGGCAATGTGGAAGTGCTCTCCGCCTACGTCGAGTATATGAACTACCGGCTCTCTTTGTTCGACGTCCCCTTGGTAGAGGGCTTTTATAAGGTCTCTACTGGTGCCGAACCAGATATACGCAGGCTTTTCGATGATAGTTTGGCTGCTATAAAGCCGGCGAACACGGTTGTAAGTTTGTTTTTGCTCCATGGTGTGCTTCGAATAATAATGCCTGCTATAGACTATAGTTACAAATCACGATACCGTGAGTTGCCTCAAGACTTCGTGACCCGAATTTGTTGACTGACATAACGAAGCAACCCGGCCAAACTATGGAGGTCGGTTTCTCGATGCCATATTCCACGTCGAATAGTCCTACTGACCATTTTGTAGATGCACGTGGAGCCTTTCTTTATCCCTATCGCTTATGCCATCATTCTTCTCTGCGCAGACTTCGGACTGCCATGCGTCTTCTGGGGAGACATCTACGGTATTCGAGGGCCTCGCCGTCCGCAGCCACCTCCTCAGGACGGATTGATGGTGCCGCGGCTCATGCTAGCACGGAAGTTTTGGGCTTATGGGACTGAGATGTCCTATTTTTCCGACTCGAAGACTTGCATTGGTTTCACGAGGTTTGGCCATCCCTCGCGGTCTGGAGGAGCTGGTCTGGCGGTCACTGCAAACATTGGCTGGCGTTGTGATGAGAAGCGAATGTGTGTTGGGAGGCAGCACGCAGGTGAGCGATGGGCAGATGTACTCGGGAAGGCTTGGGGAGAGGTTTGCATCGACGACGCTGGCTATGGAGTTTTCCCTGTCGCGCCGCGAGGGGTGAGTGTCTGGACAAACAAGGCGGCCGAGAACTGGGACATGGTCGGCGCGTTCATTTTGTGAGTATGCCCAACGTTCTCTGTCTCCGTTTGCAATTCCCTCATTTGGCGCGTGGTTTAGGATAAGCCCCTCGTAGGACATTGTTAACTTTCACTCAGCGACCACAAGGATTGTGGCATAGTCAAGCCCAGAAGTGACGAGAGCAAACCACCGAAGGCAGGCGAATCATTTCCCGGTTTCCTTCGATCGAGACTCAAGACCGCAGACAGCCAGATTGCTGAGGACGAAGCGGGATCGAGTTGATGTTGGTGCTCGACCCTCGAGAAAGCTCGAACGGACTGAATACCTATGAGCATGCGATACTTGTACAGGGGTGAGAAAAACCACGTGAAGGGTCGTCGTCCTAACACATATCCAGCAGAACGTGACATGATTAAGGGGGTGCTGCGGGTTGGTACTAGGTTAGACTAACTACATAGTCTGACTTGCACAGTACATAGTACATACGGATCCGTAGTGGGTTTATGATCGTGGAGGCTGAGATTTTGATGCCGAGTATGCTCGTCATTGACTTTGTTTCGCTAATCCGTTTGCACTGCTAAAACAGCCAGTAGGACTCTCGCTTACAGATCAAGTGGCCCGCTAACTCCAGAGGCCGATTCCGGCGCTAGACCAACGCAGTTGGCTCAAACTCCAGCGCTCGATAGTCAGCATTTGGTTATTGTTTTATACTAGACGTCATGGCGACCTGCACCGACCGTCACTTGTCACGCTTCTTCTCGATGTAACTCCAGATGGCAGCCGACCTGAAGCACAAGCAGAAGCCGGCAGAGGCCAGCCCAACGAAGAATTACAAGGGTTTCGTCGCTGGTGTTTTCTCCGGCATTGCGAAGCTCTCGGGTACGTGCTTTTCTGTTTCCATTGCAACTTTCCTCACGGGCAACCAGCCCTGTGCAACAAGCCTCGCCATGACAAGTGTGACCCCAAAAGACCGCACCAAAACCAACTAACGACAAACTGTAGTTGGCCATCCTTTCGACACGGTCAAAGTCCGCCTGCAGACTACCGACTCGTCGCGCTTCGCCGGCCCCCTACAATGCGTCGCCCAAACCCTCCGCCATGAAGGCGTGCGCGGGCTCTACAAGGGCGCCTCGCCACCGCTTGTGGGATGGATGTTCATGGACAGCATCATGCTCGGCTCCCTGACCGTATACCGCCGGCTGCTGGCCGAGAACCTATTCCTCCAACACACCCCCACACTGCCGCATGCCGACCCGGCCGCCGCCGACCACAAGCAGCCCATCGCCGGCGCTGCCCACGCCGTCGCCCACCTGCCCTCGTATGGACATGGCCTCGCCGGCGTCATGGCAGGAGCCACCGTCTCCTTCATCGCGGCGCCCGTCGAGCACATCAAGGCGCGCCTGCAGATACAATACTCGGCCAAGAAGAATGAGAGGCTGTACTCGGGGCCGATCGACTGTCTGAAGAAGATATACGGCGCACATGGCGTCAGGGGCGTGTACAAGGGCCTCGCGGCCACGCTGCTCTTCCGCTCCTTCTTCTTCTTCTGGTGGGGTTCGTATGATGTCTTCACCAGATTACTGCGGGATAGGACGTCGCTGAGCGCGCCGGCGATCAACTTCTGGGCCGGAGGGCTGAGCGCGCAGGTCTTCTGGATTACGAGTTATCCCAGTGACGTCGTGAAGCAGAGGATCATGACGGACCCCATGGGCGGGAAGCTGAATGATGGCACGCCGCAGTTCAGGAGGTGGTCCGATGCCGCAAAGGCTGTGTACAGGGAGACTGGCTACAAAGGATACTGGAGAGGTTTCCTGCCGTGTTTCTTGAGGGCTTTCCCCGCGAACGCGGCTGCTTTGGTGGCGTTTGAAGGCGTTATGAGGAATCTGCCTTGAAAAGACTCCCATCATTGTATGTATTAGTAATTCGACGGTACGGACTATAGACTAGAAATAGATGGGGCAGGCAGTCATGCTCAATACACCACTCCAATTCCTGTGCAACACCGAGAAAATCACTCTTGATATTAGAAGCATTATCGCCGACCACCCCCAAGACTAATTCGATGACGATCTAAGGCAGTTCCTGTCAGGTCTGCTTTACAGCATGAAGGCTGAATCCTGGCCAGTAGGAAGATTCAGTGTAGCAGTAGGTGGTGCCGAGCTTGCGAAAGTCTTTGCTCTTGTATACTTCATGCATAAAGCAGATGAACCGCTCTATATGTGTTATATGTTATGATGTGTATAAAATACTATAATAAACCAAAGCTTAACCTTATTACATCTTGGAGCTCGGAAGTATTGTACTTTTTGTTTTGAAATGCGCCGCGTAAACATTTTACGTAATTCAGCTTTCTTTCCACATCTAAATTAGTGGAGGCAGAGCTTGACACACCAATCTGAAACCATTCTTGATAGTAGAGTGCGCGCACGTCTTCTCCGGGTTGCTAGGTGAATAAAGATGATTCCCATATATAGCTTGCAGGAATATTAGTTTCAGAGCCGGGGACAAACTTGTGAAGGTATGTTTGACAAGTACTGGCACCTCGTATAGCGCACCAATACTGCGTCGATACATTTCATCCCACTGGGCAACATATCGGGGCGGAGGATACCGATTCCTAGATATTTGTGTATATCGAGAGGAGCATTGGACGGCCAGTCTCGCCGGGCTACCATGGACCGTATTTGCGTTGGCAAATTACCAAATTGACCACGGCAGTCTATGGTCTCTGACCCGATCCCGCGGCAAATACATCAAGGCCGTGGCAAAAAGTGGGATGCTCATCAGAGCCGATACAAGAGACTCATTCCGTGGTCGGCCGATGTGAAGCCATATTCGTCTCTGGTACTCATACGTCGTGAATATCTGTGACCATCAGCTACCAAATCTGCCCAGGGACGATAGGAGGTGAGAGCCAGTCTTTTGGATGTTCAGTACACAAGCCAAGCTGGGAAGAGCAAATCCATCGCGGCCTGCTCTAACAACACATCATGTCCACATCACGCATTCAATCAGTCTATTGGCCACAAGCCCGAGTCATGTCACCGTCAAGGCTGGTCTGAACAATAATGGAATTGCCGGGAAATTCCCGCGTTCCTTATTTAGTAAGGAGGAAGATGCTAAGATAATGAAGGATGATACCAAGGGAGTGTAGTCAGCCAAGTCCATGTTCCAAAGAATGGTCAGCATGGTTCACTAATATATACCTTCCCAGTCCCCCTTTGCCGACTTGCTTGGCGACAGTTGCCAGGGTTAGTCTCTGGGCTTTAGGCACAGCTCTGAGCGCACAAGGGTTGTCGGTGCAGCGGCCATTCTCTGCAGGTACACCCAAAAATTATTCCTAGCTAAAGTAACACCGACATCTTGAGCGCAACATTGTTCATACGTGGTTTCCGCAGGAAGAGGCGAGGCATTGAGTGAAGCAATCTACAAACATAAAATCACTGTAAGTCTTGCATTTCCAGAAGTTCCCAATATCTGCCTCTCGCCCGAACAAGCTCGTCGTGAGTGCCTGACTCCACTAGCTTGCCATGGTCCAGGACGCATATTAGATCCGCCTTTTTGATGGTGCTTAGTCGGTGGGCCACCGCGATCGTGGTCCTATGCCTTGACGCGAGCTCGAGCGCTTCTTGTACTAGCACCTCGGACTCTGTATCCAAGGCTGAGGTGGCCTCGTCCAACAGTAATATTTTCGGATTTCGCAGGAGTGCTCGTGCGATCTCAATTCGTTGCTTCTGACCACCACTCAACATGCTGCCCCCGGGACCAACCATCGTTGAAAGGCCGTCCCTAGGGGAAAGAAAGAAAAAGAAAAGTTAGATGCGGTGTGTTCGTACGTGACAAGAATTGAGAGGCTTACTGAAGAGAGGTGATGAATTCCTCAATGTTGGCTTGTCGGCAGGCAGCCCATATAGCTTCATCGGATACATCCTCCCCTGGTAGACCCATTGCGATGTTTTCCCTGATCGTGGTGGAGAACAGAACGGCTTCTTGGCTAACAAGCGAGACTGATCTGCGGTGCTTGTCTAGATCGACCGTGGAAAGGTCCTGGCCGTCTATGAGGATTGATCCTGCGCCAGGGGAATAGAAGCGCTCAATCAAAGCAAGAGTTGTACTCTTTCCGCAACCGCTTGGACCTACCAGAGCCACGAACTGGCCAGTACCCACATCCAGGCTGAAGTTGTCCAGAGCGAGGCGTGCTCTTCTCGACGGATAGGCAAAAGTGACATTGTTGAACTGTACATGATGGCTGTACCCTTGGCTCCTTTCTTTTTCGCCGTAGGATCGCTGTTCGGATGGGCGGGTAAGCCTGCGTTGTAAAATGCTGTCGACTTCCTGACCAGCAATCATGGCCTTGCTTGCATCAGGAGCGAACGAGAAGACGGATCCAGCAATCTGCGCGCCCGAAATAAGAGCAGTGTAACATATATAGACTTGAAAAAGAGAGTATTCGCCGTTGAGCAGCAACGTTCCTCCATACCAGAATGCCAAGGCGTAGGCGAAATAAACCACGGACTGGGACGCAGCATAGAGGCTGGACGCGCGAAGGATGGAGCCGAGCGATTTCTCCGACTGCTTTGCCAAGAAGCCGTCGTATCTTTCGAGAACAAACTCCTCGAGACCAAGACTCGCAACTGTACTGGCCGCCTTGACGATCTCCGTGGCGTACGACGCGGCATCCACTCCGTTTTGCCTCGTTTGCGAGTCGAAGATGGCGAGCATTTGTAGACGCACCCAGCCGCACGCCACGACGAGGGGAATGGTCGCAGTGCAAACCAGTGCCAACTTCCACCCCAGTGCCACGGACAGAATGATGCCGCCTAGAATAGTGCAGATGAACGTCAGCGCGCCTCCAATGATGGGACCGCTTAGACCTGTGAGCGCGTCGGTGCTGGTTGTCAAGATAGAGAGCAAAGAGCCAGTCGAATTAGCTTTCAAATCGAAGAATTCAATGTCTTGCGCAACGATGGAACGGAAACATCTGTCTCGAATGGTTCGGGCAAGTTTCTCGGTTGTATAGGCAAGGGAGAATCCCAGTCCAATGTAAAGAATAAAGTTTGCACATGCCAATGCGAGGAAGATGCCTGCCAGCAGGTTCACCTGGCTCCGCATCGTGCCATACTCCGATGCAGTCGAAGACAAGGCTTCTAAAGATTTCGCAAACACAATAGACTGTCTACCAACCAGGTTAGCTATCGCGAGCCAAAAGCAAAGAGATGGAGGAAAGAGAACACTAACCCAGGCAGTACCAAGCCGGCCACAATGGAGCAAATCAGGCCAAACAACAATATCCAACGTTCACTCTTGTTCATACGAACAATGAGTCCCAAGGTCCTACCCAGCCCCCAGTTCTTGGGCTTATTCGCATCGGCAAAGATCCCTCCGGACTCATCGCCTGGTCTTTGCTCCTGCCAGGGTTCTGCCTTCAGAGCAGTGGCTCTCTCATCTTCTTGAATAGGGTCGACCAAAGGTTCTCCTAGGTTCTCCTTTCCACTTTCGTCGTTATTTTCGTCCTGGCGACGGCTTATTATCTGCTGCGCACGGACTAGGCGGGCATAGTGGCCATCCCGGGCAATCAGATCTGCGTGGGTGCCCTGTTCTGCCACAGCGCCCTGCGACATGACGACAATATTGTCCGCATGGCGGATTGTACTTAGACGATGAGCGATCACAACTGTAGTTCGGTGTTTGGCTGCTTTGTTCAGCGCCGCCTGCACAACGGACTCCGAGGCAGCGTCCAGGGCCGAGGTTGCCTCGTCAAGCAACAAAATCTTGGGATCTCTCATCAAAGCCCGAGCGATTGCAATTCGCTGTTTCTGGCCCCCTGAGAGTTGCGTGGCATTCTCACCCACCCTTGTCTGGTAGCCATCTGGCAAGGCCATGATGAAGTCATGTGCGTTTGCCATCTCCGCTGCCGATATTATCTGCTTGGTGAGCTCTTCTCCCGAGGGCTGTGTGGAGAAGCTGACTGTGCCATAACGAATATTCTCGTATATAGTGGTGTCGAATAGGATAGGCTGCTGTCGGACGAGTCCCGTTTGGCCGCGTAACCATCGCAGATTAAGCGACTGAATGTCAACGCCGTCCAGGTCTTCAAGCACCAACCATGAGTATGACTATTCTTGCAAGATTGCCGAAGCCATGAGGAACTCACATATCTGCCCACCAGTAGGTTCATAGAATCGTTCCAACAGGTTGATGATACTACTTTTCCCACTGCCTGAAGAGCCCACTATTGCTGTAGTCTTCATGGCCGGACAACTAAAAGACACCTCTTTCATAACCTGGGAGTCAGGTCGCTTGGGGTACACGAGACTTACCCCGCGTAGCTCAATGTTGCCTTGAAAGCTGTCCACAACGGCGCCTGACGGATCGAATGGGTCTTGCGGAGAGCGTCGACACATCTCGCTCAATATGACGCTGGCGCTAGACATTGTGGAGGCGAGCGCTTGGGCAGCAGGCGCAATCCTCACAATCGCGAATGCGCCGATCACGACCACGAGGGCAATGGTTGTTAGTTGGGCGACGGACACGTCTCCTTGGACAAGGAAAATGGAGCCTGCCCAGAAGGTGAGAGCGTGGACTAATGGGGGCACGGCATTAGACCATGCGATTACGAAGCCGATGACATAAAGGGCTTTGCGGCTTGGTTGGCCGGCACTATTCAGAAATGATTCGTATTTCGTAGCAAGATGGTGCTGAACCCCAAGAGCGTACACCTGGCGTACAGAAGAGATGGACTCCTGAGCCAGACTTGAGGCTTTCTCGCTGGCCACCTTGGCCTCCTTATGGTATTTTAGAATACGAGTGCCGCCGAGCAACCCGAATAGTGTCATGAGAACATATGTAGGACTCAACACGAGAGCCGTCCGCCAATGCACGACCATGGAGACAACAAAAGCGGCAGCAAATGTGGCCATTGCTGTTAGAGCGATAGATAGCTTAGTGGTGATGCCTTCCTGCACGTGCGTCATATCAGACATGATGCGTGCAGAGACTTCTCCGGGTTCGTGCGTGTCAAAGAAAGCCATGTTTTGTCTGATGATTGCCTTGAGATAGGCATTGCGCAGGGCGCGTGCGGTGCGCTCTCCGACATAGTAGAAGCCAACTGTGGCTATGTAGATCAATACGAAGATGGCTATGGCTAGGTAGACCCAGTAGAGGGTAAATGTGACGAGCTGACGGCGCGCGTCTGTCGAGGAGGTAGAGGATCCGCTGTAACTGCCGAAAATACCAACTGTTTGACCGTATATGACCTGCACAGGGTTAACTTTTCCTGCTGCGTACACACCGATACTAAAAAAAACATCACTATACCGAAATAAGGGGGTTCAAGACGCCGCCAAGTATAGCGCAAGTGAAACTGACGAAGATTATGACTTTGTCTCGCGGTGTTGAGTAGTTGTGAAGCCTCTTTTTGTCTGACTGATCCGGTGCTAAGCCATTGAGTTGCCGGTCCAGGATGACTCTGACCTTCTCATTCAATTCCATCTTCACCCGGCGTTGTTCTATTGATTTCGAGGTATGAGACGTAGTCAGAAAAGAAAAGATAAGACGTATTGCTCAAAAGTGCATGTAATAAGCAAACAAGCATCAAAAGGCAAGAAGTTCTTGGCACGCGGTTTGAAAGCACGTTCTTGAGTATCTAACAGATTTTTGAAAAAACTGCATGTACCTCCGGTGAACTCTTTCAAAAAGAATTTTTGCGCAGATATTCCATGCAAGTATGTCAAAGGTATGGGCAGCTTAGAACATTGGTCATTTCGCTTTGAATATATCATATCACACCATGCTACTATTGACTCACCCACACCTTCTTGTTTAGTCTCGCCGAGAAATAAAGTTGCCGTAGGCCAAAGACACAGGCCAGGGACGCAATCAACTGTTTTAAACGTGGGGTAGTGCAGATCAAATTTATCCTTGTATCATATTGTTTCTGATTTCAACCCGACTGGCCTCTCATCGATAAAACACTTCAATTCCAATCAATGCAAGTCTTTTTACAGCGGATTTTAAATTTGTTGTAAATAATTTGGTTAATGTAAATGTTATAAAGGGTTCTTAAGAAAATTATTTAAATGTTATTAATTGTATACGAATTAATGAGAAATAAACTAAATTTCCACGTTTTAAATTTTAAATTCTTTATTTATAAAAGACGGCACATAATATATAAGCGAACGAATTGCCTAGTGAGGTGTGAGTGAACCATGCATTCACTCCAGTTTCTGTGATAGGAGAATCAGCTCTGCGCCGCCAAGCTTATACAAGAATTGTGCATATTTCTAGTAGGACAAATTTCATTCTTATAGACAATGAGTGGCAATCCGGTGTGCTATACTATGGATAGCATCAGAATCATCTGCGCAAAGAGTCCATCATTGACAAACCGATCACAGCTCGCTGCGGCTCATGCTCAAAGATCAACTTGACATATAGTATTGCCCAGGATTATTTTGAACTTTATTAAAGAGTAAGAGGACTTGTAGGGCCGAAAACAGACCTTCTTGTCAACATTCATCGCCCCTACCATGCCGGTATACAATATGCTTGCGAGTGATTTATGAGGTCCAAGAAGCAACAGGATGCTCCTTGACTAATATCGCTTCGACCGATTGTGATGGCATGTGGCACATGCGGGTAAGGGAGCGACAACCACTGCGATATCTACCGTTGTAGAAATTATGAACTATTTGAAAGAGATCCACCATAGCTGGTGCCTTTCGACATAGACAATTTATGCAAGCATCACAAGGATCCCCGCGGTCTCTACGGCGAGCACATCAAACGTGTAAGTATTCAGGAGTCCATCGGGTTTGTCAATGGTCCATCCTAGACTAGCAAACATTGCACTACACAATTTCGTACCGTGTCTCTTTTCTCACCTCCTTGGCTATCTCCAACGCATGGCGGCGACTTGTGCGCGAGAAAACATTGTAGTAAGCTACCCATGTGTTGATGCCGGTGCCCGGATGCGACACCCTATCGCCTCGCATAACAAAACACCCACAATTTGATATGTATTTCGCAAGATCCGGCCGTCGTTGTTTGAGCTCTTCGCAGATGTCCCCTGAGTCAAATATTCCCACCCGATCTGGGGGGAAGTCGGTAGGTATGTAGGTCATGATGCACCAGTACTGATTACGCTGGCGGAAAGGGTAAGCCATCGACGATACCCTAGTCTTGTCCCGTAATGCAATAAGCATGGACAAAGCATGGTAGTCGACGCCATATGTTATTCGAGGATGAATAGCGGCCGCGGTTCCTGGTGGTCGCGGGTTGATATCTAGCACGAAAGCACTTGGTTTTGGGGAGCCGTCATCTGCACTTCGCCGTGGGTGGAGATCGAGAATCCCGAGGGAGTCTGTCTTATACTCCATGGTGGAGTTCTTCACTCGTCCTTCGACATGGAAGACTCCGAAGTCAAGACCATTATGCACCAACAGGTCATGAAACGTCCGTCGAAGCACTAGCTGTTCCGCCTCAGGCAGGGCGGAGGGTGCAACACTGTCCATCTCAATGAAAGTGTTCACCATCATCTCTCCGTTTCCTTCTGCTGCTTTCTGATAGTCGTCGGAGATCTCGTAGAACAGCAGGTTCCCGTCGTACATGATCATGTTGAGGTCGACTTCAGGTCCGTCACAGTATTCTTCAACCACAAACTCTGTGCCATGGCGTTTGAAGTCGATCTGACTGACGGCATCTACGAGCTCGGCACGGTCTGCTACTTTAAAAACGCCTTCAGAGCTCCAGCCTGAACATGGCTTCACAATCAAAGGGAGAGCGAGGTCTTCGCGGCGAGAAATAGCAAGTGCGTCCTCTACGGTGTTTCCACGATAGGAAATGCGTCCTGCTGCAGCACTGGTTTCATATTTATTCGTTGCTATCGTGTATGCCTCCGGAGTCAGTGTTGGTAGAGAGAGTATTTGGGCTGCCTTCGCTACACCGACTTGAAACTCGTCGAAAAAGCTGACTATACCCCCAATGCGGTCCTTCTGTGCATGGAGTGCTTTGACGATGTTGTCCGCTAAAACCTGGCTATCGGCGGACAACTCACAAGGAATGAAGGATTCCCGCAAGTCGTTGTAGCTACCGTTCTCTAGCCAATGTCCTGGCTTATCCAACACAATGATGCGAAGGCCAAGTGCCCGAGCTGCCGGGTAGATTCTAGCAGCGTTGCCATCATATTCGGGCTTGGAACCTCCACCCTCGACCAAGACTAGCGTTCGTTCCCGCGTTGATGGCAGCTCTGCAAGGGTCCAAGGAAATGATAAGCGGTCCAACAACTCGGACTGTATCGCTTCGAAAGCAGCGCCAGGATCACCTGTGGAAAGCTCTTCGCGAACGAAGAATCCTCCAGCAGCGGAGCACAGTAGCTCGGGGAGGCTGTTATTGACTTCGTCAAGATTGTCCTCGGGAAAGTATTGCAAGGGACTGGCGAATGATGTGGCGCCTTCCAAAGGTTCGCAGTCGACTAGACGAAGTGAAACAACATCCGACCGCACGATATATCCAGATCTGGAGGGCAAGATGAGACCTCCAAGATGTCGGGCGAGGTTGGTAGAGCTACCAGTAATGCGCAAAGCACTGGTCAAGTATGCATACGCCGCGGCAGAGCCTACTTCGCCGGCCCCGATCTTTTCTTCCTTTGTCTCTACGGAGCCATCACGCAAATAATAAAGGCTTGAACCACTCTTCGGTAATCGCTCAGGCGTAGGCGTTGAAGACAAGTACTCAAAGACAATCCCTATGAACAAGAAGTGCTGGTGATGAGTAACGGTCCAACGACATTTGGCTCTTACTATCGACTTGTTTATTAGATACTCTCATAAAATCCTATTAACTCAAGGGTGGAGGTTGCGCACTTTCGGCAGTATCTTCTCTCAAGATCCAGATTTCCATTGTCTCATCCCTCTTTCCGGTGTGACGTAGGTTCGACGGCATATTGTTGTCTAACTCAAAGATTCCCCCATTTATTTAACCTCCGAGACTGACCACTATTCTAGTTATAATGCGGACGCTGCTATATGATGAGTTAATACAGTGAGTCACGCCGGCAGAAGCGGTAGGGTGGGGTATGCATAGGATTTCCAGCCCGAGTATTATGATCCAATGGTAAGACTTGAACGACAGCACTGTCATGTAATGAACCAGATGTCACTTGGTTAGTCAGGTATTTCAAAAAGATTACGCCATTTACAGTCGCCGTGCTCCGCCACACAATCAATCGCTACCGAATAGCCTCTAACGTGTTCCAGTTCGTTACGATATCATCTGTGTCGCTCGCAGCATGATTGGCTAATTGAATCGATCCCAATAGGAGTGCGACGGCCCAGCCATAAATTCCCTGAATTGAACTTTGCTTAGCGATCTGTGAAGGATTACCCACGTCAATATTCTGACATTAAGCCCCATCCCAGTTTTCACTAGGTACCGCCTCGTGATATAAAGAATGGGAATCTATATTTGTTACTCGGCCAGATGGTTGGTAATTATTACTTATGGTCAACGAACGATGGTGTCTGTCAGTTGATATGTCCAGCTCATACTATGCGAAGGACAGAGGATAGTTCCTTCGAAGATTTCGCATTATAGGCCACGTAAGGTTCAAGATATTTATCTAAGGTGCTTTGTTCAAATAAATTCAAAATAAGCCATATGTTTTCTCCACAATCTCAATGCCTTTAATAGTATTGATAAAATTGGGCGTCAAAACGATGTAGTCCCCACGGAAACCATTTACGCTGTCCGTTCCGGCTGCAAGGTAATCTTGTAACGGGGATACAGCCCTCTGTGGCGAATGAAGAATATGATTCCTTTCTCTGACGTAAACTGCTCTCTGGTAGTCTTGTTTTATACCAATTCAATCGCGCACAAACATCGCCAAGGTGCAGACGATGACCACAAGTTTGCTCCCAGAAAGTTGCCCCATATCAACGACGTTGCAGATTAGACCCTTGTCTTTGATGATACTCTGTACTTACAGTACTGCAGTACTGATATGCATCCGGCTTCCTTTGGCAGAAACCATCACCGAGTATGGCTCGAGGATGTTCAGATGGAGAATGCAGCATTGGGAAGCATGTTGAGATGTCGCCGGATCCATTGCGGTTGTATGGCCTGAATAAGACCTAGCCGCCAAGGCAAATCATTCCGAGTTCCCTCTTCTTTTTTTCTTTTTAACAGCTGGGCCTAGGGGAGGAATTGCTCGAAACTCTATTGGACTCACCCTCTATCCTTGTTATCCTGGTCGGGCGTACAACTGTGGCTTTGACACCGGCCGAGAACAACAAAGACAGGACGTGGCAGCTCGTGGAGAAATTCGCTTTGACCCAATAATGAAAGGAATATGCTCTTAAAGGCTTCGACACTTGCCGTGGAACCGAATGCTTGGCATACCTCCACGTGAGCTTCCGGATGGACGGTACTTCTGGCGACCTTATCACCGTCAGGGCAAACACGTTTCCAGCTGTGTTCCACTCGCATGGAAACTGTCTTGCGGACCGTGCTGGACTGTTGCGTGGGCATTGGCGTTTTAGCACGCCAGGCCACCGACGCAGGCGTGCGTGCCGACTTCTCTGACATTGACTATTCAGTGGGCGTGTCTGAACTGCCGCACTCCAAGGCACTCTACAAAGTATCAACATTGATCGAACCCGTTCAGGCCCTCTTGATATAGGCCTGCATGCAAGTTAATATCGTGTGCTTCGGCTAGGTCCTATTTGTCCAGGTCCTTCGATTTTGGTACCATGCTCAGTCAACGGTTCCGCCGAGTTAGAAATCTGTCATCTTCGATATGAAAGATGTGTCTCAGACGTATATTCAGGGGTCTGCGGCAAAGGCCTGCGAACATGCCCAGGGAAGATCTTTACTTCAACCATAGCAATGTTGCCGCTGCTCTTCGATTCAATGCTTCACCCGAATAGTGTGCTGCTGTTTACAATCCTTGACACTATGCACAACACTCTCCGAAGTTTACACTCACTCTTTCCAACTCAAACGTACTCAGAGAGATATTCATACTATTATATTTATGTCGCGTTTTATTTTTTAGGCTGTAGCCATTATTTAAATGGCCGACCGAGTCGTTTTAGCGTGTCTTGGATGAATGATTTAGCGTTATCATAATACAGAAGAGCCGTATGTGCTTCCATTTGTCGTGGAGAAGTATAGACTAGAGTAAATATTCGAAAGAACGTGAGGTCCGAAAGTGTACCCGTCGTGGATTCGTTGTCATATATTCACATCCAACTTGGTGCCCCTGTGCGGCTGCAGGCTACGGCCATGGTTCATACCATAACTCATCAATAATATAAATAAGGGATCTGTTAACTGTATTAGTATTCACTTAACAAGAGATTGTCACCCATGATTTTGATCTTTGTTTATTAGAAACCAAATGTATCCTTGTATTTGTATTATTCTTTATAATGCTTATTCCAATTATGAAAAATCACGGTTCGACAGTTCCTCACAAAGGCTTACCGATCCTCTATAAAAACACAGGCTTAAACGTAGAGAACCTGACGATCCTCATAGAAGCATTTCAAAACTTGGAAGTACGAGATTGAAACCTCTTAATACGCAACCCACCACTTAAAGACAACGCAACCAGTTCATCTCTCTCATACACTGTGGACGTTATATTCACGCCAAAGCTTACCAACCATGTATTTCCGTCAGGCTGAACCCCAGATTAGATTCCCTTACGTGAGCTTTGACACAGACGACACTAAGACTAACGAGGGCGACGGTGAGAAGAAGGGCGACAATGAGCAGGGCGATAATGAGAAGAGTGACGATGAGAAGGTCGAAACAGAAACACATCGGCATCGACTCCTGGACAACGTGGTCCATCGCTTGCACGTCCAACTCGAGGAGAACTTGCCGGATCGGGGAAGCGACCCCCTCGTCACCTACTCAATAAAAGGCCGCCTTGACTGCAGGGTACTCATCAGTGTCCAAACCTACGCGCCTCCCGAGCGCCCTGTCAGTCCCTGGTTGACGGTGGAGATCAAACACAACGAGTTCAACTGCACGTGCATCCCCAGCTGCTTCGCTGAGATGAGCTGGAGGCTAAAGTATGACAGCCCCCTGAACCAGCAGCTCCGAAAGTTGGAGGACTTGCCCTTCAAATTCTGGGTCGACGAGGATGTAAAAGACTGGGATTCAAAGGAGACCGAGTACAAACGGGAGATACGCGAGTTCGTGTGGCGTCGCGTCCTGGCCTGGATCCTGACAACCAAGAAGGCTTTTAGACTTGCTGTACCCGAGTCGCTCTCGCGGATCGACATGACGGTTTGGAAGGATCCACGCTCCGGCGAAAACGTAATCCAGCTGGCCGATTTCTTGGGGTACAGTGGCAATGACGATGACGATGATTCGACAAAGGGCTATGCTCAAGTAGAGCTTACCACTGCAGTATCGAACGTGGTCGATGAAGATTAGCATAGCGAAGGGCGTGTCAGGTGACTATATCAGCATGGAGGGCGTTTAAACCTTCTGCTGGGTGGGTGCGCAGTAGACGAAACAGCTGAAGTTCACTTGGTCGTGGTCATGACAGGCACGAACACATCAAAAACACTTGGCTGTGGGGTAGCAAGAACGGGTCGCTCCACGCGACACGACTCTATTGATGTCCCAACCAAAGTTTTCCCTGACCTATGGGTATACAGATTCCAAGCACCCTAAATGCAAATCCGTCGTGATATCCATATGCAAGTTACATTTACTCGTCGTCCTCATCCTGCTCGTCGTTAACGACGTTGAAGAACTTGAGCTCGTAGACACCCTTGGAGGTGGAGACGACACGGAGCCAGTCACGGAGCTGCATCTTCTTCAAGAACTTCTTGGTGCTGAAGGTTTAATTTTGTCAGCATGCTGTGCGCCTAATCGACTCGCAAAATGTTGAATTGGGCTCCTTACAGGTACTTGATGTAGCGACCGGACAGCTCGTTGTGGGCAATGATCTCAATCTTGCCCTCGCCAGCCTGCTGGATCTTGACGTTCTCGCCAAGGTTACCAACACGGCCCTCAACCTTGATCTTGTCCTGAAGGAACTTCTCGAAGGCGGCGGTGTCGAAGATCTTGTCGCTAGCGGGCTGCTGAGCGTTGATGATGAACTGGTAATGGGGATTAGCATGGGGGTTGGAACAAATTGGTAGATTAGAGTATGGAAAATTATGTGCTTACCTTCTTGGTGACCTTGGTGTTCTTGCCCTTGGGGCCAGCCTTCTTCTGTAACAAACATTGACCTTAGCCTACTGCTTCACGCCATGATCTCGTTGGGGTTTTATGCCAGTGAGACTGGGCCAACAGCAAAGCGGTGTCTCATATACATACTGTGGTAACGGGAGCCATTGCGACGGATTGTGATGGGACGCAAAGAAATGGATATCCTGCGTGTCGTGTGGTTGACGGTGGTGAGTTCTTGCTTTTAACGTGAGGTTGCGGTCTGCTCAAGAGAAAAATCGCAACAAATTCCTGCGAACTTTTTGGTGTATCGGGCTTAAAAGACCCCACTCTCGATTTGCTGCACGATAGGGCTCCAGGGCTTCTTTTTTGCCGCCGCTGGTCTGTGCTCTTTGGAGGCAAGATGCTCACATGGTCAGTGCTGTCCTGTTCTCTTCATTCAACACTCAGCAATTTCCCGACAAACTGCCGGCAGCCGGCTCCTATTTCAACGGCCCGCTGTCTGTGAGCAGAAGGCTTGAAATGGGCTTGGGCTTGCATCTGGTAACAAACACACAGACATTGGACCCTTGACCCACTGAAGTAGCTGCGACGGTTGCGAAATGCCTCCCGAGCCTCCTGAACCTTGGCTTCTATAATGCCGTCCAAGCGATGTCTTACATGATACGCATTACATGATACGCATCACAGTACCACAACCAGGCTCGCCTTTGCATTCCAAGCACGGGGAACTGAGATTCCACAAAGCTCTGCCGCACTGATCACGACTCGCACTTTACGCGATCGACCTCGACCGTGGAGAGTCCCAATCACAAAGTACGTCTCAACCTCCAGGGAACAGCCCTTATCCGCACCGATGCAAAGTTCAAGCAGCTTGCCATCGACACTCCTGTTGAACAAAGTACTCATCCGTCTGCTTGGCGAACCCGTTCTGCTAAGCCATTCCTGTTCGATTCAATTTGCCAAATGGGCACCAGCTTGTGTTTAGCTTGTGACTAGAAATGGTTCACTTGAGAAATGAGGTGACATGATGAATCTAGCCGCTACTATTTCTGGATGTCACTAAGCACAAGCCGTGCTCTTCCTCTCCAACGGTCACCAGCTAGTGCTCAGCCGCAGGCACTTATGGACGCCATCACGTCACAAGTTGGACTGAACTACTTCACCATGTTCTGAACATAAGCGGAACATCTCAACGACGAGATCAGTTCAACGAAACAAACATATATCCATCACATGCAATGCGGGATCCTATCTGACTTCGGGAAGAAGGTTCAATGGCCCAGGGTCGAGACACGCGACTGACATTATAATTCGTATATTACCAGGGGTGAGAGATTAAAACCCCTTGCCTATGCATGCTAGGGCGCGGAGAAGCAGAGATACCTCGGTTCCACTCTCTCTGTGCGACTATGCCCAGGGATGAGAAGCCTAGGCTTTCGGGGATCGTTAACTTCAATGACGCCACCACACCATGTCGCGGACTTTCCAAGATCGCTTTCTGCACAAATCCGATATGCTCACCTAGCCATGTGACATGCGAGTCTTTCTTCGTAGAAGGTTTCGGTGGCATGAAACTGTCCGTGTCCGATTCTCTTCCGCTCGGGCGGCTTTAAAGCATTAAACTAAAAGACGAGACGTTGATGCCGTTACCCCACAACCACTGCGTGAAACCATTAGAGGTAAGGGCTCCGTCGCCACGATCCTGAAATTGGCAACACTACCACCTTTGGAACCACTTGCAAGGGTAGCTTGACATTTCATGACAGGCGTTGACTGCAAGGGTCTTTCCGCATACAGTAAATTTACGACTTTCTGCCAGTCGCCTTTCCATCAAGAAGCTCTCAATATCTTCCTGCTTTGCTCTGGCGCCAGTCCTCTTTGCTTTCTTCCTGTTACACATCGCAAACATCCTTGTGTGTGCAGCCAAGAAGAGTTACATTCGCGACTTCACTCACACACATCCTTGTTACTGCTTCCACCGATCTGCCTGTCACCAGCGGGATCGTTCCGCTCTAAGCAAGCCTCCTCAATTCACTTTCCGGCTTCATACCGCCGGCTACTTTAAGGTTTCGCAATCCCAGCTGTTGCGCACTGCGATTCCGATCTTACCAAATCCAATCCGTCTATCTTACATCTCATCATGGCGCATAAGTTGGTTCAAAACATCAAGATCGCGCCTTTCGAGGCCACTGTGGGCGACGATATCCCTAAGGTCGCTGCTACCCTTCGTGCCACGTTCAGATCCCAGAAGACCAAGGATGTCGAGTACCGCCTGGTGCAGTTGCGCAAGCTCTACTGGGGGTTGACAGATCTGTCCGAGAAGCTCGTGGAGGCAATGAGGCAAGACTTCAAGAAACCTGCTCATGACTCGGAGATTTCGGAGGTTGGATGGGCTATCCAGGACTGCTTGTACACAATCAAGAACGTGGAGAAATGGGCAAAGGACGAGAGTTACACTGATGTGGACCTGCAGTTCAAGCTGCTCAAGCCCACAATTCGAAAGGAGCCTCTTGGAGCTTCTCTCATCATCGGCACATACAACTTCCCCGTCAACCTGACTGTTTGTCCTCTTATTGGCGCCATTGCCGCCGGATGCCCAGCTGTGCTCAAGCCGTCGGAAGGTGCACCAGCCACCGCTGTAGTTTTGAAAGAGCTAATCGAGAATTACTTGGACCCAGAGGCCTACAAGGTCGTCAATGGTGCGGTACCCGAAACCACTGCTCTCCTCAACGAGAAGTGGGAGAAGATCTTCTATACTGGTGGTGAGAGTGTCGCCAAGATCATTTCTAAAAAGGCCGCTGAGACTCTCACTCCTGTCACCCTAGAGCTGGGCGGCAAAAACCCAGCCTTTATTTCCAAGAATGCAGACTTGGCACTGGCAGCTCGGCGATTGATGTGGGGAAAGACCATGAATGCAGGACAGGTGTGCATGTCCGCCAACTACGTTCACGTTGACAGGGTCGTCCTGGATGACTTTATCCGAGTCCTCAATGCTACTTATGATGAGATGTTTCCCAAGGGAGCCAAGCTCAGCCCCGATTTGGCCCGTGTCATCAATGAGCGTCATTTTGATAGAATGAAGAACATGCTTGACAACTCCAAGGGCAAGGTTGTTATGGGAGGTGAGACTGATAGGGACGATTTGTATATTGCGCCAACAGCGGTACTTGTCGACTCCCCTAACGACTCGATGGTCCAAGAGGAATCTTTTGGCCCAATCTGGGCCATTTTACCGTACGATGATGTTCAGGATGCCATCAACGTGGTATACGAGGTAGACCCGACACCCTTGTCGCTCCAAACCTTTGGCAAGAAGGACGAAAACAACAGGAGTAAGTCCAAAGACTTGAATGATCTGAAACGCGTAACTAACTTCGCTGCTTAGTTCTGAACAACATCACATCTGGTGGTGCCTCGATCAATGATGCCTACATGCATGGTTGTGTGGTATCTCTTCCCTTTGGTGGTGTAGGTACTTCTGGCCAGGGTGCATACCGCGGAAAGGCCTCTTTCGACACCTTCACACATCGTCGTACTGTCACGGAGACACCCGGTTGGATGGACAAGCTCCTACGAGTGCGTTACATGCCATACTTGGACTCGGAGCTCAAGCGCTTTGTGTGGATGAATTCTTCGAAGCCCAACTTCGACCGCAGTGGCAAGAAGATTGCGGGACTGAGCTACTGGCTATGGTTTCTTTTCGGCCTCGGTAGCCCATCGACAAAAGGTGCGTTGTTCCGGTGGCTATTGGTCTTGACGAGCGGCTATACATATGCGAATGGGTTTAATAACGTTGTTCCGAGGTGGTTAGGCTCCTCAGCATAAGTTTGATCTTCACCGCGTTTGTATTACTTCGCCATACAATACCCACTCAATGGCTGCATCAATTCATTTGCCTTGTTCCACAAATAATACCAATTGCGCAAATCGTTCACAGTGAATTTACTTCACATGCCGGCGTGTTGGAGTTTTGTTCTGTTGGCTGGAACTAGAGCTTTTCACAGGCTCTACCAGGTATGTAGGCATCCTCGTCCCGTTCGGGGCCGATACGAAGTATATACTTTGCAGGATACTAGCTGATGCAACTACTAGCAACTGAATGAAAACCCAAGAGCATCAAGACATTCAGCCAAACAATGGCACATTTTCCTCTATCGCATACACATTCTTGGGATTCGCGTTACATTTGAGCCCGCATATAGAAATTTCTTTTGTATTAGAACTAATTCAACTGAATACCTCTTCTAAAAGGAACATAAGTTCCCCGAACCTGGTAATTAAGTTTCCTCTATATTTGCACGGCATTTTGGTGATCAGTGAGAGGATTATGATGCTCGGCACATTTGACTTGACTCTTTGCATCCATTTATGTCCCTGTGATAGCTTCGTTCTTATGATATCGAATTATCTCGTCCGGCTCAATGTATAATCTCCGCGGCTACTCTGGCAATAAACTCTTCAAGGATCGCCGTTAACCTAGCCGTCCTTCTGAAAATCCAAATCCACTGTTAGTGCCATCGTATGGTTTGCGTTCTGGGGCACTCTTGTCATTGTTGTGTGAGAGTAATGCGATAGGTTTTGTAAGAGAAGACTTGGCAATATTAGGATTATTACGTCTTAGGCATGTTCTTTTTCTTTGGATCGTTAGTATTCAAAGCGAACTTGCTGCTTTATAATTTTGTCGAATTCAGGTTTGCGCATGAGATAAGAGTATACTTTCTTAGCCATAACAATGTTAACCTATTATCAACGGATCGGTCTGAATTGTCTAGGATATACAAGTTGATTATAAATACCCGTAGTTCATATAATAGATATGGATACAACTAAACCACATTCAAGACTTAACCTAGCTTGACCTCTATATGCTGCCTTGCTCGATCATGTAGCTTTTAGAGTTTTGGTAAAAGACGGCGAAGGAGGGTGGATATATATCATGTGCTTTAGCATTAATATAGCGCTCATCAGTCGCCAGAGGTTAAGTATTTACCGACACGTCGATGCCTAGGCTTTGTCAGGGGGCTTCTTGTGAAGACCAAGTAAGGCAAAGCTTATGCATCACCTTCCGATTTAATATACACTCTATAAGGAATCGCCGATTTCTCTAATCTCAAACCTGGAAACGCCCTATTCGTTCTAAGCCCTTTAAAGAACAGGGCAGAACATGATAAGGAACGTCTACCACTAAACCCTCATACTTGATCAATGTCCCGCTCGTCGATAATCACAGTGAATTATCGTGGAAAAGAGGAAACGAGCCGCCAAAAGCCGACGAAAGCATATATCCTCAAATCACACCTCTCTAATATCAATACACGCAAAGATTTGTCAACCATCACTATGGCAGACCAGCCGACCGAGCCTCGACGTGGCAGCAGAACCTCCCGTCGTATCATGCCGCAGTATATCAGCATCACGGCGGCGGTCAACGCCATGCAGCTCCACCAGATCCTCTTCGCCGTGCTCGAGGACATTCTCCTGGGCAGAGCCCGAGCAGCCATCACGATGGGCCTGGCAGGCCAAGCCCTGCAAGAACAGACCAGGCGACGAAACCGCCAGGCTGCCATGGTCATGGGCATCCTCCTCCTGTCTACCCTCGAATACTCCCTCATGAAGCATTACTCGCAGATTGAGACCGCAATCCTGTCCGTCCCCGCCATCCTGGACCAGTACGTCCTCATGTACGCCATCTTCGTGGTCTGGTGCGACCAACTCATAGGGGCGCACGAGTGCAGCAACAGCGAGATGGTCTTTGACGACTTGTGGCTGACTAGCATTACCGTGCTGGGAATGACTCTGCCGCCGTGGCCTGACGTGTTGGCATGGGGCGTCACGCTCCAGAACATGTGGCGCATTTTGCGTCTTCAGATTTGGGGTGTTTTGTGATTGGGAGGACATGGAAGTTGATAAGCATGCCAAAAGGGGTGGTGGGACGAGCATTTTATGGTCTGTATTTTAGAGTTGGCCGTTACCTAGATAGCATGATAGAAAAATTCATTGTTTTATAAGGAACTCGGCAATTCCTTTATCTTAAACTGTTTCCTTGGATTATATATTAGTTATACATCGCTGATATCGAGACGAAGGAACCGCCAAGTCCGCTTAACGAACAAAATAAGAAGTATAAGAATCTTTCTAATGCGAATAATTGAGGAATTCACTCGTGTTTATGTATTAAATACTTGGAAAACTTCTTCTTTGTTGGTTCCGTATATTACCAAGTTCAGACTGTATTTGGACGTCACCTGTGTTACACTAAATCTTACAACTATTATATAGTATTTGTCTCTACTAGCTCACCTGCTCAATGTGAATAGGGGCGGGGGCATAGCCCGGTGCATATTATTAAATCATGCAAACAGACTTTCGCCTTAAATTTTGCTCAAGGCTGCTCTTAGCACCGCTTGTTCGCAAGTCTCCGTCCATAAGGCGTTGTTAATAGTGATTTCATGCAATATTGTTTTATTTGGCGCAACAGATTATATCTGCATCGTCACATTATTGCATCTCACTAACGGGGTGCAATGCTCATTACCCATTATCCCACTAATGCGACCATATCGGGCTGGTCAGTATGCTCTGTACATGAGGAGTGACTGACGCAACGTTCAACACACAAAAAAAAACCAAAAAACCAAAGCAAGGGATGATTATCAAACAATAGCCACCACTTTCGCGTAGCCAACAGCTACCAACTACCCGAGCCTGAAAACAAAGAAGTAAAATGGCCACATAAAGTCTGATCAAGTATCGGCAGTTCCAGCTTGGAACCTTTACATATCACTCCCGTGTGCGACACTGGCGAAGACCCAGCGACAGGATGACTCAACAAGGTAACTCAGAGCAGACGATTCGCTTGCTTGATTACCTGCGGACACAGATCTTCAGACCTTGTGATCCATCTAGCCCAATCATCGAAAGCGAAAATCCCGCGCGGCCGATACACAAGAACGAGTCATGGCTGCCACTGCAACCAGACCACTGAAGATCTGTCTGGCCGTGGGAAGACTTCAACTACCCTGTGCTGCGGGTCATCCTGAAAGACCTGCTCGAAGGTAGAATAACCCTGCGCCACAGCTCCCCCAAGGCAGGCCTCCGTAAACCCTTAACCCGGGAGAGTATATACGGCGAAGAAGGCCTGCTTCCTAGAGATGTGCTAATGGATCGACTCTACTCTGCCATGTATCGCACCGCGCACAGACCCATCCAGACTGCTGAAGGTCTCAGCTCTATCGAGAGGAACACCCGAGCAGAGATCTGGCGGCGGTCGAAAGAGATCGGCCCGGATGGTATCTCCAAGCCGCGGTCTGACTGGGCTCTGAGATGTGAAGACGTAATGGTGGCTCCGGGATTCGACAAGTCGGCAGCAGAATTCCCGCTTGCTCGCGTGGCCAGGCTGAACGACCGGTGACTTTTGGACGAGAACTGCAGGATGCCCCCCCGGCGCAACGGTTGTGCCTTTCGAACCCAATCAGATTATACACCGCGCCGTTTGGAGTAGAGACCCGATAGTGCGTTCCAGGCCCCGGGGGGACTTAGGCAACTACAACCTAAGCCTCTTTTGCTCCAATTTCAGATTCGTGCCCTTCGACACTGATATCATCCAATTCCTCTGTAGCAGTGGAGTGGCACCCATCTATAACACTTTACATTGAATCAGAACGAGGCGGGGACAGCGCTGCTCTGCTTGAGGCTGGCCTGGTTGAGAACGACCACCGCGAACCAAATCCCAGAAAAAATGACGAGACATGTCTTTTGGATAAATCCACGAGAAAGGGGAAATATTCGCGGGGAAAGAAGAAGCGAAAGCTTTAGAATTTTGAACTTGATAGTAACCTGAGAGATGCGGGTAGTTCGGGCGATACATTTGAGCCATGGGCTAATAGGCTGCGTCCATGTAAGAGGAGGCTGAACTACCGTGAATCATCCTGAGTTCAATGCCCAGCCTAGACGTATGTACATTGTGTAGAAGTTGATGGCATTATACATTAGTAGTACATATTTCAAGCCATTACTCTGATCCGAGTGCTGGCCTACGTAGCCCTTGTCATCTTCTGCGGAAGAAGCCCTTGTTGTCTTTCGACATCACCGCCAGCATCTCTTCAGCTCTGACGATGGATTCGGATTGCTCCACGATACTGCCCGGGCCGGCTAGGGAATTCCAGTGTCCCGCCGCGTATTCTAATGCCCAGTTCTTCTCCCTAAAGCCGAGCAAGATGACCAGGTCGATCTCGCCCGTATGGTCCTCAAACAAGCGGCCTTGCCTTCGCCATAACTCAATTTGGTCCCCAACCCGTCTAAGTATTTCCAGAAGTTTGTCTGCGTCGGGCTCTGGCTTAGGGTCTGCGAGCCCACGATACACGTCATCAAGCTCCAAGTTGACAGCAACATGGCAGGTGGCGATCCGATCCAGCTCGTCCTTTTCCAAGAGGATCAGCGTGTCCTCCCTGGGAACCAACTCTCTCCCGCTCCTCGGGTCGTCGAATGGCAAACCAGGCAGCTCGCCAAACTCCACAATGTGCGGCGGTAGCTGCTCCGTCTCCGTATCCGCCAGGGACCTCCGGGCCAGATCAAAGGTCAGCTGCCTGAGCGCGTGGTGATCACTCGTGGCGCGAGCCTGGGAAAACCCCCGCGCAAACTCCTCATTAAAGGCTCGCAGCTTGCCCACGGCGTCCTTGAGCTCCTCCTCCAGCTCGTTGCGCTGCCCGTACAGGCCGTAGAGCTGCCAGGTCAGGTAACTGCCGCCCAGGGCTATGAGAGAAAGCGCACCATAAGCCATGTACTTCAGCCGCGTCTTCAGGGGCAGCTGAAACACCACTGCGTGGGGGTCATAGTGAAAATGCCTTCCGGCTCGTGGCTGTGGCAGTTGAACTTGGCTGGGCCTGGCGCGGAAGTTGTGGATGGGCTCTGAGAATTGTGAGCGTGAACTGAGAAGCCGCGAGGCCGGCAACGGCCGTATCCTTACGCGTTGCAGCATCGTGAATATTTTGCTGGTGTTCTGAGATGAAATACGTTGTTCAGTGAAAGAACGGATTTTGAATTAGATTGCTTTGGGCGGACGCTTGCTAATGACAGGGGTCCAGCTTGTCACGCCTATTTGCATATTGCAGTGCGCTTTGGAAGAGCCACTATTTCCCAGATACCCTCAAAACAGCATGACACCGGAAATTGCATATTTGCTAGATGTGGGTCTTGGTTGAGCAGTAGTACGTCGCGACTCCAATTTATCCAAGTGTTGTGCTGTTTCCAACATGTTTACAATATGCAAGAAGATCGCAGTATCAGTGAGTGCAGGGGTTATTTTCAATTGGAAGGCATCAACCTAAGTCAATGCAAATAAGCTCGCACTTCTGTCTCGCCACAAACTTTGCTACCATAGATTTCACCTGGCAGAGGGCAACCGTGAAGATCTAATTTCCGGTCACTCATGGTCGTCTCTAACACGGATTCCATAACATAGTGCGCATGGTTTCTGAGCACTGATGCGGGGTTCCATTGTCGCGCCTTTCGGATCAGCCCGCCAACGGGCTCGGCAGCAGAGTATGTGGTGTCTATGGCAGGCATCGATTGCCACGTCTCAGCATGCTTTGCCTAGCCTCCAGTTACAGGAGATGAAAAGCGCCTGCAACCGGCCGAATCTGGTATTCATGCCTTCTAGCCGGGAGCTCTTCATACGTAGCATCGTCGGCAGATGACTATACCGCCCACTGTTGGATTCAGCGCCCAATCAAAGCATCGACAAGTCTCTTGCCTTTATCTCCGCCTAGCCACAGGACATCATCACCTTGCTCGGTCCTTGCCATCTCCACGGCCTCCGAGTAGCCTTTGATGACCATTTCTTCGTCCACCCGGAGACCGTGTTCAACCAGTGCCGTGATCACGCCTCTGATTCTAGCGATTTCGCGCATCGTGTCCAGAGATATGGGGTCGTTCTGACTCGAGTAGACATTCAAGCCCACGCTCTCCTCAATTCTCGTGATACCGGGTCCGCTTGTCTCGGCCGCGGCACCCTCCCCTTCTATATGCTTAGCGATCCAGATGTAGCCATTGACACCGAGAATGACGTCCATCTTCTCGTTGCCGCCTTCTGAGCCAGCCACCTCGATAGTAAATGCGTGGCGCCGTGCTCTTACGACGCCGCCTCCGCCGCCGGTACCGCTGACCTGCATGAATACGCCATTTCGCAGCTTGCCGTACTTCAAGCTTCGGGTATGCAGCACTGCAGATCCATCGTTGTAGAGCTGTTGCACCTCGGCCACGAGCAGCTCGCCTTCGCTGAAGAATGTTCTGATTTGTAGTTCATCGGTTTCGGTTCTGCGACGTTGGATACCTCCGGGCAGGTTGATAGCGGAAAGTGGCAGCTGGGCCAGCAGAGCAGCGCCGACATCGACCCGCCACCGCCGAGCCTGTACCTCGACGATGCGACCAACGACCAGATCTCCAATCTCGGGGGTGTAACGAGCGCGAAGGGGACGGACTGAAAGCAGCTTGTTCGTCTTGGACAGGGTACCAGCGACGGAAGACACTATCTGGGGAGGATCAGGTATGGTATATGTGCCGTGACCGCTGCGTGGTGCATTAGCACAAGTCGGCTTGCAGTTGCACCAAGACTCACCGCATCCATTGAGGGTCCTCTGTTATGACTTGACCAGGCGTCACGATTGACTCGTCCCTGCGTGCTCGCTTGGTGGGGCGGCCCATGGAGATGTCGCCCTCCAAGTCGACGCCACCGTCAGAGTCTGATTCTGAAGCGGAATCGGGGCCATAGTTGTTGTACACAGGCTCCTTGGCCTGCGACGGTTGTATTATGGTGATCGCCATCGTGTGGTTGCTACGATCCGAAGGTCGGGTCTCGGTATGGTGGGATATGATAGTCGTAATTGGAGTCGTAGTCGTAGTCGCAATCCAAAATTTTTGGATTGACGTTGATGAGCTAGCCTACAGCAAAGCTTCCCCCCGAAAATCTGAGCAGGGGGTGCTCTTTGGCGCTCTTTGGCGCTCCCTGCGCCCCTCTTGCGCTCTGGACCCCCGCTAAATTGGGTGCTGCTCGGCCCCGCGCAAAGTGACGGACTGCCGGGTTTCAGTGGGTATCATTATCGTTATTATTAAAGGCAGCAGCCATAGATTTGATGACATGTGACATGCGCCATGCCTGCCATTTGAAGTTCTGCCGCCTCATGTAGCCAAACAAACCAGTCATCTCACAAAAAATCGTCTTTCGCACTCCCTGAGCTCTCCGGTCTATCTTGGAGATCAGAGCTTTCTGCCATGTGGACGTGCAGCCAGTGAATACGGACTTCATCTGCGGTGACACTACCTACGTCATTACCGAAAGGACTACCCTAGCCATCATGTCTGAAGTCAGTGAGGATGCCTTCGTGAATCGCGACGACCCAATACCCATCATACGCTTTGATGGCGCAGGCTCAAGTTCAGCATCGGGGGCCCCCTCTCAGGCTGGCACAGGTCATGAATCCGACCACTCAGATGGCGAAGCACCTACCCCCAGGAGGCGAGGCATTCGCGATCGCTTGTCGGCGTTTCGTGACAAGGCCTCTATCCAGGACAAGTTGGTAGAGAAGCTCCTCACACAGGTCCTCCACGATGGTGGTGAACTTCCTCCAGAGGAGCCTACAAAGGGCAAGACTGGCTCACTCAGAACAGAGAAACCCAACTTCAGTCTCCCACAGATGTCCTACAACTTTAGGCGCTTTAACAGCCGCATAGGCGTCGTGTTTGTTTTTCAGGCAAAGGCCGGCCGACTTCTCTCCTGGAAGTATCCGACGCATACGCTATCCTTCTTGGCCATATACACATTTGTCTGCTTAGATCCCTACTTGTTGCCACTACTACCTTTGGCCATTATGCTCTTTGGGGTTATGATACCCAATTTCATCGCCCGCCACCCAGCAGCGCCCTTCAGCCTGTCCAGCGAGCAGGCCATCGGCTACTCTCCCCAGGGTCCCCCTCTGGCGCCAGCAAAGACCGTCAAGCCTGTCAAAGAGTTGAGTGGGGCCTTCTTCAAGAACATGCGCGATCTCCAGAACTGCATGGAAGACTTTAGCCAAGTCCATGATGGTGTCGTCGCACTGTTGGTGCCGCGCATCAACTTCAGCGATGAGGCTTTGAGCAGTGCAATCTCTGTATTCCTGTTCGCAGGCTGCTTGTTCATGAGCATAGCTGCGAACATACTCCCATGGAGGTTCATCTTCCTCGTGATCGGATGGGCCGTTACCGTAATGGGCCACCCTGCCGTACAGAAGCAGATCGAAGGCGCGCAGAAGAAGCATCTGGAGCCGAACCAGCAAACAGCAAACAGCAAATTGCAAAACTGGATTGAGAGCGACATCATTCTAGACAGCGCACCCGAAACCAGAGAAGTAGAGATTTTTGAGTTGCAGAGACTTTCTGATCCAGACGGCGAATGGGAGCCATGGGTATTCAGCTCTTCGCCTTACGATCCTTTGTCGGCGCTAAGGATAACCGGGGACAGGCCGACGGGGACGCGGTTCTTTGAGGATGTGCGGCCTCCGCAGGGGTGGGAATGGAGCGAGAAGAAATGGGCCCTCGACCTCTGGAGCAGAGAATGGGTGGAAGAGCGTATCATCACCGGTGTCGAGGTTGAGACGGAGGGTGAGAGATGGGTATACGATATTTACTACGAACCAGAAGACAGAATAGGTGTCGTGGAAGGCAACAAACAGGCCACTCCCCCGAATGGCAAGGCAAAAGCAGCACCTCCAAGGTCAGGATGGGAGGAAGGTGATGACTTCGAGGGCAGGAGAGGAGAGTGGAGACGAAGGAGATGGATAAGACTAGTCAAGCGAAAGAGCCTAGGTGCTGGACAGGAATGAGACAGTCAGTGTCGACACCTCAATACAAGTTGCCACTTGATAATATGTACAAGAATGTCCTTTTCTCAGATATTTTCAAATCAAACCTCCGTGTGCTGGATGGCTGATTACAAAACCCTCGAACTATAACAAGTCCAATTGGTGGAGTGGTTCACCTTGAGACGTATACCAACGCCCAAGCAGTGCGAACTGTACGGTCAGTAGAAACTTCATTACGTAGCAGTCAACCTGGCATGAGTGCAGCGCAGTATGAACCTGAATAAAAGAAAAAGATAAAATACAAACATAATCTCGTCAATATTATCCCATGAGTGAATCGCTACATATAGAAAGAAGAGGGGGTATCCAGATGCAAACCCGCCTGACGTAACCTAGCCATACGCCTCCGTAGCCGACATTCCCAGACGGTGTCCTGCTACGTATGTTTTCAACGTAGATATGCGTTGAAAAACGCGCTTCAAGTAACAGCATGAGAAAAGGAAATCACGAGACGACCATCTTATCCAGGATCTTGTGAATTCCATGGTTCTTCTCTTTGCCCTCGTTGATCAGGTCCGCCACGTTCCTTGCTCTTTCGATCAGGATCGCAATGACCTCGAGGGTGTATTTGAAGCTGCCAGTCCCCTCCATGTACTTCACTGCGTACCTCTTGACTCCTTCGTCTTCTGTCCTCTGTTTAAGAATGTTCAAAAGCTGCAGGTTTGCAGGATCGGATCGGATCGAGTGTATCACGGGGAACGAAAACTTGCCCTCGGTGAGATCTTCGGCGAAGCCTTTGTTATCGCTATATTCAGCGGAGGACAGGTTCATATAATCGTCGCGGATCTGAAAGATCAACCCCATGAGGTTGACGAGCTCCACACAGTCAATGGGTGACCGAGACTCGGCCTGCATGAGCTTGATGCCCAGTCTGAATAGTCCGCCCGTCTTATTGCCGACCATCTCGAGGTAGTCATCCTCCGTCGGGCAAGTCAGGGTGTCTCGCCAGAAGAGATCCATGCCTTGGCCGCGGTGCAAGTTGATCAATTCCTCCATGTATATGCTGACGGCCTTGGGGTTCTGGAGCTTCTGTAGTTCTTGCAGAGCCGCGAAGTATATGTAGTTGGCGGAGTTGATGGTTTGTGCCGTACCAAAGATGCTGTGTGCTACCGGTAATCCGCGGCGCAGGGTCGAGTTGTCCTCCACGTCGTCGATTAGCAGGGATGCGTTGTGTAGCATGCCGACAACTTTTGTGATGACCTCTATGCTATCTTCGGGCACTTCCAGCCAACTGTTGAACGAAGCAATCAACTGTGACCTGAAATCCTTTCCGGGCTGACTGGTCACGTAGTCATACGGGCCCCATATGATCTTCTCTTTCTGGTCCGACCATGTCTTCTTGGCAATGAAGTTTAGATCCTCGGTGGCATACCTGGACGGATCGGGTGGAGGACCGGAAGGTGACATGATGGTGGCGTTGACCGCTGGTGCTACGCGACCGGGGGCAGTGGCAGAAGCTGAGGAAGATGTCTGGCGGTGGTGTTTTCCCTGCCCTATCCAGCTGGACTCTGGCAACGGCCTCAATGCAGACTTGGACGGGGGGTGTGGGATGGCGTAGCCGGTGGAAGAGGTTCGGGGGGGATGGCGTTGGGCGATGGGAAGGAGAAAGGAGGGTTTGCAGAATTAGTTGAAGAAAGCATCTCGGTCTTGGTAGGCGCGGCCACGGGGCACCTCGACGACCAACACCTTATGCAGGCAGCCGTGTATTATACTTTTCGTTCTCTTCGTTCCTGGGAGCTGCGCCTACGGAGAGCTCGTCGCGTAACCACGAGCTGAAGGAGCTATGGCGGTTACAGTGGGGTTTAGTGTCGTCACCACAAGCTGGGGCATGTGCAAGCGCATTGGCAGCTGACCATATGGAGGTGTAATACTCGGACTCGGACTCGGCTCTTTTGAGAGCTGCTCTGCTTTGCTCATGAACCGGCCGCCAGGACTAATGTCAATTTCCCCGAGAAATGCGAGTTACCTGCAACGGTTACAAATCGTTGACGCGCAGAACTGAGGCAGTGCCAAATCCCTGGGCGACCCAGCTCACGACACCCAGCAGCTTGGTGAGATGGCGGGGCAATTGGGACTGGCTGGCTGGCTGGCTGGCTGGCTGAACTTGGACTTTTTCGTGCCAGTGATGGTGGGGCAGTTCCTGAGAAGCAACCTCAGTCGGTCTTTGCTTGGTAGAACGGACTTTGCTTTTGTAGAAACGGACTTTGATTCAACAGCGAGGCCGAGTGGGAGACACGATGAGATTTATGCGTCTGAGGATCTGGGATCGGACAAGGTTCAGACAGATCTCATTTTCGCTGCCCAACCCATAATCGTTCTTTTAACCTTTTGCTTGACAATAACCAATGACTTTCCAATGGCTCACATGCACGGCTGATGCATCCTGCAGTCCCGGACAGTCATAGCGGTTCCATCTTACCTCAAGCACGTTTCGGCATGTAGGATTTGAAATATAAGCGTTGCATAAACATTTATTAATATTTGTACAGCTTGTATTACAGATAATGAACATTTTCGCTATCCATATTTACTTTGTTATCGTGTTCGACATCATATAACATGCAACGGTAATAAGTACTCACTATCCTCCTGTGCCCTATTGCAAATCTGCTTCAAGCACGTTTTTAATGTGCAGGCGTCAGCACGAGTGTTGATATGAACATCTGGAGCAGAGTTAGAGATCGACGGGGCAGAGTCATCGATGAAGCTGGCTTCCGGGGATATTGTTAACGCCACTCCGTGATCCCCAATAGATCCATCTGCCGATACCCAAGGCACCGGCGATGCTGATCGCTTGTTCAAGCTGGCCGCCTGGGGCAGTGCGACCACCAGCATTCGATTCGCCACCACTCTGACCAGGTCTCCAAGTGATGTGCCTTCTGTCCAGGCTTCATGTTGCATAAAACCCTCTAAGCGCCGTTGAACAGCAGCATGCACTTCTGCTTGCAAGCCACCCTGATCTCTCGGCTGGATGTGATAATAGGCGCCCTGCCCCATCATGTCTCGGGTAAAATCCCTCAATCCATCTCGGCCGTCCAATAGCCAAATACTAAACTCGAGGAAAATACAGCCCATAGACCAAACGTCGTAAAGTCTCGATCTGGCCTTGTCGAGAGATAACACAGCCTCGGGGGCTTCGTATGCCACGGTCCCAATTCGAGTCTGCGTCGGCTCTGATCTGAGAGTGGTTAGTTCCCGATGGTGCTTGGCCACCCCCAAGTCGGATATCTTCAGAACTCCAAGTCTAGTGTCTTTGTCAATGAACCTGAGAATATTTTCTGGCTTCAGGTCGCCGTGCCGACAGTTCTGTTCATGTATCAGGCAAAGGGCATCCACCAGGCCGGTCAGCTGCTGGAGAACCTCGGACATCAATTCCCGGGTCAGAGGCCGGCTGTCATGGTCGAGCCAGAACTCTCTCAAGTTGCCTCCGTCCGCCCATGGAAATAAGACATAGTGTCGGTCACCTCGCGAAAAGGATCCACCAAAGGGAACGAGATTATTGTTCTGAAACCGAGCCAAATTTCCAAGTATCTCCGCCTCTCTATGAAACAGACTGAAGGTCTTGGAGTCGCCTGGCATCTCCGAAGCAGGACGGAACTCTTTGAGGGCCATAAGTGTATTGTTCGTACCCGTCTGAGGAGAATTAGCTTTTAAATGCCACATTGATAGGCAAGACGTAAACATTGCGCTAATTGAAGCCTTACCGGAAAATGAACATCCTGATGACTGGGGTGGATCTTGACTTGGTATACATCGCTAAAGAAGCTAGACTTGCGTTCACCGCCTAGAGGTGCCTTGATGAACGGTAGAATGCACTTGATAGAGAGTTGTTGGTTGCGGCAATCGTTCGGGAATACCGGAGCTAGGAACTTCCATTGCTCATTGTAGAACCTCAGCAGGGTAAGCCTATCCCAAGGCGGTTTGTGAAAGACGCTAAAGGGAGGCAAGTGACTGCACTTCCTATCAGTGTTGGTAATATCGCAATTATCATTTATGGTGTCACGAGAAATTGGGAGGTCTTCATCTGTAAAGTTGTATTGTCGCAATGACTCCAAAGCAGGAAGAATTTCCGTGCCAGTCATTGCGAGAATCGCAAAAAGCCTTCTCGCTTTTTGAACCACAAAATTGACCAGCTTGGGTGATATACCATTCTTTCCTGCCGAGAAATCAAATACATCTTTAACCCTTTCTGGTGTGACCAGACTCTGAAAGGAACCCTGCGGAAGGAAATCCTGGTGGTCGATGGCACTTTCAACGAACGCCTCCATGATGGAATCCCTCAAGGTTTTCAGTATCGGGTTTGCATGACGTGGATTTTCATTCCTTGCTTGGAAACCTATTGAATTGTCGGTAGTCCTGCTTTGGCGGTCGAATTCGTTGTCGAGGCTGTCAAAGGTGGCATTTTCAGAGTCTCTGGATCCTGTAGATAGGGTGTCATCTTCAAGGTACCGGATAGACAATAAAGCTAATGACTTGAAATGTCCAGCAACGTGTCTCGATATCGCCTCCAGAGTATTTGATGGTATATGAATGTAAGTTGTAGCTGCAGCTTCGAACTGGATTGGTACAACTTCCTCTACAGAGATATTATCGTTGGCCCCAAGTGCCCAGGGCACCTTTGCCTTGCTGTCGGCTGGATGGATGGATATATTTATATTACACAGTGGGCAGATTCCAGGGCCACGAGGTTGGGAGAAAACACTTCGCTTCACTCTCGAGGTCATTTCCTCGGCCGTGAAGCGGTTGGCATGCATCAACTCTACGTGCTGTGCAAGATCGTACGGGTTGTTGAACTCTTGTAGGTCCGGATGGTCTAAGTCGCAATACCAGATAGTGGTTGGGTGAATTTTTTGCGGCCATTCAGGGGTGTGTATGCTTTCCATGTGATGTCGCCATTCTCGGGACGACTTGAAAGACGGGCTTGGATATGAACAATCTCCTGAGATACATACATATGGCTTCAGGTCTTCCCAGGAGTGGACTCTATTGCAAGTTAGTGTCTCGAAGAATACGAATCATGCAATGTGCGCCAGACTTACTTCCACCACCCGGGGTTGTTCAGTTTCGAAACTTGAAGCGGCTCAGAACACCACTTACAGAGATAAGTACCTTCATTTGACTGAGGCGGCGGTAGGTGAAGGTCCGTTGAAGGGGTTGTGGAAACGCTTATAGAATCCTCAAAGACGGCCGGCGGTGAAATCGGATGTGAAGTACTGAGGACACCGGAGGACAAGGGAGTCCCAGGCGTTGACTCTCGTGGTACCTGGTATAGAGTGGACTGCCCTTTTTGTTTTCGTTGGTGGAGAATCCGTCGCCTTCTATAAACCACAGATGCAGCTAACTGGTCTGCAAGGGACCCTTGGATTTCGGGCAACAAACCTCGCACATACAGACTTGCGATTCGCTCGAAAAGAGCATCTTCATCGTCTGTAGCCTTCATCCCCACTGCGTCTGGAAGTACTGGCTCCATGTCACTGAACGAGGACTGTCGAATCGCGATACCTAGATGGTCAAGCCTTTCGATTCCACCCTGAATAGCATCCAGAGCGGCTCCGCTCGCTGGTGACAAAGTAGGAGACCTGAGGCGAGATTGAAAAAGATAATCCATGACAAACCCAAGTCCTCGTGGTGGGGATTCGAAGTCCACAACTATCAAATCAACAGTCAGCATGGCTATGTATAATTATTTCACATGTACCACCAGTCCTTACTTCTTTGCAGATTTGTTTCAACTAGGTGCAGTAATTGAAGGGTAAGGGCACGCAGGTCTGGCTTATTTCGCAAACGAGTATCCAGACGAACCAAAGGCTCATCATTCACGCCAACAACTCCAGCCCAGAATTGCAGGCGCCGCTGGTAATCCAGAACTAGCTCACTGCTTCTCGACGCGCTTCCCTGACCGTCAGCCTGATTGTTTAGCCGTTTGATCAAGACCTCTAGAAGAATCTCGAAAAGACGATCGCATCGTTGCGCCGACTCTAGGATCCGGCATTCGTTCTCTTCTATGCCTGACATTTCGATAGAGTCGGTTAGTATGTTTGGCAATGGGTAGAATGCCCGGAAGCGTGGATAAAGTGTATTTGGGGCAAGATTGTCCCCTCAACTTGAGGTAGGGGTGGAAGAATCCGCAATTGGTTCGGCCAAACAGAGCTGAAAACCTGGGAGTACACCACCAACCCAGCTTTGAGACGGCAGACCGGTGATGACGGCTGAGGATTGCGCCACTAGCGAGCCTTGCATACGAACATTTCAATGATTCCGGCGTCCCCAGCTACTGCTGTGAAATTCAGCAGGAGTGAGGTAATTACTGGGTTTTAAGGCAAAGTAAACTCGCATTATCATTCCGTTCTGCTGCTTCCCTAGCCTAGCAACACCACTACAGAGACTAACCTCGACATATTTGCGGTCGATGCCACGCCAACTTGATAGGAGTGTGCCAGAATGGCGTATCCTTGAGGATATCCGACCGCTGTTTGGCGCAGCTCTCCCGTGGTGCGTTGATGATGGTTCGTCACAAGGCTTTACGTCCATGATTGTTCATTTGCTTCAGTGGCTTTGGCGACAGCAATCGACCATCACCACGGTAGCTATCGGCAATGAAACAATGCTGGCGGTGTTCCAAGGAGACATGGTAGCTCTGCTGGAATATCGCCCAAAAGTCGATCTGCCTAACCATGTTTACGAGAACTGCAAGAAAACGTTGTCGGCATTATTGTCATTTCTCGAGACTTTCGTTCATGAAAACGCGATTGCAGCCGCTAGTAGTATACTGCAAGGCCAATCGACTCAGAATGGGTATATCAATCCCTCGCCACAAACTCAGTCATGGCTGAAATTGCAATCTTGGGAGGATGTGCCTATTCTCCAGGCTGTAACGCAGTTCCTTCGGCCACCAACAACATATTCTACCCCAGAATCCACAGCTTCCCCCGGGCGTGGGGCATCAATGAACTCTGAGGCTACAACCGCAGAGCCCCAGTACCAGAAGCTCGAATCCCTTGCCCTCTTTATTCAACATTGTCTTCGCCATAAAAAAGACATTGCTAGCTCATGTGCCAAGTTTGTAATATTAAAGCAGTCGTTTAATCAGTATCAGGAGGTCCTCAAGAGAATCAAAGTCGCTAAGTTATGCCTCACCAACATTGTCGAAACATATTCGCCCCAGGACCGGTTCAGGGTGCAAAGGAACCGAAAAGTTCCTAGGTCCAAATGGGAGAACCCTGTGCCTTGGGAGACAGCCTGCCGACTATTTGTCATGCTCTCGGGAAGAACTTGTCTTGGTCATGAAGCTAGGTTTCAACTCAATGGCTTCAAGTTGGAAGAACAACTCGAACACCTGCCTTTAGATGTGTTTGTCTCCTGTTGCCCGCCTATAGATTCGGCCACTTGGCAAGAAGGGCGATACACATACTTCGTCCAGTTCGTCTCCCTGGCTGTGCTTATGGCCCATCATCTCTTGCTAACCTCTGGATCTAGGGACATCGACCCCCACGATGTGAACTTCATCAACACTCTATGTTTCCCTAAGTCTAACCTTCAGTCAACCACGTCTTTGGATTGCGAGTCAGAAATTCTCATTATTGGCTTTGACAAGTGCTATGCCTACCGACGATGGACCACCGGTGAGAGTCCCGTAAGCCGTGGCGCGACTCCGGCCATATCCCTTGCTGACCTCCTCGACAATGGATTTCTCAAAGATAGTCGTGATGGAGGGGCATTCAACATTGGTGACAAGGCAGTTCTAGCCTTATCTCTCGGTCGTTGCCTGCTTCACTTTTTCCAAGGACTGTTAATGCAGCAGGGATGGTCGGCGGATAATATTCATTTTCTTTGCCAGTACAATACCTCTGGTAAAGTGATATCCAACATCCATTATCCTTATGTGACTTGCCGATTTCCGAAAACAGATGAAGAGAAGATCAACAACGAAATGAAATATTCGGAACTCCTCCAGAGCGATGCACTGCTCGAGACAACAGTCGAGGCGGTGGACTGTGAGCTCTTTCTCTGGTCATTTGCAAGACTGCTACTTGAAATTGAAAAAGGACAAAGTATACCTCTACTTAGCGAGATCGACCTGTGGGCAGGCGTCAATGGCCGGACAAACTATAGCCGGGGGGACTACTTCAGAGCGATTGATGGGTGCATCAGGTTCACCGAGACACTTCGTAAAGAAAAAGGAGAAATTCCAACACTTTCGGAAGTGCGAGAGGTTCTCTACGAGGAGGTTCTGCAGTATCTCGAGAACAACATCAATTCTTTCTCGAACCCTCATGGTGTTATTTGTCGGCGTAATATTACCCTTGGGTCTGCTGAAACCTCCTCAAAGTCGCTCTGCACCACACTGGACGTAGAAATTAACGGAGCTGAGCTTGGGCCGAAGATAGATCAATTGGCACATTTAGATACTAAGGCAGACGCAAACTTCATGTCGGAGGTTCTATTTGATTTACTAGGCCACGAAGGATCCGTTTACCATGGCAAGGGCTTTGATACCGGGAATGGATCTATCACCCCCCATCAAAAGGTGAAGGTTGATTTCCGCTGCACCAAATCTGAAAGATGGCACAGAGAAGAATTCATCGTTATAAAAGATTTCATATACGATATGATATTGGGCATTGGGTTCATCAACAAGTATGACGTCTTCCAATTCAAGGGGAATCTTTTGACGATGAGAGGTAAGCAAGGGCCTCAAGCTCCCTTCGTCGGTGCCGACGCTCAAACTAACTCTTGAAAAGCTTTTCCGGCATAGAGACAAGGTACAAGGAGAATTGATAGCTTGCCAAGCCAGCACAAGGGGTTGAGATCTTCGTGGTCATTGAACACTCCAGTCCCTGAGCTCTCTCATGACTGGATTAAAGTTCATACAAAGGGTCAAACGCCGTGGCATAAATGAAACATACATCTCCATGTCACAGTATCTATTTAGTGATATAAGTGAACTCTGTATATAGAAAGTATTTCAAGCCGAATTTGTGCTGCCAACAAACACGACTTGCACCGCTGCGAACCTGCGGAAGTTAGCGTCTTTTGACATGTGTAATGAGCAAGAACCTGGGGGACCTACGCTGAGGTAGCCATAAAGATTTCAACCCGGCGGGCATTTGACACGAAGAGTAGAGCCAAAGCAAATAAAGACGTAAATAGCACAATTAATCCCAGCCGTATTGGCATGTTTTCGACGTCGTAGAGAACGAAAATGGAGAGGACCGGAAACACGGCTGACAAGAAAGTAGTGACTGATGTGGTAAATCTCACCAGGGTAGAGTTCTTGTATTCAAAGAGATCTTCCATGCCTTCCCTACCCTGCACAGGGCTTTTCCACCGATGAGCCCATCGATTATGGAAGTAGCCGGGTATCACACGGAAGAGCCAGCGGGTGAAGGGATCGTAGTCCTCGGCTTCTTTCTGTAGTGCTACCATATCAACACGCTCGGTCTCCCAAGTTCGTTTCTCGAAACCTTGTAGAAATCCGTTCCCATAAGCCGGTCGCTTCAGCCATTCCCGAAGTACTTCGATGTTGTGTTCTTCGGGGGATGAGAGAGCATTGAGTTGGGCCTGTGTCAGCAAAAAAGCATCTACGTCGTGTAAGAACAATTTCGCCTCAAGTCGTATATGTTGGCTTCTTACTATATTTTTCTAGTTTTTCTCTGGCTTCTAACCACTTTGTCCTTTGCAGGGAGTCGCCGCCTGAATGGGCACTGTCTTCCATTGCTTTCCAATTGGTTTGATATGACCGCCTAACAGGGTCGCCGGACTCGTTATCTTCATTTGCAATTTCTTGCAATTCCTGCTCAATATGTAGAAGCTCGGCTTGCATGTGTAGCAGGCTTTGCAAGTTCAACTTCCTAAAACGTCGGAAAACTGCAACATCACTGTAGTCACTCATCAGTGAAGCAAGACCTCGATAGTCGGTCATCGTTTAAGGGGAGTCAGATGCCAAGTTTTGCAAGATATAAGCAGCCATTCGATGGGAGACAGGCAAATCTATGAGGCTCGTAGAACGTGAGATAAGTTGACCTGCTATTATAATGGACAGCGCTGACCTTATTCGTGCCTGCGTTAATATTTGGTACTGCTGACCAAGAGTCAACTATTAGTAACCAACGGTATAACTTCTACGATCTGAAGTATCTCACCTGGTCAAAAGTAGTCCATCTATTCCACGACCATACTAATATTATGGGCAGCCAGGCTATCAAGCTGTCAGGCTGCCAGGCAATAGCTACGTTCTCGCCGCAGCATTGCCGCACCTTATGAGACCACCGTACATAATGGCAGTGCCACGTGCCTCGCTCTGATACGCCTGCCAGAAGCGTTACGGTCAGGTAGGCTGCGTCGGTGAGGGGTCAATTTTGCATTTTATGACTACCTAGATACCCCAGCTGCATATTAGCTGACTAGCCACATCTACAGCCTTGCTAATAGAACGTATCCTATCCAATTGCGCCTTTCAAATTTCGCCTCATCTCAGTGAATTAATTTCTGTGCAACATATACCACGCCTCTGTAGTAAATGGCTAAAGTGGATCTGAGTTTTGCATGAGGCTTTTGGGAGTATTCAGCTTAGCTTGCCGCGTATATGAGACTATTTTCTAATGTTAAATCCTTTATTTATTTATTTACATACAAACATTGACCATTTCGGCGGCACCCTCTTTGACGAGCTTTGTGACCCCCCCCCAGACTGTATACCTTTTATTTATTGTGTCCTCAATAGTGTCGCATTAATTTGACCAATTCCTGGCGGCTTATATAACTTGTTGCGATCTTAGATTATGCTAAGAACCGCAGGTCGTACCACCAAGATAATAAAATCAACTCTACAACTTAATCAGGATTTACGGCGCGAACAGCGAATCTACCTCTCGATCAAAGCGTCGTAGCACTCTTGACCCAGGCCCCTACCTGTCAGCCATGGCTCAAGTACAACTTTCCATCATCTCTCTACGCATATAAGTGCTCATTTTGGTTTAGTTACAGAACCTGACGATTACACTCAACCTAAGTGTATTCGATTCAAGCAAGAAAACCCACAACTTCATAGGACGCCTTAACACCCAAGCTGATACGAACTTCATTTCCCCACAATCGGTAGAGTTCCTCAAACATCCAGTGGAGGTCTATCAAGGTGGAGACTTCGATGGAGCAGGAGATGGTGATCTCAAACCGCGCGGGCAAGTAAGCATCTTTCTTAGATGGAACGAGTCGACAAAAAACAAGCTACACAAGGAGACCTTTCTCGTACTCGAGTCGCTACCCTATGATTTTGTTCTGGGAAACACTTTCCTCACAAAGAACGACGTTTATGAGTCCAATGGGAAGCTACTACCCATGGCTCTTAAACCTTTATCAGAGGGTACGTAATTGCAATCTGCTATCTCATGGCCAGCACCAAATACCACGTGGTTAATATTTTTTTTCAACTCGCAGAAGAGAAAAAAGCCTTGGAGCTTCAAGAACAGGCTGCAAAAGCTCAACAAGAAGTCATTGAAAAAGCAGAAGCAGCCAAAAGAAAAGAAGAACGAGAGAAACAACGTCAGGCGCTCAACCAAGCCAAGAGCTAAAGCGGTGGAGGACGAATGTAATATACGGTACAATTTATTAGTATAGTGTGGCTTTGTTATAATTGGCAATTACGAAAAGGTTCTGTTCGACTGAATAATCATTATGTAGATGGTTACAGAAGTTTAATTAAATTATTTTTCTTCAAATTCTGATATGACTGACACGTAGATGTATGTGGCGTCTTGGGAAAAGGGCGTAAACAGGGGGTTATTCAAGGACCTGTGACGAAGTTCCAATCTAGCTGGGTGCCCATGGGCAGCCATGAACTGCAATTGCAACCGCAGCTGGTGAGGTCACCATCATTCAGTCCCCTTTGGCATTGTTGCCATTGCCAGTAACATTAGTCGCCGAATACCGCCCCCCCTGAAGTCAGTATGAAACGAGTGTGTAGACGTCCATCATCGTGGATATCTTGGCACCGGTAGCTGCAATGTAATCAACGTACATGGCTGCCAGCCGGCGCATTGTCGTGCGTGGTTGGATGAACCGCAGACCAGCAGTGTCGTTGTTGATGCCTTGGCGCGTGTATGGGTTGAGTCAGCGCTGTGTGCAGTAGACCTAAAGCTGCAATGGCCAGTTCAGTGAAGAGGTCCCCGAAGGCGTGATAGAGCTGCAAATATTGCTGGCACACAAAGAGGCTCAACGTATTGCGCACAGGATCTGGTTAGTGTTTGCAATGACAAAACTAATATATGATCCCCTTCTATGGAGAGCCTCACAAAAGGGGAGTCCTTGTTTCGTGTGCGAGGCGGAACTAGGTAGCTACTCTCTCACGGCACGGACAGCGAAAACACAGGGAGCGCAGCTTCGACACCATAGGACTGATAATTAACTTACACTTTTTAATGCATTTAATCACCTCTTGACAGTCTCACTTTAATGCTTGAGCTTGAGCTTAGGCTGCTCTCGAGTCTAGATAGCTCCTGTGTTGCGGTTGCCCTGCCAACTATCTTTCCCACGATACCCCGGACAACTTGGGCATCATGGGACAGAAGCATCAATATCAGGCATTGTGACGTGCGACTTCTTCGTCTCTCCATCCTCTGCCGTATTCCTCTGGACCACTAATTGACAACCGTTTTCTTCAGACATCATTCTTTTCAAACAGCTGTATTATTTTCCCACCACAAATCAACAAAACTTACGTTCTTTCTTCGGCGTTGGCATCCACTATCATCCCATCCTCAGCAGTATTTACAAAGTAAAACGCCCGAGTCCCACTTGGTTGGCGCTATTCCGTCGCATGGTCGCATAGTGCATTATACTCAAAACAACTGATTCGACGCGATCGAGCCCAATATAGATAGACATCATATACCACCGGGCATACTCGACAATGGAGAATCTACTATCCGTCGCGTTCGACCACCTCTCCTCCTACGATGGCGCCAAGATCCGGAAAGGTCTGCGCCAGGTCGAAGGCCTCCTCGCCACCATCTGTCTGTCCAAGCGCGACAAGGACAAGGACAAGAGCGCCGGCGCTGGCAGCGATGCGCAACAAGACGAGAACGCGCCCAAGAACCTGGCCGGCATCTCCGACGACCCTGCCTTTGAGCAGTTCTTCAAGCTGCAGGAAGGTTTCGAGTGGAACGTCGCGTTGCGCCTGGTCAACACGCTCGACCGCCTGCTGGCCAAGGGCAACGACGGCCAGAACGATCTGCTGATCCTCAGCTCGCTGGATCTGATCCAGGGCGTGCTGATCCTGCACCCCCCGAGTAAAATCCTGTTTTCTCGAGAGATGTACATGAACGTACGTAGATTGCCTCCTTCCGTGCGAAGATCGAAAGATCCAAGCTAATAATGTGTTTATGACCACAGATGCTCCTCGACCTGCTCGAACCCGATTTCCCACCCGCCGTCATGGGCGCGACGCTGCTCGTGCTCGTCGTAGCACTGATCGACACACCGCAGAACACGCGAACCTTTGAGAAGCTCGACGGGCTCCTGACCATCTCGTCGCTGTTCCGCTCCCGGTCGACCTCCCGCGACGTCAAGAAGAAGTGCATCGAGTTCCTGTACTTCTACCTGATGCCCGAAGTGCCCTCGATCCCCTCGGCGCGGACGCGGGACTCGCTGCCCGATCTGCTGCAGAGAAGTCCCAGCAAATTGGCAAAGGCCTTTTCCGACGCCCCGAGAGAGGGACGCGAGAGGAGGGACAGCGAGAGCGTGCACACGAGAAGCCAGGAGGAGAAGCAGCAGCTGCTGGCGAAGCATCTGAACAGTGTTGATGACCTCGTGCGGGATCTGCAGGGCAACACCCTGTTTGGTGGCGCCGTCTCTTAGATGTCGGTGGGCTGGACGAAAACCAAGGTGGCGGGCTTGACGTGTGCGAGTTTCAGAGGGACGAGAGATTTCACTTTCCGAGAAGTTCACACTGGTGAGATGCACCAAACATTTTCTCTTCATATTAGGCGTTCATGCACTGCATCACATTGCATAGCATTACGGAAACATTGGTTGGTAGAGGCAAACGGGCCCTGGCGTTTTGGTGCAGCATAAACGGTTTGACAAAAAAAGTCTAGGGATCAGGGTACTGTCATTCATATTCGTTCTATTGTAATATTGGAAATAGGTGTAATAGAGGCCAATCGAGATCATCTTGAAACATGTGCCTCCTCGTCATTTCTTCTCATTCCATATCTCACCCATGTAATCGCTCCTCATGGTCCCACCCGGTGGTGATATCAGTCCTGGGCTTGCTGGTGTAAAGAACTGACTACTGCCCGGAGTTTGGCTCTGGGCTGAAGGGAGATCATCAGGACTCATGGGGCTGGGTTCCGGGAAGAGGCTTCCTTCCAACTCATAGAGCACGCCCTCCTCTCCGCCCGGTGGCGGCACCGCCTCTGACCGCCTCGTAGCCGCGGATTTGGTGCTGGCTCCTCTGGCCACTGCTGCGGGTTTCGTCGATGAGGAGTCCATCTCCACGGGATGGCGAATGTCGCTCGGGTCCTGCGGCCCGCTCACGAGCACGCCGCCGCGGTCGCGCAGATCAGGCGTTGTGTGACTGTGCGTGTTGTCGTCATCGCGCTGTGTGTAAGGACCCGACACGGCGTTGGGGCCGAGATACTCGTACGCAGTGCCGTTCCGGTGGACGCGCTGGCGGCCGGAGGGACCACTGATCTCTGACATCCCGCCGCCGGCATGACCACCCCCGAGGGTGCTGTCAGGCCCCGGAGTTACGGTGCGGGTTCGCTCGCCAGCCGTGCGCTCGCGCTCGTCACGACGCCGGCGGATGCAGAACCATGTCAATGCTCCTATAACTATCGCCGCGCCTATCGCGACCCCGGCGCCGATGCCGGCTTTGGCGCTCTGGGACAGCCCTGTGTTGGTCGTCACGGTCCCGTTTGTGCCGGCAGGCGGGTCAGCGGTGCCCGTACAGCCCAGCGTGCTGCCGATGGAGACGCAGGTTTGCCCTCGCAAACAGCAGCCTCCGTCGCTGGGACAGTCCGTCGCACTGGGCGTGCCGCTACAGCCCCTCGTGGGAACGAGGGTTGGCGTTGTTGACAGGCTCTCGAGGCATTGCGTGTTTGATGCGCATACCTGGCTGTTGTCGCAACATCCACCACCCATTGATAATGGACACCTGTATGCCGATACGGCACACGCGCGTGCTACGCATCCAGGAACCGTAGTAGTGATAACTGTCTCGTCTAGAGTGCCAATTCCAGTAGTAGTTGCATCAGAGCCAGTGGCCGAGAGTGAAGACGTTGACGTTACTGTGAGCGTTGCGTTTGTCCGGTAGGAAGTCCCCGTGCATTGCGGGTCGCAAGTCGTCCCGAGACCACAACATCCTACTTCCCAATCCGGCTTGTAGTAACAGTACTGATTGACGCCGCAGCATTTGTTCGCGCCTGCGGTACCGATCTCTTCGCAGCGGTGACTCCCATTTGCGCAAGTTCCGGTATCTTGTCGCCGCCCAAGTGGCTGGATTGGCAAAGATCCGTCAAAGAAGCGAGGGCTGAATCCCTGAGGTAAAACGACGGCTTCCCCAATGACGGCTAGGTCATCGTCGGCAAGCGCCGTGAAGGCCTGTAGGAGAAAGAGAAGCAGATCACCTCTCGGAAGAATATTAGAAAGCATGTTGTCTACACGAATATTGTGCGTAAGACTCTAGGCCTTGCAACTCGTAAAAGGCTTCGATCATGAGCAATCGGTGCGGAACTCTATTGAGCCAGCATCACAATGAATTATGCGAGCGGAAAGAAAACCTTGTCGCTGTTACGGCCAACGAAGGAGGCGACGATGCAGGAGGTTGACCACAATTTGCAACACAAGGGAGAACAGAAGCCACACTGGGCTGACATGACGAGAAGTGCGGCGTGAGACGTGAGAGGCCCCTCGGGTTCTGCTGTGCGTCGGTCCGCAGTCCAGACACTGGCCTTTCATGGGATTGGGTCGTTTCTGCATGCAGCTGCAAGGGTCGTTACACATACTCTTAAGAATACGATCCTCGCCGCAGTAGCCGACAGTCTTCGGATTTCCAAAGTAAGAACAGCACATTGGACATGGCCAAGTGATCATGAAGAAAGACCATACTCCTTGACTGTGATGTTTCCAGAGAGTAGAGAGAAGGAAGGAAATTGTGGGTTGAAAAGTTAAATGGAGTAGATCTTGGAAATCCTGGGTCGCTTGGCGAGAGTTGTCATCATGCTAGTCATATCCCGGCCATGACCAGCCTCGTGGTTTTCCGCAGCTAGCGTTTGTGGTGTGAAGTAACTATCGACAGCATTCTTCGCATGTCCGTTTTTCTGTTTTCGATCTGGCGATGCAAGCTGGCGGTATTTACTCGAACAGGCTCATTGATAGCTTCAGGTTATATACATTGGAGGTACTTTTTGTTTGACCACCCTACAAGACAATAACCATAACAACAGATCAAGCCTCTTACTTGTCCTGATATTCGAGCAACACGAATGTGCTATAGTAAGCCTTATGCTGAAACCGGAGATGCGACGGCGAAAGCGGTCTCTTCAACCCACCACTTCTGGAAGATAATTAGTCGTTCGGTTCTTTCCTTTGCGAGCTGCCGGCCAACTTCAGTCTTCATCATGCCCTGAAGTCGGACAAGCTTGTCATCGAAGTGCTGCACTGTTTCATCCATAGCGCGTTCGCTTTTGGCACCTCCGAAGGTGAAGCATCTCCCAATGCCTACACCACCGATGGCGTCCAGTCGATCTGCATCCTGCACGATTGCCAGCTCTGGGTATTGCTTTATGAGGTCCTGCACTCGAGCGGGATCCTTGATCTCGCTGGAATAGCTAACGCCAAGGCAAATTGTCTGGACTTTGTGTGCCAATTGCTCATCTGCGCCGTAAGACAGTAGCAAGTCAAGGACGAGAGTTGAGGCGTCTTCGCCAGGTTTTAGGTACTTTTTGTCACCAACATCGTGCAGCAGGGCACCCAGGACAATTGTCTGGAAATCGAGTGCCTCCCGGTCTGGGGAGTTGGCATAGATGTGCCTTGCAAGTCCAGAAACCCTCTGGATATGGTTGAAGTCATGTGACCCGTCATATTTGGCCATGTACTGCTTAACATAGTCGGTGACGGTTGCGACCAGCTTTTGATCTAAAGTTGGGAAAGCCATTGTCCTCGTGGTGTGGAAATCCTACATAACATTGTTAGTATGCATGATAACCGCTGAAGATTTCGGGTACATGCACGTGAACACGAGGGGAAGGTCTATGGAAGCCGTGATGGAGGTTGGCCTAGAAGACCGATAGGTGCTTGGTCATATCTACGCGCCGACTGACGCGTGGAAATGGAGAAATGTTGCAGCGAAGTTCGCCTGGTTGCTTACACGGATATTGACCTTGATGAATGTCACAATGCGGATCCCTACCACGTGGATAGGAACAAATTGCTCCGAAAGATGCTGTCTAGATCAAATTAGACGTCCGATTTCATGAGTTTAGCGACAAACTTCGCCAGAAACTTGTGTCTTCAAGACAAAAGAGATTGGAAAATTCCGGGACAATATGTTCAGCGGAATCACATACCGGACTCTATTGTGATGGCTTATCCGATGGACACCTGCGTGATCCGCGAAAATGCCTTAAAAAAGTGACCCCCAGGCAGATGCACTAGGCAGAGGTAGGTTGCCTTCATTAGTGCTTCCGGCTTGGAAGCAGCTTGATTGGTCATGTGACCATGGCCCTGTGAGTGTCCAGAGCCATCGGAGCGGAGGGACGGGAGTACCTGTAGAGGGTGATTGATCATGTCCGAAGCTTATTACAGATGACCGCCTTTGACATTCTGCGTCGCGATTCATGCTTGATTACTTCAAGCCATGGCTTGGTGTGCAGACTAATCAGCCTGCGCGAGTGGCATCACGACCATGGAAAAGCACCATTTTTGTGTGACAAGACCACATACCCGCCGAAGCTAGCGAATTACATGCATGATGCCGAGCCATTCATCTCACCTCATTCAGCCGAGTCTTTTTGACCTTGTGCTCTGAAGGACGCGAACGGGCAGGCAACTCGATCCAGCAAGACCTCATTCATAGCTACTGTATCTGTATCCAGCAGAATCCCAATTCAATCGTGCCGGGGTACCATCTGGCAAAAGCTTGGTATCGTCCTTGGCAACTCAGAGCAGTGCCCTTTCTAGGCTCGTTCCGACAGTCTGGAGACTTCCAGTTTAGATCACTAAGACAGTACCACTTGTTAGTAAAACTATCTTCATAATTTTCCTGGATTAATCAGTCGAAGCTCAGCCTCAAGAGAATTTTCGCGCCTTACGCAAATATCTCGAGGTCAGCTTGAACGACGGAGCCCGCGGGAGGACTTTGGTGTTCTTGGGCTTTCCAAATCACAACATTTGTCCTCCGACTCGCTCGATCTAACGTTCATGATCGGTCAATTACATTGGACAATCAACACTTTTTACATGATACGCTGCAGCGCGCTGCATATGTGCAATGTATAAAGCATGCACCTTGCACATGAACACCAGGAAGTTCCCGGTCGGTTCATCGTAGTCAATGAGCAGGGTTGCAGAACTATTATTCATCCTACCAAAGCTATCCCGCGGAGCACCCAGCCAGCTAAACTGCCCCTCTTTCAGAGTTCAGATGGGGATCGGCTTATGCATAGAGGTGCAGCCGTCAACAGAGATACCTTGATCCGTCATTGGGTAGATACTCATCAACCGCGTGTGATGGCTGATAGGCGAGTTGATCATGGGCTGGTATTGGCTGCCGACCGCTTACCGTTGTCCAATGGCAGCGATGATATAGACGCCGTATCGTCTTCTTTCGGACTAGCCCATCAAGCAACCCCCGCCAGTGCAATGTGAGTTCTATTTTCGCTCAATATCGCACGAAGTCACCATGCTTTACTTGATCACCCAATACGCTTAGCCGCCGACGGTGCACTTCTGCTGTATTGCGCTGCACCAGACGCTTTTTTGCGCTAGGCTCATGTGCTCAAATGATATTACCTTGGATTAGTGGGCATCGTCGACCAAAGAGAAGCTTTCCTCTTTGGACGGAGTGGCACATCCTTGACTAGACTACAGTTGACTGCCGGCAACGTCCTGAATGGCTGATTCTATGGTCGCGAGATGGGCCTCTATGGCCTCACTAGTTGGCCCCCATGATTATAATAATAGCCACCGTTCCTCTCACTTTGACCCTTCTCTTCCTTTCCTCTCCAGCAAGCATTCAATCTTCAAAGCTAGTCTTTTCGTTTTTTTCTCTCTTCCCCATTTCTCTTTCCCTGTGTTGTCAGAGCTGTGCTCTACTCACGTCCTAATACTCACCTTAATTAACAAAATCCAAAATTTGCATCCTAGTTGCCGGTCAACTATACCCCATAACCATCAACGTCTATACTCCTAATAAAAACGAAAACTAGCTTTCTTGCTCGAAAAGCCCTGAAAACAATTGAAGAAAACGACAATTAGTGCAATAACAATTACAATCATTCAGAATGTCGACAATTCAGCTCTCTTTCTCTCTTCGCGTTTCCTCTGGCGTCAAGTCCGTCCATTTGCTTGGTTCTTGGGACAACTACGTCGGTCAACTCCCACTCTCCAAGGATAAGTCTTCCTCCAAGTCCGGTTCGTGGAAGGGTACATTCAGATTCCAGGGCAACCTTGAAGCTGGTCAGCGATACTGGTACTACTACATCATCGATGGCTACCATGTCTCCCACAACCCCAGCGAGAAGTCCACTGTCGAGCCCACCACCGGTCGTGCATTGAACATCCTCGACGTCCCCAAGGACAAGTCCAGCAAGTCTTCCTCCAAGTCCCACAGCTCCTCCAAGAGCTCGTCGAAGCACTCCTCCTCCAAGGACAAGGACTCCAAGCACCGATCCTCCAAGCGCGCCTCCCTTGCCGTAGACATCCCCAAGGGCCGTCCCCTCTCCACCTCGCAGATCAAGGCACCCAAGCCAATCTCGCCACACGCCACCCGTCACATCCTTGATGCTGACTACTGCGACGAGGATATGGATGAGCTCTCTGCCCGCTTTGGCAGCACTGGAATCGACGAGGACGAGTACATCACCACAGACTTCTCCACCTCGCCTGTCTCTTCATCCGGCTCCAGCCTGTCCTACCGCTCCGACAGCTCTTCGCCCAGCTCTTCGCTCTCCGGCTACAGCACTCCCAGCTCCGACTGCAGTAACTGCACCTGCGAGCGCTACGGTATCACCCGCAAGGGCGACCGTGTCAAGATTGACTGTGGTGGTGCCCGCTGTGGCTACAGCGACTCCGAGAGCTCCTGCTCCAGTGGCGAAGAGTCCGAGGAGGAGTATGTCTCCCGCAGCTCGCGCCGCAACGGTATGGTCGTCCGTTCGTGAAGAACATCCCATTCGGGGGGTTCCCGCCAGAACTTTCAACCATCTATGCGCCTTTTTGGCCAGTTTTAATGTAGAAGAGAAGAGGCCTAGTACATTCTTTTACTACGAGCCACCGACAGTATACACGTCGGCTCGTCTTGTTGCTTATTGCATCTCACGTGTTGGTGCGAGACTTCAAGCCGGCCTTGTTGCGCTCGCATCCACGTGCCACCCACTGGGTCGATGCTACGGCCCCCACGATCGTGGGAACACCGTTCTCACGATCGTGTGATTGTCTACTTTGTTTTGACAATAATCCAGAGCACGAGAAACGCGTCGTTGTTTTACGACCGCATGTTCCTCGGCCTGCTCTGCAGCTACACAGCATGCCGCCTGAGAAGATGGCTGTTATGGAAAGTTAACTTGTGGCTCTAGGCTGGCAGTTGGAAAGCCTAGGCCTGCCACCGTGATGAAGAATAGGGGATGGAGGTAGCATGGCATATTAGTTGCCAATCGTTAGTGTAGATTAGATGGCTTTTGAATCTAAACACTTATCTGCCCTCACTATATGACTTGATCCTTTTTGAGAACCGCAACCATGTTTGGGCATCTTTTGCGTCCGAGTCAGTTTTTCGCACTGCTCAATGATTCCATACTCGTTGATCTGTCCTGGTGGTGGGCAGCTTATTCAGAATATGCAGTAGGATGACAGTCCTTGAATGGATTTACTGAATGAAACCGAAAGACTTCATGCAAACAAAATGAATGAGTGTATCCATCACGTTTGCTTGTCATGTGCATGCTTACCCAAATCAAGCCGATGTGTCGCTGACCGTGATGACAAAATTTCCGTCGGGTGCTTTCTTCTCAGCGCTGGTGTACAGACCTCCAGAGCAACGCAACCAGTCCACTGCCCACTGAATCGTGCCTACATATCAATGGTGCTGAGAGGACTGGTGGTAAATCGTTCGTCGGCCCATTGATCGCCAGACATTGGTGGGGTATCAGTTTCACTCTCAGCGAGTAGCGGGGTAATTATCACTGTGAAGCTCCCCCCTGATCCATCGAGCTCCATACATGCAACGCATTCACATTTGGGCAACGAAAAAGATTGGCAATACCCAAGAGCCTGAATTCTGATCAGGCAGACAAACATATCTTTCACCTGGCTACACCATAATTGTTCGCAACTGTCAAAATGGCTTCAGACATTCCGATCATAGATTCGCATATCCACCTCTTCCCGGAATCAGAACTGGAGACCTTGGCCTGGTGCACTCCTGATAGCCCGCTGGCAAAGCAGCACTCTCTAGAAGAATACAAGGCCGCAGTTTCGTCTTCTCCCGGACCTGTCAAAGGTTTCATCTTCGTGGAAACAGACCGCAAAAATGATCTCGAAGCTGGGATCAAGGATGGCAGCGGCTGGAAGTATCCCTTGATGGAGGTCGACTGGCTGAGGCGCATTGCACTAGGTCAACCCAAAGATGGAGAGGGACATACCGAGGAAGATGCAAACCTATGTGCGGCCTACATTCCCTGGGCGCCGCTTCCGAGTGGACCCCAGGCCTTGGAGAAGTATATCGAATTGGTGCAGAAGGAGGCTGGGGCTAGCTGGAAGAAGGTCAGGGGCTTCAGATACCTGTTGCAGGATAAGCCTGACAAGACATGCTTGACCGACGAGTTCATCGGGAGCTTAAAACTCCTCGGGAGGAAAGGCCTGGTGTTCGACGTCGGTGTCAACCAGCACGACCGTGGCAGGATTCAATTAGAAGAGACGGTGGAGATGATCGATCGAGCACATGAGAATGTACCAGAAGATGAAAAAGTCGTTTTCATTCTCAGTAAGTCGGGTCCGTTGCGTAGCTCATGTGCCATATTCGCTAACTATTTTACAGATCACTTGTGCAAGCCGGATCTCACTGTCTATAATGTCCTAACGGACACATCATACATTGCATGGCGTACGGCGATGTTCACTCTGAGCAAAAGTCCAAAGGTCTACATGAAGCTTTCTGGAGGTTTCCCTGAGATGACTGACTCCCTGAAGAAGAGACCAGCAGAAGAAATCTTTGAGGCAGTTAGCCCTTGGTTGAGTGTTGTCCTGGCTGCTTTTGGTCCCTCGCGCATTATGTTCGCAAGCGACTGGCCAGTTTGCACAGTCGGAGTTGATGAGGCATGGAGTAAATGGCAGAAGCTCGTCGAGAGACTTTGTTACATGGCTTCGCTGAGTGACGAAGACAAGACGATGATCTGGGGAGGAACTGCTGTTGAAGCGTACGGCCTAGAGCTTTAGGGAATGCATGAGACTTCGAACGAATGACGAAATAACAGACCAAGTTTGGGCAAACCTTTACAGCACAGACCCAGTCCGATGCATAGACAGTCAGCGATCATACATCTTGCAGAGAAGCTCAGAGTTTAGTAACTTGAGTTTATATAAGACAAATCTAAACGCCTATCGTATCAGGAACGACAGAATAAACAATGTCAAAGCACTGTAAGTCTTCTATCTTGTAGGAATCTCCCAGTCTTGCTCGGAAATGAATAAACTATCATCGATATCCCATACTACAAAATGTCAGCGAAAAGCCCTTCAACGAAGATGCGATCGCACGCTGCTTGATTATTGCCTACACATTGTCTCCTCTCGGAATTACACGGAAAACTCTAGTCGATTCCCCGCGTAGTCTCTCGCAAAAAACCTCGTCGGATACTCAACCGTCTTTGGGCCCGACGTCTCACCCAGCGCATCACACTCCAGTGGGGCACCCTCGCCGCCCTCTTCGCGGTGCGTCAGGATCCTCCTCTGCAGTGCGACCAGGGCCTCCGGCGACCCTAGCTTGAAGCACGGGTGCCTGCTCGAGTTCGGGACGACGATGTCCTGGTCGTGCTTCTGGTGCGCGATGTGCACCTGCTGCCCGGAGTCCCCGATGTCAAACCACGCCAGCGAGTCCACCTGTGCCTTGGGCACCTCGCGCGGCACCAGGCCCAGGGTCCGGCTGTAGAAGGATTTCGCCTGGCCCAGGGTGCCGTAGGGGATGGAAAGGTTCACGTGCGCGAGCCCCGTGATCAGAGGCTCGGGAGCGGTGGTGGTGTTGTTGGCTGTCATCTTTGGCTGTTTGGTACGAAAGCTCTGCGATGGGATTGCAATATGTCAATTAATCCGATTTAGTCAAATGTAGCGGCTCGGAAAGGAGGGTTTTAGTGATAGAGATGACGCCTTTTCGGTTCTGGTTGGCGAGATGCTAGTCGCTTATATGCTATTCCGGCGGGAGACGCGGGGAAGATTCGGGGATAAAGACCCCGTTACTCTACCGGGGAAGACTCAGATGAGGTATATAGTGGTACAAGCCCCGGAAGATTTATAATCATTAAAGTATTTAATCTCCATTTTCAGGGTAGGTCTACTGTGTGCTCTTTGTAATTAGGGAATTTGAGGCATTGGGTTTGTGTGATAGGACTTGTCACATCTTTGGCTTGTGACAACTTTCCAAAGATCTAACCTAGTTACTATAACCCAACTTGCTGGTTTTGGAAATGACGGCTGGAACCCCACCTATCTCATCGGGGAATTTTGCCCTCTGCTTCGAAAAGAGGTACCTTCCACGGGACGTACAGACTACTTTTCTTGAATGCTGGATACAATAAGACCCTTTGAAATTGTTCCTGATTAACGTGGGCATGTCCCTCCCCATAAGCCTAGTCTCGATCGTACGAACGCATGTCCACAGACAACACATGACTGCTGCAATGATACGACGAGCAACAGCAAGCTCCTGGTCAACAATCTTGTCAAGCATGCCATTACGATCCTATTTATGATTATGATATTGATCTATGTAATATTTTGTAAGGATCGTGACGCTATGCCCCCCTAAACGCCGGCTTAAAACAGTTCCGAAAGATACAATTTCCATTCTTGATCCCATTTCCGACCGTTATGCTCCTTTTCTCCAAGGCTCAGACAAAACTCTGAATTTGAGGTTTTGCCGCGTTGGCTAATGCGCTTGCTGACTCCGAGGTCGCGTAGCTTGCTGCGCCCGTGAACGCTTAGTTCGATGGAGCAACAGACTTCTTACCAAATGTTGGCAAGGTATAGCCATTTTTGGACTTCTCGGAGCTATCCGCAGCAGAAGCTGTAGCCAGATTCCTGCCCTTCTTCCGCCCAGTACGGATGTCGCGTCGAGACGTACAGCAACAGCAGAGACCAGCGTGAATAATGAACGCGAGCATTGTGAAACCAGAAGCAAGCCACATGAAAACCCACATCTTGGTGCCGTTGTCAACCTTGATGTTGAGATCTACTTGGGACGTCAATGCATAATTGAAGATTAACGACATGGCGGTGGCGACTGCTGACGCGGCAATGACCATCAATGCGTTGATGAATGCAAACACTCCAAAGGGAAAGCTCCACCACCGGGAGTAAACCACGATTGGAGCAAGAACCATGAGGACAAAACTCAGCACCGTGCCGGCGAGGAAGAAGCCGAACATGACCTGAGATGCTATGCGAAGGACGGTCAGAATCGTGTTGACCTCAGCAGGTAGAGCAATAGTCGCTCCGGCAAAGAGTTCACTTTGCAAGATCTCGACTGGATTGAACCACCACAGGTTGGTTGGCGTTGAGCAGTGCGTGACACCCCTGCAGTCATGTTAGTATAATCCTTGTAGAGACTTAGGAAACAAGGCTCACTCATTTTGGTAACCCTCGCAGAAATTCCACAGTCCAACTTGATAAAAGTCGTGCAATCCAAGTGTTCGGGCGATGGAGTTCGTCAACGTCAGACTGCTCAAACCCGATACCGATGTTGCTAAGATTTCAGAAAGATCGAGTTTGAAGAAGTAGATGTCATTTAGGACCTTGGAGGATTTTTTGGTATTTCCAATTTCGACCTGCAGGAACCAATCAGAACTGCTTGCTAGTATTTGAGGTCAGAGGTTGAATCTGCACACTTACCAGTATCAGGAAAACCATGGCTACCAAGTAGCAGAACGAGGTAAAGAAGAGAGTATTGCGTCGTGTTTTGGTCGCTCTTTTCGCAATAGCCTTATCGTCTACCAATGATCCTTCCTTGATGCCTGCTTCTGGTGATGCGGCAGCGCGCCGCTTGCGGAACCCGGGAAGGCCCATGGCAGTAAGATCAATCAACAACTACCCTTCGATTGTGGTTCAAGATTCAATGTTCGCCGGCACGTTTGGCGCAGGTGATTGAACTAAAGAAAGGGAGAAAGCAGCCCTGATGCAAAATCGGGTTTGTGAGTTGACAAGAACGGAAAGAACCAAAGTGAGGCTCAATTCTCAGGATCTTCAATACGATCGACCTGTAATCAATCAGGATCCTAAGGGTCTGATTCAACTAGAATACGGGAGTGACGTGGACCAGACAGAGGATGATGTACTGTGAGGTACCTGACTCCTGGCGCCTACAGTCCCGTATTTTTCAAATGGTGCCCTGCACCGTGCAGAGGCGGAGCAGCAACAAACAGCACCATTGTGGTCTGAACGTGTGGGCCATATCGACGGGTTGAGCGGCAACCAAGGACACTAGCCAAAACAATATTATTTGGATTTTCTCCTGAGCAGGCGGCTATCGTTGCCGGCGTGTGATAGAACTGACGACGGAGAGTGTTATCGCAGGTATCAAAGAGCCAGCCAGGAGCTGACAAGAGGGTATTCGGCATATTTGGGGCACTGCTAGTGTGCATGATACCGAATAGACTCCAGTGGAGATTATGGGCAGTTTCCAGGTTGTATAGTGTCAATTGGCTGCCTAGGCTGGCATGCAGCTCCTGTCTGCTGCTTATTACGGAGCCAGGGCAAGCCAGGGGTAATGACATTGGAAATCTTGTGCCCCCTGATACTGTAACTCTATAATAGCCTTGGTGCTAATTCCCGACAAGAACAATCAAGATGAAAAGTTTTCGTGTGAGCCCCAATCACACTATGAAACAACCGATATGATGATGCTCGTCAGTAGATCAAAGCTAAGCAAACCAGTTTCGTGAAAAGATGCATCAAAGTGATGAGATCGCTGTCTAAAGCCGACCCGCCACTACTAGAACTAAAGACGAAGCTGAAAGCTAGCGACGTCATACCAAGTAAAGCTCTGAGTCTCCATCAGCGAGACAACAAACACGAACCACTTATTAGGAGACCTAGGAGGTCTGTTTCAACCCAGCCAATGCCTAATGCTGGGACGCGTCGCATATCGGCACGGCACTTGCCCTTGTTGGGTGCGGCGGTGCTAATTCAGATCTCGACAAGAGTGGACTCGGCGGTGGGCCGACCTTTGGCAAGTACCTTTTGGTATCTTCTCCAGCAGATTTCCAAGAATTTATTTCACTTCATTTCGAATCAAAAGGTCTAGAACTCCATGTCTTTTTGTCTAGTTACATTTCTATTTGAATTAACCTTCTAATACATGAGGTCATCCTAGAAATTAGGGGACTTTGTTGTCTTGGTTTTCTTACATCCGCGACTACCGGCAGCATCCCCTGACGTATAGCCTGGCGGTCTTGCCCCGGCGCCGATCAACCACATACGAATACTCTTCTTCGCTTGGTGATTTTTGCTATCTCGTCAATTATCAAGCACAAGCTTCATAGTTCGCCATCTTTCTCCGCCAGTTTCTAGGATACCAGCACGATGACGCTGCGAGCGCTCGGATTGCTGCTGCTATGTAGCGAAGCATTCGGTCAGGTCACAGTTTCGGACACGAGGACGACCGAATCTGAATCGGCCACCACAACAGAGGGAACGCCGACGGGCACCTACCTGACCTTCACATCGCAGGAGACCCAGGATCTGGGTACCCTGACAGATTCAACCACAATTTTAAGTAGCAATGTGACTCAATCGAGGGTATCTACCACGGATACAAGGACCTACCTCAGTGGAACGCAAGCATCAACAACAGCCTCTGGAAACTCTTCCACGACAGCAACCACATCCTCTGCGATGGCAAGTGTCACTAACACGCGGCCCTGCAACAACTATCCAGAATTTTGCCAACGCAAGTACGGCAATATCACTGAGATCTCTTGCCACAACTCCCCATTCATCACATCGAATAATCTGGCGGCAAACCAACAGTTCGACGTGACTTACCAGCTCAACGACGGCGTGCGTTTCCTGCAAGCTCAAATCCAGTGGCCAGCAAATGCTACAGAGCCACATTTCTGCCACACCAGCTGCGACATTCTTGATGCCGGTCCGATCACTGACTGGCTGACCACAGTGAAGGATTGGGTGGCCTCACACCCATATGATGTGGTCACGATACTCCTGGGCAATGGCAACTAGTAAGTCTACGTCAAGCCGGAACTTACTCGAGTTGCATACTGATACCGTCGTAGTTCTGTGCCGTCCTTATATGTCCCTTATATCGAGTCTACCGGCATTTTAGACTATGTCTATACACCACCATTGGTTCCCATGACTCTGAACGACTGGCCGACGCTAGCTGAAATGATTCTTACTGGCAAGAGAGTTGTCATGTTCCTTGACTACATGGCAAATCAGACAGCATATCCTTGGTTCTTGGACGAGTTCTCGCAAATGTGGGAGACGCCTTTCGACCCGACGAATACCAGCTTCCCATGTGATGTGCAGCGACCTCCGGACTTGGCAGTCGCGGATGCCCAGAACCGACTTTACCTGGCAAACCACAACCTCAATATCGAACTGTCTCTTCTGGGAACCAGCATGCTTGTCCCTGCAAGAGATGAACTCAATGTTACCAATGCTGTCAATGGGACCGGAAGTGTCGGGTTAGCCGGCGAGAATTGCTTGAACCAATGGGGCAGAGCTCCGACTTTCCTCAACGTCGATTACTACAATTATGGCAGCTATGCCGGATCGGTCTTCGAAGCAGCCGCGCAGTTCAACAATGTTACATACTCGAGAGCTTGCTGTGGAACAACCAGCGCGGCCTCGAAGCTTGGGTTTGGGGGTCTTTCAATCTCTTTGATGGCGTCCATCGCTGCATTCGCCGTTCTAATGCTTAGCATGTAACCGTTCCTATGATTTGTCCAGATGTTACCGGGATTGTTGTTGCGATGAAATTAAATTGCAGTTTGAGCGTACCGGCTAGAACGTCGCTTTCATTGTTGGCGTTTGGGTAGACCTTGGCGAGCATATAGCATGGATCTGACAATATACATAATGAGACAATTAAACATATCCCGTCATTCTCCAATGCACCGTTATTGAAAGAGCTCCGATTTTGTGTCCTCGTCTAGTGTGCGGATCCGTAATTGGTAGTGGCAAGCTCATTTGATAGAGCTGGCAGGTGTCAGGCAGCTGCTGGCTCCTGGTTGAGAACACTGCAAAAAAGACGAAGAAAAAAAAGACGGGGAAAGAGCCATGTGACGCATGATCGGATTGGGGTTAGCGCAAGCTTGCTTTGACTAATGCCAGCTTCCGAGTCTTCTGCGCATTTCCTTGCCCTCTGCCCTCCCTCCGGTTCTGCCAGTCTCACCCATTTCCTTCTCCATCGCCACTTCGAGCGACGACCACCGCCTCGACAACGCAACTGCATTTCAGAGCAGTATATACTATTCACTTTGTCGCATAATCATCAACGTCGAGTTTTGTAATCTCTCAGCCACGGATCCCCGCCTCTCTACCCAGCGGATAATCCTTCCCTCTGTCTGGCACGACTGGATGACGACAGGAAATAGTGGCAACCACTAATCAAACCATCGCGAATTGCACAGACAGCTTCATTGTGACAGCATCTACTTTCTCTGGTAGGGAAGGCTGGAGAGGATAGGCTAACAAGAAGTTGAGTAACATCGGATACCTGGTACGGTGTGCTGGAATCAGGAGGAGATTGTGCTGCCTCGTCACCGTGAGAAGTGACTGGCTGTCAAGTCTGCCTTTGGCTTTGTGTACACATCACAGTTTCTGTGTTTTCATTCTTCTATCCTGAAGGCTGAGAGCCTCCATTGTTCTTTCAGTACAATCATAAATTGATTCCCCGTCCGTCTACTTTGCCAGTTGGTCTTTTGAAGAAGAAAAAAAAATTGGGAAGACAGCGAAGAAGAAACCATCACAATAGAAAACAAACAAACAGCCCCTCACAAACTTGGACGCGCAAATACCTACATTTCATCCACATTTGTTACAGTGTGAGACTGCGAGATCAACGTCAAAATTTCACACAATACACGATTGCGCAATCCTGTTACATAACCTATAACATTAGCAGCAGTCAGCTCTCGCATCTTGAGCGTGACTCCGGTATATCTTTCTCCTTCGACTGCTCTACCCTATCACACAACACTTAGCCCTCCACCAACCCGGTTTCATATCCATTACATCCTTTACAATGACTTCCTCAGTATTTTACAAATTCAAGTCGCAAAGAGAGCCCTCGCGAGTCGAGTTTGATGGAACAGGTATCTCTGTGTTCGAGCTCAAGCGCGATATCATCAAGCTGAGTGGCCTAGGCGATGGCACTGATTTCGACTTTGCTATCTATACCGAGGATGGGGCCGAAGGTGAGCTACGCGCAAATTCAAAAGCTCAGCATTGTTCTTGTACTAATAACCTGGTAGAATACGACGATGACCTCGCTATCATCCCTCGATCGACGACGGTCATTGCTCGCCGGCTTCCACCCGCCAAAATGGGAGCTGGCCGTGCTGCAAGATATGTTTCTGGGAAGATGCCACATAGTGTCAAAAACTCATCGCGACGTGAGACCACAGCCAAGACAGCTAAACCGTCTACCCAAGGATTAGCCCAGATGAGCAATGCCCTTACAGAAGAAGAGAAGCTTGCAGCCATGTTTCAGGTTCAGTCTGATCAGTGGACCGCGCAGCAGGAGGAAATGGCCAATCAAGCGCCCGTATACAAGCCAGGTGCCAAGAAGCCTGTGAATGTTCCTGATCATGAGCCTCCCAAGGGATACGTTTGTTACAGGTGTGGTCAAGTAGGACACTGGATACAAGTGTGTCCTACCAACGACAACCCAGAGTTCGATAATCGTCCACGTGTTAAGCGAACCACTGGTATTCCTCGCTCTTTCTTGAAGACGGTGGATAAGGCAACGCTTCAGCAAGGAGATGGCGAGGATGGTATCAAGCCTCCAGCAGGTGTCATGGTGAACGCGGATGGAGATTATGTTATTGCACAGGTGGACAGCACGTCATGGGAGCAGTTTCAAGCCAAGACAAAGGCAAGCGCATCCGCACAGAAATCGTCGTCGGATGAAGATAAGGAGCTTGAGGAGAAGGGCTTGCTCTGCACGCTCGACAAGAAATTATTCATAGATCCAGTGACCACTCCCTGTTGTGAGAAGACGTTCTGCAATGAATGCATCACAAATGCGCTCATTGAAAGTGACTTCGTCTGTCCTTCGTGTCAGACGGAGGGAGTCCTCATAGATGATCTCAAACCGGATGAACAAGCCGCTATTAAGATCCAAGAGCACCTCGCAGAGAAGGAGCAGGCTAAGAAGGAGAGGTCAAAGAGCCCTGTAAATGCACAAATCCCGCCAGTCTCTGATGACAAGGTTAATGGTGAAGCATCGACGAAACCTGAGGAGGCCAGTACACCTATCAAGGTTGAGCAAAACTCGGCGCAAACAGAGACAACAGATAACAAGAAGTCGCCGACACCAGTAGCAGATCAGCCCAAATCGCCCTTGGTGGCTGCACGAAAGAACTCGGCAACACCTTCAGTCGCGTCTCAGACTGCCACTAATGGCGAGGGTTCGACAAAAGCCGACGAGCAGCCTTCCAGGAAGCGTTCAGCTGAAGAGCCGGCCGAGAACGAACCTGAGATCAAGATTCCTAAAGGCCCAAAGGCAATGCGACAGCAAGAAGAACAGAACCGTCAGCAACAACAAACCATGATGCAACAGATGATGGGTATGGGTGGCAATATGCCCATGAATCCCATGATGTTCGGCAACTTCCCCAACATGGGCATGGGTATGCCTAGTATGGGAAACATGCCGAGTATGCCCATGATGCCCAGCATGCCCAGCATGCCCAGCATGCCCAACATGCCCAATATGCCTATGATGCCGATGATGGGCATGAATTCCATGATGGGCATGGGGGGCTTCAACCAGAATGGCGGCTTCCCAAACATGAACGGCAACATGAACGGCTTCAACAACTTCAACGGCGGCATGAATGGCGGCAGCAACTTCAACAACCAAAACCGAGGAGGTTTCCAGCAACAGGGCGTCCCAAACCGTCACAACTTCACCCACCAGCCCGCCGGCGACAACGATGCGTACTTCCGCCAGCCTGTCAACCCCAACCGACACCAGAACAGGTTCAAAAGAAGCAGGCCGTCCGACTACAGGGAGCTGTAATAAGCTGGTTCGGGATAGTCATGGAGAGCGTCACTCGTTGTCATTTGTGACGTAGTTCCATTCGATCTACTCAGTACATATACTGGGATGCTCTGCCGCTCCGTCAAAGTATCTGGCAGCGGCGCACGCCGATCGAGAATTCGACTTGTACATTAATCTCTCGCCACCGTCCTGTGTGGCACTGGCTCTTTCTTCTCTAGGCGTTTGGTTCAGTCGAGGTCTACCAAAGGATGACCTTTTTGGATGATTACTATTTACACAGTATATATTACTGATGACACAATCCCCTGCATTGCATGGACGCGGAGTTTGGGGCGTACCTTTTTGAGCAAAGCCCTTTGTTTGATTTCTCCCCGGGACGGGAGATCTACCCACCCAAAGCAGTGGAAGAGGCTGATCAAGGGCCGGGGGGGAGGAAAAAAAGAACGGGGGCTGGACTAGTTAATCTATTTACATGATCCGTCTTTCTTTTATGACACAGACAAGACGAACGACAGCTATGAATATGAATTGTCATTCGAGAACCCAAATTTTGAATGTCGAGTTTTACTGTGAATTTTACTTGATTTGTATATTCATCATGTGATGCATGCGAAAATGCATAGGGCTTCATTCATCGGCATTCAGTAATAGTAAGCCTTTTGCCTGACCCTGCTAGACGTGATATATATGATGACAGTGTACCAACGCCAACGCTTACCCCCATGCACCCCTAGCCATTCCACAACTCCCCGGTTCCTAACACGCGTGAGCATGGTTTATTGTGGCGGCACGTACGGTTGCACAAGCATATCACTGAACTTCTCCAACTTCTCCTTTCCTCTGACCTCCTCGACCAGTAGCGGCATCCGCACGACATTGAACTCGTCGTACAGCTCCTCGATCTGGTCGAGGTACTTCTTCTGCATCTTCCTCCGGGCGTTGCACTGGTCGCAGCCGCTCCCCTGCTTGGGGAACAGCAGCTGGTTGACGACGATGGTGTGGGTGTCGATGCCGTAGCTGGACAGCTCCTGGATCATGCGCTCGGTCTCGTAGAGGCTCAGGAACTCGGCAATGCAGACGCAGACGAAGGTGGTGAGGTTCTCGTCCTTGAACTGCGTGTTCACCTCGCTGATGGTCTCCCGCAGCGTCTCGAGCTTCTCCATCATCTCGTTGAGGTTCTGCCCGTTGGGCAGCGAGCCGTTGGACCCCAGGAAGCCGTTGAGCAGGGGTCCGTACTGCGTCGACAGCTGGCTGATCTTGGCCAGCGCCTTCTCGAGCACCGAGGGGAATTGCAGGAAGCGGAGCGTGTGGCCCGTGGGCGCCGTGTCGAAGATGATGGTCTCGTAGGACAGGGACTTGACTTGCTTCAGGACCTCGGCAAAGGACATGGCTTCGTCAATACCAGGGATCTGTGTTGCGGTCGCCTGTTAGTTATGTTCCGGACGGCTAACCGAGGGCATGGCTCCTTTGTCGGCGGCAGACCACTTACAGCGAAAGCCAGATCTTGCATCATGCCGCCCATTCCACCGGTCATGTCGTTCAGATCCTGCCCACCATTCTCGCCGCCCTGGCCTGCCATGAGATCCTGGATGCTGCCGTTGGGGTCGATCTCCATGGCGCTCAGGTTGTCGAAGCCGTCGATGAGGCGCGCCTCCTTGCCGAACTTCTGGTTGAAGGCATCGCTGAGGTTGTGCGCGGGGTCGGTGGAGATGAGCAGGACAGAGCGGCGGACCTTGGCCAGCTGGATAGCGAGCGAGCACGACGTCGTCGTCTTTCCCACACCGCCCTTGCCTCCAACGAAGATCCAGCGCAGCGACCGCTGGTCCAGGATCGACTGGAGCGTGGGGTCCAGCGAGTCGGCGTCGACGACAGCGGTTGACATGCTGGCGGGCGGACGGTGACGTATGCGCTATGCTAATGGAAGAGGACCGGCTTGTCTGTAGGGGTTCCGGGCTCTGGAAGCGAGGAGTACAAAAGTGAATGCGAAAACAAAGTTCCCCGCAATTGCAAAACAAGACGTGAACAACAAACAGGTTTTTGTCTTGGAATCTCAGTCAAGCTGGGTGAGTATAGTCAAGATAAAATGCGGCAAACAGCTCTGGTAGGGATCGGAGTTGCCCCTCCATGTCATCCTGATAATCACATAACCTTGTTATTTACATAGAAGGGCAAGAATGTCAGACTACTTCACACGTCCCTCATCATAGCCATAACTACAGGATTCATCTTCTCCTTGTGCAACTCTTATTGCCCAAATTTATCTAATGCTCCTCGGTGGAATCATAACATATGATGTCCCGTAGACATCGGGATGGGATAAAAATGCCAGCGGATTTCTTTACCTCGTAAGGCCATCTGCATATGCTTTATTTTTTGTTTCATGTGCCACTGCTTATCATATCCTTACACTCCACTATATTTAGAGAAGTCCTATACGAAGGCCGTTGCAAGTACTATCTATCAGGGACGACCATAGCTCTTTGAAAACTCGGCATTCCGTCCGCTTTGCCTTGGGTTAGATAAGCTGCGAGCAGCGGACTTTTGTCACTGTGGTAGCGTATGAGTCGCCTTTTTGGTGGCTGGCCTGGCCCCCAACGCATACCGTTCACTTCTGCCTCGACCTCGCAGACCGGCTATCCTCTTGCACCGTACCGTTCCCCTCTACTCTGCTTTTGGTATGCAGCCTACCGAGCTGTCCTCAATAGGCGTACGCAGAGCGAAAACGGGCGTCGTTACCACGCCGGCTCATTTACTCCTCGCGCTGTTGTACAACTCGAAGCATTCGTGGGTAACTCCTTCGATCTTCTTCTATCGCTCCTGTTCTTCGGTAAAATGCGTGGTTACCTACCGTCAGATTGCAAAGCGTCCTTCGCTTTCCTGTCTGTCTCGGCAAACAGGGCCAGAGGTGCCATGCCTGGAGGAACAAACTCGCCAGGCCTTTGCTGAATATCACACGTGGGCTAGTTGCCCAAGACAATAGTCAAAGCCTACATAAGCATGTAGGACTTATCTCTGGATTTACCCCGCTTCCCATCATACGATTAGGGCGAGTCATCCGTGTGCGCATCAGGCAAATCGTCTCGTCCGGTAGAGTCTTCAATGCAGCAGACGAGAACTTAGAGGCTATATTGGAGGCTGTGTACCCGCACTTGTCCACGACAGCACCTGCAGCCGCGATCTTTTCACGAATGATAAGAGAACCCAATAAACTTTCACCAGAAGACAACAGCAATGGCAGATCTAGAGATTGCCAATCGTAAATATGAGGAAGCTGTGAATATGGTACCAAAAGATCATCCAGACCGGACACATCTGCTTCAAAGCTTGGGGACCGAATATTACGCTACGTATCAAGAGACCGGAGCGATAGCGGATCTAGAGGTCTCTATACAACTATTTCAAGAAGTTCTTGCCATGTTACCGAAAGATCATCCTGGCCGGGCGCTTGGGCTCCAAAAGCTTGGAGTCAGCTATCAAGACAAATTTCGAGAATTTGGAGTGATGGCTGATCTAGATGTTTCCATCGAACAACACCATGCGGCTCTCAAAATCACACCGAAAGATCATCCAGACCAAACACGTCGACTTCAAAATCTCGGAGCTGCGTACTACGACCGGTATCGAAGAACAAGAGACCTGGAGGATCTAGAAATGGCCATTCAACGGCTACAAGAAGCCGTTAGTATAATACCAAAAGGTCATCCAAATCGAGCAAGTCAGATTCAAGCTATCGGAATCGGATACCAAGAGAAGTTTCGCAAGTTGGGAGTGATGACAGATCTAGAGATGGCCATCCAACAATATCAAGAAGCTGTGAATATAACGCCACAAGGCCATCCAAACCAAGCCAGTCAGCTTCTGAATCTCGGACTTGGGTATTATGACAGATATCAGAGAACAAGAGCGATATCAGAGAACAAGAGCGATATCAGATCTAAACATAGCGATTCAACAATACGAAGAATCTCTTAGTATGACACCCGGAGATTTCCGAGACAAACCACGTCGACTCCAAAATATCGGGGCCGCGTACCACGATCGGTATCGAGAAACAGGAGAAATAGCAGATCTAGAGAGAGCGATCCAGCGGCTCCAAGAAGCTGTTGATACGACGCCAAAAGGTCACCCGGACCGAGTAAATCGACTTCAAAGCCTAGGGATTGGATACTCCGATGTATTCCGGAGATCTGGAATCATAGCGGATCTAGACTTAGCTATTCAGCAACATCAAGAAGCTATTGATGCATCGCCAAAAAACTATTTAAACCGTGCAGGTCTACTTCAAAGTCTTGGATCTAGACATCGAGACAAAAAAAAAAAAAAACAGGAGAACTTGTAGACTTGAATAACGCTATCTAACGATATCAAGAAGGTGTTGACGCAACACCAGAAGATCACCCAGACCGGGCAAATCACCTTTTAAGTCTTGGAGCTGGGTATCATGAAAGATATGAGAAGACAAAAGTAACGGCGGATCGAGAGATGGCCATTCATCAATACCAAGCAGCCATCGGCCATCCTTCGTCTTCTGCTTATGATAGAATACGACCAAGTAGCTATTTGATTACAATGCATGCTGAAGCTGAGGACTGGTCGTCAGCTTATGAAGCAGCTTCTACAGCCATGTCATTGATCCCTCTTCTTACTCCTCACTCTCTTGCAAATTCAGATAAACAACACTTGATTATTGAAGTTGCAGGGTTAATTTCTAATACGGCGGCAGCTGCTCTTATGGCAGGAAAGTCAACCTACGAGGCCATACGACTCCTTGAACTTGGCCGCGGAGTCATTATAGGCTCTTCGATTGAGTTGCGCGCCGATATCTCTAACCTTCAGCTGAATCATCCTCAGCTGGCAGAGGAATTCATCAGGTTTCGGGATCAACTCGATGTCCCCATCCGGCAGGTCTATCAATCAAGTATGCCAACATTGATGGCACGTCAAATCGATCAACGTTATGATGCGGCCCGGGCGCTGGAGCGGACAATTCGAACTATCCAGAATCTGCCCGGTCTTGACCGTTTTCTCATGGCTCCCTCCGAGGATGAAATGAAAGCTGCCGCCGTTCATGGACCCATCGTCATCATTACTGTGCGAGATTACCGATGTGATGCGTTGATTATCAAGAAGGATGAACTCATAACTTTACGACTCCTTCAGCTAGACCTCGAGGATATTCAAGCTTACACCGCAAATTTGGCAAACCCAGACTCATTACTGTTAGAATGGCTATGGGACACGATCGCAAAGCCCGTTCTTGATTCACTAGGATATACCCAGAAACCTGATGATTGTTGGCCCCGGATTTGGTGGATACCTACGGGGCCTCTTTCCAGGTTGCCTATTCATGCAGCGGGATATCATTCCCGCAAATCTGCCGATACTGTTCTAGATCGGGTCATTTCATCCCACAGCTCATCTGTCAAGACTCTCATCCGAAGCCGTCAAAGATGGACCGAGGAAAGAGTAGCTCGAGAATCAGGAAAAGCTGTGCTAGTCGGTATGAGAGAGACACCAGGCCAAACGGATCTGCCATTTGTACCACAGGAAATTGATGAGCTGGAGCATCTATACAAGTCTATGCAGCTCCAAGTTATAGTTCCTTCTCCCAACCAAAAACAGGTTATCTCCGCCTTGAATGATTGCGACATATTTCATTTCGCGGGACATGGATGGACCAACCCATTGGATCCATCAAGAAGTGCTTTGCTTCTTAGTGGCGAGAACCTCACTGTGGCTGATCTCTTCGAGACGAATTTGCATAGTCGTACGCCATTCCTTGCGTATCTTTCAGCCTGCGCTACGGGGCAAGTCAAGCACGGTGGGCTCATCGACGAGGCGCTTCATCTCATTGCTGCGTACCAGCATGCTGGCTTCCGGCATGTTATTGGCACCCTTTGGGAGGTAAACGATCAGTCGTGTGTAGAGGCGGCAACCACTACGTACGAGTGGATCAAAAACAAAAATATGAGTAACGCATCCGTGAGCGAAGGCCTTCACCGTGCAATCACAAAACTTCGTGCGTCATGGATTTCGGAGAACGCGGCTAGATGAGCCAAGCGCTTGACGATCCTATCAAATCGGGATGCTTCAATGGCGACAATGCCGGCTCGTTTGTACCCAGATGTAGTGAGGGACTCGAGAACTGCGGAATTATATGAGGACCTGCCATTGTACTGGGTTCCATATGTCCATTACGGAATCTAAGGCTGCGGACCATGAGAGACCATGTGCAAACTCAATCATTGCAAGCCCTACAAGGGACAGTATCGCATATCTTTTATTGATAGAAACGACCTCGACTCACCCCGCCATGACCACCGTTGGCATCTTCAGATCAATGGCCATGTTAGATCGGACAGGTATCGAAAGCCATGGACTGATCCTTGGCATCATAGAAAGTGATGCGGCGTTCGCTTTTAAGTAATCATACTCGCTGACCCTCTCAGCACTCAGCAGAAGGAGCGTTTGATGGGTTCTCAAAAGACTTAACCTTCGACCAAGTGATAAAAATATTAATCTAATTAATCACCAGGATCCTGGCTGATTACTACGGGTATTGCAGACGGCACGAGTCAGTCATGTTTGGGATATTTGATCAATCCATTTGACTCGGGCATCATCTCCTACATAGCAAGACGTGTTTGGAAACTTTTAAGACATGTTGAATCGAGTGAGCTGCCCTCCAGAGGCTCAGAGTATTTCTTTTTAGATATTTAATATGGACAATCATTTCAAAATTTCCGTGGATGGATTGGCGGCCAACATTTGCAACACAGACCATAGCGATTATCAATATTTTCTTAAGGACCACTCATCATATCTCTCATTCAAAGTGATGTACGAATCGGAAAGTTCAATGCCACCCAGTCCTCTAACAACTGGTTATCTGGATGGCTGATCCTTTCTCCCGTATTTATGCCCACAAGCTCGTCAAGGTTGGGTAGCTCTAGGGAGTCAAATATTGTTGGATGCGTTGTGACGAAGATTTTGATGACATCCTCACAAGAGCCGTATTCTTGCATCACAACAGGAATGGTCATCTTGATCTTCCTTGAAGACCTTCCCGCAAACGCTTGCTGGCCATCATACCTTACTTTGCGCGGAGGAACAGCCTCGTAAGTTCCATGATAAATACCCTTAACCTGCCAGCAAGGACCTAAATTGTACACGTGAATGTACAAAACGGTCTCTCCCACGTTCTTCATAATTACTTCTATAATGCTATTGTGCCGAACCTCTATCTGCTCCCCTGGGCCGAAAATTTTTCCCTGACTAATAATGTGAATATCGAATGACTTTCGGAAAGTCTCTGTCGGCGTCTCGTTAGTCAGTCCCTTAACCATCTCAAATCGGGCCAGGTGTTCTAACACATTGCAGATGCGGCCAATGTCTGTCCGATCCTCTGGCATTGGTGGTAGGTTGGTGATCTTCCGACTCGAGCTGTCCAAGATTTCGTATTCATTATCACTGCTCAGAACAACTTGGTATACTGGAGTTTGCGCCCCGTCGATGTTGCGGAATGACCGCTCCTTCAGTGCCGCTAACCATTCATTGTGATGCGGGATGTCTGGTGACAATCGGACAAGAAAATCCGCATGATACAGGCTAGTGCGTGGTTCCGCGATCCACTGTGTGCGATAGTTGGATCGGATGCCGGATAGATCCAATTGGGATGTAAAAGCACCAACGCGAGCAATAGTCACTATAGACTCTTCCTCAACACTGCGATCGCTTGCCGAGTTTGGAGGATACACAGTAAACCTTTCCCCATCATGAAGACCATGTGCCCTGCCGGCTAACAGCTGGAGACTTCCTTCACGTTCAACAACGTAGTATGACCTTGTATTGCGGCATAGGTCTATCGAGCCGAAGAAGCCTTGGTTGACGTTTCCGTAGAGCACTGGGAATTGCGCAACACAAGATTGCCAGAACTTTGCGCACAAATGACGATGGATATCCTTATGCTTCCTCCCAAGCCCGCGGTTGGAGAAGGCTCTAGATAAGAAAAGGGACAAAGCCCCGTACCTCTCTCCATTCCCGCCCAATTCAAAACCCCCCTTGGCGTTTTCATGGGGTCCGCACGCGGCAAGTATTGTGTATCGGTCTGGATCTAGCAGCCAGTTGTCACGCATGGTTGCATCTCTATTCATGAAACGCGTTCCCCTGCCCACAGAGTTATTATCCGGTCTCAATGAATATGTCGGGGCCACCGCGGGGCCGCACGGGAGGTATCGGACATTGGGGTCGCCATTGCGGTAAACGCTTGCAGAGAAACAGCAGTCAAGGACGACAGTGACGATCAGTCCCTTGTCCACCATAGCTTTGAGTAGACCGGCTAGTCGCGGGCCGCGAAGAAATACTTCCGGGCTATTTTCCGCCTTCAGTAATACCAACGCCAAGTCTCCGGTCGACGAGTTCGAAAAGTCGAAGCACGGCGCAAGCCTGGTTCCATGCCCGGAATAGTGGACGTAGACGAAATCTCCCTTGTTGGCTCTAGACGTAGTCCTTCCAAAACCTGAAGCGACATTGCGGAGTGTTGGCCACCTATCTGGGTCTTCGAGAGGCGTGGCTATGTCCGGATCGCGGCTGTTGCTTGCAGTAAACGTCTGGATATCGACAAAGCTCAGTTGGCTCTCAAGACATTCTTTGATCGCTTGTACATCTCGGACACAGCTGTTCAAGGGACCATTTGGATAGGCGTCAATACCGATCAGGATTGCGTAGTGGCTATTTACATCGCGCTGCTCACACATGATGTTATAGCGGATTTCCGCCACTGCCCACGCTGAGAATGTATTCCTGAATCAACCTAAGGTCTTGTGCCGGCCTCGAGAGTTGTGGTCGATGTGTGTCATGATAGGGAGGGAGGGTGGCTTTGTGAGGCACCTCGATTGTGTAGTGTCTTGAGGCTCTCGGTTCGAGAGCCAGTATCGACGATACAGTCGGGCGAGACTACAACCAAGAAACATGCGCGCAAAGATTAGGCAGAGAATTGAGGAAAGCCACATAAAAGTCACATAATAAGGCTGCGAATTGCAGTGACTCTCGTATTAGCTGCATGAGGTCTAGGTCGATTACACAACATAGTTCTGGCCTTTCTGTAGCTGACGTGTGAAAGATTTATTGGGGGCACTGTGAGCCCAAATGTCTCTCTAGGCAGCCTCGAGCTTCGCCATCTCTATCTCTTCGCCGTTCCTGGCAGTTTGACCGTTCTCAAGGCTCAAGGTGCATGTTTCGCAGAACGGACCGATGCGACGAGGTAGGGACCTTCGCGAGACCCATCGGCAAGCAGTAGATATACTTTATCCCCAACGCGATATGTTGGAATCTTAAGTCAAGCTGAGTTAACGCTCGGCGGTTACTTAGAGGAATACTGACTGTGCTAGACCTGGAGATGTGGGCACGATCTTCCTCGTCGGTGAAGACGAATCGGGATTTTTCGTTGCTTTAAAACCTATGTATTAGTACTAGATACTCCAAGACGGATTAGATATGCGTACTTTTCGGACGACATAGTGATTATAAGCTTGGCCCTGGTTAAAGCAAATGATTTTAAAAGCAGTTGTGGCTGTACAGTCACTATTTGATGTCAACTCTCGTATATATATACATATAGATGATTAATTGATCCGAAGGCGGCCGCATAAGGCGTTACGGCGTGCCGATCACCCCCCCCCCCACCCCTTCGCATATATTTGAATAGATATCAGGCTGTCCTACAACAAACATTCACAACTTATCCACCTTTAGGCAGCTCAATCAAATTCCCACGAATTGCTTTGGGAAATAAGGAAAGCCACAGTTTATCATACTTGTGAGCGGGAGGAAACGAGATGTATGCACGCTTTCAGTCTTGGTGCTGCTGGCTTTTCCACTCTAAACCTAGACATGATCCGGAAATGGGGAGAAGTAAGCGCCCCAAATTTCACACCAGCATCTATTAAGTGTACACAGTTGAAGAATATAACCTCGGTTATCCACGTTTTACTGCACTTCTCTCAGCACACAAATCCTGGTTTATATTCCGTCGCTTTGACAAACTTCGTGCTCGAATTCTTCTAGCAACGCAAGATAGGCTGTCCTTTCTTGAGCAGCAACTAGAAGAGATAGACAGACAGGAAACTTCTCTTCTTTTCCTCGGAAGAAGCCGGTGCGATGGCAACACAGATCGACTATCTACCCTATCTGAAATTTCAACCACCCTAGCCGACTATGGTAAGAGGGTAGTCAGGAAACTATAGGCGGTCCGCTAATGAGACCAGACCAACTCATCGAAAGAACTGGACAGATGCTGAGCCTACCATTGGCAGAGCGCAGGGACATAAACAGCCTGCAGAATTGGGTGGATTCTACCGGCTGTCTAGCCAGGGACGAGACCAAGTATCTTGCTCATGGACATGAACTAGTCTCTCTAGGCCTCACGGCAGACAATGCGGTCTTACACCTCAAAACATGGGTAGAGGACAAATTGATTCGATACTGGCGTTGGTTCCGAATAGTAAGAAGACTATCTACTATGAAGTGCAGAGCTGATGAAAATAGAACCACGGTCACGATCTCTCTATTGATCTAGACATATTTGTATACAAAGGCCCACTGATCCGGCTGACCGCGAAGGCGCTGCTATACTTCCTAATCACCCTTCTCTTGACAGTGCCGATTATCATGTGCAACCTCATTACCACCATGTCCACGCGAATGATTATCGTCATGTTTTTTATTATTTCATACCTCCTTGTACTCTCTGGATTGACGAAGTCCAGGATTTACTTTATTATCGTCGTGCTGCAGGCCCCTTTCACACTCGACTGTTTGCCCCACATCAATTAACCTAGTGTCATCTTTTATCTTCGAAGTTCATCAAAGACCAAGGCCGCTTATAGATCTCTTAAACACCAATCTTGATCGAGTTCCCTTTATTACTTTATACAAACGTAGCGCCGCTGATCACTACTATCTCTCGAACTTTTGACCGATATCCTTGGGTGGCTTCGTATGCCCTTCTTTGTCCATGATATCGAGGCGGAGATGGGTAGCGCTCGGCTCGTTAGGGGTTTATGAAACAAGTGAAAGCGAAAGGGGCCACGGAGATTATAGGATACGACTACCTCTAACGCCACCAACCACATCACCATTCACACAGTCGTAATGGTATAGGTCTTTTTGCCGACAGGTTTATGGTAGTATGAATAATCACTGCGCTTTCTCATATACGGTACCGTAGAAATATGACGCCTGGACTTAGACTTACAGCAGTTCAAACAATCATGAGAAGTCCAACACATGTCGACAGTTATTGAACAACTTGTACATCTTTTTGGGGCGTAATCCTATGAAATTGAGACTTGCACAGACGCGGCGTTGTCTAAATAGACCCGAAACAAAAAAAGAAGAAAAAGAAAACCTGAGCCAATAGGGAAAGTATGTCTTTCTTACTGAACACTAAGTTCATGCCTTCTTTTTTCCTCCTTCATTCCAAATTTACATCTTAGAATATCCAATGTCTCACATGCCTGAAATTTTAGTACCATATTTTCAACAACATCTTGAGGAGTTTATGCATTTTCTCTTATGCTTACGTCTATTCGGTTGGTGGTTGAGACGACTCTGACCCACTCAAACTAGGATCAGCTGTTGTGTCGATACCAATGGTGATGTAGCCAATCATGCCATTCGTGATGTCCTCTCCATCGGCAGGGACGATATCAATAACAGGGTTATAGCCATTTGCAAATCCATACGAGTAGACGGAGTCCACGTCGTTTGTGGTGCGGTTGATCTCCGTATGGCTGACGTAAGGCTCCTGTGCCATGATTGTCTCTGAGACTGACTCGTTAAAGTACAGCTGACCAATCGAGTTCGAATTCCCGGTGAGGATAGTGCCGTTTGAGTGCAAGACGTAGTCGGTGAAGACTGTGCGCGGAAGTTAGTATTCGCATTAAATGAGTTCCCACTTAGTGTTTATCTCACCTTGGGCATGAATATGGATAGCCCTTTGAATGTAGAAGCCCGGGAAGATGGTCTTCATTTCCAGCATGCCCTCGCTGTCGGTGGGCCACATGCCGCGAAGCCAAGTGGTGTCATCGGTATGCAGGTCGGTTGTTCCGATCTCAAAATCGGTAACGTTGAGCGACTCAAGCAACTCGCGGAAATCCGTGTTAGGGTCACGGCCAGTGAAACTGGAGTAGCTTCCTGTGCCGTTACAATGCCAAAAAGCAACCAGCGCATTGGGTAGCGGTTCACATGTAGCCATATCCAGGACACCAATGTCAAGAGTGAGAGGAATGCCTATCTGATCTTCGGTCATATCCTGGCGCAGAGTCTCGGATCGAGGCCAGTAGTAGGGTCCAGCTGTGACATCTGGTGCCAATACGCAAGTGTCATTCTGGAGTGTTTCGAAGTAAGGTGCTTCGGTTGTAATTGAATAGGTAGTATTCCCGGATCGTGATTCCAAGAACGGTTCACTTCGTTTCTCCCATCTCTTCTTGTTAAAGTTTGCGGCACTGTTAACGCATCGCTTAGAGAGATCTGCGTGACGCTTGTAGACGGCGGGTGTGCTCGCCTTATGCGCAAGGATTGGTGCCGTTAGAAGGCTAAGTAATGTCAAAGAATGTGTTTTCATCTTGAGATCTTGATAGGTATGAACGAGCGTGAAGTTTTACTTCTCTGCAGCAAATATTGCAAATATGCTCACCCTTTGCGTTTTATATCGTCTAGAAATACCTTTCACGATCCCATGGCGTTGACGCGGCTGTTAAGTGACAAGGCTTGGCGAGCAGGGCTCAAAACTATCTCCGGTCCACTGATTACGACGATCCTCCACAGTTAAAGTGCCGCTCTACTCAGTTTGCCAAGAACACCGGGGATGGCATTGACTTGAAATCGGATCCTCCCCACAATAGGCCACGAAAACGGTCGTTCAACGACGTCAGCGTTGTTGAAATGTGGACGGCTATGGAGTATATCGTACTGTGGAGAAGATTAATAAACGCCTCGAGGCCACTCAAAATCAGCGGATTGCAAAATACGTCCCTATTGCGGGTCAAAATCCCTGTAACCTATACACAATCCTCTATTGGTCGAATTGAATGCCGTTAAGGAGGAACTTTGTTAGTTGATTCATTCAGTGATGCATCCGTTTTTGTCGGAATCCCACCATAGAGCTAGCCTGTCCACAAATCAGAGCCTCACACTGTTGGGTTACTCCTTTGTTTTCTCACCTTCGCTAATCAAACATTGGCCAATAGTCTTTTCCCCGAAAGCTGCTTATCTGAGGGCATCAGCACAGAAACCTGCCTCAAGCGTTGCTATGTCATTCGCAACCAAGGTCTGTAGATAGCGCACTACACAGAAACTGTTCTCAAGTCCATCTGCAGGACCTTGAGCAGCCAGTGACTTTGATCATAGAGCTTCTGGGATACCATTGGAACTAGACTTGCCCCATTAATAACAGCCGGACAATGCTGCCGCTGGTTCTTCCGCAACCAATTCCAACAATTTCATGCTGAGGGCGATTTTGGAGACCACGATACGAGTTATCCATGTGATACGGCCGTCACCCCTTTTTCTCAATTAAACAAGGGCTATGTGTATCTCCCACCGAGCTCATCAAGCATCCAAATTCACCATGTGTACGACGATCGGTACTTTCAACCCAAGTTATTATGCTCGTCGCCCTTTGCCCATTTCTCCATCCCGCCTGCGACGCCATGCTCGTCCACCGTCCACGTCCCATCCTCAACTCTCCGGAACCAGTGCTCCAACACCCAGAATAGCTGGGCTTCATGCCGACCCAAAATCACGCTGCAGCTTGTTGGAACAAACCCGCCGACAGTCCCTCGCCTTGATCCCTAGGCTGATCTACGGTAAAGCGATCCCAAGGTCAAAGCTGTACCGGAACTAGGAATTGATGGGGGGAATAGTCAATAAGTTTTACATCATCGGACGGGTACTCAAAGAGCCGTCTGACTACTTTTTTTTCCTTTTTTTTTTTCCCCCCCGTTCCAGACTAATAATACCCACCATCATGTGCAGGGTTTATCTTAGCGGTGGACGTAGTATACACTGTAAAAGCAATATTTGTTCGCGCCTAGGATACGAGTTGAACGGATTGCAATACCGTAAATTCGAAAGTGATCAACCATACATATCCACTTGATATTAGTAGGCTGTAAGGCCCTCTGCGTGTGATAAAGCCTGGATGTAACGGGTCGCACGACAGGTCGCTTATGGTGCACATAGTAGTCGATAGCATAGTGCGGTGGCTTTTGTGCAGGCGCACAGTTGCATTCTACCTCGACAGTTAGTCCAGATAACGCGATTCGCTATTCGCCTCAAATGGCTTGGATGTCACAGGTAACATTGATTAGGGATTTCTAAGCTGTACATTTATCTTCCGTTTTCTCGGCAGTAATAGCCTCAGCAGTGACGTATGTAGCTCCTCGAATTGATCAAGAGGCTAACCTAAATACCCTGGTGCTATGGTGCAACCGGCCAACTGCATCGCTGCGACAGGTCCAAAGATGGTGTGGTCATTGTATCAAAGGCCATTCAAACTCCATACCAGATTCTGACCTGTATTCAAGTAAATATAGTATAAATATAGCTTACTTTGCTGACATGCCGGAAAGGGCAGATTACGTATTTAAACATAGTTATCCTATCCCCTTAGTCGGATGTTCAATCGGTTTTAGCTTTTCTATTATGCCTTCGCTGAGACACGGCATCGTAGGTCGAATGACAACACATGAGGCGGATGCGACTTGGCCGATAAAGCCGATAAGGGCGCTCCAACCAGTCATCAAGTGGGAATAAATACCGATTGAGACGAAATTACATATCGTTGCTACAATGATTGCGAACCATACCGAATTCTTCGGGCTGACGAGGTTGGATCGCTCAAATAGCAGAAGCGTGGCTAGGTTTCCAAAAGTCGAAACGATGTTGTTCTGAATCAAATAAAAGAAATCAGCATCCTCACTATTGCCGATCTCCTCCTCCGCCCAGCTCTTGGCGAATCCAATACATCCAGGAATAAATGCAAGTATGATGGAGCCCACATATAGGGTAAATATCCAGTACCAGGCATCCTATAGACGTTAGAGAACATTTTATTCCTTCTCAATTAATAAACATGTAGTTCTAAGATAACTCACATCCTATAAGTTTGAGCTTATCAGTTGTTCTATGACGGCCGCGTTCTCATCACCACTACCATCAATCTTGACTCTCTGAACTGTTGTGACAGCCAAGAGGAGGTCCACATCTGATGGATCTGGTATCTTTGCCCGCAGTATGCCTTTGAGATAGTCGAGTCTTCTGACGATTCCATCCACAATCAGGCTTATATCTGTTGTGCTGGAATCTTCTGTTTTCAGCGTCTGAAGAAGTTTCTGGCGCTTACTAGAAGCGACAGCAAACGTGCTCATGATCAAATGCAACATCGTAGCAGCATGTGTATCAGTAAGCATGTCCTTTTGTAATTCGTTGAACATGTCAATGACTATCCGCCAATACAGGATTTCGTGCCCTTGCTGGAGGTAGTGCAGATATTCATCGTCGTCACTGAACACTGGCCTGTCTTCCTTGTTGGCTTTCTTGACTGAAGAGCTGGGCCATGCTTCAGATGCGCCTGCACAAAAGCTCCCGAATCCACCAATGTTAATATCCTGAACATTCTTTTTTTTTTTTTTTTTTTGCGATCGTTTCACGCGCTTGCTCCATTCTTAGTCTGACACTGGATGACTGGAACAAAATCCCAAAGCTTTGGAAGAACTCGGCCAAACATCTTTCGAAATGAATAAACAAACGAGCGATCTGCACGAACTGTGTCTTGGTGCGGTCGTCCTTAACAACAGCGAGAGGGGCGTATGGAACAGGGTGCTTTAAGTTGATCAAAGCCTATGTTTGTGTTAGTGCCTTGCCGTCTTAACTTCTCTTTATATAAATCGAGCTGTTGAGTGGAGGTTTTTTTTGTTCCTTCTTTCTCCCTCCTCCTGCCTCCCTCGCCGGTCGGGTTTTGGAGAGACTAATAATAAAAATGAAGCATAAAAATAAGGAGGAAAAGTGAAATCTTACTGGTCTAGAAGCTAAATGGCGAGGCTCAGCGCTTGAAGATGCTCTAATCGTGAACGGTGCAGCAAGCTGATGCTCCAGTGGTGGGAGAAACAAAAACTTAGATCCAATTTTTATGTCTCCAGACACGAGACCAGAGTGAATGTTTTTATCCAGTGTCACAAAATCCAGGGGATGCCTTGGATCAGTGGCAGGTTTGGGTGGGCTGTGGGCAGAGTCCATTGCCGTAGCTTTGTCTATGGTCTTCTGAGACCATAAGAATAGTATGAGATAGGATTTTAGTTTCTAACTGGTAAACAAAGACTTGATGTAGTATCAACTGCGATGATAATACTGAATGATATTTTGGCTAGTATCGACCCTGTTTTGAGAGGCCTCCCTCTTGAGGCTGTGTCCTTGTCACACGATGGCGCTTTCACGTCCGATAGTGTTGGTGGGGGTTTAAATTCCATCGTAAGCACTCTGATAAGTCATTTTCTTATTCAAGTATCTACATTATCTCATCGACAATGAAAAACGTTTCGTTGTAGTGTTTCGGTGCGATGCAGGAAACGGCTGCTGATCGTTCCTTTATCCATGTAGGGAAACCTTTGCGATCGTGCTCATTGTAATGCACATGTGCCAGATGTCGACTCAGAAGCGATTCAAAGCGAGCCAAGTTGTACATACAAAATGCATCCGAATCAATTTGAGTGTAATCAAGACCCATGGCACGTATACGTCTTCGGGATTCTTTCTGGTACACAAGGTAACGGATGCCTCAGGTCTCCACCTGTTGCCTCAGGTACACACCTAGGGCAACCACTTTAAGAGCCTTCCGTGGAACAGAGGATAGCTCTGTCCCTCACCGTTACACTGCATTCCATATCAATAGACTACTGTTAATCACCATACGTGATGTGTCTATCACAAGGGGATCAATACAGTGTTAACATTAATATATCTAAGATGTCTATCGTGAATGGACATGTCACACTCTATTATGGTAATATGCGACACCACAAGAGAAACTGTCGAGCGTACACGTAGGCATTCTTTGAGAATGATTCTAGGAAACAAGACATCTTGACAATTCGACATGGCACGAGATGATCACGGTCCCTTAGCCCATCTTCTGTTAGTGGCTGAATATTTGACGACGTCTCCAAGATGTATAATTTCAGGTTCCTTACGCCATGCAGTTTTCGGGCATTGAGTGATTCTTCGTTTGGTCTTATGCGAGAGGCAAGCCGTCAAATTTTAGGACGTTGAAATAGATTATCTGTAGCAGTAACGTATGGTACGTGATGATGTCTTGTCAAACTCATGGCGACGACCAAGCAGTTGCACGTAGTACGCGAAGAGCAGGGCTACAAAACAGCACAGCGTCTGTCAACTTTTTAAGCTCACAAAATCATCTCACAGTAAGTGCGTCTTTGTCTTGGTCGAGTTCTTTTGATGCCCAGTGTCGTTTCTCATGGTACATATTGACTAAGCTTTCCCGAGAGTACAATAAGGTTCTGACATGTGGGAGGCTGGTGGGCTAGCCTGCAAGCGTCAGGTCTCATTTGCTCTGGGACTGCCATTTACGGCTTCAAGTCCCACAACGATAAGTAGATAAACTTCCTAGGTTTGGGGGAGCTTCTAATCAACCTGCATTCTGCATCATTGCAGCAGCATGGCACGACCTAATACAACCTCAATTGTTCACTATTTCAATGAATGAGGGATTTTGGTAGAAGAAGAAAAAGTTGCTTTATAGTTTTATTGTCTTTATTTGTAACGATAGTGATTCATAGCTCGTAATCTGAATACAAGTCCTTGACCCTTAATGGGCCTCTATGATCGCCGTGCCGAGTAAAATCTCAAGCCCCGGCTTTAGCCTTGAACGCCTAATTTTTGGTGTAGTCGTAACATTCGTCTATACAGGTTTCCCTGGTAGTCTATCTTGGTATCTTCCGATTTATGAGGTGAATTCCCATGTGACGACAGTGCGGCCAACATCCAGGCTGGCCAACTGCTCGAAAACAGACGGGGAGACGTCAATGGCGTCGACAGTGCAGCCCATGCATTTGTCGACGACGGTGGCAGGAATGGTCTTGCCGTTGAGGGTGATACTGATTGTCTTGCCACAGGGATTGGCGCCGTTGTACTGCTCGTAAGACAGAGCAACAACAGCATCAGATTCGCTGTTGGTACCACCACATGAGCCCAAGCCAGGGGCGTAGTAGGTCATGTCGCCAGACTCGGCGAAAACGTAGCCGATGGCAGACGCCAAGGCAAGAGCAATGCTGGTGAAGCGAGCCATTGTGTATGGTTTTTGATGAACTGGTGAATTGATGAAAGTGGATGTGTATTGTTAACACTGTTGAAAGATAAAATCTGACGATTTGGTAAAGAAGGTGGTGTATAGACTGTCTCTTCAAGAGTGGTCCGAGTATAACTGTGATTGGCAGAGAATGAATGTCTCTAATGACTGTGATGTTCAACACCTTTGAAGTGAAAGTAGATTGGTTGGATGGATAATTCAAGGAGTAGAATAGTCGGATGTCCGGTCAGCTTATATAGAAATTCTCTAGATGTGGGTGGTGGTTGTCTTGCCTCTGGGGAGGCATTTCCCCGGAATGTAAAGACCACGACTAACTGTCCTATGATAGTCTAACGCGGCCGCAAAAGACGCCAGTATACGCGGCTTTGGTCGAGACTCGACTTCGACTTCCAGGTACGACGCCGTCAAGGCTCGTGGTATCCATATTGATAAGAGAGTCTATGATTGGCTGATTAGAGGTCGCTACAATACCGGCCGCGTAGGAAATATGGGGTAATTGTCCGGTGCGGCACGACATTTTCTCGATACTTTGCCGAGACTCGGGTATAGCTGCCAGAGCGATGACATGCCCTTCGTCATGGCTACCCGCATTGGCTGGTGTCAGCGCAGCCGCTACCGACGAGTCGGAAGCCATGACATACGCAGGTTCTGGCGCCCCTCGCAATGGAGGGTGGGAACTCGGACCAAATGCCTCACGGCGTCAGTGTTCTAGTCAGGGCAGACGTGTGCAAGTCAGGGGAAGACGACGAGTCAGAGTGTAGGCCCACTTGGAGCGCAAACCTTATACCCTCACGTCTCGGGAGACGCCGCAGTAAAACGCGCGAAGGCGTTGAAATGTATCAGAAATTTGCGTTGAATGGCAAATGGCCGGTTTCCGGAACTGCTTTCCGGTTATCGATTTTTTCTTTTTTTCTTTCTCTATCGGCTAGCAAAACGTGCTTTAGGTGCTTGGGCACATGCGGCTTCTGGACCAAACTAACTAATGATGGACAATTGTGGCGGTCACGGTGTATGAAGTGTTGATGCAAGTCTTTGATTGAATCTTAACTACTGCAAAATCCCTTACTTGTACGCAATGAATGTGAAAGTGATAAGGGGGGTGAGCGTTCTCTGTGTTCTTAAGGGGGAGTACAACAGACAGGTTTCTACTGGCCATTTGTGAACAAACTCCCTGATTCGTTGAATGTTTGCACGTATGTCTTCCATAACTAACCTAGGATGTTGGCAACGCGGAAACCCGCTTCTGTTTCAAGTTCAAGCCCGCCTGCGCAACCATCCGTTTGTCGTTATGATACTTAAGACCTAGACGCCGCAAGACGTCTATAATCATGGCCGTGAATGTGTATGCAAATAGGCTTCGGTTTGGCAGACACTAATAGCAGTCTTTTTCTCAGGAACGGCGGTGAGGCAAATATAATGCCTCAAGTATCACTGGTGTGAGGGGTGGCCTCAGAGGTTTTCTGCATTGCATTTGAAATTTGTTGTTAGATTAAAGCCAAGACGTCGCTGTGAACATATTGTGAGTTCATCCAACAGACACAAAAAAAAAATAAGCACAGCGAGCTACTATGAGCCACTGTTGTGTGTGATGAACGCGGCCCAGTCAGTTGCTCGTCGTCGCGGAGGATTTGATGACAGCGAACGTTAAATCACCAAAGCTAAAGACGATTGCGAGAAATTAAGAGGTGAAAGAGATTCTCAAAGCAGACTTCCCATAAACCTAGAGAGAAAAAGCGGCAAGGACTTCTGCATTGTGCGCAAACCTGCCTCCAGATCGGTGATACTTCAGAAGTGTAAAATTCTGATGGCGTGTAGGAAGGTTCAGATTGGTCGTCATTAGCTTCGACGCCTACTGTACGCAGCCGCGCTTGCCTGCATCTGCCAGGATTTTAGCATATAGCAGACATAAGAATATGAGAAAGAACTCGATTCTATTTTTCGTATGGACCATTCTTTTCTGTTATATTGCGGCCCGCGAGTAATTGGACGCAATCTCCAGCTCAGCACAATTCCACGGCTTCCCCAGCCAGGCGCCGTTGCCAAGCTGCGGCCCCTCAACCCGCTGGTGTGTCGGGGGGCCCACTCTATTGGCCGGATATGCCGAACCAAATATCTACGCTCAAATGTTCCCTCTTCTAGTAAATCTGGAGATGTAGTGGAAGATGACGAGCTAGTTTTGTTGGCTTGATCAGAGATTTTACTGCGCATGAAAATCAGATCGATAGAGCTGCATGAGTAATTCCGGGCACCCTGTTCACATATTCCCGAACCTTAATCACTGTTCGAAATACCAGTGACAGTATTGGACCTGCATGTTATGTCATCAATGAAGATTCATACGCTAATGCAGGGAATCTTTTATGGAAATTACTCACTTCAAAACCTCAAGAAGTACGTTACAAAGAAGAAGGTTTACAAGAAACTCAAGTGAATTGTGGTATTCGTCATGGACCAGATCAACACCTGAAGTTTCTTCCTTGGCAGATTCTTTCTCATGCTGTAATCAACAGGACAACACAGTCTTTCTCTGTGGATTGTATAAAAAAATTTTTTTTTTTTTTTTTCAAATGACAATTTCTTCTAGCTATAGCTCGTCATGGCTTCTGAAATGCGCTTATGATGTGGCAAGAAGATGATTTTGATAAGTATGACAAGACGTCGTTTGCAAGGAGCATGGGCCATTTATAATACTTTGTTTGATTGGTTTCGAACGTGGTCTATGGGTCAGTTGCCGATCTGCTATTACTGAGTCTCAAGCCTTCCATCGCCTCGTCGCCAGACGCATGAAGTCTCCATGCAGTTCTTCAGAAACTCCATCTAGGAGAAAGCCTCATGAAAAATTATGTTAAAATTCGTTGACACTGCTGGGACAGTCGGCGAGGCAACTGAGTCTCCCTGGACGGGTGACAAGGGGCACGAGGTCAACCAAGGGCACCTTCAACAAACATGAAATGAAGAAATCTGCCTATAGGGGCCAAATGCTGTTCACAAATATTAACATGAGTATTCTGAATAAGGAAAGAACACATCAACTTTCCAAGGACGACTCCTTCGATTGTCTCAACATTCATCGATACGTAAGGATGTTTTCTGCTTATCACAGGTCTATTTCCGATATTTACAGTGGACCTGACAACAAGCTCATTCGCCATCTTTTATGGAAGCTGATTGACCAAATAGCAAGCATGTTGATGGCCTTCTTCAATTTGACTATCCTTAATTTGTTCTCTAGCATAACATTTTTCTTCTACTCTCAGTCCATACATTATTTACCACATTTGGGGTGATCCTTACGATAAGTTGGAGCCCTGCCTCTACCTGCTACAGTCTCAGTCACGATGCTAAAGCCATACAGATAGTATGTCCCTCTGTTTGGCCCCTGGCTTCCGCCTGCCTATACTAACTAAAGCGCTATGAAAGAAAGAAAAAGGGAAAAAGATGAAAAAGAGAGCAGCAAAACTATGAAATATAATGGTTTCCTGGCTTCGATGACTTGCTGCACCGCGCCCATGATAACCTTGATGCAGTCAGCCATGACTTTGTTAGATAATCACTACTCGAAAAGGTTGGATCATCTGGCGGAGGACCCTGTGGAAGAAATCAGATCCCGTGAAAGCCAACCCCAATTGGTCGAGAGAGGTTCTGAGCTCGCCGCTGGGGAATGAAGTCGGCTTGCCACAACCCTGGCATATATAGGCGTCTAATGTGTTCTCAGCAAGTCAGAACTGCTGGGCCTCGAGACTGACTTCCATGAACCGTTTAGTTCAAGCTCTGTCATGCTGGTAATCTGCGTATGTGTTGATGCAAAGGTAACCACAGCTATCCACGGGAGAAAGTTGACAGTCGCAGAGATAAACTGTAGCATCAACTAGAATACTTACTATTATGTTCTCTCCAAGTATCCTTGACATCCCTAATGCTCATTCTGTGCGTCAAAAACAGAACGTGCCGCAGCGCGTGCGTCCCTTGCGTCGGCTGCATACGTGTTCGATCTCTCCAACCATTTCTACCAACTTCAGGGGGTTCCGCTCATCTTCTGAAGAAAATCGATGTTCCGTCTTGGCCTCGATGACTTACTTGATGACAGGAGGTTCGTTTGTTTGGACAAGCATTTGCCATGCAGTTGTTACTTGCAGCAGCGCAGCGGGGGTGCAGTGATTGGGACTCGTCAAATCTCAAACCATAGGTGCACACTGTGTTTGCAGTAGTGTCGGCTTTTTGAAGAGTACTACGGGATTGGTACCTGGCTGATCACCCGGCGACTCGGCGTTGTTCAGCTCATCAGAGTGTTTGCGACTACCCATTCTGGCATTATGCTTTGGATGAACTTGGGGAACGGAGTATCTGGCGAATGATGAGATCAAGCAAGAAACGCCAGAGCTGGACTGTTCCTTTATACGCTCGACACACTCAACACGAAACGATTGAGGTGGGAGAAACAAGTAGCCGCAATAACATGTCTCTCAAAATTCATGATGAGATATTACGGGCCGGTTCAACGCACAAATACGAGATATGTGTTGTGGTGGTTGTCACATAACTGTAGGAACGACTTGGCAATTATCACGGAATCCCCATATGCTTTGAACCATTTGCTTTGTTTCCTCGTATTTCTCTGAGCACGGTCCGTAAAGTCTATCTCAAAGCCTTCGGTTGACTGTCTGTATCCGAAGTACTCTTCCCGAATACTCCCAACTAAAGCGATTAACGGCGTTATTATAATATGAAGTGGGAATCAAGCTATTCCTTGACGAAACAAGCCATGGTGGGCCCATGTAGAATGGGGGACCACCTCCTGCAGTGCTCAAACGTTTCGCTTTTCGTATCGTCATTCCTGGGTGCTCTTGATCTAGCTTCCTCTGTAAGTTGAGTAGCTATACGGGGACAAAAGTAACGGCACATGGTAATGCTGGCCCTTTTGCACCTTGAATGTAACGACCACCTCGGGAAAGAACGTGTTCCCCTCGCCAAAGTACGCCTCAGTATAGAATCTCAAGGTCCATGTGGATGTCCCCTCAATCTCGGCCAAGATCTCCTCCAGTGTGTAGATTGGCACATCGCCCGCTTCATGCTCGCTGCTGTATGGCAGCCAAGATTTGACCCGGCCATCGTCATCGGTCTGCGACTCAAATGTCTTCAGTGGCGCATGTCCGCCCTCCAGCTTCACCCGAACGCCCTTTGCAGGCCGGCCGGCGGTGGTATCGAGGATGTGGCAGGTGATGGGGTCTTTCGTTGCCGACATTGTGAATGGTGAAGGTGGATGTAACGTACGAGGTTTCGATGTCGACGTTGAGTAGAGGTGGGATAGCGGACCAAAGCCAATGCTTGGTAGTCCAAGTAGGAACTCGAGCTGCCTTGTCTAGAGGATCTATGGGCTTGTGAGGGTCAGTGCAGAAGCGCCTGGTCTAGGGGATCAACGGATCGTCGCGTTGACAAGCTCGAAGGAATTATTGCGTTTTGTACTTGAGTTCCGAGGACGTGAATCGAGATGCAGGAAACTCAGCCACACTGTCACTCGACAGATCAGGAGAGGAAAGGGAAAAATCGCTACTTCCAGTCCTACCGTGATGGGCCTGGGACGACGGCAGGTCCAGCTGAAGGTCTACTCCACGCCAACTTTCGGAGAGGGCCGTTGCGATGTTGGTGGTAGGCGTTGAACCCCGCCTCTTCTGCTGTACCCGAAGTCCCAAAAAAATGTTGTGGTGTATGTGACTTAGTCCAAGTCGGACCCTTATTAGTGAGGGGCATTGCCAACGCCAATGCCGATCCCGCGACGAGCTGTTGTAAATTTAGAACAACCGATGCGACGTTGGGCGCTTGTCTCACTGTTACTGTCAATATTCCCTCAATTGGGAGAATCCAGATGATACCGGTAGGGATCAAACGGCACGAGTTGTCTTGTCTGAAGGGGCCAAAAATGCAGCATTGCGCAATGATTTGTAGGACTCGGTTGCTGGAAAGGCATGGGCTTTCTGTTTAATACCGGCATTGATGTTTCACTGCAGGCCATGCATGTCAGCCGCCATCGAGGGTCCTACGAAGCCTTCTCGCCAAATATCATTTCTGCAGCACAGCCCCTCGGACGGGCGAACGCGTATGTGTAGCTCCGATTCCATAACCGCCGATGAAAGATTCGGTTCGAGTCAGTCGGGTCCAAGTTTGTCAAGTTCAAAAGAGAACATGAACCGCGAAAGACTTCCTCAACTCAAATCCCTACCATGGCAGGGTTCGTTGCTGTAGGTGAAGCATGCAGAGCGGGTGACGTCAGATATAGGGATGGATGGCCAAACCTTCACATGCATAGTGCCAAGATTCATATAAAATATACACATGTCAAGCAACGTGCCTTTGGCAATACTAGAGTGGCCTGGCTCTCCTCCGATATGCTTCGTGGAAACATTTGTCCATTCTTTGTCAGCAGTTGGAGCCATCCAATAGTCGGGTAATGCACAGCGGGGAAAGTGCGGCTACAGTCGCCTATGGACACTTGGATAGTTAGCTTCTTTGCTACTATGTATTACATATTCCATCAGTAAGCACCCGTTACAGGACGAATAACGCCGAAGACCGCAACCTTTGGGATGAAGTCAATATCACGAGTTTCTGTATCTTCACCATCTATCACAAAGCGCTTTATAAGATCATCAACAGCCACATATACGCTTGTACGGCACTTCGCAAGCCAGCCAATCCGTTCACCTGTACCAATTAATACCCGAACCCAGAAACCTCCACGTCAATTGAGGACGTTTCACCACACCGGCAAGATGGCCACTGTTCCAACCACCATGGGCGGCATTCTCATTGAGAAGACCGGAAGCTCAGACGTTTTGCAATGGAAGACAGACATTCCAGTCCCTAAGTTAGAGAAGGGCCAAATTCTGGTCAAGAACGAATGGGTTGGTGTGAACTACATTGATACGTCCGTTCATCTTTCACCAATAATTCGAGTTTGTGACGATCTGATATTTTGCATAGATACTTCCGTACAGGTCTTTACAAGGCACCACTACCTTTTGTCACTGGAGGCGAGGCAGCTGGTGTCGTTGCCGCTGTCCACGATTCCGTCTCTGACTTCAAGGTCGGCGACCATGTGGGGTACCTAAGCCAAACTCGTGGTGCATACGCTCAGTACAGTGCCGTCTCGGAAGCGAAGGCTATCAACCTGCCGGAGGGAGTGTCTACAAAGACCGCAGCCGCCTCACTGCTTCAGGGTCTTACGGCTCTGACCCTGATCCGTGAGGCGCACCACGTGAAGCCCACCGACTGGGTCTTTGTCACCGCGGCCGCTGGAGGTGTAGGCACCATTCTCTGCGAGATGCTTTCGTCGGTTGGCGCCAAGGTCATTGGCACGGCAGGCACGCCCGAGAAGATGGAGCAGGCAAAGAAGAACGGTGCGAACTTTGTCCTCAGCTCCCGCGATGCGCCCGAGAAGCTTATCGCCGAGGTCAAGAAGATCACTGGTCATCATGGCGTGGATGTCATCTTCGACGGCATTGGTAAGGCCACTATTGACATGGACTTTGAGATCGCGGCGCGCAAGGCTACCATCTGCAGTTATGGCAACGCCAGCGGAGCTGTTCCACCTGTCGACATCATGAAGCTTGCCGGTACCAAAAACCTGAAACTCATGCGACCTACCTTGTTTGCATACCTTAGCGACCCTGACGACTTCCGCAGGTATGCTGGTGAGCTAGTGGCCATGTTGAAGAACGGGGTCGTCAAGCTGGAAAACACTTCGGATTACAAGCTGGAGGATGCCAAGTCAGCTCATGATGATCTCGAGAGCAGGAAGACATCTGGAAAGTTGTTGTTGCAGGTCCCGCAGTAAGCACAACATTGGCGACAACGTAATCGGACAAAGGAAGCGGCCTCATGGTCCAATCTGTTAGTTAATGACCATCAATCCTTCTTGTAGGAACCGACTCAGATATTAAAAAAAGTCTCTGGAGTGATGTGCTATCAAAACAGTCTGGCTAGATGCCCATCCCATCCCTGTTAAACACCTACCCGATCAATTTTCACTAGCAAGAAAAGTCTATACCACTATAATAAGCCGTGCTTAGCCAAATTTCAAATTTAATTTGGAACGTTTCGGCTAGAAACTCACAGCCCACGATAATTAACAATCATTTCAATGATTGACTACATTTACCGGTGAGAGTCCTTTTCGTCAGAAATAAGATAATTGTTGAAGTTGCAGAGGGTAGAAATATGATTTTGCCAGTTAACTGACAACTTTTGCTAGTCAATGACCTCCACAGGGGACTCGCTCCCCTAAAGCGTTTTGCGCCGTAACAAGGCTCCACAAGTATGCTTCGCTGTAAACTTATCAGTGCCAACGACCACTGTTGGTGCGGTTGGTCGATGTTTTGTGCCTAAGGCACCTAAGCTATTGAAAGCTTCTTGTCACCTGCAACGTAACTTATAACGTAAAATGGCCGCACTAGCAAGAGCGCCCCGCCTTAAATTTGATACCAAACCCACTCGTTTCCCACCATCCAACTACTTACCGCCTGCTAGGCGGTCATCATTCTGCCGGCTTTTCAAAATCCAGTGTGTTTATAAGCTGGCCATCCCTCCCCAGGCTTTGCCGTCTTCTTTTCCTTTCCTCTTTAGCTCTTCTTTGCCTTTTGGCTTAGATCAAGTGTAGTATCTGTTCTTTTCAGTTTAATCTCTGAAAGAGTCCACTGGACTCATCTAAGATTATTCTTATTTTTATCACCGGATGAATATCCTCTGGGCTTGCTCACGATATTTATCACCGTGTCCCAGGACCTTACACTGCCTCCTGGTGACGCGAATTATTTTTCATTGCAAACCTCAGCTCGTTTGAGGGTGTGAAGAAGAGTCTATGATGGAAGTAATAATAGTCTGGATGGGCCAAATTTGGGTAATGCAAGGTAGATTTACCAGACGAAGCTGCGAACGTTACGTTACTGAATGCCTTCCATCGCTATATCTTGGCTCAGATATGTTTTGTTATGACCATCAGCTTGTCTAACACTAGGAAGAAGTTAATGGTGCGCAAGGCAGACCGAGCAAAACGCAACCGCCTGTTAAGCCGTCGTGTCTAAATCTTCATGATATTACCATATGAACATGGAATGCGGGCGGCCTCGTTAAACCGCATTCCGGCGATGAATGAAGATACGGGTTTTACTTTGAGTTAATAATTGCTTCCAGTTAATAATTGTTTCCAGCTAAGATTCCATTCCTACTGGTACAGATGGCGCAGCACGGGCAGATGTAGTACACAAGTCTTGTCAGCGACAATTAGCTACATTATATTTTCTTGTATTGATTAGACGATATCTGATATTTGGGCTGCTCTAATAGCCGATGCAATGGTTCGGATATCCTGATGTGTAGACGTGCTTTTCTTGTGGTTGAATCCGACGCGTGCAAACATGATGTGAAAACTTTGCTTCGTGGGTAGCGGCACTTCACCATCCACCAAACACCACAATTTGTAAAAGCGAAAAGCCATCAGTAACGATGGCGGATAGCAACGCAGGCGTTATGATCGACCCCCAGATCTTTCAATACCTCCAGGCTCATGCCGAAGAGCAGACTGAGGTCAACGACAAGCTCAACCAGATAATGACTGGGCTGAACCGCCACATCTCGGCTGCCCAAGGACAGCTGAGCCGCATTCATGCAACACCCGCCTCGAAGCGTATGCCGTTCCTGATGAATATGTCGTGAGCGGTAACTGACTTCTTTGTACAGTCCAGCCGCTTCTCGACCAAGTTGAGAAAGATGGCATCAAGCCAGCCATTGAGAGCATTAGCGAGCTGTCCAAGTACGCCTCGAACTACCCATACTACAAGTAAGCTCTGGCGGCCACAATATTCGGTATGGTGAGTCTGACAGCTAGCAGGTACAACCAAAAGTGGACTCGATCGGTCCAGAACCTCATCTACTCTATGCTTTTGACAGCATGGCTAGGTGGACTGGGTACCGAGTCAAAGCCTGGCGAGCTCGGCCGTCTCCTCCGGATCGAAGAGGTTGGCGAGCTTATTGGAGGTATGTCTCTACCAACATGTCGGACATGGACCACAGTACTAACATTCTTCCCAGTTCCGGTCAATCTGGAGGACCGCGATGCCTTTCATATCAGCATCGAGGAGTACATCTTGTCCCTCACCGAGCTCACGGATGAGCTGAGCCGTCTCGCCATGAACTCTGTTACTATGGGCAACATCGACCTCACAATCCGCATCAGCGCCTTTATTAAAGACCTGTTCGCTGGCTTCCAGCTTCTCAACCTCAAGAACGATGTCGTGCGAAGGAAGATCGATGGAGTGAAGTATCATGTCAAGAAGGTGGAGGATGTCATCTACGACTTGTCACTGCGAAATCTCATCCCCAAAGACGAAAAGGCATAAGGGGAGCCACGACTTTGGGGCTTGTGTTGATTTAAGGAATGCGCTTGGCTGTCCATGAAGGTTGTCATTATTGATATTAAGATACATAATTGCCTTCGGACGGCATAACGGCTTTCGGTTGACTGGGTGCTTATGGACAGACCAAAACAAAAACATTGTTATCTTTAGCCTTACTCCGGGGCTGTCCATGAGATATGTAGCATACAAGACAAATAAGAGGTTCACCCATCGAGATTGCAACAGCTGCTTAACCTAATAAGTTGTTCCTCATTTCAGTGGCGTGCTGTCCTGAAGGTCGGAGCTGAGCTTAGCGACCACCGACAGTGAGTGGACCCCTGGAAATATGTCCATCGCCCCCAGAAGCCCCTAGAGCCCCTGCATCATTCAAGCTTGCTCCATTGAAACACGAGAAGATACAAACTTGAGCTCCTCGCCCTCTTTGGTAGCCAACTGTGTTGCATAATGCCTCTACTAGATCCAGTCACCATGTCGACGCCCTCGGGCAAGGCTGCCACGGCTCAAGCCGCCAAAACCACCGACGCAGAAGCTGCCACGAAGCCGATCCCTATCCTGCCGACCTCTCAAGCTCAAATCATGCGCCATGCGCATCCTGTCCTTCTCGGCGCCTTCTTCTACGCGAGCTTCAATGCCCTGGTACACGAGCCGGTGACCACCATGTGGAGCTCGGCGCCCGTCGTCCTGGCTGTCCAGATTGCCTACACCACCATATGTCTCCCACCAGCGGGCTCGCAGTCAGTCAAGCCGGCGAAGAAGCTACGACCTGGCGAGAAGAAGAAGGCTGGGTCTGAGAGCAATGTATCGAACATAGCAGTGGTATGCCTCCTCTGCCCTTGACTCTTGCCCGCCGAGAAGAGCATTGCTAATCTACACGTCTTGCAGACAACGACAGTCGCGCTCTTCCTAACCCTCTTCGCCGCGCTCCCGCTGCACGTCGTCTTCGTCCTCTTCGGCGCGCCGTTCTTGACCCACCTACCGAACACGTTCCTCTGCTCGCTTCACCTTTCGCTTCTGGGCCTATACCCACTCTTTTATAGCCACGGCGTTGACTCAGAGGAGTGGCTAGAGATCCTGGGCGCGCGGGCACCATTTGATGAGGGCTTCGGTGGCCTCGTGGGCGGTTGTCTGGGCGCATGGCTTGGTGCCGTGCCCATCCCTCTCGACTGGGACCGCGAGTGGCAGAAGTGGCCCATCACGATACTGGTTGGTGTCTATGCGGGTTATGTTCTTGGCAAGCTCATTGGAGGCACGGTGGCTCATGGAAAGAGATTCGCTTGAGGGCCTTATATGGGAAAACGAACCTCAGCAAAGACACCGCCGTCTCCATTAAGTCTGTTGCCGTGCTTAAGCTGTCTCAGCTGTTCGTATCGTGGCTTTGTGCGGCATATAGGAGCGCCCTTGAATCGCGCCGCGTTTGGCACATGCAACAGATTCGGAACAACGGGCATTTAGTGCCAAGTCTTCCCCAAGATTCGAAGATGATATGCGGGAAAGAGCAGCTGTCAAGATCCTGCCATCTTGTTGGATTGGATGAGCAACTTGAGCGACAAAGCATAGAGAAAGATGCAGGCTGCCCTACGGTCCGGGATGAAATTTGGAGTGTCAGTACTAAGTAAGAGCGTTGGCCAGTGTCAGCGTTGTGCCAAGGCCGACATCTTGGTATGCTGCTCCAGCTTATTCCATTTTGAGGGGATAATGACCTAGATGAAATGGCGAGACTGGTTTTCACTCTAGAGCTTTGTCTTGACACTACTGTGACTATATACTCCTTGCTCAAAAACCTCAACTAGTTTCGTAACTTGCGGATCAGCCGGAGGCAGCACCTGGACTCCAAACACACCGCATAGACCAGCGGCACGGTCGATGAACTAGATAAATAAGTCAGCTCTGATATCACTGCCTTGCAGAGGACATTCGAGGGATACTCACCCAGACTAGATTAGGCGCTCCGCTCCATAGCATCGCCCCGTTCCTTCGGTGCGGATGCTTGTCGCCGTCAATCAATATGCCACCTAGACCCCAATCATACTCCCCCGTGTCTGGGAAGCTTCCTACAGCCCAATCCGGATGCTTGAAGTCCTCTAGCAGCGCCGCTTTTGCGGCCGGGAAGGACGGTAATTGCGGTTTAAACATAATGTCCGTCGTCTGCCTCTTGAGCAAGCGCTCATCGTCCACCAAGAGCGAGTGCACAATCTCCATGTAGTCCCTCATGGTCGCGAACGCGCCCTGCCCTCCCGCCGCCTCGACGAGGCCCTCGCTTATGTTGATCGGCTTCCGCGACTGCACGGCCTTGCCGGTCTCGGCGTCCCTGATGCTCATCGCGGCCTGGCGGGCTCGGAATTCGCCCGGGCGCGCGCCGGGCCAGAACGTGATGTCCTTCAGACCGAGGGGTTCCCAGATATGCCTCTTCATGTAGTCCTCCAGCGTGAGGCCGCCGAGCTTCTCGACCAGCTTGCCCACCCAGTCCAGACTCCCGCCGTACGCCCACCCCTCGCCCGGCTGGTTCACGAGGGGGTTGCCAAAGCGCTCTTTGATCGTCCTGCCCGGCGCGAGGGAGAGCTTGTGGTGCTCCTTGTATCTGTTGATCTCCGGCTGCAGGAAGTCGTATCCGACGCCTGAGCTGTGGGTCAGCAGGTGCCGCAGCGTGATGGGGCCCCTCCGCTTCTCCGTGGCGGGGACGCCGTCTGGCGAGAAGCCCGTCAGGACCTCCTGCCGGGCCAGGACCGGGAGGAGCGAGGCGACGTCGTCGTCGAGCTTGACCAGGCCGCGCTCCACGAGCTGCAGCGCCGCAATGCTCGTCATGAGCTTGGTCATGGAGGCTATCGAGAAGACGGTGTCCAGCGTCATGGGCTCTGGCTCTGGTGATACCTGGCGGCTGCCGAAGGCTCGGGAGTAGTTGAGTTTTCCTGAGGGCCGTTAGAAAATCTTTCTGCCAGAATGATTAGGGCACTGGAATATGAATACCGGTCTTGTCCCTCGCGAGGACGACGGCGCCTAGAATGGTGTCATTCTTGACGGCCTCGTTTATGGCTTTTTCAACACCTTCCATGCTGACGTCGACGTGGAAAATAGTGATGTGGCTATCCTTTCATTTAAAGGCAGATCTTTGATCTGGACGACAGACATGCGATCAAGTTGCAGAGGTTTGGTGGTTAGCCATGGCTATAAAACAGATTGCCGAGATGCTTGGCGTGCCCCGCATCCAGTCGTCATCGCCATTCACTCAATATGATGGGGATGTCAGACAGTGGATTACTCTAAGCCAGCACAACTATAAGTTTGATTGGGGTTCCCTTTTCCTGTTACTGATCGTGATTACTTTTGTTTGATTGACTTATTTCTAGGTCAGTGCTCATCATATGCGGCGCTCGAAATTTTCCCATAAACAGGAATGATCTTAGGCTACATTTGTCAAGTGTTCACCTAATCATCCAGACCCGGGCAGTTCTCAGAAGTGACCTCAGCGATCTTGCTCCAATCATAGGGATCAGTCCAGACGAGATCATACGAATCATCCGGGTACTTGTCTACGTCGCCGGCCCCCAGCGCCTCGGCAAGATTGTTTAGTTGCTTGTGCTCCCAGCTACGTGCATGAGTAATCAGTTTGCTGCCGCTTTTGCCGAGCATGTACACGGAGCGACATACCAGATCAGAATGTTTCCGCTACCGCTATAGTCCCTGACGGCGTCCGCGACGCAATCTTCGTCATCGCGGTCGCAAGATACGTCGACCGTCAGGCCGAGGTCTGTCGCAAGAGGCAGAACGGTGTCATACGGGCGCTGGCGAGAGCCGTCTACAAAAAGCACATCAGCGTCCCCTGATATAAACTTCCGGCAGCAAAGCGCACTGCGTAGTAAGCCGCACGTCACTTACCACTCTTGGGCGTCTGCGCCATGATATGCCCAATGGCGTAGCCGGAGCTGGCGCCGAATACGCTGCGCAAGCACTGGGCTCGCTGCTGTCCCTGTGCACTCAAGCCATTGCCGTCGTCGGGTTTCTCTCCGTGTCTGATGAAATACACTGTCGGGTTTGCGGCGAATGCAGTGGTCGCGAGGAGCAGAAGGGAAGCAAGCAACTTCATCATGTCAGGAAGGCGGGGCTAGGGAAGTAACAGTATAATTAAGCAGATTGACATGGAAAATAAAATAAAGTAAAGTTCTTGTGTGGTCTCGAAACAACGGACGCCAAGGTTCCTTTTTATATATGTATTCATAGCAATCACTATAGGAAGGCTCTGCAGTACGTCAGGTACTGAACCATCGATCATGATTGGGCTGTCGATCCTTCCTTTCCATGCCTTAGCTCCCGCACGTGTTCCTGCAGCCGGGGTGCTTATTTGACGGAAGCCGAGCAAACACAAACGCGACGCAACGCTTCGTCCCAATGCGACACCGACCGCCAGACACACAAGCTGAGAGGCGATGCTAGGTTAGTCGGCTCAGAAAAGACCCTCGACAGAGGAGAGGGTGTGGTCATCGGCGGCCTTGCGCTTCTTTGTGGCGGAAGCCTTGGCAGGGGTGTTGTCACCTAGAACAAGGGGGGAATATCAGTAAACTGAGTTGCAGACGAACAGGAAAATCCTTTTAGGATGACCACCTGCAAAGGCGTGGAGAAAAGGTGGCAAACGTATGTCAGGGATTGCTTACCATCGGCAGTGCCGCTCTTAGAGACCTTGAAGTCCTTGTAGAGCGTCTTTGTTCCAGTGCTGGCTAGAGGGGGGCATCAAAGTCAGCTGGCTATACCACAAAGGACTCACTATCCCCGAATAGTAAACGAGATAGATATTAGAAATTATATACTTGGCGGCACTTTCGGTGAACTTATAATCCCAAGAGTCCATCTTGGACATGACAGCGGCGCAGTTCGGATTGATCTTGTCCTTGCTCTCGTTGAGCGGGAGAGCGAAGAAGAGATCGCAGTCCTCCCTATCACCCCAGCGCGGCATTGTGGGATGATTGGTACCAGGTGACGTGTTTGCTGTGCAATGTGACTGCTGTCAGTGAGTTGAGGAGTCTATGATAAACGATATTGATGCCTTGCCGGGTGATGGTAAACATATAGAGTAGTTAGCAGTGGAGGGATGGATGCTGCTCTTTGGTGTTTGTGGTTGCCTGTCTGAAGGAGCTTTAAGCTCCTGATCAGGTGGTATAAATACGACCGGATCACGACGTGGAAATATTACGGAACACTATGGAACAAGACGGGCAAGAAATACTGTGAATTACAACGGGCCACCGCAACAGTGAGCTTATTGGATAGCGATCGTGGTCGGCGCCGTCATGCAAGGTATCGTAACAGTAACATCACGTAACGCGACGACTATATCGTTACACAGACAAGCAGTTATAGAATGTTCAGAGGCTCTGCCCCTTTCTAACCAGTTCACGATACTAGCTCTGCCTCGAACCAAGTCACTTGCCTTGTTATGTTGTTTTCTGGTACCTAACGGGTCGGGGTAGAAAGGGCGTTGAGCTTCCTTAAATATTGTTGTTGTGTTCTATGTATATTTTGTTCTGTACCCCATTCCTAATCATGCTTCCAGTCATCTGAATGCCATGTACTTTTTACTCTTTTACTAAACCGTACACCACCTATTCTCAAGAACTATTCCGAAGATGGAGAACTTGGCGCGGCAACGCTAATACGCGCGGTACCCGTCCGGCTGCCTCCATACCGCTACGGTACACATTTTCTTGTCTCCCGCTACTTGGCACATTATAACCCTCCTAAGGAAGTGTTGTAGTCCCTTCACCTCCACCGCGGATGCGACGGTCAGCCTCCTTCTTATCTTCCTCGGTGATATCACTGGGATCTTTCCGCATGTCTGGGGTCCATTGAGGAGTGTTTGTGCTATGCCCAATAGACATGCCGACAGAGATCTTTTGTGGAAGTTAGCACTTGAAACACACAACCGGGAACATAAGAATAAGCGGCTTACCAAAGTCTCAACAGCACTATTGGAGTTGTCTACCAAATCATCATCGAATAGCATCTTGCCTTCCTCAAAGAGAAGCACAATGGTGCTGCCGCCAAACTTGAAGTACCCAAGCTCTTCAGCTCGGTGAACTTCTTCTCCGTCTTGCCGGGTAATGACAGTACTTCCGACCATCATAGCACCAACACAGATGACCATGACGCGACCATGATTGGGGGTATCGATGGGGCAAATAACACGGACGTTTTCGCCGTACACATCGAGTGCCGAGCGGATAGCCATGGGATTGACAGTATAGTATTCACCCTCGATGAGCTTGGGCGTACGCAAAATGCCGTCTACTGGGATATGGAAACGGTGATAGTCCTGGGGAGCCAGGCGGAAGATACCAAGGGCGCCTCGTTCGTATCGCGGCACATCTTCGGGGTACGCGTCTCCGAGGAGCCGTTTGATAGAAAACTCGCGGCCCTTGACCCAGACACTGGTTGCTGAGTCGACGCTGTTGAAAACAACGGAACGACAATCGGCAGGTGACACAAGAATGTTTGGGTCGTCGGGCGCCGAGCAGGGTCTAGCGTTTGGCTTCAAGGCACGGTAGAAGAACTCGTTGAAGTTCTTGAACTCTTCCAGGGGCAAGAGAACTTCGTTCATGTTCAGGTTATGGAACTTGATGAAGCCAGGGATGTCCTCCCTCGATGCCGGGTCGTCATACTTCTTGCCCTGCTTGATGCTCAGACTCTTGAGAAGCTTCCGAACTATGAGCAGGTTAGAAATTGTCTTTACAAGGCAAAAGACATGTTCTAGACTTACTTCTCTTCTTCTCCATATCCTTGGATTTGAGACCCTTGTATAGTAGCCTAATGCCGAGTCTAACGTAGACACTCATCTTCTCCTCGTTGATCTGTCCAGTGATGCGGTCCTGCACCAAGATGTTGGCTGAGTTGGCTCCCAGCTTGTAACCACCGTAAGAGATCTTGGTGATGATCTTTGAGTACCACTTCCTCTGGGCCTGGCTGGCAGTCACAAACCCACCCATCATAATCGAGTTGACCTGGCGCCAGTCCTGACTGGCGCAGGTTGCAATGTGCGTGATGATATCTGTGTCATTGCGCTTATTCAAGCGCGGCTGGTGGCAAATAGGGCATTCGCGAATCTCGACGACATGTTCTTCTGCTTTGTTCACGTTAAGATCGTCCCGCTCCAAATTGTCGCCTTCCTCCCCGGGCGTACTAAGTTCAGGGACGACGAGTGTAGATGTCGAGGGTTGTTCGCCTTGAACAGTCGAATCCTGGGAGCTGAGGGTGAACGAGGCATCCTCGCCAGGGAGCTCAGATGGTGTTGAAGTACCGCTTGTTGGGGCGTGGCCCGGCACGGTCAACATGTCTCTGACTTTTCCGGCATCTGGCAGTGCATTCTTCATCCTGTCGCCCATTGTGGGAGTCTTGCTCTTCTGCTCCAATTGATCTTCCAGACAGATAACAGCCTCATTGATGGTGAGATTACTACTCTCTTCGTCGTTGACTGCCTTGTGAGGGAACCTCTGGAAGAAGCTATCAATAGTTGACTCGCGCAGCGTCGAGCCGAGAGTGTCGAGCATAGTGGTCAATTCGACTTTGCTGATTGTGCCGCTTTCATCAGTATCGTATTGCCTCAACATAGAGCGCCAGAATTGTTGTCGCAGAGCAGGGTATGGCATATACTTTGCGCGGATGAACAACTGCGGGTTGTGCTTGGCCTCCCATTTCTCTAGGTTCTTCATCGTCAGGGGCACCGTAAAAGGAACGAAATCGGGATCGTCTGACGCGGCTTCACCGGCTTCGGCGCCAGGAGCGTTCAAGACTGGTAGTTGCTCAGCAGTCAACATGTTCGGGTCGGGATTGGCTGCCACGCCCGCTGGTGAGTCCGTCTGGGACAAGCTTGATGGAGTCTTGGTCATGGGTGGTCGTCCTTTGTTCAAGCTTTGCGAGGACGGACTTCTTGACATGCCCAACTTTGCCAGTCTTGACTTCTTCTCCTTGGTCGGCGCGTACTCCGGGGGGTCTTTGAGATCATAAAGACCAGTCTCAGGGTCCGCTTTTGGCGACTTGTCGATGATTTCCTTCAGTGGAAAAGACGTCGAGGCAATAAAATCGTTTCCGGAGTACTTGTCACGGTCCATGACAGTGAAAGAGAAAGAGTAACCCTTCTCGTGGCTCAAGACCTGGAACAGCATCTTCTCGTTGAAGACGGGGTTCAGATTATGCCGAACGACCTTGGTCCTATAGGTTTTCTTGCCGAGGGATGCCACAACGAATGGGTCCATGTCAAAGCTGGTCTTGGTGAAGTTGGACTCAGGGGGCAAGTCGGTAATGTTTCCAATCTCCAGGAAGACAAGGCCAACGACATCGCTACCGCCGTTTGTGAACTCGTATGGATTCTGTCTCTTCTTGCGCTTCAGCCCCTTGATTCTCATTCTCCGCTTGCGCTTCTCCACAGCCTCGGGCCTGTTAGGATCTTCGTCGTCGGGGGTCTCGTCATCATCCAGGACGTCCTCGTCGTAGTCCTCGTCGTCGTCCTGCGAGTTGTCCGTGCCACTCCGCTGGAGGTCAGACAAGTTGCCCCGGGAGTTGGATCGCGGGCCGAGGACGGGTGTCCTCGTGGGGGTTACATTTCGGGAGGCCGCCTCAGGAAGAGAGCGAGCCAGCTGGCGAAGCTTGTCTAGGACCTGGGCGGGTGGAGCTTGGTGATCGGCCGCATCGAACAAGGTGAACTGCAGAAACACCTCTCCCGAAACTACATTGTCCTTCTTGCCGGACCTCTTGCTTCTGAGGGGAAACCATCTGGGCGCTTGCTCTGTCTGATCGTTGGCGAAGATTTCCTCGAGGGCCAAGTCAAACTCTCCCATATAGTCCTTCTTGAATCTATCCTTGTCCCAGCATATAAATTCGAGAAGGAGGTTCTCAACGCCGACGATGGGCACGGTAGTGACTATGTTCCATTCCGGATTCAGGGTCTTGGGGATGCAGTGCGTGAGGAACTTCGTTTCGCCAGAGTTCAGTTGGATGTACTGCAGGGCGTTCAAGTCAGCATGACAGGCACCGCGGGCTTTGAGCATGTTCGCCTGTATGACCTACAGGATCAGATGTACCGCCTCGGTCTTTGGCAGCCAAATTCCTTGCCTATTTTGAAATGACATGTTAGTCTCCTCTTTCAAAGCTCGAAGACTCGTGCTTCCAAAGGGCGCAGATGAGAGGACCTACACGGATAACGACGACTTTCAAGACCAAGCCCGGGTCTCTCCGGCCCTCGGGGCTCGATGTGTTTGAGTTGACGGGTCTCATCGGGCTCGTGCTACGGCTGTTGGCGAGAGAGTGTGTGTTGGACTTGGAGGTGGTGCGTTTGAGGCGCGATGGAATGAGGGACACCATTTTGAATCAAGCGACACGGGCTGCTGCTGGGCGGCAGCTGCCAAGTTCTTGTGCGTTGGAGTTGGAACTGGGACAAGGAGGTCTGGATCTGGATGGGGGGGAAACTTGCTGGGCTGCACAATGAATAGCCTCTCCAGCCAGGCCTAGGTGACGTGCGTGAAGGGGGAGTTCCAAGTCGAGCTTCAGCTGGGCCTCTCTCCTGTCCTGTCGCTGTCTTATTGGGCCTGGAGCCTTTCCTAAAACAGTGCTGGGGGGTGGGACTGGGGGATGGGGGACGTGGACGTGGACGTGGACGTGGACTATCAGTAGTTTGTGCACCTTGTGCAAGGCACTTGGCGCCTAGTGACGGTCAAAGAGTGGTCGGTTGCTGGTATATGTTTTGAACGGAACTGGGATGGTTGAACAGATAGGGATGAAAATAGCTGCACTGGATAATGTTGCGAAAGGACAATAGAAAAAACAGAGCTGGAAGTGACGCTGAGAATCCGTGAACAGAGTAAGGTTGGTAGAGTAGAGTGACTTCTTGACAGCCAATTCAACAACCCTTGAGAGGTGCTTGCTGACATGGGAACTTTAAAACTGTCAAGCCCCCCAAAGCCCCTGTTGCGCCAAGAAATCGCGCGTCGATGGCGGGGCTGGCTTCCGTCATACGCCTAATGAGTCCAGCGTGTACTGTATCTGCAGTCCAACAATACTGGAGAAGCAGATGTGGTATTCGGCTTCGTCGGTTGTTTTCGAAGCGGAGAGCAGTCCCAGCGCGTCTTCAACGGTGATAGCGGGGAGCGACGACGACTTTAGCGGACGTCGGGCAAGTAGCGTGCGCCATGAGAAACATGGCTGCGAACTGGCAGAAGTCTATCACGCTCCATCAAAAGTCTACTCTGGACTGTACGATGGCATCAGGACGAAGCGAGTTGGCGGCATGGTCTAGCAGGGCACAGCTGAAGGCCGAGGTGCATGGATCACCCCTTTTCGACCCTCATGGCACTATTTATTAGTGTACGAGCAAGATGGCTTGATCCCAGTATATGACAGATCAGCATCAAATATACGCATGGCGGGCTGTGTTCGTCGAGCTTGCGCATATACAGCTGACAGTAGCCCACGACACTAGGAGCTGATAGAGGCTGACAGCATTTTGTTCGAGTCCTTCCATCTCATAAGTTACAGAGAGGATCGCCGGCAGGGAAGTTTGCGGGACATCTGTGCACAAATGCACAGCACACATAGAGTAGGCATGAGACCAGCCGTGCGGGTACCCAGTGCCGTTGTGTCGGTACCTCGGGCCAGTACAATCTTCCGCCTGGCAAAACCAGTCCCGCCCTGCTGCATAGACTCGGTTGCGAGAGGAACCCATCAGTCAGCTACCTGCCCAGAATGAAGTAGTAAGGTCATTGGAATGTTGTAAAGTCAATTTAAGCATCCAACCCGTACCAAGTAGACAAGTAGACGTGGCAGCGCAAGCAAGAGTGTTGAGATGCCTCTTGCGCTTACTGTAACGCTGAATCGGAAACGGAACAGGCTGTCGATGCCAACCGCGGGGAGTAAGTAATTAAAAGCGCTATTTTGAGACCCAGCGGTTCCTATTGGTGCGATCCTCTAACGTTAAGGGGATGGTGGCACACTCAAGCTCTTCGAGGCGTTCTTGGAGTTTGGGGATAGCTTTCCAAGACTCTTGTCATGCCAATGATGACGCGGGGCTTTTTAGCGAAACGAGCTGAGGTTGTCTAGGCATACAGAGACAGCCTTACGCATACATATCCTGAGTAACCAATGTTCCAGATTCTCTGCCCCGGGTGAATTGTATCACGGGAAGCCTCGCCCCTAACGAGCTGTCCGTTAAGTCCACAAGCACCGCATCAACCTTTCGAGGAGCACGGTGGCCACTTAGCTTGGAATACATCAACCTGCTGCAAAAAATATATATATAAAAAAAATATAAATATATATATATATAAATGGAACAAATATTAGGACACGGTTGTCAACCATGTTCAATGTTGGAAAGAAGGTCATCCCAAACCTAGAAGAATTTTAGGACACCTTATAGTGAGGCGCAATGGCGGAATCTCCAAAAACATACCTGACGCGGTGAGAGTACTTAAGAACATGTACTGATGGTGAAAAATGTTTGAAGAGAAACCTACTTATTTTATTTGGTTGACTGTGCAATTCACCATGAACGATCTCGAACCAGGCAAGTCTCTGAACGCTGCTGCGCCAACGTTTCTCCAACTGAATGATATCACGAATTGAGCACTGCGGCTGTCATGAGTGAGCATCAGAGTCGAACAGTGCCTTACCAGACATGTCTCTAACCCACTTCAGGGTTGTCTCGGAAAGATAACTTCACTCACGAAGATTTCGAACAGTCAGTAGCATGGCGATTCGGGTAGATTGCCTCAAGACGAAGGCGTCCAAATTCATCCCATCATTCAAGTCGCAATGCCCAGGGAAATATCAGGTAACACAGAACTTGCTTCAATCTAGATATTGATGTTTCATTGTAACATTTCTAGTACTCTCTAGTCTATAAATTCTTCGTGACACCAGATATCTGGTCGCCGACGGTGTATGAAACGCCTTTGTACGCTCTTGTGTACTACCCATTGCGCCATTGCTAATGCCCTTTACCCAAATCATAGCTCAAAGCAAACAAACGCCGGTATATGCAATCAGTGAAAGAAGGGAGAAACGTCTATGCCTGAACAGCAGTGACAGTGGTAGCAGCAATCTCGGTAAGCTCGACGGCGGGCGTCTTGAGCTCGGTGTAAGCCTCGGGCCAGAGGAACATCTTCTCCTCTTTCGAGGGCGACATGATAGCGAAGCGGGGGACGGCTTGCTTGCTGGAAACACGTCTCCAGAGGTTGGCGCGGGGGTTGAAGATGGCGGGCAGGCCCAGACCAGCAGTCTTCTCCTCGTCCTCCGTGCGGATCTCCTCAAGCTTGGCCTGGATGTCGGCGAAAGTGTCGAAGGGGATGTACTTGATGTTGTTCTCGACGCAGTACTCCTCAAGACGGAGGCCGCGGCGGGCAAACAGGACATCGGCCTCGCGTGCAGCAGGCAGATCGGAGACGCCATCGCCAATGAAAACGATCAAGGGGATGGAGCCGTTATCGCAGGTAAGCTCGGCCTCGGCGCGAGCCTCATTCACGGAAAGGGCCTTGTCATGACCGAGCTCAGTGTCGTGTCTCCAGATAGGCTTCCACTCTGAGCCATCGGCCTTGATCTCTGCGTCGTTGGCAATAATCTCGATGTGAGACGATGCCTCCTCGCCCAGGAAGGTGTCGAGAACCTTGCGCAGGATGGGCTTGAGACCAGCAGAGATAACGTTGAAAGGGACGTTGTTCTTCAGGCACCACGTGTGAAAGGTCTGGAAATCAACGTCCATGTCGAGGCTCTTCTCCATGACCTCGAAACCATCGTCGAAAGGAACATTCAAGGAGCCCCACATCTCCTCCGAGACGTCTCTGAAAGATCGCTCGCCAGTTTTAATCTGTTCGTCGAGGATCTCGCGCTTCATGGATCCACATCCATAGTTGTCAAAGAGCACGTGGCCAGTATCTTGCATAAAGATGGTACCATCGAAATCTAAGGCGCGTTAGTATATCGTATATGGACTAGGTCATGAGCTGGGTATGAACCCCTAAGAGGCTCAGGTATATTGAGATGAGGTTATGAGGGTGGCTGCCAAGATTGTTCGTACCTGAGAAGCAGATGATCTTTCTCTTCTTGGAAGTCTCCGGCGCGATGGCCTTGACTTGAGGAATAGGAGGGCTGAGTGCGACAGGCATGTTGAGTTTGGAGTTCAGTATAGTCGGCGGAAGAAATAGGTATATGTATCAGAAGTTGATATCTATATATCTATGCTGATATGACAAAGGATGCTGCTTAACAGAGCAATGACTCGAATTGATGAGGCTATGATGTGTATGTCAGAGATATGATGGTTCACATGGCGAACACCACGGACTTATATAGAATACGTCCACGATGGTTGCATGCTAGACCTAAGCTATGTGGCACTATTCAGACAGGGGGCATGAGAGATAATATCCCACGATGACGCCCCGTCCGTGGTTCCCGAGTCGGTAGCCCACGAAGACTCTCCCATCGACTAGACAAATTCAAGGGTAGTGGAGAGAGCAATCCTGCCTGCTTGCATGTGCATACGAGCAAGGGTTCCGCTGAAACTCGAAGATAGCCACACAGATGTAGTGACATGGATTTGGCAAAAGGCCTAGTGGCTTTGCATTCATCTAGAATGACCCAATCCCACATAACGATACTCTATTCTGCAAAGATAAAGACCCACTCGGAGCATTCTTTAGCTGTCCAGGTCCAGGACAACAGCGGACAACGGCATGGGAACGAGAGGAAAGGCTGGCTTGGGCACTTACCGATGGACTAACTCGTTGTTTTTTTCAGGCGTCGGCTCGGCTACAAAGAACAAGGGGCCTGCGGTTCTCTCCCTTGCGCGGACATACTGCCGATTGCAGGGTTCGCCTCCTATGGGGCTCAACCAGTATGTCTAAGTTCCAGACCATCTCGAGCGTCTGCGTTGGCGCCTGGACGCCTATGGACCTGAAAATGCCATCACCTAAAGGGTTCAAGATCTTCATACACCATGCGGCTGTCAGGGTTCCCATTTCCCTTAACGGCAAGTCGCTGTAATGTGATACGACAGGAGTTTTTTGAGCATAGAGAAAGCCGCTCAAAGTGTGTGAGACATGGGACCAGCGCGTCTCGAGTGAATTAAGTTCAACCTAATACCCTCTCCCTGCAGAGTCGCAAACGAGATAACGGAAATGCAGCCATTCACAATTTTCGCGTCACTAAAACACTATCGTCGAGTCACGATGCGGCGGGTCCGGCATGTGCTTATGTTGATTCGTTAGGAAAAGTTTCCGTGTGATGATGTGAGAAGGGCCAGTACTGGAATTATGATGTCATCAAGCGGCTTGCAGATGCTCTTGCTGTTCCAGAAATCCCGGATTGAGAGGCCGATTCATACGGGCTCGGGTTATCTTTGACGGTATGTAGCCTGAACGGACCAATGGGCGTCCAGGCTACGGTCGGTCGCAGTGGATATCATCTGAGAGACGCACCCTAACCGCAACCATTCCCAATGGAGGTGAAGTCATGCAGCTACAGGATCCTCCCCCATGGGCCTTGGTGGGAAGCGGTGAGGGCGGGGCTTTCGATCAAGCAGCAAGATGCAAGGGTCGAGGGGCATCGAAGACATGGAGGGGCATCTTGAAATTTGTTATATCACTATCAGTAGTACCTGAATCAAGGGCAATATTGTGATTCAACAGCCTATGTTAGGATGTGGAAAAGTGCGTGGATGAAGCTCTCATCAAGGATTTGAATGTGGTGGAGGAATCGATCAAAAAGGGTATATGCTGAAGTCTCAGACCAGTCGGCCTCTGTAAAACAATCAGTGCTATCACCAATATCGCCGGCCGCACATTTCTTGTGCCGGAATGTGTGCTTATTGACCTGACCCACTACTCCTATAGACATGGGGATTCGCAGAATAGCGCCCAAAATTTTGCAAACGTCTTTTGGCGGTTTCCTGCAGGCACATCGTCATTGTGCATCTCGATAAGATTGCGGGACTTTTTTCTTTTTCCTTTTTCCCTAACCCCCCCCCCCCCCCCCCCAAAGTAGCCTAAAACACCTAGCCATGCACTCACGATGCTTGGCTTGCCTGGTCTAAAGATGCAATGACGTCTTTTGCTGACAAGGAAACAAAGCTTACGACCCTGACGAGGTCCCTGCAGCAACGACGCAGCATGATAGCAACACAAGGTGTGACTTCGAAGTGGCTTGGTGTCTTTGGACCCTGTCTGGGCATGCTTCCCACAGTCGCAGTCGTTCATAGGTCAAGCTGGGCTGCAAGGTGAACCGGCAGACCGCTTGTGTTTCATCATCAGTGAAGCCACACATGCAAAGCCGTTGCAAAGTATTCAGAATGCTTCGTCATTCTCATATGACTTATTGACCAGGACCAAAACTGCCTTCCATCAAGACATGATTTGGTGCGGTGGATGGTGCATGTCGCCGCAAGTGCATGATGGGAATTCCCTAACCGTTTTCGCTTCATGGGCAAATGTGTCGCACTGGAAGTTGAAATAGTCACGTCTGCGCAACTGTTGAGTGTTTTCTTTTCTTTCAGGACCGGTTTGCGTTATTGCAACGCACTCAAGTATACCTACAGTGTAGGGATCTTAACTCGCAAAAACTAGACACAATATTCGCCAGACCCATGGGGTCGTCGAAGATTGGGAGGTATGTAAGTCGCCATGATGGAACAAAATTTGCGAGTGATATGTTTGGATAAGACTCAACGGCCTGGCAACGGCCTCCCTGTCTAAGTCAATATTCGATTTATGGTAGCAAGCATCGTTTTCCATCTCTCACCGAAACAAGAGAAGAGGCAGCAGAAGGCGCGTCGGGCCGCTTCCACATAAGCAATAATCACTACCAGAGTTCCTTTGTGCATCAATTAGATGCTGCCTCCCATAAAAAGACCACAGCTTCGCGAACCTAACACCGAGCCTCTGTACCTATCAGGGATGTAGTTGGTATGGCGTTGATGTTCAACGGTGGTATATCACGAATTGTTGTCCGCATAGAATGTATCCTGATTAATGGTTGTGACTATATAATAATGAACTGTTCTTTCCGAGCGGTCCCCTGTCAAGAGCAGAGTATCACATTTCTGTAGGTGTCTTGTAAAGTAATGGCATTGTGGTAAAGCTTTTCCCTGGTTTGGCAGAACGCATCTAACTCTAAGTATGCGACAAAACACTACGCCGTCATTACTGTCGTAACATCACACCTGTGAGTATTCACCTTCTATGCTGCAGCGACCTTGGGCTTGAATTTGGCCGCCGCTTGATCAAATGCCGACTTCTTCTCCTGCCAGTCAAGCAGCAGAGGATGCGATGGCGCAGCTTTCTCCAAAGCCGCTCGTGTATCGTGGCGTTCCTGGCCAGTAATGGTCTTGAGGACCAGCAAGTTGGCGAGGGCGTCGCCATTTTCGGGGTCCTTCTGCAAGGCCTGCTCCAAGCCTGCTTGTGCTTCCTCGTACCTTCCGCAATGGATCTCGGCAACCGCTTGTGCGATCAAGGTTGTGACGGACGACGTGGCAGGGGCTTGTGCCAATTCTTCGAAAACGTAGAAGGCTTGCTGATACTTCTCACCACCCTAAACAAGGAATGTCAGCAGTTTGATCTCCATGTGATAGAAACTCAAGTAGACGTACCTCTCTGAGACCGAGCCATGACTCGGCCAGGTTGACAAGCAAGCTGTCCTGGGCCCAGCTGCGTGCTGCCTTGACCTCCTTTTGGGCCAGGTCCAGTCTGTTTTGCTGGAGGTGTATCTGCACAATCAAAGCCACGGCCTCGAGGTTTCCAGAGTGCTGCGACAGCAGTGCCAATGCTTCCTCGCTCTTTCCTGCCACCTGGAGCACGGTGCCACCCACGACCTGGACTATGGCGTTCTCCCCTTGCGAGCTGGCGAGCTGCTCAATGGTGTTGATCGCCTCGTCTGTAGAGCCCAGCGACTGTTGCGCGAGCGCACCGACGGCTTGCAGTTCTGGTTCGGATGCGCCCTTGACTTCTGAGAGCACCTCCTTGGCTTGTCCCTGAGCAATCTGGGCACGCAGAACAAGCACTTTGGCTGGTAATTCGTTCTCGGGGCTGAAGGCGGATGTATCGAAGTCGACCACCTGTTGGAACTGGCCCTGGTGGAAGTGGTTGTGAATGTTCACGAGCTCTCCTTCTGCGCTGTAGGGGTCCATGTTTGCGATTCTGTGTACGAGTTGGTGATTAATGCGAACTTGTCCTCAAGCTTCTGGACAGCTTCGGAGTAAGGTTACGGATCCGTAGATTAGTTGCATGTGCTGTTCGAAACGGAAGAAGCCGCCAGGTGGCAGATCCCTGAATCAGGCGCTAAACTTCCTTCATTGGATTGGCTACTCCGTACACGCCGTGCGCTGAAGTACCTTCGTCCTGGAAGATAAAGTCAATACACCGTAATCTGGTATTGTACCCTCAGATTGGATCATGACAGAAAGTCATCTTTAGCTTTAGCGTCGGCCAAGTCTTATGCAGCTTTAAGAGACCGCTTTATGCCTTTAATAAGAACATTATTACAGAGAAGCTACACGTATGACCCACAAATTAATTCTAGGTAAAACCTACCAAGTTCTAAGCAAAGCCTTGCATCATATTAAGAAAACATGTCATTCCTTCTTGGTCCTCACATGTAGGAGGAACTTCCAGCTGATGTGGCTATTTGAACCAGTCAATACAATGAAGAATTTCTACCCTTCCTCCCTGAAGGATCCTCTCAATCCTCTCAATCCTCCTCTTTCTCTTCCTCTCCCTCGTCGCCGTAGAGATCCTGGAACTCAGTATCTCGGGGCAAGAAATCACCATCCCGCTGGCCCTCCATGAGATCAAAATAACGGTCGTTCTATGATTCCTCCGCCTGGCTCGCCGAGGCTTCAAGCCACTGCTCCAGGTAGTACAGGCTCAATCTATGATCGGGCGTAGGAGGGAGTATAGGGGGCAATATAGGCTCGAGAGCGCCGAGAGGGTTGAGAGGCTCCAGAGGCTCACCAAGACCCGAGCTGGGCCAATTATTGGCAGAACTGTTGCTGCGCCTCATGGGTGAATTGTGGTCGGTGTATGTGCGGTTGCGACCCCCAGACTGGGTTACAAGGTGACGGATTGTAGGAGTTTCACTCTTGTCCACTATAACGCATGAGATTGTTTATCTTCCCAAGAGCATTTATGATAATAAAGAATAAAAAGTTCAGAAATGCCTACTTGGGAAGATCTCAGGCTCAGCCAAAGCTTCGCGGCTTGCGCCCTCACCACCTTGCTCAATATTGATGCGACCAACCTCATGGTTGTTCTCATTGTCGTTATTGTTATGAACAGAAGGTGATGCAGCATATCGGTTCACGTCAGCTTCACCAGCGCGTTGCTCCTCGTTGTGAGTGATAGCTCGAGTGCCGGTCTGTTGAACGGGAATATTTATAGGCAAGACTACTCGCTGACTGTTCATGATGCCATTTGCTTGAGCAGTGTTGCAGCGGACACCTTCATCGGCGACCTCATTGTTGATCTTGTAAATAGAGAATGAAGGCATCTTGCTGGCTAGGTGTCGCGGATTGCTGCAAAAGTGTCGTCGGTATTTCTCCAGGTAGAAAGGATCTGACCCACCAGACTCGCTGCTCAGAAACGATTTGACAGATTTCTTAGCTTCTGGCGTCATCTGTTGGACTTCTGGCTCATGCTCTAGCAACACTTCTTGAGTGGGAGCTTTCGGTTGGTCTTGCTCTTGAGCTTGAAAATAGCCGCGATATCTGTCCAAATGAAAAGGGTCACAATCAGAGCCACCATTGGAGCTTCCCTTGGATGACTCGGCTTGTCTGAAGTGGCAGGTCGACCAGGTTAACGCGAATTGAGTTGGCTCTGATGGCAATGTCATCTTTGCAGCCGGAGCTCATAAGGCATGCACGCACAAAAAATGAACCCGTATGCGAGCAAGGGCAAAGAACGGTGATAATTTTGCGTCGCAACGTGTGAGAGTAGAGATGTGAGTCTTATGTTAGCGATGATGTGGGTGGTGATATGGGTGATGGTGTGTCTCTGAGGGCTGCGAAATATTAGGAAGGTCGTGCAGCTGAAGACAAAGCTAGACCACCTTGGCTTGTTGGATGATCAGATGCAAGGTAGTTTGTGAAAAGAGAAGTTGCAACCCGAGTTGACTATCAGACCATAAATCGCCGACTGTATAAAATCCGGTATAATGTTGGTGATTTATGTACAATCAAACTTGATCTCGGCGATCATAAACAATCAAGCTTGGCATCCTCATGCTGAGATTGACAAATGAAGCTAAACTAGCTTCACAAATCAAACAAATACTATTCGTTAAATAAAGAAGAGAAGTTGTAGATCTTATGAATCCTCAGGCCATGAATCGGCGATCATACACGGTCAACTGTAGCTTTGCCGATTGTACAGGATTACGAGCTGTCAAAGAAGTTGCTCCCAATAAATAGTCGTGCATGGATGTTAAATTAGGATGATTGTTCGCATCTCATCTAAGGGCTTTGCTCGCAACTCAAACAGTATCTATTTCGGAAGGCATAAAGCTGTGAAGAATTGTGCCCAATAACCAATTGCGATCATAATGAGAGAACAAGCTATGTTTCAAGCACGATTCTCTGTTCCATCGTCACTAAAGTTTTGATACACATTCAACCCAAAATGACCGCTAATATTGTATTAAATGCTCGTTTATGTGGTTGCTGATTATAGCGATTCAGTCCTACCTAGTCTAATTGCCAACTAATGTGATCTTTTATACATGGTATGTGATGTCAATACTTTCCACTATCATTCCAGTAACTAGTCTCTCTGTGTACTACTTGCATATTCGTAGCCAATTACTCACCAATAGTTCATCACTTATACCAGTATTTAATATAGGCGAGAATGTTTGAAAATTGTAAATCTCTCTTCCTGATTTCACTTGCGCATCTCAGTGTAGGTAATCGCCTTGCAAATCCCAGATCAGCCATACAAGATGACAAGGTTCATAACAGCAAATGAAGAAATAAGGCAACTGCTGACAGGCTGGGAACTCGGCGAAATACCCAGCACTAGTCGAGTGCATTATAAACATCCTGATCATGCATCTAGAGGTACCTATACACATCCCGAGCTGGACAGACTCCCTGAAGACTGGCAGATAGTGAGGGCAGGCTTGGGCTACATCTATCACAAACATCAAAACCAATGAAAAGAACCATCTCAGACCTGGAGTAAGCGTGTCGATCTCAGAAAAACTATGCAAGGTCTCGATTTCACCTGCAGGTGCCACCTCCATTAGTCCACTGGCACCCAAAGCTAGTGCACCTAGAGAAACAATAGCCAAGAAACAATAGCCAAGAAACAATAGCCAAGACACAAGTCAAACTCCCATAAGCGAAGACAGCTGCTGTAGCGCAAGCTGACCCAACAATGGTACCAGTGCCTGCATCCCTTCCCGCTCCTGTTCCCGTGGGTTTCGTAAAAGTCGAACCCGGAATGAATCTCGAGCGGAATGCTATCGCAAAGGCATCGCTTGAATACAAGTATGATATCGTCAATATCATCGATCCTGGCAATGGTACCAAGGGCGCCATGAATGCTAGTGTATTTGTTGTGAGAAAGAAGTCGACCAAAGAGCTTTTCATATAGAAAAACTTCAGAGAAGAGAATGATCACATTATAGAAATGATCAAGAGAGAGATCAGAATCATCAGGGCTCTGAAGTGCAACTCGCTCGTAAGTTTGCTATGGTTTTCCACCTTTTTCGACAAGCTCTAGATGACAGCTGATTGCTGGCAATACAGGTACAATATGTCAATGGCTTCATACAAGAGGATCCCTTTGAGGCAAATGTTTATAGTAAGTCAATAAGCACATGTCACTTGTTGCTAAGTAGTTATGCACAGTGTCGCTGATATGGTCCTTTGGTGAAATTCTACGACTGTAGTGGTGATCATATAGCTTAATTATGAAGCCATTTCCCGACTATAGTCACAGGCTTTCTCCAGATAAAAAACTAAATTAATTAGATGGAAATCTAGTGGAATAAGAGGTAATAGGGCAGTGTGCCCATAAGTAATGTACGCCAGTATAACGCTGCAAATCTGATCGGTTGCGGGGGAGAAAAAGATAGACCAATAAATAGATGGAATTTGTTCTATACCCCGATATAGTTCATGAAGTATCGCATTGTTGTGCCGTTCTTTTACATACCCATATTTCAAATAGCTTGACCAATCGTGAAAGAAAATTGTGTTGCAATAGTTGACGAAGCCATTCAACCGTCGGGTAGGCCAATAACCTATACACGGATGACGTCATGAGACAAAGATAGGATTTGCATACACAGGAGAACCCCACGTATTCGATGCGAACAAGGAAGAAAAATCGAGCACAGTATTTTGGATTACGGTAATCACTTTGTTTTCAAGAGGGGTGATTCATGCTATTGGCTTTAGATACTGCACATGCAGACTGTATGCAGTCGACGATCGCCAATGGCCGGGTTCCCATTGCGTGGCGATCTACGGAGTAGACTAGTGACAAACACTGCGATGTAAGAGGAATCGGCAGTCCGAACGGCCAGCGCATCACGCATCGAATATGCGAGGTTATCGACGGAGGCCCCCAAAGAGATATTCGGAGAGGATATTGCCTTGCAGAGCCTCCAAAATCCAGTACGAGCGTGCCAAATGCAGAGTAATGAGCGGCTGAACAGGAGCTATTGTACCACACAACACGAGGCACGAAAGGCCAGCAAGCGACAGCCACAACATCCTCAAAAAAGTCAAAGCGGGAGTTTTTAGGCAATGCCTTCTACCGATACACTTACAGACGTAACAGATATTTAAGCTCACGCTCGTATCGCATTAGTCTAGGTTAGCAGGTTATTTGGAGATTCAATTGGCGAACCAGCTTCACGGAGACTGTTCTCAACTTCGTGGGGCATACTCTTGCTGCATATGATGGCCAATTGTGGCACCAATCATTTATCATTTTGAAAGTTCCCCTTGTTCTCCTCTTCTTTCTCCTTGGGCTGACTGTATCATTAACGTTGCTGAAACTGCTTCCTTATCTTCCCACTATGCTAATCATGGGCAGGATATCCCCGAGTGGGGTCTTTGCTTGGTATCGCGAGCTCTGATGCAGATGATAGATCGGAGTTTTGGTAAGTCCTTATTCGTTGTGTCTCCAGAGTTATACAGATCTCTTCTTTTGAACCGGTCTGTCTCTTTATATCTTTGGAGAACATAGACTCTGTCAAATGGTTGTAGCTGAAAGGAACGCTGCCAATGAATAATTACCGGCTGGATCATCTTGAGCATCTATGATAGGGAATTTGTGCGCTTATAGCTACTCAGATGTTCTCATAACACATTGCCCCATTGAATTTAGTCCAACACCAAAATGACGGATTCGGCTTCGACGACCCTAATACCGTCGTCTCCCCCAAGTCCTTCAACCGAAACAACTTCCCTGCTACCAAAGCCTGCTTCCTGGTATCCCGAAGATGATTCCTCGTGGTATAGGCAATGGCTATCGGAGACATGGCTCCTCACAAAGACTTCGGTGCCGGTCATGCTAGCGTACACTTTACAGAACAGTCTTCAGACCGTCAGCGTACTCATCGTGGGTCGCCTATCCCCCGAGGCTCTCGCAACAGCAGCCTTCTCGTACATGTTTGCCATGGCTACTGGCTGGCTGGTGGCATTGGGAGGCACAACGGCGCTTGATACGCTTGCCTCGAGTAGTTTCACTGGGTCTACTAACAAACACGATCTTGGAATCCTGCTTCAGCGCGGCATTCTCGTTTTAAGTATCTTCTATGCCATCATCGCAGTCATCTGGGCATGCTCTGAGCCGATCTTTCGTGCCCTTGGTCAAGAGGAGTTCATATGCGTCCAGTCCTCGCACTTCCTCCGCATACTGATCCCCGGCGGCCTGGGATATGTCTGGTTCGAGTGTATGAAGAAGTATCTCCAAGCACAAGAAATCTATCGCCCCGGTACGTACGTGCTCCTGATAACAAGTCCGCTGAGCGCTGGGCTGAACTATCTGTTCATTCACACCTTCGACATGGGACTGTACGGCGCGCCGCTCGCGACGGGCATCGCCTACTGGATTTCGTTCCTGCTTCTCGTTCTATATGCAGTCAAAGTCAAAGGGCATGAGTGTTGGGGAGGCCTCGCGCTCCGTAAGGCGGCAAATCCTAAGCAACTTGTGCCCTTTGCGCGCCTTGCTCTGCTAGGTTTCATACATGTCGGCACCGAATGGTGGGCTTTCGAGATCGTGGCCCTAGCGGCTGGCAGGCTGGGCAAAATTCCTCTTGCCGCGCAGAGTGTGATCATGACTGCCGATCAGATCATCAACACGATCCCTTTCGGTCTCGGCGTCGCGGCGAGTGCGAGGCTGGGCAACCTGCTGGGAGCACGTCGACCAAGGGATGCAAGGCGTGCCGCGCATTGTGCAGCGATTTTATCGGTTCTGCTAGGTGCTCTGATTTTGGCAGTACTTATGGGCACGAAGGACGTATTTGCGCGCATTTTCAACGACGACGAAAGAGTGGTGAAACTAGTGAGTCAAGTTATGCCATTCGTGGCGCTATTCCAAATTGCAGATGGCCTGAACGGATCGTGTGGCGGTTCTCTGAGAGGTATGGGACGGCAATGGGTTGGAGCTCTGGTGAATTTGGTTTCCTACTATGGTGCCGCGCTCCCAGTAGGCATCTGGTTGGCATTCAATGGCTGGGGCCTCCAAGGGCTCTGGATCGGACAATGTGGTGCACTATATCTAGTAGGTGTCCTAGAGTGGGTTATTGTAGGACTGTGTAACTGGGACAAAGAAGTGAAGAGAGCGTTGGGAAGATTGGAAGATGGCGGATCGGAAGATGGTGAAATTCAAAGATTTATACAGGAGGACTCTGAACATGATCGAAGCGTGGTCTAGGACTAACACGGGATATTATGAGCATTACCCTGGTATCTATCTAAACACAGACAAATGCAGCCGGATGACAATGTCAAATGGGCTTCATTTATAAGAAGGGGGGGGGGGGGGGGGGGGGGGGGGGGGGGACAGAAACAAAAACAGAGAATTAGGTACGACGATGCGTCAATAATTAAGCTGCATATAGAGGATGATTTTGATGATATTATGAGCTATGATGCGAACAGTACATAGAAGAATGGTTGAGTTCAGTCTGTAAGCTTCTGTGCAATGATAGACCTTCACTTTTACCACAGATTCGCGAGATGCCTAAGGCCTTACGCCTGTCTTATCATCATTCATTCAAGAACCCATCAATTTACGATATGTATCTCAAGTCGAGAATTTCTTCGTGAGGAAGTTGTCGATAGCACTTGCAACTGGACCTGGTGCCTCCAGCGGGCTCCAATGTGCACAGTCAAGCGTGGTCTCCTCCAAATCGGGCAGGAAACCACCCTGCTTAGCAGGTATTAAAGCCTCGGGGCGACAGACCGCATCTTGCAAGCAACCGATGTAGAGGACCGGAACCTTGATAATTTGTCTTTCCTCAGGGATGGTCTTCTCAACTTTGTGTTGCACGTTATTTGCGGTTGATTTGTAGTAGCACTACAACATTTGGAATTAGTAAATTACTGCTTCATAATGGCCAAGAGGTTTTCCGGAGTAGCGCGAAACAGTCATAAAGACCTAACTGCCTTCCCAAAGAACTATATTCTTGGGCATGCTGAAAAGGGAAGAAAGGAAGAAAGTAATCCTGGAATTTGCTTACTGCGGGACCCTCGAAGCCGTCCCGTTGAAATCTTTCAATATACTTTTTCCGCAGCTCTGGGTTCTTGGCGTAATCACGAGGCTCGACATTCCAGTCCCCGTCCTCGTTCAATAGCCACTTTTTGAAGCTGCCTCGCTGGCATAGAAGGTCACGCATCCAATTTCGCGGCGCGCCGTGCATCCCATCGAAGACGCGGTCTGCGTGCGCTTTCAAGATGGCGGGGCCCTCATCGCTGATGATGAACTCCTGGTAAGCTAGCAGAGGATACCCGTATACCTTCTCAAGGTAGGCATTCGTGGCTGGCAAGTCGAATGGTTTTTGTGAGGGCAACGTGTATGCCACATTCAGCAATACCACTCCGGCGACCCGTTCGGGGTGGTGCAGGTAGAGACGCTGGGCGATGATAGAGCCCCAATCGTGGCCGACTGATATGACTTTGTCGACACTCTCGGCATCCAAGATCTCGGTGAGATCCTTGGTGTGAGCAGAATACTCATAAGCAGACGGATCCGTCGGCTTTGAGCTGCCGGCATACCCGAGCATATCAGGCACAATGACGCGGTAACCCGGGAGCTTTGCTACGACGTCTTGCCATAGATGCGAGTCGTCCGGAAAGCCATGTTGGAGAAACAGGGGTGGCGTGGTCTTGGTGGCCTCAGCAGGATTGGATACGTAGTAAGTGTAAGTGAACCCCCGCGATGATATGATTGACTTTTTCTGCAGTGCATCCATGGTTGATGATTTCTGGAGACAATTTGAGTGACTATGGCAGGAAATACTTGGTTTCTTACAACATTGACGGCCTGATGGGGATGAACCTGTTATTTGTGAAGTTAAATAGTTTTGTACGCTTCTAGGGATCGGCAGCTCCACGTTGCTACTGAGGGGTCGACAACAGCAGTGCGGATCCGTCCGGATCCATACATACACAAAGGTAAAGCCACCCGGGATCAGAGATCCACTTTTACAGGTGATAATGTGAAAGAGGTTCAATGCGTACCCTGTGGTTGAAGAACACAGCAAAAGACGCTGTCCCTGCAAGAGTATTGTAAATTAAAGGACCGAAAGTGAAGCCGTTTGTAACGGTTGTAACGATTGATCTAGAATTAATTGGCATGAGTGAGCCAAGGGTGACTTGGAATTGCACACAACGATAATCATGTAATGAGCGTGTATATTGATTCTGCTTATGCATTCGCCTAGGATGTTGAGATCCGTTTTGTTGTATCATTGTTGTTGAAAGCATGACAAATATTGGTAACCACTGCAAACCGAGCTAGCAAATATGCAACCGAAGAATGTTGAATCACGTCTTGTGAGCAACCAAGAATCGAAGTTCACCATGCCTATCCAGGAGGGTCTATCCCGGTGCACCTATATAGGACTAGAACAGTTTGTGCTCCAAGGTCATGTCAGACTCGGGCTCGAGACCAACACAGGCTCTGAAGATGTTGGTAAGAGCTGCACGTTGCTTAGCCAATGAGTTGATGACAGGTGTGCCAGGAGGTGTCAGTGGCGCCTTCAGCATGTAGCTAAGAATGCTGAGAACACTGTGGAAGCCACGATAGTCCTTTGCGGCGGCGCCATTGCGAGCGTTAGCTCGCCACTGGATGCGAGTCATCATCTCAGCCATAACGACCAGATCAATGATCAGTGGAGAAGCTAGTAAAGAGTCCTCGCACACGTTGAAGATAGATATAGTCTGGTGACCACCCATAAATATCTCGGCATAGTACTCATCCAAAGCGCGCTTGTTATCGCCAACGGCAGGCATGTACTTGATGACAACAGTGTGGTCAGGGTGCTCGCCCTTCTTGTATAGAACGGTGTTGGCCTCGACCATATCGTCCACAACATTTGATTTGGAGATCTCCTTAGATCGGAACTGCTTTTGAGAACTGAGGTTCTTGCCATCGTTATTGCCAAGATGGTTGTAGGATGCAATGGAAGTCAATTTGATGCCAGCATTGATCAGAAAATCAACCAGGGCGGACTTCATTTTGGTCTGACCAGACTTAAAGTCATCACCGGCAATGAAGGCACCATGCTTCTCAGCGAGCTCGATAGCGCCCGGAACGAAAGTATTCTGGGGCGATCCATTGATGAATGGAGCATTCTCTAGAATGCAAGCAATGGCGAAAACGGTGGACGGAGAGACTTCTTCGTGGCCATTCTCAACAGCCTTGAGCAAGTTCTCGGCAGTGTCATTGATACCGGGAATGATGTCAGCGTATCTCTCAGTGTTCGCAGTCCATAGAACGATGACCTTGTCCAAAGCGTTGGTGGTCTTGAACTCTCTGATGTCCTTGCGAAGTTTCTCTACATGAGCGTTACAAGCTTTATTTCCCTCTATGACGTTGTCGGCTCGGTCCTCTTGATTTGCAGCGATGAAGTCGGGATAATAGATCGAGGGAAGAGGAATCATATTTGTCATCTCCTTCTTGACTTGACTCTTGAGGGTTGGTTCGAGGACCGCAGCTCTATCCATGGCTTCTGCTAGATTCATGCTCGAAATGTCCCTAATAAATTATTAGTACCTCTGGATTGATAAGCAGGGTCGCTTAGAGCCTGATGGTTGCAGATTGCTCATATCAAGACACCAGAACTCTAATCTGACCACTGAACTAGTGCCGTCACTTACCATCCTCCAATCACGAGATCATTTGGGTGGACCATTGGCAGAACATCGTGAAACGGGATGTTCACGTCCTTCATAGTCTCAGCATCGGTGCCGAGCTTCATAGTAGATCCCATGATGACCGAGCCATAGTAATTGGCAGAGCGTGGTCCTTCACGAGTCTCCCAAACAAGACTTCGGCGGTTGGCAATAATACCAGCAGTAACAGTAGTACCATTGTTACCACCCCAGCCAACGAGCATCATTCCGACCTTGGGCACTTTTCGTTCAACCTTGAAGTCATAAATGGTCTCCTTCGGTGTAGCAACATATTTACCACTGGCATTCTTGGCAACACTAGTGGTTCGATACGTGTACTTTGATTGGATTTCCGAGTCAGTGTATACGACGTTGGGTGATTCCACCTGGAACAGATCCTCCTTGGCTGGAGTCACAACCTGATGGTGGTTGTTGGTGTGTCCATCCCCATCCGAGAAGGCCGAGTCAACCTCGGCGTGCGGCGCCATAATGAGATGTATAATGGGCGTTATTAGGGTATCAAACGAATTCAATATGGCCCTTTATGGAGATTTGGGTGAGTCCGCTGCACCACCGGCGGGGGAGCAGCGACCTCCTCGATGGGGATTGTGGACGCTGTGGCATAGTTAGTCTCACGCCCAGTCAAGTTTCTGCAATCGAGTGACATACGAGTTGAGAAGGTTGGAAAACGTCTTGACGGTGGTTGCGATCGCGACCTAGAGGTGCGATCAACTGGTTAGACGAAATAGGTGACCTGGAGGCTAATCAGGAGAGCTTCGGATATACGAATCGTTCAGTGACAGTAGTTAAAGAAGGAGGATGCAAGTCCAGAGCATCACGAATTTGGGGATTAGTAGTAATTTGTACACCGGCGGGTAGTTCGGAAGCTTCCGCGTCTCTACGGGTTCCTCGGCTTGAATAGATGGAACAAACGAAGCCAACGCACACATGCAGATGTAATAGTTTAACAAATCTCCCCACAAAGCTCGAAAAGGCACGCCACAGGCGTAGTCTAGCCCACGAGAACATCTGGATTGCGCGTTTCTTTGGCACAGCATCGATGCCCCTCCACGTTGGACCCTGAATTCGTGGGGAGTTGAGGGGTGATCTGGGGTTTGATTGGCCATGTCGGCTCTGAAGTGCCCTGTCCACCAAGTAAAGGCGGTCAACGAACACGCTAAGCACTTACAGCAGCTACTGAGCGATTTCGAGTTCATCAACGTCTTGTTGGTGGCTTTAGATCATCCTTACTGTTAACACTGGCAATAGGAAGAAGTGGAAGCCCACCCGGCTAGCTTGTGCACATACCGAGTTACGTACATTTTATAGACAGACGCAACGGGTATTACTTTCTGTCAAGGGTGACGAGTATCATTTCTCGACATTGAGTTGAATTGAGATATCAGTTGCGGCGATTTTGGATAACCGAAGCTGTGACGCATGTACACCGCAAATCAACCAGAAAAGACACATTGTGATGACTGGATAGCTGTACCAAGGCTCAAGTGGAATTGCAAGCACATGCAAAAGCTCTTCAATCGCACTTGAGCCCAATGTCTCTATAATTGGCGTGAAAGAGACGGTAAGCTTGCTGAACTGTCGAGGCTTATGTTGGTGTATGAGGGACATGTGCAGAGCGGGACAATTGAGGCGCGGAGCGTGTCAAGAGATCTTCATGCGGGCAAGGCAGAGGAGATGTTTGAACGATTGCTGCGGAGGTCAGATATTGACCTTGATCGACCCCCGAAGTTCTACTTGTAAACTGGCACTAATTTTGAAGATTCTGGGGGCGTTGCAAGGGATCTTCTGCCTAGAGTGCCGATCCTCATCGTACTGCTCTCAAAGCGGTCCGTGAAGTGGGCAGCATCGATAAGAGCGCGATTGTCGATTATATCTCCAGATTGGAAGTAATGAGTTACTGATTCTGACTAAACAATATCATCGATAAGACATCATCACTGGTCTTGTTCCATTGTCGGCGAGCGCGAAGGGAAATCGTCATGGAACCAGTCCGGCGTCTGGACTCTTGCCAGTCTTCGCATTGTGTCGCCTCAAGCGCCTTCGGGAAATGGTCCACGCGACCAACTCCGATGAAACGTCTCGGCTTCATCGGACTATCGCCAATGAATGCGTCCCGAACACCTTCTCTGACACCAGTCAAGCGCCGTCCAAATTTGCACCGAAGCGCTATCTTCGCTCTTAGATTGAGTCTAGAAGAAAAAGACGTGAGACTAGAAATAGACCATCTAGGAAACCATGTGTTGGCTTAGACTAGTCGGGGCCGAGCAGCATTTTGTTTTCAGAATAGGCGGACGCATCACCTTCGCCAGGACGTGCGACTCTAAACAGCGGGTGCTGAGAGTTCATAACTAAAGGACCTATGATGGGCAATATGTTATGGAGTGAAACAATATCGTGTTCTCAGAAAATATTGTAAAGAGTTAATAAACATGGAAGCGATGTAAAATCTGACAGGCGCCGGATATGCACTATATTCGGCATAGCGGAGGGCCGACTCGGCGGGTCAATGGAGTGCTTCAGGTTCGACAGGGCTTGAGATGCAACGCCAGAAATCAACTCTTAGCATTCCTTTTGCATCAGATAGACAGCAAATTCAACGAAATGCGCTTGCATACGATCTCGTGATTGCGATAACAACAAAACTGAATGGCGTCGGAAATGGATCACATCGGATCGTTTGTGATTAGTGAAGCCTGTTGGTATATAACGAATGCCATACCTCGTGATCTCTCAGTAATGAAACAAATCAAACTCTCCGCAAGGTTGTCTCCATATCACTAACGACACGGGACCCATGATATGCACGAATGGTCCGCACTGACTTCAAACATCAGAAATGACGTTCTTATTTTGCCTTTCTTCTCCAGTCATTCGGTCGTCGCAATGAGCATATTGTTTCACACCAGCCAATTGTATCCCCAAGAACTAGTCGACTGGCCAGTTTTAGGGATCGATTGGGATACCGGCGGAATGAAGAAATGAACATTCAGCCAAAAGCGAATTGCAAGGCAGGCAAATGAGCGCCGCCAAAGGGAGCGAGAGGAATCTCAGTGTAACGCAACGCAGAGACTGATAGCACTATTGTGGAGGCTAACCACTGCAAGGTACCCGTAGACGTCCCTAAGCCTAGTTTAGCTCCGGTGATTTCCTAGCCTGGCGATCACCAGAGACTCCTAGCAAGCCACCTGGAGTACTTTACCCATGACAACCACTCGCGTGTCTTTGTTCTCTACTGCGTGGAGTGCGGCTCATTAATATGGTGGTGGATCCCCGTGATGGGTTGGAGGCTCTCATGTTGATAGGCGACCAAACAAAGTCGGTCTTGGGCCTCATCTATCTGGAATCGTTCTGGAAGTCTCGTAACATCTTGAAAGGGTCCCTAATTTACCTGAGTAACATTCGTACCGAATTCAGGTAAAGCACAATTACGACCAATCCAAAAAGAATCCTGGCATATGCAGCGCTGTTGGCGATCGTCCCTCTGGAGAGTGTTCTCGACCTAAAGTGTTCTCATACTTGTAAACCAACAATACCCTGATCGACGAACCACGAGGAAGTTTCCCATCGCACAAGCCACTCTTTGTTCTCAGCTTGCAAAGGGATGCACGAGAATCAGAAAGAGGATAAGCTGATTCAAATAGCCTTACCATTTCTAGCCATTAGTCGAGCATCACGAAGGGACAGGGACAGGGCTCCCTGTTCGTTGTCCGTGCAATTTGTGCAAGGGGGTGTGGTGGACTCGGACTGACAAGGGGGTGCATCAACACCCACCATAGTTCGAGACAGATACTGCAACAACTTTCAAACCTTCTCACAGATCTTTACAGCAATTCGACCATTTGAGCTTCCTCTTGGATGCTATTCACCTATTACAACGGAGCCCGCCAAACAATTGACACGGGACCGAGCACAGCATACAGCGGCTTTCTCTGACATAGCTGACGGGTCGGTCAATCTTGGAAATCGAGATCGAGAGACAAACTTGGGGGGGTTTTTTTTTCTTCCTTTTTCAAAACACTTTGTTAGGTCTTGTGCAAGTCATAGGTCCGTGACGTTAATCTGTCCAAGCGGCTGGGTTGTGGTCTTGTGTTCCGAGGTAAATGCATTGTTCAAAGACTCTTTTACTTGGAGACTTTGAGCAGACCTCTGAGCGGACAACGACTTGGGAACTTAGTCAACAACCAGATGGTCTCATAACAACAACTCAAACAGATCGAGCCGAACCAAATATATTGTGAAATTTGGAAGCATCTTTCGATAAGCGCCAAGGAAATCAGAAAAAAACAAGCAAGAAAAAGGAACCAACAGCAATAATATGGCGACGTATCCACGGGAGTCGGCGTTTATGCCGACAGTCAAATGTTCTCAATGTGGCAACGAGGTTGAAATTTCTCTTATGGGCGAACACATCTGCCAGGCTGCATCAAAACCAGAATGTGTGTTGCCCAGAATGTACCATCCTGCACGCCATCCTTACTGACCGACTCGTAGTGCCACCACAAGCAACGGCCCCAGATGTGATAACTGGCGCCTTTAGCTCACTAAAGCAGACGGTTTGGGGATTTGGCAGCCGTGCCGCACCGCCGAGTGTTGATACGTCTGCAGCCAGTACGATTCTCCTGAAAAATCATTATCACAACTCAGAAACTGACTTGAGTTTAGATGAGGCATTTGCAAGACCGGATCAATTGACACCAGTAAGCGCTTCAACTGGATCGAGAACTATATCGCCAAAGACACCCAGCGGACGTTTAGAAGGCGGTTCAAATGGTGATTACTTCTCGCCAACTATTGCGGACGTAGCATCACCGGGACAGAATGGACGATCCGGTGGTTATGGCGGATTTGGGGAGCCGCAACAATATGAGCCAGAACCGTTATACTATGGCGCCAAACCGAGGAATCAGCCGCAGCAACCACAGGCTGCACCAAGCCTGCTGCAAAGGATGAACACGATCGCACCTGGGCCATTTGAATTGAACCGGCGCCCAGGCGGCAAGAATGCATTCGCACCCAAGACGGAACCAGCACTCAAAAACGAACCAGCACTCTCACAAAGTACTTATGCTGAAGATGCGGTAAACAACGGGTACGGGATAGAGCGGCCGTCCACCGCTGCTTCATACGCTTCCAACGGCAGCGGCGGTATGGCGCCTCCTCGTGTGCCACGTAAGAATGGATACGGTGGTTTTGGTCCGCCTGAGCAAGACCAAAATGATGACTTTGAGCCCCGACCCCTAGCAACGACTCAAAGATCGGAGACGTTTCCTAAGCAAGCCCAAAATAGATATGAGGATATGCCGGCGCGCCCACCATCCGCGCCGGGCCTGCGACAAGACCTTACTCCAAGACCTACGAACGAGAATGCAGATAGGCTGGTTGTGAGCAGGGATCGTGAGCCCCGCCCTTCTGTCGTACGAGACACCTCTCGTGCGCCTCCGCCGCGTAATAAGAGCCTGATGCGTCCTGGCCGAAACCCCTCTGTTAACTTGGCAGATGAGTTTGGTGCCGGCAATCCGTATCATACTCCATCGGGCTCGCAATCATCGAGCAATTCTGGCTATAGCACGTCACAGCCAAGTCAAGCCAGCTCAAGCTCAAGCCCTGCCCGTTCCATGGGCTCCAGGCGGCAGCCATCTAACACATCAAACTTCGATGCGTTAATGAATGATTTGCAATCGTCTATGCAGTCGATGAAGCCAGACTTCTCGGCGTCGCAGCCTCCGGCCATGGAGAGGAGCGTCCCCTCAATGGAACGTAGAGCGCGTCCTGAAGACTTGCGGTTCGACCCAGCAGTCCAGGGCGGCCCACGTGGTCCACGACCCAGGTCGCCACTGGCTTCGCCTCCGGAGTCGTACTCCGATCGTATAGACCCTGCTATTCAAGGTGGCCGTAGCCGGTCACCAGCACCTGCTCACACGAGGCAACCGTCAATGAGCCGGTCGCGGGGCAACTGTAAAGCCTGCAGGATACCAATTACTGGCAAGTCTATCTCATCAGCAGACGGACGGCTTACGGGCCGTTACCACAAGGCATGCTTTGTGTGCACAACCTGTACAAGTCCATTCACATCAGCAGAATTTTATGTGCTTAATGACAAGCCTTACGATGCCCAGTGCTACCATCGTTTGAACGGAAGCTTATGCACTACCTGTGGTGTCGGTATTGAAGGCCAGTATTTGGAGGACGAGTCTGCCCATAAACATCATCCAGGCTGCTTCTGTTGTGCCGACTGCCGCAGGCCTCTTCAGGACGGCTATTTCGAAGTCAACGGTAAAGCCTATTGTGAACGTGACGCTTGGAGACGCCTACAACAACAGCAACAACAACAACAAAAGCAACAACAACAATCCGTCATGGCACCTCCATCTACACGTGGCGGCATGAGGCCTCAATATGACAATGGCCGCCTGGGTGTACCAGGTAGTAACCGACTTGCTCCTTCGGGGCTTGCTCCTCCGGGCATGCCAAGGATGGAGAAGAGAATAACGAGGCTGGGAATGTTCATGTGATCCGCCTTCGGAACTTGTACGACGAAACGATCCGCATTCCTTTTGTTCACTGAACATGCTTGACCCGTTAGCAACTTTAATTACCATATGCGATCCTCGGTTGGGAGCATATTATTGGTTTCAAGTGGAGTTTGGTGCTTTTTGACTTTGCGATGCATCGCATTGCTTGCATATACCCACTGTTTTCCCTTTCGTTTTTATACCCCCATCCGAACGGGCCTTTGCATTCTGCTTGCACACATACCTCCATGGTTCAAGGAGGACTTTTTATCATCACATCGGGAGTGGGAGGCTGTATTCAATTATCCAAGCCATTCCATGTATGGAAACTAGGAGACGGGCAAAAATTCTTGATCTAATTGGTGTATATGTTGTCACAAAGCTGGCTGCCGGAGATACGCATCTCCTCAGGTCTTCATTCATGGAAGTTGCGAAAACGCAACGTGATCATTGCTGGACTCCGCAGTCGTATAGAAATAATCCATAGTATTACAAGCTATTATCTTGATATCACCATCGTGACACTTGCTTCATTGCGTCACACGAACAAGGCCAACTCAGTACTAAAGTTTCCATATACTTCGGACAACTGCCGAATCCGCCGCATGTTTACAGTCCCACGATCCACAAATTGTACTGCTGTGATCGCGTACTGACACCTGACTGTATTCTCAAGCGTTAGACCAGGAGAATAGGATGGTTCATTGTCTCAAACAAACCCGCCTTACCGGGAGACAATAAAAATTGCCCTAAATTGCTGCGAGACATGTTGCTGTTGTGGTTGCTCTGCAGCCGGACGTTCGGCACAAGAATGTCAACTTTTTTGTTTCTGGGATTCCGAGAACACACGTTTCTGTCTGTTTCTCGGGCGACTTTCCCATCTGCGCCTTGGGCATTTCACAAGCAACCCCTAGCAGAACCAACAAGTCATTCCGTCGACTTGGGCCCCTTGAAGTCCAGCTAACGTTAGAACCGCAACGTTCTTGTGGAGAGGTTCGCGTGCAACCATACAATCTCCGACCTGGAACCTCACAGGGCAGCAGCCACCCAGTTGAGCTTCACCTATGGTGGAATCACGTAGCGCAACCGTCTTTCTTACTAAGTTATGCTAAGGTTAGTGATCTGAAGAGCCGTGGCGCAGAGCCTGTCACACCAGGCCACATACATGCGGACATCGAAGGTTCAGCATGGATGGTCAGGAGGGCCAAGTTGCCCACCAGACACCCAATAGTAGTGCCGAAATCGCAGAGCGATTCAAATCCGCTATTTGTCATTTTAGGGCGGGAGCAGACCTTGGGGGTACCAAGTACTGGGGGAAATGGGCACGAGCTAAGATTCGGTAGGGCATGTTTGGCAATTGTGATTGGCGCTTGGGGGCGAGCTGTCACTGGCGATCTTTCTGGGTTCCTGGAGATCAGGGGTCTTGGGGTTTTGTTTGGCTGTCAAAAGGTTGCAAGGCTAGCGACTGAAAATTGATGTTCGAGAGAAGACTAACCTAGGCCGAGCATTTTAGTTGTTGTTTCGGTAATCGATGGTGCTCGATGTTGCACGCCACCAAGGTCCCAAGGCTCTTGTCATCTTGGATGTTAATTAAACTGTGTCCCCTATAGTCCATACAGGTCCAGCCACGGGTATCCTTTGGGATCGAACGCCGCCCGTCGCATCGTGCAACACGCTCAGGGGATCTCTCGTATGTCGATGCTACGGAGCCGACAAAGGAACAGCATGGCAGATCTGAAAGGATGGTGACTGCGCATCGTAATTTATAGTTATCCAAGCAATGCCGAGGGCTAGTATACACCGTATGTAGTCATGATCATGATCTTTCTCTTGCCGTAGTTATTTTCCTTGCCAAATCACCGGCTTATTCCTGGTGAAATTTCCCAGAGACCCTAGCATTTCAGGGGGTTGCACTGTTCTTTAGCGGATACAGCGGGGTAAATGTCAATTACAACCATATGTAGAGTAGAGCCTCAGCACGACAAGGAGGCGGTCGACGTGGGTGCCAGCTTATAGCACCTTGGAATACTCTGATGGCTTACAAGAGCTCAGCGCAACGGTGACGGCTTAGAAGTATTCCTGAACCTCAAGCAGCTAATGTTAGGTCCATCTAAAACCTTGCGACTGTGAATGGTTACACGCTTTGCGCGCACCTTAGCATGTCAACTCCCACGTCTTTCGCAAAGTCATTACAGTAACTAACCTTAGGTTGGTATGCGATCGTGGACTTAACGGCTGACCCACACTTTGCGTTTAATCAGGGCCCCTGTCCGTCTCCAGAAAGTACACGGACGGCGTCATGCACAATGTTGGTAGTCGCCTTCTCCTGGGGTTCTTCAGGCGATCCATCTGGAGTCGTCGAACGTAGCACAGCACATGAACGCGACCCAGACACATGGAAATGTAAAGGTCAAAAGATGTTAGGCACTGCATGCGCTTGAGTGGTGGTGAAGAAGGTGGGCATGAAGATCTCAGTCGCTTAATATATGATTTGCATCAGACAGAAAGGTCGACTTTGTTTCCAGCTTGTGACAGAATACGGCCATATTTGCGCATTTTTCGGATAGCTCTTCTCCTTCCATGGCGCAAGGTAGGGGTCCCATTTCAAAGAAAAAAAAGGGGAGTCCAAATTTCAACAGATCCCGTCATTCATCCACTCTTTTAAGTTGATCACTTACTGTACGTCGGGGACGGCCAAGATACACAGTAATTGCGATATGATTGCATCCCGCCGTGCCCTGCCCTAGCACTTTGGTCTCTCCGTATTTCCTCGCCTATGCATGCAACATACTCCAGTTCCTCCATTCCCTCTCACATTGATGTGTGTTTCCGTTCGGTCTCTTCCTTCCGTCCCCGCTGCGTTTCACCCATCGACCCGCTCCCGCTCTTCTCTCTAGTACGGCATGTGTCAAGCTTGAGGAATTAATGATTGACCTCGCTGCTTCTCCCAATTGACTTCTTGGACAGAAGTTGTTCACTCCTTTTTCGATACCTACAATTGCCGTAGCTGTGACCGCGCCCTCATCGAATCGAGGACCTCGCCGGCGGCCCACCAAATCGCCTGTCACATCGAGCCGCGACACCCAACATGCTTGTATAATAACCCTCGATGCGATAAGGACGTTTGCAACCCGGAAGAAGCGGTTGGAGGATAGAGATTGGGTTCGAAATCTGGAACACATTGTGGGGAAATCATGTTGGCCGTTCAGCCACGACGGCTTCTGTCGCGGCCGAAGGGCTTGTTGATGCTTGCGGCTTTCGCCGCCACTGTCTACTTCATCTTGCTGCGCCCTTTTTCCACTGGCTACCATGCCGTGGCGGCGGGCGGCACGCAAGCTGCTTCATCCTCGCAGATCCCACCCGATGGCGATTCGGCTACAAGCTCCGGCGACACAGGCAAAGAGGAAATGGATCCTGTGAAGAAGATGGAACAGGAAGAACACGACCGTTTCGAAGATGCTCTGCGCAATGAGTTTGAAGGGGAAAGCAAGGCGCTGTAAGTTGGTCACGCAGCATCTGCAATACCCGTCTTCCATGTCATCGCACTCGCTAACAGCTTTGGTAGAAGCTCCGAAGCCGGTGCCATCTACGGTGCGACATTGGCAACATTAATCGACAAAGATGCACCACGAAAACTGAGATATGAGGCTGCACTCAATTCAACACGGGAGAGCTTTGAATTCAGTGCCGATTCACCGTACCTGTACGATCCCTATCCGCATTACAATGGCAAGGAGTGGAAAGCCATGAACAAAGCCGCTTTCGTGGCTTGCAACGGCCCTGATGGCGTTCCTGTTGAGGACATCATGGTCTTCAAAGGCACTCCTCGCGAGTTCCCAAAGCCAAGTTTCGGTAGTTACGAGGTCCTTGACATGGACCAAAACTTATGCTTCGAGAGGCAGACTAGACTTGGTATCTATGGCTACTCGTACAATGATACGCATACCAAGAAGCAGTCCGATTGGAATGTGGTCAACTGGGGTGTGCTACAAGACCGTTGCGTAAAAAAGAATAAGGCAAGATTCAACAAGGTCGGCGCCACAAACCCATATCTCGAAACTGTCTATAGCCGAGATAACCACACTACGTCAGACCTTCAGTCACAAGCGCCGTACCCTTCTCAAGAGACCAGCAGTAACAGTGAGCTTAAGAGAGCGGGCACCTCGACCAAACCAGGAAAATTCAGCAATAATGCCGCGAGCCGCCGAGGCTTGTCGGACTCTGGCAAGGACTCGAGCAAGGACTCGAGCAAGGACTCGAGCAAGGACGTCGTCAAGGAGGAAAGAACTGCTCTCCTCATTCGTACGTATACTGGCAAACTATACAGCGATAATGATATGCAGATCATCCGCTCATTGGTGTCGGAATTGACTTTGCGGACTGGTGGCCAATACCAGGTCTTTTTGTTCGTTCACGTCAAGGACAACACTATCGATCTCTGGCATAATGAGGAGATATACAACTGGGTTCTTTACAGCTCCGTACCTCCGGAGTTCGTTGATATGACTATTCTCTGGAACGATGAGGCCACCATGTCAACATACACCAAACTTGGCTCTAAGCAAGCCAGTGTCCACGTTGCGCAGTGGCTGTCTGTCCAAAAGTTTGCTCAGGAGTACACCGAGTTCGACTACATCTGGAACTGGGAGCTTGATTCGAGGGTCACTGGTCATCACTACGAATTCCTGGAGAAAATTGTCTCTTTTGCGAAGAAACAGCCACGACGAGGGCTTTGGGAGCGTAACGAACGTTACTATATCCCCTCAGTTCACGGAGACTATGATACAGATTTTAGGGAAGAAGTCGAGCGACATGCGGTCAATGGCTCTGTCTGGGGTGCTCCCGAGCTGCCATTTATCAATCCCGTCGGACCAAAGCCACCAGTGGCGAAGCCCGAGGATGATAACTTTGAGTGGGGTGTTGGCGAGGAACCCGATCTCATCACTCTTGCCCCCATCTTTGATCCCATCAATAGTTCTTGGATTGGCACATCCGACGTGTGGGGCTACAATGACTCGACGCATGCCTCCCAAGATGTACCCAGACGTACCACCATTGTAACGCAATCTCGAGTCTCGAGGCGGCTGCTTGACATCATGCATGTAGAGAACTTACGAGGCAATCATGTCTCCTCAGAAATGACTACGCAAACCGTGGCATTTCTGCACGGGCTAAAGGCCGTGTACGCGCCCATGCCCGTCTTCTTTGACCGCCCTTGGTCCGGCAAGCAGTTGACGAAATGGTTCAACGGCGGCTGGAATGGTGAAAGTGGCGGCGTGGGAAGTGCCATGGGTTGGGGCAGAGAAGGGCGCTACAGGGGAAGCACTTGGTACTACCGCGCCGACCCTCCACAACGACTATATATAAACTGGATGGGATGGGAGGATACGGGCATGGGAGGTCCTGAATGGGAAGAGCTATATGGTCGACCATGCCTGCCCCCCATGATCCTTCATCCTATCAAGGATGTGGAAGAGACTGAACCGGGCCATTCCAGCGAGTCGAAGCTGCCATATGCTTGAGCGAAGATTTCGAGTTTGCTGCTCATATGGGAACAACCTCCCACTTGCGACCCACTCCATTTCAAACAACCTGCCTGTTTGTTCCATCATGCTCAAGTGGTGTATCGACGTTGCATAAAGATTTGAGACGTGTCAGCTGATTGTCGGAATATGTGCTGGCGTCATCAGTGCGCAAGGCCGGCAGCATCACCCAAAGGGCGATTCAACATCTGCAGCACAACGAAAGCAAAACAAAATCTAACTGGTTTCATGAGGATAAACGTACGAATCATGCAACGAAAATGGTTGCACCACATGTACAAAACTTACATTTGCATTGCACGGCGTATGAGGCGTTTCGGGGAAGATGACATTACTAGCATTGACGGAGAAATACAAGGATGAGTGCGAGTCTTGTAACACGATCGTTGATGATATCCATTTGCTTCTAGCTAGAGATCTTGAGGGCACAGATCATACTCATTCAGATGAATCCTATGATTCTAGACATACCCATATCTTGTGGTCTTGTGTTTTGGGGCAACAGGTTGATCTACCAGCTTCGGCAGTACCGCAGCGGAAGTGGCGGCAGCTGTGATTAGTGATAGGATCGCAATGAACGAAATACGATTATTAACCGAAACGACCATATGATAGACAATGGACTTAAAGCACAAAACGACGAGAACATCTGGGTGTAGGTGTATATTCCCTGATTAGAACCTGGTTCCTGCATGAATCTTGACGCCTTACACGATTATATAAAATTGACCAGCTCTTTCAAATCAGTAGACAGAAATAATTTCTGCGTGTGGGAGATGTGCGCGGTTCCTCAATGTCCACATTTGGCAAGTTTAGCGAGTCATGTCAACATGTCTACCCTGCTGTAGAAAAAAAAAACTCCGTGGTAAGCACTGAGCATGTAGTGTAGGTCTGACAACTTCTTGGTGGTGAGTAATCGCCCAGCTTCTGACGGCAGATTGGCCTGAACTGTAGCAGTGATCAGAAATTGGTGAGAAAAAAGGTGCTTACTGCATTTTCCGGGTGCGGCAGACAAGGTCCATTGTCATTGGGTAAACATTGTACGATGAATGAGAACCCTGTTGCGCAAACCCCAAAGGATCCCGATGAAAAGTTAGACGTGTATGAGGGATCATCCAGCGCGCCCTCCTTGTCGTGTAAGTAATACATACCTGCAAACCACGAAAATAGTGCATTCGTGAAGGCGTTTTGCTATTGGAGTCTTGTGTATGTAAGATACGAATGACGCCAAAATCCATCGAGTGATGCCCAGGAGCATTCGACGACGAAACAACAAGGTGAGGTCGAACAACCGTCTTTGTCCAGCATATGTAACCAATCGAAGACAAGACGCTTAAAATATGACATAATAAAATAGAGAGACTGGGCAATGAACTTTTGGCAAAACGACAAGCCAGCCGATGTAGCCGTGCTGACTTGAAGCTGCAATGTAGATAGCACCTCAAATGCGTTAAGTGGCTGCATTGGATTTGCATTATGATACGTATAAGCTCCACTTGAATGTTATTCTCTTTTGCCCTGCCTAGTAGGTGCCTCACAGCTTCTAATAGCTGTGCATAGGTGCAGTTCATAGCTCACCCATAGACCTGCACTAGGTTAGTCAGTACAGCTCATGGCAAGGGTGCTGGTATAGCCGAGGAAGTGGCTATACTTAGCGACGATTGAGATTTGTGTTGGTCATCCAGGGAGGCCGACCATGGACAGTCCCTCAATCTGACTTTGTCTATAGATACCGCTAAAAACCAGTGTCGCCAGAAATTATAAACCTAAACGATTTCGAATTGTCACCCTCCGTTACAAGAGAACCCCGATCAACCCGAAATCATACTGTGCAACGGAACAGATTCTGATAACAAATAAACATTTGTGCATATTGACGTATATGCATAAAGACCTAGCCCGGTATGGCAGGAACACAAAGCTTGGCTAGACGTGCTGTTAGTCCGCCGCGGCGGCAGCGGGCTTGTCAACCATGCTCTAAAGCGAAAGCTCGATGCAACTTTCCAGATAACAACGACCCTTCAGACGGATGTGATAGGTTTGTCTCCCATGCGCCCCTCTTATAATCTTTCAATATACGAACACGCTATCACGAACAAGTCCTGACCCATTCTTAAGGTGCCGCCGGGTCAAGATTCAATGTATACCGCAAACGACAAAGGTCCTCAGACGGCCGAGACAGTTGAAGACTAAAGAAAGGTATGTCATTTACCACATGAATGAAAATTACACTGTCCATCCCGCGCGGAATACATAGACTTCCAGTGGCCTTATACGTGCTTGCCCTAATCAATAACTCGTTAGTTCCCCATCATTGCATCACCAGAGTGTTGCCTCACTCCCAGATGAGAGTCTGTACAACTTCCTACCATCGGACACCGAAAACAGTCTTAGCGACGATTCGCACTTTGGCTCGCCAACTCCAATTTCTACAAGCACTTATCACAGTGGAGGTTCTGCGCAAACCACCTCAGCCAGTTCATATAGCCAAGGTGCCTTTATCAGCAGACCTACTGGTTTCTCTGCGTCGTCAACATTATCCTTTGGCGATCCTCAACGCTTTTACTCGGCTCATAATGTGTCCATGCCCATGGAGCATAACCTTAACTGGACACAAGCTACATATACTACCACGCCCTTCACATCTAGACCCAGACCAGGGGCCTACTTCCTACCCGCTAGTTATGGGGTTGATTCTTATCAAAATTTCCGTAAGTGTCCTCACCATAATCTGATTTCCACCCTAAATTGGCCGGCCAGGCGTCCAGACCATCAATAAACAAAGAGAAAGCACCTAACAACGTGAATTACCACGCAATAGCATCGAATCATGTTCAAGAATTAGAAACTGGTCTTCTTCCGGAAGACAGTAACTTCCACCAGATGGTACTGTGCCCAAACATGTTTATATTATCTCCAAGCTAAGAGCTAACAAAACGATTATAGAGGAAATTCCATTCTCAATATGGGCAAACAATAAACACACACGGTGCTTATGCTTTTGGATTCAGGTCTTGACATACTCACTCGTTCTCCTTTGACCCACTGGTCAGGAGGCTGTAAAAACCAGTTACCCCCGGGGGCTGGCGAAATGACAAGCACCAGGCATTAATCTACATCGAAGGCCAAATCTATAATGGGAGTCACCATGTCTCTACTGTTTGCTGGGATATGTATCCAACACTAGCGAGTTGCCTCTGTGGATATTTGGGGGTGGTCTTGCTGATGGCTCCGACCATAGCCGCCATGTACTGGCTACTACAAAGTCGAGACACGACTGGCCCGAAGATCACATAAACATACAAAATTTTCACCCACACATGACGTGAGACCACTGATAAACCATATACTTGGATGGTGGTTCAAAAGTATAGGTATAAGCAGTGTTGTTGCTCAAAATCTGGCAGGTACGATGTAATCATGGCAGCCATTTGGAATCTAGTGGGACATGAAAAATCGATAGGACAGGATCGGACGGGAAATTCGATAACCCAAAACCAATACAGCATTATTCGGAACTTTGGCACTCGGCTACATCTCTGCATATTCTCCGTGTAATGGTTTGAATCTCGTAAACAACAACAGTCGGCTTTCATGGGTGTGTTTAGACAGGAACAAGGCAGTCGCGTTATAAACAATCACAATCATTGATTTCGTCCCCCTAGTGACCACTTTTCACATCCAGAATCACAGTTTCTGCCTGGAGTTTTCAATTTCACATTGGCCGAACCTTTACCACAAGCACATAGTTTACTTGTGCCATCAAAGCTATAAATTGCCTTGTACCAGCCCAGTCTTCCCAGCTACATCCCTCACAAGCTGTACGTCATCATTATCGCCGACTTCCCGAATATACAGATTCTTGTACATGCAATCAAAGCACGAAAATATCGCCGACATGGACAATAGTCAAGTCGCCGGTACCGACAAAAATGTCAATACTTCGCGGCCCAGCATCTACTTGGGTCAACCATACCATCAAAGCCAATCCATCTTCTTCCGCCTTCCCCTGGAAATTCGACTCATGGTCTACAGAGAGCTGGTACGTGACTGCGAGGCACTACACCATGTTAGACCAGGTCATGACAATACATTCACGGCACTGCCATGCCTCGCGGGCGACATAAATTCATCAAACCAGTACCATAATTCTGACGTCTGTGCACAACTTGCAGACGGCGGCGAAGAACAACAGGCCGGCACTTCAAAATCTCTGGGATTGCCACGATGTTTCTATGCATGTCGCTCCATGCTAATTGAGACAGAGGGCCTTGGTTATGCGTCACTGAGCTTTGGTGCGGAGGAAAGCGTTCTCAAATTTCTTGATCGCGCACCATACTCTGTCTTATGCAGCTTGAATACGATAAGGCTCACGTTGCCCCGCCATTCCTATGCTTGTTGGTGTAAGTATAAGTCAGCGAATGCCAACTTCAAACATCTGGTTGCCAGTTTAGTGGACCTGCCAAAGAAGGTACGGCTGCTTATGTGGTCAGACGCAACCACCTGCTGGGCCTTGGATGAGAAGGACGCAGCCGCGCTCAAGCCATTCCTAACCACGGGGTTGGAGCAGTTCCAATTCGACATACGTACCAGGAAGTTGTCGGATTCTGGGGTTCCTATTTATTACTGGGAAACTTTGGAGCGTCAGACTGAGGTGGAAGTTTCAAATCATGACGATCGTCATGGGGCATTCAAGAATTGGAAGGTGGTCGACAAGGGTGAAATTACTATGCAGCATTACTGGCGAGGTAGTTAGCACCACTAGCCATCTCACGATAACAACTATGGGCGAACTTTGAGACACTTGTTGCCAAATGGCGGTGACGTTAGGCACAGTGTTGGATGCTATCCTCGGCAAGATCTATTCACAGTTCACAACCCATGAGAGATCAATTCTGGCACAGAATCCCAGCCCTTGGCATCCTTGCTTGTTTTGAGGTGAACATCTGGCATACACCAAGGCCTGTGTTTCAAGCCTCTGTAACAATAGCTAATGAATGTTCTCTGACTATTACTACGTCTTTAGGCTGGATAGTACATCGTCTAGCGGCTTTTATTAAGATGACTATGTCTTCAATGTCTACGAGTAGCTTCTTCTTTGATTTGCACTTCGTTGTTATGTTCTGTTAAGGTCTTATTTGACGAACAACGCTAATGATCTCGACGGCGGAATTAACGACATGCATTTCTCCATCATGTATGCTTCTGTGGCGTCGGTATCACCCAGATAGTCTAATAAATATGTATCAAACTAAACAGAGTAGCCGATTTCATGACATCTTGTACTACTGGATGTACATCTACAGGACTTAATACATAGTAAGAGTTGTTTGGAGTTCAATATAGTCCCCGGCGCTGTCGTCGGCGCGACTAGGTCCTCTTGACTATGCACTCACAGTATAGTGATTGTTGTGCCGCTTTGTACAACCAAAAAACGGACCAGATCTAGCGCTTTCCCAGAACACAAGGTGGGAAGTCACTCCTCGGTCATACCACATCGTATTTCTGCTTCATAAATACATCTAAAGCCCCCTGATATCAACAGGGAAGCGTCCTAACAAGCCAGCAGTCTAGATCCAGATACAGTCCTGCGTCGACTTGCTCATTCAAATGTTGGGGTGGCTGCGCGATATGATATTCGACAGGCGCCCCAGTGACGCATTCGAGCATTATCTACGTTTGTTTCATCGTGTAGCGAGGATGCCATGTTCCGGATAATTAGAGGATCGGCCCATCGTCACCTTCCAGGAATGCGGTTTTGGCTTCCGCTCTTTTGTTTGACATTACTACCGGGAGGGATGGCATTTTTTTTTATCCAGTCGTGCTGTGCGAAGGTGTCATAATTTTCCAACGTTTGTGAAAAGCATGCATGAGTGTTATTGTGAGTGCTTTTAGTGGCTTCAATATCTTGAATTGCTCTTTGTTAATTGTCTAATATCTTACGCTCTGACACATTTATGCGTTCTGTCTAACATATGCGAGTAGGTAAGGCAGCTTCACATAAATAGTGTCTCTCATTCGAAACCGTCGTTGGACTGTCCACGACTCCTGGCAAACCTATCGCCGGCCCTCTCTCGTTCCTCTCGAGCCGCCTTGCGCTCACCCATCATGACGTTCCTCAGCTCTTCGACCCTCAGCCCCTGTAGGCCAGCCGGCTGGTCCAACTCAATGCTCTCGCCCAGGGCGACGTCGCCCTGGCGGTTTTCCTTCCCGAACTGCATACTCAAGGGCTTAGACATGGCACCGCCTTCCCAGTGCCTCGCCTCGAGCGGCAGTGGGCACCACCAATCTCCCGTCCTGGCATGCCACCGGGCGCCGCATAGCTCCCACAGACGGCTGGCGGCACGCTTGTATGCAAATCTCTCGTCCTCTCCGGTGAACGCGCCGGTGTTGGTGAAGTCGGGCCTGAGCCTGGGGCTCTTCTGCTCGACCCCGAAGTCCGAGTCGACGTCTGGATCATATGCCGTGTTCGCCGGATCCGAGGACGGATCCGAGTACGTCGAGATGTTGGGTCTGAAGGGCGAGGTGACGTCCTGGTAGACCTCCGCGATCGTCTCGGGTAGAATGGCGTCTGCATCGATGGTGTCACCCGTCTTGCTGGATGACGATAATTTGGCGGCTGCTTTCGCTTCCGGGAAGAAGAGTTCGTCGGGTCCGACCTCGGCCCGCACGACTAGCTTACAGCGTGCTTCGTATAAAGCGTCGAGAAGCGTGATGAGACGGCGGGCTTCGTTCTTCTTTAGTACGGTGAGGACGGGGATCCTGTCGATGACGAATGTGTGAAAGGTAGAGGCCATGGTAATGTAGTCAGCAGGGCCGTAGGATGATACCAGATCATTAAAGTTCCAGTATACAATGCCGTGATGTTGACGGGGAATGTGGACCTTTCGACCATAGACGGTCAACGTTGCTGGTGTCCATGAGATGGGACCTGACGAGGCAGAAATCGCCATCAACGTACTATCCCACGCTGCTTCGTCAGATGATTGAATAAGACTGTAGTTCTTTGGGGTTTTAGTCGAAGTTTTTGTGTCTGCATCTTCAGCCGTCGCATGACTAGTGTCGACATCTTCGACTGTGATGTCCGTAGTGATTCCATCAGAAGACCCTTCTGCAGTTGCATATATAAGTTGTTCTGGCGCTTCTTCGGCCTCCCTCCTGCGCCAGTCTCTGCCTCCCTCCATCTGCCAGAACTCGCACCTTGCTTTCAGCACTTCCAGAAAGTTGGCAAAATCACTAGATGATCCGAATAGCTCCCCCTTGCCCTTCTTCGGCCCAAGACCGAGGGCTCTGCCGATGAGCCCGCTGGTAGTAGGCGGAACATACTCGAAGCCCGTGGCCTTTTCCAGTTCCTCGGGCATCCGGTTAGAAGATGCGACCAGGACACCGCCAAGTTGAAAGAATGCAGTGAACAAGTTGCTGAGGATCTTGCTTGCTGCTCTATCAGGCAGCTGAAACTCATCCAGGAAGAGGACCGGAGACTTTTCGATCATCTCTTTGGCCATCCACAGCAAGGAGAACTGGTCGTCAATGCCCAATTGCGAGTTTGTCCTCCTATGCCGCTCAAGCTGTGAAATTGTGTATAGCATAAAGGTATTGAAGTGCCATCGCTTCTTTCGACTTGTCGGCAATCCGTCGGCCAAGAGGTCCAGTAACATGGACTTGCCAGTGCCGACTTCCCCGGACAAGAACAAGCCCTGGGGGGAATTGATACTGATGGCTGCCTCGTGGCTTTCCAGCACCCTTGTCAGAGCCAGGGTGTCTTTCGACTCGGTCCTGGCAAAGAAGCGGGCAAAGAAAGGGTTGCGCCTTATGGGATGGCTCTCAACGGCCAATGCGGCAGAGTCGTCCGCCTTCTTTGGTTTTGTGCCTTCCAAGGCATTTTGTATTGTCTGTAGCCTTGAGCGATATTCTACGGAGGGTGAGTAATCTTTCAGCCGCTGGTAGATCTTTTGAAGATGTATAGCCAAGCGGTGTTGCGCAGGATCCGGTGAGTATAGTCCTGTGGCGATCAGACTTTGGTACTTGACCAAGGGGTCCGTAATGGTGATCGCTGATGTTGTAGCTCTCTTCATATTTATTTATTTCTTTTCTTTTTCTTTTTTCTTTATGTTTTTTTCTTTATTTTTATTTTCTTTTTATAGGAGAGCCAACGTCAAGTATATCCAATCCAAATTGTCCAAAGTGTCCCAAATTGTATTTGCTACATTTGATTGCTCGCTGCTGGGTGTGCTGCATAGGTTGATGTGAGATGCAAGTATATCTTTGGGGGGCTCACATGAGTGCCGAATATGGATCACCGGGCCGGCTCCTCACGAATGATGGGCAACAGCATATGGCCTCAACACCAGAGATATGTGTGGGACGTGCAACTCTGAGAAGGCTGGAAAGTTACCAAGGAAACGAATGCACGATGTTACTCCTCTAGCTCCAAATGTTACAATAAGATCATGTTGGCATGGATGATTCTAAACATGTGTATTTTTTTTGTCCAAACTTGGAGTATTGAGGTCATAGCATCTGGATGAGACCCGAAGACCCTTGCAAACAATGGAAGGCCGATCCCCGATACTTCCTGGTGTGGGGCCACAGCGAATCTCTTTGAGATAGCCCCCCTAGCTCCGCTCTTGCAGCAGCTGATGAGAACGGCTTACATAACGCTGGAAAAGAGCTCCGAAGTGCAGCAAAAAAAAAAAAGTCCACATACCTTAGTCTTAACTCAAGGCCCAAGCTAAGGCTCAAGGCCCAAGGCTCATCAAGCAAAGCGCTGGCACAGAGAGAGAGACTGGATATCCACCATTTGCTGAAGTGGTCCTGCAGCTAAATATTTTGCCGTGTCAACAAGCATCGACATCCAATCAGCGAAACTTACAGAAGGGCCCTCGTCATTTTTTTCCGCGAGCAGCACGGTGAACTGTACTGCATTTCCCTTGTTTAGACTAACCCGGTCATCATCACATTTTCGACCCAATTGCTCTTGCGACTACCATTGATTTCCATCATCGCATCATGAGCACGCATCCAACAAACCAAGTTGCGCGCACGTAAACAACTGACTCTATTGCTACGGTTACGACAACGACCGGCACACTCGCGACGACCCGACACATCGTCACCGGCACGGTTTGGCTGCCGTACCTCCAATCCCCATCTAAACTCCGGTGTTCTGGTGCCCCCGTCCCAATCATCCACCAGCCCCTACCGCATCACATCGCGACACAACCGACCGCCATGTTTTCCTCGCTCAACAGTGGCGCCGCCAACAGCACCGGCACCCCAGCCAGCAGTACTCGTGGCCGCCGCCGCCAGCGACCTGTATCCGATGAATCTGTCCGCCAGCCCAAGGCCAAGCGCGCCAGAATACCTCTGAACGAGCAGACATTCAACCCCGAGGCCAACCAGAACGAGACATACGAAGTCAAGCCTGCGCGATCCTCTGTCGCCAGCCTTAAGCAGGACGGCATCGACGGCATCGAGAACAGCCCGTCGCAAACCAAGAAGGAGCTCAGCTTCCGCTCCAAAAAGGCTAAGACCGGCGAGCGCTTGAGCAAGGGAGATGGAAGTGTGGTACTAGTATGTCAACAACCCCCAACACCTACCGGCCACTGGGTGACTTGGTGACAAAAAGCAGCTGACGCGCATCAACAGACGAGTAACAATGCCTTCGCCGTGAGCAAACTACCAGCCCTGCCAGACAGGCTTCGAGCAGATGCACAAAGTGAGACAAGTCCGCTCCTGCAGTCCCCCTCCATCTAACTGCTACCTACCGTTGACCATGAGAGTGTTTGCTGACTTGGCCACAGGCCGACAACATGGTGTCCTCGACCCCTCCACCGGCTACGCCCTGAGCCTCACCCACACACACGCCGTTGTATGGCCATATTCAGTTTCCTCTTCTTCCCCCGAATCCTTCACATTTTCGCTGCCATATCCTTCGAGGCACTCGAGTGATCCCTTACCGCTAGGGTCACTTGTGCCTCCCTCAGCCTCTTCGTCCGAGCCAGGTCTGGTCGTTGTCATGCCTACGAGCGGGAAAATCACATACTGGGAATCCATCTCGAGCGCGTCAACACTCGACTTTATGCGACAACAACGCAATGGGGTCGAAGACTCGATATCGGGCATGTGGTCGAGCGAGAACGTCATCCAGATCGTCAGCGCCGAAGCAGCCGCGGGTTTCGTTCTGGCTTTCAGCAGTGGACGTATGGCCTACATGAGCGTCCGCGATGCCCATGGCAAGCCCGCCATTGCCCTACAATTTCTACGCACAACCCTCGGACCGTCAACCGGAGGCATTTTCGGCAGCCTTCGACACTTGGTCTCATCCTCCTCAATCCAGGGCGAGATTGCAGCTGTGAGATCTGACAGGTCCCTGAAGCAGGGAGAGCAAACTGTTGTTGCCGCAACAGTCAAGGGCCGATTCCATGCCTGGAAAATCCATCGCGGTGGCCACCATGACCTGCTCACCGAGTTCGATGCCAAGGAGACGATCGTCCGTGCGATTGCTGAGGTCAATACCGACAATAGCCTCTCCCATGATTCCCTCAAGATCCACGACTTCGCTTTCGTCCCCAAGGACATGGACGACAAACACGCCGACATGAGCCAGCTACGCCACGCCCCGGCCTCGGTCACCCTTCAACACATACTTGTTCTTGCTTCTTTGTCCAGCAAAAACGTCGGTCGATATTTCCTCGTCGAAGTCAACATTCCAAATGGCGCGTCAGCCGAGACGCCCATCACTGTTGGCACCGTCAGGCCTATCACAAGCTATACAACTCCTCCGGATCCGCATGCGCTGGTGAAACCAAGGCTTCACCTGCCGAGGCCAGCCGTCGTCTCTTTTCTCGTGTTCGAGCGTGCAGTAATTATCGCATCGATTGCAAAGGCCCCAGCGTCCCCCGACTCACAATTACAATTCGAGAACCACACTCTGCCCCCAACCTACGAAGACGTGATAGACCTGAGGGCAGACCCTACACTTGAAGTTGTTGCTTCTAACGTCGAAGAACCGCAAGCGCCAGGATCCGATGAGTCTCGCACATACCGGATCAAGGCCAAGAACCCTTCAGCTATTCTTCTTATCCGTGGGACGGGAACGGTGCGCGTTGCAACCACCGACATTGAACGTTTCGCGAGCGAGCAGCCCCCCAAAATCACCCCCAAAGGCAAACTCGAACAGGCCGTTTTCTTCGGCATCAAGGATGACAATCCGTTGGTCTTTGATGTACCGCGACAGTTGCCTTTTAGTGATAAGGAACTTGCCGACGCCGCCCTCGAGCTCAGCCAGGATATTCTAACCTCAAACAGCCCTCATCTTGCCAGTCTAGCACCTCATCTCGAAAACAACATGCTGACTCGTGTGCGAGCTCTGGAAAAACTCATCGTACACCTGAATAGCCTGAAAGTGAAGCTGGGCAGGGCTACCAAATGGGAGTTGCTCTGGAACGCTGAGAAACTGCAAACTGCTCGCTTGGTTTGGGCCAAGCATGAGAAGTTCGTCCACGACCGTGCCGACGACGACAAGAAGGACCTCATTGCCGATATCGTTTACTACATACGTGACGAGGAAAAGAACCAACCCAATGTCGCCAAAGGAGAAGTCGACACGCTGCGACACTGGTTTGTGCATGACTCGCACAGGATGAATATCTTCCTCGCCTGGGCGTACGAGGTCATCAAGTACCAGTCCAAGGCCAAGGCAGCCAACGTTATTCTGACGCGCTTGATTTACGAAGCGGTCGAGGTTATGAATGGCGCACTGCGGGATGCAATGGAGTTCCGCAGGAGGCATCTTGCCTTGTACGGGTTGTCCGGCGAGAAGCTTGCCAATGGCATTCTGGCCAGCAATTATGCCGACCTGCCAAACCCTTGGACCTCTGATCAGTTCATTGCCAACAATCTCAAACGTCTAGTCGAATTGGCCTCGGAATGGGTCAACACCGACAACCACGCAACCTCGCCTACTGACGCGGAGAAGCCACTGATTCAGCGAATTCGTACACTATTACCTGATCTCACCGAGGTTTACCTGACGTCATTGCAAGAACTGTCCCGGTGGGCTCTCGTCAGTGACGATCCAAACACCGTTAAACTAGGCGAGACGTTCGAGGAGACCTACCAGAGTGACCGTTACGATAAGATCATTTTACTGGCCGCGTCACAGAACTGGACAGCTGCATATAGACTTGCGGAAGAGCACAAGGCACTTGACGCTCTTGGTCTGGTCCTGATCACAGAAGAACAAGAATACAAAGCAAAGCTTGAACGAGGCGGCCTGTCTCCCGAGGAAAGCCGACGGCTACAGGATCTACTGGATGCCAAGGCCGAGCAAAGGCAGACCTATATGGAAAAGTACGGCAAGGAATTTGCCTTCCCTTACTACGAGCATCTCATAGATCAGTGTGGCGTCGACGCAGTACTGGAGGAGAATGGCGACAAGCTCTTCAAGACGCCGTTTCTCCGTACGCACCGACAATACGCCAAGCTCTCTTGGATCCATGACATCACCACAGAAGGCGATATCATCAGCGCAGGAGACACTTTAGTCGACCTTGGCTTGCACCGCGAGAACAAGGTCTGGAACAAGAAGATTGAGCTTAGCTTGGGTAAGCTTGCTCGTATGGCCGAAGCGTCGCGCCCTTCCAGCAAGGCCTCCTTCAGTGCTCAAGCTGCCACTATCAGCGCGAATGTGACAGAGGCCGGTGTTGAGGCGATTGACAAAGAGCTTGCCATTATCCGAATTCAAGACGATCTTTTTGAGCAACTTCGCCCTGTGCTTGAGACCGCACTTGACGAGTCAGCTCAGCTCGCTTTAGTGGTTGAGGCTTTCGCGCCGAAAATACCCAAGAAGTATAAAATCCTGTTGGATATCTTTGAAAACGGCCTTGATCGACTGCTCAAACGCGATGCTCTTGACCCTTTGACCTTGATCGATATCCTTACTTTGGCTCAGCTCGACGCTGATTTCAAGCAAGCCATGCCAGATCAGTTCTTCGAAGCTCTTGAAGTAGCTCATTACGGAATCAAGGACGCTGCCCAACGGGAGGAAGCCGAAAGATTAATCTGGAGGAGATGCTTCCTTCGCGAAGAATGGACAAAGATCAACAACACCTCTTTGAAGGGTGATACCGATGTCATGGAAGTCCTAGGAAACACCGAACTGTTCCAGGTCTTCTGTGTGCTGTATACGATCCGTAAGTACCCTACACCTCTTTTTATCCCGTTGCCTCCCAAAAATGGCTACATATATATCCACTTGATCGTGACCACAAGCTAACCTTCACACATCAGAGCATGAAGCTGAGCCAAGGAATTATCGACGCTGGCTCCCATCAGAGGTCTTGGGTGTCTACACCGAACAACCAGACAAACGTTTCATCAAAGGCGACAAAAGCACTCGTGAGAAGCTCTTGGAGGCGATGCAGTGGGAGGACAACAACCTCAACAAGCACATTGAGAAACACCGTTTGGATCATTGGGCGAAGGAGACTCGGAAGCTGGCTGAAGCAGCTGTCGACGACCATGCTGATACGAAAACAGCAGAAGGCGCAATCTCGCCCGCCTTTTCGCCGTCCCGGTCTAGATCGAAGGCCTCCAACGGCTTCACGCAGAATGGCAGCGCACACTAGTTAGGAGTGTTTGTAGAGAAATGTAGAAGAGGCAGAAAGCGCTTGTCAGTCTAGATACTTGTTGTCGGCATGGAAGCAAGCGCGGTACAGGATGGTTAGACAAGATGAGCGCAAGATGAGCGCAAGATGCGCAGGTACAATCTTTTTCGAAGGCCTCTAATCGGCTAATGGGTTTTCTTCAAAGTGGTCAATACGGCTTCCTGGCGTTAGTAAAAAGCAGATCTGAAGGATTGCATCCAGGCGTCAGTGGTTTTTGAGGTCACATAATGGACCTCTTGTTATTTTGTTCCGGTGTATTTTGCTTCTCAAAAATGGCGTATAAGCCTGTTGGCAGTGAACTTATCATCGGGGCCATTCGCAGATGATTCAAAGCCCGTCCCCATCAACTGTTTGAGGGAGAAATGCCGGGTCATGTGTGCACTGCGTGACGTCGAACGGGTTTTCCATTCATACATCTGGTCATCCAAATGACCATCCACATCAAACTTCTTTTGGCAGTGCTGGAAACTGAATGTTCACCGATAACTTACCAACTTGCCGTAGGATCAAATAGAGATTTCTTCCATGGACCAGATCAGACAGACATAACTGCACCAAGAGGCGGGAGTCAATCTGATCAGAGACTTGCAATCAGCACGGTACTCAAAATGTACTTGAAGCTGTGCCCGACATGAATGATAACATACTATGTGTCATTAATGTGAAACTACTATAAGCATACGCCGCAGTCTACGCATATTCGGCGAACACGGTGATGACTCTAGGAATTTTGGCAGTTGTGGCAATTGTGGCAGTCTGTTCATCCGTGATTTCGACCATTACCTTAGCGATCATGTTAGTAGACAAATCTACCACAAGAGTAAAACTGGAAAGGATATTCTAGAGGCAGACCCTTATAGCCATGGAACCACCGAACAGGCAGAACCCGCAGAGAGCAGGGATGAGAAGGATATGCTAGCGTTGCTGGAAAGTTTGGCTTCTGACATCTCCAGATGTGCGATAAAACCAGTCATACGACAGTATTGTAGAACGCTAGTGATGCAGTAACAGCTCTGTTCGAGTTACAAATTGTATGGCACCCTGAATTCCGCTATCATGCCGCTTAACCATCTAACCCAAAAGTTTGAACATGACCACTGTTCCCTAGTGAATGTCGATCTGTAATATGTAGGTGGGATAATACTTCACTTCTGACGTCCATGAACGATTTGTTCTAATGGTTGGTGTGTCTGTGGGCCTTGCTGTGTACCCGTCTGGCATGGAATAAGCTTATGCTTATGCATACATGCAGATTACATTTGCACTCTGATAGTTGATTACTATAGAGAGACTATGGAAAAACGACGACCGCTCTTCCAGTCAATCTTCCGGCCCTTAGTTCGTCATACGCCTTCTGCACACCACCGAACGAGAATTACTGCACGTCAACTCTCAACTTACCGTGCCTCAGTAAGTGACAAACCCTCTTTTCAAATTCTGTCGCGTGCTCCCCAGGCTGACGGCAAATTCACAACTACTAGCCATCAAACCCCCCAACCAACATTTAGTGTTACACCCTCCATACCCACAAGCACAATACGGCCTTGGGGACGAGAAACCTTGGCTGCAAGCTGGAGGGTAGTAGCTGTTCCAACAAAATCAATGACAACATCAATACCGCGCCCATGAGTCAGTGCGAGAATCTCTTCTCTTGCAGCATCTCCCTCGCCCTTAAACTTTGGCAACGCAGTATGGATTGCGTAATAGGCAGTGACTGCCGCATTAGTTAAGGGGGCGAACATAATTGGATCCTCGTTGCTGATTGAAACAACCTCAGTGCGAGGGACGAGAAGGTATTCCTGATAGGCCATCATCATAACCACAACCTCTCGTCATCCCGATGGCTCCCCATTGGTATACTTCGCAGTGTTGCTCAGCTCCATCTGTACAATATTCACAAGTGCCGCAGTGTCTCATATGATGAACCACAACGGCCTCGCCGACGGACAGGTCTTTGACGAGCTTGAAAGCTTTCATCATCTCTGAAGACAAATTGGGATCGGAATCCGGAGTAGACTTTGAGTTATTTGATCATGAAATATCGACAGCAGAGCAAGCAAAGTCGGCCTGTTGCGTACAGATGATCCATCTAATCGAAAGCGTTTAACACTTTCGCGTCTGGCATAGCTCGCAATGACTAGAAAACTAGCCGCATATAATCATTGGGCACGAGGTTAAATAGTCTCCCCACCGACGGGGTGACTGAACCAGGATATGATGCATGCCGACGCATGTTCGTCTGTCACTGTGCCTGTCGATGTATTGATTCTTATCCGACGTGGGGTACGCTGTAAGTGTGCAACTTCTGTCCACCTGGGTTTGGGCTCCTCAACACACGCATCGTGAACATGTTCAGGAGATGAGCTAGTGACACTGCGATTGCGTTCAAGTCTTTTCACGAAGGTATGCCACTTACCGAATCGAGCACATACTTTGGATTCTCAATCAAGCGGTTGAAGGACGGAGTAGGGATCCACGGCATAAGTGATGAACCCCCTGCTATGATGGATTCTATAATATAATCACTCGTGAGAAAAGTCCATTATCAATACGAGTTCCGACCTAAGTTGACAAATTTCTCGGATGCTACGTTTTGGAAGTATTACAGTTAGTCCTTCGGGAGTCTAATAACAGCACGTACGTCGTGCAAGGTTCAGACTACGGTGTCTGGTTGTACAGTAGATTATCTAGGTTAGTCGAGTTTGCATGCAACCTTTAGTTTCGAGATTTTAGAGTGTCACGATTGGCACTGCGCATCCTATCTAGCAGAACCTTGGACTGATATGCAAACATTGGTTCTTTGATGTAACTGTAGGAAAATTTTAGATTTTGCTCTTAATATTGCCGATTACTTCAGCAAACTAGGGGATCGAAGTTATATTAATGATAGCCCGTCCGAAATGCATAGTGAGGTCTGGGGGAGGGAGGGGGGGTCAAAGGCAGCGGAGTCGCGCTAGGTGGCTCGGGACCGCTTGGCAAATTTTGGTATACTATAATTCATACCCATACTGCTATATGTTATATTCGATTCCGAAGGTCCGTTAGCCTAGCCGTGCAGTGGTGAGCTCGGCTTATATGTCAATATAGAGACTCTGTATATTAGGCTTACTTCAGAGCCTCAAATCATCACCACTGCTCCCACGGCGACTAGTTGTCAATATATTCAGCTGAGTCTCCATTTTCAAAAGCGATGGGCAACATTGTACCAACTTGGAAACAACCACAGCTGACGAGGAACGGAGTACCCATCCAAGATCCTCGAGGCATCATGCCCCGTTTAAAGGTTTCTGCCATTGTAAAGCAAAGAACAGAACCCCCGAGATCCCAGGCAGGGGCACAAATTACACTAGGATATGCACCCCAGGTACCCTTGCCTGCAGAGATATCGAAGCTTTGCGACCCCCACCACTCAATGCTGTGCCGTATTTCAAGCATGGTGCACATCATGATGTGATTTCTCAAACCAGGCAACAAGAAGCTCAGGTGCAGCCTCAGTTGTGTTTTTTTGACCAGTTCTCCATGTTTTGATGTCACTAAATATTGTAACCAAGGATCATAATTCTGCCGGGATGGAGAATATATTGCAGTCTACAATTGGTGAATTATGCCGCAACGGCAGCGACAATCAATTCGGTCCGCGCGTCGACGTTTCTTGTCGCCCTTTCGACTTCACGCTCTTGTTTGAGGACATTTTCTTCGCTGCATTACCCGCGACAATTTTCCTTTGCGTTTTGCCTTTGCGCTTACGCACATTGTGGAAGTGTCCAAACGAGGCAAGCTCACACAAGCGTGCAACATGGAAATTTGTATGAGACTCCAATGGACCTTCTTCGACGAGAGATGTGACTAATGGACTTGGGTCAGGTTTTTTACACCGTGCTTTTAGCTTTCCATGTGCTTCAGCTGGCATTCCGTCTACAGGAGCCCCAGCTGAACACTTCCATGTCAACCGCCTCGGAATGTGTCATGACTGTCATGGTAATAGCCGCCGGCGTGTTATCGTATCTTGAGAACCAGCGCTCAATTCGACCTTCGGACCTTTTGGTTCTGTATTTCTCGGCGTCCAGTCTTCTTTCCGTCCCAGGTCTTCGTTCATATTGGTTAGCTCAGTCCTCCACGATACTTAGGTCTCTGACGACTGTTACTTGGTTGATGACGACCCTTGCTGTATTCCTCGAGTCCGCCCAGAAGACCGATCTTGTGCGACCTGTGGAAAAAGGTGCTTCGAAAGAGCAGCTTGTAGGTTTATGGAGTCGTGTATTCTTTTCGTGGGCTCTGCCCTTTCTACGGCACGGATACTCCAGTATCCTCACCATTGCCCAAGTTCCGCGCGTTGATCACGAATTAAGAGAAGATGTAACTTGGAATAAGCTGCAATCCTACTGGCATAGTGTTAAGAAGGGAAATTATCGATTGCTGAGAGCGACGTTTTGGTCACATCTGTGGCTGTTCGTCTCTGCTGTTCCACCACGCCTTGCCTTGTCTGCGTTCGTTTTTTGTCAACCGTTTCTTATCAGTTCATCTGTATCATATTTGGCTACTGAGGCTCAGAACCGTGCTGATGAATACTTTGCACCGTCCCTCATTGGTGCTTTTGTTCTTGTCTACCTTGGAATTGCTGTGAGATACCTGCCACAAATGCTTGCGAGGTAACTGACAAAGTGCAGGTATCACGTGCTTTATATTGGCGACAAACTAATCGCACAATTGTCAGTATCCGGTCATGTTTAATAGCCATGGTATACCGTCATGCGACAGGCCTGAGGGCAGCCAGTCTCAAGAATACGGCCATTGTCACCTTGATGGGCACCGATGTAGTGCGTATCCACCCCTAAGTCCTATGAAATCCAAGTTCTCTGATCTCAGGGACTATATTCGTCGTGCGTCTCTTCAGTCTCGGCGCTAATTAGCCTTTTTATTTCTTAGGAAAGGATTGCTCAAAGCCTGAGACTAATTCATGAGCTCTGGGCATCGTTCTTGGAGCTTGGTATAGCCTTCTGGCTCTTAGAGCGACAAATGTCTTGGGCTTTTCTAGTACCGTTGATTATCACTTTAGGTAAAAATTTATTTTTCCGAGCCAAAAATATCTTGGAGATTTTCGGTGCTGACTTCGACATAGCATCTGTGTTGATGACTTGGGGGTTATCTAATCGCGTTGGTCCAGCTCAGGCCGCATGGAATGAATGCGTCCAGCACAGGATCGCAGTAACGTCATCCATGCTAAGTAACATGAAGACTGTCCGTATGCTAGGTATGACCAAAACCATAAAAAATTCCGTTACAAAGCTCAGGGAGCTCGAACTTCAAACGTCAGAGAGGTTCCGCGTGCTTCTCATATGGCAGATCCTCCTGGGTAAGTATTGCTGTTCCTACGATCACACAGCTCAGCAGATCGAAAATGCGACACGTCCTGACTTGAATCTAGGGAATGCTCCTGTGACAATTGCGCCATTCATCACTTTTGTTGTTTATGCCATTATCGCAGTGGCTACTAAGAGCGAGGCCTTAATATCGGCTCAGGCCTTTGCATCACTTTCTTTGATAAGCCTTGCAACATCTCCATTGATCAAATTCTGCCAAGCATTGCCAAATCTTGCCCAAGCTGCCGCGTGCTTCGGTCGTATTCAGGATTTCTGTTTAAAAGAAGCCAACTTACCAGTACTGAACACTTCAACACCTTCCACCGATTCATGCAATGATACTCTCGTCCTTCGCGAGATGAGTCCTATACAGTATGGGGACGATGGTGTCTTGATGCGTTTTGAGCGAGCGGATATCGCATGGGATTCAAACTCTGGCTCTGTGTTGCGAAATCTTACCTTCAGGCTCTGCTCCGGACTGACTGCTATTACTGGGCCAGTTGCATCGGGGAAGTCGACTTTGCTATGGACTATGCTGGGAGAGACGATATTAAAAGCTGGTTCCATGACTTCAGCTGTGAGAGAAGCAGCATTTTGTGCTCAGGTGCCGTGGATTATGGATGACACCATTCGTCACAATATCACGCTTGGCTTGGAGTTTGACGAAGAATGGTACAATTTTTCGATCGCCTCCTCTTGTCTTCAGAAAGATCTGATGGAATTGCCCCGAGGTGACGCGACGTCTGCTGGAAGTGACGGTGCTTCTCTCAGTGGAGGTCAAAGGCAACGAGTTGTTCGTAACGGTTCCAAAGCGCGTGGCAATCATTGAAACACATGGCTGACAACTACAGGCCCTTGCTCGTGCTATCTATTCTAGACTACCCATCGTAATTCTTGACAATATATCAAGCGGACTTGATGCCAGGACCGCTAGCGCCTTGTGCAACCGACTCTTTCGATATGATGGCCATTTTCGCCGGGCCGGCATATCGGTGGTTATTGCAACAAATGACGGTAAGTATTCCTTTGGCCACATATTTAGCTGAAAAGTTTGACTAATGTCAAGGATTAGAGAGATTTCTTCGGTATATGGATACTATCTTAATTCTGGAAGGTGGCAATGTCCTCCGTTCAGGAAGCTATCAGGAGCTTTTTCGCGCTGGACTTGTTGAGCAGGATAGTTCTAGTGAAACGTTGATGGAGGTTGCCCGCACAAGTTCAAGTGACTCAAGCAGATTCACACAGCAGGAAACACGTCATCAAGCGATACATGATCAAACGGAGGCACCTTCAGACTTCGACGCAAGACCAAACGGAAACTGGTCAGTCTATGCTTACTATGGGCGAAGTGCCGGAGCTCGTTCCATATTAGCCTGGGCTATCTCACTCTTCGTAGGTGCTGCCTGTAACGGAGTAATAAGTAAGCATCTTACCAAGTAGTTTGCGTTATTTCCAGGATTGACTGTGAGCCAGCCATATGGATTGAAGAGTGGACGGAGGCAAATCAGATACAACCAAATCATCGACTCGGTTACTATCTAGGCATTTATGCTGTTTTCGTGATTCTCACCAATATCAGTACAGCAGGCGAGCTATGGTACGTTGGTTCTACACGTCTCAATTTTAGGTACGCTGAGATTTGACTGACTTTCATGTTCCGCTCTCAGGTTCTCCTTCATGAGGATTATCAGCGATACTGCGTTGAAGCTGCACTCGGACCTCTTAAATACTACATTAAGGCAGGTCAAGGCTTCTGAATGGGGTTTAATGTTGCTAATACGAATGTGAGACGCAGGGCTCCGATTTCTTTTTTTCAACAACAAGATATTGGAAGGATACTTAATAGATTTAGCCAAGACATGGATATGATCGACATGGTTCTGCCTATGCAGGCAGCTCAGTTTACTACAGGTATTGATTCTACTTCATTTCTTTTCTAACTCATCGTCGCAATGATCTAACGACGAGAATCACCTAGGCGCAGCTTATGGCACCGTCCAGCTCGTCATTCTCTGTGTTCTGGGTAGATACTTGACTGCCACGGTCCCAGCCTGTGCAGGCGTTTTGTTCTTTCTGCAGAGATATTACCTTCGTACTTCACGACAACTCCGTTTGATCGACATTGAAGCCAAAGCACCGCTGTACAAGCACTTCATTGAGACTTTGTCGGGAGTTACTACCATTCGCATGTTTGGGAGAGGCCCAGCTTTTCATCAACAGCACCAACAGATGCTGGACTCAGCTCAGGCACCTTATTATATGTTATTATGTATTCAGCAGTGGCTCGTACTAGTATTGGATCTTATAGTGGGAGCACTTGCGGTTATCATAGCCGCTATAGCTTTATCACCCTCTAGGCTGTCGTCAGATAGTAGTATCAGCGCAGGGGACCTAGGTGTGGCATTAGTCACTATTCTGCAGTTCAACAGTTTACTTTCTCAAACTGTACAGACATGGACCAAGTTGGAGACATCAATAGGAGCAGTGTCTCGGGTACATAACTTTTTGAAAGACACACCCCAAGAACCTGTCGGCCACCTTGCCATACAGACGGAGTGGCCACCTCTGGGGTCAATTCGATTTGAGAACGTCGTCGCAGGTTATGTGTAAGAGATTTCAAATTTACCTTTCGTTATTTCCACATTGATGCTCTCATCTAGAAAAAACCATAAATGCTGATAATAGTGAACTAGTACCCAAGATCTTCCCGTCTTGACGGACTTGAATCTGAGTATTGGTCCCGGAGAGAAGATTGCTATTTGTGGCCCGTCGGGCAGCGGCAAATCCACAATTCTCCTGGCTCTGCTCCGTATGATCGATATTCAGGGCAACATAATTATCGACAACATCAATATTTCTCACCTGTCCGGCGATGATTTACGCTCGAGACTAAACGTTTTACCACAAGAGTCCTTTTTTCTTCCAGGCACCATTAAATCAAACTTGGATGTAAGGGGATTGTCTTCGATGGATGCCGTACAAGTAGCAGTTGAAAGAGTTGGACTTTGGAACAGAGTGCGCAGTCTTGGAGGACTGGAGGCTAACTTGGACCCTTCTCAGTGGTCTCAAGGTGAAAAGCAACTCTTGTGTCTGGCTCGAGCCATCTTGACGCCAAGCAAGGTGCTGATTTTAGATGAGGCTACCAGCAGGTATGGCAAATGAGTCCAGCACAGCAATAATCTTGACGCTGACTCGTCACAGTGTCGACGATAAGACTGAATCAATCATGCTCGATGTGATTGGAAGCACATTCAGAGAGCAGACCATTATTTCGGTTGTCCACCGTTACGCCAGAATAGAACAGTACGATCGCGTTGCAGTGCTTAAAGAAGGCAAGATAGTCGAGTACGATACACCTCAGACTCTGTTGAGCCACGATTCTGTGTTCGGAGAGCTGTTCCGAGCGTATGAGTCTAAGCAATTTGAAAGAAATTGAATTTCGAAGCCATCAACACACTGAGGCTTGAATCCCTCTCTATACAGGTAAGTGACCGGCACTGGTACTATCTGGGAAATGTATTAGACTTCAAACTGACTTAAGGGACAGGTGTCATATTTGAGTATGCTGGCAAGTGGTGTATATAAAAGTTCACGGACACTACAGATCGCTTCTAATGGGCTATTACTAACATATAGCGGAACAAACTCGACAATATTAAAGTTTAGTAGATGTTTTAGGCAGATCGTACACTATAAGCATCATACATGTGGATTTTGTATAGATAGAACCTAAGATCGCAACCTGTATTTGTAGTCAACGCAGAGAAGAGATTTTGTGATCATCCTAAGCCTTAGTAGCCACCTGAGCCTCGGCGGGCTCGTAGTCTCTCCAGACGAGTCCTTCGGGAACATCTCTCCACTGGAGATCGCCATCAAGAAGCTCGGCCATCTGCGCCCATTCTTTCTGGACACACTCAGCTTTGAATGCGTTACGGGGTGTGATCACAGCCCTGAAGGGCCTGGGTTGTATCAGCATCCCCTCCGTCAGATCACTCATATCTGGGACGATCTCCTGCCCATGTTCGTCGTTTGCCCTGAGGAAGTCGAAGGCCCAAAGCAGTCGCGATATTGCCAGGAAGAGCGACCTGTCAGCAATGTGCATACCCTGACACAAACGTCGCCCGGCGCCGAAAACGAAGTGGTCTCGCTTGGATGGGTCGGAGTTGGATGCCGCCTGTGCGGATGTTTGATGGTCGCCGGCCCATCGTGTGGGGTCAAATTTTCGTGGATTTGGATGACGTTTTGCATCGTTTGCGACAGCCCTGGATAGTGATGAAGATTAGTCGAAGAAGGAAGATTCGCACCGGAACCGGCCAATGCTTACCACACATTCCACATTACCCCTGCCCCCTTGGGTATCTTATATCCTAAGTATTCGTCATCTTGAATTACAGCATGAGGTACGCCCAGAGGATCAGTGGGCATCCACCGCAAGCTTTCTTTCATGCAGCCCCTGATATAGGGTAGATCAGGAAGATCGTTCAAGTCAGGCAGACGGTCTCCACACACGCGATCTATCTCAGCCTGTGCAGCTTGGACGACTTCTGGGAATATCAATAAAGCTTGTAAAAAGCCAATCAGGGTCGAGGATGTTGTATCCGAGCCGGCCTCGAGGAGTGATCCGCTAACGTACCCAGCTATACCATCGGAGAAGCCTTGCTCGTCTTGTGCTTTGACAAGGTCGACGCAGAAGCATGGCTTCGATTTACCTTCCTTGAGCCTCTGTTTTGTGTCCAGATAGTGCCCTATGTAAAGTGAATACTCCTTTTCGTGGAGCTTCTTGGCATAGCGTCTCATGGGCAGCAGCGCATCTGGCAGACGCTGAAGTATTGGAAATACGTCTAGCACTGCAGCTGTGTCGCTGCCCATGACCTCGCTCCATTTCTCGAAACCCTGTCTCAATTTTCAGGACGCTGTCCATAGGTCGTGTCAAGGGGGCACGTACATGGTAAAGCTGCGTAAGCTTGGGATCGTCGATATCGGTCGTACGAAACCCAAATATCATCTGCGTCGTTAGGGAGTTTGTATAACGTCGGATATGATCGATAAACTTGTCGGGCGAATCCAAAAACCCCAGCAACATGGCCTTGTTCTCGAGGTCTTGGTAGGGTACATATGTGCGCGCGGCTTTTATGTTCAGGCTATTGTGCACAATGCCGCGAATCATGCGCCATGTTTCGCCATATTTCTTGGGGTATACATCAGTTTCATCTTATAGGGTTCATGAATCGCGTACCATCAACAGCATTCGAAATCCTCCACCGACGATATCTCCGAGGTACATATCAGGCCGTGACGAATAAATGTTGCTACGCTTGTCTAACAAGTCCTTGATAGCTTGGTCCGATGAGAGGACGATCATGACCTTCGTTCCAAGTATGAGTGAGTAGACCGGGCCATATTCCTCGGCCCATTTTTGAAACTGAAGGTGCGGCTTCTCTTTGGGTATCAGATGAATATTACCGATAATAGGAAGCGTTGGAGGGCCTGGCGGGTAGCCTTTTGGCCGCCTGCCAATCTTGGCCAATCTGTAAGTAGAAAATACAAGAGCAGCAGTGAGAAATACAACAATCAATGAGATAGCCATCTTCGAGCTTCACGGCTGCGACGATTGCAATGTGTGCATCAAGGTTTACTAGGGTTGGGAATGAGATCAAGCAGATTCGTATATTATATTACTGAGTAAGCCATCCATCGACACGCAGCAAATTGCCGGTCCTGCTACGTTGGAATGGTACACTGCATGGCATTTGCATATTGTGGGCGGCCGTTTGTAAATGTGCAGCAGTCTGCGGAGGCTGCATATTTGTATCACCTTTGCAATGATTCTTGACTATGTATATGCAGTCAGCATTGTGAGTGGATACCCACCGTGGATCGAGACTGGTAAGTTGCTCAAATGCCGTAGGGCGGGTATCGTCATAGCTTCATAACCCTCACAAGCAAGGGTGGTCGTTTCGTCCCCTGCGAAATTGAGTTGGGCTCTATCACATGCCTCTCTACATAGTACGAGACGTGGCCCAGATTCGAGCGGCAGGAAGTTATGTGAAATGATTGGCAAGTCGATGCATTTAATTGCATGAAAGATGTGATATGGGCTGGCGAGAGGTATTGGCAAGTAGCCGCGTTCGTATAGACTGCAAGCTTTGCCCGATAATGGCACGGCAATACTTGGCTGGTCTCTTCGGACAACCAGAGCCGACTCACAGCTTCGACCCCGGGTCAAGACCAATAAAGGCGCCATCGTTCCCATACAAAACATCCATGAGCCCATGCATTCAAATATATTCTCGAGCAGAACCTTCATGTGAGATTTGTTGACCGACACCTTCTACCGTACACATAGGCCTCTTCGCACTCCGGAGCTCGAAAATTGCATTGTCAAGACTTCAGGCTATAGCTGTTGGTCGCAGCACTACAACCATAGCAATTGGTTGTACAGCTCCCACGCGGGGTTTCCGGGAAAGCTGTTCATTGGCAGACAATGTTATCAACTCCAAAGCTTTTGCAGTTCTTAATCCCAAATGGATTAGCACCATATGGACCTATGGGAGTGCTAAGTGGACTTCATGGAGGACCAGTTTGAAGACATGGGCCCCTGCAAAAAGTTCACGGGAGCACAATCAGTTGTGAAAGTTGGACGTGGCCTCCGTATACAGGATCAACATTGGAGGACAGTTGCGCGGGAGATATCATTTTTGGACCTCTAGTTGGCGACAATAGCGAGTCACACGAGCTATGGTGAAGACTGCTCTCGCCTGTGCTCATCTTGTTGTCCCGATGACGGAGAAGTCTGCGCACTTGGGATGGCAGTCAGAAGTTGATATATAAAAGAGCGGGCAGCGCATCTCAACTGCGGTGTTTTATTGCTCCTTCAGAGACTTCAAAAAAGTTGCTGATTCAATGAAGTCATCTGATTTAGTTGGACTTTCGATTGTTGTGTTATTCTCAACAAGTCTGTTGATTGACCAGCACTCACTCAACTATCATTAAGTTATGGAACAAAGCTAGCGAACGAAGTGAAGCGAGCCAATATCCGTTAACTTAAAGCACCGCCCCACTTTCAAGGTACGAGGCGCGTCGTTGCAGCGCGTCTTGTCACTAACCATATCCAACACCAACTGGAACACATTTTCCCGCCATGCCTACTGACAAGACTATCTCCGAGAGACTCAAACTTGGTCAAGCTTCTTATAAGAGTGGCAACTTAGTCGAAGCATCACATCATCTCAAGTCTGCATCTAAGAGTTGTGCCTGTCAAACAGGCAAGCCCAATCTCGAATGTACGTGTGTGAACTTCTCTGATGCCTGCAAGAACCGTACCTTGGATAGTGCCCTCCGCACATCTTGCAAGTGCCCACGACGAGCCAACAAACGCTGCAAGGATGAGTCGCACATCACGGCCCTGGGTAGTCTGGTCATGGTCGCCATAAAGGCCAAAGATCATAAACTTGCCCAGATATACGCCCAAAACCTCATCTACTTAGCCCCACGAGACCCCAGAGGGTATTTACGCCTCGGCCAGGTCTTGCGCCTCATGGAAAAGCACCACACTGCACTCTCAGTCTATCAACAAGGTATCGGGCTTGTGGCGCGGGCAAACCCTGACCACTCTGGTCTGAAAACTCTCAAAGAGCAAGAGAGCATCCTCCGGAAGCTCACATCACAAGTAAGCATTGCATCCTTGCTATGGGATTGGTCTGCATTTTAGGACATACTTTGCAATTCCCCCTTGACTCGTCAACCGCCGTCATAAGATTATCAAAGGTACTGCAGTGGCATGCGATGCTGACTTCCGCTAGGTTGATCCTTTAGAGGCACTACCGGCAGAGCTGCTCGTCCTGGTACTAGGCCAGCTCAACACTAGACATCATTGTCGATGCCTTAGGTTGTCAAAATCTTGGAAAGCCTTCATGGAGAGCCAGGCCGCCCGGCCAACGTGGACATGTCAGCATTTCGACAGCAAGATCTCCAAGGCGCCACCCAGGACAATCAAGCCGTACATGGCACAGAGATACTTGGTCAAGTACCCGGGTGGTCAGCTCAGATCGCTCAGGCTCGACGACTGCCGAAGCATCCCGCTTGTGCGCGACAAGTTAACAGCAGTCTTGCGGGCGTGCCCCCAGCTTCAGCACCTTGCGCTAGACGGTGAAGTGATGCTTGAGACTGGCGAGCTTCCTCCTTTGGAGAAGATGCCAAAGCTGATATCGCTTAAACTCGCCCGCGAAGTGACCATTCGCATGCAACTTCTACAACACTTGATCGAAGCGTCTCGGGAGACCCTCGAGGAGCTCGATCTCTATAAGCTTCCCTTTCAGGACCAGGGCAACCTCATGCTACCTACACCGACCCGCTGGCCTGTCCTACCTAGGCTCTCGGCACTGCGGCTGAGGGGTTGGAACAAGCGCCACCGGGTTGATATGGATTATATCGTCTATAATACTCCAAATCTCCAAACAGTGTGGATAGACTTCATGTCATATACCACAAACCCTACGATTGCCGCTGCGGCACGATCTGGTCGTCCTTGCTGGCCGAAACTGAAACGCGCGTATGTTGGCGAGGACGTCGTATTCGGACCTGTGGGAGCAGCCCGCTTCCCACCGTTGCCCGAGTGCCTGGAAGAGCTGGTCGTTAACCACCAAGCTCTGCTTTCCGACTCCGTGTTTCACCCACCATACGTCACTGAAGCGGCAGTAGCGGGAACAGAAGATTGGGGAGCAGGAAGAAGGGAAGAAATTCAGGTATATGATGCTCCTCACAACGTCGCCCTGGGAGCTTTGATGATGCCTGCATGGCACCTCCCCTGCCTGAAAACGATCGTGCTCAAGGGCTCGGCGCCGCTGACGCACATGGCGTTAAGATGCCTCATCGGGCCTGCCATTTCCAGCGACAGACTGCGATATCTCGAGATCCACCCGTTTCCCTGGGGACAGTTTGGCCCCAGAGGTCAGGCCAGAGAGTGGGCGGGGCCCAGCGACGGCGCAACCGGCGTCACAACGCTGGGTGTCAACATGCTGAATGGAGAGCTGGGCCGCAATGTCAGCAACGTCGACGACGCTCTTCTACAGCTCGTGGGCCTCTTCCCTAACCTCGTCAACCTGGACATTGGCAGTGAAACCGTCGCCTCGCCTACTCTGGGACGCATCCTCGGATCGAATGGAGTCCAGACCATCTACCATAGCCAGGGGGCAAGTATGTTTGAGGTCAAAGACTGGGCCGAGTCACGGGGCAAGAATGTTGTCCAGGGTAGATATTACGACTACTACGCGCACAACCAAATGGTTGAGTCGACGGGCGGTGTTGTTAACGGCTTAACGAAGTGACGATTTCTTCTCAGTTATGTGTGGAGCCCAGCTGGATAGTCAGATGGATCGCATCATGGATAGGCTTTACTTAGGTACACATATACCGTGGTCTCGGTTTTGCCTCGTCCTTATTCGTGACTAAACTGCGTTCTGGTCATATGGCGACAATTAGAGGACTTCAGATGGGGTGGATAGCTGTGAACAAGGAACCGGAAAACGGCCCGTACAGGGCGTCACGGGGCTTGGCTGAACAATGGAGTAAAAGAGGCTGAATCAACATATAATATTACTGAATGTAGACCCAGGTTCCCGATCGACGTCACCCAAAGCCCCAAAAACCTGAACGCCTCATTAAAACCTCATTAACCCGACAGTCGGGTATTATGTTTTAACTCCTATTCCAAGAAAAAGCCTCTATTGAATCTTGGTAGGGTTGACCATATTCTCGTCACCTCGAAGGACTAGGCGCTCCATCTACATTTCCCTTAATCAGGCTGTCCAGCTCCCACGGATTAAGCGTACTCCTCCGCCTAGATATAGCCTTGTTTGGCTTCCTATCCCGTCGGCGTTTCTCTGGCTTTAGATCCTGATCTTGCGCTTTATCCTCCGGCCTCGAGAGCTCATCTTCTTCGACGGTCTCGACCACTAACCTGGGTGGCGCTGGTACATCTCTCTTCACTGGGTCAGTGGTTTGTTCTGCTTTCATCGGTGAAGGCTTTGCAGGAGACATGGTGGTCGTTGGCGGCTTCCGACTCGTCCGCGCTGCCTTGAGCTTTGCTCGGACTCGAGCCGCATCAGCTTGACGCTCGGATGCCTCAAGCTTGGCATTTATCCGAGCTATTGTTATGGGACTTTGCTGTGGTGGCGGTGGGTTGCGACGCGGAAGGCGGGAGGAGACTGGAGGTGCTGCAGGCGCTGGTGCGGGAGCCGGTGCTGATTTTGCTGCTGTTCCTCGGACTGGAGATCGATTGCGTGCAGCGGTATTGCCAGTGGACTTTGACGTTGGCTTTTCGGTCTTCGGTGCTGGTTTCTTCTCAGCTGGTACACTCGGCGCCGACGCTGTCCGCTTTGCTGCCTGTCTGGTGCCTGAAACGGGCCTGGCAGATGCCACAGGCGATCCCGTGGTGTCACCCGTCCTCTTCCTGCCGGAAGATCGCACTGGTTTCTCCTGTGTGGTCTCTTTCGGTGTTTGCTGTTTCGCACCGCGTGCCGGCGCCTCTGATGATGGCTTAGATCTCAGGACCTCGGTTGAGGGTTTCGAAAACAGTTTCCGAGTTGGATTCGAGCGAATCGGCGACTCGTAGGGTGCTTCAAACAAGGTGCTATCATACGATGCGGTAGAACCGTTTTTGTTCAGTTCTTGTGCTTCTGGTATTTCCAATTGAATATTTTTCTGGGAGCGTTGAGGCCTCACTCCATGCCGCGGTGGCGGCGGCGGCGTTGAATCGCGGCTGGCAGTAGCCACTTCTGAAGTCTTCTCCTCTGTGATCGTAGTGAAATCGCCTGGCCTCCCCCTGTGCGGGCCGCTTTTGCTGTTTTTCGACCTCCTGTTGGCGGCCGCATGTGAGTCTTTCAAGGGGCTCAGCCGCGGCGGAACCGGTAGAGGTGGCGAGTCCATGGAAGTGTCGGTTGACTCTTGGAGAACCTGCACATTGGGCTCATCTACTTCCAGCTCATCGAGGTCGACATCCTCTTGAAATTCACTTGAATCCGAGTCGTCATCGTCATCAACTCCATAGCCTGGTGCTGGTACAAGGCGCAATGATTCGGCAGGGTCTGTCGATTGTCGTGGTCCCAGTTGAGACGCTCCCTTTTCTTCTTCTTCTTCTTTTTCGTCCTCGTCGTCGTCGTCGTCGTCCTCCTCCTCCTCCTCCTCCTGCACGCACGACAATTCTTGGTACTGAGTTTCGCAGCCCTCGACAGGTCCCCTGGCGCCAGTGACACGGACAGGGCTGAGACATAACCCCATCTGAAGTTCTTCCAGGTTGACGGTTTGCCCACTCGACGCCATACGTCTTCGCCAACCCTCCATCATGTGAACAGCATCCTTCCAGCGGGCTTCCATACGCTCCCAGCCCTCGCGCAGGCGGGCGATCTCGGTATCACGGATTTCTACTTCCTCAATCGGAACGAAGGACGGGTTGGTGAGTATGGTTCTTAGGTGCTCTAGGATGCCCTCCAGTTCGCTTGCCAACTCGCCAGCATTCCTGTGCGGCGGCAGAGGAGCGCCATGTGTATTGTTCTCGGCAGCTTGCGTGCCTTCGTTAGAGAGGCGCTCCAGACCGCTCATCTCGCGCAAGTCCTCAACTGTTCGACGCACCAGGTTAAGAAGCGTGGAGTTTTCCTCGCTCAGGCTTGCCGCCAGCTCGGTAAGAAACTCATTTGTCTCCATTCGCAGGCTGTAGCCCTCGACCTCAGTGACACCACACCTGACAACGTCTTCCTTGCCCTCGACGCCCGTATCGCCTACTACAGTGATACTGACGACGTTGCGGCTCTTGTTCCCCCCTCTGACCCTCCCAGCGTCTACTACAGCCTTCTTGAGACTGTCAATTTGCCGGTCCCGCTTGCGCACCTCATTCGCACAGGCGGCACGACTCTGCGCAACCAACGTCTTCATCTTGGCCATCTCATCCTTGAGCTTGTGTACTGTGGATTCGGTGACCTTGATCTGTTGGCGCAAGGTGCGTTCTGTCGCTTCGGCGCCGTCGAGCTTGCGCTGTGTGTCTACCAGCTTCTCCGACAGCCTTTCATTTTCTGTTGTATGTCGCTGGGCGTCAGCTCGCAGGGCTAGCAACGTGTCGCTCAAGGATTCGCGGTGGGCCGCATCTCGCTGCGGGATGGCTCAATGTCAGATGGATAGTCCAGGAGGGGGTGCTCGTAATCAGTGGGAAGCAGAAACATACGTCACGTCGCAGTATGAGGTCATTGACAAGACCCATAATCTTTGCCATGGCCTCTTGGAGTCCCACGCCCGGGTCTGGGTCAGCGAAATCGATGTTTTGGCCATCGCGCAGCAGGCCGCGGGATAAGAGTTGGTTGTTGATGTACAGCGATGCTGTTCTTAGGTTGTCTGATTCGAGCATGGCCAAGGGCTGCCCCCTATCTGGGTTGGACGCAGATGACGACTGGGGTTGGTGTATATATTGCTTATGGCGACAGTATACGGCTGGTAGTCGTTGTGTGGCATCCGAGCACAGCACCAGGTTGGATACCTTGGCTGCAGCGTGTGGCTGGCTGGCTGCACGTATGCGTAGATAGCAGGAGGGAAAAAGCAATGCTCCCTTCAGGACTTTGCATGCTCGGAAGGAGAACAACGAGGAGAGTTGAATTGAAATCGAAATTGAAGCTGTCAAGGCTCTAGGGCTCACGGGAACGGTAAGAAGCGAGCTATGACAAGAAGACAGGGCTGTAGACACGCAACCGGCTAGGTTGATGCAAATGTAGCAGGCATGGAGCAGGCATGGAGCAAGCATGAGGCTCCGGCTCGCCGGTCATGGTGGAGAGCTCGCAGAGAACTCAGCGCAAGACGTGACAGGTGGGATGTTGTTTGGCGCCGTTGCTATGTGACTAAGTAAACAAAATGGCGACAGGGGTCTCTCGCAAGGGGTCTTGGTGCTCGGGGTATCGAATGCACGCCTCATTAGCTGGCACCTATCACTTGGGACCCTTACTGACGCTGGGCATGAAAACGGGCACCCGTACATTGTAGATTGATCAATTACGGGTCTTGTTGGATGGGTTGGACTCGTTCGCGAGGGACGAGTCTGTAGTTGCTATGGTACTCATTGCGGCGTGCCCCTCATCGGCCGGCTAAAGTGCTCTTTTTCGCAGGCGACAACCAGTCCACCACGGCTTCTTGGGGCGGACATGGGCAAAATTACTCATCAACTCGGCTCGACTCCATCATCTTTGTCTGTCTGCTACGACGGTACCCCACGCGTCCATGGCGTGTCGTGCCGTGTCGTCTTTAGTGCTAGCTTACAACAACCGAGGGCTAATGCACCGAACAAGGGCCATATCAGACCATTGAACAGATAGTGAACCGAGCCGACTTAATTGGGAAGCTGATCATCAGTCGATGAGTACCGAGTCTTTCCTATACGATGGCCAAACATTTTCGATCCGCTTTCATCCATCAAGTCTCGTATCACAAGTTCACAACTGCTGTACACCCCAGGGGCATTCCCCATGTGGAGGCGTGAGAGCGTGTTACTACTCCTACGTGTGCCATCTACAGAACCTTCTTAGCAGATCGTATCGAGCAGGACCCCCCATCACAGTATCTTGGGTGAGGTGGATCTCGCCGAGTCGAGGTTCATCAGAACCCATCGCTCTACTTGGTACAGAGATGCTGCTAGGAACCACAAGCCTGGAGGAATGGAGCAGACAGCGCCAACCAAGTCGCGCCACAAAAATCCCGCGTTGGAGCGCGACCCACTGCACATTGCCATCGCTCTGATAAGAAATGGTGTTTTCTTTCATCCGGTTTGCCGCACATGGTTTGGGGAACTCTAACTTCACCCGTAGTTGCCCAGCAAACGGGTCCTCACGAGTCACCTGAACTAGCATCCTACTAATTCAAAACTTCTCGAGGCTGAACAAGACTCTGCCAAGCATGATAACAAACACCGTTAGCAAAAATGAAATCGGCTCGAGCATGTCTTATAATGGATTAGGACACCCGCTCTCTAGTCCGGCGGCCATCGATCCATACGCACGCAGTCCAACATAGTGCCTAAGATCATAACGACAGAGTCTAAGCCATGGGTGACTGTTACGAGGGATTGATTGGATTGATTAAGTGTCGAAGTAACGTAAATTCCGACATCTAGAATCTATGAAGTCTATAAATAGATATTGTCAGAGCCTATACCTTAGGGTCCGTAAGTTGTGGTAGAGTATTGAAGAAAACACAATCGTCGCGTCGTTAATGAGCCATGATTGGGCCGCCACCATGCGGCCTGCCAACGTTCTTGACTCCGAACACGCTCGCTACCATGCCGACACAAGCCAGACCAACGCAGCACCACATTCCTGTGCCATACTGCTGCAGCTTTCCGTGACCCTTGTTCGTGTCAACAGCCTGCACGATGGCACTCGCAAGCGCCAGAGCAACACCACTGCCGATCTGGAATGCCGTGTTGATCATGCCGCCACAGAGGCTCTTGACGTTGAGGGGCACCGAAGCGAGAAGCACGACGGTGATGGTGCAGTAGACAATGGTGGTGCCAAAGACGCTAATGACTGTCGTGGGGAACACGTGTTTCCAAAATTCGATGTCTTCGGGCTTGATGAGGGCCGAGGGAATCGGAGCCACGGCGCAAATGGCCATGCCTATAATCAGTAGGTATTTGGTGTTGAAGCGCTCGACCATCCGGGACATTCCCAGGCTCGTGATGAACCCGACAGCCGCCATGGGAAGGAAGCGGATCGCGGTCGAACCTGCACTGAGCTCGTTGACCTCCTGGGCTATGAGAGTGGTGTAGTAGATTGTCGTCTGATAACCACCGTACATAACTTGGTTCATGTCAGTGTAACGAAACTAGGGGGTTTTTCTGTGGAATGGGTGACGTTACCGAAACCACCGATCCACAAGGCGGCGAAATTGTCCAGCTTCCACAACGATAAAGGCATGATGGGATTCGAAACCTTCTTCTCGACATATGCAAAAGCAGCAATCATCGCGACGCTCAAGACCAAGAGAACGATGATGAAAGCTTTGCCCCAGCCATACTCCCCACCACTAGACAGCACGAAGCTGAGGAGGATCAGACCTGCCGTTGAGAGACCAGCACCAGCGAAACCGAGCGTGGGACGAGCTTGGCCTTCTAACCTGTCTTTCGGAAGAACGACCCAGCCAACAATCCCAACAGTTCCCGTCACAGCGATAGGAACGTAGAAGATATAGCGCCAGCCCAGGGACGAGGAGAGAAACCCTCCAAAAATCAGTCCGAGGCAAAACCCGACCGCACCCGCCGACGCGAAAATCGTGAGCGCGAGTGTACGGTCGCTCGTGACGAAGTAATTGCTAATGATACCTACAGCGGAGGGCACAGTCATGGCCGCGCCATACCGATACAGAATATCAGCTTGCGCCCAAACCTATCGGCGAGCACGCCCGAGAGGAGCAGGAAGCCGCCAAATATCAGCGGTATACGCAGAGATCAGCCATTGCAGGTCGCCTGGGCTGACGTCGAAGTCCTTCTGGATGGCCGGGAGAGCAATGTTGACACCCGTCATGAACACGTTGTCCATCAGCTGCGCGCCGCACGTACAGAATAATATCATGGCTCCGCGCCACGACTTAATCACTCTGGCATCAGGATAGGCCTGGTTGGCGCCCGTCTCGTATTCAGCCGGCGTGGCGGTTCCAGAACCAGATGCTGGTGGCTGCGGCACCGTAGGGGGGTAGTCTCCAGAGAAGCCTCCTGACGGTGTTGGAGGGCGAGTGGTAACTGGCGTGTTGAGGTTTGACGGCACCTCGCGAATTGTGCCGACGGGGCCTGGCTTCGCAACCCGTGGCCTTTGGATCTGAGGCAGCTCAAAAACGTTGTCGCGCGCCTCGCGCGAATGGTGCCTGCTGATGGCCGAGGCACTGCGCACCAGAGCATCGAGGTCCTCCGGACGTTCACCATCTTGTGCCATGCATGAAGCCGTGCTTCGGCGACGCGTGGTTATAGGCATGCCGGGAAAACCAGCTGGAGGTGCCATTGTGGTTGCCTCTTCCAAAGCCGAGGTTCGCCGACCGAGAGGCGTCCCATCGCCATCCTGCGACACGCGAACGTTGTGGTCTCTATCCATCTCGTCGGTCCATGGACGTACTGTGATGTATTTTGTGTTCAGTCTTGACTTGACAGCCTCGTTTTTCACTTGAAAGCTAAACTCGTGGGCGTAATCAAACTCAAAATTTGTGGTCACAGAAAGGACAATAGTGAAAAGGGAACAAACTGCATCGATCCATGGAAAACCATGGCCCATGGAAATCTGGCAAATTCACCGCCCTAATATCATAGTGAGGCCTGACGATTGGATGAGAATTATAGCTAACATCGCCACCCAATGTCGTAATTTTACTCTTGCGGTCCACTTTGAAGCAGAAAGTGGGCTCATCCTCGCCGCTTGCTGAGTTGAAGCGGTGGGGATACGGGGAATCTTTAATTTAACTTGATCGTAGTATACTATGTACACAAATTAGCAGTTGTCAAGCTGATTTTGGGTGGTTCGTTGGTTTCGATCGATCCGAATAGCGCTTCGTCGTTGGACGAAACGCGCGCTGCAATGTGAGACCATATTTGGCTGTCGCATTACCTGAGATGAAAAAGTTGGCTGAGGCCGCTTTGATTGAACACCCTGGGACAAGATTCGCAACGTCGTGGCTCGTGCGTCCCGACTCACGGGTTCATGGATGTTTATCATGAGCCTCGCACAATACTCTGAGAAAACTCATATACTGACACGCAGTCGGAATATTAGTTTGTGCTGTCGTGACGCCGGACTCGTGTCACCCAATAGCAAGACGTCTTCTAGCTTCGATGAACTAATGATGGGCGTACATCCAAGTTTGTTGGTGCTGAGTTGGACGAGTAAGGAGGGTTGGTCTAGAAAAGAGCCAGTAGACACAGACTCTTTCCCCGAATCCCTCAAACTCCGTTCACGACTCTCATAGCACCCGACAGGCCACCTGAACCAAACGGTCTTGGACCAGGAAGGTCCCAAGGACTTCTGAGATGCCCAATGCTATGCCACTTGGCAAACACAGCAAATGACCGCACTTGTAGATGAACCCAGACATGTCCTAGGCGCTTATCTTGGGGAGGGGGGTTTCCAAGGCTTAGACTAGATTGACAGATGAATCCTATATTCAGCTTCAAAGCAAGCCTTCCAGACCTTGAAGGCAAGGCGAGGACAGAATTTTCCTCAGCAACGTCGGTACCTACATCATAGTTCTGTCAATCTAGATAGTCCTACGAGGGAGCACTTGCTACTGGTCACCATGATGGTCCCGTCGGCTGGTTTTGCAAGTTTCTGATACGACCCAATTCAATCACAGCTCCCGCAAACGTGGTAGTTGCACCAACATCTCGCTGCCCGGATCATGGCTTATAAAGGCATCCTGAGCACTGGTCACCAGCCCTAACAGTTATGTCCCACGATAGTCTTACCCATGTTTTCCGAGAAGCCTGGCTGCGTGGCCCGGGTCTTTTCTACAAGAGCGAGTGATAAATTCGAATAGAAAGTTAGCATCGCGAGCGCATGCGGAAGCAAAGGCAGGGACATGTAACACGTGCCGAGCTACTTTCATGCTATTTGGCGAGGAGATATTGCTCTTTAGAAAAACTTAGAAGGATAAGCGTGGGTATTAGCAGGACATCCTTCTCGACCCAGCTGATCCCGTGATGTATGTCACTCCGTGGTGATGATAAGACGAAATCGGATTTCGCATTTAGAATAGGCGCCGAAGAGTCAAAATGAATTCGTTCCAGAAAGACCTCTACCGTTCTAGAATTAATTGTTGCTTATACGTGGCCATGAATACATTCGCCAGACCCTCCCAAGTAATACCGCACTGGCCTCTGGCTTAGGTGATCCAAGATTTTATCTAAACTCCTCCAACTCCAGGCTCAAGGTTCATGATTATTTATTATCAAGCAGATATTGATCAATCATGGTCTGTTCTTCAGTCAGTAATCATAATTCATGACTTCACAGCAGATTTACTTACCCAGTCGTAGTGGCCGATGTCATTCAGTACATTGTCCAACGGTGCTGGATCCATGAAGTCAAGTGAGAAGTCCATCACACTGACTAGCTGTGATTGATCCATCGGAGCCATCGTAGCCATCGGCGGGAGCAGATTGTCGTTATTCAGTAGGCTGGCTAGAGAACCATCTCTCACATCGGGCTGCGGAGGTGGTGGTGCGGGGAGCTTCGGAGGCTCTTGTATAGATACCCTTCGGAGAATGGCGCCAACAACCTTGCATGCGTGGGCAGCCTCTTTCGAGGCATGCTTCTGTTCCGACCAGATTTTATACGAAGTTCCCAGTGCTCTGACCTTTCGCGCACGGTCTTCTTGGCTGCTAGATAGTTAAACAAAAGCGACTCGCTAACAACGAATTGCTACTTACCTTGACGGCGCATTTTCTGTCAGGTCTAGACATATGATCATTGATGCGATCAAGAAGTCGTGGAGGCTTAAGGTTGCCAACATGTATCTGTCTTCGAATAGTCTCCCACCGGGACGGCATTCTTCTTCGTACTCGACATGGATGTCAAGAATACGGATTGCAGCATTCACCGATGTCCTCCTAGACATGTCATATCGTGGGTCGTCCTTCTCGCTGTTGAGGTATTTGCGGTGTAAGACGCACAGGCTCTTCAAATACATCATTTCCAATGTGGCACGATGGACAATGTCATGCGTGTGATCAGTGAAGCTGTATGATCTGATAGGTCGAATTTTTAGTGGCGCCGGAATTTGGTCATGATAGCGCTCAATGTCATCATGGAGTCTCATAACTTCCTCGTAGCCAGGCGGTTGGATCGATAGTGTAAATCGGATAACACGCCGAAGCATCCGGCAAAGCTTCGACTTGATACACAGGTAGAGTGTTGATGTGGGCTCCGTTGGTGGTCGTGGAGGCGGCAGCATCATCGTGTTCTCATCAAAGTCAAGATCGTACAAGTTTCCAGGGGATTCTGTATCACACTCGTCTTCTCTGATGCACGGCGGCATTCCAAGCTGGAACGAGAACAGGCAATCAAAGACTTCGATGAAGAACCATGCTCTGCGGCGTAATTCTCCTTCAAAAGGCGTGATGTTGGGGAGATACTTCGGGTCCCGATGATAGCCCATGCGCTGGGCCAGTCGGACTAGAAGCCCAAACTTGGCCCACAGCTGGGCCGAGCAGTCCTTATTCTTTTGCAGCTCTGTGAACGCTTGAAGTAGTAGTGCCTCAATCGAGTATGGTTTGGCGGCCAAGTAATCACCAGCTACTAAGCACTCGATGGCAAGTTTTGTGAAGTTGTCAGGGTGGGCTGCCTCGCAATCCCTGCTCAGATCTTCGCCTTTCACCAACAACAAGGCAGACGCTACCCAGAGGATTGAAGCCAATACGCTGACCCATAGGAGACTGACAGAAGACGGATCTCTCCAGAAACCATCATATTCTCTTTGAAACTTGGAGGTATGTATGTAGGGCGCCGCTGAGAATCTGTGTCGGAAGTATGTCAGAACAAGCTGATCGGTCTTATTCTTTGGCGGAAGGCGGGCTACAGCTTGTTCCATGGTGATAGGAGGCTGAGGCCCAAATAGGATATCCATGTCTTGGTGTGACTGCGTCGCAGATGGTGACGGACTAGAAGACTCGTCACCATCGGCCTCGATGATGCCACGGATATCGTTGATACTTTCTAGAATGGAAGCCCAATGTGTTGCTCCAACAAAGGTGTTCTCCCTCTCTGTGGTAAGTATACCCGAGTGGTTGGCACCTATCACTCCAGGCGGAGAGCTGAGATCAGAGCGAGTCTCATTATCTGCGCGTTGATCTGAGCTTGAGGGGGTAAGTTGGTTGTCCCTGGGCGGTGCATTGGGCATGAGCCCGCTCACCATCTCTTCCAACTTCTGCAGCCGGACTTGGAGCACTGGTCGCGACATGGCCTCATGCTTGGGCCGACTGTCGGACAGATGCCGGCCCTCGGACCGGGGTTTGCGAGCAGCACGCGGAGCATATTCACAGAAAGCAGCCTCGCCGCTCTTTACACACCTCTCACAAGGCTGCTGCCGATCGCATTTCACCTAGACATGGGGATCAGCCAATCAGATGCTAGATAAAGTTGATTTCATGTGATCAGTTGACTACCTTTCGCGTCCGACACAAGAGACAAGACACCGGCGGGCGGTTGCGCTTTTGGATCTTGCGTTGTGTGCCATCACTGGGTTGAGCGCGAAAAACGCTCTGGTGATACTGCTGGCCATCCATTGCTGGGCCCTCGGACGCAGTCGGGGATAACGTCAACCTCGGTCTCCAGAGCGCAGATGCTCGAAATGGCTGGTCGGCTGGGTCCGTCTTCTTGGGCGCGTCTATGGTAGGCTTCACCTGGCTCAATAGAGGGGGACAGAATTCGACAGGCCGAAGTTTCGGGGATATCGTTGCTGAAATGATCGAGCATCCAACTGTTTCATCGTCGGTTCTCTCGGCTTCAAAAATGGCCCCATACCTCAAACTCCGCACTGAATGGGGAACAAGCGAGGCTGGCGGACGTTTTCGCGATTGTGGGGAGCCCGAACCGTGCGGAACTTACCGTTTACTCCAGCTTAATTCCGCGGAAACAATTCCTCTCATTTTATTGTAATCACGCTGAATGACCCCTATTTTATTTTATTCTGCATTTCTTTTTCGTAAATTCATTATCCCCAATGTTGATCAATGGTGCACCAAAGCCGTCCGGTACTGGAACACACCTAGAGTTCATGAATCAACATACATCTCTGCTTCGTCCAAACAAACTGCGATACTGTGAGATTGGTTGCTTTTCCACAGCAGGTCCTTAGCGCGACCTGACCTGGCCGCTTACCCGTTCGTAAGCTACGTCACCGGATAGACCGGGATGTTGCTGGAGTTAAGATCTCAACACCCACCGGGGGTTGCGCATTTCCAAAAGCAGTCTCAACCATTTTTATGTAATCAAATAGCATTTTTAAGCATGGATCTCTGTTATGTGGTGCTGTATCCATGGCCTAGCACTTGTAACACAAGTCAACTGGCGGTTCCGCTGACACTCATGAAGCCATCACATACACCTTGTACTCTCAAATGCGCACCTTGGTCCTGACGTTCGTATTTGTAATCGGCTCGCTATACTGCCAGTGAACAACCTGCTTAAGGATGGTTCAAGAGGCCACAACCTCGCCGCTCCCAGCAGCTGAACATCAGCATCTAACCAATATTAGTAAACCTTATTTCCGTCTAGGTTTTGGAACATTGGAAATGGTCCGTGGTCCTCAAGTGAACACTCGGCCGTCTCGGCCGGAATGGCTCACCAACTCCGGTGGCGTCTTGGTATAGTCTTCACAGGCAGATGATAATATCAGATCTATATAAGGATGTTGCTTAACAACGTTGATCAATATCTCGAAGTTTGACGACCCCAAATACAAAACAGACATATTTAGAGTGAATCCTTTATTCAAATCATGTCGACCTCGAAATCACTTATTGTTAGGTCTGTCTCGCAGCCTCTGGACCTGGAGATCAGAAACAACCCTATCCCCACAGCCGGTCCCGGCTCCGCCGTTGTCCAGGTCCTTAACGCCGTCATAAATCCTGCCGCCTCATTCACTCTCTCGGTCCCGGTCCCCAACTTTCAGTTCCCCGTCCCATCTATCTACGGACACAGCTGTATCGGTCGAATCGTCTCTGTCGGCCAGGACTCAACCTCGCTCCGAGAGGGTCAACTTGTCTTCGTCGACTCCTTCATCACATCCCGCGATGATCCCGATGTCGAGATACTGATGGGCCTGATGGACGGAGGGACTCCGCAGTCCAAGAAGCTCGCCAATGAGGCCTGGCGCGACGGGTGCTGGACCACGCACGCCGTGGTTCCGCTAGAGAATGCGATTCCGCTGGACGAGGACGCGCTCGTCAGTAAACACGGATACGACATCAACGAGCTGTGTTACATGCCCCGCTTTGCTGTGGCGTACGGCGGTGTCTCGAGTCTCAGCATCAAGGCCGGTGAGACTGTGATCGTAGGTCCTGCCACGGGCGGTTACGGCGGCGCGGCGGCCGAGGTTGCAGCTGCGAGCGGTGCAAGAGTCATTGCGTTTGGCCGCAACAAGGGGGCTCTGGCAAAGTTGCAGTCGAACATTCCGCATGTGGAAACCGTAGTCTTGACCGGCGATATCGAGAAGGACACCGCGGCATTCTCGGCTTTTGGACAGGCTGATGCCTATATCGACTTCTCGCCTTGGCAAGTACAGAATCCGCCGCACCTGCAAGCTGCAATCAGATCCCTACGCCGCCGTGGTAGAGTGTCATTGATGGGCGGCGTCACAGGTGATATTTCACTGCCGTACTGGCTCATCATGATGAACAGCATCGAGCTCAAGGGGCGGTGGATGTACAGTCGCAAGGAGATTAGGAAAGTCGTCAAAATGGTTGAAATGGGCGTCCTCAAGCTTGGTAAATCCGTAGGTCACGAGGTTGTTGGTGAGTTCGCACTAGAAGATTGGGAGCAGGCATTTGGTGCGGCAGGGAAAGCCACCTCTTGGGGTCAATCAGTTGTATTCACTCCCTAAAGCCCACAGAACATACCCTCAGATTAGAGAGTTCTGCACCAAATTTGATCCCATGATCCGAGACAGGTAGATACAACAAGTGATGAAAGGATCAAGCAGCAGAGGGTAGTATCATGCTGGACAACCGGTATAGATATAATCCAGTTCTTCAGCTGCACAGATCCATGGAACCACATGTCATTCAGAGAGATAGGTGGCTACGTATGTAATTTGTATAGTCCCTCGATGAAAAAGAAGTGTTCAACATAAGTGATGACATTCTAGACAGTTCCTTGAGCTGCACCGGCTACTACGATGCTATATATACCCAAGGACTTCAACAGGGCTATACTTGGTCTCAGCTATGTTGTAGCCTCCAAAGGTGGTTTTCTACCCAGACTAGGAATTGAACGATTTATCAACGACAAACCACATTTCTCGTCAAATATGTCTCTCATAAACCTTTACCAATCTGATTTCACCTTTTAATTTACAAACGGGAGGTACACCACATGACAAAGTACTGCTCTCTGGATTTCGATGTGAATTTTTTACAGATGCCATAAGATATCTCCGCTCATTAATCTTCATACCACATACTTATAGACTAGTGTATATACACGCGCAAAGCATTACTGCCACACAAGCGCACCATCCAACAAGTTAGCTTCCAGAGCTGCCTATTTCTTCATGCCTCATTTATACCCGTGACTTTTTCAGTTTCCCTCCAATCAACAATGATCTTTAATGCACCAAAACAACACATAATCACACTTCTAAACACTCCCCCCCAGAACCTTAGACGTCAACAGCCTCGGGTATCATGAACGATAACGATAGCAAAAGGGATAAGTCAAAAAGAAAAAGATTAACCACAGGTATGACGATCGCAAATTAGCCAGGCGGCCCCCAGTTAATCCCACGATCGTCACAGACCGGGTCACGAGCGGGTGACCGATACGCTGCTTAATGTACAGCGCCTCTCTTTGTTTTATTAGGGTTTCCTGAGGATACAACCCAATTCGGAACGTCCTGTCTTCAAGTCAGAATCTGGTTTATGGGACTAAAAATTTCATGCAGGAACGGCATACCTCAGTAACTACGGAGCCCGCTGCAACCGTAGATCCTTTTCCAATGCGGCGACCAGGAAGAATGATGACTCCACCCCCGATGAAAACCTCGTCCTCAATGATGATGGGCTTGCCGTGCTGAGAGCTTTTGCTACCTTGGCGCTTGGTGTAGTCGGTGTTGAGGGTGGCGGTAAAGATGCTCACATTGGGCCCGATGTAGACGTTCTTACCAATTGTAACATTGCGAGCATCTAGAACCGTACAGTTTCGCCCAATGAATACGTTGTCGCCAATCGTTATATTATAGCCATAATCGCACGTAAAAGGCGCTTCTACCACGCATTCGACTCCGACTCGGCCTTGGTTGGTTACAGGCGAAGTCTGGGTAGGCGATAGATGTATCGGATCTTTGGGCATCAGGATTTCGCGAAATAGCCGGCCGCGTTCAGTGGCCGATACGCCGTTGTTTGGGTTCGTTGAGTTGTTAAACCTCCAGCAAGCAGCGCTGCATCTCTCTCGTTCCAATACAAGTTCTTTATCGAACGGCTTGTATGACTCTCCTCGCAGCATGAGCTCTTTCTGTGTGGGAAGTCTGCTTGCAGAAGTCAGGTGATTGTGGGATAGAGCAAGCTGGGCAGCTACTTGTGGATTATTTGTAGAAAGTTGCGGTGGCCGAGCGGGACTACTAGTCCGTGTGGGATGAAGAATGTTGATCTGCGGCAGAGGGTTTCCGGGATGGGGAGTCTCTGGTTCCGTGCGACTTGTGTCATGCAATGGCGGTATCCTCTGATATTCCTTCTGCATTCCTCTGTGCTCTCCAAACACGGTGCCTGAGCTGATTGCGCTGATCGGCGTAGGGAACACGTTCGCAGAAGTGGTGTAAGTTGATACGGCCGAGAGTTTGCTGTTGTTGCTGTTGTTGTCTGGACTGAAAACTGATGCTGTCGGGATCGTAGACGCAGTTTGTTCATCCTCTGATTGAATGGCCCTGCCTTGCGGTGGATCTATTCGTAAAGAAGGTCCCCGAAAGGGAGGCGGCGGCTCCCGCTTTGATGGGGGCTGCAGTGGATTGACATAAGGGGACTGTGCTTGTGGCATCCCGTAAGCGCCAGGAGGAACATAACTCGGATCTTTCGATTCAAGTGGTACGGCGCTGGGCTTGACTTCGGCTTTTTGGTATCCTCGCTGGTTGGGATACCCCTGACAAATGAAGCCTCCCCGAAGGCAGTTGTTACCTGCAACGTGTAAGCTACAGTTCAAAATACTAAAGAGTTGAGAACTTACATTCAGGCTTCAATTCATCGCACTTCTTCTTCCTTTTACGGCATGTCAGGCAGCCTGTTTTCGTTCTATTGCTGAAATTTCGCTTTCTCTTCTTCGGGTCAGACTGAACAGCCCCATCTCTTATTTGCTGTGATGTGTACGGTCCGCCGTAGTACGCTGAATCGTCCCCATCATCAGGGCTTGTGGGCGAGTAATCATTTTGCGAGTCTGCCGCTTCCTGGGCCCTCCTATCCGCAAGCTCTTCATTTTGCGAGGCTACCGAGTGCTGCTGGTCATACGTACTCCTTCCATCTCTTTGTGATTGAGACTGCGACTGCGAGTACCATGATTCTTCCCTGCTTTCGTCACCATACGGTCTGTGATCCCGGCCCCGCTGTTGCGGTCCATATGTATCATGCGAATTGGAGCGGTGGTGGGAGGCGTTGTGCTCATCTGAAGGGCCTTGGCCATCCCTACGCGGTTCTATGGATGTGGACCGCTTGCGCTTATGGACTCCGTCATAAGTAGCATAGTCCGTGGCCTGATAGGCAGCTCTCTCTGCATTCTCCCCGGACCATTGCTCTCGTGTATTAGGCAGACCATCTGCAGGCGTCCTATGATCCTGGCTTGTTATAGTGCCACCACGCTCCTCAGACTCCGCTGGCTTTGATGTAGGACTACCGCTTGGGTTGACTGCTGACTGGGCTTCACTCCCATTAAGTGCAGTAAAGGCGGCCATACCAAATGCAGAGTTGAGACCAAGAGAACGCGTTCCTCCGTTGCAAAGTGCAGATACGCCCAACTACTCTCACGAAACTCTTGTTACGCACAGTTTGCAACAACACAACCGCGGATTTCCCAGGTAGTCGTATGCGCCAATTCAAATTGAACTCTCGGTGTAGTGAATCCGTCCCAGCCGGTAGCACGCAGCGCACTGCCTCTCAGACCTAACACGTTCCTCGTGTAAGAGATTCTAGCACACAGCAAAGATGAGCCGGAAGTATAGGCAGAATGCTATTGGCACACCCAATTGATCCTAGTACTTGTTTTCAAAGCGTTCCGGACAAACAAACATGAGTTGAGTACAGTTGTGGTCGAAGTCGAGTTGCTACCATCAAAATTCTGGGCTAAACTGGTCAGAAGGCGGGGACTCTGGTCCTGCGCGGTAGGGTGCGAAGCGGCTTTTGCATCTGCGTCAACCTGGCTAACTAAGGTTGTGCGTTGCGCGCGGTCTGTAATTGACGAGCGGCCCAACGATTATACCTCGCGTAGATCCAGGATGGGCCGGTAAAGCCGTGGTGCGACGTTTTCAGGAACCTTGATTTCGTCCACCCAGACTGAGCGAGCAAGCAAGTGAGCGAGTGCCGGCTCGCGATATCCCCTCGCCTTGAGTATTGAAATCCTGCCCGGTCCAAACTCCAGGTCGTGGTTTTCGTGAAGTTGTTCCGCTCCCAGTTTCCACTGCTCGGGTTTGCGACAGCCCTGGCGCGCTTGAAGAGCTAACGCGCAATTACCTTGCGCGGTCAGAAAGGTCCTTCGGTTGCCTCCCTTGCGTTAAGTTGAGTATCCAATAAAAACCAATCACAGCGGGATAGCGTATAATGAATCACAATCACGGCACTTCGTCCACCACCATTTGCTGTTTGTTTGTGTTGGTAAATAAGAAAAGGAGTGAAAGTGCCTGTTGCCACAACACGGCGAGCTCGGAAGTTCAGGTTAGTTGTGGTCCTGTCACCGATGTAAGTAAGGGTCAGGTAAGACGTAAGGCAGAGAGAGCCCAGCAAGTGTCCAGCAGCAAAGCAGGTGCCCTCCAAGACGCTTAGACAAGCAATAAAATGCGATTCATCAATGGAGCCCCGACGGCTCGTGCCTCGGCGGGTGTTCAGATACTTTTGTACAAGATTATCCACTAATTCAATTGGACCCTGGAATATGCTGCCCCAGTAATGGCGGCATGGCGCTTCCAATGCCTGTGCAGGTGGGTGAAAGTGTACATCGGCTCGATGTACTCTCCCTGCTGTGACCGGGGTCAGCCACGCAGTCCGCGCCTACAGGGATGTATCTGCCACCATCTTGTCCGACCAGTCAGTCATACTGCATGATGCTTTTTTCGTCCATTCTTTTTTTTTTTTTTTTAATTCTTTTTTTTTTTTTTCACGAATCACAAGATGTCAGTACCATGCCCCTGCACTCGAATTCGGGGTTGTCTTTATGACGCATTAGCACTTGACGCCGAATCGTTGCGACCGCGGGAGCTGTGAGACAAGCGATGCGGTAAGCGACAGTGTGTAACACATAACCTAAACCTACTCCGTACTGTATCTAATAAATACATAGTAGAGACTAGGAAAGAGGCTGAGCGGAGTAGCGCGCAATCCCATCCGTCATTTGCCTGTTCCTCATTGTTTCCATGTGGAAACGACACCGACGATCTTTAAGGTCGTTGGGGGCTAGATTTGATATCAGGGCGTATAATTCCGTTAACGACAGCCGCGATCCTTCGCCGAAAGACGAGCTCAAGTAATGTTGCATTTGTTGATTGTTACCCTCAAAAAATCAGGAGCTCACCCCGAGGCCCCCAACCCCGCGAGTTCAATGATGTGTTACACCCGAATTCCTTCATCGGCTGCAATCGCGACTATGCCTAATTTGCTGCTCATCCCCTCCATCCCGCCTGCAAAGTCTTGGAGACTGTCACATATGATCATGTTGTCTAAGTTAGTTTTATTTGGAACTTGGAAAGCGCGATGGTGGGGATGTAATGTCTCGTACTATCTAGAAGGGTAATGCGATCATCACATTTCATGATCGCCAGCCATCGATGGCATGAAAATAGCACAGGAATCCATCCTGGTCTCAGGCAAGAACTTGTGAAGCGCGTGACATGGAAAGTATTGGCCAACCGACTGAAGGATTACTCAAGAAGCACTCGAACTAATGTCGCGGCGCCTCAGTACGGGAAATGTGTAAATACTCACAGCACAGCGCCAATACTCTAACCTAGCCGCAGACCCCATAGTCCAACCTCGTACACCTCACAGGCTTCGTAGGTCTCAGGACAATTCCGGTCTAACATAACTCAGCTATGATGCCGGAATACAGTCAGGTTAGTGGTATTTGAATCTTGCCGGCAGGCCAAGTACTATTGAGACAGGTGGGATATGCAAGCTGAATAGTTCTTGTTTCGGCGACCAATAAGCAGTGGAAACAAGGATCTAATGCAGTGCAATTTGACGCGGATGTGTGATGTTGACATGGTCGTCTGGGCTTCAAGGCACATTGAGCGCCCGCGTCTATTAGAGCAAGGAGCCACCCGCCGAATTTGTTCTAGCGCGCGTACAAAGGAGGCACCCCTTGTTGCAAGTGTCTCTCGTGTTGCCGCAATCAGCGCTCCGACCACGCTTGAGAGGAAAGCGCAGCCGCTACGGGTGCTCTGGCGGGGCAGTCAAAAACCCCGACTGCTGACGGCAGCGCGGTAGTACATGCAATGAGAGAAAGTGCTACGGAACAGAATGTAGGGCACATAGGTGCATAGGTTGATGACAACACATACTTCGCTGTCCTTTTGACCTCATTACAGCTGGAGCGAGTGCTGGTAAAGCTCTGGACGAGCCGTGGAGCTTTTGACGCAAGAGTGGAAGAAAGCCTGTTGGTTTGCCCCAAATCATGCCGCCAAAAATATTGCTCTAGGTTAGCTGCCGCGCAATGGTGTGGTCAGTTCGCGGCATCCATGGCGAGCCCAGACCATCTTTTTACGAATTTCCCAGATTGGGACATCCAATCCAGTGTCGGATTCAACTTTAGCCGCATGTCGTTTAGGCCATTTACGCCTCCCAACTGGGCCGCGTTGGTGACGGTGACTGCTGTACAGCGTGTACATAAAGGGCGAGACTCGTGCTTTTCTGGTTGGCCTGGATTGAAGGGTGTCAGGCATCAAATGGGAATATGCGGTGAAGGCAGGCTTTCATGTATATCGAAATAGGCATCAACTTCCGCAGATCGGCATCGTGATGTAACGTACGACAATCCTGCACTTTTGGTTGCAGATTGTCGCTATCCATTGCCGTGTGCGCGTGTAATCAAGCCTTAACTGGTGGGGCTAATAGACCATCCCGTAACGATAATTTTAGAAGCGGTCTACTTTACACAGAATGGCGAAGCAGCCTTGTCTCGTGTCGGCAATATATTTGACATTGGCTACACGGTTTACCAGAGTTGGTGAGTACCTTCATCTTTGACGACGCCTCCTGTGTGTTTGCCATCTATTTCTCATGTGACGTAGGCTGGCGAGGGAGATAGCGCTTGTGGTATGTACTTTGTAACTATCATGCCGCCACAAAGATTAACCTGTAAGCGGCTTACTGTTGCTGATTGGCTCTGTGACACAGATAACCGGCCTATTGCAGGAGCCCGGTACAAGAGATTCTGGTTCCTGGATGCCCTCGCACAATAGAATGTCTTTTAATAGAACCCGAGAATCTTGTTGACTTGACGCAGTTTGTCTCAAAGAAAGTGGGGCCAGCGCGTTGTTTAATGGTGAAATGCTCGCATTCGAGGCAGTGTGTGGCTGCTCAATATACAGGAGATTGTTCTGATGCGACTTGGCGAGCTCATGTTGGAGGCGGCGTTCTGCATGACAAGGTTCAAACAATGTGTAGGGGCTATAATTCAACCGCTTATCAGATGACATCGTTACAATTAGGGGAGAATGTGGGAAAGTTCTTTGCCAGGCAGCCCAGGCTGGCGGCAGGGTCGCAACGAGCTCTCAATAGGGAGCGTCAAGCTTCGGCACTCTGTTCTTCACTCGCTTCTTGGGCTCAAACGGGCCCGTCCCCGACAATGTAGCAGAACCTTCGCGTGAGTGTCGATGCTAGGCTATTGGTGGTGGAATGACTCCGTCGGAGGAATGAGACATCCGATTACGAGAAACGATACCTTCTAATGTTATGCACCTGTCGTCGGTCCGTGTTTGCAGGGCTTGATAAGAATACAGATTGGGGTTGCATAGTACAGGGGAAATATAGGGAGCCCGGGTCTGCTGCAGGGCTGCCTCTCAAGGGGATATGTCGAAATGTGTTAGAGCGGAAAGACCGCCGTCTTTGGGGTTGTGAGAAGCAGCTTTTAGGTTTTAAGTGGAATACCTGCGGCGCTTCTCACTTCCAGCCAACGGGGCAAACAAAGGCCGTGTCCACTATTGCCCTGCAGGCTGCAAGCGCGATGAGACGCTAACACAGCAAATGAAGCAGCCAAAAGCACCTTCACTGAAATCTACTCACGTCACGATATGAGGCAGACTGTTATGCTTCTCATTGCTACGAGTGCAGCCCTCAATCAAGTGAAGCCAACATTTCAGCGTGAGATGTTCCATAGCGATGTATAACCCCGTTGTCTGCTACTGACGCACAACTATTTGTGCTTTGATTCCATCCTTTACGATAGGCTTGTCCCAAGCGGACGGTTCCAAACCCCCGGATCCAGAGGGTCGGTGACTTTAGAAAGCTTGCCGCACGAACCCTTACATAGGCAATTTGGCGCACCAACGTCAACAATGTACCGTTGCGTGATGCCTGGCTACCTAATGCAAGGACTGACTGGGATGCCAGCCCCGGAAGCCAGTTTGCGACGCTCTACATAGTACATGATGTGATGGATTTGGCGCGCTGCGTTCCCACCGCTAGGAGAGTCTTCGTTCTGGCTATCAACAAGGCGCTTGCAATACTCAATTACCCTTTCACATGTAGGAATCTTCTCTGAACCCTATTCCACAGAGCACGCTGTTCAGGAGTGAGGTACTACAAGCGATTATACTCTACAACATCTTCAGAGAGCGAAGACACTTAAGTTAAAATGTATCATATTACGAGTGAGAGACAACCCAGGCACGGTTCACCCCCTGCTTTAGTTGTGTATATTTACAATCAAACAATTCAAGTATAGTGGAATCGCATTATCAACAAAACCTATATATATCTCCTTCTGCAGAAAAACGTTTTACACGATTGCTATTTCGCATACCTAGTCAGCGTGCTCCATATGATCCAGCCATTATGTTAGGAGATTGTCGCAACATCCGCAACCCCGCGCTAATCGCCATCCACCCCTCTCCGTTATGCATTGCACTTATTTGCCTTGGCATCAACCTGCGACCGCGGCACAGACCGACATTCTCAAAGAGCCGTAAAACGTCATCCGGAGTTCGAGATATCATATTCGATTCTCAATAATACTTATGCATCCTCATGGCCATTTCTATATCCCAAAAATATCTCAGTGCCTGTAAGGGGCATCGCGACCCTGTATCGAGCATTATCCAATTACAGCATGGTTTCGTGGATAGCCGCCCGCATAAGCTTTAAGCGCCCTTCACTTCCAAAGGTGTGGCTCATAGCTCGCTGACATTTCTAGAAAGCTTCCTCCTTGAGATGTCGAGTCCAACAACAACAGATCCTTGGAGTGTTACCTATGTATCGCTGGCGCCTAGGGTTATTTTTACCATTCACTCACATACAGCGGCTCTGCAAGGTACGAGCGAAGATGCACGTGGACGTTACACTCCCCTGCTCCAGGCCCCGATATCTGGGTCTCATCGCGTGCGTATTGCTGTTTATGGGTGTGGCTTGCCTTCTAGAAGCGCTTATGTCAGTCGTTGACGGAATGCTTATTGGTGGATTGGACCGTGACTTCGAGCATCCAGTGCCGTGCTGCTTGAGGCTCACAAGATGCTGGCCGCAGATGCATGATGAGTTATTCCTGGCGCCAAATCTCATGGTCGACATGTGTTATTTATGGGCATCTTGACATTGTCACCTCGTTCTCATTGGTGTGCCTGACCCAGGAGCCACCAAAAGCGATATCTGAAAGCTCTCACCAATTGCCGGCATCTCACCCCGGATGACAACCTCAGGCCACCCTTATTAGCATTCTTTGATCCATCCCGTGGGGTAAAGCCTTTAATCTGTTATTTCGGGAGTGTTACTAATTTGGGAGTGAGCCTCAATCTGCAGCCGCTGGGCTGCAGGAGTGTTTAATGAAACGTCGTGCCTCAAAATGCTCTGACCATTTCGCACACCTCGTTACAACAAGCTTGAAACAAACGGCTCGTACTTTGAGTAAGTGATTAGAGTATCTGCTTGAGTACTTTTATCTCCCTTGATCTCATTGTGGGCCATTCTTTTAACTCCTCGAAAACAATATTAGCTGTATTCTTCGAAGACCAATGTCTAGGCTGCAGCTGTTGTGTACACATACTTCTATTCCAGGAGTCTACCAAAGTTCATCACGCTGTTAGTCGTTTACTCGAATACCATGTCCACTCAACTATATCTGATAGTGGATCGTGTCTCCTCAGTTATTATATACACATTCATGCAATGGATATGGTGTCACTTGAGTACCTGACCCATCGACACAGAAGTCAACACAAATTCTAGTGATATCATTTATGAGTAGTATTTATCCAGAAATTCTGGAAACGAAAGAAAGAAGAAGAAGAAGAAGAAGAAGAAAAGAAAAGAAAAAAGGTCAAGGAAGAGCGAAGGCATAGGAAGTACATTAATGACTCAGGCATTTCACGTAGAATTTATATTATTATGTGGATAGAACTGTGAAGTTTGGTTTTGGCTACCTATTAGACGGATGATTCGTTCCCCTTGGATGTGTACTCTCAGCAATCATCCGATCTCGTATGTCATCTTTTATTACAATTATCATCTCCGAAGAGGTCCCGGCTTTCAGTGACCGATATTGATGATTTATAAGTGGGTAGAAGCCAGTTATATTTTCGTGAAGATGCGTCGAAACACAAGAGTCAATGCGGAGAGACACTTACGACTTCTCTAGCACGAAACAGTGCATTAAAGTGTTAGCCTTGAGCATGAATACAAAGGTCTTTTTGTATATCTTTTTCCCTGGTCATAACATTCTATTAACATTACACTAGCAGCGAAGAGAGGGTGGAATCGTAAATGAATGTTATCGCGAATGTTTAGATGCCTAGCCAACCTCGAAGTTCTCCCCAGTTACACATTACTAAGTTGATATCTGCTGTGTCGCACTACAAAAACTACAAAATGTTACTCTGTGCTGATGCTGTACAAAACCGAGGTGAAAAAGAATTCAGTGGTAAAAAAAAGTCCTCAGTATTTGCCATTATAGCGTAGTTATACTGCATGTTAGATTAAGCGCAAAAAGAGTAAAGAAACCGAATTATACACACACATACAAAGCTATACTTTTGGCAACGTATATACCCATATTTCTGCCCGGTAAAACTGACTGCAAAATCGTAGCTCGACCAAGCTCTCAAGTGAAGAATTTCTTACTAAATCAAGTTGCAACCCTGTCTGAGTACTGCGTCTTTGAACGCATACGCCTATAGTCCTCTTGCAATATAGGCGTATATTTCGGCGGATTGTCCTTGCCGGTGCATTGCGGTAGACACTCGATCCTGGCTGTTGGATCTGTTGTCACAAAGTATGGGATCGAGTATCGTGATTTCGTCATCCGTGTGGTGGAAAGCTCTTTCCCTCCAGTCTTATCGGAGCTCTCACTCCACACGTTAACAGGTGGTACGGTAACACGATGTAGTGTCGACTTGAGATGGTCTATTTTGCCTCTCAGCTCAATCCATTTAAGTTCAATAGAGGTAGCAGACAGTATGATCGACAGCGTACGTACCATTACTCCAGCGCATCAACAGGTCTCCAACATTCATGATCAATGCATCCTTGATGGAAATTGCATCAATGAATCGCCCAGGCTCATTCGGATCTTCAACTTGTAACCCGCCGCAATCGTCCTGGAAGAGAAGAGTAATGGAACCCCAATCCGAATGCGCCGGCATGCGAGCCGCAGTCTCACTTGTCAACTTCTCTGTCTCGATAGGCGGATAGTGAAGCAACCGTAACTGGTTGCTCTCGCCGCTGTGGAAACGCAGGAAGTATTCCTCGTCTTCAATCCCGATTCCTATTGCTAGCGCTCGCAGAAGAGTCTTGGCTGTCTCAAAGCATTCCCAGTAGAACTTTACCATGAATTCTCGAAATCCCGGGAGAACATCTTGAGGAAGCCATACATTTGGCTGAAGCGCGAACGTCTCGCTACCTATCTCGTAACTTTCCTGATTAAAACTGTTCAGCGTAGTGCTTATTTGTAGTCAGAAAGGCAAAGTTCACCTTGCAATCCACAACTTGTCTCAACTCTTCACCCATCTTCTCTGCCTTGACGTCATCATTGTCACCCTCTACGTGTATATACTGAGAGACCTTTTCCAGTCCCGGCCATGAGTAGCCTCGATGCACATTTGGACCTGGTGGGTGAGGAGCTAGCATTTTCTGTTCCTGAGGCAAGCTGAACAGCTTCTTGGACCAAGCAAAGGCTTCATTGATCAGAGATGACGATACCCCATGGTTTTTGATGTATGCAAAGCCAACAAGTCTGCACGCGGATGTGATATCACGTGCGATGCGGGTACGGTCTTCGTGTGAGCCAGCGGTAAACGACTGGAGGTCTAACACGGGAATCGTGGAACTAGCGGAAGCCATTAGAAGGAGTACATGCAGATTTATGTAAGGAAGTTCTGAGATGCGCTTTAGTGTGCTCAATATTAACAACCAAAACAATGAGCGCCGGGTACGAGTAACAGCTCGTTATTCTGCTAAGCTGACTGCAGTGTAAACTTTTGGTCGTCGTCATTAACCGGCGGGCTGCAAGCTACAGCTCCGGATAGCCCCACCACTACGATTTTGACATCACCTAAATTAGACTCCTTTATGCGATTTTACGTGTCCTATGTTAACTTCAGTCCAGTTTGGTTACACAGTGATTAGATCTTGAGCTTTATGTAGCGAATCCGAACCACATACGGACTAGAGGCCCAGGGATAAGCGGAGTGAAGCTGGAATAAATCTCATTGAGCTCTTCTGTCTATCTTTGTATCTCATAAGCATAGCCCAAATTCCCAGGCATTTTACCAGGACTGCCAAAGTTAACCGGCATACACATTCCGCTCTTGTGTTCTGGTAAACTTGTCACCAGAGTGTGCACCTTGCTCCTCCTTCTTGGTCGGGTCAATGACCAATACATCCTGTTTACGATCCAGCACGATTTCTACTATCCAGACCTGCTGCGTTTTGTAAATGTGGTCGTCAGGTATCAAGAAATGAGTGCAAGAGATGGCACTGGTGAGACCATGACGAAGAGTACACTGGCCTAGTGCACAAGCCTTCTGTCGTTATACGGACGGGACAAGACTTCACACTTGTACAATTTCCATTGCGTGGCGAATAAATTGCATTCCTGAGGTTGCAAAGATCTAATCGAGTAGTCCGTGCTCATTTTATCTTTCCAAAGGTGATATAAAAATGTGAAAAAAGAATTGTGAAATTCTGTGAGTGGATCGAGATATCTGCTCAGATTTCATAAAACGGCAGCAAGCTGTAAGTAGATCAACACATACCCTCGAGCTTTACAAGATTCATTATCTACATCTAGATCAATGCGCAGATTTCCTTGTATATAGCGTTGCCCTCATTGTTGACAAATTGCATGGGCGAAGCCAGGCACTTTGGGGGATTGATGTAGCGTCGGACTTCAGCGATGGCAACTATGCACCCGGATTTGATGATGTAGTGGCATTAAACAAGGCGTCTCAGTTCAGACGGAAGTTGGGAAAAGAGTGTTAACTCCTCCTTATGAGCCATGATGTCTGATTATATGGCGTTCTTGTTGTTCTTATTGCTGCTAGGATCTCGAATCCCCAGAGTAGGAAAGTACTCGGGCAGAATTATTCGTGAGAAAATCACCAATTCATTGGAAGGGGAAAGGCTGACCTAGTTAGTGGGCGTTGAGTGATCACATGGAGGTGGTCGAAAATTGTGAGTAGACTAGTGTAGAGTTCTCAATGGCTGAGACACCATAAGTGAGAAGTTTTAGAGAGATATCGAATCCAAAATAGATATGCCAGGCGGACAACCCTCCGGAGTGTATAACAAAAGAGCTCAATTCAGGAGCTACGGTGGCATAAGTATGCAATCATTGCGACGGCTAGACTAGTGAATAATCCCTAATGATACTCGGCTAGGGATGAACCACTGCACGACATTTACGAAGCATGATTCACAGAAAGATCAGATCTAGATGTCTACCTCTCTCGAAGCCATCCCTCCATGAAATTTTGTACTCAAATGAAACACAAACGGTTGACATTTGATCACTTACACTCAAATTTCCATCAATATAACTCTAGAAACTCGACTCATACATCGATATTACGTAATGCTGTCGTCCACCGCCGCTGATAACACAAATCGCATCTTACACAACGCGAGCAACACATAATTCTCGACTATGACTACTCCTGTGACCCTTCTCAGCTATCTCGCCGATCTGCCGGACCAAGATGGCAGCGCAAAGGTCTGGAAAAAGGTAGCCCAAGAAGCTATTGGAAAATCACAATTCGATGAGTTGACCATTCGAGATATTCAGAAGCGTTCAGCAGAGCGCACCGGGGACCAGCCCCCTATCGCCGTCACTAATCTTCCTCGATATATTGTTTCTGGCCAAATCTCTGACTCGTTTCAATTCACTACGAAGGATTCATTTCCGCCTTGGACCGCTAAAATATCTTCGGGTCAGCCCCTCATTGGGCAGAAGGGTTCGATCATCGAACTGGGCAAGATGTCCGAGAATGATGGATGGGTCGCAGTTCTCATGGGACGAGTCCGAATCGCAGACCAAATTCCGTCTAACAAGGACAGCGCGTTTAAAGAGACGCACCTATCTCTAGATGCGGGCAAGTGGCATTACATCATTGAGAAGTCCTACCAAAGTGCGTTATTGCTTGAGGAGGACTCTATTGTCCTGTTTGGTACCATCGAGCGTAATCTATTTGTGAATGACCCTCCGCCCGAACAAAAAGATCAAACCGACAATCCTTAGATGGATACGGGCAAAGCTGGTTGGCTGTGGCATGTTGAAGATCTTGGTCATCAGCACGAAAGATAACCAGAACGTGGAGAATATGAATCAAGACCTTATAAAGCAAAAAAAATTTGTTTCCCCCCCTCCTTTTTATTTTAATTTTAACTGTGAATGAAATGATGGATACATGTGATAAAATAATAGGAAAGAGTAAGAGTAAGTAAGGCTGGTTCAAGTCAACGATGATTGAGCTGGGGCGATAATTTGGTGCCTCTTGCCTGTAACAATAATAAGGCCATGTAATGTTGTATTTTACTTATGCAAGAATGTACTTTTCAATTGATGCGTCTTCTAATAAATACTTGATACACTGTTCCACAACTACAAAAGTACGAATTACTGCTATGAGACCCTTCAGCGTGGCCCGACAAGAATTGCCGTTGTTCCAATTGACCTTCAAACCTATGGGGGAAGTAAAATATAAGATATTGTGAAAACACGAAGCGAAATCGACTGAAATATAAGACATTGTGGAAGGAAAGAAAAGAAAGAAGAAGGAAGAAACAAATAATCATGGAGACATTAGTGAGTTCGAGTGATCAATTCGGTATGGACCCACGCTCAGAAGTGACTTTGGCGCCGCACATGGTACAGCGTTGGGAACAGTACGTAGTGCTCGTTTTTAGAGCTTACTAACTGCTATCCTCTTCAGTATACTGTATGAACATGTACGAAAGGCGTCTGTACAAGATTAGCTACACATAGTATGTTAGTATGAAGAACCTCAATTAGTGGAATTTGTGATACGGATGAGCTCCGAGATACGCGAGCTCGCCATATCTGCAGGGTATAGCGTAGATGATGTAACCCACTTGTAGGAAGTTCCTATCCGATGCGGGGACTCTTCGCTACACAAAAGGCGTCTTGAGTCAATTGTTTACCTCTCTTCCGAAAAACTGTCATAGTTGTTCCAAATCATTTATGTCAAGAACGAGAATGACGTTCTCGCGACTATTCACAACGCTATGTGCTATCGCGCTGGCTACTGCCCCGTCGCTAGCGGTAGAGATCTCCACTGACGTCGTCGCGGAGATTCCACAGCTCGGTTTGGGTACTTGGCTTTCTAACCGTGACAATGTGAGTGACGCAGACGCCTCAGAGCCAGTCAATAACTGGGAAGTCTCATCTGGCTGACTTCGATTCCAGGTTGCACATGCGGTAGAATATGCGTTGAACACGGGGTACAATCACATCGATGCTGCCTGGATTTACAGTACGTGGCCCCCATTTTGTTCCCGACAAGTAACTGCTAATGCAAGCTCTAGGAAATGAGGACAAGACTGGCAGGGGCATCGCGGCCTCTGGAATTTCTCGCAAGGATATCTGGGTGACCAGCAAGCTCTGGAACTTCCATCATCGGGCGGCAGAGGCGCATACCGCCATCGCCACGACTATTGAGAACCTCGGTGTTGGTTATCTGGACTTGTATCTGATACACTGGCCGGTGGCTTTCGTACCAGGTGAGGGCAACAAGCTCGATAAAGAAACCACCCTCGTGGACACCTGGAGGGTCCTGGAAGATCTCGTCCGGGCAAATCTCACACGGTATATCGGCGTTTCCAACTTTGCTAAGAAGGACGTGCAAGCCATCTTGGACGTCTGCGAGATTTGCCCATATGCTCATGAGTTCGAGACTCACCCATATCTGCAGCAGCAGGACTTTGTCGACTGGCACAAGGAAGTCGGACTGAAAGTTATCGCCTACTCGCCGCTGGCCAATACGAATCCGATCTACCACAAGGACGTGACGCCTCTGCTCAAGAACCCGTTCTGGGTGGATCTCGCGGCTAAGAAGAACGCCACCGTTGCACAAACCGCGATTGCTTGGGGTTTCGCAAGAGGTACTATCGTTATCCCGAAGAGCGAGCATGAGAAGTACCTGGACCAGAATCGCGAGTCACAGGAGATCACTTTTACCAAGGAGGAATTGAAGGAGATCGCTAAGCACGACAAAAAAATCCGCTTGAGCAACCCGGGCAAGAACTGGGGCGTCCCACTGTTCTCTGATCTGGATGACCCTTCTACGGAAGCTGCGGGTGAGCAGTCCATTGGAGAGCTGTAAAGTAATGACTGGGGATCGACAACGCCAAGCAGAAAAGCATATGTGATAGATCAGCACAGTAGGAACTATCTGACCACAGTCCTCCAAGCATATACAGTTGATTTCATTCTCATGTGTGGTATCCTTGTGTCCTGCCTACGACGCCTGTCTTGAAATGATTTTCAGTCGATACCTTCTCTAAGAGCAGGTTGGCGACGTTGTGGGTTTCGATGCCGAATTTGTCGGATTCGTCTGTCCACAGCCAGCCAATGTGCCTCCAACGGTGTCATCAACCGCAGCACTGTATGCAGCACCGCAGTTGGCGTCGCTAAGCGGAATCGATCAGCGAATGGCTATCGAGAAGCAGACGTACGCGAAACTCACCTAGCACCTCCACTGGCATTATTGAACCATGAGCAAATATCATGCGAGAAGCAGTCTTGAGTGTACGCATTTCCTACGGATGCCCCGGTGCAGCCGGCGCCGCAGCGACCGTTGCAAGAGTAGCTATGAATGGGTCAGTTAACCCAATACAGGGAACTCGGTAGGCAAATCTGATACGTACTCTCCAGAGTTAACACTGTTGGTTCCGAAGTTGCTACCCACAACGCCCGTCCATTTGCAAGTCTTTGAGGCGCTGTTTGTCCAAGTCGCAGTTGCGGTCGCGCCAACCTTGAGGCAGGTGATGGATCGCTTCTCAAGGCCAAGCTCAGCCGGGCTGGGGGCAGCAAAGGCCATAAGAGGCAGGAGACTGAGGAGAAAGAAAGACCGCATCTTCATCGATTAGAAATGTTGTGACGTCTGAACAGAGTTGTCTTCTGGCTCGTGCAGTAAATGAGGCTCGTAGGATCAGGGATACCGCTCACACATTATTTCTTGAAGCAGACAGCGGGTACCGCACTGATCTTAATATACCCTTCAATATTTGGGTACGTCCTGGGCAACCACCCTGTGATTTATCCTCCATATCCCCAAAAATTTCCAATATAGTGTCTTCCCGAGTTGTTGGCCCTTTTCGGCAGTCGAAGCGGAGTCTTGACAACGGCTCCACGTGTATATGGCCGGGCGCTGCTGCCGAAGATGGCCTGGTGCGTTGATCTGCCTTGACTTTCCCAATCGCGCAATCGGGCGCAGGGCCCGGATTCAGTGACGCGCGGAGAAAATGTCGGAATTGCGTGCCCATCGTGCTTAATTCTCTTGGGATGGCGGGATCAGACGTAGACCCAATGGAGAGTCTTTCGGCATTGTGGACGCCTCCCTGCAGGGGAAATTCTGGGGGAGCGCAGCTTAAATGTGGTGTTGCGATCGCTTAAGCGGTTGTAAGATTTAATGTACCATTATGCAGGGGCCGTGGTGCAGGTTACTATTCCTTGTTAGACGCAACGATGTCCATACCGGCGGCCCGTTGCAGATGTCTCATTGAGACTGGACCCTTTGCAAATTTATACCCATGCTGATGAGAAATGTGCTTATATACATGTGCGTAGACTATATTAGCCTGCAGCTGTCTGTGCGGTGCAGGTTTTGGAGGTGCATGCGCGACGTAGCAGTGCGGCTGGGCTATTTGCAGAAGGCTGTCGCCACGCGGCCTGGGTATCTGTAACCATTTCGCTGGAGATATAGTCACTTGAAGCTCAAGTTATGCAGACAGGAAGGCAATGCTCAGCACTGGACAAGCCATAACATTATATGAGACATGGCGGTTGAACCAGTTCAGGACTTCTGAGTCTGCTCCAAATCGATAAATTGCTTCGCTATTGATAGAATCTGTGGCGTGCGATGCCTTGGCCTTCATTTTCCTTTTCTCCTCCTGAAGGGTTATCAAGTGCTCACCTGTGATCCGGTCTTCTGGATTCATATGGATCTCGGAAATCCGAGTAAATACTGATCACAAACCTGAGTATGCCCACCATTCGACAGCGGTACGAGTCCCATATAGAGCCTTCCTCCGTAAAGATATGTCCGGAAGGTAGAGATCAGTGGAATCATATCCCAAGTACAAAAGCAAATAGCCGGCTGTGTTCAGAAATCGGAAAATGCTGATTGCGTCAACTCGTCTTGTGCCAAGTCATGCTAATTTCGGTGTCGAACTTACAGGTTTGCGACGAAGACGCACAACGAGAATACTGGGAAGCTGTAGCCCATAGTATATTCGACAAGTAGTGCAAATTTTTGGGTATTAACGATTATAGGCGAAATCCACAAAACCGTCATGATACACTCCATAACCACGCAAATAAACCACGGTTTAATCCGCTTCCTGGCGTGAGTGTGATCTGCTGGCCAAAAGACGACAATCAGCTGAGGCCACATCAAGGCGAAATTAATCTGACACGGCATTAGTGTCCTAACTTCGAAGGCCAGACCAGGAGACTCACGGCAGCAGGTATGTATAAGGGCTTGAGTTCCTCATAATCCGCGTATACGGCGAATGCTGCAATACCTCCCGCTGCGCTCAATGCAAACTGCAGCAAACCTAACACAATCCAGATGCTCTGGACAAATTTATACTGGGACCTACACCATCGATGACGCACCGGGTGCCGCGGCCATGAAACCCCTTTCGAGTATTCTCTTGCTGCTGTATCACTACGTAATGGCCATAAGCACCAGCGGCAGATATATGCCTCTTTCTCGTTGAGAGCACTGTCATGCGTCCACCGGAGTGGTACTTGGACGATTGTTTTAACCCCTGGATTCCACCAGGGGCCTTGAGAGGGGATGTTGAAAGCGGACATGATTGTGGGCAGGGAACGAAAACTCTGACGAAAGCATCGGAAACAAATTGTATTCCAAAAAGTGCCGGTACGGCGCCTGTCTACGACAAGACATCCGTTGGGAGGAGTTGTCAAGCACTCGTAGCATATCGAGCGGAGAGTTGTTCCTGCTTGTGCCGTGGGATACGCACTGAATTGTTTCCTGAAAAATTCGGCGGTTATGAGGTTGCGGTATTGGCGACAGACTTGACGTACGATGGCCAGGCTCGCAGGATCTAGATGTGCGATGACGATGAGTTGTATCTCGGAAGGGAGATGGGTTAAGGGCGTTGGGCTTTCACTGAAGCCGTTGTGGCCGGCCAGCTCCAGAGGCTTGTTGTCATGATGCATAGACAACGTGTCCATCTCCGTCTTAGTGCACTACCAATTTTTGTTCTTGGGATAATGGCATTTAAACGCGTGCTCAGAGTCCAATGACAGGCGAAATACAGGGGCTGAAAGGGTATGTCTCAATTTGACCATCGCGCACAATCGCGTTTCTTGTAGAAATAATGAGGAACCGGGTCGTTCAGCTGCCAAGCCCAGCCATGCCTTGCAGATGGAAGCTAAGCTAGAAATGTGTGAATATTTCAACCATTACAGCATGGGTGGCTTCGCAAGACAACTGCAACATCTGTTGTAATATGGCATATGGGCTTAAGCTGTGACCGTATGTAAGTTGATAGGCTAACCACGTTAGCAGTAATTGAGAGGTCAACTTTTGAAGCTTCTACAAATCAACTATGCGATAAATTCTTGTTGATAAGGATGAATTATTGCTCTTCGATAATACATTGTTTAGCCCATTCTAGTATCTTTAGATGGAAACAATCTTTGTCGGAGATCCTAATCGACTTACCGAGAGGCTCCGAACACAGTGACAAGGTGGCTATGAGCTGTTAGATCCAAGGTATACACAGCCGAGGCTAACAGAAAACAGTTCAGCGCAACGAATTGCGAGACTTTCTGCATTGTGCCACAGATAACATATGCAGCCATCCAAGGAATACTGACCACTGAGATGGCATTAATATGAGCTTCTTATGTGCACGATTTCGAATTGAAACCGGGACATTCAACTAACCTTTGCGTTTACTGACCCCCCCCCCCCCCCCCCCCCCCCCCCCCCCCGGAGTCGCTATTCAGCTACGAAATGCATATCAACATAAGTGGAGAAAGTGTTGATCAAACTAGACCAACCCACGATGCCCATCATGAAGAAGAATGATTCTGTAATGCTGAACGAGAATAAATGCATGGCTGTTGAGCATGGGCAGGGCACACATGCGACGTTCTCGATGTCACAAAGCGAACATTGACGACGGGTTTTTCGGACCTGCTTCTCCTCGTCGGTTGTAGATCGGAAGATGGGGTGAGTGAGGTGAGGCAAAGAAATGCGGGGTGGCGGCCACTGAGGGCTATAATTAGCGGTCATTAAGTTGTGTCAGCAAAGGGGAGTTGCGGCACATCGTGAGTCGTGCGTGACCCATGATAGATCCGGAAATGAACTATAGAAGCAAATATGTCGAACACTCGTTTCAACTTCTGCATATATAGCGCCGATAGCTGAGGATGGGTCAAGAACTAGGCGGTTTTCTTGAGGGTCTATCAGCAGTATGCAAATCAAAGGAGATGCCGGTAATTTGGTTGTAGATGGTCGGTGAAGCTAGCAGCATCGTCGAATAATCGTTGTTAGTTACATGACTCTGGTCTCTTTGCACACGGTAATGGTCATGGCCTATCGTGGTCCGAATGATGCTGCATCAGGTACACCTCTTTTCCAAGTGTTTTACGGAGGACGCGACGATAATCATTTGATTCCAGTAGTCCTCGGATAAGCTAACCACGTCCAGCTTCTCCACGATCTTTCAGACAGAGCTTGGAGATGCAGCATGCAGGGGTATTGGTTACGGTCAGACATTCTGGACCAGCCGTTGAGAATGTCGATCCTGACCACCAAGCATGAATGAAACGGTGATTCGCAGAAAAAAGACGCTCATGAGAACAACCATTTCTGAGTTGGTCTGGGGCATTTGATAGGACCAACCTGTCTGTCTCTCAAAAGCTAAGGGCGGGAAAAGCTTAATAGCTCCAAGTTTGCCTGCCACATTGTTTCCCCTAGACTTCAAAGTGGATGTGAGGCGGTGTTCAGGGGTTCCTTATTATTCTATTATGGCAGCCGACCATGATCCGGATCCGAGAGTGTGCTAATTTCTCTTAAGGTGAATTGAGAGAGCCCTGACAGGACGCAGAAAATAGGCTTTATGGCTTTACAATTATGCTGAGATCGCAAAGCTAGAAAAATGGCATGGCTGATTGGAAGAACACTGTATTCTCAACCTTACGCCCCAATGCTGTGATAAGCAGAGATAAGTTTAGAGCTCCCCAACCAAGGTTGATGGCCGCATGACCGAGCCTCGCTCGCTTGGGTGCGCCCCAAAAGATTCTTGTTGCACAGGCAAATTGCTAGTGGGCTGGCTGATCATTTGTGCAAGTTCAGTGTGCTTGATGAATTTTTTTTCTCTAGTTGGATAATACGAACAACGAATGCTAATGCCACTGAGTTGGCAATCGACTGACACATCCGTCGGACACGTATCAATTGAGGACTGGCAGCGATTGTTCACCGAATCATGCTGCAGATATCTGCTATTGAGAAATAGAAGAAAAGGGTCCAAGTACGTCCAGCTCTTTTGCCTTACTGTGTAATGGCAGGGCACTATCAGCTGCAAGGTGAAGTGGATACAAAGGTTGTGGTACCTTAATCAAGGCTGCTGCTGGCAGGTCTACGTTGCATTTGTCTCCATGGTGCATTGGGTGTCGTGGTGCGCTGAATGACAATCAATGGTATGAACGAAGATTGAATGTGACTTGGTCCAGTGATGGGGCTCCCTTTCTTGAGGTTTGCTGCATACATGGACATTGCATCATCTATCCAAGGTCTGTTTTTTTGATCTTCAGGGATCCTCCCAATTGACGTAGTAATTGTTGGGTTAATCTCAAGACATGATGGCGGTAATATGAGAGACTCGAGTTCTGGAATTTGTCTCGCATCGAAGCGGGACGAGTTCAGCGCTGCCCATTCGCCCGCCAAAGACCGCTCAACGCCTCAATCTGCGTGTTTCCTGATTGTGCTTAGTGTGACCAAGAGCTTCGTGTGCAGGCTCCAAGGGCCCCAATTCGCTTGGATGGGCAGTGGAGAGGCTCTTTCAAATGGCCCAGTGCACGGGGCAGTGCCTAGTCTGCACGGGGTCTAGCAGGCCAATCCTCGAGCTAGGCCACCCCTAGCCCGCCCATTTTCCTGAGGTTAGTCCCCGTTGGTTCAAGTTCAGGCCTGTGACCGACATTGGACCTTGAGCATGCTTGAGACCTTGAACCTGCCCTCTGGTACTAAGTAGCCTCTAGCCTCCAGCCTCTAGCCCTCTAATCTCTAGGCTCCTTTGGCTCTGTCGTGCCGATTTCATTTTCTCCCTTCTGATCCTCTGCCCTTCCGTCAATTGAGACAACGTCAACATCAACATCGTCGACCAGCCTTTCCACGCGACGACTGTCAATCACGACGAGTCCTCGTCCGCGAGTTCCGACGCCGATTGCGAAACGTCGAATCAGTGAATCAAATACCCGCCTGCTTGCACTCAGATGATGACAACACGTCAACACTGAGTGTACCAGTATCTCAGGTACTCCTTTCCCACCGACCCAGGCCCTCCACCACCGCCTTTGCCAACCTCCGAACACCTCGTCATCTCCCCCCGATTCATTAGTTCACGACCTTGTGTGAACCTCTTCCGTTTCGCCCATCTCGAGCAGCACCAGCATCGGTAGCTGTGTCCCTCATCCGCAATGGCTTCCTCATCTTCAAATGTTGTCGGCGTCCACTACCGGGTCGGCAAGAAGATCGGAGAGGGTTCATTTGGTGTCATCTTCGAAGGTACCAACCTGTTGAACAACCAACAGGTGGCCATCAAATTTGTGAGTCACCATATGCATCCTATCATTAATCATGCACCACCCACGCCGGCAACCATTCATTCGCATTCATCATTGCTCTGTTTCCATGTCATGTGCTTTTTCAGTGGCTAACCTGGCTTTCCTCGAACAGGAGCCTCGTAAGAGCGATGCACCTCAACTCCGAGATGAGTATCGCACATACAAGATTCTTGTCGGATGCCGTAAGTACACACGTTGCATTATCTGTGCCACTGCCACTAACTCCTCACCAGCCGGCATTCCCAATGTCTACTACTTTGGCCAGGAAGGCCTACACAACATCCTAGTGATAGATCTACTAGGACCTTCGTTAGAGGATCTCTTTGACCACTGTGGCCGCAGATTCACCATCAAGACTGTTGTCATGGTGGCCAAGCAAATGGTAGGCCTATGAGCGATCAATCTTGGAACCTCGCCTGGACACTAACAAGATGCTAGCTCTCAAGGGTTCAAACCATTCATGAGAAGAACCTCATTTACAGAGACATCAAGCCAGACAACTTCTTGATAGGGCGACCGGGAACCAAGGCTTCCAATGTTATCCACGTCGTGGACTTCGGTATGGCCAAGCAATACCGTGACCCCAAATCGAAGCAACACATCCCTTACCGTGAGCGGAAATCACTTTCCGGAACCGCCAGATACATGAGTATCAATACTCATCTTGGCCGCGAGCAATCGCGACGTGACGATCTTGAGGCCCTGGGCCACGTGTTCATGTATTTCCTCCGAGGTGGGCTGCCGTGGCAAGGCTTGAAGGCTGCTACCAACAAGCAGAAGTATGAGAAGATTGGTGAGAAGAAGCAGACTACACCGATTAAGGATCTGTGCGAAGGATTCCCCGAGGAGTTCAGCAAATACTTGACGTACGTGCGGAACCTTGGATTTGAGGATACCCCGGATTACGACTACCTGAGAGACCTGTTCACCCAGTCATTGAAGAACACCGGAGAGGTCGAGGATGGCGAGTACGACTGGATGAAGATCAGCAAGGAGTCCAGCAAGGGCTGGGACGCTATGCACAAACCAGGAGCTTACCACAACCCAAACGCCAGGCCAGGCCCGTCGCAGATGGAACTTCACGGCGCATCTCGTACTGGCGCCAGCACTCCTCATCTCACCCGCGATCGTTTAAACGCCGCGCAGCCCCCACCTCCCTCGCCAGCGAAGGCGATGGACAAACGCCGGCCAAACGCCCCAGGCGCTCTCCAGGCGCAGCGAGGTAGTGCGGTAGGGGGTCTCCGTGACATGGCTACGCCGACTGGATCGACTCAAGCTCAGTTTCAGAATAGCAACCAGAACTTGCCACCCAGAATGGCGCCTCAAACTTCTCAGATGGGAGCTCAAACCATGCCCGGTAGCCGCCCCGCCGAGCCTCAACCTACTGGCTTCCAGAAGTTTATGAAGGTACTATGCTGCGGTTAGTGCTGCTGCGTACAGAGGTCCAGAACTGGAGGCATGGGTGGCCACCTGTCGCCGCCCGTCTAGGCTGAGTGCACTTTGTGACGCATGTCATGATGGCGATTCCACATAGACTTTAGAGAGCATTGGATGAGATGGTCCCGTGCTTTCTGCTACGACTTTTTAATACTTTTTGGACCGCACCTATTCCCGACATAGTGTTTTACGAAAGCTGTTTCCATCTCAGCTATGACGAATTTCATATGCACCAGCGACTTTTCTCCAACATTGACATGCTTCAAGCGACATCTGCATCAAGCGTTTGGCCAGGCTGATATATAAGGGAATGGGCGCCATGGCGTAATTGAATCGACTTGATCTGGTGTGGACGTTGCTGTGTCTGGCAAAGCTTAATCAGCAACTCGTGCTTGCCGGTCTACTCTGTCCGCATCGAGATCTGGCGTTGGCTTGGGCATTGACGGAGTCACGGTATCGGAAATGCAATCAAAAATAAAATCTCATTCACGACACTCGCTACCTACGAAACACAGAAAGTTGATCAAGTGTCTGTTAATAGTCAGCGAAAGCGATTGAGAGCAATGGCGCAAGGGGAACAGCATTCTGGATTTTCTTGCACTAGTTTACATGTTCATAATTTATAGGCGGAAGAAGAGTTTTTTACGATGACATAGGGCGATAGTATAGAGCGTCATTGAGAACGAGTGGTGAAGTCAGTAGTCACGGCAGTGGAGTAGCAGGTATGCAGACAGAGGGTCCAGAGGGGGTAAGAACTGCATTGAGACTTTTGTAGTGTTGATAGAATAGGCAAGCACAATGGGTATAAGAGAATTCTTCATATGTTACATATAGCGTCTGCACCTAAACTGGTTCCTGATCATGTAATCCAATGATTTTAATCCTGGAGCTCACTGACTAAAGCTGTAAAACACAAAGGCTCTGACTTGAGTCAGAATTCGAATTCCTTTTGCTTCTTCTATTCTCTTTCGAGGACAGATTTGCGTCCTACCAACGAACCTAATGGTCTGAGGTTGGGGATCATGGCTGGGATGATCTGAGACTAGCCAAAACTTGACTAAGAAAAGGATAAAAGAAATAAAAGGAATAAAAAAAAAGGGTTTCGGCCAAGTCCCTGTTCTTTTTGGTTTTAAAGAATTCGTTTCAACTTTATGATTCAATTCACCTGAGCAGAAACCTTCGCATGGGCTGGGATACAGGAGAGATCTACCCCACGGTCGAAGGGGCGCTTGTTCAATGTTTGCCCCCCCCCCCCCTTTTCTTTTTTTCCCCCAAGGAGCCTGTCCGACGTCTTTGCTGTACTGGATTCAAGTTTGAGTGAGTGAGTGGGTGGGTGAGTAGTGCTGAGGCGTCGATATCATACATAGTCAAGACAAGCTGCTCGCGAGGGCGCTGCCGTATTGCCTGCCAGCTCGGAGTGCGGTGTCGATGTGCCCAGGGCGTATGCACGTTGGGGGTTATACCGGGTGTTGGACACGGGAAAAGCCATGGACGCCGTGGATAGCTTACTACATTCGTCCGCACTCGGTTTGAACGCCGGTGAACTGAATACATTTCTAAAGCAGGCCGATTAAGCCCTGGTTCTGGATACTGCGACGACCTGCCTGCGAAATTCAAGTGTGCAATCCGCATGTTGCAACGTTACTACCATGAGGCGGCAAGAACAAGATAAGCACTCTGGCTGGAGTTTTGGCCTGTATAGTTGGTCTGCTCTGAATTATATGGCTGTAACCTCAAAATGTACGTCGCTGAGGCGTCGTTCAGGAGATCATCAGCTACGTGTAGAGAAGAATAGGAAACAAGCAAAGCACATTCATTGATTTTTGCTACCCCTGGGTAACTCCTCTGATCCCGCCCATGCCTGGCGAGATGGATCAAAGACGCCGACCAAAATTCGTATCAATACAGAGAGAATACCGCCAGGACACCCGCATAAACAGATTACCGAGGCATAATCTTCGTCATCTTCTATATTCATGTTTGAGACAGCACTGCTATCTTGTTGCAAGCCTTCCGGTATGCTGCAGGTCAGGCTTAGGTAAGCTTCTGCTTGATGAAGAACGATCGCAGATGCGAGAGTTGCCATGCGCATGTAGCGGCCAGAACAAGCACCTGGATGCCCATCCATCGAATGGTACGGGAGTTTGTGCTTTCGGATTGATCTCTGAATTCGGCTTCGCGTTCCTATAGTTCCATTTATTAGTTCTTGTCTTGCCGGCCAGACTCTTCTGCTGATGGGAAGCAATGGGGGGTTGGAACTGGGCTGAAGGCGTGACGCAACGTACTCTTTGGAAGACCTGTTCCCTGCGGATATCCTGCAACCTCGAGTTGAGATCCTTGACACGCTGGGAAATATCGGCCATCTTGCCCTTGTCGGTGCTTTCGATGTCGCTAGTCTCGCCGATGGCCAGGTCGAGGGTGAGCTTGATGCCACCATTGGGGTGCATCGAGCTCAACCAGCCCTGACGGCCCGAGTTGGAGGAGGGAGTGAAGCAGATGCGGTGCTCGCCAGCGTCGGCGGCGCTGAATGTGAAGCGGCCAGCGGAAGAGCCACGTTGCGAGACGACGCGGTGATCATTGTCGAATACCTCCTATAGGGGGGAACCAAGCGAATTAGCAAACGGGTCCTCGGTGCCTATCGTGATATTTGCGAACATGGGAGCATGTGGGCAATGAAGAGAAGCAAGCTGGGCTCCAGGGGGTGAAACTTACATCAACGGAGATGTAAATGCTGATGCCATCGTGCTTGGACCATGACTGGGTGTTCTCGTCAAACTCCTGAGCATCGTAGTGGCCGACGACCAGCGTGTCCTTGGGCAGATCCTCGAAGAAGCACTTGGGCGTGGTGCCGTCGATGAAGAAGTACAGGGCGTGGGCGACAGTGCCCAGGGAAAGGAGAGGGAGGATCGTCCTCATTGTGGATCGGCGACTCGGGCTCAATTGACCTGGTGGAGGGAAGCTATCGCGGGAGAAGAGCGATCACAGCTGAGTTGAGCGGGTTGGTTGTCGTGGTGTTCGCTGGTGACGGGGGAGCTGGAAGGAGCGTCCAAGTCGTCGTGCTCTGCTGTACTTTCGCTTCACAGGCCAAATGTCCAGATGGTCTTTCGCCCGAAAAATGGACAGGGGGGGTAATCAGATAGAGCTGGAGCAAGTTCAAGGTGTCTTGTCTTGGCTTGGCTTGCTCTGAGGAGCAGAAACAGGCCCGAGGGAGTCTAGCGGGCCAGGCAGAAAGTCATTGGCTCGAGCGCTGAGAAAGGTCGCCCTCAAGCCTCAAGCTCTAAGATAAAAAGGAAAAGTGGATATTTCGGGGGAGAAAGCGCGAGCACCTGTCAGACCTGTTGGAAATTTGGATTTGCATTTTTGGATTCTGGTTTTGGCGGCGACGGGAGCGAGTATCTACAGTATCTTATCGCATTCATGTCATTCAACTAACCTCAGGTTACTTTAATCCATCAAAGCTCTACGCGTTAGACAGAAGACATTATCGCGACTAATCCGTTGTTTACTCTTTTCCTTTCCTTCTTCCCTCGTTGACTTTGTATCACTAATAATCCCACCTCCCCATGCAACCGCGATTCCGCCTGCCCAGCTTCGTTCCGGCCAAACTTCTGGTCCTGGTCCTTGTCGCAGCACCTCAGCGGCGACTCTAGGTAGCTGCTCGACGGGGCAGTCCACCTCTCGGCGCACGCATCCGCAGCTCGGTTTCTTGCAAGAAGATACCACCAAAATGACTTCACACGATGTACGCGAGGTTTTGAACCTGCCAAACGATGGCGCTGCCCCGCGACCGACCAAAAAGCAGAGGACAACCGCCCCGCGGCCCAACCTCAAAGGTCTGGCCAGAGAGGTCCAAAATCTAGGCGGAGACAATCCCATCGCAATTGTCCCGGCAATATCCTCCTTCAAGAAGCGACGGTTCGGAACCAGGAAACCCGCCGCGAAATGGGAAATGCGCCCATTCCGCAACTCGGCCCGCCAGGATGGAACACTTATACTCAGCCATTGGAGGAGGAAGGACGAGATTCAACCACCATCACGACCAGAACCGAATCCTCAGCATGGCCAAGACGAGATGGAGACCGATCAGAAAGAAGAAGAAGAGCTCGAGGACTCGTCTTTTGCTAAATTCAACGTCAAGGTTCACATCCCCGAATATAGCGACGACCAGTACAACTCTTCCCTAGTCAGTAACAGTTGGACGAAAGAGGAGACTGACTACCTGTTGGAAACCGTACGGGATTTCGACCTCAGGTGGGAGATAATATGGGATCGCTACGACTACCAACCCAAATCAACCGAACCCGCAAATGGGCACGAATCGGGGCATGCGAGCACAGCAGTGGTACAAGCCAAAAGGCCCCGTACTATGGAAGAGCTCAAGTCGCGGTATTACGAGGTCGCAGCCAGGATGATGACCGTCACGAAGCCTGTCCAGTACATGAACGCCGATGAGATTGCTTTACACAAGATCATGACCAGCTTCGATCCAGCGGCCGAGGGCCGTCGCAAGATCTTTGCCGAAAATCAACTCGGCCGCTCCAAGGAGGAGGCTCGCGAGGAGGAATCGCTTCTCATCGAAGTCAAGCGTATCGTCGCACGACAGGACAAGTTCAATCTCGAGCGTAGAGAACTTTACAACCGCTTAGACTATCCCCAGACCGAGACCACACAAGACCTCAGCGTCTTCAAGACCAGCGCTGGTCTCAACACCTTGTTCCAGAACCTGATGAATGTCGACAAATCCAAGAAGCGCAAGTCCATCATGGGCACTGACGGACAAAACACACCAGTATCAGCAGGTCCTTCTGCACATCCCGGTTCGACCCCAGCCGCAGACCCCAGACGCGAGAGCATTGCCCTATCCACCACGAGTGGCCATCGTGACTCCATCAGTGCCGCCGACGGTCGTCCAGAGAGGCCTACCAAGAAGGGGGCCATCGCTCAACCCCAGGAACGCCGCAAGCTTACCGAGCAAGAAGAGCAAATCTATGGCGTCGTCACCACCGTCGATCGATTATCAAGTGGTCCTACTTTCCGCTATGAGAAGATTAACAAGATTCTCACCACCAAGTCCAATGCTCAACATCAGCGCATCACAAATACTCTGGCTGAGCTCGATGTGCCCTCTCGACTCAATATGCCAACCAAGGATGTCGTCGACCAGATGGAAAGATTGTTGAATAATGTTCAGACGCTGCTTGATCTGAGGAAGATCAGTGACAAGCTAGACGGAGAGATCAAGGTGGAGCAAGCCAAGAAGGCCGAAAGAGACAAGACTAATCCTCCTACCCAACCAAAGTCCAAGACCGCAGGCGAGGATACGGCAGCAACATCAGCAGCAGCAGCAAGTGGAGATGCTGGAGAGGTCTCCATGGAAGCCGCCTTGACCATGGGAGGTGGTGCCATCGGTACTTCATCCGGTGCAGGCGCAGGTGCAGCCCAGCCCTCAGTGAATGGCGAGACGGCTGCCGAAACCGACTCTACAAATGTAGACAAGGCGGAAGAAAAAGCAGCCGAGGTGAAACGAGAGTCAGCCGAAGACAAGGCCCCTCGACCAACCAGCAGTGGCGGGCGTAAGAGGAGCGCCAGTGAAATTAGTGGTGTCAGCGACCAGAGCTCTAAGAGGCAGAAGAAGTAGATCAGAAATTGCTACAGATTCCAATTAGCATCCTGTGCAGTCGTGCTACTCGACGAGATTGTGTATTGCTGGTGATTGCTCAGGCTTTCTACTTCCACTGCGAACCCTCTCTACCGCTTCGTCAGCGAGCAAGCCTTTAAACAGAATTGCTTCTTGATGCGGATATAGTCAATGTCCCATATAAAACAATGTGGCTGCTAGGCTGACGCTGTTATCCTCCCTTTTACGCATGATGGCGGGGACCTCGATATATTCTTAGGCTGGTCGCGTTCTGTCTCTTACATCCCCCATAAAAAGAATCAGCGATCGAATAGCACAACGTATCCGTGCTCTTCGTCTATGGCTCATCTCGACAGTTATAGGAGCCTTCTCAGCATCATTCTTCCTAGGTCATCGAAGCGGTCTGGCCGTGTCGTGGGACAACATGTGCAACCCAAGAGGCCAACTTCAGACATCTAATGAGGTCAAACAGAGCTTGAGAAACACATCTGCGGATGTGTTGCTCCTAGGAGCATTTTGATGCTGTTCAGCAACTTAGGGTCTTCGGAGCAGATGTCATCACCCACCATATCTGCTCACGCTCAGTCGCCTTCTCGGCATCGGCACCTTCTGGTGCGGTCTCTAAAACTCTGGCGCTCGGAGCCCAGCGTTTACCGACGACACCTGGGGCGGGACTATGCCCCTGCACGACGTCGAGCGCTATACTTTGAGCCAGCAACAGAAGATACGTGAAAATTACTACGTTGCGCTGCCTTACACGGCGATATGCTCCGCGGCCGCGTTCCGGATAGCCTAGCTGTATCGCTCATGGTTTCGTTCTGGTGGCTGCCTCTGCCTCTGCGTTGAGCGATCTCTTGGGGCTGAAGTGGGGACGCGTGTCGCTGTCGTTGTATTGTATTCTCCCGGCGTGGCAGGAGATCAGAGCTCGTTTGCGGGACGAGGCTCCTGCGCTGTGATTTAGTTTTGGTCATTTTGCCACGTGCAGCTGGCTGGATTTCCATGGCGGCTCGTGTCGGAAGGGAAGACATCCCTCTATTTTTGTTCGCGATACAAGAGGTTTGGCATACATTTGTATTCACAGAAATTCAGTTCAGCGGGGACAAGAGTTCGTGTGACAGCATCAATTTACATAACGGCGTAGTATCCAAACGTCTTGGTGTAAAGACCAAGCCCACATGTACTCCCATGTCTTCTCCAGCTCTACAAACGTACGGCAAAGCAAATCCCAAAGCAACAGTGGTAGTAGTACACTACTCTAAATACACCAAAATAATAATAAAAACAATGCAATACTCCTTACAAAGCCATGCATGCCTCCTCATCCCAGTACTCATCAGAAACGAACAGAGCCATCTGGAATCTCCCCGCCGTCTCCACCGAGGCCAAGCAGAGGGTGATCCGGCTCGATCGCGGCAGTTTGCTCCCGCTCCAAGACCTCGAGCTCCCCCGCCGCCACATGGTTCACGACCTCGGCGGACCGTGCGCCAGGCACGTTTGCGACGGCCACCTACGCGTACCTGAGCCAGTTCTGCCTCGCCGGGACATAGCTCCCCGCCTCGTCCCTGTCGTCGGCGGACTCGGGGTGCTCGTCCGCGTCGCCCCACAGGGGCCATCTGATGCGGTCCTCGATCAGGCTTTCCGGATGGGACCGCGGCGGAGGTGGGGAAGAGCGTGGGGGAGAGGGCAGACAGGGTGAGGAGGAAGGGGATGGGGTCCGCAGCTGCAGCTGTTCCGGCTCCGGGGGCGGGGAGCGGTTTGAGGGGTCGCTGGTGCGGCTGACTCTCTTGAGTCGGTAGGGGAGGTCGAAGGAGTCCATGCGCTTGAGCTTCTTGTAGAGCTCTACGGACCCGGGGTTGCAGTGGGAAGCGTCGTTGTCTTCTTTAATTTCCTCCTCCTCCTCCTCTTCTTCTTCTTCTTCTTCCCTATGATGCTCTTGAGCCTTGCTGGTCACATCTTGCTGCGGCTCCTCGGATGGCTTGGGTGGCCCTTGAGGACTGGCAGTTCCATTGCCTTCAAAGCTAGTGGGTGGAGAGTGGCTCTGAGTTGACGCCGACAAGCAAGGGGTCGGCGGGCCTTGATGCCGTTCCGGTTGTGGCAGTCTGTGCATGTGCAAGGAGCCGCCCTCCACAGACAGCACGAAACCTCTAGGACCAGCCCTGATAAAGATGAGTCTGGCAGATCTTTGGAAACTGTCCCCGCCCTCTGACGTGGACGAGGAAGACTGCTTGGAATCCCTCCTCTGATTCTTGTACTCCTCAAGCTTGCTCCTGAGCATGGCGATGGGGTTGAAACGGGCCATCTTGACGATTTGGTCTGGATGCGCGAGTGCTGGGGTAAATGTGGTATCTAGCTTGGGAATATAGGGGAGCAAGCTTCAAACCGTACAAAGTGAGAAGAGCGTCTCAAAAGATGTAGATTTGTAAAGGAGGGAATTGCTTTAATTGTGCCGACATGGATTTGGCGCTGTCTTTTTATGGACGGTCTTGGGGCAAACTTGCTCTTCCATATCTGCTGTATCGTGCAAGTTGAATGGCTCGACTACGCATCGGAGAAAGCTTTGTTTGGATACCGTGGGTTGAGGCAGTTTTCAAAGTTGGGGCTGTGTTTGGGAGAGCAGTTTGGACAGTTTTTCATTTTGAAACCTTGACCAATTTTTGGACAATCCGGTATTGTCACGCGCTCTTCAGTCTGCGCTGACAGTGCGAGATTCATATTTCCAAATGATACGGCTGGATGAAGCCCGTTTTCGTCCGTAAGAACCATACGATCATAGACCTAGTCCTCAATTAATAGCATGACGGATGTTGTTTCCCATGGTTCTGCTACCTCCGGTAATAGCTCGTCCATGTGCAACTTGTCATGAAAAACAAAATTTGAAAAGAAAGAAAAAAGAAAGATATAGAAGAACGGTGGAGTACGAGACCCAAATTCAATAGTGGCCAGCGCGGTTCTACAAGTAAAATAAGCTTGCAGCGTCATAAAATATCACATCACACGTGATCCACCATCCAGCATTCACGCAATGATAGACATCGAGAACGCATTTCAACATGCCAATTGGTATTACCTCGCTGCAAAACAGCGCCTTAAAAAATGCTAGATATTACTAGGTAACGCTATAGTCCCATTGTTTGCCCTACTCCTTCTCGTGATGCTTCCAGCCCAGAATCCTCTCTGCCTTATCTGTCGTCCAGAAGGCACGGTTGCCGCTGAAGTCACCCTTGATCTCGGCGCCGGGGTAATATTTCTTTGCAAGATCTTTCGATGGTGTATCCAGTGTCGTGTCCGGAGCCAAGATGTTAAAGATCTCACAGCCCTCAAACTTGTCCGACTCTGTGACAGACAGAAGGCAGGCTCTCGCCGTCGCGACAGGGTTGACCCAACTCCAGAGCTGCTTGACGCCAGCATCCTCCCAGTTCTCTTTGTGCTCCTGCAGCACATCCTTCTTGCCTGCGACCTCGTGGATTCGCAGACATGCGACCTTCATGCCAGGATACCAGTTGGGGAACGCCTTGGCCGCCGTCTCGGCTTCCACCTTGCCCAGCGCATACGCATCCGTGGGGTTGACGGGGTAGTCCTCGTCGATGGGGAAGTAGGGGAACTTGAGCGGCTGGTTTGCGTATGCGAGGCCAATGGCGTTGACGCTGCTCGCGTAGCAGAATCGCTTTATTCCGACCTCCGCGGCCGCCCTCAGCCCGTTGAAGGCCGCCAGCACGTTGTTGGCGAAGACCGTGCTGTCATGCTTGTCCACGGGGTTGGGAATCGCAGCGAGGTGGATGACGGCGTCACACCCCTTGAAGGCTTTGACTGTGTCTTCGTAGCTGTTTGCTGCATCCGCCGTGCGCATCTCTGTGTTGGGGGTATCGTCCTTTTCTTGATCGGTGCGGTTGATCTGTACTGTTTCATGGCCCTTTTCAGCGCACAGCTTGACGACCTCCTGGCCGACTGTGCCACGTGCTCCTGTGATTGCGATCTTCATATTTCTTGGTACTGTTGTGTGAAATGCTCTTATGAAGGAATTTGCTCTGAGGAACATATTTTGGTTGCTATAAGTGTATGTTGGTTTGTGTTATAAATCACCGCTCGGTTACAGTATGGGGTTAGGCTGTGGCCAAACATCATTATGATGCTATCCGTAACAACGACGTCATCGAGCCGGGCTTCCGATAAACGAACACAGATTTCATGTGGCACTGAGACCGTTTCTGTATTCATCTTGTCTTGTTGCCAAAAGAAAGCATATATTTCAACTCTTTTTGTTTCCTAATTATAGATTCTGTTGGCTCGTCGTCTGCTATGATCAATTTCAAATTGGTGCTGTTCCTTCAAAAGACGAGCCCCACTAAGAGCTTTGAATACCTGGCCTGTGAGCATCGTGCAGCCGACATGCTACCAATCAAATTAGCTAATGTAGAGCCAGTATGGTTCGACTTTGTGTTACTCCTGCGTGTGATTGTCTATGTTAATCATGTGAACCATGACTTTTTGGCGTACATGTAATTGCATTCAGCCAGCAGGAAAAGTCTTCGACTTGGGAATTGTCGTCATATGCTCAGATGGGTGGGGCTATAAGACGACAAGCCCATGCGTTGGTATTCACTTGATCATGACTCCACAACGAAGCTGTATTATTCTGCCCTTTCACACGCAACACTTTATCGCCTGCATGTTAAACAAAGGTATTTTGCTGGCCATATTGAACTTTACCAGATCTCCATTTCCCATCTTTATTCCATCGGCAGCATGATGCTACCGATGATGGAGAACAGAGAATTTCTCATAACGCAACAGTATTCGCAATATCGAAGTAGAGGTTCTGACTGACAGCCTGCTCGCAAGGATTCTCTAGGTTAGTTTGTGACAGCTTCAGATCATATCAATCAAGGTAAAAGATGATTATGATTTTGTTGAAATCGAGTCGAAAGTCCCATACCGTGTGCATCTCGGCGATATGACAACATTGTGCCCCAGAAAGTAAGGTTTCCTCAATTCTTATTTAAACACCTTGCTAATCATGTAGTGCTCGCAGTTGTTGCAGGAATCACGATCCTTATGAATCCAACTGCCCTGATATCCGGGCAACGCTCCGAGCAGTTCTCATCTTCATGCATTACTGCTTTACCCTGGATGAGCGTGCTAAAAGCCTCAGATATCGCGGCAAGAATGCTCAGACGCTGCTTGTGCGACAGACCTGAGCAAGGAAGCATGTTTTGTCGAGCTCCGTCGTAATACTCTGGACATATGGTCACACTCATTTCAATATTGACTGGATCGACGCTGCTAGGAAGCTTTTGTACAAGAGCAAGCGAGGACGTGGCGAGATTACTACAAATTTATATCCGAATAAAGTAGTAGACATAGAAAAAACTGCAGCATATCTTGTCGCGCAACCTGTTGGCGGACTGCCTCTTAAGGTACAGTTGACAAACCACAGCCCATCACCAACGCAGGAAATCGTGGTTTGCTAGACCATGCTGTTCGGTTTCTTTTCGCCATCGGGTAGGTCATCAGATAATCCCAAAAACCAAAAGATTAGCTCACAAACATGCACAGCTCTACATGTTTTGTTGCATATCAACAATGTATTGTTTGTAAATTAAAGCTACTCAACACCTATTGATTAATCAAAAGTAACATGGCCAGCTGGCAAGGATTTTCGCCAGTTGACTTACTTGACGACAATTAGCGCCTTCATCCATGTGAAGAAAGGCATTGTCCAATATCGTCTGATGAGCCTCTGCTTGATTATATATAGGCTCAGAAGGCGCTGTCGGTGGACAAGGTCAGAGACTATCTTCGACTTGGGTCGTATCACCACCCAAAACGTCAATATGATCAAGATTCAGATTCAGTCAGATCTACATCTCGAGGCGCCAAAGGGTTACGATGTATTCGAGGTTACTCCGAAAGCTCCATATCTTGCCCTTCTGGGAGATATCGGTTGTATTGCCAAAGACTATGACGACTACGCCAACTTTTTGTTCACTCAATTGCGACAATTCAAGGTCGTTTTTTTGGTCATGGGCAATCATGAACCCTACCACGCGAGCTGGCCTCAAGCAAAGATTCTGATAGGCAAATTCAACGCGAGTGTAGAGGCTCAAAAGCAAGGCGGAGCGGAGGAGCTCGGTTCTTTTGTCCTGCTTGACCGCACTAGATTCGATATCGACGACGGCGAGGACCACATCACAATCCTCGGGTGCACGTTATTCTCAGACGTGCCTCCGGAGTCTCATGAGGCTGTCAGTTTTGGGCTCAATGATTTCTATCACATCAGGGATTGGGATATCGAGAAGCATAACAAGGAGCACCGACGTGATGTCGAGTGGCTCGAGTCGGAAACTCAAGCTCTGGAGGGCTCGGGCAGGAAGGTCGTCATCTTTACTCACTATTGTCCGACTGAGGATCCTCGGGCTAAAGATCCTCGACATGGAGAAAGTGCGATCAGGTCTGGTTTTGCCACCGACCTGGCAGACAATTCTGCTTGGCGAAGTGATTCAGTTACGATTTGGGCCTTTGGCCATACCCATTGGAACTGTGATTTCATAGATGAGCGTGGAAAGCGGGTATATGCTAACCAGCGGGGATACTACTTTAGACAAACCACAGGGTTTGACGGGACAGCTGTGGTAGAGATGTAGCCAAAAAGAATCAGAGTTATCAGGAAAGCTTACTTATTGATATGTAGTCGTTCCTTATAAAAGCAATGCGCCATGATCGATATAAATAAATTCTCAAAGATTCTGATGTACTACATGATTTACACGGGCGTATAACTGATTCTTATGAGAGATCAGATGGCTATCCATTTTGATTCTTGTAGGCCTCTCCGCTTCCTCCACAACCTCTCCAATAATGTTCAGGTAAGTAAATATAAATCCAAGCATGATTTCACTACGCTGTAGACCAACGAAAGATACTAGTCGAATATGGCTCAGTGAATGGATACGACGATGATGAACAGTTGTCTCATAAAGGTAACTTGATTTGATTAGGTAGGTCTGTGACATGCTAATTTTCCACTACTTACTATTGAAATAATTACAGAAAGATGCCATCTTGTTAGTTCTGATCGCAAGCGGTATGCTTAATTTTGTGAGCGGACGATACTAGAGAGCTTGGTTTTGTGGTAAATGAATTGAGATGAGTGAATAAGAGTTCCACGCCGTTCTGAGAAAAATGGAAAGACGAAAAGAAAATTTGTGACAAGATTTTTTTGATTCAAGGAAAAATGCAGTGTTTGTATTGGCGTCAGCAACCTGTTTGAGCGGATGAGATCACTTGTACGATATTCATGGACGAGGAAGACTTGGCCTTTTTAGTCCTTGATAGCGAACGGCTAGCACAGAACCACAAATACATTTATTTATCGCTCAACATCAAACGAGACGCTAAGACTGAAGGTGGCTCAACATGGATTTCACCATCACACTATCATTCCTTCGGGAGACAATGAGAACGCGCAACCAAGCAACATTGGCTTAGAGGCCGCCAGCGATAACGATGATTAGAACCAAATAATCCTACACTGATGAGAAGTCGGGCGACAGAGGCCGAGACAGTGAACGTGTAGCCCATGGTAAACCGACTTTTGGCACCAGTACCTCTGTCCCTGGTAGTATTGATTTCAGTTACGAAGGTGCCAGTATTCGGGGCTCCTCACACAGTGGTGGTTGTGAAAGCTCCGGCGGTGGTTATGGCCATGGCTCTGATTGTTGTGCTGGTAACGAAGACAGTTCCCTTGCTAGTAAAATCCCAGTGTGGAGAAATCGGCGAGGATGATGTGATGGAAGAAATATGCAAAACTAGGAAAGCGTTACGAAAAAAAAAAAAATAATGTTACCAGTGCGATGCTCAAAGAATTTAGTGTTAAGACGAATGAATACAGTATAATATAGGTGATGCCTTAGTAATATCCCGCAAATCATACGGTGGTAATGGCCTTGTACAAAGAAATTCCACTCAAGAATAAAGGAAACGCGCGAATTCAATGGCCTGTTTTACGTAGAGAAGGCGGAACGTAGGTGAACACCTTTAGCCCAGTCAATTAGAGGATTACACATGATATCGAGCTATGGACGAGACAGTGTGGTGCTGAGTAGAGAAAGATTAATGATTCGTGAGGTTTTTCTTGACCGAAACACCTTCCGAGAGTACGTTCCAAAATCGAGAATGAAATCTCAGTGGATCAAATTTACATCTGATTGATTTATTGCAAAAAGTCGGTTCTGAAAGCTTTTCGATCCGGCGTCATAAACATTCCGTATGAGGCACCGAAGTGCCATAATCGTGTATGACGCGATTGAAATCAGGGTTGTTCGCGAAGTTCGTGCTTTAATATCATTATACAAGTTCTGTAATATCCTCCTTAAACGATTTCCACTTGTAATTGAGCCTCCATTCTTTTATTTACTTCCGCGAGTTATACGTGATCGAACAACGCATTGCTAGCGTTAGAGTACATTTCGCTAATATGTGAGGTCAAAATATTTCCCATGCCATCCATTGTTACAACCCGTAGCTCCTTAATGACGTTTCCAACAATATCAAGATACTTAGCGATGAGGGCAGTCGGTCCGGAGTCCGGCTCTAGCTTGCTAAGAGTGCTAAATAATGCATTATCATGGCTAAGTGTGTCGAAATGATGACTAATGTGAATTCTTGAGTCGAAGCAACTCCTTTTTGTTAACTTGCCGTACTCCATGATAAAGGCAGAGATTTACTTCCAAGCACCGTAAAGAAACGCTCTATATAGCGTGCGCTCATTGGAGCGTTTGCTTACGATCCAGAATTTCGTCGCATTCTAGTATAATTTCCGAATCCGTGTGTATATTCCTAGTATGGGTGCGTAAGCTCTGACATTGATATTCAAAGCTTATTCTAGCCTTAAGCACTACGGACGTGACATAACGGAGTAGCCGATAATAACATTTGTTAAGAAGACAGAAATACATAACACGGTTGCTCAAGCTCATCCGTAGAATTCCGATGTCAAATTATCGAGAAAATACGAAATTATTCTTCGTTTGGTGAATAGAAAACGGTAAGAGGGTTTGTATAAGCCTCTAAATCGATGTTGATTATCGAAAAATATCATTAATACACGTTTGGAGCGACGCGGCGTAGTACGCAATGGAGTAGAGGTGTAAAGAAAATGGTATTATAATGGACAAATAATCTCGAAGGTAAGAACTTTCTGGTACAATGGAAGAAAAGAGTTTCACCTAGTTCTAGATAGAACAATCGATAATTATTATAATTATTACTAATTTAGGGGGTCGGATAAGTGCGCCGGGGCAACAAGGCGTCACGCCTTGATTTTGATACACAAGATAAAATAAGACTATTCATCATATCTATAATTAATAGTTGAGAGGTTGGACTAAAAAAAAGGGAACGTTATATAAAATGTATGCATATCTCTTTATAGGAAAAGTATCTCTAGCTTCATGTACTAGTGGATGCCATTATATGCTTATAATGCTGTGGGTACTTGGACAATAGTCGACTAAGCACTTCTAGGATCCTATGTCGATGTAAAAAAAAAATAAAAAAATAAAAAGATTTAGCAAGGGTTGTCAATGACACGTGAATCAGTTATTTCATCTGTACATCATTATCTGCTGGCTTCCGGAGGACTGGCACGCTCGTTGTCATAGCTGTCACACTTTGGGGGCAACATGGACATATCATAGTAGACCTACCTATAGATACACAAATAGTATATTGTATTAAAGATATAGTAGTTAAGGATAAGCCATTGTAATAAACACAATCATATCCGACGTAATTGACGGTACAAAAAATGCTACAAAATTGTTCTATAAGCTTAAAATTAATCAAGCAAGATCGACGTGGAACATGAAGCTGGTGCAATATAATATACTCGCTTTTATTAAGGAGTCATCCAAGTTTCGAGGTTGTAACAAACAGTTGATGAGTCTTCTACACTTTGAGCACACGTATTATTCATGCAAGCTTCATAGACAACATCTCAATGGAAAAACATAGAAAAACGGGTAGGAATTACGCAGGAACTGAATGCGCCAAATTACCGCTAAACCATATGTTAGTTATCGCTAAATTACCACTCAACGCCAATGCTCTTGTAGATCTCCTTGATGTAATCTTTTGCAAGAGGAGTGACGGGCGTCTCGAGCCGCATCTTGTTCATCAAATACGAAATTGTGATACCACGATCCAAGTCCATAATGCCCAAAGAGCCACCCCAACCTCCCCAGAGGCAGACACGGCCCGGCGGAAGCCACTCATCCAAGGAAGTCTGGCCATCTCCACGCAGAGCCATGCCCACACCCCAGCGGATGGTAAGACCACTGAAAGCATCCACTCCACAGGTCTGTTCTTGGAAGATCAGATCGACAGTGTCTTTGGACAGCAGTTTGCCACCTTTGCCAGCAAGTGTCACGTTGGAGAACAAGCGTGAGCAGGCTTTGGCGTTTCCATGACCGTTAGCAGCACCGATTTCTGCGCGTCTCCACTGTGGCGTGTGGATAAACATAGCATCTGGGAATGGGTTGAGAATCTTGACCGGCATGGCATCCGGCGGCATTGGGCCGACGTTGAGGGCTGGAGGTGGTATCATCTCAGAAGCACGATCCCAGTCTGCCTCCTTACACCCGATTTGGATATCGGCGCCGGTAGGCTCGGCCAGTTCCTTGGCCACGAACTCTTTCAGGCTCAAGCCAGTCACGCGTCGCACAACCTCTCCGACCAAGTGACCGAAGTTCCAGCAGTGATATCCAGACATCGTACCGGGCTCCCAGAATGGCGCTTGACCTGCGAGTTCTGCCGTCCTCTTTTCTGTATCGCACAATGTCTCCATTGTTAGCGGTGTGTTCCAGCCTGCCACTCCTGAGCTGTGTGATAGGATATGGCGTATCTCGATATTTTCTTTTCCATTGGCGGCAAACTCCGGCCAGTATTTAGCCACCTTGTCGTTGATCGAGATCTTGCCCTGGTCGACCAGCTTCAGCAACGCAAGCGCCGAAACGATCTTGGTACAAGAGAACATATTGACAATGGTGTTCTCCTCCCACGGCTTGGTACGAGCAGTGTCTGCATAACCTCCATATAAACTGAGCACATCTTGCCCTTCGATATTCACCGCTAAAGATGCACCGTTCTCCTCAGCAGAAGCGATGTGCTTCTCGAAGACATCACGGACGCCTTGAAATTTGGCATCGCAGTGGCCGTTGACATGTACAATGTCGCCCATGTTGAACTTGAACTATTGTGAGACACCAGTGTCGAATGGGTCCGGGGTATCTCCGGAAGGGCTGGGTACGTAAGAGAATTAAGAGCAAAATATTTGCACGGATGTCATCGTACGCATCTGAAGGAACACTTCTCTTATAAGAAAAAATCCGGCAGGCACAGCTAGCTTTGACTTCTCATTTATGACTATGTACTGCGGTTTTCGAACCCTGGTATCGTGAAGTCAGGGGCTGAGACCAATAGCACTCATCATGACCTGGGCTGCCTCCACTAAACACCGTTGCTCAAAGTCCACAACCCCGCTGGACATGACCCCGAAAGACCCGCCGTTCAGATCTTAGGAGCTGATCTGGATGTGTCGATGGGGCAGACGGGGTAATATGGTGCTGTACGAGCAGGGGAAGCCCCGACGATTTTTCTCGTGATGCGATACAGATCCCAGATCCTAGACTCTAGAGTAGTATAACGTCGCGAAACGGGACGACGTTGGCAAGTTGTGCCAGCATGCTGCATTGAGGTTAGTTACGAATTGAGTAATCTTTATGAAGAAAAGCGTGAGAGCTAATGTAGTTTCATGCAGGAGTTTGTGAAGAAAGACGGCGCCATCACCTGTCAGGGAACTATCAGGAGCGCTAGCCGTGAAGACGCATGCGTTAGTCGGAGTGGGAGCACATCGGCAACATAAAAGCACGTGTTTTTTTGCGCTGCGTAATTATGCTTGATTTATCTGTGAGTCCACGCGTTACTTTCCATTTCAGTACTTGTGTAATATGTACGTATTTATCAATGCGGTAACGTCAGTCCCGCACCCCCTTTGGAATCCATATCTTTGCGGCTTCAACGGTGCTGAGGATTTTTGCATGAGCATGCAGCATCGGATGTTGCTGTTCCTGGAGCTGAAAGCCGTGACCCGCTCACGGTCTTCCAGCAACTCAGTTTCTCCAACAGTGGTCCTCCGCGGAATATCGGAAAGGTAAAAATACCTAGTTCAGTGGTCGCTTGCGGATTCTGTTAGAACGACTACTATGTAGAGCAACGAAGAATCCATTCGCAGTCCTGCCGGCGCACTCCCTATTGGGTACATCACTTGGCAAGCGCGTACATTTTGTAGCGGGTCCTCACGCCATGGGACGAATTGAAAACACACCGTGCAAAAGTCTTGCGGGCCCTTGGTGTTGTGTCTGTTCGGCTATCGTGGGCATTGACCGGCGAGCTGCTCGTGCTGCGCGCGTCATTATCCCAGTCGCTCGGTAACGATCGTCAATTGGGCCTCAATTCAGGAACCATGGGCGGATCAAGACCCGGTGCTCAGGAGTTGTGGATGCCAACCTCTATACTTGGCGTGACTCGAACCATGGTCGTGTTACATTGACGTCTTCCAATGAACGGCCAACCATCGTGAGAGCAAGTCATGAGATGGAAATAACAACTGTTGTAAGTTTCGAGGATGGCTCACATCCAGCATGCATCCAAGACTATGGGTCCGGGGAACTCTCAGGCCGAGCAACCCGTCTCATGAGGTGCGACGCTAGAACTCTCTACTATCAGATTAGGTCCAAACTAGTGCCCTTCATCTGAAGAAAGTAGCCGGAAGGATTTTGAAATCAGGTACTGGAGCAAATGAGTTCATGTCTTCCAACATTTTTCTGCAGACTAGAAGCGATGATCTCACTCAAGTTGTGCCTGGACTGACCAAGGACGAGATCCCCCAAAATATGTCAAGGGTAGGAAGCGACGCGAGGTTACCCCTGTCCGACTATCTAGATCCGACCCTTTAAACCCCTCACGTCTCATTTCCTGAGCTCCGGGACCCAAGAGGATCCCTCTTCATTCGTTTTGTACTCTGTTGCGGTGACCTAATCCAAAGATGTCGACGTCAAGATCAATCGCTTCCTCGTCCGGCTCCTCCGGCGTGAAGAGCGTCGAGAGGAGACTGAATACGCCGCCAAAATTCGTTACGGAGGCACAACAAACATTGTTATATTTCCGTGCTGTGGATGCGGATGACCCGGACTCGGTTCTCGGGGACATTTACGCGAAGCAGATTATCAACAAAATCCCACTAGACATTGTGAACACTATGGGTCAGGATATCCGTTACGTCAAGTTTTGGTGTTTGCGCTCTAAGCGCATCGATACATGGTGTCGAGAATTCATGGCAGAGAACCCCGAGTGTACTGTGGTGAACCTGAGCTGTGGTTTGGATACCAGATGGCATCGGCTCCAACCACCGGGAAACGTCCGCTGGTTTGACGTGGACCATCCGGAAGTCATCGAGTTCAGACACCGCATCATCTCACGCCCCGGCGGCGACTACCGGACTATGCCCATAGACATCGCCGACGACGACACGTCCTGGATCTATGCATTCCCTAGGGACCGGCCCACCCTCGTCATTGCCGAGAGCAATATGTTCTACCTCAAACCGGAGATAGCCAAGGGCATATTTCACACCATTGCCGAGCACTTTGTGCATGGAAAGATTTGTTTCGACGTCCTCGGATCTATGTGCGCCACTCTCATCAATATGAAAATGGCGACGGCCCAGAAAAACACCGGAATGAAAATACTATGGCCAGTGAATGACCCGCGTGCCGTGGCCAGGATACACCCGAAGCTCAGATTCATCGACGAGATGAGATACACGGAGGACATGCCTCCGTGGTTCGGTGAGTTCAAGACGAAGCTACTAAAACTGCTTCCGGGCTACCGCAATCTCGGCCGCGTCATTCTGCTCAGTATCGAAGATGAGAACAGAGACCTGCCGGATCGGCCTTTTACTTCTCATGGCGCCGACTCATCATCGGTATATAGCTTGAACATGCGCGATTCAAGTGGGGGAGAACACTATTCTGGCAACATCAGCCGATCGTCTACCTTCACGCGGGATTGATTGCCAACCACAAGACAGGGCGCTCTGGGCCGTGTGTTGTAGCCGCTGCGCGTGAATTTTCTGTTAGGTGTTGGGACAGTACGCTACTCATGGGAGCCGCTTTACAGTACGATGACGTATCTCACAGCGTCTCTGGAAGAACATTACAAGATTTACATCGGTCAGCAACATCATTGCCGACGGGTGACTTATGTGAGCCGGGCAGAGCCTTTTCGCTCGAACATCATGTTGGGGGTTGGCGCATACTGGCTGTACTACACTCGAAAATATTGATACCCTAAGCGCGAAATCTCTCGCGTCGTTTTCTTATATTTAGAAAGGTTGAGGCATATATGATACCCAAAAGCGCAGTATCTTTGTGGGAGGTTTTGGATATATTGGAGGAGTTAATGGCATGAAGGGTCGGTATACTAGGATTTAGGTAGCATGTTTCCATGGGAGGACTTTTACATATATACAATTGATGCGGCATGAACCTCACTTGTCTTGTTTGCTCGCATAGATGCGTGTGTTTCCGCAACGGCCTATGGCGGATGTATCTGGAGGAAGACTGCCCCTTCCAAAGAGCTATCGCCCTCTGCAGCACTTACACTCAGCGGAGTGGAACCACTTGCTCCACTCCAATTTAAATCTACAAAATCATTGTCATGTGCAATTCGCAGATATATAGTTATTGGCGCACGACAATGCCAGAGGTCGCGAGGTTGGAGGACACATCCATTGGGTGACGGACGTATCATCGCTGGATGAGATGTGCCACTTGTATGGGCCTAGAATGTTGACATATTTATTAATATCCATAAACAAGCATATGAAAATGGAGTCGATCCGCTGCAGTCTGCAGTCAAGCCTCTGGCAATGGGAAATGTGGGAGACGTACGGATCCGTAAAGCTCGGGAAACACGGAAAGCAGACAGTCACATGACCTTGACCAGTCCATAATTACCCCAACTCATAATCTGTCTCCTCCAATTGTCCCCTGACATTAGGCGCCGGGCAGCGGTCCAATCATGATTATGCCCCCATGCCGAGCGCGTTGTAAGCGCCCAACTCGTCCTCGGCGGCGCTGACTTCTGTCTGCAATCAGGGGTACCGCAGGGCATGCATACAATAATTACCAGCTCGATTTAGCACACAGCCTTTGACACGCACGGGAGCCATGCAGCGAGCCGCGAGGCCTGAAAAGCGGCCTTGTGCCCTACTGTAGCAACTTTCGAGATGTGCTAGAGTGTGAGCTTTGGGTAACGAGTAAGTGGTGTACAGTAGTATAGGTTGATCTCTGCTTTCTGGCTTTCTCGCTCAGAGTTGTTATTTTCTCTTACATTCCAACACGAGCAAGGACTCGATTGATACTATACACGACTTGTTTGGACAAAGTCCCGCCTCAAGGCAACGTAGCCCAGCGATGTAAGTGCGGGGCTCACTTCGAGTTGTTGCTGAGGTCCATATGATGGCTTCCAACCACCCCCAGCCTGATGCTGATATCTGCCATAGTTCTGTATTTCCCAGTCGCAGTCTGCTGTTCCGAACTCTTATTAAATCTGTCATTGACTTGAAAGTTACTGCACGATCATGTCGGCACAATATTACCCTCGTACGTCGCCACAATCGCTGCCCCTCACTTACACGATCGCAAGACTGACAGTGCTATAGCTCCACCTGGTGCGTCCGGCTCGACAGGTAGGAATCAGCATGCCCTATATTATACTTTTCCTATGAAACTCTGCCAACTCTACATGGCTCCCACACCGCTCCCGGCATGGTTCCAGGAAGCATGTTGAGGTATACCCTGCATCACTAATAAACTCCTTCGCAGGCCCTCAGAAGTCTTATCCACCTCCTCCAACCTCACCACCTGCGAACCAGACCAAGTTCTACCCTCCACCGCCCGGAACACCCAGTTTCGCTCCTCCACAAGCCCAATCATATCCATCCCCACATCAACAGTCATACCCAGCTCCTTCGCAGCAGCAGCAGCAGCAACAACCGCAGCAGAAGAACTATCCTCCTCCGCCGCACAATGCCTCTTCGCCACCTCCACCGATTCAGACCGGCACGCCCGTGAACTATCCCCGACCGCCCACATCCCAACACCAGAACCTATCGTACCGCGATGCGGGCGCCGCTACGCCACCGGGAAAGCCGCTCGGCGGCCCTCCCAGTTATGATCACGGCACACCAGGCGCAGCCGATGGCTACCCCCAAGAGAAGGGCGGACACTCAGCCCAGGGCAGCGTGGACCTCTCGCGCCACCCCTCGACACTGAGCCAACGACCGCACCAGCAAGCCTCCGCCGCCCCCTCGAGCGCCGCATCCGGCCCCGGCAGCGGCGGCCAGTTCCAGGGCGCGCACAGCACGACGGTCGACGACGTGGGGACGTTCAACGGCGGCTCGTACCGGATCAGCCACCGGGACTGCAACACGATCATCACGGTCCAGCTGGCCATGGGGTGCCCGCTGGACGCCAAGCCGGGCGTGCTGATCGCCATGTCCCCGACGGTCACGCTCAAGGGCGAGTACAAGTTCAGCATGAAGAAGCTGGTCGCGGGCGGCGAGGTCGGGCACTCGACCTTCATCGGCCCCGGCGAGCTGCTGCTGGCCCCCAGCATGCTCGGCGACATCACCACCATCCGCCTCGCCGGCGACGAGTCCTGGTCCGTCAGCAAGGACGCCTACGTCTGCTCCACCCAGGGCGTCGTCCGGGACTACAAGCGCCAGGGCCTCGGCAAGGCCATGTTTTCGGGCGAGGGGCTCTGGGTGCACAAGATCTCCGGCGTGGGGCTCATGTGGATCACGAGCTTCGGCGCCATCATCCGCAAGGACCTCGCCGACGGCGAGAAGTACATCGTGGATAACGGGCACCTGGTCGCGTGGAACGTCAAGTACATCATGGAGCGCGTGGCGAGCGGCGGTATCATGGCCGGCTTCGCGTCCGGCGAGGGTCTGGTGTGTAAATTCACCGGACCCGGAACGGTGTTCTTGCAGACGAGGAACCCGGTAAGTTTCTCCCGCCTGGCTGTTGGAGTATATCCGGACGTGGTCGCAAACGAGCATTTCACTGATGACGCGAACAGAGGGCCTTCAGCGCCTACATGACCGGAAACGCAGCGCCACCATAAACGGCAGGTCGTGCGGGGATGATGTTGTTTTCGTGTATCAAGGTTTTTTTTTTTTTTTTTTGGGCGTACGATTATTCGAAATCTCTGATCGTGGAGATGGTAGGACTTGTGCTCAGTTGACCTGCTCTTTTCCGGGACGAATTTTATGTGTCTCGGGAACGGCACCTGTATTCGTCGCAGGTGCCATCCTTGCTTGCGCATGAGGCTGAGCAGTTCGGAGCATGTACATGTTGATTACTCGCTCTCGAGTTGCTTGTCTGGTATGCGGGGACCCGACCAGCAAGACTGCTGATGAACATGTTGCTCTTCCGTACGTGTCCGGTGCTGTCGTGGGGATGGATCGGCAGCCAAGCAGAAGGCAAGCAAGCGTGCTGAAGATGCCTTTTCATTTAGGATTATTTATGACCTTACGAGAGAGAGAAAGAAAAAAAAGGGAAAAAGTAATCGATGTTATAATTGACGCTAAATATGATGAGCCGGGTGTCTTGTTTTCAATGCCAAATCTGTCTTTGGCTCGACCCAACACGTGATAAGACTGGGTATAAAACTTGCCAAAGACGAAAATTAACATTATTTATTCACCGTATCAACTCAACCTCCGACGAATCCATGTAACTCGAAATACTTTACTCAATACTTTACTGAATATCAATACTCCTAATCCTCCAACGCCATTTCCAGAGGGATGGGTATCAATGCTCGCTCTATAATTCAACAAGGCCTCGTGCTGTGGTGATCTGATATTTCAGCCTCCGTGAGGTTACCTCTCCGTTTTAACGGCCTAACAAAAACAGTCCTCTCTTCGAGATGAGAACACATCCCAACACCAATTTTTCGACAGATCGATCCCCTGTGAGCTTAACTAGCTCTCACTCGTCTACTGGTCGTTGAATTTATACTTGATCCTCTCAATCCACTTGCCAATATGCTCAACAATCTCCAGCTGGTCTGCCCATTGCTCGGCATTATAGCGTTTACCAGGACCGTGCCAAGAATGGGGATCAGCACCCTCTTGAATACCCTCGACATCTGCTTCGAAGATGTTGTCCGAGATGATATGGACCCTGCCCCCGAGCTGGATCTCCAGTGTAATATTGGCTGTCTTGCCCTTGAAGGGGAAGGAGATCCTCAGGTTGGGTACAGGATGAGCCGTCATCGCAATGTTTACAGGGAACGACTCATCGCCAGCCGAACTGTTGACAGTCATCGACTTGTCCGCGCCCCCCATGAAAGCGGCAAAGTCATCATTCGCAGTGGATGTTCGGTTGTCAACAGCACCCGCTGGTTTGTGCTCGGGATGTTCGTTTTTCTCGAAACTGTTTGCAAGTAAGGACTGCAGGAAAGCATACTGTCGCAGCACCGGTAGCATCTCTACCAGCTGCCGTGGATGATGGAATGGCACCTTGGTGAGGACCTCACCGTAGACAGCGCGGTCGGTGTTCAACGTGTTCTGATGAATTCGAAGTTTTCGTGTGGATCTCGCTGTTTCAGAGAGCATGACGGGCTGCTCGTGGGTGACGATCCTGGATTCAGTTGGATCATAAGGGGTTCCTGCGACGACGGGGAAAATCAGAGCGTCGAATGTAACGCTACTGCCGTGGGGTGCCTGAATGCCTGCAGTGTTATAGATTTGTGCTGCGACACCAGATGACACGATCAGCGGTGGGTCGAAAGTGGCCATGAAAACCACCTCTGGGAGCCTAGGGTCAGAGCTGATGCCACCCTCGGGTTTGCTGCCAGCGCCTGATGGTAGGAGGGTGTTCTCGGGTTCTAGCCAGTTCAAAATTGGACCTGCCACTGGTTGCATCAGCTGTTCTTCCGCTGTGGCGGTCTTCTCGATCTCTTCCGCTATCCAACTCTTGGATACCCGGATAGGCAAAAATACCATGTTGTTGTTCTTAGCAGCACACTCAATTAGAATACCCCATGTCTTGACGCCTTCCTTCTCATCACTCTCGATGGTAGTGCCGGGAAGTCTCTTTGCCTCCTTCCAGTAATCCAAGCTGAGGCCAATTCTGTCGCGTGCGTGCATCTGAGGACAGCCGTGCCTGCGATATAAAGCGGCCAGCTTGATGTAGTCCTCTGAGCGACCTTGCATCTTTGGGTCCTCCTTCAGCTTTGCCACGTCCCAGTCGTGAAGCTTGAGCAAGCTCTGATAGATGCCGTCAATGGCATCGTAGCAATTCAATGTTGGCAGCACACTTAGTTTGTCTAGAATGGAAATGCGCTCCAGATTGGGGGTGAACTTTTCCAGGGTCTTGGTCAGGGCCCATTCGCCTGGCTCCAGCTTGAGATCGCGAAGAAGGATGTCTGCTGCCTTGCCCACGTGCTCTCTTGTGGTATCAGCGCATTCGGGATAGGTTACTTGAACGTTCTCCACGTGGTGATTAGTGATGGTGATTTCGATTGCCAGACCGCTACCAGCAATGAAGAGATTCTTGGATTTCGGGCCGCCGGCGATGTTATCTTCCCACATACACTCCAACCCATTGGTTTGTGCCAATCTTTCCAGCCCCTCGTTGCTGACTCTGCCCTTTCCCGCCGCCTTGAACTGGTCAGTGCTCACACGCAGACCAGTCTTTGCAGAGAGGGACATACCTTGATCATAGCTATTATGATATCCATGCGTCTCTTGCGGTCGTCGTCGTCTGGTCTGCCCATACCCATGCCCATGCCCATGCCCATTGTGCCCATGCTCAGATTGTCAAGGCCCAAGTCATGTATCCCCAGAGCACCGAGGGCGGCAGCGGCAGAAGGGCTGTCGAAATTAACAGGACCAGCGCCATCCGACAGGCCCTTGAGCGTATGAGAGTTGGCCGGTGACTTCCTGAATGCTTGTGGTGATGTCTTGGAGCCCTGCGCTGGGGAGAAGGCTGCCTGGGTCTGGGAGTTGGAGAAAGGCGTCGATACCGGTGGTGTTGGTGCTGCGCCCGGTACTTGGGATGGAGTTCTGCCCTGCTGTGACGGCCCGTGGCGCATAGGGGTCGCCATTATGTGAGTCGCTTGGGGCCGAGTCGGCGATGATGGTTTCGACGGCAGCGTGCAAGAAAGTCTGTCGTCAAGGGTGAAGGGACCAAAAAGATGGACTGCTCAGGCCTGACCGTTTTGTTGAAGCGCGATCGGAAAGTGCTGTGTCTAATCGATCCTGCGCTCGATACTGTCCTGGTGGTAGGTCAAGAAGCGCTTGTTCTGTCGGCCTCCCTGAATGGCGCATTCGAGTAATTGTAGCCGCAAATTGATAGGTTCGGGCTGGCCAAAATACCTAAGGTTAGGTCAACGCATTTGCAGGCCAATTGACAGGTTCTTGATAAGAATAATAAATATTTCCAAAATTCGAGGCGTTCGGTTGAAAGAAAAAAGGATACGACGTGGTAATAAAGCCAGAGAGAAAAAAAAGAGAGAAAACGAAAGCGGGTGGTTATAATTGTGATCAAGTCAACGCTTCACTGAAGAAATGACGATGTGGGCATTGTGAAGCTGCAGCTATGGTGGGGGCTGAGCGAAATTCCAGGACGCGACGGCATGGGACGTGGAGCGTGGAGCGTGGCTACAGTGGAGATCCAAGCTCTGCTGGGCTCTAGCGTTGGCCCGCGCTACAAGTAAGCAAGGTTAGTCTAGAATAACTTAAGCCAGCTACTTGTCCGTATGTACATAAGGCTAGGCTTTCGCAGCCCAAGCAGTTTATAATGTAGCAGGTGCTTCTAGCTACGACTCCTGCTGCGACGTTCCTTGTGCATCTTTGAGAACACAAGCCGAGCCCTGTTTCCAAGTATACTCTTGAAAGTGAATGAGATCGATAACCACCCGCCAATTTGATCATGAATGACAGTCATTTCCCTGGAAAGAAGAGTAAGGGGAATATACTCGTAGTTTGGCACCAAACCGCCCATGTTTATCACAAACCTTGGAAGCAAACTTGGTGCCAGAAAAGTCACCGCTGCACTATCATCTCACAAGGACAAATCTTCGTTTCGGAGTACTCAGTTCTGATTGCCTCGGAGCAGACTCGGATCCTTGACTAGATAATCAAAGACAAGCCTTGAAAACACCAAGAACCTATCCATAAAATCTGACTAGGTTTCGTCCGTCCATGGCGGCCTAACACTTCTCACTCCTCTACATCATAATGATGAACGCCCTGAAAGGCCTAACCTAAAGCAATGCGGGAAGTCCACCTGGCTACACCTATGAAGCAGTATCCAGCTTGATCCATAACTCAACACTGCCTCAAACATATTAGAGCTCTTCCACAAGGCACGATGTTCTCTCCGTCACGTGCTAATATCATGGTGTGAGTAGAGGCAAGAATTGGACACTGGCCGAAAACAAATGTCTGCCCTTCGCATGAGTACTTCCTCTGTGTGATGAATAAATGGTTTCCCCTTTTTTTGGTTTCCGTCGTTTTCTCTTTCTATTTTTGTCCTCTTATCACTCTTTTCTTTTTCTTCTCCTTCTTCTCCTTCTTCTTTTGCTCCCTTGTCGACGATCATAAATCATGTCCCCTTTCCGGCTGTCAACATAAACTTTTGAATTCGGCATTTTTCCATGTTGTGGGTTCGTAGTTATCCTGTGGCAGAGGTGAAGAAACTGCCACTAGATGATACCTAGAGCTGAGCCAAAGTGAGTACACATGGTGATGTCTGAAGTATCAAGGAGGCGGACTTACCTTGCCTCAACGTTCCCCAAGCAGCCCGTGTATAAGGCCTTAGTACAGTGTACGGTGTACTTACCATCTCAGAACGGTGTGATACAACGAGCCGATGAAACGAATCATTCTGCCACTGAGAGATAAGACTCATACGAATGCTATAGGCCTTTGCATCTCCACTAGTATAGATCATAGCTTTGCCGTAGATAGGTTCTAGCTCTTGTTACCAGTCCCGTCGGGCTTCTTGATCTCGATAGCGGCACTCTTGTTCATAGGACGCTTGAACTGAGTCTCCAAGTCATCGCGCCTCTTTCGATCAGCACGCAGAGCCTGACGATCTCGACACTCCCGGTGGTAGTTTGGGTCGAACATCCGTCGATGCTCCAGGTATGCCTCGTACTCCAGCTGCTGCTTGCACCAGACTGGATCGTTGGGTCGAGGTGGACCTTTTGGCTTCAAGACTGGCTTGGGACCAACCGGCACAGTATTCAGTGTTTCATTACGAGCGAGACGTGAAAGTGTAGCATTGAAGAAATTGTCCCCCTGAGTTGCCATGCGTGCTGCAGAAGCCTCATTGTTGATAGCGTCGATGGTCTCCTTGATACTTGGAACAGCTCGAGGTATTGCATACGTACCGTTCGATATGAAATTAGACGACATTCGCGGCGGTACCACATAATTCTCGCCGGACATATGATCCTTCAGGCGTGGTTGTGGCTTCATACTAGTGGTGTTGAATGCTGGAGGTGTGCTATAGATGAAACTCGGAGGTGATATGACGTGAGATATATCTGGACGAGCCGTGTAGAGACCAATGGGCATCTCTGTGCGAACATGTCCATTTTGGATGTGGCTTGGGAGGCCAGTCGCATGGTTTACAGCGCGACCAGATGTTAAACCCGAATTCGTGATGTTTGGTAAAACGACGCCAGGAACAGATGGATAGCCCGGTGCGTCAATATCAGCAAGTTCCAGAAGAACTTGTCTTTCTTTCTGTGTCAGTGGGGTACTTAATCTGTTCTCAATGAATTGGAGGAGTTGAAATGAGCGGACTACACGTCTAGCTTGTTCGACCTGGTACAAGTCTTCATCGTCTATAGCGTATGGATCTTCGTCATCTAGAACGCATGGATCTGTCACGTGCCGTCTCATTGGACCTACCATTGTCGATTGAGGAATAGGCGGTTGTTCGTTGAACACGCCAAGTAGTGTAGTTCGTTGGTGTTTGATCGGACTGCCAATCTGGTAGGTACTGGGCTTTACCTTTTGTTCCATCTTGAGGAAGAACTCAGCTGCCTTTGGGTTCAAAGTACGACTTCTGGACAGGGGTTTTTTGCTTGTGTTCTGGCTGTCCATGCCTCGGCCGACTTGTTGTTCAGCATTATTATTAGGCACCATGCCGATGGCTATACCGACCCCTAATGCCTCCGGAATATCAACTAGGCTGGGCTTTGAGACAGTGGTTCTCATGGCCCGAACTGACTTTTGGTGGAGTCTGTCTAGTACAGCCTGGAATCTATTTTTTTCGTCGATCTGTTTCTCTAACTCGACTCGAATACTACGAGACTTAGTCGGCTTGTGACTCTCACCCTCCATATGTGAGCTGTGGGATGTATCGTGGAACTCGTTGCTCGTAGCTCGACGTTTCTCTAGTTGAGCAGCGTGATCTGACTGAGTTTCAAAAGTAACCTGCGAATTATGCTGTTGCTCAAATTCGTCGCCATTATTGTGTAAGTAATCTTTCAGGGTGTCCCAGCCCATTGCCTCGAGTCCGTGAAGGCTCTCAACTTTCTGGATCTGTACTGTGGGTTTGCGGTCCGAGTTAAGAGGAACTCCTAACAATTTACTGTCTGAATAGTGGTCTGAAAGTATTGCCATCCCGCAGTAGTCGCTAGAGTTCGAGTTAGACTTCGTGTTCTTCGCAGGAGAAAAATCCATGAGATTGGGTGGTGCTTGGACAAGGTCTGGATGTAAGGCAGGACTCAGTAGATTATCCATCTTGAGAAATTGCTTCTTGCCAAGCAACAATCCACCGAAAGATCTGCTTCGAGAATAGCCAATATTTTTACTTGGTTGCTGCTCTTCATCGCTGCTATTACTGTATATGCTGGAGTGATGGTCCTGGCTGACAGAAATGCCCGTGGAAGTGTAATTTGAGTTCGCAGCTATGTTCTCTTTGTCAGCTGTTTCAACACGTGTGCCCGTAGCTACAGCCTTGGCTGTGTCCACGCGTAGTCCTATGTGCTTACGCCTCTCGGCTTCTTCAGAGTTGGATTTGGCGATGTGGTTGGTGAATTGGTCAGCCTGAGTTGGACGCTTGATGTCACCAGCAGGTCTCTTTCTCCAGTCTTTATCAAGCAGTGCTTTACTAGGCTCACGTTTGTGTGAGTCTTCAGAGTGACCAAGTGAATGACTGTGACTTGTTGAGGATGTTGAGTGCGATAGTATATCAGTATGCTTGAACTTCTCGCTGGTAGTCTTGCGAGGTTTGTTGGTCAGGTCACTCAAACCACTAGGGCGAAACCCTTTGTAGGGTTCGGCGTAAGTATTGGGTGACATATTCGCACTCCTCGTTCGCTTTGAAATGTAGGATGTGATCACCTTCTACGTCTCTCTGCAGATATCCTATGGATTCTGCTTGTGTGAAGTCAGTCATATCGTTGCTCAGCTATTATCGTAATGAAAGGAGCAACAAGATGAAAGAAAGCGAAGACGTATATTACATCAAAGGGCTAGTAATAGAAACAAATTGTTAGAGATAGGTGCTAAGTATTCGAAGCAATGATTTGATGGTAAACGTGTAGAAGAATCTAAGTCAAAGGGCCTGGTGTCTCGCAGCACTTGTGAAATATGACGATGACTTACTACTGCTCCACGCTGGATTGACGCAGAGAAGCTGATGGTAATGTGCTCTCGGTGCTAGGTTTTGAAGACACGTAAGAAAAGCTTTGAGGCTCCCGTGGGCCTTTCATATGGTAGATGGGTGGAAGATGAGGGTCTTCGGCAAAGCAATCGATTCCGACGGGCAGGGTGTAGTGAAATGGCAGCTCTGATGGAGTCCAACTTGTGAGCCACCTTAGTCTTGGGCAGTGCTTTCGAAGAGGCGGAGAAGGTTTTATTGGCCAAGAGTCACCGTTTATGTATACCAAAAATGAGCCGTGACTATGCTGTACTGTAGAAGTTGTTTGGGGCTCGACGAATACGATGTGTTGGGGTGGGTGTAGGGCAACACGAATCACCCCGTCTCCGTTCGATCAATTGATTCGACACAGACAGGAATGAAATCGATGCCCCAAGGTTCGTAATTCCAAGGTCCTCCTTGATCCAAAAACAAAAACAAAGTGACAATCCAAAACGGGGTATGCTGATGCAATTCGCTGTGCAAGTTTCTATGCAGTGTGGTGAATGAACGGGGCTTCGGGAGTGCAGAGGTCCAACAATGAGGTCAAGCTTGAAATCGGAGTGTATGGCTTCCAGGGGAACACTAACAGTGTGGTGACTTCCGCTTAATCATGTAGTGCATTTCAGTATGCAAAATGCACCTTCCCTCGTCGAGTTCACTCTGGACTCTGTGAACATGCACAAGCAGGTGCAACATGACCTCCCTGCTGTGTACAGATATCCATATACAGCCTCATTGATAACAGATCACCTCCTTTTGTGCATATTCATGTCGGCTGGTCCGAACTGCTGCCCTGGTACAAGTAATTATGTGATGGTTTCTATGTGCAGAGCTAGAAAGCCGGATGATGTATAGTTTCAATGCTGAGAAAGTGCTTGGAGCCAATGGGAAATTGCTACTTCAGGGTGGCAGATAGTAGAAACATGACAGATACAGATCTAGAAAGAATCACTGAGGATGTTCTGTTCATATATATTGTTCAATACCTAGTCTAATTTCATATCACACCGAGCCGGGAATGTCTAAAGTATCACAGCAGCCATTTTCTGTCGTGGGATGGTCTGGAATATAATAAGGCGAGACCAATTATTAAGACAAAGCGACTTGTTAATGCTTATTTATTCTGTCTGCATGATACAGTCAAGCTCAAAATAATAGGCCTTCATATTCTTTCAATACAGTAAATCAAAAGCCGTTCCAATGAAAATTGCCACACACTTGGAATATGTGCGACGACTTGTTCTTCTGGTACTCTTCAGTTTAAATCTTCTGATTAGATATCCATGACCCCAGTTGCCAGTTTGCTTGAATTTTGAAGCAAAGTCTGAAACTCCGGGTCTCCCCATAGGTCTTCCATCCTGCAGGCAGCGAAGTGGCAGATGACAGAGCGGAGACGATTCTGGCCTTGCTTGTCCACAGTATTCTCAAAGACATATTGAACTGGATATCGTAATCGTCCGTCAGACTGTGCATTCGAGCGTGGGACAAAAACACTTTCGTCCAGTTCTGGAGCTGATCCTCGTTTCTTTAGTCATATCAATAGTCTGATAGATTGAGACCTGAGTGTTCAATGAAGGGTTTCCAGAGCTTTCGGACTTTTCCAGTATGTGCACCATGTTGGTACAGCTGGTGAACTAATCTTCCGTACTTTGGAGTCTCGTGAAAGTAGGAGTTGTCGTATGAGTGACACCTGTCAAATATTTTGCAAGTATAATTGTATACTCTTCTCCCGCAATAGGGACGCATTTTTTTGGGCCTTTGATACATTCTGACGCCCAGAAAGAATTCTCTAACTCTGGACCCTTTTGCTCTGCATTGACTGGTCGGCCGGCGATCGTACAAATGTAGTTCCCAGTGTAAACGTATTAGCAAAATCGAATAATTGTCCGTTCATCAATCTGATGCCACACAATAACAACATCATGAGCTTCTTCTAGTGAGCCATTGATCAAGGTATGGAGAGCCCTCGACATGCTGGCAAGTAGGGCAGCATGCGTCATGAATTTCTTCTTGTCGGGACCAACGATGAATCGGAAAGGCTTGGGGGCCACAATACTGTTTTTCCATCAATCAAAGTGATGTATTGAAGTGTTGCGTAAGCTCTCACTCCTCGTACGGCATCACAATGAGCTGTAGTAGTCGACCTGAACTATATCAAGACGGAATTAGACAATTCAAAATGGAACTTTATCAAGCCAGAATTGAATATTGATGTTGAAAGGCATGAGATTAACGGAATAACCGAGTTCATGAGTCATATTCATTTGCTTCAACTGGCAGCGATTTGCATATGGGCAGCCTCCCGCAGATGCCGGACGCAGATACTCTTTTTTACTCCAATCATACCCCACCTGAGTGTTGCATAAACAAACGTAATAAGCTATCCGATATCTTTTTATGTTACCCTATATTGTTCGCGTTGTGACGTACAAACTGCCCCGAACTATGGAGGTGGTATGTACACCTGGAGACATGAGTGCGCCATGATTGACACTTGGATTTGGAAAAGAAGCCTTCGAATACCCTTATATTTCAAAACAGGTTTCTATCAAACATTGTGTCGTCCGCATATTTCAGCTTGACGCCATGGGCTTTGTTGTGTCATAAGTTCCAAGGCACACAAGCCAGCACCTTGAACTGACACTCCTTATCCTTGTTCAAGCCCCACTTATTCGCGCAATTCTCGATCAGTTTCATCGCGTTGGTGCCCTCCACGTCCTGGCCTTCGTCATCAGACCCTTCGTGATACCAGCTTCGACTGATAGAGCGGGAGTTAGTCAGTTCCTCGGCAAGAAGGAAAGGTCGGTCGTCCGCAAGGCTCCATCTGTCGTCATTTCGTGTTACTTCAATGAAGGACTTGTCTCGTCCTCGAAACACCGTGTTGCCGGAAGAGCCAGCACGGGCCTCTATTGCTTGCTTTGGTGTGATGCGGTAATCTATGAAATACACACACTCCAACAATGGAAGATGTGAGTATTGCCCAAACATGTGCAGTACATCTTGGAGAATATCCTCTTGACTCGAATCGAGACCTTCAAGACCGCTGGCCCATTCCGGGTGGTATTGTAGTGCAAGTCTTCGGACAGGAAAGTCGTCCTTAAAAGCCCGCAACTCGGGTATATCCAGCAACTCGTCTCCGTCTCGGCTGAAAGTCAGGTGATTGAGATCTAGCGTCAGACAGATGACGTCTTGCTCCAGATTTAGATAAACATCGCGAAATCTGCGCATTGAACCATGGGAGCCGTACGAGCACCGGCATGCTTCCTCGGAAGCCACAGTCCAGCCGTTCAGAGGACTGTAAGGCAGTAATTCCTGTCCGTCAAGTATATTCGGGACTGCCAAGACGTGTCCGCCTTGTTGAGCAATCCGATCCTTAGCTCGCAAACCGTTCAAATGTTGGCGTGATTCGCAGCAAGCGTCCCAGACCGACATATCATTTAGGTACGAGGATGCATTTTTGCCAAACCCGAGTCCATCCGTGAAACCAGACGTCAATGGCACCCTCAGCACACATTTCGTGCTTCTTTGATCCTTGATTGTTTGAAGATTGAAGAAGTGGATTCCAGGCACAAAAGGCAAGGCAGCATATTCCCAGATAATATCGCGCAGCTCTTTCGGCAGGAGAGGGAAGTAATGGAATTCGCCGGGAGGCGACTGAAGAGAAAGTATATCACTCATGATGCAAGTGAGATTGGTGATATTGACATTGATGCCAGATCAAGTCATAATGGAGAAGGAGGAGGAGGAGGATGAGGATACCAGCACCATAAGAAGGCCAGTCAATGTTTCGAAATAGTAGTGTTGACTACTTAGCCCTGACGTCAAAGAAGAGGCTCAGTGTTCCTGGCAGAGCTGGAGTTTAAAGGACACCATGAGGGACTCCATCGCGACGACTATGCGCGGCTTGGCCGGATATCTCGCAGCCCGTAACTTCGTGGCGCCTGCACTAAATCCTTAGTGAGCCCATAAATGGACAGCTATGCGGGGGCTTTGGGGGCTGTTTGTTCGTGGAGACCTTGCAGTGAGCGCAAGTCCAGGTATTTGTTATATCTTATGACAAGCCAGGTATCAATCAAAAAGAAACCCGTCAGGTATAAAAGGCGCAATGTCGAAAGTTCATGATTGGAGTCGGTGGTATGTGAGTCGGTCAATCACTTAAGTATTGCTCTCTTCGGCACATCTGCGAGTAAAGCCCAACCCCTCATTCGCTGCTAGGTTAGACTACTTGCACTGACGTCTATACTTCTGTGGGGGTAGAACGGGTTTCCCTTGCGTCACGGTCCCTGTTCACGGTCCTGGTTCCTGGAACACTGCCCGTCGGAAACATTGAATGTGCCGAAGCCCCAGGATGCCGAGTCCAGCAACAAGTGTGTCCAGAATCGCAACATTACCGCAATAACTCCCACTGTACAGTCTTGCCAAAGCCGGCGTACGCAGCATTGCTACAAGCTTTATCATTCGCGTTTGCCATGCCCAACAATGTAAGCTTCCGGAGGGGAGCTTTAACGGCGTCCAAGACGCATCGAGTTGAAAGGCGCTACAGCACTTGCGATACTAACGTTAACTTCGCAACGAATGCTGGCTGCGCCATGCAGGCTACGCCGCGAGCTTGCTGGCCGCGGATTGTGGTGGACCACGTACACGACAGTGCACGTTTACCTGGAGAGAACAGATACGCCGAGGCTGCAACTGCTTTTTACGTGCGAGACCACGTCGAGCTACTATGCTGAGGTCAGAATAATGCTTTCTATGCAAATCCCTTTTTTTTTTTTTCCTTTTTCCACACGAGCGTTTTGAGGCGCATCCTGATATGAGGGCTCCTAAGCAATTGGTATCCTTTGGCTTGTGCCGACTTCAAGCCCGAGAGAAACCGACCACTCAGGATCTCAGCAGAGGTCATGACACTCCAGACAGCACGGCACTACGGCCAACGACTGCCTACTAATTTTGCGTGTCTTGAAGTAACCGAAGTTCAGTCTTGTTGTGATACAATTTCCGAGTATCGTGCACGGTAACCAGGATGGGCCTTTGCCTTGATATTTGTTACGACCGCAAAGTTAGCCCACGAGGAGTGTGTTAAAACTAACCTAAGCATCAATTATCGCTGCGCATGGCCACCTCCAACTCCAATACCTGCACGGATACAATGCTCCTCATCGCTATCTGACAGCTCTTCAATGAACCATCCACGAGAAGTCTTGCCTGTTCCGCCCAATTTTCCACAACATATGCTGGTTCTGCCCCCACTTTTCCCGATTGATACCCTGACATGCGCTCAGTGGTTGCGTCCTGCTGTATGATAGTAAGTCTACGTGCCTGCGTGCCTCTCGATCTTCTCTGTATCGTGTCGACCATGCGTACAAAGTACGTAACGATCGCAGAGAACCAGATCAGATGCGTGTTCAGACGAGACTTGCTTTGGCAAGAAGTTACTTACATCTGGCTCATCATTTGGGATTCCCATGGCCCGCAGATATTCGCTCACCATCGTGATGCCGAGGAATTCAGCGGTGGCGTTCGTATTTGGCTGAAGGAGAATCTCACGACCACTTGAGCTTAATGCCACGGCGGCCGATTGATGGATCAGGTCCAAGACTATAGAAAGGAAGCCTCTAGGCGCATCACATACATCTTGCCGAGCTCTAACCTAGGTTAGAGCTTTCGAAACACAGCACTGTTTTGAGTTAAGTAGGGCACCACCTTACCGTTTTCGACATCAATCCCTTGACCATCTGACTCACTAGGACTTTAAGTATTTTCCATCTACTGTGTCTTATCAGGACAATTATTTTGACTTTATTCAGGTTGATTTCTAAACTAGGTTTTACACTTTTTAACACATGTACAAACAGAAAATCCGACGGTTATAGAAGGACATGCGGTTTCATAATTTTGTCTTGGTGTGTTACACCACGAGGGAATGTTTCAAAAGCAAGTTCATCAGGTATTGTCACATACACCGGCCGTCGTGAGTTGCGGATAACATCCTGCCATGCTATACAGGCTGCCAGCCTGCCTGCCTGCACTTAAGATTTTACAATAGTTGTAACTTTCCTGAAGCGCCAAGACCAACACCTATACGTATGTAGAGCATTTTTCAATGAATGTGAAGTCAACTCGTGAGTTAGAGTGCATATGATCACAGTGGCCGAGTTCTCATAAGTGTCACCTAAAGTGTTGTATTCATTGATCATGCAAGATGTCGTGTGTCGTGTCATTACACTGCCCCTGACCCTTTTCCTTTTTTTCTTTTTTTTCCTCTTCTATCCCCTTTCAAGCTGTTCAGTCCATGTGGTGGCCATGACTGTCAAATCACGGACGTCTACGCCGTTAAAGCAACCTTGAACTAAGAAGAAATGCCCTCAAGCGCATTGCAGTTAATCAGTCAGCTACTCGCCTACTCACTGGTTCCTTATCTCTCCAGAGGAACATCAACTCTTTGCCATCTTTGAATTGCCGAGCAACACAAAGTTAATTGACAATGCAGGTATGAGTCCTGTGATGATAAAACTGTCGAAACCCCCGTACTTTAACCTTTGAAATCTATAACACATCTCATCTGGCTGAAAATTATCAACATCAAAAATCTTGTTGCCTCCGACATGACCAATTTTTTGAGCCTTCCCCGCGAGCTTCGCGATCAAATATATGGGCTTTGTTTACTGCGAGAGGAACCTTTCGACCCTTGGATGGGTTATGACCTACGGCAGGAGCTCACTATTGGGCTCTTTCGCGTGAGCAAGACCGTCCACCACGAGACCAGCTCGCTGTTCTACACCCTTAATCACTTCGACTTTTCCACAGCCACCCCCGGGGAAATAGCATTGTTCATTACGGCAATCGGCACCCACTCGAACTATATCCGACATATTCATATCAATTTTCCACAGTTCCTCCATTTAGAGCCTGGTAATGTCACTCTCGAGGATAGTCATATTGGCATCCTTGCGAACATCCAAAGCGGCTGCACAAATCTAAGCACGGTTACGACATCCCTTTGGAGCTCAAATGCCATGGAGCTTAAGCTCGATGCACTAGACTACCCCAAGATTGTCAATGAGGCGCTGAAGCTAGCTGATTCCCACTTCAGAGGCATCCCGTCTCTACAAGAAATTATCGTCGAGCTATACGAGGACGGTCCGAATGATCATATAAGAAGACAAATGAAAAGCTACGGATGGACAATTAGGACAACAGAAAATGTTGAAGAGGAAGAATGGGATAGGAACTGGAGTGATGCTGGATTTGATGATGACTATGATGATGATTATTATCATGACAGTGGTGATGACTATGATCCATATGAATTCGACAATGATAGCGACTTTTGGAGAAGGGCGGGGGATTGAATTGCTTCTCTATTGCAGTATGGGCTGTATGCCATTTCGTTAGAGCACAAACTAAGAAAGGCGCACAGTTGTGAATGGAAAGAGCATCGACCTTGCTGTAATTCATATGCCGCGGTCAATGCTTCCGTTGATGGCTCCAGCATTGTTCTGTATAACGAGCGCCGGGGGCGTGGCACTGACACCAGACCACATGCCCAGCGTTGCAAGGGCCACTGTCGCGAGTCTGGAGATTATTTTGAGCTAGGCCTTACGCGATTGTGTTAACAATTCTAGTAGCAAAATAACTATTGACTACTGTACTACCTGCGCATTTGTGGCTCGACAACGAGGCGCACCATTGGCCGCACTGCCTTGATTACATGTGATCGGTATGCACAAGGGGGGACGGCCAAGAGAAATTTCTAAGCCGGGGGTTGAGCATCGCTTCTCTGTTTGTCGATCTAACCCAGTCCGCATACCGACCATCCTATGCTAGGGAGACGACACCGTTGAGGGATGGTCGCTCTTGGACAATAGAACGCTTGGGGATATAGCAGAGAGTGATTTTGACGACCGGCGGTGCGGGACGCTTGTCGCGTGTCGCACACCCGCCCCTTTTCCTGAGATGTAAATAACTGCGATAAGTGTACGCACACGACAGCCTTGTTGTCAGAGATATTAGACTTGTAGGCACGTTGGGATCGCATGAGTGAGATCGGGGATCGGGGATCACAGGTTCTCAGTGGGACGAGCCCGACAGATGGCAACCGAATAGATCAATCAGTCATTCTACCCTGGGCGTTCACCCCCCCAAAATGTAGTCTTTGTAAGTTACAATAAGGAGGAGGGGGCATCAGCGACTCGGTTGAAGACAATTAACATTACAATTTCCACTTCGTTTTCTTCCTTTCCTTTTTGTTCTGTGCCTTTTTCTTGTTTTATAGAAGAACTAGAGCAGAAATTGTCTCGCACGTCAACAGCAAGCCGACGAAGTACATACCTCAGCTACACATGTTTCGATTTGGTATAAGCGTATGCAGGCAATATTCATATATGCTGTGTCACTTCTTGGCTCTCAAGGATACAGATAGTGCGGCGATTGAATGTCACTTAGGTTTAATGTAACCCGCCTAAGTAAAGAAGAGTGACCACGAAACTGATGAAAGCTTTCTATCTCATATACCATTTGTACGACAGCTCCTTTGGCGCTGGTGTAGCTCCTACAATCGTATCGTAGCGTATCCTACATTTCCAACATGACTCTCCTACAGTATTATAGTTTTAATCTAATGTGGAATGAATCATCAAAGTAATAGATAAGATTTATAAAATATATGATAATATAATGCGATGATATCATTCCTCATTGAAACTGTTAAACCTTTTGACCCTGTCTCTAGGGGGAAAACACTCCTAAATACCCAGTCCGAACGCCATGCCGCCAACAACCAATTCCGCAACACCTCATAAACAGAAATGGAAAGAAATTTCGCAAAAAATAAGCTGGCTCTACTCGAACTGACCACCACCGAACAAACCACCAACGACCTTTGACCTGCCCTCGACACCCTTCCACTTCTTCTCCTCGCGCCTCCTCTCGCTCTCCTTCAACTTCTCCCTCCTCTCATTTTCCCTGGCGAAGAAGTTGATGCCGCTCTTCTTGCCAGCGTTTTTCTTCAGCTTGCCCTCCTCTCCAAAGGCGGCCGCCTTATTGCCCAATGACGAGGACGAGGACGAGGATGAACCGGCACCGATCGTGACGCCCGTCGACGAGGCGTTGGAGCCCTGCGACATGAGACTGTTGTTGGTGGTGGCCCTCCTCAACAGCGCAGGGACCTTGAAAGTGCCGCCGCCTGCCGCCGGCGGTGCCGCGAAGGCGAGCTTGGAGCCGTTGCTGCTCACGTTCGAGGACCCCTGGCGCTTGAGAGAGATGCGGTCGACAACAGCCACGGATGCGGAGGAGGGACGTCGGTTCTCCTTATTGTTGCTAGATAGTGCCGAGCTCTCCGGTATCAACTGCTCCTCGTCGTTGTTCTCGCCCTCGCTGTCGGGTCCGTTGATCGGGTCCGTGGCCGGGATGATGGAGTCGAAGGACATGTTTGGCTCGCCGAGCAGGCTGGAAAGGGAGCGCCGCACGTCTGCCAGACTGGCAGGTCTGGCGCCGTCTCTGACTCTTCTGAGATTTGGGGCCGGGCGGGCAGCGGGTTCGGAGGCGTCGTTGCGTGTTCGTTTCCTACCTAAATTCGCGCTCAAAGCGCCTCCAGTGGCAGCAGTGACAGGCTGTGAGTCCGGTATTTTTTCTTCGCCGCCCTGCTCACCGCCGTCGCCCGGCTGCTTGGGCTGGGTTTCTTGGCTTTCCTCCTCAGGGGCAAAGTACGGCTCGTCGAAGTCCATCTCCTCATCGCTGCCCCAGTCCTCGATACTCTTCATGAAAGCAGCATTGCGAGGGTTCTCGGCAATCTTCCCAATTCTCTCGTCTGCAAATAACGCCTTCTGCATCTTGGCAAATTGACGCTGCTTCATGCGACGGCGGGCCTCGCCTCCGTCATCTGAGTCGGAGAGGTCGAAGTCGCCGTTGCCGCCAGCTCCGCGGCGACGTTTCCGCAACATACCAGTTGTAATGTCGCGGAAGAGCTTGTCGACTTGCGCGCTGTCATCAGCACGTTCGCGATCGCTTAAGAACCAGTGTTAGCATTACAGTCCTTAAAGTCTTTGTTGAATGGTAGCATGGATTTGAAAGAGAGAAAAAAAAAAACTTACGCGAAGAATGCAGCCATCTTCCGCTGTTCCTCCTCCGTCAGGCCCTTGCTGTCGTCGTCGATCATTTGCTTACGCAATTCGGCGAGGTCATTTTCATCGGCCTCCGAATCATCTTCGCCATCCGCACCACCAAGACCAGCATACTCATCCTCAGACTCCTCGGCTTCACCGTGGACCATCTCCTTAGCCTTGCTCTTTTTCTTGTTGAACTTCTCCATGGCGCGCTTCTTCCTTCGCGCCGCCTCCGCCATGAGATTGAAGGCTGAAGATTCCTCAACTCCAGCAGGATTTGAGGCCTCGACTGCTGAAGCCGGCACGGCCCTACTGAGAAGCGGGGACGCGGGCACCTCAGTAGGAGGGAGGTCCGAATCCGTGAATGATACCTCGTCCCGCCGCCTCAGCTTGCCGCGCTTGTGAACGAGTGGGGAGTCCATCTGCTCCGGCTCAGCATCTGCATTGACCACGGGTGTGCCGTTAAGAAGAACGGTGTCGACGGTGCTCTGAGGCGGGTCGACAAAGCGCTGCTTTAGAGGTGTGTAGTCCGCGAAGCCAGTGTCCTGAGTGGCCTCGAGCATATCCGAGGCCTGAGTACTCTCCAATTGTATCAAGGAATCGAAACCATGCATTTGGCTTTGTTCGAAATGGAGCTGAAGGCCTTGAGTTTGTGTTTCCCTCTTTTGTGTCTCGGCCTGGCTGTTCATGACTATAGCGTCTGCGGGTTGTGATTCGCCGGCGGTTGCAGAGAATTGCGAGTCGGGGAAATTGTTGAAGCTTGGCATGAATTGCAAAGGAGATCCGGTAGCAGGAGGTGCGGAACCAGCTTGGCTGTCGTCCATAGTGCCGGCAAAAATTTGTGTGAGGCCTAGACCAGCGGGTCCCGCAGCAGGAACAGGAAGACCGGGGATGAAGGTCTTGGTGGCGGAGCGGAGGACGGAAGTAGGGACGCTGGGAGAACTAATGCCCTTTGACTGGGATGATTTGAAAGGGGTTTTGGGTTTGGGTGTAGCTTCAATCATAGCCTCGTCTTCGTCATCAGAGAGAATCTGAACACGTTTTTTGCCACGGCGGGATTTTGAGGCTGTAGGTCGAATATCGTCTCCCTCCTCTTCATCGACGCCTGCCAGGTTTTCCGTTGTAGTTTTATGTGTAACTTCTTCATCAGACTCATCGGCCTCTTCAGCGTCTTCGTCAAACATGGGGTTGGCAGCTGACTTGTCATCATCATCCACTTCATCCTCATCGTCACCCTCTTCATCCTCGGAGCCTGAGAACTCAATCTCACCCTCTTCAATGGGTTTGAGCGTGTCATCTTCACTGCCAGCAAAGCTTCCGTCGTCCTCACTATCGTCCCAATCGAGATGATCTTCTTCGCCGTTCTCTTTCCTCTCCTTCTTGGCCTTCTTAGCATCTTCACGTTCGCGGGCCATGATCTCCTCAGCCTCCTCACGAGCACGAGCGACAATGTCCTCGACCTCTTCTCTCTCTCTTTCACGCTCCTCGGCCGTCTGCACGTGAATGCCCTTTGCCTTTAACATCTCCATGCGACGATCACGCTCAAGCTTGGCTTGCGCACGAGCGCGCTGCTGTAGGGTGAGTTGCAGCTCGCCGACGGTCATGTTGGGCTTGTGGCTCTTCTTACGAGCATCCTGAGGAGGAGAGGAAAGGTGAGCTAAATGGCGGAAAACATGCACAGAGGTTGCCTCTTTCTTCTGCTGCGCTGGTACGCGGCTAAAGATAGCGTCGATCTTGCTCTGCTTTTTGGGCTGTGCGACTTGGAGTTCCTCGTCCGAGTCAATAGTCATGAGATCGGCTTGAACAGGGGGGAGCTTCACCCGAACTTGCCGCCGGGGCTTTTGTGGTGTTGTCTTCTTCTTCTTCTTGGGCGATTCAAGATCTTCGAGAGTGGCTATACCTTTACCCTTGTCTAGCTTCTTGGCTTGAGCGACGGCTCCATGGAGACTAGGAGGTTCTCCGTCCTCGTTGTCCACTGGAGTGTCGGCTTGCTGCTGTTGAGCCTCTGTGGGGGCTGAAAGGATATCCTCCGCCATCTTCTTCAGCGCACTAGGCGGGGAACTTGGAGGAGTGTCCTTCTCAGCCCTTTCTAGGTCGGTATGCTTCTCTGAGCCAGGAGTGACTGGTCTGCTCGAACTTGTAGCAGGCACAACCTCCAATGTGTTCTCGGCAGCAGAGACCTTGAAGTTGAACCGCTCGAACAATGCCGACTTGCTGATCTTCTTCTTCGTCTTTGCCTCGTGAGCGAGCTGCATACTGCGGCTCAGTCTCTGTGTTTCCCTGTTCATCTCTTCCAAGGCCTTTTTGCTGGCTTTTCTGACAGAGGGCCGCGACTTGACCTCCTGTGTGAGCTTGCGACCTCCGTCGTCGTCACTAATGTCTGACACATCGTCATCGCCATCATCGCCGGAGATCTCCGCGCGCCGAGCACGAGCTTCTTCCAATTTTCGCTTCTGTTCCGCCTCTTTGGCGAGCCGTTCCTCGCGTTTCCGCGCAACAAGGGCTTGGAAGCGTGCATTCTGGGCAAGACTGGTGGGCAGCTCCTCATCGCTGTCCGAGTCGGCATCTGGGTGTTGCGATTTGTTGGGTGACACGAAGAGACCCGGTGATGCTGGGCTATCTTCTCTGATCGTGTCAGGTTCGGGTGTTTGCTCACGCGCCGGTCGTATTCTCCGTCTGCGAGGAACGGCAACGTCGTCTTCGCCTTCGTTAGAGTTGGCATCCACGTCCGCGTCACCCTCTTGTGTGGTCTGTGTTGGCTTTTTCACAGTCTCTAGCATTGGGTCTGGTGATTTGGAGCCCTTGGCCTGTTTATCTGTGCTGTCTGCCTGCTGCATGCGTGCTGCAAGACGACCTCGTGGTCGAACCATGTCCTCATCTTCATCTTCATCTTCGTCTTCGTCCTCGGTATGTTGGCTTGCTGCACGTGCTGGTTCGTCGCTTCTGTCTGAGACCTTTTGAATGGATCTGAAGAGCGCCCTCCTGTCTATTGGTCTGACGTCTTCATCTGAGCTTTCGTCCAGTGCTGCCAGCTCTGCCTTGAGCTTCGATCTGGGGGTCAACTGTGGCGAGCTCGGCGGGGACGCGTCGCTCACTGGGGGCGAGAGTGACCGTGTGGAGGAAGCCATTGTGACCCGAATAGCTGCTGGAAGTATACACGTACTGATAGGTACGGAATTAAAAATGCATCATACACGAGAACTAATGTTTTCTTCTTCTTTGGTATAAACAGAAACTGGGTTGTGGCATGTCAAAAGGTGTGTCCATACGCGGGCAGCTCGTCTAAGTTAAAGTAAAGTGGGCGGCGCGTAGCCCAACTCGCGTTCTGCTTATAGCGCGTTTGGTAATGGGCCCCACGTCGTGGGAGGGGCGCGACACTCGTCCGGAGTAACCTGAGGTTAGTCTAGTCCACGTAATTAACACAATACAATACATACAGCCTTTCCAATTGGGACGACCAGCCACCCATGGATTGGGATCGTTACGGTAATACATATCTGAGCTATGCAACCCCAATCCATACATCAATTGGTATTGTGGAATTCAACCGCATTGCTTGGAAAGGCTGCCTTCCTTTGCCACTAGTCTACGGGTGTGTCGTTTCGAGATTGGCCATGCGAGGGTAATTATACTGTACAGCATCACCTGAACTTTCCATAACCATTTCACTCTCACAACACCCCGTCGTAATACAAGTCTAACAGGGCTATGTTCTGTCTCATAAACCAACCACTTCTTCGAAGCTGTTCGGGTATCATTGAAGCCAAGTACAATTCCATGTCCCCTCCTGCTCCCGCGACTTCTGCCTCCCAACGCCAAGAGTTTCCTCATCATTGCCTCGGCCATCCAAACCTCCAAGTTTTTAGTTGGTACAGAAAGGAAAAGCAGAGCCTTTTCCACAAACAAAAATGTTGACGCCAGTTATGCCAATGCCAAACCAATGCACATAGGTTTTGTAAACCAAATAACAACCTCCCCTCAACCAGTAACGCCTCATGCTCCAATATAATGCACAAGTATAGACCGTGCTCGTCCCGGCTGCCGCCAGGTCACCGAGACCCATCCGAGGGGTGCGCCCGCTGCGAGATATGGGCCATCACGGAATCGTGTCTGCCGCAGCGCAGCAAGCATACATCCCACTGTTTCACGAGGGGGGTTATGTAGCTTGATCCATGGCTCGAGGCATCGCACTGCTGGTGGTACCTCGGGTGGCGGCTTCTTCTACGTCGGAAGACGGCATCTCGGGACGAATTACGACCCATAATGCTGACACCATCCTAAAAGCCGATCTGCAAGCACGAATCGAGCACGTTGTCGAGCTGCTGCAGGTCCATAGTATCTGTGCCTTCCCAGCCCCATTGCTCATCGATATCCATCGGTTCCGTATGCACATCGCCATTTGTCAACGTCTTGGTCTCGGTGCCTGCCATTATGAAGTCTTCGAATTCTGGAGGCTGCCAGTCGTTGACGAACGAATAGTCGTCCCAATGCTCCAGTTCCCCTTCTCGGTAATTGTAAATGACTGAAGTGGTGACGGTGGGTATGGAACCGATTCCACAGTCACCCAGATCCAAGGCCAATCGCAAATCTGCCATGTTGAGAGGCGGCCTCTCGGTTGCGTACTTGGCTTCAATTGGAAGTAGTCCGCTTTTATCTCGGGATAGTTCTCCTCGCATCAGAGCCCCTTCTTCTCGTCTCAGCTGCCGTTGATATTTCTTGGTAGAGATCCAGCTGGCACCTGCGCCGAACCCAGCACTGCCTGATTCCCCTGGCCCATTGCTTCTCGTCCTGGTGTAAACAGATGACAGCAGCTCTTTGATGAAGGTTTCCGTGGCAACGGTCAAGAGCTGCGCGGCGTCAGGGGTGTGACCATTAACCAAGCCGGCTTCGTAGCAAAATGGCAACATTCTTCCCTCAACCATGGCAATATCCGGGAACTCGCCCGACTCCACGGCCAGCGGTTGTTGGAAACGTTTCTTGATCTCTAGGTCCCAGTCTGTATCGCGTCAGAGCCTACCCTCCCAGATCCACAGATTACTGCACTTACTCATCTTGTTCAGACCACCGACGGCGCTGGCTGGTGGCGGTTCTGGGGCTCGCAGAGGCTTCCCGCGGTGGTGTTCAGAGAACATGTTAGTCATGGATTCGTAGGGGTCAAACTAGAGGCAATGTTAACCCGCATCCTCAGAAAGCGAAAGACTCTCGGTTCCGAGCGCAGTAACTCACGTCGTTGTGTACCAATTCCTTGATGCGCCGCCTATCGCGAGTGGGCAGCTGCATGACTTCTCCCTTCAGTCTCCTTTCGGCGGCATCACCAGTGACGGGCTTTGCGCCGACGCCGGTGGTCGGCTTGTCATTAGCAGAAACCCATGGTGCCAAGCCGACATCTGGCATCTCCCTCGTGAGATTGCCATAGATGGCGGCCAGCAGCTGGTTGTGTAGATGGTCCTTCTCTCCATTGGGGGACGCGAGGATAGGATCGATGCGCTCCGAGTACTCGGCCTGGTTCAGCCGCCCTGTGATGATTGTGAGTCTGATGACATGCCATTTCACGTGGAGAGTGACGGCTTTCTCAGCGACGAGCCGTGCCTACTCACCCAGGACGAATTGGGTTGTCGAATCTTTGTAGACAGTCCATTGTTCTGCGCCAATGGCGGACTTCAATGCAGCATAAAGAGGCTCCAGGTCTATGCGGGGAGGGATTATCTGGGAGGTCTTGGGTTTCGTCGAGGGCGTGGAAACTGTGATTGTTTTCATAACCGGGGTGGTCAGACTGACGGGGGGGCGGCTGAGCGCGGCGGGATCTATGTCGGGCATTGTTGCGATGGTTGACGGGTTCTTGGGACTGGATGATGTAGTTGGCCCGTGATTAGGTAATATGGCGATGCGATGCGATGCGCGAAGCTCGCACCGAGGTGGAGGAGTTCGGCAGTCGCGTGCACTTGAAATGGAGGTGAATGCAGCGCGAGGCAGTAAATTTGGTCAAGAACCCATTGATTGGATATTTGAGAGCAATGCGATCACATTGCCGATGTTTTCATGATAGAATCACCGCTGCGTTGCCGATGCGTTGATGGATCGGTCGTCTTATGGCAGCAGGTTTTGCTCGTCGTACGGGACGGGTGTGGTATGGGTGTGGTATGGGTTTATGGGTAATGGTAGTGTGCAGTGAGGTTGTTAGAAGGTCTGGGCTGGGACGAATGCCGATTGTCGAATTTGGGGCGGCTGGTCGAGTGCAAGACCGCCTAACATGCTCAGAACAAACGCCGCTCAGGTACCTTTGGCTGTGAGACAAAAAGATGCGCCAAATTCCAAGGGGAAAGGGCCAGGCAAATGTACCTAACCTAGCCTCAATACAGCAAGTAAGAAGTAACTTGTTCGCCAGCCAATTGAGGGAGGGGGTGGGCATTTCGTAATTATAGCCATAACAACTTCTTCATACTCATACCGCAATCATGATGGAAGCATGTTGGGTTAAATACATGAGGGCATCTAGCACTGGTTGCGTTCATCATTCCGTGACACAACCGATAATGCAGCAAGGTTAAATAAAAGCATATGCACATACTGTACTGTCCTTCGAGGCCCAGCATATCGAATCCCCCCGTGTCACAAGCTACTCCAGCCCCAAGTACTCTGAGGTTACCCCAGATCGCGAAAGACGCGTCCCGCCATTTTGCGCCCATGCATGATTCCCAAGCTGCTTTATTTATTTACTTTTCCATGTCATAGCTACCCACGAGCGCACTACGATCTGGCGGCACTGAAACGGCTTCTTCTTTTGGCATCCTTATGCTGCATGCATGGAAGCAGCTCTAAAAATGCAACATGTCGGCTTCGTCCTCAGATAAGGAGCGGCGCATTAACCTGAGCATCAACCGTCTGATAGCTCAGGTAGCCCCTCCGCCCAACGACCTCGCCGAGGACCAGCAACAGGAAAGGGTAGACTGGTACACAACTCAGGTCAAGACTCACTTACAAGAGTATGTCACAGCTCCTTGCAACGTGACTGTACCAGCCCGAGTAGCTAACCAATTGCCAGCAATCCTTCACCTTCTGTTGCATCCGACGTGAACCATGCCTCGGACCTCATCAAGCGCAAGCTCATCGCCACGAGCCCCGCCCAGGCATTGCGCTTCTCCAATCTCTACTCGCGACTTCTGGCCCTGCCAGTGCTGAATCAGAAATGGGCCATGTTATATCTGCTCAACGAGCTGGCAGATTCGCCAAGCCCGGAGGAGGATGATCCCCACGCATATCAGGAGTACATACAAGCCGAGCGGGCAGCGAGGCAAGAAGCCATACAAGACCGAAGGCGACCTACGAAAGGCGACGACAAGCATGCGACGCCCGATGCGATGCGAAGCCCCCAGGACCACCATCAAAGGGCGGATCCCGAGGATGACTTCTTCCCCGGTGGGCTGAAGAAGGTCGTCGACAGAGCTAGGGGTCTGAGAGACCAGCCCCCCGAAGATTCGGAGTCTGACTTTGACCGTCCAATATCAGCGCCCGCATCAAGGCCCGTGTCGTCAATGGGAGAGCACAAGAGGAAGGCTACATTGGACAGGGCCCCTTCAGACCAGTCTAAACCCAGAGATGTCTCTATCAAGTCCAGTCAACTATCCGACAACTATTCGACCATTGATCCATCCGAACTAGTCCTGCTCCGAGATTTACCCTACACGCTTCAAGGGCTCTCTTCTACCACCTTGCCGTTCGGCAAGGGTTACACAGTCAAGCTTCCTCGCACTCTCCCTACACCTATAGTGTCCATTTTGAACACATTGGCAGAGCCCTCTCTGTTATATCGGACCTTGGAGGACTTTGTCAAAACACCAGCAAAGGGTCTTCTGTCCCAGAGTCTACGCGCAGCTGTCAGCAACGAGCTTCGCGCATATCTGACTCTAGTCGCTACATTGGAAGGACAGATCAGACTGGCACTTGCCACTATTGACGACAATGCGCCTCGAAGCGGCATCGGAAAAACCGGTGTGACATTAAAACGTTGTGTAGTTTGGACGAGGGAAGCGACCATGGGTCTGAGGCTCATGAGTCTCATTGCGGAGGAGTCAAAAAGCAAGAAAGGTGGTCAGCTCATCTCTCTAATTCACTCATTTTCCTCGCTCCACGGAGACCCCATCGTCGGCGCTTTCGCCGAGCGTCTCCTTACTCCCGTCACAAGGCCATTCTACGATATACTCCGGCACTGGATCTATGATGGTGAGCTCTCAGACCCATACCAGGAGTTCTTCGTATACGAGCAGTCTCCAGAGCAGATGCCTAAAGGCAAGTCTGGATCTACTAATGTTTGGGAGGACAAGTACGTCATGAAAGGATCTATGATCCCTTCGATTATGCCCGAGGTATTTGCCCAAAAGGTCTTCTTGATTGGCAAGTCCCTCAACTTTATTCGACACTCATGCGGCGATGCTCCATGGGTAGAGTCATATAGCAAGGAGTCGTCCAAAGAGCTTCGCTATGGCGATACGGCAACGTTGGAGGCATGGATCGACGAGGCCTACAAAGCAACGATGCGTCGACTTCTGCATCTCATGACGCAGAAGTTTCATTTATTCGATCACCTGCGAGCCTTGAAATCGTACATCCTTCTCGGACAAGGTGACTTCATCGCGTTGCTGATGGAGTCCTTAGCTGGTAACCTGGACCGTCCAGCAGGAGCTCAGTACAGACATACCCTGACAGCGCAACTGGAACACGCCATCCGTGGCTCCAACGCACAGTACGACTCGCCTGAAGTGCTCAGGAGGCTAGACGCACGTATGCTTCAGCTCACCCACGGCGATATAGGATGGGACTGCTTCACGCTGGAATACAAGATCGACGCGCCTTGCGACGTCGTCGTCTCGGACTGGGGCGCGCGCCAATATCTCAAGGTCTTCAACTTCCTCTGGCGCGTCAAGCGCGTCGAGTTCGCCCTCTCCTCGTCCTGGCGCAAGGTCACCACAGGCTCCCGAGGCGTGCTGCAGACGCGCCACAAGACCGTCCAGCAGACCTGGAAGACCACGCGCGGCGTCCTGGCGGAGATGGTCCACTTCGTCGGCCAGCTGCAGTACTACATCCTCTTCGAGGTCATCGAGTCCTCCTGGACGGAGCTGCAGCGCAGGCTCGCCGGCGAAGACTGCACCCTCGACGATGTGATACACGCCCACACGACGTACCTCGAGTCCATCACGCACAAGGGCCTACTGGGCGCCCGGCGACGGCGCTTCGGCGGCGGCGAGAAGGAGGAGGACGAGAACTCGTACATGATCCAGCTCTCCGAGCTGCTCAGGAACATGCTGTCGTACCGCGACTCCGTCGACGGCCTGTACTCGTGGTCCGTCTCGGACTTCACCCGGCGGCAGGAGGCCGATTTCCACAACACGGCCGTGTCGTCGCACCCTAACGTGACGGCGCGGACGCGGCGCACGAACCCTGCCGGCCTCGCACACGCGGGCGACGGGGACGAGGAAGACCAGGACGAGGTCCCCGGAGGCGAGAACAGCGAGTTCCCGGCCCTGCAGGAGCGCCTCGCGCACCTGGGCGACAGGTTCAGGAACCGGCTGCAGATCCTGCTGGGCGACCTGGCGTACCAGTCGGACGTGGACCTGAGGTTCCTGGGCGTGGCCATGAACTTCAACGACGTGTACCAGCCGATCAGGAAGAAGGCCAAGGGCACGCCGGCGCCCGGCGGGCTGGCTGTGGGTGGTGGTGTCGGGGGCGGTCAAAAGTGAGGGCTCATGAGCAATGAACGGGCGATAGATATTTATAAAAGAAAGTCCTGAGATGGACCGGTTCAGTATTGGTGGCATACTCCAGCGCTTTCTCACGCTAGAATTATCAATGTTTATCATGAATTTATGTCACGGCAGTAATAAACAAATCCAGCCAAACAGGCAATGGTCAGAGGCATGGCAAACATTGTGATTGTGGTGCATGGACCAATGAGACCCGACATGTTCACAAACGCGCACCACAAGGCATCAAAGACATCGAGAAGTTCATATCATATCGTCATTCATACGTCCATCGCTCATACTATGGGTTCGTAAAACGTAGACATAGGGAAATCTTCTCTACCCGCCCCGTCCTCTCCTGTGCCTTGTTTCTCATGGAAAAGATGATTAAGCTTTATCATCCATAATACAGCCGCAAACGCCTCCATATTCATGAGATTCTGTTCATCAGAATGATATCCCTTCCGAATTACCATTTCGGTCTGTGTTCCCTTTTTCGTGGATTCTCCTCCACTGGGTCCAAATACAAGATGTCTAGGCTTAACGCCGTTTATATCTACAAGTAGTTCCAAAGACGCATGATGATTCATTAAGGTCGTTGGCCAGATTCCAAGAAAAAAAAAAAGAAAGAAGAAAAAAAAGCAAGTCCACGCGTGCTTTCCTTCCAATGGTCCTTGGGTTTTATTGTTGAGCCAGCCAGAATATACTCATGTGCTGTGCAACATTCCTCCGCCGTCTCGGGTGGGGTGGGTTGAGTAGATGTAAAAGAGAGTCGGAGGTGCGCGTCGCAGTAAAGATCTCGCACACGTAGTAATCGATGCCGACCCTAGGCCCAACACGATATAAAACAAAGAAAAAGTGCTGGGTGCCAGTGTGGCGGTAAGATGATTGGTGGTTTACAATGCAAAGTCCAGGTTCATCAGGCTGGACAAGCATGTTTGAGAAAGCGCATGTAGGCTTTCGAATGATATGGCCGTTAAACGAGAGGGACATTAGATATCCAGCGAGGCTGGCAGAGATGAACCAACACAAGCCACATCAAGTTCGAGATGAGACGTCATATCCAGTGAGCCAACATGAATGAGCAACATTAGGCCGCAAGCTGGGGCAAAATTTGAGGTCGCTAAGAGATGTCTGTGATATCCTTTAAACGTCCGTCATCTCTGTGTCGAGAGACATTGGTTCTAAGGTTTCATCTGCTGGTCCCCAATTGCCTTCAAACACCGTAGCACCCGCTCGCTGACGGGAAGCTACCCATTGAAGGGCGTGGAGCTCCAGCAACTGCAAAACAGTAGGCCGTTGTGTCGGCTCAGGGTGGAGCATCCATTTGATAACGTTGTCCAGTGAGTTGGAATCGCTCGCGTCCTGCATGAAGGTTGGTGGCTGTGAAAGCTCATTCTTTCGGCCCAGACCGAACAAGTTACCAGACTGCCGGGCAACGCTACGAGGGGTCATGGCGCGACGAAGCTGTAGCTGCTTGTTTTCGGTAGTCTCATCCGGGGTCATTGCGCTGTTGATCTCTTCGATGGGGAGACCAGTAGCATCTCGAGCAATAGTTTCATCTTCTTTGGTAAGAACCGGGATCTCACTGAAGTCGCCAAATCGCAAAGCCTGCCAGGTGGCACCATTGTCCGGGAGCTTGACGTTTGCTGCAACCTCGAGCATGATCAGACCAAGTGAAAATATGTCAGCAGGCTTGTCAATCTCGCCACGAAGCACTTCATAAGCTAGGTACTCTCGGTCGCCCTCGAAATCTGGCCCTTTGATGACGGGCAGGGCTGCGGCCATGCCAAAATCACCAATCTTGAGAGTACCCTCAAAGTCAATAAGAATGTTCGAAGGTTTGAGGTCGAGGTGGACGAATCCAGCATTGTGTATGTGCTGTAAGCCCTGGTATATTCTTAGCATCATTGTTGAGAAGTGTACGGAGATCGTGCAACTAACCTGGCTTAACTCCAGCATGACCTTCCAGATTCTAAAATCGTCAAGTTTGCCCTTAACACCAACTTGCGCAAGGAAGACATCAAGGCTTCCCTCTTCACAGTACTCCGTCTGGATGTACAGGTTGTTCAACTCCTCCCAACTGCTGGTCAGTTGAAGGACGTGTTCGCAGCCACGCATGGCCTCCAAAGCTGCCACTTCCCGCAGTCGCATTGCCCTGTCGGCTGAGCCTTTGAGCGGGAGCTTAAGCTTCTTGACGGCAAAAACCTTGTCAAGTGGCGGGGAGGGGGAAGAACGGTGCGTGGGTGTGCTAAAGAGTCCCAGTGTTGGTGTGGCTGCAGGCTTCTCTCTCTCTGACACTTTGAATACTTCGGAGAACTCGCCTTTACCAATGAACTCAATATTGGCAAATCGACTTGAAAGTGACGCATCGATCTGAGCAGCAGTGTTGCCGTTGGTTGGTGTGATTGCGCGGCGATCGCCGAAGAGTGAGGTGTTATTTGATCGCGTTGTTGGTGTCGCAGGAGGGAACAATGACTTTCTGCTGCTGGTCGGAAATGGGAACAAAGAACCAGCAGTGGGGTTCGAAATCGACAAGCGGCTTGCATCAGGTGCAGCGTCGATGTCTTGAGGTGTTCTAGGCGTGGTGCTCTCGGCAAAATCTAATCTTTCCAAAGGACTCGCTGTGATAGTTTCATGTTTAGCAAACTCGTTTCTTTTCAAGGTTGAAGGAATCTCGATCGAGGACACTGTCCTCGTAATCAGAGGAGTGGGCGTGGAGTGGTCTCCACGCTTGGCTCGATTTCGACGAAAGGACGACAAGGAGAGAGTAATAGGAAGCATCGGTCCCCGAGCGATAGGCGAAGCCGAGTCAGACGCGCCTTCAGTAGACACAACATCCTCGACATTCCTATCCTCACAGGGCCCATCGGAAGTGCTAAACTTACAGCTTGCTGCAGAATCATCGCGCCATGCGCTTTTGCCAATGGCAGAGACAGGGGCGGCGATATGACGGTTTGCCGTAGGGCTATCGTTGACCATCAGGTCAAGACCGCTAGAGGTTTGGGACAAGAAGGATGTCGGCCTAGTCGGTGTGGGAGGTGCGTCATCCGTTGCCATCATGGGAGTGTCACCATTTATATCGACGGGGCTCCTACCATCGTCACTGTAGAGGCTTAGGATACTATTGGATCGGGCATGACGTCTTCCAAAACCAGTGAATAGATTTGGTCTGCCACTGGGGCTGCCAAACGTATTCGGTGCTGCTGGTTGGCCATCTCCGAGGTTGAAAGGGGTGGAAGGTCCTCCCAAGGAGCCCAGGGATCCTCGAGCATTTCTGCCTCGGGACTTCATGTTGCTGGCCAAAAGAGGGGGGAAGGTGTGGAAGGGGCTAACACGGCCCTTGCACGGCGTATCCGGCACAGGTGCTCCACGAGCAACCAGCGGCTCCAGCTCTGGGTTCCTCATCTTCGATACAAGTCCAGTCGATGCAAAGGCGCCCATGAATGGTTTGGCGTGTTTGTAGTCTGGTGTTGAGACACTCCCAACGACTTGGGCATCGTCATCAGGAGTGGGACGCAAAGCGCCGATGGGCAAACTCTTGGACCAGTTCATCTGAGCTCGAGGCCTCTCGCTGATGATGGGAAAATGCGTGGGCGATTCATCAGGGATACTCGAGTTCGACGACGAAGCTGTCATTGTTCGTGACAGGGGATGAGGCTGAGCTGCCTGCTGGCTCATGGCATGAGCAGATGCATTTGGGAGAGGCCCTTGGGAGCTGAACGGGCTGTCACGAGATAGAGGCATGAAGTGATCGGAAGCCACCCGTGGTCGTGTTCGCGCGGGCGACGCAGCCTCGTTGGACATCTGCGACAGATGCTGGGCGCCAGACCGTCTGCCCCATGATGTCTTCTTCTTCTCCTGACGCTGTTGAAGCGTGGACTGACGCAGGGAAGTGTGTCGTCGGGGTAGTGATGCAGCGACTGGGGAGGCAAACGGTTCGGTGATGGTTTTGTTATTACCAGAGCCGGTCCAGTCATACTCTCGGCTTGCCTCATCATGGATGTCAAAGCTGGGCGAGATGGGGCCATGATCTTCAAAATTGAATTCAGATCCAAAGCTTGATGGGCCGTAGCTCCTTCGTTTAGCCTTGGGGCTACCACTTCCAAAGTTGGCCTGGTCCAAATCTATAGTCGCATCACTACGCTTTAAGGGACTAGCGTTTGTGCTCGAAACGTTGCTGTCATTGATTCGCGCAATAGCTTGCAGCGATGCGCCCGACATATCCAAATGCATGCTGTGTCGGCTCTTAGCCTTCTCGAAGCTTCTTCTCGGAGCGGGACTGCGCGGTCGGAAAATACTGTTCTCCTGGCCAGAGGGAGGAGAGTCGCTCGGTGAGGGAGTCGAGTTTCCAGCGCAGGGCGAAGCGACATTCAAAGCGCGTTTCGTCGGGCTCTTCGGGGAGGTGCGGTGTCGCGTAACAGATGATTTGGATGCGGAAGAGTTGCACGAGTTGAGCTTTGCTGAAGATTTGGCAGAGCGCAGTGACAGCTTGACACTGGGTCGAAAGGGCGTTGCGAGCGACGATTGCGCAAGCACCGATTGTGTTGTGGGGGCGTTGTTTTGCGAACTGAAAGCACCAAATTGCTGAGATGCCATGCGTCGCAGAGAAGGCGAGGCGGGCGACGGCGAGTTTGGTGAGTAAGTAGAGGTCATGGAGTGATCTGAGCTCTGCGATGATGTCCTTGCCAGCTGAAATTTGGAAGGCGAACGCGACAACGATCGTCTCAATGACCGCACAGCGGCTTGGACGTCGATGTGGTTGGGGTGAGTAGGGCTGGGCAGCGTCAAGGTGCCGCCTCCACCGTTCCCGAATGACATTGTTCAGATGTGGGATTGCGCTGTGCAGGCCGCAGGGAAGACTGTTTGCTTTAATCAACTGTCGGTTGTTGGAAGCAAAGCGCAGCACAGCGCAGAAGACGGGACCGTGACGATAATCCGGGGAATGGCGACGGTCAAGTAGATTAGTCTTATCGAGCGCGGTGCCAAAACAATGACGATATGCTGAAGGCTGCTTGTGTTGACCTTTGGACAATCCGATGCTCTGATTACCAACAAATGGAATGGGCACTGGAAGCTGGAATGGATCGAGGAGAGGAAAGTCTGGCTCAGAGTGGTATGAGGTCTCGGATTGCGGGACGGGTACGGAGTACTGAGTGAGGGTGAGGGTGTGTACGGTCCGGGTTGGGCTAGGTAGTGTGTACAAATACGGAGTACTTGGCTCTGGGTAGGCAGCTACCACTACTTTTTGCAACCACAAAGCGGCATCGACATCATACGGCGGTCGCAAAGCAGTCTTTAGTCTCAGACACGCAACCAACTCCCAACTATGCTCCAGCAAAAAGAGTTGCGCATGTAGTGCACAAATCCCCCAGGACCCCTAAAAAGCAGCGCAATGATCGCCAAAGTTGGCACTTTAGACTGAATCAACAGCGCATACGATTAACAGGGCGGATGGGTGGCAAAGTTGAGAAACTTGGGAAAAGAGAAGGGGGCCCCTTCAAGACCAACGAGCGGGAATCACCAAATGGGGGAGCGCGCCAGAACAGGTGCGAGTCGCAGGTTCGCAAACGACAGGGCAAGGCGCAAGTGCAAGTGCAAGTGCAAGTACAAGTTGCTTCGGTGGTGGGCAGCGGGTCGCACTTGATTACCAGGAAAGCGTGGGAAGGCTGGGTAGGGAAAGGGCGAACGAAAAAAAAATTGGATACGTGACAAGTAGCAGTGGGGACTGTCGAACAGACTGTTGGAGCAAGTGTGATGGAGGCGTCGAATGAGAGGGAATCGCAAGACCAAGTCTTCCAGTCGTTCTACTAGGCGATGCGCACACTCTAAAGTAAACAATAGAAAGCGCGTTGGACGCGTCGGGACAGGATCAAGGGACGAACGAGAGCACGGAAAACAGTGGGTCTTGTTGTGCGTGCCGGCCTGACCTGGTTGAGGCTTGACTGGGTTGGGTTTGGTTCTTCTTTTCTGCTGGGGCGAGGGGCTGATTAAGTTGGCGGACATGGGTATGAACTGGGAACCAAAGAGTCAGTGCCCCCGTGCGGGCAAACTTGAGATGATCTGCTCCTCAACGCCTTCACCACTGGATGTACATACACACATTACAGTAGTATGGAGGTAAGTTATTACTGGAATGCATCACACTCAACTCCAAACCAAGGGCCTTCACCCGTCCCTTTGACGAACCTTGATTCCAAGCAACTGTCGGATGATGAGCAAACTATTGGCTTCCTGTGGCTTTGGTAAACTATACTTCGAATATCCCACCCGTTCATGCCGGCTATAGCCCGTGTTTCTCCCCAGCCTTGTGAACCTCTTTTTGCGGCAAGGAAGCTTATCACTTGGAATCGAATCACATCACCTGTCACCTGCAACCAGGAACCCTTTTTGGTTCCTCAATTGCACTGGATTGTAACGAATGTACTATTTTCATCATTTTAAAATTTGTGTACATGGTACTCATTCCGTCGAATCCAACTGTCACACCTCATGCCGTCATCTCATTTATACATCATCTTTGTTTACTGTACTTGCATGTGTGTGCAGCATCTGCATCTGCATCGTACTGTAAACCCATTATTGGCGCTTTGGAATTCGCTCAAGTGACCACAACAGTTCCATCTAACTGCAGTCTGCAGCTGGTCAACTCCTCACCACATCCATTTGCCCCCCCATTCGTTCGCGTCTTGCTGAGCGGTGTGTTTGGTACAGCTATGGGGCTACCAGCCATCCATTTTCGCGTCTATGATCACACTAAAAATCCCTCTTCCTCACCGTTTCTCCAATAGACTCATACCGGCTTCCACATGCCTGATTGCCGCTCTGTCCAATTTTTTTTTCTTTTTTTTTTTTTTTTTTTCTCTCTCTCTCCATTCTCGATTCAGTGTACGTAGTGATCGCTTGCCGACTTTCCATTGTTGGTCCTTGGGATTTTCATTGGGATTTGCAGGGTGGTTATGGCTTACTACTTTAAACGCCATTATGTGTGGCTATGGTTTATTTTGTCCGACGCGTCAATGTTTACATGATTACCCAAAATAGTAATTTACATCATAACGCGCCGGCCGGGACGCTTGCCCCGTGCTGCTAACGGCAGGCCTAGTAATCCAACCAGGGGGCCACAGATCTGCATCAATGCCCCTCCCCTCACTATCCGACTCGCCAGAACAGACAACCCAGAGGCCAGCCTTGACCAGACAAACCAGTCAGCTGTAAGCAGACAAGTTGTTCTTAAACCTTCTTTTCTCAAAATGCAGGTGATGTTCATCCCTGGAGAAGGCCTGGGCGTTTATGTGTGAACGCTCAACTGGGGGGTTTTTCTGGGGGAAACGACAAGTGTCGCGCCATTAGCCTACACCATGGAGACAGGGCTCAAAACATCGTCAACGGGTTTCTCGACTCTGAAGTTGGAGACCATGGACCCGCCGTTGCATGTCGACCCATACTTCAGTATTGGTCTGGCAAGCCAGACCTATGTGTTGTCTGAACAAATCTGATCTCGCGGGAGCCAATCTCAAACCCCGTGCAAGCCCTGCAAAGCAGCTATATTACCGGTCTGTTGGTATTTCGCCTCCGATCATCAAAACAAAGAAAGGTAGCCCTGGGCTCAATAATACGATATCTTAATTGAACTCCCCAGTATTGATCTCATTATCGGAAGTTATGAGTTCATGCGCAGGGAAGGGGATGCCGTAGCGTGCCAATTTCCCTCCCACCATACTAATCTGTGGATGCTTGTTGTTCTCCACCATGCAGAATATTGGGAATCCCCGAAGCTTGGATCATTTTGTGACCGCTCTCTCCAGAGAATGAGGAAGCCCACCGGCCCACAGAGGGGAGAGGCACTGGAAATTGTCTGTGCTTCTCGATTCGAGATTAGATCTACCATGCCGCATGAACCTGGGAGGCATTGGGGGCCATACGGATGCGCCATTTCGTCCAAGACTAGAAGTCGCTAACCTATACATACGGAGCCCGCCGACAGAGGTAAAACACGCCCCTGGCAAGAAAGAGCATGTCGCGGGCCGCACGAATCACACAATGCAGGTTTTGAGGCTACTATCAGCCATACATTTCTCTTCTTCTCGAAGCCTTCGAAACAGCCAGTCGAATGCACGCCAAGAGCGGACGTCCAAGCGCGTGTGCAGCAGTTCGCAGAAAGGTCTCACGATAATGCAATATCATCCATTAACCTGGGTTGTTGGGATTATCCTTCCGATTCAATGACCACGAACACTGGTTTTCTAGGCCATACCCGCCAGATCATGGTCATGGCCGACCCGCCATCAGACGACTGTAGAGCGACAGAGGCCGCAGTCATGTTTGTCCCCCATGTTTGACAGCATTTTTCTCGACCCTGATGCGAAACTCAGATTCCTATACTCCACACGTGCCGGTACAGTAAATGGACCATGAGGTTCCATGGCAACCTTGACCAATCTCGGCCGGCACACAACATTCGTAAACCATATTGTATGCCTTCCGCAACTTTCCTCTTTCGGTAGCTTACACAATTAGTCGAAGGACCGTCGGGGAATTAACTTGGCACATATAATCATCGCGGTCTAATGTTAGAAACGGCACAAGCCCGTGCCACTTGCTATGTATCCTGTGACGCTCATAACGCCATTCTCATATTGTTGATATTATTGTTTACATTCGTCGCTGTTTACACGCTTTAAGCGGCATTGACATGACTCGATGAGTCCGCGTCCCGTCATGAGCCGCTGTCCTCGAATGACACGGACAATTCCAAAAGCAGATGGAGCAACTATTGCGAGCCTGAAACTATAAGGCTGGGAACATCGCTTCTTTGCATGTTGTTTACCAATCTTGATTGACCGCGTATACTCCGTTCTCCCCGGACAACCCCATGAATTATGACCCTGATCTGCGAGCCTACGCAGTTCGGGAGATCATGCCGTCCATATATATGCAGATCTGGACAGATCAATAACATGGTGAGGCTGCCAAGGCTTGCCACAACCGCAATGCAATGCAATGCAGCCGTGAGGCTTGACTTCTGTCCAATTTACAGCATATACGTAGTTCGAGGGAGCACCCTAGCGCAAGGCCGACAAGTATCGGTCGATCCGCAGCCTAAACCCTGATAGCCAATGCATTGAGGAAAATAGCCCCTCATTGACGGCTAGACCTCTCGGTGAAGCTTACCGCCATTACAGGTGAACGAAGTTCAGACGAAAAGTCCTTCTAGACGTTGTGCCATCATGCCCATCGCCTCGGTAATGCACGACCTATCCCCGTTGGTCGCAACGTTTCTTTGATTCAGCATCCGTTTCATGATCGTCGAGCGCTTCGGAGCGGACCGGCACAACGAACTGGTTGGACACATACATACTTATCTACAGTACCGCTGGTTTTAAGCGCGAGCTGTGGTGCTGTCTGATTGTTCAAGCCCGTGGACTTACCTTGCCCATTGGGTGTCAAAAAAAAGAGCACGAACCCATTCGATGCCTTGCTAGGCAGTGGGAACTCCTGGTTAGTATGGAGATATTCAAAGTGGAACCGCTATAGAAGCGCGCAAACTGGGATAGCCTGGGTTGCGCGCGGCGCGTCCGCGGGTTGTTATTGACCGACATATGGGAAAGACGGATGCGATTTCGAGGCATGACATGATCAGCGAATGAGGCGCCGTCCCACCTTGGGGTGAGTCGGGGGGATAAGAATATAATGCGGTGAGGCGAGCTAGAGCGGTGGAGGAGTATGATCGTAGGGCTGCGTGCCCTACACTCCCGCTCTATGGTATACGGATAGGATGCTCCAGCGCGTCGGGATGAGAGTGCTGATGCGCATGCGCATATGCACCGCGCGGTGTTTGGTGAAAAGCTCGAGGTAAACGGAGATATGGTAAGTGCGCGCGACAACCTGGAAAGGGTTTGTAGAAACATGTCTAGCGGCTAGCAAGCTAGATTACCTCTGATCAATGCATGCAAATCTCGAACACCTAAAAATATATCGCCATATGCGTATAAGCCGCAAGATTCAACGCTGCAGCCCGGCGCTGCGGTCCAGCGATGCCCTTAGCATTCGCATGTGCGCATCGTGTATGTCACGATGATGAGGCTAAACAACCCAATCGAGTAGACATGCGGCTATTTTGGGCACGATAACCTTAATTACGCCCGCCAGGTCGAACCTAAGGAGCATTTTCTCCTTGCTAGGAAGCGAAGATTAGTGTTTAGATATCCTTTGCGATATCGTCGCTGATTAGCTTCGACTAGGCAGGCACGTGAGGTATATTCCGAAGCGTCGGCCCTAAACTACTTGTATATATGCGGGAGGTGTGCTTATGTTGCATTAGCCTCAGAGCCAGTCCCAGTCTACATAGTGCCAGGCGCTGAAATAATGAAAGCATGGGTGCAAACAATTTCAAATTCGCCATGCCTTTCGATTATGGATGATGGCGAATTCATGAACTGGATGACATTAGTTTTGACTGTCTTGGGAAGATGGATCTAAGAGTTGTATGTTCATTGCTGATAGTGATTTGTATTGCGCCAAAAGCTTTGAGTGACACTGCAGGACTCTGCGTTGGGATATTTCTCTTATTGGCTGTACACACACCGCAAGGCTCTACGTTGGCAGACATGAGTGCCTTGTGTGACGAAGTTCTTGTGGCTATGCCGGTCAAGATATCAATAGAACCAGGCTGGCAAAGTGCTTGGGCATTTCCCCCCTCAATCTCCTTCAACTGAGCCAGACCTCTTCACCGAATTACCTTGGTACAGAACTATTGATTTCGTGAAAATGGAGGCACTTGTGGCCGTTGGGGTCGCTTCGAACTTGGTCCAGTTCGTAGACTTCGCGGTAAAGCTTATCAGGACCTCAAACGAGCTCCGGCATAACGCAGCCTCGGCGGAAAACAGAGAGCACGTTTTGCTCACGATCCATCTGCAAAAAATCGCAACAGATATCAACAATACTTCACAGGCCATCGAGCAACATAACTTATCAGAGTCGCCTGATGACGAGGTAGGTAGTTCAATAATAGGAAACAATTCACATAGTTTGATATACATGGTCTTCCCCAACCTAACTTTTATTGTCCCAATTTACGACACTTCCTTGAAGTTATGGAGTGATGATGCGTTTGAAATGGTCATTAAAAGGCCGCTCTCCTGCCTAGTTCAAACTCCGATGGGCTCCTGTGAAGGCATTGGAACATTGTCATCTCATGAATTCATACAAGGATCTAACAAAATTACTAGGCTCTAAGGCCAGTGATCAAAGGCTGCTGCCTACTTGCTCAACAACTGCTCCAGCGCCTCGAGGGATGTGGCATTCGGCCAGGCCAGACTAACACATTCACGGCTCGTGCAAGAAGTACCCTGAAATGTATGTGGAACAAGCGAGAGGTCCAAGATATATCAGACAGGCTGGAACGATTTCGAACGGAAATAAGCCTCCACCTGATTTGTCAAATAGAGCAACGCCAAATGTTATATCAGACCCTCCTTCCTAAGAAAGAGGATCTTGCAGCACTACAAGATACGGTTAATGAACTACAATCACAGATTCGGAGCATACAGTCCCAATTTGATACCAGGTCGGGCCAACTCCAGTCCATGCCAAACTTTAGCATTCTGCTGGGATCCGAACAACCACAATCACTTTCGGAAACTGCTAGGGCGGTCACTGTAGTTGCAAGCAAACAAGACGAGATCCTTGAGCAACTAGGCTATTTGAAGCAGGATTTGGCAACCACTCAGAATCAAAATGATGCAATGTTTGACTCCCTCGCGAGTTTCAAGACTTCAAATGAAGAGCTTTACAATCAATCAACCCAGGCGGCGGCGTCTTTTGCGGAATTTGGCCCAGCATTTCAAACCGCTCTTCGTACCGGACTCTTGGAATGTCAGCAAGCAATTCTTGCAGGTGTCGAAAAATCGGTTAAAGACGCTTTGAAGACAGAATTCACTGATCTGCAAGCAATACTGTCACCTACTGTTCAGAACCCATATGTTTGTATGGCGAATGACTGCGCAATGCGTGATCCTAGATCAGAAACATCAGATCTTGATTGTGTCACAAGGAAAGATTCGTGGCCAAGTGAAGTAAATCATAGAGCATACTTCAGCATACACGAAAAAAAAAATATAAGAAGACAGGATAGCGTGGTTCTTCACTCGTACTTCAGGATAAAGACATCCAAAATAGGGACTATGTTGATCATGATTTGGTATAAAGTCAAGTTCGATCATCTTGGTTCATCAAAAAGCGTCTTCGAACTGGCGGTGAACCTCGTCCCGAATTTGTCATGGTTCAGTACAGGCTGCTCTGCAACTTTTCGAAAGGAGGTGGATAACAAGGGAGTTTTGCAGCTTAACCATCATTTACACACCTATCGTGTCATTCAGGTCGAACACGATGCCATCAGGGCTGTGGAACGAGGGGATCTGGAAATAGTTCGAATGATGCTTGATGAGAGGACAGTGCTTCCAACAGATCGCGATTCTGGCGGGAGCACCCTACTTCATGTCAGTAATTAATCGCCCCCAAAGCTTCGTGTGCTCACTCATGCAGTACGCCGTTGCTCATGGCCGTTTAGACATTCTCAAAGCACTTGTCGCCCGTGGGGCCGATGTTAATGCTCAGGACGGGTGCGTTTTATGAGTTTATCCTTGTCCGAACGTCATTACTAACTCCGCACGTCAGGATCGGCCGATCTCCTCTTGTGTGGGCGCTTTTGCCGACCATTTTGCTCTTGAACGACGAAGGTTTCGCAATCCTTTATTACTTGCAATCACTCTCCTCCACAGATATGAGTTGTCTTTGGGAAGATCACCTACGAGGTACTATGATCACGGACCTGGTGATCTTTCCTGTTTCTCAAACGGTAGATATTCAGCATAAGCTGAAGGATTGGGACGTGGCATGCAAATCCGTGGAGGTGGAACTAAATGATCATACCTGCAGCTTCAATGAATCCTTGGTGTGCCATTTCAGCTTCTGGACGCCAAACTCCCCAGAAGTCTCGGATATACGACACAGGCTAAACATAAACATAGGAGGCCTCGCATCCATCCAACAAAATGCACGGGCTACAATACCTCGTGTATTTGAAAGCATAGTTTCACAGGGGCTTGCAAGCGCCACTAATAATCCCAGTATTAATGTACCTGTATCATTTACTGCAGCGATAATGGTATTCCATCTATGCACAGCCAGGACTCACTCGTTGATAGGCGACTTACCTTCGCCCAACGTCACTTTCAGATATCGCGGCTATTTTGTCGTTGGTAAATTGGCATTCTCCCTCAATTTTCTAGAGCATGTCATTCATCTCGGCATTAGCTACCGGCCAGACTGTATCTTCGACACCTATCAGGGCAGTACAATTTACGACATATTCTGGTATACCGACTGGGAGGATGTTTGGGAGGGGATTCTTGAAGATCATGGAATCGACCCAAGTTGGGCTTGTGAAGAAAACGAAAGAAGAAAGCGTGTAGTACTCGGCCAAACATCAGCCCATGATGTGGCAAGCCCAACTCAAAGTGCTGCGGATATCGTGCAAGTCAAGCGACGACAGACATATCATGTAGCCGAGCATTGAACGAAGAGGTTGAACGCAAACAATTTCAGTGTTATTGCAATTTGTATTTTAGGATGTGTAAAGGCATTTTACCTTTTGTAGCGGGCCTCCTTTCTTACAAGATGTGGCTTAACGTATCCTATTTAAAGACATGCTTTATAACTAATCTAGTTCATTCAGATCTAATAAGCTGACCTTTGCATCATCTGTTACTTATAATCTACAAAAATTATCTATTCAGTAGAACAGCCTCCGTATATTATTTAACAATTTCTGCAATAATTATGTTTTGCTTATTTTCTTTAATTTGTGGCGAATCTGGTTCCAGCAGTGTCTCAACAACCCGCAAAACCAGATTCGACCACATGGCGCTTCGAAACCACGCAGGAAGATACTTAGCTGACAGTCTCAATATCATACAACTGCTCGACTTGTTACTGCTCTGTTTCTTCCTTCATAATGGCAGACGCAAAATGTTCAGCTCAAAAGGCTGCATCCACGCCTGAGCAGTATTTATAAACGAACTACCCTTGCAAATTCATTGTGCCGTAATTGATGCCCCTACGTGCAATATCTTTGTAAATCCCCTTCGATAGCTTGACCATGGCTGAGTCCACCTTGAGTCTTTCCTGGCGAAATGATCTGATGGCAGATGTGGTCCCAATAACCATGTAGCTAAGGGCTCCTTGAGCTTCGACTGGATGAACAGAGTTCCCTCCACCTTGCAATATCGGGACCCGCTCGTTACAATCCTCACACGGAGGCGACTGTCGCGCCTGGAAGAATCTGTCCATAAGCCGTTAAGACTAGTGATCCATATTATAAAAGAAAAGACGGAAGATGATTTATTAGATTGACTTTGTAATCAACTTGAATTAAATTTAGCGTCCGATGAGTCAGGAAGAGGACTTACGCTCAAGTACTTGCTTAAATCCAAATGGAGAAGTGCTTTTATATATACGAATTTTTGAGACGGAGGTTATCGTCGATCATCACCTTTTGGTCAAGTCAAGCATCTGATAATCTAGGCAATACTACATACGCATTCTACCGGCAAGGTATGATCGACTGAAATTGTATCGCAGAACGACTCCGAAATTAAAACGATTGTAGGAGACAAATGAAAAGAGCCGTAGTCTAAGCAAGTTATCACATACGCGCTTACGCCTCATAGAGAGGTACAAACCATGTGCGGGACCATTAAGCGTGGGAATCTGTATTATACTTAGCAAACGAAGCAAACCAGAAGAGAAAGAAAGCATAGAAATAATTACAATAAACAAGACAATATGCCTCGTAAGATTTAAAATCGTGAAGCGAATGCTACAACAAAAACTTCTGTATACAACGTCTCGAAATAACACTTCGTACTCTTAGCCAGTGCAACCTTCGAAATTAACTATAGCTTATTTATACGTCCACTATACTGTAATGGAATTGCACTATTTTGCGAAAGAAAAGAAAATGAACATGCGCATAAAGCATTTGTGATCGAAATGCGTGTTCATAATGAGAAAATAGGTTTGAATAAATTATGCCGCCTTATCATGTCTTATAATGCTTGAAGATTTGCGCTCAGAGAAATCGGTCATAGCCGTAAACTTATATTAATTCAATCCACCTGTCTTTGCGAAAGTGTCTGCGGAAGATGCTTGATTATTTGGCATTACGCGAGATGCGTACAGTCATGCTGAGCGTATGGCAGCTGTGTGGCGGGTTGTGGGGTTGGGTTAGTCAGTGGCACTGTCTAGCGGTCGAGTCGAGTCGTCATTCTGATTCTCAGCACTGCCTTTGCTTATCACAATTGATACTTTTGATTATTCAAGCTCTGAAGCGGTATTCAAGCCTTTTTTGAACTGATAATGCACTGAACTTCGCGATCACGACCGTCTGTCCTGTCGTGATAGGATTTTCGTCCGATGGCATTTTTCAACATGAAGTGCTCTTGCATAATCAGGCTGTGGAAGACAGACTGTGAAGGGATTTCTTGGTGATAAGAGCGACAATTGAATCAGGTTGATGAATCTGGTGCTTTTCGCAACATGGCACCTCCTTCAGTACGTATTTTACATTGCTCACTGCGATCAATACTAACACCCTTTAAAAGACGCCTGCGCCTCACAGATTTCTCGTTCCTGGAACTCAACGCAATGATTCTCCGAAACCACTTCCAAGCGGGTCAAAGCAATTTCGCGCAACTCCGCGTTTCTCACTTCACTCTACCCCGCGTGAGCCCGTGGATACCCTGTCTTCGTCTACTCCAGCGCGTCCGTCCACGTTTGTACGTTTACGACAAACAGAGAGCATCAGTGATGTCATCGACAGCTCCCCGCCGGACATACAGCCTTCGAGAACCTTTAGTGACTCGATTGAGGCGGATTCAATTCCTACATCCTCGGTAGTCACTGCCACTAATTATGAATCCTTTGAGGATATCGATCGGGACGGTCCGACCCCAAAGCGGCGGCGGCGGCTGTCGGTCTTTTCTGAGAATGATGTTGACTCTGATTTATCACTTGCGGACGAATTGAACGTAATTGAGGACACACAATCTGTTGATGAGCGATCCGATGATGCGCACGAACTGGGTTCCGACTTGAGCTCAGATGCGTTAGATCTGCAAGGACGAATCGCCCAACAACCAACCTTCCATAGCGCACCACGATTTGTTCCAGTTGAGCGGCCGGAAGCATCCACTCGAGACCCCTTGCCAGATGCTTTCTCGCCACGACGGAGGGGCACCAGGGACGTGCCGGGAGGTCTCGCAGCCGAGGTTCGAGATTGGCTGATGGATATAGAAGCCAATGTCGGACCTAAACGAGACGAAGATTTCATCGCAAAAATCTCCGTTGAGGAAGTTCGACGTGGCTCTGGAATGTTCCTAATCAGGGGCCGAAATGTGACGGAGACTTCAACTTATCAAACGCGAGCGCCCTCCAGCGTGAAAGTGATGCTCGCAGGAGAAGGTCGTTTAGTTGGATTAGCAAGAAGGAACGAAGTCATAGTTGGCTCTGTTGTAGCGATTGCTAAGCCATTCTGGGAAGTGGATTTGGGTACCGAAGGACGATGGGCGGTGGCTTGTGACTGGGTTTTGCTGTAAATTCCTAGTCGTCACTAAATAGAGGTTTCCATCCACGCGCACTATCAGCACCAACAACACTGATTACTCACGGCCGGCATCGTTACGGGCAAGGCTGCAGCAATGATTGAGTACGCATTTCCTCACCTTTTGGAGATACCCAACCCCCATGCATGGGAATAACTGACCTGTCCAAATGCTGGGCGGATCGAAATATCGTTCATGCAGATTTTTCCACCGCCAGCAAGGCCAAAGAAATCACGAAACCGTAGCTCATGACTGCAAGTCGGCTATCGATGTGCGTGTTGGATTGCGGGGATCCATATTGCCACTGCAGCAAGCCATGACTTTCCGACAAAGGCGTTCAGCTGCAAAAATCCGGCGAAGAAGCGACTCCAGCAGCACAGCTTACGTTCATGATGCACGCGGAAGATGGAACCGGCTCTACCATTTTAGTCAATGCAATCGCGTGTGCTCTTTGAAAGGTTAGTGCCAGGAATGCGATGGGATGACTAGATCTGGAGATATGTATCAATTACAAGGTGCTGGCTATTGCACGAGAAGCTCGACTATTGAGTTGTAGCTATTATGATCACTGTGCATCGTAAAAGTCACAGCGATTAAGAAAAATTAAAGCTGCCCTGAAGCATATATCAACAGCTGGTATCAGCGAGCAACTACGGCCGGTCAAGATCTCAAGTCTTCAATCGTTGAACGAAAGAACTGCACATCAGAGGCTCGTCGAATGACGGAGGCCTCAAGAACTTTAGACGCAATGTATAATTGTTACTATGATCCGCATATGGAAATTCGTCTGAAGGATTTTAACTGATTATTAACCCATTTGAACGACAAAGCTGGTTTAGTCAAAGGCCCGGAGACAATCTAGGGCATTTAGGGCTCCTTTTATTGCCATTAAATATTGTGCCGCCCAATTGAGTGTTATCTCAGGGTGCGTTCCATCTCTTATGATCGCATTTCTGCCCAGGCTCGTTCTGCCTCGGTTCCTGGGCGCTCGTTTGTCGCGCATGTCTAGGTGTGACACTGCTCTTGCCTGACTGGTACCTAACGACAGTGGCTCTAGTCTATCCCCTTCTATGGCATTCTCATAAGATATACCCACCAAACATCATCTGAATGATACTCGTATTCAACACTCGTATCAGCGAAGCTGGGGACAAAAGCATAATCAGGAGGCGCAGAAATTGCTGTCGCTCTCTTTCAGAGCCCATGTATCATTGTTACAATGGTATTGACAGGGTTTTGAGCAAATGCGTTGTGTCGTGGAACTCAAAGCACCGATATCGCTTTTGACAAAGCGCTTCTCAGGCAACAAAGCCTATGTCCTGGCTATATAATCAAGGATCATGACAGCAACTGTCGTATTTCTCATCATCACAGCACAAATAATTTCGATAGAGCGTTTCATATTATTCTATATATATTTTGCGCAAGTCAAGATCTTCCCGTCTACTTGTCCCGGTCAACCAGCTTTCTTCGGACGCAGACGCTTCTTTCCCATCAGCCGATATGGAAATGGACCTACGGGCCAAGCTCGCAAACCTGGAGAGCGAGTGTATGTCGTATATGAAGCTGCACACGCTCAGGCGACAAGACATCTGCCTCGCTCTCTCCAAGGCCGACGAAGCCCACGATCTGGCTGAGATCCATGACCTTGGCGCCAATCTAGTCACGAGATATGAGAGACTGGGCGACTTCTGCGTCGAGCGTCTCAAGCGCGACTTTGGCCGGGATGCCAAGCATGAAAGAAATGCCTACGCGGAGAGCGCGGACAAAAGCTGGTCTCTAGATGCGGCCAGCGAAGCGGGTTCTGTTGACATCGACAGCACGGCCAGCCAAGTTGGTGGTATCGGCGCCAACAGTATGGCCATCGAGAGCACTCTCAAGAACAAAGATGGGGAGAAGAAAGACTTGACTGTCAGTTTCGAAGAACCTAGGGTACGTATGCAGAATGGGGATGAGAAGGTGGTAGGCTTGAGGAGAAGTCCCGATCTGAGGACTAAGACAGGCCAGAGCTTTGAAGATTGGCAAAATCTCATGTAAACTGGTCACACAAGATAAGTCCTGAAGATACAAGTCCCAGAATATATTTTTATGATGCTCTTGTCTAAATGTCTGCTGCAACGTTGTACAGATGTCTGTGCTGCAAGCTTTACCAACACGATTATTATATTCATATGTTAAATTGTTGCTTCACAGTTCCATTATCTCTGGTGATGTCCAGTTCTTACTCAGCTTCGTGGCGACTTGCTTCCAGATGTCATGGGGCTGAACGTCAACACCGCCTTTGTCGCCGAGTGCCCACTCAATAACGGCTTCAGGCTTTGTTAGAAGTTCTTTCTGGCAGTCTCTGAACCATACCCACTGCGCTTCGAGGTTGTCATATCCATGTAACCATGACTGGAACCAGTCATTCCATTCAACCGCGTCATGATCAGGGTCGTTCTCCTTTTGCCTGAACCATCTGTCCCAATTTCGAAGGACCTGCTTGTGTCTCTGGTTCATCATATATAACGTGTTTGAATCCGCCTCGATGTAAGTGACCTGTCTTCTTGACCCATCCGAAGCTTCTGTGTTTTTGTACGGCAATCCGGCCAGGATCTCGGTCCGAATTTCGAAGTGGTACTTCTTTAAGGCGTACCAGTCTCCAGGGCTTATCCTGTTTTGATCGACGTCGACCGAGTCCCAGAGCAGACTCCAACCCAAAGTAATATGCCTATGCAATAGCCACAGCTCGGCCACAAGGACTTGGCAATACCAAGACAATAAAACCTTGGCGAGTGCGTCTCGACTGTGCGAGGTTGAATAACATGAATTACATTGTAATGAATCAATGAAATCCTTGTTGACCGGTGTCTCATCCCAATTCTTGAAATAATTACTACCCCAGCGATGACGATGCGCTGGCCACCACTTCGGCCAGAGATTACCGCAGCGGAAATTAGCCATCTCTTTCCAAATTTCGCACCCAGGACACCGGATTCTGTAAGTGGTAAAGAAACGATCTCGTGAGTCTTGCCTATAAATTTGGAAGGTAGGAGCTTCATTTACGAGTGGAGTGTAGGATGCCAAATTTGTGAACAAGCTCGGGAAGTATCTATGAGCGAAACTTGCGAATGGAAGGTGACGGCTCCTGACAATGGGTACGCTTTCCGTCCCAATGCGAGCCCCTGTGAGATATGATACATTGCCCGGGTTTTGTGTCGCAGGAATAATGTGCGACCTGAGGTCACCCAGTTGGTATCGACATTCGTTGCATCGTCGCAAGCGACGTTTATAACCACAGATTTGCCCCTCTACCGACTTGGCTGCATTATCCAGTAGACGTGTTTCTTTGAGTGCCGTTAGCAACTCGAAGGCTGACAACGACATGTCTTTGAACCCCTCCACCCCAGCATCTTGGTAATCGGTCAGGCGGCTCCAAGCGGCTTGCGAATATCTGCTTTGGCCCCAGTTGAGAGTCACCGCGATAGCATACTGGCGTTTAAGCCTTTTTATTTCCGCTTGAGAAAATGCTCCTCTGCTCTTCTGGACAGCTTTAGAGGCTACGTGACCAGTTGGTTCCCATGATGTACACGGAAGGGCAGCTTGAGTGCCCGGCAATGGCTTCCTGTAGCCTAGACGCAGCAAAGAGTGGTTGTCAAAATGTAAATGATTGAGTAACCGGAGGCAATGGGTGCACGTCCATCTCATCTCTTTAATTTTTTTCATTGTCCCACGCCGGATTCTGGGCGTTATCTCGGGCGTTGAAATGGAGCGTAGGACCGCCAAAGTTTTCGAGACATTCGATCGCCAAAAGGCGCTCGATGAAATGTTGACGTGTTGGATTGATGATATTTCGGAACGTTTTGTTTGTTTGACTGAAATTGACCAGAGCGATGGGGTCTAGTAAACGAAATATAGTAGACTGTAACTCGCCAGGCAAGCTTTCAAAGTTGGTGATCATAGTGGGTGTCTATGACACTTCGACGGTGGGAGGGATGTGGTAAGAATTATGGCCGCTCAACATACTCAGCTACGACATACCAAGTTATCTTTTGTCATAGAAGAGTGTTGCTGATGGTTACATTGTTTTATGTCGAACATAATGTATTTTCAGATTGTGTTGACAAGAACAGTCACACCGGTTGTGGCGATGCATTCATCGCAGCCTGCCCCATTTGTGGTGCAGTGGGGCGTTCGCCGAATCTTGATAGAGTATAGCGCGCGATCCTTCGGACAGGTTGATATAGCGTGCACGACGTTGGCAGAGCTTGGAAACCAAGCAGAAGAGATTCTATATCCGCTCTTGCCAAGTTGTTCTATTGGACGAAGCCTAAGATTTTATTCAGAGTTGAACGCTTTTCCCGGGACTGGGACTGACTTTTTGAGATCCGTTATGCTTCAGCCAACATGGAACAGCATTCCAACACGGTTTATTAAGGCTTCAATACACGCCCCCAATGCATCCTCCATGCAGCGCTGTGTCCAAGTTTAATCCGGCAAGGCTTGTCGGCTTCCTCTGATGCAGGTTACCCAACAAGCACACTTGATCTAATGTAGCTATCAATCCCCACGGGTATCAAAGACCACTGAATAGTTCGAAGGTTCAACAAAGTCCAACACCAGCGTCGATGTAAATACCAAGGCTTACCCGGTTCCTTCGGTACGAGGTCTGCAGCATTGGGACCATAATAATGGATTCTGTTTTCCCTACGAAGCAGCCTGACAGCTGTACAGGTGGTGCAGTTCACCAATACGGCGCTTTGTGTGACAACCATTTGCGAACCACCAATGCCTTACTGGAGCGGGATTAGAAGCATGTCTCATAGGTTTTGGGGAGCGTCACTTGAAGGATCACGCATTTAGCATCGTGCAGTTGATGGTGTTAAACGTAATACATAATATTAACAATTCAAGTAGCGCTCTGCTAGTATCGTATAATCGTACAAGGCGTTACAACTTCCAGGGTATCATCGCTTCAAGATATTATACAAGGTCCTCCCCTTCATTAACTGGTACACGTCTCTCTGGATTTACCAGTAGCGACCAGTGCGACCAGTGCGGCGACTGGTGCGAGTGGTGGTGTGATGAGCGCTGCGATGGCTACCACGGCCATCTGTCCCATGCATTCTTCTAGTCCCCGCAGCCTATTAGAGTTTTAGTTAGATGCGTCTGTCAACGCTATAGAGTATTGGAGTATGACAAACCTTCTGGCCTGGTCGATGCGTTAATGAGCCCTTCAGCTTGAGCATGGCACCGGAGATCTTGTCGCCGAGCGAGGGCTTGCGCTGTTGGTGATGAACCACATGCTTGCGGCCGAAAATTCCACGGCGAGTGGTGGTGGTGGTGGTGGTGTGGTGTGAGCGATGCATTTTGAAAGTTGATTTGAATTTAGACTTGAGTCTTTTGGTATGTTATAGTTGTTTATGGTAGCAGGAGTTTATGTATTGCTTTGTGATTGTAGTTGTTGATGATGATGGAGAATTAGTGTTTCCTCGGGGATGATAATGACACTCTTATATACACAAATCGAGAGATCTGAAGCATCTTGGAATCGCTCTAATTCCAAGGTAGAGATCCAATGATGCAACACCGGATAGCGGCAACCAAGATAGCCATGACATCAAAGTTATCCGGCTGCAGGGTGTAAGACCTTGCAGATCAGCTTCTTTTCAGGGTCTCCTGACTTTTCACTGTTATTGGTTTACGAGGCTCGAAATGCGCGTACGACACGAACTGCGTAGAGCTCTTTAGAGCCGAAAGTTGGCATTCCAACATTCCAGGTTGAGCTTGAATAGGGCATAGCGTCAGGGTCCAAGTTTCTTATGACGGCAACGCGGGGTCTAGCGAGTGGGGCGCCATGTCTCCAGGGCTGCCAGGCAGCCAGGGTCTAGGACTTCCAACGTTGGGTGGCTGCTGTGATGTCATTCTGCAAACATAAGCCACGTTGACACACACAAATCTCGGCTTCAAGGTTGTGTCTTATCTTTTGATGTTCACTTGGCAACAACCCGTACCCTGACCTAGCAGGATAGTCTGGTTGGTGGAAACATTGAAAAAGAGTCCCAGATCCTTACTCTGGAACTGTTTCATCATTTAGACTGAGGTCTAGACTAAACTTCTGGTCAAAAATCCTGCCTTCGGCCTGGTCAACCGTATGTAATCACAGCTTATCTTGCCTGTTTTACCCGAGCTTTAACACGAAGATCAGTACGTCAGTTCATCACGCCTTGAGAACATCAACGATCGGAAAGACCTGCCGACCAGCCGATAATTTAACGGCATCATTTTGGAAATCTGAGCAATCAACACCAACTGCTCAAAGAGCAGTCCTTCATGCGAGAATAGCGCAAAAAGCATAGTGCATAGACCAAGGACATTGGTGTTTGCAACCCTGCGCTTTCCAGGGGTCATCGACCTCATGGCGAAGAGGTATTGGAGTCAACAAGCAGTGTAGTGAATGAGTACGGATCTCAACTGGAAAGCTATTCGGCCATACCGGTACACGTATTGCATTACCACACATAGGGTCTCGCTATGGCTCTCTTGAAAAACTACGTTTCAGTCAGGTTATTCCTGATCTTCGCCAGATCTTTCTGCGAAAAACCCAATACATTGGTGACGAATTGGTCAAAGCCGCCGTAATCTCTCTGGACACCTTGGACGAACGCGTTCCAGCTTTCCTCCCGCAACTGACAAAGATTGTAAAATCCTGGTTCCTCTGTACTTTGGGCATTGGCACCGGCCATGGCAAACTTGAGGAGCAGCTGACGCACTGGCTCTGTGCCGATGCGTGAAAGCATATAGTCGAGTGATATAGCATCTGCTGATGCACCCGCCAAGGCCATCAAAAGGCCTGAGATAACACCTGTTCGATCGCGACCTGCTGTACAATGAAACATGAAAGGTTCCTGTGGTCTGTCCCGTACATGTCCCAAGATGGCCTTCCAAGCAGCTTGGTATATGTCAATGACCTCGAGATACATTTCCTCGTAACCAACCTCTCCCAGGCCAGAAATGAACTTCGTTAAGTCCACCTTCGACTCCGGCTGCGCGCTTTGTATCCATGTATTTTCAATGCCGGGGATTTCGGGATCTGGAGCATGCGTGCGTTCTTCTGGCGATCGCAGGTCAAAAATTCGCTTGACACCAAGTCCTTCGATCGCTTTCATGCCTTGGTCGGTGACGTGAGCTAAGCTTCCCGATCGGAAGACAAATTGCGCTCGGATTGGACTGCCTGGAATGAGACCCAAATCCCTTGTGTTGAAAGTGCCGTCGACCCATGTGAAAGGTGGGCTGCTTAACACAGGCATGTAATCATTGACCGACAACTCCTGTATCACATCGGTCTGTGCAAGTTTGCGAAGACTTGCGGCTTGGTCCATTGTTGACAGCAGCTGGTGCGGTAACGTCTTTATGGTCATGTAAAGATGGGAATGTATCTGGGAGGATACCGATAAATTGATTTCACTATTGGAGAGCTTTTCTTCCGAAGTACTCCACCTCAAGTGCGCAGGCTGACATTGACAGTTTGGATATGTACACTTAACGACCTCGACGACGATACCTCACTGTGTTATGCCGATGTCGAAACTGGAGGCAGTCTTTTCCTAAGCCCAACTCAGGACAAATGCGGTAACCAAGACCTACGGCGCAGGGCGGTCTGGTGGTTCCGAGCAGCTTGAGCTGACCTTGCCCCGCAGTGTGCCGACTTTCTATTTCGCACCAGTTGCTAGAATTATAACCTTGGCCTCTCTCAATTTTCGAAGCCTCATCACAGTTCGACAAACCAATCATTTCATTGTATACGGGTCAGGCGTCGTACGCGATGCAAAAGTGGCAGCTTTCAACTGGGGTCAGAGCTGCGGAGGATTTCATCAAAGGTCTTGATCATTTTGGCATCGGAGGGTTGGAAATCCAGCTAGCTTTCATGTTCGGAATATGTACACTTACACTGGTAATGCACAAGGCACAGATTATCTACAACCACCAATGCACGGTTGTAGCTAAGTAAGCTGTTCAGCTCCTACCATTGCCACAGCGATGCACTTGCACCGACTGCGCCTAAAAATTCAAGGTAAATCACTGCTTTAGGTGGACAAATGCGTCACGAGGGCTCGCGGCGACGACCGTATTCAATCATCCCATTAAACTTCTCGGGATTTAGTTATTTGGGAAAGGTCCACGGGTGCCGATAGCGCTATGCAGTCCTATCTTAAAACCCCTGTTGTTGCGTTCGGGACGTAGCTTGAAAAGCGGGTCTCGGTTGGTATGTGTCGATATTGAACATTCCGTCACGGACAGTTGGCATTCAAATTCAGTCCTAAAACTTTCCATTGAGCGATTGGTGGTGTAGTGAAGCATCGCCTGCTCTCAAAAGGGTTCCGAGCTACACAGGTGTGCGAGACTGGAACTTTTCACACGTTTTACTGTGAATTGGACTGGTCCACACCGCCACTCCCTCAGCCATTTACTAACTTAGCTTCTGTCAATAACAGCGGCATGGAGTGGTTCCGCCCCCGTGCTGGAGCTGAGAACGGCAGCCTTTGGTTCATCACTTCTGCAGCAGTGGTAGGACTGGCTGGGGTGTTCAAACTTCGTGGGGGACTTGCCGATTATCTTTTCAGCGAGACCTACTGCTACCAATCTGTCAGAACCCACTCGTCCTCTGGGCCACACGCGAACTGCTTCTCAGTATCGCCGTCGGGCGTCTTTAAGAAAGTGTATAACGAGCCAGACTTCAAAGAGTGGGCCAGGAAAAACCATGAAGGTCATGTCATTCCAGGACTATGGGATGGTCATGGCCATCTGCTCCAGTATGGAGAGTTCTTGAACTCCGTGGACCTTTTTGGATCAGGATCGTTTGAGGATATCAGTGTACGTATCGACACGTATCTCAGCACCAATACGGATGCCGGTAGTAGAGAAGAATGGGTTCGTGGCGTCGGCTGGGACCAAATGGCTTTGGGTCGGATGCCGACTGCTGTAAGTGGTACCAGCAATACCACCTAGGCCAGCTTGCTCAACTAACAACGGACAGAGCGATCTTGAATCCAATGAACGGTTCAAGGGAATGTACATTATGCTTGACAGGGTCGATGTGCACTGCATCTGGGTCTCGCAAGCTGTACTTGACCTGTTGCCGGAAGATCTTCCCGACGTGCCAGGCGGCGAGATTGTCCGTGACCCCGGCATGGGTGTTTTCTGCGACAATGCCATGGAGACGGTCATGTCCATCTGGCCGAAGCCGAACGACAAAAAGAAGCAGAGATTCCTCCAAAGCGCAATGTCTAAGTTGAACGAGGTCGGACTTGTCGGCATGGCCGATGCCGGAGTCTCGCCTGGAAACGCTGCACTATTCAAGGAGCTCGCTGGCACCGAAGACTGGACACTCCGAGTATATGGAATGCTTGAGTGCGACGAGCGAAATACTTTCTGCCCCGAACATGCCCAAAAGCACGTAAGAGAGGATGGATTCCTGAGCCTACAGAGTGTAAAGCTGTTTGCTGATGGCGCACTCGGTAGTTGGGGAAGCGCCCTGATAGACCCATACTCCGACCGGCCTGATACGTCTGGGTCGCTGCTGGTCAATGGCACCGAATTGACAAGAGTGGCGAAAATATGGGCAGAAGCAGGCTTTCAAGTCAATATCCACGCTATTGGTGATCTGGCCAACAGATATGCGGTAGATGCCATGTCTGCCGCGTTAGAATCAGTCTGTCCAGGTGAGAGCCTAGCTGCATGCCAATCGCGCAGGCGATTCCGCATCGAGCACTCTCAGATCATCCACCCGGACGACCAAGCTCGAATACATGCCATCGGTATCATTCCCTCGATTCAACCTACACATGCGACGTCAGACATGGCGTACGCAGAGAGGCGTCTTGGAAAGGAGCGAACGAGCAAAGAAGCATACCGAATGCGATCTTTCCTTGACATCCCTCCTATCCTCGGTAGTGATTTCCCCGTCGAACCTCCGGACCCCTTTCAGGGTATCTACGCCGCTGTCACCAGAAGAAGCCCGCACACCGGCCGCGGTACTGACGACCAGCCGGATGGATGGCATGCGGAGGAAGCCTTGAGCCTTGATCAGGCCCTGCGCGGGTTCAGCGTGGCGCCTGCGTACGGTGCCTTCCTGAAGGGAAAGGCAGGCGTTATCCAGGAGGGAGCCTTCGCCGACTGGGTCGTCATCGACCAGCCGCTTGAAGAGACAAATATCGAACATCTGAGGACTTTCCGTGTGCGCGAGACGTGGATTGCCGGAAAGAGAGTTTATAAACGAGACGACAACCATGCTCAAAGGAACGAGGACTCCGAGCTTTAACTGTGCTAGGAAGACGACTAGAGTAACACTTGCTATAAACCTCTATAGATATATATATATATAAATACACATGGCCTGGATCTGACTGAGGAAGCAAGCGAGGAGAGATCATAGCCATAGTTCATGAACGAACTTTACTGCAAGGCCCATTTAAGATGTGGATGGGGGAGGTATCGGCCCAAAGGAAAAGCCTGATCCCAGTCTTACAATGTGTCCTTGGGTTCATCAAAGATAATAATAGCAATACTGAGTGTGAATCTACGAGTTCACCTCGAAAGCCAAGCGGTGTGTCACCATTTGACCTACCCACAGGGCAGGACAATCAATGATGAATCCAGACAATCTTTGATGCACGTAAGCAAGGACTTCACTGTATAAATACTGCCCCGGTCCCCTGTTACATACACTTTGGCCATTATGTGGTGACACTTCCCAGCAACAGCCTCTGTGAATGGGCCTGCACTCCCAGCAACCACAAATTAATATTCCCTTCTTCGCAACCGGACCCCACTGCTTGCGATGATAAACACACACACCCTGCCGCCCTATTCCCACCTACATCCTCTGTTCCCTGTTCGCGGCTGCACCTGCATTTTGTGTAATTACTGAACACTATGAGCACATCCGTCTGTCTTTTCACCCTACATAACAACCCTTTTGCGTCACAACACTTCATCAAGAGCAAGAGCCTTCGGTGTAAATCATCGATTCCGTTCGTCGAACACATCTACCTCATACACAAATCCCGTTGCTGAAGTCTCATCAGATCCAGCTCGGAATACACTGAGCCAGGTCTATAAACCGTACATCAAGTAATGCCTCGCGACGACTGAGCCTGGACGTGGGGTCCTGTCGCACGGTTCAAAACTCCAAAACAGGCAGCTACTGACAGCCGAGAACTCCTTACGCATGAACGCCAGTTTTTTTTTCTTCCATCTCTAAAACCGCCCAAAACACCCTCGGCAACTGTGGGCTGAGTCGTGGTGACTGCGAGATGAACGCGTATTGTTGAGCAGGATATCTGCAGCCTTCGCGATGGAAAACTGGGCATTCTTTTGATGACCATGCCTTCCCAAACCATATTCTACAGAACTGTTCCTAGGCATTTATTTCTTCTTGCCCTTGCCCTTGTTCTTGGCGGCAGAAGCTGAGGTGGCTGAAGCGACGCTTGAGGCGCGGGAGGAGGGTGAGTTGGCCTTGCTACTCTTAACGTTTTCCAGGGCCTTGTTCTGTTCGACAGGTTAGCCTCACCAGCTGTTACATCCTGATGGCAATGTACATACCTTGGCAGCCTTGGTCTTTTTCGAAGCCCGGCTAGAAAGAACACTGTCCTCCTCTTCCTCTTCCTCCTCTGGTTCGCGCTTACTCTTACCATTCGCGCCATTCTTCATGGGGTGGACGTCCTCGAACTCCTTCACAATGGTGGTAAGGAGCGTGGTGCAGCGACGAGACAGTTCAACGGGCGTACGAGATAGGAAAAACCAGTCGAATCGGAAGAGGGGGCTGTCGTGGATTTCGTCGCGCATGTTTTCATACAGGTCATCAGAATCAAGTCCGAACTTGTCCAGAAGGACAAGCAAGAAACGATCCTCCTCCTCGTTATAGACCTTCTTGTTGGTGGTGCTGACCGAGTAGTTGATCTTCATCTGCTGAAGAGGCACACGATACTGTTGCATCTTCTTGCGTAGCATCTTACGTTGGTGCTCTGTCTTGTTTCGACGCTCCTCGCCGGCCTCGATAACGGCAAGAGACTTCTGATGCTCTGAAATCTCTTCGTAGCGCTGCCAGAAGACCTTGGCATAGGCCCTGATCTCGGCAGGGGTCTTACTATCGACCTCATGCGCGATCTTGTCCCAGTTGTTCTTACCATATTTGGCAGAGCCGTTGATGAACTGCTGGTAGTCGCGGCGGTTCCATTCGTCAAAGCCCTGAAGGGAAAGCTTGGCTTTCTCTTCCTGCTCCTCCTCGGTCAGGGGGGTAGCATCGTCAATCTCTTTCTGCTCTGCCTCACGCTGCCGCTCTCGTTCCTCAAGGTTGTCATCGTCACCATCGGCCACAGGCACCTTGTAACCAATCTCCTTGCGGTAATAAGCCGTTTCCCGATCCTGAAGCTCGCGAAGTCTCGGCGGGTAGAATTGGTAGTCATTGACAGGGACCTGCCTTGGTGCTCGCGGCGCCTTGGGCTTCTTGTCTTCTTTGCCACTGTTGCCGTAAATCGCTTGTCGATAGAATTTGTCGACGCTGTAGGACTGTTCCTTGCGCTCACGCTTGGCGGGGTTGATCCAGGACATGACTTCACCACCCTTCTTCTTGCCGCCGAAAGTCTCGCCATTCCATTCGTACGCAGACTCTGAAGTGAATTTCTGCAGGTCGTCCAGTCCGAGCTTTTCGTACTTTGAATTGAGCTCCTTGGTGCGGTTTTCGCCCTTTGCGAGGATAGCTTCGATATCATCGTCGTCAAGGCCTGAACCCTTCGCGGCCAGTCCCGTACCACCCTTGGTCTGGAAAACATTTTGTGCTCCATGCTGGATCATGCTTAGAAGTTCGTCCTTTGCGGCGGGTCCCTTAGCGCCCGGATGAGCACGACCTTGTTGAATGACCAGCTGATCGAGACGCAGCTTCTGTGCAGCTCGCTCGAGGACCTTCTCTTCAATGGCGTTTTCGGTAACAAATCGATACACGACAACCTGTTTTGTCTGACCGATACGGTGGGCTCTGTCCATAGCTTGCAGATCTGCTTGGGGATTCCAGTCACTGTCATAAAGGATAACGATGTCAGCACTGGTCAGGTTGATACCTAAACCGCCAGCTCTGGTTGTTAGCAAGAAGATGAACTTTTCAGAGCCAGGCTTGTTGTACTCGTCTATGGCAGCAATACGATCTTCATGGGCGGTGCCACCATCGATACGGCAGTATTTGTATTCTCTGAAGACACAGTAGTCCTCCAGAATGTCCAACAGACGACTCATTTGGGAAAAAATCAGCACACGGCTGCCTTGCACCTTCAGTCTGCCGAGGAGCTTGTCCATGAGTGCCATCTTGCCCGAATTGAAAACCAGATGCTCGTCGGTGGTGTAAGGTGGGCCAGGCTCAGCACCCTCGAAAAGGTAAGGGTGGTTGCAGCACTTGCGAAGCTGCATGACGATGTTCAGAAGTCGAGTCTTGGACTCGCGCTTGCCACCAGCACCGTTAACTGCGTCGATATCCTTCTCGAGAATCTTTTGGTACCACTTGACCTGCATATCAGCCATGCCGATATAGAGGTTGACCTCCTTCTTGGGCAACAAGCTCTTCTCCACGTCGGCCTTGACACGACGCAACAGGAAAGGTCGAAGAACGCGGTGGAGTTGCTGGACGACGGTGTCCTGGTCCTGGTCTTGGCCGGAGAACCATTGGTCAAAAGCCTCGGCGTCACCGAAGACATCGGGAAGCAAGAAGTTGAGCAGAGCCCAGAGCTCGTGTAGGTTGTTCTGAAGCGGGGTTCCGGTAATGAGCAATCGGTTTCGGGAGTTGAACATTCGGATGACTTGGGACAAGGAGGATTCTTCGTTCTTGATACGATGCGCCTCGTCGATGATGATGTACTCCCAGGCGAACTTCTTCAAGTGCGATTTCTCGCGCAGGATCATCTCGTAACTTGTAATGCACACATCAAAGTCCTGTTCAAGCAGGCGGTCGTTGATCAGAATGGCACGTTCGTCCTTTGCACCCTGAAGCACGAGCACGTTGACTTCAGGGGTCCACCTTCCGAATTCTCGCTTCCAGTTGTCGAGCGTAGACTTGGGAACGGCGACCAGATGAGGGCCCTTGATGTCCATAATATGACGCAGGTAGCCCAGGAACGAGATGGTCTGGAGCGTCTTTCCCAGACCCATCTCATCGGCGAGAATACCCGAGATACCGTTCTCATGCAGAGAGATCATCCAGTTGAGACCGGCGACTTGGTAGTCTCTCATAAGACCTTGGATAAAAGGGGGCGACTCGCGGAATACAGTTTCGGCAGACCCGCCGTGTCGTTCATCCTTGATGAGGTCGGCGTCTTCCTCGGCCTCTGTGCGGCGGACACGGCCTGTAGTTGCGCCACCTTGGCGGCTGCCCTTCTTCTTTGTCCTCTCGTTCTCCTCGTTCTGACGGTCGATCTCGGACATGATCTCACGAATGCGTGGATTCGGGTTTGTATCGATGAAGTGTCTGAAGAGGTCTGTGAGACCCAGTAAGTATCGGAATCTTCGTATGCTGTCATCTTCCTAGTAATCAGTTGGGTCAGCAAGGACGTCTGAACGCTATATGTAGTGTGCTGCGTTGTTTGGTTGTTGTTGTTGTGGCGTGGTGATGCTTTCGAACAATAGACAGGCCACAGGGCGAACCCGCGGCCTGGATATGATTTGTCTGGACCCCGGCATGGACACACAATGGGTGTAAGGAAGTGGTAACCCACCTTGGATTCACCCAAGGCATCGTGCTTCTTGCCAAATATGCTCCGACGTAGTTGGTTCGCTTCTGATCTCTTCTTCCGGCCGTCCACGGCATCTCCGGCGACGCTGCTGGCTGTGGTGTTCGGGTTCGTTGTGTCGTCATCGCTGTAATCAGGTGTCTCGTCGACCTGCTGCTCAAGCTGTTAGCATGCTTGCTGTTCCGGAAACAAGCTTTGGAAGTGGTTGGTAATTTCTACAACTGGTGATCACGAGGGAAGAGTGAGACAAAGACCTACCATATGGTCGTCTAGCGGGATGGGTTCGGGAGCATCTGACATGGATGTATCGGCGTCAACGGCGCTGGGCCGCGATCGAGGGGCCATGATGTGCTAGGTGCGGTATGATGTGACGCGTGGTGGGTGAGAGGTATCGTAGCCGTCGAGAGAAAAGTGACCCTTGTCGGCGGCCTGCTTTACTACTTTACGCGACTCGAGACGCGACTGGGTGTAAAGTGGTTGCAGGGCGCCCTGTAAATGCCCGTGACGATGCTTGGTCAATTGTCCAATGCCTTGGGAGGTTGCTAGGCACAGGTCTCGACAAGATGGCGGTATTGCTGGCGCGGTGTGACGCGTTCAGTCGCAGCCAAGTAGTTTAATAGAGAAGAAAAGTGAAGTAAGTGCGAGTGGGTAAATCCGCTGACGATAAAGCTGCAAGCTGCACAAAGTCCCCAACTCAACTTAATATTAAGCTAGACGCGATGCCCATACGCGAGTCTTTAATTGGCTAATCGGCCCGGACTAAAATTGTGCCTTGGGTTTTCCTATTGCCCCATGCGTGTGTCCCCATGCGTCTTATAGACAGACCTGATGGCCGGTCACTAAATAACGCCTGTGTAAGATGTACTCGTAAGTTGTACCGCGGCCTCCACTGGTTCGTCATTCTTTTGTTGGTTGCTGCCGAGCCATCTAAATGTTGTTGTAGATGGGTCCCAATGCCTTTGTCTGTAGTTTGAATTGCATATACTCGTGAGTATGATCATATATACTTGTGGCAGTGGCATTCTCTTCTCGAGACTGATCTCGGGACTGGGTCTCTCTTCTAGGTGACAGGGTGTGATTCTCACCTTGGAGAGAAGACTTAAAAGCCTGTAGGCACTTTCAATCTGCCACGGTCTTATACGGTCCTAGCACTAGTCTAACTAGCTCAAATTCATGTATGGAACGGATGAACATGATACACCCTCAAAGACTGTTCCGTACCAGGGGCAGTGCGGATTTGCTCACGACATGAATAATTGTATGCTAACCCATTTAGTGGGATTTCTTCTTCCTGAACCATTGACAAGATGTGATTGCTGCTCCCAGCGTCTTTAGGATAGATGTACTTTAGTCTTCTTCTTCTTCTTCTTCTTCTTCTTCTTCTTCTTCTGCTGAGTGGAAAAGCGACTTGTGTTCACCGGTACACTATTACGCCACAATCGCCGAGTCTCAGCATTCAACTGAGCTCTCCTGCCAAATAGTTTGAAGCAAACGTACTGTCCTATATTGAGATGAAAGTTGCGAACTGTGCTCTAAGACGTCTCTTAGAATCTTGATAACTCGCACTGGCATGGTGAACGGCTCCCTCGAGCGTTAGCTGGAACCCCCCTTGCAGCTACAAGCTAAGGTTAGTCTAGTCTAGCTTCTGGCGTACATTTCCAATCGAAATCTTAATTATACTTTAGATGAGGGTCCCGAGCTTGAGGAAAAGTGCAACTGATCAGAGTAGCAGGTACACATTCTAGCCATCTAGCCTGGCTCCCAAGGTCAATCCTCAGTCATGTGTAAAAACAAAGCGAGAGACGCAAGTCATATTCAAGGTACGGTAGTTGTCCGTCCAGTGTGGAGCACAGGCCATCATCCATCCCACTTGTTTGGGGTTTGGGATTTGGGCAGTGACGTTCAAGGGAACGAAATTGAACACTTGCAGCGACTAGGCCGGATATCGTTTTAGCGGCAGATCTGTCACATGGCTTTCTGTTTGCCCACCGAGCCACTTTGTCGGGGCCTGCAAATGGGCATCGGGAGCATGTCGACTTCTTTCTCTACTTTTTTCTGGCTAGAGTAGCGCCAACAGCTGGCTTGAAAGGCCGAGGGGCAATTTGCCGGACTGCAGACTGACGAGTGAGTCGCCTGAGCGGATAGTCTGGTTGGGGGGCGCTACTAATCTGCACTACGGCTACAGTACGACTACAGTACGAACTACAGCACGAACTACAGTACGACTACTCCCCGTACGGCGTGCAACGTTCAACTACGGGAACAGGAAAGCACCGACTCCTCCAACCTTGTGTCCCCCCCCTCGTGAGGCCTGACATGCCGACTCGGAGCTGGCAGAGTCCAATCTACATACCCTTCCTTGTTTACCTCAGCTGACGTGACGCTGCCCTTCCGGAAGCCACTCGTGCAAGACATCAAACTCATCATCCTAACTTATTAATACTTGTTGAAACTCCCATTTATTCTGCGGACTGCCTGTGCTGCTGCTAACCCACCCACTCAGCTCCCTGCTTTGTCGGCCCCGACCCAGGCAACTCACTGTATGCAGTCTGTATCCGTACGTGCTGCCAGTGGGAGCATCCATCGCATTGCTATCCACCCGGGCTCCATCTCCGTCACCACCTTTCCTTGTCCCATCCGAGCGTTTTTATCGGCGGCCCACCTGTTCACAGTCATCAAACCCCCCCACTAGGCCAACGCAAACATCATCGACGAAGCTGCCAGAAGCCCGTCGCTGCTTGACACCGCCCATTCATCTTGAGCTCCGAGCTTGAATTGCGAGACCATCACCTCTTCACCAGATACTACCACACCAGCATCAACCCCCTACGCGCCCCTCGACCCTTTTGGCCACCATGGATGGCATCAGAGCCTCCTCACCGACAAAGAACGCGGCCGGCAACGAGTCCCCCGAACAGCTGCTCGACGTCTTCCGAGCTGCTGCTTTGTCCGTCACCAAACTCTACAAGACCTCGGCTGCCGCACAGACAAAAGCTCGCAATGAGGGATACCAAGACTGCCTGGAGGATCTGCTGGTCTTCCTCGATAAGCACAACATCGGCGTCGGCGACGGGGAAGGATGGCAGATCAGACGCTGGGCTACAGAAAGGTTCGACAGGGACGGCGTCTCCCAGTCGATAGAAAGCGAGGACGAGGCGGAAAAGAACGAGCCAGCCTCGTCGCCCGAGCTGCACAGAGATACCAGCCACACACCACTTCCTATAGCACAGCACGAACCCGACATGCGAAGAGATTCTGCACCTCCAGCACCAGCCCCCACCCTCACCCTCATGCCCGCCCCTGCTGCCAACCACCCGGCACAAGTTACATCCTCGCCGGCACCCATTCGGGAGGTCACCGTGCCAAGCCAAGACAACTTTACATTTCAGTCATCCGTGGCTTACCCGCAAGATGCCGACCTCAGCATGGCAAATCTCGACTTGTCAGACTCTCGATCAAATAACCCCTCTCATCACCATGCATCATCCCGCATGTCTCGATCTCGAAACAACAAAAACGGTCTTCAGAGACCTAGAAATCTGCCTCATGTAAACAGGAGCGCGGCTGGCCAGAAGCGGAAACTTAACATGGCCGAAATCTTTGACCTTGGGAGTATAGGCGGCAAGGACCTCTTCGGCGGCAACGGAGGAGGCAAACGCAGTAGGCATGCCTAACATCTTTACGTTTGGCGCACTTAGGAGGTTGCTTTTATTTATTTATGAAGAGGGTTCTTGGCACCATGGGTTGCTTTCGATACCCGATGATTTCAATAGACAGCGGCGCAAACCGGTCTTCTTACGGTTGGGTTTAGGGGCAGGAACTGCGTTGCGCCGGGGTGGCATATTACTTAGGGACAGCATTGTGTGGAGTTCTCATCAGTACCATTTCGGTACATATATACACAGCGGTGGATGCATCAGGCTTAGGACTTGCTGCCCTTTGCTCCACAGATCATTACAGCTGCCCTCTTTTCACGACGACTACACTATGGCTCTTGTTGGAAGAGTTCGCGCATGGCATCTTCGCTACCGTAACTAGAGTATTTGGAGATAATATACCTTGGAACAGCGTACCCATAACTGATTTCTTATTTTCGCGAAATTATTAAAATGTGAATGTCCTCGTCTTCTATCCGCAAGCTTCGAATATACGAACAGGCTCAGCAGAAAGCACTTGCATTTTTCTTTATGTCATACTTTAAGGAAGTTTCTTGCAACGAGGGACAAGTCGAGATGCAGAAATTTCGCTATGTGTCTATCAATACGGACCAGACCCAGTGATCTATGCGTAAAGTACCATGATAACAACACAAATGCTTAGGTCTTCTATTTCATGATATCTATCATCGTCTATTGTTGTAGTATGGACAGTCTCTCTAATCCCAGGCAACCTTTATATAAGCTCCGTCTACGGCAGCACGTAGCTGACCCTACTCGTCCCCTTGGACCGACTGATCTTCTTGACATTCGTCTTGCCACACAGCTTCGTCGTGTCCACGTGCGTGCCGCCACACGGGTAGACCTCCGCCCCCACGATCTTGACGACCCTGAACTTCTCGTCCGCAGTCATGCCCATGGCCTCGCGGTCCGGGATCAGCCGCTCCAGGCCGTTCGCCCGGAAGTCATCCTCGTCCCACCAGTCGATCTCCACCGGCATGTCCCTGGCGACGTACTCGTCCACCTTGGCCTGCACGGGCTCCTTCCACCTGCCATCGATGGAGCCCGCGAACTCGCACGCCGCCGAGTCCGGGAAGTGGCTCGCCTTGGTCTCGTCGAACCCCTCCACCTGGCCCATGACCAGGTGCCGCACCGCCGCCCCCAGCACGTGGCCCGCCGTGTGGTACCGCGAGTACAGCAGCCGCCTCTCGGCGTCGATGGCCTGCTCGACCTCGTCGCCCGCCTCGAACGCCGAGGGGGAGCCCGCCGCGAACCGCCCAAAGTGCAGCACCTGCCCCGGCGACGACGCCGCCGCGCTCGTCCGCACCATCTGCACGTCGAACCGCACCGCCCCGCCCGCGCCCGTCATGCACCCCACGTCCGAGGGCTGGCCGCCCCCCTGCGGGTGGAAGATGGTGGAGTCCGTGATCACCACGTGGTGGGGGTGGCCCGCGTCCTCGCCGCCGCCGGGCTTGAAGAGTGCGCGGTTGGCCTCTTCGAGCGACGCGAGCGTCTTCACTGCTGTCACGGCCACGGAGAGCGTGTGCAGGTGCGCGTTGCGCTGGAATGCGAGATAGGTGCGCTGCATTTTTGTTGTTTATCTTATTAGGACTTTCCGCTGGGCGCTCGCCGGGTGAGGGATTTTGAACCGAGACGAAAAAGTTTGAAAATCAAAATTTCGTTGTGAAATGTGGTTGAAATACGATGCTCTCTGCCGGCCCCGGGTTGCAGACGTTCGTTTGTCGCTATCCGATGAGCTGCGTTGCCAATAGACAGAAAATGTGCAGACGCGTCCCACGAGCAGCCAATAACGAGAGCAGGGTGAGCAGTGCTGCTTTAATCGCGCGACCTGTGCGAAAGGGGGGTGAGACAGGCAACTGTGCATGTAGAAAATACTATAAGGTGCACTTTACGCGTCGGTGATCTCGCCGTAGGACTCTTAACTGCATACCAAGATAAGCACTAGAAAAGTTCCCGAATGGTATGGATTTGTAAATGAGAAGTTTGGTTGAGCGGATGTGGTTAGACATCCTTGGGTTGGTGATCCTCCAACGGATCGGAAGTCTACTAATATAGCCTGAAGGAATCACTTAGACCGAATTCCAGTTACCAATCATCTTGTGTAGTTCATAGTGTGGCAATATGGATGACTATAGATGGCCACAGTGCACTCCGTACACTAAGGCGACGAGCTCGCGGATCACCGAACTTGGGAAGTGGTGATCACGTGACTTAGCCAGTGGGTACATACCCACTTTCTGTACACCGATATTCTCTTTTATAGACTTAGACTTCCATATACTACTTGACAGTACCTATACTATCATTTTACGCTTAGAGCGTTACACTGGCGATCCCACGCTCATGCGAGCACCGTATTCACTATCCTATGCTCGATTAGATTTAGGCTTTCCCTTTCAGTGCATTATACTAGACCTTCACTACAACAGTGTTCTATATCAACTGTAGAAACTGTCATACATAGTTATTACCTTTTTTTTTTTTTTTTTAGAAAATTAACTAAAACCTTATTTAAACCCCTATTTAAGCTAATTATCGAGAACTAAACGCGTTCGACTCGTTTTAATCGTTTTATAAAGACAAAAAGTCAAACTCGAACGAGCTTGTTACAGTACTCACAGCGGGGCAGTTTGTTATGACAGGCATATAGAGAGATCTCACAGATCTCTACCTAGAATAGTCTTCTAGTCAAGACATATTACAAGCCCATATCAACTTTGCAGTTCGTGGCGTTGTAGGCTTGTTGTCTCACACCATTATTGTCAGTCCTCACAGCTTAGCGTTATTCGCACCCATACTCTCATAGAGCTATTCGATAAACAGCGGTTAAGTTAACAAACTTTTTACACTTCGCGAATATTAAGAATAATTACAGTTTATCGGTCTCTTTTATACTATACCTCGTAAGATCTTACGATAAAATACGAACGCGATATAACGTAATTTATATCTAATCTATTTCGCGGGTATAATCACGTCTTAAACTAAGTAGGAAAGACGGCTGCCTTCTAACCCTAACGGCAGGCCGTGGCGCAATACCGCATGCTATAGTATTTTAAACAACTAGTCGAGGAAATTAAGGAGCGCCGAACCGCCGGCGGTTTCCCCGGCGGCGCCGCTAGAAATAGAGAGTATAAGGAGTACCCCGAGCGAACATGCCTAGGTACAAGTCTAGAAGAGCAAGTGCGATGCAAAAAAAGATTAGACGTTAATCTTCGGTTCGCCCGTAAATAGAATATACTAATCGAGGGGTTAGAAAAGAAATACGGAATGAGCGTCCCTGGCCTTGGCGAAGGTATTATCCTAGCTACCACGCCCAAGGTGTTCCTGATCATGTAAGAAGGTATGCGGCTAACGGTATGGGGCTAAGATGCTAAACCGTGACATAGAAACAACAAAGACGAGACACACGCATCAGCGGAACAGCTGCTGCACGATATGCGCGAGGACGAGACAATGCTAGCTGTATGCCAGAATCTGCAGCCGGCTGCGCAGAGCCTGCTCCGACACCACCGACTGACTGCCGACCTGGACTGGGCTTCGATACGGGCAAGTCTGCAGCGGGTCGTGAAGATATAAATGTTTTTAGACTATATATATAATTGCCCATTACATCGCATAGGAGCTGGTGCCATGCTCATCAACACCATGCCCACTCTCCCACATGAAGAATATCGAAGTAATTATACGTTTTTAGTTTCGCATAAGCAGCAATGTAGTCATAAGTAAGCCACCGGCTGAACTCCCATCCCTTGTCAGCTTGCCAATCTTGACACCTAGGACGTGTAGTCCATGTCTCCTGAGCCCCGTAAGGAACCGATGCTCTATGGTTCTTAGCAAGTTATAGCGAGTACTGCAACGTTGACAGGTGTAGAACGGGTGGACTTGGAGTTATTGAGTAGATAAATCTTCACTGGGAGCTTCTAGCAGCGCTACCATATCCTCAAATCCAATATTCATTGATCTCATCGTCATTTCAGCAAACCCAGTCTATCCGTACTTGTGCTCAGCCCGACGTAATTCAATGGGGAAGCCATCCGTGCAGAACCGCACTCAAACGGAAACCTGTGGCAGACAACCAGTACTTACTGGGCACTGTAATCAAACTCAGCTGACAGCGTAATTAATTGGTTTTGAGCCCTGGCCCAGCCAGCAAAGCTCAATTTACAAAGCATTAGGACACACGGTCTACTCATTCACACACGTGTTATATAATAAATCATCTCACCAGATTTTGGATAAAACGCATTTCGATTGTTATGCCTTCTAGTAAAGACCGCCTTTATGTTGCATTATATGCCCGGGGGCGAAGACAAGTTAGTCATTCGTGAAGTATGGAATATTTCTCTCTAGTCACTCACGAAAAGACTTCTTAGGTATCACTGGGCCCTTTTAGTTGGCCCCAAGACGGAAAGTGACGGTTCAGGTGGGAAGCGTTACCACGCGAAGGAGCGAATGCTTTCCGTCCAAGGTCAAGCTCAATCCTAGTGGGAATTCGAAGAACGAAATATAAGCATGGCGGCGACTTCGATGATCCTAGTGCGCATCGTGGTTGGCAAAATCAAGGACCAAAATCGAGTTGCGTCAATCCTCGAGTCTATTGCAATCCGTGGACACCAGCCCGGATGAAACTGTGTAGAGTGAGTGAAAGAAGCTCTGGAGACCTTAGGCAAGGACAGCAAAGCACTGGGCACGTCCATTACTGATTGGCAGACCGTACGTAACACGGTGCGTTGGTATGTTCAGCAGAAGGAAGTCGAACATAGTTTCGATGGTCGAGCCCAGCCCGGCTACTTTGATACGACGAAAGTGCCGACTCACGATTTGATCGAGAAGAAGGCACAGATTATACCGTAAAGTCTGTGTGTAGAAATGTCTACTTTCAAAGATGGAATATGCCTGGCTAGCACACCTCTAAAAGTCTCCAAAGTACTTTCGTCGAATCTTCTCCATCTCCAACTCATAAGGCATAGGTGTGAGAAACTTGTCGACTTCCTCCTGCCAGAACCTATTTTGAGGATTAACGTTCCACGCCGAAGTATATTCCCAATAAGGAGGCATCCATCCCGCTGTTTCCCAATCGATGACCCCAACAATATCATCATCACGTGTAAGAACGTTTAGACTGCTTAGATCGCCATGCGTAAATACCGACGTTGGCCAAGACTTATTATGAAAGGAAATCAGTTCAGAGAGTCCTGCTACTAATAACGGGTCGCGTAGATCTTCGGTTTCAACTCCGTTTCGGAGCTCTTTATGGAAGTCCTGAATCGTCTTGAAAGGACCCCACTTTGACTTTTTAGGAAGCCGTTGATCATAAATTGGGCCCCCATTAACATTTGCAACGCCGACGTCTTGTGGTGGTTCGATACCGCGAAGTTGTGTGACCACAGATTTCAACTGCTCGAGAATTCGCGCTTTAGAAGCCTCGGGCCTTTGTAACCATCCTCGCGCCAGATTTTGACCTACTATCCTCTCCGTAACGATATATGTCCGGCCAGCATGCTCAAAAGCACAGTAGATCTTTGGAACGGGGATAGAGGTATGGTTTATCACAAATTGCATGGTGTTTGCTTCTGCCAGTGTCGTAAATGGTGTTGATTTAATACAGTACTTTAACACGAAAACAACATGACTTGGATAGTTGAGCATTTGCCGAATATATCTTTGTGTTCCAAACTGGAACGCACAAATTATGAGAAAACGACTGAATGCGCCATCGTTACAGGATTTAGACTCCATAAGTGCATGTCAACAGTTGCGACGCCGTCTCTTCGATTCGAGGTGTACTATGCGCATGCAGAGAGACGAATGGTGGTGCCACAGGTATCACGTTGTGTGAGTACTGCGGTCGTTGTGTTGAAAGAAAACTCGCAATCCGTTGCAATTGAGGTTAGTGGTGATCTATTGGCCAAGGGATGCTATGGAGCGAAGGTACGAGTCGGTGCAAACGAAAAGTGGCTGTGTTGTGGCGGCTTATCATCGAGACGTCAGGTGAGGAGGACGCATGCGCGACGGTTGTAAAGTTGGCTCAGCGTTACTACCCCTCATACTCCAGCCTTGCTACGAGATCTCTGAAAAACCTCTCTCTGCTACATTATATCAGACCAACTATGGACGGTCGCTATCGAGATCAAGACAACGAGATACAAGCCCATAAATATTTGACGACGCAAGCTCTTCAAGCGGCCAAATCTGTCACGCCGTCCACTTCCCCGCCACAATGTTGTAGAATTTATCCACCCACAATGCAGACCACGAAGTCCTGATATGTGCGTTCCGGTGTCGTATAAGTAACGTATGCACTTTCACAAGCAAGCAACGAAAAATACCTCCGATGTCAAGTGGATTCGTTAGGTTGACGGTAGAAGATTTCACGACTGGTGCCATGTACAGCAAGTACCTTCGTCGCAGAAGATTTACGTCGACAACGCTGTCGCAGTTGGGCGACTAAAGAGGCTTGGAGGAGCTAGAAGCTTACAGACGAGGCAATCTGCAAGAAATGCGACCCTCCAGCAGTACTCGAATACTGGTCCAGACCTTACTTTCCTAGTTTCTAGTTGCTTTCGAATGAATTCTCAATGATAGGGTGAATGTGGCAGGGAAGAATCGTGGAAGGCTGACTACTTACAATACTTTGGCTCAGTTGATTGAAGATTACCATCCTGCAGTCCTTCTTCGTCACTGTGTTTGGTGGTATGATAAAAGGAAACTCATGCACATGTCAAATTCCTTCTTCATTCGATGTTCATATTCGTGGGCACATAGTCTGTCCCGCAATATGTCCATCTACTTCAACGTATGCGCCAGTCCAGATCGTCCAGACTCGAATCGTTCGCTTCCCTATCCGGCTTGGTCGATTTGTTCATATGTAATCGTGTCATGGCGATGAGCTCGTATTGTTTGTGGTACGGTGAACCCGGCCATAAATAACAGTCTATCTCCCCTTTTCCCCCTTAGACATTCCTCATCACCTTCAAACACCTTCCCTCTCATTCTAACTTTATCACAAATTCTTCACTCTTCTTAACAACCTGAAAGCTAGAATACCCGTCAACATGGACTATCACCCAAAATATTTTGCTGTTAACGGACCACCATGTTACTATACAAGGAATCAACCATCACGTTTTATATACGATAAGATATCCGTTCCTTTACTAGACTATCCAACACCAACATACTTTCAAGTAACATCGACTTCAACACTACCATCGATGTACTAGTCAATCTCAACACAACATACCATGTGGCCATCTATCTCCTCCTGCTAGCCAAACATGACCGTCCCTACTAACAGTACAAATGGTGCTTCTTGCTTGTATCGTGCATATTATGATATAACAGACGATGGGCTGGATCTCCATTCTCGGTCATCTCCTAGTTATTCTTACGCAACTGGAGAACCCTGGGACAACAGCAACCATGCTTTACTACGCAGACATCGTCCCGGTCATCGTCTGAAAGCTACCCCTTGGGCTACCCTTCTACCCTTGCCAGTCAAGGGAGCAATACGTGGGATGCCCGCCCTTGTTTAGAAATGTTACCATCGCCTCTAGCCCTCGATAATTACCAACCACGTAGGCTCGACGCTAAGACAAAGTGTCTAGCCAAGACCCGCCCAACCTCCATTAGTCGGGCCAAAAGACAGCCACTTATAATGGGTGCCAAGGCCAACGTTTAGGAGGTCGATAGTCTGCTCGGCAAATGGACGCGGGCTAAGAAGACGTGGTATCTCGTTAAATAAAGTGGCTTTAATGACCAGTACAACAGTTAGGAGAAGCAACACGATATAAGCGCTAACATAATCAAAGAGTTCAAGGCGAGTTACCAGGGCAATAACGTAACCATCAAGCGACTACTCAAGAGGCGGATTCGGCGCGGTAGGAGTGAATATCTTATACAATGAAATGCAGTCGTTGTAGCAGTACCTAAGAGAAGGAGGCGGACATAAGCCGAACACGAATTGTCGATTTTGAAGCGGGCTGTTAGAAAGTAAACACTTAAACGTATGAAGCGACCGAACCTAGTTGACTCTTCGATTCATATATCAACGCAATAATATACTTATATGGCATCATGCTTAGGACCAAAATACACCACCCCGCTGCGGCACCGTTGACTACCATCAAGACACATACTTAGTCAAACGATGCCGTCTGAGCATTTCGCCTCGTGGCACAGCCATGTCTATTCCACGCTTCTCAGTGGTTCAAGACTAAACTAATCACAACGGATTTGTGTACTGACCTGGGAAATTTCTTTGTACAGTGGTCATCATCTGCGGTCGGTTTCTCCCTTTACAATGTTTGGCACGAGACCAAGTCCTACCTGAATCTGGGGATGGTTCTTCTGAACGACCGCAACCACTTTAGTCAAGACATCCTTTGTGGCCAAGTTGTTGGAATTAAGTCTCATCAATATCCGCGCCAACACCAAGTAGTCTAGTTCTTCCAACGTACGCGAGTCTATCGTGTTGGAGCTTTGGAGCTGTTGCTGCCTCACTTCTGCCCATCTCAGATAGCGTGGTCGGTGATAGACCCTAATGCTGAAAATCACGAGTGCCGCGAGGCTGCCTGTGAGCTGTTGTTGTGTCACCATGGTCACTTTCCCACACCGGCGCAATGCCCTAGCTCAAAGTCTTCTTTTAGACCATGAGGATGGAGTCTAATCAGCCTGATAACTCTTATCTTATTGTCAACTCACATACGTCCTCGAGAACAATATATACCAGATCATTATTCAGAAAGGCCTCGATCGCGTTGTGTAGGTTCTTGTGCCGAATGTCTCGATGCATGCCACAGACCGCTTTCACGTTTGTTGCCCAATATTTTCGTATAATCGCGCAATTGTAGGGCTTCCCTCTTCTCAGCACAAAAGTGCCAAATCCACCCAAGTCGATGCTGAACGAAAGCTTATAACGATTATGTGGAGATTCATGCCTGAGAGATAGTGTTTGACTCGAGGAGTTGTCCATAAGCGCAGGATTCTGTGTATTGACGTCTTTAGTATCGTCGTGACCCGCCTTATCTAGCTAGCCATTATGTTATAAGTGATCGGTTCTATCTTTGATATCTAGTATCTAGTTAAGTCCTTTACAGCACGGCGGAAGATATAAACGTCTTTCAACTTCTTCTTAAGAGGCAATCGCGTTAAAAGCTCTCCGGGATAGATATCGAAGGTCTCTAGCTACTACAAAAAGACAAGTTTAGGGAAGTCAAAATCCTTATATCCGAATAAATTGCTTAGAAGAAAGACATAAATGTTAAGTATTAAGGAGTTGTTAAATATGCTCTTAAGGACGGTAAATATTTTCTAGAATTCCATAAAATTTAAGTATATTACAATATACATCTAGCTATAGACGAAATAGATAAAAGAGAAAAAGAACTTACGTATCCTTAGCACTAAGGTATGTATTCGTGAACTCTAACGTAAATCTGATTACTAGATGTGGTAACGAATATATACCCTGAGGTTACCATCGTTCTATGGACGGTGGGCCCACTATTTTTAAATGTCACAATATTAAATATTATATATACTTTTAAATATAATTAATGTAAATATTATACCTTTATTAATAATATAATAATAACATTATTCAATGTTATAAACCTTATATCTAACGTTATATAGCATTAATCCTTTAAGAATTTAAAACAAGACATTTTAGGGTGTATTCTAACAGGCTTAGAATTAATATATTAAGATACTAAATCGCACGTAGGGAACGAAAGACATGACGTTTTACGTTTAACGATCTTCGAACCAGGAGTGCTTGAGCACTTCTTCGACATCTATCCTCTCGGTAGGTTCCATCTTGAACATTTTGTTTAGTAAGTCTGCCAGTCTGTTGATTTCCAGACGATGGAACTTATAGCCAAAGAGCTTGTGCCCATCCTCTTGCAGTTGGATACCGACCAGGTCTCTGTCACTAACGCAAAGTGAATACTTGACATGCTGCCGCTTCCGAGGAATAGGATAACTAGCACCCGAAGGTCTTTTGTGTCGCGCTTTTCTGATATCACCCGTACCGCATCCACTATTCTGTGAATGCCGGTCACAATCATCGTTAGGCGGACCTGCAGTATCAGTTTTAGAGGTGTTTGGCTGGAAGTCATTTGCAGCTGTTGTGTTTTTATCATGTCCAGCAAGACATGCTTTGGTGTTCTCGTTATCGCCTTCGCCATTGGAGCCATCAGAACCAGACTCAGTTTCAGAGTCCGAAATATATACATCTCCAGTTTTCGCAACAAGGCTCCTTAGGGATGGCGAATGGGCTGCAAACCCGATGTCTCGCTCTCTTCCTGAAGTGTGATCCGCCCACGAGCCTGGGTCACGCCGAGTCCACTCTTGTAAACGAGCGAACTCACAATCCAAATACTCATCTAGCCCCTTTTCCCATTCGCTTAGCTCTGGTTTCTCGTCTATCTTCCCAGCTGCAGACGTCGTAGTTGCTTCGGGTTGTTGTTTCATTTGCTCGTGATCTAGCTTCGCGGATACTGCCTTGAGTTCGCGGCTCGAATCCTCGCAAGAGAGGACTTTAGACCCTGGATTCACGGGACTTTCACTTGACGAAGTGATCAATTCCGTAATTTCTTCTAACATCACAGGCGCTGATTTCACTGCGTTTATGTCACCCCCAGTATCTTCTTTTGGATGTTTTAGATCAGGTGCTGCCATCCTCGTCCACATGCGTGCGAGTTGCGCTTGTAAAGGATTATCCCAGCCGCTGCCTTTTATGTACTCTTGCCTCATCTTCAACCACTCGGCGTTATCTTTCGGTAAGTATACACGTCCCTCAACGTCGCCTTCATCTGCTTCGGAAGAAGACTCAACTTTCTCACCCCATATTGGCTTGCATGGCACATCTAGTATGCTCAGTACATTCTCGAGGCCTTCCCTTTGGTTTTCGGGATATGGGCCAAATTGTCGCGATAGATCGGAGAGTAGAACAGGTTCATCAGTGTCATCGTCGATGAACTGCCGACCCGTGCGAATTTCGAAGAGGGTAGCCGCTAGTGCCCAGACATCGGTTGAGGGCCCACCATGACCCGTCGTCGTCAAAAGTTCTGGCGCGGCATAGGATATCTGGAAATCCAGGCCTTCGTTTGGGTCGTCTTTGGAAAGATATGAGAGTCCAAAATCGATGATTGCAATCTTCCCCGTTCTGTACTTTTGCTCCAGCTGTTCTGTCGAGCCCCGGAGGTACAGCTTCTCGGGGCCGTATGGCGCGGTGGTACCACCCCAAGTCGTGGCCAAGTCGAAGGCGAGTACCTCGCCCAGATACCGTTCCAGCTGTCGACCGGAGAGTTCGTCCTCCATTATCGCCTCCTGATCCAGCTGAAATAAAATGTTTCCTGGGCTTATATCCCCATGGCAGATCCCTTTACTGTGTAGAAAGCTGATGGCCTTGCAGATTTGGAAACAAATGTCGGTAAGTAACTCAGGGGTATGTAGTCCAACATCTTCCACATCCCGGATACTTGGTCCGAGTAGGGGGTTAACAAGACAGAGGTGTCGCCCGTTGGGACCTGAAAGCCAGAAGTATTCTCGGGCGAGAAAGATGTGATTTTCCTCAAGCTCTTCTACAGATATCCCGGCCAACTGCTCGAGTAGTCTGAGTTCTGGACAATTTTCATTTGAGTCTCGGTGTTGAAGTATCTTTATTGCCACCCAATCCTCTTTTTTGGTATCAAAACATGCCCACACTGTTCCGTAATGTCCATAGCCAAGCTTGTGATGGACCTCAAATCTCTCCTCGAGATCTAGGTACGTATCGATATTGACTGGGTGGAAGCCACCGGCACGGTATTTCTCCGGGTCTTCCAATTCCGTCATATCATCCCAACATACTTTGTACAGTCTCCTGTTATCTCCGGGTAGATGCGTACCGGTCTCTGATGTATTGGCAATTCTGCTATCATGCAACAGGTCAGATCCCTTGTCTCTTATTTTGTTTATGCCATTCTCATGAGCATCGGGCACAGAGGATATTTGGTGAGCCATTTTTCGAGATACGTCAGATGGTTTCGTCATAAAAAGAAACCAAGTGATATTGCCTATGATATATGTCGAACGCATATGATCGTGGTTGTTGGACAAATCTCCAGGCTCGAAAACAAGGTGATTCCTTTGGTGACGCTACAAAGGCTCGTCCGTACAAAGAAATCGTCACAGACACACAATTACTAGGTTTTGTACGGAAGTGGTAAGCCTCCTGGATGAGTGGTCACCCTTGTTCTTCTAATGATTTTACTGTGCAACCATGTCACCTTTCAAACAATGCCATTGAGACTTCTGGAATTTGAAAGTTCGTTGGCTTTTAATACTTCAACACAAAAGACCGTTTATCGTCAAAGGGACAATAGCCCTCAAAGAACTGTTACGGCTATGTATACCCTCGCTTTTTCCAAGGTAAGAACAACCTATCGGATACACAGATACACACCCAACTAGAGCGACTGGAAATATCTTAGATCTTAATCCGGGAAACAAAGAACTTGACATGGCAGATCAGGATTTAAGCACAGGTACTTGCTGTGATCACAGTATTACTTGGAACTATGGCGATAGAGTGCCCAGCAGTAAGTCGCTCCCCGATAAAGATAAGACGAAGACTGTACGATGGTCTTACGGTAAAGGAACTTTCGAGGACCCCAAGGTTCGGTTTTGGCGCCATTTCCTCTATGAACTCGACAGCACAGACGCCACAGATGAACAGAAAGCCTTGTCCAGAGAGTTTCATGACTTGTTACCGGAGGAAAAGTTAGTGGTCAGAAAGAATATTGCAGTCGCACATGCGGCAGCCAAAGCATGCGGCTTTCCTCATGTCACAATCCATGGAGCCGCGCATAACACACGGCTGATTTACCGTAATGGTAAGCGAGTCAAAGCTGGCAAAGGCTTTCTCACGATGCCTTCAGATGTCCATTTGACCTTGAGATTCTCGATGGATGAAGAAAATTACAATGTCAGCGGACACGTCTTCGTCACGTCCAAGGAAGTCTTAGTTCCCATGACAGGGCTTGACAAGAACAAAAAGGTCTTGGTCCCGTTGAAAATTATGGAAGATGGTAAGCGTGATCCCAAACTGACCGTAGATGGCGACGACAGAATTTACGAGCTGTGGGTGGCCGACAACGAGACAGCTAAGTTGATGGAGGCCCTTGAAGCACAGTACGCTGCCAAGCCTGTACCATCGGCACCCTCAAAGGCTCGACCTCATAATGCTCGAAAGTCATCGTTGGGAAAGCCCAAAAGCACAAACAAGAAAAGGCGTCAAGATAGAAAGGTCCGAAAGAGAAATGGCAAAGCCTAGGAGTGCAAGTGTGCTCCGTGCGATTTCAAATGTTAACAGCGTATTTCATGAAATTGTTTACTCAAATTTCATTGGTTCTCTCGTTTCTTCTCAAGTGTTTCTGTTGATTAACTTGATATAGTGCCTTGTCAATTTCATCTATGTTATGATCTCAGACTCTCGCAACAACATTGGTAGAGGCTTTCTGCTAAAAGCTCGATGATTTTCTAATAAGATCCATGTTCGGAGACGACTAGCTTCTTTTCTCGGCGTATTCTGAGAACCCACTCTAAATCTTTTTCTCTTTCATAGAGATTCAATTTATTAAATCAAACGTCATCACCTATTTCTGTGTTCTTCTATTAAGCTTTATTGATTATAAATATTGCTATGATATCACTGTTAGTTCTCGATACCTCCCAAGGGTTGATGGTAAGTATCCCGCCCAGACGGGAACACATGAAGTTGTTCTGAAACTACCAAACGAGTGATTTTCAACGAAAAATACTTAGGTCAATTTACTTAATGCATATAACCCTGAAATGAAGTTGCAAGTTCGAGAAACTAAGCATTACAATTCTTTTCACCCTGCTATGAGCAACCCCACTATCCTGAATCTACTTCTAGCTAAATCTATTAAGTCTCTCCAAATTTGAATGGTATCCCAAACAGAAAAACAAGACAAAAATACGTATCGACTTACATGGCTTTCCCTGGCTCTGCTCACAACACAGGAGCCATACAGTCAATATCTAACCCGACATATGAGGACGATGATGAATTGGATTTTATCATGGAGGATAAATGGGACAAATACGGCGCCTGGAAGACCTGGAAGCTGAGCACTTCCAACTCCTGTCCCTAAACGTGAAGCCCGCGACAGAGCTGGCTCTAATATATTTTGGGTACCAACGTAGAGAAGAATCAATCTCGAATTCGGACTCGGAGTCTTCAGAGACTGGTCAAGTATGTCTTGATTATAACTGCAGCTGCGATCTACATTGTTCAGATGACCCTGGGAGGTCCATAGATAGTCTTGAAGAAAACAAGTTTGAGAGATATTCAATCGGGCAAAGTAGACGATGGCCTTCATATTAAGAATGCCCTAATGCCAAGTACCCTCAACATGCCCAGCAGTATTGTTATCAGTGAGCGCAAACTAGTCGGTGTACGGGTTTACCCAAACACCACAGCAGAGCTCGGACACAAAATTTCACAGGCAGGAAATGGCTGGGTCTGGGTGAAAGGATTGGTTTCGAGGAAGTGGGAACACATGCTTGGTTCGAATATCGATGAAGCCCTTTCCTTACATTTGCTAAAGCCTGAATGTTGAACAAGGGATGCAATTTGACAGGGTTGTGCAACCGGCTAACCTAGAAGTTTGACGGAACACGGATATGAACATTTTTTTTATTCTTTAGAAAACATCTGGTCTTTCTTTCCATTCTAGGCAATGTCCGCAATCGTAGCATTAGGGATTACTAGTCTAGCATTCAGGGGTCAGAACTGGTGCTTGTGGACTTTCACTGCAGTTGTAAAGAAAAGCACGAGAGTCGCATGATACCACGAATTGACATAAGCGAGTTATGCCACTACGACGACTTTTATATATATACATAACCTTCCAAGGCCTTTCTGCTGCCTCAACTTGCCCGTTCAGCATTCTCGAAAACCCTTTCAAGATAGACTCGAGTTCCATTCCCCCACAGGCTCGACAGAGCCTCCTGCCTAAAGAGCATCGAGAGGTAAGCAGGCCCCCACCCGCCACGCGCCCGATGCATCCCCCTAGCAGGGGTTTGTACTGTGGTAGGATCGGCAATCACTAGCCTGCCGTCTTGGCCTGGGGTGTTTAATATAACACAAACCACGTCCGCGTAAGCCGCACTATACGGGCCACAACGAAGTGGCTATCAAAGATGCCCCAGTAGGTCAGTGGGAGCAGAGAGGGAAGAAAAATAAAAATAAAAACCAAGGAAAAAATACAGGGAACAAAGAAAAACAAAATCGACAAGCCTAAAGCCCTGTAAGCGCGAACGGAAGCTGCAGCTTTTAAAGTTGTTTGTATTGGATAACATCTGGGGGGAGGAGCATCATTGCCAGGTGAGAGCGGGGCCCTGTTGTCCAAGGCTGTGAAACAACTCTAATCTAACCCGCGGACAGTGGATATATTTGGGGCGAGGCAAAATCGACGCCACGGGGGGTTTCTAATAGGGAGTTACACCAACATCAGGACTTTTATTCGATGCGCGCGATACACATTTCGTGGGTCAACGGCGATTCAACGTTCAAGTTCGAAAGGTTTGATTGCACTCTCCTGTCCCAGCCTGTAAATGCTACTATGTTACAAGCTTTGAACTATGTAACCGAGTTCAAGTTGACTAACTCCGAAAAACAATTGACCCCAACGCCTTGCCATCCATATGCCAGTGTACAGTGATCTTTCCAATTTTGGAACGTCCAAAGAAAATTACACCAAACCAAATATATACAAATCTCCAACGTAGAAACAGATTTTGCCGCTCTAATCTTTAATAACGCATTTGCTCTCGATCCATCTCGAGAACTTGACCGTCGGGACGTCCACAGCCCTACAAAATACATCCGCAGCCCAAATGACTAGAGGGATGTTGAAAATAGCCGCAAGAAAGAAGCCTCGGGGGTATGCAGAGCCCTCAGTACCAGTAATGGACCATGCCCATTTCTCGATCATGAATCCGGCTGTATGCAAAACCGGACCATGCATGAGATAGAGGGAGTAGCTAATACGACCAAAATACTGCACAAAAGACGTGTTGAAGACGCTTTGCCATGCCGGTGATCGGGCGACGCAGAAGATGAAGAGAATGGATCCCCATATCTGCCAAAATCGATATCTGTCACTGAAATATTCAGGAATCAATGACCCCAGAAACTGCCAGCCTGGAACACCTTCTGTGCCCAAGTCTGGTTCAGACATGAGATACAAGGCCGGTATCGAAAGTGCAATCCAAAACAGCCCTCTTGGGTCTCGCGCCTTCAGTGTTGGTTTTTCATCGAACGGCAAGATTGGACTTGTCGGGGGCTGCGCTTGCGGTGGCGGGTTGTGTGCTCCACGGATAATGTCTAGCTCTGCGAGCCCCATACCGGCCAGAAACAGAACGACTTCCCAGCGGTCGTTACGCAAACAGAACCACATTATGCCGGCTAGGCAGGCAAACCGAATCCCGGTTCGTACTCTCGCAAGCCCAAACATCACCAAGAACAACATCATAGAGCAGCGATACTCCACGGGAATGGTCCACAGGTGCACATCGTACATTGTGCTTCCTCCGAATTTCTCCCATCCCCAGACATGTACAAAGTCGAACATCTCCCAAGCCCAATGCCAGAGCTGCCAGTTCAGAGTGTATGCCTGAAGTGGGTGTGTTTCGACAACGCCTCGAACAAAGTTCTTGTCCTCCGCAAACTCCCGGGTGATCTCATAGACTCCGAGTTGTAAAAGGATGACTACCGTGAATGTGGATATTGCTGTCGGCAAGAACAGGCGAAATGCGCGCCGGAAGATGAAAGAAGACATGGTGTTGGAAAACCCGTCGAATGAGCGGCTACGAATTTGCTTCAATGGCTTTAGAGACAGTGCATATCCCGAAACCACAAAGAAGAGGCAGACCATGGTCGGTCCGCTGAACAATAAGCGAATGAATGGGAGCTTCCAAAATATGTAGTTGGCACCATCTCGCCCATACCCATCAGCTATTGAGAACGCCGTGTAGAAGAAGTGGCAAAAGAAGACAAAGAGTGCCGCAAGCCCACGAACGCCGTCAAGATAGGCTGTTGGTCCAACCCTATCGCTCCTGACGCGCTCGTGTGTGAACTTGTGGTGGACGAAGCTGGGCAATAAGAATATTCCCAGTCGCAAGAGCGTCGAAGTCCAAGAAGAAAGTCGCGATCCTCTCGGATACATGCCTATATGCTTGAACCATTGGGATGTTGAGAATCGGCTTTCCAAGTCAGTTCGCCCGCTTTCGCTTTCCACGTCAGAAGCCGACTTTTCCTCCATCAGAGAAATCTTCTCCTCATGAGAGAGGGACAGCCTCGAGGCAGCATAGCCATTCATTGTCCGGCAATGGGGAGGGAGAGCAAAGGTGATGGTCGTCGTTTGATGTGATTAGCACCACCAGCCGCATTTAGAAACACGGACCGGAAAGAATTGCAAAAACAAAAAATAAACCCGACACAAAAACTACTTGAGAATGTAAAAGTATCTCGACATACAATCCCCGGCAACTTTGCCGAACAGAAAACCAGGCCAAGAATCACGGCCGGTTCAGTGCCTGTCTCGCGTCGGGTGACTTGTGGAGTAGTGGGTATAGTGAAGCTCGCCCGAGCTAATGAGCCCCAGTGTTGGTGGTTTCAGATTTAAAGGTCCAAAATTATCACAATTACCGTGAAGCACCTGGCCACATTAATCAACAGGGCAGAGAGGTCGGTTGATTGAAATAAGAAGCAAGACGATTGAAGGAAAGAATACCGCCAATCTAGAGGAAACAAACAGATATCACCCCCACCTGCTCACTATTAGAGTAGGTATCGTCCAACTCACTGCAGTATGTAGAACTTCCTAATAGGGCATCCACTGGTACCGTAGCTTTGCATTATCAGAACAGATTGCCCGAACGTCACACCGTCCACTTGCGGACGATCTTCTGTACAAGAACATCCTCATATGCCCGGCACGACGGAGATCGATGCTACGCGCCAAACGTGAAGAATGTTGTTGCAACGCCTAGAGTCAAGCATGGCCGTTTGCGAGGCACAATGGGCGAGATCAGCCGGGTTGCCCATGCGCGGAAGGCTTTGGCCAGAGCCGTAGAAGGCATTGAAGCAGCAGATCCGCAGGGGTTACAAAAAGCTTGGTATCGCTAAACAGTTAGTTCGGGCCAATGGTGGGTGCATCATATCCATTGCGAGGCATGTTGGAGAGATCAGCGATGTTTTGGATGTTCCAGAATCGTGATGCTTAATAGAAGTTGAAACAATGGCAGTGTTGTTCCGACCGGGAGCTGCGTCTGGGAGCGAACCAAGCCTGCCAACAGTTGCCAGCTGAATGTCTGTGCTGAGCTGTTCCATACCTCCATTATGTTCTTGTACTACATCACAATGCAAATGCTGGAATATAGAGTACATATCCGTTTACGATTTTCCGCACTCTGTTGTGTGTGTCCCTTGATCGTCACGCACAGCAGAGAAGGGATGGGTTAACATCAAGGGAAAAAGAACAAAACCCGGACATGGTTCGAGAATTTTGGTATCCTCTAATATACAACGTAGATCATACTCGTCATATCTCAGTCCTTCAACTCGCTGAGATTAAAGCAAATGTCTTCCATGCCGCCAACCTGAACTCCTTTGCTCGAAATTTCAAGCATATGCATTTTATCTATACCATAAAAGACTTTAGTTGTCCAACCAGTCCAAGAAATCAGGAGTGAAATAGCTGATGATGATGGTGGCGCCAGCTCTTAGAATACCTTCTGTGACTTCGAATGCCATCGTCTTCAGATCAAAAACACCTGCCTTTGCAGCGGCATGCACCATAGCAAATTCGCCACTGACGTGGTAAGCTGCAACCGGGAGGTCTCTGCCGAGTTCTTTTGCGTCACTGATGATGTCCAAGTACTGGCTGGCGGGCTTGACCATAATGATGTCTGCACCCTCTCCAATATCTCGTACAATTGCGCGTCGAGCTAAACCACGACCACCCGGAGGTAGTTGATAGGCACAACGGTCACCGAATGAAGGTACCGAACCAGCGGCATCACGGAAGGGCCCGTAGAGGCAACCGGAGAATTTAGCGGCGTATGACATGAGAAGAGTCTTGTGTGCGATGCCCTCTTCGATGAGTTTAAGCTTGATAGCCCGAATGCGACCGTCGTTCATGTCTGAAGGTGCAACGCAGTGGGCGCCAGCCTGAGCGTACGACAGGGCGACATCGGAAATGCGGTCCACCGAGAGCTGGTTGTTCAATGTCCCATCGTCGCGCAGAATACCACAGTGACCGTGTGAAGTATACTCACAGAGACAGACATCAACAGTAATGAACAACTGGGGGAACCTCTGCCTCAACAGCCGGATACCCTGAATGACGGGACCCTTCGGGTCATCGGCAGCAGTGCCAAGAGCATCCTTGGTGCCTGGTTTCAGAGGTACTCCAAACAGAACCACTGACTTGAGGCCCTTGTGGACCAGGGGCTCCAGGAAAGGTACAAGCTTGTTCAGGCCCCAGCGCCTTTGACCGGGCAGGGCTGGGATGAGTGATTCGTCGTTTTCGTCGTCAGAAATGAAGATAGGGTAGATGAGCATTGACTGCGTCGCAACGGTTAGCATGAAAGTCTGGGGCTGCAGTTGCCGGGTCTCGGGTGAGGACTAACCTTGGTCAGTTGTCGCTCGGCTTGCCATGAGCGAGCAAGAGGATGGTGGTAGCCGCCATGGAGTTGGCTCGAGATATCGCCGGAAATGCTAACGCTGGTCGCAGCAGTGCTCGCATAGGACATTGCCCGCGACACGTGAGAGGCACGATCATCTATCGTCGAAACCGAAGGTGCAGCTCGGGGACGGCGAGGGGCAGCAACGCCGCTGTCGCGGATGGCAAGGTCCTGCACAAGGCTAGAGAAAGACATTGTAGGTTCAGCGTAGCGTAGACTGCTGGGCCGGTCGCGCACTCTGAACTGTCGGCGGGGGCTGCGGTAGAGTGATGATAGTCGAGTCGAGAGTATGTGCGGCGGGCGGTAAGCTGAACCGTGATGTGTTGGGGGGATCTAGATTGGCGCTGAACACCCAGGTGGAATGGCGCACAGACGATGAGGGTCAAACACAGAGAAGCAGCAAGAAACACGAATGTATCGCGGGCCTTGTCGTTTAACCATAAAAGATGGCGCGAGGATGGTGGGAGGAACTGGTGGGATTTGTTGAAGCTTGCGAAGTTTATGAAGTTCCGCCGACGGGGAGGCTCGAGCAACTGATAAAAGTTTCGCCCCTCGGTGAGCGACCCCCTTGAATTGTTTCCCTCAGCTCAGCATGACACTTTGCAGCGGCTTTCGGGATCGCATCTTCTCGCTGGCCCCTGCGCCACATGCTCATTGACCAATCACGGCTGGGCGGTTGAAAAGCACCCACTCATTATCCTTCGCTCCCAAACTCCCCCATCTTTTTCCAAGTGGGTATGCATGTAATAAGGCCAACGGCCAAGCCGAAGCCGAGGACGCCATTGCCAGTTGTCAGCTCTGCCAGCAAATACATATTTCCCTACAGTACCCGACCTATCAGCTCTCGTCTTTATGGAATATTCCATGTCAGCAGGGGGGGAGTGAGTGTTGACGAGCGGTAGCCATCACCACAACGTTTGGGGATTGAACTTAGTATTGATAGCTGATGGACTTCCTTGGTATAATCCAGAAAATACTCCCAAATCTACCAAAACTCTATCATCATTACTCGTTGGTAGACTAGGAGCCTCGCGCTATCTTCTTATGCTATGCGATATACAGCCCCATGAAGCTGACATTTCGTGGGAGATCTTGACGTTCAACGGTCTTCAACCCAGGCATGCTTCAGCACATCCTCCATGTTTATCCTGTCCTGGAGTATTGGATCCTCGACGCCATCATCGGAGCGGACAGCTTGATCACTGTCACCCTCAATAGACTTATCATCGCAGCGGCCTGCATCATGCACTTGCGATCTGGGCACTCGAATGCTCTGGTCAATCTCCGCTGGTGGAGATGGTGCTTGGATTGATTCATCTAGAGTGTCCGGTGTTGTACTCATTTCTGGATCTGTTGCCTGTGACGCTGACTTTGATGCCTTTTCTGTGCCATCCTGTAGCGAAGAAGATACGACCTCATATAGGGCAGTCTCTTCAGCGTCCGGCCCTTCTAGCCTACGCCGAAGCAGCCGGCAGGTGAAACTCCATATGAATGGACCATCCTCATGGTTTCTTGAACTCTTGTTGATTTTCCAGCCATTCAACAACATTGTCTTGTAGATGAATATCATCCATATTTTGCGAGTCTTCTATTTCGTTCGGTGTGTCTGCTGCTGACCCAAAATCTGCTTGACAAGAACGGTATTGAGCCATTACTCGATCCTTGATCCTCTGTCTTAGTTCTACAGGATATGGTCCAAATCCCCACGAGCATCCTTCGATGATGTGTGGGTAATGCATCTGTAGGTCGATCAGTGGCCCTTGAGTACAAATTTCGTACAAAGTCGCTGCAAGCGCCCATATATCCGTTGCATAGCCTCAAGGACCGCATCGGGAAATGAGCTCAGGGGCTGTATATCTCAGTTGGAAATCTGGAGACTTTGGCGGATTGTCTGCCAACCCCCCGCCAAACTGAAATCTACGATTGCTGGTTTCCCTAGTTTGTAGCGCCGTTTCACCCTTTCTATAGACCCTTCTACCACGAGCGCTTCAGGTTGAGGGCCATGAAGCTGTGGACTCTCTCCGCATGTCGTCTTGAGTAGATATCCTTTCGGGGTGCCCAACGATCGCTCTACATCTCTGTCAGATATGTTGCCTCCCATTGCTACTTAATCAAGTCGCAAAAGAATGTTTCCGGGACTTAGGTCTCCGTGACAAATTCCTTTGCTATGCAAGTAGCTAAACCCTTCGCAGATCTAATAACATGAATCCACCAGGAGTTCTAGAATGTATAAACCCATGTCATTGGAATCGATATTTCCAACACTGGGACCCAGTAACGGAAAGACAAGATAGAGATGACGCCCGTTTGGTCCATCCAGCCAAAAGTGCTCGGAATCAAGAAACATATCATGAGCTTCAAGCTCTTCAGCACTAATACCAGCCAGATGTTTGATTATCTTCATCTCGGTACAATCCTCTGTTCAGTTTTCCGCCTTCAAAATCTTGACAGCGATCCCTTGTAGGTTTTTGATACCAAAGCAAACCCCAGACAGTGGCACAGTGACCCTTTCAAAGCTTATGGTGTACCTCAAACCATTCCTCTGCAGCGAGGAAAGCGTAAATAGCGACGGGATGGAAGCCTCCTGGGCAGTGTCCCTCAGGATCCTCCAAGTCCGGCATACCATGGTAACCGAATCGGTACAATCTTTCGTGCCTCCGAGGGGCTCGGGGAGAACTCCGGACTTGGGCGACGTTAATGAAGGACCGATCAAAGAAGTGAGACCCACTCACTGGTGATCTCAGCAGACGATCGAATTATCATGACAGGATTCCACCAGGAAGTGAGTTTCCTCCCGTTTCGCGGATACAAGTCAACCGGACTCGACATGAGGAGGGTTCCATCGAGAAATCAAAAGTCTGAGCCTGGGGTGGCTTCCGCGTTGATCTCATCACGAAAGATGCGTCCGACAAGAAAAGAACCGCGGCCAGAGCCTACTGAAACAAAGGGGAACTGCTCCCGATTGAGAGACGTATTAGAGGCCAAAACATCGAGATCGCCTACCCGGCCGCTCATGCGTGCGGTTTCGAACACAATGCAATCTTCGGAATGGCTCATGGCACGAGATTTGAGTACGGTAAGAACGTAGAACGTCTTTTGGATGACGACCCAAAGCCTAAGACAATTCCATCCGACATCTACTTGACAGTGCGTTTCTCACAAGACGAGAAGAAGTTATATACGTCGCTAGCCACATTTTTGTGAAAGCCGAGGAGGCAAAACTGCCGGGTTCTGATAAGATATATTACGTGTCACTTGATACCATGAAGCAGGGCGACCACAATCCGACCATGATCGATCTAGGCGATGACGGATGCTTTGAGTTGTGGGAGGCTGAAAGCCCGACAACTCTGTCAATGCGAGGCCAAATGGGCGCCGTTTCAATGGAAGCATCAACAAAAAGCTCAACCTCACACCAAAAGAAAAGCGGACCTAGGTAGGCTGAAGCCTTCGAAGGAGGCTCGCTCCCAGTACAGAGTTGAGCGCCGTAACTCCCGCAGAAGGCAGAAGGTAGCATGGAAACAGCAAATACGTCCCACCGTTCGATGCGTCTGGGTCATCAGGTAGGTCACAGGTAAGCTCGATTTCAGTACAAGTGTTGATCTTACTTTGTTTTAATGTGTAAATTCTGGCAATATCCTATGTGGTGTGATGATTGATTTGCTCTACCATTGGCGTGTCGAGGTGCTTAGAACCATGTCGTGACCATGCCTGCCCGCCTATTGGCATCACGCCAGTGCTGTCTCCTCTTCCGTTCGCGTCTCCCATTGACTCTGCTGCATTCAAGCCATTTATCTGGGACTTGGCGGGGTCTGGACGTACAGTTTAGGCAAACGTGCGTTTCCAATTTCTGCAACTGCGTATGTCGTCACTCTGCCGAAGCAGTCGTCGTGGAGGTATTTCATGTCAGGCATCTCGATTACCATCTAACCATTTTTTGATCATCAAAACCAAGCAATGTAATTTACCCCTTTCGAACGCCGGACCTGATGCATTACATACACGCACGAACGACCAACGCCAGAATTCATTGACCATTAACCAAGAGAGACCGTCGAGGACTCTATGCCGCCAGCTTTCTCTCAAGCTCCCTCTCGACCTCGTACTTGAAGTCGAAGAAGCCCTTGTCGAAGTGGTGAACGCGCACGTATCCATCCTCACCACCACTGGCGTAGCCCTTGCCGGTAGGGTCGGCAGCGACTGTGTTGAGTGGACCGAAGTGACCACGGACACGACCGACCTCATCCTCGAAGATCTTGTGGTAGAAGCGGGCCTCGAATTTACCCTGGCGGGCAGAGGTGGTGGTGACATCCATAGCGGCCTGACCACCTCCCAGAACGACGAAGTCCTTCTTGGGGAGGATAGTGGCGCTGTTCAAAGGGGTGTCGGCGGGGAAGGTCTTCAGAATCTCGAGGTCTCTAACTGCGATCAAGCGAGCCGTCTTGTCCTTAGATGCGGTGATGAAGTAGGTGCGGTCCGTGGACCATTGCAGGTCGGTGACCTGCATGTTGAGCTCGTGAACGGGCAGGTTATCGAGTGTCTCGCCGGTCTGAAGATATGTGAGTTAGCCTTTGCCACATGCATGTTTCACGCGCAGAGACGGAAAAGAGTGTATGGCCGGGCGTACCTTTGCGTCGTACTTGCTCACGCTGCCGTCCTCATGTCCAGCCAGGATGTACTTGGCCAGATAACTCCAACCAGCGACAGTAGCCTTGCTCTCGTCGCAAACGATGGTCAGCTCCTTCTCGTCGCTTTGCTCGGCATCGACGTCGGGGTTGATGTTCAGGACAACGATCGTTCCCAAGTGTCCCATACGCTTCTCCGTCACGCCGAGTAGTTGTCTGCCGTCGGGGCTGAATTCGACACGCTTGATGGCTGTCGGGAACTCCCAGGTCTTGAGCAGGCGCCCGGTCTTGATCTCCCAGAGTCTGATGGTGTTGTCGGCGCTGCCGGAGGCGATCATGGTGCTTGTGGGATCGCAGTCGACGGTCCAGATGGCACCGATGTGGCCCTTGTATGTTCCCAGACGCTCGCCATTGTGTGCGAACCATACACAGATCTGCTGGTCCTTGGCTACGGAGAAGAGAAGATCGCCATCGGGGTTGTACCTGGAATTTGGTTAATAAGGTGACGCAGGCATAGGCAGTAGACATAGGCATAGGCATGGTGGGGTCGTCGGTGGCTGTCGCATACTTGATCTGGGTCAGAGCACGTTCCTAGGAATATTGTTAGCCATAATACTCAGGATGGATCGTACGGCGAGGACAACATACGTGACCGGAAAGAAGAATAGGTCTCATCTTTGCGGTTTGTGCTGTTTTCTACTGGGCTGAAAGCTGATCCTCCGTCACGTCAGTCAAAAGTTCGTGAGAGTTTTGGGGAAGTAATTTGGTGGACGAGGGGCTCACGGACTTTTTGCCGATGATTTTCCGTTCCGCAGCGGTAATGCAATGAAGGCGGCGTTGGCGTTTCCCCCGGATTCCCTCCAACTTCGACTGACGGCCTTATATGATCCTGACGGCTTGGTGCACACGAGATACCTTGCAACCTTGCCCAATTTCTGCGCCACCGTTCTAGATCGTGTAGAATTTCTTGTGACTCGATTATACCAAGACCCAGCTTTGAGTCAGTCATCGCAAGGCCTGCCATCTCTAGGTAACTTCTTGTGAACACGCAATTTCAAGGGCTGCGCTCCACATCCACATACGTCTACACGCCACTGTAGCAAACATTGACCACGCGCACCGTTACAAGATGCCGAGAAATCACCTTCTGCCGTGTGTCCTGTCAAAAATCAATCCTGGATTTTGTTTTCTTCAGAAATCATACTCTGTTTCTTGAATTTGTTTGTCCTGCCATACATGGATTCAGCGTCGTGAACAATGGTCGAATGATTGCTCCTACGGATCCGTAGTCAACACCTCTAATTACGGCATTGGACCCAGTCTAAATCGCCTTACACTGTGCGTTCTGGTTCTGGCGCTATGTACATGGCGTCGATATTTGAATACCAAGTGCTATCGAGCACAGCCCAGGTACGGGTGCTCCAGAAAAAGTTGACACACTTTAGTGACTCATCTCGTAGATCCAGCAATTTTGGCTTGCATTTTCTACTGCACTGAAGCACAGATAGCGTGCAGAAGGCGTGTTGGTGATAGCGGCGGAGGAGTACAGTAGGATATGCGAGTCAGAGGTACCCTGGCGGCAGAAATTTTTCCAAAAATGACTCTAACAACCAGTGTTCGTCACGGAATAATCCAATCCTCGACAACACCAAATACAATCCTGCGAATGTCAGGACAACAACGATTGGCAAAGGCCGCTGGTTTGCGGTTCGTGACACCAGTATCTGGTACCACGGTTGGAGTTGCTGCTGCTACTGCCACTGCTAGCAGAATTGGAGCTGGCCCTGCCTTTGTTCGAGCCTATTCATCGGCTCACTTTCCGAGTAATCGCCCCCGAAAACCCATCTGCAGGTCCTACGCGACCGATTCACGCGGCCAGCTTCCCGTTCCGGACACGCGCACACCAACTTTATTCACCACTGGACCCTCTGTCTCAACCTCATCCTCATCCTTTCGTCCATCGTCAGGTGACTTGGCAAGTCCTTCTTCACACACTTCTGCGAGACTTTTCTCGACCCATTGCCGCGCACGGTCAACTGCTTCCCATTTCTCTTCATCATCGTCAGCAGTACCCCGCCGTAACTTTTCGCGCACCTACCCCGCCATGGTTGCACAGAAGCTTGATGGCACTGCCATCGCGAAGAAGATTCGCGAGAGGATTGCCAATGAGATTGCTGAGAAGCAAAAGCTCAACCCACGCTACAAACCATGCCTCAAGATCATCCAGGTTGGTGCTAGGCCAGACTCTTGTAAGTTATAACATATATAGACCCCTACCATTGTTCTGCATCGTCGTATTTGGCGACTACCTCGAGTTGCCAAGCTGGACGAAGTCGTCTTGTGTCGTCTTACCCAGACGTACTTCCCCCGTATGTGACTGTCTACAACTCTGACAAGGGTGGATGGCATGAGATCATATGGGTTGTGGCGAAATTCGAGTAGAATCAGCAAGCCTTGCAATCATCCGACACTTTGACATGTGGGCTCCCAAGGCCTGCTGCCTCAGACCATCGAAGAAGAATTAGATCTGCCTGATGATCCCCTATCCTGCGTGTCCAATCTAATGACCTTTCAGCGACGTATGTGCGAATGAAGCTCAAGGCTGCTTCTGAAGCAAACATCAGCTGTGACAAGCTTGAGTTTCCTGAAGATATTACTGAGGCTGAGCTCCTTGCCAAGCTCCACCAGCTCAACAATGACTCTAGTGTCAATGGTATTCTGGTGCAGCTGCCACTCCCCAAGCACATCAACGAATACACCATCACCTCTGCTGTCGCTGACGACAAGGATGTTGATGGCTTCGGAACCGTCAACATTGGTGAGTTGGCCAAGAAGGGAGGTCAGCCTCTGTTTGTCCCATGCACGCCCAAGGGTATCATGGTCCTGCTTCAGGAAGCTGGTGTTGAACTGAGTGGCAAATATGCTGTTGTTCTGGGCCGTAGCGACATTGTCGGCAGCCCTGTCAGCTACTTGCTCAAGAACGCTGATGCAACTGTTACCGTGTGCCACTCTAGGACTCAAGGGCTAGAAGAGCACTTGAAGCGGGCAGATATCGTTGTGGCTGCCATTGGAAAGGCCAAGTTCGTCAAGGGAGAGTGGCTGAAGCCTGGTGCCGTGGTCATCGATGTTGGCACCAACTACATTCCTGACGATACCAAGAAATCTGGCCAGGCCCTTGTTGGTGATGTGGACTTCGAGACAGCGTCTGAGGTTGCATCGGTCATCACACCTGTACCTGGTGGTGTCGGTCCCATGACTGTAGCCATGCTGCTTCAAAATGTTGTAGACTCTGCCAACACCTACCTAGAGAGACAGACGCAGAGACACATCGAGCCTTTAGCGCTCCACCTGAAAACGCCAGTTCCTTCTGACATTGAGGTCTCTAGGGCCCAGACGCCGAAGCATATCACCAAGATTGCTGAGGAGGTTGGTATCTCCGCTCACGAGTTGGAGCCATATGGATCCTACAAGGCAAAGGTCGACCTCAGCCTGCTCAAGCGACTTGAGCACCGTAGAAATGGTCGTTACGTTGTTGTCACAGGTATCACGCCCACACCGCTTGGAGAGGGCAAATCAACCACCACCATGGGTCTCGCGCAGGCTCTCGGCGCTCACCTAAACCGAATCACTTTCGCCAACGTGCGACAGCCCAGTCAAGGTCCTACTTTCGGAATCAAGGGAGGTGCTGCTGGAGGTGGCTACAGTCAAGTTATCCCTATGGACGAGTTCAACCTACATTTGACCGGTGACATCCACGCAGTCACTGCCGCCAACAACCTGCTCGCTGCTGCTATCGAGACTCGTATCTTCCACGAGAACACCCAAAAGGATGGTCCTCTATACAAACGCCTCGTGCCCGCGAAGAACGGAAAGAGACAATTTGCCCCTGTCATGTTCAGGCGGTTGACGAAGTTGGGTATTGAGAAGACAAACCCGGATGAGCTCACTGAAGACGAGATTCACCGCTTTGCCCGACTAGATATTGACCCCGAGACTATTACTTGGAAACGTGTTCTTGATGTCAACGATCGTCACTTGCGTGGCATTACCGTCGGTACGGCCGCGACAGAGAAAGGCCAAACACGAGAAACTGGTTTCGACATTTCTGTGGCCAGTGAAGTCATGGCAATTCTCGCCTTGAGCACTGATCTTCCCGACATGCGTGAGCGTCTTGGCCGCATGGTGGTAGCCACTTCTCGCTCAGGCGACCCTGTCACTTGTGATGACCTCGGTGCTGGTGGTGCCTTGACAGCCTTGATGAGGGACGCAATCAAGCCCAACTTGATGCAAACACTGGAGGGCACGCCCGTTTTCGTTCACGCCGGACCTTTTGCCAACATCTCCATTGGCAACAGCTCAATCATTGCTGACCGGTTGGCTCTGAAGCTCGCCGGAACGGAGCCAGATGAGGATCACAATGCCAAGACCGGTTTCACTGTTACCGAAGCCGGATTTGATTTCACCATGGGTGGTGAGCGTTTCTTCAATATCAAGTGCCGTACTTCCGGTCTCGTGCCAGATGTTGTCGTCATTGTCGCTACCGTTCGCGCTCTGAAGGTTCACGGTGGTGGTCCGCCTATTGCTCCTGGCGCCGCCCTCAATGCGGTCTACAAGGAGGAGAACGTCGAATTTGTGCGCAACGGTTGCGTCAACCTTGCAAAGCACATCCAGAACGCTAAGAGTTTTGGTGTACCGGTCGTGGTTGCTGTCAACAAGTTCGCTACTGATACCGACGCTGAGATTGCTGCTATCCGGGAGGAAGCTATCAAGGCCGGTGCCGAAGACGCCATTCTGGCCAATCACTGGGCTGAGGGTGGTAAGGGTGCTGTTGATTTGGCCAAGGGTGTTATTGCTGCTTCTGAGAAGCCCAAGGACTTCAAGCTTACTTACGACCTTGATGGCAGCGTGCAGACACGTATGGAGGCTATTTGCCAGAAAATGTACGGCGCCAGCGCTGTTGAGTTCTCCGAACTCGCACAAAAGAAGGTCGATACCTACACGAAGCAGGGCTACGGCAATCTGCCCATCTGCATGGCGAAGACACAATACTCGCTTAGCCACGATCCCGACTTGAAGGGTGCACCTTCCGGGTTTACCGTTCCCATTAGAGACGTGAGAATGGCCGCTGGTGCTGGTTATCTGTACGCCCTTGCTGCCGACATCCAGACTATTCCAGGTCTGCCTACGGCACCCGGATACCTTAACGTGGACGTGGACTGCGAGACGGGCGAAATCGACGGTCTGTTCTAGAGAGAACATGGCATAAAATTGAACAACATTCAGCGGTACTACTTGTTACAAGTTGGATTACTGAGATCTCTCAACCAGATACTCGAACCCCAAGAGCGGTTCCAACCAAAATCTGTTCAACAACAGAGCTCGCCCGGTGGCGCTCAACAGCCAGCGGGCGGAGATTTACACTGAATTAAAGGCAAACATCGGCCCACTTCAAGCGATTCAGGAGCACGTGATACCTTCAACGGCGATATTGGGAAAATTTTGGAGTTACTGTTTAGCATGCATACGCATTGCCCGTGTAAAGGTTTTAACAAGAGGGTTTATAGTAGAATAGATACGCTCCTAGACAGAATTGATGCGGCGTTCTGCACGAAACCAACCACATCTAGGTCGTGGACTCTTGTCGCCACACTTAAGTGAAGTGATAACGCAGCAAAGGTCGCTTACTCACTCCCATGGGCCATGTCTCATGCTGCTGACGCCATCGTCCCTTTTCGCTACTCTGCAAATTCTCAGATCCTCATGCAGGAAAAGCCTGAAAAGACAAACACCACGAAAACAAGGACTGTATGATGAGTGGCATATCTTTCCTGGACACTTTGTGTGTCGATCAGAAGCAAAAGCTAGGGGTCTTATTATTTCTTATGATTATATATGTTTTCCTGCGCCGCAGCCTTTTCTCTTCGATCTCTGATATTCCTGGACCGTTTTGGGCTTCATTCAGTCGGCTCTGGCACACCAAGCATGCCATAATCGGTGACCAGAATGTGGTCATCACTGAACTTCACGAGAAGCACGGTATACCCGGACATGCGATCTTCTTTTCAGGTGTCACCAGCTAAACTATCTAGGGCATTTCGTACGTATCGCCGATGACGAAGTCAGCGTGATACATCCAGACGCTATCAAGGAGGTCCTCCTCAAGCCCTTGAAGAAGGTGAGAATGCTATCTTTGATCCATATGTGCCAGTTCAAATATATAATATCGCTAGGGGGCATGGTACAGCTTCTTCGCTATCCCAAATCCTAGATATCAGTCGGCCTTTAGCACTGTCGACCCGGCGCGGAAGGCCGAGATCACTCGTAACTATGCGGCTGGCTTCACTCTTTCCAACATCCTCAAGAACGAGGACGCCATGAACGATACTGTGGGGGTATTTCTCGATCACATGGACGACTTTTGCGACAAACACGAACCAGTGGATCTTGACAAATGGATTACCTTCTGCACTTTCGACGTAGGCATTCCCCGATTCGTGAAGGGAACGGATTAAGAGCTGACCTGACCATCTGAGCTCCTGGGCGAAGCCATGTTTTCCAAGCCGTTTGGGTATCTCGAGACCGGCACAGACGTGGGCAGCTCGATCGAGAATAACCAGTTCCTGAGCATGCTCGGGTCGCCGGCGGCGAACCACGGCCCCGTGCGGCTGCTCAATCGCCTCGTCCTCGGCAACCCCTTGGTCAGCGGCGCCGGCATCTTGCCCATGGGCCACCTCGTCAACACCTGCATGGAGAACCTGGCCGGGCGGGAGAAGAACGACGACAGCCGCTTCGACATGGTCGCCCATTGGAACCGCGCGATCAAGCAGCATCCGGGCCGCGTCAGCATGTTCGATTACCATGCCCACGTCGTCTCGGTGTCGGGTGCTGGTGGGGAATCGGTATCCTGTGCTCTTCAGTCCTTCGTGTACCACATGATCCGCACACCTGGCATGTGGGCTCGCGCACAGCAGGAGGTTAACGAAGCGCGTCGGAAGGGCTTCTGTGGCGACCGTGTTGTGTCATATGCTGACGCGGTGAAACTGCCGTTTCTGAACGCCTGTATCAAGGAAGCACTGAGAATACACACCCCAGTTGCGTGGAACCTGCCGAGAGAAGCTGGAAAGCAGGGAATCACCATCGGTGGAAAGAGTATGACAGCGACTATGCTCCTTTGTGATTGAGCCTCGAGCTAATCATTCGCAGCATTTCCGGAAGGCGTCATCGTCTCGGTTAACCCGTGGGCATTCCACCATTCTAAGCATCACTGGGGCGAAGATGCTCGTAGATTCAAACCAGACAGGTGGTTCGCTGGAGATACTGCCGATAAGGAGAAATATTTTCTTTCTGTGAGTTGATATGGCCCAAAAGACGCAACACCCGAACCAAGGAGGAAGCAACTGACCTGGTTTCAACAGTTCGGAGCGGGACCAAATTCTTGTCCGGGCCAGCATCTCGCTAGGGTTGAGCTGGCCAAGATTGCAGCGGCATTGGTGAGAGACTATAATATTCGCTTGGCCGATCCGAACCATATCTGGAAATGGAAGGCGCATTTCACCATGGTGCCACGAGACTGGCCTGTCTATATCGAGAAGCGATGAGACTTTGAGGCTAGGTAGTTGAGTGTATACGTTTGACGTTCTGGAACATCTCATTATGTATAAAAAGTATGTCTTGAAAGCTTGTATCCGCCACACAGCTGGCGAGACGCTATACACAAATTCTATTTCAGCCGGGAACAGTAGACTTACAAGCGATGTTTCACAATTTCTCTATGAGCCAAACAACAAACATGTGAACTGCAATACACTAAATTCTACTCATACAATAACGATTTCCGAACTGATTAGTCGTGCAGTAATCTGTACAGAGGTCCTGCAGATACCTATGTAGCCCCACAAATGGCCTCTGTTAGTGGCCTTTAAGGCACTCTGGTGTTAAAGCCTCAAGCGAACTCGGATGCGAGAACAGACTGGACTTGCGTCGGACGGAAAATAGACGGGGGGCAAATGCGCATCTGATTCTGCGGATAGAACCTCGATTGCCTGCCACTGAATATGGCCGGATTGTCCGACGTTCCGATAGAGATCCTCAACGCCATACTCGAGTATCTCTTTCTCAGGGATCTGCAAACTCTCATCACGTCACAGCGCACCGGGAAACACTTTCGCGCAGTCGTCCAAGACATCCTCACACGGCAGCGATCTTCCTCTCCTTGCATCGGGACGAGCGACTCAGAGCTACCGTGTGCTCATGACCCCTGGGATCGACTTTTATGGCAGAGGTTTCGTCCGCTGTTCGCGGCCACGCAGTGTTTTACGCCGGAAGAGCGCGGGCGGATCATCTACCTCACCATTGCGGGCGACAGCACGCTGCCTTTCAAACGGCTGCCGTGGGCGCAGGATGAGAGATCCAGGGGACCGTATCTCCGCCCCGAGGCGAGCTGGCGAGGTCTGAGCGTCGCTCGCCCTGGAAGGGAGCCGATCACGCACTTGGAGATCATCAGGGGCTATCAGAGCGACGACGATGATACTGTCGAGTATCTCCATGTCGAACTCCCAGGAGGCGTACTGACCATGGGGGCCTTGTATGACGTCCTGCTGAGCGAGCAGGTGCATTTCGGCGACGAGACGGGGGATTGGGAACTTCTGCTCGGCAAGCGGCTACGAGATCACGATCTAATGCAGGAATATGAGTGCTTCATTCAGGAGGATAGTGATTTGGTTGATAGTGGGCCAGATGCGAGGCAGTGTGCGATATTGTACGTCCAGGGGGCCATCACAGGCGATGTGCCTTCTGATTCCTGGCCCGTGGCACATAAGTGGACACCGAAGATCATTGGCAAATTGCCAAGATTGTTGTCTTGGGACGAGTCAAGAGATGTGAAGGAATGAGCAAATGAAGATTATATTAGTACAATTGGTCTGGTGTGGTACATACTTGTCACAAATGGCCAAGTGGATATTTTAAATAGGGATAGTTAAGTAGGAACGTTCAAAACGTGACTTACGATACTTGGGGTGTACAGTGTGCCCAAAAACAACATCTCCAGCCCTCTTAGGAAACGTATCTGATCTCGCATTCAAATGCTTGTCTGTCATCTGCCTTTGCTATTTGCACGCTCCCGCCTTACCAGAAATCTGGAATATTCCGTCGATGTCTGTCAGTAGCTAGCCATAGAGGGCAGCTCGTTTCTGGAGTCGAAATTGCGGTTGTTTTTGTTTTTATTTTCTTCTGACCGTCACAATCACTTCTGCACGACTGACATTCAAGAACCGCATCGCCGAGTATCTTCAAACCATAGCTTGTCAAGGATCATACCTTCGACTTGAATTGAGGTAACATCATTTATCGTCTTCTCAATAGATGGAAGGAACTCTGCAAGGCTCAAGCTTCCACCTTGGAGCACTCAGCTAACATCGAGAGCCTGAGCGAACTGCATTAAGAATATCTTCCTTTGGCTCGGCCGAATCCGTCCTGTCGACCCTGCGCGACACAGGATTAGAACCGCCTCAGTAAGCCTTACAAGATACAAATGTACACAAGACTTTTCTTTCACTACAGGTCGTGTGTTGTGATCAGCATCAATTCAGAGTGGATTTCCTGATAAGGTTGTGGCTAAATAGCCTCATCATTACCAAGATGTGTGTGACAATCTGGTGCGTGTATTGTCCCAAATTTTCTTCCTAGCAAATTCCACCTTTGCTCCGTTCCGCAGAGCGCATCATCCGTCGAGCTCTTCTTCAATCTTATTTTTTTTTTAATGAGCAGCTGGAGCCTTCCGGCCAATCGCCCAGATAGCCGGGCACCTCATTAACATGACTCTAGCCGTGAACCAAAATAGCAAGTACCAAAGTAAATGTTTCCTGCTCCTCGTAGACGTAATATAAAATATAAATGGTCAAACCACCATGCTGGCAAATTAGACCGCGCCGCGCTACCGTGACATATTTCCCCTTGTGACGGGCTACGTAGATGACCGGACCTGTGTAACCCCGGATATTGAGCAGCTGATCTCTTCATGTTATGATACCGTGCGGCAATTACCATCAAAATTCTGTATAGAGATTAGGACATCGAGTCAAGCGGTATGACACTTTGGTACCCTGTAATCTGCTTGACGATTATGTTCGGTTTGCGAACAGAATTTTTAGAAACTGCAAACACTTGTCGCCAAACGTATGGGCACTTGTCAATTTGGAGAACATTCAAGGGAATCAGTCAGATTGTGACCAAATTGTTGATCTGCCGAATATAGCAAGCTAACTAATGTACATTTTCCAGACCACGAACGCCTATCATCATCATCAAAACACTGCCATGATCCATGCCACCTCGGACCTAGAAACTCATCAACTCATGGAAACGCCGACCCAAGTGCAATATATGGAAAGCAAATTATGCTGGCGGAGAGAATGATTGTTGATATTGAACCATTGTGCCAATGCCCACGCACAGGGCTGTCTCCTGACTGTATCCTGTCCCTTGCCAGAGCTCATTGAGACACGTGGCATTGCTATCACTTGGATAGAATCATTTGAGATCAACTACGACTCCGCAAGTGCGACAGGCTCGTCAACTTTCGCCTTCTTGGCTTCGTCAGCGCCGTCAGCAGGCTCGTCAGCCTTGCGTTTGCCGTTAGTTTCGGCGGCAGGCTCAACAGGCTCGGGCTTCTTCTCCTTCTTGCGAACAAGCCCAGAGAGATCCTTTGCGCCCTTCTTAGCCTCTTCGATACGCGCCTGTGCATCAGCACTAGTTTCGCCCAGAGTAGCACCAAGGAGGCCGCTCATGGGGTTCTCAGCACCCAGAACGCCCTCGACATCCACCGGGGGCTTCTTCAGTTCAACGAGCTAGATGAAACACAAATTAGTTTCAAACAGGTATGATATAGGAGCGACGGGGGAGAGGACTGCTCACCCGTTGTTCCATATCAGCAATAATATCCCGGACTTCGGCAATCTTCTTGCGCGTGTCCTCATTCTCTTCAGGAGCGTGCATGGTTGCCAGATCGACCTCTTCGTTCTGCAGCTTGAGCTTTGTGCTAGCGATGGCCTTCTCAAGTTCGGCGGCGGCCTCATCGCGTAAACCCTGATCGACGGTCTTGGTGGTTTCGTCCTTGTCCTCTTCGTCGCTTGTGACAGATGCGAATTCGAGAGCCAACGAAAGCTTGTAGTGCGCCTCGGCTCTGATCTCAGACTCCTCTGGGTAGAGCTCAGTCTTGTACTTTAAAGAAGCTCGCGCATCGTTGATAGCGAGAGGATATCTGTTTCGCAGTCAGCAAATCATTGTTTACGCAAGTCGGGTGCCACATTGCCTCATCTTACTTCTCGTTCTCCAGGGAGATCTCGGCCAATAAATCGTGGGTGTCGGAAAGACGCTCTTTGACATGTCTTATGGTAGGCGAGTCTGCTTGGTCCTCTGAGTCTTCGGCTTCGTTCTCTTGCTCGAGGGCCTTCTCGAACAGCACACGCGACAAGTCGAGGACTTCAAAGGCGACGGCGAGGTCGTCGTCGTCCTCCTCCTCTTCTTCGTCGGCATCACCGTCGCCCTCGGCTTCTTCGTCCGAGTCCTCAAAGTTCTCGTCACCGGTGAACTGGAACAGAGGCCTTTTGGCGTCAGACACCTCTTCTCCATCTTGTAGACCGCTACCAGTGGCATTCTTGGCTACGATGGCTACCTTTTCCTCGGCAATCTCCTCGGCTTCTGACTTGTCCTCGGATGCGGCGGCTGCCTTGGACTTGGCGGCGCCGTTTGACTTGGGCTTCTTCTTGTCGGCAGCAGGAGCACCACCGAGAACGTCACTCTTGCTCTGGCCTACCTTGAACAGACTGCGGCCGTAGAGGAAGAGAATGTCGGCATTCTCGGGGCTCATCTCGCCGTTGAACTCAGCCTGCATCTCTGCAGCCTGTGCGTATACCTCGGAAGCATCTTCGAATTTCTTCTGGGCATAGAGAGCTGTGGCCTTGGCTGTAAGGTCGGCCAACGAGACCTTGATGGACTTCTCGCGCTCTTCGTTGTCCATTGGAGGCAGCGACATGGGAGTGCCGACAGCAGATGCGGTAGCGGATGCGACTGCAGAGGGCACAGCCGAAAGCACGGGGATGTCAATAGACGTGGGGTCGGCCATGGTGATGGATATGTAGAGGTTCGTGTGAATTGAATTGAGTTGGGGGGGAAAAGAAGTCAGAGTCAAATGTATGTTGATTGTGTGGTTCGCAATGGATAGGATTCGCGCAGTTGTGATCAATTGCAGTTGGAACTCGAATCAGTCCTTATGAGATGAAGGTAGCTTGGTATATGAATGATCGAAAGGTCAGATCAGATGTGATGAGATTAATGGAATTGAGTGACGCGATTTGATGCACTTAAGGTGGACCCACAGCACGCGATGATGCTGTCGCGTCGCTGGAACCCGATTTTGAGCTCTCTGAGCTGTCTTGTCGCTTGACTGGACTGGCTGGGCTGGGGGACCTGGGGTAATAGCCGGAGCAGGAGCAGGAGCTTGAGCTTGAGCTCGGGCCATGGCCAGGACAACGGCCACGGCCAGCGCCCATATTTTTTGCACGTTTCTCAACCTGCTTTTTGAGTCCTCAGACCCAGCTCGTTATCATCACATGATATTCTGGGCTTATCACAATCCATCAACATTGTCCGTTAGTTGACTAAATATAGCTTAGTTGGAAGCTGCACGCTTATTGTGCACATTGCAGTTGGTACGGAGTGAAATACTGCACACATATATGTAGTCTGGCTTTGGGAACAGTACTGAGATTTCCATGCATCACGACTTAGCCCAAGGATCAACGAATGGACGATTGATCGATGGCATGGAGAGCTTGTCATTCATCAACTTTACCGACGACGTGGTCAAGCCAGAATCTCAAATGTGGCTCGTTGCCTATGTATCCGCTGCCACAGAACATACCTGTACAGGGACTTGTCCAGCCTGACCGTCCATATACTACTAAAGATACGGAAATGCGCTGCAAACTTTTAGTCATGTCAAATGACTGGCGCATGTTTCATCCTGGTGCATGGTCTTGTTATAAGCTGAGACATATGACAAGAAGGCCCAGTCTGACTCAGTTGTAAAACCAATGGTGCAGACTATGTCCAAATGTTAATAGCCTCATATTCTGCTTTTAGTGACGACCCATAGAGGGCGAGAGAAAGTGAGAGATTGTGTGTGTGTGCTAATTCACTAACCTAGGGACTGCTGGAGAATTAAACTGTCCTGACCTTGAGCTTTTCAAGGGTAGGCGAGGTTGAAAAGTGGGACTGCACAGGGGTTGGCATTGGTGAATTTTCCCAAAAACCTTAACGGGTGTCGCCAAGAGAAGACCCTGATTCATTAAAGTTAGAACAATACTTCTTCTGGTCTGTACTGTCTTACTGCATATGGCACAGCTCTGAACTCAGAAGCCCAAAGGCCACAACATTTGGTTCCCACTGAATGGGCCATCACGCATGTCTGTAGCATCTCAACCCTACGAAGCAGGTCAACCATGCCGATCAATATCTAGTCCAACATCTTTCACAGTTGCACAGGGTTGGCGGTGATGGGATTGATCCACTGTTCGTCAGAGCGGGCGGACCCCCTGAGTTCGGGATTTCACACATACGCTTCAGATTGACGTCTCCATCTTCCTCTACTGTGTACCACGCTGTCGTCATGATGATTAATTCCCAAGTGGTATCTTGTCAGCGCGGGCGGCATGCTACATACGACCCAAATCGCTTTTTTTGTGATGAAAAGCCTAAGTCTCGGCAGAACTCATGATTGGTGCATGAGGTCTCACAATATGCAATCAACTAATTTCTTATCCGAAAATCTCGGGTGCTATCCGTCTCTGGAGGGATTACAGTTTGTGCAACTTTCCTGGGTTCACCTGCGTGGGTTCCAGCAGCGGCTCAGAGGGGAGCAGGGGAGGGCCACTGTAAAAACAACCTAACCATACCATTCACAATGATAGTGGGTGACCCTAATGGCTTGGCTCTGACAGGGTTCAATGTCAGTTTTACCCAAATACGACAATCCGACCTCGTGAAAGAAAACGGCGTTCTGCAAGGGTAATTTGCTGCTGTGCCTAAGTTATCCGAGCAAATACGGATACTCTAGTGGCTGACCGATTGCATACCACGGTATGAAGTTTGCATCCGTTGTTGCCGAACATGCACGACCCCCGTTTAGCGGTGGCATGTTTCACATTCCAATGGGCTGCATGCACCTAACTATCTCGTCACCCGTTGTCCTTTTTCGGATGACAGCGTGAGTGGGCAAATCTCAATTGGTTGTATGCTTTGCGGCGGGCTTCGCTAAGCGGTCTTGGCACCGTGAAACCTCTCTCTTGGACAAAGCTACCACTCACTGTATTGCGAGGTAAACCGCCTGGCTTCAGCTTGACATGTTTGACAACCTTGATCCTGATTCTTTTGGGCAATACGAACCAGCACTAAGACATACCCGAAGCAAAAAAAAAAAAAAAAAAGAAGCCAGAAGTAGAAGCAGAAGCAGACGGGATTTCTTTTAGCGGAAGTGTTAGCCTGGGAGCCACTGCGGAGGCTTCCTCATCTTCATCTTCATCTACATACCCGCAGTTTAGTTTAGATACGTACTGCAAGCACGCATTCTGTCCTACCCCTGGTCTGTCCGTGGTGGCTACACCCCGGTCACTTGCGTCAGTAAGTATGTATTCAGCTCGCCTCCATCAACTTTAGTAATTGACCGTCATTCTCAAACCCACCGCGATTCATCAGATACGCATTAGTTCTGCATATCAGCATGTGCAGTCCCGGCTGATCGCTGTTGCTTCCTTTTTTCTTTTCCTTTTCCACTCCTATTCTGTCCACTGATAACGGGTCGGGAGATCACCAGACCGCTAGAGCTTCAGGCCCTTTGGTACCAGTCCGTTCCTGTGGCTGTTCCTCGTTCATTGCCTTTTCCAGTTCCACTCTAGTAATACGAGATCCGGCGCAATTAATCGCCTTGTCAGCCCGCCAAGCACTCCATACATTCCGTGCACTCAGACTTGACAGAGTTCCAGACACCAAACGCAGACTCGCATACCTCTCCAGTCTTTCCGCTTGCCTGCTCCCACTCTGGTCTTTTCGTCATTAGTCCGTTGCCATGCTCGATTCTGTCTGACCTTTTCATCTTGACTTTGCCTTGCCAAGAATACATTGCTGCAATCTTCGAGGTGGTTGAGATACCAGGACTCAAGTCCAAGTACCCGCCTACAGTAGCCCACCATGATTCTGACGCCGTATTCGCGCCGGCTACGGTTCTTCGGTGGAATTTCTGTCCTTGCTCTTGTCGCAACATATATTCACATCCAACCGACATGGAGGGTGAGGACATACAGTTATGCCCACGACCTGGGCGCAACCGTCTCGAACTACTTCGCCGCTTCGGATGTCTACAATAACACCTTGTACCAACAAGGGACCGAGGGGGTCGTGACTCAGTACCACAACTTCAGCGACCCATGCACTGGGTTTCCAAACACGGACGGCGTTCTGCTCGTCATGAAGACCGGCGCGACCGAAGCCTTCGACAAAGTGCCAACTCACCTGCTTACGACCCTGCAATGCATGTCCGACTTTTTAATCTTCTCCGATATGGTATGCACGTGTAGCCCGCCTGAGGCCATTTCCTGTCAATACTAACAGAGTGTCGTAGGAGCAGCAAATAGGGAAATATCACATATATGACGTACTCGCCGAAGTGGAGGAATCCGCCAAAGCCCACAATGACGATTTCGATCTGTACCGGGCCCAGAAGGAGTGCCCCGTCTCCCAGAAGTCCTGCGTAGATGCTCGAGATGGAGAGTCGAAAGCCTGGAAGCTCGACAAGTACAAGTTTCTGCCCATGATGGAGCAAACATGGCGGATGCGACCGGGCCGCGATTGGTACATCTTCGCCGAGGCCGACACGTATGTTTTCTGGGCCAACATGGTCTACTGGCTGCGCACCCAGAGTCAGCTCAACCCTAAGGAGAGGATCTACCTGGGCAGTCGCAGCTTCATAGGCGGGATGCCCTTCGCTCACGGTGGATCCGGGTATGTCATGAGCGGCTCCCTCTTGCGACATTTGATCGAGCACCATCCGGGCGTCGTCAAGCAATACAGTGTCAAGGGCGCAAACGAATGCTGTGGCGACCTGATGCTCGCTCAGGCGCTGGAGCAATACGAGGAAGTCAAGATCCGTCAGACATGGCCCATGTTCAATGGCGAAAAGCCCAGCACGCTACCATTTGGCCCGGGACATTGGTGCGAGCCCATCTTGACGATGCACCACGTGAATGCCGAAGAGATCAGCAGCGTTTGGCAATTCGAGCAGACACGCAAGACCGATGTAAGTTGAATATTCTGCGGCCTGGTCGCGTTCCCCCGCACCCTTGCCTTGTGTTGGTTTGTTGGAGGTCAGGATTGGCGACATGGATGGGGCAAGAAATAGGGTTTGCGCTGGTTTACCAGGACTATGGCATGGCATGGACCTGAAACCCATCCAACGCATCCCTGTCCTGCCCAATCAGGCACATGTCTTACTGCCACGAGCTGCCCGGCTTTCACGAATTGATGATTCCCCTGCGCAACCACTAACATGTCTTGCAGCGCACGTTACTTATCAAGGATCTTTACCATGGTCTCATCGCACCTAAGATGCAGGTCCAACGCCACGACTGGGATAACCTTTCGGATGATGTCTGTTACATCAGCTCAGACGCCGATGCGCAAGCGCGTGCTGGCGATCACGAGAAGGGTCGGCAAAAGAAGGGCCACGAGATGACACAGGTCGAGAAGGACGCCTGGAAATCTCCCAAACACTGCGCCCGCGTCTGCGAGGAAGAAGACGTGCCAGACGAGGACGAGTGGGAGCTGAAGCAAAAGGTTGTGCCGCGCAACCCTGAAGAAGTCGAGAACGCGGCCAACGCCAGCGACACGGAGAAGGCCGAGGACAGCGACGCCAGTGACGAGGCCATGCGCGAGCAATGGAAAACCATGCTCAATGAGCACAAGAAAAGCCGCACGTGCTTCCAGTACCGATGGCATGACGAGGTATGCTGCACCGCGAGGAGCTTCAAGCTCGGTGCACCAAAGTCCAAGCCGGACGAAGACAAGCAGAAGGAGCAGTGGGTCAGTGGCTGGGATCTGAAGGGCATCAACGACTGGATCGATGCCATGGGCGAGTGCAAGGAGATCGCATGGAAGACTCCTGAAAAACCATGAGACTACACACATCAAGTGGGGTCAAGTTATAACATCTAAGTAATCTGATATTGATGCATTCTGGCAAGGCGTACAAGGTTTGTTCTGGGACAGCGAGAAGTCGACTCGCTTTTGTATTTTCGGCGGTTATGCGAGGGTATCATGTCGCATACCATGGCGTTCGGGGGAGCTCGGAGCGAATGAAAGAGCACATGTTTTGACATAGATTTTGGGCAACTCAATCAGAGTTCTAGAGCGTCACGAGGCAATATTCGGCTTGCTGCCGAGAAATGGAGTCAAAGGCAACTGCAATACATTCAAGATGAGCAACCTTACTGTAGCACCGTCGTTTGTTCGTGCAAGATGTGAGGCAGCTGGTCTCGCATTCGTGTTACCCATCGCGCGAAGCAATACAGCCCACGTATGCGCAGTACAAGGGTCACGTGTTTTCGTAAATAGCTAAAAGATCGACAAGCAAATCACAACGTATCAAAGGCGCAGGTCCAAGTATAGTACACTTGTATTCTATATCGACGATTACGTTTAAGAGCAGTACTGGCGAAGACTCAATCGGCATATATATACATAAAGAAGGTTGTTTCGCTGCCGGGAGTCGATCTCGACCGGCTAGGCCCGCTACAAACATTGTCTATTGTATCATCATGACAGGCCGCACACAATGCTCAGCTTGAATGTCGCGCATCAATCTAGTCTCGACTTTCGCAAAAAGCACCGTCCTTCGAACGCGAAATCGCCAAGGCGCCAACTACGTTAAGCGGGCAGTGGCTAAACGCAAGGGTTGGCGCATCCCAACCTCGTGTGGTATTTTTCCGCTATACACCGTCAGCGGATGGTCGCGGGCTGTGGGAAGAGGCATGCGAGAACAGCCTAGCTCGGCGGACTTCTACAAGAGATATCAAGGAGGTTTCCAGGAGCCGCCTGTTGTCGAAGCGGGATGTAATTCTGACGAGTTGGAGAGTGGACGACGAGGATGGTATATAGTTCTGGTCTCGAAAGGGGCTTTGCCGGAAACTGGGCAAGCAAAAATGCATAGGCTACTGAGTATAACTGATAATTATTTGCCAAGATCTCAGGATTGAAGGGCCGCAAGAAGATAAAACTGTCTATCTTGCCTACCACAAAAACGAGCAAGAATCGAGAAGGATTGAGAGTTAGATGATTTGTTAAAGTCTGACTTACGGCAGCGCGGTCTGAGATGAAATATACTGCGTTAATTTGAGCGGATAAGATACCTTTGACTGGGTGGGATGTTTTAATTTTGTTCCTCACAAGTCTACGAGGGAAGCGTTCAATCTGGATTGATCAGGAAAGGCAACCTAGTAGGTGATATGAGTAGCACAATAAAAATTTCATGGAAGGAGATGACCCGGATGATATAGATTGACTCGTTTGTCGCAGTTTGATATTGGAATATCTTTACTTTACATTATATAATAAGAGTACACTAAACGCGTTATGGGTATTTGTTGAAAATGATGCAGATCACTCATATTATAGGAGGTTCCCATATGTTCTTAATACTAGAATAATCTGCATCAGCGCTGAGGCAACGAGGGTCATGCCACTGCGTCAAGTTCCCCTTTAAGGAGTCTCGTGAAGATATTGATTGCCGAAACCATGAAGGCTACGTTTGCGGCCCGATATGATACTGCTGAACAAGTTTTGTAGTCGACCACATGTTCGATTTGCTTCCGAGACTAAGGTACCCAGGGCCTTCTGTTACAGCAAGTTCATTTCCTTTCTTCATGGCAACAAGGTCTTGCTTGAGGATTTTGAGCCACTCAGATGGGTTTCGGGACTCCAGACGTAGCAAGAGACTGGAAGAAAGCTTTGCGCTTTACTGCTAGACTTCTTGAATGGTTCGTCGAATGAGAATTAGTGCAAATACTACATGAATCTCTCAAAGACTCGTATATGTGGAAGTTTTATGGGATGCTCTGTGTTTCGTCAAACATGAGGTTATTTGACGTTGGGAAGTACGGGCTCTTAAGCATGGGCTGCATAATTAGTGCAGTACATATTTTTCACCTAGTCTAGCATGATTGTTAGTTCACCCTCAGTTCGTTACATTTTTCTGTGCCGCTTGTACATTACAGGCAATCAGTATCATAGAGTATGAGATTCACGGGAAATGTCTGGTTAAGTATCGTCGGGTTGGAAAATTATCCCGGTGTATACTGTGGCACATGAGCCATTACCGTTGGCCCTCAATCTTTGGTAGTCTACCTTAAATATATAGTCACTAGCGTATTGAAACTCGGGTCATACTGTTGAGTTATAGAATGCTCAACCGCGCGGTCTGCAATCCCGACCTTCCAGGCCAATTGGCGGCACTGATGGAACTATTGCCAACACCACATCTCCCCCGCATTAGCTCAATACGGCATGCGTCCAACTCCTACTCAGATCCACCTAGACTACCTATGCCAACTATATATGTGCAATCAGTGGAGGCATGGTCTGGAAATATTCATATGTGACTTAGCAATATCTGGTCCTCTGATACTGGGTTACCTTGCCATTCCGAGGACCATGGATCCTCGGCGCATGAGACCAGAGACCAGTGACCCATGTAATGTAACATTCTATTTGAACCACTGAGGATGACGAAACCCCGGAGGCACATCCCCCGGATTCGTGGCCGCATCCCTCTCCACCTCCACATCTTGATGTGAGGTCCTTTTAATGCATTCTCAACGCCATGCCACTAGCATCGTAACACTTTCTTTCATCTTTGATGGCATTTTCCCCACATCTTGCCTGTACATGAAATGCTACCTACGCCATGGGCAGCACTGTGCTCAATTCAAGGCAGTCCTCATATCTGCGACAGATTTTGATCATATGTGTTGGCCTTTTGGCATTGTATGTCTTCATCCTCGTCCCAGATGCCAGCTTGGACTCCTCTAGAACAGTGCTGGACACATTCCCAGAAGGGAGACAAGGCAAAAGTGGCAGGACGAGGCTTGCACAGGAACTGCTTGACAACCGGTTTCTGACCTCGGAGCAATGTGTCACCACGTTCCCAGGACTGACGAAGGAAGTCGATGATGCTGTCGCAAAGGGGCCCTTCACATTGGAGAGGAGCGGTCCATTGGGACCGCTGATTGCTAGGATCAAGAACGGCAAGGTATGCGTATCTTATACTTCACTGAAAGTCGCCGGCCGTCTGCCTCGAGTATGGTTGGGCAACGTGACTACTCTTAGATGATTTGACTATATATCATCACGATAGCAGTAACTGCGAACCTTGAGAACTGACTCTGATCGCAGCTCTCCATTCTCCAAGCAGCAATGTCCAATGATCTCTCCCGGGATATGCTTCTACACCGAAGCGCGACACTGCACCAAATCCACACCGCACTCCTAACGTCACCCTCTCCACAAGAGATCCCAGACACCATCATCGCCTTCACCCACCACGACAACCCATCCTCCAAAACCTTCTCCTATTCGCGGCCCGCCGACCCATCTCGCAACGGACCCTCGGCACCCTACTTCCCCATCCCGCACTTCAGCTTCTGGTCCTGGCCCCTCCCCTTCATCAAATCGCTCCCCTCGGCGACGAGATCCATCACCGCCCTCGAGTCGACCCTGCCCTTCACCTCCAAGATCCCCAAGGCCGTCTGGCGCGGGACGCCGCACTTCAACTCGCCGAGCACGACGTCGGCGCGGCTGCGGCAGGACCTCCTGCTGGCGTGCCAGGAGAAGCCGTGGTCGGACGTCGAGGCGCTGTCGTGGACGGACTCGGGGCGGAACGCGTCCAACGCGCTGCCCATCGCCGACTTCTGCCGGTACCGGTACGTCGTGCACACGGAGGGGGTGACGTACTCGGGCCGCCTGCCGTTCCACCAGCTGTGCGCGAGCGTGGTGCTGACGCCGCCGCTGAGCTGGATGCAGCACACGAGCCACCTGGTGCGGCCCGTCTTCTCGTCGTCGCTCGCGGGCGTCGAGCGCGCGGCGCGGCCGGGCCGGGAGCTCGGGAACGGGGTCGTGGAGAAGGGGCCCGGCCTGGCGCCGTATCCGGCCAAGTGGGTGAGCGAGGCGTGGGGTGGAGGGGTGAGGGCGGAGGAGGCCAATATGGTGTTCGTGGCGCCGGACTGGAGCGATCTGGAGGCTGTGGTTCTTTGGCTCGAGAAGAACCCGAAAGTTGCCGAGGGGATCGCGAGAAGACAGCGGGAGACATTTCACGGGGGCGGGTATTTAAGTTCCGCAGCGGAGATGTGTTATTGGCGGGCTGCTATTCGGGGTTGGAGTAAGGTTGCGGATTATGAGGGTCAAGGATTTGAGGACATGGAGGGCGTTCCTTTCGAGGAGTTCGTGTTGACACAGAAAGCGTGAGCGGTCTTGGCTATCCAAGACCCACGTTCATTATAATACGTCCGATTCTTGAGCTCACTCAAGTGATGAATATGACATTGTACATCGCTGCCTGATCTCGGCGACATCATTACTATAGATACATCGCTGGATATATACAGACCGTATTATTTCCCACACTGTGGCATCAATCATGACATTAGTTGCCCCTGGCACTCAGGCTGGCAAATGCGTCCGGGCTGTGCCGACCGTTATTCCAATCCATCTGCGCACCCAAAGTCATACTCTCGCGGCTCCTTGCAGACCCGAAGGGCACAGCATTGTTCACTGTTGCAAAGTGCGCGGATGGCGGTGATGCCCCGCCATTAAGAAAGGGATTTGTAGTTTTAGGATGTGCGACGCTTTGCAGGGGAGAAGCCAGCGGCAAAGGCTGCTGCTGCGAAGCCGCCAACTGATTGCTGGCATCGTTTATTGGCATTTGACTCTGAGGCTGCAAAGGTGTTGGTGCCACAGACGGATAGTTGTATAGTGCCATAATGGTGGCTTTATCCCTTGGTGGTTGGTATACCGGCTGTGCCTGCTGCTGCTGTGGCTGAAACACGGACTGGTCAAATTGTTGGGCTGATTGATACTGGGGCTGTTGTGTCGTCTGCGGCTGTACTTGGAAGATAGACTGATCGAACAGCTGAGGGGCTTGATACTGTGGCTGTTGTGCCGCCTGCTGCTGTACTTGGAACATAGACTGGTCGAACGGTTGAGCAGCTTGATACTGTGGTTGTTGTGCAGGCTGGTTCATGGCGAGGAAGGGGTTATTTCCATATGGTGAGGTTGGAGTGCCGTAAAAGTTTTGCTGTGACTGCTCCGGTATCTGGCCCAATGGGGAAGAACCAATTCTAGTAGTAGGAGACCTAGCGAAAGGATTGCTGCCAGTATTTTGATTCTGCAAGGGAGCAATATTCACCGATAGAGATTGCTGCTGCTGCTGCTGCTGCTGCTGCTGCGGTGCAGGGCTCTGCAGGAAGGGATTGTAAGTCTGCTGAGGTTGAACCTGGGGTTGAGGTTGAGGTTGAGATTGCTGATAGGGCTGTTGATAAGATGCTTGATTACCATTAGAAAAGAAAGACGCAAAGTTTTGCGTTTGGGGTATCGGTGGAGTCATAGACTGCTGATAAATAGGTTGTTGTACATTGGGAGGAGCTGGTAGACCACCTGTGTGATGTGGGAACAGCTGTTGTGGTTGAGATGGCGCCAAAGAGAGGTTCTGCATAGACGAGTTGAGGTTGTAGTCACTCTGCTGTGAGGGAACGCCGAAAGGGTTGGTGGTCATGGCATAGAACGGGTTTTTGCTCGGCATGGTCCCTGTCGACTGTGCCGTTTGCGGTGGCGCTGGGGCTGGAGATATATCCCACGGGTTGTTGGAAGTAGCCGGGCTGTTGGCAGTCGAAGGGCTCATCCTCGAGAGGCCTGCTGTCGTTGGTGTCGCGGGACTAGGGCTCAATGATCTCGGTGTAGCAAGGGTGCTAGGAGTCTGTAGTGAACTACCACGCCTTGGGATGGGGTCTCCGGTTCCCCCTTCGCCCAGCCTCACAAGCGTCTCTATAGTCCTCTCAACATTGCCATTGACGCCTTTCAGAACCATGGCATTGCGCTTGTCGTCGGTAAAGCCCATGTCTCTGAGCTGGGTCAACTTCCGAGCCGTGTCGTCCACACTATCGTTTTGAACACTGGCACCAAATACCTTGGATGGCTTGTTGCGAAGTGGTGGTGGGCTACGCGGTTCCTCAGGGATGTGCTGTGAGCTTGCGCTCTTCTTTGACCGAAACAAGGGGAAGGTTGAGCTTTTCGAGTTTGATTTCTTGAAAAAGCCGCCAGTCTTTGACGGCACTGGAGGGGGCGTTTCGAGGTCAGAGTCAGCCCTGCCTCGCGACGGCCTTTCTGTCCGATATTGTGTCTGTTCTCGTTCTCGTTGTGATCCGTTCGATTCGGATGCTCTCTGCGTATACTTGGACCTGATGAAGCGTTCCATGGCCGAGTCCGCTTCGTCGGCGTCAACAGGAACGGGTGGTTTCTTGTTGTCGGGATTGTATTTCTTGTTGGAAGCAGTATTGCCAACTCGCTTCATGTTCTGCCCCACCAAGTCTAGTCAGTTTCCCTCTACTACAGACGATGTAACCGAGTCACAGAACAGAACAAAAGAAAACGACGTACATCGACCTGCTCATTCGTCCACCCATCCATGCTCAAGGACTTGACCTTGGAGATATGCGTGCCGAGCTTACGATGAATCGCACCGCAACGCATACATAGGAAGATGCCCAACTAGAAAGAAACACGAAGGTCAGTAGCGGTCCGAGGTCGATGGCCTGGTGGTCGGTATATACGCACGCTCCATGATGCCCATGCTGGGTTTCTCGCACTGCAGTCGGCGCAACTGTTGTTTCCTGGCACATCGTGGACGAGATCCTGTAGCGCCTTTTCGTTGCGCGCCTGCTGGCGCTTGCTCATCAACGAAGCCATTGCCTATTCCCGTCGATGTTACCGTTGATTCGCACTTCTATTGACATAAGACAGAACTATAGCCACGACCAATTGCTCGGGCCGATCGTTTGTATACGGTCTAGGGTTGTCTGGAGGAAAAGGAGGGTATGTCGTCGCGAATATAGGACAGGGCCGTGTTCTAGCAATTACGTAGGCGTGTCTGGAACCGACAAATCAAGACAAATTCGAGGCTCGTGTAATGAGGGGACCCTAAACCAAAGATGTCCCGGGGCAGAAGGAGAGGGGAAACAAAAAATAAATAAGAACGGAGAGTGCTGCTCTCGCTGAAATTGCGGCAATGCTCGAATTTGTCGACCAATGTCGCGTCGGCTAGGTGATCACGCGTGATCTTGCCTCTCGTTTCTGCTTCGGTTTTCCTTCGGATTTAATTGTAAATTACCCTACAGTAATAAGTAGACGCACAGCACAGCGTCGGTGGGGAATTAATTCGCAAATGGTCAGACAATCGACGAGTGGAAAGGTCCAGTGTCCATTTCAAAAGCACAGAAGGAAAGGAAGAGACGCCAATATCGAATGGAAATCAAAAGCAAGACAAGACAGGTGGTAGTTACAAATCCATTGCCAGTAGTAAGATCCTCACAGGTAGCGAGTGACCTCGACTCATTTGATCCTTCGTCTCCGAATGGCTTGCGCGACAAACCACAACACGAAAAAAGTGCCACTCCTTGCAGGGCCCCCGAACGTGCTTGGTAACACCCGACAGCTCCCCAGACGAAGAAAGGGGCACAACATAACTATCATATGCAGCCTAGTCCTATGGTAGCATTTAACTAACTTGGTCCGAGGTTTTTAGCAGGTCACTACCCTGAAAGAGGTGCACGAGCCCACTTCCACCACGCTGTGACCCACTGACTCGGGCCCTCTTCCGGGATCGAGGTCCTACACCTACAGCAAGTTACAGTAGCAACAGGGCTAAGGTTAGCTTGATCTGGACAGAGATGGCCGACCACTGGAGCGCCTCCAGCTCTTCCAGCGAGTCATTGAATTGCGACTTCAAATACCTCGACTCATTGTGAATCCGCACCATCCAGCCCTGGGAAAATGTCTAGAATGACATATGGCAAACGTCGGGTCCTAGCGCATTTCAAATCGTCGCACGGGCAGCGACAGTTATCCTTCAAACCTAGAAAGACAAACCATAACTCGCCCTATCTTGGGCTCCGTACTCCATAACCTCTTTGCACCGCGCTCGTGGCTTACAGGGATACCCCGCCGGGCTACCAGCTTCAGCCGCTTCCAACGGAGTTACCGTGGTCCAGCCCAAGGGAGTCTTTGTTTGCTGTCCGGGTCTGGGAGCCATCACAAACACCAGCTCATCATCCATTGCTCATAAAGTCCGAGGAATTGGTGGTCACCGCATTCTGCAATAACCCAGTGCCCTTCATCACCGACAGGTATAACACGCAAGCGAGTCAGATTGTCTTTCGGCATACGCTGAAGCTGCTCGAACCGGGACAGTATTCACATGGCTTTCATAAACGACCTCAGCATGTCTAAACGCCCATCTCAAAAGGTCAAGAATGGACAACTGGACCATGACATTCGCTGACATGGTGCATCATTGGCATTGAGCCCTTCGAAATTAATGACAGCTGAAGCTGTCCAACAATTCAAGGATTCCGAACCAGGCCTCCCTGCATGCAAGCATGAGGTACTGCCTGTTACCTAGAGATGCGTCCTAGCCATTAACCTGCAGTGAAGGCCGTCCGCATCATCTGAAACATAGCGAGGAACTGGCACGTCTATGTCAAGACTGCCTGGCAAGAGGCATTGTCGAGGACACGAATTGCCCGTGATTACCGCTATTACAAGTGACAGGTCAAAACTTGCAGCGACGCATGATAATGCTCTGACAATCTTTTTCTGTTCCTTCGAATGACTTGGAAATCTTGCAAACGTCGTCCTGTAAAGTACATCTCCACCTGATCAACTTCGTCCTTTCACTGTCCGAGTGATCATTACTTCGGATCAATTGGTAGGTCGCCGGTGCGACATTGGCCATTCTTGGGAGACACCGTTAGCCTGGATTACGTCCTTGATAGATAGATAGATAGATATATATATATTGCTAGGCGCTTTTAATGGCGGGGTTGAAACTCGACTTCTGCACGAGTCCATGTCATCTGAACCCCATCCCACACGTACTCTCTCTAACTCTTTCTCTCCCGCAATTTCATCCTCAGAAAATATACTGATGTAAGCCAAATTACCATCTTACAAGGTAAGGGGCCCATGTGATCCATAATGGACTGTCATCAATCGTGTAAAAACCAAAAATTGTCGAAAATCCTTCGTAACCAAGAGAGACTGGGAAAGGAGAACGAATATATATACATATAGTAGAATGTAGCGATGAATGCTAGTCGTCGGCGGTATCTTTATGCTCGTTCTCCCCTGCCATATAGAAGAGACCGTAAGCCATAGATGGATGACAATTAGGAGTGTCCTGGTGTCTGTTCCCTTGAGCAGGGACTAAATATTATCTCATCTTCTGTCAAACCCTGGAAGTAAGAGCTCCAACCACGAGGTGCGGAGTGCCTCCAGGACGTGAAGCGGTTCCGCTGATGCTTGACACGATTCATTGTAACTAGGCGAAGAAACTGGACGCTCCTAGTTTACGGGCGGTTCATCGTGCTCCCCTTACTGGACGGCTGGTGGCTGGTTTCTGGTATCCCGTATACTTCTCACAGGAATAACGTTGTAACCTCGGACGACTCAGACCAACAACTGCTCTTTCCTTGACAGTTCTGTACGTAGTAGACTTTTGTAATGTTACGGACGCAAGTGACCATGGGAACTAATAATTGAACTTGGCATCTCGTCCGCTGTGCCCTGGATAATTAGGGGGCAACGAGGCGTCGAGGAACGGGAGGCTACATTTCGAGTCTTGTTACTAAACAGCGAAGAAGGGGGGGCGGGGGCTGGGGAGCAAAAGCCCTGGAGCTGCTGGTTGTAATGCTGGAAATGCGGAAATTGGGGCTGATGAGGTCGATGCAGAAGAGGTACACCATAATCGCATCATGAGAGATGACACAATATTTGTGACTTTGAAATTTATTGGCTCTAGTCTAGCATGTAGAGTATTTCCCCCGATTCGTAGAGACTGATACTACTAGCGCTTCTCTCCGCTACGACGAAGACATGGCCTTGCACTCTAAGGTACAAAATGCTAACGGTTTCTCATTGGGTATCGAATTGTAAGCAACATAGAGATCTACCATGTGGGTTCTGACCGAGCCTCAAGTCTCTTTTCGGGCAATTTTAGCAGCCGTAGACTTCTGGAATACGACAGAATTTCCATCAATCTTTGAACGGAGATGCAGTATGCTGTGCTGCTGGGCCATGTCTGGACACTTTGGTGCTGAGTTATCCATGCTTGAGCTGAGATTTCTGTAGAGCTATGCTGGCTTGCACTTCACGCTTTAGCTTGCAGCTTAAAAGCACGACGTTCCGGTTTAGAGAGGTCGAATTCCAACTCCTAGCTCGCTGATATAAGAAGTGATGCAGACATATCATCATCACGAGACACCACCCATCTCGGTATCACCCGACGACCCGGATGATCCTGATGGTTGTGTTTGGACCTTTTCGTTGGGGTACGGTTTCCGCCCCACGACAACATAGAACTTATTGTACGCATGGACGCTTTGATCTGAGATGGACTGTCTGACCTTAACCAACATCATCTGCGATAGTTAGCAGCTACACACAGAGGTTTTGGAGGACATGTTATAAACTTGCCTGTATCTGTTTGTCGTTCAGGCCCCTTACCCGAGTAAGAGGTGCAGATGAATAAGCATGAATACCATTCAGCCAAATGTCTTCCCAGCGTTTTCCAAGTGTCTTGAATTTACGCTCTCGGGGCCAGCCGTTGATTGGTAACTTATATGTGATCTCCTTGACATCAACAAAGCCGACATCCTCCATGGCTTGTTTATATAGGTGGGCATCGCGGATCGGCCGGCCCATGGTAACCGCTGCATCCTCGATGTCCTCCATATGCACTTTCAACTCGTGATCGGGTTTCATGGAGTCGTCATCACACAAGATGCTGCAAAGCAACTCTTGCGCCTCGAAGTACCCACCCGGCTCAAGTGCCTCGAAAGACTTGTAAAGTATATCTTCCTTTATGTCGTTCCAGCAGCCCAATGTCACCCGGGTGTGGATGAAGTCAAACTTGTCATCCTCTCGATACCAGTCCCATGGTTCTCGCCTGCAGTATACATCAGCACATGCTACCAGTCGATACAATGTGGGCGTCAACGACCGATCTCCTCAGCCGCGGATGCCAGTTGAGTGATGGAACCATAACGCTAAGAGTTTGAAGATGGATGGTCACATACGCGTCTTCGATGTAGAAATGCACATTCGGCGGCATTTCTAGAGGTTGAATTGGTGATAGGTCTGTTCCTGTAACCTTAGCGGTAGGAAACATATCCCCCATCTCTATAGCCCACTCGCCTGAACCAGTGGCGATGTCGAGAACGTTCCGTGGGGGATTTCGTTCAGACCAAGGGGCAAGAAATAGCCTCTGGTTCATGACAAACTTGAGGAGATGATACTGTTCATAACATCGATCAAGTTCCCTCTGGTCATTCGGGAACATATATGCTGTTCAACCTGTGTAAGTTGCCCTGCAAAGGGGAGCGGCGGGGCAGTAGGCCACTGGGACGTACATCCATCCTTATACCCGTGATAGGTCCTCCCGTTCTCGTAGCGATATCTTGTAACATCACTCGTAATCGAATGTGTGTCCCTAAGGTTTACGGCCGATGAGCGTAAGGATAGGTGGGCTGCGAAGCGCATACTACTTACGGGCTACCACGTCGTGACTGACATGACTTTTGTACATTAGCAAAATATTAGGGGACCGAATCAGGTTGAACTCATACATCAGCGTCTATTTGGATCGATGCAGCAACAGCGTCCTCATAACTTCGTTCGAACGTAAACTGGTAATTATGCAAACTGGTGCCGTCTATTGGGGTCGGGATATCGTGATTGTGGGCGGAATTGTGGCTTGGGTTGGCCGGGCGGCTACTGCTGCCTTCTCCCGGTGAAGACATGGTGATGGCCATGCAAAGTGATTGAGATATGATTTGAACGCAGATCACCAAAAAGAATCAAATCAAAACAAAACAAAACAAAAAAAAACCTCGTGAAAATGGTCGAATGTCCCGGAAGGATGACTTGAAAATATAGTGTACGAGCAATTCGAATTGGACTGGATTGGGGTAGGATTGGGGTTGTAAATGGCAAGCAAGCACAGCACCATGTAAGGCAAACCTAATAAACCTTCTCGAAGACCAGCGCACGTATGCATGTACGAGACAAGGACAAGGTCTTCGTTTACTGACTAAGGGGGGACGGCTGGGGCGCTTCGGCTCTTTTGTGTCAGCCTAAGAATGGTACCGCTCCAAATCTTCTCAGAGTTCAAGAGACCGCTGATCCAGATTCCTGGAATTTGGTCGGATCCAAGAGACTGGTTTGGGTGTACTGCAGATATGCGAGACCCCGTCTTTTGGTCCCCTGAGATTCGGCCGGGTAGCCGTCCCCAGTGAGATTATGTCGCGGCGGTTGCTGATTGGGAGAATCCTGTATCAGATGTGAAAAAGGCGACTTAGACTGTGAATCCGTCCTCTTGGAACGAAGGACGGGGCGTTTTTGGCTCGCATAGACTAACGGAAAGGGTGGAGAGTGGCCGAAATATTTTGGAGGTTATCTCAAGTATGTGTGTATGAGATAGACCTGAGTATATTAATGGAACGGAGATTGCTCAAAAACCTTGCCACATGCGGCTGCTTAATGTCTTGTCCTGCAACTTGACAGAAGAAAAAAAAAACAAGCAAGCTGGAGCAGTGCTCGCCCGTCTTGCAGCGGTTGTCAGAAAGCAAACACAACATTAACGCTAGCCTGAGATTCTGGGGGCCACTTCTGGGGGCGACGGCAAACTTGTAATCCCGGTATTGCGGCACCATTTCGACGACTATGGAAGCTCCACCCGGCCACAGCCCACTAAAACGACTGAATTGGACCTCTGGTGCCTGAGGTCGCTTTGCTGTCGACCTCTGTGTGCATACAGTCTTGCATATGGGGCCATATGACCCATGGATATTGCCCTACATGTCCTGCACGCTGGAGATTGGACATATGCAGAGTCACTAACAGCAGCACAGCCAAGTTCCGGTTTAAACACGGCAGCTTCGCAAGCCGAGAGCTGTACGACCTTACATAGTACCAGAACGTCTATCTGGGTTAGGTTATTATTCCTTGTGAGATAGAACGGTGGTTACATATTGCATGTGTTATCAGACCGGCCTTTGGTTATAATGCATTCGGGGTTTGAAAGTCAACTACCGATAATGCAGATCGAATTAATCGACGCCTGACACCTATATTGGATATTTCCTGCTAATGCAACGCCAAATTGATAGGCAGAGAGTATGCATGGTACAATCTCTAGATATTGCAAAATCAATGAAGCGAATAAATTCTTGGGGGGGAATGCGATGAGTTGTTGCGTCGGCACCACCCTCCGAGCCATGCAATATAGATTGCGCTGCAGTAGTAGTTTCGAAGAGCAGTAAAGACTGCAAGAAGCAGAGGGTCCACTTGACTTTCCTTGAGCGGACTGGTAGAACCGCCATCACATCATAACACACCGGTCTGCAGAGAAGTTGTGCGGATTGGTGATTTTCTAGGATCGTCAAAAACAGAGTGTCGTAAACGTGACTACTCAAACCGTGAGCCGCAACGGTCCGCTCCCATATGTTGCAGAAATCCGTCGAGAGAAGCATCATGCACGGTTGAACTCTATTTGCTGCACCCCTCCCCACCCATGTGTTGCCTTTTGGGGGTCTTGTCAGTTGTGCAAAGAGGTCCCAGTTATACAGGAAGGCTCTGTAGGTTTTCAGAACATTGTATAGATCGCAGTATGATCGGGTGTACCACAACATATGTACGATCTGGCTGACTAGCTCCCATCCTATCTGCGCTACCTGCCAGCTACCAAGAGTTTGTTATTGTTGGCCAGTACTTTTGTTCCTCTAGACTAGCTGGACGGAAGGGCAGAACTCCTTGCATCTCTAGTGGACAAATAGTCAGATAGTTTAATAGCTTGCCCACAGTAGAGCCTGGCCCTGCTTTGGTGTAAGATGGGGATGTCCAGATCTCCGAAAAATGCGCATTAAGTACCCTCTCAGCCTCTGCGGAAACAGGAGCCGAAGACCAACGTTACATGTGGTTATCTTGCAAGCAGAGCTACCTATGAGGTCTATCGAGAGTATATCCACACCCAAGCTTCGACCTGGTTATGCTCCCTCCACCTGAGTTCGGTATGCCGAGCCTGTTATCGTTGCACTCGGGTAGCCCAAAATAACCTAAAATGGAAAATGAAAATGCCCTTAGCATATGCACCAACATCGACTTAATACGTGTTTGCGGAAGGGTATAATTATTGGATCAGGATAAGTTTTATTTATTCATTAATCGTTAACTAGAGCATTCGACAAGAGATCCACGCAAGTCGTCGCGAGACCAGGTCTGCCCCGCGCATTTGCATAGCGGTTCCCGACGGTCTTCCTGGTAAATCAGGGGTAAGGATGAGCTTTCAGCCACTTTCAACTACCTACCAATTGGCATAAACCGGGTGCCGGGCGCTTCACGACCTGTCCCCGGTCGCTGCTCTCCAGCGGCGCAGCGCACAACCACACTGCTGGGTTCTTTGCGACTGACCTGGCAAACGACCTCCAACCATTACCGTTTTCGTGATACGCATACGATTGAAGACACAATAGTCGGAGTGTGTCCACAACTATGCATGTTTATACAGATCCTGATTCCGTACTATGTACCCAAAGTTCAAAGCAAGACTGGATACTTAAAGGTCATCTTCTTCAGCCAAATCGTACAATAATAGAAACCCCTGGGGACTTGTGAGCCCTGAACACAAGCGAAGCCGAAGTCAACTCCACTGAATCCACTCGAGTCCACCTGAGTCACTTAGACTCAAACCCGTCGCTGGAAAAAAAAAAAAAAAAAAAGGTTCACAAGGAAACAGTATGCGATCAACAAATTTGACGATAACCTCGAGGAAAACATACAAATAATTTCTTCTTCAGCAATGGGTTTTGAAAATGTTCTCCCTTTTGTTTGCAAAGAATCCCGAGCACTTGGTCCTGCAGCTTCCGTCTCTGCACCCGCACCCACAAATATTTGAGAACCAAGGTGTCTTGCAGCTCGGCTATCATAACTGGACAAAGCTGATGCATCGCAATTAGCCAGCGCATTGCACTTCCTCAATATTAAAATCAGCCGACTCTTGACCAAGCTACACCTGTGGGACAAACAAAAGTACCTCATTGCTATAGCGCTATAGTGGTCGGTGAACTTGCCCAGTTTTTCTTGTACAGTACATGCACCGGCTATCGATGAATGAGAACCAGCTAACCTGGCTGATTTTGAACAGTGGGCACCAACCACAAGCAGCCCCAGAACCCAGAACAATTCCCTGGATAGAGGATATTCTCCGAGAGGCCCTTCCCCTCTCCGCCAATCCTCTCGACGGGTTAGCCTAAAACAGTAATCTCAATCCAAGCCATAACCACTCTGCTGGGAAATCTGACCACCCTGCTCGAATACTATTAGGGTGGTTTGGGGGTCTAGCTCATCTTGGCCGTTACACGGGACCGACGGGAACCAGTAATCACGGTTTCTTCCGTGAGTGGTCAATCCGCTTTCTGCATACCAGAGTGTTGGGACAAGATTGAAGAGCCTTGGTAAAGATGTCCACAACTGATGACGATTTTCTACTTGAGGCATACAAGCGAATATGGTCTGTATTAAACCAAACGAATGCCCTACCGGTCGAGGTTCTTCCCAAGCAAGCCCACTTGGCGGCAGCGCGGGCCTCGTTGCCACAGCCGACAGGAGATAACTACCTTACTGAGATAGGCAGAGTTGCCGCATTAGATCACTTGTTGCGCGACATTGCGCCCGCGCTCAATGGCCAGAATCGTTCGGGCAGATACTACGGGTTTGTGACAGGCTCAACGCTGCCCATCGCCGAGGCTGCAGATAACCTCGTCACTGCGTACGACCAGAATGTGCAGGTGCACCTGCCGACCCAGACCATCGCAACCGAGGTGGAGGATGCGGCGCTCAAGATGCTGATCACACTCCTTGACTTGGGTGATGCCGCTGACTGGCAGGGCCGTACCTTGACGACTGGTGCGACAGCTAGCAACATCCTCGGCCTCGGCTGTGCCAGGGAAGCAGTTGTCCAGGCCAGGCTGCCAGAAGGCATGCCCAATGGTGTAGGCGAGCTTGGACTTCTCGCTGCCTGCAATGAGGCAGGCATCAGAGACGTGCAGATATTGACTAGCATGGGGCATAGCTCTTTGTACAAGGCGGCGTCTATCGTCGGACTGGGCAGGCACTCGGTGAAAGATTTGCCGTACAGCGATGACGAACCCTGGAGGCTTGACCTTCACATGGTTGAAAGAGAATTACAGCGCGAAGGTGTTGCGAGTATTATCGCTCTCAGCGCAGGCGAGGTAAACACAGGCCGCTTCGCAACGACAGGCATAGAGGACATGCGGCGCCTTCGTGATCTGGCCGATCGCTACAAAGCCTGGATCCACGTAGACGGTGCCTTCGGCGTCTTCGCTCGGTGTCTGCCTCGGACGTCGGAGTACTCCAAGCTGCAACAATACGCTGCCGGCCTCGAGCTTGCGGACAGTATTACGGTCGATGGACACAAGCTCCTCAATGTGCCGTATGACTGCGGCATGTTCTTCACGCGCAAGGCATCCGCCCTGACTAGCTGGTGCCAGAACCCCAATGCCGCATACCTAGCGGGTGGTGCCACGGATGGGATCCAGAGTCCCCTGAACGTAGGGCTTCAAAACTCGCGCCGGTTCCGCGCCCTGCCGGTCTACGCTGTGCTCTTGAGCGAAGGACGGGAGGGCATTGCGCGTATAATGGAGCGGATGGTACACTTAGCACGAGGTGTCGCTGAGGCTGTAAGGGAGAGCCCAGATTACATCCTCCTGCCGGACGAAAACACCAACGCCGAGGATACGCATGTCGTTGTTCTGTTCCGCGCAAAAGATGATGACCTCAACGAGAGGCTTGTAGAGACCATTCACAAGAGCGGACAATGGTATGTTAGCGGGACAAAGTGGAAGGGGCAGACTGCAGTGCGGGTTGCGGTGTCGACCTGGAGAGTGAATGTGGATGAAGATCTGCGGGACATCAAGAGCTATTTGGCGAGTATGGCTGAAGACCACAAAAACGGAATATAGAGTAGCAAAGGGAGCGGTATTCGCAGACATGTGGAACACCGCATTCCCTGATACCAAAATTCCTACTCGTCGATGTTGCAATAAAGAGCAGCTATCAGAATTTATCGCATGCAGTTACGCACAATAAAACAAAATCTCGACGCTTTCATAACTTTAGTCGTTTGGGTATACTACAAACAGGCTGTCAACCAAGAACTACTCCGGCGCATCACCTTGCTGAACAAGCAATAGCAATTCCACCAAGATTTAGCAAATGCGCTACCGCTGGTTCTTATGGCAGCGCTGTCTGTCTGTCATGGCCCAGTCATCATCTAGTGATGGCTCAAGGACCCTGTAGAAACACTCTCTGATGGCTGGCGACAGTACGCCAAGTACTAGGCCGCATGGCATACGCACCTCGGCCCTAAAATCCCCTTGTTCTAGTCCTTTGAAGAACCTCCTTCGGAGAAACGATACAGTCGTCATGCGGCACACACGCCGTCTCATCTCCGAACCTCCCCACAACCAAAGCCGCGGTCTGAGCTCCTTCTTCTCCTTCATCTGTCCGTGACTCCTCCATTGGCCTTATCTCTGGGTGTCATCAAGCCCAGGCACAGAGCCCCCAAGACTCATTTCCAAGAAACATCCTCATCGTCCTCCTTCCCCCACCTCCTCGGTCGTCGCCGCTTCAGCCAAACTTCTTGGTGCCGCCCTTGGCCTCGTTCTTGGCGCCCGAGGCGCGGTCGCGGCCCTTGCCGATCATCTCGAGGTGGCCGGCGCGCTCGCCGAGCAGCTTCTCGGTCCTGTTGGCAAGCCCGGAGCTGTACTTCTTCTGGACCTTGGCGGAGCCGGTCGCGTTCTTGGGCTTGGCCACGCGGGCGCCTTTCTTCGTCTTGGCCGAGTTGGGCTTTCCCGCGGCCTTGGAGGCCGGGGCCTTCATCTTGATGCTGCCTTGGGCCATATTGTTCCTCCTTTGTTGTTGTTGTTGTTGTTGTTGGGGGGAGCGTTCGGGGAGTTCTGAGAAAGTGGAAGAGAACCGGAGATGGGGCGGGTATGTGTTGTGTGTGGTGGAGAAGGAACGAAGGAAAGGCGTGGTTCTGTCGAATTTTGCCGAAAGAAATAAACACCGACACGCCTTGCACTATGGATGCGCTTCTATCGCTCGCCTGCTGGAGGAATCAAAATCGTGTCCTTGACTCTTGTAAATTGCTGTGCCTGAGCGGTGAATTGCAAGGGAGTAGACAATTTTCTAAGTTAGTCGAGGTTCATGGTCTGCATGGGAAAATTCTACCCCACAGCGGGCTGATTTCCGCAGCCAGATGAAATTGTTCCTAAATCACATATCATGATTTCACCATCAAGCTCGTGTTTTCCTACATTCTTCTGTAAATTCTGAAGTTGCAGTTGTTGTGCTGGTCAGCAACTTTATTTTCTAGGACTCTAGGGCGTACAACGCTCTGGGGTTTGCTCAATGCAATCATGCAACGTCCAGCAGCTCTGAGGAAACTGACTGGATAGGTTCCAAGTTCGTTCGCTTAATGCCAAATCTTCGGCCCTTGAAGAGTTCTTTCTTCCTCGAGTTCACACGCTATGAAGACTCCAACTGAATGTAACTCGCAGGCACACTCTTGGTCTGGCCTCCTTTCTCAACCTCAGCCCACCCATCGCCCGGATCTTCCTTCACTAGGACGAAACGGTCACCTTCCACCATGTTGAATTCCGCATCACTCTGTGCAGTATAGTCGTATAAAGCCACAACATATTTAAGCTTCTTCGCTCCCCGGCGTGGGGCCACTGCAGGGCCCTTTTTCTTGATGGCCGACGAGCCGCCGATAGATGAGCCAGAATTAGAATAGGTTGAAGCAGGACGGTTGACAGAACCGCCTGTATCTTGTGGTACTATCGGCGCAGGAGCGTCGGGAAGCATTTCAAGGTAGCTCGCAGGCACAATTCCCTCCTTGTATCCAGCACGTATCTTGACCCAACCCGATCCATCTACGCGTAGAAATCGTTAGTCAGGCACGATAATTCCCAAAGTTATTCAGGGGAACTGAGAAGGACTTGCCATCGGGTTCTAATACTGTAACGTCTCGGCCCTCGTGAACAGTCAATTCACCTTCACCACTGGCCTCAAAAGAGTATAGCGTTTTGGCCTTGTGCTCCGGTTTACTTGCCCCTGAGCCATTGACCGGACTACCAGGCAATTCACTAATATAGGCAGTCGGGGGAGGGGCGACTAGGCGCGTCTTTCTGGTCGCAGCGGATGATATCGATGGTCTTGGGCCAGTCTCAGGCGGCGTCTCCTCTACTGGCGATTTCGGTGCTGCCGGTCCAGTGATAGATCGATGAGCGCTAGCTGCATAGCCGGAGCTAAGAGAGTTCATCGTGTTGGACCGGCTGAGGTCGGGCAGTTCAGACACGCTGCCATGTGCTCCGGCTGCCGGCTTAAGCAGAGTGCTCGTTGATGTTTGGCGTTCCGATTTGAATTTCTTCCGCTCCTCCTTGGATAGCTCACCGGGACACTCGGCCGGTACTTTCATCTCGCATTTACTGTGGCATGTATATCCACAGTCACGACAGTCAAAACCCTTTGCCGACAGACCCCAAATCCTCTCACCGCACAAATCACAATTCGTAGGGATCTTGAACGTTTGCGATTTGAAATTGTGGTTTTTGGCGCCTAGAGTGACATCTCCCACCGTGGATGTGATTGTCGAAGTCTCGACTTCGGCTGTAATGCGTCTCTGGTCCACCTGATGAAGGTCCTCCTGCATGGCGAAAAGCTGAGCCACGACCAGTATTTCGTCCTTGATTTCGGTACCGTCGCGTATCCGTTGTTTTATCCTCTTCACTCCTTCAACCTCCCTCCGCTTCTTGTCAACCTCTCGTCTCAGATCTCCGAGTTGGCTCTTGGATTTGTTCAGGACGTTGCGCAAGAAGATCTTGGCAGCCTCGTCGACGACCATGCTCTCGTCATCGTGCCATACCGGGCTTGGCTCGAAGACTTTATCTGCAGGTTCCTGCCATGAGCCAAGATTGTGCCGAATGTACATCATCGAGTCGAGATGTGGTTGGTTTCGCTGAATCTCCTGGGACATGTGCTCCAACAGTCCGTTGCTCTGCTGCAGCAATCCGGTCTCGAGGGAAGCGGCCATGGTCCATAGCCCGTTCAGCTTGAGTGTCTTGAACTCTGAGAGGTCTTGCAGGCTGTCAAGCAGTTCCGGCACGTACTCGTGGTAGTACTTCTCCTTTTGCTTATTGGTGACATTTATGGCTATCAAATAGGTATTCTTGACATTGTTGGCATCGTGTAGCTGTTGCTGGTAGTTGCTCTGTGCCTTGGCCTTATCAAAGGATGACTCCGACTTCTTGCGCTTGCTCTCCAGCTCGGAGCAGGCCTGGTCATATTTGCCCTTGGTCTTCCGCAGCGCAGCGTACGAGGCCTCTCTTTCGCCTTCCAACTTATCCGCGAATTCCACGTGTCGCTTGCGGAGTTCTTCAAACTTGGCGCCAAAGAACTTGAGGGGATCGGCGACCTTTGCGATCAGGGCGTTGGCATACTTCTCATGCTCGTCGGCTCTCGACTCGAGTGTGGTGAGTTGTGTCGTCCACGTGGTAAGTGAGGCACTTTCGAGAGACCCAGGGGTCATGGTCGGTGTGTCGCCGACGCTCAGACTGATGGATTTCTTGTTCTTCTTCTCAAAATACCTCTTGGCTAGGGCGTTCAGTTTGGCGCTGTACTCCTTCTCGATTGCGCTTCGTTCGCGGTAATATTGTTGTATATCGTCAAGCCAGGCAATGCCGTTGGCGACCCAGGCGCTCGCCGGTCGAAAGCCATCCTAGATAGGCGCAGGAGTGAGTATGATGAACAGTCAATGCTTCCGACACGGATGCGGCCGTTGTTGTTTTCTACTTTGAGTGCAGCAGAGGGGGGTATTGAATAGTCTCGTACCTTCAACTCGGCGCCGAAGGTCGGCGGCACATCTACCTCGGCCATGGCTGCTGGAGGGGGTCGAGGAAGTACGGAACGCGGAATACGGGACGGTAGGCATGCAAGAGCGACAATGGCAGATTCATTCGGTGGAGTATTTGGATGTAAAATAAGCAAGTCGGGTTACATATGCTTCGTGCGACACAGCCATGACATGAAGGTGCATCGATGGTGATACTCACGAGTGAGACCAAACGTTCGTGTGTTTTTCCACTGGGTTAGGCCGAGAAGCGACGAGGCACAGCCCACCTTTAGGTATTGCGTTGACCTAACCTTAGAGTTTCCCGCCCGGATCACGGAGTATGCGCGCTGTGATGCTTGCCAATAACGAAAGGATCCAGCGGCTCGGCACCATGGGCCGGCCAACCCCGCGTCCAGAGCCTCACAACAGCCTCCAAGTTCCCAGGGCTTACACGAGCTGCCATATATACATGTATACATATATATATGTACATGAGCATAACTTACATCATACATGTTGTTGCCTTGGTTGTATTATTGGTTTATATATATTCTCTGGTTGGATTTATGAGTGAGGATGAATAACCATCATTGGTGTCTATCGTTGGATTTAGGCACTTGATCTCATTGTGCAATTCCTTGGTCGCAGACGCTGGTATTGCCGGATGTTGTAATCTGAGCTGTCATGCGGAGTACATGGTCATTGGAAAGAGAGATGCTCAGCAACCAGGTCAGGCAAAGGCACGGCTCTCCAGACGTGTTGAAGCAACGGATCGCTTTCACTCAAAGGTAAGGTATTTCCTTGGCAGAATAGATGCACCGACTACCGTAGTCAACGCCTCTATTACGGTTTCCACCACTCGCTGATACCCGATAAACCCATTGCTGGGAATGGCGCACTCTGCACATGCTTGACTTTGATTACAAAGGCGCTGGCACATTATTTCGTCTTGTCTTGTTTTGTTTCGGTTTCTGCCTGAAAGACCCCTTGCCCACTTAATTCCCGTCTCGATTGCCAGCTTTCATCCCGCCATTCATTAACGTTAATATTGACATTGAACCTGGGTCATAGTCATTGTTGAAGGGAACTCGACCGAAAGCAACCCCGCCCCCACCAAAAACCCTTCAATGCCTTCAAGTTTGGAGTTTGCTACAGCTACTAGACTAAATTGCAGACGTATTGCGGTTTGGGCTGCCGTTTCTTGGCGTCCTGCCCCACCAATTTTGGCACCCACCCCTGACAAAGTGCATTTTAGGCGGGGCTTATGCATTCATTACCTGAAGTCCTCAAGTACGTTCAAATACTTCAAACACATTCAGCGTCCCCAGGCCCCCAGCTGTGCACGTTCAGCCGCCAATAAGACCACATTCCGGAAACAGAATAAGTTGGTAGATGTTAGATGTTCATGACAGATATATTCAAAGGAGCCACATTTGCAATGCATTTATCAAGTTGTGATTTATAACAAAACCTGTATTTCTTGATTAGTGACACATGGGTGGATAGCAAGGATTACGAATTTTCGTTGTAGAATTGCACAGCGTAGCGGCAATGAGCCTCGTGAGCTTGTTAGACCTTGCCTGCATTGCCCAAATCCAAGCATAGCTGGTTAAGCAGGAAATACCCGAGGCCCTGCCACTTAGGTGATATCGACTTGGTTCCATCTCGTCGAAGAGAAGCCTCTTGTCTTGGGCTTGCTCTCTCATCTACTCGCTAAGGCCTTAGCGGAAGCGTTGTCGATCACGTAGGGCAAACTATTCCCAAGTCGCTTACCGATATCAATATCAGTGAGTGGGTGGTCGTTCTTGTGAATGTCAATCCAAGCGGCAGCGGGGCAAGGTGAAGCATTTACTATGGCGGGGTGGCCATGTGGGGCGGATTGGGGCAACCAAAAACGGGAGCCTCGACCGCAACACACGAATTGCGAGAATGGAAGCTGTCTGCCTCCGTCACAGCACATAAACCAAGGTCGCCATCACACTTTCGCATACTGAGAGGAGGTTCGCAAAGACGTCTCCCGAGCTGGTAAGTCTATTCAATCGTGTGGCCTGCCTTCCAATCTTCTCGCCATTTCAATGCCTAACCTTCCATCAGTTTTCCCCCACCAACCTCGACCGCCCATTTCAGGCGCATAGCCTTCGCGACAACCTCCCATTCTATTCACCCACGAACCGCTCCCCACCCTCCACGGACATCGCCGCAAATCCTACGAAGGCCCTTCAGCAATGTCGGACCTTGCGAGCAGGATCACAAAGCCTGAGGATGCTCAGCCGGCAGAGGCACCTGCAGCTGCAGCTGAAGCACCTCAAGAGGAAGCATCCATCACCCCTGCTCAGACCGATGGTGCTGGTGAAGCCGCTGGTGGCTCCAACTTACAAGAGGTCGATTACGATGTTGAAGTTTCACTCAACGAGCTGCAACAACATAAGGACCACCCTCTAGGCTCAGTCAAGTCGTTCCAGGAGCTCGGTTTGTGTGTATATTTATCCCGTCACCATGCATATTTTTCCTGCTCGCTCCCCTGCTAATCAAATCATCTCACCAGACCTGATGCTGTCCTCCAAGGCCTTATCGCTATGCAGTTTCAGAAGCCCTCCAAGGTCCAGGAGAAGGCTTTGCCCCTGATGTTGGCCAACCCCCCTCAGAACATGATTGCTCAGTCCCAGTCAGGCACTGGCAAGACGGCAGCATTCGTAACCACAGTCTTGTCTCGCATAGACCTAAACATGCCCAACCAACCGCAAGCACTGATCCTTGCTCCTACCCGTGAGCTCGCCCGCCAGATCCAGGGTGTTGTGCAGCTCATCGGCCAGTTCTGTCAAACCCTGATTGTGGAAGCTGCCGTCCCCGGTGTTATTGCAAGAGATACCAAGGTCGAGGCTAGCGTTATCTGCGCTACCCCCGGCACCGTCATGGATCTGATTAGACGACGACAGATTGACGTCTCGCAGTTGAAGGTACTCGTTATTGACGAAGCCGATAACATGCTTGATCAGCAAGGCCTTGGTGAGCAGTGCGCCCGAGTCAAGGGGTAAGTTCCCACCATTCTTTTCTCTTCCTACGCCCCCTTCTGACCCTCTTTTCCAGTATGCTTCCCAAGACGGTGCAAATTCTTCTGTTTTCTGCCACCTTCCCTGACAAGGTTCTTCGATACGCTGCACAGTTTGCCCCGAATGCCAATCAGATCAAGCTCAAGGTTCAGGAGCTCACTGTTCGCGGCATTTCACAAATGTTCATGGATTGCCCCAACGAATCCGACAAGTACGGCATTCTGTGTCAGCTTTATGGCCTTTTGACAATTGGTTCTTCTATCATCTTCGTCAAGGTATGTTCAGTAATAACTTACAATCGCCAAGAGCCGCACTAATCATCCCAGACCCGCGAAAGTGCCAATGAGATTATGAAGCGGATGACAGAGGACGGTCACAAGGTCACTGCTCTCCACGGAGCCTTCGAGGGTAATGCCCGAGATGCGCTTATTGATGAGTTCAGAACTGGCCGAACCAAGGTCCTGATCACGACAAACGTTCTCGCTCGTGGCATTGATGTATCGAGTGTCAACATGGTCATCAACTACGACGTTCCCATGAAGGGCTTTGGCGATCGTGAGCCTGACGCAGAAACCTATCTGCACCGTATCGGTCGAACAGGTCGGTTCGGACGAGTTGGCGTCAGCATCACGTTCATCTATGACAAGAAGAGTTTCGAGGCCCTCCAAGACATCGCAGAGAAATATGAGATTGATCTGATCCGCCTGGTGCCCGACGATTGGGATGCTACAGAGGCCGAGGTGCAGCGTGTCATCAAGTCAACGAGAGCCCAAGCTTCATTCAATCCTAGTGCCAAATAGGATATGGTCTAGGATGATACAAACCTGTTGGCGCCAAGTGAACAACGTGGACCAGCGGAATCGTACGAATCCGTTGTCGTTGACATGGTGGCAGCTTGGCGGTTGCATATTGCATCAGTTTTGGAATTTTGGAATTGTCAAGAGCTATGTGAAGCTGGACCATTCAGATGAAAAGGATCTGCCTTGCCATGTCGGATGAGAAAAGGCTGTGCTTAATGAATGAGAGAATGCGGACGGGATAGACATGAGAACCATGATACCACAAAAATGATGAACTGTTCTGATTTGATCAAAATATGATTTTCATACTAATTTCGTGGCTTGGCCTTCTTCAACCATCCCTACAGCAAATTCGTAAGCAATAAATGGATTGTAAGCCTCCATACCTGCACACGAGCAACCTGCTACATTTGCCATCGCTATGCTATGCTATCTTCGGGTCAAGACTCAAACGACATCGAATTGCAGATTCAATGGACTGCTGCAGATTACACCAGCGTAAGGACGCAATCGACATGCAGTCGTAGTCACATCCAGTAATCTGCGCCTCACGCAACCGAAACAAAGGAGAATTTATCACAACTGTTTCTTGCGTTGCAGTTGAAATACTGGGTAGAGGGGCACAGCCTCCATTGGTCGAAATAGATACCTGCAGCTTCGTAGCTTTTTTAAGCGCTTTTGCATCAAGACCCCAACTTTTAGGCGCGCGCAAATTACCTCCCACATCCAATCGTTTAGGCACAGCCTAGCTGGGTCGCCTTTCGCTTCTATTCTTGCTGGCGTGCTTTTCTATCTCGATTGACCCTTTCCCAAGGACCTGCAGGTAGCCCTGACCATTCATACATCCGACTCGGGGTGCCTGTCCAATCACAACTGTGAATAGCCACCCGTTGGAACCTCTTTTAGCTTCGGCGGGATCTATCTCCAGAAGATGGCAACTCATCTTTGCCCATGTCTTCTGCATGCTTCGCCATGACGCAACTGTGGCTCCTGCCGGACGGATAGCATTCTGCGATGCGCTGCGCGTTGGCGGCACGCGGTGTCAGTCGGATGACTATTATCTGTTGCACCAATATTATTTGTCTACAGTCGCCAAGCATTCCGGGGTGGTGTCTAGAAGGTGAGCCTCATATAGGTAAAGGGTCGGCCTCCATCTGGCCATCTCGCCTCCTGTTGGTTCTGACATTGTATTCTGTAACAAAGTTTCTCTACTTGTCATTTTCCTTGCTTGCGTTTCGTCCTTGTTGTAATCTACTCTTTCCTCGCTTCTGGGTCATATTCTTTTCCCCCTGCTTTCTAAAGTTCGACATTGTAATCCCTGCATCTTCTTTGTCGGCCGTGTTAGACCACTATGATGAGATGCTGGCCGTCTCTTATAGACCGTTATCCATTTCCTAGGTAAGCCAACGCCCTCGGTTCTCTGTTTCTACTCAGTTGGCCTTTCTGGAGACAAGAATTGTGGTTTGAAACGTACTCGTTGCCGTTTATTCCAAGCGTTGGGCGAGCATGTCACCACCTTTCCTCTCACTACCGGCATCACTGTTAGAAGCGGCACAGAGCACCACATCTCAATGAAATCAAGGATGGATACTATCTTTGATCAACGCCAGATCGTTAACAATACTTCCTAGATGTTCTCTAGAATGGCCTTTAAGCCATTGTCTCAACAATTGCTAATATGGGCCTTGATATCGATTGCTAGTGCCTACAATGTGAATCTTACAAGTGAAGTTGCTGCCTTCATCCCCAACTGCGCCCAAGGCTGTTTTACCGCGTTCATCAAAGAGAACTACCTATCGACGGCATGTGGGACCACACCGTCCTTACAATGTTTATGTTCGCATAAATCGTCGGACGGTTTGACCATTGGAGAGGCCGCTGCAGAGTGTATTGGCGGATCATTCGCATTTGGTATTTGTACGGCTGACGAGGGCAACCGTAAGTGTGATTATCAATATACTTGCTGTCATGGACAGTCACTTATAACTGGAATAGAAGCTGGGACGGCGTATCAAATGTGCTCGGGACAGGTCAGCGTTCTACCGAACACGCAGCCAACGCCTCTATCCGCAGCTTTCCTCGTTGGTGGTGGCAGTGTAAGGATAGCACCATCAACCACGACAACAACGACGACCGCGACGACATCTATAATCTCTAGTACATCTAGCATCGCGAGTGAAAGAACATCGACAACAATGGCCACTACTACCAGAGCAACCACCACTATAGTATCGTCATCCACTTCAACTTCGTCGGCGTCGCGTACCTCTTCAACGACGACAACAACTTCAGAAACGGCCAGTCCTCAGACATCCGAAACAGGGACGCCTACTGCATCCGTGTCCCTGGGGACGGCCCAGATCATTGGCATCTCGGTCGGCGTTGCCGTTGCTATCGTCCTAGCACTAGGAGCTATCTTCCTTGCTCGCCATGCCAGACGACGGAAGTATCCCGGACTTGACGATGACGGCTTTTTACCAATGGACGAAAAGAGCAGCTTCGACGACGGCACTGGTGGGGCAGTGTCCAGGTTCACTAAGATATTTCACATCTCTCCACCGATCCTCAAGCCTCAACGGTCGCCAGAGCCTCAGACACCGCTACAAACTGCTGACTACCAGAATGTTGATCGCAGTACTATTGGCCTCGCAATCTCGCGCCCTCTTAGTGAGATATTCACAAAGCAACAGACTCCAGTTAAGGAGCGGCGAAGGTCGAAAATATTGCCGCCAAAGCCTTTGAAGCCATCCAAACCAAATCTTACACTAAATATTCCGAATCAAGTCCACCCTGCTCTTCGGCCTCGGTCGTCACAACCTCAAACTGACAGGACAAGTGCCATGACCAATGTGACTGCTTTTGCCGATTTGGATATTGAAGCCCCAGAGGGCGGTCAAATATGGCGGCCACCACCAACAGACCCTCAGTCAGCGACAACATATTATGTTGCCGACAAATGGGGAAACTGGGTTTTGAGCAGTACTAATCGCCAGTCGCAACTGGCTGAGGTTGTGGAGGCTGCTGAGCTCGATACTTACACCCCATTGACCAAGTCGCCGATTGAGAAGCAGGAAGAGGCCGTCGCTGCTGCAATGGCGGGCGCTTTATCCGCCGTGTCTGCTCCTGAGGTCTTCAAGCCACAACGTGCGTTTTTTAGGCCAGATGCTCGAGACACGAGCATATCCCAGGTGTCCAGCTCATACTCGCAGGCCAGTGCTCCACGCAACACCGTGCGGCCGCCATTGCCAGCGATGAAGAGGAGTAGTAGCTCTGGGAAACGAAAAATGGGCCGTGCAGATTCAAAGACATCCATGGACTCGGTTACAACCATTCAAACATCATCGTCAGGGGGAGGCCCCTTTGATGAAAGCCCCCCGGTCGAGGAGGAAGATCCGCGGCCTTTATCTTCACTGTCTCCGGTCATGGAGTCTCCTCACACGCCCACTGGGCGCTCACAAGTCCGATATCCTAAGATTCCTGGTCGTCTGGACTTGAGCACAGTAAGGACCGTACCACCACCAAAACGGCCAAACTTCACGGCATCGCCACCAGGACAACCAAGTCCGACATTGGGCGCGTTTCTTCCTGCAAAAGGGTCACCATCCGCCTACCCGCAGCCACTGAACCCAAGGCGATTACCTCAGCTGTCAATTAGAAATGTCCCGTATCTACCATCGCCATTGCAATCGGCAGGTTCCGGCTTTTCTCCTGAGCAGTCGTCACTGTCAAAATTCCCCAAACCGCCGCCCAACCCACCTCCTCGGTCGGAACTTAGACTGTCACGGCAAAAGCCACCAAGGCTAGAAACTCAAGGCCTTCCACCGCCTCGAACGACTGTTTCGTCATACATCTCACCAACCAGTGCTGTGACCACATCTTCGGTGGCCAGCTCGTTGCTAGCGAAGCGTGTGGGGAACGAGAAGGCCGCAGCGCTATCGCTTGAGAACAGTCGAAAGAAAGGCGCTCCTGCAGGATGGAAACGCCAAGGCCCGGGTGGGTTTTTGAGTCCGGAGATGGCGGCTATGATGTCCCCAGGCCCGCGGGGTCTTGGCACGGGAGGACTCCCGGCTACACCTACTTGGCAACCAAAGCTGACACCTACACGGAGAGGAGATGATTTGTTTCTGAATGTGCAGTAATATTCGCCAAGTTAGCTACCTCTGGGCAATCGTTCTGGGTCATCTCTGTTACCAATACTCCGTCTAATTGACGAGGACACAACACAACACAGCCGACCGTCGAGTTGACACGACAAGAAACGTTAAAACTCTATGTTTCTTTAGATCTGAAGATCCCCTTCTCTTTTTTTCTTTTTTCTTTTTTTCTTTTTTGTGATCTGTACATTACCCAACTCATGGACAAAATCCTCGGCGTTAAGAAAAGAGCATTTCAGGCGTGGGGACAAAACCTTGAATTTACTGGCGTTTGTAGGAGAACGTGCTTTACCGGATATATCTGCTGATACCAAGTTGTCTTTCTTTATTATTACCATACTATATCATATAATCGGTAGGGACGGGCGATTTATTTCATGATACAAGGCATAAATCGGAGAACAAATTACAAATGATCTTTCACATTGAAGTATTGCTGCACGTATCGCAATACAAGCTTTTGTGAGCAGTACAAACCGTCAGATTCAGCACTTAGCAGGTTCAATTGCCGAAAAGAACAAACAGCGAGTGGATATATTTTGTTCGGATGGGTGGGCCCCTGCAAGTACCAACCTTGTGATATTCCATGCCCCAAATGCTTTATATATCGTTCTGTTGTTGGTTACGAATAGGTCTTGGCACGTGGTTGTACAAGACCAATTCCGTGAGCCGAGGATCCCAGGAAGTATATCTAGTTACTGCAGATGCGGACACCGTGTAATGCCTTGAATACAGCACAATCCAACCATGATGCGCTAATCAGGACACGTGAGACAGGGTCGAAGCGGAGGTGCTCGCTTTTCTTGGCAGGGGCCCCGTCCATCGTGCCGGACCTAGAGCGCAGATCGTCATCCTAGGCGGTACGCTACCGAACAGAATCCCACCTCTGAGAACATCGCTCTCAGAGCTATTGCTGGTTTTGGAAGCTCGCTCTCTCCATCTCAGGGATCCAAAATCTCAAAGACGGATGGAGGCGGCGGTATATATCTGGGCAGAGAGGACGTGTTCCCATCTTTTAATGCGCTCTGAGAAGCCATGCTAGAACGCCCATCACCATTTCCCCATTTTTTCGTGACTTCAAGCCACAGCCATGCAGCTCATCAAGTCACTTAGCCTTGCTGCTCTTGGCGCATCAGCCCCGGCCGTGCTTGCCGGCCCATTGCTACGTCGTGGAACAGTAGGCAACGATGATATTGTCGGCCTGCCTCAGACGGTACCTTCAACCACTGCTGGTACTTTGTACCTGAAGTACAAGCCGTTCTTGTACCGTCTCAACGGATGTGTGCCATATCCCGCGGTCGACGCCAGTGGCAACACCAAGTATGTTCCTATCACATGAGCCCACAAGTTCCCCAACCTGACACTTAAACTATTTACCTTTTATATACTGACACATCAACCAGCGAGGGTCTCTCACCCACCGGTGACCCTGCCGGCGACTGTACCTCCAGCACGGGGCAGATATACACCCGTTCCGAGAGCGCCAACGGCGCCTTCGCCATCATGTACGCGTGGTACTGGCCGAAGGACGAGCCCTCGGCACTCGAGGGCTCGCTCGGCATCGGCCACCGCCACGACTGGGAGTCGGCCGTTGTCTGGCTGTCGTCGGAGTCGACGACGGCCACGGTCCTGGGCGTCGCGGCGTCCGCGCACGGCGGTTTCGCCGCCAAGGCCGCGAGCGCCGTTACCTTCAGCGGTACCGGCCCGCTGATCGAGTACGAGTCCAACGGCATCCTGGACCACTCACTGACCTTTACCACCACCAAGGGCGACCAGCAGCCCCTGGTCGCGTGGGAAAGTCTGGACAGCACCATCCAGAGCGCGCTCGCGAACACGGATTGGGGTGATGCCAATGTGCCGTTCATCGATGCCAACTTTGCGAACAATCTGGTCGAGGCGCAGCTCTAAATCTAGCAAGCGTTGTATTGTTGCAATGCTAGGTATAGGGTATGGGTGATTATATAAAATAGAAATCCTAAGCCTAGTCAATCAAAAAAGAAAATTATATACACAAAGAATCTTGATACTTCAGGTTGCCGCTGTTGATCAAAATTACGACTTATCACACAAAGATTTTGAGGTTCATCCATCAAATCATGGTTGTTTGATATCTGACATCAAGCATAGAAGAAAATTGCCCTGTTTGACCCAAAGAGGGTTTACCAACTACTGCGCTGTGGTACTCGAGCAGTCGGTTTCCGAGAAATCGTTGCATTCTAAGGCTTTCACCGAAAAGGGGAGAAAAGCAAAGGCAGAAAGAGGTAACATCAGCGGGCATTCTGATCGAGCAGTCGACGCTCTACAACGCGAGAAGACTTCAACAGATCCAGCGCTGCCCAAATTAGAAGACAATAAAATGTCAGGAACCCCAGAGAAAGTACAGCTTCATGAACCATAGTCTGACGCCCACCTATGTTTACGAGGTAGCTTTTACATCAGCCGTGAACGATTATCGGTGTTCTGTTGTTACGCTGTCCACCAAGGAGCAAAAACACACAACGAAGAAAAAGCCGTCGCGGGCATCTCGAACTCGCAACCTCCAAAAATACAAAAAGAAGGTTGGCTGAGGGGGGACGGCTCAGCCAGCGAGATAATAATATTGAGATAAGGATATTGATCCTAGGTCTGCGCGGATAACCACTGCACCACTGTGACCTGTGGCTTCATGGAGTTGTTAAGAGGACGCGCTTTCTCAAGGCTTATATAGGTAAAGTTCTTCAAATAGAATGATCTAAGCGTTGGTTGGCTAAAGGGGTGAGCAAGTTTGCAGTTCTATGTACAGGTTTTATAGTTCAGGCCCCCCCGGGAACCCTCAAGACGTAACTCAGGCCCAGGCGGCGGCGATCTGCGCAGCGGCATTACCAGCCATTTTCAAATATGCATCGGGCTCCGCATCGTCATCGATGCCCAGGAACCTCTGGTTGGTGGGCAGCTCGCTGTTCCTCAGCACGGGGTATATGGCTGTGGCCTCGTTGACCTCGTCGAACATGGCCCCGAAGACGAAGCTGGGCTTCATGCCCACGGCGCCTTCCAGCTGCTTCTGGTAGAACGACCCGTTGAACCTCGGGAAGTGGTCGAAGGTCTCGCTCGGGTTCGCGTTGCTGCTGGAGCCGCCGGGCCAGACGACGATACTGCTTTCAATGCCCAGCTCGTGCAGGGCCTCGGTGTCCTCGACGGCCTGGCGCCCGTCGTGAAAGTCCTGGTAGTTGTCGTTTCCATACGCGCCTACCGTCCAGGGCTGGATCATGTCGGCCAGCTTGAACGCGTTCCCGTAGCCGGTTCTGTTCTCGACGAGCTCCGCGTGCCAGGCCTGTTGCACACCCAGGATGACGTAATACCCGGCGTTCTTGAGCGCGGTAACGGTGTTGACAGCATCCTCGGCCGTCACTTCGGACACGATGCCGACGCCCCAGATCTCGATGACTGGTTTGCCGTCATGGCGCATGTATGCTGGCGAGGAGGTGATGTCGCTGAGCGCGGCTAGATCTGCGAGGAGAGTTGCTGCGACGTCGCTCGTGGCACTGGAGGCGCCATTCAGATCATACTCTATGACAAACCCTCGGCCGTACTTCTCAGCTGCCTTCTTGGCGTAGTTGAGAATCTACACAGGTAGTGTTACCATATGAGAAAAGAGGTGAAACTGCGGAGGACACGGTGTTTTACCTCTACCCAGTTCCCGTTAGTTTCGTGGATGTAGCCATAGAACCTCTGCAAAAACGCGCCGCTGATCCCATATTCGGACATGGTCTTGAAGTGGAGATCCACAACGCCTTCGCAGTTGTTAGAGTAGAACTGGACAAGGCTGCCGTCAGACTTGGTAAAGGGAGTGTCAAAGAGGCATTCTGGTGGATAGCCTGTAACGTTAGGGATCATGTCAACACCAACTATACAAAAAGATTAGTATTTATTCTTTCCATCATCAGTACAGAATACTAACCGTGTCCAATTTCCGGTGTATCTCGGTCCCTACGTGCTGGTGTCAGTTGAAGACCATTTGTTGACCGATTACGAGATTTGACCTACGTTGTCCAATGTGAGTTGCCATTTCCTTCGTGCGGTTTTCGAAACCATGCCTGGTAGCCGACAAAGAACTTGCCGTTCAAGGTGGAGGTATCGATTGCCGAGGCGCGTACTTCTTTGCGAGAGTCGACGGAGATAGAGCGAGCCGTGACCGAGGTGAGGGCCGCGGCGAGCGCTACAAGTCCTTGCAGTGAGTGTCTCATCTTATGTTCAACGTGATAGTGATGTAATTATATGTCAAGTGTTAGTCGAGTGGTGGGCTGACTTTTATACTGGAAAGTGCCCGGACTTATGAACAATTCAAGATTAACGATTCCTGATACAACGACAAGATAAAAATAGCCGACCTTATTTAGGCCGTAGCAACTGTCAGCACCAAATTACGATAGTCATGAGGCTGACACTAGAAAACTGCCTTCGGAATAACACACTCTAGCTCAAATGGGCTCCATGTTGGTCTCTGCTGTTGGGAGGGTACTTGCCAGCGCTAATGATGGGTAAGTGCCTATGGCAGGTTCGGCCCGCGTTGCATTAATCATACAACTAGCTGGCTGGTTTCGAGATATCGGTAGTCGTTCTTGCAAGGACCATCCGCTTTGGGCTTGCTGATCTAAGATTTAGTGGATTGACATGGTGGACGCTGAATAATACCACAGGGACAGTTGTCAGCACGTGGTGCATGACTCAGTCGCAGTGTTTAGTGTTCTGTAATCTAGAGTGACGTATTTTGAATTTGTCTCGGGCTATTGCATCATTGCAGATCACCATGAGATTTGACGTTGGGTATGTTGAATCGCCAACTGTTCGAATAAGAACATCATCACAGAATCACTTGAACAGCGGCGAGGCTAAAGCACAAAGACAGTCAACACCGGGGGCAATACGACGAACATAAATTCCCATCTTGAGGTCTCAGCTGGCTTAGGAAAAAGAAATTCAAAACTCACAAATTGTTACAAGCCCGGAACAATTTGTGGAATAACTCGGCATAAGATGCAAGATTCATCCTCTAGCCTAGTGTAAGGAGAAGAGACACCGTATATCTGAGAAGTGAAGCATACGATGGTGTGAACTAGGAGATTTGGGGTAGTCCAAACCTCTCTATCCTCTGACTGAGTCCGCCGGTCCATCTTCAAAACTTATGACCCAATTTCTTAATAAGTGCCGTATAACCTCATAAATCACGGTTGATTAGTATTTCCGTTTCCGGTAAGCGATCATGCTGTTGCCAAGCAAAATAGGCGGTATCTTGATGTAGAGGAAGGATCGGGGGGTATTTTCAGCAAGATTGGGGTTGTTTTTAGCCGGACTGGAATTTTAAACGAGAACTGCATGCCAGAGGATTTCCGGCAAGCATATAACAACGCGGCACTGACTTCGTTAACCTAGAAGAATCGGTCCTCTAGTATTTGACGGTTCACGGCATGGCGCCCTTCCTCACCAGTGCCCTATCAGCGCTGGGCGGCTTGACGCTATTGACCATTGTCTACCCAATCGTCAGCTTTGCACTCACCTACACCCGCCCGTCACATCTGCACAGATATCTCCATTCGACGTCCGGCAAGCCAGCCTGGGCACTCGTGACAGGCGCCTCGGCGGGGATTGGGAAAGCGCTCGCGCACGAGCTAGCCAGCTCGGGCTTTAACGTCGTGCTACACGGTCGCAACGCATCGAAGCTGGAGTCCGTAAAAGCTGGGCTACAGAAGGCGCATCCAACCCACGAATTTCGTATCTTGGTCATCAATGCATCGACCTGCGACGTCGAGCCGGCGGCCTGGATCGAGGAGGTCCTTGAGCTGGTGCAGGACATCAACTTGACGGTTCTGATCAACAACGCCGGCGGGGCAACCCGCCCCACCTACGGCAGGCTTGAGGAGTACGATGCGAAGAGTATCATAGAGACGGTGCATCTCAATGCTATGTTCCCAGCCCTGATGACATCGACGCTGATTCCAGTACTGCTAAAGAACAAGCCGGGACTGATCATCAATGTTGGCTCCCTCAGCGACAATGGGTTGCCTCTCTTGTCATTCTACTCCGCGTCCAAGACTTTTGGCAGCTCCCTTGCCCTGTCGGTAGCGCGTGAGATGGAACTTGAGCACCGGGATGTCGAGGTCATTACCCATCGCGTGGGTCTGGTAGCGGGAACTGGAGATAACACGCACATTCAGCCATCTCTCTTCGGGCCGTCGGGTGACGTGATGGCAAAAGCGATACTGGCGCGGACGGGGTGTGGCAGGAAGTCAGTGGTCCCTTATTGGGGACACGCCGTCCAGCAGGCTGCGACAACCTTGTTTCCAGGCTGGCTTGCTGACAAGCTCTTCATATCTGTGATGAAAGGACTTAGGGAGGACGAATGGGCAAGGAATAAGAAATAGGAACATCCTGAAGCTTACAATCACGCTGTAACCAGCAAAATGGAATCAATTGTTGGTCAGTGTCACCTCATGGCTTTCCAGGACGCCAGATTCATTCTCACAGGGGTTTAGTACCAATAATGGCCTGTCGCATTCCAAGCACTACATACATCCCAAGTTCCTACAGAATTATAAATTTCGATCTTGATAAAGTGATCCTACTGTCTCTAAAAAATGTGCTTGCATTTACTTGTGAACCAGACTTGATAAAGTAATATGCCACGTTGAAATACAAGCTCATGAATGATTTCATGAAATTGGCCCTGCATCAAAGAATCGATGCGCACCAATATCGGAATAGGACATGGTACGCGCTCATATCGCTGGATGTATCCGCTCATTTGATACCGCGTGAATATAATCTTGGGATGTATGTGTATGAGGTACCGTATGTGGGGCCTGTTACTCGCGGCATCAGTAACTTAAGGTTAATTGATATCAACTTGACTTTGAGAGGTGCCAGCAAACATTGGTAACTTGTGTATCCAGCCAAAGAAGTTCTTCAGCTTCAATTTATTGGCGCTAATTTATGTCAAACTAATAATCATCATTATGTATGCAGCGATTAAATGACTGCCCGAGTCACACAAAGCTAGCCCGTCTTTCTCCAGCGCGCCATAACATTGAGGGGTATAAGTGAACAGATTCTATCATCGAAAACAAAATGAAAACCATGCGGGCAAACGAAGCCGATTTTTTTCTTTTTCCTCCTCTTTTAGAGCGGCAGTCATGCCTTACTGGGTGATGCCACTCCTGCTCTGTCGTCTATGCATAAGCACGACCAACATCGACGGCACCGACGCTCAATGCACTGAACCCACACCGGCCCTGTTGCATTCCGATTCCATCAGCAACAACTCCCCATGTGAGTTCCTGCCTCCAGGGTTCGACTTCTCCAGCAGCTGTATGACATTTGGCGCTGAGCGCCGCGCTGCAGCTACCACCCTTGAGCGCTAGCGGATTTCCCTTCTCCTGTCCGTTCACCAGGGCTGCCGCTGGACTCTGTCGCAAGCCTAACCCCACGACCATGAGCATGAGAGCGAAAAGTAGAGCTAGAAGTATTAAGAGCGCTTGTGTTGAAAGACCGACAGATATGGCCTGGTTCATATCATACGTAGATGTGGAAATCGACGCCGAGAGAGTGGCCGTGGCTGGAAATACAGCCTGAGAGAGGACGAAGCCCATGCCTATGAAGAGGACGAGTAAAACCCACGATATTGGTCGTGGAAGCGTGAGATATAAGGATGTCGTCTGAGCTCCGGCAGGGTCGGATGAAACCCGGAGCCCACGTGGCCCAAGGGCGAAAAGAGTAAGTTCGTGGGATAAATAGTAGGTAGACAGGTGTGAGTTGGTGACCAAGTATAGTATTGCTAGGAGGAATTGCGGCAGGCTGGTCAAGAGTGCCATTTGCAACCTCGAGATTGGGGAGGGGAAAAGGTAACTGGTGTCAGGTGTGGCAGTACCAAATTGTGTTGACATGCTTGCAGGGTCAGCATATATGGCTAAACCAAGAGCAAGTGCCGTTGGCACAGCAAGTGCTACCCAGGAGAAGATCATCAGTGACCAACGTGCAAGCGAAGGCGAAAAAAGCCACAAATGTACGCCTGGCGCGAAGTATTTGGCTTCCCCATAACCCCAACGGCCATCTCTCACATCTTGTTTCGAAAGGAGAGATGTACCGGTTGTTGTAGGGTCTGGGCGTGATAAGAAAGTACGGATTGCATCTCCGAGAGTAGCAAGTGGCTCAAAGTTCGACCTGCTCAACAATATGGCGATGCTACCAAAGGCAGCTAAATTTAGGAAGGCCACCACACCCAGTAGCGGACTGCTGATAATGACGCTGCAGGTCGGAGAAGAGCTGGCTTGCGAAGTGAATACTACCGCATTATAGCTGGAAAACGCTGTCAGTTATCTTGCTATTTATAACGTTCAACTTGTCTTACATTACTTGAATCGCCACGGTGGCCAATAAGACGACAGTGGCAAGGGCGGTCCGGGTTGTGGATATGTGTCGTAAGTTCCTCAGCGATGGTATCCCAATATCGAGCCATTGCTTCTTGTCATGCGCTGCCGTGAGCTCGTCCCTGGTTGGGCTTGAAAGTACTTGGAATACATAGTTGCCGCCCACGAGAAGCACGATACTTAAGGCGTTGATCAGAACATGGAGACCAGTATTGAGATTGTATGCTGTCGTGCAGGATCCGGAATACAAAGTTGATGCTCCGTTGGAGGTTTGTGATTCAGTGATGATGACGACCAGACAAACCACGGCGACCAGCAGTATGAGAAAAGCAGAGAGTGTGTTGAATGCGACGCCCCCACGCCAACCGCTCAGGAGCCTCCTTGCACCACGCTGTGGAGTTTCGTTTTCAGATTCCCCCAAAGCCAAATATGCCCGAGAGCCAAATGGATCCTCGAAGAAAGCTTGCTGAGACATGAGCCGTTCGCGCTGAGGTGTGAGTACGACATTTCTTTCTCCCCACTGCGCCTCTTCCTTTTTTCTGGCTAAACTCTCGGGAGTCTCTCCCCGTAAATAATGCACAACGTAGTCTGGCACGAGCGATCTACTCAGGATGCTGGCCGAGTCGCCTGCTTCTTTGAACCATGATTTCGATTGCGCAGTCGCCCTCCGGAAATGGCTGAAGTGGCTAGTAGCTGCCGTCGATGGCACCTCAGATGTTGCGCGGTAATGGAATGGCCAGTTGACCCTCGAGCTTGAATCTTTCGGTGTGTGACGACTATGCGACGAAAGACCCTCGGTCCTTGCTCGTACCCTGCGAAACGTAAGACTAATGTTCAATGTTTTTCGGGTTGTGTCTGTACTTTTCTAGTGGTTCGATGTTTTTCACGGCACCATCTTCATCCCAAGTATATCTGAACGCGGATTTCCCATTTCTGGCGGGAATTACTCCGTCCATGGTCTCGAGGTCTTACAATCTTGTGTGTGAAGCAGAGACATTAAGAAGAAAGAGAGTGGTAGAAACGAATGACTTGAACGACAGTGCGCCACAGCAAACAACCGCAACCTGGCGTCGAGAAAAAGAATGAAGTTGAAAGCCCATATCGATCACGACCCGGGCGCAAGGGTTTACCATACTTCTTGTATGGCAAAGGATCCTGAAACGGGTGTCCCTACCCTTGCCCCCGCCATGAGTCGATCACAGCCTGGTCCTGGTCCGGTAATCCATCCCAGGCTTCCAACACGTTTTTTTTGGGTGCAATTCGAACCGTTGTCAGGCCTAGTTTGGCGGAACGCATTGAAATGACGGGGATCCGTACAGCATCCCTAAAATTTAATTCTATGACTACCAATCAGAATACGTTGTTGGAGGCTTGGTGCAACTTGGTGCAATGAACCTCTATCCTCAGATCGAAACACTGGCTCCAATGAGAAATAGTGGTGTGCGTCCACATCAAGTAGGTGGCTGTCTGCGCATTGCGCGATGCAAATGCCGACGCAATCTATGGTGCGAAGGCCATTTCCTGTAGTGTACATTTGCTGAGAATGCGACTCGCGCATGAATGCTTTGGTCAAGATGCGTACGTCTTTGCTCTTGGGTAATACTGCGAATTTGGTGAAACGCCGGTGATTGTAAGGGCACGGCTGTTGCAGTAGAGCACTCTTGTCCCACCTCCTGAGGTTTCAAATCGCAATTTTGTCTAACATGTCATCATGTTTCCCAACAGCCAAGGATACACTTGCATCTTGCGTAAAGGACGAATCTTCGCCTCTCATTTATTCATTCTGACTCTCAGATGTTGATTACTATGGGCTTGCCAGATTGTGTCGACTTTACTAATATGCGTAAAGAAACCAAGGCATGAAAGTGCTAAATTGGTTCAAAAAGGAGATCATTCATGCGTTGTACTAGTTTGCACCACTCGCAGTTCTGGGTTAGCTCGTTGAAGTGAGGCCGGTTGCCAGCTGGAAGAGGGGGCTCACAGTCTGCCTCCCAAATATCCCACCCGCAAAGTTGCGGCCTGATCCCCGTCTTGTCCGTCCTCATATCGCACGACTGAACTGACCGACATCTGTTGACTTTCGGCGAAAAGAATAATCGATGCCCAACTTAAATGGGTTATAAGGCCAGTGCCGCCGTTACCCACCCCGTTCGAGGCCTTTGCAGAGAGCGGGACCCCTTTTACTATAGCACGGTGCTCCCCGCTATCTGACATGACTCTGTTTTATGGGCTACCCTGTCAATATTCGGAGAAAAGAAGAGGCTCGACCCTGATGTACAGCCAGGAAGCTAACCAGACGAACATCATTGTACATTAATCATTGCCGGGCGGGTTTGTGGGAGTAATGACTACGGTAAGGCAGTGACTTGCACATTGAAATGTCTGAGCATGAAATGAACAGAAAACATAGGACATGTTCTTGCAACTCGTGATTGTTTCTTCCACTCAACCACATATCGTGTGTCGGTGCTTCTGACCTAAATACTTGGCGTCGTTTCACCCAGCAAACACAGCCCTCAAGCACTGCTTAGGGCTCCTACACGACGATTGGAATGAGGCCATCGAAGCCCAGGAGTTGAGCAGCGGCCGTGGAGTTCCATCGACAGCACTTTTTGCTATATGGTGGTGTCACAGCCCTCGTGCTCATGACACACAAACAGGACTGTTACCGGAGATTATGCGCATATCAATGTCCCATAATTTGCTGCGATCCATCAGGTCTGAGGGGAAAGAGCTTTTTAGTCTTGTTGACCGTGCTGATGCGCACCGGGTTTCTGCAGCATCCCAGCAAAACCACAAAACAGGATGGCATAGTATCGGGGAGTCCATTCTGCTGCACAGAATCTAGCCCGTCGCTGTTACGGTGTGACCAATTTGATTTGGCGACATGCTCTCGAACCACTCAAGCGGACTGTTGATACTCACAGCATGGACCCCAATAGTAACGCTACGGCAACAGCCCGGATTGATAATCGGAAACAATCTACTTCGTCATAAACATATGTTATGCAGCAATTCAGGAGAGGAAGACATCAGCGAGAATAGAAGTGATCTTCGCGATATACTGCCGCGAGGAATCTAGTCACAGCTAATAGACATGGAAAGCACCACCATAGGACACGACAGGCATTGCGAAGACTTTCGGTGCTTGGCGTTGAAGTGATTCGCGAGCAGAAGCCCGCCCTGGAACGGTGTGATGGTAGCAAGTGGAACATCCTTCTGCAGGTCCCTGTATAGTTGGAGATCGGAGATGATCAAGTACTATATACATAGTACTTCAGACTGATTCGATGCAGAGAACTACTGGGCCTGCCAAGACAAAAGAGTGGTGATGCTCTACTATGTTGCTGTTCTTCTGCCAACTGGCGCTAGTATTGGATTCCGTCTTTCAATTGCATCCACTATGAACCTATCCCTGTTCTGGACGGAAGACTACAGGTGCAAGGGTCTTGCAAGAAAACTCTGCGAGATTATTCGATTTGTTTTGAAGAGGGTCGACGGGACAGTTGTATGTTGTTGACACGCGTGGCTCGCTTCGAGTATACCTGGATGATCTTTCAAAACATGCCCGGCGTCTCTGACCTAGGCGACATGTATCTGGCAGTGGACTACGTTACCATGCTCCATCAAAGACCAGACCATTCGGGATTCATCGCGCATGTTGAGCCTTTAGACATCGGACTGCTGTCAAGAGTGAATGCCACGTCGAAGTATGGTTGTCATGCCACGATATTCTGACTCCCAATAACCTTTCATAACCTCCCGGGGGCGCTTAATGCTTTTATATCATTGCCTATTTGTGCCAGTATGCAGACGCGAGTTGGGCACGAAACAAACGCGATGATCGCCCCTGCCGCGATAAAAGAAGCATTCTCAGCCATTGCCCTGTTTTGCGCTGTAGCTACCATTGGTGCTATAGTCCTAGGCCCTGGCTAGAGTCTAGTTAGTGGTCTTTGCGCCCCGCATTCTAGTGCTTCTTCTGTCTCCTCCCGTTTCGTTTCACATCTTCCCGTTGGCTGAGAATGCAAATCCACGAAGCTTCTGCAGCTGCTTGCATAAGGGCAATGCAGGTTGACTTGAAAGCGGCCAACCATCACGTTCATCGCGCTCCATTTCGGCCGTCGCGCTCCTAATTCGTCCTTCTCTGCACTATTCTACTGCACCTGCCAATATACAGCTATACTTCTTCGAGGGTAACTAACCAATCGAACCCATCCCACCAGTCCCTTCTGAGAACATGAGCTTTACGGCTCATCCGCGAGAGTATGGGGACTGTCTTCCAGGAACGCGGGAGGGGGGTCATGTCTAGATGTAAACATGAGTAGTATAACTGGATCCAGAAACCATGTGTGCCTGACCGCTTTTTTCCTTCGACTGATTTCCATCTTGTATGAATGGAATTGTATCGATCTCGTTGCTCTCGTTGAAAAGCTCTACTGCAGGTCCAGCGTAGCGATTCGTGTGAGCAACAAATAAACTCACCTAAGTGCCCGCTGTTTGCAGTGCGGCTCTATGTTATCATAAATCGCCGTATACTATTACCGTTCTGACTCATCATTAACTCAACTTTGTTCAGTGGGAATGGTCTCACTTCACACAAGCTTAACATTAACCTTCTAAACTGGACCAACAGCTCTGCACAGCAATTGTTTCTTCGGAACTTGAACGCCACTACGGCATGAGAGAGCTATGGCAGCCACACCACGGGCATTTTTTTGCCTGTGGCAAGACGACACAATTCGAGAGCAACTCTTCGAACTACTTCACAACGAGGACATTTGCAATGTACGACTCGCATCTTCAGCGTGCTGCAACCTCGTTACGAAGCGCCTCTTCCTACGAACCCACCTGACCTTCACGGCCAACACCTTCACAAAACAATCCAGAGTACAAGCCTTGTCACGTATAGGACACCACATTGAACATTTGACTTTCTTCTTCCCGCACTCCGATGCGACCTTTTTACCACCGCTCATTCACCCCGAGACAGGGCGTGAGATAAGCTTTTTATATACCCCTCACACTTCAATGGCTTCGGTCCTGGCAAGGCCAAAGTTTGCCAATACTGAACTGGGCGATATCCTGACCCAACAATACCCGCCACTATTTCATGCGGCTTCGAACGTACCGTCGTTCATCAACGCTATGAAGCATTTGCCAAATATGAGGCACATGACCATCAAAACCCCCGGACAAACCCCCAAGGAGAGATACAGACGCGACATAGTCGATTATGCTTTGATTAGTCTTCGCATTTCGCTAGAGAGGGCACCACTGAAAAAGCTCATGAAGCTGTCCCTATCATCTATACATCCCTCTGCTTTCGCATATCTACGCCATGTTCCTGGATTTGGTTGCACACCCTCGGCAGGGCGTCGCTGGAAGCAAATTCGCAAACTGCACATATCAGTGGAGTCCTGGGACTTCTATGGCCCATCTCCTGGTCTTGACCACCTGAAGGTGATCGATGACTATATCAGAAACTTCTCTGAGTGTTTGGAGAAGTTCACGTTCGCATGGCTTGGTCGTAAGGGTCCCTGCCCCGTATCATTGGCATCAGATCCGCTGTTTGCACCGCCTCGCAATACACAAAAGTTGTTCAATGAGGTCACCTCCCCGATGTCGCCGCTTCCTCCGACACCTGGCAGGAAGCCTATCAGGTTCCGGAAGTTGAAGACTCTATCAATACGCAATGCGACAATGAACGCGCCACAAGTAGCTGAACTTGTCGCAGACCACCAGCACAGCGTGCGTGAGTTCGACTTTGAGAACGTCGTTCTCATCAACGACGGCAGCTGGGACGAGGCCCTGTCTCCATTGATGGACGATACGTCTCGTGGTGACCACTGGTCACGGCACTCAATTGGTTCAACTGTTGGGTCAATTGCGGAAACTACGAGCATCCTTTCAGCGCCAGCTTCAATTTATGAAGAAGTTTCTTCTCCTTCAGCGGCTGTGGCGGCTCTCTCAGAAGAGTTGCTTTCGATCGATCTAGAAGATCCCTTTGAGGGACCTGCAGAACCTAAGCAGGAGTATCTCGATGATTACGACCTTCCGTCAGATCTCGAGTCAGCGCGTCAAGCTAGCTTATATTCTGGCAAAGAGAAGACGAGGCGTCTTACCAAGCGTCGCCGCAGGAGGAGGCATGATCATGATTACCAGGAGGAAAAGAATGTGCGGCGTCCAGAAACTCCACAGACACCTACTCCACGACCGCGCCACCACCGGTATATGTCCGAAGACATCATCAGTAAACATTCTGATATGGAGTCCCGACCACATTACCGCCGCCACATGTCAGAGGATACTATCAGTCAACGATCTGACACGGAGCGCCGACCACGTTACCGCCGCCAGATGTCCGAGGAAACCATCAGCCAGCGGTCTTACTTGGAGCCCCAGTCTCCTCCAGTTGAGCCTCCTCAACCTATTCATTACCGCTCTCGCTCATTGCTATATGGCGAAATGAACAGCATTCGTTCGGCTGCATCCAGCCAGCAACTCTTCGGCGAGGTGGATAGCATTCACTCCCCATCCAGTCAGCGACTGCACTCCCCCTCTAGTCAACGGCTGCATTCGTCTTCTAGCCAGCGACTGTTTGGTGAGATAGACAGCGTGCACTCTGCTTCCAGCCAACGATTGTGCAGTGAGATAGATAGTATTCACTCTGGGTCAACCCACCGACTGTTTGGAGAAATCGAGCCTGAGCCAGGCTTCAGTCACTCCCCTACTTCTGAAGCGGACTCGATGGATGAGTATTTCCGACCGATTACTCCCATTCTTGAGTCAGAGCTGGAGATTTCCGCCCCCATCCTCAACACCCAGCCATCCATGCCAACCCTCCTTCAGGCAACGGTCTATGACCCTACCGGCGGGTACTGCAACGAGATCAGTGCAGTACAACGCGACCTTGAAGCAGAGGAAGCCCAGAGGGTCCTGGCAGAGAACCCGGACCTGCGCAAGTCCGCATTAAGAAAGGGCAAAGAAGCCGTGTTGAACAGGCTACGCCAGCAGTTCGCTAGCAAGAAACAGACGAAGAAGGACTTGACTATATCACCAGATGCCATGGCAGCTATGGGCGTCCGCTTCCAAGAACGCCTCTTTGGGAACAGCGGGTCGCCGGTTGCGGCAAATTTCGACCACCGCCAAAGCATGGATGTACCTATTTTATTGAGTCCGTAAATGAAAAATAACGAATTATGAATGATGCAAATCAACCGAACATGGCCCAGTGATAATGTACTTTTGTAAGTGACTATTTCGCGCCCGCACGCTTGTAGTAGCCCCGTGTCTCTTCGCTCAAAAGAATGCGGTCTGCCTACAATGATGGACACTCTTGAGTTGCTTGATATGCGCAATCCATTGACAGTGCAAGATGAAATGTTCTCCACCCATGTATATCGAATCGTCGACATCTCAAGGCTCACGCGAAAGAGCACTGATGCGACGTATAATTATCATTGCAAAGTTTATTATATCTTGGCTTTTGCAGGGCCAAATCTCGGTTTGATAGCTACCCTGGGATGATTGCCAGCCAATCTAAGCCCAGTCACCTTCTCAAGCTCATCGACAGCCTCAAATGCCCGACCAAGGTTGACTTTGATTGTCTGGAATCCGAGCTTCTTTGCTGCTTTCAAATTCTCGCCGATATCATCTAGAAAAACAACATCTGCCGGCTTCACGCCGCTGCTCAAGCTTGCCGAACTCCCATCTTGCCTCTTGACTCGCTCCCTGGCGAAGTCGTTCACTTGGCTCAGTGTGTACTCGTACATATTCGGATCCGGCTTCCGCAGGCCGACATGTGCTGAAGACACAAAGACGTCGAACAAGCCTCGGACGGGTCCGCTAAAATAATCACTTTGGTGAAGCGGGTGTCCGGGAGGGAAGATCATCGTGTTGCTTACAGCAGCCACGATGAACTTGTTGCTCTCCTTCAGCTTCTTGAGCGCGGGGTACATCCAAGGGTCTGGGGTGGCTGATTGTGTCATCATCTCGTTGAACAGCCACTTCGCATCCAGTGTTGGTAGTGGTGGAACCTCCTTTGGCAACTTCGGGTTCTTGCCTTGCTGTGTATTGTAGAATGCTTCCCATCGTGTAGGATCATGGAGATCTTTCCCGAAACCTTGGAAAAAAGCATCGTCCATGAGTATCTCTCCCCGTTCTAACCTATGCCAGAAACCATTTGGAGACGTCTTGGAGATAGAATAGTTGACCCATCCTGGCGGAATTCCTAAGCCCAATTCGTAATCGAGAATGGCCTGAAATGGTGAAACAACCTAACCAGTGTCAGCGTATATATAGGTAAGCCATGAGCTCGCATCAGGTTCGAGCAATGATAAAATGCAAAGAAGGGATTTGGGCCAGTCTAGTTGTCTGGAAGTTGGATGGCGTCGGCCCACTTACAACAACTCCACCAATGTCAAAGAGTATGACCTTGGGCTGGTTGTTCGTTGACATGGCGCCAACTGTGAATTTGACTCGGTAAGCTATCCGATGATGATGTAAAAAGTTTGACAATACGATGGCACGAGATGCAAACGTGAGTTTATTCGAAACCAGTCCCGACCAGGACAGTCTATTTCCTAACCTAGTATATACATCGACTTGCCCGGGTTCAATGAGCCGGCAGGAGCCTCGGTATCTGGCGTCACTGGGAACAAATGGTCCGTGCAGCGAGTACTATGTGTGTAATAAGTCACCTCCAGCTATCTAAGTTACGGATTACAGCATGCACGGATGTGTCAGGTGTGTGGGAGGGAAGGCGGGGCCAGACAAGTGATAAACTCCGACCGCCGACCACCGACCAACGCCGGGCAAGGCTCATTTCGTCGCCCACCTGAAATCTCTGGGGAATCGTACCCCACCAATCTTCCGGCAGGGCTTTGGCAGGTGCAGCTCCAATTCGCACACTAGGACGAATTCCACCCACAAGCGAAAATTCCAAGATCTTGATCTTGAACATCCTCATCTTCTACCAACGACAAAAAACAAGCTGAACACCATCAATCAGCCAAATCAGTCAAAATGGTGAGTTAGCCTTTGATCAACGCAGTGTCAGAAATGACAATACTGCGCTTGAAGTTTTGAGAGTCAATGCAAGATGCTTCGGAATCAAGGCAAAGGAAAAAAGACAATTCTGAAGCGCAAATTGCTGACTCGAGGTCTATCGTAACAGGGGTTCGACAAGCTTATCAAGAGCAGCGCGTACTACAGGTGAGTTACAATTCCTGATTTGTGATTGTTTGGAGACCAGAGAGACGGCAGAACAGTTGGGCGTCGAGCTGCAACCAGAAGGGAATCGAAAACTAACATTTCGTGCCTCACAGTCGCTTCCAGACCAAGTACAAGCGCAGAAGATCCGGCAAGACCGACTACTACGCACGTAAGCGATTGATCACCCAGGCCAAGAACAAGTACAACGCCCCCAAGTACCGCCTGGTCGTCCGCTTCACCAACCGCGACATCATCACCCAGATCGTCACCTCCGAGATCAGCGGTGACAAGGTCTTCGCCGCTGCCTACGCCCACGAGCTCCGTGCCTACGGTATCGACCATGGTCTCACCAACTGGGCCGCTGCCTACGCCACTGGTCTTCTGCTCGCCCGCCGTGTCTTGAAGAAGCTTGGCCTTGACGAGCACTTCACTGGTGTCGAGGAGGCCGATGGCGAGTACACCCTGACTGAGGCCGCCGATGTCGACGGTGAGGAGCGCCGCCCCTTCAAGGCCTTCCTTGATGTCGGTCTTGCCCGTACCTCCACTGGTGCCCGTGTCTTCGCTGCCATGAAGGGTGCTTCCGACGGTGGTATCTTCGTTCCCCACTCCGAGAACCGTTTCCCCGGTTACGATATCGAGGGTGAGGAGCTTGACGCCGAGACCCTCAAGAAGTACATCTTCGCCGGTCACGTCGCCGAGTACATGGAGACTCTGGCTGATGATGATGAGGAGCGCTACAAGTCCCAGTTCCAGCAATACATCGATGACGATGTTGAGGCTGAGGGCCTTGAGGACCTCTACACCGAGGCTCACGCCGCTATCCGTGAGGACCCCTTCAAGAAGCACGAGACTGATGCCCCCAAGAAGAGCAAGGACGAGTGGAAGGCCGAGTCCAAGAAGTTCAGGTCGAAGAAGTTGACCAAGGCTCAGAAGGAGGAGAATGTCAAGGCCAGAATTGCCGAGCTCCGCAGCGAGTAAGGGTAATATCACGGTCTGGATTTGTGAAAATGGGATCAACTTCTTTACGGCTCGTATGAAAAGGTCAACCGGTAGTTCAGGAGTTAATTGCATGAGATGCTCTCAATGATTTGATTGATTTTGGATGATACCACATAAAGTTTGTTCTCAGTTCCGTGAAGTCATGCTACTCTCTTGTGATTTGTAGTCTGGACCGCTCAACTAATCGAGGCATCAAGTGTTGCATGGCCCACGGCAATTGTTCTTTTGCAGTGGCTGCTGAGACGCTGGGCTGGCGCCAACATATACACATACACTGTGATGGGATATTGATTGGGCTTACAGTAGCTGTGTCTGGAATGCATGCCTGAAAACCCAAAATTCGGCATGATGGCCTCTTCAGGGCTCAATTGCCTGTGCGCTGCGCGCACAGCTTTAAGCATTGGTTTGTTTGCATTTCGAACCTGGAGACTTCAGTGCTTTCCAATATGAGACATCCCGGCGGGTAGGGAGACGTTCAGCTCATCATGATCACCACGGAACGTGGTTTCTTGCTTTCGGACGCGGCACCAAGACTGGTCAGCCCTTTGTTCAACGATCTGCTATTAGCTGCGCTACCAGGTACGGATTTACCTCATCGCCACCGCCAATGGGTATTGGATGTGTATGTTTCGGGAGCACTGGACCGACGGAGGTTATCCTGCGCGTCGGGTGAGTTTCTCACGTGGGCTTGGACCTTGGACGAAGTGCTTGACCAGGGCGGATAGCATAATCGACACAGTAAAGACGCTCCAGCATCCAACCCGGACCCATGATTGGAATAAGACTTGGCGTTAATCGTCAACTGAACACGCGCATGGGTTGGTTTCGGAACATCCCGTGGACAAATGCCCTGGGAGACCTTATTTTCGATTGCGCATGTTCGTTGCGGTGAGCAAATCTTATCAAGGTGATGGCATTTTCTGCGCTACCCCAGAAGGCAAAGGGGACTAGTAAGCAACCAGAGCCGCATGTCAGCAACTGTGGGATATTTGGGATCTAAGGTAAGGTTAGAGGCGCCAGTTGACATGTAACGATGATGCTTCGAGGAATGTATCAGTGAGACAATTGAACTTAAAGAAATTCATGATTTTGCTTTCGGTAACGTCACCGAGGCTGCCGTTCTTTTGATCATAATATCCAGACTGCTTAATCACGCAACAACTGCCGGAAGGAATTAGCGGAGTCAATGAAGGGAAAATGTCGGAAAGCAGACCCCATCACTACGCACTTCGTATGATCGCGTGCTCTGTCGGAGCCCGCCATCGGCAGCCACCTATGTACAGGTATGTTTGTGTTTGCTTGCTGTGTTCATGCGACTATGGCATGTTCGTGGTATTCCCTTCATAAAACTTGCCAACCAACCACAATCGTTCACATGACCAACACCACTTCACAAAGCAAACTGCCGGCGATATGCGAATTTTTGCCAACAACGGGAACGTCATGTGCTCCCACGTTCTCCAAAAAAGTGTAACATGGCTCCGAGCAGCATCTTGCATGAATTGACGCAGATCTCTTGGAGACTGGACTTGGGATGATGTTTCCCTGTGTGGCACACCTACGTCTTGTCTTGTATGCATGTGCTGCGAACCGCAACATGAGACCACTCTTGCATGCGCTTGATGTACACAGATATGCAGCTTTCTCAGTGAGGGGCGATTAATCTACTTCACCCCTTTTCAGCTCTGAGACCGCACTGAACAGAAACAAGCCAGCCACGAATTCAGGTCAGTCTAAATAACATGATATACTCCGTACAGTGGCATCAATATTTGCTATGCATCGGGCATTATTCATCATGTTCTACTGATCAACTCGCACGGTTGAACGGAAAATGACCGCCCCTCAGCACTAAAGGATTATTGGACATTAGGGGACTGACGTCGTTGTGTCCAGGGTCTCGTGCACGGCTTTGGCCAGTGTGAGCTGTTTTCTCCAAAATAAAAAATTGTTAGATTTTGTTCACTCGAGGATCACATCATAGCGTTTCCAATTGGATCGAGGGCTCGGAACCGGTGGATGATCTCGCCTACCATAGCAGCGTTGCACTGTACCCATGAGCGAACTGCCCACTGAAAGGCCCCACGACCCTTAGGACCCTGTCAATGCTACATATGTATGTTTAGCACCGTAGTACGCAATGAGGCAGTAAATTGATCTTGCTGTGGCCGCTCCGGAGCCCACAATACCGCCTATCTTGACACTCTAGGTTAACTCATTGAGCTCGCATCAGCGGGTTCGTTAAATGTTGCACCTGTGTATTATTAGCTCATACTGTAGGTACCAGTATGCCATAGGTGTGCGAGTGTGGGAGAGATCAACACCGTAAGCCGTACCATTAGCTGGGAAGACTGGATAGTAAATTCTTTTTATTTTTTGGTTTATTTTGTTTGTCTCCCTCTTTCTCTCTCTCTCTCCCCCTCACTCGCTGCACCAGACATTATAATAAGTGCCAAATCCTTTAAATCCGAAGCTATTCATTTCGCCTCCCTTGAACTCTGTTTCCGATTTGGCTTCTGCTGCTAACTGATTGTCGACTATGGCCCGCCACCGCTGTCTGTAGTATTGGTTGGCCTCGCCCATGACCATCTGCGCCCGTCCGAAACCCCACACTTGGAGCTCGAATCTAGACCTCGCTATTGAAAGATAGGCTGTATTGCTAATCGACGGGAGAGCGTGTCAAGGTCTCGTCGGCTTGACTCTTCTACCTCAGAAGACGCATCGTCTCTGCCATCACCAGTGTCCCAGCATCACTTCGTGTTTCGAAACCATCGCCGTTTATCGGTCGGATTTGCTTTGACGGGGACCCTCTTAACGCATTTCAGTCTACATGCTCTAGTCAGCACTCAGCGCATCGCATCTCCCCCAAGATCCACTCCGCTGGACTGAACAGAACTGAACAGAACTGAAGGAAGATACTCGTTCTCACACAAACCTCAACCTCCCCTGTTCCTGTTGTTCTCGAACGACGCGGAACTGCCAAGGGGCATTGCATCAATATGGAGCAGGTTATTGATGTAAGCTGGATGAACCATGGCAAAGGTATGCTTCTTGAACTCTCCACACCGATCTGCGCCGAGTATTCACACCCCGTGGTACTGGATCCTACCGCAGCCAACATGCCAACTGATAATTCTATGGAAACAGACAAGATAGGCAGAAACAACGCCAAACAGAACGGCTCAACTACGGCAAATCAGGAATCCACGAATGCCCGCCCCGTAGAAACACCAAAAAGGCCCAACACAGCAACCACTCCAATATCACCACCACCTTCACCTCCGCCAGTCGCAACCCCTCCAGCCGCTAAGCCGATACCTACACGACAAGGGACGAGGAGAAGCGGCTCTATAGATGAAAAGAAGTCTACTGCGCCCAACGGCACGCCCCCAACACCACAGCGGAGAGGCTCATGGTTCTCTAAGATATCGGGCTCGTTTTCTTCCTCGCCCGGTAACGCACAAACCTCTAGCGAAACCGCCCCCTCGCAAGCCGACGCCGACGACGAGATCGCGCCTTTGCCTAAGATCTCCCCGAACAAGAACGCTGTTCTTCCGCATGCAACAAGACCCCATGGCGATGCGCCCTATGTGCCGGCACCCCCTGAAAATGGCCGGCCTGGCTTCTTCGGTGTATTTCGTCGGAAGTCCTCCTCGAACGGATCCATGATGATGGGCAAGAACAATCATGGATTGGTCGAGCGTCGCATTTTGAATGTGGACAAGCAGAGAGAAAGACCTCGGTTGAGTGAGCTGAACCAAGCAAAACTGCGACGAGTGGCATTCTGTGTGGATGTCGAAATCGCGCCCATGCCTAAATACACCGATTCAGACAGCGGTGAAACCCAGTCAGATGAGAAATCGCAGAAGCGCAAGATAACAGAAAAAGGTGAAGGGGAGGCCTTGAAGAGGCCCAAGGCCGTTGAAGATGAGAAGGAAAAGGATGGCATGGTCAAGTCTACGGGCGAGCAATTGCCCAAGGAGCCTGCAAAGGAAGGCTCGGACGCAGTGAATGGAGCAGATGCTCGACACCAGGATGGAATCACTATATCAAAAGACGCGCCTAAGCCAGAAAAGGAGAATACTCGTAAGAAGGAGAAGAAAAGGAAGAGTGAGGCAGAGCGCAAGGCTAAGAAGGAACAAAAGCGGAGAGAAGCTCTAGAAAAGGGCGCGATTCCCATGGAGCTTCATTTTGACAGCGACTCATCGGTTGAAAACACTGCTGTGCCGCAGATCCCCAAGCAAACCAAATATTCGCCCACTACCAACCCAGGGCGGATATACCGGAGATGCTGTCAGTTGCGCGAGACTGATATTCTCACCAAGATTACTGCCCAACTTCCCAAATCGACGACAAGCAATCTGGATGGCGTCGTTGAAAAGCTTGACCTCTCCGGCTATTTCATGTCGCTTCCGGATTTGGTCACTCTGGGCGACTTCTTTGCCGTTGTGCCAGTCAAGGAGGTCATTCTGGAAAACTGTGGTTTGACAGACGAGGGCATCCGGGTTGTGCTAGCCGGCCTTCTCGCTTCTAAGAAGCAAAAGACCAGACAACGGAAGAGCATTACTAAACCAGCAGACCTATGTCACCAAGGCGGTGTTGTGGAACGGCTTACTCTCAAGAACAATAAGTTCGGAGCCGATGGATGGAGGCACATATGCCTTTTCATACATATGTGCCGCTCCTTGAAATGCCTCGACCTTTCGAGCATTGCATTTCCTTCCCCTTGCGAGCCGCTCAAGGCCACACCTTTATCTCATCATTTCCACCATCAACCGGCTCCGGTCACACAAATCGACACATCTCTGCTGTTGTCTAAATCTCTGGGGGAGAGACTTGCTGGTGCCGAGCTTGAACTCCTGAACCTCGGAGAGACGGGATTGACGACCACGCAACTAGGTGCTGTCATCGACGGCTGTCTCAAGTCGGGTGTAATACGCCTTGGCCTTGCGCACAATGACCTTGACGCTCGGGGCATTGAACACGTCGCCAGATACCTTCGCAACAGCAAGTGCCAAGGGCTCGACCTGGGTGGCAATGATCTCAGAGATCATCTGCAAGTGATTGCGGAGGCTATCAGCGAAGACAACCAAACTCTCTGGGCCCTCAGCTTGGCTAACAGTAATCTCACACCCAGCGCGCTGTGCAAGCTTCTCCCGAAATTGGCCCAGACCAAGGCTTGCAAGTTCATTGATCTGTCCCACAATCACGAGCTGTGCGAATCACAACCTAGTGCTATTGGTCTGTTACGGAGGTATCTACCAAAACTTGACGCCCTTAAGCGCCTTCACCTTGCGGATGTCTCCATGACATCTGAGCAAGCCATTGCTTTGGTCGAGATCTTGCCTGAAATTAGCATGTTGGCACACATCAATCTTCTCGAGAACCCCGAACTTGTGAAATTGGCAGATGCTAAGACAGAGGAGGCTCAAGAGGAGGCCTGCGCACTATACGCTTCTTTGCTTGCGGCTGCGCGGGTCTCAGAGACGCTGGTCAAGATTGATATTGAGACACCAAGTGCTGAATCCTCCGAGGTCGTCAGGGCTTTGGCAAACCAAGTTCTGGCTTACTGTCTCCGTAACTTACGCATGGCTCCTGACATCCGGGACAACGGTGAGCAAGCGCCAGAGCAGATCAAATATCCTGATGTACTACGCCATATTGTTGGCCACGAAGAAGACACAGAGCCGGTGGAAATGCACTCTGATACCGATGCTGCTCCTGATGAGGACTATGTCATTGGTGGTACAGGTGTTGTAAAGGCACTCACCTGCTGTTTGAACAACCTAGATCAGAACGCGAGGAGGGATTCTGGTGACTTCATTAGAGATCTTGAAACCGGCACCGTCGCTCCTACGACTAAGATGCATGCTGGAAAGGCAAAGAATATGTCCAAGCACTTACTTGCTAGTGCTCGCAAGATCCGCACCAGGTTACAGCCAGTTTTGGCTGAGGCCAAGGCTGTTTCCAGGGAGGACATGAACAACTATAGTAAGCACTTCGTGACAATGATGTTGATGTCTCGTGTTGACACATATTTAGATCGCCTTCTTTTCTTGGATCAGACTTTGCAGGAGATCATTCGTCGATTTGAGGACGAATTCCCCGAAACGCGCCAGTCACCAGTGCCGGTTATGGCACCACACTATGCGGTGCCAGCGCCGCCTCAACGTGGCAATTCGTTCTCCTCTTTGGAAATGGACGCAGTCATTTCGGATACCGAAGAGGCTCTCGAGACGGAATTACGCTCACCAGCTCGTTCTCGCTCTAACTCCATCATGTCCCACACCTCAAAAGCCTTGGCAGAGGAAGAAGGTCGCGCTCTTCGTATCGGTCACAAATTCCGGCGCGGATTCATCCAAGCGCATTTCGACTTGCTTACTGGTGCTGAATCGGAAATAATAAACGAGCCTGACCACAGGAAACAAATCGAGCACATGCTTGAGGATTTAGCTATTGATGATGAGGCTATTCGAACGAAGCTTCAGGAGAAGGGCGCAATTGCTACTTTCCAAGAGGAAAGAAACGAAATAATTAAGAAGATGCGTGACAGAGATCCCGTGGGCTGGGATCGGTTCATTGAGGCCCAGGAGAAGACACGAGCTAATTTGCAGCTCGGAAAGAAAGAGCAGCCGCCTAAGACAAGCGCTATAGCTGATGAGAGTGCTATCGCAGATTGAGCGGCCCTTTCGACTAGCTGGATGGACGTCGTGTATTATGAACAACGACAACAACAAGATGTAACAAATTTTATGATGGGACGGAGCATACAAGGTTCCAAAATATCTGCATTTGCCAGCCCGAGAGGCTTGAACGCGAAAGAGAGAGATTCATGAACATATTTACTACCATCACATAATAGCAAAAATGCAGCAATGGCGTCACGGTGGGTCCAACATACTGAATGCATTCTTCGGACACATGAGTTTGGGAGCTTGGGACTGGTATGGATACCAATATCATTCTTTAAATGGTAAAGAGACAGGATAGAAGTGAATGCTCAACTGCATTATGACTTTTTAAACAACAACATTTGCATATTTTGTGACGAACCTCGAACATGATTTTATCCTATATGGGACAAGAGGGGCGTGGTGACAGTCATATATGCATATGGCAGTAGATTTGAACCGTCACTATAACTCCAACCATGGTTGATAAACTCCAAAGACGATAGTAATCGTTAAAGAAAATTGCAAAAATACACAGCACTGGGGGTTTCCCAGTGGTCGCCTACTTGAGTACTAATCCAGCGCTTCTAGGATTTACCCACTTGATAAAAAGGGATTAGTTACCCCGTAGCTTATGACACGGAAACGTCTAACTCATGAACCGTGTGAAGAGTGGGATTATGAAGCGTGACCAACCGAAACCATTTCTGAATTAATTACCGCGTTCCCACCGTTGGCCGGCGGTATTCGCTTAGAAGCCTCACTGCATTCTCATTCTCTTTAATAGTAAAAAAAAAAAAGCACTTCACGACGACCATGTCACGTCAGCCTAGGCCTCTACAGGCAGGCTACAAGCTCCACTACAAGCTTCCAACTATAAAGCACAAATTTTGTATGTGCCTCAAATTGAATATGTTGTTAAGCCATGGACGAAAAAGAGCTAGAGGCTGCCAGGAAGTTGATTAAGTCTTGTGGGTTTGAATGTATTGCGTCGGATGCAAAGTAATTAGTAGCCCTGTGATCTGGGTCTATATTATAGTAAGAACATACAACTTGTCAGGGCGGGTTACGGATCCGCGTCGATCATAACTGAGCGAACAAATATACATAACTCCAGTAGAGGCCCTTAAGAGAAATTGCTCGTCGACTCTGCCACCGTCCTTACCGTCCCAATGTACAAATCCTATGCGGAATGCCTTATTCGGCAAAATGCGATCCTATTATCAGGCTTGATTGGCTACAAACACACACTTGTTGATGTGCTGACTACTGGCCTCACCATTAAACTGCACTACGTTGCACAAAGAATGGCCGTTGAAATGGTAAATGGTCTTTGAGTCCTACGAAGACATTGATGCTGTGACAGAACAATGGGATGGTAAATTTCTCGTCAATGTAAACCTGGGCCTTTCATTCATTCTTTTCTTCCCTTTCTCATAAGCATTGACCTGTTCATAATCGAATTCCAAGGTTTTCGTGATGGACAAGCATTGGTGCACAAGCCCGACCACTATGGCTATGAGGTTCCGGCTTTTGATAATAAGGTTGCTTGGTACACAAGCAATCTCAATTTTTCACCCTCGATCATAGGATGCCCAAATTTCCGAATTTCCTAGGGATCTGCCAAAGGCGTGGATCGTCGCAACTTCAGTGCTGGGTTTCGTTCCAAGCCGGATACTGAACTGTTCAAATTATTGGACTTAAGAAGGCGTGTGGAAATTAGACAGCCATACATCACGTGTGTAGCTCACGTTTGAAGGCTATCGGCTTCAAGAACATCCGCTATGAAACTTCGTATCATGAGTTGCGGTGTGAGTGATGTCTTCCGGCTCCTAATCAGGTACATATATGTGCTGTGGTCCTCCTGACGTGATACCGATATTTGACTGATTCTTGTATGAGTATGGGTCTTTATCTTCAATGTAGTTTCGATCTGCTAATCATGCTAAGAAGATGATAGATAGCTCTACTTAGGGAAATAAGGGCCAGTATCAATCTGTCAATAGTTCATCAATGTCAGTGAGGTGGCAAGCTGGGTGTCTATAACCTCCAAAAACATTAAGTTCTTTATGTGTAATGGTGCTGGTGTCGTCGTTTGACAGAAGGGCTTGGCGCGTCTGAATGACCTCATCTTTGGCATAGACTGAAGTGCATAAATCATGTCCCCGGGAATAAGGAACATTTTTGAATCCACTGTCAAGCAGTTCCTCGGTAACAACCTTGCCTAACGAATGCTCATACGGACGAACGTGTTCAAAGACAAGACCAAGAGAAAGTGGAAAAAGCGACACAAGAAGTAAAATATCATGGTAATATTCCTGAATTGATGGCGAAATACACAAGCTGAGACTACTGCTAATACGTCATTTTTCTTTGTGTTTACTCACTTGTACGCCGTGGGACACTGGTCGGAGTCGAGATAAGTTTTTCAAGAATGGAAATTATGCTCCATTGTTGTGAAATATATGTTTTGCAACTAGTTAGAAATGCTTCCTCGATTTTGCAGTTTTGTCAGTATTACATGTTTCTACAAATAGGGATATCTTGTTGCTAGAACCTAAAAGGCAACTGTCCACGGCGTAGGCCAGCTGCATACAATATGTCAAACCATTGTGATCATCTTCTCGCAAAGCAGCACATAATTCCTGTCTTTCCAAGGAACCAAAGAAACCCTATGAATCTCACGATCGACAAGAAAGCGGTGGCATATAGAAGAAACCGGAAATAGGCTGGTGTCCGGGTTGTAGAGGCTTCCTGCATGAAAAAGTCAGAAGGGTGCCATAGGAGTCATCGTAAGGTCTTGTTTACTCACACCAACGCCAAGAAACGCAAAATCATCCGAGGTGACGATCCAGATCAGCAGCATGTTTGACAGAATCCAGCAGACAACCAGACGAGTCCTGAACGCCTTGTACGTGTCATCTACTTCCTTCGTTTCCACGGCCACTTCCACAGCCACCGGGGCCAAAGCTCTGAGCACGGTCTCCTGGAATTTCTTGTCGATGTCTACCTGCTGCATCTCATCTTCCTCGACCATCTCAAGACCGGACTTGGCGTCTTTGATCACGTTCGCTGAAGGGAGCTTGTCGCTTGCATCTGAGCCCTTCGTGCCCCAAGAAACATCGTGCCAGTTGTTGAAGGCATAAACCATCAGAATATTGATATATGTCGAAGCGAGGATGATGTATTGCGGGAAAGAGTGAAACATGTGCCAGGGGTCCATGTAGAGGAACGAGGCGACATAATTCAAGCCGTAAATGGTGATTAGGGCAAGTAGTATCACGCCAGAAACTCCCGTCCCGCCGAACATGCTCTGAAAGAATGCTGCGCTCGAAGAGGTATCGATCTGGTCTCCAATTGGTATCTTCAATGCTCGGTAGACCAGATAGAATGACAGAATAATGATGTAGAGCTGAATAAAGCCAAACACCACAAACGATACCAGATAGGTTACTTGCGATCCTTTTGGGCGGTTTCCAAGGGCTAGAACAAACTGTATAATTACAAACACAAGGTAGATATACTGGATGATGTGGTTGAATAGTGGAGACGCAGTATCGCCAAATGGCCAGCCGTGATAGTCCGATGCAGTTACAGGTGTGCCGACGAGATCCATAATAACAGTGGTAGTAAGCCAATAGGACGATAGCGAGAACCAACTAAACACAACGTTGGCAATGTTGTATAGTAGCTGGAAATGAAACATGATCATTCTGATCAGACTATGCCCGGATTTGTAGATGCGACCAAAGTGGATGAGCGAGTATAACGAGGCCGCGAACGATCCATTCAGCCAACGCCGACGTTGACTCAGGAACTCAGCAGGGCCTTCAGGTACGTCTGTCTCGCCCTTGGCAGCTTTGACATAAGATAGGTGCCAATTCTGTCCTTCTTTCACTACCAGCTCGAAGCAAAGGATGCGATCTTCTGCGAGAAACATGTTCTTTTTGAAAATATTCATGTTGTTGATGCTTTTCTTGCCGGATGATAGGGTATGGTCGCCGTGGAAATATTGCTCCAAGGGACGACCCATGATTGCTCGAAAGCGATATGCTGAGAATGCGCCGGGGAGAACAGTGACGTAGCCGAAAGAGCTCTCAAGAGGTTTGTCTAGGACGTTCGAAATCTTGTACTCAAAGTTCTGTATTGCCACCAGCGGATTCAATAGCTTAGAGCTCCGATTGCCAAGCATGGCGTGGATTTCACCACAAGCACCACCAAGGTTCTTATCGTTATAGAATGCCTCCCATAACGCCAATAAAGAGCGAGGTCCAGGTTTCGTCCCTGCGTCGATCAAAATAGTGACCTCCGGATTCAAAATTCGCCCAAAAGCATTAAATAACCAACGATGAGAGTTGATCTTTTTGCTGTTCTTCTGCTTTAGACAAAAGAGGAGTTGCGCCGGGGGTAGATTACTAGAATCATCCGCATTCGAGTTGGGACGAGAAAGTTGTTGGTTAGGAGTGACTGACAGCTGTGTAGTGAACTCGAAGATATGGGCGGTTGTTTCCTTTCCGTTCACGTCCTGCTTTCGCACGCCATCTTGATATACTCCGACGGTCGCGAGGAGATCGAGTACACCACTATCGGCCTTGTCGACACCGTCAAACACTAGGCACACCACGATTTTCTCCCATGCTGCTGAACCGCGCGTCCAGAACGTGGACTTCTTCAGGTTCACAATATCGCGTATGTTTTGCATCACGCCATGCAATGTTCTAGCGAATAGTACTTTGTCCTCGTTGTAGTAGGTGATCGCGATCAAAAGCTCGGTGTGTCGGTTGTACATGTGCTGGCGTAGAGTATAGCCGTTCAACAAGGTAAAGTCATTAGGATCACAAGTTGCCGCCGTGTAACGCATCTCCGAGAACTCGTTGCTGCCATTTTCCACGTCTCTGTACTGTGGCTGCAATGCGTTTTTGATTGCACTTGGCACGGGATAGTTTGCGCTCAATACTGATCCCTGACCGCCTTGGAGCAGTTTAATCTTTCGAGTGCCGCGGCGCCGAATGCCTCCTTGGGTACCGATAGCGGGCGGCATCTCTTGTACGCCAAATGAGTCGTCGGGACGTCCGTAGGAGATCGGGTCGTCGTCGGGACGATTGTGTTGATTCCCGAAGAAGCCCTCGCTGCCATCTGGGCTGTTTGGTGAATGCTGATGCCATATTCGCTCAGTGCCAGTCTCATCGTAAGCATATGTTGTTGGATGGCGGTAACTGGGGTCTGACAGCAGACTTTCACCAACATCATGAGCATCGTTTGATTCATACACGCCACTAATATGGTCGGCATTAATTGACTGTGTAGCAGGATCAGAAAAAGTCTGTTCAAGAAACTTATCAGCAAGCGTTTTCTTTTCATTGAATGGCTTGGGAAATGATCGTACACTGCCGGAATGTTGATCAAGAGGATGCATAGGATAGCTTTCCGCCTGGTTGTCCTCGTTCTTCAGTGTTTCCATATTCGTTCCGCTTCAAGAATGAGAGAAAGAACGAAAAATAAAAAGGGAGAGAAGGAAAGAATGATGGAAGATAGTCCAGAAGAGAATCGACAAGAATTACTCGGCTCGAACGATACACAACTAGTGCTGTTATATGAATGGACGTCTTTGAGAAAAGAATGTTGAAAAAGAAAATTTGAAGAAAAGCTATTTGGACGCTTGATGAATATTCTAGAAAGGTTCGACAGCTGAAAAGTTAAAATGGCTTCTTTCAGAGACGTATTTGAAACGGATTTCTTTGAGAAATGTCTCTAGATTGAAGATAATCCACGAAGGCATTGAGGTCTGGACCTCTTCGGCATATAAACGGCTTCTCGAAAGGGCCCATTCATGTGTAGCTTTGAAGCTTTCTGCTAGGACAAGATACATAAGGCAAGGGAACAAGCCTAAGCCTGCCTTGATATTATAGCTCCACCTCGTGGTGCTGCCATGCGGACTGGGTGGAGCTGCCGGGAGTTCGCCTGATTCCAGAAAAGGGAGTGGAGACAGGGGAATTGCACAGCCCTTATTTGGACTGACACGAGAGGCTAAGCAGTCGGGACAGATGACAAGCTACGTATGTAAGCCTTGGCAGCCAGCCAGTAAAAGCAATAGATCAGACCAATTGTTATACTGAGGTAGACTAGCCTTAACAGGAAAATGCGCTTCAAGTGGGCACAAAAAATAGTCTCGTTGTGATAATATACACCCAGTTGCATCTGATTGAGTTGAACTATATTCTCCTGTCGTCTATATCACTAACTTGTGTCGGAGATTTGTGCTGTAGACGTATCAATTAGGTGTATCTTAGAACAACCAACCTTCCTGCCAAGCACAAGTTCTTGTTTTTCCATGTACTCTCTCTGTCTCCGAGTCAATGGGAGAGTAAGACGACTGAGGGTTGTCTGTATTTGCGAACCAATCGTTGCTGACGGATTGCAGATACTATGGTCCTCTCTCTTCTCGAATTTTCCCAAATCGTGGATTGTAAGTGTTGACAAATGTGTATGAATCGCTGCAATACTGTCATAAACATCTGGTGCTTCTGGTAGCGGCCAAAGTTTTGCCCTGCAGAGACTCCATGTAAGTGACCCGAGGATTATCGATTCGCACCTATGCGGTCCCATCCAAACAGCGTGTCGACACCATCGTGGTTTCTCATCCTCGATTAGTAGGTGGTCAATCAAGTCTCTGAATGGCTGCAGCAACGAGCACAAGATATCTTCTCGAACAGAGTGTATATGTTCTTTCCAACGCATCAGCTCTCTAGTTCTGCATACTGGGATCGATAAGAGTTCTTTGTGACTTACCTAACACACCAGGGGGTGTTTGAATGCTGCTACAGGATAGTGCATCCGCAAAGTCTGCAGCATCGAACTCCAACAAGACGTAACGCGATACCGTCTGGAATAACGGTATGGCACCAAGTTCCCACGCAATCCACAAGACCTTCAGCATCGGCGTGTTGATATCTTCAACTAAATTGGCGATATGGTTGATCCAGACTTCCACCCACGGTCGAAGTACTTTGGTTGCATCATAATAGTGGACTACGACAGTTAAGTCATAGATCTTGTCGAGAGAAAGGTTTCGTAGAGTCTCATCGTAACTGCCGTGTATTATCGAGAGAAAGAGGCCCATGGTCACCGGCTTGTCTTCTGGTAATCGTACGATCCATTCGCCCATAGCTGCCCTTGTGCTGGGGTCTGCTTCCGCAAAATCGCCATATAGCATACGCTCGAACACTGGAGACGTACGAGCCAGTGTTCTCGGACAGACAATGTAGTCTTCTGTTGCGCCGTCTGGACCGATTCGAAGAGTGAGATCACCCCAAGGGTCGAGCCTGAAAGTGCGTAAACTCATATTTTAAACAAAGAAAGCAGGAACTCAACATAGAATGGCGAAGTGAGAAATTGTTGGAACGTCAGATTTATTCCGCGGGTCAGGCACTGTTCCTTCCTTTTCTTTCTATTTATGTTGCCTGATGACATCCGAGTTTGTGGTAGGCTCCTGTGTACAAGCTATTCTGTCGTGTTTTTGTGATCGAGCTCAAAACTTACGGCAAATACCAAGCATATGCCAAGAGACACTGCATTGTGGCTTGTGGTGCAGACTAAAGGTCGCGTTGGCGCCATGAGCCGCCCTAATAGGTAGCACCAAGAAATCATTGGTGATGTGGAGTATTCTGCGTCGAAAAAGACAACCGTTAATGCGTTGACACAGTGAATGGGGTGTTTACTTCGAAAAAGTTGTACTCCCATGATTCCAAACCAATTTTTATGTGCCAAGTGCTCCTTGATGCCGAGCTTTCCGACATGGTGACTGACGATAGAACTCCCAGTTTCTTTGCTTGAGTCAGCCTTGTACCCTATTTACAATGGTTTAGTCTAGATGTCCATGTATATTGTCGCATATAGAAGATAAAAATGCATGAAGTATCTCGACGACTTCGCATTACGTTCGGCTATTATTTTGTGCCTCTTCTTCTGTTTGACTCAGAGCTTCCAGTCTAGAAACAACAGATACAACCAGGTCAAGATCAGAACAACAGTCACTCCTAGTACAAAATAGTGTCGATTTAGTCTCAATGACCAATTTGGCTTGTGTGCTACATCGCCCATCAATGCAGGAACATGACTTCGGACGAGGAAGCCTTACGAATCATTGTCCAAGCCTCTACGCGACAGTAGTCCGGAGACTAGTCGAAAAAAAAAATGGTTGCAGTCGCCAATGGTGTACAATCGAACATGATTTTTTTTGTCCAAAAAAATCCTTTTTGTCTGGCACTCATCTCACTGAACGAGTGTTTCAAAGTAAACCACCAGTCATTTCGAAGTGCCAAGTATAGTCGTTGCAAGGCTAAGGTCTACGATAGGCCCGAACCAACATAGGCCCACAAGCCGATCTTTTTATTCACACTAACGGTTTTGGTAAATCTACGATGGCACCAATCAGAAAGAGAAAGGCTCACTTATGGTGGAACTCAACTCGATATAGTCTCGGCTGATGCCGAGGGACTCCATTTCTGGGGCTGATTATGCCTAACCAGTCTGAGAAACTTACGAAAGCACAAATCACAAAGCACATTCTAAGGCCCACCTGTGTTGGAAATACCAGCAATCTAATGCAACTTTAAAAAAACGTTATGGGGCTGAGCACATCGCATGATTCGTGCAGAGCCTCGGGCTGGTCAAAGATCGGCCATGAATTTTTGACGTCCACCATAGAAGGCTCTGCCAATATACTCGTATTCCATTCCAATGACAAGTCTCTCTGACCCACAAAACGGAGCCGTGCAAGTCCTAGAGAGCTCGAAAGATATTTGCGGTGTAATTGTTGTGTTTGAGCCAAGAAGTGCGCACAGCCTTTGGACTGAAAGCTGTCGAGGGATATCCGAGGGAAGACAGGAGAAGCATCCATGTGATTCTTCTGTGACTGATCACCACAGCAAGCGTTGTGTACCGAAATTAATTAGTATCAAATACGAGGACTGACGTGGAATACTCAGGTGGAAGGGCTCCCGAATTAATGTCTCCTGAATATTTCAAGCCGGCCCTCATAATCCTCCCTATAAAGGATACTGCCTTCTAATCAAGTACAAGCCATAGTTCATGGATTCCACGTTCATTTTACATTCTTCACTAATACCAACACACGACACCTGTTTCAATAGCATCTGACTTTGCAAGATTCTAAGCAACATGTCCACCGTAACGAGCACGGCTGCACATGCATCCGCCACAGCAGCATGTCCCAACCTATACGATACCCCTGTCCACGACGCCGTCTGTGCCATGCCAAACACTGGTAACTACACGGAGGTCATGTTCTCATGCTGCAAAGAAGCAGACGTCGTTAGCTACTACAACGGCTGCGGTCTGTACTGCCTAGCTTCTGGCCAGAATGTTGGGGACCTCTCCGACTGCCTGTACAAAGAGGGTGCGGCATGGGAAGACGTCTTTTGTCGGGGCAACGAATCTGCCACTGCGACCGGCACGGCCACTGAAGTACCGGCGAGTGCCTCGGCCAGCATCCTGAGTTCCAGCCGAGCTACCTCGACCAGCAAGCCTCAGGATGGCACTGCAAAGAACGGGACAGATTCTAAAAGCGCTGCAGCCACCGCACAACCGAAAGCTACCTCGTTTGTCTCTCTTCTGGCGGCATCACTACTGATGTCTGCGGCTTTTGCGTGCACGCTTTCCTAATTCTCATCGAGTCCAACTCGGACAACACGGACAACACAGTGTGGTGGAGTGGTGGTGGAAAGTTTCAGGAGGCAACGGGGAAACAATCGCGTCTAATATCGTTCTACCTCAAAAGAGGTGTATCCTATATCGTGAGAATTAGAATTTTTGTATGTATGTTTGTAAATACTCGCATACGCTTTTGCGAAAAAGTTTCAGTACTATGGGATGCTTCTTCTTCTTCTTCTTTTATCGTTGTTGCAAAAGTTGCCTCTATAATTCGATGTTTCTAGCTAGAAGAGCGATCGAGTTGTTAGGCGAAATGGAGGGGATATTCATCGCCGATAGACTCTTGGCCATGTGAAGAATGCCCCCGTTACTGCGTCTGATGTTCACTCCGAGCTCCGCACGGGCTGTGATAGAGGCTTCGAAGATCTCGGCAATGTCCCTGCTATCCCAAAGTCCTTCCCTCCTGTCGAGCAGCTTGAGCACACGAATAATTCGCTGTAGCAGTCCCAAATCCTCCGTCAGACATCCCGCAAGCGTTATATAGGGTACAACGTCGGCGCCAAATGTAAAAAGACGCCGTGAGGATGGACCCCTCAAGTCGATGATTGATTCGACGTCAGGCAAGAGCTCATCCAAGACACCGAGTGCAGTAGTACTTTGGCCGCTGAATGTCCACGGCTCTTCGTCCAATATGGCAATCCATGTCTTTTGCAGAAGACGTATCTTGGACGCGTCGGATAAGTCCTTAGACGGTCTTGAATAAGAAGCGCACTCGACCATGTACTGGTCAAAACGGGCGCTCCATTGCCAAAATTGTTGGTATATCTGTTGATAAATAGCTTTGTCATTCTCGCTGAACAGGGTCAAGAAGCATTCGGGCTGCTGCCTGGGCCGCCCGTTGGCATATGATGCCCTGCTTTTGATGCTACTGTACGTCTGTTGATAGAAGATATCGTGAGCGATCTCAAACGAATGGAGCTCGTCTCTGGCAGCGTCCAATGTCATGATTGGCTTGGATGGACAGAACTCAGCCCCGCCAAGCTCCCCGCTTACACGTGAGATTGTTGTGAGCGAGACCACTTCATTGTCTGTGAGTATATGCGTCTCTAGACTCAGGCGGGAAAACAAGACGGCGATATGGTCTATAGTTCGCTTGCGTTGGCCTGTGGATGATATTGCTTGGTGCAGCGCCACTGGCAGACGACCTTTTCGGGTCGTCAAAGAATGACGCTGCGAATCAGGGACCAACAATGATACAAGCAAGTTAACTCCGGACTGCAAGTGTTTAAGTGACTCGGCGTATCGTCCTCGAACATTCTCGAGGCAGATGAATAGTATGCAACAAGCTAGAGCGGCCTCAGCATCTTCTGGTGTCGCCTTGGACAGAAGAGGTTGCAAATGCCGAATTGCTAGATTGTAGTGCAGTACAACAAACCGCTCGTGCTTGGCTGCTGCTGCTGCATTGTAGTTGTCCGTCCTTTGTGTTAGGAAGTCGATATGAGCAGCTGCTAATGCCACCAAGGCATAGCGCGTTGCTTCGATCTGTGACAGTGACCGAGGGAGGGAGTCGGTCCAAAAGCTTGTGCTTATCGTTGAATCGGTTAAATCTTGGATAGTATATTGGACAGCATGATTGAAATATAGATCTTGGGTGTCCGTGGGTAGTGACTGTATGGGTCGGACGAGTTGTATTGTGTTATACTCCGGATGTCCTTCATGATGGGTCACACTCGTTTGGGGCAAGAGATCATAACCGTCGCATTTGACTCGGTCTTGACAGCAACGATGACAGGTCGGCTTCGCTTCGTCGCATTTGAGATGGCGTATTCTTCAAGGGCAGACAACGTCAGAGTCTCGGAGGGCATGTCGAATTTGTTCAAGTTACTCACTTGCTGTTCCTTTAGATGTTAGTCATAGCCTGGACGATTGATTTAAATGGAACGAGTCCAGAAGAGAACGAGACCGACCAAGTTTTACATCCAGTTCGCACTCTTGGAGCCCGAGCTCTTCTTCGCTTCATCGATTGGCTGTGAGGCAGGTTATCGACGGTCCTAACCATATCACCATGGCATTAAAATGTAGACTCATAACATGATTTCCAACGATCAAGCAAGTCGTTGACACTGTTGCATGAGAAGATTTTGATTTCTGAATCGTTAGTCTATCATAGCTTATAAATCCCGGTATCGCGTCGCGTTAAACCCGTAAACAAAACCTTTAAGGCGTACTTAATAACTAAGCGTTATAAACACTTCATGTTGCTTTAAAATAATATACCTTGGGTTGACTATATAAAGCCATTGAAATAGAATTAAAATTAAAAATAGCACTTTCAGTTTAAATTAAGACTTGAAATATAATCAAGATACGGAAATATTAGACTAAGCGATATCCAGGCATAACCTAGAGCAGTGCTTGCCCCACTGTACTTTCCAAGGCCTGGTACCGTAGTGAAACAGGCCCGACGTTTTCGGTGATCGCTGGGGTGGTGTATTTAGTGTTAAGGAATTATCCACGAAATTAATATCCACTCAAACTGCTTCCTTCTCCTCAATGTGCTAAAACTTCAAGAGCGCAATGTCGCAGAGCATCCGCTACCACGTCAAGTCCCGGAAAGGATGCACCAATTGCAAACTTCGTCGCGTGAAAGTGAGCGACCTCACTATGTTCCACAACACTGTTTTGCTGACTTATTCGGAGTGTGACGAAGTGAGACCGCAATGTAGCAGCTGTTTGCGCCGTAGTGTTGAGTGCCTCTATGCATTCACCCCCAGGTCAAAGCATTTTGCTGCAAGACCTGAGCTGCCTCCCACAGACGAGGGCGCCAGACTTCAGTCCATGCCCCTGATATCGCCGCCGCTTCCAATTGCCTCCCAGTACAGCGACAAGAGTCTTTTGGACCTTCGTCTCATGCACCATTACTGCGTCAACACCGCGCCGGGATTCGCCGGCACCTTTCCCGAGAAAGTCCTGCATGCATTGCAGGTGGAAATACCCGCACTTGCCTGCCAACATCCGTTCCTCATGGACGCCATACTGCTAGTATCCATGGTTCATCTATGCTGCGCGGACTCTGCGGCGTTTGACAACATGCCAGTCTACCATTACCGCGACCAAGCGCTTAAGGCCCTGCGCTACGCTGTCGCCAACATCTCTCAGGGCAATGTTGATGCTGTTAGAGGAGCATCTGTTTTACTCGCACAAGTCTCGTTTGCGACCGATCGGGTTACACAGCAGCCAGGCTTGTGGGTGACGAATTGGATGACATTAACCCTAGGACAACGCAATTTTAGAGGGCCGCCATGGTCTTCACAGGACCACCATGGACAGGAAACGTACAACTGTCGCACCGGTCGATATAGCTCATCAGAAGGAAACTCAGTCGCTGAAATCATACCACCGAATATTCATCGTGCTCTGGCGAGAGAGAACGATGGGGATGGCCCTGCATCCAAGACGGTTCTTCATACTGCTGCAACTGAGCTGGGCAGACTCATAGCAATAATCCAGCTACCCTACAAGACATCGGACCTTGAGAAGCAGGTAAAAGCATGGTCTTTCGACCTGGTACCGCTTGAGTTCCACAGACTGGTCCAACAGGAAAACCCCAAAGCTCTCGTCATTTTAGCTCACTATCTAGTGATTTTCAAGCTTCTTCCAGACACGTGGCTATATCAAGACCTCACCAACCACGACATAGGAGAAATAGACAAGTTGATCTGTTCAGATTGGGCGCCATACCTTTCTGCGCCAAGAATGGCAATACACGTTCACAACAAGGAAGATGTGATACAGTTGCTCCGAAGCAGCCTATTTCACAGCACCAGAGAGGCTCAATAACACCGGGAAGTCCAATCCCCGGCAACTTCAAGAATTACACTTCGATTATCAGTACCCGAAATTATGTCTATTTACTCCAGCTCCCCTCTAGGCCTGCATTCTCACCCCCAAAACATATGTTCTCGAAACCCTGCTTGCGCGTCTCCATTGTCTAAAAGTATCGACAGTTGCGAAGCACTTCAGGGGCCCTCTACTCAGTATTCATAAGATATACCAAAGAAACTTCCATGGGTGCCTTGTCCCATGGTGGTTGTGTGTATCCCAGCTGCTATGCAGACTTAACAAGTTGCCTCCAGCAGTACCTCCAGCAGCACCTACAGCAGTTCCTCGTCGCGCGATTGCAAGATTTGCTTCATATTCTTGTGGTTAGGAATGTAGTTGCCGGGGTGGTAGTAGATCAAGATGGCCAAGACCCCAAACATCAAAGTTGAGTCGCAGACGTAGAGATAAGCCTCCGTTTTCATCATGGGCGAGTCGCTACTCCCACAAAACTCGATCAGACGGAAGATGGACCGTACGAAGATCATAGCACTTGCGATATAGATCACACGCAAAACCCCCCTCCATCCTAGCTTGGTGTTTCCTTCGTCAAGTCTCCGAGCCGTATTGGTAGGTGCCCTTGATAGTCGGCGATCCATTACAAACGCGATGACGACAAAGATGCCGAAAAACATTATCTGAATTGCCAGACCAAGTAAGATGATAGTCTTTGCCAGGTTGAAGTTACTAGATAAGTTTGATGATCCGATCACCTGGATCAGAAAAGAGAGTATATCTCCGCCCACGAAAATTTTGGTGAGCCAATTCGGTCGGATGGGAGACTGAGCCTCAGCGCGTACTAATACAATGAGACGTCCAAGGACCATGTAGATCGAGGCGGCAAACAGCGCGGGGGCGACCAAGATTGTCAAAGTCTGAACGACGAATAGGGCAAGGCTCGACGTGTTGTCATGACCTAGAAATCGGCAGATATAACCAGCAGTCTCGACTACGATAGATCAGCATTGGTATATCCTGGAACGACGGGAATTCCTTCACGGAATCAACCGTCCTTTTGCACAAAGAGAAATAAACACAGGGGAAAAACTTACGGCAGCCGCCCAGAACCAGTACAACGAAGTACCACACACGGAGGCGAACTACGATGACCATGTGCCAGAGCGTAGCAATTGCGAACAGGACCACGAAGATCATCGCAGCTGCCGCATTGGGGTTGTAACCGTAGGGATTGACTTCCTGCATCTTGGTGAAGTACGAAGCTCTCTTTTGGGTTACTCTATTGAGGGTATTGATTATGAGTGAGTCTGTGTAGTACTGATTGAAGGAGTGAACTGGTTTGACGCCGTTAACATCGTGGTCCATACGAGTGAATATATACACGCATTTTTCCTTTTGCCTAAGGCTATGTCTGATGGAAAATTTGATCGAACACGAAAGTATCGTCCGCAACCTAAGCTTGAATCACTTTCGAGTCTCCTGAAGCCATGAGCGTCGAGCAGAAACGGTTAGATCCCATTTGTTTCCCTGGCGTTTGCGTGTGGCATTTTCGTACCTCGCATTCCGCACCTCGCACCTCGCACTTCGCACCTCGATCGCACCTATCATTGGTTAGAATGTGGTCTTCGATGTCTGTATGACCCACTACTATGAATGGTCCGGCCCGCGGGCATCTTTAGTGCTACGTAAGGATCCACTGCGGCACGATTGCTCGTGGAAATATAGGGGACGCTAGTGGTCGAGCGTATTGAAAACAAAAGTACTGAGCAGATCATACAGGAAGCCTATGGCTATGATAGCATGTCATTAAAGCGATTGGTGATGTTCAGGCCTTTTTTATTGGTCTTCCATTAACATAGGTTCAAGACCCTGCATGATACAGCAATCAACTGCCGCATGGAGCCAGTAAGACTATCGTTAAGAGATGGGTATTTCGGATCCTTGCACGATTGGTTCGTCAGGCGTTTATCAATTGTTCTGCAGTGATCGTATTGAATATAAAACAATCACCCCACGCTCAACGCTCGAGCAGTCCTTTGAGCGTCGTAGTCACGTCTGTTCTTGGTCTTACTTATGTAGAAGAACCAGGCATACACAAGCACAATGAAGAATACTATTGTCTCCGTCATTCTGGCCATTGGCCTCGCTTCTGCAAATTCCCACCCTACTCTAGGTTCCCACGACACCTGGGCTCCAGCTGGCCCAGATGATTGTAAGTAAACAAACGAGCTCAGTTTTCATGGCGCTATCTTTTTCTGGGGTAGTTGGGCTATGTACCTTGGGCGCTCATATTCTACAGTCCGCGGCCCTTGTCCAATGATGAACACTCTCGCGAATCACGGTTTCCTACCTCACGACGGCAAGAATCTCACCAGTGATGCCGTGGTCCAGGGTTTGCAGAATGGTCTTGGCTTCGACCCATCACTTGGCGCTATCATGTTTTCCCAAGCTCTAGTCGCCAATCCAGAGCCCAATGCTACTTATTTCACCCTGTAAGAGCCCAAGGATAGCTCACAGAGGAACTCAGGAATGAACCTATGCATTCAGTAGCCGATACTCCTATAATTACAAGTAAATGCTAATTGCCACCCCAGGGACCACCTTAATGTTCATAACGTACTGGAACACGATGCGAGCTTAAGGCAAGTCACGATATAGGCACTAATGATACAATTCGATAGACATGGGATGGTTGACGTTTATTTAGTCGCTCGGATGCTTATTTTGGGAACAATCATGTTTTCAACCAGTCAGTCTTCGATACCACAAAGGCATACTGGACCAGCGAGACGGTCACTCCGACTATGTTGGCCAATGGCAAGCTATTCCGGCAAATCGAGTCTCGTTCTTCCAATCCAAACTACACCTTCACTACGAGAACGGAGGCGTTTAGTCTTGGCGAGGTATCTGCGCCAATTGTCGCTTTTGGCGACTTGGATATGGGCACTGTAAATAGGACATTGGTTGAGTACTTCTTCGGTAAGTCTAATTACCTTACTCTGACTTGGTTTCCTCAAGTGTCTTGTTCACAAGTCAATTTGGCATAGGCAGTCACTAATGTTACCTACATGGCAGAGAACGAGCGTTTCCCGACCAAGTTGGGATGGAGCCTGAGGAATGCTACAGTCACTCTAGAATCAGTCGGACGAATGCTATCTCTCGTTGGAGATGCTACAAATCTCTTCACCAATAGCACTGTCAGTAGTGCTACTAGTGAGAGCCTCATGAGGAAAGTGAAGCGTCGAGATTTGCATGCTGGCATTTGGGACATGTAGACAATGCATTCATGCTTACTTCAGTATATAAGATAAATTAAAGCGATTTATGAACGCTTAAGTATATTTCAGTGCAGTCCTGGGTATACATACGTAAACACTCCTTCGTGTAAGCTTATATCGAACGTAGGGTGTGGAATAGATCGAATCGAATAGCCTTCTGCTCGATATATATGCTAAGACAGGGATGACACGAACTGTATTATTCACTCCACCTATATAGAAAATGGGTGTGTTATACTGGTATGCTGCATATCGATCGAGCGGAGGTCTGTTCGATTCGATAAATTTCACACCTTGATCAAACGGGAAGTTTCCCACTAAATACGTAAACAATAAAATGTCGTAAGCACGAACGCCTAGAACTTTAGTTTGTATATACTTCAGGATGAGGAAACTACAAATGGTACAAAAGTTTCGGCCAGTCAGTGTAAGCCTTTAACATAGTCCATGGTAAAAGGTAATCTGTCGGCCAAGGAGAATATGGCAATGACAATTGACTGGGTTATCAAGTGAGGCTTTCCATGGTGCCAAAGCGAGTTCAATATTGGAGACTATGCTGAGGGATGATTCAACAGATGTGTCGACTAATGGTGAGGCAAAGCGAGACCGAAACTGAGGGTCATTGCTAATTCGCCTCGGGTGGATGGACAGCGATGTAGTCGGAACGAGCGACGAATTCGTAAACTTGTTGCAACGCGCCTTTGGGCCAGTCTTCCACGTCGACGTGTATGGCTAGAATGACCATGCAGAATGTTTCTTCTCCGAAGATGGGTGATAGACTTCTTTCCCATATGGTCGCTGTTAAGGATACCCCGCTGATATGATACCAAAATGGTGGCTAAACTTGCTGTGGCCCACGTTGGAAATGAGAGGATCGTCTAATAAAGCCAGCTGTAATGCCTATTATCACGGCTACGATCATCACTTCCCGGCTAGGCAACCTTTCCGAACCTAACGGGACCCTAACGATTGTGCATGCAACCTTATGGGAACAAGGAACGTGCCTACTATTGTCAACTGCAGTACATAGTATTGCCAAGCCTAATAACCTTGATTCTTTTCGGGGTAGTCACCAATGCAATCTCTATTTACAACCATACACCATTCCTAAACGTATATCTTATATTAATTTGACTTCACACATCTTCACGCTGACGCATCGTCCCTTTCCTAACTCAGCACTATGGCCTATTCAAACTACTCTAACGGCACCGCGCCCATCAGTGAGTCTCAGCGTCTCATTGAATAGCAGCAGCGGCGCAAAAGCGAAGTTTTTTTGACCCTCACACTCTTTGCTGGTGCCGCGTTAGTTGCTCATTCTCTCTTTTTCATCTGGCTGCCAAGCATTTTCTTCCAGAGCTTCGGCTGGGGTAGACTCTGTGCAGATAGTGTTTTTGGTGGTGCTGGAGCGCAGCCCGAGTTTGTAGAGTTGCCCACAATCCAAACAAGGACCACTTAAGGTCACTCGCTTATCGCAACCCGTCGGCTAGAACGGCCAGCCCGGCGACCGCGCCTCGTTCATTGCTCTCACTGACAAGTACGCGTATGTCGCCTGGTCCGACGGACGTGACGGTCTGCTTGACGGCATCTTCGCCGAGGTGCCCCTAGAACTGTTTAAACACACCACCGGGACTTCCTCAACTTGAAACAGATTATGTGTATAATGTTATATATATTACCAGTATCTTTTGGCCCTGTCTATTATCCAGATATGCAGCTGCAAGTACCTGTTCTGATATACATAGAAAATGACACTCCTCATCCAGTATTTGCATCTGACTCCTCAACACGTATGCTGAAGTGAAATCGCTTCTTTGATATGTCTTTCAAGAGGTATGCTCTGGTAGGCTCGTGTTATAACATCAATCGAGACCGGCCATGACACCTCTAACGCCTCTATGAATGTTGATAGCGATGAGCACTCCTCCGTTTATGAGAAATTTGAAGACAATTGCCCTATAGCTAAGAGAAATAAGCCTGCCAATGCGGTAAGTTCTGGGCTTTGTATCAGACCAGTTTTTGACTAACCTAGTATAGTCTTAGTCTGCCTTCCGTCCTCTCACTAAAATCAAAGACGATAACGATCCACCCAGCTCCTCTAATAAGGAGGTAGATGCTAGCGCTAATACTCAGCACAACCTGGTTACTAATGGTAATTCTAATGATAATTCTAGTGACAATAATGGCGAGGATATGGTGCGTTTTAGGTCTAGACTAGTCTTAGATTGGTTTTTATTGACTTGTTCTTAGACTCCCTTTGGCCAAGAGCCGAGTTTTGATAAAATGTATAAGAACAGGTCACTCCCGAGTAGCAATGCACTAACCATCGCGTAATAGGGTAGGCTTCGGTTTACCTCTGCTGCTGTCAATAATGCCTCTCAACTACATACCAGAAAGCCTTGCTCTTTCCTAATGCTGTACCGCCCCAAGCGCCTGGTTCGCAAATGTGATACATTGCGTCCCTATGACATTGTCATATAATGCCAATATTGGATTTCGTGTAATCTATTTCCCTGTTGGATGTTGTGAGGGAGCCTTATTCTTTTCATATAAAGTGACTCATTGCTAGACTAGCTGGTACAAGAAAGATGGATGGGCAACGCGGGCGACTCTGTTTAATTCCATTGCTTCCTTGTTGTTGATATTCTCTGGTTACTTACAAGCCGGTATGAACTTAGGGCCTCGACGGGATCCTCAGTCATGAAGGCTGGCAATTGCCGTTCATCATCGCGGAATTATCAGTATGCCACTGGGCATTATCGGGTATTCCTCCAGGTTTGACTTTCTTCAGTGCTAGCCGGACGTCTTACCTAACTAGGGAAGACCACATATGCCGACCGGCCTTGCATTCGTGACAAACTTGATACATTTCTTGCCCATATGCCTGAAATACTTCTTTATGTACATTGCGAACATGTCCGCATGAGTACCTGGTATCTTTTACGCGAAATTTCCGCATCTCATGCCCCACGGCCATGAAATACGGGACTTCCCAACCGCCTCTTCAAATGTATTTTCTGTGTGAACAATATTTTGTTCTCGATGTCTCTTGGATGATGACCGACCCTCGTGAGTTCATGCTGCCGTTGTTATCTCCACGGGCCCCTTAGTAATTCTCAGATCGACGGCGTTTTTTATGGTGGTTCTTGAGGGAAGAGACGCAAGAATCCTACAGATTAAGCATCTGAGAAGAGAGAAATGAATAGTGCATAATGCAGCGGAATTACTGGATAGACCATCTCCTGATATCTGACGAGACTGAAAAGGTGATAAAATCGGATGTATAGCCCAAGCCTACAAAGGTTTGAGATCAGAAAACTGAGGCTAGTTGAAACCCTCGAAGCTAATGAAGGATTTCCATGGTCCGTTACAACACCCGTCATGTTGTTTTAAAGGATGAGATTGAGTTATATTCATTGAGCGATAGCAAGTTGAAGACCGTCCTTAAATGTCTCCACTACCTTTTTCATTGCGTCTGAATTCATTTGCTGTGCATTGAACTCCACTTGCACCTGTATGGATGTGTCTATATGAATTATACGTATGAGTACGTCAAACTGATTTGCATCATAAGTTAGTCTTAGGTATGATTTTAAAAAGGAAAGCAACAAGGCCAAGATAACTTACGCTCCATGGGTCTTTCAGCCGTTCAAGATCACGGATTGCCAGATGTCCCTTTTCCAGTGAACTAGCTCGCCGTTGGAAATTTACAGCAGTGTTAAAAAGCCTGTGCGTCCCGAAGTATTGTTCTAGAACATCTTGAATTCTACAAAAACTGTGTGACCCATCCTGCACCCGTTGTTCTTGAATTCGGGTGGCTAGATCAGCGAGGACTTTCGGACTCCTCTCAGTCGAGACATTACGCAAATGGTAAGGGAGTATGTTGATAAGAGGTCCAATGATACGAGGAGCATGAGGAACACCGTCCTGGTCGCGTCCGGAGACGATATACCCAAACGCCACTTGGGAAGACCGAGTATATATACTTAGCGTTTGCGCCCATGCCGCTTCAAAGATACTGGCAAAGGTAAGATCATGATTGGCAGCGAACGTATTCAATGAGTCTGTTCCTATGCGCGGGAGGCGAACTATGGTGCGTGCTAGATCTTCGCCATCAACATCCTTTGGGCCAAAGTCCAGTGGGAAAGCAAGTATGGATGGTTTTTGGTTGCTCAAGACAGTCCTCCAATAATCGACATCTTGACTGACGCGGTCATAGCTGTGGGTAGAGATAAATGATTGGTAAGGAGGAGCTTGGTCATCCTTGACCGAGCGGGCACTGTCCTCAGTGTCATAGATTGTTTCCAGCAGTTCTTCCTGCAAGAGTCCAACTGACCAGCCGTCAAGGATTGCATGGTTAGCTTCTATGTATCCGATAACTGCATTGCCGTGTTGGAGGAAGCGGGCTCGATGAGGGAAGCGGCATTGGTGCAGAGAAACGGCATCGGGCCAGTCTTTGTTTGTTTTGAAGTCTTGAATGTCCTTATCGATGATTATATCTGGCTCAATGCCTCTCAAGACGACTTGTTGATAGTCGCGCCCTTCTGATGAGGCCTCGAGAAACCTAGATCGCAGAATCGGGTGTCGAAAGACAATTTTCTTCCAGGAATTAATCACCATGTCCACGTGCAATTTCTGTTGAGCTGATATATCCCTGAGTTCGATCTCCCATGATACCAAGAAAACAGACGGATCCATCCTCTGCTGCAGCAAGATCTCACGTTGCATGGGAGAACATGGATATACAGCCTCCACCTGGAAAGTAGTTGAATCTTCCTCCTTCAACAGAGAGCGGAGTTGCTGATCGGTCTGAGACCATGATACCTCATCTTTGAAATCGAGGTCTGATTCTTGCTTTACGCCTAGCGACTCCAACCGTAAACATTTTAGTCCTTCGAGTGTTAACTTTACTTGCTGAAACCAATCTAGGACTTGTGCTGCGCAGCTCAGTTGCCTAGGAAAGGAAATTGAAAATCCGAGCTGCCCGCCGCGAATAGCAGCTTCGATCTCAAAGATACCCATCCGTTTGATCTTCGGTCCGATCAGTGTGTCTTCAAGACCGGGGTGGTCGACCCACTCGAAAAGAGAGGTCTTGTTTTCAAATTGCTGATAGATACCTTGGTAGTTGAACTGAATTGGCCAAGCCGATTCGCATAATTGTGATTTATTGGTTGCAGATAGTATTTTACGTGAAAAGTAGTCAAGCCCGTTGTCTGGGTGTAATTTTTGTGCTGCTCGGACACAGCGTATGTAGTCGATCAGATCACCATCTTCTGTCGGGAAATTAGAGATTGGATATAGAATCGTGAACCATCCCACAGTCGATGAGAGGTCAATACTACTGTCTAGCGGCTCTCTCCCATGACCCTCAACAAAAATTGAAGGGCATTTACGTTGAAAGACCTGGGTAAATGACTTGGCTATAGCAGCAATCATTACCTCGATTGGACGGATAATGTCATTTTGACCAGTGAGCCTTAGTAACTCAGCCGTCACTTCTTGGTCGAGGTTCCAGTGAGCCTGTGTGATTTGGCTATGGGTATTATGGGTAGAGTTGAAGGATCCTAACAAGTCCTCAATGCCTTGTTCGTCCAGACGTAGCAAATTCTCTCTGTTTTCTTTCCTAGGTTCGAAGCTTGACCCAAGCACTTTCGTCCATTGGAAGAACGAAAGACCGGTACCTGTGGAAAGCGAGCCGCCTGTAACATGTTCTTCGATATCCTGGACTATTACACGCCAAGAAACAAGGTCAACATTGAGGTGATGAGCTGCGAAAAACAGAAATGTGTCATTGAGAGTTTGGTAGACGTCAACGGAGAATACGGGTCCTGTATCCATGGAAAGACTTTCATGACCTTTGTCAAAGATCACACCCCAATCAGACGCAACTACCATACCGTGATTCTTGTACCGGTAACTATTATTGAGATTCTCACGAATGACTTGCTTTTGCCACCTATGTTTTGACGGAAACACAGTTCGAAGCATCGGGTGTTTCTGAACCACTGCTGAGACTGCTTTCTCGATACGTTCCACTAGCTCTGGTCTTCTTAGACGGAGGATCATTGCTTGATGATAACGTGAATCGGGCAGCACTCCATAATTAGATGCCACGAAGAGCTTCTGGATAGGTGAAAGGTCAAATTGACCATCTGGGGGTTGGTGCAGAATATCTTTGTGGATGTCATTGGTATTTTCCAAAATCACAGGGAGCACAGCGCCTAAAGTCTTTCGTGTGAGAATGTCGCGGACGGCCAGGTGTAAACCCCTCGATTTAGCCTTTGATACCACCTGTATTGCCGTTATGGAGTCACCGCCAAGGGAATAGAACGAAGTGTTGATTCCTATTCGGTCAACGGCCACATTGAGAACAATGCTCCAGATCTCACGCAATGTGTAAGCTCGTGATCCTGGCAAGAAGGATCCTTTCAACTCTTCTTCCGCATCGTACAAATCTCGTATCAAGTTTTGGTGTGTTTTTTCGTCCATTTGGTCAACCCATGTCTTAATTGCCTTTCGGTCAACTTTCCCAGACACGAGGAGCGGCATATTTTCGAGTACAACCCACAGAGAAGGGACCATGTACTCTGGAAGAGTGTATTGAAGGTGTTTCTTGATACTATCCAGCTTCTGATGGATATCCCTTGTGTAATGGCTCTTATTCAACACATGAATGCCGAGTTTGGATGACTCTGTGAGGACCGGCTGCATGAAGCTCACTATAGCTACGATCTGGTTCGCACAATTCCCCTCCTTTGGAAGAAGCACAACCGCAGCATTCGAAGATCCGTGTTCCATGACTCGAGCTTCTATCTCTCCTAGCTCGATGCGAAAACCGCGCAGCTTCACCTGGGTATCTTTCCTACCCACGTACTGGAATGTACCGTCTGCATTGTACCGCGCTAAGTCACCTGTTTTGTAGATAGTTCTAAAAGCGCTCTCGGTGTTTATGAAATCCATAAGCCAGTCTGGCTCATAGATAAATGATGCGTCTGTCGTGACTTTGTCGCCATAATATCCACTGGCAAGTAGTGCGCCTGAAACAACTATTTCGCCTACGCAACCGATTGCGCTGAGCTTGTCATGGTTGTCAGGCTGAACAAGCCACATTGTTGAGCCTATCGCACGACCAATATTGGCTGGGTGAGTGTCCATTGTGAGGCCAACGTTCATCGCACAACATACCGTCGTCTCCGACGGTCCGTAGCCGTTTGTAAGACGGACATGATGCGCCCATTTCGTTATTATATCACTGGTGACGGGCTCTCCGCCCATATTGATCTTTTTTACGAACGGTATGAGCTCAGGGCTGAGAAGGTTCACTACGGTGGGCGTAAGTACGACCGTGTCTACCTGTAAAGCCGTTATTATGCCTGCAAGATTATTCAATCTGTCACTATCAGACGGAACACAGACGGTACCCCCTACCACCAGCGTAGCGAATATTTCTTGAACCGAGGCATCGAAGGTATAGCTGGCAAACTGGAGCATTCGTGTCTTAGAATTAAGTCCAAAGCTTTCTGCCTGATATACCATGCCAGTACATAGAGCCGAATGTGAGATGACCACCCCTTTCGGCTTGCCTGTGGTGCCTGATGTGAAGAGTAAATATGCGCTGCTGGTGGGAAGGAGAGTTTGACTTGGTAGTTGACCGCATCCTTGTCGAATGAAAGAGATTGGAGCATCGTCCAGGGTAAGTATATGCTCACATATTCCATCGAAGTCAGTGGCATTGCTGCGGGAAACCAGTACGAGTTTTACTTTGGCCCTGTTGGCGATCTCTTTTTTTCGACCTTGGGGGTGGGTAGGATCGATGGGAACGTATGCCCCTCCAGCTTTCCAAATGGCAAGCATCGCGATGACAGCCCACACAGACTTTTCGAAGCAGATGGCAACGAATTCCTCTGGTCCCACACCAAGGTTCACGAGCTGTAGAGCAACAGATGTAGAGATGTTATGCACTTCAGCATAAGTTAATGTCTCAGAGACAGAAACCAAAGCCTCCGCTGTAGGACTTCTATGGACCTGCTCCTCGAAGAGTTGGTGGATGCACTTCTCAACAGCTTTTGGGGTGTGTTGATTCCATTCTTTGATTTGGAGCAGATCTGTAGCACTGAATGGAACTATGGAACTTAAAAGAGTCTCCTCCTTTGCCTCACTAAGCTGTGTAAGCACAGCCTGAAACTGGTGAATGAGGTTGTTTGCGTGTTGGATAGATATAACCCGCTCGTCATACTCAAGGTTCAGGATGACAGCATCACCAGTTGAGATCAAGATCGATATGACAAGTGGGTATGGATGTTGCTCAGATTTACCTAGACCCGAGATGAGTCTTAGTCCTATTCTTTGTAAAGCTGGTGCCGTTAGGTCGCTAAAATCTGATGAATGGACAACGAACAACGTCTGGAAGTCACAGGCTGTGGAGGCCGACAAAGAAATTTCTGCTAGATACTTCCGGATCTTCGCAATCCCTGTTTGTTCAAAAGACAAGAGCTCGGCTGCCTGTTCCCTTACTCTCAAAAGAAGCGATGACACAGTCAGGTTGGGATCGATTCGCAGGCCTATTGGGACGAGGCATATGGTGGGCCCTGTCACGCTGGACATGCCGAAGGTCTGAAGTGACGCACGACCATTCATTATCTCGCCGAAAACAACGTCTTCATTTCCAGTATAGTGAGATTGTAACACGGCCCATGCAGCTCGAAGTAATTGTGCTTTCGTGGCGTCGAAAGGGGTTGTCCGATTCAATTCAAGAACTCTTCTTATACTCCTCGATGGCTTGGCTTCAAAACCTTGTCGGGACAATTGAGGGTAGGATGCGTAATTAAAGCCGCATTGGTTGAAGGTCTGCTGCCAGTAATTTCGTTGCTTGGTCGTATCTGGCGAGATTGATGCGATGAATTGCTCGTAAGAAGGTCTTTTCAAAACCGACTGGTTGGTAAATCGCCGAGAGACTTCGTCAAAGACTTCAGTCACGGAAGCTCCATCGCAAAGGGCATGGTGCAGTGTCCAGACAAAGTGTCGACTCTGCGCATCCGAGACTACTGTGAAACGGAAAAACGGATCGCCAGACTTAATCGGAGAGCGTGCATCATTCTGCAGAAAACTGTTCAGATCATCCTCAGTGTTGTTCCAGCCGATGGCATCGTCGATTACTGCTTGAACATAGCCGACACCGTCAAGATGACAAATGCGAGACCGCAGGACGGGATTCGCCCGCACCGTTGACAGCCAAGCTTGGCGAAATTGTTCTATAGGAACTTCAGGTCTTATTTCGCAGGTGATTTGCATCACGTATGCATTTTCAGTCGTATCAGTAACTGCTACCAGGGCTTCTTGCATCGGAGTACATGGATAAGCGGTTTCGACTTGTCCAGATTTAACGCAACAAGCTATAGCAATTTCTTCGATATGCCGTTTCAGCCCACCGAGATCAACGCTAAGCAGACTGAATGGTTCGATTGATGGGGTTTGTCTTGGTGACCCATGCTCAGTTTCAATCACGCGGGCAGCCAATGCCATGTCTTCCAGAGAAGCATTTACAAAGATTTGCTCGACTGTGAGCACTATGCCTTGCTCAAAGGCAGCATCAACGAGCTGCAAAGCTGTGATTGAATCACCCCCAACCTCAAAGAACACATCTTCATTTGAGAATTCCGATAGATCTTGGTGCAGGACCTTGGCCCACGAAGTTCGCAGGCGATCAAGAATTGATCTTCGGTCTTGATTGCCACGAGCATCCTACTAGTCATCAGCACTCTGTCAGTCAGGTATTTGGTGAATAGTTTTCGCAAATTTTACCGTCCGTAACACGTCGAAATCACTTTTCGCATAAATTTGTGGCTCTAAAGGGGCTGACATGTTGGGAAAGAGCCTGTTGTCTTGATTAACACGATTAATTCAAACCATTCAAATCAACTAATAGTTCGGCATATTTCTAACACAGATGTCGGATAGTTTGACCAATTAGGATGCCCTGTGAATTTTGTATAAACTGATGCTCGCAGTCAGCATATTTCCCAAAACAGTAATACATTGCCGTTACCTGAAACGGTATGTGGCCCGCGTTGGCCATATCTGGCATATGTCTATAATGTTTCGGTAAATTCAATCCATCAGACCTGTCTTTCTCGGTTTATTGATTCTAGAGAATCGATTACTCTGCATGCACAGACAACGAGATGATCTGATTGCCTCATTTAAATACCCTATTTCTTTCTTATTTTACTAGTCAATCTTAACATATTCTGGAGGATGTATATCCCAATACGCTAATAGCGATGCTGTTCACCCAACATAATACTGGCGGGCTTACTGTGCGTCCAGGAGCTTGCGGAACAACAGTACACGGGAAACTGGAACAGTTCGTTTTCGATGGACCCACTTTACCATTACTCTTGAACCTCAATACTTCGCAACTTCTTGCGAACAAGCGCGAAGACTACAAAGGTAACACCGCCTTGATATCGAAGTGGCAAGGCAGCCATCTGTCTTACGAAGCTTTGTATAGTTCAACCCAAGACGCCGCAGCTAGTTTACTAAACGCTGGTGTCCGTCCTGGAGATCGCGTGCTAGTTCTGGCCGGTAACACTACAGAATATGTACAGTTATTCTTCGCTACAGGTGGAGTGGGTGCCATCTTCGCAATCGTCAATCCCACCTTCTCGAAGGCAGAAATCTTAGAGGCCGTGGAGTTTCTGTGTATGGTCAACCACCCTGCTTCGTTTAGCCAGCTTGTATATCTCAGCGCTAACAAAACGTTTCAGATCCAAAGGTGATCGTCGTTGCGGAACGAATTGGCTATCGAAAGTACCATGATCTTCTAGAAGAACTTATTGAGAGGAAAGTACACGAGAGATCAGTTATAATCCAACTGGGGACTACACAGCCAACATTGAGAGATGTACTCCCGTGGAACAAGTTTTTCCAAAGCAAGATGAATATCTCCGCCGAACTTTTTGATAGTTATTGGGGCAAAGCCGAACCCGATGACGCCCTCTGCCTGCAGTTTACCAGCGGAACGACTGGTCCTCGAAAGGGTGCACTTCTGACGCATAAGTATGCAAGTACATGGCTAGGCTGGGATGAGACTGACGTAGATCACAGTAATCTCATTAACAACGCCTACCTCGTTGGACATCGTCTGGGTTTCTCGTCTCAAGATGTGCTCTGCTGCTCTCCTCCATTGTTCCATTGCTTTGGCCTGGTCTGTGGTGTACTGGCTGGTATTGTGGTGCATGGAATGACGGTGGTGCTTCCTTCCGAGATTTTCAACGCAGGGGAGAGTCTTCAGGCCATCTCCCAGAATAGCTGCACAGTGATTCATGCGGTACCGACTATGTTTCAAGCCATGCTAGATTATGCCCAAGCAAAAGCATATAACACGTCCAATTTCCTTTTGCGGACGGGGATCATTGCAGGTTCAAGCCTTTCAGAGACATTGCTACAGCGTCTCAATGCGGAGTTTCATCTCAACGGCCTTGCCTACGCTTTTGGAATGACAGAACTTTCGGCTGTGAGTTTCATGACGACACCAGTGAGTGTATCGCTTCTTGAGGACCGCTCGTGTGTGGGCACAACGTTACCGCATACATCTGCTGTGATCGTCGACGAAGATATGAATGCGCTTCCCCCTGGCTCCAGAGGGGAGCTTCTGGTGTCTGGATATCTCGTGTTCAAGGAGTACTACCGGAATCCCGAGAAGAGCAAAGACGCAGTAGTCGTTGATCCTCAAGGCCGCAGGTGGTTACGAACCGGAGACATCGTGCAACTGAGTGCTTCTGGCACTGCCATGGTTGTGGGAAGATTGAAAGACATGATCAAAAGGGGCAAGTCGTGTTAATTCATCTCAGTTCTTTTCTTTTTCTTTTTGCGTGGCACTAACAGTCTACCAATAGGTGGTGAGAATATAGCACCTAGTGACGTGGAGAGCGTCCTTGAACTTCACCCCCAAATAGCCGCAGCCGCTGTGGTGGGCTTGCCGGATGAGCACTGGGGCGAGACTGTCTGCGCATTCCTTCAGCGCAATCAGAACATCGGCTCACTGACGCCTAAAGAGAGTGGTAACCAAGTCAAAGTGTGGCTGCGAAAACGGATGGCACCACACAAGATACCAGAACACATAATCTGGCTCGGTGAGGAGGAAGGGGTTCCGAGCAGGTTCCCGGTCAATGTAAGTGGGAAGGTTCTCAAGACTGAACTCAGCGCTGTTGCAGCGCGACTCATAACAAGACATCGGTGATGAGCCCCCGAAGGATGTGTTGGCGCTTCATGAATCCTCGGCTATAAATGCGATTTTCATTTAACACTCGTTTGATTGCCGGGACTACTAGGATTGACATACATGAATATCTCAAGACTCGTTGGCATTGATGTCGTAACACAAGACCTGAGCCCACATATCTAGTGGCCAGCCAGCCAACCAACCAACGGATAATTGATTGCCTAATGAGGCAATAAAAATCCGTTACTCCACATGCCAGAAATGTCTTCTTGACTATAGTAGATTGTGGGAAAACAAAACTACCACCATTTTGCGAGTCCTTGCAAACCACAGCAGTAGCTTGCTGAAACATCGCGTTGACCCAAATAATTAGAATGGCGGACAAGGAAAAAGCCATAGTAGTGGCTGATCAGCAGGTGAGAGTTTTGTCATGATTTTGACCAAGTATCAGAGGGCCTTGGGAGCTTACCAATCAAAGTCTAGTAACCCCTCGCACATCACATCAGTTGCCTACAATGAGACGAACCCAACGGCAAAACCTGAGCCTAAACCCGAAAACGAACTCGGGGCTCAACCGACACCGCCCGTAGTAGCGACGGGCGGCGGAACGGCGAGCGACCCGAATGAGATTGGCTGGAATGACCTGGATGATCCGAACAACCCGCGGAACTGGTCCGTACGGAAAAGAGCTTACACAATTGGTGTTGTTATGGCAGTCCTTATGACAACGTAAGTTCTGGCCAATGACGATCTTTTGCAATAAGAGGCCGGCTTGCTAAACTAGATTTATCGATTGAAAGATCTACAGCCTCTTCTGCTATTGCTCCGGCGGTGCCTCAGGTACTCGCAGACTTCCATACAGATGACACATTCTCAGGAACACTCATCGTCTCGATCGAGGTATGAACAAACTCGAAATCTTTCGACGCACCCCTCCCCACTCTCCGTAAACTGAGAGACACAAAACGACTAAGTCGTTTCATGGAATCAGCTACTGGCATTCGGCTTTGGGCCTCTTATCTTTGCTCCACTCTCCGAAGTCTATGGCCGCCGCATTATCTACTGCCTTGCGAACTTTGGCTTCAGTGTTGTCACCGTTGGCTGCGCCCTGTCGCCCAACCTCCAGTTCCTGATAGGATTTCGTTTCCTGCAGGGGCTGGCCGCCTCATGCGCAACCAGCCACGGTGGGGGTACCATAGGTGACCTGGTGCCCACCCATCACCGTGGTGCCGTCACTTCGGTATATACGGGGGCGCTCCTGTTTGGCCCTACACTCGGACCCATATTCGGGGGCTACCTAGCCGATGCCCACGGCTGGCGCTGGGTGTTCTGGCTTCTGGTCATCATGAACGGGAGTGTTGCCTTGCTGTATGCCGTCACGTGCCGGGAGACTTATGCCCCGATCCTGTTGGCACGAAAGGCAATTAGGATCCGAGAAGAAACCGGAAATCAGGAGCTCTATGCGCAGGGTCAGCAGAACAAGTTACCGTTAGGTCGGTTGTTAAGAAGGTCTATTGTCCGCCCAACGAGGATGCTACTATTCTCTCCCATAGTTACAGGGCTGTCTTTGTACATCGCCACCGTGTATGGTCTTGTCTATCTCCTTTTCTCGACCTTTTCGTTCGTTTTCGATGATCAATACCACATTCCCGAATCTAATCGTGGCGTGGTGTACCTTGGCCTCGCCATTGGGATGCTCATCTCGCTCATAATATCGGGGGTTGTCTGCGATTCGATATATAAGCGCCTTACGAAGAAGCACGGAAAAGAAAAACCAGAGTGAGTTGGAACATCGATCAATTGAAGGCTGCATCACTAATTGGCCCAATAGATATCGTCTGGAGAGTATGATCTGGGGTGCGATAGCAACCCCAGTGGGCTTATTAATTTACGGTTGGACGACTCAATACTTGGTCCACCCGGCAGTCCCTATCTTCGCTACAGGGTTTGTGGGATTCGGCGTGACCTTTACCTATGTAAGCAATCAGAAAGTTGAACACATTCTGACTCGGATAGACTGACAGTTCTGCGAGCAAGATACCTATTCAGGTATACCTAATAGATGCATACACAAAATATTCCGCAAGCGCGACTGCAGCGGCAAGCGTTATAAGAGCTATTGCTGGCGCACTCTTGCCTTTGGCGGGCCTTCCCATGTATGACAGGCTAGGTCTCGGTTGGGGGAACTCCCTTCTTGCATTCCTCGCCATCGGCCTAGCCATACTACCCCTTTACTTCGTCCGGGTCGGTGAAAGGTGGAGACAAAGGTTCTCGGTAGAATTTGACTGAGTCAGCGATTTCTACCCATATTCCTGAATTTGGTGATTTAGCCGGTGATACGCCATAGTGTGGCCAGTAGGGTTGTGGCTGTCTGGAGGCTCACACACCACGGCACTGCGATTCATTTCTTCGAACCCAATCGGGCCCTTTCATTTATACTAGATCTGTATTTATTCTGTGAACCTTGGAAAAACACCTCAAGTTGTGTCAGCCTGCAGTGGTGCCATCCTGCAACAACACGAGAGGCCAGGGCTTACGTATAGGCGCAAATGATTTATCTCAAGCCTAAACGTCTAGCTACATCAAGCGCAAAACATGCGTTTGGTGTACGAGATAAATTGTAGGCCCGCATCTGCCGGCCCGCATCAGCTACATATCTCTTCTATACAAGCTGTCATCTTTCACTTCAACTTACTCACGTTAGCTCCGATGACTTTGTAGTCATTTCGTAATCAACCCCCAAGAATTGTGTCGAATTAGCGCGCTGAGGTAGTTCAGATTGTCCAAAGGTGGTCTTTTGGGGAGTTTTGGCATCCTAAATACTGTTACATGGTGAACCCCCGAAGATCAAACTGGCCATATAAACACACTCCCGGAACTACATTCAGAATAAAATCGACACATTAAATAAAATCGTTCGCAATATAGTCCAAAATCGTCAAACTTGTAGTTTTGGTGCTTAACGTCTTGTAATGTGACATAAATCATGCTCTATACAATAGCATAATCATTCTTCGATGTTTTATCTATATAAATTCGTAATCAAATTCGATTCTTGCTTCGGAAACATGGTTGCGGAGACGATAATTCCAGCGCCTGGTTCTAAAGTGTATCTAAAGTAGATAGTCTGAGCCACCAAAGTGTCCGCATGCTCGCTGGATTAGTGCCTATGCGCGGGGAATATAAAAAACCTAAGCTAAATACAGATTTTGCTAATAAAAGGACTGATCAAGACAGAATTGAAACAAGCCACTTATTAGGATAGTATCTAACACTCGAGACTAGCCATTCTTGTCATTTCTGTATAATATATCGTCTTAGCATAAAAGTGATAGGTTCTAGTGAGGATATTGCGTGTATATAGAGACTTTTGCTTACCCGTTATAGCTAAACAAAACATCAGAACAACTACCGGATCTTGTAAGAATCGTAACTATCTTATTTTCATATCTTGAGAATACTTGGCTTACTTTCACAAAGGGAAGTAATCGAGTGGCCTTAAGTGCCATAAAGACTTTGACGACTAGACTTAGTAAGTAATGTTATATCGTTGTTATATCTGGTAAGGGTATCTTGTTTCAATAAAGAAAGAACATAATCCTAAAATAACTTTTGCACACACAACATTTTCTGACCACCTTCCCGAGCGGTCAGATCCTCTTGACTGTACACAATGATACTATATGCGAGTGACAAGTTCCATGTATATAGAGAATATAGAGTCTTGATCGGGCTATCTTGCATAGCCCCTGTCTTCGAAAACATTGCTCATCAAGCGGAACAGCTTTCTGAAGTTAAACACGACCTCTTGCACATATTGCAAGTTGAGTTGGTTCAAGCAAGCTGGGGATCGGCTTACTGCTCCTCGTCCGGTTGAATTTTCAGCTAACGACATGTTTTCCCCGAGGTTATCAAGGGCATCAAGTAAAGTATTAGCCTGTCGAACCAGATTCATGACTAGTGCACACTTCAGACCAGGATCGTCGTTTAGTTGAATCTGGTATTCACCGATACCAATCTGGATGTTATCGTCAAGGCCAGATTTCGTGATTCGATTAAAGCACGACGCTGTCTGCTGGAAGGCAGTCAATATGCAAACCAGATCGACTGGCCCAATCCGACAGTGAGAGCAGCTGACTGCCGAGTTGCAGCCCTTGATTATCTCGCCGGTGATCTTCATCATCTGGTCCAACCGTGGCTTTGGCAGCTGCCGCATGATATCCTCGAGACTCGGTATCTGCATCATCAGCCTTGCTCGGCACTGGCAATTATTACGCGTTTGCAGAATTGAAAAATCAACCGAATCTCCTTTGTTCCCTTCCTCCAGGCCTGCTATAGACGATGAGGTTGACATGTTGTGTATGTTTGCCAGGAGCGAGGTGGCGGCCAAGTCGGGGTCAGTAGCCTTCGTCATCTTACGGTGTAGTAGAGTTAGATAACGTGAATTACGGGGTGCCTAAGCCAAGATCCCGATCAAACTGGAATGACTTACATCGAAGCTGTCGTCATCGGCGAAAACCCAGTCAAGTTGCTCCAAAGCCGTGTTGAGTGAATCCTCAGGCCACTCGGCGTCAACCGCTGGGGTTTGATGATTGTTTTCGTTACCAGCATCCGAGCCCTGTCTCTGCGGTGTATCGATAGCACCGGAGAAGTCGACGAGCATTAGATCGGTCTCATGAGCCTTGAGGACAGAGCTGCTCGCCGCATCCGATTGTTGGCTCGGTATGTCATCCTTGAATATGGAGCCGGCGTAAATGCAGCGAGTCCGCCGTTTCTTGCATCGTTCGCACTGTCTCTTCCCATTGCATTTGGCTTTCGCGTCGCGACAGGCTTCACAGGCAGTAAAGGGACGCCTGGTCAACTTCCTATTATTTCCTTGTGCGTTGGTAGACTCCAAGTTGAAAACATATGTGCCAGGTATTTGCCTACGGGATGGTGCTTGTGTAGAAGACATTGGCGGTAGAGCGCACGTTTTCGGTATAAGCCAGTGCTGAACAGTGGGAAAGCACTTGGGCCAAAGGGCCAACAAAGCTGAATACTATACTAGTGCGTTGAGTATACGTATACGCCTTATCAAGCGAGGAGCGACGGCTTGTGGGTTCGACCTGAGTTTGGAGGTGTGTCGAGACCAGTTTGTGGTGTGGAATCCATTGTAATTACTTTGAGCTTTGTGCGTGCGGCGCAGCAGAGCGGCGTCAGATCATTGCCCCGCAGATGAATCAACATATTTGAGTGCTCTGGAAGACGTAATGCAAGGCCAACATGACGTGTGTCGCAGGCTGCACGTCACATGCCGAGGAGGTTGTTAGGGCCACGAGGGAACGAACGGTCAGCCTGCTGTATACTCTAGGTGTAGTGTAAAATTCGAAGCTAGGAAAAAGAAGCCTCGCTGCTGCTGCTACAACTCTATTTTGTATACACATGAGACGTGTTGTGGTTGGTGGGGCTTTGGTTGCACAGGCGGACAAATTGGGGGTTGGAGTAAACTACTATTTACTGACGAACCATACTGTTCGAATCGAACTGGCCTGTATTGTGCGGGATTCTCAGCCTGACGAATTGTAGCTACAGAGCTTTGCCACCGTGTGAGAGAAAGCTAGAGGCAACCAAGAATGGCACGCCTTGCACCAGCTGCCAAGCTCGCATAGGGAAAGGGCAGGTATTGTAGGGTCCTCGAGTTAGGTGACCAGACAACAAAGCATCATACGGATGCGTGATCTTGCTGGAAATGGCGATAACAATCCTATTGCAATTTTTAGACCGACGAACACGTCACCTTGCACCCCCATTGGTTCGCTTCACAGATGGGTATAATGTCCCTGGTATTTATTTGCCCTCTTGCCGCCCCTAGACTAGTACCGACGGCCCAAGGTTACATCGCAGATAATCCATGTGGGGCGTCGCACAGTTGCATCCTACGGACGGCAATTAATTACCACACATCAGCCCTACCCAGGAGCCACTGGTAAGTTACAGATCAGCGGATGTTTTCAGCCAATTGCAATAAATCGTAGCGCCACTACACAATTTGCCCATGAGATCGGGCTATCGTACGTATTCCAACACTGTTTTAGTACTGGCGCGCTGCAACGCAGGGTCAACTGTGCCGCACTTCCTTGATACTGCGAAGCCATCGTGTATACTATTAAAATAAATTTCACGTTCGAAACGTTTCTATGAATGTCGTGATGAATCGGATATACTCACGAGACTCCTGCCGGTAGTAGTGTAGCTGATGTACGGTACCAACTAAGTCTTGGGCGAGTGGTAATTTATCGCAGTCAATCGAATAACTTAATCCTTGATTCTTGGCCGCAGATAGTGCTTGAGTGGCCTTGGCGTCACTATATCATCCCAAATAGTGGATAAGTCTATGCCTTTACACCAACAATTTACTTTTTGTTAAGGAGTATCTCAAACATTTGAAAGATGAGTTAATTCAACACAGAAAATCGCCCTTCGTGACGCATCTACACATGAAACATCTAGCGTGTTGATTGTGACATTCTTCTTTATAGGGAATCAAGGTTAATCTCGATCCTCTCTCGCCTTCTTATAAGAAACTTTGCAGTCGGGTTAGCGTTAATGTTGAATCCTCCTACTGCAGGCTCAGTCGTACTCCCCGAAGCCAGCTTCTAGTCATACTTGATCAGAAGGTGACAGAGGGAGATTTTGATCTGGTTCGCTGCGAAAAAACGTCCAGGACAAGCGTGCTGGCCGTAGCCGAAAGCCATGTGGTCGGAGCTCACAGCTTCTAAAGGGGCAAGGCTCTCTTTGCCCGGCTGCGACCGCATCTGTAGGAGGATCAGTTCATTAAACCGTTTCGTACACTGCTGATGGTGGTCTGTCACTCACACGCAAGAAGCGGTATGGATCCCATTGCTCGGCTCTCTCGTGGACATTAGAGTCCCACATCCGAAATGCAGACTCAAAAGTCACACGATCACCCGGCTGCAACAACAGGCCGTTCGAGAGCTGTATGCGTCTTTCCACCCGGCGGCGCATCGTAGCTGTCATCATGTTATTTATCAAGTTGCCTCCCTTTCTGTTTTGCCGCTGACTTACTCAATGCACCGGGCTTGATTCTTTGGCATTCCTTTATGACACTGTCCATTAGTTGCAGCTTTGCAATCGATGCTTTCTTCCATCCGTCAGTTCTGAGTGCGTCAATGATCTCAACTCTCAGTGGTTCGAAGAGCTCTGGGTGCTCGCCTAGGACAAGAACGACCTGCGTCAGCAAATCCGTCGTGGAATGGCTGCTTGCAACCGAAAGCTTGATCTGGAGCAATGCCGCATCGTACGTCATGTTCTTCGAAGTTGCCTCCCTCTCGGTCCAATCGATGGCATCGTTATATTCTGTGACCACGCGACCCTCTCTCTCTGCAGTAGTCTTGGCTTCCCGTCTCTGCTGGATAATTGGCTCAATGATTCGTTTCGCTTCCGCGGCTTCATGTCGCAAAGCTTTGCACTGAGGCAAAAACCAGTGCACAAACCTCCTTAGCGGTTTCGGGTATAGCCGTAGCACCACAGCAGCATTGAAGAGGGAAACGACGTAGAGCTTCGTCACCCGTTTCCAATCTTCGTTCTCGCTTAGCGTGTTGCCCAGGAAAGCCCGCGCGCCGCTCCGAGCAACGATGTCGAGCATGACCGGTCGCACAGTCAATTCCGTCCATCCTTCAAATCTGTGAGCACTCAAATTGCTGGGGTTGATATGTTTTGTGACTCGCCTTGAAGATCACCTAGAGTACTTTGCAGGCTCTGTGATACCTCCTGCGAAATAGGTTCCGTAAGGGTCGCTAATCATCGTCCAGGTTTTAGATGCGGACAATTGCTTGTTCAAGATTTCTTTAGACATACCAAGGTTTTTTGTCAGCTGTTTGCGAACTATAGTCTGTACTAAGATGTCGTCTGCAGTGCCAACTTTTGACAGCTCAAACCCAGGGATATCCCCATGGAAGTCGTCCTGATTGGCGGTCGCTAAGCTGAGAGCCGGGGAATTCTTGAGCTCTTCTGCTAGATATGAAGGCAGCACAATGACTTGGCCCAAATCAGTGTTGAGTCGGTACGGTTGGTCAGCATACAGAATTCGTGCTTTAGACATGAGCTCCCGAGCTGTTTGCATGAAGGCTTTCTGGAAGACATCGTGTTCTAGATATGCTTTACGGTATGTAAGAGTTGAGGGCCAGGTCCGTACCTTAACCTCATGGTTGGTGACAGACAGTCTTGGCCGTGGATTGATTAGCGGAACTTTGCTTAGCCTAGAGCCGGGCCGCCGAAAGGAATACGCTACGACAATAGTCAGCAATGCGGTGATGATATATCCAAGTCGATGGTTAGTCAGGTGGATCATCTGCTCCCACCAGTGGTGCACGGTTTGGTGTACAGAGCCTGAGGTCATCTTGAAGTTTGAGCTACGGGATAAACAAGTGAGACTAAGCAAATTCTACAGACTTTTACTTGCGACTAATTACATAGAATCATAACAACAAACAAACAACTTCGCGCATTTCTCAAAAGCTCATCCAACCGCAGAACAAGCCCAGAAAAGCGTGCTTTGTCCGGTGTCGATAAACGTTAACGGGACTCAATTACTTCTCCTGGCCTGCATGACCCTTGGCGTGTATTTGACTTTGCCAGATAGGTAAGTTTTGACTTCGGTTATTTCTTGCCTCATTTGGAAATAATTTCCCGGGGGCGGTTAAGATTTGTCCAAATGTGGTAATGACTATTAGCCAAAGTAGAGGCTAGTGGGTAGGGAAAAGAAGAAAGGGGGCCCAAAGGGAAAGAGAAGCCAATAGGCCAATTGGTGTTTGTAGTGCGGACTTGATGACAATCTGTCAGCTTTAGATGCCAGACGGATGCTATATACATTATCACTAGAGAAAAAGCTTGTACTCTTTCATTAATTCGATCGGTTCCACAAAGTGGCTGCTTAGTAATATCGCACTGATTAAAAATGGTGTGGAATGTAACAAATCTTACAAATAGCGCCAAACTGGCATACAATATGAATTATCATTCTCGTCATGATATGTCTTGTTTCTTAAAGTAGTACTATGACACCCTCTCGTCGACAACATCTCTGAGCTTGCCTGTCCTCTGATTTGTATGCATGGCTTCAATATCCACCCACTCCACCACTAGAGGATTTATGATTCCGGTCTCAAGATTAGATACGTACTGAAAGGTATCAGCTCTCAAAGCACCTTCGAGCTTTTTGTCCCATTCATCGTGATCTGATAAGTGACTGGCAATCCGGAACACAAGTTCATCCTTTCTATCACTCCGCCTTGCCGCTACCTGAAACGCTGAAATATTGCCATCCCCGAGAACCTTCACAACTATATTCCGAAGGTGGCGGAAGTCGTAGCTCGCTGGGCCTATCTTGAAACCAATAACATCTCGCCCACGGAGAGTAAAGAGTCTCTGTGAATAGTCCACCCACTCCGCTACGTCACCAGTAGGGTATCTGATGACAGGCATTAATCTACGGGTCAGGTTGGTAACATAGATGGGACCTGTTTGGCCTATGGCCGTGACTGGGACCCCATCCTCGTTCAGGATTTCCACGACAACGCTCGGGGAATTGGGTGTATATATCGGGCCTCCGACTTGATGTTCGAGAGTCGTGTCATGTGTAGGAAGACCGATAAGGCCTCCATCAACAGATCCATACATCATCGGCCGCATGGCAGCATTTGGAAATGTCTTCTTTAAAACCGCTTTTGAATCCTGGTGTAGATTCTCGCCCCCGTACACGATCAGGTGCACACTAGGCAGTTGCTCGCCGCGGGCGGAGAGGTAATCCGAGATGCGAATCAGGATCGTGGGCATAGCACTAAGGACAGTGGCCTGGAACTCTTGCAGGGGCCAGACCATCCGCTCTACCTCCACTAGTGTGCTGATGGGGAGTTGAACAAAAGGTATGCTCGAGTCCGCCCAAGATAAAACATTGAGCAGGTAACCCATATACAAGTCTCCATTACTTAGTAAGTTTGCAACCCTGTCGCCTGGCTGTAACCCGGCCCTTTTGAGACAATCAGCCAGATCACGAGTGATGCCATTCAGCTCATTACGCGAGTAGAACGACACCTTTGGGTCACCAGTAGTGCCGCCGCTGCGAAAGATGCCCCCATCGATAACTGTGCTGGTTAATAAACGATTGGTTTCCGGGTTACAAGTGTTCGACAGCCAGAAACGAGCATGTTCAATGACAGGGAGCTGCTCAAGCGAGGAAGCATCGCCGGGAATATCGCGATAGAGATCTCGGTAGTATTGCGAGTTTCGTTGCACATACCGGATAAGCTCATTCAGCACTGCGCCTGAAAGTGACGGATTTGGGGTGGCGAGCATGATCGGTCGTGATTCACAAGTATGTGGTGTGAACGCTGTATCGCTCGTAGCATCAAATTTGTTCGGCAGTTGAAGTGAAAGATCAAACAATTATAACACAAGATTAAATGCGAGTCTTTGAGAAGCCTGTTTGTTTACGGAAGGACTTGATATTCAGGTGAGTGATGTAGGAGGTGTTACTCATGATGAACTGAAATAGGAAAGGCTAAAAGGGGAAATCATCGTGCAATTGGGATATTCCTGACTATTCCGGAGTGTATAATCTGAGAGCATTTTTGTGGACGGAATATTGCTTACTATTTCGGCGTCAAAAGTCCACAAGTTTGTATTAATACTCGTGTTGAGAATACTTAGAACCGTTTCCGAAATAACCGCGACCGACCCAGCAGACTCATCTGATACCCTTAGATTGAATTGAACTTCTGACGTACTTTTTTATCGCTGCGTTGAGTCCTCAAGATAACGCCATGTCTATTCATACATTGACCACATCAAAATATTCCAAGACACAACGAGACGAGGAAGTTTTCACACGTGGAAATTCATATCCTGATAAAAATGTAGAATGGTACCAGCCCACCCTTACGACGCTGCCGGACACCGCAGCACGCATCTTCCAGGACTATTCAGGAATTCCTGAGGGCCAAGTAGTCGACCACATCCACCGAGTCCGAGATAAGGCGTGGGATATTTTGCCATACCCTTGCATTGGTGTCTTTAGATTTCTGGACTTCGGTGCCAATCTAAACCCCATTTACCCCGAGGTTCTACGCCGCGTTCGAGAGGGTCAGATCCTCCTAGATCTTGGCTGTTGTTTCGGACAGGACATCAGAAAATTCGTTGCGGATGGAGCGCCATCCGAGAACCTCATAGGTGTCGATACGGAGGGAAGGTTCGCCGAGTTGGGTTATGAACTCTTCAAAGACCGAGACACGTTAAAAACAAGGTTTTATACACAAAGTATCTTTGATAGCAGTTTCCTTGCTCATTTGCACGGAACGGTCGACATCATTTACTTGGGCTCTTTTTTGCACCTATTCAGTTTTGACAAGCAAAAAGTGGTGGTGGAGCAATTGATCAGACTGCTTCGAAAACGTCCAGGATCTCTAGTGTTTGGACGCCATCTCGGCGCCGATCAGGGGGGCGAATTCAACATGAAATCTTTAGGGTGGGATTTGTATCGCCACAGTGAGGAGACAATCCGCCTACTTTGGGATGAGGCGCCAGATGGGCCATGGGATGTCTCTGCTCAGCTCACTCGGTACGAATCAGAGGGGTGGGACAATAATCGACGTGGATGGCAAGGGGATGAGGTCAAACAAATGAACTTTGTTGCGGCCAGAACATAACTTTGAGCTTGGAAAGTGCGAGCAGATGGCCTATATAGAAACTTTTGGTGGTATATTTAATATCTTTGATTTGTCTGCATAGGCTAGTTAATATAGCGACCCAAATGATTTGATAAAGAGGCTTGTGCAGCTATGCGGGCTAAATGCATCCCCTGGCAAGGATATCCAAGCCTGTTGCTCGGCTACTCGTATTAGTTGCCAGAATTTCCACTCAAACTTTCGCAAGCCCAATATGAGATACGGGTGGCTCTATGACCTATTCGGTGCTTTGACCTGTTCGGTGTATTAACCCATCCGGTACATTGACCTATTTGGTACATAGCCAAATCGAGCAAGGTGATACCCCGGCCCCAGCATTCGTTGTGGAAAAAACACACAGCCGAAAATACTGTCGCAAGTAAGCTATCTACAATTAGATAGAATTCTCTCGATTTCATTGCAAAGTTGTCATCGTCTTCCAGTCAACATAAATTATTTTCCACATTCACCAGACTGATGGCTGAATACGCGAAATTTTCAGACATCAGCCCACAATGGACCGAGGTAGATTTCTCTTTGAAATACAAAAGATCAAGAAGCAGTGAAAGAAAAAGATGAAATTGCTAACTGATCCATAGTTTGTCTCCCAATTTCCCGAGGTGGAAAGTATCAATAAGGTTGGCGTGGTTGAACGTCGGCGAATTCTCGATGAAATCGCGGGAAGAGTGCCGGCCAGGACAATGCCGGAAGATGTTAAAAATGATTCCATCATTATAACTACCTTTACCATCAAAGCCCGGGACGGTTATGACATTCCTGTTCGAAGCTACATACCCTGCCAAGGTGGGGCAGAGTCACGCGGTCTGCTCGTCTATATACATGCAGGCGGCTTTTTGTTTGGGGATTTAGAGAGCGGTGACTTCAACTGTCAAATCCTTGCCTCAAGATTGAATCTGACCGTCTTGAATGTGGACCATCGCCTGGCACCTAAGTGGCCGTTTCCCTACGGGGTTAATGACGCTTATGACGCCGTCCAGTGGGTGAGTTTCTTAGAGAGATGACATAATCAATGAAGCTAATATATGCTTAATACCTATAAGGCAGGAGCCCATGCTGCACAACACCTTGCAGCATCTCCATCGGTCGCTTTCCTCGTTGGTGGCATTTCATCTGGTGCCAACTTTGCCGGTGTCATAGCATACACCGCTCGTGACGAGGGACTATCGCCACCTTTGACGGGCGTCTTCCTCTCTATACCTGTCGCCCTGTGGCCGAACGCATACCATCTAGTCCCATCTGAGTGGTCGGATCAGCTACAGAGCACCAAGCAGAACAGCGATGCCCCTTTACTGACAGTGAAAGGGCTTGAGCTAATCCAAGGTATAGCTTACTCTGACAATCTTTTCGGTCTTAGAACTATCTTTCCGCGGAATCGGTGAAGCTTATATCATTTACCTTACAGAAGCATACAAAGCGGACGCTGGCGATACTCGAATTTCATTCCTGCTCAATAAGGACCACTCAAACTTACCCACGCGGGCGTATTTCCAGATTTGTGGGCTAGACCCTCTACGTGACGAGGCATTTCTGTGGGAGAAATTAATTCGGAAGCATTCCAGCACAAAAAGCAAACTCCATATATACTCCGGGCTTCCTCATGGATTCTGGCGGTTTGCTCAAATCGATGCTAGTCAGAAGTGGCTGGATGATTTGATTGAGGGCATTCGTTTCTTATTGCTTCCCGATGCAGAGATGGAGCGAGCACCAGATTATGATGTATCTATTAAAGGCACCAAATCAGCTGAAGGACACTGAGATCATACTTAAGTCAAAGCTAGTTGAAAATGTGAGTCAGGTGTGACAGACGCTTTCGGTGTTGATACCATGAAATAATAGATGGACAAATCTCAACTTTAGCTTGGCTTAGTATAGCTGGAAACGAGTCAGGCTGAACATCATGGTGAATGGATTGTTTCCAGCCGAATTTCTTACTACATACACTCTATATGCTCATCTTGAAGGTGGTGGCGCAGCCTTTTGTAGGCGGTTGCTTCGTTGGTCCGACGGACTTTTTCCATTGATATTTTATACCTCAAAATTGAAAGTGATGAGCACTCCTATTTCAGGACAGCCCCATCAGTGCAATGGGATTATGATCCATACAGGATGCAACGAGGAATAAATGGCGTACAGCTGACGAAGTAAGTACAGCAAGAAGGGGTGGAATGGGTCAGATGAAAGGGCAAGTAGGACACGATTAGATCAATTTTTATTGGATTCAGTAAATACGTCCACAATGATACCATTAGGGCTGCCTTGCTTGAAAGCGTAACCTGGTGTATCTAGTCAAATCCAACCACCCTTACTCCAGCAACTCGGTGCACACCACGTCTGCCGATGTTAGTGTGCCGCCCGAGGGGGTTTGCGAAATTCCTGGACCATCCTCTCAACCTGAAAATCATGGTGCGCATTATGGAGTTTCTCCAGCACCTAATCGAGACCAGAGATCATGGGCCAGGTTGATATCTATATTGATTGCTATTATAGTAATAATATTTTAGGTAAGGTATTTCTAAACTTATAATAAACATTTAAATTCATTCATAATTGAATTAAAAAGATTTCAAATAAGATTGGACTTGTTGAAGTTTTTAAATAAAAATAAAAATTAATAATTATAACTGTTCAGTTTGAAATTGCAATTAATAACTTCGTATATCTTTTTTAGTCTTTATAACTGATATGCTAAAGATTGCTCTTTGAGGGTAGAAGTGGTAGTCTTATGTCAGGTGTCGGCAGAACGGGCCGCGAACGCGACATCTAACCGGTGAAACCCGGTTTTCTCACCCTGGCGCTCAGGCAGAAGTTTAACCTACGTAGTTTGAAGGAAACGTTGACAGTTGAGATAGAAAGCCTCGTCTTCGGGCACGCGTATTGTTACGAACGAACTGACTGCCTGCTGTACTCTTCGTCCACTGCGCTGCTCGTCCATTTCTATATAAGGAGGCGTGTCCCAACGCGTGCCTCGTCTCACTTGCCAGGATAAATTCCATACTCTCGGCCTCGAATCCAGTGCTTCTAGTCTGATTTATATCAAATCTCCGGGTGCGAAGACTTGTGTCCCGAGCACAGCCCAGCCTATTCTCACGAGTGCGTTGCCCGACCCCTTTGGCACAGACCATACCTTCAGTGAAACAGCAGACACAATGTCCATCGACCTTATTTGCCAAGAGCCTGCCGCCCTGGACCTACTGAAGCAGTTCCACGTCTGTAACGCTTGTTACAAGGTCGTTGATCACCAGCCCATCGGCGCCCATGTCCTCGTCCCTAGAGACCTACCGAGCGGCAGGCGGCCTCTGCTGGTTCGGATCCACGGTGGTGGTTTTGCTGAGGGAACCAGCGACTCCTGGCTGCGTCCGTGGTAAGTGTAGCTCATATTCGATGCTGCCCTCGCCTACACATTGCTGACCACTCCTTTTATTCTTAATTCTTTCCAGGATCCTCGAATTGGCATTGAAACACAATGCCATCTTGGTTACTCCCGATTATCGTCTCAGGCCAGAGGCGCAGCTGGCAGATGAGATCGAGGACATGCGTGACTTTTGGAAGTGGATCCGGGCCGGGCTCTCGGAGATCCCGGGCATCAAGGTCGACACGGCCAACCTCGCCATCGTCGGGGAGAGCGCGGGCGGAACCATGACTGCGCAAAGCGTGCTCTTGGACATGATCCATCCCGTCCGGGTCATTATCATGCAGTATCCGGGTCTCAACATAGGAGGCCATTTGAAGTGGCTGGAGTCCCTCCCTGAGAAGATCTCGGTCTCCGTCCTGGAGGATCATCTCGCGAGCTCGATCCCAGGGCACATCGTGACTCGCGTCGCAAACGGTTCGCGGTCCCTTCTGGTTGGGTCGATGATGCAGAACGGGCGCTTTGTGGATGTCGAGAATGATGCCTATCTGGATCCGATGAAAAGTCTGGAGACGGCTGGTCCTTTGCCTCCGGTGCTACTGTTTCATGGCGGACAGGACAAATCGGTGCGTGCCTCAGATTCCGCGGCGTGGGCCGAAAAATTGAGGAGGTTGCAGCCTGATGTACCGCTGCACCTGGTATTTCCAGATGGTGATCATTGCTTCGACCAGTCGGACGTGCTGGCGACACCGTGGTTAAAGGAGCCTATAGCGTTTGTGGAGCAGTATTGGCCGGCGCAACAATAAAAATGGATAAGGACGAGTTCTCGGGGATGAGCAGTGCGATGATTTTCACAGGTGAGGAATGGTAATAGTGATAACGGTAGACTTCAAAAGGATGCTGAAAACCCTTGATCTGATATCATGCTTCTCTCCCTGATCTATACACTTTCCTTCTCGCTAACAGCCACGACTTCTTCCCCCACAGAGTCCCCACCAGTGAGCTCCCCAGGGTAAGACTGGCTACTCAACACGATGCAGAATATATACAAGGAAAAAAAAATGGTTCTCTTTTGCATCCGTTACCTAGGTGCTACTCAAAACAAGAAGATGAAATGCTGAAAACTCCACAAAGCCTTGACAAAAAAGTGTCGCGATTCGTCGTTAAAATCCAAAATGTTCCTGATATCTTTTTATTTCTCTTATAAACCCAAGAGAAACGTGGCAATGAACTTGTGTGTTGACTCGAAGCGTTCAAGCGCAGAACGAACCCTCGCAATTTTAGGCGCAGGCACAAGTGTTGGTAGAGCCGAAGGCGCTAGCTGTGACTGTGACGGTCTCAGCAATGGCGGTGGCGCCAGATGCAGTTACGGTGACGGTTTCAGCAACAGCGGTGGCGCCAGATGCAGTGACGGTGACGGTGGAGGCACCGCCATTGCCGGCAGTAACGGTCACAGTAGCACCGGCACCGGCAGTGACGGTGGAGGCGGCCGCGCCAGTCGCAGTGACGTACACGGTGGAAGTGGCGGCCTCGGCGGCGGACTCAGTTACGTAGACAGTGCTGGCCGTAGCGGCACCGGAGGCAGTCACGTAGATGGTGCTGGCCTCGGCAGCAGGGGCGCTGGCAGTCACGTAGATAGTCGAGGCCTCGGCAACGGCGGACTGGGTGGCGCTAACGGCGTCGTTGGCGCTGGCCTCGGTGGCGGTCACAGTGAGAGTAGCGTACTGGCCGTTGTCACCCGGGATGGTAACAACAACAGTCTGGGGGCCCTGGGAAATAGCGGAAGGAGTGGAGGTGACGGTGTTCTCAATCACGCTGGCGGTAGAACCGCTGCCGATGGTCACATAAACGACAGAGGTGATAGGGGTAACGGACGCAACAGTGGTCTGAACAGCAGGGGTAACGGTCAATGAGCTGGTGAGAACTTGGTTGCCGATCGTAACGGTAACGACGGTCTGGATAGCCTTAGCAGAGGTGGAGGTAGCAGAAGCGGTGACGGCATCGTTGGAGATGACTGTTGTGGCGCCATCGCTTCCAGTAACGGTGGAGAAAGCGCCACCGGTAGGGAAAGAGTTGCCGTTGCCACCAGCGGAGGTGCCGGTCTGGGCGGAACCGCCTTTGTTGCTACCGCCGTTGCCACCTTGGTTGCCACCCTGATTGCCAGTAGGGAAGGGAATAGCAGTAGCAGCACCGGAGCTGGCCGTCACGGTCAGGGTGACAATAGAGCCGGCGGAGTCGGTGTGGGTGATTGTAGCAGAGCTGCTAATGATGCTCTCAATGATGGAGGAGTGGATGGAGCTGGCCTCAGCAACGGGGCAGACAGTAGTAGTAACATCGATCACGCTGGTGACCAGGACAGTGGAGATAGCATCGGCAGGCAGGGTAGCAAGAGCGCTGGAAACAGCTGCAGTGTTGCTGGCAGCCGGGCAGTTGGTGATGGTGGGGGCGCAAGAGATGACGGTCTCGATCGAGGTGATGCCAACAGTGAGGGTAGTGACACCACCGGCAGTGGCAGTAGCGGTCGTGTTGGAGAAAGGTGCAACGCTGGTGACGTTGGCGTAAGGCGGCACCGAACCGGTGGCGGCTGAGTTTGCACCAGTGGTCAGAGGAACGGCAGAACCGGACTCGCCAGCTGCAGTCTCCTCGGGGGTGCACTCATCATCAGTGCTAGTAGCCTCGGGAGACGACTCGGACACGGTCGTGGCGCTCAAGGCGGGTGCGGAGCTGAAGCTGGTGCCATTTGAAGGGTTTGTAACAACCTCGGGGACTCCCGTCTCCTCGGGCTCGCACTCGTCATCGGCACCGCTAGCCGTAGGCACAACCGATGAAGCCGGGACAGAAGGGTAGCCTGAACCACTGGCCTGGACAGCTCTGGCGTTGTAGGGTCTGTAGTGAAGACTGCGGTGTCTCAGGTTGGTAGCAGTGGCCTCGGTGGCGCACAAGAATAGGGCGGCGACGACGCCAGTCTTTGAGAAACGCATCTTGAAGAGAGTGTAAGATCTTGAAATGAAGGTGAAGAAAGAGTGACGAATAGAAAAGGCGACCTAGCACCAAAAAGTGAATTCAGCTGGCTGAATAAAAGAATGTGAGAGAAGACGGTTTGTTGAAGTGAAGATATCAATCCAAAAGAAAGCGAGGAGAACACATTCTCTTAATAGTCTCCAGCAACTCTTCCGTGACCATACTCCATACAGTCTTGACAGGCTCGTTGTATGGAGCAAGCTCGCCTTGAGGCCATGCACTCCCCATCCTTGCCAGCACCATGGGCAAAGCTTTAATCAAGTTGTGTCAAACAGTCTCCATCTCCCGTCAAACTAAGGTGAAGGTAGTCCCAAGATGGTTCAGGTCCGAGTTCTCAGATGGGGAAGATATTATGGAGTTTCCTACGAACCCTGCAGCAGATCCTGGAACCGCAAATAGGCGGGATCTGCGCCTCTTAAGGAACAAGGTTAGGTCGTATCTGCTGACGAATATGGGCCTAAATCGTCGCGCATATATTCCCAGACCAAGCCGGCACTCCATACTATGGAGTAGCGGCTGTTATTGGCCTTCTCCTAATATGTTCCCATGGTTTGTTTACCGGGGATTTACTAGGCGCTACGCGGCTCTGCGGTTTTCGTACGAACAAAGGCGAGAGCTGACGACGAGTTGCATACCTCAACATCGATACCAATAAACACGATTGGAACCGCCATGCCGTAGCCCAGATCAGGTTATGCGTCGAAGCTCGTCCTCAGTTCAATGTTCCGCATATGCAGAAGAAAGTGTCCAATCGCAACTTTGTGTGCTTCTTGTTCACAAATCACCATACTTCGCACTTGGACTACCCCTGCCAAGAGTCTTAGCCGGGATGAATGGGGATCCCAAGAAGGGTCCATTGTGCCGAAAACATTAGACGAGTAGAATGTTGAGCCGATGAATCGATGCGATGAAATGAGTGAGGAGTGCGTGTTCGTTCAAGCATTCATGCACTCCATTCTTCATAGCAGACCTGAAGTCCAGGTTTTCAGCGGAGACAGGCGACGTTGCGCAAGTCCCTGCCAAGATCCGCATGTAGCTGGTCTCACCCAATGGGAGAATTTAACGGAACCCAGCCCTTTCCTAGTTCGGCGTTCTGAGGCTCCAGCCCCAGTCAATGAGCCCCTGCTCATTTCAACTATGCTTTTTCGCAACGACGCTGACGGTTTCATGTTTGGTGTGTCGTTGGGACTGCGCAGTGATGGTTCCGTTCTTCTTACACCGAGGTAAACTCGCGGGGTAGGAATAGATCCGCAAGAGCCTTGAAATGATCATGCAAGGCGGCTATGGCCGAAGTCAAGAAGCTCCCCTCCAGACTAACGCCATCATAAACACCGGAACAGGCGGGCGCATAACGAAGTCGCTGTTTATGGTATAGTCCGGGCAGGCGGTTTATGACAATCAATTCATGATGTCACCCGTCCATGACTCCATTATGCTGATGTAGACATCCCTATGTACAAAGTGCTGCCGTTGTCAATCAGGGCCCCTTTCTAGCGTGGCATTGCAACAAACCGTATAAGCTTCAAGCTGGATATATGTCTCAGCTAGGCTGAGGAAATGGGAGGTGGCTAAGGAATTTGGGTATCATATATGAGGTACGGCAGTGATTTCTGCATTCATGAGAGATGGCTGGATGGCGTTATAAGGCATTGATCGACCTATTGAAGGAGATGCATCGTCGATCAGGTCTAGGCTTTCGAGCTGAAGTTAGATGCGCAAATGATCGTCCGTATGGTTGGCTTGTGAGTTTTGCGGAGGAAGAAGACCTCACTCAGCCCTACAAATTGACTATTCAACGTACTAGCTTCTGTGATCGAACACTTATTCTTGGTAGACAGTGTTTCAAGCCCAAGCTTCGTGATTGCATCAACACATTTTGGTAAATTCTCACCCTCATCCAACAACAGTACACACCCACTGTTGCGCTGCAATATATTCCTGGCCGATCGTAGAAGTAACGCACGGTTTTCCTGTCGTCCCATTGACTCTTTTGCAATACTTTTCTCGGCGCCCGAATATGCAAGCGTTGTGCGTTGCTCCTATAGCTGCTGAGGGATTTGACCTTGTCTTATTGATTTATTTTATTTTCAGCCGCAACTGATGACGTCTACTGAACGTTGCCGCTGAAAATTGCCGCTGATCAATATATTCGATTTTCGTAATTGAATTGGTACCGACTTGTGCTTGGGACGAACCAGCCTTCTGGCGTCCGGAGATTATCAGTGTTTCAGAACCTCTCAGTGGGGTAAACCACCACGAATTCCCCTGTTTCGTTTTTACAAGGGCCACAGCCCGCGGCGCTTTTCCTTGAGAAAACGAACGTCTTGCTTCTAGAATCCCATTCTCGTCTTGCTCCAGGGCTTTTATTGGATACTTCCAGTAGATCTGTGTTCATGTTGAAGGACATGTGTTATGCATCGCTCGTTTTGGAAGCGGCACGGTTCATTGCATCTGCTTGAGGGCCGCGTATCTTGCATAAGCTGCCGAGAAACGAACAATCTTCAACAATCAAGACTAATTGTTTCATCATATCCAATTTTGGGCATCAGTTGCTTGTTTATTACTTGTATACATCTCTCCGCGCCCGTGGCGCCTCACGGTTATGGGTATTTTGTCGTGCAATGGTGATTCGATGCGCAATTCCCGACTGCAAAGCTTGTCCCACGAAATTGCAACCACTTGATCAATATGGTTCAAATGTCAGTTGCTCGTGTCTTAAAAACAGAATGTGGCTTCATCTCTTTGTTCTGTTCAAGGTCAACCGATGGCCAGCACTACAACAACCCCCTGGCGCTGACTCCAAATTTGGGATTCGATCACAACGACGTCCTTATTACACGTCGTACACCGATGGGGCAGGAAGTCGCACACTTTTATTCCACCCTCCAGAATTCTCATCGTGGCTTTCTGCCGCGATTCTCTGATTGAAGGCAGGGACTGTGCTGTTTCTGGAACACGGCCGACAGCATGCTGCCGTGTATTGGAACATCCGTCAATCCTCGCTCACGTGGGAGAGAATACAAGATCATCTACTCTAGGCGAAGTATTGTACGTTATTGCACAACATTACTAAAGCGGTGAATTTTGTTTGAACCATGCTCACTGGCAAGTGTTTGCTAATTAGTCAACTCAGTTTTGTGAGTAGCATCACCAATCAAATGCGTCAGATGCTGAACACACGAGGGCACGAGATGCAAATCATGTAGTCAAACACCGTACAAACTTACCAACCATCGATACGTTCTCATGCCGTGACATGAGCCCAGGAAAGCTCGCTGCAAGGGAGACGTTGGCAGGCTCAGTTTCTCACAAGAAATGAAAGAAATGAAAGAGTCAAACCCCTCAGATTGTTCCGACCTACTCATACCGTTCTCCACAACGCACCCAATTCCCCGCAACGACAGTCAGATTAATATCATGAATCTCACCTCGTCCTGCACTCCTAGGTCGCATGTGATCTTGAGCGACGTATGGAGTCTCAGGATAGTCGCTTAGGGTTTTCGGCAACGTTCGGATGAGGCTTGGGTATCCATATAGAACAAAACAAGTGGAGTGGTCTCGCGACGCACGAAAACGGCACGCGTCCATTTTAAGTGTGGCATTTGCAGGAGTACTTCTGCAAGTTATACCATGTCGATGGCTCAGGGCCGTTCAGGTGAGTGCGGGGTATCAGTACACCTGCGAGTAAGCCTAACCTAGCGGAGATCTGGGGTAAGTAGTGTCGGTACTTACCAGCACCAGCACCAGTTCGTCATCCGAAGAAGTCGCTCTGGACTAAGTGGATGCTGCCAATAGAGACCACGCTCGTGGTCTGTAAACATGGCAGTTGTTAAGGATTATGACATATCAAAGAGCGGGATGGGGAAACGCGACGTTGCAATCATATGATCTAGTGACATATTGGCGGCGGCCTTCCCGTTCTGGAAATCCATCGACAGCACCAAGGCCAGCGCTCAGCCTGTCATTCACGAATCTTGAGAAATATTGTCACTCACATGAGTAAGAAGCAGATCAATAATTTGCGGATCTTGAAAACCAGGTCCTTGGCTCCGCAACTATGTAGAATGTGCCAGTGCAGGTCACATTACTCCCCCACATTGTAACGTGCAGACCGACCCAAGTCATCCCATGAAAGCGACCTCCTTGGTATTTGGTCTTAGGTCTCCTTAGTGAAATAGTACATGTTCAAGGTATCTTCTGATAATATCCCAGCTGTACGCTTGGATGATCTACATCTCTGTCATAGTTAGCGCCGGGTACGTACTGGAGTAATACCATTGACCTAGGCCTGTGCCGATGCACTTCAGAGGCTTTATTGGATTGTATAAGATTGGGAGAACAACGCTGGAGCTCTTTACGTAGCTGACTGTGAAGATACTCCGCCATGTGCACCCTTCAGTACACCAAGTCGCGTGGCAGCCCAAATTGGGGACAGACTTGCGATGTGAGGCTTGCACCAGCATATTTCCGTAGCCGCATCATGGGCTTGAGGTTTTGAGAATGGTGACATTGCATATGCAGTGGTACTTGTGGTTTCTTGCCCGGTTTCCTAGTTGCAGCCTGCATTTAACGCTCAAAAATAGCCGCTAGTGTTCGACGGCCCATGAACCGTGGACTCGTGATGCTGAACATGATAGGAGTAACACGCGAGTCATTGCTCACATTGAAGCAAACCGAGGTTGAAGTGACGATTCGTGGCCGACGTGCATCCGCACGGAAATAGTCGTGAATGAAAGAAAAAGCAAAGCATCGATTGTTCTGCTGTCGGAGATTTTTTCGAGACGCCTGGCTTACGATCGACTAGGATTCCCCGGATTTTGGCGGAGGCTCGGGCGGAGAATGCTTAAGTTAGCACACAGTACACCAAAGCCACACCCGACGATCCGTCAAAGTGGCAGATCGCGTGAGCGATGTGTTGGAGGTCTCAGATGCTAGTTGCACCTATGACATCTACTGGCAAGACCTTTAAGTAGACTAACTAAACTGACCGTAAGCAAGCGGCTACAAGAACTGCCGCATTAAGACCCTGGTCTTCTTATTAGTTTTGCCAGGCTTGGCGAATTAGGAGAGTCTTGGTAGAGCTCAGGAAAAAGCTTGAAAAATGGCAGAGTTCAATTCAGAATCGGAATATTTCCTGCAGGGTGTTTGTAAGGAGGTTTTCGTATGTACTCAGCCGCGCATTGCAACGAAGCATTTGGCTTGCATAATGATTTGCTGAAATAAGGTCTAAAGTATGCTGTGATTGCTCAGACAATAAGATTGGGCCCTGCTAGGTTAGGTGGCTCGGGATGGCTAAGCCGTGTCGTTAACGTTTCTTGCTACCGGTAGGGACCTGCATCGTGGCGGCGCCATACCCTATTCTTCTATCTGTATGCATTTTCGTCTCGGCCAACCTTGTGTTGTTTCCAACAAAAGCGTATTCCAACGCTGCAAACTAAATCCGTTGCACCTACCACCGTTCTTGCGCTTGACGTATTCACAGTGTTGCGTGCCTAGTGCTCTACACCTGGTTCGAAAATTCCGTCACCGTCATGAAAGATAACCATGCATCCTGAAATAAGGCATTAATGGAATTCAAGGATCTTAGTCGTAGCTGTTTCCATTCCTCTTGCCGCATTGTCTCTACTCGCATCTGATTGGCCTTGAAACATTGTACGACTAAAATTCATCAAAGCATGGCTATTCATCCCAGCTCCATTCCAACCTGTCAGCGACAGCAACGTCGGTCCTGACTGACAGCACAGCTCCACCTTCGATAGTTTGTACCCTCAAATCAGTCCGACATGTCATGTAGTTTCATTCCGCACCGGCCTCATTCCGGTCAGCGTCTCCTTACAACGCACCGAAGCTATATACAAGCACACCGATATAGGTGGGGCCTCCTTACCCCAATTTCCTTCTTAGACTTTCGCGTTGTTTGACGCCTTTTGGACTTCTCGTGACAAAACAGATCCCTTGCCGAATTCGATTTCACTACGGAAACTTGGATCGTCGCCAAGTCTATATGCTTTCTGACCGCTTCCAAGCTCTTTGCCTACAATGCGACAAAAACTCTTGGCTACATTTTGCCCATCTTTTTTCTTGTCTCTCCTCGATTTTAGAGACATTCTTCCTCCATTCTAGAGCCAAGTCACCGGTCCAACCACATGGACCTTGAGGTCAAAGTTTCCTCGTGAGGGCCGGATCTCCAATCGCCGACTGTTGGCCTGTGATCCGATTCAACCTCATAATGTGTACCTAACCCCAGGTTCTGTGGAGTATTCTTCTGCTTTTCTTCGGGCTGCATTCGCCTTATGATTTCTTCTGTCATGAACAAGTGTTCCTCTCGTGCGGGCGGGCCAAGCCTGATTCTTAGTACGTGTTGTGGAGCCCATGCCCAGAAACAATTGCGCATAAGATCAGGCTCGTGATCCAGATTATGGGCTTTGTTGACGACACCCACAAAGTACCCTGTCCCATAATTGTTCGGCACAGACTGTCAAGCTCTGTCCATAAGTTCGAGCCATCTGATCTCACTGACGCGCCCCTTTCGTGACCAAGAGCGTAGGTCCAAGTTGATCATATTGGATTTCCCCAGCTCGTCTCGGACAATCTCAAACTAGTGTCGGTTTTTTTTTTTTCTTCTTCTCATCCCTATATAATCACCAACTGTTGCCATTAAATATTGACGATCTCATCCTGTTTCCATCAGGCATTATCTTGAAGATTCATGAACAACAGCAGCCTTTGTTGGCTATACATCCTCCTTCCACTTTACTCTTAATAAACCCCTTTACTGTATCAGTACCATGAAGTTTGACTCAACGGCTGCGGCTCTTTTGGGGCTCGCCATTCAAACTGTTCGGGCTGTGTCAACGTTTTCACCAGCTAGGCCGCCGGCCATACCTCTCGCAGTGAAGTCGCCATATCTGAACACCTGGTTGAATGCAGGAAGCGACGGCGGCAACGGTGGCTACCTTGCTGGAGAATGGGCGACGTTCTGGGAGTACGCTTCTCATTTCTAGATGTGTTCACCTCTTCCTTGCCTTACTAATCCGTAACAGTCAAGGGATCACAGCATGGGTAGGACTCATCCGTGTAGATGGAGTTGCATATACTTGGATGGGTGCTCCTCCCAACGCACCGCAAGTGGTAGATCAAACAGACTTTTCGTATACATCTACCAGGAGCACATTCATAATGAGCGTTGGTGGTAAGGTGGGAATGAACATCACTTTCTTGTCGCCTGTCACACCGAACGACCTTAGAAGACAGTCACTACAATTCAGCTACCTTGATGTTGCGGTGCAGTCGTTGGATGGTGCCAGCCATGACGTTGCTATATATGCAGACGTTTCAGGAGGTATGTGTTTCTACGTAATTGGTAAACTGGGTGCTAACAAGTTCTAAAGAATGGGCCTCTGGTGACCCATCTGCAATTGCTACTTGGGATTATAGCACTTCTGATGGTGTACTATACCACACATTCCAAAGGCAGAACCAAGCAGAAGTATCAGAAGTTCGCAACCAAGCCAGCTGGGGAACTTGGTATTGGTCTACAGCTGATACCACCGGTGTATGTCATCAGGAATTCCTCCAGAAATCTATGCGCTAACGACTCGAGGTAGATTACGTACCAAAGCGGTATCGACGTTGACGTAAGGGCCAACTTCGCCAATAACGGAAAACTGTCTAACACCAAAGACACCAACTATCGTGCTATTAACAGCCAATGGTAAGACCAACAACATCATTTATTTCTATAAGGATGCTTATCATTACATCAGGCCCGTCTTTGCTTTTTCCAAGGACGTCGGTTCCGTCAATGCAAACAGCATTTCAACTCTCTTCACCCTTGGCTTGACCCAGGATAACGCTATCTCGTTCCTTGGTGAGAGCACCACCGTTTCGCTCGTGCCGTCCCTAGAGAAGAGTTACTTTTCCAATGGCGTTGATGCTGTAAGTTAGGTTCGTGTGACGACGGAAAACCATGACATTGATGATTACTTCAGATGACGTTCTTCTACAAGGACTACGCGGAGGCCACTGGACTTGCTACAGACCTCGACAACAAGGTTGCTGCTGATTCTCTGGCAGCTGCTGGTCAGAACTACTTGACTATTACGAGTCTTAGTGTTCGCCAGACCTTTGGTGCTTTGCAATTCACCAACACCGAAGCTGAACCTTTGATCTTCCTCAAGGAGATCAGCTCCAACAGTGATATTCAAACAGTCGATGTGATATATCCGGCAATTCCATTAATCATTTACTCCAATCCAAAACTTCTGTCCTACTTGTTGGATCCCCTTTTTATCAACCAGGAGAACGGCCACTACCCTAATACCAATGCCATCCACGACCTTGGAACCTTCCCTGTCGCAAGAGGCTACCCAGATGGCTCCGACGAGCCTATGCCACTTGAAGAATGTGGCAACATGATTATCATGACCCTTGCCTACGCTCAGCGCGCCGATGATACCGCCTATCTGACAAAGCACTACCCCATCCTCAAGCAATGGGCTGGCTATCTCGTTGACGAAGCTCTTATTCCCGCTAACCAGCTCTCCACTGATGATTTCGCCGGCACCCTCGCCAACCAGACCAACCTGGCGCTCAAGGGCATCATCGGCCTGCGCGCCATGTCCGAGATCGCCAAATTGACGGGAAATGCAGATGATGAGAAGACTTACGGCGATATTGCCACCTCGTATATCTCGAAGTGGCAGGACCTAGGTATCAACAAGGCTGCCAACCCACCACACACTACCCTATCGTACGGCGACGGCAACTCGCACGGTCTTCTCTACAACCTGTACGCCAACAGCTTGCTCGGCTTCGGCTCCGACTTCGTGCCCCAGTCCGTCTACGACATGCAGAGCAACTTCTACCCGACCGTGGCCCTCGAGTACGGCGTGCCGCTTGACACGCGACACACGCAGACCAAGTCGGACTGGGAGATGTTCGCCGCCGCCATCGCGAGTGCCGAGACCCGCGACATATTCATCTCCAAGCTGGCTCACTGGATCAACGTCACTCCCACCAACCTGGGACTCACCGATCTGTACGACGCCGGCACGGGCGACTTCCCCGGCCTTCAGTTCCACGCGCGCCCAGTCGTGGGTGGTCATTTCGCCTTGCTCGCTCTGCCTTGAGGTTTTTGATCCGGACATTTTCAATTTTGCATTGTTTGTTGTACTGCTTTATCTTCTACTTCGATATTCTCTCGTTGCCCAGGGCTAAGTGCATTTTATATGGAAGCGGTTCTTAATTTCATGATAGTGTTTAGTTTGTAATCTTTGATACCCTCATCTCGGAATCTAGTTGATGTGGTCAGATTTGTTTATGCGTTGACACCCGGGGGGCGGGGGCTGCATAGGTAACGGTCGCTTGCATCAATCAAGGACGGGGAAAAGGAATGGGAACATATGGGTTTATGTTGGCTGGCGCGATGGCAATCATTGCATATGCGAGGAGTTTCTTGTCGGTCGTTTAGCCAGATCTCGCGGCATCGCGGGGTTTGCTGAGGGGTCTAAATCGAACAGAAAGTTGACAGCTTTGACGTTTTTACATTCAAGTATATGTCAGAATTCAGAGTTTGATATGGTACAATGGAACTATGTGACAAAAGAGCCGAGAACCAGAGCGGAAAGAAACACCCTATCTTAGAAAGTTATAATCGGAATTCGCCGGTTAAGTGATACTTTCGCTGGCCCGCCATACCGCGATCTATCTGATGAGGCCTTTAAACGCGTCCATAGCAAGCTTTTCCTCATTGTTGCAAATCATGGAACGCATGTTTAATATGAGTCAGAAATACTGTCTAGTCATTAAACAGGCAGTCGGGCAGTGAATACAAAGATTGCTGTAGTTAGCTAACCTAGAGTCTTACGCTGACCAACAATTGGCGCAATCGCTTATGCTACCATATATCGACTCGTTATTATTACTATCATTATTAGCTTCCGTGATTCTATAGACTCAACGTGAAGATAAGTCTGGCGGTGCGCCAATCTTGTGTCCACTGCTCTGGCTGGTATATCTCTCCCGTTCTACACAATGAAGTTGAGGCAGCCTAGCAAGGCTCCGAAAGGCTAATGACCATGTTGGATGGCGAAGTCTGCCTTAGGCGTTGCATGGTATCCCACCTCGATTTGCCGTGAGGCTTCCATCAGAAGGCCGGATGATTGGTGAGCATCGTGCGCGATCAGCAATCATGCCCAGGGTAGGCTGTGAAATCCTGTTCGCTCTGCAATGAGGCAGGGAATGCTGAAAAGTCGTAGGCTGGCCCCTTGGCAAGGTTGCAATGAAAGGCGCGAGAACTGTGGTCAGACCAATAGGATATGATCGTTCCCCGCAAGCCGCTTTTATTTAATCGTGGTGACGGCGAGTACTGCATGCCCGGCTATGCAGTTGATAAAAAGAGTCTATGCGATTGCCAAATGGGAGGGGTTTGCAGTGCACCATGCGTTGGAGAAGGTAACGCACACAGATTTATTGAACGAGGCTGTGGTCGTTCTGCACATCATGATGGAATATTCCAGTGTTTTGCATGTAACAACCTCTATTCATAACTATGATCTCGCTTGCATAGTACTGACCATAAGCAATGGCCCATTTTCTTCAAGCTCGTCCAAGGCGATGGATCCGATCACAATCATCAGTGCTTTAGCTTCATTTCTAGCCATCATAGAGGGAATGGTCAAGATATCGAAATGGTTATCCCGATATCTAGACACTGCGGTGAAAGCATCTCAGCATACCACTTTTTTTTTCAATGAGATTTCTAATTTCAATTATATCCTAAACTCGTTCTATGACCACGCCAATAATGCAAAAGAGGATCTCAGTAGGAGAGAAAAAAGAAAACTAACCCAATTGATTAAAAATATGGCAAGTCAATGTCTCTATATTGGAAAAGAGGCAAAGGCAATTAAAAAGATTTACGCCAAGATACATCAGTACAGCTCGACGAAACTACGAAAAATATGGGCCCAAGTACGCTGGTCTTTTATCAAACCAGATATGGAAGAATTGCTCTTATGCATGAACACGGTGAAATCAAGTGCCTCTTTCATGACTACCCATTTGATTTTAAAACGGCAGAAGGTGGAAGCAGCGGATTCAAAAATAATGTCAGTCTGGGCATTACCCACTCAGAAATTTTCCCACTAACAAATCAGTAACATACTCAAAGACCAGCTAAAAGTTATTAAAAAGCAAGTCGAACAAGACGGAAGAGTATTAGAAGCCTACCGGCAACGCCAGCAGATTGGCAGTGGCGGAGCATCCAACGATCACCTCGAGAGGTTCCTTGAGGACAACGTTGTGATGGAGCGTTTCGTCCACAGAGTTGTGAGAGTAATGGACAAAGAAAGGGCTCGTACAGACGAACAAGGCGCGCAAGGTAGGCGTGGACCAAGTCCCCCTCAGAGGCCAACTTCTTCACCAGGTCCATCACCAAGACGACCACCGCCCCCAGGCCCTCAGTTGCCGGGGCTCCGGGACAGCACTATCATACCAGAGGAGCGAAACCACTCAACGGTCTCGGAATGGCGAGATTCAACACACATGCAGTTGGTGAGTTTGGGAGGCCCAACTCGTGATATAAGGAACAATCAAAAACCACCTCAGGGTAGCAGATTTTCATCACAGCCGCGAACGAGGCCGCAACCAGCGAGCATATCGGGACCGAGAATTCGAGATAACGGCACACAAATCACTGAGGAGTTTGGGGAATGGCCAACGGCCACGCATTACTCCAACGCAAGTTCGATAGCTCCTTCGCCGTCACCTTCACCAAGTGCCAAGAAACCACCAGAAAGAAATTTGGGGGATAAGCCAGCTGACACAGGAATGGCCCAAGAAATAGGCCAGCCGAATTCCGCCAGATCATCTGCAAGCTCTAACGACCATCTCCCTGCAAGCTCTCTTGAGTCTCTTCGAGAGGTTCAGAAGCCGCCAGATTTCCATAGTCCATGGCAGCCTGTACCCCCGTTTACAAGCCAAGGCCCAAGGAGAAGGCGGCGGCGTCCGAGAACATCCTCCGCATCATCTTAAGCACGTACACGGACTTAATCTTCTCATATAGAAGAGAAAGTGACGGCCAGAAGGCACTTCAAGTCCGACCTTGAGGGGGTAATGCAGCATGGAATGACGGGTACAGGCGAACAGAGCTGTCCCCGTGATGCTCTTTAGTCGAGTTGAATAGTTCGGAATGCGCCAACGGGGAGGACCATCACTGTATACTATTTCTTTCCGCCTACATAGTGAACTGGAACGCAAAAGTCTGCTTTGACGTGTCGGCCACAGGTGTGAGGCTTGATTGGATGGCGCTGCATGAATCGTTTATGGAAGATTAAAATGGCCCAAACGGTCGAAACGATCGCCAACGATCGAAATGATGGGAAATCAGAATCGCATGACCCACTAAGTTAGTGTTGCTACCGGGGCTACCGGTAATGTAACTTTGGTAGCTGTGATTGGTGGCTTGTAGCTTTAATTGACAACAAATTTGGGGGAGAGGGGCGCTAAGGGAAAAACCCCCCCTGGATAGAAATGGTTGTTGTCATTCATTGATCGCAAAAAGTTTTGGGAAACTGGCTCGCATTCACGCGCATTTCCTCTGTTTCTGGTGGTTTTGTAATCGGTAGACATTTGCTTGCCTACCGTCCGTTCCTTTGGATATTTCGTGCTCGGATTAGTACCTTTATAACTTGGTTCTTACAACAAAAACAAATATAAAAAGGAAGAAGATCTATCAACATGTCGAGTCGCTATTCTCTGCGCCAGACGCCTCGGTAAGTCTTTTGTCAAGCCCACCAACTGCAAGACGCATGGCAAGTGCTGTGTCTGGACCGGTGTCGCCAACCAAGGAGACTGCCACGCTGGATAGGGTGCTACAACTGTCTCAGCGCTGCAAAGCCACAAGCGGTCATCCACTTCTCGTTATCCCTGAACCTCTTAAGGTCTCCCGAAGATTGTAGCCCTTGTGGCGTATAGCGCGTTACTGCCATCGTCGTTGCTAACACTCAAATTGCTCGCCAGGAAGAAGGAGTTGTTCGATGGGATGGTAGAGACTCCAGGCCGCCGTGTGTCGTCCCGGCGCAGCAATCGCTTTCCCTCCGTGGAAGGCGGATCAGACGATGGCGACTCGAGCTCCGCTGCCGAGACAACTACCTCAAAGTCCAATCCTACCAGACGTCGTGTTACCCCAAAGTTTACCGAGCACATCGAGGATGATTTTGACGACACAAAGGTGAAAGAGGAGTTCAGCGCCCTGACCAGCAAAGTATCAAACGCCCTGAACGGCAATGGCCACGTTGCCGCCGAAGCTCATAATGGAAGTGCCAACGGACACGCCAATGGCCATACCAATGGACATGCTAACGGCCGGGCCAAAGAAGAACAAATGGTCGATGGTTGGAAGCCCGGCATGGACCCCAAGGTTGATCATTCGGGACACTTTGAGTTCGGTGGCAGCTGGGGTGCTCTTGCGCTCATGACTGGATTTCCCCTATTGATGTACTACATGTGGATTGGCGCCACTTACTACGATGGCAAACTCCCTCTGCCAGCCCATGGTCAATCGTTATTAGATTTCGGCAAACATCTGTTCAGCCTGGCATACACTGGTGCTTTCCCTCATTTCAGGGCTTGGCGCATCTACTGGACTTTTTACGTCTTCGAGGCGCTCTGCTACGTCTTTGTCCCTGGCTTTACCGCCTACGGCAAACCCCTGCCTCATGAAGGTGGTAAGCAGCTTAAGTACCACTGTTCTGCATTCATCAGTCTGTACATCACCATCGCTGTCTTGGCTGGCCTCCACTTCACTGGCCTGTTCCCCATCTATACCTTTCTAGACGAATTTGGCCCCCTCATGTCTGTCGCCATCATCTCCGGCTTCCTTGTCAGCTTTGTGGCTTATTTCTCGGCCCTCGCACGCGGCGCTCAACACAGAATGACCGGATATCACATCTACGACTTCTTCATGGGCGCTGAGCTCAACCCTCGTGCATTTGGTGTCCTGGACTTGAAGATGTTCCAAGAGGTCCGTGTACCCTGGTACATGCTGTTCGGTCTCAGCTGCGCTGCTGCTGCTCGACAGTACGAGAACTACGGTTACGTCACTGGCGAGGCCATGTTCCTTGTTATGGCTCACTGGCTCTATGTCAACGCCTGCGCCAAGGGAGAGCACCTTATCGTGACAACCTGGGACATGTACTATGAGAAGTGCGGTTTCATGTTGATTTTCTGGAACATGGCCGGCGTTCCTCTCTCCTACTGCCACTGCACTCTCTATATTGCCAACCACCATCCCTCCGAGTACGCCTGGAACAAGTGGGCTCTCGGAGCACTTTACATCACCTACCTTGGAGCTTACTATATCTGGGACACTACCAACGGCCAGAAGAACTCCTTCCGCATGATGGAGCGTGGCACATTCGTTAAGCGAAAGACCTTCCCTCAGCTTCCTTGGCAGGAAGTGCACAACCCCAAGGTCATTAAGACGAGCACTGGTGATAGCATCCTGGCCGATGGGTGGTACGGCTACGCCCGCAAGATTCACTACACTTGTGATGCTTTCTTCGCTATTTCGTGGGGCCTGATTACTGGCTTTAGCAGCCCTTTCCCCTGGTTCTATCCTGTTTTCTTCTGCTGCATGATCACCCATCGCGCAATCAGAGATATCCAAAGATGCAGACAGAAGTATGGCGATGCCTGGACCCAGTATGAGAAGGAGGTGCCGTACCTCTTCATTCCCGTAAGTGTTACTTCTTTTGACGAGTCTGAACAGATTGCTAATTTTCGTTAGTACGTTATTTAAAAGCCAGACCCCTTTGATGTTCAGAAGACCTTGTTTGAACATGCATAGACTGCTTAGCTCGTAGAACCATTGCTTTTAAGAGAAGCATTACCCTTTCCGGAGTTTTACCTCCGTTTTTGTATATACTTAAGACGATATTCTCTGTAATGGCCCTGTGCTCGCATGAAAAGTGGACGATGGAACGCAGAGACTGTTCCGACTGTACGATAAATCTAATAATGGAACAATAATGAAAGATGAAACGTGTGTGAATGGTGTGTCGAGATGACGGCAGTTTAACCTTTAGGTTGGGGCATCAGGCATTTACGATTTTCCATGCTGCACCGTGTAATAAGGCGATGTCGAACTTCGTACCTTGAAAACTTATACTACATGTCTCAATTCATTGCATTTGACACAAGATATGTGACTGAGGTAGTCCATAACTCTTGAATACTACTGCGATGCACTCAAAAGGGGAACCACATGACCCCAACTACCAGCTATCCGCAATATTCAGCATCAATACTACAGCCTTAGACCCACTGGAGGTTCTCATCAAGCTCCCAAGCGTCAACGGCCTCACCGTCCGTCCCCAAGAGGGAGTAAGTTTTGTTGCCGTCGTAGCCACCCGCCAGGTTCCCCTCCACCGCGGCCTTGCGCACCAGCCACAGGCGGCAGGGAGGGGGGGGGGGGGGTCATACATGGGTACGCACTCGCAGTTCAGGGTCTACTCGCAGGACCAGAAATTCGTTCTTGTTAGTCCGCAGAATAACCAAGTGACAGCTTATTGTAGGTAGTACACGACAAGTCTTCTCGTTCGTTGCGACTGGGCATCCTGACGACCCAAGGGACACTTTCTCGGAGCGCAAGAAACGAGTCTTTCGGGTAGCACATTAGAATGACTATAGTCAATTTAGGTCTCAGTCACAACTTAAAAAGTGTAACGGAGACGCTGAAGTGATTAGTTTTAACCATCGCCGAACCAGTTCTGTTATGCACACTTGAAAATGATATCTTGTGACAGATACGGTCAGCCGGTGGTTGCGATCGATCAACCCGGAATTGAAATGTCATTCACCAGCCACGAACCACCATCCGCCGGTGCTCGGGAGTAACCCCGTGTCACTCCCATTATGGAGTAACCGGCAGGTCCCCTTCGAGAATCAGCTGTTTTGTGATATCTCTGACCTCTCTATAGGTGCTACAACTGGGGTTCGACCCTAGAGCATGGGGTCGGGCGCTCTGTACGATTTATCACAGCCATCTCTGACTGACGCTTCAGATCTTCCAACATCGGCCGATCTGCAGATTCCTTGGCGAGACAGTCCGCGACCAGTGAACGTAATACCGGGCCGACGCCCGGCCAGTTCACGTTGAATTTGTTCGCTTGTGCCTCTCTTGCGCCGCGGCCTTGAGGCCGGTGTATGGCAAATCCATCCGACATGTACCTCCTCCCGGCGCCGCAATCGATGATCTCACCGGCGACAGGCACGTCTTCAACGCCATTCGAGAACGTATTGCGGGTCAGCAGGTTGAACATGACCTATGGGGGGTAGTTAGCGTGTTTCTTTAGTTTGGAAGGGAGGGGGGACTTGAATCTTTGCACTTTGTGTCGCGAGTTAATTACGTACCCCCCCCCCCCCCCCCCCCCAATATCGGTGTGCATTCCAGCATGCGTACATCTTACGCCCAGGTTGAATTGCTCCTGCAAAGTATCGGCCGTGCTGTGATAGAGTACCTATTTGTATAGGAGTGCGTGCCGGTGGCCTCCAGCCGGCTGACCCCCAGGTGTTACGCCCACGACTATACACCGTTAGGACATGACTGTACTGTCGTGGAGAAGGACAGGCAAGGAGTGCATACTTATCCTCGGCAACGAATTGCGCAACACCAAAACTTGCCAAGTGTCCGGTTTCAGCACTAAGTTATGGCCAGAGAATATGTCGAGTTGTACCTTGAGCACTGGAATTAATTGGTATTTATGTTGTTTGTCCTCAGGCTGGGACGGGTTCAGGTCGCCCACGAAGACTTTGTTCGTCAGCCGGCATAGGTTTTCTGCCATGTCGTACAGCTTACTATCATAAGGTTTTATTTCTAGATGGACCAGCTTGAACTTATTCGGTGAAGTGTTTTCGGGGTCGATAGTACTTTCGAGATCGGTAGTATCATCGGGACCGAGCCCGGGGCGGATGTCGGGTCTGGCCTGCTCATCTAGAGCCTGAAGCGCCTACACCACTGGACCTCACTGATTAGCTGAGGCAGCATGCCTCGCCACTGGGGGACCCAAACTCACGGCATCGAAACATGCGCCATAGCGCTCTGTCCGGGTGCCGACCCGGACGGGCGCTGCCATACAGCTGACGACGGGCCATCCTCTCGATTGCTTGGCCCAAGTCCCCATGGGGCACGAACTCCATGATGAGAACCGGGTCCTTGGCGGTACCTGGATCTAGGGTTCGAGTATCAAGTACGCAGAAGCACTGGATGATATGCTCTCTGCCACCGGGAACCACCAACGAGCTGCGTCTCCCCGTGACCTAGATGTCCCTGACAACACGTCGGTGCCTTGGATTTTAACAAGAACGAACCTGCGTTATCTCCCCCAACCCCTCTTGCCAAAAGGCGGGCAGCTTCATCATCGCGGAACTCATTTCTTGATCGACATCCCTTAGTTTATTACCAGTCAGGGGATCCTTCTCGACTTTCATGGCCAAGCCATTTGCGCCGGAGCCGAGGTTCTTCATCCAGGTATACCGGCTGCCATGCGTGAAGTACTTCTGTATCAATCTGACTTGCGCATGGCGGGGGTCGGTGCTGGTAGTCCTGTCGCCTATACTCTCATGGTAGTCGATCAAGAAATGAGTTCATCGCCCTAAGCTTTCCATAACAAAGACGCGAATGCTGTGTTAAACACTCGTTTTCCTGGTCCGCACCCACAGCCTTGGTATACAAGAAACCAGCTCAGACATGGTTCGTGGCGGATGCAGTGCCCCTGTCGCATAACTATAAAGAAGCACGTTCTATCTGCTTTCGGTGAGACATGCACATCCCAAGGCCGCATGGGTTCGGTGACAAGAACATTCAACGATCATGCCTCCTTGGTCTAGGTCGAAAAGCAACAACAGAGAGGTTCTGTGAGCGACGTCTCGGGTGGGTATTCGCATCTGTCAAGCAAATCCAATGACGCAGATCCGTACAGTTTCAAAAAATCAATTGCCAACCTAGCGTACAACCCCTTCCACCAATCGTCTATGATGAGAAAACCATTCCTAGTCAAGTAATATAATGCAGTAACAGTAGTACACATGTGAGCCTTATTCCCGCCATTACCGTGTTTTCTCTCCTAGCCACAATGCCATCAGTCGTTTTTATATGATAAGTCGCTTCCATCCAGACGCTTTGTTGCCACAGCCTAATTCATGCTGTCGTCCAGAAGCTTATGAATTTCGCAAGCGCATGTCGTTGATATTCGATATCGAGGTACTGATTTCGGTGCGCAGATACAACAGCTTGTCAACCATCCTCGAGACCGTCCACGAGTCCTCGATAGATCCAGTAGTCACCAGATTGCTCGGAGGCTGCGTTTAACAGCTGACGTTCAAGGAAGCCTTCGAGTTCATGAGAAGAGCTACAATGAGACCGTACAGACCCAAGACTTCGGCGAAAATGAGAATGAGAATCATGCCGACGAAAAGCCTGGGCTGTTGAGCAGTTCCGCGGACACCAGCGTCACCAACGATACCGATAGCGAAACCGGCGGCGAGACCGGCGAGGCCGACGGAAAGACCGGCGCCAAGCTGGATGAAGCCGGTGAAGAGAGCCAGGTCCTGCTTAAGACCGTCGGAGATGAGGACAGAGACGACGAGACCGTAGATACCAATGATACCAGCCATAATGACGGGGACGATGTCTGATGATGGTTGGTTAGCTGAGGGCTGGACGCAAGACAAGGGGGGGCATGTCGACTATCGCGTACTCTTGACGATGAGATCAGGTCGGAGGACACCCATGGCAGCGATACCAACGCCAGACTTGGCGGTACCGTAAGAGGCACCTAAGCAGGTGAAGACGATAGCTGCCGTGCAACCCATGGCACCGAAGAAGGGCTGCTGAATGTTAGCGTTTTGTTCTTTCGGATCCCCGTGCTCGAGCCCTACGAAGGCGTCGTGACGGGGTTGTTATGACGCCAGGCTCGTGCTGGGAAAAGGTGGAGGTGGGTGAGGTGACTGACCGCGTAGACGGGGCTGTCAGACAGAACAAGTTAGCAAAAGAGCCACCATGGTCGCATACAAGAGGTCAGGCTGGATGAGAGCAACGCTCGGGATGGTAGGAGATCGGGGTGATGGAGATGGGAGCTGTGGAAAGAGCTTGGGGGGGCCAAAAGGGCGCTTTCTCAATTACGTACCAAGCCTCGGAGAATGCAATGGGGTCGCTCATTTTGGCGGTTGTGAGTTGTGAAGGTAGAGATGGGGGAAACAAAGAGAGAAGAGAAGGCTGGAGATTGTCGAAGTTGACTGGATGGAAAAGTGTTGGGTTTTTTTCCGAGTTGGTGACGACGTCGAAGGAGATGAACTTCAACAGCAGTAGCAGTGGCAGAGGCAGAGGCAGCTAAGGTTAGTGAAGTAAGTGACGGGGTGAGGTGTCTGATTGCTCTGGTGCTCGCTCTCGTTCTTTGCTCCAATTCCAAGGTTTCGCCCTTTGATTGGCGAGCTAGGCGGATTTTGCACCATCATTATGTCAGCCAGCCGTCGGAATAATCCTGCCGCCGAGTTTTGCCGAGCTATCCCAGGTCAGTCTAGTCTGCATCGTGTTCATATGTATGTACATGGTACCGAAAGTGCCCAAAAAGCTCGAGCCCGCTAACGATAAGATAAGGAATTTCAACCAAAGATATTTGCTCCAGTTGCGCATTTTCCAATATACCTTCATCCTCATCCAACTTCCATACATCACGAGATATCCATTTCGAGGGGGCGAGCCAACGCAAGTAGGTGCAACACAGCCCAGACATCAGCTGCGTTCCTTATGCTGGACCCGCGAGACTAATTCGTATCGTAGGGAACTCCCTGTTCATCAACATCAACATCCCGACAAGTTCGCTCATCATCAACCGCATTCCATCATGTCTAACGAATCCGCCGCCTGGCCTCTTGCCGACGCAGCTCTTACCCAAGAGGTAAACCACGGCCCACTGTCCATTCTCAGCCAGCCTGGATCCAACAATACTGACCCCTGATTCTCCCATAGCTTCTGGACCTTGTGCAACAGGCAAGCCACTACAGACAGTACGTTGGAAGACTTCCCGTCGCTACAGAATCATACACTAACCGGGTTCTTTCGTCATGCAGATTGAAGAAGGGAGCCAACGAGGCCACCAAGACACTCAACCGGTAGGACCCCTCGCCATGATAAGACGTGTCAAGATGTAGAGACCTTGGGCTAACGCGCGCTCAGTGGTATTTCCGAGGTGGTAATCCTCGCGGCCGATACCGCTCCTTTGGCCATCTTGCTTCACCTTCCTCTGCTCGCCGAGGACAAGAACGTGCCATACGTCTTCGTCCCCAGCAAGATTGCTTTGGGCCGTGCTACCGGTGTTTCCCGCAGCGTCATGTGAGTAGAGATGCCAGACCAACTCACGGGCTCAACCAGTCGCTAACAGTATGCAGTGCCGCCAGCATCACCACCAACGAGGCTTCCGATCTCATGACCCAGATCCGAAGCATCAAGGACAAGATTGAGCGTCTCATGATCTAAGGCAGGTCTCGGTATACCGGCAAGGAAAGACTCGGCTGGTTGGGAACGGCTTCACCCCGCTCGGCCTGCCGTGAGTGTACAAATCTAGTCTTGGATGGTTTCAGGAGCATAGGTTTAAGAGGATCTAGACGGAGTTGAGATGGCAACATACGTCGATGTAGTGATCTAGCCGATCGTAGAAGATCAATATCACCAAAATCCGGATGTACATGCACAGACAAGCTCGAAAGTGAGATGAGACACAGCATGGCAACGAATCATTTGTGCCTGATGAGACAAGTGCCTTGTTATTATGCATTGTACAGGTCGACGATCTAACCCAGGACCCAGGTGCTTACATGTGCAGTCTTCAGCTGAGCTTTCAAAGGCTGCGGATCCGGACTGCATACGAGCAGGCAAGGCTTGCCTACATGCAGCTGACCATTTTCATAATTTATTATCAACCCCCCACCCACCAAGTTCGAGGTCATTGACAGGCGGGCCCCACCATGAGGCAACCCCACCAACGTCAACCTCTGATCCTCGATCAAAGACATCATCCCGCAGCTGACAGTAGCGTAGCAATGTGCGATTTGGCCGTTGGCCTTTGGACTTTGGCCTTTGACCTTTGTTTGGCCTTTGGCCATGACCCCCATTACCTATGTAGGGTTAGCACAGTACAGTACAGCACGCCGAAGTTAGTGCTCGACTTGATTATAGCAACACTATACCCGCACTTAAACATGCTTGCTTGCTTGCCTGCCTTGCCTTGCCTTGCCTTGCCATTTGCACTGATGCCCGCTTTTACTCAAAAGTAAACACTGATTTTCGCTTCCAATTTCCCACGAGTCGGTCATGAAATTCAGAGTCCGAGTCCGAGTCCCAGTCCGAGTCGCAGCATCTCTCCCACCATGCCTACGTCATTAGCTCGCAAGCTCCTCATCTGCGCCGCCGTAGATGGCCTCGTCATCCAGCCCCTACCGCCCAAGGGCCAGCGTCCCTCTCAGCCCCTGAAAGTGAAATACGGGGATGCCACCGTATCTACCCTGCCCCGGGATCAAACCCCTGACACTTCGAAACCAAATTCCAGTTTCGAAGCCTTCGGGATCGTTGGTACGTCTACGTGAGAGAGATATCCCCCAGACAGACCTGCCTGGTGTAGGGACCAATACATGGCCAATTCGTCTGTAAACTAACAAGGAAAACTTGTCACCTAGGCCTTTTCACTGTGTCTCGCTTGAGCTACCTCGTCACCATAACCGGCCGCCAACAGGTCGCCCAGATCCGCGGGTACCCCGTATACGTCGTGACCGATGTCGCCCTCACGCCATGCACGTCCCAAACTGAAGCCGAGTCCGCCGTGAGACACACTAGCGTACAACTCCGTCGTGCAGCCCAGGCTGGCGACAAGAACATAAACCAAGACGAGACATCTGGCTCAGACACTGAGGGCGATACCGCTTCACTGTTGGGGCAGGACGAGACGGACGACGTTCATACTGACCGTGAGAGCCTGTCCGGCAAGGAAGTCGCTGGAGAGAGTGAGGCGCGCGATGAAGACCCGTCCGAACGGGAAGGACGCCGGTCCATAGCAGAAGACGTCATCCAACGCAAGGGCAGCTATGGGCGCTTCACCGAGCGTTGGTTCAGTCATCGTGGCTGGGTTCAAGACCAGAAGCGCAATATGGGCATCAGTGATTCAGCACCCCAAGCATCCGAAGCCCCCACGGACGCCCAAGCCAAGAAACAGGACAAGGACGATAAGAAGCTTGGCAACACTGTTGTGGCGGAGACGGCGAGCAGCAAAGTGGAAAACCCTGTCTCAACAGGTGAGAGCTTGCTTCCGAAATTGTTGCGCATGGCACACATATGGTTCGGAACCTCGCACAGCTTCTACTTCAGCTATGATGTTGACATTACCCGCAATCTGGGCAATCAGGGGTTGGCGACCAATGGAGATACACCGTTGCATCGTGTAGCGGAGCCCAAGTTCTTTTGGAACAAGCACCTCCTGCAACCCTTCTTCACTGCAAAAGAGGATTCAGTCCTTCTGCCATTAATGCAGGGCTTTGTCGGGCAGCGCGAGTTCACCGTAGATGGCCAGCCGCCCCAGTCGGATAGCGACAAGGCTACGGGGTCGATGGAGATGAACAACTTCAGGTCCCCCGATGCTGGGGAGGAGCAGCAGGGTGGTTCTTCGACCAACCTAAGGCCGAGCGAGAAGAAGTTCCTGATCACGGTTGTCTCCCGTCGAAGCATCAAGCGAGCTGGTCTGCGATACCTCAGGCGTGGTATCGACGACGATGGACATGTTGCGAACAGCGTCGAGACGGAGCAGTTGCTCTCAAGTCCTTCCTGGTCCGGCCCCAAGATATTTAGCTTCGTTCAGATTCGTGGCAGTATACCGCTCTTCTTCACACAATCGCCGTATAGCCTGAAGCCAGCTGCTGTGCAACAACACTCTGAAGCTACCAATTTGGCGGCTTTGACCAAACATTTTGACCAGTTGCGCAAACGCTACGGCGCTGTACAAGCGGTAAATCTTGTGGAAAAGCATGGCGTAGAGTCCGTCATCGGAGAAGCGTTCGAGAAGGGCGTGGCCAAGTATAACGAAGACAAGAAGGATGAGACAGAAAAGGTTGGCTTCGAGTGGTTTGACTTCCACAACGCTTGCCGAGGAATGAAATTCGAGAACGTGAGTCTGTTGATGGATACCTTGGGCTCTAAAGTTGAGAGCTTTGGAAGCACTGTGGAGGAACCTGCGAATAGTGACGGCAAGCCCGGCAAAATCACGACTTCCCAGAAGGGCGCTCTAAGAACGAATTGTATGGACTGCCTAGATCGGACGAATGTTTGCCAGAGCAGCTTCGCCAAGTACATGCTTGACCTGCAACTGAAAGAGGAAGGTTTCGATATGACTGCGCAGGCTGACCAGACCACGACCTGGTTCAACACTCTTTGGGCAGACAACGGAGATGCCATTGCTAAGCAATACGCCAGCACCGCAGCGATGAAAGGAGACTACACCAGGACGCGAAAGAGAAATTATAGGGGTATGGTCAATGATTTGGGTTTGAGTCTGTCACGACTATACAATGGGTAAGTCATACACCAGGGCCTTCTGGGCTCAACATTGTCCAAGCATGATTTGAGGCAAGATAAAGCTGACATCCTGCCTTTCTACAGAATGGTGAACGATCATTTCTCCCAAGCTGCAATCGATTTCCTCCTTGGTAGCGTGACGTCGATGGTCTTCGAAGAGTTCGAGGCTACAATGGCGACCAAGGATCCTGCTGTTTCCATGTCCAAGATGCGCGAAAATGCTATCGAGCAATCACAGAAAATCGCCATTGAAAACCCAGACTCGGAAGACTTCATTGGCGGCTGGACACTGCTATCTCCATATCACTCGGACACCATCAAGAGCCTGCCTTTTGACGAGGTCGTCCTGCTACTGACCGACGCGGCCCTATATCTATGCCGATTCGATTGGAAGCTCGACAAGGTGGCTAGCTTTGAACGAGTGGACCTCGCAAATATCGTGTCGATCAAGGTCGGCACATACGTCATCTCCACGGTCTCGTCTACTCAATCAGACGAAGACAAAAATGTGGGATTTGTGGTCACATATGAGCCTGGCAAGGACGACGTGAAACGTCTAAACACACGAAGTCTGACGAGCAATGCTAGCTCGGCTCCATCGGTCAGCGGCGACAAAGAGTCAGACAGCAAAGGAGACAGCCCAGCGCCCCCTGCGTCCGGCGGTATTCTGGCGCCTATCTTTGGATCATCGTCCCCTTCCAAGTCCGCCCAGCAAGCACAACCTCAGAAAAAGATTGCCTTCAAGGCCACTTATGCGCAGTCGTCCATGAGTGATCCGACTGTGGCCAAGAGTGGTCGCACTCCGAGCGAGAAGGAGCAAATTGATATCATAGCATCTGAGATAGAGAGACAGGTCTTTGTCTCTCAACCTCTCGACAAGGCTCGGGGTGATTCTGAGCGGACAAGCATCGTGGAGAGGGAAGACATTATCAGTCTGGCGGACGCCAAGAAGAATACAGGGTTGCTCGAGACCTGGGGACATGCTGTGAAGAAGCTAGTCTGGGCTTAGCGGGTATTTATACGGGTTCCTTTTCGTCATATATGATCGCATGCGTCGAGCAATGTACTAGATCGGCTGTCCAAGTATACGTAATTAGCATGCATACGAGTTCCCTTATAATCATGGCGCATGTACTTCAATCTGATTCTTATTCATCTTGACCCTTTGTGGGCGTGATGGCGCGGTATAGATGGATCTGATACCGCATGTTCTCCAGCTGAATAGGGTATTTCAAATCGTCGGCCAGTCTGAACCATACAGATTCGTTCTCCTCTAGTTTCTCCCACTGGCATCCTTCTTCGATCTCTTCCTTTCTGGGTTCCTTCTGTTCGCTCACCTCCCCGCCCGCCTCCTCGTTCTGTGCTTTCCTCCTCCGCTTCTCCGCCGAACCCACGAGCGTATGGTTCATCAGCCAGGACATGGGGTACTTCTTCTTCTCCTTGCCGCCCACCGCGGCCTCCGAGTAGCTCCCGGGGCTGTCCACGACCAGGAGAAGACTCCCCGCCGGTACCGCCTTGCTCAGGCTCCTCAGAAAGCTCGTCGTCTTGCCGATCCCGCCCCCCGTGTACAGCTCGTTGAGCGTGAACAGCAGCGTGACGAGCAGCGGCTCCACCCCCAGGATCTCCCGCAGCTTGTCGGCAGACAGCGCAAGGATGTCCTGCTGCAGGAAGGTGTGCTGCAGCTGCCCGGGGCCCACCAGGGGCGTGTTGGCCGCCTTGGCGGCGGCGCTCGCGTACTTGTAGATGGGCGGAGCGATCAGGAGAGAGTCGCGCAGCTTGTTCACTGCGCCGCCCCACGGGCCCGTGTCCAGGAGTGTGATGTCGCCGCTTGTCCCCGGTGACGTGGACAGGAACGAGGCGAACGCCGCGAGCTCGGCCGTGCCGCCGCCCAGGGCGAGGAGCTTGAGGGTTTTGCTCCCGGATCTTACACGCGCAGGGGTGGTCTCAGAAGCCGCCTCCTTCTCGTCGCCCGTGCCGGGTCCGGCTTCAGTCCGAGCATCGTCGCCCGCGACCAGAGCGGGGCCAGCTTCATGGAGCGACAACGCCTCCAGCTGCCCCGCCGTGCTCGCGGCGTCCTCCCCGCCGGCCTCCGGCCCCGCGCCGCTCCTGCCCGCAGCGCCTTCCAGCACGATGCCCCCCAGCCACTCCCTCAGCCCCTCGAGCGCGGCCGCGTACGCCAGCGCCCGCGTGGGGCTCCACCGCGCCGCGTACACCTCGAGGTACTCCTCGCGGCCGAACGCCCTCCCGAAGTCCCTGTCGTACAGTGCCGACTTGACCTCCTGCAGCGTCTGGGCGAAGCCCGCCGAGGACAGGGCCTCGTCGAAGGCCGTCTGGAAGATGCCCAGGACCTTCTGCTGCGAGGCTGCCGCCTCGGCTGAGAGCACGGGTCTGGTGGGCTCCTCTGTTGTGGGGTCTTCTTGTGCTCTGGCGGAAGATTTTGCTGAAGACTTTTTGGTCGGCGCCGCCAGAACGTCTCGTTCGGCGCGCTTGTTGAAGCCCTTCTTCTGTTTGCCTCCGCCTGCCATTTTTGTTTGTTTGCTTTGGTGTAATGTTTTTTTTTTTTGCACCACCTCCCCCTTGAGTTTGTGTACGAGCGAGTACAAGATCCAGAAGTTGAGGGCCGGGAGCGCATAGGCTAGAAAATATTCGGACACGCGATACTAGTGTCCGGAATTGTGGATGCAGTTGGAACTTGTGGTCAACTCAATTTGTAGACTATTTCTCATCGTAAGAGCCAAGCACATTTCTAATGCTATCTCTCCCATTCTGATACCTCATTCACAAAGCTGATTTGTTTTCCTTCTTGTATTCCCAGTCTCTCCTGGTAATAGACTCACAACATTACCCCTATTGATCTGACGAGTATGAGCAAGAGAACCACTTGAGGTTGCCGAGCTATTCGATCCTCAGTGGTGGAACCAATGCGAGCAAGCACATAATGACATTACCAGGTTCTCCAATACGGATTTAATTACCAATGAAGCAAGCGCGGGTATGTTGTAAGAAGATATTGGTTACTCATGTTGCATCAGGGGTTGCAGGTATCACGTTCCGGTGGACACGTGAACACTTGTGTTTACGAGTCCCGCTACCTTCACGAGCAAGTCTGGTAGGACAAAGCGTACAAACTAGAATGTCATATCTTGCCCACGATTTTGCCTTGAGCGAGGGCAAGTTTCAAACAACATACCCCGCTTTCATCTTGTATCCTGCACCAAATTCTAGCAAACTATTAAGCTCGATGGTTCCTCTATTATTGAGTCTTTCGAGCTCCCAATGAGAAACACAATTGGTTTCGGATACTTATCAAATTCTTCCTCTTCTCTCTTCAAAACACAACTCAGGCGTGCCACCCCTTTGACTCATCAAAAGGAAATCCCAACCTTATAACGTTAAGCAACGCGCCGTTTAACCTTCTGCTGCCGTCTATTCTGGCATTCACGTCAGCGCTGGAGAATCATCGAGCGTAGATTCCGTCGCTCTCGACAACGGGCTGGATCTTTTGATCGCGATTATCGGAATGCTCCTAAATTAGGTGATGTGATGAACATTAGAAATGACGCTTGGCAGTCCAGGTCCTTGGTTTGACGTACGACATGTCTAATACCGGCAGGTTAATTATGATTACTTGAAGCGGTTGCTTGATTTCTGCGCCGCGCAGCATTCAGAGTGCAAGCCTCTCGTTTCAGAGCAGCGGTCAATATTCAAAGCCATAGATGTTACGAAAATGGCGGTGGTTCCATTGCCTGCAAACCAGCCCTATGTCACGTTGAGTTACGTATGGGGCTCGCCTGCCAACGAAACTCTGGGAAGGTCAGGATTGCCGGAGAGCTTGCCTCGGACCATTGGCGATTCTGTGATTGTGGCTAAACAGCTGGGTATAAGATACTTGTGGGTCGACCGGTATTGCATACCTCAAAACGACGAGGAAGTGAAGCACAGCCAGATCCAAAGGATGGCCGACCTTTACTCTGGATCCACAGTGACCATCATCGCGGCGGCCGGCGAGGATGCAGAGTACAGCCTTCCTGGAGCAACACGGGAAAGAACACCACAAACATCGATTAGTGTGAGAAGGTCGCGTTTGGTGGTCCCGAAACAAACATGCAAAGAAATCTCCAAATCGAAATGGAATAGTAGAGGGTGGACTCTTCAGGAGGAACTTCTCGCTACAAGACGTCTTGTTTTCACGGACAGTCATGTCTATTTCCAGTGTCGAAAAGGGCACGTCTACGAAGATACCTTAAGCCCAGCGACCGTCGACGACCAATTGTTGTCTCTTGGTGAACCAGTTTTTCTTCACCAAGAGCGGAACACCAGCCACTCTGACATGTGGCAAATCTTGGCTGAGTACATGATGCGGGATTTGACATACGACACTGATACGATTAATGCTGTTACCGGTGTTCTGAATGCACACGATAGCGAAACTATTGCCGGACTCCCCATGGTGAAGTCTTGTCATTGGGGGGACGGCACTCGTCTTACAAACACTGAAGTGTTGGCCGTGTCGCTAGTTTGGTCGGTCGACTCGCCATATATGAGCACGGAATCCAATCCGGCAACCGTTCGTCGAAAGATCTTTCCGAGTTGGACATGGGTGGGATGGAAGATAGTAAGAAAAGAGATCGACCCCTTTTTGTTGTCCGAACAGGGCATAGTTGTACTTCATATTGGCGAAGCTCGCTATGCTCTAAAAGATATGCTGTCGTTCGAATCAGATTGGCAACAAATTATTTCACTCTCGAGTTTCGGAAAATACCCAGAGTGTCTCATCCTATCAGGGTGGACATTTTCGCTGAACTCTTTCGATATGGCAACGATTGATGACAGTAGGAGGATAGAGCATATTAAAAAGCTCCGTTCCGGCCAAGAAATAAGGCCTGGGTTGCTAGGTTTGGTTCTCTTACAAAGGTTCTTACCGCTCGCACATGGTTTGCATTCCTTTTTCCATGTTCTCATGCTGAAAAACCAGGGGGACATGTTCGAGCGTTCAGATACTGAACCGTGGTCGCTCGAAGGTAATGTTCGAAATATACAAGGCGTTTGGCAGCTTCAGAGTGAATGGGCTGAATTTGAATTCAGGAAAGTCTGTGTAAGATAGTCGTACGCAGGAACTCTCTTCAGAGCTAAATTCGCTCGTTATTATACCTTATTGTCAGTGTTTATATAACTGTGTCTTGCACTATTAAATGACTTCACCAAGTGCAAGCAGAACGTTCAGGTGTGTGGTCAAAATGCCTGGAAGTCCGAGTAACGGCAGCCTGGTTTCAGACACAACCACACAGGCTATCTGATGTTCGCAGGTCGCAAGTTTACCGCATTTCAAAGCGAGATAAGTTTGGAATTTGTTGGAGCGAATGACATGATCGTCAGCGGAAGTATTCAAACACGCGGCCATGAAATCTGGTTGTCTTATGGTCAAATTGCGGATAACGAGTTCGAGAAATATTGTCTTTGATAAATTGGTTTATTATAAAACGTGTGGCATATCACTAAGGAAGGCAACTTATATGATAGGATGTAACCTCTACTGATTCCCAACTCCTCGTTGAAGTACAAAACGACTTCTAGAATGCGGGCGCCCAGCAACGGGTCGAAAAATTTGATCTTTGCCAAGTGTAAGACATTCGTAACAACGGTGTAATGTTGCGAATATTATGAAGCGCTGAGCGCAACCGGCATAATAAAACGAGCGAGACTAGCAAAGAAATATCAGACATTCACAAGCACATGCAAATAAGACGGGCAAAGACGAGAATTTCGTCTATTAATGGTGTGGGCCGTGTAGTCGGTTACTTGACCTTTCGTCTCATTTTTGGACGGGGATTGCTCAGTGACCGCCCTGAGAAAGACGCCTGAGGGTATCTGCTGATGCCCTCGCTTCCGGAGTTTGCTTATTGCAAGCTTACTTTCAAAAGGTAGACATCAATCAGCGTAAAATCCCGAGCCGTGTAGCGGGGAGCCGGGGCTTTTGGGATTAACCACTCAAACCTACGGGCGTTACGCGCCGCGCCAATCTGCACACATTTCCATCTGTGATTGGCATCACAATCTGGAATAAAAACGGTTAGCCGCATTCTTTTTGGGCTGTTCAATGGCACACTGAAAATTTAGAAACATTTCAGAAATGTTGAGAAGATTGTTTGTTCGCGGGTTTTATCGGCATTGGTTTTCAAGACGCAGGGTCTCGATGACGCTTCGCTGGCCCCGGCATATCTCATCATGCAACGATAGATTTTGGGAAAGTGTAAGCATGACATACCTATTTGACAGACAACGGGAATATGGCGTGCGGTAGCAGATAAGATGCAACCTGAGTTGGCATCAAGTGATGTTCAAGTTTTCGCAAGACCGTGTAGAGCTTCAAGTGTCTGGCTGAATTCTTCGCCTCTTGTCCCTCATAGCTCTGAGCCTGGACTTGTCCTCTTCGAAACTCTGCAAGAACTGGGCCTGTTCGGCCTTCTTCTTCTCGCGCAACTGGAAGCGGTAGAAGTTGCCGGTCTCGTCCTTCTTCTTCTGCTGTCTCTCCAACATCTTCTTCCTGGCTTCTTCTGCTTCTTCCTGCCTGGCAGGTGCAGTGCGGCCACCCTTGGTGACAGTAATAAAACCATCTTCATCAGGTTCATTCTGCATGGCCTTGGCCAGCTTGATGGCTTCAACCTCCTTCCTGTTGTAAACGGTGAAGTATGCATCGACCATATCCTGCATAACCTCGTTGCCTGGATAAGAGAGCTTGTTGTGTGCCTTGAGCCATTGCGAGCCTAATGACGGGGTCTTTTCACCAACCCCCTCGCCCCAAACCGGATATTTCTTGGTCTTCTGGAGCTTCTTCACGGCCCTGAGTACCAGGTCGACGCTCTTGTCATCGGCAAGCAAAACCACGGCGGTGCTACCGCTTCGGCGTAGTGGCCGCGACCAGATGGCTGGCAGCTGTGCAGCCTCTTCGTCCTTCTTATTCTGTGCTTCTTGTTCTTCTCGCTTCCGCTTGCCGAGCGCCGCTAGCCGAACAGCTTGTCCAGGCTCATGGGATGTTTGGGAAGTTTTTGAGTCCTGTTCGAAGGTGACAGCTTCGAACTTGCCAGCGCCTACCAAGCTGGAGAAGATGCCTCGAAGATGGGCCTCGGTGCTGTCCACAGGCACGTTGACGAGGAAGAGACTTCGCGTGTCGTTTTTAGTGATGATCTTGGCGTTCCTTTTAAGATAGACGGAATGTGTAGTCTGCACAGGGTATGATGGGAGTGGAGGAAGTGAAATGGTAAGGACTGAGAAGTCCTCTTGACCTGAAGCTTCAGCCATGATTAGGCAACCTTGCACAGTTACTGGTAATCGAGGACCGGATAGGCTTCATTGAGCAGACTTGTGCTTCAGCGTTATGGGCCGCGAGGGATGGTGAGCGAGACGACATCGGGTACAGGAAAAAAAAGTTTGGAGCTCGAAAAGTGGTAACAAGGAGTGGGGCAGGCATCGGTGGCCGGTCAAAGCTTGCGCCGACCAACTTGGCTCGTGCTCTTGGCTTCGGTGCTGTGTCTCTCGCTAAGCTTCCAAGGGCTTCCCCATCTGGAACGTCTCACAGCATACGGATTACATACACATGTAAATGGCCCTTGCCCGACCCGAACTTTTGGGAATCTGCAGCAGAACGCCAATCACGTCATGCATGCTCTGCGAATATAGTGAGAAGCCATTACACAATACTATTGTCACGATCCGCACTCAAAATGGCCCGACTATATCCCCGTCGCTTGCTTTGTCTTCAGTAGACACCACGCAAGATAGGCAGGTTAGAACGTCTGTACAGGGGCACGGAGCCCGCGGGTACGAGACCTTGCCACATTGATCATGGGCTCGCCCAGTGGCCCACATCAAGGTATGCAGCATGGTGACATAGTCATAATGCAGATTGCTCTTTTCACGTCTCCTCCCTGCCCCGGCTGGTCGTCTCCAGAGAATCAGCAAGTGCGTACTGCAATATGACAGTAAAGCTGGGTGTTGGGCAATTTCTGTCTGGAAAGAAAAAGCATCCTTCGTCCAAGCCTCCAATACTGCTGTCATGGCGGTCGTCCAAATTTTTCATCATCATGACTGTGTGTCTGGCACTGTTCACCGACATCTTTTACTACGCCCTTATTGTCCCTGTCATGCCATTCTCTCTGACGGTTCAAGTCGGACTAGCTGAAGATCAGGTTCAAAGCTGGACATCAATTCTTCTGGCATGTTATAGTGGTGCTTTGTTCATCGGCAGCCCGATAGCAGGTATCTACGCAGACCATACCTCATCGAGGAGATGGCCTCTGCTCTTGGGTCTTCTGGCGCTGGCCGCTTCGACGCTTCTACTCTGCTTCGGCAACAGTATCGGGCTTCTGGTCTTAGGCCGATTGCTGCAAGGCCTAAGTGCAGCTATCGTTTGGAGCGTCGGGTGCGCCCTTCTGGTTGATACTATGGAAGAGTCCGTCGGCGTGGCAATGGGATATGTGGCTGCCTCAATGTCAGTTGGACTGTTGATCGCTCCGACAATAGGTGGTGCTGTGTACGCAGCAGCCGGATACTACGCGGTCTATTATATCGCGTTCGGCGTCGTTATTGTTGACATTTTACTCCGTCTTGTAATGATCGAGAAGAAGGTCGCCAAGCAGTGGGAATTTCAGCCTGATTTGCCCGCGGTACCAAGTCCCAACCACGACGCGGAGAAATCGGTTGCAGGTGGACCACAGTCTGTCAGTCGATTGGCTGGCGACGGAACCAACAATGGTCGGCCGTCAATGTTTGAAGGGACTACGGCAACAGACACCACCATACAAGCTGGAGCAGATGGACGTCCAGATACTGAACGACCGCAGAGAACGCCAAGACCTATTCTTGTACTACTAAAATCTCCTCGCCTGGTCGCTGCTCTGTATGCCATTGTTGTTCAAGCTGGCGTCATGATGGGATTTGATGCTATTCTGGCCCTTTTCGTCCAGTCAACATTCGACTGGAACTCCACCGCGGCTGGGTTAATGTTTATAGCCATCTTCCTGCCTGGTTTCATTTCTCCCTTGGTAGGATGGCTCGCCGATCGTTATGGTGCCAAATGGCCTTCATTCGCAGGTTTCGTAGCCACAGTCCCAATAATCATCTGCCTCCGCTTCGTCAACGAGAACACAATCGGACAGAAAGTGCTTCTTGCAGCTCTTCTAGCACTTGCAGGGACCGCGCTATCTTTCTCCAATACGCCGCTGATGGCTGAGATTACGTATGTGATTGTGCAGAAGTCTGAAGAAAATCCGGGCATTTTCGGCGAGAAGGGCGTCTACGGAATGGGATATGGGCTGTTCACCATGGCTTTCGCGCTGGGTGGTGTAATCGGACCTCTTTGGGCTGGGTATGTCAATGACAGCGCGGGCTGGGGGACGACCATGTGGTCGCTTGGCCTTTGGGCTGCATCAGGGGCCGTCGTTGTCTTTATCTGGTTGGGCGGTAAGCCGCAGAAAACTGCTGATGTGGACCAAGGAACAGCAGCAGAAGAAGGGCGCGTGGTCAGCGCATAAAAAGACTTGATTCGCAGTTCTGCATGTTGAATAAAGCTAAACTTTATTCGCCTCCAAAATGGCCCGGTGCTCTTGTTCTGTCAACATACGTAAGATGCAGACGACAATTCCATTCCAATCACATGAAGTGTCCTCACGTTTTTGCAACGTCCTCTTTCACATGCCACCCCTCTTATGCAAAGCCAAGCATTATAACATGTTGAAAAGGAGCGCTCATTGTGCGTAACACATGCGGTTGTACTCGTCCAAGGGTAATGCACAATGGCATGTGCAGCATCTACACCACATTCACACTTGAGGCGTAAGAGTTGAAACATCATAAGCAATCTGCTTGCTAGGTCTTGATTCAGTTAGATATATCGAGATCTTTGGTTGCGGATGCTATGCAGCCATGATCAAAACACCATTTGAACCACCAACCTTCATCAGCAAGCAGTTGGGTCGGCGACGATTCAAACCTGATATGGGGTCCGATGGTGTAGTTGGTTATCACGTCAGTCTAACACACTGAAGGTCGGCGGATCGAGCCCGCCTCGGATCATAGTTTTGCTTCTTTTTGTTAAAACTTTTACTGAATGTGATGATCATGGCGCCAGATCGAGGCGAATCCATCTCAGTGCTGTTGCACTACTGGGATGGTTTCAAATTGCACGGGAACCATGGACTGTCTGTGGAGAAAGGCCGCCAACTTCATCTCATTATTGCGGTCAGAGTTGTTGATGTCTCTGTCGAATATCCGTCTGTTTTCTTTTGAGCAATAGGGCCCGTGGTCCTTTGGAGTTGAAGTGACACAATAATATGCACCAAGCTGGTCTTGAATCATAAAGACCATAATACCGTTATTAAAGGAAGCGGCATTGAGAAAAGCAACTATCAGTAGGCCTGTTTCATGTCGATCTGGCAGGTCTTAGTAATAAACTTTTCCGGCAGTTCGGTCAAAGGACCTCATGGGCTGGAAGACGTCGAATTAAGGTTGATGTGGCACGAACATCTCATGACAGTGATCTAGAAATCATTAGCCTTGCCATCACCCCTTTCTTTGAGCATTACTCTACCCGAGCATTAGGAAGCCTCGACTTTTAAGTTGGGAGATAGGACCAGAAGCATGAGCCAGTAAATGTGTTGTGACCAAGAGCAATAGGTGTGGCACCAGCATGGAACACCGACGACAGGACAGTGGTATGACGCTTAATGCCAAGTGGCGGGCAATAATTGTAGATATCTTGTTGATACAGGCGAGAGTTATCGCACAACTTGGTAACACGAATATATGAAAGTCGTCTTACCCATACGATATGTGCTGTCCATACCCGGACGTACCGAAGTCTGCATGTCAGACAGGCCGTAAAGTGCGTACCATGGTATCTTTCCGATCCAACCCGGAATGATTCACATATGTGGCGCCAAAGAAGCTCTTCCAACGTGAAGTTTAAGATATTGACGGGATCACGGGGTGGTTATATTGGTGTTTCGGGTTGTGTTGGGTTAGACGCATCTCATTCGTCCATTTCAAAGTAGGGCGCCTAAGTGAGGCGAGCATATTCGTATGGTTGTGTGGACACCTGTAGAAGACATGAGAACGCTTTCAAGCTGGAGTGCATGCATGAAACCAGTGTCGATCTATTGTTCTGGCCGTAAAACACTTGCCAGATATGTCACGCAGCTGTGGAATCGCTCGGCTGGTGGATGCAGGCACCACTTCTGGAAATCTGTATTTAATCAGTATACTTCCCCGTTCATATATACAGCTGAGTATTTGTATCGTGTATTACATATTGATCTTCTTGAACAAGGCCTTGGTGCATTCTCGAGAATGTCGTCCCAGACCCTAAACCGATACTGGATACCGCACATTGACATCAACAAAAGAGTAATAACTCAGGAGCTCCAATACTACCTTGGACCAGATGCAACAGTCAGACCATATACTCGAGAAGTACGGAGATCGACTGAATGCATGGGCGCACCACTTACAAATATCACAGGGCGAAGATGGCTTCCTCATAACGACACCTGGTGCCTGCTTGAGCGACGTTGGTGGCCACTGCTCCTAACATTCTATCGGCGCCTCTAATGTCAAATCGTCCAGGAACAAATCAACGACATTTGTCTGAAGTCAAAAGAGATCTGGGAGAAGCAGGCAGCAGCCAAGGCAGCATCCAGCCCTGACAAACCACTGAAGCGACCGCTGCATCAGCCTGTGCTCATATCATCTGGCGATGGTGCCGGACGCAGAAGCAGCGATCGCAAGAAGCCCGAACCTCGCAAGCCCTACGATGGTAGACGCCGTAGCAACACATCTCGAAGATGATTCCTCTGTCGAGGCTCAGGGTATCATCCCACTGTCTTCGACGGATACGCGAGCGGCAGCATTAGGCAACATTTCCGAAACGAGTTGTCTTGGAAGTGTAGAAATTGGCAATAGATGTCGAATCTGGCAATAGGGTGTAAATTTTCAGTTGTGATTGGGTTGCCAAACCCGAGATCTGCATGGTTTCCAAGTCGTCCAGCGAGAGAACGCCATCTGGCATTGCTGATTACTGGTGGAGACAATATCTGTGAGCAATGCAGGTTCAAGGTTGAGGTGTGCAGCGAGACGCGCCATTTTGCACAGCAATAGCAATTGAGCATTTCCCCAGCGGCTAAACCTAATCAGCATGGACCATGCAGCGTTGCTATTGCTGGAATGCGTCTGTCAGCTTGTCTCAAGTCTTGGCATTTCATCGCAACCTCTGAATGTTGACACATTGATGAGACACAAGTACCCATTCGTTGCGCGTATGAGTATCGATCAAGCGTCAGTCGATCGCTGGATGTAAATTGTGCGAGAAGCCCATTTTCGTCGGAAATACAATGTGTTGGCAGCTGAATAATGTCGATTACCATTCTGTAGCGACACTCGTTCAATCGGGCTGAACGGCCACTGGATATATCTGAGAAACACACTTTACGTTCGGAAAGGGCAGCTTGGTAATCTCTCGATGTAGTGTGCCTCGCAGATTGAAGATCAAAACCCTCACCAACCAGTTTGCGGTACGTCCAAGAGAACTGGTCTATACGGAAAGGCTTTATTTCCTGCGTGCTAGACAAAGTGGTTATCACAAGTCAGTCATCTTGTGCAGCCGTCAGTTGGCGCGAGAAACCTAACGCTGTTACAACCTATGCCCTATAGTTGCTGATGGTTTCCTGAAAGTGTAGTTCTGTAACAGCCTCTTTGTGGCCATTTCAAGAATTACTCGCTTGAGCTACGTTTCTTGTGAGCCGAGCTTAGTCCAAGGCGATAACCTTTCTCTCGTGTCTTAGAACGACTTCTCGTAAGTTGCAATGTCAAAGTCTTCGGCCGACCATACGACTAGTGCCTGGACACTCGTTTTCGGCACAGTTGGTTTTGTATGGATGGATATAGCTTTTACCATTGACGTGATATAACCTATGACGTGAACCCACTGGCCAACATCGGTCTGACCGTTTCTCAGACCGTGTAAAAGTAGCTTGACATCTACCAGAGCCGTATTGCTGCCCGAAGATGATGGAAAGGAATGCTTCAAAGCTAATAAGCCAGTTTTGGTATTGTACGATTCTACACTTCGTCTCGTTAGCTTCGGTTGCAGGCTGTATGTATGTCACCCGGCCCAAGTGGGAAAATAATGCTTGAGCCGAGAAATAAGTATCATAGATGACAAGTCTTTGCTTCAATACACACGCGTAGGTGAGGGTAATATACACAATTGTTCGCAAGCACACGGGGACGAATTGTAGGAGGAACTAAGCTATAGGATTGCTTACCATCCAAGAAACCTTACTTTGTCGCCCACTTGGCGAGCGGGAAGCTCCGAGAGCAAACACCTTTCTGACGGTAGTGGGCCATTCGACATGTTGGAACGCAAAGGAAGATGCAGGCTCTGTGGGCGGTCTTGATCAGAGCAAGTGTATGGCTTTCTTTATTGAGCGACAAGGTTGGTTGGCGTTGGTGGTTTCCGTGGCCGGAAGATCTGGACTAGACTAGGTTGCATACATCGAGTACCACGGGATGATCTACTATGTACGGAGTACACAATGACCTACAAGACGGATTACATTCCTTATGGAAGATGCGAGACTGTGCCCCACAGGCACGCTCAAGCTGTCACATGGACCGATGCACAAGGCCACTAACACTGGCAGCTGATGCGCGGCTGATCACCTCAGCAGACGACCATGCGCCAGCTGGCGGACCTCAGCCGCTGTGAAGGCTCCAGGAGAACGTTAAGTCTTGCATCATACCCTCGGGACCTAAACGCCATTACCTCACCAGGCTTCACTTTTTTGACCTTTGACAAGCCGCCCGGCGAACGATCCCAACATCCTCCAAAGTAACAAACTTAGGTGCCTAGAGCTCCTGGCATCATCGGAGAACCTAAGCCCGTCCTGGCAACGCCCACCTCCTTGTTGCTCCCTTTGCGACTCTACCCCGCCATCGATACCGTATCTGTTGAAGCGGCGCACTTGCGATAGTCTCCTACAGATAAAGCATCTGTCGCGAACCCGCCTACGTTACGGCTCACATACCTATTTCCCCCGTCCCTACACATCAGCTTGATCAACATGTCCGGCGTCTGGGGCTGGTTTGGAGGCGGAGCGGCCCAGAAGAAGAAGGATACCCCCAAAAACGCCATCCTGAGCCTGCGGTCGCAGCTTGATATGCTACAGAAGCGAGAGAAGCATCTGATGACACAGATGGATGAGCAAGATGCGATTGCAAGGAAGAATGTCAACACAAATAAGAACGGTAGGTTTGCCTAACTTTCGTTACTACATTATCGAAGCATAGGCTGACCCAGATGGGACCGATAGCGGCAAAGGCTGCGCTAAAGCGGAAGAAGGCACACGAGCAAAGTCTGGACCAGACAACAGCACAGATTGGAACCCTGGAGCAACAGATCAATGCCATCGAGTCGGCCAACATCAACCACGAGACCTTGGCAGCGATGCAGAAGGCCGGTGAGGCTATGAAGCAAATCCACGGCAAGCTTACGCCCGAAAAGGTGGACGAGACCATGTAAGATGCTGCGCCATATTCTTATACACTCTGTGGACTGGCCTGCTAACGTGTGAAAACAGGGCTCAACTTCAGGAACAAAACGCGCTCAGCGTAGAAATTGTCAACGCCATCACGAGCAACCAGATTGGGGAGCCCATCGACGAAGACGAGCTGGACGAGGAACTCGAGGCCATGCAGCAGGAACAGCTGGACGAGCAGATGCTCAAGTCAGGCACAGTTCCCGTATCAGATACCATCCACAGGCTGCCCAGTGTTGCAAATGGCAAAAGTAAGTCATCCCTTAGCTTGATGGTTTCGCAAACGACTTACATGTTTTCAGTCGAGAGCAAGACGCCTGTGGCCGAGGAAGACGACGAGGAAGCCGAGTTCAGAAAGTTACAGGCAGAGATGGCCATGTAGAACTACTAGCCGCCTTCATTTACTGCTTTCTTTTACACACTCATGGCATTGCAGGTTCGGGATAGGCTGGGTTGGCGATTCGATTAGGAGGCTAGCACTGGACGCAGCGGTCCTGCAAGGCGGCCAAGCTGTGACGAGTCCGTGATGCGGCATGGTCGAGCAGTTCGCACGTACTTGTCTTGCTTGATGACATCTACGTCATGTGATTTTTCAGCCTTTTGCCCTTGGCGTAGGAGTTGGCACGTTTTGCTCTTGCATCTGACGGTATACAAGTATGGGGTACTCATACTCACTGTCTTTGGTTCTACCGCAATTCTTGTCTAGATTATACATTGTTTTTAATTGCCACAAACCACAAACGAATTGATATCTTTTTGCTGTTGGGTTTATGACGGTGGTCCGAACGCTGTCAAACATGGGGTTTCGAATCTTTGGCGTATCCTCAGATCTTACAGACGATGTTGATCATCAACAAAAAACCGTGCCACCTGCCATTTGCGTGACTAGTTAATTGGTAAGTGCACAACTGTGTGGTTTGGCTGACACGGCGGCTATCACCAAGTTGTGTTGCCTGCATGTGGAATAAGAAGGACCGATATAATCTAGGATAATCTTGGTGACCTGCGAGTTTCCGTACGCGTGTCCCAAGCGATCAGTAACTAAAAAAAAAAAAAAAAAAAAAAAACACGGGATACCGCTTCAGAGTTGCAAGTTCTTTCACTGATTGTTAGCGAGCTGTATGATAGCCACACTGCTAAGCAGTGGATACAAGTGTTGACATAACCCGGACCATGCTACATCATAGCCCATTGGCTTCCCAATATCATGACACGAAAATGATTTATGAGTTTGTTATCAAGAAGGCGATCTAGAGTTACCGAAAGGAGTGTTGCAGATATAGACACGGGGGTGGAGGTGATCTGTCTTGGTTATGACGGTGATTGTAAGGCTCGAGGCGACTGCGCCAATTCTTGTGTCCGCTGTCTGACCGCCATGTTGTTATTATGGACCCTCTGGACCGATGCCAACGCTTATGCAAACTTCAGTATGGCAAACCTGTGGTTGAGTCACGATGAATTGCGAAAATGACTCGTGGGCATCATTTAAGCATAACTAAATGTACAAGAATTGGTGGATGAGGCTGGCAAAGATTCATGCGGCAGCTGTGCGGTCAGTGATCGAGAATCGAGTCGAGAATCGAGATACTCAATTACAGCGGGCCAAGGCTCACACTGGTCAGGATATGCATACTTCCGTGGTCTAAATAGACTCTACTATAGGCAGATCCCGCCGCTGTCCGATCCAACACGCATGGACGAGGCTGTTGTCAAGTTTATCATTTGGAGAACCTTGTCAAGTTAGGTTGGAATTCCTCTTGCCAGTAAAACAACGCACTGAAGACATACTATGGCCGTGTAAATTGATATTGCTGCGAAAATGCATAAATATAATTGAATGGCTATGACTTCGTTGTCATTATTAGAAATACCTCTTAATATCTATCACCTTACAGGCGAGCGAACTAGCTTACAGCAATCGTTTTCCGATGGGCATTAATTCTTTCTCATTGTGGTGTACGCGCATATGAAACCCGTGCAATATGGCAAAGTTGTGCGGGGCATGTACCGTGCGAGTTGACAGCGTCACGAGAGCCTGAGCTTGAGATGTGCCTGTATGAACACATCGGATCAGAGGCAGGAGGGTCTTGAATGGAGCTTGAAGCTCAAGCTCCTGCCCTCTTGTTGGATTCGAAGTTTGCAAGCCAGCAAGCAGCCTGAAACTCCACGTGGCATGACTAAAAAAAAAATTAAAAAAATTTGTTGGTTGGCTGGCTGCCAGAATTCGACCTCATTGGTGAACTTGGCCAACCTCCTCCGAATCTTTTTCTCTCTCACACATTAAATTATTCCCTCAAACGCGGCAAGCAAGAAGCAACTAAGAACAAATCAGGTGCAGTATTCAATACTGGCCCCATCTACCAATCCAATTAAGCACCGATCCCGCCCCACATTATGCATGCGTCGGTGGTTGGCTCGCCGCGTCTCCACGCAAGGATCGCCTTGAAGCGAAGCCAACAGACACGACCACGTAGCAGACGACGAACCGCACCGGCCATGCAGCTTCACGCTCCCGCGGGTTGGGCCGGACAATTCCACCGGGGCAGCCAATTCAGGAACACCCGAGCGGCTCTGAAAGGGAAAGTTTTGAACTTCCAACACGGTTTCACGTCAAGGAGGGTTGCTTGACGCCCGACGACTTCTGAAAGTGAGTCTGCTGCCTTTTCCTGTCCCCTTTTGTATGTCATCTATGGCATCTAACGGCTTCGAGCCGTAGTTGACGGGCCGTCACGTCAGCGTTGCATGCTGTTGTCAAACACCAGCAGCCCTCTCTTTCGTGCTATTCGATGCATGGGTGGCCCCATTCGGTCGTCCTGCATTCGATGCTGCAGTTGGGCCGCTATCAAATAGCTTCCCTGACAATGCTGTTATTGTGTTTCCTTTCTGTACCTCAGACTCCGGTTCGGCTCATTTGCTAGCCCAACCCCATTGCAACGTGGCGCCAGTGCTGTCATGCCTGCCAATGATACTCGAGCACGATATTGATCACAGGAGCATCAGATCCCATGTGGAGGTATCTTGTTCACGCCGTGGGGTACCCAAGGGTAAGCATCTTTCACTGCATTGTGTAGGCTCCTCATGGTGGAGAATGTCTGAATCTCTGGACGTCATTTGAAAGGGACCCTGGCTTTGTGCCAGAATATTTTTGTTCAAATCATATTCTCATCTTAGTCAATCATCCCAATTATACGTTCAATTCACGAGAACATTACTGTTTATTCATTGGTAAAACACATTTGTTTGTTCTTCCGTGTAAGCGTTGCTGTCGTCTTAGTTACGCATCTTTCCGATACCCATTTGCATTATCGTACACAAACCAACCCAATTGACTTGGCCATCTCTGCAACCTCCGGGATCGAAGTTCGAATATTCTAAATGAGAGGCAATAAATCCAACCTTTAGGATATCCCTCGAGAGCATACCTCCAGTGATCCACAGGTAGAGCACAAAAATAGTATGAATAATTTCGAGGGAGTTGCCTTTTGCTCTACTCGAATCGACCCAATCTCACAAGTCCAGTTCGCCGACTACTCCAAGGTCAATTACATGAATCAATTTGACTCTGATGACGAGGCTGCTCAGCATAATGAACGTATGTGGCATGGAGAGCTCAGTCACCAGGAACGTGAAGATGCTAATACTCTGATAGACATAGTAGATCACGAGCCCAACGGCGGTGCCGGCGACGTAGGCGAAAGCTCGTCACCGAGTCCCGTTGGGCAGACGAATACTGATGCTGAGTGGCCTGACGACGAATGGGGCGCTCCCAGTTCTAGCACCAAGAAGAAGAACCGCAAGGATAAGAAAAAGAAGAAGCAGTTTATAGAAGAAGACCAAGTAACAGAAAAGCCTCAGTCACCTGCTAGCTCTGCACCAGATACTGAAGAGTTCAAACTTGATGTTCCTGCTTCTGCCGATGGCCCCAAAGACGACGACGAGGGGAGTGGATTATCGTCGCCGACTAAAAAGTCGAAGAAGGCAAAGAAAAGCTCCAAGAAGAAGGCGGGAACTACTTCTAGTCCAGCGCCAACCAGTGAAGAGCCTAAAGAAGACACACCTGTTACGGCGGATCAACCAGATCCTGAACGACAACCTCCTGTGGATGCGCCCAAGGACGACGAGGATGAGTCGCACACATCTGGTAAAAAATCAAAGAAGAGCAAAAAGGGTTCCAAGGTGAAGATCGAAAAGGAAAAGGAAAAGTCAGACAAAGCCAAGTCTGGGGGAAAGAAGACCAAGAGTGTTTCTTTTGCAGACCCCCCTGCTGAATTTAGATCAGAGGAGACCGACAAAGACCCCGCTGACAAGTCGGGAAGCAGCCCGCCCCCAGTGGAGGAACCAGCCAGTGATGCCAACAAGGAAGTTTTAGAGCCGTCAGGCGAGTCAGCTCCCACAGACCAAACACCGCCAGCAGAGAGCAGTGACAACAAAGAGGACCGCTCGCTCCCAACTGAGCCGGCTGCAGAATCTGCCCCCGAACCCGGTCCTGAACCAACTCCGGAGGCAGCAGCAGAGTCAGCAGTAGAGCCAGCACCTGAACCAGCAGCAGAGCCAGCAGTAGAGCCAGCAGTAGAGCCAGAATCAGAGCCAGCATCTGAGCCGGCACCTGAACCAGCATCTGAGCCGGCACCTGAGCCAGCAGTAGAGCCAGAATCAGAGCCAGCATCTGAGCCGGCACCTGAACCAGCATCTGAGCCAGCACCTGAGCCAGCAGCAGAGCCAGCAGTAGAGCCAGCAGTAGAGCCAGCAGTAGAGCCAGAATCAGAGCCAGCATCTGAGCCGGCACCTGAACCAGCAGCTGAGGCAGCACCTGAACCAGCATCAGAGCCAGCATCTGAGCCGGCACCTGAACCAGCATCTGAGACAGCACCTGAGCCAGCAGTAGAGCCAGAATCAGAGCCAGCATCTGAGCCGGCACCTGAACCAGCATCTGAGCCGGCACCTGAGCCAGCAGTAGAGCCGGAATCTGAGCCAGCATCTGAGCCGGCACCTGAACCAGCATCTGAGACAGCACCTGAGCCAGCAGTAGAGCCAGAATCAGAGCCAGCATCTGAGCCGGCACCTGAACCAGCATCTGAGCCAGCACCTGAGCCAGCACCTGAGCCAGAATCAGAGCCAGCACCTGAGCCAGCACCTGAGCCAGAATCAGAGCCAGCATCTGAGCCAGCACCTGAGCCAGCAGCAGAGCCAGCAGCAGAGCCAGCAGCAGAGCCAGCAGCAGAGCCAGCAGCAGAGCCAGCAGCAGAGCCAGCAGCCGAGCCAGCAGCCGAGCCAGCAGCAGAGCCAGCAGCCGAGCCAGCAGAAGAGCCAGCAGAAGAGCCAGCAGCCGAGCCAGCAGAAGAGCCAGCAGTAGAGCCAGCAGTAGAGCCAGCAGCAGAGCCAGCAGCCGAGCCAGCAGAAGAGCCAGCACCTGAGCCAGCAGTAGAGCCAGCAGAAGAGCCAACATCTGAGCCAGTAGTAGAGCCAGCATCTGAGACAGCAGCAGAGCCAGAACCTGAGCCAGCAGCAGAGCCAGCAGCAAAGCCAGAAATGAAACCCGAGAAAACACAGTCAACCACGGATGAGAGCCAAAAAGACGACGGCGTACCTGCTGAAACCTTGAGCACAGAGCTGATCGCCTCAGACGCTCTTAGTTCTAATGATACCGCCCCTACGCAAGAGAAAGAAAGCTCAGATGCCGACGAACCCGGCCGAGAGCCCAGCAATAATGAGTCGGTTGACAGCTCCGATCAAGACATAGTTTTCGAAAGTGACAACAAGGTCGAAGAGGCATTAGCACCGACCGCTCAGCCTGATGCACTTGAAAACAGCACTATCGATACCGACTCGGATCTGGGTGATACTGCTGATTCCAGTCCTGTTGATCAACTTCTGGGCGACAATGCTGTTATAGATAGCATGCCTGACTCTGCAGACTCTGCAGAGTCGACCAATGAAGTTTCAGAGCATGCGGATGGTGACGCTGGACATCCTGAAGACTCCCAGGAAGACGGTCCTGATATGTCTGATAAGGATGTTGTTGACAGCTCATCGCAAGATCTCTTGAAGCCAGAAGAGAGTGTAGCCGAAGTAGCGGTTAAAGAAAATGAGCCTGCGGGCGCTGACGATATTGACATTGCTCAATCAGATGTTGCTGCAGCGCCCCCAGAAAATGCTGCCACGGTGGATACGGCCATAGAAGACGCTCTACCAACCACCAAGTCGAATATTGCGAACGAAGAATCTCCGGCAACTGATATTCAGCCTCAAATTGAGAACAGGCTTGAGACTGCCAGTCCTGACATTCCAATCGATGTGGACGAGGATTCGGTAAAAGGTTCGGATCATGCGCAAGAGAGTTCGGACACTGTCGATCCGATTGTTGATGAGGCCTCAACAGACTTGAAGAAGAGTGTTAGCGATGAACAGCTAGAAGGAGGCGACTCCGATGCAGAGACACCAACGAATGCGGAAAAAGGCACCGATGGTAGTGATCACGATACCCCTGTTACTGAAACGGAGCCTGAAATAGCCGTCAGCGACGAAGTGGGCGAAGAGGAGCCTGCACCCACTGCTGAAGTCCCCATTACTGAGCCTGAAGCTGATGAAACTGGCGAAGTGGACGAAAATGACACAGCCAAAACAAAACCTGATGCTCAAAGTCAGGAGCACTCGGCTGTTACCGAGACCCCCGATCATACGCCACTCCCCAGCAAAGAGGTTACAGAGGAGCAAAATAGTGCCGAAGTCGTTCAAATCGAGAATGATGGCAATCTAGCCTCCACAAACGACACAGAGGAGTCATCAGAACCATCAGAAGAAGAGGAGCTTGAGAAGGAGTCCGAGGAGACTGGTCCACCGCCTGAAGCAGAAGCAGTGGTCAAAGAGAATGATACTCGAGCTCAATCAGATGCACCCATTCCCGAGGCCGATGTTAACGAAAACTCGAATGACAGCATGCCAAGCCCTTCAGAACTCGGGAAGGGCGAAGCAGACCTGCCAAATGGAGAAGTCAGCGAAAAAGCTGCGACCGAGCCTGCAGATGTGGATGTTAATGAGCCACAAAAGGACGAAGAATCAGGCGACGCTATTAAGAACTCTGACGGCCAGCCCATATCTTCTCAGGAAACAGAGGTTTCTGACGCTCCCGTTCCGACCGGTAATGGTGATGATACTGGACTTGAAGAGACCTTCGACACTTCAGCTCCTGAACCGGCGCAGGAAGCCAGTGAGGAGCCCTTGGCAGCCGAAGTGGAAGAGAAGGAGCCATCTTCAGTGGTCGAGTCGGAGCAGGTTGAGCAGCCCGACGAAGGTACAACGTCAGACGATGCTCCAGCTGTTGAGCTGGTCTCAGAAAGCTACCCTAACGAAGAAAACGACACAGGCGATCGGCAAGATTCTCATAATACTCCCGAGAAGGAAGACACTTCTGTAGCTGAAGAGAACTCCAAAGATGCTGCACCGGCAGAATCTGTCGAGGAGATAGAACCAAATGCTGAGATATCTGACACAGAAGGCACCGGTCCAAACGATCAGGACATGGCCGTCGAAACCACCCAGCCAGAGAACGAAGTTGCCAGTGCCGAAGCAGATGCAGAGCAGGCCGATACCACCATTCAAGAGCAACCTGCCGACATCTTGACCGAATCTACCGAGGACGCTGGCAAACAGGTAGAACCTATCAGTGATGAGGCAGTTGCAACCCCAATTGGGGACTCGACAGCATCAGAATCGACAGCGAGAGACGATAAAGAAACAGACGAATCTTCCGAAAGTGAGCCAACTGCCGCCGAAACGGAGGCAGAAGCAGAAGCTGAGACAAAGGATATACCAGAAGAGGCTACAGAGACGCCGGCGGAGGCTCCTGCTGAGACAGCGGAAGTGACTACTGCAACGGGAGAAGATGACGCGTCTAATGAGAAGCAAGTCGAGGAGCAGCCCACTAATCATGGCGAATCCTCAATCCTACCGTCTGATCCCGCTGAGCCAGAGAGTACTGAGGTCGTGGAAGAAGAATCGGAAAAAGAAGTTACTAGTGCCAGCAATCAATCTGAAACTGCAGCTGATACTGTTGACTCAGCGTCCGCCTCAGATGGCATCCACGGAGCAAAGGCCACTGTCACCGAGGATGTACCTATTGTTGAGGCTGCTGTGCCGATTGCTGAAGAGGCTAAAAATGTCGATACCGAAGCGGCAGAGCCGCAAGAAGCCTCTCCTGGTACGGTCCATGAGATAGCTGAGGAGCAGGACTCAGCCAACAAGCATGAAGGCGTTGATGTTGAAGCACCTGCATCAAAGGATATCGATCAGCAGTCTGATAAGTGAGTTCTTCCGTTGGGCTCGCTTACACCTAGGCCTTAGTATGACGACAAAGATCGCTGACCATAAATCATTTCAGGGTTGATGAAGAGGTTGGAGATGACTCCGCTATAGACCTTGGGAAGGAGGAGTTGGAAATGTAAATACACAACATCCACCTTACGCCTATTGGAACATGCACTAATTCGAGCCATGTAGTGAGTCGCAAATCATTGAAGAAGCTTCCAAAGAAGAGCCTGAGCCGTAAGTATATCCAGTCCTCAAACCCTTTATATACCTTTCGCTATCTGAGTCGCTCCCTGGGTCGATCTAGTGGAGATTCACCTCGTTGGAGTGACTACTTTTGCTGGGGCCGAGAAAATACCTTAGCTGACAGTCTTTAGCACTTCTGAGGCAATAAGCGAAGGACCAGCAGCCGCAGAGCTACTCGCTGATAAGCCTGCCGTTGATGGACCTATCGCTGACGAGCCAGTCGCAGAAGAGGCGGCAGTGAAGGAGCTTGTGACTGGAGCTCAAGAGCCAGACAATAACTGGCCCGTCGCTGACGAGCCAGCTACAATTGAAGAGCCAACTGCGGTCGAAGCACCAGCTGCGGTTGAAGCACCAGCTACAGTTGAAGAACCAGCTACAGTTGAAGAGCCAGCTGCGGTCGAAGCACCAACTGCAGTCGAAGAACCAACTGCAGTCGAAGAACCAGCTACAGTTGAAGAACCAGCTGCAGAAGAAGAACCAGCTGCGGTCGAAGCACCAACTGCGGTCGAAGAACCAACTGCAGCCGAAGAACCAACTGCAGTCGAAGAACCAGCTACAGTTGAAGAACCAGCTGCAGAAGAAGAACCAGTTGCGATCGAAGAACCAGCTGCGATCGAAGCACCAGCTGCAGAAGAAGAACCAGCTGCAGTCGAAGAACCAGCTGCAGTCGAAGAACCAGCTACAGTTGAAGAACCAGCTACAGTTGAAGAACCAGTTCCAGTTCAAGAAGCACGTATAGCTGAGGAGGCAGCCGTCGAAGCGCCAGTCGTCAATGAATCAGCCGCTGAGGAGCCTGCGGCGAATGAACCGGCAGCCAAACAATCAGTTGCCGTGGTCGATGAGTCAACTAACGAAGCTGCAGTCACAGAGGTGGAGAAACCGTCAGTAGTTCAAATTGTATGGCAATGTTATACCGAAATTGCTAACCAATAACCTTTAGTGCTGCCGATGTAGAAGCTATGGAAACGACAGAAAAAACTGTTGATGTTGTCGATACGAAACCTTCGTAAGTACCTCGACCCTTCCACTCACTCCACCCAACATTTTCCCGCGCAGAAATGACGAGCTGACTTCGACATGACTTAGTGCCGAAGAGGCAACAGCAGTTGATGTGGCTCCAGAGCCCGAAGCTACGTCTGCTATCGAGGTGGCCACACCTGAAGACAAAACAGATATCGTTGATGTTGTCGATGCCTCCCCTTCTGTTGAAGTCGTTCCAGAGCCCGAAGTATCAACTGAGGGACAGGCTCGGGAGGAGCAAGCCGTCGAGCCCCCCAAGGACAAGAGTGTGCCAAGTATACCAAAGGATGACAATTTTCTTGAGGCCGAAGAAGCTAAGGACAAGGTCGGCCCAATGGGCACAGGCGGGAAGGCCCGTAAAGGTAAGCAACAATTCAAACTTGGTGCCCTCAAAGTTGCCTCCCCCGATGTCATGGCGCTTGAGTTTGGAGGAAGCAGACCTGAGCGTATTTTAGAGGAAGAAGCCCCCCGGAATGATATAGCGGGACGGAATATGGACCGGGATGAAACTTGGGAGGACGAAATGATTGCTACAGATTCCATCCAGCCTGATGCTGTGGTTGACCAGGAGCCGGAGCCATTTGATGAAGAATCTTCAACCGTACCTCTGGATATCGTGCAGCAGCCGGCTAGTTTGAATCCCTCTGTCAACACTGATCCCAGTGGCAACCCCATCCAGGAAATCTCGGGCATGGCAGGTTCTATGTTGAAGCCTTTAATTTTTACTCAGCCAGATTCGAAGCCTGACTCAAACAATTCTGTTTTAGCACTCGAAGACTATCATGCCAGTGAGGTCGGCTCTGATACTACACCAATAGCCGCAATCTCACATTCAAAATACTCCTTTGACAACGGCGAGAAAATGGACACTTCAAATACTACCAAAACGGTCTCCAGCGTCGATAAATCGGAGATTGGCCGGGATCATTCACAAGCAGATGACACTGTTGTCGCCACACATAGCTCTGAAATATGTGAGCCTAAAGACCAGCCCGAATCTGTTGGCCAACACAGTTCGAGTAGAGGCGAACAAAAACAGCGAATCTTGATGCCTGACGAGGGCTCGACGCTTGGGCAGCATGCCAACAAAAAAGAAGACACCATGGCTGCTTCTGTAGATCTCCCGATGATTGCGAAACCATTTGAGGGGCAAATATCAGAGTCTTCGCAAGTTCTCAAACTTCTCAGCTCAGAAACAACATATCCGAGCTCACATGGTGATGACAAGGTCGTCGACGACTCACCTGTCAAGGACGAGAAGCCTCATGAACCAATCGATGACTTCGCAGAGGGCCAGAAACGTTCTTTACGGTATCACACCAACAATGGACCACAGCAAAGCGCATTAGGTCATAGTGTCAGTATTGACAATTCACCCTTACAAAAGGATGCCCTGACAACCGATGGTGGTGATGAAACATCGCATGACTACATGGCGGTCGACCAACTAGTGCAAGAACAAAAGATCTCTGGAGATTCAACGCCAGTTGAGCAACACGAATCAGCTTTGGGCGAGCAACCAACGGTTAATCAATCTGACTCAGCTCAGGCTCCGGATTCGCCCACAGTCGAACCGGAAATTTTACCTCTGGAGCTACTGCACAGAAAGCAGGACAAATCAACAGCCATTGAAGATCCTGCGACGCCCTATACTCAAGATGAGGTAGCGGGTACAATGCTCATGCAAGAGTCCGCTGCAGGTGCGGACCATGTTCCAGTACCTGTCGAAGGTTTTGGTCAATCATTGGATGCAGAGCATATCCCCGCTCAACAGAGTCTTGCCACAGATGATCACAATCAACGGTCTCACGAAGAGCAGTTTGAGACCGGTGACGAGCCAAACATAGAATTGACACTGCTATCAACTGGAAGCGAAGAGCACATCAGTCTCATAGAAAAGCCCGGCCCTGCAAACTCGGACGATGACTTTGTTGTAGTCGAAAAGTCCGGTGATCTATCTCAAGACGTGAGCAATCTGTTTGGCGATAAGGATGTTCCCTCGGATATTGTTCTACCCGCGCACAGCACACAAAATTCAAGTTTACACGACCCCACAAGTAACTATGGGACATCAGTGGCTAAGTTGCAGCAACCAGTTCCGACCATGGATCTTGCCAGCGCCGAAGTTGGTCATCGAGCAACTGTTAAGGGGGGTTCAGCCAACCGTGAGGCTGACGCGGAGTTGGGCGCCTATTTAAGTGAGCGCCGAAGCTTCCATCAGATCGCTGTGTTGAACCCCGAGGCAGAATCAAGGGAAGTCTCCCCCGAGAGTCTGATCGTTGGTGCCAAACCCAGTGGAACCGACGACAAGAACTTCAGTACCGCCACAGAAAGGCGCGGTTCAGCTTCACAACAACAGCTGCTCGAAATTTCGAATGAAGAATTCGAACCTAGTAATTTGAAGGGAGAGGACTTTGACAGCCATAGCGGTCTTGTTATTGGCGTAGCTGCTGGTGCTGCTACCATAGCCACGGGTGCTGGAGTATTGACTCACAAGTTGTCTTCTCTTCGAACAGCGGATCCCAAGAACGGTCACCTGGAGACAAAGAACGAAGTGATGCGAAACAACCCCAGCAACGTGCACGAAACCTACCGGGCCAAAGTCGATGTCACTGCAACTCCGGACGTTGCCCCTGATGTACCACCCAAGTCACCAGAACGTGCCTTGAGTCCGGAACCCTTGATTCGAGAAGGAAGCCTGGAAGTGGGAGAGAGTGCAACTACAGGAGAGTCAGTGTTTCCGGAACCATCTTTTGGGTCAGCGGACACGATTGAGGCAAGCATTATGAGTCAGTCACCTCCTCCTAACGCTTCATTGAGAAAATACCACCAGGTCAATGCAGCCGCTCCCTTTGCTTATGTGTCATATACTAATTCCCAACAGACCGCACGCGGAAGGACTACCAGAGGTTCAGGTACCAGACCAACTTTGGTCCATTCTGGCACTCAAACAGAAGACGACTTCGAGTCTAGTCTACCTGCGAGTCCGACAACATTTGCATTTCCGGGATTTCCAGAAACGCGCTCGTTCACCCCAGGAATCGTGTTACCAGACCTTAAGGATCCAACCGCCATAGCTCTAGGTCGCGCAAAAAGCTTGAGGAGGTCACGGCGGAGAACAATCAGGAGGAACGAGGAGACCGTTGCTACTGCTGTGATTCTGTATGCTGCAGCGAGGGAGCTTAGTCCCGCTCCAAGCCCTCGCTCAGGTAGTCCCAGAGTCGAGAGGAATCTTGCTGAAGCTCTAGAGCTGCATATGGAGCCTGGAAGCGTCATGACACTTGGGGTCGAGGAAGTTAATGGCGTAGGGTTAACAGACGTTGATGACTCTATGGCTGACCTCTCAACAGATGACGAAGGCAAGAGATCTAGCAGTGACCGACACCATAAAAATCGGAATTCATCTTCGAGGTCTAGTGAAACTAAACCCAGTGACGCGAAGACAGACCGTCAGCATCGTAGCCGAAGAGACAGTAATGTTTCATCCAAGTCAGCTACTTCAGAATTGTTCATCGGGTCTAGAACAACGAAGAGGACCGATAGTGGCTTTTCTTTCGACAGCTCCAACAGTTCAAAACGGCAACATACTCCCGAAGAGCTGGCCGAAAAGGCCGAGAAGGACAAGCGCCGGGCAGAACGTCGCGCTCAGCGCACACCAGAGGAGCAGGCCGCACATGACAAACGTAAGGAAGAGTACCGTGCTCAACGTGACAAAGAGCAAGAGAAAATACGAAAACCCGAAAGCAAGGGGAAAGATCCAGAGACCCCACGAAGCGATCGTCACTCTCACCGCAGCTCAAAACGCCACAGTGAGCAAAGCTTTTCCTCTCGCTCCGAAAGAATGCCGCGAACCGACGACTCACCCACGACACCCACCAAGAAGTTCTTCGATATGAAGGGTGGTCAAAGCGATGTGATGCCTAAGATGGCCACACGGGCCTCGGAACCTGCTGTCCCTCGTGTTTCATCCAAGGACGCGCCCAGACCAGAGGTCACCAGGCGGTCTCATACCTCACGGGAGACCTCGCACAAGTCTAGTGGTGAAGCAGCGCCCCATAGGGAGCACAGAGTCTCAAGAGACCACCAATCTTCTAGAGACCATCAATCCCCAAGAGACCACCAATCCTCAAGAGACCACCAATCCTCGGGAGATCACCAATCCCCAAGAGACCAACACCACCACCATAAGCACCGGGACCGGTCGTCGTCTGACAAAGTCAAGACTCCTACAGGATCTGGAACTGAAGCCAAGTCGGACAGTCCCGGCCCGTCGAGGCATGTCAAGGAGTCAAAAGAATCACGAGAGGAGAAAAGTCACCGGCGTGATGAACGACAAAGAGCCCGCGATGCTGAAGCCAAGAAGAAACAGGCTCCTTCCGGTTTCAAGGGTATGATCAAGAAGATTTTTGCGTAAATGATTTCACAAGTTTGAGCACGATTTATGAAGGTGAAATTGGTGAGCAAAGGCAATGTTAACGAGGATGTATGGGAAATTTTTGTGTACGAGCTTATGTATTACGAAACCATGTTTCCAATAGCTACTAATATGTTTATTACAACGACGCTTCATGGTATGATTGCTGTTTTTCGGTTAATTGTCGGTCTCCCCTTTGCTTCCTGTAACTTGGAATTGTCTGCTTCGCTGTTGCGATTTTCCAAGTCACTAGATCATCGCCGCCGATGTGTAGCCTCCCACAGAAGCGCATGCAGCTCCTGGCTCACCAACGATTCTATTGATCAGGAGCATGAATGGAGCACACCAATTGAAAATTTAACCAGTTGATATGTATCATGGGTTGTATAATAGCATTTAGCATTTTATGTAAATAACTCGTTATGGCTAAGATGAGCTCTCAGCATAATTATGTAGGAGCATCATAGGAGTCCAGCGCCAACGGTCATAAACAGTCGAGCCACAGACGATGAAGAGTCGTCAAGTCCGTACAACTGCAACAAAAATTTCCTACATACAGGAGCATTAGACAATAATACAACACTTGACGCACGAAACCTACTCACCTACCATGTAGCGCCTTCCATGCACGGTATTGGCATCTGTGGCAATATGGATGACTATAGATGGCCACAGTGAACGGAGAGCACTCCGTCCACTAGGCGACGAGCTCTCGGACCACCTAACTTAAGAGTGGTGATCACGTGACTTAGCCAGTGAGCATATGCACACTTTCTGTACACCGATATTCTCTTTTGTGGACTTAGACTTCTATATACTACTTGACAGTACCTATACTATCATTGCACGCTTAGAGCGTTACACTTGCGATCCCACGCTCATGCGAGGACCGTAGTTGTTATCCTATGCTCGAGTAGATTCAGGCTCTTCCTTTCAGTGCATCAGACCTATCCTTCACCAAAACAGTGTTCTATACCAACTGTAGAAACTGTCATAGCATCTCTACCCGACGGCGCCACTGGACCCTGGAAAGTTGGTCGCCAAAAATCTAAAATCCGACCTTTTCCAAGCAAATCAGCCGTGTCAGCGGACAACTGCCCCGCTGCCACATCCAGCCACGACACATCGTGTTGCAGATTACTCCCGAAACTCATGAATATGGCAAACTTTAATTGAGCCCCAAACATGTACTACTCAACTGAAATTTGTGAGAATTACAATTTACACGTCATGATAAGTGCTCGTAGCGACTTAGTTGACGAAAGAGGTATACGTTGCGATATTACTAGATTTTGACTGGCCGACGAGTTGCTTTTTGCGCATATTTGCATGCAGTACCAGCCCTACGGACTCACTATTTCCATTATCAGGATACTTCCGTGGGATGTACTCAGCATTTGTTTCGCACTACTGTAAGATAGGCCATTCAGCTGCGACGGGGCCACATATGTGCATGCATCTTTTATTACATATGCAGAACAGAGAACTGCCATGGTTGCCATTGTGGAAATGGTGGATTCTGAAAGGTACAAAAGAAAGTCGTGCAAACGAGGGGTGCTTGCCGAGGCATCACAACACGAAGTGTAGTGAATGAATGCTGCGGGCATGAACTCAAACGTATGCCACTTTGACAGAACCCAAAATAAATTTTAATAAAAAACCCCCCATTCTTACCTCCCGTTAGTCAGGGCCAGAATCTACGATTGTCCGGCATGGTTCAGTAAGTTTCTGCTTATACATACGTATATAGATTACAGGGCAAACCCCCCGCCAAGATCCCCGTGACTAACTAAACCTAAGGTGCTCTATTGGGCTTAGACTAGTCTAGGCCAGCGAATTACGTGGAATCCATTCAGTGCCCCAGTGCACTACCGTCACCATTACCGTTTACCCCACAAAGTCTGATGCTTGATGCTTCCTCACTTAACATTGAAAGCTTTGTCGCCCACTCTGTCAAGGAGCTGGTTGGAGGCAATCTTACTGCAATCTCAATCGCAAACTTCTCGATCGTATACCGCATCAGATGAGCAACAGTGGAGGCCGGGCCATCCCGCAAACCCTGTGGGATCTGCAGATCCCACTCTTCATCACTCACACCTCACTTCCAAACACGCCCTTCGTCACCTCCGTTCCACGCTTCGGCTATCTAGCCTTTCTGTTACCGCGGCTGGCAGCTTATTTCGGTCTGCCATGTTCTAGTTTTCATCATGAGGACGTCCTCCTTCGTAACCTTGCTGTTGGTATCCTCATCGACCTATACCAGCCCACTTTGCCCTGGCGCCTGACCGTAAGCGACGGCATGAGCTGGGATATTGGAGACACTTTCCTCAACAGTGCTAAAGAGGTATGTCCGTGTCTCAAGCTCACACGCTCCTACTGTTCATGTGTAAATGCTTGTGGTCAAGCACCACCCCCATGCATGTCTACCGGGCAACTAGGCACTTGTTATCAAAGATCAAGATCTTATTTGGGAATGCCCTGTGATCGTGACTGATTCTGAAATAATGTTGCATAGGCAGATTTCGTACGCAACGGCAATGCGCAGCAGATCATGTCGCTTTCTAAAGAGAACACCACGACACTCTGGAACGCTGTTCGAGATAGTACGTAATGTGGCGGTCACACGATCTAACCACAGGTGGTCATATGTCCCTATCTAACATGGTCTACCTGATTCTAGATGACTATCAGGCGTTCAACAAAGTGAACTCTCGTCTCCTCAACACGTCCCGCGCACTCAAAAACGTGCCTATCCGGATCTACATACCGCAATCGCCCGCAGACACAGCTACTTTTGCCAATGGAGCAACTGCCGGGGCATTCAAGGTTGTGCAATCGCTAGTGCATGCCCGTATGAACGACAGTAAGTTTTCAATTTGATTCATCAACTTTCCTTTCTCCTCTCCCGCAGTCTGTGCTGGTATAAGAGTGTGTCTCGAGCAAGGGCTCAGCGACTAACGCATCATGCCCATTCATTAGGAGCGCCACAAACTCTTGGTGCGGCCCTCAGGAGCCTCTTGCCTAGGCTATTCCCGAGTAGTCGAGATCCCGTCCTGGCAAATGTGCTGCTGCATGGTGCCAATGTACCATTTACGGCACCTTTGGAGGAGCTGATGCGTGAGGCGGCTTATCCTGACGGCTGGATATGTCTTGTCGTGGTGCCACTTGACGTGTAATAAAAAGAATTCGTGCATTGCTGAGTTGTCTCTGGTTTTGTTGCATTGCTAGGCCTGCCTAGTGGAACATGAGAATTTGCCCAGTATGCAAGATGGCCCCGCGGTCCTCTCGCTTGGCTCGGTGCCTCATGCAGGGTGCGCAAGTTCGCGCGCGGATAGCCAGCAGAATGGAAAACAAAAGGAAAAGCAAAGAGGGCTGGAGCAGCTCACGTCCTCGAAATATGCACCTCAAATCATATCGGGCAAGGCACTGTAGAAGAAATAAGCGGCACACTCGCAAGCTCTTACCATTTTAACTCGCAGGGGTCTCGAAGAGGGCCTAGTTAATTCAAGTTAGTGTGCACCGTTGCTGTCTAGCCAGACTATAACCAAAATGATTATAAGTATGCTCAGAAACCATGTGCAAAGACTGTACGTTACACGCGGAGGGTAAGGTACGACAACAGTATAAATTACCGTGTTGTGAAAGAAAAAAAGAAAGGATAAATTTGCTGCTCAACTTTCATATCCCTGAATTGCTGCACCTTGCTATTGGGGAAGACAGATGTTCGAGAAGGAGCGGAGATCCTGATAGGTATTATCTACATACATCGTTTTTTTCATGCGGGCGCTTAAAAAGGGGAACCGCTTTTTTTTCTTTCTTTTTTCTTCACTCTTCCCCTGTTCATTTATATGCAGGTTCGGCCAGGTTAGGTAGCGGAGAGAGTGTGAAAAGAAATGAGTATAAAAAAAAGCAAAGCAAAGCAAGTAAGCATGCGGGGTTTCGCAAGGCCACGCGACCTGAACAAAAAGAAAACAGAAAAATTAAAGTATCTGCAGGAAATACTTTATGCATGTCGTGTGGTAAACTCGTGGTTTGTCAAGGTTTTTGTTTCTCCGTTGGTTTTTATGTTTCTCCTTTTCTTTTCTTTTTCCCTTCTTAAAAATCTTTTTTTTTCCGAGTTCGAGAAGAGATGCGCTGGCAGTCTTGGGATGGTAAGAGAAGAAGAAGAAAACAAATTCTTTGATAGTAAAGCAGGCTATGATTTGCGACGACCTTTGCGCAACATGGCTGATTGGTTTTCTTCTTCCTTTTACCCCCTACACAAGATACGTCGGCAGATGAGGTGTAACCTTGCTGAATGCAGTACGTAGTATATTTACCCCCCGCGGAGTAATGTTGAGTGGGAGGAAGTTGGGTGTCATCTGAGGCGCCTTCTGTGTATTATACGTTTCGAGGCGTAGAAACAGATCCGAACTGTAGCGATGTTGTCTAGGGTGCAATTATGTAATAAGCAACGCTGCCGACTACCGACCCCGTGTCTCTGATAGATCGACCGATGACCCTTTTTTTTTGGGCCCAGACTGACTGATGTCACAATCGTAGATGCAGGTTACAGCCTAGGCAGGAATCAAAGGGGACACCCGGGTGCCTGCCATGAGCTATTGGGCTGTCGTGAGTCATGCAACAAAATAATTTCAAAGTTTTCAGAAAGTTTGGGACAAGACATACAAGGGTACAAAGGCTGAGAAAGCGTACTGAAATGGGGAAACCCGGATACGGGGGACGGAAGATCGTGGAACATGCAAGATCTTGATAGGTGGACGGGAAGATCTAAGGATCTGGGTATGCTGTTGCTAAAATCGTACATCAGCCGCAATACCCTCCCGGCCTGTTGACCTTTTTCATCGAACCGCATGGCCTGTGGGCCGCAAGCGAAAACAAAGTTCTAAAATCAAAGAAAAAAAACAATTTATTGCTGTCGCAGAAAGACGTTTTCACACCACGCTGAGAAATTATGGACTGGTCAGATATGATCAGCTGTAGGTGTTCAACCCACAGCATGGTATATTTTGCATCTTCCTCGGATGGTATGCAACGCATTTGTTACTGGCCATGATGCCAGTAGCGTGCAAGCAAAAGCTAGCCTGCTCCGTCAATACCTTCCTTGTTACTTGAAAGGTTCTCAGAATGTATTCCACTTAACCCACGTTTTGTCCTCTCCTGGCGCTGACTTGGCTTTCCAACTGAATAATCAATATATGCATAATACAAAAACTGCTGAAACATGGGCCGATTGTTGTATGTACTAGAACAAAAGAATTCGTCCTCCACGCATGTAACAAAAAAATGGTATCTCCTCCTCTCCCTCCCAAGGAAAATGATGCAAAGATCCAACCCTGCCGGATACGATGATGCTCCCGTGGTAAATGTCGAAGATGAACACACAATGAGAGTACCGCCGGGGCTTGCGCCGTTATTGATTATAGACCAGTTGTGGAAATCAGACCTCCAACCGAATGCTGTAGGACCCACAATCAGGTTTAGGATGTGGTCCGTTTTATAATATAGTTGCGTGCTTTGTTAATACTTATAAGATACCCGCCTTTTAAAAATGAAAAAGGCATATCGTCTCCTATCTAACCCTCCGGGCTCCAGTGAACCTGGTTGTCTCTCTGAGAGGGGAGTGCCCGGTGAGAGAGTTTAAGAGAGCCCGTGTGCTGGTGGTGGCATGTTGGGGGTTCCTGGATAGAACCTATCGTTGGGAGTTTGACCCGCCATATGCCCCGAGCTCGTTACGCTGGAAAAGCTCGAGTTGACTCCAGCGTCCTGATCATGCAATGGAAAACCGAGTTTCCGGTTAAGTCCAATGAGCAGATTCAAATCTTGCTTAAGGGGACTATTTTGATGTGCGATCAGCCTGAAGAAATCAATGGTCCGACTAAAGAGCTCTTGAAGCAATGGTCCATTGATGAACTGCCGTAAAACATCGTGGGTATAGCAGGCAGATAGGACAAGCAGATTGCCCCATTGACTAAACACAGTTAGCTTCCATCTCATTGGTACACTGTAGATACTACTTACGCATGGGCAGTCGTGAAGACGTTTGTGACCAGGATGCGGTCATCCCTTTTCAGACCATGAAAGGCCCGTGTGCTTTCCACCAAGGCAGATATACCCAAGCGCGCATAGTTGAGAGCCCGGGGATCTGTGCCAGCGGGAATGCGAATGTGCTCCAGATGGATGTTATTCGCAGCCCAGTCATTCCGATGGGGTGGTGGGCCCCTGAAAGTATATTCTGGCATGCGTTGATTATGCAGAATCATGTCAATGAACTTTCTGTACAGAATGTTCTGCGAACCCCAGTATTTTGCACGCAATCGAGCCGCCAGAAAACTATCCGCAGGAGGATCGCTGTCTGCAAACTGAAATTCTGCAGGAACCCATGTGCTTTTGGCTAACATCTGCTCAAGATCACGCGTCTTCTCCTCTATTGTTGCTTTCGGATCAGGCGATGCGAGGCTGTAGAGTTTGTGGTGTACTTGGTTGAGCTGTTTCCGTACCCACAATTGAGCTTGGTAGCTGGACAGAATATATAAATCGTACCCAGCGTTCGCATGGCTTCCGAGATTCGGATAGGGCATGGACTCTTCGAAGGTCAAGATGCCTGAATGCGGCAAGGGCAACTCTGCCAAGAGATCACTTATTTGTTAGCGGTCGAAAGCCCATCTTGCAAAGCTTGACATACCTTTCCAGCTGCAAGCAAGTCCAAAATGCAAAAGCAAGCTGGTTGTCCCGTGCGCTTTGCGGCACGTCCCCTTCGGCTTTTAGTGCACTCAATCGCGAAAGAGCCCTAAACGGTGTTAAATACAGCCAATCAATTTATCACAGGTCAACTTACGGTCGTAGGACCACTTGAAGTGTCCTGCCTGCTGTCGCAATATATGAATAGCTTTCAAGCACACGGCCGAGCTGCCCATGATACAGTCCCAGAAACAATGCAGTATAAACGTGCTTCAAGGTAAAGCCGCCGATGTGGCTACCGAAGATGTCTGCAGCTAGACCGAAGTACTCCAGACCCGGTACAACATCGGCATTCCGCTTCACATTCTGGCCTTTGATAGTGGTAGAACTGGAGCCCTGGAGTGAAGGTCGTCGACTAGATTGCGAGCGGTCCGGGCCCTCTTTTGGTGATGGGAGCCCTGAAGCTGAAGTATGAGCTGGAGTGATACCAGGCGGGGAGCCTTGCGAAGGAGAAGACATAAGTGTACCATTGCGTACTTGAGGCGAGTAGTGAGCCGTTGGCTCGTACTCCTGTACAAGTTCCGGGATTTTGTCTTTATGAAGGCAGATCTTGCCCAAAGCCAGAACCGAAAGCACGAAAGCGCTATGAATACTACGGTCTGCCAGTCCAGACTTGTAAAGCGGAGTTGCAGCATTTGGTTCGTCCAGGGCAGGCGAGCGTTTTCTCTTGGAGCCAGTCTCAGGTCCCAATCCTGCTATACCCGAAGCGGCACTCTGCACGAATTTGGCAGCCTTGTTCATGGGTTTAGAAGTGGCTTGAGGAAGTGTGTCGAGGAACACGTTGGCCATAGCGTCAAGTTGGCCAGGGATGAGAATGGGATGCATATTCAACACGTTATCCTTGAAACTCTTGACGTATTGTTTGACAGTCGTACGGTCGAAGTCGGGATTTCCGTCTGCAAGAAGCAGGCCACCCTTGTATACATCAATACCCGATGCTGGTGGGACTCCTACTGCTCCCCACACGTCACGGTCCCATACGTCGGGGTTAGAGGCGGGCGAGGCCGCATCAACGCCTCGTCCATCTGGAGAGTCCTCGGTCACGTCTGTTATGAGCTGGTTTCCCTTGCGTTCATACCTGGTGCCAAGCGAGTATCCTTCCCCTTTACCCCAGACTCGTAACACACCACGTTGTTGTTCCTGGCTGATTGGAAACTCATCGATGTGGTGGATTCTCTGCTCTTGCAAGAGGTCTGAAACGAGATGTTCTATCGAGGGCCACTTGAGGAGCAATGCTGCTAATGTGGTGTGATTGGCCGGCAATGATGGCTGCCCGGGATTGATCGGTGGTCCTGGATTATCCTCGATCTCGTCGTTATCCATTTCGCGGACTGTGTCGTAGGCCAGCCTTACTCCATTCTTCTCGGGATCATCGTTACTTCGGGGCGATGAAGGATGCTCGTCGATCGGTTCTCTCGGTGCTGCGTTATCCAAGGAGTGATGTTCCACCAGCCCATTCTCAACTGATTCAATCTTCAAACCCGCAGATTGGTCTGACAGCCTCATGGTCTCCTCAAGCCTTGTCATACGCTGACTCAAGGTCAGGAATTCATCTGCCATTTTGTCCCTCAACGAGGTCATTAGGTCGAGAAGATCAGTGCTGACTTTATCTGGTCTATGGCTGTTTAGCTTCCTCTCAGTTAGGGTAGGTGCTCATTCAAACTCACTGTTTAGTGGGCAGGTCTCTGTATACGCACTGAGTCTGCTTGTCCTTGCAGTTTTTGCATGGCCGCTGCTCATCACATTTTGCTTTGAGTTGTCTGCACATATCACACGCCTGTTTTAACGGAACGTCAGTAGATCCCCGACTACGGAGCCAAGACACTGACCTGTGATGCTCGTTGCGCTTTCCGCTTGGCGCTGGCAACCGGTAACGTAGAGTACATCTCTGACACCGTCGGAGGGGGGCCGTACCCAGGCGGAGGTGGCTCATACTGGTGGTGCTGAGCCAGAGGTGTAGGCGGTGGGTGGTATGGTGGCTGCGGAGGCTGGTAGACCTGAGGTGAGGGGGGAATCGAGCCTCCATTCTCGAAGTTTTGTGGTCTTCGATGATCATCCATGTGTGGTCTCGGATAGGGAGGGGGTCCTTGTGTGTGCGGCGGTGGCAAGCCGCCGGGCGCCGCCCCGGTCGAGTTCGGTCGGCGCATATGGGGCAGCGAGCTCTCGTCGGCTGCCTCACTTTTCACGATCGATTCTCTACGGTAGGGAGGAAAGTTGTTGTGCGCCGGTGATGGCGGAGGTCGATGGTCCTGCATGGGCGGCGGTAGATGTGGATATGAGTCTTGCTCATGATGGCGGCGGTCATCAGGCTGGTGATGGCTCGGATGAGGTGGACGGTCCTGGTGCTGGCGACTATACAGATTATGAGACTGATACGGCGACAGCGACGGTTGATGATGCTGAGAAGGTTGAGGTGGGGGTAGTACAGGTCCTTGATGTGATGGAGTCCATGTCGGCGGAGAGTGATCGTTGAGACGAGGGCGTTTGGCTTCTGACTGCCCAGGTTCCATAGTTGGTAGATATATGTGAACGGTCATAGGCGGGCAAGTCGAGCAGTGTCGGTAATCGGAAAGGAGGCCATGGACAGTGTTAGAGACACCACAGAGCCTAGGAGGGCAGGAGCCGGTTTGGGACTGGCAAGGTACCTCGGGGCGGAAGCAGATCGGGTGGTGGAGGAGGGTAGTATACTGGAGTAGAGCTGCGAGCACTGGTGGTTCTGATTGGCGCTTGACGACGCACAACGACCAGCAGTCGGTATCTGCTCAGCTGTTTGGGCGCAGTACACGGCAGAGGACGCAAGGAAGAGAGGAGCTTTGTCACTCTTCTGGTCACTGCTATGGTGTGAGGCGCAAAGACGACGTGCCACTGCCAGGTTCCTGGGTGCAAGAAAGAAGCTCCAAGCGGCGCGAGGTGCGATGCAAGGCCCAAGGCAAGAGGATCTGCGGTTGGGCAGAGACAATCCGAGTTGGCCGGGGGTGTACGGAGAAAAGCGAAAGCCAAAGGTTGAGTAAAGTTACGGGAGCGGTCGAAGCTCGAGACAACGACAGTGTACACTCTGACTAGTCGACCAACTACTTGGTATGACAGGTAAGGTACGGTACGGAGGCAGGTAACTTAGATGTTTGGTGTAAAAGCGTTTATGGCCTGGCAAAGAAAGCCGATCGAGGTACAGGTAACTGGGCCCTGCCGAGCACCGCAGCTCGCCTGGATCAAGCTAACAGAACAGGGATGGACTGGGCCTCGACATGGGTCGCATCGACAAGCTCGAGCAAGCCAACTCCGACAGGATGGGGCTGCTTGTAGATTGCCAGAGATTGCTTCCCGGCAGCTTGGTGCACACGGCACACCCTATTATGCTTCACTAACACCACCACACAGGTATGAGCCTTTACGTGCCGCTGTGTGCCACAACACCAGAACTGAAACAGTGATGGATGAAGTTGACTGACGCTGGAGCGATAGAAACAACGGGCACTACCGTCAGTCAGGTCTCTGGCGGTGTGAGTTTGAGTACGTGTGCGTGTGTGTGTGTGTGTGTGTGTGTGTGTGTGTGTGTATGTGTGTGTGCGTGTCAAATGTCTGCGGGCGCGCGTGTGGGTGGGATTCTGAAGCGCACGCACCGGCGACGCTCACGATGAGAGGAGGTCAACTGCGTTCAATCAAATGGTGGCCCGAAGAGAGCATGCTTTGTGGAGAGGCTTTCGCGTGCGCGGGCCGCTTACTGGTGCGAAAGGTTCTTTCTTATCGCGCGTTTGGCTGTGACTGGGGCAATCATGGGGTCTTTAAGTTGCAGTAACTTACTATGTAGTCTTTTTGTGATCTATTAGCAAAACATGACTACTCCATATCCGGGAGTACTTCGCAGACTTTTGACTTCTCGAATGCGGTAGTCCGAGTCTAGTACAGCGATGGATTCCAGAATAAGTGGATGCGTCTGCAAAACAAGTTGAAGATCAAAAAGCCTCTGATAAATTCGTTGATTCAGGGGTCAGCCACTAGCGGTGTGTCCGTCAGCCATCCAGGACGAGCCATCAAGCCCGCAGAGGTTCGAGGTTCTCCTTTTGAGAGGTAAAGACCGTCACTAGGTGCACCTGGAGTATCTCAAAAGCAATACAGGGCGAGGCGGGAGTGAGCGACAATGTTGAATGGAGGTGTGCGACTCATGATCACTGCAAGTGGTTTAGAGGCTACATACGTACAGCAAGGACAAGCAAGGACCAGAACTTACGGAGCTTGAAAGCTACCCAAAGCTGCACTAGCCTGGTCACCTTGGAGGGACCAGCTGGGTAGCAGGTATTAGGTACACATAGCTCTGCAGAGTACCCTCAATCAGCGTAGATGAGTGGGGTAAAACCTTGACCGACAAGTTACACCCATAACGGTTGACAGCCGCTGGTAAGACCTTCCGTTGGAGCTTGGAGCTGCCCACGCGACTGAGGCGAGAGTCTCAATTGCAGTCGCAGCCCCAGCCATGTCAAACATGTGCAAGGGGCGCCCGCCAGTACAAACTCTACATGTATCGCAGTCTGTACATCTCAGACCCTGAAGCTTATCTAACCTTATACGGTACAGCACTCCAGTAAAATGAAATAAAAACCAAACATGCTTCTTGCCATCACGAAATCTCTCACAGCTGGCACTAAACAGGACTTGAGTCAGGATCCGACAGGGGACTTCACAAGTAGCTTGTCCAACCCAATGCGTGCTTAGTTGAGCTCTAGGAAGAAATAGATGTTTGACTTGGTAGCCGCAATATCCGCGCCCAGAAGGAACCTGAAAGTTTCTCGAAGCCAAAGTCTGTTGTCAACTATCCTCCAAAAAGAGTGTAACCCTTGTTCATTTCGACAGTAATACAGGGTACAGTCTTACCAGGTATTCTTGACATGACTACTCACAGGTCATGTTCGCCCTGTCTTGTCATATTCGATAAGAGTCAAGATCCGAAATCGTGCTTGTGTCAGGTGCCTTGAAATACAACCTCTTCCACCTCCACTGACCAGCCTCTTCGATACGCCTCCCACTGGCAGCTAACCCCACAAGTAGCTTCGCATTGACTGGAACAAGGTCATTCCGGTCAGGCTTTGGCTACAGGAAATAACTCATCGTTGCGACAACCACTCCTTGGAATGGTCAGAGCTGGGTACTATGTATAGCATTCATCTAGCGCTGTCGAAAATGATCAGTTCAGTTACGGAATTCCTTGTATTTTGTATATTTGCTGGGTGTGGCTCTACACTACAGTACGTGCTGAGCGTTCATCTTCCTCTAGCTTCAAAATCGAGCGATAGTTTCATACTATCCAAGGTTTGCTCCGGTGATTTTCAAGAGGCAGAGCTGAGATGACGGTCTTGTAAGCTCTGGTGATAGCTAATGCGGTAAGGATGAAGAAAAAGAGGTCGGCTACGAGCGTTCCTGTCGAATTTTAGATGGGGAGAAAACGCCCAGTCGTCTAACCACGTGAAGTTTCCACAAAAATTGCCAAGTCTTTTGATCATTTGTAGCGACGATGCGCCCTTGTTGGCAATGGAGGATTGACGTAGACAATTGCATCATTCAGCTCCCTCGAAACAAATTGCGGTCAGGCTTTCCAGTCTTCGATCCAATGCCAACAAAATGTCCACGGTGTTGGCGAAGATCGCCAATGTTCGTTTTCAAGCACCGATAGTGTTGTTTAGTATGTGCTAATGACGCACACAAAGGAAAGAGGAAAACGTCGGCATAGCGGACACTGCAGCGTTGGCTGAGCATGGTTCTCGCTGACTTGCATATCGTTCCGTCTCCCAAGGAAAATATCAATGCAGGCAGGCAGGGTTTCGCGCAGATTCGAGGAGAGGCCGTGCGATCTCGTAGAAGGTGGAGAAAATGCTGCATACCATGGGTTAAGAGCCATCATACGGACCGTGATCTATCAAAACCAAAACTGGATCGCGAAACAACAAAGAACCAGATGCATGGGAGGCCAAGATTCAGTGCACATACAAGACCATTCTCTGAAATCGATATTTGAGATCCCAAAATGACGGGCAAATACAGATTCTCGGCTTAGTACTAGCCGAAACAATTCTCCAATTGATCGGCATACTGAAATAGGCATACATTTTGGAGCTTGTCGAAGTATCCGTAAGCAAGAAACTTGCAAACCCCACAAAGTAAATAGACGATTATACACCACACGAGGTACATGACGAGCGTTGACACCTCTAACTATACCTCCACACACACGCACGACGAAGACGGTCGGCTATACCAATCTGGGGGATGAAGGAATTGCAGCTTTGACCGCCGAGATACTTTTGCTTTTACAGCTTTCCTCAAACGACTCATGCATGGCGTGATTCTGACATGGGACACGAGGAATTTTATATTCTTCTCCACTTTCGATATGAGATAGCGCTCAGAGTTAATAACACAAATAAACCCCCCCTTCCCTGTTTGGAGCATTTTGATGGATGCCCATGCTTTTCAATAAAGTCTGCGCAGGGACCATCACCCAGTAGACCCGCTACCAGCTTCTTTCTCGAAACCCTGAATTTCATAGTTCAGGGTAGCCGTAAATATAGTCTAGGCGGTGCAGTTACCTATCCACGTGGAACCGTGGTCAAGCGCCAGTGCTACGCCGTACGGTAGTTACGGAAAGAGATTCAGTACTTGGTCTTCATCTTTAAAAGAGGCTACCGCATTGCTCACTTCGTCGCTGTTTAGTCTTAGTATAGAATTTATTAGACATTTTGAACAGCCGTGTGTAGCAAAATTCAAGTCTGGCACTCTTGTTGTAGACGTGGTCTGCTCTCACTTTGGGCGACCTGTTCTCCGCGCTACGTTCGTACCCTCTCCATACGCAACGCAATTCACGTTGCTAGATAACACTTACAACGTGGCTCCTCCGTACTACCTAAAATGCTACTATCTTGGTGTTAACTGAGAAGGGGGCGCGCCACGAACCCGGGATCTTGGAAATTGCTGGTGTGGTTCCCGACTAGCGAATCTCTTGTTGACGACGAGCCCACAAACTTTCGACGTCGGAGTTATCCCAACTAAGGCATCCTACCGGTACCACGTCCACCAATGTTTACTTGAACATCGCTTATCGTACATGAGGCGCATTGCATTCGTGTTAGAAAATGCTGCCAACCACCGGACTGGACATGGGTCGACGACAACCTTGTGCTAGCAGCGGCGGGCTACAAGTATCAGCCCAATCAGACACATACCAGAGGCCCAGGACTTTGGGACAAGATCATTAAATGTTTCATCCCAATTAAAGTCAGGCGGTGTCTGAAATAGAAACCAGACATTCTTCAACCATCGGGAAATTGCTTGCCGAGAGTGCTTAGATCTACCCAGTTGGAAGTAAAGAGATGAAAACGCTCCACATAAATACATCTTAAAGTCGCATGTGTCAATACCGTCATAACCAATCGCTATCTAGGATATGGCATGCTTGCGCCAATGGACGGTGTTTTGCCGTTGGAACCAGATTTCAAACAATTGCAATCTGATGATGCTTGCCCGGTCCTGATCTTGTCGGAGTTATGTACCGTACTAGGATACCGGTGAGCGCTTAGCGGTTCGCAAACGGATAACGGGTAGCCGCAAAGTCCGCTCGGGCGAGAGTGCGTAAGCGAGCACAAAGAAATTCGATCTGTAGTTTGTTTAACAACTGTCTGCGACCAGATATGCAGGATGATAGTCTCCAAAGCTCATAAAAGCAGCCTCGACCCTTGATGTACGATTCTTTGTCAAGCTTGTTTCTTCTTCAATGGACAAAATGCATCATCAATGATACAGCCGATTCATCAAGAACGACTGGAGCATTGCCGATCCCTCGGCAGAAAACGTTCCGAACAGACAGAAATGTGATATTGGCAAAGCTTCAGCCTCATCATGTGTTGCAATATTATGGAGTAGTGAGCCTGCCATCAGCTTTCCCCCACCCGCTGTGCAAGCCACCTCTCAAACGTTCTTGTCACGGCCCTCCTGGCAATTGTCAAACGCCTAGTAGTTATCCACGCCAATGCATCAAGTCCAATCCACGGTAACAACAGCTCATGTATCTACGTGCTGCTTGGCTGAGATAGAATGCTCCGTTCTGTCGTAGTATGCAAGACTGAACCACCCAACACTACACGTGGACCTAACCTGCCATAAGCGGGCTTTATCCTTAACCAATGGTAGACAACCTCAGGGAGGATCTTCTTGGCGTCCTAAGCATGATCCAACGCTTTACGAACTATCACATTCCTTCATGCTTAACAGTCAGCGCGATATCAAGTAACCATGCAAAGCAAACCCCGCGGGCGGACGAAAAAAAACCGGACACTCGTCGTTCATGATTTCCTTTCGTGCCTCGTAGAATAAAATAACAGAATAAAATAATAGAACAATAACTTTCTGGAAATTCAAAGGTACTATTATATTCAACTGCTAATCGCCATGATATAAGTAGTCAACTTCTGAGTTTGCTATGTGTAGTTTTGTACAAGGCAAAATCAGAACCTTTTTGGGAAGATTAAGCGACCTGCGTCCGGGGTATTTGGTCCGCCCGTGAGCACCGTACATTGTTACGAATCTGATCCAAGCTGCTTGGGTAGTCATTCATTGCCCCGTTAGCCCACCCAGGGCGCCGAGCCTGGTTTCTTTGGTACCCAGGACTGCAGATAGCTTTTTTAGGTGTTTTCAGCATGGTGATGCAGATGATCTGCATTGCAGCAAGAAGGAGCTCGCGATCAATCAGGATTTGTGGCTGGTAGCCATGTAGCCTCGTACCTGCACTGCTGACCGTTATTGCCACTAACCGATTTAAATATGAGCAAAAGGTGGCACATGTTCGCTTCACTCTGGGGATTCAGATCACCATGAGACGCGCTAAATTTGAAGATCTTCACTACAAACGATGACAGTGTCAGGTACTCACATCAAGATGCTCCAAGCTGGTATTCATACAGCTCCCGGATGTGGCCTAGGCCAGAACAAAAGTCCACGTAAAAATATCGCGATGGCAACATGCTTGGACACATTGAAGTACACCTGCAGTCCCATGCGTTGCCTTTGGCGACTCAAATCACCACTGCTAAGTTAGACAGATATTCTCAGCTGAGCACGAAGGGAAGTTCATCTTTACCGCGCGTCTAGCACAGAGCACTTGCCATGTTTGATATAACACTCCGCACGTTGAACAGGATCTACTGAACTTGTTGCACAACCGACATATTCCTAACTAGTTATGTACCCATTGACTATCCAACGGCAGGTTACGAGGCAGGCTGGACCCTTGGAACCATACTCACAGTACTCATGGTTCAAGGTAGTTAGTGCACAGATAATCAGGTGATCAATTGATCTTCCAGGCGGCCATATCGGTCCGAGGTTGTTCTTGACTATTACTTTTTCCCTTTCGTGCATGCAAGCAGAAGTACTAAGTTAATAAGGTCGCAGATTGGGCGGCAGTATTGGATATACATAACTAGACATACGATATTTGCTGTTTGAACCTATCTTGGCAAAACCGAAGAAGCGCTAACCTATGAGTACACTCTAAACGCAAATCCCCTGTACTCATAATGAGCACCAGTCGGCCGTGATAAGTCATCTAACGCTACACCCATAACTATTACTATTTTCTCAGAATGACAATTGAATCCAGGAATTGCTGTAGTTTTACGAAAGAGACGGTTTTAGTTGAGTGCTTCGGACTCACCCACCAAGCTATAGACGAACTGCTTGTGCACAAAGCAAATACAGTTTACTTGTGCATGTAGCGTAACGGCTTTCAAGCATAACCGTAACGGTCCGATCCATAGATCCCTTTCAGGACTAGCCTCGCGTGTGTTGAACTTCGGTTGCCTGCACATTTCTTATCCCCCAGCTCTTGAGGATTCTCAGCTCTAAGATTTTTACACAGTTTGATACAAGACTTTGCGTATTGAATCTACATAGTATACGCCCCTGCCATATTCAAGTATCCTTTATGAAAGTCTTACTTGATGTTGGCACGGTCATGGGATGACTGGTCGTGTCTCTGCTTTTCAACCGCATCATGGACCACCATTCGATGACATCTCAAAATCGTGTATGCAGGTTATCCTTCAGTACGAAGAAAACGAAAGCTGGTGGCCGTAAATTGTCTTCAAACATGGAGTACCAACCAATTGAAGGATTATTTTACACATGGGCAATCTGGTGTCCAGCACCAAGATAGATCTTCGTGGCAGAACCGTGGGGAAGTACAAGACATAATAGTGGGGGTCTTGAGCGTTGGGTGAAGCCAACTGCTGGATTTGGCAACTGAGTCTTTCGGGATTCACTTGCATATCATGACGGTTTTCTGCTGGAAGAAAAGCAAGCAGTAAAGTGAGACGATATTACCCGGTTCATGGGTCGAACGGCGGCCGTCCAGGCGGCGCGAGGCGCCCACGCGTCGCACATAAGAGTTGGGGGCAGCCTCAATGTAACGAGTCACTTTTATTTCCGAACTATTAGCCTCCTTCACTGCGTACAAAGTACTACTCAACAATTGATCTATCACAATTTCCAATCATTAAAAACCTGGCCAAGAAAACTTGCAAATGTTCTGGCCGAATCTGGTGGACACTTTAGCCAGGCTGAAAGAAAAAGGAGCCCGTGAACCAGCTAAGCTTACTATAGTACTAGTCCACCTGGACAGGCTACGACTTGTCAGACCCTTTGAGTTTCCGTTATTGACTTACCAGAGCTGCAATCGGAAGATCCGCTATATCCCATTAGCTGGAGCTCAATAATGACAGCACTTCACAACTTTGTTGCTATAAACTGCATAGCTTCGTGCGTGGACCCGGCCTCTGAAGGATAAAGCTCGGACGTGTCGGTCAGCGGCATAGTGTCACAATTGATGCGCCCTCCCAGCAGCCATTGGCCGATGTGCAGGACGTACAACATCGATCTCTTGAGACGATATGCAGTATGTGGATCTCATTATGGATAATTCATACCGGCGAAAGAGTCCGGGCTTGTGTCTCGATCCGGACTCATAGCAGCTCCTTGATGTAGTATTTCCCCGAGTGTGGATTACACAACTATTCTGATATAACGATCATGTCAAGTATCAGAAAATAAAGCCCTATTGCGCGCCTCTTCTGCTGCCTTTCCGACTACTCGTTTCGGGATGCGCCCTTTCAGATCAACGTCAAGAAAACGGACCGGTTGGGATTCTTCAAAGCTTGATTGCCCTTCCGTCCCCGCCTCCATGCCTTCTGTGAAAACCAAGTCACCCCGCCGCCCTAAAGCGTTACGTCCTGCTTCCTCAAGCAAAACCCCGAAAGCAAGCAGAGCCGTCTCATCCATACTGCGCTCATCAATGTTCCTTTCCTCAGGCTCCTCATCACCTTGATATTTCGTTCTGGTAAGCGCTGAGTAGAAATGACTTGAGTAGCTATGGATGGCCTTCAGCATATCATTGTCTGGCAAAATACCCCGCCCTCCATGAGGCAGCCACTCGTGCGAATTGTAGATGTCCTTCTCGGCGTATCTGATAGGGGCACCTGCACGTTGGAACAATACTTCTTCTGGCGCCAAAGTCGAGTCCCGAAGAGTCGTGCGTTTGCGTCGCCGACGAAATGTCTCTGAGTCAGACCCATCTTCCAGAGCATGAGTCGTAGTAACGCGACCTAAATTTTTTTTTTCATTGTATTAGATGGTTGCTCGAGGAATAAAGTGGCTAGCTTACCAGCCACAGCGTCGTAGACGTTTGCGTCACGCTTTCGCTTCTTGCGCCTCCCACCACCGGCGAGCTCGGGGGGTGTCGAGTCGCCATCCGAAAATAGCGGTCGGGATAGAAATCTCCTCTGCCGCGGATTTGAAGACGCCATGTCCATAAGCGCAAATGATCTCTAGCCTACTTCACATGTAAGAATATGGAATGAATGCAAAATCACTGCTGGCATGCTTAGTGCTCAACAATTGAGACAATATGACACTGCTCAACGCAGTCAAGAGAACCGCCCAATACTATTCTACAAACATTGTGTTAAGGTTGAGATTTACCATAGGAATGTGGGGTTCATCGCAGTGTCCTAACTCAAAGTTTGTGCTGGTCCAGTAAATTCTTAAGCTTGTCCCATGAGACCCACTTCTTGTTGTGGCATAACCACTCATTGTACGGATCCCTACTCCGTATTATACATACAACTACATCCCGGAGCCACGTGAACAACGGTCGCTCATCTAAATCGCATTACTGAAAGCTTCGACAGCATCCAAATGAATGAATCAGCTCCTATTTGAGCGATCAACCGGCAATGTCGGACCCAACGTCTTTGCCAGGCTTCAGACCACCAAGCTGCTCAGCTTATTTCAAGCCGCGCCACAGTTTCGCTTCGATGGAGGTGAGCGCGGCACCGCCATTCACCAAGAAGAAGCAGGCTCATCAGAAAGCTCGACCCTAAGGCCCGGTATCTGGGCTCACCAGGCTGGCGTGAATGCCCTGGCAGTGGAACGATTTGATGGTCGCACGTGAGTTTACTGCTTTAGAACGATGCCCCAATCCTTATTATCTGACACCCGCAGCCTTGTATCTGGCGGATCAGATGCCTCGGTCAAGCTATGGGATCTGGAAGCTTGTGGCAACCCATCAAGAGGCTATACATACAATCCTACTGCCAGCATTAAGCGTGGAGAGAAAGGCCACAAATATGGGATTACTTCTATCTCATTTTATCCATTTGACGCTGCTGCATTTCTATCTACTTCGTACGACCAGACTTTGAAGCTGTGGTCTACAGAAACTGCAAGTGTTTCTGGTTCTTTTGCGTTAGGCTCGAAGGTCTATACTCATGCGATTTCTCCAATTGCGGAACATCTCCTTGTCGCTTGTGGAACGCAACATCCTGCCGTAAGATTGGTCGACCTGCGCTCGGGTTCCAATGTTCAGTCATTAGCCGGCCACACCCACGCAGTGCTCGCAACAGCTTGGTCTCCGCGCCACGAGCATGTCCTGGCGTCTGGTAGTGTGGATGGCACGGTCAGGATATGGGACATCCGCCGGGCTGGTGGGGTAATCGGCATGCTGGATAAGGAAGATAGTCTAGGGTTGTACTATAACGGATTGCTCGGAAGCGATGGTCATGTGCGAACCCGGCTCTCGGCCAGGGCTCATTCTGGACCCGTGAATAGCCTTGCATGGACCGATGACGGTAATTATATTGTGTCTGCCGCGCATGATCGACGAATCCGTGTGTGGGATGCTGCCACTGGTGCGAATACCCTTGCCAGCTTTGGTCCTAGTATTAAGAACTCACAGCTCGGCAACATCGGTATGTTCACGTCTCCGACTGGTGTGACGCATCCTAGGAAGAATCTATTGTTCTGGCCGAATGAAGCGGAAATCCTGGTCTTCGATCTCCACGAAGGACAAGTTATAACAAGATTACGAGGCACTGGCCCTGCAAAGGCTGGCATTCGGTCGTCAAATGGGTCAGAGAGAACAGTACAAAACAGAATTACTGCCATAGCTTGGCGTGGAGCAGGAGGCGGCGGCGAATCAAGCGGCGTTGCTATGGGTGGCAGCAATATGGCAGGCGCTTTATTCAGTTCTCATCTTGATGGGCAGATCCGAACCTGGATACCGCAGCTCGAAGGTTTGGACGATGAAGACACGGACCTTGGATCAAACGAAGCTAGTGAGGAGAAGGTAAAGAAACGCAAGGCGCTCGACGATGTTTTCAAGAACCTAATGGGAAAACAAATAACGTTCAATTAGCTAGCTTGGTTAGTACTTCAAGAATTAGTATCTCTCAGCCAAGAGTACCATGGCCGAAATACGGGCTATAAGATACGAAACATCTAGCCTTATCACTTGGTGCGGCACTGGCAATCCCTGGCCGGCATGATGACTCTTGAACAAGTCACAGAAGTTCCGCCTCGGCCGAAATTCCATTGAAGAGATATTCAACTTCCCGTAGGATGCATAAGATCATTCGAGCTCCGTGAATGATAATGTTCTTGATAAGCAGCAGGGATGAAATAAGGTTCCAAGCTACTATAGCTGCCTACATGTTTTCCCTATCTAATCAGCATTTGCTGTCAATAAGTTTGATTGACGGCGGGGATAAATCACAAAAGCCTTCATTTAGTGTTCATCAAAAACTGGAACACTAAATCTCCTGGCCATGGATCTTCACACTTGCTGATCTTGATGCCCAATGAACCCTCAAGTTGAGATGCAACTATGCATCCTTGCTGTCGATCATATGCTACGTATATCCTGTTATATCAAGCGGTTTGATCTCCAGGTGAGTCAAGGCAAGGATCAATTTCTCAGCCGCTTACGCGTCAGGTGAAGTTTCGTTTGAGCCGAGACATGCTAATACCGGTCTCTTTTCATTCTACTTCAGTGACCAGCGCGGTGATCACGAATCCTATTTCTCTATGTCGAGACCACCTACAAGGGTGTGATTAGAATCTGTACTAAAACTTATCAAGTGGGTACGCAAGGGCACAAATGGGTGGGGATCACGCGCGTGAACACCTAAATTCCAAACCCCGTTCTGGGATTCTCTTTTGGTTGTATTTTCTTCCCACGTACCTTTTGCCAATAGCGCATGCGTGCCTGAGTAGTGTGCAGGATCGAGTCAGTGTCTGCCAAACGTAGCCTTCTCATTCATTAATGAGTTGATCGGCATGGTTGACTACTAGCGGGTAACTAACGTCGATCGTTATCCTTTTAGCAAACAGACGTTATTCGGAGCAAAATAGATGACTTCTAGAAATGTCACATGAAAACAGGTTTCCTACACTATTAATTACTTCTAGAACATGAAGATCGGCATCTTCACTTTGCCTTACAATTATACATATCGTTTACTGTGGATGCGCTTTGTTGTGCCGCTAACAGATCGGGGCATGGTTTGGCAGCTTGCTTGATCCTCCTCATCGTTCCGTCTACTGGCTGGGACGTCATCCTTCGAGTAAACAACACTGCGAACCAAAGTGTCAGCCGACGTTCTTTGTTGAAAGTCTGCGTTATAGAGGAACGAAAAACTTGACTCACATTATACAACTCTGACTTAATTACATGTTGTCCTTTGTCATTCAACACCGGAATAGCATCCTATTTGAGTGCTCTTTCACCTGGGTCAATTTTAACAAAGTCATACTTGCGAGCCACAGCGGCAATAATGATGCCTGACTCAGGATTCGCAAGCTCCAATCCGATGAAACTTCTTGGGCCTCTTTCGACTGGCCGCCAGGCACTTGCGGAAATGCTCTTGGCCGCCTCGCTAAGCTATCGCTCTGATACCCAGTCATCCGCCGTGTCTTCGTAAACGGCTGGGTCCTGATGGATAATACTTTGGTACGGGTCCATTATGAGCCCGTCCAGATTATACTCCTCACCAGTGGGCGCGTAGACTTTGAAGCCTGTTCCAGGGTCGGTCATGCGAACGGTACCAGGAGGTGGGTGTAAGCGGAGTGTTTCCTTGACGACAGCATTGATGTAGTATATTTATGGTTGCATATCTCCGCCCCTTGCGAGAGAGAGTTGTGCATATCTCAATTGGCTCAGTTTCAGGCCCGAGAACCTTGTCGAGTTCATCGAGCACAGGCTTGAACGCATGAGGGGTCCGGCTCAGTTCGTAGAATGCCCATTGCAGTATGCTGGTATTCGTGTCGTAACCTGCGAACAGGAAGCTGCGCACATCTTTTGGCGTTTCTGATATAATTGGGCGTCAGGACTTTGCTATCCTGAAAACTGAGTACTAAAATGCTCTGAGATCTGTTCCCCTCTGCTTCTTCCTTTACCTCGGTATACTTTTGCAGGGTCGTGCGCTTTACCAGCTTGGCACTATGCCTGGCTGGTAGATGCCTCTCAAGGGTAGTTAGAGGACGCTCTACCATGGGATATTAATTTTAGCGTCATTGTATGTACGGACAAGCTCCCTGAACAGCGAATCACTTCACCCTGCTCTGAACTCTCCAGGTGTTGTGCATCGAGCTGGACTTTCATGACGGCGGCACGATAACATGAAGGTCAAATTAGAGATCAGTCTCCAGAGAGACTTGTTCCCCTGAATCCACGAACTGATCGAGGTAGTTCCAGAAAGGCACCATTTTTTCGAGCATAAGGGGTAATAAGGTCTACAAATGTTGAGTTGTGGATACAGGGTTGGAGATTTTGCGCAAGTCCTTCCACTCCTGGCCCTGGAAACACCAACTGTTAGCGAGGGTTTTCAGTCGCAGAGCACATACACCCACCTGTATGCCCAAACTTGATCTTGTTCCTAGGATTGGAATCATACGGACCCAGGTCGGGAATTTGGGGGTATTCAGAGGAAAAAGCTCAGATGGCTTGGATATCTGTTCGGCGATGCTGGGACTAGGGACGAGAGCCATAGGACGGTCAATGGGCTGGAGATCCACAAGAGTAATTGGAGGATGGCCTGTAGATTCCTACAACTCTTCAAAGATATTTTTCTGGCCTCCCAGGTGAGGATGGCAAAAAAGAATCGATTGATCCGGCACAAGTAACCTCGAGGTAGGCTGATTGGATAATGCACCTGGGTGGCGATCGTGGATCCCACGACTCATGAATTGACCAAAGTCCTTGAGATGGCCCGAGAGGATGTGATTTGGCAACTGTGGGATATAGGCATACTGCTTGTCACGCACGTATCTCAGATTTGTGCAGAAGTAAGAGGCCAGTTGTGTGCCGACCGAAATTTAGGAAGAGCTCAATCGTTTTGCTGTGGCCATGGTGTGTCGCGTCCGAGGTCAGGGGTCGGCAAGGCTCTTTTCAGCTGAGCCAAGCCCGCGCAAATGCTCTCGCAAGCTTGTGGGATTGTCGGGAAAGTTGAGCTTTGGAAAAAGATTGATCCTCCAGACAAATGATTTAAATGCAAATTGTATTTGTCACACTTGAGTTGGTAACACACTGCGCCGCATTGCCCTTGTTTGTTGCCTGCCTGGGCTGATATGGTTGGGGCAACTACCCGCGACTTGGACCCTTAATGATGTCGACCTGCCAGAACCTCAAACAACACGTTCCTAGTATACTGTAACATTCAATCGAAACACATTAATAGAATATTTAGTCCACCGCAACGATGGATCGCTTGTTATTGACATCAACCTTGACGATTGCCGCTGGGTTATTCGTCGCGACATGGGCCTGGCATCTATCATGTAGTCGACATATCTGGAGAATTTCAAGGTTCTTGTATGGCTAGTACGTGCGAATTATAGCAATTTTTGGCCTCGCGAGATAGCGGCTATAACCACGTCCCTAGACTTCCTGGAGATAGTGTACAATAAAGAAAAGTTATCGGCCAACCACCTTAACGTGAGTATATCACAACTCGACGACAAAACGTGTCCGCAGCCTCTCCCCGTAACGATAAAACAACCAAGGTACAGGCGAGAATGCCAGACAGATGAAACCCAACACACTATTGCCCCAACCTAGTCCGAGTCGGGCGTACAAGGGCACGGCAGCGAGATCCAGAAAGGCGCCGAAAGGGCTACGGACGAGTAAATTGGCTGCAAGGGCCGAGGCGGCAGCTTCCGCTCCGAAGGAGTCTACTAGGTAGATCTGTCCAGGGATGACGACGAACAGAGACCCCAGTCCGATGATAAATGTACCCAAGATGGGCACCATCCAGTGTGTCTGATACTGGGCACTCCAGCCGTACAAGAATAAACCCAAAGGGGCGATGGGGCTCATCCACTTCATGAGAATGAGCCGGTTTTCGGGCTTCCCAACAGCATCGCCCCGTTTTTGGTCCAGTAACTTATCGCTGAGCATGCCGAAGAGAACCAAACCTATAGCCATGCCAAGACCAAGACCAAGGTAAGCCAATCCCGATGTCCCTGCATCGAAACCGTAAACTCCACTAAATACCGACGGGAAAGTGGTAAAAAGCAAGAAGATAAGGCCAAACATAATACCAGTGTAGAGTGAGACGAGTAAGACGATGGGAGAGAAGATTAGTAACTTCAACGGTCGGACGACGGCGCGGATAAGCATCTCACGCGGCGCCTTTTGCTTGCTTAATATTGGTATGAGTTGTTCGGCTCCCGTCCCTTTGCACAGAATCTTGGCCTTCCATCGGATAAGAACGGTAGCGTTGGTCTCGCGTGCGAAGATGAGAGTGCTGATGCTAATCACTCCGGCCTATAGGAAAGCCGCTGTTAGCCCAATCATTGCTACACGGGCTTTTTTATTTTTTATAAATCCGGGCTTACAAGCATTAGGATGATGCGGAATGTCCACCGCCAGCCAGCGTACTCAGATACATAGCCCCCAATAATGGGCCCAAGGACAGGTCCCAGTAAGGGTCCCATAGTGAATAGGGCCATGGCCTTTCCTCGTTGCTCAGGTGTGGTCAGGTCGGCAACCGTGCCACCCCCTACGCTCATTGGGCCCGAAGCAGCGCAGCCAGTGATCAACCTGAAAGCCAGGAACATACCGACGTTGGTACTAAAGGCGCAGCCAAATGTAAAGGCAACGTAGACTAGGTTACAGAAGTGGTAAACAATGAGACGGCCGTACAACTCCGAGAGCGGAGCGAAGACCAGAGGACCTAGAGCGAAACCGAGTACGTATAGACTGACAGTCATGGCTGTGACGGTATTGTTGGTAATGCCAAACTCGAGGGCAAGCTCATTCGCGCCGGGAGCAAACATGGTGGCGGCCAGGTTCCTGTGAACAAAAACCAGTCAGCCACCCAGAATCATGCATTACAATTCGCGGCAGATCCCTACGCGTTAAGTACGAAGAGGCTCACAATGACCACCTGCATATTTTTGTTGAAGGCTGTCCAGTTGCGAGGATTCTCGGTATCATCCAGACCGTTCCAATTGACACTATCGCGATCTGGCTCCCCGCTCGTTTCGTTCAATGGAGAGATCGTGGCGGCGGTAGGTGGACAGGACTCATCTGTAGCCGATTGTTCGATTTTTCTGGGAGGGATTCGTCCGCCGACTTCTAAATCGCTGACTGTACTAGTATTAGGCGACATGGTTGAGATCTGAGTATGTGTTGTTACTCTCCTGATATAGGAAGACAATATATAAGGCCTAACTAGCAAAGAACGACTTGATGGATATCTCTAAAGAAGTCTTCTGGTTAGTCTATATACAAAACAATTGTAATCAGCAACGCTGTTGTATTTATACCGCCACGCATCAGATGGTGAGTCTTTAACCCCGATGCTCCGGCAATCAGATGTTTAGCAAACGGAGCGGCGTGCTTAGCCAAATGCTTCGTCGGCGAGGCTTTGTCGCCATACACCACAAACGGGCCGTCGCGGCGGTAGAAGGAAGACAATATGTCACCCGCAGACCATGCCTTCGCCTCAAGAGGCTTCATGTGTATAGATTCTGAGGAGTCGCGTATTTGCCACTATGAAAAACCTCGTGACTTGTTACTGCCCATATTGCCTATTTCCCATCAGGAGATGGCATTCGCGCCTTTCTGGAATTGCAATGGTAGTTCTTAATTACAGCTACCTTCATCATCTGGTCGCCAACTTGAAAAGGAATGTTCATGCTCTTGGAAATGATCATAAACACAACTATATATCGTAACCTATAAACTCACCCACCTTGAACCTGGAGCCTCCTGCATGAGGTTCCTTCGTTTTCTATATCACGGAAGGGCCTCATTGTGAAAAGAAGTTATTGGTTAAATTTTGTCGTATCGTAGAATATCAGAGAGGTCCCCGATATTAGAGAACGCTTCCATAAGGATCGTACAATCATATTGAAGGGTGGATACCACAGTGGCTCTTGAACAAGGATTAAAGTGGAGAACAACGGTGCAGGATCATGGTCAATCGGAGCAGACATTCGCAAGCGAGCTAGAACGTGGATGACCGGAGCGGAGCGGAGATAAGACTGACGTTGAGCTCAGCTGGAACTCAACACCACAGAGTATCCTGTAACTAATCCGCCCAGCTTCTCTATGCTTTCGGATGTTTCTGTGTTTCCAGCATGTCAGAACTGAGTGGCCAACATCCCAGTTTGACGAGCCTTCCAGAATGGGGAGCCGGTCAAACAGCCAGGGGCAGAGCTCGCCTGCCATCCAGCAGACGAAGAGAGAGGCCACAGCTATCCTGCAATCTCTGCAGACAAAGGAAGTGAGTGTCGTACCCATTCTTCACGTTCCAAAGGGCGTTGTCTAACTGCTTCCAGACTGCGATGCGACCGACAGAGTCCCTGTTCTAACTGTACGAAGCGTGCATTGGGCATGGACTGCACATATCTGCCCACGGTGGATCGGCCCTCTGGGAGCGGGACGAAAGAACAGCTTCCAGCAACCGCGCAGGACCGGATAGAGCACTTGGAGAGTCTCCTAGTCAATCTCATGCAGGCCCAGCAAGGAGCATCAACTCAGCGGATACTCGGCACAGCCCGCGCTCCGGAGTTGACAGGCCCTGACAGCCCTGCCGCCGAGAACCCGTGTATGCTGCATGTACCTGGCAGTGGTTCCTCTCCAGCTCCACCAGGCTCTAGCAGCGTTTATTTGACCAAGTGCGGTGCAACCTATGTGACCAGTGCTCATTGGGCTGCAGTGCTTAATGAGATTGCCGAGCTCAAGGGCCATTTCGAAGAAGCAGAACAGAGAGAGATTCACAGCCACCCACCATTCGAAGAACCACCTTCTCCAGGTCAAGCTGGCCCGCAGCTCCTGTACGGCTGCTCCAGACTCTTAACCAAAGAAGAAATCTTAGCATCCATCCCTGCACGACCCGTTGTAGATAAACTGGTATCATGCTATTTTAATTCTTTTGAAATGTCACCAGGTTAGTCTTTGATCTAGCTTTGAAAGAAAACTAGTTCTGATCAAGCTACAGCCGTCCTACATAGTGCTCAATTCCTTGAGGAGGTATTGGCCATGTTCCTGATGACACTCTTGAAAAGTCAAACTAACTTCCCGTCAGTATGAAGAGTTCTGGAAGAATCCAGTAGACACTCCAGTCATTTGGCTTGGCCTTCTTTTCACACTTATGTGTCTTGCAACCCAGTTCCAGAGCTACAGGCTGAAACCTGCTGTTGATACGCCCGAGACATCATCTCCAGAGAAGGACCTCCAACAAACAGCCGAGACATTTCGGCAGAAGATCGTGCAGTGTCTTGTCTTGGGCAACTATACCAAAGGCGGCCCTTATGTACTGCAGACACTGATGCTGTACGTAGCCGCCGAGCTTTTTCTCAGTAACGATGCTGAGATGGGCGTGTGGATTCTTTTGGGTACCATCGTGCAGCTGGCGATGCAAATGGGCTATCACAGAGACCCGAAACACTTCAAGGGCAGAAGCCCGTTCGCGAGTGAAATGCACAGACGTGTGTGGGCGACCATTGTCGAGCTTGACCTGGGTATCTCGGCGCAGATGGGTCTTCCACGGCTGATCCGACCATGGCAAGCCGACACGATGGAGCCTTCGAATCTTCAAGACCACGACTTTGACAAGTATACAGTAGAACTTCCGCCATCACGGCCCGAGACAGATCTTACGCCAATGCTTTTCCGCCTCGTCAGGGGCCGCATGTTGACGGCTATTGGGGCCATATGGGACTTTGCCACTGATACTCGACCCTACACGTACGAGGCCGTGATCGAAATGGATGCGAGGCTCCAAGACGCACATGCATGCATTCCTAATTGTCTCAAGTGGCGTTCTATAGCTCTTTGCATCGCTGATACCCCTCAAACTGTCATGCAGAAGGTCTCGCTCGAGATAATCGTTCACAGAGCCAGCATCGTGCTACATCGGAGGTACCTACACTGCCTACCCACGGATTCGAAGGAAATTCATTCTCGTCAGAAGTGCTTAGATGCAGCCCTAAAGCTTCTTGAATACCAGCAAATCCTCCAAGATAAGACGGAGTTTCTTGGCCAGCTGTATCATGAACGTTGGAGGGTTTCCTCATTAGTTAAGCACGACTTTCTCCTGGCGACCAGCATCCTCTGCTCTTACCTACAGCAGGTTAAAAAAGACATTCACAATGGTATAGGCAATGAGCCTGTCAACACGATTCGGGAGGCACTTCGAAAGTCACATGCCATTTGGCTTCGTTCTAGCGATTCTTCTAAGGAGGCGCAAAAGGCTGCTGAGGCGGTGAGTATAGTACTGGGCATCGAGGGAACTTCCGCTAGTCCTTCTGAAGTCAACACTCCCTGTACGACGACCAACAAAACATCGCTCTTCTCATACCCCAACACAGATGACCATTTTCCAGGTATGTGTTCTTGTTGAATTGTGATAGATTCAAAATTTAGTTTGGAACTAATGTGCGTACTGATAGACAATTGCGGCGTACAGTTTCCGGCCTTCCACACTACAGCCTGGGCCAGTTGGCAGGATCAGAGTAATTTTGAGCTAATGGTTCCATTCTCTGTGCCTGTGTCTGACGCAGGCATAAGTCCACAAATGATGGATGGTACATATACCTAGTGTTAAACTGTTTTATGATACGTTGCACTAACATAGAACATTAGCCATGGACGCGATGAACTCTCTCCAATGGCCTTGGACCAACTAACTCTAAAACTTTTTGTTTGAACAGCAACTTATTAGAGTATGAAGCGACGGTGCCCTACAAGGAATGTCCAGTATGTGATTAGCTGTACTTGCCGATGTTCTAGTGGAAGACTGAAAGACAATTCACGATCACGACTAAACCATAAAGAAAATAACTAGGTAGCTTACTGGCAATAAGTGTCCTTGATATGATCGTCTCAATAACGACGAGATGGAATGCCTCGATCTCGGCTAGATATATTCAAACAAGCCATACTCGGCCGATTAAATAGCCTCAAAACACGAGCCAGCAACAATGTCTCCACCTGGCTTCGATAAAGCTCCCGTGTAGACTCACGTTAACTCTTAGATAGAGTAATAGAACACACTGCGCATAAATACATATTCTTGTATATGTGCTTGGAAACATATACATTGAGTGGTGATCTTGAACCAAAATTTAAAGGAATTGAGCATAAGGAGCATTTTGCCCAAATCGAGGCCCGACCAGGCGGTATTCAAGTAGCCCGCATTGAAAACGTTGGGTCGTGTTGAGTTCAACTTAACAGTTCCCCAAACATCAAGGGAAGCGAATGAAACTTCATACGCATAGTACACTTTCTGGAATAGCCATCAGAAAGTCGGAGTTTTGCTTCGAGACAAGGTAGTAATAAGTCAACCAGGGCGTCAAGTGATTAGGGAAAATATGATCTGGAATTATTGCTCGTTAACCATTGGTTCTGATCGTAAACATTCTCCAATTGAAAAGTCCTCATAACTCTTTGTATCCCGCATGTATGTCGTTTAATCCGCCGTTTTCGGCTAACCAAGCATACAATATCGATGTTGATCTGCAAATGCTCAGAGCTGTCGCCCGCTTGCGCTGACTGCCTTCTCGGAGTCATGAGGCACATCTGGAGCCGGATCAACGACAATGCCATCATTGTGTACGTGAGCTTGGCTACGAGGACCAACGTAGTACTTGCGCCCTTGTATGAACCAGTAGCTTGTTGCCAGCAGGAAAACGAAGGCGAGAATCACGATTGCGTAGTTCATCTGCGGAACTGTTAGTTACTGCAGTTCTCGAAACAAGGTAAGAGAGAAAGTTGCCACTAACGTTATCTGGTGTTACCGGCATAGCCGTAGGGAATAAGAAGATGACCGAAACAAATGCTGTCCAAATGCAGGCCCAAGCGTTGATGAAAGGGCTGGCTTTTCCAAGGTGCCAGGGTCCACGCTCGAATTTGCTGAAACACAGCTTGCATATGATGGGAATGCAATAGGACCAGTCGAGACAAATAGCGCAAATGTTGAAAACAGCAGAGATGGCTGTATAGCTTCCGAGACCAATCAGGTTGATCAAGATGCACAGGAGCGAGTAAAACCAGACAGCCAACACCGGCGTATCTGTCTTCTTCCAAATCTTGTACCAGACTTTCGAGCCCGGCAGCATCTGATCTCTTGAGAAGGCCCAGATAGTACGAGAACCAGCCTGTAGAGCAGTGATGCAGACAAAGTTCATGATGATGAAGGCGGCTACCGCAAAGAAGATAGCAGGTCCTTTACCCATCGATTGGAAGAAGATCTCGACAACCTAAAGTACCAAGTCAGTCACGAAATCTTGAAGCTGATGGGAATTTGACTCACAGGTTGAGCGATGGGGCTAGCGAGGATCGTTGATGGGTCTCCCATACAAAAAACGAGCACAATGTTGAACAGCCAGCCAACAACATAGGTGAATGTGAGCGCGGTTGAGATAGCTCTAGGTACGATGACAGCTGGATTCTTAGCCTCCTCGGCAATATGGGCCGTGGCATCGTAATCTGTCATGGTCTGCATAGTATCAAGTCAGTAAAATATTCCCTACCATGTAAGACTCCTCTCGGATAAGAATATGCCTCCAACCGACCACTGAAGAAAGCAGTATAGGTACATACCCATGCAACCGACAGGAAGCCGAACAAAAAGGAGAACCCAGGCGGGGTCCAACCTGAAAGAGGTTCGGTATCAATATATGTGAAAGCATATTTCGCATCATGCTTATCCTTCGTCAGAACAAGAAGTGCGACGCACGCACTGAACAAGACAGCAATGTGGAAGACAGCGTAGGTTTTCGTGAGGTGGTTTAGCCACGCTGTTGACAAAGTATTGATGCAGGCGTGGAAGATCACCAACGCGACCATGGTTCCGATAATATGTGATGGTTCCACGGTATAGTGATAGGTTTCTCCATCAAACGAGCCAAGCGAAACGGCCGCGAGCAGCATCTGAGCTGCACCATATTCAGAGGAAGCACTTCCGGCAATCTGGCCAATAAGATTCAGCCAGCCTTTATGTCATCAATTAGCATATTTATAAAAATCGCATGTGGAGATCACAGTTGGTAGGAATCCCGCAAGCAATATTGCATCTGACAGATGCAAGCGGTGGACGACCACATACCATCAATCCAAGCGATCCACGCAATGTGTTTCTCTGGCGCTAAATACTTTATGGTGAAGTAGAGTGCACCTATACCATGTCAGCCGTTAATGTATAGAACGGCAATCATCTCTCATGGCCTACCGGAAGTTGGGTACGCCGAAACAATTTCCGATATGGAGAGAGCCAAGCAGAGCGCTCCAGCACCGGCGATAAGCCAACACCATATGGCTGCAGCACCTCCGCCGGCGTACAGAGGATAACTAAATGTTGTCATGACAGTCGCAAATAGACCGGAGATACTCAAGGCGAAGCTGAAGCAACTCCACATCGAGAACTCGCGTTTGAAGACCTGCACAGGTAGGCTTATCAGCACCAAAGTTCTTGTTCTGCATTATTGCGAAGCCATTTAGATTGTTGCAACTCACAGGCTGGTAGCCCATCTGAGCCAGTGCCTTGTCGGCATCGCTGAGCTCGTCGCCATACGACGGTTTCGCGGTAGGATCGTCGAGTGCTGGCTTATCTCCACTCATTTTGACAAGATCTTGGCTGCGTAAGCTCCTTGATAAGCTTTGAACGGTCGATCGAGTCCAAGGAGATCAGGGTCCTTAGGGGGATTCGGATGATTTGCCAAGAGTCGTCTCGATTGACTTGGCCGCGTACAAGCAGTTTTGGAATTGAGAAAAACGAGAAGCAAAGACGAACAAGCATCTTGTCGCATGTTCCTGGGATCATTCACTTTTTATCGGCAATCAATCTCACAGCAAGAAACGTCACGTTCGCTACCGAGACCCTGGCACCTGCAGCATGGCTGCATGCCTGTCTCAAGGGATGTGAAACATATCATTGCTGTGATAGGCTGAGCACGCAACCTGCCCCGTCGCTAAAGGAATCCATCGTAGGACTGCTGGCGACACATGGAGCTATTTCACCGATAATGAGCTTTCTTGGCCCTATGAATGCGCTGAATTGGAATTGTTGCTGGAAGAGACGAGATAAGTAATGCAAAAGGTGGGGTCAATACCGGCCCATGGGGCGTAAAGGGGAAAGATTCAGATATGGGAGTTAGTCTCATTGGTAGGCGCACGTCTAACGAGCTGGGGTAGTCAGACCCATGAAACTCAAATTTGTGGCTCCTGAGATCAAGTACATCTCATCGCACGTGGGCTAGACCTTCACTCATTATGCAGACGCGGAAAACGTTCTAGAAAAACTTCGCATGATTTTGCAACCTATCTTTCCGGCCGACAGGACAAAATGGGAGAATGCCGCCATTGGGCCAGGCAGTGGACGGCTCGACCCGAACCACAGGGTCCGATAGCCTCTAAGATCTGCAGAGTATGATGGTAGCTTCAATTGAGACGACACAGTCGTTCAAGAAAACGACCTACTGAAATTCGTACATCTGGGTCCGACAAAGAAATATATTAAAAAATTTTAAGAAATGAAAAAAAAAACAACCCAGGTGCAACTCAAACAGAGCACACCTTTCCAAGCTTCATCGCATATAAAAGGCATATAGATAATTTGGAGTTAATCCGGTATTCATCTCAGTTGATGGCAAGGAACCGCTCCGGGAGGGGGGGGGGGGTTTGCTGAGAGATGTTTGGTTTTTTTCTTACTTTTTGAACGTATCCAATTTCAGTTCAAAAAGGTACCAAAACAGTGACTAATCAGCTGACTAAGTGGCTTTAGGAAGGTAAGATGTTGCTCATCTCTCGTAGCGGGGCGTTGGCAGTGGTCAAATGAGCCAGCACAAAAGTCTTCACAAAATAAAATAATACAAACCCTTTAAACGATGAAGGATGTTTGATTTCGGATACATACCAAGATGCAATGCATGTGCTGTTAGTTCTAAATATTCAATGATTCCGCAGAGCGTTATACTGGTGGCATTGGGTGAAGGTAAAATGAATAAACTCCAACTACATAAGCGAAATGAACTATGTACCAGACCTCACTAGAGTTTAAACCTAAACCCATGCTGCCCAGCTTCTCCAGGCAATGAATTGATAGCCCCTTCGACATGGACACCGCGATCAAGTTTCTTGTTCAACCTCACGAGCATGAACCGCAAGACCGTGGCAGCACAAATGGCAACGAACGACGTGCAACAGTTGACCGACATCGCGACAACGTACCGGGGACCAGCCGAATTTGGGTACATGTAAGACGCGTAGATCGAGCTGGTATTGGAAATAGCATTGATGAAAGCCAGGCCAGCCGCTCGTTTGGCGGGCGGTCGAGGCAGAGTATTACTGATCCAGGCTAGTGCCACAACATAGCCTGTATATACGCCGGGCACCATGAGCATCATACTCAAATACCGAGGAGCGAGTGATGTCGTTGTCGCAGCGATGATATTGGCAACCATGTTGAGGATTAGCGGACAAATGATGTGCCAATAACGCTCGCCTGTTCGATCGGCGTGCCATGCGTTTGCAAACTGTAACATTTCAGATCAGTGGTTGTTTTTCAAGGTAGCCTGGACGACAGCCAGGTACGCTATAAACGGACTCAAGAGCCTAGAGTGTAGAAGACAAAAACAGCACAGCCGTCCTCGTGACGAGAAAAGAGAAATCAATCGCAAAGTTGCTTACTGAAGTGATGACGCAAAGTACATAGGGTGGTGCTGTTAAGAGGAGGGATTGGACGCTGTTGTAGCCCAAGGTAGCTACTACCGTGGGGAAGAAGTTGGTAACCGTCCCACTTGCCACTATACAAAAAAGGAGGACCATCTGAAGCAACCTAGTCAGTAGAGTCACATGCTTCTCGGATTGGGCGCACTTACCAGAACATATGTCTTGATGTCACTAAAAGCCTGCTTGGCACCGTGCCAAAATGTCTGGTGCTCGCTATCAATCCAGTCATCCTCTCCGATATCTTCCTCCAATCTCCATATTGCGAGAGCTCGTTCCTCCTCACTGAGCCAAGCGGTCGTTCGGGGAAAATTGGGTAGGATAAAATAGGCGACGAACGCTATACCAACAGTAGCGACACCCTCGATAATGAACAACCATTGCCAGGCAGCGATGCCTCTAGCACCATCCATATTGGCCGTGATTCCCGCGGAGATAAGACCAGAAAATGCTCCTGAGATGAGTGCACCAGAGTATAGCATGGCTGTACGTAACCCCAGCTCCTTGCGAGTATACCAACAACTTAGGTAGTACAGACATCCAGGCTGTCAAAATGTTAGTTGACATGAATGCCGTACTTATAAACAGAGCTTACAAAATACGCCGCTTCAACAAAACCGAGAAAAAACCGAACAGCTATGAGGCCGCTAAAGTTGTGAACTCCGGCAGTGGCCGCGGAAATTACCCCCCATACAATCATCTTCATTGAGATGATATGTTAGCATTGCACACTTTCCCTTTCAATCTCGGTATAAAAGTTTCGAGAAGAGTGGACAGACTTACGCATGTTGGGAGATATAATGCAGGCTTTCCGATCTTATTTAGAAACAAATTGGAGGGAATCTGCATTAACAAGTATCTAGTAGTCAAATAAACTGTCAGCATACCGCAAAACCCCCGGCGTACGCTAAATCATACCCAACGAAGAGAATGCTGACGGATGTTTGGTATTCTGTTGACACCAGCCCGAGGTGCTTTTCGAGATTGGCGAGCTTGGCAGCTGCTATGTTGTTCCTGAATTCACGTTTAGTGGCCGGACGGCGTCGCTAAGCCGGGCTTCCTCACCTGTCGATATAGTTCATTATGTACATGATGATTATCATGGGCAACAATCTGAGATCAATCTTCTTTACGAGTCGCAGTTCTAAGTGTTGTCGTTGCTCAGGCGTAAGGTTTGCGATGATTGCAGGTGGCTGGAGGCCGCGCCGCTGAGCCGTGGCTAGTGCGCCGAGCGCCTCTGGCGACGTTGCCGAGCTGTATTTATTGGTCGGACTTCCATCTTCAATTGAGGAGGCGTGCTCGACGTTAGCTTTTTGGTCTGTCAGGTCCGCCATGGTGTCCCCTTTCAGTCAGCCGGTATAAGGTGCTAATTAGGTCTGTAATGGGTGAAAAGCAGTCGAGAGGAAGAGGAAATGTGCAGGAAGAGATAAGAGAAGCACTGCGACTTATAACCAGTCGAGTACGCCCGTGGATCTCATTTATGCGAACGAACCATGACTCGGTTGACCACTAGGGGATCACCAGTGCTGCACGGAATTCAACTACTGTTATCCGATACGCCCGTTCATCACGTCTCTAGGTTAGTCAGGGTTGTCGAGCACACTGCTAGGCAACGTAGCACCACATTCTGCGGTATGCATCTTCGACTCTCGAAGGAATGACGGCGAGATTAGCGGCGGCGGTAGCTACCATTGGTCGCGGCTGAATAGGTAGTCGGGAGAGCTCCGCTACCCTAGAAGTTGGCTTTCCCCAACCCGCACATTGACATTGCGGGGAATGGTCAATTTGCGGGGTTAGCATGCTTGAAGCTTCCTTGGCGATGGAGTAGGATATGTAAAAGCGGAACGGGGGCCGGCAAGTCGCCGAAGAATACACAGTTGACGTAATCGTGTGGGGGAATCAGTTGGAGAAATGCGGTGTTGGGCTCAAGTTTGCATTGGTTGGAAACAGCTTTGCACTCATCACCGTTATAACCATCTTCATAGTCTTGTCCGAATCTGTTGCCAAATTCTTGCCTACTATAAATAAAACAAACGAGCAGCTTCACAGAGGCACAACGAGGGTCTTGGGGCAATATTTTTGTAAGGAGATGAGTTTGTAGACTATAAACTATGGTTATCGACTATATAACAAAGGCTCGTATACACAATATAAGCAGGGCGAGCTCCCGTTGAAAAGTGTGATGACGAATATGTACGTCGGTGAAAAAAACTAATGATGAAATCTGCCGTTGGCTTGATTGTGCCGTTCCCGTTTTCAAGGGGATGAAATTATGAGGTTGGAAATTATCAGTAAGTACAAGCGAATGAATGTCGTGATCGTTGTCGTTAAATATCATGTAAAGGAGTGTCGTTGTTAGCGGGATATGGTCCCAGGCGCAAGCTTGATTAAGGGTGATGAGTCGTTTAGACGCCCGAGTCCTCCTGAACAATGTCGTTGTTATCCTGGAAGGCGTTCCAGTTGTCACAGGTCTGGTTCATGGAGTCTTCATCAACAGTCGCGGCGATCTCGCTCTGGCGCTCAACCAGCTGGAGAGCAAAACCTTCCGAAGTGTGCCATCCGATCTGCCAGAGTGTTAGACATAATCTTGACTGAAGACTAACGATTCACTTACGTGGCAATGCATCAGCCAAACACCAGGATTGTCGGCCTGGTATGCGATGACCAAGTATCCGCTAGCTGGAAGCATGGCAACGTCACGTCTAGGCGGGTTGACAGTGTTGAGGGCGTTCCCGTCTGCCCAGGTGGCACCCTGCTCCTGAGCAAGGACGAAAAAGTCGTGACCATGGAGATGGATGGGGTGATGCTAACCAGGTAAGCTTGAGCGGTACCGTCTGGAAGGATACGACTTACGATTCCGAAAGTGGACTGAATGACGAAGTAGACCCACTGGTCAGTTTCATTCAAGTGTACCACTTGCTGTTCAACATCAAATGTAGAAACACCATCGGCAACTTGCTGAAGAGCTACTCATGGTTAGCTTTACGTAGCAATGAAATAGGTTTTACGGCTAACTTACTAGGTGAGCCCCAGTCGCTGAGGAAGGGATCTGTTCACAAATTCATGTCAGTTAAACGGTGAAGGGAACTAGATTGACGGCCTTCCATCACTTACTGCTGTTAATAGTCCAACGAAACAACCCGGTTGTGGTATCAATACCAATGTCAAAAACGTCCTCGAGTCCAGCATCATCCACGTTGAGTGCAACAAATGGTACAACCGGCTCATCATCACAGTTGTCTGCGCTTATGCTCGTGATGGTTGTGGGATCCGCAACATCAACACTGTCATAATTGAAGATACCCTTGATGTCTAGTGTGTTCTCGTTGGTAGCACTGCAAGTCTGTTGAGGGACCGCACGGAGCCAGTAGTTTCCAGCATCCTGGTTGGCTGTGACAATGACATCGTAGCGTTGGCCGATACCGACGTTGACGGAGTCTGTCTCGTACGGCTCAATAGGAACCAGATCGGAGGAGATGACCGTCAAGGTATGGTTGTCGATAGAGAATCTGAACATGGTGTCCATTGCACCATTAACAAGGCGGAGGCGGTAGGACTGTCCAGCCGTGACAGATGTTTGGAATCTCGAGCCGCCACTGTTGTAGACGTTCGTACCGTTGATCAGCCCATTCTGGGAAGGAGGTGGACCAGAGGTAGCAGCTGTCACGAAAAGTTCATCAGAAGTAGAGTGGTACCAGTCATTGAGGAATATAATGCCCTTGTCCACATCGTAGGCTGATGAGGCAGGACCATTAATGACGATTCCACCGAAAACTCCATTCCTAGTAAAGTGTCAATCAATAAGTTCCCACATAGGCTTTTACACGCGGTTTGGGCATACCATGCTTGGAGGCTAAAGTGCGAGTGATACCAGGTAGTTCCATATTGAGTTGCTCTCCAGGTGTAAGTAAGGGAATCACCAGGAGCTGCAGGACATTGAGTGATGGATGCAACACCATCTTCCTGAGCGGTGTGGCTAACGATTTTTATGTTAGCGACTGACCAAAAATGACAAGTATTATGACTGAGAGAGGTAAATCTCTGGCACTTACTTCTGTCGGATACCATGGAAGTGAATGCTTGTGCCGTTGGTGGTCAATGCGTTGTTGACATGAAGCACTATACACATCAGTATGTAGAAGACGAGGTATCTCAAGATGAATTACCAATTGTGTCACCCCAATCTGCGTATATGGTAGGACCTGGGATAGAACCATTGATGCTCATGACGAGACGTTCAACGCCATCAGGGGCAGCGGTGTGCTCAGCAACTTCAAACCAGTACTCGCGGACAACACCCGTGTCAGGTGCTTCCTCATACCAGTTCGTGGAGAGAGAGAAGTCTCCCCAGCAGTCAGGCGAGTTGGCGGAGTCGAATTCACAGGTCTGTCGCTGAGATAGACCATGGGATCCGGTGTACGGTGCCGCGACAGCAACAGAGATTAGAGCGCCGACGCTCGAAAGAATGGTTGATGAGCGCATCTTGCACTGGAGACTGGATTAAAGAAGGTACTGATGTTTCAATGAAAGAACGATGAGGATGCTGGTTAAGTGAAGGGATGTGAATACTGTGCGATCATCGTCACTTATATAGGCAATGAGATGATCATGTATTTGCAGTCACGACTTAATCAAGCACCGTACATCGTCTGGGATCCCAAATTGTACCCGTGGTATTTTGAGGATCCATCAATGGATGCAGTTCGTGAGCCATCGTTGTGGATCGGGCCTGCATGGATTCAAGAATAGTGTCACAAATATCGAATTGTGCAGCTTGGACTGGGTGGTGTGGCGTGGCAGCCCTCTGGCGGTACTATTGTACCATCGAAGAGACTGACAAGCCGTTGCCGCTTAGCTAGACCATGCGGTATGTTGCAGTCTAGGATATCAATCCACCATTGTCAATAGTTTCTGCATACAAACGGCATTTTTAGTGGCCTTAAAGGCGGGCTTGACGATAAACCCGAGCGGTTACCTGAGATCGATATGTCCAGGATAGGAAGACCATGCTTAATTCACGTGCTTTCGTCCATCACAGAAACAATAATCGACAAGAGACTACGTAATCCTTGTTGGGAAGAGAGCTTATAGAGCTCGTCCGAGCGTCAAAACAACGTGTTAGCACAAGAATAGTTGGATACAAGTGTAGTCGTGGAGTTGTAAGTATCCACACCATTGGTTTCGAAACGTCTTCTTTTGATGTGACCATGCGGTGTTACCTCTACTAGTCTATATATTATGGTTATTATGAAGTAGTGAAGTGCCGTGGACGCGTCTCTCCAAGAGGAGTGGTGTATAAGACGAGACTAATTATGGTAAATTATCACGGTCGTATCGGCATCGGGATTTGTAGTATTGATAATGGAGTTACTGGGCGTCTTTCCCACAAATCGCTAATGTAACTCGAATATCTTTTTACGAGAAAAACATGGCCCAGGGATGGCACAGGGCATCGAATCGGTCAAAGTTGAGCATGGATGAAGTGTCGGTAGCAATCCGGGGCCGAAAGCTGCCCAGGTGAAATGAGCCGCTAGCGCGCGGGTTTTGTTTCCTAGCGGCGTGGCCCAAGACCGACGACCCCCTGGAAACCCTGAAATTGGGGCCTATGACCTCGCACCTGTTACACTCTCAAGGGTCATAGCAAGCATTAGTCAGTCCATAAAAATCCGTCTTTTCAGGTGTTGACGCGTACTCGGAAACCCACTTGATATCTGAACGGAGTGCTCACAGAACACTGAGGGCTACGACTGCTCGGAGGCGTGTAAGGTCCGCCAACGAGCGGGTCTCGGCGTTAATCCTCGATCCTCAGTCCTGCGGTAGTGCATGATGCGATGATGCACACAAGGAAGCACGCGAAAGGGGTTGTACCTATGGACCTCTAGGTACCATCCACGCGTAAATCATCTGATCACAGATCTTGTCTGACTGAAAATCTTTCCTGTTCCTATTTGTAGGCTGGACCTGAAACGTCCAGATCATTAAGAAATCTTACGATCGTCTTCAGGTTAGAAATTCTTCAAGCCATGCGGGAGCCTTGCACTGTTCGTGGCAGGCTCTCCAATCAACCACCAGTCTTGACTGGCGGCTACTTGGTTCCTGTGGCCCTGTACAGTACGTAGTTTCCGGTGAGCCGCAAGGCGATTGAAAGCAAGTGCTGGGATGTTATCGTTCAGCAGTATCTAGTCAGTTGTTCTGTACACGAGCTCCAGATTATCCATACCGTCTCGAAGCGAATCATATCCACATTTTAACGCTATTTGAATAGTGGGACCTGCATCGCGGAGGAGGCTTTAACTCAGATTAGCAGAATCGCTGCGTATCTTGGCTCGCATTATTGGCGGGAGCATCTGAATGAAGCGGACACTCCAGTAGTAGCGATAAACCCTTATCTTATCCATGAATAGTTATCCAACAAGCCCGGTATATTTATTATACACAGTCTGACATGGTAAACTGCACGATGATCATTCTACGTACTTGCGTTCGGCGGCTGTCGGCCTTCAAACATTACATAGTAGACCTGTATCAATTCGTGCTGACCTGCAAAAACCAGACATTAAAAATTACCAGCCGCAATGCGTTCTCGGCCTATCATGTTGCTCAAAAGTACGACTCAATTGCCCCAAGTGGATAAGTCGTCTGCTGTTCCCCACAACCAAGTTCGCCAGGTTCCATGGACGATGCAACTATAACACGCTTCCGTGCATATACTCTATCGGACATTTGTTAAGCGTGATTGGTCCGTTCTAGAAGGACGCGCAAGCCTCCCTTCGGCTGACCAAAAGCCCCCACGGCAGCTATGGCCCTTTTGTGCGCCCCATCTTCCCCATACCTGAAATTTAGGTATGATCGCGCAACGTCCTTGTGGGGCTTTGAGTCCTGACACGTTCCTCGGACCTCTCCGTGGGTAATCTAATCAGCCTCGTCAATATGAACTTGCCAGCCGCATGACGTATGAAATCTGAAGTCAAGCTTTCCTTTATTGCACCCTTAACTGCACTGGAGTCTGAGTACTATGGAGGCAGGCCACAACCCCCACAGTGCGGCAGGTGTTTTCCCAGGGGAAGTGCATGCGTTCTTGCGCCTCGAAGCATTATCATGAAGAACTTGTACTTGCCCCGTTGTGGTTACTGACCCTCCATACCATAGCAGTATTGAGAGAGCAGCTAGATCGTGATCAGTTTCGGCAATTGATCCTCAACACCAACGCTACAAAGCCACGGCTATTTCTTGAGCCACTGCTGCTACTCTCGAGCCACTGTTGCTATTTCAAGGGAATTACCTAAACATCACTAATGATCTGTATCGCTATTATTGCCTGATTTCTCAGCATCACAAACGCCTCCCACAGGACTGCCAAGAAGCCATGGGCCTCTAAGAGAGCACTGTTGCCGCTTAATTTATTTCCTATCCACCATCTTCATATTCTTTTCACTGAGGGGACCCATGAAGGTGAGTAATTGTAACCGAGACCGAGACACCCATGTTTTTGCTTCAGGTTGTGGGAGTACACCTGATTGCCATTCGTTGGGTGCCTCGCTCTCGCAAAGTATTGACATTGTATCGTTTACATTGGCGCTTCTTCGAATCCGTGACTCACACACTCACAGGAGGGTACAAGAGAAGTCTTCTGCGGGTTCCGTTTCTAACGTTCACATGCTGCATGGCGTTTTCAGGTCATGATCACCTGCAGGTACCCCTAGGTCGTCGTGGGTAATCATTGGCTTGAACACTAATACATGTGTATAAACAACGATGGAGGACTGGTAACCACTCTGATTACATCCGCTTTGTGTGACGCACACCGATCTGTGAGCTCAGGTGTGTACTAAGAGTGGCTTAATTCGTAGCTGAAGGGCTTGCATTTTGACCTCGTGCTATGCATGTAAGCCACTATTGCAATCCTGCATGTAAGCCAAGCCTGCCGCTTCTCGCTTCGCAATACCGCTTCCGCACAATTTTCACATGGGTTCTCAAAACCAATGCTATCCGGTGACAGCTTGAACAGGCTCGGTGTACTCGGTAGCTTGTTATCATTGTACTAGGCATCCATACACATCCGATATCGACTGCTCAACACTAAAAGTCACAGAACCCTGTCCAATATTTCCATTGTGTGAGTGGACGTGGTGTCGCCACGGTCATGGTCGCTGAGAAACTGCCGAGAAGTGACACAATTTTTTTCTATCACAATGAGCTTCAAGTACCATCAGTAGGTCATGTGTGGCATCGCGGGGTGCTCGGCCTTTAGTATGCGCCCCGGAAAGGTGGCTCAGATGTAACAGTTACCTGCAGTGTAACGAAGAATTTTCGAATGTTCCGGCGGCGTTCTCGCTTCCATACTGTTGGACCACAACACCTATATCTTGGACACATAAGTAAACGCCACAATATGCCGCCATATGATTGATTAGAATAGAGTCTGAGAGCTCTTGTCCTGGCAGATAACCAATTTTAGGCACTTTTCGCATATTTCCATGGTCTACCAAGTTAGTTCTCGTTGATACTGACGAGGTTTTGCTTGGTCTGCATCGGACAACACTGAACACCGAGAACGATGTCATTTGTCGAAAAGCAATGGAAAAAAATACCATGACTAATGATTAAAGTACTTCTATGGCTAAACCTCTGGGAGCCACCCCACCGGGCTCGACTGGATTAAATGTTCTGAATAGCAGTCCTTTTAGGGAGAGAAACTCTTGGAATCACCACATATGGCGAAATACTTCCCTATGCATGCGAAAGTAGAGTCAATTGTAAGCTTATTGGAAGACTTTGCAAAATATGTACCCTGGAATAGTCGATCCGGGCTCAACCGGATTTGCACTTTGCGGCTCACCGTGCATTAGTGCCGTGCCTCCCGCTGGCTTGGGCTGCTAGGCCCCGGATATGATGGGAGCGCGAAGGAGTGGGCAAAGCCAATATATCGCCTAGGCCACGCAATCACCCGTCCCGAATAGGCAAGACAGCCGAGCCGGCCCCCTGAGGGTCTCCGGCAGACAGTCCGGAAACCCAAGCCAAGCGCGCGGCCCTGGCGTCAACGCCTGCGAAAGTGCCCATGAGCGAGCCCCGTAATCTATATTTACAGTGATCGTCGGCGCAGATAGCGCGCGCTGTATGCACTCGCACGCCAAGATTTTTGCACTGGCTAGGTCACAAACTCCGCCAGTAAACATTGGGCCTCAACCACTGAGCACATCGACAATTTGACCTGCATAGCAGAATTCAAGGTTATCCAATTCCCTCTTAGTACCAAATCGCTCGCAGAGATGTTGACCCGAGTTAGCCGATCGACTTAAGCTACTGACAAGATCATGCCAGGTGTGCCAGGCACCGTCTGGCTTCTTATCCTGCTATCTTGCCGAGGCATCGCATGGAGACGAAACATGTTATGGACTATAACACTTGGCACGAAGAGTTCATGGCCTTGAAATCCGAGCCGACTGTCGGTCTTATCTCCGCCATCACCCCAAGGACAAGAACGTCACTATAATTTTGACCGCCTTATCCGATTCAAGCGCCTGATTCTGAGTTCTCGCACATCACTACTTCAGGGGCTCGTATAACACGTATGCCAAGCTTCTCGCGTAGAGTTAGGGTTTGTGCACAATCAGACCCCCTTGCCAGGTCCCGGAATCACCACCGTCGATCAGCTTGACGCAAGTCTCGTCTTACTCCAGTACTTGTCGCTCTCTTCCATAACCACCTTGCCTTCAGCCTCCAAGGGCCCGATAACCTCAACATCTTTCTGCGGGCACCCCTTCAAGAAGTCCTTCGTATGCCAGTCCACTACAGTAAACAGTCAGCAGATGATCGTGTACGAAAATATATTTGCTGACAGTCATTGTTGCCAACGACGTTCGGCTCACGGGCCGCAGCTTGCCTCTCATCTCGGCTATGCATTGTAACAAGCAGATGAGGATTTCGGCATTCTTGCAACAACCGCGCCACACCGTATCTTCTTGTCTGGCAGGGGAAAATGTGGTAATCTTCAGTCGCTTTGTACATGCGACACCAAGTTTTTCCACGAGTTGCGACTCTTGTACGTGTGAGGTTTACAGAAAAATATGACTCACTTGTGAAATTTTCCTTGTTGCCTGGCCCCGTCAATTCGTAAAGCTGATCGTTCGTCCCTGCAAACAGAATGCGACCAATATGTGCCCACTGCTCTCGTCAGCATTTCGAGGCCTTGTTGCATATTCCCGCGGCATTCCTTCAACCACCATAGAGGTGCCTCTGTTCTTTTGAGGTTTTGGTGGGGAGGTCGCCATAAGAAGCTTGACCCGAGGCCCCTTCGAAAAGGCGTGAAACAGAACTCACATAGATGGTGGCAGTACACATGCCGCATGGCTCCCAAGTGCTGACCAGAGTGCACTGCCACAAGAACTCCTTCGTATAATGAGTATATGCTAGCCGCGCCAGAGAACTCTCGGCATGGTTGACCTGGTCGATGCTCTGGTGCGTGAGAAGCACGGTCTCGTTGTCGGGACCCAGGAGGACGGCTGCGAACGGCCGCTTGCCGAACGTGACAGCCCTCCTCTGGACTTCCAGAGCGGCGTTGATGCCGGCGGTGATCTGTCCGGGCGTCATGGGCTTGCGCTCCGGGAAGAGGTGCGGCAACAGTGTTGCGGCGGTGCCGGCGCTGGAGGTCGCGGCCATGTTGGGCAACAAGGTATTTCTTTCGAAGGGAAAAATTGTGTGATGATCGATAAAGGTGCTACAGGAATCGTGACGAGAGAATTTGAGTGGTCCAGTAGAATTATGGTATCACTTGGTGAGTGTCATGTTATAGAGGAGCTCATGGCTTTTAACCCGCAATCACTATTCAAGCGCTATCGGGCACCTGGATCCCACTAGTCTAGGAAGCCGGCGATCACCTCCAAGTCCGATAAGAACCCCACCCAATGAGTGAGCTGTGATTGTTACATTATAGTTTCGGATGACTTCAACAATGTGAACAAGTTGATGAATTTGATGAAAGGTTATAAACATCGTATCACCAACGTTAGGTTTGAAATGAAGCAAAATATTCCTTGTTCGCTCAAATGCCCGGACAACAGAAAATCTCGGCATATAAACAATCTGAAATATGTGCCTTTGATACTACTACTATACTATAAATTCAATGACATCTGATTTTCTTTCAGTACCAACCGTTGTTGTCAGTGACCTACTGTAGTTTTAGTAGGTTTTGTCGCTGCTGATGCTCCCGGAGTCGAGGATACACAGTCGTCTTGTACTGCAGCAACGATGGTTTCTTAAAGAGAGCAAAAGTTGAAAAGGCCATCATATTCGTCACCTAGTGTAGCCCGCATCAATCATGGCCAATGAGGAGCAGCGTCTAGGTCGCTTTCCGGAATTTATTTACCCTTTCCTGCTCAGTGACTTCGTCCTGCGTTAGATTGTGCCCCGGCTTCACTTTCCGGTATTCAAACCGCAGCACTGAATCTTGATACACCATCTTCTTAAATGCATGATGATTAGAAGCTAGGGGAGGTTTTTTTTTTTGGGGGGGGGGGGGGGGGGGGGGGGGGGGGGGTTTGTTAACGACATGAGTAGAGTAATTTAAGCTGGTCGTTTCAGAAGCGAAAATTTAAAAGTCTCGAATCTGCCAAGATCTGCCTATATACACTGCTTCGCGATGCGATCTGCAAGAAGTTCGGCATATCTAGAGGTTCAAAAGAGTATGCCACGATATCTTCCCATAAATTGGCAGACTTTAAGACATTCATCTATGATCCATTAGTCATGGTACAGCATTATCCTAATCATTACACACTGATTATACCAATTGCCTTTCGTGAATCTTCGAACCCCAAAGATCGGACTGCAAAGGATACTATTTAGTCACAGAGCTGATTTATATCAGGTTTGTCCAAGCCCGAGTCATTAGCTAGAGAGTCAAGAGCGCCTAGGTGGCATGCAGGCCCTCTGGGCTGAGTTCGGCCGGCATAGTCTAGGAATGATGAGCACATGCTCACCGATGATTTATGGCCGATGGACACAGAAAGCGGGTTTGCGTGCTGCAATAACTTAATCTTGTGGAAGGAAATTGGTGTCACGGAATTTCAAGGCGTATGATATCAATACCTTCCCAGCTGCGAATCCAGCGAGTATGTCTAACTTGAAGGAGCAGGGCCACTCCTTATCAAGTATCTCCCTCGCACACGGCGCGGTGCGTCTCCGTAGTGGATGGCCCATCATCTGCCGTTCTAAATACATTTTCATATCAAAGGTCGAAGTCAGAATGTTATCGTATCGAATCTTCAATTCTGTAACATGTTTGATTCAATGCCCTCTGGATGCCACCACTAAAGGCTTATATAAGCTTGAATGCAGAGAAATTAGCTTCGTTGGCCATGTAGAAATTTTTTGTTCCAAAATTATCCTTAAGATACACTGTGGTAGAGATGTTTTAGAAGACACAGACCAGTGACGCATCGCGAAATCGAAGGGCAGCCGCTTCTCAGAGTAGTACTTAATACTCCTAAGGCTAGAGTCCCCTCGAATTGGCAGCTAGTTTGTAGCGAAACGTTATATGCTGATGAGATGGTCTATATGCCGACAGCTCGTTCCTTTGGCGGAGTAGTAGTTGAATTTGCTTGAAGCGAGAAGAGAATTTTCTTGTCCACTCAATGCAATCTGGAACACGTGCTAGAACACTTGCCTTTGACAGGTGAGTAGCATATCGAGACGGAACAAGCCAGCTTACGTCCCGTGTCGTCGAAGTAATTAGTTGCAAAGTCCTGATGCTTAGAAATAAGTTAGCACAACACATAATGTTACGGACGCCTGCGATTAAACTGAGCCTTATGCTTGAGACCGAGAAACCTCACCACTTAGGTCACAACTAAACTCGAAGGCCAACTCACCGAACGCAATGACTGTTATCTCGTGCACCAGAAGCTCGTTTTCGAGCGTCAAAAGCCTCTTAATTATCCACATCATTATTGATAATCTCTTCAATCCAATGTTGTTTATTGGTAGACGATTTTACAACCATTGAATTCCAGTGGCACCCCTTGTCGCCGGGGGCTCGCATGGTGTGTAAGCTATTTTCTGGAAATTGACCAGGAATATATCAACATTCTCTAAAGCAAACAGTTTGCGCAATACTTCAAGCCTTGTTGCGTATTTATCAGACAAAGAGGCCGCTGACAATCGGTCGTCTCGACTGCTATGTTGCCGCTGAAAGGCAAGATATGGTTCTCGAAATTGTTCATCATGCTTCCACTCACAAAGAATTCTGCATATGGTGTCCACTTGAGTACTGAGAGTAGCAAGTGACGGTATCTCAAGTGGTTTGCATGTACTCAAGCTCCACAAGATATCCCTTGCTCCTACTGGGAAGAACAAGTCTTGTCACACCGTAAAAACCCGCAAAGCAGGACAGCAACGTGGTGTTGCATCTTGAGGCTAGGATATACCAGTAGTTATAAGAGGATTTCAGGCTCATGCCTTGACATTCATAGTTTTTTGTTCCGTATCTGAGAACACTGCGCCCACAGTCTCGACAAGGTAGTGTGATTACAAGATGCCCGAGCTATGCTGGAAATTCGAATCTGAACGGAACTTGAGAGGCGCTTAGCACAAGAGCATCGATGCGAATGAGATTGTGTATTGCCATTGAGGGGACTCAAAATTATTGTCAGATTCAACTTCACGTAGTAGTTTGAGATTTGATTCTATTGGCACCCTGATATCCATGTCACGTGTAACCAGTTCTGGCACCAGCTCGCCCACAACACGCTTATCAATTCCGGATTTTGATTTGGAATTCATGCGATTGCAGTGTTGCGACCTATGGCTGGTTGCGGATCCTGCCAAAGGACTGGGAAGTAATGGTGAATAGTTATTGAGCTTGAAGGCCCTCTGAGGGAGTCCGATAGCACCAATCTCCCCTATAAAAGTATCCGGAGTCGTTGAGAGCGAAGTTGGCACTGGACGCTTGTTAAGGTCGAAATGTGGAGTGTTATGGATTGTGAGTGTGCAAACGTGCCATTGGATGACACATTAATCGTCTCAATTGTTTTCTGAAGGTTGATCTCCTTTATTTCAATAGGATGAAATCATCAACGACGATTGAGATTAAGAAAAGCTCGGGAAGCTTACCAAGAGACTTGAAATTTAAACCTAGTTTCGATCTACATTGATATATACAAGGCAAGGAACAAATGGGCTGGAATGGAAGTTTGCGAATAGCCTCATCTATTCCGTACAGTGAGAGAAGGAGGATGGACAAGAAATCATGGAACTTGAGCTGAAAACGTGCGACGCATAGTATTGCCCGATCATCAAAACAACTTTACCATTCAAATCGGCACCAGGCAATATATCTGGCGCAAATGTTGTTGCTGTTGCAAGTCATAAGATAGTCAAATTGGGACATCCCAAGAACCCCCAATGCCAAAGCTTCGCAGCTAAGCACAGTGTAATCGTATTGTAGGGTCCAGGTTCAGCGTCGGCCATTTAGTGTCAGAAATTCTCTAGTTAGAACAGTCACGGAGTGGGCCATATGGACAGTGCGCACCAAGTGCGTCAAAGCACATTCTCTTGTATGGTGTAGTTATTGGCAGATTGGTGTTTTTCATACATACCTTTAAAAACATTTGGCATACGGACTATAACAAACATCACGAGCACTAAATCGGCTTACCCTGTACCGCGTTCCCTATCGATGTATTAAGTCGATTGTAGACGGCAAATGTAAGAAATCAGCGTATAGGGGCACATTATAAAAGTGATAAGTGGACTTGATCGTATACATACACATATATAATCGAAACGTTGTTCCATGTCCACAATCAACCCGGTATATCGGTAAGTGGAGCTGTATATGGTTGGGTAGCTTAGCATTGACGATAGTCTAAACCAACAGGAGCTAGTTTGACGCCAGACTGGGAAATAGCTCAGTAATGACCAAATCCTATATCTCAAACCCAAATGCTCTTGACGCGCTCTTTTTGGCGCCCTAGAGTCAAATGATACCTGCGTGAGCCAGAGAAAGTCCCTTCGAAGTCTAGCTGTCAAAGATGCCACGCCCTCCATACCTGTTCCCAATGTGGACTGCAGATGTGCCTTTCATCATGACGGAGCCTGCCTCGTTGCTTGTTTGACCAGGTAGACCCAAGCTACAACTGAGTGCTGCCTCAGTCCATTCATTTCCAACCCGCACATGCGCGCTCTCTTCACCTTGGACATTCTTCACATAATTCCTTCCTCGATATATTTCTAATCTCTCCGTAGCAACCTGACTTAGAACACTATCCGAATTTGTGGCAACATCTTGTAATGTGGTCAGGCTCGGCTCGTCATTAACCTCCTCGATCTCCATCTCTACTAACATGCGACGAACGCTTTCCTTCACGGGAAATAAGTTTTCCAAAGCACTTGTAAACTCCGTGATTTCATTTATCATTTTCCTAAAGTTCTTCTCGTCGTACAATGCCCAGGCGGCCTTTTGAAGAAGGCCAGTTCCTTTTTGTCTTCGACTGACAATTGCCTTGAGACGGTTGTGCAGTTTTTGGGGGACTGGCTGCATGTTCTGGACTTGGAGGTGCTCGAGGCCCTCTTGCTTCGCGCGCGTTGTATACCGCCTTGACGCGGTCTGCAGGTCCTCGAAAAGATCGGCGATCTCTACCAAGATGCTTTTGGCCTGTTGAACATGTCTATCTTCCGACTCAACGGTGTCAAATCGAGGATCATCGTTGATAGCCACGGTCTGGCCCCATCGGCTTAAACGGGTTCGAGCAACGTCGACCTTGAGTTGGCATCGTTCGTAGTCTCGAGCGAAATGGCGGCCTAGTTGGATATACTCGAAACAATTGACGCAATTGTAAAAGAGGGCTGCCACGCTTAAAGCGCTGGCTACCGTACCGAAGACTTCAGCCATGTTGATATCTTGAGTTGAGTTATTGAGGATTTCTAGTGCCGACTGAAGATGTGCCTTCGCAAAACAGATTGGCTGAGGGGATGGTGCGGCTGACATAAGAAGACGTCTTACTATAACGGTTCCCTAAGCGTACATCCGGTTCACTGGCTCACTCCGAGCCTTCTTCATCTTGGGGGCAGATAAATAACCCAGCCCAACCTAAAGCCTGCTTCACATTTTGCGCGAACTGTAACTCTGAGCAATAACAATACCAATGCAGTGACGAGAAACGACAACATACGAAAGTCTCAATAACCCCCATTGAACGTCTAAGGGCTGACGGGCGTTGTTGTAGAGTCAACCCTGGGGGAAACGCAATGCTCTAATCCTAGTCAAGTTGCAGCACCTCCCAATCTAGATAGCGCCGTCACAAAGGCGCGGGGTCACAGATTGGCTCTAGCCTTTAATGAACTCGTGGCTGCGCTTAATGACCAAGACACAACATGACCTTCACCTGCTATGCCTCAGATCGAAGACCGACGTCCCGTTCATGGCTAAGTCACGGTTTTGTGATATATATAGTCACCGAAGGTACTCCCTCTCGAGCGGCATGGCTGCTGGACCTCTTCCGCATGGGTCCCGTCCTTGATCCGACATCGGAGAAAGTTATAAAAAGAAAGAGTACACGATGATTAGATAATTTCAGCGTTTACATCAGCAAAATGCGGCTTAGTTATTTGGAATAATCTGAGAAAGCCGCAGACACCTCTTTAGGCCTTTAAAAAAAAAGAATACATTTTCAGCCACCCCTCGGACCCCCTAAGGACAAAGGGGAAAAATAAATGAAGGAGAAGCGGTGAGAGATTTGATTATCACCTTTTAGCACCTTTGTCTTGAAGCAGCTTTGTTATAGTGTCCTGACCAAAAACTGAGGCCCTTATCAGAGCCGTTATGCCATTGTTGTCTATAGCATCGACCTTGGCCCCGCCGTCTAGGAGCCGCTGTATAACAACGTCGTGGCCTTGAACTGAGGCGTACATCAAAGCCGTTATACCATTGTTGTCTATAGCATCGACCTTGGCCCCGCCGTCTAGGAGCCGCTGTATAACAACGTCGTGACCTTGAGCTGAGGCCCTTATCAAAGCCGTTATACCATTGTTGTCTATAGCATTTACGTTGGCACCGCCGTCCAGAAGCCGCTGTATAACAACGTCGTGGCCTTGAACTGAGGCCCTTATCAAAGCCGTTATACCATTGTTGTCTATAGCATTTACGTTGGCACCGCCGTCCAGAAGCCGCTGTATAACAACGTCGTGGCCTTGAACTGAGGCGTGCATTAAAGCCGTCCAGCCATCGACATCTGCGGCATCGATCTTGGCCCCGCCGTCCAGGAGCCGCTGTATAACAACGTCGTGGCCTTGAACTGAGGCGTACATCAAAGCCGTCATGCCATTGTTGTCTATAGCATCGATCTTGGCCCCGCCGTCTAGGAGCCGCTGTATAACAACGTCGTGGCCTTGAGCTGAGGCCCTTATCAAAGCCGTTATGCCATTCTCGTCTATAGCATCGACCTCGGCCCCGCCGTCCAGGAGCCGCTGTATAACAACGTCGTGGCCTTGAACTGAGGCGTACATCAAAGCCGTTATGCCATTGTTGTCTATAGCATCGACCTTGGCCCCGCCGTCTAGGAGCCGCTGTATAACAACGTCGTGGCCTTGAACTGAGGCCCTTATCAAAGCCGTTATGCCATTGTTGTCTATAGCATCGACCTTGGCCCCGCCGTCTAGGAGCCGCTGTATAACATCGTCGTGGCCTCGAACTGAGGCGTACATCAAAGCCGTTATGCCATTCTTGTCTATAGCATCGACCTTGGCCCCGTCGTCTAGGAGCCGCTGTATAACAATTTCGTGGTCTCGAACTGAGGCACCCATTAAAGCCGTTATGCCATTGACATCTCTGGCATCAACCTTTGCGCCTCTTTCGAGTAGGTACTGAACAATGCTTTAATGTCCGTTTGCTGCAGAATACCACAAAGGTGATCTGCCGAGTTTATCTTTCCGGTTTACGATGGTAGGAAATGATGATGGCCTGTCTCTTAAGATCGCCTGGCGCTTCGGCACTCGAGCTAGGAGGGACTGGACTATCAAGCTGTACCCCTTCTCACTAGCCCATGACAAAGCGGTTCGCTCGTTAGAAGTGCCTGTCATATTGATACTTTTTCTACTCTCTTGGAGGATACGATTGACCACGTTGTTCAAACCAAAGTGGGACGCGATCAGTAATGAAGTGGGAAGTTCACGGGAAAATTCTGTTTCTTGCATTCGCTTTTCCCCGTACACTTTCAGCCAATGTGAGCAAGCTGGGGAATTTGTGTCGCAAAGCTGCAAGGCCAGACGTTCCAGGTCTATGTCATTTGTATAGTGCGCTTGTCGGTAATGGTCTGCCCAGCTGCATGCAGCATAATCTAGGAAGACAAAATCATACCTGTCTTCCAACTCCCGAGAGATTCTCGCCCCAACTGGTCTTTTGAAATCGGCGAGAAGCAGGTACCTAATACAAATCTCTGAAAGCAAACGGTGGGACTCCTTTAAGTCCAGGGAGTGTCGCCATTCTAAGGAGAAGGAGCGAACATCTGATGATCCGAGTGACGATTGAATCAGGAATTCTTTAGCTGTCTGGTGAAGAAGAAAGACTCGGGAATCTTGGATAACAACAAAAAGCCCACAGGCTTCTCGGATCATAATAAGTAACCGTTCCGGTGATAAGAGATCTCGCTCGAGGTCTTTATGGTATCGGTGACTATCTCCTTGGAAAGCAAGCACTGCGGCCATCTCTGTGAGATGTAGCGGTCTATCTGTTGCAACAACAATGTGTAGGATCTTTCTGGCCTTGACGGGGTGCTGACTCTTGCGAAGGATGTTGTCATATGCCTCCTCTACTGTGCGAGGCAAGTTGCGGATGCTGGCAATCAAATCACGGTTGTTGAGGAAGACGGCTTCTTCGACAACAGGAAATACAAGATGGACCCAAAGGTATGTTCGGTGATTGCCGGTGGCAAGCTCTGCCTGCAATATATTTTTCTCTTGTACGGAAAGCTGGAGCCTTGTGCATAGTTCCTCTATACGTTGGTTAATAGTGATGGCGATTTCCTGCGCAATCTTGTCTGTCTCTTCTTGGCTCTCCCCACTAAGGTGGATGGTAGGATGAGATTGTTTAAGATTCTGGAAGTGTCGCTGAATGCGAAGGTACGGGCGGCTGGTCACGAGTAACTTCAGTGTGGACATTCCCTTGCCTTTGCTATAATGCTGCGTCAAAGCATTAGCAAGATGCGTCTGGTCCATGCATTCGTCTAGGGCATCTATAATGCAGATTATTTCGCCATGATTTTGGTTTCTAGTCGCCCCCATGAGTATGTCCCAGAGCTTAGGGAAAGATGTGAAAAGCTGTTCTCCTTCTTCTCTGAAGTTTTCGAGGATTTCGTCCGAAAGCAGAACGGGCTTTTGGGTAAAGAGCTGGTGTAGGATACAGCAAAGAGCGCCTTCCAAGGTTCTCTGATCGTCGAAGTCGTCCTTAAAAAAGAAATAACATGTTGTTCTGGTAGCACTTGAAGGGAAAAGATCGTCTACCAGGTATCTCGCCAGAACGGACTTGCCACAACCCGGGTCTGCAGAGACCCAAAGGAGTGCCGAGGTCTCTTCTCGCCAATTTTGGAAGAGACGGTGGGCGGTGAACCATTCACAAGTGCCATCTGCTCGCTCCGGGTTCCTATTTTTGCGTTTCTCGTACGGTGAGGTGAAGAGTCGTTGGAGAAACTCGTTGCGCACTTTCGCTTTGTCCGTTTCGGTGAGATGGGAATCGGCAAGGTATCGGTTCGAATATGGGTAGTTATGAATGACCGAGTAGCTGTCCCCAACCTGAACCCTTGCATGGCCGTCGGCTCTGATAACTTCAGCGGAGTTCATTGTTCGATTTGTCATATACTCATCGGCAATCCTTGTCAAGATTGTCCGCTGATCGATCTTCTGTTGTTCGACACATTGTGGTGCGGGGAAGTCTCCCCGACGGTACGCTGTATGTCGTTTGGAGACCAATTAGAGGTGGCTCAGCCACCTCTCTACACCTTCTACACATGCCAGCCATGATCCCGTCTTTCGGTATCTTTCTCAGTTCTTCTCGGCTGCCAATTTATATCGTCGCATGGTGGAGATTTCCGGTACTACCGCTGGCGCCTGGAGCGTGGCCACTCTCTTCACACTGCGAGGACTGCTTCGGAAACGTGCAACTAGGTCGCTATTTCGGTCATGACAAGGACACCTCACAGTGCATCCGCCAGCCTGGTGAGCCTAACATTGCTGCCATAGGCAACCCCGTGCTGCCATGCAATGCCTGACTGTCCGATCAGCATTATGCTATGATAGCTGCTGTGCCAGACGGAACTGCAGTGCTGGCGTTTAGATTGAATAATTATTTTGCTCGCATAGCATTGAACTAGGCGACGAGTTTCGTATAGCATCGAACTATCGAACGAATGTCGTTAAAACAGAGTTTGGCTCGGTCTTCGCTACGGATCGTTTAGGCTTGCCAGCTATGTACTGTAGCTCTGGAAGGTATGAAATAATGGCGGACCACTAGGCCTGTCCACCAGGGCCATTTCGTTAGCTCCACCTCGAGTGTCCATGACTCAGGGTACATAATAATCAACTTAACAGTAGCAATTTGGTGGGGTCCCCACCCCGTTACTCTGCTGCACTTTGTTCTTCGACATGTCCCAAAGTCGTGAAAGCGTCGGCATGGCTCCCCGACTTCCAAAGTACTGCAGCATAAGCACGAGATCATATCTCCTCCATGATCTTTTGAGGGTCGACAGATGACGAAATAATCAAAGCAGTTGGCTGTAGTCTTCGCGCAGTCCGCAGAAGCACGATCGATGCAGCGCGATACGGAGCGACGACCCCGACCCTAAGATGACCCTGTAATGCAAATGGCACTCTGCCATTAGCTCGCAAAAGAGTCTGATATGGACCGGCGTGAAATGGTCGACTTTATCAGCGAGAATCTTGAAGGGGATGTATCTGTCACCAGTATCACTCAAGTCTTAGACAGGCATAAAATGACTCTCAAGGTAATACGTCGTGTGGCCCCGCAACAGAAGCCTGAGCCACGACATTTCTACCAGTATAGACTTAAGATGCTGGGCTGCCAACTAGAGTTTCCACAGGCTCTCATTTGTGACACCTAGCAAATGAGCACGCCGGACAAGCACCATCGGGAAGCGCTGGACTATACAGGTATCAGTACCGAGAACTACCACAGCTTTCATCCTATCTTCTCACCACGTTCCGGTGTGCCTTTCAGATCAATCTAGGCATTGCACTGAGCTGTGAGTAATCTAGAAGTTAGAGTGATGTATACTGCTATGCTAGACTACCTACCTCGTACAACTATCAGAAAGAAGCCGGCAAAGGGAAATGAAAACTCATGCAGGCCGATGATCGTCAGAATTGCTAGATATTGTCGATATATGGGCCCTTGGGATAGCTTTTTGTATAACTACCAATATGATATCACCTGCAACCTCTATTTGCCCTATACCCCTGCTATAACCTCAATCTCTACAAATCCCAATTCCCACTTTCCCCCATGGCCCGATAACAGATACCTAGCGTCATGTACCTAGCTGCAGTCAGCCGGCACCCACTTGCTGAATTGCTTGGCACTTGAACTACGGGTTTCACAGGATCTCCTTCGACTTGTCTGATCCACCTTTGTGCATTAGACATAGTGCATTAAAGATAGTCCATGCTAAAGCACAGAATTTTTATCAAGCATTAGCATCGACAGGCCGGCTGGCGAAATGGTATCGCGTCAGATTTCGGTTCACTGAAATCAAAAACTCTGAAGATTGCAGGTTCGAGCCCTGCGTCGGTCGATGAAAATATTTTTGTCATCCTGGTGATCTCTGTCTTTTTGTAACGTGCGCGTTTTCTCATTTTACTTTATGAATGGTGGTGGTACACTACTTGCGCTAGTCTACCTCAGGGAGGGATTGATGCTGAATGATACAAATATTCTTGGTCGACCACCCATTGTTTTTGATATATGATTGTTTCACCGGGATACTCAGACGCTTTGTGACTTTGTTTACAGTTTGTGTCGTCGATGTACAACTTGATGTTGACACACTCGGCCAGAAAGGCTGCCTGCTATTCAAATTTACCCCTTCAGAATCCTACTAGCTCACTTCTTGTGTCAGACTTTCCGCCAAGATTGTTGAGTTCCCAGTGTCTGTATGCCCTTCATTCTCAGATAAGTTGAAACTCCCCAGTCACGCCATCGAATTCCGTGAGGGATCCAGATATGCTTTTTGCATCACCGTAATACCGCAGTCTGTAAATGCCAGGCTCAGCCCACTGCTCAGTCTCCCAGGTGATAGTTACCTCGCTGGTGGCAAGGAGCTCGCTCGTGCGGCGCCAGCGGAACACAAGATGCCAATCACTGTCATCCCGGACTGGCTGCCATTGTTTCTCCGCAGTTGACAGATCCTCGCGAGTCAGTTCCTGACCCACTTCCAAATGTATTGAAGTGGGCTCTGATGAGGTTCGAACAGTGATGAGCTTCTCGACTGCTGCGTAGCTTCGCTCCAGCCTAAGGTTATTGCGAGGGTTCGCACCAACAAACACGGCTGAAACGGAGCTGCCACGATAAACGACCGGTTCTACATCGGTGGTAACATCACCAAACTTCTTGAACAAGGGTGGTCTGTCGTGAACGACACCAGGAACGAAACTGAGGCTCCGATTACTGTTGTCTGGAGGACTTGGGCCGGGAGATGGTAGTCCCGTTGACGTCGCACTCAAATATGGTACGAGGGAAAGTGTCACATTGATATAAGCCGCCAAGGTATGTGGTCCATACAAAGTACTGGCACCTTCATAACGCTGGATCCTGAACTGGTGATTAGCGATAGTCATGGAGCGCGATCGATGCATGATTATCCGAAGAAAGTACGACCACTTACTCATACTCCTCTTCCGTGGTGATGTAGTGTGTATAGCTATTTGCAGGCCCGCCCAGTACCACAACTGGTGGCGAGGACGAAACTTCGTTTGCGAATAGAGCGGTGATCTCCTTTCCGACTGCACTCTTCCAGCGTCGTCCAGCCATAGTTGTTGCTTCGCCAGCGCTGACAATGATGACTAGTTGACCAACACGGAAGACCTGTACGTCTACAACATTCGGTGTCCAAAGGTATGGCGAAGTCACCTCCCCAACATCCAGTAAAATCGGCTTGGCTCCGTGACAAGCTTTCTGCTGCTCGGAAGGTGCCTTGAGTAGCCCGCCGACGACTTGCCAGACAGGCGATGTAGTATTTGGACCTCCATCATGTTGCGTGAAGTCAAAAGCACCCGGCCCATCAGAGGTTCCGGCGGCGAAAGAGTAACCCAGGGCTGCTGGACAAGTCTGTACTTGTCTTCCGTCGGTGGTTTGGAACCGAAAGTTTGACATGTTGTGAAACTTATGGAAGCTTTTGACCCAACGACCACGGATTGGGGACAATTTGTTGGACTGGTCGTATAACATCCGAGCTGGCTCAAACTGTCGCTTTCCAATCTCATAGCAAGAGGAAGTTCCCTCATCATCTGCCCGGAAGAAGGGTCCTCGGGCGTGACATTTCTGGGACCTCCCATCACTGCAAGTGCTGTTCTCGAAGCTGCACATTTGTCCTGTACCGTCTTCACACCAAGCACCAAGAACATTTGGGCTTGTGTCACCAACGCTGGCCTGCGAGAAGCCAGCGACAAAACTGTCATCAGCACTTTCATCATCTTTGACACTTTCCTCAAACAGGTATGCGGCCACTCCCTTGTTGTCACCTGAGATTAATGTGTTGTTCCCAAGAACGGATGTACCGTGTGTAGGAAACCAAGAAAGCACGCCAAGACTTTTGCTGTCAGAAGCCCGTGTAAACTTGAGCAAGGTCAAGTCCTTCTCTACAGAGCCGTCATCCTCGCTGCTAATGTTATACTGCGCTCTTTCCTTTTCTGAATTATTAAGGTATGCGTATAAGCTTCGATTGATATTGGCGCCAAAGACTTTGGTTGTGCCAACACTCAAATGTCCCGGCGCAAGGCTTTCGTGGGCTCTGCGAATCGACAGGAGGGCGCCGTCAACAATGGCTTGGTAGCTCTGCTTGTTGAAACCTTTGCTTGTTATTTGCGGTAGAAGATAGTTCAGCCAGGCCCCCGGGCCAGAGTGCGAATGTGTGCCAGTCACGGCCAGGTTGTGGTGACCATAGTCAACATAATCATGGCCGAGTTCCTGTAAGCCGGATAAGATACCATATCGCACAGCAGTGTCGCCAGATTGAGTGTCAAGAACTAGATAAATAAATCGATCTGAAGGCTTGTCCGGGTCGCCAACAATAAATGCTCGAGAATAGAGCCGTTGTCGCAACCCCGTACCAATCTGATTTGGATCTGCATAGCCCATGAGGTTGATCTCTACACACGGTCCGGTGATGTCCGCTTTGCCAACGCCGAGCAAATATCGATCACCCGCAGTCTCATGAGCCCCTAAAACCCCTTGACTTCCTCCGTTCTCCCCTCCAGCATTACCGAAGACAGTGGTCCAGAGACCTAACTTGTGGTTCAGGCCTGTAGGCAGGAGCGCGACGAAAACCAGAACGGGAATTAAGAGGATCACAACCATCCAGGCCAGCGGTCTCCGCTTTGGCTCAGGAATGGCTTCCTGTCCCGAACGTTGCGGACGTTGATACCATATTCCCCGTAATGCGTCCTTGACTGAATGGGAAGGGCCAGCCTTCTCGGCGAGCTTATTGTGTCGCATTGCTGCGACTAAATCTGATCGGGTTTGATCTATTCAGGTATTTCATTCAGTCAAGATTCAGTGGTGGCCTGGCCGGAAAGATAACATGGGATGGTATGCGTGAGCAACCGGCAGGCTCGGAAACTAGTGTCGATATTGCAGTATGCAGCAGTCCGGACAAGACGAGTCCGAAAGATGTCGAGAACTCAGCTCGTTATTTCCACGAGCCAGTTCATACTTGGTTGAGTAGGTAGGCTTCAGAAGGTAAGTGCAACATGTGCCTGGTACCTTCAATATGTTTTCACGGACATGTGAGACGAATAGCCAAACACCCGACCCCGTTCGGCACATCCTCCAACTGATGTCACCAAACAAGTCCATCATAGGGCGTTCATGCTTGCGACTTTCGGGTCTCTCGGCGCTAACAGGCACACTCCCATGCAGCTTAAGCCTTAAGCTTTAGCAGGGGTAGCTGATTAGCAGCTTAGCCCATTGCCGGCGGCTGAGGCTTGGCCGATAACGATAAAGCCCAGAGTTCGGGAAATTCGACATCGTTGCGACGGCGCGGTTCGTGAGCATTCAATCGTGACAATTCATCGACAAAACCAGGCAGCCTAACGCGATACCTCGCCAACCCCGAAAGCGTCCCTGTACACTCAATCCAAGACCAGTCCACAGCAACACATCTGTATTTTGCCAGTCACATTTATGAGCAACATGTCGGCTCTAACAACAGTACACGAATCCCTGCCCTGTAAGTCATCCTCTCCAAATCCTGGGTAACTACAACTGACATTTGCCCTCTAGACATAGACGCGGAGCCCACGCCAGCCCAGCGCGCAGCAGCCGAAGCCCTCATCGCAGCCGAACTGTCCAGCTCCGAAGCCTCGCCGTCGGACTCCCTGCTACCACCGCTGCGGGAACCCAACTTCTCCCCCCTGATCGCCCAGGAGCTCGATCGCGTGGCGGCCCAGCAACCCCTCCGCGGCATAGACCTCAAGCGCTACGAGGAGCAGGAGGAGCTGTCGGACGCGGCGTCGCTAGAGGACCGCCAGAACGCCCTCGCCCTGGCCTACACGACCAACACGTACCTCACGTCGCGGCACACGCACCTGTCGCTCCTGGACAGCTTCGGAAAGAACGCCTGGCTCGTGGGCAACTGGCAGACGGAAGCCGAGCTCGCAGCCCTGGAGCGGGACCTGGCCGAGGCGAAGCGGCAGATCGAGATCGTGAACAACGGCAGGCGGCGCGTGCAAGAAGAGGTTGGCGGGGAGATGAGGGGGCTCGAGGAGACGTGGAAGAGGGGTGTGGGCAGGGTTCTGGAGACGGAGATTGCTGTAGAGGGGCTGAGACAGCAGGTGCTGGAACGAAGACGAGCAGGCGGCGGAGAGTGAGCAGACCAGAAGGACGTTTTTGACGCAGCGTGGCGTCCATGAAGAACACGACTGTCTATCGTGGAAAGCAGACTCGACCTGCGTAAGTCCTCGTGGCAGTTCGAGCGGGGACATTATGAGGTGAACAAACCTATGTCAAGGCCGCACCTGCACTTTTGGTCCTATTGACAAGAACCCTCTTGTGCCTCCGACAGCCCACGGATTGCACACTGCGAAATTGTGGTCCCTAAAGTTGGGAGATGGCTTAGAAAATATGGAAATCCGAGCCATTTGGGGCAGCACTTCAAGGCTGTTGCCCCTGTCGCTGCAATGGCGTTTCGCTGTTTCGAGAGTATCACATTTGAATCTCTGATAGACCCAACTTTGGTTCGAGATGTCCCATCTGATATCGGAAACGACAATATAATTATATTGGCCACGCAGATGTCACCCAGATCTGCGTCAATTTTTTCTTATTTTACATAGAGCTTATAAAGGACGCGAGGAATAGAACCTTGAAAAGTATCATCAGCATTTACAGTATGTTATATAACCCCATAACAGAGACTGGACAGCGTTGGTCTATATCGAAAAAAGAATGCATTTCAACTCATTGCACATGGGGAAGGAAACGAGCTCTAAGAGAATTGGCTGCTTTGGCCATGAAGATTTCGACACGATGGCAGTAGTTGAAACAATCTATGGAATCATGTGATGCCATGCGCATACTCAAATACTCAACCCGGGTGTTTTCCTAAGTAAATATCTGCGATTCTAGACTTAGTTATGCAAGAGACACAATAGTAGAAGAAGGTTGCGTCAAGTCGGACGTGCTATTGTATACTGAAGTCCAGGGAGAATTGAGAACAAATCCCTGGTAGAAAGGCAATGAATTGATTCACGCCAAGACAGCAGAAACCAAAATGTTGTTGTCTCAGGAAACTACCTGGCACCCTTGGGAATTTAAACAAAACCAGGAGTCGCCCACGGGTGTATGAATAATCCTAATCTATCTCTAAGCCATAACGAATAGGGCTTTTATTGTTCTAACGCCGGGGACTGGGCAGAAACTTCTGGATTTAACTAACAGTATAGAGCTCCCTATCATTTTATCCTTGGATAAGCACTAAGAAACATGGCGATCAGGATGAACGAGGCACTACATAGATCGGAAAGGAGTTGGACACAAACGACACATCTGGACATCTCAGCCATCAACTCTCTCAACACAACTTCCATAATATCAAATAGGGGGGAATCTACACAACGTGGGTTTGTGCTTTAAAAACGAAGGTTGTCCATTTAACGCCATTCTTGACCAAGCTCATAAGCTGAGCTTCCTCTCCAAAACAAGACTTATCTCAAAGTCGATGATATGTAGGCGCCGTACTCATCATTCCATGCTCGGTTTAAGGATATCACTGTCCCCTGTATCTCCTGTCTCGCTGTCCCTCTGCCTCCCGACCAATTCAGGAGTGTAGGGGGTCGACATCCTCAACGCCCGACTTCACGTACTCGGTTCTCCTCATGATTCCTTCGACAGGTCCTAGTAGTCTTGCAAATGCGCTCTTGCCGAGGGTTGCTACCTTGACATTGGTAGCACTCACGACGCTTGCAGCTCGTGGCGCGTCATTAAGCAATGCCAGCTCACCGAAGAAATCGCCCTTGTTGTAGTGCTTCACAAGCTGCTGTGGCTGACCATCTTTCTCTAGATACGCGTCACATTGTCCATCCTCCAGCAGGAAGAACGCTGTACCGGCGTCACCTTGCTTGATGATGGTGTGTCCAGGCGGGAACTTCTTCGTCTCGAGGGCGTCGGCAATCTTGGAGCGTTCATATGGCGTCAATGTATGGAGGAGGGGCACCTCTTCAAGGAAGTTCTCGTACATCCTTCTGCGTGCAAATGTAGACTCGAGTAGGATGCGGCGGAACGTCACACGATCAAGAGCCCATAGAGTACAGCCAGGCTCCGCGGAGATGACAGTGGCGGCACGAGGTGCGTTGTACATCAGGGCCAACTCTCCAAATGAGCCACCAGATTTGATTGTGGAAACCAGCTTGCCTAGCCCATCAGGCCCCGGGGCGCCATTTTCATGGATATAAACATCAAAAGTGCCCTTTTCTACTACATAGAAATAGTCACCTGAGTCACCTTGAGTAATAACCTTCGGCCGTAGTCAGCGTGGAATTCGAACGATCTCAAGTGTTGCACATACCTTGATATCCTTAGCGGGGATGGATTTCTCAGCCAGAGCGCCAAGAATCTGGGAACTCTGTTCGTCGTCTAGGTGACTGAACAAGAAGTTTCCTTCAATGGCCGTCCTCAGTCGGTCCACCTGGTCTTGTGTCTTGGGTATATATGGGGGTGACCAGTTGTCGTTGGCATCGGCGGTAGGCTTGAGGGACTCGGCAGAGACAGAGGTACGTCGGCCAAAATTGTACTGGGGCGGATATAGGTCCGCGTTTGGTGGGCTTCGTAGCGACGAAGGCGGTCCATCTGTCGGGCCATCGCCTCCTCCAAAGGGCCCGTGGAAGGGGCTTGCCGACGGATTTGAAAAAACAAACGACGGGGTAGTCGGCGAAGTAATATTGTCGTTTTCGTCCTCCTCGACTACATTGAGAAGACCTGCGCCAGAACTCTCGTTCTTCTTCCCATCACCTCCAAATGGGTTCGAGTTGGCCGCGAAGGGGCTAGAGAAGGCTGACATGTTGCGAGGCTTGGAGACGGATACTGGCCTTGATGTATGGAGTATGCGTTCAGCAGCGAGTCGTTGCGCGAAGTAGTTGGAACAGAATTGGAGGATGTCGATGGGCTTCTCAACACGTAACTGGGTCTCTAAGGCCTGTCTTTCAACCTGGTAAGTACTGGGAAGAGCCATGATTAAAAAAGGGTAAAAACGAAGGGCTAAGCAGTGTTGCTTGATCTGGAGCTTGGGTGAAGGAGAAGAAAAGAGAGCAGCCTCGATACCAGAGCAAACAGGACGAGCAGCGGACAATGTCCGTAACATAAATAATAGCAGAGGGCAGAAAAGGGTTCAAATAATAATCGACGTTACTGACGTATTGGGTTCTGGGCAAGGATAATGATAGGGGCCCCCGGTTGGCGGGTACTCGTTTTATGACCCAGAAATTGGATCGTGGCTAGTCTCTTCGCGTTTTGCCCCAGCTCAAACGGCAACGGCGGTCTTGTGGACAGTCCAATCGATGTGACGGGAAGTCGCGCTAGGTGGCGATGATTGAGTGAGAGGAGCTTGGGACAAGGCTGCCTCGCGGAAGTGAGATTGGAGTTGAGTTTTGAGAAGTGAATCGATGGGTGGGTCAATGAATGCTTGCAGCATGCGTCTGAGCAGCAATCACAGTGGACCACGGGGAATAAAGGAAAGTCGGAAGGAAGACTTCTAGATGAATGCAGAGCAAAACAACGTCTCGTACGAATGGGCAGTGAGAGGGTTTGAGATGGTGTTTTGTCGACAAGAGACAGATGCCAAAACAAGTTGCCAGATCATGAACACGACGACATTGGGGTGACTCGCAACTGCAGAAAAGGCACCGGCAGATACCCCAGTCTTCTGGTCTGGGTCTGAGTCCGGGTCTTTGGAGATAAAGGTGCGTCACTTACTCCGCAAATGGTCAAATATGGGCGACCTTGAGAGGTGATGGAAGCTGTAGGCTGGAAACAGCTACGGTATGGTATGCTTGAAGCTGGCGGGGAGTCGTTGGCGAGATGATTCGTCTAGTGCTACAGTAGATGGTTCGGGCTGCAGCAGCACAAACACAAAGGGGAAGGCAGCGCTGAGGGGTCCTGTCGAGGGGTAGGAGGTAGGGGCAAAGAGATGGCGGAATCAGGATCCTTGATGCGAAGAAGAAAAGAGGGTCGCCTCGGATGTCAGGTACTGCAGGTAAATCGTACTGTAGGGCTTTGCTTGTTAGTGACAGTTGAGCTTGTGGTATGTATAGCAGCTTTACGGACAATGGCTATGATGATCACTCTCGAAGAACTCTGGAGATACGTGATAGGAATGAGGTCTCCGCGACTTTATTACTACTGGTACTCAACCTTTTAGCTGTCGTCCTTTGTGGCAACAATGACGACCCAAAGCCCAGCTGGAGGAGAACAAGAGGACTCTAATCCGTAGGGGATGCTCTAAAAGGTGGGGTAAGCGCCTGGCCCCAGCAAGTTGAATGGTCAAAGCTTCCTTCTGGTCGCCTTCTGGAATTCTTCGAAGTCTTTTTCCCAACTTTAGCGCCACGGCAATGCAGAACACCACATCCTTGAGATGTGACACAAAGAGACCAGTATTTGTGCCACAAGACCCTAGACTGAAGGATATTGAACAATTTCATTCCCAGATGATTCCGACACTATTGACTCGGCATCATTGCCGGTAATCCGTGATTATTCGATAGCCCCTTGGCACTGGATGTCCGTCATGTCGGGGCTGCCGGGCAGAAGAGGCACCTGCAGATCACTTGCTGTTTCACCCAAGCTTTGACCCAAGCTCCTGCAAGTGCGACCTGTCTCGCCGCTAGCGTCATAGAGCATGAGCCCCAATCGTCCTGAGCTCTGTGCCCCAAACTTCTCGGATTGGGCTTGTCGACACGCATCTCACAATATTGTCGATTCTTGCTGAAATTGGTTCGTAGATATATACTTTCCTAACCATGCCTCCTAATACCGTCACACCTAGAAGTCCGGAATTATTCCTTGGCTCCTCTATGTAATGGGCGCCTTTGGTGATTGCACTTCTGGCATGCTGCATCGTCCTGGGCCGACGTAACTGTTTCATTGCCCGTGTGCTCGTGTGCGCAAAGTCAGGCCGTGCAATTAACGAGGTCCTACGTTCTCGGCAACGGATAAGAACAAGATCAAACCAACGTGCCTGCCCAAGTATGAGAGGTTGGTCAAACGCTCTCCATAAATGCATCAATTTCGTTAGAGAGATAAAAGAAAAGAAGAATCAGATTCGAAGGTGGTGCATCACCTCAAGCTGTGTATATCTACCCCTCCAATCGCCCGACATATAGCGGTTCTGCAGACGCTGGATTGACAAGAATGTATGCAGAGGATCCTGCACATCAGTCTATGCCTGGCATATCTTGTCATGTGATTTGGGTTCCTCTCTTGCTGATAGTCATGTCTGCCTAACGTCCAGGCGCCTCATTGGTCGTTTAGGGACAGTGAGGCTTTGTAGGCATGCACCAAGTATCACAGAAGCGTATAGATTTCGCACTTTTGCATTGTACAAAATATATAGCTGGAATGCAAGGGCTTTATAAAGGCGCCGCGAACTCCTAGAGGCCTATTCGAGATAAATAAACAAATAAAACACCTTGATTTCGGCAATACACAACGAACTCTATTTTGAAAAGCAAAAAATTGGATCTTGTACCATCAATCTTAACAACAATGACTCATTGAGTTGATGTAAGAGGATATCAGAAAATATGTAGCAGTTATAACCAGTTTTGAAGTTGGTCATGTTGGTAAGGACTTGTATCAGACCATACTGAGGAACGTTCATTAAGTTTCATTCACAGAGAGGTATAGGTGCTTACCACAGACCTGATGGTTCCCGTGGATTTATTTCAGACTCTCCTTTGGTAGTACTAGGCTCCAATGCCAGTTCTTTATACCTGATCTCCCTTTCATTGATGTTGGCATAAGGACTGAGCCGAACATAGACAACAACGGGGTTAAGCACCCTGCTAACATTGTAAACATGGGCGATTCAGATTCCCTCCATAGCAGATGCCCAACTTGAAGATTTACAGGTTATTTTCGGGCCAATTTCTTCAGAAAATTGATACATGGATTAAATGGACAGAAGATGCATGAGATATGGACTTTACGTCCCAATGCCTAAGTGAAGGACAGCAAAGGCTACCTGAGATATGGAGGCTATTTCAGTAAACGTTCGAGGAGCCAATTCAGTCGTGCCTCGCTTACTGCCGCCACCGGCTCGTGTCTAAATTCAATGTTCCAAAGATGACTATCACTTCAGAAGTTATCAAAATCCAGTCGTGCAGTACTCACAAGAAAAAGATATCGAATACAATGTCGAGTCCACGGATTGCTGTGGAGTACAACATGCTACATCAAAATCTAATCTGAAATCATCCCTAACTCGACGTAAACATACATGATCCAAGTTCTGAACATGTCATCTACTTGGTGCAGTGGCAACTGTTAGCGTTTACCGGCAGCCTTCCTTTCGTTATACGGTATCGTGTGACATATAACGGTCTCTCCGGAGGCCTTGCTACGGAGTCATATGCGATTGCTGCCGTGGGGAACGGCTATCACACGTCCTTGATTCATCCACAGCAGGTCGTGACAATGTTTGGCCAAAATACCTACTTACTCAAGTCGTTTTGATTTTAATCAGGATGTTGAATGCAACAGATAACAGCAAACCACACCGTCTAAACAATTGATGTCAATTGATCCGATGAGTATCCCAACTACATGGCAAGTCGAATCAATTTGACACGGCCGGCAGCTGTGCAGGAAACCAGTGCTGTTTGCCAAACCTTGTACCATTGCATGGTTGCATATCTAATTATAGTACAAAAATTTTCCTCCTGTGAACCTATGCACAGCATCATGGTCCCGGTTACCAGGCTCCTGAATAGACCCCTAAAACAGTCCCCTGTATCTTATAGGCCAATTTCGGGTGGTCCGATGTAGCATCAAGCGAAATGTTGTCTCCACATCAATCAGTCATTTACGTAAAGAACGCTGTCGCAGTAGGATCCACTTGGAAATGAAGCTATCGTCACCCACCACGCTGCAGCGTTTCATTCCCATCAATCATTTTTCAGTCTCATGAGAGAAGAAACAGACCACTAATTCCATTGACGAGTGCTAAAAAGTTTTGTTATATCTAGCAGTATTAGACCCGAATATTCAACAACAACCACTGGGCCTTATTAGCTCAGCGGTAGAGCGCCTCACTAGTAATGAGGAGGTAACTGGTTCGACTCCAGTATGAGGCATCAATAAATACCATGTGTTGACGCATATCTCGATCAATCTTTTGCTACAGGCTCATTTACGATTTATTTTTTTTCGATAATATTTTTTCTTCTTCTTTTTGCAAGATCGTGTCCTCCACGACATTGCAGTATGTGATTCATATGGATGAAAATTGTGTCTACCGATAGCTGCGTGTCATGATCTTGTTTAAGAGACCCTACATGCGTCCGCCTTCAGCCTTCACCCTCCGCCTCTCAATGCGACCATCTGACACGAATTACATGCGGTATGTAGCCTCCCTTTTGTGGCCTCCCGAATGTTCTTGGTTCTGGTTGGCGAATCTTTTACTAAACCAGTGCTCCTGCAGATCAGACATTATCCTTGGCTTTTTTCGAGATGGATTGGACCAATCCGCCTAGAACACAGACACAGATGTTCCAATGACGCATGGGAGCTTTCTCGCTGTATGTTCGGTTGAATGCGGCTCTTGACTTTCGCCATCGATAAGTACAACAAGCTTTCGTCGCAAATTGTGCGGTTATTTCAGGACGAACTACATCTTCTCGAAGCTATTCTTATTGCTCCGTGATAGTAAGTCTCATCTATAACTCATTCAAACTTTCGGTCTGATCATTGGGTTTTGCCAATGGCTGTGCTAACTTTAACAGACCTGATACTTCATTTGTTAACGCTGGCTTAAACATATTTAGAAGGGGACTTTAGTAATGATTTCTGCGTTCAGATTTGTACTGTACGACCTCTTCTTACTGCGTAAGAGTGGCAGGGGAGGGGGGTGCTGCCCAGACCTAGAGAGAATGGAGGAAATACACCCATATTCCCCCAAAAAGCGTTTGGATGCCTTGCTGGACCGTCCCTACTAAACGTCCTTTGAGTATCCTTACTAAAACGTCTTTACTAGAGGTCCTTTATCCAGGATGCCCTGCTGGGATATTGCACTGCAATATGGTGGCCGTACTCTATTTCTGTGTGTTGCTCGGAGAAAGTATGGAGATAGCACAGGAGTACCGCGTGCTACATGTAAGTATAGTATTTGTAAATATATGTGTAGAAACGTAGCACAGGCGATCCAGGGGATTAATTCCTCGTGAAAAGCACCTGTGTTTGTATTCCACTTTTAACAACCGCTACTCGAGGCACTTTGTATTGGTTGAGCTGGGAGCTAACTTCGGATATCGTTGGGAAAACAGCTTCGCGTTGCAGACAGAGGTAATAGAGCTCGGTGGATTCGCAATGGACGACACTTTTACGAACAAAAGTTCCTCCAAAGGGGTGGCTTGCCATGACCCAAGCTCTGGAGACTGACACCTACAATAATCCTAATAGTGTCTTCCAGAGTCCGGTAAGTGCCCACTACGGTGTCTACGGATGTGTATAATAGCACTGAGCTGGGACAGTATGGTCCATATCATACTGGAATATGCCCTATGTTCGACTTGGATTCCAATATTGCACCAACATCCACCGTAGCCCCACACCCGCTTCATCTATGAAAAGCACAACTGTACATGCAAGATGCCAGCCCAGTTTTGAGTCGGCAAATTCTTTTGGATACAGACCGCGCCATAGGGTGGTCAACGGTGAGTAAATATCCGACCTTGTATTTGAACATGTGAGCTGACCTTTGGTAGTGGTATTACAGACCTGGACCTTTCAGGTCGTTGCTATGCTCCAACCCAAAATTCACTTCCCATTGAGTTAAGCATCGATAGTAGCGGCGTTCTTAGGAGATCGTTTGTAGGGGAGCATAATATTTACGGAGAGATACAACATGTTGTGTAGCCAGGCTTAGTCAAGCAACTATATACGATTTCGGTACCTGGGGGTAAAGCGTCGAATATGGCAATTGCGAAATTTTAAATCAGCTTCAGAATTGACCGCAGTACATGGAGAAACCCGTTGTTGCACCTTGTAGCGATAGTTTGATTATAGTGGCGTCAACGCGGGATGCAGTACAGCCCGCCGCAGTTTGGCAGTAAGTCCTCTTGTGCATGAAACGAGCGTACTGTAAGCCGACTTGTTTGCCAGAAAATCACTGACCATGCCTCCCAAGTTTAGGGGAAAGTCGAGTGGTGGAATCGGTTTTTCGTTTACTTGCCCAAGACCCGATTGTCTTTATAGTACAGCATCCCAGAGAAATCTGCAACGCCACCTCAGATGCAGAAAACACCAAGACGGGGTTTTTTTTTGGTAGTTAACGAAACCGTCAAATGCTGTACTATCGATTGCAAATATGTATTTAATAGGGGTTTCGCGAATAGACAATCTCTTACGCCATACAAGGAAAGTTCATGAGTATGAATTGCGAAGAATGCAGCGAGGCCGCATCAGGAATAGAGGCAAACCCCCATCTGGGATATCTCCCCTTACTCTGTTCTCTCAACACACCCGGCATCATTGGTTGCTAACTCAGAGGTACTGTCAGTGTCTACTAAAAGTAAGTTTTGCCAGAGAACAATGAATCTGATGCTCTTTTAAGGCTTTGGGCCTGACGCCTATGCGTTTTTAGTGATATGAATGATATGCACCGAAACCAATCTGTTGGAGGTTTGGTGGCAGGAATATCAAATTGATTGGTCATATATAGGGGTGCCATGCCATGACATTATCATGGCGAAATACTCGTTGGCATAGCCAATAAGGCGCTAAAGCCAGCTTGCCAAAATTAAAAGTCGACAAGAAAACTCATTTCAACCAGCCGAATAAATACCTGTATCTGTTGCATTGCCTGAAATAATGTGCTTCTAGCGCGTCGTTGGTGACTGCGATACTAGACTTTGCCAACATGCGTATGACAGACCATACATCGTTAAATAAACACCGCGGCTGGCGCTTCGAATATGCCAATGAGCATATAAATATGCGGCCTGGATTTAACCACAGTATTTCACTCGAACGTGATTGGATAAGAAGTTTATTAACTTACTGTTTAAATTCACTATATTAAACTACTAAACACTGCAGGTGGCACAGCCATACGAGAAAATTGCAACATGTATATCTAGTTGGACGGCCGCCTAGAGAAAGTCACGGTCCCAGCTTGCGATACGGAATAGCTAGATATCCTATCTGATTGATACGAGACTCTTAGGCCAGAGAAGAAGAGGTCGTGGCGAAAAACCATCGCTGGATTGTCTTCATTCTAGTTCGCCCTCAGTCAGGAGAACCCGAGATGGCATTTATCTCTAGGCATGTTTCAGACCCGAAGATCCTGGCAATAACATCACCCAATCACCTTTTTGGTAGTAAAATCGATGGCTCACCATACGATGGTCCTATTGAAAGAGAAAGAATGCCGGGGAAAAGATGATGCTTGCTCAAAGTTCCTCGGAAGAACGAGAACAAATTGCACCGACGAGGAAGCCCGGGAACTGCAAGGGGTCCGCACCGGAGAAGCTCTAATAAAAGCAAAGCAGAGTGTGCCATGGAGAAAGAGATGGCAGACTCTTTTGTAGGACTCAATCTACCTCCTCTGCCGCCGGCGTCGCCTTGCTATAATCTTGAAATCACAATGGCCGAGCGTGGTTCCTTCGGGACAGACGAATCTCTACGTCCATTCACGACTGCATGCAGCAACGGGGAACTTGAAACCGTCCAGATACATGTCGGTCAAGAAAATCCCAGCCTAGATACCCTCAATACTGGACCTGGCTTCGCGGCACAGCAAAGACATCTGCCGGTCGTGGGATAGCTGCTGCAAGAGGGAGCAACACTGCACAGCCGCGTTTTCGAGATGGCGATAAATTTTCAGTCACTCAAGATGCTTAAGCTCTGCGCCCACGTTGGCTATCACCCAAACCAATACATCTAGAACTTCAACTACAGCAGTGGGGGTGGCTCTTCCTGTGTGCTGTGCTGACGCAATCATTGCAAAGTTTCCTGCTTGAGAATGGCGCAGATCCCAACTTGGGGATATTTGATCACCGAGTTGAGGCGGCATGGTTTGGGGACTTACACTCCTTGATAGAGATACCTACCAAATGATGGGGGTGAAGACCCCAGGACCTACGTCTCATTGCGTTATTCTTTCACTCACATTGTATAGAGTGATCTCGAAATAATTAGGAACCAGTAAGGACATCAAATGAAAACTGGTGGTATATTGTGCTATTACGATTGTGTCAGAGGACAGTCCGCATTTACGTGGTTTCTTTATTTTTCAGCAGATAGTATTACTGTATTCCAAAGACAAGCCCAGAAAGGATAGTTGTGTTAGGTCATCAAACCCTGATCTCTATGCAATGCAAGTTGATTAGCTACGGCTTATTATGGATATCTCTACTATATGATCAGCCTGTTGAAGGTACCGTGGTGCCCCTTTTTTTACTTCGTACTCCTCTACGCCAATGGAAAACATATCTATACTGAACGCCGTCAACCAGATGAGGCTCTTGCGTCCTCCTTGAGCCTTTGCTCCTCTTCCAGCATCTCCCTCTGTCTGGCCGCAGCTTCGATACTGGCTTTGACCCCCTTCTTACGCTGACGTTCCTCGTATAGATCTCTGCTCTTCATGATACGCTGCACGATAGTACCGGCATTGACTTCCTCGAAGGCATGGCTCGACACTTCTTGGAAGATGCCCATCTCCTTTGGCGCGGTGTAAGGATCATACGATAATGGCATGAATGAAGTAGGGCCGTGGTAGACAGCATCGGGAGTTCCCCATGGCAGACCTGTCAGATATGCCTTGGTTGGAGAGAAAGGAGCACCGAATACGACGGCGTTGACATGCTTCAAGGCGTTAGTATGGTCCGATCCTTGACAGTGATGTTCAACTTACTCGGCATTGCAGGACGCAGAGCCCACGCTCGAAGATGTTCATGATCGGATAATTGACACCCTTCCAGTGGTTGATAACCTCATCGTCGTGCACACCAACGACAACGAACACGGGGCCATAGTCGCCACCTTTACCCTTGCGTTCCTGGACGGCCTGTTCATCATACCAGCCATCCTTCCGCGCCAGTTCCTCCTCCTTCTCGACGACCAGCCGCAGGAATTCGATGTGACCACTAGAAAACAAGTCGAAACCGCCGTCGACGTAGACGACTCTCTGGCCGAGCCTCGGGCCCGAGCCCTTCAAGTGGGCATGAAAAGAGCCCTTCTCCTCCTCGGTAGCTTGTGTCTTGGCAGCATGCGAAGCGGACCAAAACCAGACATCGGCGCCGGGCATCTTGCCACTCTCATCGGTGGCATACTGCGCGATGCGCTCAGACATGGCCCCGCCCACCGCCTTTCTCTCCGCCTCGGTGCCATGGCCCTCCTCGCCCGCCAAGGTCTTCTCCAGCGACTTGATGAAATGCGTCCTCGTGCACAGCAGCATTCGCCCCACGAGGTCAGTCGTCGAGATGCTGGGCGTCCTTTTCACAACCTTGAACCTCCCCGCGGCCTTGACAAAGCGATAGCAGTCCTCCCCACTGCTGTCGCTCGTGATGTCGTCGCCGTGCACGACGTACTTGCAGCCAAAATGGCTGATGAAGTCCAGCTGTGTGACGTAGGGGGCATGCGCCACGGACTTGGTGACCCAGCGGCACGCATCTACAGCAGCCAGTCTTTTTTACACGGGATAAGTCAGCACTTGAGCTGTTCTCGCAGATTCGTAGAGGGAGAGAGAAAAGAAAACCTGTACCGTTCTTGTAGTGTCATGACTGTCGGGCCCTTGTTCTCCAGGATGGACTCGTCCGAGTGCACGCCGACGTAGAGCTCGGTTCCTAGCTGCCGTGCTTGCAGCATGGCGCCGGCGTGGCCATGGTGGAAGAAGTCCCAGCACCCGTCAACCCAAATCCGGTCCTCGAGGATCTCGGGGGCAGGTGGGCCGGAAAGCACCTCTTCTTCTGACGACATGTTTGCTTTAAAATCTGACAAGTCTAAATCTAACAAACTCAATAAGTCGAAGGAAGTTGAGCCTGCCAGTTGTGCCAAGTTCGTAGGTTCATGGTCCAGGAGTCGTTGGCCGATTAATTAGGGGTATGCTTGGCCAGTGCGATGCTGTAGTTGACGCACTGTATTTTAGGCCTGGTGGCCACGTCGCGCGCACCGTCTGATAGTAGGCGCATACTGTCCAGGACCCCTCAGTGGGGCAGCGTTTCTCAATCTGGACGGGAGACGAGAGCAAGCTACTGCCCCACCATCTCCAACTCCAGTAACCTAGGGCCGGCGTCATACGACGGCGTACGTGGACAGCAAGTAACCATGGATCGCGAACATATATCAGAGCTCCCTTCCCACTTGGCTGATATTGTTGTCCCGCTCTCCCATTCCAATTAAACTCCCTGTGACAGCGCCGGAAGAACATGTCGCCAGCAATCGGAGAGTCCGGGCCCTACGGCGGGCTCACACCCGAGCAAACCGACGCCTTCTGGCGAGACGGCTACCTCATCATCCCCAGAGCGCTGCCGCCGACGACCACCCAAGCCCTCCTCGACGAGACGCACTCCATGCTCGAGTCCTTCGACCTGACCGACCACCCCTTGACCAAGTTCAGCACGGGCGAGAAGTCCGACCACGTCGGCGACTCGTACTTCCTCGAGTCGGGCGACAAGGTCCGCTTCTTCTTCGAGGAGGACGCCTTCTCCGCCTCCGGGGAGCTGACGAAGCCGAAGGCCCGCGCCATCAACAAGATCGGCCACTACCTGCACGGGCTCAGCGCCCCCTTCGCGTCGCTGCTCGACCCGGCGCTGAACCCGGACCTGCTGGGCGCGGGCACCACGGGCGGCTCCGTGGCCGCCGGCCGCAAGGAGTCGCACCCGGGGGCCGTCGCGCGCGCCCTCGGCTTCCGTGACCCCCGCGTTCTGCAGAGCATGGTCATCTGCAAGCAGCCCGAGATCGGCGGCGCCGTCCCCCCGCACCAGGACAGCACCTTCCTCTACACCGACCCCCCCTCCGCCGTGGGCTTCTGGTACGCCCTCGAGGACGCCACGGCTGAGAACGGCTGCCTGAGCTTCCTCCCCGGGTCGCACCGCTGGGCTCCCGTGAGGCAGCGGTTTGTGAGGGCGGGCGAGGGCAAGGGGACGACGTTTATCGACAATGACGGGCCGAGGTTTCCGGACGACAAGGAGTTTGGGGAGAATCTGAAAGGCGAGGGGGTCGACGAGGATGGGGAGTACAAGCTGGGCGAGGTCAAGGCTGGGGACCTGGTGCTGATCCACGGCAATCTGCTGCATAAGAGCGAGAAGAACCTCAGCCAGAAGGGCAGGATCATTTACACATTCCACGTGATTGAGGGCGAGGGCCACAAGTACGATGAGAGGAATTGGCTGCAACCTCCTGCAGATGGTTTTACAAAGTTGTACCGAGATGCAGATTGGTAATAATGTCCAGAAGCCAAACTTGTTATGAGACTATGAGAATATGAACAAAAGGTTAAGCGGAGCCGCCTATAGGGAGGTTAGGCGTTCCGAAACCGATCAACGTGCTGACCAGAAACAACATGAATCGCTTGACGACTATCACGTTATTACTTTATCAAACTTGTCACATGACTTGCTGCTCATGTCAGACCAGTCCTGCAAATCTTGAATAAGGCCATAACGGTCAGTTTTGGTGCGGGTGTGGCGCCTGCCTCCCTGTAATTAACTGCACGTTACATACTTGGTTCATATCGATACACTATACACTGATGCTCGAACTATATGCTACTTACCGTATTCGATAAGAACATGTAACCTCGGAAGCTACTAGCTCTTACCAAGTACGCCATTATCAGTTGGAAAGTTAGCGGTACGATGGGGGGGGGGGGTTCAGGATGGGCTATCACAGTCACACTAATGGGTGATAGAATCACAGCTTGTCCATATCAATGCCATTCAAGTTGATCCATGAACCAGTACAACTTAAACCCCATTGGGCCCGAGTGCTGTATCCACGCATTACTGAAAGTTAAGCTACAGCGGTCCACCCCAGTTCATCAAAACAGAGTCACAATGTTATTCCCAGTTGAACATTGTCGGAGACAGACCTGCTGGTATCGATGTGCACATTATTACAGAAGGGTGAAATATCCACGAGAATTTAGAGAGTAGTATACAGTCCATCAAAAACTGCAAGGATTAACGGGCAGCTTTCAGATTTCTTTCGGCGTCCCCGTTTGGCTGTTGTCTTGATCTTTCCGTTTTTCTCGGCACCCGTAGGTACAATAGTATGGTGCAAGATCTAGCCTAAAACCGTGAGGACACCATTCCGCGTCCGTCCGTAGGGGTGGGGGAGTGGCTACAGTATGGATTATGAGATTTCCCCTGCGGCTGGCCCGCTGAGAGGCTGGCTGCTGCATAGTCGGTCGCTGATCGGATCGTTGCCAAAACGTCGGTTGCGAATCGGTCGGTTCCTACTTAAGGCCGTTATACGCAGGAATTCCTTGACCATGCCCCTAGCGTTGGTACGGGTGAAAGCCGCGGTTGGCTCCTCGTCCACCGCCACGGTAATTGGCGCCAGGTCTGCCAGCATTTTTGGGGCCTGTCGGGGCATTGGGCGGCGGTGCTTGCGCTGGGTCGCTGGGCGTAGGGCTTTGGTGACCACTTCCTCTGTTTCTGTTGAAACCTCCGCGGCCACCCTGATTGAAATTTGGCTGGGGGACGTCATCGTACATGCCCTCCCAAGATGTCGGATCACCACCAGCAGGAGCGGTAGGTGCAACAGCAGCAGCAGCAACAGCAGCGCCGCCAGCGCCGCCAGCACCCCCACCCATCCCGAAGCCACCTCCATAACCACCTCGACCGCCACGTCTACCGCCACGGCCACCGAAGCCCATCTGTTGTTGGTTGCCGAAGCCTGGTTGTTGCTGCTGCTGCTGCTGCTGCTGCTGATCGGCGCCCTGTCCGCCTTGACCCATCTGAGCACCCATTTGGTTCATCTGGTTCTGCATCTGCTGCATCATAGCCGGGTTCATGCCTTGGCCGCCATTCTGAGCCATCATCTGCATTTGCATCATCTGCTGCATCATGGCTGGGTTCATCATGCCCATACCCATACCCCGACTCATAGCAGCCTGCTGTTGCATCATGGTCATGTATTGTTGCATCCTCTGCATGTACTGAGCCATGACTTGTGGGGTCATGCCACTTTGGTTCATCTGATTCTGCATCTGATTCTGGTTGTTGTTCTGATCTTCGAAACCGCCCTTCTTGACAAACTTGCCACGACCACGTGCAGCTTCCTCTTCCTGCATGTTGTTTCTGGGTTGTGCTTTTTTGACTTCGATAGGCTTCCCATTGATGGACAAGACTTGGCCGGGCTGGGTGCAATTGTCAACGCCGGCCTCGCTCTCGAACGTGACGAACCCGAAACCTCGGGGCCGGCCGGTATCTTTGTCCATCATGAGAGTAGCATCTACGACGCGGCCAAACTGGGCGAAGTAATCCTTAAATTCGGCTTCCGTTGTGTCCTGGCTGACACCACCAACAAAGATCTTGCTTGTCTTCTCTTGCTCATCTCTTGGAATGGCTCTCTTAGGATCGATCTATCAACAGCAATTAGTCAAGTGTCAAGATAGAACAGGAATGGGAGGTTCAAGGTACAATTTTGCCGTCCAGGTAATGCTCCTTGACCATGACAGTGTTCACGTTCTTGGGATCCTTGAAAGTGAGGAAACCGAAACCTCTGGACCGGCCCGTTGCACCGTCGCGCATGACCGTGCATTCTGTGACCTCGCCGAATTGGGAGAAATAATTTCGCAGAGATTCTGAGCCTGTTAGTGGCCAGCAGTTAGGGCTAGATTGAGGAGGCTGGACATACCGTCGGTCGTTTCCCAGTTGAGACCACCAATGAACATTTTCCTACACAAGATGCATGTCAGTCGATGGCGCCCCGTCAAATACAAGTGCGTTCAAGTAACATAGTGCAGTGCATCGCAAATCATAAGTGTCGTCGCGGAACAGTCATCCCGGCCAAGCAAACACGGTGGGTATGTTTTGCCTTGTTTAGCGTGCCAATCAGATTGCGCGTATAGAGCCTGCCACGCCACCACCTAGTATACGTCTTCCATGCACACAGCCGCGTGGATGTGAGGGCGTATCTTGAGTCTTGTTTGAGATGATGCCACGACGACTTGGCCATCTTCCGAGTCGCTATAGTCGAGGGGAAAAGGGTATCAATTCCTCCACGGATTCTCAGCCATCAGCATGTTGAACAAAACTAGGGTCCTTGCTCAAAAGCCTCAAAAGCGATTGAGTGTATGTTGTGGTTGGTTGTGGGCGAACCTGTGGAGAAAGATTTCGTAGGCAGGCCACAAACAGCAATTTCCAATGGAAGGCAGCTACTGCAGCGAAGAATGCCATGAAGTTTGTCGAATTGTTTGATCTTTCCTCGTGTTCTTGCTATCGTCAAGCTAGGTCATGGCCTCGAGCGCTATTCGCTGCCAATCCTTGTTACAGCCAGCAAAGAAGTCTGACTTCTCGCGATCTCTTAGGGGCCTATGTTTGACGCATGGCTATGTAGGCAGTAGAGTATCTTGTACTGACTATGATCGAGGCCTTCCTGGATGCTTTCTGATACCTTGAACCCTCAACATCTTTTGTAGATGGTCTTATTTCTCATCTCCGGAGATGGCCTGAAATTGGACAGGAAGGGTTGCCCAGCTTCACGACGTCGGAGTGGTCAATCCGGCCCCCTCTTAACCACACCCTCCTCTTGACAGACACCACAGACATCAGTTTCATGTCCCAGTTCATCTGGCTTAGCCTGATCAATCATTTGCCGCGGGTGGAATCCTCTCCGTTCCATAACCTTGATTTCTGACATCTGACCACTCCCATCTCTCATGTACGCAATCTCTCGCCGTGCATACCCTCACGGCTTGGTTGTTCCTGGCGCGGCGGTGGCATTTGGAGGCTCATACATACCGCGACTTACCTCTGATGCAAAAAAATAAACCAAAAAAAGGGGGGGAGGTAATGAATTTGAGCTTGGTGGACTTACCCATCTTCTCCTTTGTTGCTTGGACCCTTTGAGTGGAATGATGGCATGGCAACCTCTTCTTCATGTCTAAGGCCAGCATTGTGAGCGGATGACGATCCGTTTCCCAAGTTGAAATCTACATCATCGTCATCGTCATAGGCGTCCTCGTTATCGTGGTAATCACCGCTATGGCCGTTGTCATCGCCCGTGGGCATGTATTGATCGTACTGGGCTGCATCATGCTCAGCTGCAGGGGCAACGGCTTCTGCTGGTGCAGCTTGCCTGGTGACGGGTGCAGCAGCTGGAGCCGGTGCTACTGGTGCTGCTGGTGCTGCTGCCGCTGCGGCTTCGTTGTCATCGTAACTAGACAGGGTTAGCAAGGTGATGGGTGGAGTGCGCAAAGTACAGCGGCTGAAAGATAGCTGATGTTGTCGGCTTGTCGCAGCAGACCAGAAGACTTAGGGGGGAGGGTTGGAAGTGACTAACAGATCGGCGAAGAGATCATCTTCGAAGTTCTCGTTGTCGGCCATTGTAGCAGGTTGTTCGGGTTATCTGGTACGGGACCAAACTGGACAGGGACGTGGACACACGTACGCGACCTGATGCCAATGACCAGGTGTACTGGCGCGGTTACGGAGGGGATTTCAGGTTGAAAGCGATACGATAACGATATGCTTTGCTAGCAGGGTGTGAGATGGTGGTTGAAAAAGGCGAGATATATGCAGAGGGCGCAAAGAGGAAACAGGTAAAAATGCGCAGAACGAGATCGTTAGCGCTTGTTGGGTTGTTGTTGTTACTTTGGGAGGAGCCCAGGTCTATGTGCTTGAGCTTGAGCTTGAGCTTGAGCCTGGCCAGTTGATGGTGAACAAGAAATCGTAGCCTTGAGTGGGTCTGAAATAACAGTTCAAAAAAAAACCTGGGGCAGGAACAAGGTTCTGATTTGTCCGCCCTCCAGTGATCTGTAGGTTGTGGTATTACTTTCCGGCAGCTGCTAGTGTAGGGAAGCAGGTGTCACCCAAGCCCAGTAGTTACAGGACAGAAAGCCTTTGGCGTCCGATCCTATGTACCTACAGACGGTATGTATGTAGTCTGCCTTCTCAGATGGCACCCAAGGTACGGACTAGGCGCTATATGGTAGGTAATGTATTGGTTATCAAGTAAATATCGCCTGAGGGTGGAAGTAGGCTGTGTGATTCAGGTTCGTGTTCGGGTTCTTCAACTTGCTCAACTTGAAGCACAGACCTAAATGATTCGTGCTCATTTCGGGTTCGAAACACGGTAAGCGGCACTTGGGCAGTCACAGTTACGGTCACGGTCACGGTCACAGTCACAGTCACGACTCACTCACCAACGGCATGCAACCTCCAAGCGACCTCCCAGCTCCCCAACTCCCAACTCCAACTCCAACTCTAGACCAACTGATAATAACGTGGGGCTCCGGTCTGTTATCACCGGGCTCACACCTGTCGGCGACTTTGGAAGCTTGAAACTCGAGCCTTGGAGTCTATTAACCTAGTGGTTTTGCCCCACCTCGGTCACTGAGAGTCTCTCAGTCAGGAGGTTGATGTTTCGCGACAGGTTGGCAACATCCAATGTGTTTACTATACATGTAACGAGCACCCAGCTCCATGATCAGTTCTGTCTCTCCGTAACCCTGGCCCAACTCTCGCCGTGGAAAATAGCTGCAATCGGTCTCTTCCCCCAACATCGTCAAGCCGGACGTCTCAATTGACTGGCGGGGTTCATCCATCTGTGGCTCGTGTGCTTGCCTGGTTCCTTATTAACTCTATCTAACTTTACCTGTACGGCCCATTGTTAGCTCGGCCGGCACTGCTTCCGCCGACTCGACTCGACTCGGTCGACCTGTCCGGGCCCTCGAGAGTCAGATGTTCAAGTTTGGTTGAATATGAAGTGCTACCTCCCAACCACCATGTAATTGCGACCCAGTCGCATAACCCCAGTTATCATGTTCTCCTCTTCCGGCAGCGGCAAGAAACCGCCTCAGCAGGTAAGTCCGAGCCCATGCTCCTCGAAACGCTCACGGCCAGCCCCCCCGCTAACATAGATGACGTAGGAAATGGTTCAAGTCGGTATGTGCTGTTCCAATGCCTCTATCAGTCTTCGCCCATGCCACTGAAATCACCGATACCATGTGGCGCAGCTTGCTGACTTTTGCCCTTTTTGCCCTGCTTTAGATCGTTCTGGGTAGGTCGATAGTCCTTTGTTTACTGCAACCCAATGCCAGACCTATAACTCGATTCACAGGTCCGCTTCACCTTTCTACAAAGTCCAGCGAGAGGCCGCCCCGAACAAGACTGGTCGCGATCCCAATCTCGTTGTCGGTGCCGCATATTCTCACGCAGATATGCTCAAGTTCGATTCTCTGTATGTTGTCGGCGAATGCGCAAGCATCTGCCCGCCGTCTTAAGCTGACCTTTGTGTGTGCTTAGCAACTTGTCCAGCTCATCTTCGCGACCGAGGACGCCCCCGTCTTCATCCTCCTATAAAGCACGAAATAGCGATGTCAGCTCTCCGCCCCTGCAGAAAAAGCATGGCCCATCTTCGCCGCCCTTGAAATCCTACATAAGCTTCTTGTCCAACACGAACCAAGACTGGACCGCAGACGACCCCGAAGGCGATGATATGTACGGCTACGAAGACGACGATGGAGACGACTTTGGCTTGCCGAGCTTGTCCAACATGAAGAGAAAGAACAGACGCATAGCTGCTGCTCAGGGGCAAACAGAGGCCGGCGCCCCGTCACCCGTGAATGCGGCATTCGGTTTCCGCTCGCGACGTTATTCTAATAGTGCCGATATAGCCATCGAGAGGCCCACACCAGTGTACCCAATGCCCAAGAAGAGCGAAGGGAAAATACTCCGTCCGCAATATAAAGAAATATTGAAAGGTAGGCAAGCGCTCGCAGGGCCAGATACGCTCAAGTCTAACAGAACCTCTAGACCCAGCAAACGCCCTGCACTTAATAAACCACCCTGCCATTCCGGCAAACACACCACAGAAGGAGGTCGATGCCATTAATTCGCGGGTCACGAGGATCAACAAGTTCAAGAAGATTCTCCAAGCTACGACGATATCCCTTCCCGACTTACGAGCTCTAGCATGGGGTGGTGTACCGGAAGAAGTCCGCGCCATGACTTGGCAACTGTTGCTCAGTTACTTGCCAACAAGTAGTGAAAGGCGGGTTGCTACCCTGGAAAGGAAGAGGAGAGAGTACTTGGATGGGGTCAAGCAGGCATTCGAGCGCAGTGCCAATGCACCCGCTACCGGTGGCCGATCAAGGGGCCTGGACGAAGCAGTCTGGCACCAAATAAGTATCGACGTCCCAAGAACCAATCCTCACATCGAGCTATATGGATACGAGGCAACTCAGCGGTCGCTGGAACGTATTCTCTACCTATGGGCTATTCGTCATCCGGCGAGCGGTTATGTGCAAGGAATCAACGACCTTGTCAGTCCCTTTTTTCAGGTCTTCCTCGGAACCTATATCACGGATTCAAACATTGAAAGTGGCATGGATCCAGGACAGCTACCGAAACCCGTTCTCGATGCAGTGGAGGCAGATTCGTTCTGGTGTTTGACGAAACTCCTCGACGGCATTCAGGATCATTATATCGTTGCGCAGCCGGGCATTCAGAGACAAGTGTCCGCTTTGCGTGATCTGACAGCACGGATCGACGCCGATTTGGCCAAACATTTGGAGAACGAGCATGTCGAATTCATTCAGTTCAGCTTCAGGTGGATGAACTGTCTTCTTATGCGTGAGATCAGTGTCCAAAACACAATTCGAATGTGGGACACATACCTGGTAAGCCAAAATCCATTTTAGACGAATTGGCACGCTTCTAATACTCAGCAGGCCGAGGAACAAGGGTTCTCCGAGTTTCATCTGTACGTTTGCGCGGCTTTCCTGGTGAAGTGGTCTTCAAAACTATTGAAGATGGATTTCCAAGAAATTATGATGTTCCTTCAAGCACTTCCGACACGCGATTGGACCGAGAAGGACATCGAGCTATTACTTAGCGAAGCATACATATGGCAGAGCTTGTTCAAGAACTCTTCAGCTCATCTACGTGGAGGCCCCAGTCGAGCTCCATCCGGAGCTCTTCAGCTGTAATCAATTTTGAAGTACGATTGCTGCCGGGTCTGGAAGAAGCACTTGCTTGTTTTGCAGTGCTAATTGTATATGGGCACGGAATGGGGGGTGCAATGCAAGCCAGATCAGCTTTCCGCGTTTATCCGCACAGTCATGAAGTTGACAGTAGACGTGCTTACACTATCACTCCTGCAACAGGAATGAAAACCACATCGGCTCCACCAGGCAACTGGCATTACTCCCTTAAAAAGGTGTGGCAATCACCGCATCACAATGCGCAAGGGTGTGGTCGGAAAAGTTGATGTACGCAATATCAATGCGCAGCGTCTGCATCAACTCGATAAGAATATCATCGACACCAATTTGTATTGGTGGTGCTGTATTGAGTATTGTTATCCTAAAGCAGTGTGACTGGGCGTCATGAGGACCAGTTTCCCCGACAGGCATGCGTTATGGTCAGTAACACTCGCGACGTTGGAGAAGCCCGGAGCCCGGGTTCGTTCCGACCGGCGAACCACGTTGTTCAGGCTTCGGCACTAACTCATAGAAAGGATCATATAAGATGGGCATGTCTTCATTCGCGCAAAGCATCCCACGCACCGATATCCTAATGCAGGATATCTAGATTGATTACATGTCGGGAAGACCGGCAGTAAGCCCAATCACCAATGACGAACTCCGAATGAAGGGAAACATGCTAGCTTAAAAGTAATTAGCCAATCAGAATGAAGAGAGCCTGATAAGGCGTTGAATACGACGGAGAAAAAAAATGCAAAGAAATCGTGATCGAATGAATATGCGGCGTTGTCATTTGAGGCAGGTGGAAAGAGCCGCATATCTTCGGCTTATTCGCGAACCTCGTCAATTCCGCCCGGAGGCGTCCACCGCGGCCTGCTGTGAAAGTTTACGTATCAAGACGGCGCCAATACTGGGGCTAATCCATATTTTGAACCCGCAAACCTTGGATCGCGGAACGCATCGAATACTCGGCAGAGTGACGACTTGCCAGCGATTTCGGGCATTTGGGGGTTGACGGTACTCAATTGGCTTTGGCGACACCGGAGGCATGACGCAAGTCCACACCGTTCCTGGCAGGGGACTTGGACCATAGCTACATAGGGAGCAAGTAGGGAGCATAGGGCGCGGTTTGACATGAAGGTGAACCCGGTGGCCCGATCCAGTGTGAAACTCTACTGACCTGAACTAGACTATAGACCCACAAATACCCGGAGCAGACTTCGCACCTGACTTCGGCCTCGCTTGGAAATGGATGTCTACGCATGGCGACCGCCTGAAGCCGAGGAATCAGGCATGTCAACGCACACAATCTCGGTGGGCGGCAGCCAGTTCATTAACGGTGAGGTCAGATTCCCGAACCCACCTCGATAGGGTATCAAGTATTTGCGCGGCACACACTGGGGCAACGCCTCTTGTGTGTCTCTGTTTCACAAGGTCTGATTGCTCAGATGATAAGGAAGTAGCTGCAGACTCCTCACCATATGGGGAAGTCTTGCCAGCCGAGAGGCAAGATTCGAGAAGACTTTGCATGGTACATGCAACACTATGCACCAGCAGGTGCCGATAGAATCTTTTATCAAAAAGAATACCGGGTCCCAGTCCCACTACGTAGCCAAGTGCAAGCCACCATCTAATTGGCCAGTGAGTCACTCGAATTTATCCTTTTAACTTATACTTTCCCACCAGGCCACGATCCGGTTCTCGTTCACTGCTCTACATCATTTAATCACCCTCATATTCATACACCTTGGGTTGACCGTTACAACTCTATCTTGCTTTGTCTCAGACTTGGCACCCTAAAAAAAAGAAAAGCACCTAGTCTAAATAGAAAGGACATTACGCCCACCACACACACACACAACTATTTACATCCCTCTTCACACTACGTCGTCAACTTGCTAGTCCATAATGGCGCCTTCTGCCCTTCCCACCGGCAATGCCAATGGATCAGATATCGATTTGACGGCAACTGGCCTTGAGCACAAGATGGACGACACCCAGAACAGCCACCCCAAGCAGTACCAAGAACTAGACGCCTCAAAACTTACTTACAGCTTCACCAAGTCGCCACAGGAGGTGCCGTCGCCGGGCACGACCAGCTTTGCCAACTCATCCATCTGCACAGACCACATGTTGACGGCCAACTGGAACAGCACGACGGGCTGGTCGGCACCCGAGATCAAGCCCTACGGGCCCTTCTCGCTCATGCCGACGGCGTCGGTGCTGCACTACGCGACAGAGTGCTTCGAGGGCCTCAAGGCCTACCGCGGCTTCGACGGCAAGCTGCGGCTGTTCCGGCCGGACTGCAACGCGGAGCGGCTGCTCATGTCCTCGGTGCGCATCTCGCTGCCCCCCTTCCCGCCCCAGGAGGTCGACCGGCTCATCAAGGCCTTCATGGCCGTCGACGGGCCCAAGTGGCTGCCCCGCGACCGGCCCGGTCAGTTCATCTACCTGCGCCCCACCCTCATCGGCACGCAGTCGCAGCTGGGCGTCCAGGCCCCCACCGAGGCCATGCTCTTCATCATCGCGTCCTACATGCCGCAGATGGACGCCCCACCGGGCGGCATGCGGCTGCACACCTCGCCCGCCGACATGGTGCGGGCCTGGGCGGGCGGGTTCGGCTACGCCAAGGTCGGCGCCAACTACGGGCCCTCGCTGCTGGCGACGTGCGAGGCCAAGGAGCGCGGGTTCCACCAGATCCTCTGGCTGTACGGCGAGCAGGGGCTCTGCACCGAGGCGGGCGCCAGCAACTTCTTCGTCGTGTGGAAGAACAAGGACACGGGCAGGACGGAGCTGGTGACGGCCCCGCTGGGCGACAAGATCATCCTCGACGGCGTCACGCGGCGCAGCGTGCTGCAGCTCGTGCGGGAGCGCTTCGCCGGCGAGGTCGATGTCGTCGAGAGGCAGTACTCCATCGACGAGGTCGTCGAGGCGGATGCCGAGGGTCGCCTGATCGAGAGTTTCGCTTCTGGTACAGCCGTAAGTCCTTCTTTTTTTCTTCTTTTTTTCTTCCCAAAGTTCTCTGGGCTCCCCCACGGTCCCTCTTTCCTCGATGAATTACTTTTGCTGACCAAAACGATGATAGTACTTTGTCTGCCCCATCTCTCTGATCCACCACCGTGGAAAGGATGTCCACTTCCCCATGGGCAGCAAGAAGGAGGGCGGCGAGGTCACGCTCAAGGTAAAGAACTGGCTCAAGGACATCATGTACGGCCGGGAGGAGCACCCCTGGGCCTACGTCGTGCCCGAGGAGCAGTAGATGCAAAACATCTATATCATGGCCGACCTGTGATATTGTCGGCACAGCGGCTGAACGGTTCTGGGACAACATTATGGCAGAGAACTTGTTGAGTGTGTTTTCGGGGTCGCATTACGATTTCCTTTTCTGCGCTCTGCATTTACGCGATACCGAATACACCAAAAGGTCTGCATATGGCTGGTGATAAGATGAAGGTACCGGAGGCGGCTGCTTTAAGCCTCGTTGGGCTTGTACTGGCGTTAAGAGGCGTTGTCTTACCTAGAGGAGCAAGAGGAAAATCCGAGATGTTTTATGGCATGGCACAAAATTGATCGGGCATTTACATAGATGTTACGCAGTTGAATTAAGCGGTAATGAGTGAAGTGAAAGAAAGAAAGAAAAAAACAATATTAAATCCTCACAGTTGCTTCCTTCCACCACACATCGCAATCCCTTCCAGCTAAGGAGCAAGACATTAGAGCGAAATGGTGGCTGAACCCGCTCCCCCTTAATACATCCGTCTTACGCATACCCACTAACTACCCATCATGACAACCCAGGGTGCACAAATGATTGCACAATCTTGCCAGCTTCGTATTCGATCTTTTTGAAAAATTCCTGTTAGACGTCAGTGCAATGAACTGGAGGAGATGTACACAATCATATTGTTGTACCTTCTCGTACGCCTTGAACTCTCCGACAGCTTTCTCCACCAATGCATCGATATCCTCGTTGAACTCAGCGATAGCTGCAGCGTGTTCCGACTCTGTAGTCACGCTTTGGGCCTCATCCGTACCAGGCAGGTCATGTTCAGACGACAGGACTTCTTGTTCGATAGCTTCGATCTCAGCATGAGCTTCCTCCCAATCGGCCCACAACTGTTCGAGCTCAGCATGTGCAGCATCGATCCGCTTTTGGAATTCTGCGACTGTGATGCCCATCTCCACGATTTCTGGATGCTCAGTGCCGTCAGGGCTGATCATTATCTTCTTGGTCTGCGCCTCTAGAACTGGTGCGACAAGCTTGGCGTGAGTGGCAGATAGCTGAGCTAAGGCGAGCTGGTTGGCTTTGATCCCCTGTACGACTTCATTGGTGAGCTCTTCCTGTGCAGCTTCGAGCTCCGAGACGACTTGAGAATGCATTGCGATCTGGAGGTTAGAGTATTTCTCTACAGGCATAATATCAGCTAGGCCATACACGGAAGATGGCCACTCGGGGTGGCAATCAGAAGAAGGATTGAAGTGAAGCCATTATACCTTGCAATTCCCTGAGAGCCGGGGCATCTGGGGTGACAGATCGATGTCGGCGGTAACGAGGCTCAGGAGTACTGGGCATCTGTTGGCGGTAGCGACCATAGTTCTGAGCAGGGTATCGTCCCTCGACATTGCGGCGAACATCTCTGAGCACGTCAAATGGGACGAAAGACTTGTTGCCACGACGCTTAGGGGAACGGGGGTGTGCAGACTGCTCGTTCTCTGGCTCGTCGAACGCGAAGCGACGCTTGAAGGATTTCTCCGTGCGCAGCGTCTGACTTGGAGATGTGCTATCATTGCGTCGCGCAGGCCAAGGAGACGGCATGTCGAGGAGAGGGGGTAAGGTAAAGATTCATGAATACGGACCAAACAGAGGTCAACAACATGAACCGCCAAGACTGAAGTAGAATCAATCCGGGAACCCTACAGAAAATTGTCGCTGCTGATTGGAAATATATGTTGAGCACAGTTTGGAATTCGCTTTGGTCACAAGAAAAACTCTTGGTCTCGAGCTGGTGATTTACTGGTATTTGGAAGGCGCGCGACATTGGAATGTGACTGCTCCTGCAAATTTCATCTTCGTAGCCCAGAAAGAAGGCACCGCTGGCCTAGGCACCGGTATCTACTCTGAAAATAGGCCCTCGAAGGTGGATGAACAAAACCCCCTATGTAAGTGTATGTAATGCAACCCCGAACCTCTAAGACCATGCTTAACGTTCTAAATTCCCAACTCCGTATAATGCGAATCTTGTCATCAACGTCTACTCATTTATATACAGTTGTCTCGTTATATACAACCATCACGAACGTGCACCAAACCTCAGGCCATGAGGGCAATTATCGTCCCTATCATACAAGGCACAACCGTCCATACCATCGTGGTTTTGTATCCCATGCTGGGTAGCTCCTTCTGAATCGTTGCTGTGGCGGTACTGTCACCAATTGTGCAGCTCGCAGTTCCACAGGCATAGCCCCACGGACAGCAACCAGCGACCGGACCAGCCTCACTGCCACAAAGGAACCAGCCTGAAGCACATGTCGAGGTCACTGTCGTTGTTGGGACATCGCTTGCGGGGACGACGATCGTTATCCCGTTGGATGTGATGGTAGTTGAGGATACTGGAGGGCAAGATGTAGTCACGCAGTCTCTGCCTGTGCGACAGCATCCCGATCCTGCGGTCGCCAAGCACGCATAGAAGCCAGTAGGGCAGTAATCACCCGTAGCTGTGCTCGATGGTGCTTCCGTCGTAGTTCCAGACCCACTAGTAGGTCGCCATGGAGGCAGTCCTTCTCCAGTCGATGTGCCCGTCGTTGTCTCGGTTGCAGTTGTCGTTGGCGTGGGAAGAGTTGTGATTGAGGTAGACGTACTGACCGTCGTCTGTATGCTCGGACTGACCGTCACTACAACCGTTGTGACAGCTGTCGAAGCCGAGGGTCCAGACACGACCGTCGAGCTCGTGGTGGTCATAGTAATAGCTGTGACGGTGCTCGCTATACAGCCGATCTGGGCGCATACGAACCCGGGAATGCAGCATCCACCACCTACGTCCGCCGAACACGCCGTGCTACCGGACCCGCAAGCCCCCACGCTCCCTCCACAGTTCTGTCCTGAAGGGCAGCAGCCAACATTTCCAGCATCTGGCGCATTTTCAACCGTGAAACAGGTCTCGCCTGTCGCGCAGCAGTAATTTGGTTGTCCTATTGAATCGCAACTTTGTGTATTTGTTGGGCAGGAGTAGTCTCGTCCCTGTAATCTGTGCAGCGCTTCTTTCGACCTCCGCCAGAGTGGCCCGATGTTCCTGTGCTCTAATGAGCTCTCTGAATAGTGTATACCAAACGGCGGCCGAAAGGATATGGTTGCGCTTGAGTTCGCAGCGAGCAGCGACTCTTCTTCGGGAGTGAGCAAACTACGAGCTTGCACAGGCGATTGTAGAGGCGCAAATTCGGGGGCAAATGCCAGGTGGTGCGGCATTATCTTCTCGCCTTCGTCTAGGGACATTTTCTTGATTGCTGTCGGTAGCTGTTGCGCCTGCAGCTGTGTTGCGACTAGCATCAGCAGCGATGCTGGGAGGCCCAGCATCGCTAGTGGTAGATGCATTGAGACTGAAGACTTTGAGCGTCTAGTTCGGCGACCTCCAAGATAGCAGCCGCAGAATTCAATGCTTCAATTGAGGAGTTGTAGAAGTTGTGTTCGACGTTTGTCGGGACTTGAGTCGTCTGTTCGTTAAGTAGCCCTGCCACGTCAAGGTTGCTGTGGGTATCGCAGATACGGTGAGGCCCAAGCAGTAATCAGAACTGAGATCATGCAAAGATGGCATTTGTTGAAATGTCGTATGCGTATACGAAAGAAGGTTGACGCCCGGTAGCTATCTTGTATGACTTTGGATAAGTGTCATTGTGCCGATGTCATGGCCATGTGCAAACCCGGGAAATTTGCGGTGGCAGTGAAGTCTATAATTCAAGTGGCTGGGATCATCTTGCTGGACCTTGAGTTTCGGCGACGTCAGCGGGGTTCGACCCAACATTCGCACTCATTCGTGTATTAATCTTCTCCTGGCGCTTGCGTCCAATTTTTGTTTCTGGCTCGTATGCAGAAGATACATCGTATCCTAGATGGTGTAGCGCGTCATGATGTTTAGATATTTGAAGCACCGTTAGTAGGTAAATGTTCCGGAATGTGGGCCCCGCATATATATATACCTAGCCTTCATGCATAGCGGCCATAACAAGCAACCAGGTACATGGAACAGCTCCAACGGCAAGTCTATACTTGACTAGTCGTGTCATGCTGGTACATGTACTTTTATCTCCCTAACACTAGGTGACTGTACTTGAAGCCTGAAGGTAGTAGCCCGTGGCTCATGGGCGGGTTCTAGGATGGCCCATATAGTCGTGTGCGGGTTAAGACTGGAATGTGGCCACCACGTTTTGTTCCATTTTATAGCACTAGCTTTCTAGTCGTAACAACACTAAATTATGGGGACTTTTCGAGGTTTTTCCATATTATGTTAACCTAGCGACATCTCTAGAGTGAACAGTATGGCCATCATAGATTCTTGGTGCCACCATTGCACAGGTATAAGGTAATTTTGTTGTGCTCCGCTTCTGCTTCTGCGGCCGCAAACATCACCGTGCCTAAAGTAACTTGGCAAATCCTTCAACGCACCAATTCCAACCATTTCCTGCTTAACTTACAACCACGGCAATGGCCTGATCCCAAAAAGATCTAATTATCTTCTCCAGTGTATGTGGACTTGATCTGTCTGCAGATCGTATGACATGGTAAGCTCAGTGATGTGCAGAAGAATTACCAGTTGACTAATGCTGCAAAGTCTAGCTTTCTATCAGTGCTCATTCCGGCCCTTGCCGGTCTGAGCATGTTGGGCGCGTTCTGCGGGCCCGTTGCGATGACTACGAACGGCTTCGGAGACGCCAGCTGGATGTATTTCATCGAGCCAACCGACCCAGCGAATGATGGCTTCCCGGGTGCACCGAAGCCTGTGTTCCGTGAATTCACGAGCATCAAAACCGTGGATGGTGCACTCGCTGCTCTCGTGGCTTATTTCTCCGCCCTGTTCGATGGCGAAATCGCACCGCAATTCAGCCTATACAGTTACTGGGCATTCTGGCAGTTCATGCCTTTGTCGGTGCTAGTTGTGCTTGAAGGAATGAGAGCTGGGAACAGGGGCAAGGTCGCAAGCTGGTAAGTACTGCACTTTGCCGCGGCGCTCGAGTATAAGCAATTCTGACAGCCCCATACAGGACGAGCACTATGCTGTTCATGGCTCAACTCCTCTCCTGGCAGTTTTTGATGCCTCTCTGGGTGATTCTGTACTTACTCACATCTCCTATCGCTAGAGGGCACTCACCTGTGCCGAGATCAAGCCTGCTAGTCGATCTGTGGGATATCACGGTGCTGCCTCTGACGGTGTTTCTGACATTCATGCTGCCGACCATTGCCATGTACCTACCTGCGTCGATGGTCGACACGAAGTTTCATTACGCGTCCATCGCTTTCTGGCAGGCGTTTCCGTTATGGCACTACATACTGCACACCAGCTTGGCATTCCTGGGTCACACTCTTCTCGGCGCACTCGACGGCTCCAAGCAAGGCACGATCGTTCCGGCGATATATCTTGCACGAATTAGGGGGGTGTACGACCTAGTCTTCATCGCTGGGATTGTCGGACAGCTACCAATCCTGTTTCTCGCACTCTCACCGCCCGGTCTCCTGTCTCCAGTTGCCAATGCATTTCCCTGGTTGGGGCAATATACCAACGCTGCGGTCAGCCTATCGTCGGTCTTCCTCCCATGGTCTCCTTTTAATCAGCCTGCTGTGGATCCCAAGACAATCGGTTCGGGCGATCTAGCTCCTCTCGCTGTGTTCTTCTTACACTACGATATGTATATCGGATGTGGTGTGCTGCTAATATGGGCTATATTTCTCCACCCCAATGCTGCGAAGAGTTATAATCTTGCGAGAGTCTTGATCAAGCTCGCAGCCTGGTTTTCTCTCGGTGGTTTCTCATCGGCTGTAGCGGCATTACTTTGGGAGCGCGACCTGTACGTATTGGAAGACAGCGAGAAGGCTGGTCAGAAGAAGGAGATCTGATCCAAGAAGGTTGCACGATACAAAAAGACGGAGCACGAAGTATGGAGGCTAAGACTATATTAATGACTAGTGTAACAGTACAAATGTAAAGCAAAATGCCAAGAACCTAAAAAAACGCCAGCTTACCCCCCATGTTTTCTAACCTTTCTAACCCCTTTTCTTATTTTTCCGAGATACCCTAGCACGGCAAGCAACATGTAGTTGTTTCGACCAACTGCCTCACTCTAGAAGAAAAGGGCCACAGCTGCGCCTACAAGGGCAAGCATGGGCCCGTGAGTCGCCGCACCAGCAGTGGCAACGGGGACCACGGTCGTGGTGCTAGCACCCTTGGTGGTCGAGGGCTTAGGGTAGAGAGGGGACTCGGAGGAGACGCTAGCAGCGCCAGCAGACGAGCTGGCGGACCCAGTGCCGTAGCTGTTGGCAGCGGCGCTGCTGGAGTAGGCGGCATAAGATGATTCGGAGCCGCTGGCAGCGTAAGAGGAGCCGGCGTCGGACGATTCAGCGTAGCTGGTGCCGACGGCCTCGTTGGAGGAGGCGCCACTGGTGGGGCTGACGGTGTATGTCGTGGTGTACGAGGGAGCGCTGACGGTGTAAGTTCCGGCGGATGAGTAGGGGTAGCTGCTGGCGGTAGCGTAGATGTACGAGGTGGCTGTGACCGTCTCATATGAGCTAGAGCCAGAGCCAGAGGCAGCATCGGTCGAGTAAGCGCTGCTGGCCTCGGTTGTCGACGTAGCGGTTGAGTAAGCGCTGCTGGCCTCAGTCGTCGACGTAGCGGTCGAGTAAGCGCTGCTGGCCTCGGTTGTCGACGTAACGGTACATCCCTGGTCGGTGCCGATGTAGTAGGTTGAGCCGGCTACGTTGACGACACACTATTCATCCATCTTTAGTCATGCTTGAGAGAACGTATATACGGTGGGAGTGGACATCCTACGTTGGAGAATGAGGCAGAGTAGCTCTGCCAAACTGAGCTGTAAAGCGAGCCATACAACGACCGGTAGGACTGGTAGTCGGTGGCTGCCACGGCAGTGGCGAAAACGAGTGGCAATGCAGACCTCATCTTGTATATGGGGTTTGTTCTTGGAATGAATAAATGGAATCGCTATAAACGACTGTGGAAAGAAGACACTAAATACAGCAGCTCCGGTTATGACTTGAAAGGCTTGAATGGTGAAGAACGTTGGACCTGCAAGGGAATAGAGACCAAGACTTATACTGAGGCATCGACGCTTAGATTTTGATGGCTGAGGACGGCCACCATAGCAACACAAATCTAATTCACGTCGCTCGCATCTCGTTCCTATTACCCCCCCAGATGTCGACGCGCGTCTGCAAATGCCACGAACGAACCGAAAGGACTAGTAGACGTCCACAAATATTATGATGGATGGTAAACAAAGCTGAAGTCAAAACAAGAGGCTTAAACCTCTGTCACTTAGTCAAAAAAGCTTGGTCCGGAAAGACCTGCATATGTAGGGTTCGGCATCAAATGAAGAGAGTCCCAACCGCTTGGTAAACATGGTATTGTTGCCGGTTTCACACGGGAAGGCAAGCCAAGCCATGTCTCAAATTACAAAACTCAACATCGGAGCCGCACCCAGTGGCGACTGTGCCACATAAGAATCCCTTCATATCTCAGCTTTACTACAATGACCAGTTTGGTGAAAATCAAACGGGTTGAAGCAACGTCTTGCTCCTAGATTCAGATAAGCATTGTGACATTGTGGTACTATCAGACGAACGGGATTTAAGTTATGGGATCAAGAGACTACGGGGTAAGGTTATACGGTACTAAGTCCCAGCGGGTTCCCCGCACAAACCAGTGAACTTAGTCTCACCATCAGACGAGGTCTAGCTCATGGCTCAACTTTGTTCTTCGACTGTAAATCGACTGCTTTTGGTCTGTCGAGTGTAATGCCGCGCGGCTGGGGGCCTAAGGCATCGAAGGTTCATGAGCCAGCCAGGACGGCTTGGGTGGTTGTTTGATGAGCTCGTGCCACCCACAACAAATTACTCCGTCACTCTCGTCCTACGGAATATATATTCTGAACGGCACATGCGAGATTTGATGCGACGGGCTACCTACCGAGCCAGATTCGCGATTTGAGGCGAAATGCCACCGTTGCGCCGCAAATATCTGACCACTGGTCAAACCCATGGGAGACTCCAGAAGAGAACCCAACTCCAGCCTGAAGTAATGAAAAAGAATTAGGTTGATACTATGAACAAGAACCTATAGGAATCTAGATGTGATGACCGAGACTAGTCTTAGGACGGGCGCCGTTAGCGCCAAGAAACCGACGCGACTACGACATGAGTGTCGGGAAAGACGTACACGACCACTCAAGATATTCTTAGTTGCGGTGGCTGCCTTGTCTAGAGCGAGTGAATACGAGGGAGCGCATCACGGAGATGAGATCGAGCACTACATATCTCAAGCACATGGTTCTCATGAGAAGCACGGCTACAGAGTGTTGGTATATTAGCACAATCTATTCAAAACCTCAAAAGCCAACCCTAAATGCTGAATGGTTACATCTGGACGCCCCTCTTCCCGAGCACCATCACAATGCATCGATAGTATCTGCTCAGGAATACCACGTTGACAGTTGCGTATCTGCCGTCCAGATCAGCTAGTGGTTTGATATAAGGTAAAATGCGATGGCCTAATGCTGACGTGGTAGCAAAAACTTCAAATCTTCCGCGCGTGTGTCATCCCAAGTCAATGGCAGAGCGAAGCAGGCCGAAGCGATGATGATCAGGGCCAACCTTACGGTATTGTTGTTGATGAAATATAGAATCATGAGGGAGCAAACGTGCAACAATGATGCCACTCCTATTGTTGTAACCCGGATTATAGCTACCAACAGGCTGTCTTTGTAGTCGTAGATGCCCTCACCAATATCTGGTTTTCCCGGATCCTGCACTGTTTCTTCGGCTTAAGAAGCAGGAAGATGTGATGTAGGACTTTCGTACAAGGGAATTAGGGAGCAGAGTGTATCCATCCAATGTCCATGAGAGTGAGTTTGTGATTTGTATATACATGCTTGAAAAGCCAGTAAGTTTATCGTCGTATTTCTTGCGTACGCTTTTCTTGTAACAACGTGGGTATCGTAGCATCAAATGCCGTCGCCTCTTGGTGCTCACCACCGTTTCGTTTAGATTTTCACGAGCATACGCGAACGCGAAAGCGGCATGTGTGGTTAATCAGTAGAGCAGTGTACTCGCATTGCACAGCCCACCAAAATCGATCCGCATGATTGATCAGACCTTTCCGTCCAGATGCCTGCCTTGGTTCAGGATGGGCACGAAACCTGTACCGTGCAGAGATGTCGCCGTCTGTCCGAAACAACCAAGTGGATCACTGACTATGACAAGAAAGTTATAATCCAAGACGATGCGAAATTGTCTACACACTATGTCCAATAGCCTTGGCGAATTCCATGTTCCAGAAAAACGTGGAGCAAATACCTAACCTAAACATTTCACCGCTGGCCTATAGCAACTCGTTCCTGTTGGATCTAACACACCATGTAGCCACAAATTCGACCGTGAGAATGTCTTATATCGAAGCAACAATTCCAACTAGTCTAAGCGACGAGCACCTAGCCATCCCCACTTGACTGCTGGAAAGGTCGCGCTAGTAATCGGCCATGATATGCGGATCCGTACCGGTGTCTCTTTCCTGGCCAAGGTCGTTAAGACAATACTGACGGTGCATTGTAGTTGCGCTCATAAGACGGCAAGGCGTTGTAGATTCATATGCCCACAAACAAGTACGGATGCTGACAATCAGTACGGTTCGCTAGGTTAGGGGTTACCGTGGTGTAGCAAGACATACGATAGATAGGCTATATCCACCCACTGATCGATTTGGATCGGCCTAGGATTTGGTCAAAATGACGAACCATTGGGACATGAAATATTCAAAAGGGCCATCGAGTCGACATGTTTCCTGGTACAGCTTCATATCTAATCAACCTAATAGGCTGTTGAAATAGGATTCACCAAGTTGTGTACTCGAATGTTTATTAGTCTAGCTATGATAGCCCATCTTATCCCACATGCTACTGGTCTTTCATTTGAAACACCAACCAACTTGAGTGATTTCGGAGATGAACCCGTATCGTATTATATTATCCCAAGTCCACGAGGAACTACTTGTGATATCCATGGACTTGTGCATGTGCCACCTGCTAGAGAGCCTGCGGACCGTTGCCAGTGTCTTTTGTCGTCGAGGAGGGGTTCTGAAGGTGCCCCCAACGACTTTCTTCCAGACGTCGAACGGCCTCAGTAAGATGGGCCAAACAGGTCGGCCTCGACCATCGTTTGCTGGTTATGAACCCGTTCCAGCTCATGGTCATCTCGACCCCATACACTCGAATGTTCAATACACAGGATATCCTTCCAGCCTCATCTCTCCACCAGATAAATATAGCGCTGCCACCTTGCGAAAGACATGCCGGAGATCTCAATTTCTGCCACTGCCAGGATCATCATCCAATTTGCGGCGTGGCGGGTGAAGGCCGGTTATTTATGGGTGGTCTTGTCCGTGGGGGAACTCTTATCGGTTGCGCTGTGAGCCTATGGGAGCGCGTGTTGCGCCAAAGGGCAGATTGACTGATGCGGGCTGGCCTCGACGTGCATCGTGCTGTTCAACACCTAAAGATGCTTCGAAACTGGGTCGTGGTGGCTGCCCCTAGCGTCCGCCGTGCTGCTGAGCTCCGGGTGGTTGGAAGGGAGGCATGCCCGGAGGGGTAGGAAAGCCTTGTCCTTGCGGCATTCCTGGAAATGGGAATGGCGGAGCACCTGCGGCACCTGGTGGTGGGAAAGGCAGGCCACCTCCGGGGGGTGGGAAGGGTAAGTTGCCTGGGAATGGCGGTAGCCCGCCTTGTCCAGGAGCCGGGAATGGCGGCATGCCACGTCCGCCGGGAGGAGGAGGCAGACCCTGACCGCCGAAAGCACCGGGGGGCAGGGGAGGGGCACCTGGCATGCCGGGCAGAGGCGGCATACCTGGGAAGGGAGGTGGCATGCCGCCGGGGAAGCCGGGGGCTGCGCCGTGGCCAGGCTGGTTCTGAGGCAACATGGGGTTCGCGTGTGCCTGTCCCTCAGCGGCGTAGGAGGATGTGATGCTGTCGATGACGGACTGGGCCTTCTCGTGACCGATTTGCTGGTAGTAGTCGACGACGTTGCGCAAGTGGTTACGACCGCTGTTGTGGGCTTTGCGCACCGACATGGAGTCGTGGGTCAAGTAGACATCGCAGTAGTCGCAGAAGACTGCAGGACAGGCGGGCGAGGTTAGCTATGCGGGGGCTATGCAGAAGGCAGGTGTGAATGTGGACTTACATTTCGGCATCTTGACAGAGGTGCGCGCAACAGGTTGGTGTTTCGTTTGAGCAGGAAGCGATGAGCAGCGAGTGCACGCGAGTTCTCCGATTGGCGGCAGACAAGTGAGTATCGGCGGTGTGAATGCAAACAGCTGGATGATTGAGAGCTCTGTTTGACTCGGTTTCGATTCGGATTCCCTTGAATTCGCGGTTGACAAAGAATGGCGCGGTTGGAAAATAACTGGACACCCCGACGAGTTAACTTCAGTTGACCTTGTCCTGGAACTTGAGAAGCTAGTCTAACGGTGACTTATTACCTACCAGTCAAGTGCAGTAGGCACACATCTGATGTGCAGCCGTGAAAGAAAAGAAGCTTGGACCCCACCTGACAAGCGACCTCCCCCAGCAGGAGTTATGCCAATCGCACTTCTGCATAATCACGGGGGAGGGCAGTTGTGAGGTTCACGAACAGGCCGTTTTCACTTAAGAGTGCCTATTCACATAGGCGATCGACGTCTGATGCGCGGAGTACGTACTAGTAGCACGAGAGCCCCCCTCTGTAGCTGCATAACCTGCATACTACAGTAGCTGCCTCCCCCCCTGCCCCTGTCGCATCTTTTGCGAGAACAATGTGGAGCCGAGACCTTTGGGCTTGCTGCAGCAGCAATGTTTAGTTAGCAGCTGCCGTGCTGTGCTGGGGGTTTCTGATATTCTGGCTTGTGCTTGTCTGGCCTCTACAGCACGGATCCGTCAAGTCACAGCAGGCGGCCCTCAGCTCAATTCCACTTCCAGTTTCAATCTCAAGCCTTCGGATGTTCTGAACACACGACCGACAGACAGACAGATACATCACACATCAAACCACCCCCCCACGACCATGGCGTTTTCGCGGACGTGGCTGCAACACGTTTGCGGCCTCCTTTTCTTCCTCTGTTCCGTTTCCGCCCTCAAGTTCGACCTCGAAGCAAAGAATGGAAAGCAAGAGAGATGTATAAGGAATTTCGTCGCCAAGGACACGCTGGTTGTGGTCACGGCCACCGTCGATGGCTTCAAGGGCGATGGAATGCTTGTCAATATTAACGTACGCCGAGATTGATCCAGCCTCTTGCCCCGATTGCCTGTTTATTTTGCATGTCTGTTTGGCCCCAGAAGCAACGGGAAAGCTAATGCGCCTTCGTGCCCTGCAGATCAAGGACGCCGTAGGAAACGAGTACGGCCGCGCCAAGGATGTCGTCGGCGAGTCGCGACAGGTCTTCACTTCGCATGCCGACGCTGCATTCGACGTCTGCTTCGACAACCAAATCACCGGACGTAAGTGGCTCTCCTCCTTGCATCCCGTCCTCCTGCGCAAACTGGGCCTTTCCCGACCGCATAAGATCAGACATGAGTACTAACCGAGCCCAACCATCCAGGACCCAACAACCCTACCCGTCACGTCGAGCTCGACATTGATATTGGTGCCGACGCCAAGGACTGGTCTGCCATCCAGGCCACCGAGAAGCTGAAGCCTATCGAGGGCGAGTTGCGCCGCATCGAGGAGACTGTCTCCGAGATCGTCACTGAGATGGACTACCTGCGCTCCCGCGAGCAGAAGCTCAGAGACACCAACGAGAGCACCAACACCCGCGTCAAGTGGTTCGGCATTGGAACCACCACCCTGCTCGTCGCCTTGTGGGCGTGGCAGATCATGTACTTGAGGGCCTACTTCCGCAGCAAGCATCTCATCTAAACATGACGGGGGTCATTGGATCAACGCAGAGAAGCAGGTGGGCAGGAACTGTTTGATAGTCAAATGGGCTTCTGGGTGGCATTTTCAAGCGATCTACATGTGGTTGCGCCTTCAAGTAGCACTGGGTTCTACGGAGGCAGAAAAGAAACACCCCCGACGGAAGAAAAAGGCTTCGCGCCATGTATGCATACGGTAACCTGTCAAGGCCAAGGCATAGGCATATGCGTCTCATGACAGGAAAGGAGTTTAGAGATGAATAAATGGCGTAATGACTGGCAGAATCAGGGACTCACACATCCCTACTTAGTAACGGCGATGTGGTTGAACTGCATCAATGAACTCACCGAGTCTCACATTTTCGCTCGGCCGACAAAAACGCTAACAAAACAACTCGTGACCTCTCAAGTAGACATTTTGTGATCGACCATGTTTATCTTATCTTGGTATGACAGTACATAGCAAATCCAGACAGAGTCCTCCGTGGCTGGCCGAACGACAGCGGAGCAGACCGGCATGAAACCGTCCGGGGAAGACGGCCTCGGCAAAATCTCCAATTATTGCGGAAGCAAGCTAAGAATTTCCCCTACGTCAACGACTTGAGAGGACCCTTAGAATTGCTCAGGCGCAGAAGAGTTCACCTTTCCCATTTCCCCTTTTTCCAAGCACCAATCCGTACATATCGCGGTGCTTTTCTTTTCTTCGGTTTTTGTTTGACGGTGATTACTCTCGACAACAGACCCCCTCCCCAAACCAGACGAGAAGAAGAAGAAAAAAAAAATGGCAGTGCTCCGAACAGTTCTGCGACGGGCCGCAGCTCCTAGGGCTCTCATGGCAGCCGCAGCCCGTCCCTTCTCGGCGGGCACCAGCTTCGCGGCCAAGGTCAGCAACGCGCCGCCCATCGACCCGCCCTCCAGGGCCGACATCGGGGTCGGCGAGCTCGAGGGCCACGAGTTCAAGATCGAGCCCCTGCGCCGCGTGGGCGAGGACGAGAAGACCATGAGGGCGCGGCTGGTCTGTAAGTTCGACCCGTCCCCGCGCGTCCATGCTCGGGAGGGAAGGGGCGAGCGGTCCAGACGCGCAAAGAGCTGACAGAATATGACAAAGACCAATCCCGCAAGCGCGGCACCCTCGAGTCCGACCTCCTGCTCTCCACCTTCGCCGACACCTACCTCCCCGACATGTCCAGGGAGCAGATGGCGCAGTACGACCTGTTCCTCGACGAGAACGACTGGGACATCTACTACTGGGCGACGCAGGAGGCGCCCTCGCCCGCCACCGAAGACCAGCAGCAGCAGCAGTCATCCTCTCCCGCAAGCACATCCGACGCCACCCCCACCCAGACAGGCCAAAAGCAGAAGTGGACGGCGACCTCGCCCTTCCAGCCCGCCGTGAACGACCTGACAGCGGCCCCGGGGCAGGCGGGGAAGAACGCAGCCGCCGCCGCCGCCGCCGCCTCGGAGGAGCCGTACCGCAAGCCCGGGGAGGGCGAGTGGGCGCAGACGGTCGGGACGTTCAAGCCGGCCTACCGCCCGGTGCCGCAGCGATGGAGGGACAGCGAGGTCCTGGCCCTGCTGCGGGAGCACGTCGGGCGCCGGAGCCTCGGCGGCAGGGAGGGCGGCGGCATGGGCTTCATGCCGAGCCTGAAGAACCAAGGGTAGGGCGAGCCGCGGCAGAGTAGCGGCGGCGGCAGTGGTGCTGTCGGGGACGAGAGGGCAGAGAGGGAGGTGGACGCGGAGAGTGAGTGTATAGATACAGATAAAGAAAGGGGGTCTGGTACAACCAGGAGCTTTCTCACTTGCAGTGGTTCCAGCTGCTGTCAAAAGTGTGTACATGTATAAGACATTCTTCGGCAATCTCTCTAATATGAGGGAGAGGGCTGCTGAAGTGTATAGATTTCTGTACAAGTGGTATCGAAAATAAAAACTATACAATCGAAATTGAGATGGCAGTCACGGACTCGATGGGCTTTGATGCGATATATTTGAGTTCGGCAGCATTTTTGTTGTGCAGAATAGTAAAACTTTGGGACGTCGTCGCGGAAGCTGCGATAGATCATCAGACTAGTTGAACTTCCCACACATGCAGAATGGAGGTTCCATAGTCAAGAAGCTGTAGGTTATCACATAGAAGAGACGGGGCAGAACATCACGCAGGAATGTCAGACTTCACATTCTCATTCAGTCATTATCTCATGTGCGGTCCCATCTTTCTGCAGTTCTTCTTTCTCTTTCCATTTCTGCACCTCTGTCCTCACAAGGTCCATAAGCTTCGATGGATGGTATGGCCTGCGCCTTCGCTCTTGGTCCTTGCATCATCGTCCCAGTCCGTTGGATAATAATAAAATAACAAAGAGGGCCGTCCGCGGTGTGGTATCTTTCCGATCTGCAATGCAGCAAAAGTAAAAAAACAAAAACAAAAGAGCCTCTGAGCTGAACTCCATGCAATCCAATCATGCTCTATCAACAAAACGGCGCCATTTGAATCGGTTTATGGCAGAAAAAGGGGTTAGTTAGGATGGGCTGAAATTTAATCTCAACTCTCGCCTTCAGGTAATATCCTTCCCAGGCTTCTGAGCACTTCCATAACCGGCATGTCCCTCGTGCCGGCGCTCCTCTTCTCTTTTTCTTCGCGTTCCTTCAGACGGGCTGCGCTCAAGGCCAAGACTCGATCAGCCTCCCGACCCGCCGTATTCACACGCTGCTCGACCTTATGTACACTGTCTGCTAGATGGTCGACTTTGAATTCCAGCGCCTTCTGAAGCGTTTGTATCCGCGTTTGTGCTTGGATTCTTAGATTTGCGAAGCTCGATGCTGCGTCTGTTATGGTAGCTAACATTTGTGCTTCTTCCGGATCTAGAAGAGAAGCGTCCGGTATTTTCTGTGGTTGTTCTGTTGGCGATGTTGAATCCGCTGCTGGGAACAGTGGTGGTAATTCAGGAGGTGCTTGCTTAAGTGACAGCCACGTTTTTTTCTCGGCTTTTAACCTGCAGTTCACTCAGTTTCCGATTACAAGTCAGCCATGTAGAATTGCTGCTTACCGTTTTATCCTGTCCTCCAACTCAGCTATCTTCTCTTCATGCTCGGTATTCCTTGGGTTTGGTTTCTCAATTGCGGGTGGCCTTGGCACGTCTTCCCTTGAGAACCAGTCTGAGAATTCCGATTTCGACCCGAAATCTTTTAATATCTGATCTTGTATCGCTCGAGCTGGTGCACGTATTAATATGCTGGAGTAAAACGAGAATGACTGCTGGGACATGAATGGGCTCACCTCCTAGGATCGCATTTGAGTTTAGACTGCCCAACGGCGGCTTTTCGCTCAACGCGCGTTCACCACACCATGTCAGAAGCTGTTTCATACGCCTAGGCTCACTAGGACCCTCGGCTTCGATGTGCTTGTAGAACTCGGCGGCATCAACTGTACGATGTGGTATGGCGCTGTGTCCGTTATCAATCAGCGAGCTGGCCCTCCTTCCGCGCATGCCCAAACTGCTCCGCCGTCCGCCTGTCTTGCGTCGCATCTCCTTATTACGGTTCATGATAGGCGTGTCGCTGAATGGCAGCGCGATCTTCTTAGGAGACGCCGACTTGATTGCTGCGGCCTTGCCCCGGACTTTCTCTACCACCAAAGACTGTGGTGTATGCATGGCGGGTCGAGGAGACAGTTGCGGAGACACGCTCATGTCTACCTCGACGTTGCGACTCTTGGGGACTCCATTGGTGGGTTTCGTTTTCGACCTGGCCTTCGGTTTTACTACTTCCTTCTCCACTGGTTCCGGCTGTACCGACGAGGAACGGGTGCCCCTACGTGTCGTCCGTTGCGGCAGCGGTGCTGGAACTGGCGGGTCGGGATGCACGTCTAGTTGGCTCGACCTCCTCTTGGAAACCCTCCTCGGGGGTGCTGGCTGAGCCTCCTGCTCCTCCACCACTGGCGCATTGCGCGCTTTGCTTGATTTTGGCGGTCTTCCGGGCCTTCTAGGTGCAGGAGCGGGTATGGGGGCGACCTCGTCTTCTGGTATCGGCTCCGGCTGGGCTGTCTTTACTTTCTTCCTGGTGAACTGGAAATCTCCATCGTTCTCGTCATACGCTGCATTCCTCATGTCAGTAGTCTGTACTATTTCGGCGCGTCTGACCCGCAGGTTCTCAGAGCACCATTGGGAGAAAGCAAAAAGAGGGATGACGCACAGGCAAGGCGCTCGCTCCGGCGCCGCTTGGGCTGATTGCTCATGCTCAAAACTTGCAGCGGCTGACGGGTCTGCACTAGAGTCGTCATGGATGGCTGATGAACTGTCGCATTAAGTCGAAGGTTGTTGGTGGATGCGACTCCAAGTCGCGAGGAGAGAGGAGAGGAAGTGGAATGCAATCGATGTCGTAGGTCCTGCAGGATAGGGTCCCTCCCCGTCTGCGTCAAAATGCAAGGCGCGTAGCTCCGGGTCCGGCGATCGCGTCAATTGAATTATTTCTCCCGTCCAAATTTTCGCAAAATCAAAATGCACGTATTCCCCTGTCGCCAGCTATGTATGCAGTCGTTAATCCTTCAGAATCGTTGTCGGTTGTCACGCGGGTAGCTAGGTTGGTGATGTTGGAGGCGCACCTTGGATTCATGAGGCGCGATTGGCAGGTGGGCTGGACTAGCATAAACAAAGTGAAAGTGCTACATACCCACATACATACAATACATAACATCTACTCCACGCACGGGCCACCCGTTGCCAGCGTCGTCATATTTTGACAGTTGCACACCTCAACTGCTCCAGCTACTTACTGCATGCACAAAAGCTTCATCGAAAGAAGAAGCAGAAGGATAAGAAGAAAATAAACAGAAGAAACCCCGGGGAAAAAAGAAAGAAACAAAGAGAGAAAATATCAGAGAGCCAAGCACATTGCCCTTGTGCAATTTCATGAATGTCTGCCTATCATTGATTACCCTAAGCACGTTGCTCACGAAGCACGCCCCAGCAGCATTTCAAATGAGCCAAGGTAGACTGAACACTGGACACTGCCTTGTCAATAATTCCTCCTCTTGTCCTGCCTCTCTAATACAACATAGTCAACTCATCATTTGCCATGTCAAGAAATATACCTAGGTTAGGCATCTGTCGACGATCACATGCTCTCATGCTTGTGTTGTTCCTCGCCATGTCACATTAGCACTTACAAAATAACAAAACACAACGCAATATAACATGGCCTACGTGTGCCCTCCGGTGTGATCATTCATAACGCCACGGCAATAATATTTAGAACGGTAGAAGGCGTGTATTTACTACTACATCCATACGCGTCAGCAGCTCGCTGTTTCTTGAGCTGGCATCATCTGGGAACTCAAAATTGGAAAACAATCGCAAACACGAACAAAGATGGTGAGAGCCCATCATCCCCAACACAGACTCCGCCAACGCCTATAAAGCAGCCCCAGTGTTCCCCCGAACACCTTTTAATGTTTGTGCCAAGCTACGACATGTAAAAGCAAACCCCTCATCAACTTGCTCAGCACTTGCTAAATGCTTCAATGTTTCTCCCCTGAGCCAAGCCTCAGGTCCTCAATCAATTCCAAACGCCCCCTGATCGTTCCCGTGACGCGGAAGAATGTTGTTACAGGCCAAGGGGGGAACTGCCTTGCCGCCGAAAAGTGTTCCATATGGAGATGCTGACGTCGTCCAAATTATAAATGTTTCTGTGGCGCTGTTCGGCCATCTGATGGTGTCGAGGAGTGAGTAATATGTCAACGAACAAAGATATTCTTTTCCATCCATAATCCATGCATCTGTAGAAAGTCATGAAATCATTTCATCAGTCTTCTGACTTGAAATCCTGGTTGGGCACGTCGACATGCTTCCCCTACGAATAGCGTCGAGGCTGTCCGGCCATGACGGGTTGGTTGCCACCCATGGGCGGCGCACCCATTCCGTACGGGTTCATTTGTGGGTTGTAAGTATCCATGGCTTGTTGCATGAACGCACCATGCAGGCCTTGCTGTTGCGTTACGGGACAGTCTTTGTGCGCGAGCAGCAGCGTCTTCAGGTTGACAACCTCTTCTCTCAACTGTGAGATCTGTGCGGTCAAAGCGTCGTTCTCACTGCTGAAAATCTCAACCTTATTTTGGAGATTAGCGAGCCATTGCTTCTTGCGTTGACGGCACTTCAATGCAGCGACACTAGCAAGCAGTTAGTATGATGAGCAACGACCCACTATCAGGAGATACACATACCGGTTCCGTTCCAGGAAATTCTTGCGCTTCTCTTCATCGGTCATCTTGGACTTGGGCTTTCCGTCCTCATCCTCACCATCTTCGCCGTCTTCATCAGAGGTATGTCCCTCATCACCGTTTATAGATGTCGGAGGCGGTGGAATGGCAGATGTCTTGGCCTTCTTGGCTGCTGGCTGCTTTACGGGTGCCTCCTCTGCCTTTCGCCTACCATTTGTAGCGCCAGCAGTGGACCCTCGTTTCTTGCCTCGAGCTGGTCGTGTGTGCTCCATGTCCTCGGATACACCACTGGCCGCCTCACTTACACCGCGTACAGATGAGGCGCCAATAGAACCGTTGCCGTTCATCTGAGGTGATGTGTTGGCGTGGTTAGATGGCGGCGGGTGAGCGTGTACAGATTGATTTCCACCGACGGGGTATTGTTGGTTTGACGTTGGCGCGCCGTTTCTTTGCTGTGCTCCTTGTGCCAGCATAAACAATCCGTTCGCAGCGTCGTTATCGTGAGGGTCGAAGGCGCCAGGCACAGGCTTGGCTTCAGACTTGATGGCTACGCCGTTCGCGGCAGTCTCTTGTGGTTGAGATGTGATGGCCTGCTGGCTTACACTGCCGTTGTTGCGCGTCGCTTTGGCAGCGGCGTTCAGAGCGGTCCGTTGGAACTCGAGTGTCCCTGGCGTCGCAGTACCGCTAGCGAGTTGGTTGAATAGTGCTGTGGAGTTGGGACTTGCGGCAGGGAACATGGAGCCACTGCCGCCAGGAGTCAAGCCAGTACGCAGAGAGCTCTCGTTTGGTGTAAAACCACTTCGCAACGAGTGTGATGTGTCGCCAAAATAATCATTCGCGGGACCAGAGAGCATGGCTGGGCTGAGAGGTCCCGTCCTAAGAGACCCTCCACCCCAGTTGAACGGCGTGCTAACACCGTTCCCTGGTAGCAGAGATGAGGGTGATGTTAAGGCAGCCACGCTGGGCAACTTAGTCCCGCCTGGGGTTTCAACAGTCCCCCCGCTGCCAAACGATTCTTCGAACGGGTTAGGTTCGAGACTCAGTTTGCTCGAAAAGTAATCGCCGCCGTTCTCGCCTGGTTTCGGTGGTGGTGCTAATGGCTGACCAGGCTCAGCATTACTTGGATTTTCGGTCTTTGTCTCAGCTGCGGCCTTCTTGTCGCCGTTGGTGGCTACGGGGTAGGAAATGACGACGTTAGTGACGATGATTTACTATATTCAATGCAGGATGCCTATGTGATGCGGTGCAATGCAGGAACGACGATGAGATGATGCAGCAGCAGTGGCAGCAGATGGTTCAAAGTGGCACACGCGTTGATCTGCGACAACGTGGAGTTGATAGTGTATTGGCGATGACGATGATATGCGACAAAGAAAGTGTGATACGGTGAAGCTTAACTGGGTTATTCGGGGAACAAAGAAACTCACCTGGTGACGGGTTGTCTACTGGCTTGGACTCGGTAACTGCCATGATGACGACGTTTGAATTTGTGGGTGTTGACTTGTGTTTTGAGTATTGGATTGGGCGTGTCAGTCGGGGGGGAGGAAATGATGTAACTAGACAGGCCGGCCTTTGAGTCGTTGGGAGGCAGTCTGCAGTGCACAAAGGCAAACCACCTCTACTCTTACCAAGAGTCAGCGAGGCGGCAGGGTAGGGCACAGTACGACCGTAGACTCTGAGTATGATATCAGTCGGGTCTCAGTGATATCCCATGGATTGGTAACTCGGTTGCGCCAATGTTTGTGTGTAGGTGAACGTTGTGAAGGTGAGGTGCTGGACGATGAGGTCATGAGGGAAGAAGTGACATAAGGGGTGGAAATTTGGTAGAAAGACAGGCACAGCAGACGTAAAAGCCCCCGAAAGTTGCTTGGAGCCGGAGGTGGTCCAAGACAGCAAGCGTGGGTTATGTCCAGGGGTCAAGGAACCAATCGCTGGTCTGGCGAGGATCAATACGTGATCAAGTACCTACACAGTGCGAACCTTTCCCACCAGCTCATCACGTTCGTTCAAGGGAGTTCAGAAAGTGCCCCGAACAAAGCCAGCGTTACTGATCCCCTCATCCCATCGCTAGACTTTGAATCGAGTCTTTTCATTTTTTATCCTGTCACGACGCCGTGAATCTACTGGAAACAGCAGTCATCAACTGTATAGGTTACTCGACTATAGACTGACAACATCCATACTAAACAGCACAAGCAATCAAAATGCCTTCTCGAGCGTCTAGACAGACTTTTTTTTTTTTTTTTTTTTTTTTTTCAAGCATCTCATATCCAAAATAGTCTAAGACTACAGACAAAATTACCAAGCTATAGTTTTTATCTCCGACGTGTCAAACTAGACGGCCCGAGACCTGACCTTCAAAGATCGCGCTTTCTAATCCGTACAGTCCCCAATCCTCCAGGTAGGCACCACTTCTCAAGGATCGAGCCACCCGAAATTTGGGAGGCTCTAGAAATCCTGCTGTCCTCATAGAAAGGCGAATCTGCGGACGTGACGGGCTGCTTAGAAATGCACAATGGTCGCGTCTTCAAAGAGCAACCACCGCGCAGCAATTTGAATGCCAAGATCCAGTGGAGTTTACTTTACCAGATACAGTCTAGAGCAATTAGCCCGAAGGCGCCCCTAGCTAGAATGCGGCAATCCTATCGAGTCGCAGCAGCATCAAAAAGCGTGAAGGTGGCCAAAAACTCGTGTCCATTGTTCTGTGTCTCCGTTCGAATGAAATATTCCATTGCCATTGGAGCTACATGTGCGTCTCGACTCCACAGCCGGCTTCCCTCATTGCTTTTTCTTCGATCTTTTCTTATCTTACCGCTTTTATGGTGATATGTTCCAACGTGGAAAGAAATGGTCCGCACGAATGCAACCACTAACTAAGCCCCCGGCTTCAAAAGTCTCTGCCTAGTGATTGATTCACCACATAGAACAATGTGCTTCTGCTCGAGATACATTCGAATCTGCGATCGATTCGATTTCGGACTCGTCTACTTGGTACGCTCTTAGCCGCCATTTTACTTTCAAAGTTCTAGAATTGGCTTCGGGCCATAGTTGGGCCAATCACGTTATGGCTTCATCTTGGACCAGAAATTTCCATGTCAATGAGGCCGGGTATAATATCGACAGACTTACGTCATTCTTTGTCTTTGACCGAAAGAAGTTCACTCACAGTACGCGCCAAGTCTCAAGACTGTAGGTTAGAGTGCTTGTTCGAGGCCTCGGAAACGGCACATTGGATTCGAACGCCTGCACAATGCTCCATTTTAGATCCGTTGAACCCAAAGCGCCCCGAAGGAAGGATCAGAGATCTTCGCTGCAATGGCCTCAACTTACCTTCTATTTAGTACTTGGCTGTTATCCCTGGAACGATAACTATCCGCAAGCTAGGGGTAAAAACTGCGACACGACGTGAAGTCGGCACACTCTTCATTGCTATGACGCATGGGTTGCATTTCATACCCGCTAAAATTGCTTTCATTCTTTGGTGGATTCGTTTTAGTGGCACACTTGTGTTTTTTTCGGCCCTCCCCAGCCAAGCCAGGTGCGAACGATAAATCGTCAACCATGCTTGCAAATCCATAGGAAACACTGCGGTTGCAAAACATCGTCTCTGACCTACTTTTGGGCACGAAAAAAACTGTGATTTAAATTCACAATGGCCTCCAGTCTCTATCATAGCGCGGCTCTAGTCAAGTTCAGCTAGGAAACCCCGGGCTCATCTTTCCTCTATACTTTTGTAATAGTGTGCTGGGTTACAAAATAAATCCTGGGGAGACACTAAGGAAAGATTCTGTCGTCATCAGAGACGTCGGCAATAACACCCGACCTAGACTAAACCAGCAGGTACTCCGCAAAATTGGCCCACCATTTCAGGAGCCGTCCATGTACGCTTGATTCAATCAGTAAGACATCCAGCTTCCCCCACACTTGTCACAGAACCTGATTCTCGTGGACGAGGCTCAACGGAATACGGACTTCTTGGCTGTTCATGGGATTGGACGGCAAGCAGAACCCCATCGCGTATATTCATTACATGACTAAGGTATTAATTGTACCCTGTAAGTCGAAGCGGCCTGTTACTCACGTCTGATCAATTGTGAGCATTGCGAGTGAGCCTGCTAGGTCCACTGCTATCAGAATCTTTTTAATACAGCTAAACTTTCTTGTAACAGATTCAAAAGGTCTCATCAAGGTCATCGGAACAAAACAGTTCTCACCTCAGTAGTACTTTTCGAATTGACGAAGTCTCTTGTCGTTATTTCTCACAACTTGCCTTTTTCGGCCTTTGTTATTCTGAACCCATGTCTGGGTGCGTGTAACCTCACACTCCCAGCCTTGCCTTGTGTCTCGATGACAACCTCTGTACTCGTGAATGTTACCAACTTTCCCGTATCCTTATGCGTAGAGCCAGAATCTATTGGCCAAACTTTGACACTATCGCCTGTCTTGAAGCCCTGGGCCTTGGCGACCAATTCATTTCCATCTACACCTCCTTCCTGCTCAACAAAGCCAGAGCCCGTGATAATCTTTGCCGCATCGTCACCCTTAACCTTCTTGGGTTTACCAACCTCCTTGAGTCTGGCGTTCGTGGCCTTTTCGAATCTCTTGATCCACGCGAACACTCTGGGAAACTTGCTGGGTCCCACGACGTCTTCAGGCAGGGCTCCCGGCATGCCAGAAAGCCAATGAAACGGCCAGACAGCTTCGATATCGGCCAGACCCGGGCCCTCAGTCTTCAAGATCCAGTCTCTGCCGTCGGCAAGTAGTGTCGCCTCGAGCAGCTCCACCGTGTCGTGAAGCTGTGCTAACGCCTCGGGCCGCCGCGCCTCAAGCGCCGCCGCGGCAAAGGGCGATGGGGCGCCCTTTGGCAATCCCACGAGATCGGCGCGGTCCGACAGGAACTTGGGGTCCCTCATCACGGGGAGAGTAGGCGGCATAGAGCTAGCTGCGGCCGCGAAAACACCGCCGTCGATCCAGGCACGCGAGATCAGGCGCTCAATGGCACGACCGTCGGCCGTCGAGGCCGCGATGGCTGGGTGGGCGGGAGATGGCGGATACAGCTCTTCCAGCTTGGACAAGATCAGACGAGTGTCTGCGTAGACGTCTCGGCCAATGCTGAGAAGCGGAATACGTCTATAGGCAATGCCCAGTGCCGCAAGATCGGGACGTGGGAGGATGAATGGTTGGATCTAAATTCGAGGTGAGCGGGCTGGCTGCAGGAAGGGCGGTTGAGAATCAGACTTACACATTCTGTGTATGGGATCGAGCGCAAGGTAAGATACCACACAATACGTCGCGCATAAGGTGAAAAGGGATAGTGGAAAAGAATGATCGGTAGATTTGAAGATGCCATGACGAGAGCTCTCTTTTGGCTTCGTGAAATTTGTAGAAAGTTGTATCAGGTAGAGTCAACAGCGTGACGACCAGCAGGTATCAAGCACGTGAAATACGGTATTTCTCGAGCGACAACCTTCTAGTGTATTCAAAAATGATCACGGCCTAAGTGAAAGTCCCTCAAAACTCTGAGGAAATACAACAACCCCAATTTTTGTTGTTGGAAAACGTTCAAAGATATTGCAACCCGTGGCTTGTTGAAGTCATATATCTGCGGATTGATGCGGAGGTCTAAACCGAGCCTCGGCTGACAGAGGCACGATGGCTATCGCAATAGCGCCCGCGGGTAACCCCACATGTTCCCCTGAGTACATCCAGCTTACGGTAACTCGAGTTGGCCCTTTACACGAATATATACAAGTGACGAGATATCACGTCGTTTTCAGCCTACACCGAAATCATGGCCCGTAGGGTGGTCGGTACACGTTGGGAATGATATGCGATGAGAGGGGTTTGTTTATTCATTTGGTCACCATTTCATGATACCTGACACACGATTCTGCGTTTTGACCACAGTTAAACTCGTCTGAAATTTCCGAAAAACATGATCACATTTAGTTATGGATTATATTGCTCCTATATGGCAAAGTTCGACCAGTCTCGACGCCAACGCAATTGTTGTCCCAAACAGTACTGCTGTTCACAGACGCCTGGCCCTAAACTACTTCATTCTACCCGGTTCGAGGTTTGTGTGTTGCTTAGGAGCTTGTGCCGCAAGCAGAATGCTGTACCGTGCTTATTTTGGACTGTCATCCTTTTCTGCCGTTTCCAACCGCTGGTTGAGCAGTCTTGCACACAAGCCTGGGACTCTCTCATCATGCGTGGTCTTTAATAGAGCAAGTCGGGATTTCCCTTCCATACCGACCAATCCCAAGAATTTGTGTAATGTTGGAACGAAGCGCGGTTCGCTAGAGAATTAGGACTTGTCGCTAGACATTTCCATTGCTGCATCAACCTCCCCTAAACCACTCGTTCAAGAGGGACGACTCCCAACGCCCAACTTATTGCCTATATTAGGCGCCGTGTCCATGCCGTAGATCTCACCCTGGTGCTTTGAACTGCAGGAAGGATGTTCGGAGGCGCGAGGGCGACCTCAACTTGCACCATGGCCGAGATTGGGGCCAATGGCATAGCCGTGCCGATAATCCTTGGAAGAAAGCACTCGGTAATCATCTCTGCTGGTAATAATGCTTAGCGATCTGTAGGTTGGTCTCAATTATGTTTTCAATTATACTTCGATCATCATACGGATACGATGATCGGGTTGTAGGGCCGAAGACTGCCCGCCGCTTGGCATCGAAGCAAACGAATCTGCAAACCCGCCAGTTGTCAAGATTGTTTTGTGCTTGCAGACATTAGGTATGATATACCATCACTTGATGCCGAGTGTGTCTCATCGAAGTCATGATCGGATTGAATGTAAGGCGACAACGCAAGCACCTCAGCATATCAGTACGGTAGATGTGGCAAAAAAGAAATTTGGTTGGTGTCAGCACAGGTGTTCGGCCAAACTGGATCAGAATGAAAGTACGACAAAGAGCGTGCGGCCTACCTCCACCTGTACCGGTCATGTAGGACGACTGGGAGCACTTGGCAGCAACATGGGCATTTGAAAACCAGTGCGTTTGGTTTCAACTTCGATGGACAATGATAATTCAATTTTACAGCCGTCCTTGAGACATCAACCCACGAGACGATCCTGTTTTGTGATACGTCGAGATCGGTGACGCGCGAGCTGTTGTGCCGGTCTTTACAACTAACTGGTTGACTTGCGAATCTGAGTATTTGGGCTTCTAAACCCCTCCCCCTTTCTGTTATTATTTATAATTCTCACCTTCCACTCTTTTCTGTGTCATGTTTCTCTCTCTTTCGTTGGGCTCGCCTCCAATGCCCTCGCGTGAATTTGTGCATGGATGAGTCTGTTTCTCCTTGTGATGTTGGTGTTTATCAGGCGTAGCTGTATAGAACTCAAACGTAACTTCCTTAATTCTCCTGCTGTTAGACTGTCCAGTGTAGATCTATGAGAGAGTATTATTGTCTGTAAGAAGGACTTTAGCTCTTTATGATCATAGGGATTACACATCTTATCAGCTTTTTGCAATCGTGAGCCATGTCCCGATCTACGTATAAAGAAAGCAATACGCACGAGTTAGTTCAGTATGGAATCCACGTTTCCAATAGCAACGCCCTTTCAATCCCGAAATACTGAGTTCATTTGATTATTTTGTACTTCATGAAACTCGCAGAAGCTTTTGAAGAATAACGGGTCGGGTTACAATACTCGTCATTATATTGCAACAGCACAAACTTACTCGCCAATTCATTCTGAGATAATGCTAGGTTGCTGTTGTATCAATTGTTCGTGCTTCTGTACTCCCTACACAATTGTTACTAGGTGCGTCAAAATATCGGGGCTCGGCGCTTCCTGTTCCTGCTATAATTACTGACATGAATCTGCAACTTGTTTCGTCCTGTCTTTGCTTTTCTCTTCCCACTCAGCGATCACCGTGGTCTGTGGTTACTATCACCTCATATGTTCCTTCGAGTACACAACCGTTGAAGTAGTCGCGCATGAAGAGTTATAGCAACGTGAAGCGCGGGAAAAACGCCAAATTTCTCATTTCAATCATATCAAGCATGGTATCTATCGTCAAGTTCGTTCGTTCGTTCTATTGAAGGGTTGGTTGGTTGATGGGTTGTTGTGGTGGTGGTGTGGGTGTTACAGTTGGGAGGTTGTTTTTCCCTTTGAAAAGATCATTTGAACCACAATTTCCAATGTGCCCTTCCCATGCTACAGATTCACCTTCGCTTCTCATATCTTCCAATTCCATCATTTCCCTTTTTCTACAGAGTTGTTTTTGCATTTCCCGAAACAACCATGTTCCTGGAAGTGCTTCCAAAGATGTCATTCCTGATTGATTGTCCTTTTCCTGGTGTATTTAGTCGTGTGATTTCTGTATCGTCGTTTCGTCATGTACGTCGTGAAAAATTTGTTTCGTATCGATCATGTGTTGCAGTGTGAAAAGTATGATTTTCACCCTGGCTACGTAAGATCCAGTTTTTCTTTTTGTTGGGGGAGGGGGTTCTTGTTAAGCGTTGTCGTGACAAAGTATCAGAGCCGCTGATGGTAGAACGGCCGACCCTATTTGCCATCTCCGCCGCGAAACCTGACCCTTCTTACACACGGCTCTGTTCTTGACATGGGTATGAACGTGACTGTGGTCGCCAAATGATCGTCATTACCGTCCTCGGGTTTCTAGACCTGGACTTGGACCCTCGGCGCACGCTCAACGCCTTCCACGTCGTCAAGTGAGTGACTGTTCGATCGAAGTACCGTGGATCCGGTCTGGTAGCTGGGCCCGTGGTAGCTGTTTCGCTTTGTGACCTCGCCCACGCCGTCTCTAACTTCGCGTGGGCCGCTGATCTTCTGCCTGAGCTCCTCGCTGCGCTTCTCTCTCCTCTTCTCGCTCAACCGACGCTGCAAGCCTTGGATGCTCACCTGTCCAAGCTTATCCTGCCACCCTGGGAAGAAACGGTTGCCATGCGAGTCCACACGTTTCTCAACGCCCCAGGCCCGGCGGCCAGGACGACTGTTTGGAGCGCTGGAGGGCCTGTCCGGTTCCTTTTCGCGGTTCTTGCGATGGCGACGCGGCGATGAGGATCGATCCCGGCCAGGCCATCGCAGAGTACTGACGCTGTCGTGTTGGCGCGTGACACGTAGATTGCCACTCGGCGTGCGCTTGATTGTGCGACGTTCAGGTTCCCGAGTACCAGCTGACATATAGTGTGCCTCGCTGGTGATTGGCAGGATAGCAAAGGTTTGCTTCATGCGGGCAGACAGCGTTCGTCGCGGCGGCGGTGGTCGGGGAGTTTCGGGCGCAGGATAGCGATAAACCTGGTCGACATCATCGGGAATGTCATGCACCCAATCTTCGCCGTCTTCAAAATCGAAGTCGAACTGAGCAGATGCCGGCCGCCAGAATGGATGAAGTCTGTCCTCATCTGCAGGCGGATCTTCGATCGTCGGGTACTGGTGCCGAATAGCGTCTGGACCATTCTCGATATCAGGATTCTCGGCCGTATCCTTGCGGACGTTCCTCCCGAGCGAAAGCGTTCGCATCAGCAGCCCGGGACGTGAAGAACTGTTCTCGGAGTTTTTGCGCAGGCTGAAAGCTCGCTTGACTATCGATGGGCGCTTCTCGACAGTGGGAGGGTCGTCTGTCTCGAAATAATTGCCCAGCATCTTCATTTTCTCTGCTGCTGGCGTGAGACCAGAAGGCGTAGCTGGAATGAACTTGATTGCAGGAGGCTCAGGTGGTGCCCGTGGATTCCTCAGCGGACTATCCACGTCGTCCATAGAAAACTGAGGTTGGGGTGGTGTGACAGGTTCGCCGTCTGGACCAGTAGTAGTAATACTAGGTTTCTCAGGAGCGGGTACAGACTGTTCCTCGGTTTCATCTGTGCTAGCAGGCACCTCTTTCTCGGGCAGGTTTGCTTCGAACGCTCTAGACAAGTGGTTGACCATGAGCACAGATCTGTTCTGGTGAGGATAGATGCTCACCGCCATAGCTTCCGAAACCTCGGCTGCAGAATGCGTACCATTTGTTTCTACGGAAGCTATGGAGAACGGAGTGGTATGAGCTGTCAGTCGTTTGCCGAAGAAGGGGTCGCCGTTGTGATCAACCAGTGGCCTGTGATCATGTGCATCTTTCTCCCTGTGCGACTCCACGCAAATGGTGGGTTGCAGCTGTCTCTGATCCGAGTGTTCGCTCTCGGCGGGGATGTATTCGACGCCCGGCAGACTTGGCTCACGTTCCACAGTCACCTTTGGCGGAGGTTGGTTTCTCGTTTGCTGCTCGTTTGCCGCTTGCGCTGACTGCGCCGCTTGCAAAGCGTTGTGGAGTTTTAAGCTGTCAGCCGTCAGGGAACCAGTGCGCGATCCAGCCTGAGAGTTGGAACGAGAGTTACTTCTAGAATTATTCCTGCTAGTTGGAGCTGAGAGGGACGATGATCGAAGTGGCACAATCGGCGGATAATCCATGGTTCGTTGGTCGCCGGGAAGTGATCCGTCAGATCCCGACATGGACATGGCACGTCCCCGTCGGGATGTCCGCTCAACGATCGGCGGTGTCTCTTTTGCCTTGGCCTGATTCGAGTTTGAGGCGGGCACTGAGCTCAAGCTGTTGCTCCTCTGTGATCTTCGGCTGCTCGTTGACCTGAGTGAATGAGTCTCTGCAGATTTAATGGAGGCGATGCGATCAGGAATGACCACAACAGGGATTCCACCGCTTTTCCACACATCACGTCTTGCCTTGCGACTTGCAAGTGAGTTAACAGTTGCAGAGGAAGCATAGCTGTCAGTGCGGCCGGCATCCATGCCCATTCGTGGTCTGTGCCGCCTGATTGTCTCATCGAACCCAAGTGAATTCGCTGTAGAGCTTTTCGGGGAAATTTGAGGCAAGGATTCCCGTAGAGTTGATTGTTTCTTGACGTGTCGCAGCGTCTTGTGTCTCCGAGGAGGTGCATCGACCAAGATTGCCTCTACAACTGTAGAAACGGTAGATTTTGTGGACATGCCCGAAAACCTTCTCGTATCGCCTTGGACAGGAGAGTCCACAGCAGGCGCCGAACTCCAGCGCTTGCCCCGGTCGGGTGTTCCTCTGGGCGAAGAACGCATTCGCAGGTCCTGATGCAGGGGCATGGATCGCAAGGCCTTTGTCGCATTGGTCGGGGTGATTGGTACATCCTCGATGACTTCGGCAACTTTGTCTGCCGACGCATTTCCTCCAACCATTTTCGGCTTGGCCTGTCGCTTCCTCACAGTGACATTCCTCATAAGATTGTCGTCCCATTCCTGCTCAACCTCGTCGCCGGATGTGCCTCTAGAGCCCCATTCCCCATCAAAGGTGCCAAATTCTTGCTTGGTGCGTGGTGTCAGGTTGTCGTCCGATTCTAGACCTGGTCCCTGCCCTAAACCTAGCCCAAGGCTTTTCGACTTGTTTTGTCTTGAATTATTTGAAGCTTGCCGTACCGTATTTTGGGATGTCCTTCGAGAAGTAGTGTTTGGTCGCAAAGTAGATCGCCGATCGTCGTCGGACGAGTAAGGGTCTTCTCGGGCGGTTTTGAATGATTCAGTTCGAGATCCGGCCGTGGTGGCATTCGAAGCAATGCGCTCGTAAAGAAGCGGCCGAATCGCCTTGGGTCTCCGTGTCTGCTGTGGTGGTGTTACGTCGGGAGTAGGAGGGCTCCTCTGGTTTGGTGGGGTGCCCGGTAACCTCGTCGCCGAAGCTGAAAGACTGAGATTGGATGCCGACTGCGCTGGTGTTTCGACGTAAGTCGGACTCGATGGCTGGGCGGATTGACTACTGGATGAAGTGCGCGAATGTGCTGGCGGTGTTGGCGGCAAATCAGGCCCTACACTGCGACGAGCCTGTGAAGGGGGACTGGACAGTTGAGAGCTTGGCCTAGACCTGGACTCTGAGCAAGATGCTTTCGTGTCGATTGCTAACCTTGACCCATGAGACGCGCGTGGGTTCTGGTTCAAGTTGGATGCAATAGAGGGCGTGCTATTTCTAGGATGCGGAAGGTTTTTATGTCTGCGCAGAGACCTCGGGCCAGTAGAATCCACCGTCGTGGATGAGCTGTCAAAAGTGGGAGGGTCAAAATAGAGCCCAGCCTGAGTCGTTGGCGGCAAAACGGTCTCGGTTGAAGAGAGCATCGTATCCTTTCGTGGTTCACACCACGTCCCAGTCCCAGTCGTGATTAGTTCACTCATAAAGCGCTGCTCCACCGAGTTGTCTTGGGCATCGTGATAGATCCGGAAGCAAATCAACTCAAATCAAATCAAACCAAGTCAAGGTCAATCCACCATACGTAGTGCTGCTAAAGCTGCTGAGTAAGGATGTGTTGTGCACAAGGAGGACAGGATCGCAGTGTGGTCGATGTGGCCGCAGCAAAGGTCGAGGTTGCGTCACAAAAGTGCACTACTCCGAGCCAGCTCGCAGATGTTTCCTATCCTCGAACAGGTGATGGGCGTCCAAAAGTCTGGCCAGGAAATCCAAGACAAGAGGTTTACTAGTTCTGGAACAAGAAAGGGCGACAGGCAATCCGGCGTATTTAGGCCAGACAAAAAATTCCAGTCTCAGAATTCGCAGCACATCATCCCAAACGCATATTTGGCTGCAGGCGGTTTGGTTCGTTCGTCTCTCTGATGCTGGGGGGAGGAATGAGATGGCACAGCTTCTGCGACCCCCAATGCTGCTGACTCTGCTGCCGTGCTCTTCTTATTCGTCGTGCGACTTTGTTTCAAGTTGGGAGGACGGGCGGTACCGAAAGTATCTACAACTGTCTTGGAGGTTCTTTTCTGGCAGCGGCTGACATGTAAGTGTGCCGCTCACAAAATCAAATCAGGAATCCGAAAAAGCAACGTCGTGCGGATTGGTTTTCCCAGGCGCAAAAGAATACGTCCAATTCCCTGTTCAGGTGGACAGAGTGGGCTGGTGGCTGGGGGGGATTCGATTCATGTTCATGGGGTCCTGCTCCCAGACGGGTACATGTTTCTTGGGGTCATAGAGGCTAATACAAAAACAGAAGCGCCCATGTACCAAAACGTCAACTGGGAGAGCGGGAACCATCAAGCAGCCTGTTCGCGGAACACAGGGAACGATGCGTTGATACTCGGCGGATCGTTCAAAACACGGCTAAGGTTATGGGGGATACCTGCAGCTTGGGTTCGCATTGCTTCATCTGTCTGCTTGGCGACAGTCCCCAAACAAAACAAAGAAAAACCCAATTCACTGCTGTTGATTGTCAACCCCGGGGGGCTGTTCATCGCCGACAAGTATGGAGTACTGTCTGGTCTCCGGAATACCGAGAGCTGCTTGGTTCACGACCCACGGAGGGAAACTTGCGTGCGCACTTCCAGCTAGCTAACTTAAACTGCTACTTTCTTTGGTGTGCTCGGCTAGTACCATACCATGCAAAGCCTGCAGCTATTGTGCTCCACGAGCCTTTGCCTTTACGAGCGCATGGTGACTATTCTTGCAGGAGCGACTATGTCACCAGGACAAATCAGCTTCTGAAAGTGCTCGAAACCGTGCTGCCATCTTGCCAGACCTGCAGTCTGCAGGCCAAGATGACGAATCAGAACTCACATCCCAAGGCATCTAAGCCGGCGCATGCGCTTCGCCGGCCCCAAGAGCCAACCTACGACTGCAACAATGGGGGGCTGGGCACCCAGAAACAGGAGGTCGATAAAGAAAAATCTGCGTCGGCAGCTCACTAACCATAGACTAGCCTGCACTACTGGAATCGTTCGTTCTCGAACCGTTGGATCTCTTTCAGTGCTACATACCTGTAACAGTATCATCAAGGCTTTGTGAGCCCTGGATGCAATTGTCAATGTTCTGGGCGGGGGGGTTCGAAGTTTATCGTTGGCGCTCTGACGCAATCTAGCTCTGCCAAGACAACAAGGGAAGTGCTTGCATGACAAGTTCAGATAGCGCCGGCCCCCAGCGGATGTCTTTCCACGATAGACTGGCACGTGCTAACTGAAACAGCGTTTTCTCTTGCGCCCACAACCTGAGGCAGCAAATATCATGTTGGGGCTAGCCGTCTAGAACATTTCCAGAACATTATCTCATTCGCCAGCGTTCGGATCGCACACTTTCTTCTCGCAAACATGGGAGAAGTCTTGGGGAAGTTGGCGAAGCTTCGCTCGATAAGTTATGTATACTACAGCAGGCGTGTCAGACTGCATTTGGTAGGTTGTCAGGTTTCTGATAGAGTTAACACTCTTTTGAGGCGGCTGGACGATTGTTCTGCGAACCTGCGGACGACTAGATTCCAGTCCGGAATATACGGAGCGAAGCCTCGGTCCCTGTCATCCTGCGCTGTCTCTTCAATGCTGTTCTATTCAACGGGGATCGACACAAAGACGGACTTGGGATAGTTATAGTCCTGGGGCTTCGATCCTATTGCCCCTATCGATGAACTGCCACTCGCTCACTCTGAATCTTTTGTCTAGCCGGAGATCACAAAACAGGATTGTAATACATATTGTTCATACCTGCGTCTCCCTAGAAGTAGCCGATGCGTTGTCCTATCTCACGTCAATTCGATCGAGCTGCATTACTCCGGCAGTTCTTATCAGTGCTCGCCATGAACGTTATTCTCCATGCTCGGAGCTACCCCACATTCACCATTCCTATACTGCCAGGCTAAGTTCTATCTAGGATCTCCAATTCGGGGTAGATGCAAGACTTGCTGCTTGACTTCCGAATCTTGCAAAGCTCTGCATGGTGTCTCTCTGTCGCCCCTAGCTGATCGCCGATAGATTCTCGATCTTGCATCGGAGAGGAGCCGCTGAAGAAGAAGAACACTGTATCTGCAGAAGGCGGCCCTTCGGAGCTCCTGCGAAGCCAGTCAGAGCTTGCATACACAAAGCTGTTTCGAGAGAAGCTTTATCTATAAGCGCGCCCCGCAGCAGACGAGGAGCTATGTCATCTTATATTCGAGAGCCAACGAGCGCTTCATTTACATAACAGCAACGGGCTCCGTGACAGGATGCATGCTCTACTGTGAGCTTATCACCAAGAGGGGCTTTTTTGGGGGGTTAGAGAGACGGATCAGACAGCTCATTCGCCTGGCTGGGCCCCGGCATTGGAATTCGATGCGTTGTTGTGCATAGGAGACATGTCATCGTGCTGTAGAACCGGAGGGGTCACTGCTTTCAACTCGTCTGCTATGTCATTGGACAATTGGAAAAATTCCTACAGAGTACTCTTGCTTGGGTTTCTTAAATATCAAACTCAAAACCCAATCCCACTCATGCTTTTGGCTTTCTTTAGGTTACAACCTTAGTGAATATATGAGCTAGGGTCAGAGTAAAAAAAAAAACAATGTTTGCTTCGCTCCTAATACTCGGCTTTGCGGCCATCGCTGCAGCTCATGGAGGACATGACGACCAGGAGTCTCTTTCGGGCCCTCATGAGTCCCTATGGTATAACTCTCTTCCAGGAGACGGTGGAACACAGGTCCGTTCTAGACCGTGCTTACGTCCATTGACAACTACCAGCTAACCTTAGAACATGAAAATTGTAGGCCGACTCTGTCTTCTCTGGCATCTCCACCTTCGGACGTCTGCCCTACCAGCCTTGCCTGAGCCAGCGTGATGCTGAATATGACATTGCCTTCATCGGTTGGTTGAGAGACATCCTGTGCCCCGATAGCCCGATGGCTGATCGTATATAGGTGCCCCCTTCGACACTGGCACGTCATATAGGCCCGGTGCCAGATTCGGTCCGTCAGGTATCCGGCAGGGATCTCGGAGGTTGAACTTATAGTATGATCTAGATAAACCAGAATACTTGGGAATGTGCTAACCTCGTATCCCAGCGGAGGTTATAATGTGCCACTTGCTACGAACCCCTTCAATAGTTGGGCGACAGTGCTGGACTGTGGAGACATCCCAGTTACATCGTATATTTCCCACACCAGCCCGGATCTCTCGCGCATGTGACATGGGGCTAACATGCTTGTAGCTACGACAACAGCTGGGCATTGAAGCAGATTGAGGAAGGACACTACCACATCCTGTCCCGTCCGCCCAAGACGGATGCCAAGAAGGCCGGCCCGTCAAAGAGAGGCAAGACGCTGCCTCGCGTCATAACCCTCGGCGGAGACCACACCATCACGCTGCCGTTGTTGCGCTCCATCAACCGTGCCTACGGCCCGGTCTCCGTCGTGCACTTTGACAGCCATCTCGACACATGTAAATGACTCTAACCCCCGCCCCTACTATTCGAATCGTCTTAATATTTTTTCTTCCGTAACTGACGCGCCCACGCACGAGACAGGGCGTCCCAAGGTCTTCGGCGGCTCGCCGTCCGAGGTGGCGAGCATCAACCACGGGACGTACTTCTACCACGCGTCGCAGGAGGGCCTGCTCCGCAACGACTCCAACATCCACGCGGGGATCCGGACGACGCTGTCGGGGCCCTCGGACTACGAGAACGACGGGTACTGCGGGTTCGAGATCGTGGAGGCGCGGGAGATCGACACCATCGGGACGGAGGGCATCATTCGCCGGATCGTCGACCGCGTCGGCACCACCAACCCCGTCTACCTCTCCCTGGACATCGACACGCTGGACCCGGCCTTCGCGCCCGCCACCGGCACCCCCGAGACCGGCGGGTGGAGCACCAGGGAGCTAAGGACCATCCTCAGGGGCCTGGAGGATCTGAACCTGATTGGTGCCGATATTGTCGAGGTTGCGGTGAGTAAAAAGAAACCGACTAAAGTCACAATACCTGGTGAGTTGGCGAAGTCTGAACGATGAACTGACGTGGATCACCAGCCTGCATATGATACGAATGCTGAGCACACCACCATGGCCGCTGCCGATGCCCTCTATGAGATCATGAGTATCATGGTGAAGAAGGGACCCCTCAGTAAATCTATTGAGGACAAGGACGCGGGAGAACTTTAGACAATTCCCATGATTGTGATCGAGCAAGGCATCGAAGGCGGCGGGGATGGTGAAGTGTCGGTGAATTGTAGATAGCTTTTGGGATATGATTGGTGACGGCATATCGTGGTGACTAGCAGGCATTATACGAGACTTGATGCCGTGGAGCAAGATATATCGTAAAATCCAAATTAAGTCGTTCAAGGTACATTTAGCGTCTCGCCTGATGATATACAATCGTCCCCCCTCCCCCCATGTGAGCAATACGGGGTTAGTACAGACAAGCAATCGGACACGTGAGAACACAGCATTAGGCCTTTGAATCACATCACAAAGTCATGGTCTGCTGTATCCAAGGTTTACTGAAGCAATCATTAATGTTTTTTTCATTCTGGCCCTCGGCAAAACCCTGGTAGCGCGATGACTCGGCCTCGCTCTCAAGGTAGTGCGTCGTGGGGAGTGAGTCCATCCATACGTCCGAATTTACGCCACTTCAACGCACCAATTTTGCAGCCTATATTATCAATGACGATTACCGACAAAAGCGATCCTTCTCCATCATCCGGCTATGTATTCTTTAGTTGTGGCAAAACAACTGAAAATATCAAATGTGTTTCCTACCGAACGCCATGCTTGTCTGTCCATGCTGACAAAGAGAATGAAGAAAACCAGATTCATACCGGGGTATATTGCATTCATAGAAACTCGTGATATTCATGAGGAACAGAGAGAGGGAGAGACAGAGAGAGAGAGAGGGAGAGAGAAAAGGAAAATTGCGCCGAATGACCAATACTGAAAACGAGTTGCGATACAGTTCTGGAACGCAAAAGATGTCGCATGTGCAAAATATTCGAGTCAAAATGTGCCGCGATAGTTGAGGTATGGCAAATACTGCTACACGATCAATCGTCCAAGCAGATGACTTCAATTTGAGCCCGATTTCGTTGAGGCGTGTGACTCATAGTTCTGGCAGTTGCAGACCTGGCTGCTGAAGCTTCTCGAGCGTTTCCGTTGGGACTGGCGTCTTCATCACTATCGAAGTCACTATCATCGTTAGGGATTACAGCGCTCCAGGTGCCATCTGCGGTGACCTTGATCTCTTTGACACTCAGTAGGTCCTGTTTTGCCAGCGTCTTCCTGACTTCCATGAGAAAGCCGTCAATGCGCAAGCTGTGAGGGCGTGCATCTCCTTGGCAAAGCGGACATTTCCACTTATCCACAAGTGACGGTTCCTTCGGACATAATTTGCAATCGGAGGCTTTCTTGGCACCGCAGGTACACAACCTTTTTCCAGGGCGGGTCTCTAACCAAGTGTCCAGATCGAAGCATTCAAGGTGGGAGCAGTTCTTTCCCCGAGCTGGCGTCTTCCAAAGATTAGAACTGAACGGGTCCGCAAGGTTGATGGTAAGATCACTCGTGACCATCGCGATCTCGTCGTCGTCGGTATTGGACGAGCCGCCGAGGCGTCGCTCAATCACTGCACGCGTTTGCCCAACAGGTATAATAGCATCTGCACATAGATTGGGTAGAGCTTTGATGGAGCTGTGGCTAAGAGTTTCAAGGACTTCGATGGCTACGAACGGCATCGCGTTGTTGTCGAATGTCTTATGTACAGGAACTGATACATGGAGGACGTTTTCACCCGGTTTGATAAACTTGCCGATCTCCAGTGGTTGATCCCTGGCGTGGTGTTGCTTTCGTTTGATCGCTAGTAGGTGCTGGTTTAGACGTATATGGATGTGTTCCGGCCAGTAGCTGTCGGCAAGCACCCAATCATCTTCGGAGATAGAGTGAGCAGCCTTTCTGTCAAGACATACCCGTAGCCTCATGCGTAAAGAGCCGTCGAAATAAAGATTGGCCTCTGGAGAAGACTCGCCTATGCTGCCATCTCTAGATATGTTATCACATTCTTCCTGGGGTATGTTAAAAGTAAAAAGATGCAAAAACTTTTGCTGAGGTATCGATGCAGGCTGTAAAGCCAAATATTTCACGAACTGGTAGTAGCGCTCTGGAGGGCTGGAAAAGCCGATACCCCTTAGCAACCTTTTCGGACTCCGCAGGTGAGCTTGATGAAGGGACATTTCCAGGGACTTGCGCTCATGAGGGCCGTGAGGATATTGTGCTGGAGGTATTTGACTTGGTGTTGTGCGTCTATAATCGACAACCACATTGCCGTTCAGACTCCCTTGATGTAACGACCGACCACTAGAAGCCTGTGGTCGCACATTGCTTTGTCGTACTAGGCCTACATGGTTCATGACTTGTATGCCTACAAGATACTGCCGTTGTTGCGGTGTCAAAAAAGTCTGTTGGATAGCAGTGTTGTCCAGTGGCGAACTTTGGTTGGAAGGAACCTCATTACTAACATTTTGCAAGTTAGCAAGTACATTTGGTGAAGTTGCTTGTCGTAGATGAGGAGACACCTGCGAAGCATTTGTCTGAAGATGAGGAGAAGAGCGCCCGGGGATTCGCGCCTGGTGCATTTGGCTGGTGTTATTTTGGACCGGAGAGCCACGCCTTGGTTGCGGCAATGCTACTAGATTCTGCATCTGGGGCGATTGTGAGTTGGACACCTGAAAGTTCTGCGAAGTGCGCCTGGTCTGTGTGTTTTGTGGATAGTCATAAACAGCAGGCGGCGAAGGTTGCGCCATGCCAGCATACTGAACTGAGCGACTAGGTGGTTGGAAATATTGACCTTGTGCAAGAACAGGTGACTGCGTTGGTGACGCCACACCTGCAAATTGACCGTTGGTAGGCGATACCATACCCGCATTGCCTTGCAGTACAGGGTATTGCGTGGTGGGAACATGGTAAGATTGGGCGGAAGCCTGCTGAGCAAACGTAGAGTTGCTGCCTGCTGAACTCGCGGAAGTAAATTGAAAGCCTCCAGGTGATTGCGCAGACTGTCCATTGCTTGGTATCACTGGTGACATTGTACCACTTGGACCGTATCTTGTGGCAGCTGAAGCATTGCTAGAATTGCTGGATAGTTGTCCCTGCAGATTGGTTGGAACTGTAGTGTGCTGCTGATGTTGCTGGTAGATTGCTTGCTGTCCAGGTGTGATGGGTAGGTGCTGTTGCTGTTGCTGTTGTTGCTGTTGTTGCTGTTGCTGCTGTTGATGTTGTTGATGTTGCTGCTGTTGATGTTGTTGATGTTGCTGCTGTTGACGTTGTTGATGTTGCTGCTGTTGATATTGCTGATATTGCTGATATTGCCCCTGCGTTGGCCCATGTGTTTGCGCAACAAGCATTGTAAACTGCCGGATCAATACGGCATTAGAGGGCTCGTTGTGGAAGTTATCGGTAGCCCTTGCGGCGAAGATGCCATTGACATCGAGGTGCGCCATCTGATCCTGTTTGAATAGATCATCCATCTTTTCCCCAATGGGCCCATCTGTCACACCCAGAGTCCTTCTCGATGCCCTGAACACTATGGTTTGAAGCGTGGTAGAAAACAACCCAAATATGGATAATAACTCGTCCATAATCAATGGGTAGCCCAACCGTCTGTGGTCGTGATTTATAATCATCCAGCCTTGGGATAACTTGGTCAGAAAGGAGAGGACTTGTGAAGCTGTACGCGCATAGACTGGGACCTTAGTGCGGAGTATTTCTAGTGAATCAGGGAAGGTTCTGAAGAATTTAGCATGCTCAACGCCCAGCTTGGAATTGCTCTTCAGTAGTGTACCCATAAGTCCAAATGCATTGTCTATGAGGTTTGGATCTTTGTTCTCGGCAATACACAGATCATCTTCAGTCTTGTCAGCCACCATCATCTAATCTCAGTGTAATCATACAATTGAACGGTGGGAATTCACTTACGAGCTATACTATTATTGCATGACCAAGAGCAGAAAATTTGATGTAAAACAATGAAGAAGAGGTCTCCTGTTATGCAAGCATTGTATAGTAGTTGATAGCGAGGTCGTTCCAGTTCTATGTTCAGCCGTTCTTCGCCTCCACTGTGCTCTATTTGAGCTTGAAGGGTCTTGAGTGCATTTAAATTCGACAGGATATTTTGCGCCATATTCCTAGCCAGCGATCTCCGGTTAGCGATTCGATATTGTCACAAGTATAGAGTACGACTCAGTCAACTGTGGGGCCAAGATTGATCTTATGAAGCGCCCCAAGGACGCCCGTTCCACTCAAAGGATGCCTGGCAATCTTGCAAGATGATATCAATAAGCTGTACTCACCCTACACGTCGCCTCTTGGTTGGAGGCTCTTGATTCCCATTCCCATCCCCAGTCCCATTACCATCCCCGTTCCCGTCTGGTAATAAAGGGAGAGTCGCCGTCATGGGCGTCAAGGATGATGCACCGGGGGTCGGCGGGGTTTGGAGTGCTGCAGATCCTGCTATAGTTGGGGAAGAAGGACTTGAAGTGTTGCTGACAGCCTCGTTCTTCTCGGCGGCTGCTGCTGTTCCATCTGCTGAGGACGTCGTGTTTGATTGTTGAATCAAGTCGTACGCATCCAAATCACCCGTGGCAATTGCAACGGTGGCGGTGACAAGCCCAAAATGTGCCGTAGTGACCGGCGCAGAAATCGCAGCAGCGTCCGGGGCGGGTGGATGATTCCGGGTCGGACTGGAAACCTCGGTCAACGTAGGAGCCACCGGGCTCGGTTCGTCGCTAGGAGCAGGGGAAGGAAGGACAACAGAGGCAGTTGATGATCTGAAAATACGAGTTTTGTGATCAGCAGAATAGTCAAGATTATGACAAGATGACAGGTCAGACAGTTGGGCTGGCAGCCTAAGTGGCGCATGGAGATGTAAACAAATCGCATTCACTGCACGGTACAGATGAAAGCAACCGGCAAAAGTGGATTCTTACAATGTGGTTGTCTGCGCTAAACCAGATGGTGATGGTCGCGGAGACAGCTGAGAGGGAACCGGTGCTGCCGCTGCTGTTGGCGTGACTTGGGTTGCTTGCGCGAGATTTGCAGAAGGTTTCCGGCGTTGCTGAATTGGTTGCGGTTGCGGTTGCGATTGCGATTGCGATTGTTGGGAGTTCTTGGTTAAGCGGACGGCTGGGAGTGTAGGCAGGAATTCCTTCGGAGGCCGAGTAGCAGGACGGGGGGTCGGCTTGACAGGCAAAGCAGTATTCATCCAAGACGGCTGACGACGGCCTCCCCCCAGAAATTGGTTGAGAGTTTTGTTGGATGCATTGTACTGGTGCTCTGCCGACTTGGTTCTGGTCGTGGGTGCGCTTCTACCTGTAGCTGCTCCTGTTCCTGTTCCTCCTGCACCCGTACCCGAGCCCGACGAGGAGCGATGGCCTTCAGCTGGCGCCATCACACTTCAGTTAAATATGATGTGCTTCATTGCATCCAAGCAGGGCCTGAGACACCACTCGGAATGAAGCTCGATGACGGAGATTGAAATGGAAATTAAGCCCTCGACTCTCTGAAACGTTCAAAGTGGTTTTTTTTGGTCGATTTCTGTACTAAAGAAAAAGAAACGTCAGGTGAGGGTGAAGCCCTGTATTCAATGTTGCAATACGGCATTGGTCAAGTGATTGAAGTCGGGAATCAGGCAAAGCCAAACAAGCTCTTGGAGGACAAAACTGATGCCAAGCCGGGGAAAGAAAAGCCCCAAACAGGACATGCCCTCCTGTGAGTGCCACGGCAACGAAAAGGCCTACCGTAGAAGTGACCAGCCGATGTGCAACTGTAAATGCAGACAAGGAGATGCGTTTGAACTTTTTTTGTGTGTTCTTCAGTCTGTCAGGTTCACATTTCCATCCCTTACAGAGAGATGGTCTTGATGCCTTTTTGAGTGAGGCTGCACCCTTTGGGCACGCGCTCATCAACTCCCGTCATCAATCTGGGAGATTGTAACCTTAAAGCTCGAGGTCATTAGACTTTGGTTGGCCAGAAGGCGCGATAAAGCTCTGGCAACGCGCATCGCCAGCGCGCAAAGGCTCCAGCTTGTTCGATGTTATCAAGATGCATGTTTTTAGAACTTGCTATGGAAAGTGCGCATTTTGTGCTCTAGTACTCCGTACTAGATACCACCTCGGTCTTGGCAGCCACGTCGAATGTTCAGGATACGCCTGCGACTTGCTCTGTCGGACCAGGGCTTGACTTATTATCAACGCTGGCACTTTTCCTGTTCTTGATACCTGAGCCGCATCAGAACACTAAAACCCAGGAGCAGGACAAGCGCCGCAACTGCTATTCAAGGCACTCCCAAAAAAGTAAAGAAAAAACGAACTCTAAAAGCAGGGTGAGGTTAGGTACACGATGTTACAATCACACAAAAAGTATGGTTCAAGTTGGAGACAGACATGAGACGCCAAGTTGTGTAGTCAGTGTATAATGAACCATATTCGCGATCTGGCATACCGCTAAATATATAGATCAATGAACCACGATAACGTAGCGGATACCACTCAAGGTTAACCACATTAAGTACATGCAATTTCGAGACAAAAACAAAACGCGAAGAACACAATGCGTAGAACCGATCGCTCCCTTTCGATAGTATGCTCTCCTATGGTCACAGCTATTAGCAACTATTGCAAACAAATCAATCCAAGACAAAAGAGCCAAACATAATTGAGCATGAGTACGGATCCGTAGATCATTTAACGTCAATGGAAATCATGTGACCCTAGGTGTGTTACACTGGAGATGGCCCCTGTCAAGAAAACGTTTACAGTACAATCAAAGATAGGATGTGCTTGTAGAAGAAGTGCGACAGAAGAACCACGAAGCATAATTCATATAGTTGCAAGGAACATCTCATGGATCCTGCACCACAGTCTCATACGGTTAATCGACATAAGCCTAACGAGATAGACTACGCTAATGATGCCATATTCTCCAACGTACCACAGCAATATATACCCTAGACCTTGTAATTACATAATTACTACATATGTACTAAATAATTTATTGGTTCGGTAATGCGTACGTACTATGTCCACCAGATGTTATCACGTTCTGTCAATTCTCACATGTCCAGAATACGACCAATGTTTAGAAGCAATCCCGAGTCTGACCGTCAACAACAAGATCTTTCATGGTTTAGCCCAGCGAAATCCTGGCTGCGTAATCAGCATTGGCATTGACATTGGCATTGTAATTGCTGGATTCCCATGCTCGCCACGCGGCATGATGATAAGGGTCGCCGTTCGTGGGGGGGGGGCGAGGGGGATTGGGCGAGAACTCAAGGATATATTGTAAGCGACGAGCCAGGGTCCCTTACACGAATTGTGACGCGAGATGGTAATATTGAAAATGACGAAGATGGGTACATAAAACGTAGTCGTGATCTCTTCTCACCTGGGCCGTACTGTAATACCTGGCCGAAATTGAGACAATGCGAGGGGCAGGGGTATGTATAGTACATAGTATTGTTCTCGGACGCTTTTCGCAAGCTCCAGTAGCCAGTAACTACCTTTCGGCCCGCCTCAGCCAACAGCCCCGGGTAAAACGATTGTTCATTATGTTATTAGTGTGTTATTAGTAACAGGTCGAAACATACCAGACCATGTTGATTTTGAGAAAAGCCTGAGTCATTGAAGCCCTAACTTGAGACACTCGGGATCGTGATGATCAAAGCGGGTGGTTGATTTACTTACAGCTACAGTATCCTCCTGCTGTGCTACATGTAGCCCGGGACCTGATAAAGGCTCCAGCTATCGACATTTGAAAAGTGGACGAGCTCTAGAAAGGGTCGCTATTTCCCCTGGTCTAAGCTGGGACGGCCAATAGCGAGAGCCCACGCTCGCAGGGTACGCCGGATTGGCTAGCTGTCCCTCCAATCAGCAAGTATAGTAAGAACAAGACAAGGGGCTACAGTGTCCCACGGCCGGAACTGGGGTGGGACTTTGATGCTGGGTGAACAGGAACTTGAAGACTAGTTAGGATATGCCAAGAGCGTGTCGCTACTGCAGTTCGACCCTGAACGAAGCCAGAACAGGGAGCACGGTACACAGTAGAGGAATGGAGCAAGCACACTTGCAGCGCTACCGAATTCAGTTTCTGTTCACAGGCAAACTTTAAGCCCAAAGGGGGCCCATTTTCCAAGTAGAACCCAATCACGGCTTGAAAGCAAGTGCCCCTCTCCGATCCTCCCCCAGCCCAGCCCGAGGCCAGCCCAAGCCCAGCTGCAGCTCCAGTACTCCAGCCCCAGCCCCAGTTGTATGTAGTTCAGTTTAGTGTAGTGGCCGCTGCAACTGGCCTTGATGTCTTCCATCGAAACCCCCGGTTGAAAGATGTTGTCTTGCCTGACTCCTCCTCACTGCTGCCATTCACCTTGCAGAGTTTGAATTCGCAGACAGACTTGCCACCTGACTGCTGCAAGCGAGCAACTCTTGCGTGGACTTGCGACAGTAATAAAATATCGCCCAACCTCATCTGGAACAGCCAGCCAGCGACGCACTGTACGAGGGCAGGTGTACCGCGAAAAGCGCCCCAGATTACATACATAGGTGTCTTGTGCGACGGCAGGAGAAATACCATAGGATCAACCCATCAACCATCCTATCCTGTCCTGTCCTGTCCTGTCCTGTTCAGTGCACCGTCGCTACTTGTACTTCTCACTGCCGCAAAACCTACGCAGCAGCAGTCCAAGATCAACTCCAGACTCCAGCCCCGACCTGGCCCTGGAGCGAAACAATCTCCTCCTGAGCTGAATGACGTTGGGTTACTACATAGTTCCGCCCGCCAACTAAATCCAAGTCGTCGGCTTTTGGACACGACGACGACGAGAACCACGACCGCTCCACGACTGGACGACTAATTGATTCAAGACCCCCGGCGGTGTTAAGCAATTACAGAAACATTGGATTACTCGATATACATAGACCGTCCGGTCTGGTTGCAGTCGCTATCCCCAGCCCTTGATCGCATTATTCCTACGGAGTGCCTCGGACCCAAGTGCTACTTGCATGCCCGATGAAACATTGACCGAATCAGAGACGCCGCGTTTCCCACAGCTACAGCCTGCCGTTTGACAGTGAGCCATCCTGCAAGAGCAGTGGCCCTGTTGTGGACCGACACGGCTCGTCTTCGTTATTGCTCCTTTTTGAGCAACGCGCAAACGCCTCCCCCTCCCGCCAAACCTCAACCTTGGCCTCTGGAGTTCGTGATAGACTCATGCGATCCCCGGCAGCATACCCGACTAGGCTCTGCTTCTGAGTACGCGACAAATCTTGCGGCCTTTCCGCAGTACCACGGTTGTTTGTGATATTGCTTGCTAGGACATGAGCCATGGCGACTCCTGGCTTCCAGCCAAAGCCCGATGCGGGCGATATACTCCTGGTCATCCGTGAGTCAAGCCCATCCAGCAATTTTTGTTTGTTCATTTGTTTTTTTGGTCTCGTGGCAACCCTGTCTTCTGTTTCTGCAGGCCGCGAACGCCGTGGTTGCACATCGCGTTGCGTACATGTTGCGACGGACCTAGTCCTTTGACGATGCATCGCGCGAGATTCTTTTCTTGTTGTTGTCCGAAATCGCCAAGGATGAATGAATTGACGTGTGCGTTTTTTTCTACAGATGACTTCATTGCTAGAAGTTCCGATGAGCTCAGTTTGGCCAAGGGCGATCGAGTTGAGTTGATCGAGCGTGATGATGAATTCGGCGACGGTTGGTTTCTGGGTCGTCATTTGGTCAACGGCAATAGTGGCCTGTTTCCTGAAGGTATGCGCAATCCGATCAATCAAATCAAGGAAAGAAGCCTTTGTAGCTTGAAGCTCTGCCCTGCTCTTCTTGCAAACCCCAGCAACAGACGAGCAAACAAACTCATCAGTCAACACCAACTGACGCTTTTTCGCAATCACAGTCTACACCCGGCCAGCTCCAAGAGGCTCCTCTCCGATGACAGCATCAGCACCGCAGCCACTGCCTGTTCCGCAGCCACTAAGCACGAATGGCATTGCGACCGAGGCCAGTCGGGCACATTCGATATCAGCTTCTAGTGATGGCCGACCCGGAACGTCGCATACTACAACCTCGTCCAAGGTTGACTCCACGCCCATTCTTCCCTTGAACGCCACCAAACCAGAGAGCAGTCCCATCACTGCCTCCGCGCCGCTCGTCAGCAAAAGCTCAACGGGCCCATCCACCTTCAATGGAATTGGGCGCCCCCATAATGACAGCGCTGTGCTACACGAGACTTTGACCGTTATTGACGAGCATATGAACGACTTGCATTCTACGCCGAGCACAGGAGCCCTGCACAATGCGAACGACTCTAGCAGCGAGTACAGTGCTCCGCTACACGACCGACTATCGTACATCCAGGGCGAAGAGACCGACGAGGAAGAGGAGGACGTCCACACGCGGCCTCAAGTCGAAGCATGGAATGCCGATGACGTGGCTGAGTATCTGTTCACTTCCGGCGTGGAGAAGAAGCATTGCGAGGTTTTCAGAGATCAGGAAATCTCAGGCGAAGTGCTCTTGGGTATGGACCAGTCTTCACTCTTTCTGAAGGCATTTGATCTGGGCTCGGTGGGCAGAAGACTCAAGACATGGCAGAAGATCAAGTCCCTCCAGGACGAGGTGAACGGCATAGGACAGACGACGCGACGAACGACACAAAACTACGGGAGCGAGGCCGGCAGTGAGGGAAGAGTCCGAAGCAGGGCAGGCACTCTAACGCAAAAGCCATTCCCGACAACAGAACGCGCAGCATCTGTCGCTGGGAGGCGTCTATCGCAGACAACGCCCTTGATGGACCCCGTTTCCCCGATCACGCCGGTCTCGGCCCAAGGCTTCGACGACAGTCCAACGCGGCCAAGCCATCAGAAACGCCCTTCTGCTGCTTCAATTAGGGACTTGCACCATTCGCGGCGTCATTCCTCAACAGTTGACAGCCGTTTTACTGGCAACACCTTGGTGAACAACACTCCCAAATTAAATGCGTCGGGGACATTTCCTTTGGCTGGGGTCGGAGCCGGAGCCGGAGTCACACACAAGAAGCAGCCTTCGTTTGACCGCAACTGGACTATGGGTAATGCATCTGGCTCATTCTCTCAGCGGCCGCTGTCTGCTTCTGGCTTCCAGGGCTTGAATGTTTCTGATGAGAAGATCGCCGAACAATCAGCAACTGATCTTGATCGTGGTTATTTCTCCGGTACGGAAGTGGATAATGGGCGGAAGCGAAACACACTTAAGAAGCGTGATACAATTTCCGGACACTCTGCGAAGAGCAGCTACGCAGACGAGCAACGCATGAGAAGTGCAACAGCACTAGCCAGACATTCAAGATTTGGTAGTATGGACTCGGTTTCTGGTGGTGCCGCATCCAAGTATTACGGGCTTTCCAATCCTCATCGGCGAACAGCTTCAACTGCTACCACCGAATCTGTACGACCCGTGCCGCCTAGCAAGGATTACCCGACAGTGACCAAGCTAGACCAGCTCACAGGATCTGCCTCCCCAATCCCACCCGCGGTCAGGCACGAAGCGAAACCTGCCAAAATGTCCGGTTTCGGCGGTCTGAGGGCCATATCAGATGCTGTTACCGGCAACGAGCGTGCCAAGTTCGCACCACCTGGAAGCGCAGGGTCCTTCAAGGACTCTCCGATGCAGTCGCCATCTACGAGAACTGGGTCTAGTACACCCTCAGGAGGCCCCAGCTTCGAGTTAGATTCTCCCGACGCGGCCAAGAGCCCAATATCTGCGAGTACAGTCAACAGCTTGACCGCGAACAAGAAGCCGACAAAGAAAGCCAAGAAAGAGACTAGCGCGTACCAGCGTGGTCTGAACAAGATTGGCCCAAAGGAAGCTATAAAGGACGCCGATTTCTATGGTTGGATGAGGAAGCGAAATGCCAACATCATGTCAACCTGGAAACCAAGGTTTTTCGTCCTCAGAGGACGTCGCCTCGCCTACTACTACTCAGAGGATGACACCGAGGAGAAAGGAATTATAGATATCTCTTTCCACCGGGTTCTACCTGCTAACGACGAGAAGCTCACGGGGCTGCATGCTACATTGACGGGAGCTAGCAACACCCCAGCAGCACCCTCAGACAGCAGTCTCCCAACGGCTGGCGGCAACAGCGATGATCTTCTGAAAGGGGATGACTCCATGTTCATCTTCAAACTACAGCCCCCACGTGCAGGTCTCTCCAAGGCTGTCACCTTCACCAAGCCAGTCATCCACTACTTTGCGGTGCCAAACCTACAGCAAGGACGGGCGTGGATGGCGGCGCTCATGAAAGCGACTATCGACCGCGATGATACTGTGCCGATGACATCTACATACCAGCAGAAGACGATCTCGCTCGCAAAGGCCCGGCAACAACGCCAAAGACCTCCTGCGCTCATGAATCTTGACGAAAAGGTTGAAGATGGCCCCAAGAATATCGAAGACGACGAGAAGAAGAATGGACTGGGCATATCTTTCGGCGACGAAGTCGATAGCGCTGTTGCCGGTTTAGAAAAGCTTGGTCTGCAACCACTGGAGAGTTCTTCGGCACGGAACCCGACGTTTGACGCCGAAAAGAGCGGCAGCATGCCGTTCCTATCTTCTCCGCAGAGCGCATAGGAAAAGCCTGCGGACACTGTGCGGCGTTCAGATCATTCGGTCTAGGGAACCATCAAGGGATCGATTTTACGGCTCAAGGTCCCTCGAAGAAAGAGCATTTGCGACATTTTCGACGTTCCAGCACAGGAGAATATTCCACCAATTCCTCGTCGAAACCCAAGACGTAACGGTAGGAACTATCAGCGGTCATTGTGGTCGCGAGGAATCAACTTCGAGAGTGATCAGAAGAGCATGTTTTCGTTTTTTCATCGAAAATCATCAGGATTGCCTCGAAGCTCTGTTGCGTATACGCCGCTTACCACTGATGGACTACCATGCCAGTGGAGTGGCTCTCCAATCACAAAGCCAAAAAGATTCCTGGAGTCCGCACGTTCTTGGCAAGCCGCCGATGGTACACCATTCTTGCCCGAGTATTATCACCCAATGCATCCGCCGCAGCAGCACGAAGTCTAGGTCTCTTCGCCTTCTGCAGAGGAAGAGCTAGTGGAGTCGTCACCATTATGTCTCGTGATGAGTGGCGCCCTTCCAGTATCAGGTTCATCATAGGAGCATGGGGCAGCAGGTCAGCTCTCCTAATACAACATATTCTTTCGTAATTCAATTTCTACCATGTCTATATTCGGAGCAGGGGAACGAAACCAGGGCATCGACGGCGTCTTCGGTAGCACAAAGAAGTGCAAAAGTCTTTTCAGTCCTCATTCATCACGGACACTGATGTCGTGTATGTTACAGCGATGGTTTTTTCTTTGTTTTCCCTTTCAATTTTCGAATAAGCAGATTGATGTGCATCATGGCAACTCAAGCTTATGAAATCCGTCACATAGAGTGATTTCCCATGGGTGGAGTTGAGAGTTTCTCTCCCCCCGTCGGAGGGAGAGAAGACAGGACAGCTATTGCTGTCTAGGAGCAGATGTCGTGCCCTGAATCAAATAAGTCTAATAATACATGTCAATCCGCTTCGGTACTCCCAAAATTCGAAATCATTTGCTCCGTAACAAAAATTAAAATTAAAAATAAAAAGGAAGAAGAAAAAAACAGTACGAACGTCAAGCTAATGTCGTAGATTTTTGCTACCCTAAACATCACCAGCTAACTTTTGTTTGAAATCCATGTTCGCACGCACATATATTTTATAGCTTTGAGTACCAGATCCAAAACCCCTTATAGAGCAGTCCCCGCCTCTGGCATCAACCAGTGATAGCGGCCAGGGCGACCACACTCCGTTTTGCAGGTTAACACAGATATAGCGAGGCACAGATCAGGGAGCATCCCGGTTGATTCCCGTCCCTGCACCTCTCAATCTCTGTCTTCTTAGTTCAGTGCTGCGATCAGATTGGCCACACATGCCAGGTAATAGTAAACGAGAAAACCCTCACTCCTCTAATCATTCATTACCGGATAGCTTGTGTGATTCTGGTCATACGGGAGGTGGTCAAAACTCGAGGCAGCCACTAACCTCCCCAATTTCTTGAGCATGCGTGTCTCCCCGGATAGCACTCCGCATGCCTGTTGTTATACACGTTTGGACGAATACGAGTTTATATGACCAGTATGATATTTTGCAGAACATTTCATTCTCGATCATCGTTTCCCCGTTCGTTCTGTTGGTCGTGATGCGCAGACATAATTGTCTCCTCAACAGCTCTTTATTGTCGCCCGCCATTCCTGGACACAATACTTTACGCAACACTGACGAAGGCTCCCCCAAGAAAGGAACACCTGGAAATAGGCAAAACTACCGATCCAGGGCCAGACGTGCATCATATGCATCGAGAGGAAGACCAGCCGCGGAGCTATATTGGGTGATGGGGTTGGGCAGGCGCCTCTCGCGATTAGTTGATAAGTCAGTATGGAAGTCACGATGAACGAACACAGTATGTCTGGTGTTAGTCGTTGTTGACATCGTCATCCATCAATACCGCATACATTCAACACAGCTCACCGGCATTCATCCATTCATACATACAGCAAACATCATATCAGCACTTACTACGTTTACCATGTCGTCACCATCTGGTCAACCAAGACCAAGGAGGAATTATCGTCGTCTGGACTTCATGAATCATGATAACGAAGACGTAGGTACCATCACCGCCGACACGCCACAGACGAGGAATCGGCCGAACGATGGTGGTCAGGCGCAGCAGCAATCTCTCGAGCCGCATAGCCAGCGTCAAGGTGACTGGACACCATACACCCTGGAGATTGCAATGCTGCAACCAGTCGCTACCTGTGGAGTGGTCTCGACTCTGCCGTCCGAAGACTGGATTGCAGATTCGATGGCGCGCAATCCACACATCGAGCCAATCATTGCCCCCTTTACAACCACAACATGGCCAACAGGGTCCTTGCCGGTCCTGAGGCGTCCGACGACGCACCTCTGCGGCGTCATGATTGACAACACCACTCCATCGCCCCGGATTTTGCTCATGCGGTACCCGCTAGAGTCGGATAGGCTGCTCCCGCACCTGACACGGATCGAAACGACACCGTCGGGCTCGTCGGGATCTAGACAGGCCCCCACTTTTCCCTACTCATTTCCCCAGACCGCGTATGGAAATGAGGATGATCTTACCTGTCTGCCCGAGGATGTTTTGACGGCACGAATGAGACAGATCACCGGCCATACGGTAATCCCGCTCATAGCCCGCTTCATCGACAAGTACGACCGCACAGAGTACCAGCCGTCGATGGTAGCGAAAACCTGGGCGATGCAGACGTGCTTCGACAACCAACCAGAGCAGGCGCAGGTCACCGTCTCGTACTACGCCTGTATCGCCCGTGAATCAGAAGTCTTACCTTCTATCCCAGTTTGGGATTCATTCAGCCACAGCCCGCACCCGATATGGGTCGATATCGAGACGTACGATAAAGATTTGGTGCATCTGGAGTTCAAGGACCACAAGTTTCACCACCGGAGGAGGATGGTTTGGTGGGCGATAGAACATCTTGTATGTAGCGGGCTTCTGACAGAGGACCAGCTAGGCAACTACAAACATGCGCGCCGGACGCTCAGGAATCGCCTGTCAGCCGATGTGAGAGAGGTAGGTTCGGGACTACTGAAGCCTGAGATGAAAGAATTGTTGGAGAGGTTTCAAAGGGAAGGGAGTTGGGTTCATCACTACTAGATGAATTGCTAGAGCTGAAGGTCAGGGTGATAGAATAAATAGACAATGAAGGCTTGTGGCGAAGGAATTATTAGGTTATTCTTCATGAATCCTCGAAATTGAGATTGTGCATTCACTTAAATAAGTATTAAAATTCGTTGAAATGGGCGCAGGATCAATCGCGAAAGGCGAGGCGTATACTTTCGAGAATAGTCAATGCACGGAGGATGGGGCCGTGTCTTGGATTATAATTAGGAAGCGGGAGGGAAATTTTTTTTTAAATGAAGTTGCAGAATTAGGAAACGATATGCTGTACGTTTTCTACGCTTTCGGCTCTGTTATGTTTCCGTCTGTGGAGCAAAGTCATTCGAGTTCGTGTGATAACCTCAGCATCAGCTATTAGTAATACGAATATCATGGCAACTAGCAACGGAGGATAATTGCAATTGGCACGATTGTACTTTCGCGACAAAATTGCCAGCCCGGTGCATAGGCAATCCACGAAACGGGAAAACACTGGGACATACCGCAAGACTGACCAATCATAGATATTGCCGCCCCTCGAAGGCTTGCCGAATGACAGGAAGCCAGGTGGTCGTAACGAAATTACTTACCATGGATAACTTTTCTATGGAGGGAAATGTGCAGCAAACAGCCTGGGCTGACAAATAGTACCACGATCTGCCAGTACGTCAGATCGCGAAGACAATGGATTCGACACTGTGACACATGCTGCTCTGAGATAGACCGATCTGCCCCCATGAGAAGCTTTCGAATTTTGTAAAATACAGTGGCTTTTTATGTGTAATAGCCGCTGGAGTGCCCATGCGCCCAGCCAACGTGATACCCGGTGCACCAATGAGCACAGCGTAACGCAGCTCGGCCTAAAGCCTTCACAGCTGTAAGTTTTGGGATGGAATCACTTAGAAAGCGTGTTTCTCAAGTCCACGCTTGAATGCTGATATGATGCATCATTTACAGCGGGCTCATGGGTATGTCTGGATATCCCAATATTTGTGGTTTGGCCAATTAGGCAATGCTGCAAAACCGATGGCTGTACGGATCCGTATTGTCTCGCTGCCAGGCTGCATGTAGTCAGAAGCAACCCTGATGCAGTCTTCAAAGATTTTAGACCGATATCCGAGCATCGGTGCGAAATGAGTCTCAATCTAGACTTTGTTTGCGCAAGTGTGCAGCAGTTGTATTGGTTCGCCAACGGCTATCAGATTACTCCAAAACTTAATCAGGCCACATTCAAGGCTTCTCAGCAAATCAGAGCCTCGGCATCAGACTTGACGCGAGGTTTTCGCGTAGAACACGAAAGTATATCGTATTTCAGACTGCGTTAGGCAGTTTCCATGGCGCTCACCCGTTGCGCGACCCGTCGATCGATCTATTGTCCACGTTCTAGATCGGTCTATTTTCGCCGAAGGTACTAGGGTCATGCATGTGTTACTGCAGGTATATCCACAAGGGTCAACTAGGGCGGAGTTTTGTCCCCTGTTGTATTGCCGGGCGGGAAGACCCTACTTGTTGTGTAGCCTGCCTTCGAAGGCTTCTTCGAAGCCTTCGAAGAGTCGCTGGGAAAGGTGTTGACCTCCCTGCTTGTGCTACCGATACTTCTGTGGGGGTCTGTGGTGCAAGTCACCTATGTTTCATGCATATTTCCGGGGGCTGAGGAGCGAAAAGCCGAAGCACTACCGGAAGGATTGGCAGAGATTTCGAGGATGGCTTCTTATAAGTCTGCCTGCGGTTTCGGGGTACCAATATGCAGTTTGTTGCTGAGGTGACTTGGGCCACCGCACCGAAGGTGATCGACACCCAGTTGTGCCCAGTGAGCCACACACCGTACTAGCCCCCCTTTGTTCTCAGAGCCTTCCAGCACCATCGAGCCCTTTGGAGAGAAATATGCTCACCGGCGCCAGTCAAAGTTTAGACCGGTCACCCAGGGTACGGCATCATTCTTCCAGTGTCAGGTTTTATCTTGGAAGACAATGACTGATTGTCATTTGGGGCTGATAGGAATTATAGTGCTGCGTTAATTGCTGAGCATTGATTTCAAGGATAGTGTCGATATTTCTTTATGGTCTCCACGCCTACAACCTATACCGTACCTCGTTCGCCAGATGGATGACTCGCCGGCACCTACGGGGCACTCGGGCAATGGACCGCGTACCCAACAGCACGAATCCAGGCAACACTGCGAAACTGGCATGATCGCCAGCACTGATCTCACCCAGACTATATGCATTCTGGTTTTCAGAGGGTATCCTCGAGACTGCGAGAGCGCACGTATAGTCGACTTCTGCGTCATTACAGACGATGGGAACAACACGGACACCACATATCGGTTGGTGGGAAGTCGCGGTTCGTATGGACTGTCAGCCAGTCCAGGGCAAGGCAATATTCATACGAGACCTCACTTTGTACGACAGTTCCATGTCGCAACGGTTCCAGTCGTGTCTGTGGAAGACAGAAGGCTGCATGATCTTGTCAGTGGAACGTCTATACACAACGAGAACCCGGAATGGACTCGGTGGACCTGGCTCGACAATGTACTCGGTGCATTGACTTCAGCCGGCATAATCACGTCGGATGAGGCGATAGAAATTATCGATGCCACAATCGACTGTGTTTCAAGTGCTCCATATCCGGATTGAGAGTATGCTGTGACGCGTGAACATGGACAAGAACATGTGCGGTACGAGCCGACGTTACAGCTGTTCCGTACCTTCAGGTGGCACCAAGGGCTGCGCGGAGGACACTCGACAATGTTCAAGCTCAAGGAAAGGTGCTCGTCGAGGTGAGAGAGGACATGTTCTTTACCTTTGACTTGGGCTGACGATCAGCCAGAACGTCGTTTTCAGAAACATCTTCCAGCCACAGGTCGCTGCAGCTAGATATGTCGTGGTGCTGGTGATGGCGTCATGTTTGTGACTGCTGTTCAGCCAGGCTGGAGCTGTTGTCTGGGGGGGGGGATGGAAGCTAGAAGTGTGTCTGTCCTGATTTGCGAAGCGCATCCGCCGGTAGAAGCATGCACAGATGGCGCCGGCTCGTTCTTGCTCGGGACTGCTTCGACAGTCTGTCCGATTTGTGCGCACCTTCCACTCCGGCTCTACCTGCGTCAAAGCTCAACGACACCAGCATATATTATGGAGGATCGTTGGAGCTTTGGGTAGTCGAGCAACGGTGGGGGGCCAAACCTATTGGTGACTCTGAGAGACAAACGCCAAAGGGCAACATTTGGATACGTCATATATAAGCCATGATTACAAACCCACACTTATGTCTTCGTCTCTTGCCTTCTCTAATTGTTGCAGCCTGCCGCACAGCTCAACGTCTACAGGCAGTTTGGAACCCCAGTCCATATTGGTTGAAAGGCAACAAAACGGTAGTCAGCATTGTCGCACATGCCCATGTAATCAGGATCTCGATAAACCTAGTCCCTAGTCACACCCGACTACAGCGACTAGACTAGTAGAATATATGTGTAGTTTGAGCAGGCGCTGTAACCAGCACATTCCGGTACTTGGACTCGTAAGCCATTCTCAAAAACCCTTGGACGGGGCCATGGCCAATGCCCTGTGCTTTTCACCAGCGGCCTCGAGGTTCGTCCCGCAAGGCGCCGAGCAGGCTAGTGGCAGTGGAAGGGTTGAGAGGGTGATGGCATCAAGCGTGCATATGACGAGAAGAATCGGTATTGGAAACATGCGTCACAGTGCTGATGAGGCATCTGGAACCCACCGCGCGCAAGTGCAGCAGAGCCCAAACTGGAGTCGAAAGCTTCTACGGATCCGGACCTCTGTACAGCAGCACTGTATATGATAGTACCGTAAATCGACAGCCTCCAAGCCTCCAAGCCTCCAAGCCTCCAAGCCTCCATGCCTCCATGCCGCCAGCCTCGAGCCCACGCTTGCTCTCGCTCCGGTGGTCCCCACCATGCCAGCCATGCGCAGGGTCCAGACGACGGATTTAGCAGGCCAATCAGATAGGCGTCGGGGACTCGCTTGGCGGATTAGGCGGAGGCTAGCGCTGTTATCTGTGGACCTCCCGCTTTGAGATCAATTGGAGAGGCCACTTCACCACTGCGTTGATTCGCGATTCCTTTGTTGCAGTCTGCCTATTCGAGCTTACTCACTCCTTGCCTGGCACACGGAGCATCTACATCGTGGGTTTTCACGGCCTTCCAGACATCTGCCTCCCCCATACTCACCAGCGCCGCATCTTGCTCGGTCCTCGGGATACGTCTTACTTAATTCGTCTTTCCCTTCCCAGCGCCGACGTGGCATTGCAGCCATGGCTCCCTCCTGGAGCCCGGCGCGCATCGCTGCCTGCGGGCTGCTGATGTTGGCATCGTGGGTGCCGACAGCCAGCGCCGACAAGACAGCTGCCGATTATTTCGTTCACTCTTTGCCTGGTGCCCCGGCTGGTCCGTTGGTCAAGATGCACGCTGGGTAAGCATCATTCTGACCACCATGTTTCAGAACCCCGAGTCCCGGACCTGTCCTGCTAATAACATGGTGCCATTGTAGACATGTCGAGGTCACCCCAGAGAAGAACGGCAACCTCTTCTTCTGGCACTTTGAAAACCAGCATATTGCCAACCGCCAGCGAACAGTCATCTGGCTCAACGGCGGCCCCGGCTGCAGTTCCGAGGACGGTGCCATGATGGAGATAGGTCCTTACCGCTTGAAAGACCAGGACACTCTCGAGTACAACAATGGCTCGTGGCATGAGTTTGCCAACCTCCTCTTTGTCGATAACCCTGTTGGCACCGGGTTCAGCTACGTCAACACCAACAGCTACGTAACCGAACTCGATGAGATGGCCGACCAGTTCGTCACCTTCCTTGAAAAATGGTTTGCGCTTTTCCCACAGTACGAGCACGACGATGTAAGCTATCTCCATCCCTACGCCTGCGGAAGAGCCAAGCGTTTTCTAACATGTCCGCTTCACAGATCTATATTGCTGGAGAATCATACGCAGGCCAACATATCCCCTACATTGCCAAAGCTATCGTCGAGCGCAACAAGAAACCCGCAACTCAACACTCGTGGAACCTGAAGGGACTGCTTATCGGCAATGGGTGGATCTCTCCCCCCGAGCAGTACGATGCCTATCTCAAATTCGCCTATGAGAAAGACCTCGTCCAGAAGGGATCCGATGTTGCCCAACAGCTGGAGGCCACCTACCGTCAGTGTAGCAAGCTCATGGCCACGGGTGGATACGACCATGTCGACAGTTCTGGGTGTGAAGAGGTTCTCCAAGACATCCTCCGCTTGACCGTCAAAAAGGTCAATGGGAAGAACCAGTGTGTCAACATGTACGATGTCCGCCTGACAGATACCTACCCGAGCTGTGGCATGAACTGGCCCCCGGACTTGACCTCTGTCACGCCTTACCTGCGAAAGAGCGAGGTTACCTCGGCTTTGCACATCAACCCCGCCAAAAGTACTGGGTGGTCTGAATGTAATGGCGCTGTGGGTGCTGCATTTAGAGCTCAGAACTCTCTTCCATCTGTCAGGCTCCTTCCTGACCTGCTCAAGGAAATGGATATTCTCCTGTTCTCGGGTGCTGAGGATCTTATTTGCAACCATCTTGGAACCGAGGCCTTCATTAGCAACATGGAGTGGAATGGCGCCAAAGGATTCGAGGTGTCACCGGGTAACTGGGCGCCGCGTCAGGACTGGACATTCGAGGGTGAAGCCGCCGGCTTTTGGCAAGCAGCCCGCAATCTGACTTACGTCTTGTTCTACAATTCATCCCACATGGTTCCTTTCGATTACCCTCGCCGAACTCGCGATATGCTCGATCGATTCGTCGGCGTGGATATCAGCGGTATCGGCGGCCAACCTGGACAGAGTCTGCTCGATGGCGAGAAACTTCCAGATACGACTGTTGGTGGAGCTACCAACAACACCGCTTCTGACCAGGCCCAAAAGGACAAGGCGCTGAGCGACGCCAAATGGGCTGCCTACCAGAAATCTGGGGAGCTTGTACTGGCAATTGTTGCTATTGGTGCTGCCGTCTGGGGGTTCTTCATTTGGAGAAGCCGCAGAAGGACTCAAGGTTATCAGGGCCTCTCGGCTGTTGCTGAGAGAGCACGCGGCGGAACTGGTCTCGAGAACTTCCGCAGCAAAAGAACGAACCGCGATGTCGAAGCTGGCGATTTCGATGAGAGTGAACTGGATGATTTGCACGTCTCCACGCCTACCGACATGAACAAAGAGCATTACAGCATCGGCGACGATAGTGACGAAGATGCTGCCCGCGAGAAGCCGAAGGCGGGCTCATCCAGCCGTGCTTGAACTATTCTATCTCTAGCTCGTATGCATTGGTCTGGCGTTTTTGGTTATACTAGCTGCAGATATCTGTATATACATAGCCGGAGTTGATTTTAGCTTGCTTGGTCATAACGGTGCTGCCCCCCAAGTGACGATAGTAGTCCAGCAGTATGCGAGCACGCACTTTGAGTTTGACTTCTACTACGAAAGCCATGCGTTCCAGCATACGAAACCGAGATGATCAGAACTGACTCGTCGTCTTCAAAATGACTCAAATAAATAGGTGCTCTTTCTCCTGAATAAAGTCTCAATAAATAAATTAACAAAGACCCGGCTCGGCTTGCGGTACTTTCAACGATGATTTCCCCCACGCAAGCATCACCCTTTTTCTCGGCGGCCTACATCACGCAGCACATTACATGAGCAGTCAGCTCCCTCGGTATACCGCGGGAACTGCGCAGTCTGGATCTACGATGACTATGTTGCACTTGACGGCGGCGACGTGTATAACTTCCCAAGTGGTAAGATACGAGCTGTCAGCGGACAGAAGAGTACCGTCGCCAAATTTTAATCCGTAGCTTGAGGATTTACAAAGGGGTGAACCCTTGAGGTGTAACGGCCATAGCTGAAGCTTGTGTCAACATATTCCAAAACGCTACATTTCAGCTTCAGTGAATGGTGTCCGTCGATGGTTTCGACGAATGGGCATAGGATGAATGGCTTCAAGGTGGCTTTTCTTGACCTAGACCTCACCAACGGTCCCGAAAGATATAGGGCTAGGTTTCTTTCCCAGGACAGACCTTGCAAACAGATGCGAAGCTTTTGGTCTCCCGTATGCTATCGAACCATGGAGGATTCCTAATCACGACGAGATCCAACGGATCACTAAAATCCTAGACCAGATACCACTTGCTACTGAAACCATCACGAAATACGACAATAATCCCAACCTGAGCTTCCCTGCGACGTCACTGTGACTCAGCCGCACAATATTGAGCTTCTCATCAGGCACGCTTTTGACTCGAGCAACCAGCGGCGGGCGATCGATGGTCTCGGGAAATTACTGCTGAACACAGAACAAATGGAGACGAAGATGGCACGATTCGCATACCTGAGTATATCATCGCTACCAAAGAACGCATCTCTCATCTCGCAAATTTAATCAGTGCGTGGCATCAACAAAACTATGAAGACACATTTCAAAAACTAAGATCAAGCGATGTCTCCAGCATTCTGGTAGGAGCAAGATCAGCTAACGGGCTCTCGATCCTAGCGACCAAGGGGCTGTTACTGACTGGGCTGGTTGTCGGGCTGTGCAGAGAGTAAGCTTAACCTAATCTGCGTTTCTAGCTGCATCAATATACCAAGCGTAGTCTGGGTCTAATGCAATTGATTATAACAGGATCCAATTTTAGCAGGACCTAGATACGCGGAGCAAGTCAATATCAAGCAACACCTTATGGTCGTTCGACATTAGCAAGGGCTTTAATATCAACTAACGGAACACCCATCGAAGAAACTGACCAAGTTTAAGTAGGTAAACCGATACAAGGTTTTCAGTCGCTGCAGACATGTGCAACCTCTTAACGATAGCCCAAACTGTCCTGCATAGTAGCTAGTGTATATGGTTAATTGGTGCGCGATGGGGAAGATGCACGAACATTTTTGGTATATCAGCCGATTGCTACAAGCACCGAAACTCTCAACCGTCAATATGTTTATGTCGCCATGACCTGCAAATCCCATGCATGCAAGATCTCATATACTATGCATATGGTACGATTATCACGCGCCAACGCGCATTAGCGGCCGCCATGATACAAGCCTCCGAAATGCACCACGGGGGTCCGGAGCGGCCCTCGTCATGACGGTACAGCTGGGGCTGGCACTGAGAAGCCACGACCAAAAACTAAGATGTCATTATTCGTTCTCCATTAACATTTAATATTCCCATCTTCATTATCATATTTGAGTTCAGCCATAGGAGAAACGCTGGTTCACACGCACTCCCTCTCCATCACCATCTATCCGGCTTAGAATAACCACAATCCAACACGTCCAGAGATATGGGAGACCTCGCACCAGCTCCAGAGAAGCAGATCAGCGTCGCCATCGCGGGCGGCGGCATAGCCGGCCTCGCCCTGGCCGTGGGCCTGATCAAGCTGCCGCACGTCACGGTCCGCGTCTACGAGTCCGTCCCCGAGTACCGGGACGTCGGCGCGGGTCTCGCCTTGCACCTTAACGCCATCAAGGCCATGGCACTCATCGGCCCGGAGCTGAGGGCTGCCTACTTTGACAAGGCCCTCGTCATGGCCAGGGACAAGGACACCGAGATGGCGACGGAGGTTATCCTGGCCCAGGGCGAGAGTAAGGGCATGCGCGTTGCCGAGCTGGGTAGGGCGAAGGGCCGGATGAGTATCGCGCGGAGTGATCTGTTGGACGGGTTTTGGGAACTTTTGCCGAAGGAGACGGTGGTATTTGGAAAAAAGCTGGCCTCTATCAGCACTGAGGGCGAAGGGCGGGAGCATGGGAACGGCAAGATCAAGATCGGCTTTCAAGACGGCACAACCGCGGAGGCGGATGTATTACTTGGTGCCGATGGGGTACACAGTCCGACGCGCAGCTACCTCCTTGGCGAGGATCACCCGGCCACGGGCCCGAAGAACCATGACAACTGGGTCGTGTACCGGACCATGGTGCCCATGGACGAGGCGAGGCGCTGCATCGACGAGAAATGGTGCGGCCACGGCGTGCCCATCCTGCTCGGGCCCCGGGGCCACGTGAACATCATCCCGCTGAACAAGGGAACACGGCTAAGCGCCGGCGTCGCCGTCCGCGGTGCGTCGAATCCAGATCTGGTCACGGCGCCCTCCGCGGCCGCAGCACCGGCGACGGGCGACCGCGAGGCCGGAGGCGAGCAGAAGCGCCTGGATCCAGAGAACTATGCGGATTATACCGAGGAGGCGCAGAAGATCATCAGGATGATCGCGAGGGACACGAGCGCCTCGTGGAAACCAGCCGACCACGACCACGCGCCGTGGTACGCGCGCGGCAACGTCGCCATGGTGGGCGACGCGGCGCACGCCTCGCTGCCGTTCGCGGGCAACGGGGCGGCGCAGGCCCTCGAGGACGCGGCCGTGCTAGTTGCACTCTTCGCGCGCCTGCGCGGCCCGCGGCACGTCGGGTGCGCCCTCAGGGCCTACGACGTCGTGCGCCGCGAGCGGAGCCAGAGGGTCGTCGACCTGGCGAGGAAGTTCGGCAGGGCCTATGCGTATGCCGAGGACGGCATGCACGAGAGCCCGCAGAGGATGAAGGGCTTCTTCGCGGAGATGAGCCGGTTCACGAACGAGTTCGATGTCGAGAAGCAGAACCGCGACGCAGTGGAGCTGTTTGATATGCTCGTTTGCCTGGAGGCTAAGAACGAGGGAGACATGGCAAATGGTCTCGCAAATGGCGGCAATGCGCTACATGGATTCAAGGAGAGGGCGAATGATATTGGCAGCTTGACGGAGGCGAGCGGCACCAATGGTATAAACGTACACTGAGGTCCGGGGCGGTTGTTCATAGTTACAAAATACACTGACTGTACTATTTGTGGCATGTAGTTTGACAAACCTGGTTTAATGGAGCAAGTCATTTCACGATGTCGAATGACAGGATCTCTAGAAAATATATCAGAATTTCTAAGAGGGAACCATTTTGAGTCCTTTTTATTTTGACTTCTTTTGTACCTACAAGGAAACTACTGCTAATTATGTTGAACCAGCAGTGTTTCCCGGTATGATGCACTGGTATCGTACTAGAAACACATACATCGCAACATCTCACCTTCAGTATCTGCTGTAATCGGGTATCGCAGCGGTCCTGAATGACAACCTCCTGATTGGCGATCCGGCGCATCAGATCCATAATGTTGGAGTTTCGGAACTTCTCAAGGCCGTGGTCTACAGCAGCATTGACAAGTTGCTGAGCAGCACCGGTGAGATCCTCCGAGTCGGTCAATCGAAAGGGCGGTTCTTTTGGCCTTGGTCGCCTTGGTGTCTTCCACCAAAGGCTGTAAATCCGAAGTCGAAATAATCTCAACACAGGTTTCGTGTTCATGTCCAGAGGAGGTTGCATCTCGGCCACCATTTTTCTCAGATTCCAAATCCGCCTCGTTTATGTCTCCTTGACCTTGTTGACACTTTTCCTCCCTTCTTCCTTTTCTTCTCCTTTCTTTTTTTCTTGAACCCCAATATTGTGTGTGAGCTGTGGGGAGTATGCGGTGTCTCTTCCTCTTCACTCAAGCTCAAAACTTACGTGGCAACACGATGGTTGTGACCATTTATCGTACTTCTGTTCATCAAGGTAAGTTTGAATTACGATGATATACCACTTCGTGCTCATGCTTCGTAAAATAGCGGCACCTGTGAATTTGTGGTAGATCTGTTGTGTGTAATGAGGTGCGTGCTCGACTTTCAGAAAGCTTTGTTTCCAGGCTTTGACGAGTGAAATAGTGTGATCATTTGATGAACGAGTAACCGCACATCATCTAATGGAGTATGGGATGGAAAATTCAGCAGGAATATTTCGGGAATCACGTACCCGGCTTGCAAATACTGCCGTTCCAGAAGAGCCTAGGCCTTCCCCCCCCCTCGTGGTCAAAACCTGAGTGTTGTTGAAGTGATGGTGATCGTTTGAAATATGGGACAGGACGTGATGTGATAGTTTTCGCATTCAGAATAGATGACGAGCGCTCATGATAAGAAATATAAAAATATCTCCGATGCAGCAGAGAATATTTGCACACTTTGTGGATAACTCCACTGCTATCTGCATTGTTCGATTTCTTTTGACGCAGTAAGTGGACCTTGAATTAGTAGGTGCTTCAGTGATCGTCCACTAGATATTAAAGATGAGGTCCATTCATAAACCATACTGACATGTCACTAGTACCTGCGTAGCTATGGCCTCAAACAGTCAGGAGCCAGCCACTGAGCTTGAGTCCAGACTTGTGCAATTATCTTCCCTACTACAGGAAGAGATCGCCAAGTCAAGCCACCTCTCTCTTGAGTTCGAGAAGATGAAGATCAAGCTTCAACTACAAGAAAAAGAGCAAAAGGCTCTACAGGAGAAAGCTACTGATGCCCGGGCAGCTGGCTGGGAGCTGGAGCGCGTTAAGGACCGCTTCGCCGAAGCCTCCGACACTGTCGATTTTCTGGTTGCCAGAAACGAAACTCTGACGGACGAAAGTATTCTTCTCAAGTATGAAATCAGGGGTCTCAAGAAGAAACTTCGCCAGTCCGATGAGAAGGGTGAAATGCTGGAGGAGAGAATGGAGACGATGAAGGAAGGTCTGGAAGCTATGATCAACAAATACGAGGGCAAGGCCGCCGAGCCTGATAAGGATATGATTACTAGCATGAGAGAATGGTCGAGTGGATTTTGATGGACATCAAGATTGCTTGCCAAAGACTGATAATCGCGCAAGCTCCATAGAGGGAGTCCTATTATCGTATACCTTGCAGGGTAGGGATATCTTAGCCACACAAATGCACCTAACGTCGTTGAGATATGATTTATATGCACGGGCGTCATCTGTAACGCCAATCCTTCCACTAAAGGGCTTCGAGATTTTCTGATATAAAGAAATCTCTGTAACGTACCATATAACTAGCAAAGACTATAAAGCGTAGAATAGCTACGATGATAGCTGCAGCTGGGGCCAATAATGTTGTGCTTAGGTGACCGGGCCCTGTTGCGTCTCATCCTCATGGAAAACAAGGTGCAGTTCCTTCCCATCGACATAATACTGGCATACTAGCACTTCAAAGGACTACAGTCCTTCTTTCGCAAGCATATCGGCAATGTCGAGATAGAAAGCAACCGCGTTGAAACTTGAGCAGGTTAATTAGCCTTACGTTTGAATGGGAAGATCAGTGCTTACTTAGGGTCTTTGCCAAACCAAATCTTCCTCATATACCATCTCAATCTGTTTGTCCAGTTGATGAGGTCCAAGTGACTCACTTGGACAAGCGTCCCTTTATATTCGCCCCATTTGGCGGATTCAACGCTCACGAGTCCATCGTTTGCCCCTTCTGCGTTCTGCATGATCTGCCAAGTCGTGCGAAATGGGCTCAGCAGTACAGGTCGACTCATCATGGCCCCGTAGGAGAAATATCGCACAGATGGATCGTCTGGAGTCTTGGGATTGAATTCTTGGGTCATGTATTTCTTGGTCAGCTGTGAGAAGGCACCGGTCTCGATGCCGAGGCTGCCAAAGAATTTGTAGAGCGTAGGGAGCCTCTCGTTTCCTATCTCATTGAACACAAAGTCGGCAAAGGCACTCCCATGGTGAGGTGTGGCGACCGTGACAAGAGATTGAACGTCCACGTTCTTGGGTTGTAGGTGAGAGATCATGTACCTAGAATCTAAGCCACCCATACTGTGTGCAATGATATTGACGCTCTTGCCATTGGCTTCCTGCGCGATATACTCGCCAAGCTTTTGAGCCCGTTGCTCAATAGTACCGGAGGGTGGCACGGCAGCGGTGATCACTTCTACGCCATTCGCCCTGAGAGCCTCAGCTATTCCCCGCCAGTAGTGAACGGGCGGCACCAGACTGCCTGCTAATTTGAGTTCTGAAAATCCAAGCAAGCCGTGTGCAAGAACTATGGGGAGTTTGGGGGTTGCTGTGAGTTTGGTTAGTTCGATCCATGCATTAGTTCCAAGGGTATCATAGAATTCTGACCGTATTGCTCGCGGATCCTCGCATAGTCATCCTTGATTCGTCGACCCAGCTCTTTCACTCTTGGGTCGGCATCGGAAGTACTAGAGTAGTACTTTACTTTGCCAAGAGCACCACAGGGGTGGCATCTATAGCCCGAGGTTTGCAGCTCACGAATGCGCAACTGAAAAGGATTGGGATGAATGCGATAGTGGCGCGGAACATGTTTGATGACGACCATTGTTACCATCAAACTGGTCTTAGATTATGGGTGGTGGTTGTGTTTGTTGGAGTACATGGCCTTTAGGTGATCTATGGTTGCTTCATGGCCATGCCTGCTGTTGGTGCATGTGATAATTGGGTGGTCTCCTCGAGGATGCATTTTTGAAGAAAATCAAGCGCGTCGCGAAGTAATACAAGTTCCTTTGACGTCATTGACTAGCAATGGAACTCAGATGGCACTTGTGTCACTCGTTCAAGTAGTATAGCAGAGCAAAGTAAATGCAACCGAAACAACAGGCAAGGCCTCGCCGTCGAAAGAATATGCTATTATCGTTATTCTTCTTTTTCTTCTTCTTCTTCTTCCTCTACTATCCTTCCTACGAACAAGATCAAACAGATTTGATGCATCCATAAGTTGTGTTTACTGTTGACAGGCTGAACCTTCGCTAAATTCCCACTGCGCACCGTTGGCATATGGGGCCATTCCAGGCGGATCACCGGGTATTGCAACCCGCCCGCCGAAGTACTATGGTAGCAGGCCCAAAAAAGGGCATGTGGGGCAAGTACCACAGCTTCGTTACTACGTAAACGAAGCCTGGGCTGCTGTACCCGATGAATTTCCACGTGAATTGTTGATATCATGCCAGCTCGTTGTCAAGCTGTCATTGATGCCAAAGGAGGGCATACTAAGTACTGAGAATCATTAATTAGAAGTCAAATGAAAGCCGCGATCAGTTGTCTCTCAATCCCGTGCAATTTTGGTGGTGGTATGGAGACTCTGAGTGGCGTGGTACATGCTGCACGGTACCATTTTTACCCTTATATACCAAGTAGGAGGGTAGGCCGACTTGAGACCACTAACCTAAAGTATGCACTGCCATAGCATGCTACGTCAAGCTTTTGGTGGCTGGTCGCATCCGGGGCCGCATTCTTACTCCAACATTGCTCCATCACCCAGATTCTATTGTACCACGGTTACAGTCTCACTGCCTGAACCAGACGACCATCGATTCCATCCTAAGTCTGACCTTGTAGTTAACACGTGTTAGTAAACCCTCTCAAGGGCATCAGTCGGGCTATGGCCACCACACTGCGGCATCAGAACAAGCGCTGGCTGCGGTAACAGAGCCAACTGCATAAGAACTTGATGCTGCTTCAACCGTAGGATTAAGCGCGGCAGCACAAACTATCCCAGGATTTTGTCAACTGTTCTCCACCCCGAATCCGCTTTGATAAGGCGACATCAGATCAAATTCGGCAGTTGACAATGACCTGAATGCCTGCTCGACTACTTTACCCTACCGCACTACATAATATGGCATGGATGATGCAAGACCATGTGAATTTTGACGAGCGAGTGCTTACCTAGCAGTAGACCACTTTAACCCAACAAATGCGCTACACGAAGACAAGGCTCGACTTCTTGAGTCAATAGTTGGTCAAATGGGGGGCTTGCAAGATGTTCGAATATGCCCCGACGATTGATGGTGGGATCTTGATGATACCTTCTTCCGCAATCAGGCCACTGAGCAATAAATCGAGTTCGCGTCTATGTTTTGCGCATGATGCAGTAAGTCACTGTCAGCCAACCAGACAATGGCAATAGCCGCAGTAATATACAGGGTCATATGTCAAAGCAATTTGGTTGGTGGGTGTGACCAGGGGTTTTCGGTTGATCCAAACTGCTGGGACGTTCGCTGGTAAGGGCCCAAAGGCTATTGGAGTGCCCAACCGTCCCTTAGCCAGACAAGACCCATGGTCAAAAGTGCACTTCTACTATCGACGGTTATGGTAGGTCCACAGACTCGCAAAGCTTGACCGTTACCCATGGTTGTGTTACACTGCCTGATTCATCCACAGACCTTAGAGCATACCCAAGGTTTGTTCATGTCCTCTCTGAAGTGATCATTGCCGTCCAAGATGGGAGGAAGGAAGACAGCAACCAACAAGTAACACTGCATATGCACGTTACAAGGGTCATTCGCCCCCAAATCCAACCACTCAGATACGAGGACTTTCACTGTGAATCGGGTGATGATGACTCGGACCGGTGCGCATGCGTGTCTTTCGGGAAATCTCCCATTATTACAAGCAAATGGCGCTCTGCCATTAGTATTGTCGGGCCAGTCGCCGTCTTCTCGTGAAATACTTCATTATCTGGCCACACCCGTCCTCGAAAAAGCTTCACTCCTCTGCTCCCAAGAGTTGTATCTTCCACTGCTCATGTAAAACGCTGAACAACAATGGCCAGTTCAGGAGATTGCGACAGGAACAGCTGTTCATATGGCTTCCTCCAGTATGAACCTTCGCTGGCCGGCAATGTAGTTCTACTGGCCTTCTTCGCTATCTTAATTCCCATCGCGCTGTTCTTGGGCTTTCGGTATCAAAGCTTGATATTCGCCGTAACGATCACCACTGGTCTTTCACTCGAAATCATCGGCTATGTCGGTCGGTTACTTGCTCGAAGCAACAAAAACAACAAAGCAGATTTTATTCTATTTCAACTTGGCACTTTACTAGCTCCAATATTTATCTCGCTCGCTGTGTTTCGACTGATGCCACCTATCGTGGCGGCATATGGTGATCGCTATCGGGCCTGGAGGCCAGCCTGGCACAATATCGTCTTCTACGCATTTTCTGCAGTGTGTATAGTACTCCAGACAATTGGTAGCGTTCTTTCCATGTTGGCCGACACCAAAACCTCAGTAAGAAGCGCAACACTCTCTTGTTGTCCTTGTCATAGCTAAACATTATTAGAATGACATTGGAATACGTCTGCTTGTCGCTGGCTTAGCAATTCATATATCCAGCCTATTCATCTTTACAATATTAGGAGTACGCTTTGCCTTGGCAGTACGCCAAAGGAAGGGGGGTTGGGACCGTGATAGTATCATGGTATATAAAACACCTCGCTTCAAGTCGTTTATTATTGGTAAGTCGTCTGGTTAATAATGAGTAAAGCATCAAACTGATCAGTGGTTTCTCAGGCTTGAGTATTGCCGCAATACTCCTCATCGCTCGAACAGCATACCGGATGATAGCTGTTGCCGAAGGACTAGCATCAACTCTTGCACAAGACGAAGTGTTGTTTCTCGTCCTGGATGGAGCGTTGATGCTCGTCACTATTGCACTACTGTTGGCATTATTTCCGGGTAGGGTGCTAGGTGCTTCCCAGCCTGACAATGCAGCTTATGCGCAACGAACGTCGCAAAAGTCGATCAATCGACCTGCGCCTATCCAGCTTGAGCGTAATTTCCTTGGTCAAAACCGCAACCGCGTCAGCCTCAAGTCAAGTGCCGCCAATACTCCGAAGACGTCGCCGAAGTATTCACCCAGGAAGTCGAATATACCGCCGCCACCCGCGCGACGAAATATGGTCGATAGTGAGCAATTGTGGTAAAGTGTTCTGCGATTGGGCAGTATCTCTACTCAACGAGAGGTTATCCGGAAGCAAACATCACAAGCTTAATTTGTTCTTCTGCATGGCGTTCAGGTAAATATGGAGGTCGGAAAGGTGTGCGGGCAAGATTGCGGTTTACAGTTTGCTTATACACAGTTCTGGATCAGGTTTTGAGGTTACAACAGGCATTGTTCTGCTTGGATTTATTCGTCTCTCATTAAATACCATAAACATAAATCGCATCACAGAAAGACCACACCTATGTCTGTGAAACTGAACCCATGTAGATTGTGATCGTGATATGTTACAAGTGTAGAAACGTTGATTGATATATCCAATATAGCATCCATTGGGAATCCTTCGTTGACAGAACCCTTCTCTGGGATTTTCTCCTGGTCATAAAGCAACACAGCACCACCCCCTTCCGAAGATTGATCACATACACAGTAATGCTTGAACTAGGTAAACTAATGCTTGGCAACACGGTCGATAATTGCGACTGGCTGCGTCTGCAGGACATGTTAAATAACTACATGACACCTGTACCGAGTGACACCACCACTGGCTGCGGCGGTTGGTTCCCAGGATTTCGCAAACGACCTGTAACGATGCAATTAAACAATATCCTGTGGATTATCAGTGTGCCCGGGTCCTCTCGATCTGCCTTCTGACCAAACAGAACGCCGCACCAAACGCCATGCCACCAAGGTGAGCCGCATGTCCAATCCGCGAGCGTTTCACGCCAAGGCTGAAGAAGTCGTACGAGAAGCAGCACAATGTAAACATCCACAGCTGTATCTTTCTCGGGAATGGCCAACAAACAATCATGGTTTGTGGCCCTAACATTGTGACCGTCATCCCCAGTCCCCAGACAACCCCACTAGCTCCCAGGCACGATGTAAAATAAATGTTTTCCTTTCTCCAGTGCGTGATACATGCAGCGGAACCTGCGATCGCGGAGCCAAAAGACAGTAGTACTAGCTCGAGAGGCTGCATTCCAAAGCGAAGTGCGAGCGGGACGTAGTTGTTGAACGCCAGCAGGTTGGGGAGCAAGTGGTTGAAAGACTGGTGGCTGAAAGCACTGGTAAGGTACGTCCACCATCGCCGCCTGTTCAGATTGCCGAAATTGAGCAGGAAGTTGTCACTCATGAAGCTAAGAAGATCCCCATCCTTGGCGCCGAAGGCCACTTTCCAGAGGAGGAAGACGAGTCCGTTGAGGCTGGCAAACCCCCACTGGAACATGGATTGAAATGTTGCGTGGGGTTCGCGAATGGGCACACCATGGCCGCCGCTCGGGCCCCAGCATCCCAATGGCGGCATAGTCGTAACGTGTGTAAGGCGTCCTGGCTACCAACTACGTCTGAGATACAGACTAGAAACAGATAGCTGGCCATATGCCAGTAAGTCTTGAAACAATTGGAAGAAGTTTGTGTAGCCAAAATACTTGTCGCGACGCGCTTTCGCAGGGCATCCTGCGAGCGAAAAGCAATGTTGCAGAGGCACGGTGGTCCTACTGTACGTTGCGGGGGCGTGCCCATGGCTAAGAAGAAAGCAGCCAGCCTGGCGGCGATTGTTCCATCTATCCCTATGAGGACCCAGAGGATAACCTCCGAGCTGAGCTGGCAATGCACTCAATGTCAAGAATTGGACACATCGCATCTCTTTAGAGGTTACATATACATGTAGAGAATAACACTCAGTTTCTGAAATCAGTGCATGCACGGGTTCTGGGTCTAATCGGTGCTGAATCTTGTTGGCTCAGAAGCCCCTTGTGCTTCGATAACCTAGATGTTTCGTCGCCCCAAAAGACATTGGCATCCGAACCAAGACGAACTTGATCGAATGTGCAAACAACACTTGGATTTCTGGCGGCATGCTAGTGCATCCCCGAGACATTCTGTGATTGTACGCGTTCTTCCGAATATTGCTGTAGTTATATTTTCTCCAACCAGGATTTTTCCTTCCTTGTTCCGACCAGGGTTATTCCCGTCAATATAAGCATGCATCCCACCAAGGCTTTCATAAGTTGTAGCGCGTGTATTGAGAATAAATAAATATTTTCTTCAAACATGTCACAGTCATCTTTCGAAGGTTTGTATAAGTAGCTAGCACTGAGTCAGGTAAGCACAAAATGTAAGGAAGCCTGAAGATCTTAGCACAATTCTTAAGCACCATCTTCGTTCGCCATCTTTGTATAAATCATCAAGGATCATCACTAGTGATGCAAACAATCTACTTGATGTCTTCTTACCGACACAACAATTTCACAAAGCGCAATTGTAGTCGTCGAGACCGCCATTGTCTGCTCAAGCACATGCCATGGGACATGGTTACATACGCATATCATATAGGCAGACTTAGATTTATTATAACATTTCTCTACTACATGAGACCAGAATGAATTACGCCTTGTAAGATATAGGTAATTTTCGGACACTTTCATAGTTAACCAACATATTACAACTTTTATGGCCGGCACAGGAACGCGACTACTGTGTATGCACAACAGGTTGAAAAATGACTTTGCTGTTTATCCGCTGGTCAATTGTGGATGATTCGGCACTATGCATGGCGTTGTTCCGCTTGCAGATCTGGTTTGTTTCCTTTGTTTCGTACGGAGCAATGTGCAAGACTAGTTCAGTGCTTTGTATGCTCTCTTTTGATCCTATGCTCTTACACGTAGCTATTCACTATAAAAGTACCGGGCAGCTTGAAAGACTCGGGGTGATAGAATACTAGCTCGCCAATTTTCTGCGGCGTTCTTAAGGGGCAATTTTATCTTTGCAAACAGGAACGTCGGTAACTGATACAAAAACTGAGGTAACCTGAAACCCTCCTAACCTGAACTACATATAAACTCATCCCATCATGGCTATGGACGCTGAGTTCGCCAAGCCCGAGCTGGGTTTTGATCCTGCCGATAATCAAGTCGTGAAGGAGTACTACGGTAGAGAGATATCTAGGCCCGCAATGGATCCAAGTGGGCAACGAGCGGCCACAGTGATGGAACGCATCGATGAACAATTTGAGAGCTTTTCAGAAATGATTGGTCGCGAGCCGACTGAGGAAGAGAAGAACAGAATGGAAGAAGTTCAGATCAAATGCAGCGGTTGGCTAGAGGGTGCCAAGATTGATCTCGAAGGCAAGGACCAAGTACCTATCGCATGGTTCAACCGTCTCGTAGTGGAGCTGGAGGATACTATACTGCGTGTTGCACGCGACCATGTCGAGTCCAGTGCTTGCTACATAACAGCTTCAACAGCATGCGGTGACAGTACTGTGTTAGTGGACGAGCTAAACAAGCTTGAGGAGGCCGCAAGCACACAGTACGACCCAAAAAAGAAGGAAGACGAGATTGACTTCATGAAACTTTTGCTTGAAACAGACATTGGGGAGGCAAGAGCAAAGAGCCAGAACTTAAAGGGCGAGATTGCGCGGCTCGAAAACATAGCTACTCGAAGTGAAGACGATTATATCAAGATTATTAAGGCGAAGAATACCATGATTAAAGACTACGAAGACCAGTTAGGCCAATTGCTGAAGTCTGATACTAATGACGGCGCATCGGTCAATGATAGTAACAAACAACTTTCTCCAGAAATCCATGAACATCAACTCGACATCGAGAATTTGCGCAGAGAGAAAGCCGCACTCAAGGGTAAGGGCAGACAAACTGACACTCTTGAAAGGCAAGTTAATCAACTAAAACTACAAGCGGATACACCGAGCACCAAGCATCCAAATGATGAGAAAGGCAATAACAAGCCAGTAGATACACTTCAAGCTCAAATTAAGGCTCTGCAAGACGAGAACAGCAAGATTGAGAAGAATTTGAATGAGGAACTTCAAAACTTAAAGGAGGAGCTTGAAAGTTACAAGGGTAGACTCATCGTCGGGGGTTGTGAAGACGAGGTAGACCCTTCGGAGAAAGAGGTCGAGGACTTCGAAGCCGCACAACGAGAACCATCTTTTGAAAAATACCAAAAGAAGCGGATATCTGCGGTCACCAAAGTTCACGATGGCCTGCGGGCGTTAAGAATAGCTTTCGAACAGCTTTTGGAAGATATCGGATCGGAGGACAAGCCTTCTACCACCCAACAAACACATGCTCGATCCTGTCGCTGTTTCGAGGACACAAGCATTTGATGGTGGAATTCGTTTGGTTTATTGACGGAGCACTGTTCCACAATTCTCTGAGGTCGAGTGTCAAACGATGGGCTCTGGGTATATGATGTTTTTATAAAATTGCGAATCCAGAAGCGACAACGGATCATTTTCTTTGTCGTATTTGGACATAGGTAGATATAAAACACAACACATTAGAAGTGTAAATCTCAATTCCGACATAGGCCATGAGTTCTTGTCAAAGGCTTGTTGATATATCCTCAATAGGAAGGAATGGAAGCCATCAGAAGCCGCTGCTATTTTCGTATTGCTGTACGCGGAGGACAACACCCGCAAACTTAGGCACTATTCTGAACTGAGACCACATGTGATTGAGTTGCATGAGGCCGGTTACACTACTTAACAAGTGGTCGCTCTCATGCGTATCACCCAACTCTGAGAAAATTGAAAGAATTCTGTATAGTTACAGCAAGACTCGCATTGGAGTTAAGATCGAAAGGTTCTATAATTTCTGCTGGCCTCTCCGTGATGACTTCCTGACCGCTATTTCGCCTCGAATGACGCAAGCCTCCTGGTTTCCACAAACTAGACACGCCAGTATCACTGCATTTATGAGATCGCGGAAAGTTTACCATGACCTTGGCAAATATAAATGGAGAGAGGCACACCAGCTGGATCCCATCCGGTAAATATATTTATGAGACGCAATCCTTCGGATCGCGGTGAATAAAGGGCTTCAAGAGTCATATGGACGCCATCTGCCGACCTCATTGGTGCCTCTTGAGTCCCATGATCACTAAGACAGCCCGGAATTTGCAGGTAATGCTTAGGAATATCTTGGTGGTGGAGGCTGGGTCGACAACGTGGAGGTGCTAAGTACCTTACCAAATATTTTGTATGTAAGAATACGCGAAGGATTCATGAACAACTTGGCGAATCCATTGAAACATACTTGGACTCGGATAGGTGGTTGGCAAATGGGCAGGGTTGCTGGTGTTTGTTCATGTGCCAACCCAAAACACGGATCCGAGCTCCATCATTATATTATATTTTGATTTCGCTAGTCCCCATACATGCAAACATGTATTTCTACATACGCCTGTCGGCAATACATAATGGTACAATGAATCTACGAACTTGGAGCGTGTGGGCATATTAGTTATGGACTCCTTACTGCAGACATCGAGGCAGACCTAGCCTACGTTGTGAGTTCGCAAGTTGACGGAAACTATGCTCAACTCCACGTGGTTTTGTAATGATACATTTCTTGGCTCTGTCTGATTATGAACGGCACCTTTTTTTTATGAAAGCACTTTAAACTTAATGATGAGTCCATGCTGCGCAGAAACACTTGGCTTGACGGCCGAGGCCTGGATATGGTGTGACATGCGCGGAATTGATCTGGTTCTCACAGACGTCAGCCGCCAAGCATCACAAAACAATTGTTGACTAATGTTCCATTGACTGTTCGAGTTGGCAACGGCGACATGAACTCGCTTCATCGCGACATCGAAAAGCAGGGATAGGGACGACTCATACTCTTATGACTGGCCAGGACATCGTCGCCAAGCGTACGGAACGTACAACCCGCATCCACCTGGGCATGAACCAAACACCCAACCAGTAAGTCGTGCCGCCTCATACAGATTTCGACCGTCGTTAGAAGTGGAGTGTTCGGAGAAATGGAACTAGACTAACATGTGTAAACCGACGTATATGGGTTACTGGAGGACTTCTCAGCAGACTCCAACGGGAAAATATCGACACTTGTTTTTTTCTCTCATCTGCCATCTTCGCGAAGCAAGAGGCTGCAGAATCTGAGAATTGCCTCTTATTTCAGCCGCAAGAGTATGTGCAGATGATTAGCACAATCTGGCTAGCCAAGGACTTCAGATCTGGCCCAGAACAAATATCACAGCGCATGATGCTTGCTTGGCGTGATCTGCGGGAAGTCGTTGCCTTCGCGCTTTGCGTATGCACCCAATGCTTATCTCTCAACTGTCACTTGAACACGAATGATATGGAAAAGTTTCTGCATCCACTGCTCTAAAGGATCAAGCAGCGCCGCTTGACTTGCATAGCCAAGACGGGCGAGGGTGTTCGGGAAGGTCGCCGTAGGCATAAACTAGCAGTCGGGAGCGGTCAGCTGTGATTCGTGGAGAATCTGTGCTACAGAAGATCCAGTAATGGGGAGCCTCCGGTAAAACCTCACGACTCACGAATTGCACTACGAAACAGCGAAAAGCCAGGGGCCCCAGCTCCCCCGCATCCCTTCTGAACTACAGTATGGGACTTTGGAGCCCCTCACTGCATCCAGCTTGGGCGTCTTCTCCAAACATGTTCAGAGAGCACTGCTATTTCCGTTGCCCGCTCATCACCCCGTGGGTCTGTTATGGACGGGATTTGTGATTCATGAATGCAGTCGCGGCCCCTTCTATAGCGACCTCGAACCAATTAAGCACCAAGGCTCGATAGCTATAAGTTACGATGCCGTGAAGATCTGCCATCGAGCTCGGAATAATGAGACACATTAGTTTTGGCGGGGTACGCAAGCGATGACAAAGCCTTTGGTGTACTGTATCGCGAGACTTCACAGGATGGATAACAAAAGAGTATACCCGTTTCAGTCGGGCGGATGATACGATGCAGATACCTGGTTGGCTTCACTTGTTATTGACGTGCGTGCTATATTATAGTTGGAAACATTGGCTTAATATCTCTCAAATCCCCCATTTGCCCCCTACCGCTACCCGAGGCGCACACGCTTGCCCCATAAAACATGTAACGTACATCGAAAAGGACGATTGAGGTTCATGCACATTATCGTTGAAGCTACGATATATGTAGCCGGGATATTGTTTCGATATGACTGCTTCTTGTAACGTCAAAACCATGTTCGCCCCCGGCGGGAAATCCGAGCAAGGAAAAGAATGGAAGACATGTCCTGCTTATTCACCCAGGTCCAGGTCCAGGACCAGGACCATGACCAAGAGAGACCGACAGTGAATGGAGCACCGGGGCCCCAGTCGCTCAACCCTGCTCAGCATGCAAACTAGTGGCTATTGCAACTGGAAATCGGGGAAATTCTTTGGCTTTGAAGGCTTGGCAGGTCGTTTGTGGGTACATTCCCCACGGCCACGATTCCATTGAACCCGCGTTCTCACACATCCAGCTATTGGTTTCATTTCCGTCCATGCTGGGGCTATTTTGCCGATTTTCTGAAATGAATTCAAGCACCGTAGTCGTATCTTTTGCCGGTCCACTCTGGATACTCATACAGACCGATTCCACCTCCCGCCCGCTCTGAAGATTGTTCGTCCTCTGACCCGGCCATCTTGCACGGCACCTCTTATCTTCGGGGGAAAGCATCAGCACAAATCCCGTCCTGCGAGCTCACTGGCCAGTGGTTACATACAGCTACCGTGACACCAGACCTCCTATCCCTCCATTTATCGACTCTTGGCTCGCAGCGCGTGAGGCTCATCCGTCAACCTGGTCACCTCGATCTGTTTCCGCCGAGGTCCGGCCTGGAGAATTCTCTGTCATTTGGTGGCTGGAAGAATTATAGCACGTCTAACAGAAACGAGTCGCAAGCGACTGGGGCCAAGAAACAATATTCTTCCGCCTTATCTCATTCGCCCACAGCTAGTCTAGCGCGATAGCATTAGCCGTACCATCTCACGGCCTCATCAAGGTGCAACCACAATCTGTTCGCTTTAGAGCGAAGAGCTCCCCTCTGTGGTTTAGGGAAGGCTTCATCTCAAAGTATATTCTCCGAGCAAATACGGGCCCCCACGATCCTACCAGACACAGCGCTATAATCAAGCTTAAACACCACCAATGAGCTATCTCACAACTCGCACTTAGATCCCAGCATACTCCCAAGGTCTGCCATCACCTCGATCACCGGTCTGTCTTACCAGGTGCTGCCGCGATCCTTAAGAGCCTGACTGACCGGTGCCTCTTGCTACTGGGTTCCTATCCCCCTTCTGGTGTTTGGCAGCTCTGTCATGCCTTAGCAGTGCCTTCATCCTTTTGACATATTTTTTTTGCATGCTGCTTGGGGATTGATTTATGCGTCAAGCTGACACTTACCTCTCGCTGATTTGCTTACAACTCTTGGCAGCACCACAGTAGGGACAGAGGTTTTCTCGCTCTTTCAGCGTTAATAGAAGCGCCACGTCCAACGGGAACGGGAAGATGACGACTGCGGTCCAGCATCTTGATGCAAGGCCGACGCCGATGCGACCACTTAGTGTGAATGGGCTGATCGGGATGGAAATGGACGTTGACCGACGCTCAATATCCCCGGCCACTAATGGGGTCAAGTTCGGCAGTGGTCCGAAGAAAGGCGACACACGGATTGTCGTCATCGTGTATGGTCAAGGCCAGGAAAAGATCGTGTCAGTGTTCGCTGATGTGCTGGGAAAGTCGTACCGACTGGCCGATGGATTTCAGAATGTATCTTCGGCGGACAGGGATGTTGTGGTTGGAATAGCGGCGGAAAAGGCTAAAGAGGATATCTCGATTCGCGCAAAGAGCCTCATGGTCGCCATCAACGCTCACTGTGTCGGCCTAGGCATGCCGCCAGACTTGCAGTTGTCGGCCGACTGTGATTACGAATTCATCTACACCGAGTCCCCTTTCTTTCGTCGCGATCTTTCACGATTTACGTCTTTCGTCCTCGGTCAAATCAACCACCATGAAGCGTTGATGGCAAAGGCGAGGACGTACTTTATTTCAACGACCTTCCCAGACGTACACGCTGCGCTACCAAATATTGACATCCTTACTGTTGGTGCTGATGCTGTGGAGCTACGTGTCGATCTTCTGAAGGAGCCTCTCAGTGATGGGACATTCGCACCAATGCCTAGTCTCAGCTACATCGGCGAACAACTCATGTTACTGCGGCAGAGAACTGAGCTACCACTGATTTTCACCACTCGATGTACGAAAGAAAATGGTCGGTTCCCAATGGACAATCCTGAAATACAATACGAGTATCTGTACCGCGCAATACAGTGGGGTGTCGAGTACATCGATGTTGAAATCTGGCTACCAGAAGATGTTCGCAGGAGGCTTTGGGAACAAAGGGGTAGTAGCCGCATCATGTCGGCCTTCCACGACTTTTCATTCACGTTCAAGTGGCCCTCGGTTCAAGCACAGTCTATTTTCCTCGAGTCGCGCAAATATGCCGACATTGTGAAGATGATCGCATTCATCAACGAACACAATGAAAACTTTGAGCTTGAGTACTTCCGATCCAAAATTCGGGCAGAGTATCCTGACGCCCCTCCCCTCTCCTTGATCAATATGGGCGAGACCGGCCAGTTCTCTCGAACTTTGAACAAGGTTTTTACACCGATTACTCACCCATTGCTGCCTATCATTGCAGCCCCAGGACAGATGAGTGCTGCAGAGATTAATGCTGCCTTGTCACTATTGGGTCAATTGCCAAAAAAGAACATATATGGTATCACCAGTCCATCGTCCCGGGTTGCTACGCCACAAGCACCGTTTTACGAAAAATGTTTCAACGAACTTGGCCTTCCACACCAGTTTGCCGCCGTGGAAAGGCAGGCGCGAGGTCCATCATGCGTCGAAGCCTGGTGTAACCAAAAGGCTTTTGGTGGTGCCTACTTGAGCCCACCCGTATCTTACTCTAGCTTGATGCACAACAGCACTGTTTTCTCGCGGCTTAGAAACGGAGCTGGGCCTATCCTTACGGAAGCAGCTCGACTCATCGGTATGATTGACACAATCGTGGTACGGTCAAGCTCGAATGCTACCCCTGAATCAGCCCCAGCTTCAATTCCATCGAGCCCTTCTAGGAATGGAGATTACAGTCATAGAAGTATGCAGTATTCTTACGCTGGTCTCCCTCCTAACTCATCTCTGGTGTTTGATAATGCGACTTGGCGTGGAATACTCGGCACATTGACCCGCGACCTGGCACCCTCGGCGTACTTGGGACGCACAGCACTCGTAGTGGCATCAAGCTCAGATGACGCAGCTTCAGTCATTTTCGCTTTGAAAGCTCTCCAAGTAGACAAAGTATACACTGTTGGCTTTAAAACGCCAGTGGCTCTCTCTCGGGGAATGACCATTGAGCCCTTTAACAGCCTGGAGAGCCTGCAAAGAGCCCGCATGGTTGGAGACGATGCGAGCCCCTTCGTTATTGTATCTGCACTTGGTCCCGAGAAGAGCAACATCGTTGGTATGCTTCTCCGTGTATTCGGCGGCACGAGGAGTCCAACGTCAACGAATACGCGAAAAGTGTTCCTCGATCTTGCAGATGGACCACGAAAAGGTGACCCAGGCATCATTGCCGAACAGAGTGGTTTCGCCGCATACGGGGTTGCGGATGTTGCAGCATTCACGACCGTTGAAACTTTACGGCAACTGGTCGGCCAGAATGTGCCGTATAGCTTTGTTCGCCTGGCTAGTGGACGGGGTATTTTTTAAGGGGTTTGCTTCCTATTGGCAGAATCAATAATTGCGAAGAGCCAGAGGGCGCATCATGCACCGTCGTTGTCTGACAAGAGTTGTGACGGTAGATTTCGTCTTGTTTCCCGGTGTCGGAAGCACGTGGGTTGGCTTGGCTGTGTTGGTGGAGAGATCCCAGACGCCACGGGCAACATGACTGTCCTATGTCTGCTGTTCTTATCTAACACTTCCTCCATCGGAGCTTGCTATGCAGCCAGTTCACGGTTTAGTGGTTTGAGGTATAACCATGGGGTGAGCATTGCTTTGACATGCGTACATCATCATAAAGGCCTGTTATTTCCCTGCATGCTTGGGTTCCCAGCGATCTATCGAGGAAATATGGATGTGGAATCATTTGCATAGGGAGCAAGGATGTTGAAAACAAGGAGTTCAGACATTGGCTGGCGTTAAAGGATTCTGGCTGGTCGATACTGATAACAAAGATCGGCTTGGTCGGCAGTGTGTATCACGCGCTTTGAGCGATCATCTTCCGCGTAGTTAGGTTTCGTTTGTCACATTAACTTGGAGTGATGTGGGGATGTGGAGGTGTGATTTGACTGGTTGGCTTCTCTGGGGCTTGGAACCATCCCATGTACATAGTTGAGATGTATCACTTTGTAATGGGCATCTTCTTCAATATATGCCCATCCCCTTTCATCCTTCTATCGACTTAATCAGCCAGTGAAGATGGGCAAATTCCACGCCCGTGTGCAAGGACTTGGCAGAAGAAGGGCATGACATGCACTTGGTACTGTATTGTAGACAAACTAATGAACACCATTATGGTCAGCTTGGACAACGAGTCTGAATTGCCTAGTAAAAGCTGACGCAAAAACAAAATAAGTGACAAACCTGGGGTTTCGTACTCCTCTAGATTTAGTCATTGAACCATCTCCTTGTGCGACGTTTCGTCTGTTGGCAGAAGAGTACATCATCTGTTTACCTCGTGGTGGCAATCACATGTGTCCATATAGAGCATTCGTTGATCCTTTCAACAGATCTGCAGTCTGAGACAGAAGGGAATACAGAAACACGCCTATGTTGCGTTGTTCAGAGAAGGGAACATAATCTCACCATATTTCATGCCCTCGTCGTTTTTGAGCCTGGAGACAGCTGATGTCATGATCGATGCGGCATGTGAGGCGAAGCCGCAAAGATTTCTTTTGGCAAATGATTAAGCAAGCTATGGGTTAAGGGTAGGTACTGCAAGATCTGAAGTTGCAACGATGATCGCCATTCTGCTTGGTTCAGATACCTGCTGTGTGGTGAATAAGAGGAGTGGCAAGTTTCGTCTGGTTGGTCGATAGAACAGCGTATGGTGTAATTAGAGTTCACCATCGGCTCGGAGACAAGCACCACGAAACGAACTTGGTATCCTCTTCGTTGAAAGATGCTCATATTACGTTCTGTGTCGTTGTCTTACTGCCCAGTGCCGTCACTGCTGCATGTCATGCAGAAAATACCCTCCTGATAGGGCAGTACGGTTACGTCGGCAAACGGCACTTTTTGCTTTGCTATGAACAATGATGCAACAAGAGACCATGAGATAAGGAGCGCAACATCTTGCGAGAGTTGTGAAAGCTCATCAAGTGAACCGGTGCATCACGTTGGGCGCGTCGAATGTATTGCTCTGATACTCGAAGTGCACGGAGATAGCTGCTCCGAAATTGGACGGGGACAACTCTAAGTGTTCGCAGTAACGCAGATCAAAGCTCCGGATGTGTTCCCGTCCATGCGTTGCGCGGTCTCGGGCAAAGCGACGCTTTCGTAGTCGAATCCCCGGCCATGTACCACGTCCACATGGACGCCTACGTCACAGCCGCAGAGAGCGTAGGCACCAAGCCTGGTCTTATGAGGCTGATCCAGGGGTTCTCGCGACGGATAACATGGTGTTGAGTTGTCAGCCCGGTACCCGCCCATATTTAAGACATATTTTGGTAAGTCAAGGTACGCAGCCGCGTAATGCCTTTGTGCCGGCAGCGACAATGGTCTGGCCGTATTGTACATGATCAGACACAGAGTCGCGGGTAGTGGAGGTGTTACTTGGTTCTGGTAATGTGTAGAGCAACCACTGCATGGGGGGTGACGAAAACAATGTCTGATGTAAGACATTGAGTGGTGTTGCACACGGAAGCAGGTAATGCGGTAACGACTGTCTTGATATGTTTTGTCAACTACATAGTTGATCATACTATTGAAGTAAAATCCTCCTATAAGTCATATTCGGAGTACGCCACTGCCTAATGGGATCAGAACAGAGGTCGGCCGAAGACTGTTCGGGCTTGGCTAATTCTCGTCAAACTTGGAATCGGAGCGAGCGTATGCGAGCGCGATCAGCCAAAGTCTCCGACGACACAACTGATCGACATCACCGTCAGGAGTCGACTCAGTATGAGAACTCGGCATGCGAAGCACCATGAAGAACGGTTGCCCTAAGCCATTATTTCCGGAATGTCACTTTCTGAGGTTGTCACATTGACCGAAACGAGTGCTATTCTATGCTGCATGTAACAGAAGGACACCTTTAGACCCCAGTACACTCTGGCAGGCGCACGAATAGAATTCGAGGACAGGTGTTGGAGGCAAGAGTTGGAGAACATCTGCCGGGTCGACGGTTTTCTGTACCGAACTTCATTCCTCCCCGGTTTGTGCTGCGGCATAATGGGGGAACAAGTTCGTTGTATCTAGGCACGAGCATCAGCCACATGATCTACTAAATGCTGACTTAGTTAATTGGAGAAGACACACCTGCAGTATGGAGTGCAGACACTAGCTGCAAGGGGCTCTGCTTCCCCATATTTGCATTGCAGGTTATAGAAGTTCGCACCTGCATTAATAGACACGCGACGCGATTTAAGCATATCACAACAACGGAGTTTGCACTCTGATGTATTGCTCCGGAGTGGGTTCGGAGCCCAAAGACTGGCATCCTGAACGAATCTCACTGTTGAATAATGGTGATGTGATCTGATAGCATCCAACCAAAGCTTGTCCGCTTGCAACTTCATAAGACGGGCGCGACGGCTGCATGGATCATCAGAACGACAATTCCAGGAATGTCACACATATCAATACCTTCTCCTCATACTTTTTTCTTACAGAAGAACGATCAGTTCGAAGGCTGATGCAACGGTTTCTGGAACAGTTCAGAGCGGCTTCTGTGCCTGCTTACAGTACCAATAATTACTTGTAGCCAAGCGGTGTCCGACAGTATCCCCGCTTCCCCACACCATGAGAAGCCAACCTTAACGGAGGCTGAAGGAATTCGTGCTCTAGAAGCATCCGCGCAGATCAGGGTTCTAGATCGGCAGCTGAAGGAACCAAGACGGGACGGTTTTCTTTTCGTATGCAAGATTACCTGTGTTTCGTGAGCGACAAGAGCGACGTAAGCTCACAGGGGTAGAATAGCCCTGCAGGCTTGGCACAGTGCTCGACGCTGCCGGCATGCTGGCAGGCTGGGCTGCAATCAAACTTGCTACCTCGACAGATATCTCGAGCGTTACACGGGATCCAGTACTATGTACATATTGAGAACCTACTTTTGCAAGGAATATGATTCAAGCTGTTCAGAGGAAGCTTACCTTGAACAAGCCCTGCTCCGGTTGTCGCTGGCAGTCCAGCATCTTCCGAATACGACGGACTTCGATAATGAGGCCAGATTGGTTCCGAGACGTGTACCTACAGATTCTTTTTCCCACCATCCATCCGTATCTACCCACGTGAAGCCAAACGCAGTCAGGCTTTATGATGTCTGATTTCTTGGTGAAACAGCAAGCGGCACGGCACCGATCTTCCCAAGATTGGCTTCCCGCGGTTCCGCACACGAGTCCGGACTGGATCGACATGAGCTTATGCTTCTTGTTTCACGGGCATGGGATTTGATAAAGTGATGCGTGAACTCAGAGACTTTGAACCCCATCTACGTATTGGTAGCTGTCATTCTCTCAAGTGTGTAGGAGATAGCATATACTGCGGTCTACATTTCACCGCTCATATACGGCCTACTTAGCTTGTGTAACTGGTCTGTATATCGCTCTTCGGGGTCGCATTCACGTACACAACCGCTCTTGGGAGGCTCAGAACCTCCAGGCGCTTCCACTTTGGTGATCGACGCTGTTCCCAGAAAGTTTGCCACAGCCTTTTAAATCGGTGCAAAGTGTGTATCGATGCATGCAAGACTTGGCTTTCTACTTACTTCCGTGTTCTCATAAGCAACGTAGAAAGCAGTTGCAAAGATCCCCGGTCGAACGGAATGTGACCATTCCAAAAAAGCGCCCCCGAACTTATACACTAGTACTATATTCAGTCAACTCCTCCGTAGTCCAGCGTTGAAGAGTGAGCCCATGCATACATCTGAACTCGGATGCATAAGCGAAGTCTCCACCAACAAGCCGTTGCTTTGGTGTCACACTGTTCGAACAAGCAAGAAGATCTCATGCGTCTTGACGCCTGACTAAATGCTGAATACGCAATGGAAACGCATATCCATGCACGTGCAGCTTTCAATATGCCATCAAGTAGAATTTGGTCATTCTTCGCGCACCCAAGCTGTACGTTGAGCGGTATTTTTCTTTCTTCTTTTTAGCGCCGAGTAAAGATCTTGAGCAGTGATGGCTTTCAGTGAGGGGGAAGACCGAGACCGAACCTGTGGAGATAGTTCCCACCACTGCACAGTCCAACACGAAATACAAGTGTCTCCAGAATGGTACCATACCGCGCTACAGAAGGACCTTCTAGTCTAGCAGGAAACTAGCAGCACCTACAATAGATGCGTCCGGGGTGCTTCATAGACGCTCTTCGTATGTGTAGCTGCACCTTCGCGAATGGGAATGGTTCGTCTTCACAACCACAATCAAGAGTCACAACAATAGTAGCGGTGACAGCCTCGTCCCATCACAAGGTACCATACATCTATTCGCACAACAGTTGTAACCCGTACTGGGCGAGTATTATAGAGATCCACCGGAGCTGTCCAGAACTTACTTCCACTGTCTACACCCTCTTTAGCGGAGCCTGAAGGCAATGATTGACCGACCACCTGCGACTCATCGACGATAGCATCTGCGATACGACAGATTGGGTTGCGAATCATGAGTGTGATCAATCATCTTGAGCCTTGACTCGGCCACTTACGACGCGAGAACAATTACCAGGCAGTCCGCCCACGTTCGGACCGTCCTAGACCGCTAATAAGGAGGCAGTAAGATCAACCGCACCCCTTCAGGCCAATAACGTTGGTCATTGGGTGCGACAAGCCTTGTCCCACATGGTGTTTTCTACAAGACGATGTACACGACGCTTCTTTCGAGCACCGTTGAACTGCATTGGCAAATGACATGCACTCGGTATTTCTGGTCACCTCGTTATTCTTCATGTCCTTCGGGCCTATCTATACATCCATGTTGACGAGGCTTACGTCTCGCTTCGACAAGACAAATGGCAACGTGCGGTTTCCGCATGAAAAGTTCCGTTCAAGCTCGGTAGGATAATTTTACCCCAGGTTTTTCTCAAGCGAAGAATGACGATCGCACAAGCAGACCAGCTGCAAGTCGGCCCTCGCACTTGAAATAGACTAGTCACCAATGCCTCCAACGTCACAAGGTTAGAAGACATTTGAGCGGGTTCCTTTTCGGGTGCCCGCTGAACGCAAAGTCGTGCGGTCCCTGCTCCACTCAGCTGTGTCTTCGAACAAGTTTTCTCGCGCAGTTTCACTTCGTTGACATTGGGACATGATCGGTTACAAAGGAAATGAATATAGTTCTTAGTCCAGGGCCATTGTACCTCGGGTAGACTAGTAATGTGGAGCACACAATTTCATACTTGTCCGGCACTGTAAGCCTGTCAAATTTGGGCTGGGAGTGTGTGGGAAAGGATGATGCCTCTAGTCTAGCTGAATCGAATAGATGATCGGGCTTGAACTCAAAGTGATCAGAAATGGCAATGCTTACGAGCCGCATGACACAAAGCCATAAGATAATCCTTCTAAGCTCCGGACGGACAGGCTCCAAGAGACAACATGACCCCCAGCTTCACCATGCAAGCCACGTCCTGATTCTACCCTCTGAAGAGCGCGAGAGTACGCCACATAACGTGCCTCTCCGGTACCTGTCCCGGCTCGTCTCGGCATGCTACTATGGCATGGCTCTACCGGCGGGATCTCCGATCTTAAGAGCACAGACCGAATGTCCAACTGTCGATAGGTAGTCATGTCGGATGCCAATCTGTGGATGCTGTGAAAGCTATATTTTCTCTAATTACTACTAAAGCGGAATCTGTGGTCTTCCAAAAACCAGTGACGAAACGCCGCTAACATAGCCCGGACCGCCCTGAACTTGTAACTACGTGGTTGGTGAAAGGCGTTCAGGAAAAGCCCAAGCAGACAATAGTGGTAGTACGCGAGTTTATTTCTTGATTCAGGTGTGACACGCACGGAAAGATGCTGTCCTCACCGACTTTATTTAGTAGTGCTATCACCTTCTGTACTTAAGCCCTATTGGCCCATTTTCGTAAAGATCCTATGATGAAACCGCCGAGTTGTGATTAATTGCCTATTCAAGGCTCATATAGCTTTGCTCTAGTCATTATGCATTGGTTTTCTGCCTTGTAGTTTCTTGCTTTTCTGTTACCCAGCTGTTCTGGACCGATTCTTCAGCCTTCATGCTTGCTTGCTTTCCGTCCACGCTGCTCCGAAATTTGCCCCACTTCCTAGCTATAAGGTTTAGAACGATGGAACAAGTCTAATAGCCACTCCATGTGCAGGGCCCTTACATACATGACAGCTATACACGTTTACAGGCGCCCAAATGTCAGGTCGTTCCACAGCAGCGCCATCTGCCGGGTTTAGTCACCTACAGGAGTCATGGGTCATGCGCCTCAAATGCATTTCTTCGAGGATCTTGTTTAATGACAGCTCTCATCCTCGAGGGCGGCCCTGTCCTTTTGATACTTGTCAAACATCAGATATAGTGTGTTTGTATTAAAGGTAAGCCCCACCCCTTGCACGGGAGTCGACAGTTTCGGACCCGGGTTTTTGATACACTGGACCTATATCTGTGTACTAATATGCCTATAGCTAAGCACTTTGGCACTCTGCGCAAGGGGTCACACTTTTCAATGCTGAGTTGAGAAACGGAAGCTAAGAGATGCGGCAACTAGTCACCTCCCAGTTCGCTGGTCTACAACTGTCATTTCGGTCTCGACTCTTATCCGACAAGAGCTCCATGCCAGGGGCACATGCCAGAAACCGCAATGACTTCATCAATTGGAATCCCACGCCGCAATAACCTGATTGTCAACTGGCCGCGGTGCAATGCTTGTTTCGCCTGTCACCATGATATTGACAACAAAGAAGCAAGTCACGGTCGGTAGTTCGAGGCCGGGACCCTTGCAGGACATCCATGGAGATCCATAATATGATCTTGAGACGAACCTCGTGTTTTGTCAACCATGATATGCCGGCCGCAAAGTGCTAAAAAGCAGACAAAGTTGTGCTCGAGTCGACAAACTTTCATGCGGCCCTAAGAATAGTCATCACCCTGAGCCGAACAGGCATAGCGTCTTCATTAGCCCAAATAAAATAAAAAACGGGCAGGGCATTCTGCTCATACCTTGCATTAGACTAAAGCCGTAGGCGCGATGGAGGCGTTAGATCCCCATATTTGGAGGCTTTGGGGAACTCATCACCGAGCCCACAGCGGCATTCGGCCCCTTTTGCCAGACCCTAGTTCGAAGCTGCACAGCATGCCATCCTCCATTTCATCAGGTCTGCCAGGATTCTTGCAACTTATTGCAGTCCCCCAGCTCGGCCAACCGCTTGGCACCCATGCCCCGAGCCCCTGTTACTCTCGCTGGGCCATGTGGACCAGGACCAGCATGTCCAGAGGCTGCTTACCCCATCTCGAGGCCCCCGCGAGCAGACATTGAGGGTTCCACTCTGTATGTAATCTGAGCCGAAGAGGTCAAAGGACGCAAGAAGCCTTCAGTGACCCTGGTAACCCCAGTCGTTCACTAGCCACCTCCACACCCGTCCCAATTACGGTGTCGCCCGTCGTCTTCAAGCTGTGAGAGGGGGCCACAAATACTGCTAGGACACCCTCGTTAACCTTACCTGGCCCTTCTGTTAGACTTTTGCGTCTTATTTGTATCTCGGAAGTCCATTGAGTTGATTTTAACCTTGGAGCAGCTATACCTACACTTGAGTTGATCGCAACCGACGACCGGACACCCAAGACGACCCTGTTCGCCAATGATGCTCGAACCGCGGGTGCCTCAAGAGCCTTCTCCAAATTGCTGAGAGCACACTGCTCTCGGATTAAGCCACTCACCTGCCCATTTTGTCAGCCGCCCGTGTGAAGCTGCCAGCTCCTGAGTACCGCGAGGAGTAGAACGTCCGATCAACATTTTAGGAATGCTTGTTTCGACATATGAGCCGATGAGTATGAGTGTAGCGCCTCTGCCTGGAGTCCATCCAGTGGCCATGTCGCGGCCGCAGGTGGGCATAGAGCGACTGCCCACCCGGCGTATGAGCAACGAGCCGCGCGAGTCTATGAATTGCAAATCGTGTCGGAAGCGGAAGGTTTGTAGTTAATCCCAAGTTTTTTGTTCTCCATCTGGCCGAACTGGCCCCCAATTTCTCAATTATCCGGCTTATTTTGCCTGGCAGTCATTGACCATACTTCTCTAGATTAAATGCAATAGACTGCGGCCATCCTGTGAGGCATGCCAGGTTTTCCAATGTGCCTGCATCTATGGTACGTGAAGTTGTTACATCAGGCTTTATATGGCATTTCCCAAAACTGCCGGCTCAGTCATGTGAGCTAACCCATTGCTTTCTGTTTTGCAGATGCCGTACCAAAGAAACGCGGGCCGAAGACTGACGTGCTTGAGGCGCTTCTGAAAAGAGTGGACGGTCTGGAGCAAAAGTTGAAGGAAACGAAGAAGTCAGAAGACTCGCCCACGGCAGAAGAAGCGCCACTCTCAGCAACAACTGAAGACGGCGCCTCGAATGCAACGGCGTCGGAAACACAAGAGGACGTGTCGGTAACAGCTGAACCAAAAGCCAAACGCCTAGCTCTAGACACAACACGTATCAGCGACACAGTGGATGAATCAGCAGTATATTCACCCACAGTTGTCAGTGAGCCGTCTCCTGGTGTTCAAGCGGAGGCACTCCTGGACACTTACTTCAGCCGCTTCCATGCCAAGCCGTACCACATTCTGGATGAGTCGACTGTTCGGCAGAGATTGCAGCTAAATCAGTTACCGGTGTATCTTGTGCATGCCATATACGCCGTTGGCGCAAGGTACGATATCACCAAAAGTAATAAGCCAGTCGCATGCTTACCTTCAACCAGATATACGCCTCACCCAAGTGGCTACCAATCAGCCGTCCAGCTCAGTGAAGAATATGCTTCCCAGGCAAGGAAAGAAATTGATACGGATGAACCATCCGTTGATGCGCTTCAGGCCCTCCTCTTACTCGTTACTGCATTTACGGCAGCAGGCAAGGGCAAAAAGGCCTACATGTTGTTGAGTAGGCGCTTCTTCCGTGGGTCCCGAACCGGATTACGTGACTAACTGAATTGCAGCAAATGCCGTAGGAATGGCCATGGCACTCGAGTTGCATCGAGAAGTCGAATTAAACGCTCGTATCACACCCGTTGAGCGTGAAATGAGAAGGCGCCTGTTCTGGACCTGTTACTTACTCGACAGGTTCATGGCATGTGGGTCGAAAAGACCTTCGCTTATTGGTGACAAGACTATCCTACTTCGATTACCGTACTGGTCACCAAGTCCGGCAGCTCTGCCCATCGAAGGCGAATTTTTCCAAAGCGATTCCAACTTGCAACAGCTTCAAGGCAGTGGGAGGAAGTGCCAAGGAAGCAGCGGCATGCTAATCGATATTAGCCGCATTCTTGGAATCACAAATCGCTATCTGGCAGCGGGTGGTGTCAAAGGAGACTCACATTTTCCCTGGCACTCACTATCAAATCTTTCCAAGATCCGACAGCATCTCGACGTGTGGGCATCAGGGACAGACGATGTTTTCTCCAGTGTAGATTCACTCTTTGGTCAACCCGACTCGACTGTACTAGTTCTCAGCAAACTCATCTATCATCTGATACACTGTCTCGTCTATCGGCCGTTTATACCGATCGATCTCGCGGAACTAGCGGGATCAGGGCAACATCAGTCCTGGCAGATTGAAGCGACCAACATGTGCTTTTTACATGCAAATGCTATCGCTGAACTAGTAGAGCTGGGGAAGCAGACAGCAACGATTGAATGGCCAGCATTCGTGGGATATTGCATCTGCACAGCAGGAACAGTTCACATACACGGTGCACATTACAATAAGATTGGCACAAACGAAATGAGCGCGTTTGCGTCTTCGGCCGACTTTCTGTCGAGGGAAATGCAGCAATTGAGCGAGTTACGCTATGCTTGGGCTAGTGTACAGCATCAAAGAGAAACACTGCAGGGTATTTACAACGCTCATTCCGAGCTGGTCAAGAGCGTGGCGAACAATCCCATGCGGCATGCGCCGGTCTTCCATCTCGAAGACTTCTTCGACAGATATGCTAATATTGGTGGTCCTGGAGGGCAAACATTTACTTTCGATCCCGCCAATCTGAGCCTTTCCGATGTTATTGTCGATTTTGCCACGGATACATATACGGGCCACGATCTTTACGCTCCGCGACACGGCATCGATGCCGGCGCCGAGAGGCCAAACCTCAAACGAAAGAGCATAGCAGGCACAGCTCGTAAGCGACCGGACATGAGAAACCTAGCGCCGATTCACAGGCCAGGACAATTACCACCGATGCATGGGCTTCCTACACCAGTCCAGCATGCATTCTCTGCTGGTCAAACACCTCAGATCATGCTTCAGAGCCCGAGGTCTCTGCCTTCTAATGGCGATCGGATGGCACACCACCAGGTCCAATCGTTACATCAGGACTCCGAGGATGCAGCCGCTAAAGCAGCTGTAGCCGCAGCGGCGGCTGCGGGATTCTCGCTGTCACCCCCGCAGCCTGCACATCAAATACCCAATATGCCTGCGACTCCGTTCTCCCCTCAGTACAACTTCGCTACACTCCAAGGTAGCACACACTTTACCAACGGACGTGGCGGTCACGACATGAACGTTGGTTATGACCCAATGTTTGGAGGGGTCCCAACTAACGCGTTTTCATCACCAGCAGCATGGCACGGAGATGAGGATCGGAGACTTCCCCCTGTCGCACCGAGTCCAGGTGCGGCAAGTCACAATGGCAGCGCTGGAACTGGTCCTGGAGAAGAGAAGGATCCATTCCTGAGCCTTCTGGAACAATTAGCCGAAAACGAAAACGCTCAAGGGCATGGCAATGACCTGGACTTCTTTTTGAATGGTGCTCATATTTGAGGCATGGTAGTGTCCACCTTGAGTGCCACTTCACTTCTTTACCGAGTAGTCCATGTGGGTCACTCGAGACTTTTTGCATACTTTATTTTAGCGGAGCGACGTTGATTATTATGTGGCAGGGGCCATCATCATACCCTCTAGGCATTGCATCGGTTCAAGGTGTTACTCGGAGAAATGCATCTTACTCTGCTTCAAAGCGTGGTGTTTATACGGGGAATGTGTATTTGCAGTCATTCAAATTACGGAGCTCATGAAGCAGATGTGTTCTACGAAGCTACACCAAAACAGGAGGAGGGCATTTTGAGAAATAAAACAAGATAGGACATATACAGTTGCTTATTGTTGATACCAAAGCTGATAGAGGCTGCGTTGCTCATGTGTTTCCAACAGTAACAATAGCGTCACCGCGAGACCAGTCTAGACTAGTCTAGTGAGAAACTACCATGGAAGTCTTGCCTGCCGGATGAGGTGCATGTCCCGGCGAGCCGGGAACCAGACAAACGCATTTTCGGATACCGGCGGAGTACTACATCTTTACGCATTTCTGACCTTGTTTATTAATGTTACCCAAGATGCTAGAAGCATCATCTTCTTTGCACAGGCGAATACCACACAGTTTCCTCGAAGGAGTGTATCAAATATTTCTCTAACCAACAATGCTGTGACAGTGGTCCCGTAATGTGACTGATCCATGGTTCTGGTACAAGGGGGAGGGGATGATTGCCGCGACCTCGGTAGTGAGTGCATGTTAGCGAGGACCAAAGAGTGGTCCATCAATCAAGCACCCAACTGCACGCGGCTGCTTGTGTTCCGAGCTTCTTTTCGGTTTCAGAATCCCTGACCCCTTAATTTTTTGTTTGGCCTATTGGCCTACCTTATGATCGCATGATGGAGCCTTTGGCGCAAGCAACTGGAGACCTCGAAAAGAAGCAAACTGCATAACTATCCGATCCAGGGACCGGGTGATGTGTGGCGAGTCCTGCAAGGCGTGTGCCACTATCCCTCCAGGTACAGGATCCGGAAATACCGGGCCGCAGCATTGAGAAGGGAAGTTGGAGAAATGTGCGAGCATCTTAGGGGTACTTTGAAATGAGTGGCCAGCTCGTTCCTGTCCTTGGCGGAACTGGGGGCCGGGGAATTATTTCTTGTTTTTGTTTTTGCTCATTATTACCCCAACTTCTCGGCGCGCCTCATGTGAGGCGCAAATGTCCAAATAAGGCTAACCTATCTTTTCGTATTCTTTGAAGTTGTTCCATTCGTTGTTCGGAGCTGTGTTCGGTGCTGGAAATCTGCATCTGCAAAAGCTCGGTGCCGTATGAATGAAAGATATTTTGTACGTGCATGTGAGGCGCCAGTTGTTTATTGGTCCTCAGCGCATGCCAGTCTGTTCTACAGAGGCTGCAGTAGCTCGGTTTAGATACGAAGCCCTTTTAAAGTTGCTGTCTCTAGAAAGTATGCTTAATCCAAAGCACTACCACTGATTATAACAAGGGGAACTGTCACCACTTTAACGTTGGGCACCCTTCATAGAGATGCCAAGCCGGACCTGCATGCGAGCAGCTTTCACCTAAGTAACAATCACCGGTTCGAGGCTTTGGCATTGGACCTCATAGATAAAAACACCTGAGGGACGCTCGTGTTATGTAGCCAAATCGAAGAACAACTTGCGTCATTAATAGTCCGGTCTGATCCGGTCCAGCCCGATCCCCAGGGCCGCAAATCTAGAATTACCCGTATACCATACGCACTATAGGCTACGGCATATTCGTGCTGTATACTGCTAGCCCCAATCATGTGCGATTGTCAACACTCAAACTCTTCTTGGCATTGCGACTAAGCTGCTTAAGCAATGCTATATAGATGCCGTTGAATCGTTACCTAACAATTGCACTGATGTCGACGAAACATGGGCCAATCTCCAGGAATTTAGATACGAATAGCGTTCCAGGGCTCGATTATTAGCACATTTACGACTTAGAAATTACGGATATACATGGCAAGAGGTAGGCTTATATTACCGTTGCTCTACCTCCACCGATGCATCTAACGTTGCAGGTTATCGTGCGGCATGTCATTACCAACGACAAACAAATCATTTCTGGTAAACATTCCAGATCACCGTCACCTTAAATATATTGATCTATTTTATTTGCATTGGGCACGACTACGTGACGATTACCCCCGAAATGGTCGCTGCTAGCAATGTGCTCGGAGAACATTGACATTGCCTCGATGCCTACAACATAAGCAGTCACCCCTACTTCACAAGCAGCTCGACTGTTAGCAAGCCGCCTAGTTTGGTTGTAACATAAAGGATTATGCCATAGAGTAGGTCTAGGATAGACAATGCGTAGTCAATAGTCCTACCTCTACTCAAGCAGCACTCCCAATCACAAATAATCGATTGGCCGGATCTTTACTCCAGTGCGTTGCTAGCAGTGCCCATATATGCCTTGGTTTCTCCAGCGCATGATATGGGGAGCAGAGAAAGTATCATATTCGTCTGGTTCAATGTGCAAGACCAGATACTCTATCAAAAAGTTCAATCCATCCATAAGCGTAATAAATAGGTATCTCAATATATTGGGAACTCATGGAATCATGCCATATTTGCCCAAGAATTCCTACCGCTCTGTCAACATGAGAAATCCGCGAAGTGGTGGGTTGTCCTTTGTTCAATCAATCAATCAACCACACAACCCCCTCAAGGGGAATATAAGGGTCATTTTTATTAGTCTAGAGAGAGGTTAATGGGCATTCAGTCGGAATGTACAAGCGTGATACAGAGCTCTCAGTCCAAGATCCTGCGTCTAAAGCTATCGCCATATTGCTGAAGATACATACTACCCGATTAGACGTAATGAGAGATCCCAGTTAATTGAACGTCAACGAAAAATGGGGCTGAGTAAATAATATTGTGCTACATATGTCCAACGTGCCGTTGTGCATACAATATTACCACAAGGATATCCAGAGCACTCATCTGCAAGGTGCCAATGACCACTTTGAATCATCTGCATTCTGCAGTACCTTCCCTATATTAAAGACAAGGCAGGCTTGAACTTAAAGGGGCCTCCAGGTTGACGATGTTTGATAGATGGCCTTATCAACAGGGGGTTTCGGTTGGTGGCGGTGAGATAGTCGTGTTGGTAGTGGTGATAAGAGACGTGAGTAAGATAATCACCTTCTTTATCAAGCCTAGGGAAATCCATACCAGGCGTTACAGACTTAATTGCGGCACGTATCATGTTGGCGCGAAGGAGATTGTCTATTAGTGAGGAGTAGCATTGTCGAATACACGACGGGCAGCCACATCCTGCAGGCGGTTTCACCAGATGATCGAACTAGTATTCGACTGTAATCTCGCGGATGCTGATGTTGCTGTAGCTCGGAGAAAGAACCACTCTTGTCCTTTGATGACTCCCTCTTGTGTTTGCTTACAGGTTCCTCACAGCTCAATCCCGGAGTTTTCGCCTTCCCCCAAAACATTTTGTATAAATAGAAATTGTCATTCTGCTTCCTTCAAGGATCCAGATTGTCTGAAAACTGTTGAATTTTCATGGAAGCCTTGACCAATCCACTTGTGGCGGCCTGCAAATCCGTACAGGGAGGGGAAGTTTGTTTATTAGGAGTGAAAGTGGATTTGAGCATCAGATCATCACACAGCCGAGCGCCCTACGTGCGCGTAAGCAAACAAAGTCCCTGTCAAGCGTAGCGCGCGGATATAGAAGCCCCTAGGTTAACACTCTCTCACGTCAGTCATTGTGCCTCGTTATCACTTGGGTGTACGTTATCAACTATTTTCTAAGCCCAGTAATTGCAGTAGTCTAATTACTGTCTGTCTTGAGGTACTGGTATTTCAAAGTAACTAGCGATCTATTACGCAAAGTCAGAGATGATTTATCGTCAACTAATTGACCATGGTTACTGCATTTCTGGGAGATCGACCTCTCGTCCTCTAGGAACCGCAACCTGACTGGACATTCAATCGCACATGGGAGACAACGCATTTCATGGACTGCACGATCTACGATCACGCCAAATCTGCGGTAGGTATTGCACTACATCATCTGAATTTGCGATTTGATATATTATGCTAGCAGGCCAGCTCTTTTCGTCCTTGCATATACCAGCTATAGTTTCAGCGAAGAATTTCTATAGAGTTCCTGGGATGTAATCCCACTTGAGAAGAATAGCTGGAAGGTGAGCTTTTGGGGTGTGAGAAATAGACTAGGTTTTTTTCTTTTCTTCTTCTTTTTTCGTTGCAGATGTTTCCCAAGGCCGGACGCTTGAGCTTTTACTACAATAAGCCTGAACATCTGTACCCATCTGAGCTTACTTCCCCGTGCAAAAAATACAAGAATCTACAAGATATTCAGGCAGCAACGTCTCTTCCTGCGCAGCGCTAGATATCCAATAGTGGCAAAGGAACCATTTCGAATGTTGCATCGATCGACACGATTGGCATCCTTTGAGAAGTGCAGCGCCTTGCTCTTTCGCTTGAATCAAACAACGCCAGACATATGGGTTCCATTGCACCCATCCAGCAGATCACCCACAGCCAGACGACAGTCTCTTCTCGTCATGATACTTCAGCGTATTGCGTCGGACCGAGCTATTAGCACCGCAGCAGGTCATGCGTCCCCTCCGTGAGATGAAATCAAGGCCTGAATTGTGCTGAATGGGGCGACGTTGTCACCTAACCTAGATCGTCAGGCTATCCTTAATAAAAGCACCGAGATCAAACCGTGCGATTGCAGCTCAATGACGGTATAGCTTCATGTGTCTCAACAGGTGATGCACGGCTTTTGGTGATTCTGAGAGAAGCAAATGGTTAATCATGTCATTTTGAGATCCTGAATGCGAATCAAGCAGGATTCGTAAGGAAGAGTCGGCCGCCGCTGCGATATTGCGCTCCAGGGCCACAGGTATCAATCATGATCAGATCCAGTCTAGAATCCTACACCCCCACAACGTGGCTTACATTGGACGGTCCACCGTCCGCCAGACACTACCCAACAACAAGTACAATTCCCGCAATCGTTCCTCGCTCCAGTCTCCAGGCAGCCAGGAACTCAATCTGGTACGCGAGCGGGTCCGGTGGTTACAGTGGTGATGGATCCGTCCGAAAAAGCAATGTGCCTGCCGAAACTGGCAGGTGTCACTTGACCCGAGACAGATGATTGTCGCGTGGCAAGCCAGCGTGCTTATGATGAAATATCACGTACCGGCGGACCAGGACAGCGGAGCTGGGTTTATATCATTAGTGATGCTTTTGTTAGCATCGCAAATCATTCGCTTAATTTGGAACTGCGTGGGGGCAACCTGGTCGAGGTGGATGGTGAGGACCGACTGCAATCGTGGGCATGAACGGATCCGTAAGAAGATGCAAGTAAGCAAGACGCTTTGACGTCCCTGACCGTCGTCTCTACTAGGAAGAAACTCGTTGGCATGGGGAAAGCGGATTAATAGATGTCGACTCATGTTATGATGCCCTATTGTGAGTTTTTTGAGCAACGATAGATGATGACCATAGGCATAGACAGGATTTATTTCACATTTAGTTTGTAAAGGGTTGAGCTTCAATACGTAGAGTTCAAATAAATGTTTTGTAACGATTTTCTTGTAAGAGAGCACCACCAACTCCTTTCTCCAGTGGCGCCAACAGCCCTATAGTACCAGTGACGAATATCCACTCCTAAAGACCACCATAAACTCCATTCATAGGCACCATATAATATGTATAGCTTACCAGCCAAATTGCTCACAGTGGAGCTCAACAGCAGGTCCATCATTCGTGACGAGGCTGGCAGCTGTGTTCCTGACGATTTTCATGAGACCGTCTGGTCCACAGGCAGCAATAAGCACTCTCTTGTCCTTATCCACAGGCTTGACAGCCTCTCTGATTAGCGCCGCCACATCTGGACGACCTTGTTCGACTGCAAGGTTGATGGAGCCTGTTGTGACCGTCCGACGCCCCATGCGGCAGACGATAGCTTTAAGATCGTCTTTTTCGGGGTCCTCACTAGGTCGCACTGTCGCCGATGTGCCACTGGGCTGGGCGAAGCGCTCCTCCTTGTCTGTCTCATCAACAGGCGACACTGGTGATAGGTCTCCCGACGATCGTGAGGTCACAGGCTGCAGCGACTGCGTCGAAACCTTTTCGGATACGCCAGGCACCCCCGCCGGAGCTTTTGTGGTATGGATTCTGAGTGCGACTTTTGATCCATGGGTATGCGTACGGATGGCATCTAGGTGATCTGTGAACCAGGAAAGGTTGTCTGCCTTTTGTCAGTAATGGGTCATACCTCGGGTCTTGCTCACTAACCTCGATCTTTGACAGCCCATATAAATTCAATTTGCTTGTTGGAATCTCCAGTCATCTTCTGTAGCATATTCGATGCTATGCCGAATGTAAACGTTGCACCTGATCCGCCCGCAACCAAAATCACCTTGTCAAAATCGATAGGATCTGGAAAGGTACCATATGGGCCTTCCACGGATACCCTGATAGTCCCGCCTGGGTTATTTCTGGCGTATTTCGCAAGGTCTCTGGTGAATCCACTGTATGAGTTGACGATCAACTCAGCGGGAGAGGTCGAAACTATGGTAAAAGGATGGGTTTCAAACAATCGGACCTTGGGAAGCCACACAAAACAATGCTTGCCGGGAACAGCCCGAGGCAGGGCCTTCTTCAAGAGGATTTGAGTGCCACCATTTGGCAACGGATAAACTGTTGCCTCGTTGTTGATGCCATTGAAAATGAGCCGGGAAAAGCGTATCAGTCGGTCCGATAGCCATATGGCCGCTGCAATGCAGGCAAGGATGCCAACCTTCTCTGCATCCAGCTCGGGTCGGTGTAGAGCCAACGTAACAACCATCATGATGAAAAGGGCAATGTGAAAAATGTAGAACAGCTCATACTTTAGCCGACGTAGGACAACTGCTTCAACACCACTTGCAAACATCGCAAACCCCAAAATTATTCCGGCTGTGACGACATCCTCGTGTAGTAGTTCCCAATTTCCTTGCCTGATAAAGTAGGTTGAATAGAGGGCAGCATGAACGATCATGTAGATTATCGTTGCATACCCGGCGACTTGGTGGAGCGGATTGAGGCGTTCGTATGAGTACGAAGTGAGAATGGCCAAAGGCGTATTCTTCAGGGCTAGAAACACAACTAATGTAAAGTTTGCACCCGCCATCCTGTTATTTATGTTAGTCTCATTTCAAGTTATGAATTAGTCAATACAAACTTACCACCCAAACCGTGCTGCAAAGTTTGTCATTCTACTCATGTCCAATCCGGTGAAGGACAATGCAAGGTTGATGGCCACAAAGACAGTGTAGAGCAGCGCATGGCCGGCCGATGAGAATCCAGGTATTGTTCTAATAAGGACACGTCGAAAAGCTCTGTTTGTATATTGTTAGTAGGTGTATCATTCTCTCTTTTGGTTCCCGTACCTTGTCAGAGAGGCAAGAGGTGACAGAGCCTTTGACAGAGCAGTGGGAACTCTGCGTTTATTGACGAGTAACCGTGTGCAATGACCAATAATAAATATTGCAATGAGTCCACACAATGCAGCCGCATAGTACTCAGTTGCTCGTTCGCTGGCGCGCTGTCTTGCAGCAAACATGGCAGGATTCGAAGAAGGCCCTGACCTGCTGCCAAGTGCCCCTTTGACTGGAGCAGTCTGTGATCGTGTCGACATTTTGGAAGCACTGTTATATGCCAGGTGCGAATCGAAACTTAAAAGTTCATTCACGCTCATGCGTGTCGAGGATTATTGTGTTCAAGATGATGTAACAAGCTGGTTCGCCGGATCTGTCGTGATGTTGAGTAACATACAGACACCCGAGTCTATCTGTTACAACGGGAGGAATAAGCGCAGAGACAACTACAGTTTTAAGTATTACATGTGATTAGGTATGGAAAGTGAATTGTGCGAGGACACCAGCACGCGTGTAAGTGTCCAGATCCACAAAATAGCCTTTCGTGCAAGAATAATATAACGTGACTAGATCAAGGGACGACTGCGGAGGGACTATTAGTATCCCCGAGATTGGTAGAAGCGACTATGATTCGTTAAGATATCCCGGAAGCAGGGCAGCGAGGATGATACAGTGACGTTGTACTAGAATGACAGCCGCCGTTCAAGTGAAAGCCTGATATTGATTTCCATATTCGATATCGAGGCAGCGCCGGCATATTCGGCGTCGAGTTCGGACACGACATTCAGTCACAACCCACTTGCAATGAGACGTTCTTCCACGTCCCGCTAGAACTCCAGGGCGGAATGCCGCAGGCGATGGTGGAAAGTATAGATCATCCTGACCTAGTATTGCGGCGATGTTGCCAAGGAAAAGGCCGATTGTAGTTAGAGAATGACCAGATATCATTGTGGGTATTGAATGCTACTTACCTAAACTGGCCAATGAGCCCGCCTATACTGAAGCTAAAATGATAATCGCCCGGAAAGACGCCTTCTTGCAGCAAACAAGGGTTCCCCAGAGTAGCAACTTTGTAATACTTACAAAGCAGGGTAGCGATATTAAATGGAGAGTGGCTGCTAGTTGCTCGGGTCAGTCACAACGTGGTTGTGGCAGAGCAAGCGACCACAATGTCGGTTTCGTTGGTTATTGCAACCTCAAGGCATGAGCGTCTCGTGTTAGTAACGGTTCGGTTCCAATCTGGATAAATTCTCCACGATTTAGCCTCAGCCCGACACATGACCCAAAACATCTTTGAAGCTCAATCCGGCAAATACCTTGGATGCGGGGGACCCAAGTTCGACCTGACTTGATAGATTACCTTGCATCAGCGACTGCTCGGCTCTGCTTCACGCGATGCAATGGCAAGCAATGCAAACTTATCGTGGCAGCCGCAAAGAAACCACTATAATTCGTAGAATGCTCGATAGCATTCGCGGCGGATCAGTATCCTGGGGAATTGGAAGTGCACGGAAGTTACACCGTGGCCGTGGTAGCAGCAGCGTGCATATGCTTGGCGCAGTCATATCATGTCACAATGTATGATATAGGGCATTAGCGTTCCAGCCAAGGTCCCAGGTTCTAGACCACGGGCGTACAGATGCAAAAGTAGCATATGTGAATTGGTCCACTGGTGTACCTTGTATGATTTCCAAGATCTTGTGAAATCCCTAGACCGGATAACGAGCTAGCCAACCTTGATGCAAAGTCAAGATTTTCCCGATTCGGTATTAGAAGAACTTGAAGTTTTGGCAAATTCTTAATCTCGAAAGTGATCAACCAATAACCGTTGGGGCTGTGATGGATGCGACGCACGTTGCCGAATGTCCTGCGAAGCCAAAGTTAGTTGCCGTTAGATTTTGTAGATCGAGGTCAGACGGCCTGTCCGTTCGTCCCTAGATCTTGATCTCACAGCCTGGACTCACGAGATGAAATGACTGTTGAATGACAAAGCAGATGTGCTCTCCCTTCTAGATAAACACGTAGCAATGAGAATGGGGGTGGTCAAGTTTGATGTTCTTGGCATCCACATACTGAAAATGCACGCCCGTTGTAATCAACCTTCCAAATCTGGAGCTCGGGTAGAGCCTCTAACTCCCCTGGCGGCACTCGCCATCGTCACCCCTGTCTGACATAACGCCTGTGAACCTTATTCTGCAAGTGTGACAACACTCGATCCTATCAGGAGGCGATGCAGGGAAATCCCTGCGCAAATCCTACATCAAAAGCTTAGTATTGGCCTTGCACATCTACGGGGTGTCTCGTAGCCGGGTCAAAAAGTTGGTCTCGAGAGACAGCGTGGAACAACTTTCAAGATAGCTTCAAATGAAAAGCAATTCTCTCAAATGTGACTGGACTCCAAAGATCTTGTGAAAGCTCTGACGTGACATTCAATTCATTTTTGAAACACCGTCGAAGTTCGAGGTCCCTCAAAAGCAATGTTGATGCAGCAGGTATGCATCATGCCGCACAAGCCCATGTTCCAATTGGGTACGATGGTGCTTATCCGAAATGTGGAAAATGTTGAAAAGAACCTATACATTTATGGCGGAAAATTGCGCTTGGCGTTGTGCTCACTTATAAATGCACCAGTGTAGGTTGCCGCGTTTCTTCCCCCGGGGCATCCCTATCCATGGTAGCCGACTAGGTCCATATTGGACACGCAATATGTCTAACATATATCATCATCACGTTGAAAGTATGATCAAACTTTGATCTGATCACATAGATTAATGAGCAAGCTCTGAATGTAATAACTGTGACAACATTCGGAGACGCTTCCGGATTCGTTCACGATGATCACACTGTCCAACCATCATTTTGAAATTCTCATCTACTTTTCAAAATTTTCCGTAGACTTTGTATCGGTACATTGTCTATTTGCCAGCTACATCTCGACAATATATAATATCCAACTAAAGACATGAATATCATGTAGATATCTCATGTACCGCTGGCTTTTGGCAATACCAAACTGAAACAAATCGAACTGAGATCCTACCATTTCCCCTGCAACCCGGATTCGATCTCTTTGAAGACCTCTAGACCCTTCCTCCCCAATGCTGTCCCTACTCCAACTGCACAAGCCCCTACCCCTTTCATCCGCCGATACCCAGCGGCATCCTCAACGCCCCCAATCCCGATGACTTTGACGTTTTTAGTCTCTTCAGCTTGGTCGAGGATTTTTCTCAGAGTGGCAACGTTGCCCAAGGCCAAGGGGTGTAACGAAGCACCAGCCATCCCGCCGACACCCAGCCCAGGCAACTTCGGCTCTCCAGTGTCCGTGTTGATATCTTCAAGCACGAGGCATGACCCTAATGTGTTCGTCGCTGTCAGAAAGCTAACTGGACAGGGCGATCCTTGCGCTCGCAGGGCGCCAATGACTGTTTCAAATTGACCAGCGTGTGTGTAAGGTGGTGTCTTGAGCCCGAAAGGGATTCGTGGCTGATCGTCAGTTGAGATAATCTCTCTTAGGGCTTTAAGATATAGCAACAAAGACTCTCCCGAATAAGCCGGTGGTGGTGCGTTCGGGATATTTGGGCAGCTCAGATTGATCTCCAGAGCCAGAGGCATCTGAACCATCTTGCTATGTTCTGCGACCTCTTTGTAGCATTGTGCCACCTCGTCCGGGGTGCCAGTCACCGAAACAATGATCAGCTTCTTTGACGGCTCTGGCAGGTCGTCCGATATTGCTTTGATAAACGCGAGGTATTCTTTCAGAAGTACCGGACTATACCCCAAGGTATTAAGGCTCGACCTCTCCTCGTCCTTCACATTCTTCACATCTCCACTGGATCCATGAGTCACAGGATCAAAGAACGTGTATTGATGCATCGCGGCATCGTGTTTGAAGCCATTCAAAAGAGATGTTCTAGTTGTGATGGCCCCGAGTGAGGGACACTTAAACAGTGCCTCTATGTCACGATGCGAAGACGCCCAAGGGTTTGCTGAATTCAACAACGGCGGATTGATCTCAATACTCGGTATCTCTGAGCTCATTTTCAGATAACCAGAAGGGCGTCTTTACAACAGTAGTCGAAAAATACTTGCAAGTTTAACTATAAACATAGATTTGCGACATTAAGCAACTATTCGGGTTGCCGTTAGGCCTTGCGGGGTGTGCGAAGCTAAGAGAACCCCCCGGGAACTCATGTGTTGATCATCGGGACTGACCGGCTGGACTGTCGTCACACGGTCCTCATCTTGTTATCAGCCAGAGCATGGCGGCTTAGAGATCCTGATCCTGTTTATCTTACTCCTGTAATTCTGCGCTTTATCACAGTATAGGCGGTAGCGCGAGACACTGCCTCGGTCGCTTTAGAGCCTAGGTAGAACAATCTCCAATTTATGGTGGATAACACGGAATGTTGTCAATCGCCGTCGGTGTTAGTCCGTATGACTTTGCATTGTGCATGATATATACTCCGTAACGCGAACGCGAACGCGAATGCACTGCGATTTCGCCGAGCAATGCATAATGACAAACTCACTTGCCATAGCGGCCGAGGTAAGTATGGGGCTCTTCGGACCAGGCGATGCTCTAGAGGCATGATCTCATCAAAGATAACTGGAGACGCTACGGAGCAGTATATAAAAGAGCTAGATATTGTCCATGCCAAGAGGAACTTTTATCATTTAAATCCCAGGCATCACGAAAACCATTGACCATGGCTTGGAAAACACCATCGACGAAAGACAGAACTGTCACAATTCTTGGCGCTGGCGTCCTGGGACGCCGGATTGCAGCTGCATGGGCAGCCGGAGGTTACAATGTGATCCTTCGTGACCCGAGCGAAGACCAATGCACGGCAGCTGCGGAATACGTCAAGTCTAACGCCTGGAGGTTTCCTGGCAAATATGTCAACGACAAGCTTGATGTGCGTACATTCCAGGACCTGAAGCCGGCCTTGGAAAACGCATTTCTCGTGATCGAGTGCGTGCCCGAGAAGCTCGAAATCAAGCATGACACATTCGCTGAGCTGGAGCAACTGGCGCCTCAAGATGCCATACTCGCCTCGAACTCATCTTCCTACAAGTCCCGGGAGATAGTCCCTCACCTAAAGGTTGAGACCCGACGACGAGTGCTCAACATGCACTACATGATGCCGCCGAACAACAAAATCGTCGAGCTCATGACATGCGGTGATACGGACGAAGAGATCTTCCCTTTCCTCGTTGATGCACTCAAGGGGATAGGCATGCTGCCCATCGTCGCCCACAAGGAATCAACAGGTTTCGTCATCAATCGTGTCTGGGCAGCCATCAAACGGGAATGCCTCACTGTCCTAGCGGATGGTGTCTCCACTCCCGAAGAACTGGATGAGGTTTGGACCGAGATGTTCGTCAACACCGGTGCCCGGCCCTGTCAGAGCATGGATGCAGTCGGCCTTGACACAGTCTCGTTTATTGAGCAGCATTATATCAAGGAACGGGGCCTCAAGGATCCAGGTGTAATACCGTACCTCCAGAAGTACCTAGATGAAGGCAAACTCGGCGCTAAGAGCAGCAAAGGAGGCCTGTATCCGCCGGGCTATACCACGAAGACCGGCAATCAGCAACAGAGCGACCATGATAACATTCAAGCGCCTGAGTTGTACTTCCTGGATATCGGGTTGTCCAACAAGCCTGAGGAGGTCTTCAACTCCGGTCGTATCTTGGTGGGCAGCGCGGACGGCAAATCACCACTCCGTACGATTGCCGATCACCAGCACTTCCCTGACGGTATCGCCATCAGCCATCCCGAGAGATTGATCTTTTGGACCAACATGGGAAACCCTACGAAGAACGATGGCAGTATTATGTCTTGCAAGATGGATGGCAGTGATGTCAAGTCTATCGTTTCTGAAGGCAAAGTCCACACCCCGAAGCAGACATCCATTGACGAGGTCAACAAGAAAGTCTACTTTTCAGATCGTGAGGGAATGAGAGTCATGAGATGCAATTTTGATGGATCTGAGCTGGAGGTCTTGATCCAGACAGGCGACTGGAGGCAGGGTTTCCAAGATCAGACAAAATGGTGTGTTGGCATCACCGTCGCTCCGGAGCAAGGCAAATTCTACTGGACACAGAAGGGCCCTTCGAAGGGCTCCCAGGGCCAGATACTCAGAGCATCGATTGACTTTCCCGCTGGAGCCGACGCAGAGAACAGAACTGATGTCGAGCGGCTGTTCGGTGAATTGCCGGAACCCATCGATCTCGAGGTTGATGAACAGGGGGGATTCCTCTACTGGACAGATCGTGGGGAGCTGCCGTTGGGCAATAGCATCAACCGAGCTTCGCTTGACAGCTTTGGTGCAGGAAAGTACGATATCTTGGCACGGAATATGCACGAGGCCATTGGTCTTACTATTGACAAGAAAAATCGCCACATCTACGCTACAGACCTGGGAGGCTCGGTTTACAGGTTCAACATGGATGGAACTAACAAGCAGAAGTTTTACGACGGGGAAGGCGCCTTTACTGGTATCGCATTAAGCCATGTATAAGTGGAAGGATGATAAAAGCAAAGCATCCTCCATGAGATTTCAAGTATGATCCAGCTGGGGAACCTAGAATAGACGATTATCGAGAGGAGACTGGGAGAGATTTAATGATCGTTTAGAAATAATGAGCGCAAGCCGATTCTCGAGCAATAGTACAACAAATAGAAAACTGCGTATCCTTGACTGAAATTTATGCGTATTATTTAATACCCTGTCATTTTATTTTCTAGATTGGGGGGAAAAAAAAACCTCTAGATTGAATTCGAAGACGGTCCCGTTCTGCTAGAATCTCGTTGAGAAAGCAAAGGGACATGACCCTCAACTTGCTTGACCTACAGCAGTATGCCTTATGGGCCCATGCCAATTATAAATGACAATGCTTTCATAAAGGCTCAGAATCGTGTGATGAAGTTGCTGTCACAACCGGTTGAAGGAGCAAGTCGTATCTAAACTTCGTTTTTGAAGCGAATCACGACAAATCTGGCACGTTTTGGGTGTTGCCATTTACGGTAGTTTGTCACGGCCCATGAAGCAGTGCTCCTTGTTGGCTGTGCTGATGGTAGTCACACATACGATAACCATACAGCTATTCACTGTCCACGTTGAAACCTGCTCAGACTGAATTTACCGCAGCTGACGCGGTTCTGAGATGGTTAAGCAGGCTGAGTTTGTACATTTTGGCCTTACAGAACAAACCAAAAGGCAAGAGCAACTTTTGAACAAACTTGTTCCTGGATGCTTTGAGTATTCAGGATATCAGGGGTCAACTTACACCACAACTCGTCAACCGCCTTTACGGTCTCGAGGAGATACTCATCCAGTCCTCGACCTGTCCATCCACCCGTGCATTCTCCGTCAAGCTTAGAACGGTGCTTAGGCTTATCAAGTGCGCCTTGCCATTCTGAAAGCCGGCCTACCTATCCATTTGTCCATCTATCGACCGACCGACCGGAGGAGAGCCACACGGATCCTACTGCAAGGTTTGGACCAACGACGGTATCCTTAGCGGGTGCCCGTCCCTATGAGTTTTGGGCTGGCGGTAAAGGATTAACACAGGGTCCGTTGGATGGTTGATCCGTGCTTCCGCTTGTTTCCTCTCCGCGGCCACTGTAGTCAGACCCCACAGCGCTCGCAATTGAGGTCATTCTGCTCCGTACCCGGGAATTTTTAGAGCTTCAGCTCCAAGGTTGGGTTAGTCTGGTCTAGAAACGCGCTGCTGTCACGTTGGACAGGCATATCCATTGTGAGTTCATCCACCAGCTTCACCACAATCCGCCCAATTTCCTTTTATTTATTTCTGCACCTTTCTGCGCCTGCGAATGCCGCGACTGCTATAATCTTCCTCGACATTGTTCTTCTCGCCGAAACGACTCTTGGCCATAGTGCTGTGTATTTGCCCTGCAGAGAGTGGGGTCAGTATGCCATCTATCCTTCGCAGCCTTGTCCCGTCCCGTCCTGCCCTGTCTTGTCGCATTTGCATCTGCCTTTGCCTCTGCCTCTGCCGTCTGATTATTCGTGTTCCTTCCCTCACCCTCGCCTCTAAACCCTCCCACTGATATCTCGCGTGCACTGCTGACATACCCAAAGACAGAACCACACGCATCGCACACTTGATCACTATACCACAGGCCGGCGACTTGCTTTGGCATTAACAAACACATACATCATGTCAGATATCAAGCAAGAGGACGTCGAGGTCCCCCCTGAGGATCACCAGGGCGGCGCAACTGAAGATGGCAACGATGAGGTGGGCATTCACATCTGCTTCTATTACCCTTGCACCGTTGGCGCAGCCAAACACACACATCATCCCATCCTCCGCACCGAGGATGAGATCAATGCCATCATGACAACTAACAAGACATTTGTTCGCCTACAGGAAGAGATCACTGCCATGAAGCGTCGAGTTGCTGAGATGGAGAAGGAGGCCGAGAAGCTCCGCGAGATGCAGGCCAGTCTGGAAGAGAAGGGCAACGAGATCAGCCACGACGACAAGAATGACGTCGACAGCCGAAGCATATTCGTCGGCAACGTCGACTACTCTGTCTCTCCCGAAGAGATCCAGGCTCATTTCCAGGAGTGCGGCTCCATAAACCGCGTCACGATCTTGCTTGACAAGTTCACCGGTCAACCGAAAGGGTAAGCCCCAGCTTTCTCCCCTCGGAGGCTCAGAAGCAAGACTAACCCACCCGTGACAGCTACGCCTACGTCGAGTTTACCGAGCCGAGCCTTGTCGCGCAGGCTCTTGTTCTGAACGACAGCGTACTCAAGGGTCGGAACATCAAGGTTACGCCCAAGAGGACAAACATTCCCGGCATGTCTAGGGGACGGGGTCGCGGTCGTGGAGGCGTCGGAAGAGGGTTTCATGGTGGAAGAGGAGGCTACATGCCCCGAGGCGCATATCGCGGTGGAAACCGTGGCCGAGGAAGGGGAGGGTACGCTCCATACTAGGACGATTCCGACCAGACATCTCAGTCGCAGCAGTCCGGCCATGACGATGGTCAGCCGGTTCAGACCCATACTCCTCCTCCTTGGAAACATAACCATGCCCGTTCTCTTTCTTCTCCGAGCAGACATGGCCCTTCTCATTCGTCAACCTGGTTCGGCGAGCCTTCACCTCAACGACCTGTTATTCCTTCCTACCACGTATGGAAACCCCGCAAAACCTCTGACCATGACCCGACTGCAGACACGGCACCTACGATCGCACCTCGTGCTCCCAAGGCTATGCGAGAGTGTGATTTATTGACACAACCTCAGTGACTCGGATGCTGAGGTGTGCGTGTACCGACTAATTGTACTATCTAGTGAGGGGCTCAACAACCAAGCCGGAGCTGCCGCAATGACGGGCAGGTCTTCCATATATACCGGACCAAGCGGTCTGGTCTTAATCATTCTTACCTGCGGCACAACGAGGCCGTCTCCGGGTTATGCTCATCCTTTCATGGCGCTCACGATCGGCTTTTGAACTCGAGTTCTCAAGGTTTACATGCGATAAAGGAGTCTAAAAGGGGTGAAATCTGGAAACTGCAGACGATGCTGCACTCATAGATTTCAGCACATAATTCATGTGATGCTTGCGTTAGGAAAGCTGAAAAGCATCGGATGCCATTCGATAAACATTTCAGATACACCAAGAAACGTTATCTGATAATCATGGACAAGTCCTCTTTGTCGGTTTGTGCTTGTGTTTATGCTTGTGCTTGTGCTTGTGGATTTGTGTGTACTCTGCCTCATTCATCGTGTGGATCTCATATCCCGACTACTACTGTCGAGGTAGTGATCCTCTCTGGACAACTTTCAGGTCTACAATAAGTCAAGGCCGGGACTTGGGGCAAGCGTTTCTTAGCTGCCCCTGAAGCGTTGCGTTGTTTCTGGTTCCTGCAGGTAGGCGCCCTGTCTGTTTCAGGAGCACATAGCTAACCTAAGCGACTTGCTGCCAAACAAAGGACAATGCAATTGATGTGTTCAAACATAACGCACTTCCATTAGTCTGGATTGTGCTCACTGATAGGGTTATAATCTACGACACACAGAAACACACAACCCAGGACCTCGAAATCACCAAGTGGCCTGCCTGTGTAGGGTGTCAGCCAATGTCACCTATTATGCTGCTGCTTTATGTGGGCCTTACCAAGTATAGCATCAGTGTTAACAGATGCAGCCCTTTACATAGTGCTAGTACTATTCCATATTGCTAATAGCAACGGACGGATATTTATGTATGTCATGCAACACGACGCGGGCGTAAAAACCCTAACATTCTCGTGATCGGCAAGATACTTTAATTCATACGATACGCCGAAAAAATTAAACAAGAAAGATGTAGAGACCGAAATCATAAAATGGGCCCGTTCGATTTGAGCTTACAGAGCACTTGGTGTCCCATTCGGATGTCACTACTGTACAGATGCAAAGCTGGGGCCGTGCTAGCCGTGCGTCATCCGCACCCCAAGCTTTCTGGCTTGGACGTGCATGTTGATGGTTAGAAATCAATCTGGTGCCTGCACGGCTGAAAGAGAGACAGGACATGAACACGACGACGGAGAAAAGGTCCCCTCCCCGCCCCTGATTTTCCTGACGTTATTAACTAGGTCTTTACGGCAAGAATGAGCCCCCCAGCCTCTCTGATCCGCGCGTCAGACCTGAACGGTCTGAGCTGGGACAGGGAATCAGGTATTGTCCTGCCCTGACTCGAGGCAGACTTGGGTACAAGTACTCGATAAGATCTTTAGTGGGGTTTATTCTAATCGCTTTTAAACCCGCTCGAGCTTTGTCGCTAGGACACCAAAGACGCAGTTGAAGCGCAAGGCACGGCTGATCGGGTACAAGTAAATGTCGACCAAAGACTAGTGTGTCATTCGCATTGTCTTGGCCATGGATCTCTCTCAGGTTGCGCTGGATGCCTGTTCGTCTTATCTGCGCAGGAGTGGCACAGACAAAGGGAATTCGCGAGGGAGTAGTCCATGTAAGTGAGGTTAGGATCTGTCAGAGCCGTACTGTAGAACGGCGGCAAACCATGGACGCTCTCCAGCGCAGGGAACCCGGTACATGGACTTTTGGTTAGACGGGCGGGGGTCCTCGTCTTGGGTACTTATTTTAGTGCTAGTGCAAGGTTAGTTATGTATGTAGGTTACCAGTAAGTTACTATGCATGTAGAGGTCGAACGGAACCGCTGCAGCTGCGACTGCAAGTACAACTGCGAGCACAACTGCGAGCCCAGCTGCAAGCACAAACTGCAAGTGCACAGCCTCACACTGGTGCGGGCTGGTCAGATCAGCCAATTGCCATGGCAAGACAGGTTTGGATCCGTCCAATGCCCTTCCCCCAAGCGGGCACTTGGAACTGCGGCGGCCTCCACTGCCCTGCGAGCTTGTCCACCCACCCTGCCCACGTCTCACCCAACCTTATCCGCATGTGTGTATGTGTGCAGCGCCTGAGAAGGGTCTGGAGTCTGCGAGTTTCGCCCGTCTGCCAGTCTGCCAGTCTGCCTCTAGGTTAGACGACTTGTAACCGTTACCCTTACCTAGATACGTGCAGTACCTACCCTACTGCACCACCATAGCACACCAGAGCACCGGACCCGGCGAGACTTGCTAGGTTAGAGTGATCCCATCCAAGCCCATTGTTTTTCGCCGCCCACTCGTAACTGGAACTCAACTCTGAAAACATTCCAAGAAAACATTGAGCATATCCCGTATCCCCTTCTCCCATCTCCCTCCTCCCTCCCCATCGCTACTCGCGCGCGAGACAAAGACAAGAACAGCGGGCTACTGCTAGTCCACTCTCCATCATTTGAAATCGTCGGCCGATCCCTGTCCCCCATCTGGCCTGACGTAAGGATAGCGTCCAAGACCAGGCCCTAGGACGGCCTTCGGCGCCGCTTCACTGATCGAAGTGAGCAAAGGAGGAGCAGTGCACCCGAACTGTCGACCTCACCACCACGCCGACCCTCTGTCTTGTCTATTCCAGCCATGACGTCCAGTCGCCCAGAGGCCGGATTGCCCTCGTGAGTCTTCCTGTCCATCCTCGATCAATACAGCCATGGACTAACATTTACCAGCGACAGTCCAGCTAACCTGCGGGTCACGAGTGCGTTGATTCATTCCAACACAAAATACAGTCCATCCCGTCCCATCACATCCCATCCCATCCTCACCATTACCCCTCCATCAACACCCACGTCCATACTCACCACAGCGCCGTCACGTTTCGATCGGCCTCCCCCTGAAGAAACATTGTCTCGCTAACCAAAGGTCATCATAGTCATCGCAGCAGATGGGTTGTATAAGCGAGATGTTTTCCGTACGTATATCTCGCCTTCTCTAGGAACCTGACTCGTTTGCTGTCTGGCCCTCGATCCGCTTTTGATTCGACCACCCCAGGCAAAGAGGCAAGACTTGACATGGTTATTGATGCTGGACACATACAGGTTTTCCCGATCCCTTCGCCGTCGCTACTATCAACGGCGAACAAACCAAGACGACAACGGTATCGAAGCGAACCCTGAACCCGTATTGGAACGAGAACTTTGATTTGTACGAATAACACCTTCCTTTTCTTCTCATCGCGATTACACCTACTTTTACTCACTCTACTAACTCTCAACTCTAACAAAATAGCCGCGCCAATGAAGACAGCATTCTGGCAGTACAGGTGTTTGACCAGAAAAAGTTTAAGAAGAAGGATCAGGGTTTCTTGGGTGTCATCAACATTCGCATCGGCGATGTCATCGAGTTGGCAGACGGTGCTGATGATCAGATGCTTACACGCGACCTGAAGAAGTCCACCGACAATCTCGTTGTCCACGGCAAGCTCATCATCAACCTGTCGACGAATCTGTCGAGTCCGGCTAGGCAGCAACAGCCCCCTGCCGCTAATGGGAGCAGACCATCCTTAGCTACGCCTCAAGCATCAACCATCAGCGATCGTCCAAGTTCATCCTCCGGACCGAGTGGACTTGCGCCAGGGAGCCAAACCACCTTGCCTTTGCGGCCGAACAGTGTCACCGCCCCACCTCCGGCTACCAGCAATGGCGGCAACGGCAGTGCACCCTCGCAGCCCAGAGCAAGTAGCCAGATGAGCCCCTTCGAGGACTCTCAAGGGCGCCTACCCGCCGGATGGGAGCGACGCGAAGACAACCTTGGGAGAACATACTATGTCGACCACAACACCAGAACCACTAGCTGGAACCGTCCGACTCAAGCGAGCGGAGGCGCCACCGAGCGTGGCGAGAGAGAAGCTGCCACCCAGGTCGAACGACAGCGACACCAGAACCGTACACTGCCTGAGGAACGAACCGGTGCCAACTCACCCACGCTCCAGCAGCAGCAACAGCAACAACAGCAGCAGAGTGCCGCTCAGAGTGCCAGCTCAACTGCAATGCACACCGGTGCCACTACACCTGGAACTGGTGAGCTGCCTCCAGGGTGGGAACAGCGATGGACTCCTGAGGGTCGTCCCTACTTCGTGGACCATAATACCAGGACCACTACTTGGGTTGACCCCCGTCGCCAGCAATATATTAGGATGTATGGCGGGCAGAACAATGCCAACGGGACCATTCAACAGCAGCCAGTATCTCAGCTGGGTCCTCTGCCAAGCGGCTGGGAGATGCGTCTCACCAACACAGCTCGTGTCTACTTCGTGGATCACAACACAAAGACGACCACCTGGGACGACCCACGTCTGCCGTCCTCACTCGACCAGAACGTGCCCCAGTACAAGCGGGACTTCCGACGCAAACTCATCTACTTCCGGTCTCAGCCTGCTATGCGTATTCTGTCCGGACAGTGTCACATCAAAGTGCGCAGATCCCATATTTTCGAGGACTCGTTTGCCGAGATCTCCAGGCAATCTGCTACGGATCTAAAGAAACGGCTCATGATCAAGTTCGATGGCGAAGACGGTTTGGACTATGGTGGTCTGTCTCGTGAATTCTTCTTCCTCTTGTCTCACGAGATGTTCAACCCCTTCTATTGTCTTTTCGAGTACTCGGCGCATGACAACTACACACTTCAGATCAACCCCCATTCCGGTATCAATCCCGAACATCTCAACTATTTCAAGTTCATCGGACGTGTGGTCGGTCTCGCCATTTTCCATCGACGATTCCTGGATGCCTTTTTCATCGGAGCCTTGTACAAGATGATCCTAGGAAAGGCCGTGTCTTTGGCGGACATGGAAGGTGTAGATGCTGATTTCCACCGCAGTTTGCAGTGGATGCTCGACAACGACATTTCGGGTGGCATCCTGGAGCAGACATTCTCTACTGAAGACGAGCGCTTCGGAGTCATGACCGTGGAAGATCTGAAGCCGAACGGACGAAACATTGATGTTACAAACGAGAACAAGAAGGAATACGTTGAGCTGATGGTCAAGTGGCGAATTGAACAGCGCATCGCGGAGCAGTTCCAGGCTTTCAAGGATGGGTTCCAGGAGCTGATCCCCCAGGACTTAATCAACGTGTTCGATGAGCGAGAGCTGGAATTGTTGATCGGTGGTATCGCCGAGATCGATGTTGACGATTGGAAGAAGCACACCGACTACCGCGGGTACACGGAGAGCGACGAGGTCATTCAGTTTTTCTGGCAGACGATCCGAAGTTGGGACGGCGAGCAGAAGAGCAGACTGTTACAGTTCGCAACGGGCACCTCACGTATTCCCGTCAACGGTTTCAAGGATTTACAGGGCAGTGATGGCCCTAGAAGGTTTACTATTGAGAAAGCTGGAGAAGTGGGCAACTTGCCAAAAGCACACACTTGGTATGTTTGAGGTTGAATCTCTTTTATTTTCTTATTTCTTATAAATGTTGCTCCGTCAGCGCTAACATATACGTATAGCTTCAACCGTTTAGATCTACCACCATACAAGTCACTGGAAGCCCTACAGCAGAAGTTGACTATCGCCGTCGAGGAAACGATGGGTTTCGGCCAAGAGTAGAGAGTATACGGAAGTTTCTGGCCGCCAAATTTTCATTCAATCTTTTCAGAGCTCGATCAAAAAGCTCTTCATAGTGTATATAGACGAGATGCGTGAGCGAGTGGATGTGGCATCTTGATAGCCCACCAGTGCGCGGAACCAGCCTGCAAAGATTGAGAATGCAGAGCCCGGGTAATCGGCAGGGATGACGCAGCAAGACTGGACGGGCTCACCAGTATGGATACGATGCACCTCAGGCAAAGCCAAGCACTGGTGACGCGACGCAGCGAGCGAGAGTCTTCAGAGGTGATTCTTACGAACGGACACCGCCTACCTAGGACTAAGATTTACAAATTAAGCAAGCAGGATTATGATGTATTGCATTGTTTTACCAGATTAGTCGAACCTAGACTGGCCTTTTTTGTTTCTCCCCCTCCTCTCTCTTTCCTCCGAGATGGTGACGATCCATTTCCACTCTTTGATTTTGCTTCCTAGGCTGGCGTTGGAGGAGGGTATGGCGAAGGAAACCACAGGTTCTGTAACTTGAGCATTTATGATGAATATAGAGCCTCAACCAGAAATGTCGAGGTCAGAAAAGTGACTTGTGTTTATCCCGTATTAAACGAAACTAAGAACCAATCATACAAGGCTCGGGGTAACGGCATCACGGTCACTGCGGACAGAACAAAAGAAAGGGGGGTTGGGGGTTACGAGAAAATAAAATAAAAAGATAACTGGGGGTGTGATCATACAAATTCATATTTCTTTCAAATCTTTCTCTCTCCTATATACAATATTCTGCTCTCGGCCAGACAACCAAGGTGGTGTGATGTGTATAAATATACAGAGAAGGCGCGATCGATCTCAACCTTACGGACTACCATGTTTGTTGAAATTCCGAATTCTCTTCGGAGTCTTCCCTCAACAGAGGAAAAAAAACAGAAACAGAGAAGCCAATGTCTTTTTCCTTTTCGTCTTTGGCAATCATGTTTGTGAGAGAGCCTTCCCCTTTGCTTTCGTTTCCTCCATCCAGCCAGCCGCCGCGACGATGGCTGGTGTAAATAAAAAAAGATTTCATCCCTTCAATGTTCTACGGAATCCTGCTCAAGTCGCGTTGAAGCGTCTCTCAGATGAGGCTTCGAGTTGGCTCAAGGCGAAGACAAGTCTCACGTGCTCGGGCGCGTGCCAGCTCATTCTCGTCAGTTGCTGCTGTAGTAGAACAAGAAAGAAAGAAACAATGTTGTCAATAAAGTGTGTAATGGTAAGGGTCATTCCAGAAGTCGTTATACAAGAGTCGAAAAGAACGAAGTCGGGCCTCGCCCGTAGATGTAACACATTTCAGGTGCCGGCTGACGGCGACTTCCTCAAATTCTGTTCTTTCTCTTCAATCCACCGTGAATGGGCGTCGTTGGCGCCGGAGACTCTCTGGCTGGGCTCATGAAAGTGACGTGCTTCTCTTCTTGCTTGCGAAGCTGCAATGGATCTGCGCCTCCGCTTGCCGAGCCGCGACGGTGTCGAAGAGCGCTTGACCCTTCGTCGTCGAAGTGGATCTCAGCCACATCAGTCATGGACTCGTTGTCCAAGTTGTCATCGACTTCTGACTCATCACATGAGCCGTCCACCGAATCGTCATAATCATCGTCGTCGCTAACAAGTGAAGGTGCATTATTGCTGACAGCTGTGATGGGGCTCAAGTCCAAACCCATTTCGTCCTCATCCGGAGAGTCGGCCTCTTGCCTTGATAGATGAAGCGTAGGCGTGGCGATAGTAGCTGTGTATGGCATATGCCCTGAGCTGCTTGTCGGGCGGATGCCGACAGGCAGAACTGGAGGCGGCACAGGAGACACTGGTTTCCTGACCGGCATGCGCATGCCAGACAAGGCTAAAGTGTGGTCATCAGAAGTAACCTCGACATCTGTGGAGTCGTCTTCACTCTCATCCATCTCGTCGTCTAACAAGGAATCAAGATCAATCTTGGTTCTAGCATCATGGACTAATTCAGCCATATTGATATCGATGCCCTTCTTCCTGGCCATTTCAGACAAGCTAGGGGCGTCCGATGAGGACTTGAAATTTGCATGCGGGTGACGCAGGGGGGTCGAGTTCACGGGGTTGGCATTTCTGATCGACTCCATCAAATCCTCGATGCGCTTGGCAACAGAGAAGCATGCATCCGAGTAGCTTATCGCATTTCCACGGGCGAAAGGATGAGCAGGTCCAGTCGGCGTGGGCGTGGGCGTATGATGAACCACAGGTGGCTGCACACCTACCGCACCACCAGCTTCGTCGACTTCAATAGGATGGCCACAGGCAACCGCTGCTTCCTCGTGACTCTTGTACTCCTTTTTGTGCGCTATGCGGCAATGGTTGATGAAGCCCTGGGTACTCGAGAAGTCTTCTCTGTGACATGTGACGCAGACTAACTTGACCATCTTGCCATCGGCAGCACGTTTCAGAATGCAGGGCCCAGCCTTGCCCTTTGGTTGCGTATATCCACTGGGCAGCGCTTGGAGCTTCTGGCCAGCTGATTCACGACTCCTCCGGCCCTTGTTCTGAGCGGCTCCTACCTCGCCGATGCTGTTCCTACCAGGACGAGCGTCCACGGAATTCCTGGCTCGCACGTTCTCAGGATGCACTAAAATCGGCGCCGGGATACCGTCAAACTTGGGATCGGGAATCAGCCACTTGGCGAGGTGTCGAGCATAAGGCCCATCAGTAACACCAAAAGGCGGCGCCCACTGAGGCACTTGCGCACCCATCTTGGCTTGAAGCGCCGGCCCTTGCCCGTTAGTGACGTTCAACATCTGTTCCGGCGTTGGGACGTTAACGGGATATGGAATCAGGTGACATCGACGCAGTTGTTCCAAAGCGACCTGGCATTTTGCCAGTTCTTGGTTGATAAGACGGTGCTCTTGGTGTTTGAGCAAAATTTCCTGACTAAATTGCAGCTCGATGGCTTCTTTTGCGCGCTCTAACCTGGACGACATCTTGGGCGCTGGTGATTGTGTCACTTGCTCTTCCTCCACTTCCGCCGGTGCTATCTCCTCCTTCTTTGGCGAAGCAACACCATCCTCTAACTTTTGACGCTTCAGCGCCGGAGAAACCAGGGCAGCGTTGAGCGACGTTATCGCAACGTTGCTCGGCCTCCTCCGCTTAACTGGCCGCGGCGGCGACGTCACTGTGGTAGTTTCCGAGCCAAATGGCTGTATCGGCGACCTGCCTAAATCAAACGAAGCTTGACCAACCTGAACAGCTGTGTCGCCTCCCCTTGAATCTGAGCCCCAGAATCGAAACATGAGCATTCCCTTGTGAAGCTGCGGGTGAGTAGTTATTATTTAGATGAGCACCAGGCAGACTGCAGCAGTAAGGTTTAGTCAAATGAGAGACCAGGCTGACACGAGAAAGGGGGTGAGCAGCAAGTCTCGAGTAAGGTGAGGTGAGCAAGGCTGACGTAACGACAGCCCGTATCCTGCAGGTGGAAGGGGATGCGATCGGAAGATCGGCGAGGGAGGAATGCGACTTTGCGCTAGTGAGTGCTAGGTAAAGCGCGCTTGTGTCGTCCCTGTGAATGAACCAAGAATAGTGCTCAAAAGCAGCAGATAGTGGACTGCTTATGCTTCGCGTAGACGATGATGTGGCCACCGTCAAACCCAACGAAACTCAGTTTGAGTCAGGGTAGTGTGGGTGCAAGCGTGAGTAAAGGTGGCGCCTGGAATTCAAAGGAATGCGAAAGGCGCGCACGCGTTCTCTCAACAACAGGCAGCACAAAAAGGGGGCGGAGCAGATGCACAGGCGCAAATGCGACCACAACTGCAACTGCGAATGCAAATAGAATGCAGGTGCGAGTTGTGACTGATTTTAGAGCACGAGAAGGAAGGGAGAGGCAGCCCGGTGGATTCCGTGCCAGCAGTGGGTGGGTGGTGTTGCAAAACAAGCAAGTCGCAAAAGGCCTCACAGGTCAGAGAGGGACGGTATGCGACCGGCGACAATTTGTGCTTCAAAGGCGATTAAAAGAGTTCGTAAGTCGTGTACAAATGTTGGGAGACGCGCAATTAGTGGTTAGATGCGATGGCAGCCCAAAATGAAGCGACACAAAGTTGGTCAAATCAACCAAAGGAATGCGCGAAATGAATTACAATGAAAAGCAGGGCCCGATGATCGTCGTCTTGTCGTCTGTCGCGACCGTAATGTGATTTTGTCGAGGTGCAGAGGTTGCGAAAGGTAAGATGGACGGGGCGGGTGGCCTTTGATTGCACGATTGTTTTGTCGAACCTGAACATCCGTGTACCATGTGCGATGCGATGCACGTTGGGTTTGGGGGTCGGAGGGAGACGGGGGGGGGATTTGATCAAGGTACCGGAGTACTGGGGGGTGCTCCTTTCTTTTTGCGCTTGTGAGGGATGGGCCCAGGGGGGTTGCTGGAAACCGGAGGCTATTGTCTTGTTGCTGCTTTTCCCAGTCCCCAGTTTCTCGTCATGACGGAGTACAGTAAAGCCAGTCGGGTTGGAATTCCAGTTTCCCAGCTGATGGTGTGAAGCGCAGGCAGCGCCAGAAGCAACCTTGATTGCCTGGAAGAAATGGCTAGGGCGTCAGGGGTGCACGATGACTGGATCGGTGCTCAGTGCACCAAATGTGTTCCAGCAGCCAGGCGGGTCAGAGACTGGGGGGGCTTGTCAGACTTCAGCTGCGTCCCGCGTATCCGTCCGTATCTCGCTCACTCTCTCTGTGTGTGTCGAGGACGAGGGCAGGTAGTCACCAAGTACCCCTCCGAATCTTGTATGCCAGTTGATCAATGCGCGCGATCTGCAATAGTCTTTAGGAACAATCGCGACTTTTCCAGAAAGACAATTTGTTGACCGTTGCACACAACAATAAGCGTGGTGGCCGAAAAGCTTGATGTCGTGGTTTGCGACAAAAATAAAGTATGTACGCTTCAGAGTCCGTTTTGGTCTTTCAAGAAACGGTAAGATGGTGTGAAGTGTCACGGGCCAAATCGCGTAATTTCCAGATTACTGTGCTGAATCTCCCGTTTGGGAACAGGCAGGGGATGACAGGAATAGGCAATAACTGCGTGTGATGTGCGAGGAACGTCCGTGGACGCTTTGATGATTCGGATGATTGACGGTGAATGGGGAAAGACAATCAAATGTGAATGGGGCACGCGCAATCATGTCACTTCTCGAGCTTAATGAGTTGCGGTTCGGCTGAATGAATCTTGAGCTTAAGCTGTGAACCATCGACGGGTGGGTTGTTCAGGAAAGTGGGTGACTTGGTGACTTGGTGATTTGGTGATATGGTGTGCCCAAGCTAAGTGAATATCTCTCGAATAGCTTGTACAACAAATCTAGCCAGACGACCACCGTCCACGACTAATATATGGGTCATATCAATGCACCCAGGAATGTGGGTTTATGCTCTACTTGTGTACTGTTGATTGTAGGTTTGTTCGTGCCTCAAGCACTGTCCTAGAAAATGTCTATTATCCCTGGAATGCAGCAGGTAGATGGACGATTACGCAGGACGTCCTCGAGTTGTTGGCCGCTGGCTGATGCGAGCGTCACGATACACAATATTGTGGAACAGAAATGAGTACTTTGGGAGTCCATGCTGTGTTCAGCCTTGGATCATTAGTGTTTGGCCGGCTGCCGAGCTAATATAGAAAGAACGTCGACTATGCGGCCCTTGGTCGCCCGGCGTATATGGAAGTCTTCCCCTATCGAGTTATATCAACCTATCCAGGCTCTACAAGGGTTTTAGTCTTGACTCATGGTTGATTGGACCAAGGATAGTGCCAGCCTGCTTGACAACATGCATCATTTTGTCAAACGTTAATGGTGTTGTCCGTATTTTGTATAGTGAAATATCGAACGTGCGTGATCGTACTACATGTTTCATAGTATATACCACAGTAGTATGTATTCATATAGTACAGAGTATGGCGGACTGCTTGGCACACCAGCTGGGAAATGGCTAAGTGATAACGAATAGTCATAGTCATATCTGCTTGAAGCCATACAACCTTACGGATCTTCTTCTTCTTCTTCTCCTCCTCCTCCTCCAAGAACTACGGTTTGGTTCCAGATGCGAGGAGTTTTCAGCAAGAACCGTGTTCTCCGTGTTCTCCGAGCATTAGATATCATGGTGAAGCATCAATGATAGAATGCAGCGCCGCCGTACCGAAGTCACCCGTTTAAAGCCTTGGCGTGAAACCCGTCGATTTTGGCCGCATAATGTAGCAGGGATTCTTGCCTGGTGTCTGGCCAATCAACAAGCAGCACTTGACACTTCTGCGTCAGGGCCGCGTGCTCCGTGCTGTGCTATCCGAGAACTCGGCTTCCTTCTGATTTGAGCTGTCAAGAAGCTTTATCGCAGTCCGATAAGATGTCTTCCAGGGATCTGAATCACGACATCCTCGCAGTAATATGAAGTAGATAAGCAATATTATACTTTATTATAAAGAGAGCCTAACGTCCATGAGCACTTCTAGAATGCGTGGAACCATGTGCTACACCAGTATGGCTCTCAATAGTTGCCATTTGGCTGGTGGCAAAGAAATAAGCCCTGCGGCCCCGTCCAGGGAACAAGAAAAATAAGGTTGACCACATGAAAGAGGCGACGCGATTGAGTTGCAGCGCAGTACAGTACGTAGCATGGTCTCGCTCAGGCTTTGCTTATTATATAGACGGTTCATTACTGTATCAACCTCAAATCACTGAGCTCCTGATAGCCCGGACAGGCTGTGAGCCGCTATCGATAAGCCCCGATAAGCCTCAACTCAGTAATGGAAATTCGGGATATTCATGCCACTCTGACACAATCTGCTCACCCCCACGACCAAGCATCGGCCGAGTGCAACCTGCCTCAGATCACCAATAAGGCAGGTACTTGGAGAAAGCAGCAGAGCAACGGGACATCTGGCGCAAGCGAGGACGAGCACAATGCAACCACAACCCGGAGTAAGCGCCGCACCGCCAGCAAAGCGTAAGCGAGTGGTATCTACAGAGTCGGAAGCCGCGCAACCCTCGGCAGCCACCACGGCGCGGCCGCCTACCAAGAAAGCCCGCCTCGCCTCCGACCTGAGCATCACCGCACCGGGCGACGGCAAGGTGCTGGAGGTGGTGGAATCGAGATGCGACGTCCAGATACACTCGGTCATCTCCTCCTCCAAGATCCAGAAGAAGGTGTCCTCCGTCCTGCGCCACCTTGCCGCCACCTCTGCCTCGCCTGAGACGACCCCCGACCAGAAGAAGCCACGGGTATCCGTTCTACGCGCAAGGGCCTCCGATGCCGGCAAGCTCGTCAGCATAGCCGAGATCGCGAAGCGCGAGCTGGCCGCTCAGGGGGAGGGCGGGGACAAGGAACGCTGGTTCCAGTACATTGGGCTGGGACAAGAGTTGAAGGAGACGCCAAAGAAAAAGACCATCATCCAGGATACCATTCTGAACGGCAAGGCCAACGGCGGCGACAACGAAGACGAAGACGCTAGTGATGACGAGAATGAGACCGAGAAGGACGATTTCGAATACATGAAAACCCCATTCGAAAGAGCCATCGAGGGCAGACCAAAGAAGCAGGCCATTGCCATCATAAGTCTGTTCCTGGCAAGAGTTTCCGTCGATGAGTTGAAGAAAAAGTACGGCGAGCAATCGAATCAGCAGTCGAACAAGACAAAATCCTGAGCATTATATTGCAAAAACTACTGACAACGCAAGCACGCTATGCGAGAAAGGGTCCGCTGCAACCGCTTTGCTTCTCTGGTCACTAACGAACTCCAAGCTTTCAACACGGATTTGCACCAGTGACCGGGTCGGCTGGAAGACTAGCACGACCTCTGGACGAATCGGACACGAACTCGACCACTTGGAAAACATGACAGAGGAAATAACGAGGGGTGTAGACCGAATGGTGCTTAGATGCGCTTTATAGGCCATGGCTCAGAAAGTAGACCTATGAGAGACCATGGAGGCCCTCCGTTTGGGCATTACCCGGCCTCGACTGACCCTTGGGCCCCTATGCAGCACACATGTTGAAGAAACTTTGAGTTCATAAGATTCCACGACGTGGGATCGTTCAGCATGCTCCAAAGCGCTCGTCCCAATGTTGTTTACGCAGAATGTAGCCCACTCTGTAGATGGATGTGTCACGGCTTGCAAGCATAAACAAAGTTGCTTGGTTAATATGATACTCATTAATGCAAAGAGTAACTCCTACATCCCAATGCTTGGTTGCAATGCCTAAACCCACATGACACAGGCCCATTGTTACGTATCATCGACCCGCCTGCGTTGCCTTGAGGAAGCATTGCTGCGTCGAAATTCCGATGCCACCAATAGTTCGTTTTGTCTAGACCGCTCTCCTGTCCTCCAGAAGCCAGTGTCTGAAATAGATTCCGGGCCCGTATTCGTACAAATGATTTCTCGAACTGTTCCATACCGTAAAACTGCTGTTTGTTGTTCAGACACCAGCTCACACCATCATCTTGTGTGCCTAGTAGAAATTTGCTGATTCGATTCTCAATAGGATGTCGAGCTTTCAGTCGGCAAAGCTTTCGGCCAGTATTCCATGATACTAATGCTTCTTTCCGTTCTGGCCGTCTGAGTAGACTATTCGCAAGACAAAGTTGACGATGACAGCCAACAACAAGACGATTGCCAGCATGGTAGGACCGAAGCGATCGTCGAAGCCGGCCTGGCCTCTAATCCGTATACTCTTCGCACGCCAGTGATACGTCGCCAGTGCATATATCATGGTGAGCATGGCGACGCCGGTGAAGAGGAAGGCCGAGATGAAGGCGGGCCGGTCACCGAAGTTGAGCATGCCAATGGCGAGGGCGCCGAGGATGACGGTGAAGTTCAGCCATGATAAGAAGGTTCGCTCGTTGGCAAAGAAGACTTTGGGCTCGACACGGGTCGGGAGGGCAATGCGCTTGCCTGTTGATTTAGGGAGGCAAGAGTCAATACACAAATTCTGATCGAACAACAACAACAACGACAACAACGACACACGCCGCCAATGGATGCCAGGTCAGATTACGTACCAGGAGCTGTCTGCAGAAGAGGCTGGCTAGACATATTCAAGTAGGATTGACAATGTACAAAGGATGATTATACCAAGTCGCAAGTCGATGCCACATACAGCAACGCGGCTAATGACGTTGGGGTGACGATGATTGGCTTGAGGTTGTTCACAACAACAATCGTCGTCCAATTGGATATAGCCGAGGCTTAATAACAGTTCCTTTGCCGTCACAGAATGGCAGTCGATGGTTCGTTGCACTGAGAGCGTTTGTCTTCCGGTCAAGATTCGCGGCTCGGCGAAGAAAAACCAAGAGAATCAGAAAACGAATGACGATGGCGGAGTGCCTTGGGAAGCGGAGGGAAACCTCTGCTAACCTAGTAAAAAGCTTCTACAATTTGACACTGAGCACTGGAGAAGCTGCAGGCGGCTGCCAGGACGAGGACGATGCAAGCTCGGTGCATTAATTAGTGGGGGGATTTGGTCCCGAGATACATAGTACACACATGGCACAGGCGAACAACCCCACTGTGGACGAGCTGGGACTGGCACCGCAGGGAAGCCTCTCGGCAAATCAAAACAAAAGGAAGCAGCACGTTTTGGCTTCAATGGTCAGTGGCCGCCCAAAAATCTTGGAGAATTAATCTTGCAGGGAATTATTCTTCCTGGACAGCTACACGTGACACAAGCCCCGCGTCGTGGGATAACAAAGTCGATACAGCGCGTCGTTGCGAGGCTGACGGACGGAAATGACATAATAAAGCATAAAAGTAAATTGTATAGTCGTATAATAGCATGGTTATGATCAATGGTAAGTCAAGGTCGCTTTTGTAGGTAAACAGGCATCGAGCCATTGTTTATTACCCCGTCAAGTCTGAATTATTTTCAGAATGAACTCTCCAGCCACCAAAGCACAAGTAGCATGTCAACCACCTGGTATCAAAGTATGAACAAGATGGCTGCATCCCACGCGCCGGCCGGCCCCGGGTCGTTCGAAAAGTGCAGAAGGCTGATTCGCAAGTCCTCAACCACCATTATTAAGCTTTTGCTGAGACTCTCATAGACTTCTCGTAGACTCTCACACCAAGTTCCGTACCGTACCGTACAGTACAGTATCGTACAGTAGAGAGACGAGGAGACGAGAGAAATATCATTTTGCGAAAATCCTCCAATCACCTTCTATTAAACAAATACAATCTGCTAAAAACGCTCCCCGTCCATTGTTTCTGCGGATATTGGCGCCAATTTCCTCAGGCTTCCCCACTCCAATTGGCGTTCACCTCCGCAATCGCTGAACAAGGCTGCCGTTCATCTTTTGTCCTCCGTACTGTGGTCAAGGAGAAAAGAGACTAACGCCTCGTCGACTTGAACCAAAAGCATCCTTGGTTCTCCTCTTTACCCATTATCTACGTCAACAACGACACCCGACAAAAGCATCACTGGAAATATGTCTTCGCAGCCCATTAGTTCGACACGCCTCAAGCAGATCGCCCAGGATGTAAGTTCGTATCCTTCGCGTCGCATCGAGCCATGAAGAAGAAGATGAAAAAAAAGAATATGAAAAAAAATAAAAAATAAAAAATAAAAAAGTTCAATCAAATCAGAGTCCCTAATCATCGCGCGACACAATAGGCTTGCCAGAGCGCCATAGGCAGCGCAGACTTCTACGAACACTCCAAGGTGCAGGACTGGAACTCGACCATCATCAACTCGATCCTCAAAGCCCTCATCTCTGAGTCTACTCCATCCAACAACTCCCAAGGGCCCGCCCACAAGTTCGTCGTCAACTCGACTATCGTCCAGCACCTTGTGCCCACCTCGTCCCTCAACAAGCCCAAGGGCGGCACCGATGTCAAGCAGGAGGAGCCGCGCATCAGCACCAGCGACGAGGCCGTCGCGACAGGGACCGACGGCAAGCCACATGTCGGCCGCAGGGGTATGCATTCAGCAACACAAGCGTTCTGGAACGAGAAGACCGACGGCATGTGGAGCTTCAAATACGATGGTGGTGAAGGCAAGGGCATGGACGTCGTTGTCAGCGTCATCTGGATTGCCGTCTAGGATGCGATTATCCGCGACTGACGGATCTAGAAAAACGGCTACCAGCAGTCATGGTGGTTTATTTTCATTTTTAAACTCATCCAACAGAAACACCAGAATGCCCACACCGCTCCATCCGGAACTCAATCTGGGCGAGATTTATACGGGATCTACGATGCTCTCTATATTTTCTCATGAGGCTTTTGAGGGAGGATCAGGTTGGTCAACCAGGAAACCCCGCCACTACCTTGTGCGGAGGATGGTTGAAGGCAGGTTGTTTTGCATGCGGTGTATTTCTACTGTCTGCAATTAGCAAGCACGGGAAAGCGATTGGATTGATACCAGGTGGTTTGGAGCAGAAATGGGATTTTCTTCAGACTTGACGTCGATCGTTCCATATTCAACACTTAGCAAGGAATCCGGGATGCTCAATTAAGAATAATTCATGCAACTCCTCTGAGCTCCCAGTTCCATTATCTACTTTGTACACACTATACATGCTCCTGAACAACAGGTACTGAAACGGGCAACTGGAGCCTATGGTGGAGTGGAGCACCCAGAGGAATACATTGTCACAAACTTACTCTCCATAATGTACGGGCCAGGGGCGTAGTAACCCAGGTTCTTTTACAGTTCTGGATGGAGAATACAGCCGCACAAGACAAATGAGTGAGGGTGATACATTTTGTCGTGTCCCATAGTTTCCAGCGTCTTTTTCGTAACAAAATTAAAAATTTCTTTCCTTTTTATTTTATTTGGATATATTTCAGAAGCGTGAAACACCAAACTACCTGGAGAAAATGCTTCTTTGCACCAGCACGAATACTTCCTTGAATGCGAGAACAACGCTAGGTTGCGGATCGAATCGAATATGCATCCTCAGGCAGGTCTCGGAAACCGCTCGGAGTAGCAGCCCGGGAGCCGGATTATTGACTGCCTTCTAGAATTCTTCCATTTCCCCCCAAATGACGTCGCAGTTCTTCGTGATGCTGTCGATGGTTCTTAGCCAAGAAAGGTCATTGGGTCGCATAGATGCCGTGTCTCAGCGCTCACTGCAAGGTCTCGTGCCACGTTCAGGAACGACAAGCAGCTTAAGCTTATCAATACAGAGGAGTTCATTTTATCCTACTAGAGTTACAAGGAATTTCGAGATGACTCCCTAACTCCCATTTTCAGATTGCTGCTGGTAACAGTCGCGACCAAACTGCTGGTAACAGGGTCTTGTTACCTCGCGTATCCCGGTCTCCTCACTTTCATCTTTCCGGAAACCCCCGCCCTTTTGCCACTTGGAAACGCGAGTTAGCGGAGCCGCTGTCAAAAGGCCTCTCCGCCATTTTTGCATGCTTTCCGCCTTCTGGACCGCATCGAACAATTCCCACTCTTTGTGATGATCATTTGCGGGCCGGTTGTCACAAAACGAGGAGCCAGGAGTATCCTCCCGGCTCGAGTGACGTTCGTGGGCTCAGTCTATTTTCTTCTTCTTTTTTTTTGTGTTGCAGATCTGATAGGAATGCATGATAGAATTTCTGGACCATGCATGGCTCAGACGTCGAGGCTTGATTGGATCATCGTCATAGCCGAAGCGCCGGCTCGCTCCAAGATTCCCCGGCCCCTTTACCCGCTCACTGTGTCAACATCTCACCTTTGACGTTGTGCTACGTGGACTTCCTATTTACATGTGAATGTATTTCGTGAGGCCTTCTATCTGTTTTCGGGGTCCTGGCAGAACTGCGTTGGAATACCGTCACTAGTGGCAGGCTAGTCTGAGATTCGATCCCGCTCACAAGATCAACTTCGTCAGATCCAGCGTCATTGTTACCCCAAGTGGGACAGGTCAGGAAATCCAAGCATACTATCTTGCAACTTTGGCCAAGGCTAAGTATGCATGTTTTCAGCGGTGAAACTCAAGATATACATGTTACTTCAGGAAGCCAAGCGGTTTCCTGATGACCTGGCCATAGCATCTGTAGAAACCAATGTCATCTACATGATCTGGAGCCAGGAAGTATCGTGCCAAGGAAGTCAAGGCCGCAGCTGCGAGATTCATGTCGCACTGTCCGCTATTGCCAGTTAAGTAACTAGAAGCGGGTCTAATCGGCATCGCCATCAGCAAAACACTGGGCCCAGCGAGAAAACAAGCCTATCGTGAACGCCAAACCCCCATCGAACGGCGTCGGCCATGCCTCTGTCAAACCGTTGCAAGCCCAACTGGCGAGACTGGCCATGTTTGTCGATTTCCCCGTATTCTGTGCAAATCATGACTAGCCTGGATTTCCTGCTCCGGTCTAGCTGGGTTGGTCACAAGATGGTCACACGATTATCTCTCCATTATTTCTTCTGTTCTCGATGAAGAGTCGTCTATGTACTGTATGTCGAATAGTCTGGAGTTGTGAAGTGGATAACTTGACCCCCACAAGTCAAACTTGCGATCTCGCCATACAATCACAGACCCTGGAGTGTGCCTGTTCCACCATCTTGCCATTTATATACCGTTTGTATCCTCCCGCGAGTCTGTGTCAGTCATACCCAACTTGACTCGTGTAGACGAACCCAAGTATAGCGACCTCAACTAGACTACTTTCACGCTTTTCAACAACTCGGGATTACCCTTCCCCAAACACGTCCACAGAAATCCAGAAATAGTTCTGGTCATCGACACTTAACGAACTAGTTGCCCCTAGAGGCTCCATTATTCGCTTTTCTGGTTTTCACCACCGAGGTATCTGACACGACTCTCGGGCCTTTATAAGTTTTGAGACCCTCCCTGCCGAAAAACATACCAACCATTCGCCCGTAAACTATTGCTTCATCACGACTACTGAGGTAGCAGTTGGGCGACTGGGCACCAACAGAATCAGACCCCAAAAAACAACAACTGAGCGGCTTATTCACTCATCAGCAAGAGACCGGCTTTGATATCGTCGCAATGGTTGAGGTTCAGCGAGCGCCGTCTTTGGAAGGAACGCTAGGAAACGCAATGGATGCGACGGGAGTGAATAGGCGACTCTCCAATGTGAGATTGGCGCCAATTGACGAGTCGAAGGCGGTTGCGTCCCAGCAGGAGGCGAGGAAAGAGCCAGCGATAAACGACTGGAAACAGAGCGGCTTCCGCAAGCCACGGCGTGCCTTCTCTTCGAACGACTACCCGCTTCCGAGTCCAGGATCCAGTCTTCCCGTGTCAGCCGCCGGGTCGCCCGCACTGAGATCAAACGAGGCCAACTCGTATTTTTCACTCCAGCCTACAGCTTCAAACTCAGCTCTCTCGTCGATACCTGGAACACCTACGGAATCACCAAACACAGCCCCAAATATCAACGTGGCCTCAGCCCTCTCCTCCAGATATGCGACCGCCGTGTCGCACCCACTTGCTCCGCGCCCAGAGTTGCATGGTCCACAGCGATCTTACTCGGTAATGGACTACGTTCCCTTGCCGGTCCTGCAGCGCCCCGGCGAGAAGCTCCAGCTTGTCCACCTGCCGCCCGAGCTGCATTTTGCCATCTTTGACTTCCTCGACGATCTCGACAGCACCTGCCTGGGCCTGACCAGCAGACACTTCTACTACATTCACAGACGCATGCGCGGCACGATTCCGCTCTCCACCCGCCGTGACGGCCCCAACGACATGGAGTGGATCTGGCGCCTGGCCGGGCCGCTCATCGCCAAGGGCCACAGCGAGGAGAGCGCGGTCAACTCGGTGCTGCCCCGGGGCCAGGTGTACTGCCGGAAGTGCGGCGTGTCGCGCTGTGAGCTGCACAAGCACATGCAGGAGTGGATGGGGCCCGGCTACGAGTACTGCGAGGTGCGCCAGAAGTTCGGGCCCATGGCCCCGGCGGACGCGAAGAGAAACTGCTACAGGAGCTCGCCGAGGCACCCGCACCGGTGCGGCCGCCACACGCGACAGCAGCGCGCCGTGAGATTGGTCTAGGATGCCACGGGTGAGCGCATTGTCGGGTCGGGTAGTGCACCGGACGGCGCCATTCGACGCAACCGTAGTGGCGTCGATAATCACAAGCGACCGTCAGGAGACACCCGACGCCGAGGCAGGGAAACTTTATGAACGGGCGCTTTCCCATGGGACTTTGGGGGGCATGATAAATGTAACGGAATAGGGTTTGAGAAATGTCATCTTTGCGGGGCTCATATGCTCAGTATTGGTGGAAGCATGCTTTGTGGCGTTTTTTTTTGAGGCATGACATTGCATTGGATGGACGAGCGCATGATTGTTTTTTCTTTCTCGCATATCTCAGTTTGAGTAGAATTACTACAAGACCTAGAGAGGATATCTTAGAAACTTTAACGATTATCGGAATATAATCGTTTGGTATTTACAAAGTTTTTCCAAGCCACGGGCAAGTTTTTACATGCTAAGTAAGCGTCGAACTATATGATAGTGCAGCAGTTACTACAAAAAGGCGTACTCGTCCGCTGTTGTCACATTACCTGCGTTCATGCGGAAGTACAGGATTTTGTGCTCGTGGACAAGGGAAAGCTTGTCGGCATTTTGACCCCTGATTTGTAGGACGGCAACTTCTTGCTCTGTTTTCATTGCGATCTGAACTCGCACACGCTGAGCATCCACTGAGGTGTACTAGTGCCCCCACGGTGTTATGGCGAGCCAGCTCGAGTACTGACAAAATCATGCCAACCCAGCGAACTATGGCTGCGTCTGGAGTCGTCTTCTGTCCTCCATAGCAATACAGTTTAGCCGTCACAAAATCATTCAAACCCGAGTTGACGTGATTGGCGCCATCTCCTTTTTGGCTCGTATTCTAGAAAACACGGACCTTCCACTTCGACAGGGGATACGGGAAAAAGAGATTTGGCAATCTGGGGTATCACAAATTTTGACATTAGACGAACTCTTGGCGGGATGCTGGTCTCTTGATAATGCAATTTCAGGAGAAATGCATGTCGCCGTACTATAGCCCCTTAAACTTTTGCTCTCGATAAGAAGTAAGCTATGTGCTATCGGTCATCGGTCATCGGTCGACTCTTGGAAATACATAACACGTATCACTCTTCCTTATCAGGCAACTATAACGCTGCACTTTGTGTTGGGTTTTGCAGGGCATTTATGCAGGCTGGGCAGTATATTGTCACTCATCCAAGATTCGAGGCGTTGTCGCATCCACACATCTTTGCTGTCGCGCGACCACTTGCACTTTTTATTTCCTCGGCACCATCCGCAGTTAGGAACCACGATTGGTCCAATACCGCGAATAGACTCCCTCCTGAACGCAAAGAAGAAGGACGTCATTCATTAGCGCGGTTCATAAACAACCCCCCCAACAATTCGCCTTACGTAGCTAAAAGCTGTGTTCCAAATCCCAGTTCCACCCGCGTCGAAGGACAGCGAACTTGCCTGTTCGTGTTCCGGCTGTAAGAAGCAATTGACCCCATAATCACGATCTTTAAGTCCTTTCTGTCTGGCCGTTAGACGAGCGAATGCAACCAAGCAACTAAAAGCACACACATACTGTCCTTTGACCACTTATTGACTTTGTCGTGTGGACCAAGGGAACGGGCACCCAACTCAGTTGCACGCAATCACAATCTTGATACGTTTCCCCGAATCGTCATTGTTACTGCTTCTCCCACCGCCTGTCAAGTCGCGTTCAAGCTTCCCACTTGCACACCACCCTGGGACATAGATCCCTGTTTTTGTTCTCTCCTCTGAGGAACTGCAGGCGCCGCAAGGACCAATAGATCCTTAGCTAAGTGCCAGTTGTCCCTGCACAGCTGTCCCTCGCTTCCAGCAACTTGGAAACTGCCACTGCAACTGCAAGGGAACGAAAACCCACGCACGCGCGAATTACGACATTGGGTCACCACCTTATCGCCTGTTCGCTGCGAGGTCCTTTTTAGTGGACATACATCATAGTAGTCCTGAACCATGTCTTCACCCTCAGCAAGCTCCTCAGCTGCCGGGAAGCGCAAACGTCCGACTACCGCCAGCTCCACGACCGCGACCACGACTCAGATGGATGAGAACCAGCTGCTCCAGCCCTCCTCACGGGACGCCTCCGGCGAGGAAGGCGACACCACTGCCCCGGAGTCCGGGCGGTTGGCCCACCGCAAGCAGCCTGCCGACCCCACCAGCAACATCTCCTCGAACCCTTCCAAGAGATTGAGGTCGAACGCCAATCCCGAGTCGGCGGATCAGACCGTGGACCCAGGCGAACCGAGCGACACCACAGAGGCCAGTATCGATATCGCTGACCGCGTCACCAGGAAGAGCAGCAAGAAGCACGCTGCCTTCAAGGACGACCTGGGCGATGGAAAGCAGGACGAGTCTATGGCACCGCCGCCGATTGGCAAGTTGACACACCCTGTGGGCTACAGGACCAACGACCCGCCCACTGGGCGGCCGATCAGAGTATACGCAGATGGTGTCTTCGATCTGTTCCACTTGGGACATATGCGTCAATTGGAACAGGCCAAGAAGGCCTTCCCAGATGTCTATCTGTTGGTCGGTGTCACTGGCGACGAGGAAACACATCGACGCAAGGGTCTCACAGTGCTGTCCGGCAAGGAGCGTGCTGAGACCGTCAGGCATTGTAAATGGGTTGACGAAGTCGTTGAGAGCTGCCCTTGGATCGTGACCCCGGAATTTCTCGAGGAGCACAAAATCGACTACGTTGCGCACGACGATCTCCCATACGGTGCTGACGAAGGTGACGATATCTACAAGCCCATCAAGGAGGCTGGCAAGTTCTTGGTCACCCAGCGAACCGAGGGTGTCAGCACGACAGGTATCATCACAAAGTAAGCGAACACGTCATGGACGAGATAACTATATTTTGTACCTCACATGCTGATTGGACCCTCTTACAGGATTGTACGTGATTATGAGCAATACATTGCTCGCCAGTTCAAGCGTGGTACCTCTCGCCAAGAGCTCAACGTCAGTTGGCTCAAAAAGAATGAGTTGGACCTCAAGAGACATGTTCAAGACCTGCGTGAGAATATTCGGACCAACTGGACCAGCACCGGCCAAGAACTCAGCAAGGAGCTGCGTCAGTACTGGCCAGCCAGCAGACCTCAGAGCCCTGCCCCAAGTCTTCGTTTTCCTGTACCTGCCACACCTGGCCAGTCTCAGAACAGCGAAGTGTCCATGCGTGAGGCAGTTGCCATCGCCAACGCCGGTGCCAAGTCGCCCACAACCCCTGGCCAGGGTCCAAATGAGTTCATCAGCGGTTACACCTTGGGACTGATTGGAGGTGTTAGATCTTGGGTAAGTTCTATGTCTGGCTGATGTCTAGTATTACATGTGTTCTGACCTGTTGCCCTTTAGATGACCAAGAACCGCAGGACGGTGCAAGACACGAGCCGTCCTCCCAGTGACGACGAGTCGGAAGGGAGCGATGAGGTCGGACAGCAGCGTGGCAGAAAGCCAGCTGCGGCAGGTGCAAGTACAAGCGCGGCTTAGAACTAGTGACCAGATCAGGTGGAGGAGAGTACTAAGGTAGTAACAGTATGGCAATGTGGTAATGACGCTGCCGGATAAGATAAAAGCACGGAATACACAAGATTTTCAAAGAACGTGAGCTTGGTGCCAAGAGCTGGCCGGCGTATGGTGCAGCGGACTGAGTTTGGTCTCGGGGTCATCATGGAAGTCATGGAAGCTAGAAATTGATACACATCACACGCCTTTAAAGGCCTGGGCGACTTGATGAGAGACAAGCAATGAATGGCCTTTTATGGCAGAGTTTTGATTGAAACGTTCAGCTGCTCCATACATTACACTTTGTTCCACGTTTTACTTGTATTATACTAATACTAGCGTTGACAACGGTACAAATGAGAGCTATGCCTGTTCACTTAGGCCACTGTCACACATGGTTTGGTAGATGTTGATGCTTGAAGGATGCGTGAAGACAACATACATGAGTCCAATCGCGCAGTCTTGGGGTGGGGGCCGGAAGGGGGGGGGGGGGGGGGTTGTGTCGGGAACTTAGTAATGCATCTTAGTCTTTATTGCACCGCTATATTGGGAATCTTCGAAGATAGTGAGCTTTGACCTGCCTTGTTCCACTCGAAAGTCTCCCGAGGATTGGGTAGCGGGCAGCTGCTGGAAATCGTTGGGACACACCGTCTGCTCAACTTCCAAACTGTCCAATTGACAAACACCCGACGGTGATCAAAATCTGGACCGCAGCCGCGGCTTGTGCCTATCCGTATTCTACTCTTACTCACTTTGCATACCTTAAGAAGCTGTGGGACAGACTATCTCAAGGCGATCTCCGTTGTTGTATAACAAGATGTTGCCCGATCCGCTGGTCGGGGTGTACCAGCAATATAAGCAGGACACGGACTCCATCGCCGCATGGCTTGCTTCCACTGCCGCTGCTAATGGTACGTATAGCTGAGCGACAACCTTAGCTCTGTCGAGCTACACCATACCAAGACACAATTCCTAAGGGTTTGAGTGGAGCAGAAGTCACTTCCAGCTCAGACTTAATCAGCCATAGAGCAGCACGTGGTAGGTTGGATCTCTTCTCATCGGGCTGACCTTGATTAGGTTATTCGCGTGATCTGTTTCTAGCAAGCGGGGGGAGGCAGCATTTTGCGTCTGGGCGTCCCAAGGGTAAAGCCCGCAAGAATGCGAAGAAAGCTGGAGCGACTGCCACGAAGCCCCAGGGGAACAACCATTCCACCTGTAAGTGTAAAGACATTTTTATTCATTTCGCTGTTCTCTTTTCCCTGCTAGTATTCCAAAAATCCTCTGGCAAATTCCTTAGGGAAGTTCCTCATGGACTTTCGCGTTGGGGTGCAAGAACGATAAGATATTGGAATGACATCAAAGCATGACACGGGAAGCTGATCTGCTCGACATAAGATCGTATTGCAATCAAAGAATTCACGGCCCTGTCCGAGTATGTGGCTAGCAAGAACGTTTCTGTTCCGTCTTCGTTTGCTTCGACACTTGACCGATTGATCAAGGTTCGCGGAACTTTTGGAGATCAGCTTGCAGAGCACGGCGATGCTCCGAATACAGCTGCCCAAGCGAGGCATTCCTTCTTCGTCGGTGTCTTGGAAAAGGTCAAAGAAGTTCTCAAACCTCGAGTGCAAGGTAGTCCGAAGGGCGACAAAGCGAGTGCTTCGACCGAGGAAGTCTCTAACCGCTTCGCGGGACTATCTGTTTATGAACCCTCCGAGGAGTTCTTGAACGCTCCCGAGCTGGAACGTCCAAAACAGCCATCGAATGATAGTACGGTTTACGAAGCTGAGCCAATGACCTCGTATGAGGACGTGATGTATGCCGTCGGTTTCATGGTCAACGATCTCAACAAGATTCGATCGCGTATTGATTGGATCTGGTCAAACTACAAGACGGGTATATTTGACCTTGCGGCAGCCGCTGTAGCGACGAATACAGCGATTGATCTTGCTCGCAAGATCATAGAGGATGTCATGCCTTTAACTGAGGCGCATGGCGGTGCTTGGAAGATTCTCAACAGGTTTTACCAGGTTCAAGCCATGTTGAAAGGCTGGAAATTTGAGGATCTTTTTACCTCAAACATACCTGGTGATAATTTCAACTACGACTCCTATCAAATCGGCGTCGATACTTTCATGCTTGCCTACCGTCTCGTAGACGCTTTTGCAAAGGTCTTGCAGCCGGGTCAGCTTCCATTGTACAAAGACGGGATGTTTGGATGGTACGACCCCAACAGCGACAGAGAAGCAAAGTCAGGCTACCAAAAACTTGAGGAAGACCGAGCTCTCATGATGCCCTTCTTCACAGAGTTGATGACTGTGGTACGCGGAGTGGGCGACTATCCCATCAAGGATGAGTTCATTCGTGGGATGGAGGAATTGGACAGAACGGATAAGGTTCCATTCTATCTTGTATTTGCTGCTCAAGTCTTCGTTGATATTCACTATGTGTTACGAGGACAGGCCATAGACGCATTCAAGACGCTCGAGTCCCACGCCACTTTCATGGCTAATGATATCAAAGAGCACCTCGAGTTTCACAAAGATCTGAAGATAAGCAACTGGCCAAAGGAGAACGACAGATTTATGATACTAGCCCAAACCAGGATTAACTACATACTCGCAGATCCTGTGTACAAAGCAAAAGACAAGACCTATCGGAAAATGGGGATGACGATGCCCACCACAATTGAGCGCAATCGCATTCTCAAAATGTCGCCACTACTTAGCGGCTTGATACTCTACCGCTTCAGATCGGAGCAAAGGGACCTTGGCCTGACTGTTGCCAATGCTTGGGGTTCGGTGACATACACGGCGCACCTTCAGAATGCTCTCCAGCAGGAAAAGCTGTTGTCGGAACAGTGGGATGACATGATGATGGTTCGAGTTCTGTTGGGAGACTCGAATTTCTTCGTTGGAGATGCCCCGACCAACCCACCAGACTACATGAAGAGATTCAACCTTCAGACCGGCGTTTCGGTTGCTGCCATGACTGGCACGCGTCGCAAAAACACGAACCTGGAATCCAAGACCGGTCCTCGAGGTAAGCAATTCAACTCGGTCTTGGGAAGGATCTCTGCCTTTTCGAGCTTCTATCGTCTATGGAATTTCATCTGACACTGTCGGGAGTTCTCTTGGCTATGCAATTTTTCTTTTCTTTTTATATATTTTATAGTCGCGTTTCATAGTTCATGCCACTTGGCAAATAGTTCGGGCAATCATCTCGGACTTGGTACTGACGAGTCCCAGGAATCAAGTATGACGATCTGGCACCCGTATCGTCGATGTTTCACGAGCGCTACGTGACGGAGACTGGTCGGGTAGACTGGACCGCCGAGCACATCGATCAGATCATCGATCTGAGCAGATACGAGGCCATGGGAAGCGAAGAAGAGGGCACTCTGATGTTCGGTCAGATCGAGGATCCTGACAAGCTGAACGATAAAAAGAAAACTGGCGACAGGAGCGGGAAAAATCGCAAAAAAGCTACCGAAGGCGCGCTTCTTCAACCTGAGCAGCTAATCCGGCTGTTGACATTTGCCCTCAACAACGAAAAGTTCGAGCTCTCCTTCCCCTGGTTGAGCATGCACCGTTCTTGCTGGAGATTCCTTCGAGCTGTAAAGACAAGCTGTGATTCGTACCTGCGACAGACTGTGGGTCCTGCTTATGTCGAAAAGGAGTCGCAGTTGCCGTTCTTGGTTGCCTGGATCTTTAGTGCGCTAGACCATCGGGACGCCCAACTGATGCTTCTAGCAGCTGATGCAGCTCGAGGATTCTACCAGCGCTCCGGAAGGAATATTCTCAAATCCCTGGAGAAGCTAGGCATGCCAATCCAGTTTACCACTGAGGAAGAGTTTGAGACCATGCAAAAGGATTGATTTGCAGACAGCGTCTCAAGCAAACAATAACACTTGCTTATTGCTACCTTTCTACATAAGCTGCTTCACGTCGCATACACTCAGTGGTAGGCAATCGTGGCTCCAACATGCTCAGGGAATACGAGATGAGACGTCAACTCCGGATCAATCATGTCATCATCAATATAAAATTTCTTAGACTACTTCAATAGGACGTCTTTCGAGTACTACCGTCCTCATGATATTCTAACCCTTACAAGGAGGTCTACTGCCCAGAGTCCTTACCACAAGTCCTCGGACACTTACAGCCCATTACACCGAACTCTACTAGATCACGCCATCTTTACTTATGAATCTGACCACAACGTAGGACTCTAACATAACTCAAACTCACATCACAATGTCTCTTCAGCTCAAATAATATTGAAATAGGTTGTGATTCTTTATACCTATTTCTCGGTGACTTATTCGAGCTCAGACACATGCTATATCAAGCCCGGCGAAAACTGCACTAACTCGCGGTTGAGAGTGTCCGAGGACTCGTGGCAAGGACTCTGCTACCTGGAGGCATAGACTAGCCGAAAGGGATCTGCGGATTTCTTGGGGGATCTTGGTCGCGTTGCATTCCGGGGCCGATGAAACAAGAGCGGTGATCACAAAACACTTGCCCCAGCTTTTCATGTGAGGAGGCGGCCGCAGAGGGATGGCCACTTTACCTGATATGGCAACTTTGCGTAACATACCTACTGTCCTAACGTCAGTTGGAATTATTCCATCATGCTGAAAATGTAATCCTTTGGCTCCTATTATACAGGCTTTACTATAGTGCATCTATCATATAAGCTTGCCATTATAGGATGAGATTGTATGGAAGACTAATAGATGACCGTTGTCTCGCTGTCATATGATGTATAGTTCGCAAGCTCACCAAGGCAGTTCTGAAACACATAGCTTGATACCAATGTATGAAAAGGGGTGTATGGGTTGTTAGCACAACAACTTCCCATTTGCCACCACGACTGGTGCCGTGAACATGGATTGACCGCGATGCCCGATCAATGTCTGGATAGATGCAATTTGAGCCCCGGTGGATTTCATGTTCAATGTCAAGCCCACAAGTTTTGAGTAATGTAGTACCTTACCGAAGACGCGCTCAATGAAGTAATGATCCCGATAAAAGAGCCCCATGTATTAATGAATATAGATGACCAAGCAAAAGCCGCTATACGTACACACTCTCCCCACCAAAATCTATCAATTATATAAAGGCGTAACAAATCTTGTGAAGTGGATAAAACTTTACCATTGCGATAACCATACAATTTCGCTCAAATATTTTACATGAATCAATTTTGTGCTGTTAATCTTTTCAAAGTTTAGTCCCCATATCAAAGCGTTCGAGTGTCAGTCAAAAGGTGTAATTTCTGATCCTGTTCAGCAGTGGTCAAGTCCCTCTGTATGCTTGTTCTGTGTAACAGGCACAGACAAGGGACGGAACCTTCGGGGACCCAAGAGAGGTCTGCTGTTAATTCCCGACGGACGAAAAAAGTAGGACATTTTCTAAACTGCCATGTGGCCATATGAAAGTGTTCATAGCTGACTCACGGATCAGGAACACCGGATATCTCACACGTCCAGGTTCTCGAGTTGTTCCTGAAATGGCTCCCTTGTGCTTTTGGGCGGATGGTGGCTTTCCGTACGGCTGACGATGCCGTGTAACGTAATAATCCTACAACACGTTTTCGACTGGGATGTGATCGCCAATGTCGTCATGCCTGGGTTGCATTTATGCAGCAGAGTCTGACCCCAAAGCACCAGAAATTAGCAGCAACGTGGGTTGAGCAGTGTGACCGTCCACCTGCTCTGCCGAGAACTATCGGTTTCGGGAACGATACAACAGAAAGTGTGCGACCATATCGCGGAGTGTGAAAGGGTGTGGTTTCATGTCATTCGGTTGGTGCCGGTGATCATTCGAAGGAGTCGGGATGGATGAGGCGAGGGGCGGCGCAGGTCTTAGATACCTGCGGGCACGGCAGTTTAGTACGATACTTCGAATGCGAATCACCATGATCGACGATAACACCAAGGTAAGAAATTCTGCCTTAGGTATGCCCACACCACCCTTCCATAACACTTCAACGCTGGTGTATTTGCACACCTGTCCGTATGTGTTGCTGCACATCTCTTATCTGACTAAGAGACATTGGAAAAAATGTATCAAATGCCGGGCTCTATACAAATAGATCTTCCTCACCGAACGTAGTCAACTCCACCACCGGCAGTTTAGTTATAGGCGAACAAATAAGGAGAACAGTAAGTTCACTCAGCATTGCATCTGGGTCGGACCGACTTCTAAATGCAATCTGCTAGAAGTAGAATAGGCGCAGAACAGTTCCTTCGTTGCAAATGCAGGTGCACGAAGGGGCTGAGGCATACACTTCTTTGGACAATTCCACCGGCAGATATCCTTACTAGTAGCAAAGGTACGGCGCAAGGCACGGGGTAATACGAGGAACTATGGCAAATGGACGAGACCCCAATCAACGGCGTATGAACCACTCCCCCACACAGCCCGGCAGGCCTTCCGTGCCGTCAAAGATGCCACTCCAGCACGTTTCTGGGGTTTCACAATGCCTGAACGCCTGCAGTGTTCTTTTGGCAGTCAGTTGGGGGCGGTCACAGTTCAGGATTACTCTTGGTTGGCGCAAAAGAGGCTGAGGCTTAAATTATTGGTATCAATCGTAGATACACACCACGGTTGTGGTGGTTGTAGTAAGAGCCGCGGGAAAGCCACACGGCGGCCAGGGTTGTTTGTCTTTCGCTTAGGATGGGTTCGCGCTTGAAGAAACTGCAGTACGCAAGATACGAGGAATGCACGTGTATGGCGATGCTCACCAAGTCTAGGTGGTGTTACTCACAACATTTCTTCCACCTATAGGTTGACGTCTATTCAGAGACGGTATAAGCCACGTTCTTGACTGCAGGTATGTGAACACTTTGGTTGCCGTGCGTAGAGAAAACAGAGTGCGTTGGATAATAGATTGAACTGCTTATCATCCTTGACGGGGACCAGCTGGCCGGTACACGCTATCCGAAATGGGAGCCAACCAGCCTATAATTGGAAGTTAAGCGCTGACCACACTTTCGACATTGCCCTTGCGAAAATGGTACTACTGTGCGAGATTTCTCCCAAACTCGACCGGGAGTTCTTGCAGACTTCCATTTTGAGAGAATGCCTAACCTGTGGAAGCTTATTAGAACTCGAAAAGTTGCAAAAATTGGCCGCGGAGCTTAGTTGCGCGGGTCCCGGCCACTATCATTTGCGCCGCTGGATAGAGCCGTTCCGGACGGGAAGGGGGCGATAAACGTCAAGGCCATCATCCTGCTTGGGGGTTTCAGTTGATTGCAAAAGACGTTCGAGTTGTATAAAACTGCGCTATACTTGCAAAGACGTCTAAAGTACCTACCTGCATATGATGATTATTCTGGGATGTCGTGCAGCACAAGGCTATCTTGGAGGGTTCGAAGTGTGCGGTATCTTTTGTGTAACCATGATTTCCAAGAAAGGTAAGCTGTTTTCTAATGTTTCAACGAACAGTGTACCATTTTCTAGCCCCCAAAGCCCCCAATCCGACCTTTCATAACGGGTCGCGGGAACATCCACATCTTCAAGAGAAAGCCTACCCATCCCGTCGGTTTGGACCCCAAGTGAATCTTCCCCGGAGTCGCGCCTAATGGCAGTGACTGATTGCTGGAAGCGCGACAAAAGCGAACAGCCAGATCTACGTAGCCATCGGGTCCTTGAAAGCGTTGGCATCAACTTTGTCATGTCTCAGTCACAATCGATATGCAGCCGGACGCTCACTTCCTGCATACCACAGATGCATGCCGACACGTCTGCGTAGTTTTATAAATAGGATCGGCCTTAGACGCGCTTCCTTGGACTGCCATTGGGCACGAGACCCTATGAGCTGGCTAAGCCTCCCTGTGCGACTATGTATTGCTAGGCCCCCTCCCCGCTCTATGCTACTGGGCTGCATGTTGTAGCGAAGAAGCGAAAGGACCAGGCATCACTGACCAACCTGGCCTGTCGACCATCGCTTGTCAATGCAACCCCAGCACGAGCTGTTTCCGCTTCAACGGTTGGATGTGAGACCCACCTTACCGAACATGAAGGATTCGCGCCAGCATGGGTGCCCTGACCAGTCATTACGGGCCGTGCTTCTGCGTGTCAGCGGACAGGATGCGCTGCGTGGTATTTGCTGTTCATCTGTTTCCGACGAGTTTCTGCGAGAAATCATCGATCGCCGGGAACATCTGTATATTTCACTCGGCACTTGCTGAACTTTGCTGGAGTAAGTAGGAGGAGGTAACACTTAGATTACCTTACCGACTCCTGCAATTCCTTCACCCCTCTACAAGACCCTTGTCCAGCCCTACGTTGCCGGCAAGAGGGACCGAAGGAATATCAGAACTATACCCGTTTATGACAATGGCTATGGGGAATAGTGATCCTTCGATTGCTAGTCTCGCACACTATCATCGCTACTCTAACGGAGCTTATCACGTAGCAATAAATGTCCTAGAGATGTTATGTTTCGCCTGATATCAGTTGATTCGGTTATCAAACACTGTGCTACTTGAAAAGTGTATATTTGCACATGTTTGGCTGTGTATATTCGTTTAGGATACAGTTGTACTTGTTGAGCTATAGTTGATGAGTCGTGTGGCTGCTAACCGCTCCATACAAGTAGACTAGTTAACAAGTGGATGCGGCTTGCGAGTTTCGTCTTGGCAGTTCTATTTCCTCTTTGTCTCTTCAATCGATGCATCGAGCGAATTGTGCATCACAGTGCAATCACAGAATTATTATTTTTTGCTTCTATGTTCAGAACGTTCCGTGCATTTCTCATGCACGCAATGATGTTGCATACGCTGTATGACGAGCAGATATTCGGCTCCGAAAGGCCAGAGAGAATGTTGACAGTTTCCGCGACAGAAGATCTTTCACCATTTGGGCTGCTGGAGAAAGGGAAAGCGAAACAGCGTCAGCCTGTCAATTTGTGTTACCCTGCAGCTCGCGCACTAGCTGGCAGTGCAGGCCGCGACAATAAGCAGCCGTCTGTAACCCTGGAGCCAGGGGCTTTGAATAGGCTGCGCCTCTCCCTGACCTGTCAGATCATGATTCTCCATTCCCTCAACTCACGATTTGTTGTTCATCTGGCACTCGGTCGCTTGTCGCGGTCGCGAAATGGCCGGTCAAGTCCTGTCGCAAGTCAGCGCCAGAATTCGAGCACTGTTTGGCAAATCCAGCAGCTGTATGTCACGAGTGCCAGTCAGGTCACTCGTTCCATGACAAAGTTGTCGTGATAGATGATTTCCATTCCCGCAAAAGAGAACGAAGCCGCTCCCTGGCCTTTTGAAGCGTCTAATTTACGTATGGTAGTACCCTGGCTCTCAACCCGTCCCACTGGTTTTGCAATAGGGTATGTACAAAGTTGTTTTTCATTCGGCACAATCGCTGCTAGATCCACGGACTTCGATATGTCTATCTGTCCACAGTGAGTCTCACTTCAAGGCTCACCATCTACAATATTTCCGAGTGCCTCCATTGCACCACTGCAGTAACCGCGTTCAATTCAAATCGGACGATACAGCTTTCCTAATCAAGAGCACATGAGGCCGTCTTGTGCTCCTTACCCCGTAAATAGCAACCTGTGAGATGAGCCACCTTTTTCGAAGGAAGTACCTGCAGTCAGACCCATGTATCCAGCTGACAGGGGTGATATTGACGTTGCACATGGCCGTTGACGAAGTTTCCTCTCTACCTAAGGTAGGTACGGTTGGCAATTTTCCTGTCTTTACTTTTCTGTATCTCGATCATACTCTGCATCCAGTTACCCACGCCCTTGGAACCCTAAATCGTCTGAATATAGCAATAGTTGTTGCTCCGCCCACCCAGTCTAACCGCCTGGTACCTCCCCCTCCTGCATCTAGGACTACGGGCACTATCCACCAAACACCATTACCGAACGGTATTGCTCTCCATTTGTTAGGAAGGCTGAGGTTCAACCTGTAGCCTTCTTTCCGAAGGCACGCCCCTGTAACCCCAGTCTCACCCTTCTCTGGATTATTTACATTGTTACCATCTTTATTTCTGGGGGTAACTTCTGCGGCAGGGCTGAGCCTCGATTACTAACTTTGTCTCTGCTATCTATCCGTTCCATTTTGAGCTGTAACCATGACTAGTCTGCATCTTATCATGGACATGAACGTTGATAAGGAGGAGTCCCAGGCGAATAAAAGAGATGGACCCTCCTCAACACCAAACACTAGACGGAACCGAGATTTCTCAGCCTCAGACTATAATAACCCTGAGGAACAGCAAGAGACACTAAGCACATCAACTAAGCAAAGGCGTGTTGCCCCAGGACGGAATAGCAAATCATCAACAACTGTTGCGGCAGGATCATCAACAACGGTGCCGTCGTCGAGCTCCACTGCTCGGCCCGTTCCCGCTCGTGGAACTAGCAATACTAGTAACGAAGAAATGCACCGTTATGGAAGCCACGCCTCGGGCTCGGGATCTGGAGGAGGAGAGCAGCCCAATCGACCTATGGGGAACGTGCCGGGGGAGGTTCCTATCAAGTTGACGCCGATTACTGGGCGTGTGAGCCGGGCTAAGAAGGGACAGCCGGTCCATACGTGCGAAATTTGTAGACCACCAAAGGTAAGTTCGTGTTTGTTCGAAGTGTTTGAGCAAGCAAGAGACTAACACCATTGCAGACCTTCACAAGAGCAGAGCATCTCAGGTATAAAATGACGAGAATCCGATTAATGGGGGTATGAACTAAACAGGTTCCACTAGGCGTCACCAACTTAGTCACCAAACACCTCAGTTTCCTTGTAACTATCCTGGTTGTGATAAGGCTTTTCACAGAGCAGACTTGCTTGCTCGTCACGCCACACGACAGTAGGTCAACTTTGGGCTCATTCGGCTGCCGTGTAAACTAACCTGAGGATAGTGAGCAAGAAGGTTCGTCAAGAGACACCACAGGCGATAACAGCCGACGAACATCAACGACCTCGGTAAGTGGCAGCTATGATATGGGCCAGGGTCGGACATCATCTCAAGGTCCAATGTCACAACAGCATGATGTGACATCAAACCCTGGGTCGAACTACGGCGGTAACACTCCGTATCACCAGTACAACACTGGTGGCGGCCCGCCAATGTCTCCTCCGCAACCACCTGGTCGCCGCGAGAGTTATACGTCGAACTCTAGCGGACCTGCTGGTGGCTACACTCACACTCCTCAAATCGCTATCAACCAACCCCCAAACATGGAGGACTCTCCTGGAGGGATGAGCTACGAGCATCTGGCAAACTTCCAATCTCCTAGGACAACGCCTCACAATGGACTCCTTATTGTCACCACAGGGCTTGGGGTTGAGGCGCCAGGTCTCCTTGCACCCGACCATTCTCCATGGGCATCATCCGAAAGCAACTTCTCAACGCCATCTGATAACAGCCGTAGAAGGCTTCACATGCCAGATTACTCGTCACCTACATCAGGAGCAGAGTGGGCTGTCAACAGTTATGTCACAGCTTACACGCCAACGTCACAGGACATCCACAGTCCTCATATGGATGTCATGACTACCTCTGCCCCATACTTCCACAACCCTTGGGGCACCCCTTCCTATTCTACTTCCATCATGGATCCATCAATGCCTAGTTACAGTGAGGACTATCACTATTTCAGCCATCCCCAATCCCATTTTCCTTCTGTTCGTAGTCCAACCCCACCGAACAACTCATCGTCCGTACAATCAGCTGAATCTTTAGTCACCATCGCTCCAGCACCGCCACAGGTGGTAGGGGGCCGCTTCAAGGGACAGGCTGCTCCTATGGTGAATTTCTCCGGAGCGGCCTTCCTTACTGCGGTCACGCTGCCAAAAGCTGCCCGTGATGCAATACCGCATCTTCTCGAAGTATACTGGAAGCGCTTCGACAACCTTTTCCCTCTTGTTCACCGCCGGAAATTTGAGCTCGCGCCTGACGAGTTACTGCGCACGGCCATGGCTGCCGTGGGCTCGCAGTTTCTTGAAGGTAGGGAGGATCGTGTTCGAGGCAACCAACTGCATGAGTGGGCATGGCAAGAAGTGAAACGGGTAAGCTTATCTTTTGGCTCGACCAGTTCTTCAGTAGAGACTCATGTTAATCAGCAGTCCCAGATCCTTCAGTGGAACGTTTCCACCATGCAGACGATCCTCCTGTGTGAAATCTTTGCCCGGTTTAGAGGAAAAAAGGTCGCAATCAAACCGTCGGAGCCCTTCCGGTCGCTATACTCGAGAGTGAGTTCCCTTTCATCTCCTTATCTCTTCGCTTTTGATTTCTTTACATACGATCATTTTTCAGGATTTTCTTTTTAGTCTTGTTTTTTCTTCTCCGTTTTCCCAATGGCACCCATACTCAACGTCTCCCTCGCAGGTTGACACCATCACTCATCCGGACCCTGACACTTCTTTTGGATCTACGACTTCTACCAGGGGACCAACTGCCGTAACCGCTGCGGCACGATGGGCCCAATGGATAGAGGAAGAGGCTCGCCGCCGCCTTCTGGCTGCTTGCTTCGTACTTGATGTTCACACATCCGTGTATTATGATTTACCCCTATCACAACGTTTCGTCAAACCTTGCCCGCCAATCCCATTGATCGCCGCCAGCGAACGCCTCTGGAACGCAACACCGAAGGAGTGGGAAACCCTGATCAGTGCGCAGCCAGCTACTTTGGAACCTGTTGTTCTCTCTGAAGACATCATCTCTCAGGATAGAATCGCCAGATCACCTGCCCTGGACCAGGCTGTATTTCTTGCTTCTGAAGCCCTTCGAATTCCGACGTGGTCTGTTGAGTTCACTGATCTTACAGAGTCGCCAGACTTGAGACATGTGGACCGGATTCTAACCCTCTTCCCTGGATCTGGAGTAGGGTACACCTATGCGGCACTACACTTCACACCACTACACGATCTTCTCGCAGTGTCTGGTGATTCTTGGCTCTTCTCACAGAAGGTCCTGGAAGGCAAGGCATTTGTCCAACATCAGAAAACCCTTAAACAATGGAGCGGCAGTCTTCACGCTGCAACCGCAACAAGATTCGCAGCCCAGGCGCTCGTCGCTTTTTTAACTACTAATGATAATGATACCATGTTCTCTTCAGACTCAAAGAGAAAGTGGAACATGGCCGATATTTCGGACTACTGGGCCATCTACGTCTGTGCCCTCATTTGTTGGGCACTAGGTCATCGAGGTACCAATACGACAACATCAATTTCTGGGCCCTCGAGTTCACGAGGAGGCGGAAATAATAACGATAACGATAATGCTAATTACACGGAACGGGAAGGCGAGATTGAAGCCTTGGGCTGGCTGCACCTTGTCGGCGGCCTGGCAAACCCTCAGGACGTTGTGTCACACGTTAGCCTCCATGGCCGCAGTGTCATCATTGGTGTCGTGGCCATGGTTAGGAGACGTCTTGAGGGCGAGGCGCTCGGCACACGCAATCGCCTTCTGGTGGATGCCGTCGGAGTTCTAAAAAAGCTGGAGGAAGGTATGAACTGGAAGTGGTTCTAATGGCTAGGATTGGAGGATCTCCTTTTTTTCCCCCTTTTATTTCCCTATTTCCTTACTATATTCTGGTTTAGTCATTTGTTTTTCCCCCGTTCCTTTCTGGGGGGCTTTTTTTTCTTCGTACTTCCCTTTTTTATGTCACATCATTGTCATCATCACTGCATCGCTCATCATCAAGCTAGAGATAGACGCATGGGAGGATATACATATACATGTACGATTAGACAAATTTCTTTTTAATTTCCTTTCATTTTCTATAGCCTTTTCTTTTTCTTTATATCCCTTCCTTTGTCCTCACATTGCATATTGGCACGACGCCTTACGACATACAAGCATGGAAACCAGGGAAGAAAAAAAGCGCAGCATAATATAGCGAAGGCGTTTTGTGGGGGAAATGAGCTGGGAGGCTTTCTACGCATGACATGACTTAATGCCTGGTTGGGATGATAGAATGGACGTTCCTTATGTCATGAGTTTGGGATGGAGAGGACGGGAGGAGACTGTCTGTGATACCAAGTTTGATAGACGGTGTGTTGTCTCGCTATAGTAGTCCGGTTTTAAGGACTTGTCAATTGGGACTTTTGTTCATGTCTACTCATATAATCGTGTCTATGCCCTTGCCTGTGGACAACAATGCAACAAGAGAGTAGAATGAAGATGGAGGCTCGTTTCTTGTACAGTTTGTACCATCCTGGTGGTTGGCGTGATAGGGCATTCAGCCATCGGTTGTGGACAAGGAAGCAACGAGACCAAACCTTTGCCGCGGTCCAAAGTCTGCTCGGGTCGGAACGTCGAATGCTTTACTCCACTTACCCTCGAATCTATCAATATACAGCATCGTGTAGTGGCCGGCTGAGTCTAATCACGTGGACGTCTGCAATACGGGGGCCAATTTCTAACGTGATCACCCAGAATAACCGTGATGATGACGATGACAACAATAAAAACTATGATAAAGATAGCAAAAAGGACGGCCATGGAAGATGTGTGACAAGACCTCTAGACTTGAGTTTTGGCACTTGTAGTTGAAATGGCCCCACCAGTATGAATTACATAGCCATGTATATATATCGATTCAGTGCAGCCGTGGACATATTGACGGCCAGAACGGGGAGCGGAAGACAATTGGCCTCCCCGTCACAGCCTCTGGCACAGGCCGTTTTCATTCATCATCGCTGCGTTTTTCTTAGATGATGGTCATGCAGTCTCCGGAAGACTCAATTGAGCTACAGCACTGCGAACAGCATCCACTTGGGCACATCAAGGGTCTAGGGCATGCAGAGACCGGTGGTTGACTTGCACATAGACGTCAATCGTAACAGTGGTGGCTCTCGAGATCCCAATCAGTTCAGCGCACGGGCATGGGCATCAGGTTGTGCGGTGTAATTTCAGACAGGGACTCTGGTCCGTTATACCGCCTGTCAACCGCGATTCCAGGGTCGACTTGGCACACATGTCATCAGCCAGTCCGGGAAAGATGATCTCGACTCCATAGTCGCGGTGGTGCGAGTGCGAGTAGCCAAACCTGGAAGAAACCGCCTTCACCGACTGACAAGCTGCATTAACAGCATGTAGGTTGGTGGCAGGTGGATAGAAGCTGCTTAACGCGCTGTCTGTAAGTGTATGGAAGCGGAACTCGTGGTTGGGACGGCCCCGCATTGGGCAGTGTCTTGAGTAAGGATAAATGCAAATGGCTTGCGGCGCATCGAAGAGGTCGCTTAGGCGCAAGACTAGCACCCAGCTACAGGCGTGATTTGACTTCCTGGCGCAATTCTGCGGTTAGTGAGATTGCAACTTCGAGAGGCAACCCAGCCTCTTGAATTTGTAATACATGAATCTTGTTTGACGTATGGGCTTGCAGGATGAACTGACATGTTTATCCCCTACGCATTTCTAGAAAATTCAAAGTTCTCCTCCGACACATCCAAGTCTGATCGTTTTGTTTTCAACGAGACCAAGCAACATCTTCAACAAAATTACAGGATCCGCAACTGTCGCAAAAGAGCGCGGACCCATCGCATCACATACACATCCAGTCCGTTCATCTGTTACGTCAGTGCCAACCTGTGCCTGAGGTCGCCTAAGCTTAGCAAGGGTCCATCAGCTTGGTTGTAGTCCACTAAGAAGAGAGCGAGCTCCCAGAAGCTTCTGCCCCAAGCAAGCGCAAGCACGGCGAAGCTCTCCACCGCGGCGCCTACACCATCGATAATCTCACCTTTCAGCATTCATAATTCCTCATAATTCCTGCCGTCGCTGTTCACATCGAGCAAGAACAATCCGAGCACCCGCGCAATTAGATATATAACCAACATAATGGGAAGCTTTGTATTCAAGTGGTAAGTGCCAATGGCTTTTTCAGAAGCCTCCAGTCCAGGCACCCGTCCTCGGTCGCAGAGCTATGGCCGCAATCTCCCGGCCCTCACCGTCTTCTTCGCGCAAGACCCCGAGAAGCGCGCATCGCAAGGACGATGGCCAGGTGATCTCGTAATTGCATCGAGCTTGTTCGCTGCACATCTCGCGCTCGTACGGCGGTTGCGGACGCCGGTCGATGGCGGGTGGCAAAGAGAAGCATTCGAACAAGCAAAGTCACTGACCCATCATTACCCAACTATAGGGAGCATGCCGCCTCCGAGGTTTACGTTACCGGCACCTTTGACGGGTGGAAAAAGACGGAAAAGCTGAACAAGGTCGGCGAGCACTTCGAGAAGCAGGTCCAGCTTGACGATGCATCCGAGAAGATTTACTACAAGGTTCGTGGTCATATTTCGTATTGCTGTGCTTTGTGTCGATTCCATCCTCTTTGCCCTACAAACCCACGAATTGCGCTCCTGGATCTGGTTCTGGACCCGAACCTGAACCTGAACCTGGACCTGGACCTGGACCTGGACCTTGGAGCCGGAGCTCAGCACGGTATCTCCCTATGAGCAGCCCTCTCTCATGCAGAGCGTCAGCGACTCCCAGCGAAATCCCAGTCATTCGGATACTAGATGATAAGCGGCACATGTGTCTCGTGCCCTCCCAGGACGACCATAACCATACCTGCTTGGAGGGGTATATATCTCCCTTGTCGTGGGGTATGCGTCGCATCTTGGAAGTTCGCAAGATGTCCTGTGCACAGCTTTAGTGTGAGGGCCAGAGCCAGAGCCAGAGCCGGAGAGCCGGAGAGAATCTCGTGTCATCTCAGACCCTTGCCAATTGAGCGCGCTTGGATCAATAGGGCCGTTGCCCAGTCTCGCGAGCCATTGGTTTGCGTGTGACCATCCTGACGAAAATCACGACGGCGCTTTGTGTAATTGTGTCGCCAATGACGCAAATACAGCGCAAAGTTGCAGCTGTCCATTGTATCGCAGAACGCTTGGTACTGGCTTCCAGCAGTTGCCCGTAGCGGGCAGGGACAGCTGATGATAGGTCAATTCGATGGCTACAAGCAAAGCCAAAGTCAAAAAGCCCGAAGCCCAAAGCCAAAGGCCACAGCCAAAGCTCCGTGGGATTGAGAAAAGGTCGCCCACGACAGGGGTGCGGACCCGGCGCAACAAACCAAGGTTAGGTTTCTTGGTTTCTCAGATCACAGTGGAGCAGGCAATGGGACCAGCATCGTCATTGTTTATGAACCTGTCCCGAAGCAGCCATGGTCAAATCTTGCCATGGCTCTATGAGTAATCTTAAAATTAACGACTTTGCGCCTGCCCTGCGACGGCTGTCACACAACTCAATTCTCTGTTCCGTTGCTTCCTGCCCCCTTCTGAGAAAAACAAAGAGAGAAAGCGAGCGAGAAACACACACCCACACCTACACGGACACTGGCGCTTGTTGGTCCCTGAAACCCAACACCACACAACACACAAATCCGGATCTGGATTGCATCTCACCTCAACAACAGATTTCGCATTCCTCCCCTCCTATCGCGCAATCACAGCCACACAGTACTTGACATCCCTCCCCCCTCACTTTTGACTTGACCCCACATCTGCCTTTCGCGTGTGCTGATCGCATCCTCCTACAGTTTGTTGTTGACGGGAACTGGGTAACGGACCACACTGCTCCCAAGGAGACCGACGAGAGTGGCAACGAGAACAACGTCCTCACTCCCGAGCGCATCGTGAAAGCCGCACCTGCTACAACCGCCATCATGAGCTCCGCCGCCCCCGATTCCACCACTGCTGCATTGGCAGCCAGTGCCCCCCTCGAGAACAACAGGACCGAGGAGAAGGAGTACAAGACCGAGGGCCTGCCTGGTGTATTCCCCGAGACTCCCGCCCTTGACTTGAACAAGCAGATCGGCATCAACCCACTGCCCGCTGCTCCCGGTGCTGTCAACCCCGTCCAGCTGGCTCCTGGCGAGAAGATCCCCGAGCACATTACCGCTGAGAGCACAACCAGCCACGTCAAATTAGATCCCGAGTCGTACGAAAAGGCCGACACTCTGCCTGGTAAGCCGACCTCCGTGAATAAGATTCCTTTCTGAGCCTCTGTGCTAAATGCAAATAGCTGGTGGCTTTGCTGCTTTCTCATCAGCAGCCCCCACCTCCACCACCGCCGAACTGGCTGCCGGCGCGCCCATTGAGACCACCAAGGTTCCTGCTGTTGTTAAGGAGAGCCAAGAGAAGGCTCACGTTGACCCTGAAGCCAGTGCGATCCCCGAAGAGGTTGAAGATAAGGCCGACGTTGAGAAAGAGCTTCTCAACAGAGTGAAGGAGGCGCCTTCGACATCTGAGGGCACCGCTGGCGTGGGTACCGAGAAGACCGAAAGCACTGTCACCGCTGGTGAGGCTGCTGCTGCTGTCGCCGCCGCCGCTACTGCCCTCGGTGGTGCCGCCATCGCAGGAGCTGTTGCTGCCAAGAACTATGCCGTTGAAAAGGCGCCTGTTGTGGCCTCGACGGCCCAGGAGAGCGCTGCACAGGCTGCTACCACTGCCCAGCCATACATCGCATCGGCCTCCGAAACAGCTCAGCAGACCGCTACGCAGGCTGCCGCGAACCTCCCCGAGACGGTGAAGGCACAATTGCCCGAGTCTGTGCAGAGCTCCATCTACACTGCCTCAAAGGAAAACACCATCCAGGCCGCTGCCCCGACCGTGCCTATTGAGGTCAGAGAGTCCCTGGCAGAAGCTGGGCAAAGTCCCGAAGCAGCTGCCAGTGTTACCGCCGTTCAAGATAAGAAGGCTGTGGAGAACGAGCTCTTGAGGGAAGTTAACGAGGTCAAGCCGATTGCCGCTGTTGGTGGCGCATCACACGTGGTACCGGCCGAGCCCCTTGAGCCTGTCCAAGCAGTGCCTGTTGAGGTGAGGGACTCCTTGGCAGCAGCCCACCAAAGCCCAGAAGCTGCTTCCAGTGCTTCTGCTGTTGAGGACAAGAAGGCTGTCGAGAAGGAGCTGCTGAAGGAGGTCTCGCCCGTTGCCGCTGTACCTACAGCATCAACGAGCACCGAAGCCAAGGCAGAACCAATTACAGAGTCGGTCCAGGCTACTCCCGACAACGCTCTCTCGAACGCCGAGAAGACCGTCGCCGAGCCCAAGTCTGAGACTGCCCCCGCGTCTACACTTGCCGGCAACTCTGGTGCCCAGACGGACAAGTCTGTCGCAGATGTCCCAGAGTCCAAGACCGAGACTGAGCCCAAGTCTATCTTGGCCACCGAGACCGCACCTGACTCTTCTCTGGCTACCGAGACGGAGCCAAAGTCGACTGCTGCCAACGGAGCAGGTGCTCAGGCCACAACAGCCGCGCCTGCCACACCGGCAAAGTCTAACGCTAGCTCCAGCAAAGCTGCTGACAGCCCCGCCACGACCGAAAAGAAGAAGAAGAACAGAATCAGTGCTTTCTTCGGCAAGCTCAAGGAGAAGGCAAAGAAATAAACGCATTTGTCGATTTTGTTTGATGAAAGTTTATCGACAACAGTTTTCAGCATTTCGAGTTTTTGGTCATTTATAGCTCATGATTCCCCGTCTCGCAAGCTAAGGTGTGGGTGAGGATGACAACCATGTTGGAAGAAACAGCATCTAATCGCGTCTAATAATACCCGTCTATCCAGCATGCTTGCATTTTCGTCGGTGGTCATTGGTTGTTGTTCAGTTGTCGCATGCCGCTAAAACTAACGGATGCGGTTGCGCTTGATCGGATGATTGTCAAGTTCTTCGCGGGCACTTTGTGTATGGACTTATGCTTGTCAGCAGTGGCATTTCAACTTCTTTAGACAACAAAGGTTCAGTTGGGCGAGATTTTCTAGAAATTCAAGGAGGGAGAATTTAAGTTATGGACAATGCGTTTCATGTGGGACGATGTAGATATGGTAGTTGACTTAATATAACCGAGTATCTCTCCAAATTTCACATACAAGACTTACTCAGTATATCTTATGCCGTTATCCGTGTATGATTCGGAGCACTCGAAAGTAGTTTCGGCGATCTTGCATTAGATGGTGACCGTTTACTATTCGTTGTTGGGCTCGTAGCAATTTGGATCAGTATATTGTGAAAAAAAAAAACCCCCCCGGCCACATAAGCCAAAGCCCATGACGACATTCTCCGTTTTGATATTATTTCGCCAAAGAAGTTCAAGCGAGCCCGAATCTCGGACCAGTCCATATGATACTTCACGTGCGGACCGGTCCACTCATTGTCAAAGTCCCACACGCCGTGGATGTCATGAGACATGAGACTGAAGTAAACAACCTGCTTCTGCATTAACTCCAGGCTAAACCCGCGAAGACACCAGTAGCTCGTGGGCAGAGTCACGGATATCTCCCGACCAGAGCCTTCTTGTTCGAAAGCTTCTTCGTCCAGCTCTGCAAAGAATTGCAAGGGGCAATCGACAATGGACTATTATGAATGTGGCGCGGCCATCATAGGAGTACACCATGATCATCGGAGTAGTAGGTAGAAGTCGGATGGCCGTTGAATGTTCAGCCGTATATTGCGATATTGATCCGAAGGTTAGGGCCCTTGCGCTTTCTCAGCACTATGCTCTTCACATAATCTGAATTGTCGTCGATGGACTCGAAATCGGTGCCAAAGTTGATAAAAGCTAGGTTGAGATCCGTCAACGGTCCAAGAGGAAAGGTCTTACGGCTCTACGTTGTACGATCTCGAGCTGGTGAACAATTCGTGGTGCGCAATGCACCTTTGGTATGTCAGAGGGCCCGTATTAGTTTCACGTTGGCTTGGTCCACTATGAGACTTTGTCAGTACTATAACAATACTAGGCTGTTTGTTCTGGCGCATGAACGTACCCCGGAATCCCCGCAGCCTGTATTCTTGTAATCTGGCTGAGCCGGTTCCGCAAAACTCTTCTGTGGTACCGCAGAAACCATAGTCACTGGAAATGACATAAGTATGATTGATCATGAGATTCGACAAAGATTCTGTTCGTCCTATATTTAAGACTGACTAGGTTGAGTTCCGCATTGGAGCGTGTTTGACTTGGGCACAACCCACAAATTTCCTGGCAAGTGGATGTATAATGTCTTGGAAGAAAAAGAGGGCTCTAAAATACCTGCAACAGACATTTATAGGACAGTCAGGTTAATGTCTTCTTTTCTTTTGCATTTGCCCGAATTCCCCAGTAATTTTGCAATTCGACAAACACCACTCGCCGCAATGGTCTTCAGTGGATCTGCAAACACCATTCTTACTGCAGCATCGTATTTTGCATGGTGAAGATTCGCTACACAAAGAATTTTGCTGAGCAGAAACGTTTGATATCATAATAATAAGTAGGAGAGAAGTAACGAGAACAACAGAAGTGAGGAAAAGCCAAACGAATGTCGATAGTTGAAGCGAGCCATGGTGAGTAGCAGCTGGTAGTCCTGGACTAAATCGGAACGCCCGAGACTGCGAAAGAGAGTCCATATAGTCGCTCGAAAACTACCAGAGAACCAGAAATCGAAGCCCTATACGTAGCGAGGAGACCCAACACTCCTATTTCCGATCACAGAGCTGCATACACCGTGCCGCGTCCAGAGGGTATTATTGAATCCTCGATAATTCAATATGCAGCAGTCAGCTAGTGAGCCCCAAGGGGCATTTCGATATCGATATTGCAGCGCATGATGTCACATTCGCACAGATTTGTTCTGATGCTTACAGCTTTAAGTTGATTTCTGAGTCACCCGCGAGCGATCAAAAGGTGAGACCTGATGACCGTACGTCTAGCCACTCAGATACACCCATGCCTGAAGAATGTCGTAAGGTTGCAGGTATTAGATTAGTACAAAGGCCGCCGAGGTTGAATTACGCGTCTAAACTTGTAGTTGTAGACTAAGTAGTGCTGGTGAGTTAGTCTACAGGAAACCCAGTCGCTTTGATATACCAAGACTCCTGGAACTGCCACTATGCGGCGCAAGACATGCGATATACCTATTGTTGGCAGTTCAGTTGACAGATAGAATGTTTCGGGGATGGCCACGGTTCCCGAGTATAATTCTCAGAATCCTGAGTCTCACTTGCTATCTACTTATTTACCCAGTTTTTGCTCGCCGCTTCTACTCGCTACCCACGCTCAGTCTATTATCTGATTTTGCCATACTGACATCGTTAATTTGCGATCCTACTTTATGAAAATGCTGGAGTTTAGGAATGCAGAACCGGTGACTCCACCTCCCTGGGGCGCACTGCCAGTAGAGCAGTATTTGATTGCATGTGGCACAGCGACAACCGTCGTGACCCTAGATTCCGATACCTGACACAACCCCAGCGTAATTGGAACCCGGCCTCCGCGGCGACCACCAGCGAGCAGCGCCGCGCTCTGGTCCACGGTTTCCTGAACCTCGAGATCATGCCAGCCGAATGGTTCACACCGCAGGATGGCACACCGACCGACCCGCCCACCTCAGACCAAGTTCGCCATGTTTTGCAGCCCTGGCGACCGCAGAAGCTGCGAAAGATCGCTCAACACCTGCTGCACTACCGATCAAACGACCTCGTCATCTTGCGCACGCATTACGACGATGATGGTACCGAAAACGAATGGCTGAGCGAATGGCTCGAGCGCGACAAGGAGCAGGACATGCTTTACGGCTTCGGCGAAGAGTGGTGGCGTATTCTCAGCGACCGGGCGTTGTTCAATTTCGGGGACGAATGGCGAGATATTTTTCTTACACTGCCAGAGCTGGTGGGCCGATATAGCAGTCACAGTCAGGGTCTCCAGAAAAGCATCGGCCCCGCTTGGATTGCTGAGGCTCGCAATGCGGAGGACTGTGTGGACGAGGTGCAGTTTTTGTCATACGTAGGGCAATCGCCTCTGCTCGTTGCCGACCGCGACCCGTTTGAGGAGGAGGTATTGCGTGCGATATTTTTGGATTCTTACGGCAATGTGGTTCGTTACTCAGAGGTCAGAATTTACAGTTGAATGTATTCATCATTTCAGAAGCCAGAACTGAAATGCTCATATACAGAAGAAAAGTGAAAGTAGCGCGACAATGAGCAGTTAACTCACTACATTCCATCAAATTCGTCAGATTACTGTGCTATGGTCATAGCTGTAGCTGTAGCTTTAGATATCACAAGGAGCTGCGCATTGTATCCTATACATAGATAGGTCGTACGCAATGGTCTCGGCAGGTGGTGTGAAAGATGAAACCCGGTCACTGGTAATAATCATCGTTTCTGTGTGGGTGGGTGGGTTTCTATGACGCCGGTTCCCAGCCGCCGGTGAACATGGATGAAGTTAGAGGTACGGTTTTTCGGGTTACACATTCAGTTGCTGTTCTGTCACATTTACTCCAGAATTTTTCAAACTCGCGGCCTTGAAAGAAAAAGATTGGGATTGGTATCGGCAGCGAAATTTGGGCTTTCTTGTTGTGTGCCTTAGTAAGCATGTTGCTTGTAATCACGTTCCTAGGACCGTCTTTACTATGTGTGACAAAGAGGGGTTACACTTGTGTGGTATAACAACTTCTCCGAAACGACGTCGAAGTCAACATCAAAGATGATCTCGGGAAGACGGTATTGTTGTGGGCAGTTCAACGTCAACAATCGAAAACCGTGCAGTGTCTACTAGGGAAACGTGCTGACTTTGAGGCAACGGATCGCAATTACTTTACGCCATTATCAATGGTAACTTTTTTTTTGGCTTCGATATTGATGTTATACAACGACTAGAGCAAAAGGAGAAGATCGAACGCAATGACAAAAGCGGTTCAACGTCGCTCATCTGGGCAGTCCGAAATGGACGTCCACGGCTTGTGCAAGAATTGATCCGCGAAGGAGCGCTTCTGGAAAGGAAAGAAAATGATGGGCACGCAGCTTTATTGTTGGCGATACAATACGGATACACAACTATCGCAGAAATGCTTCGAGGGGTAGAGGTCAGTAAACGCAAGGGCACAAGAACCTGATATCGAGTCCCGACATTAAACTCAGACCTAAAAACCCTCGTTTTTGTTCTTGGAGGAGCCAAAGCTAGCGGAAAAGGATGATTGCGGACAACTTGCCTTGAACATCTTGAATTGAACTCATATCTATGTGTTTTTAAGTGTACGTCTCAGTGAGTTATAAATTCTCTTATGGATTTCGTATTTTTCTCTGGTCAGGTAGTGAGTTATTGCAGAAGTGAGCTTTCGGAAATATCTAGAGCTACAAACGGCGGTGGCAGTTATAGTTTATGTATACGCCGACATCGACCGTACCGTTACTTAATATACACTCCATATATATTGGAAAGAAAGATTACCGATGCAATATTGACCAAGTCCTCGTAGAGGTAGCATGCGGGACGATCAAGAACATGGCCAGTTTCGTCATCGTAGTGAGATTTAGTGGCCCGACCTCTAGTTGCCGGTTAGTATTCAGCGGGCCGATCACGATATGTAAGATGGCAGGACAGTGCGCTACGCGTTTACTACAGCTATATATGACTGGATACCAACAGCCTTGGTGCTTAAGCTCCGACATTATCGAAGTATAAGTACAAATAGTGCTCGAAATCAAAAACGTGAGAGGCAAAGTGCGAGCAAAAACATGGTTAGATTAATCGTTTTAGCCCGTTTAGCTTTCCCCTAGCGATCTTGTGAATATAACGTTTGAGGAGTTACGAGGATGCACTTTTTTTTTAAAAAAAAATCTTTTATTACTTAACTTCGACGTATGCTTACTTTATGAATAAATTCTTGAACCATTAAATGAGTTCCATTTGTTTGTCACTTTAAGCGAGATCGTTATTTTGCTCTATTATTCTAAACGATATACCAGTAAGGCTAGCATATTAAGCGATGTGAACGAGTTGTACGTTGGCTATAGGGATGCGCTTTGTTTGGCTAGGTTTGACGTTTTAAGTGATTAATGCGACCTTGATCTATGTCAAGTAATATGGCAGTGCTATGAGTTCTTCTGCCTCCCTTCCTAATGATAGGACGAGGGGTATTATCGGAACATGTCGTGCAACCCCAGCCTAGCCATATTATTTTTGTATCTATACTCCGTAGACTACATGAATTGGAATTGTAGAGATACGCTTAGGTAGAGACCTAGGTTATAAACTCGCCTCTTCTAATCTTGGGCGACAAAGGAGCTGGCGTTCTGAGGCTCAGCTTCATCCCCAAGCCCTTGTTGTAATCAATCATACGCCCCGGGAAATATCGCTTTCGCCCATCCACTATGTACATATTCTCCATTAATATCGTGATTAAGACGGTACAAATTAGCCTGGGTCTGTTATTCCACGGGCTGAAGGCGCGGCTTGGTGGCTTGGTCGGCTTAGTTCCTATAGCTTCGGGACTCCCACTTCAAGATCTCAACGCCAACCAGGGACGTCATATTGTGACAATCCTGCATGAACTGACTCTGTAAATAGTAAAAACCTTGAATCCCGGATGCAATACCTGCTCGGTTATTCGTAGACGTTCCGATAATATCCGTGGTCTTAGGGCGCAAAGGAAAACAAGTCGTCTTGAACAGACGAAACCCACAAACCCACAGACAGAGAGTTTGGACTGTAAGTTTATTTCTTAAACATGAATTTGACCAGATATCGAGATAAATATATATACATACATTTATTTGGATTTTTAAATAGAAGATACGATCCATTTTGTGGAAGTGGTGCATAAACTAGCATCACAGTGCTTGGATATATTCGAGGCTTACGTACGGCATAATTATTGACTGCATTGAGATCTGTGACCACTCAGTATGGTAATTTAGAGGTCTCCCCCTACTGCAGGTGCCCTTACAGCATCGGAACGATCCTTGTTGAAGCGGCGCACCATGAGCAAACAAAACTATTTTGTAACACGAGTTTGGGTCGACGCAAGGGATGTGAGATCACAGAGCCTCAACCTTTACAGTGGTTGTGTATACAGACCAATCATCAATTAAATGAAATCAAAATTTTAAGTCATTAAGTTATCTGACTTGCTGAATACTGTAAGATTTCTCTCCAATGAATTTTCTTATGGCCGTAAGCGCTTTGGTACTTTGATTCCGATGCATGCAAGTAAAATACCGAAGTTGCGGGCTGAGCATTTGTTTGCTCCTGCTGCCTGGTTTTCGTGCTGTTTGATTTCATGACGCCCTAATAGACATAAAAAAACACCATGTAGCTGTTGGAAGGAGGCTGGGAGATGAGGTTCCTTGTACCTTGGAAGACATACGACACTGCTGCAAGGAGTCAAGAAATGATTTGTGTTCTTTTGTTATTCTCCAACAAAGTGACATATTAAAACATGAGATATTCACCATGTGTAGCCAGCTTCAACTACACATGCACTACATCATCTTCAGGCGCTATCGAGGAAATACACTACATGAACGGCAGCGATGATCTTGGCACAGCAGCAAGCAGAACAACAGAGTGATGACGGCCACAGTGGAGACTTTGACCACGCACGAACGTTGGCGACCCATGGATGTGCAGTCACTCTCATTCTCAGCACCCTTTCCGTTGTGTCAAGATGTATAGCACGGCGAAATATACGACAGTTGGGCAAGGCGGAAGACTATCTCGTTGTGGCCGGCTACCTAATATCATTGATACCGGTTGTTTGCATATACACAAGTAAGCCAAATGCTCGTGATGAAGCCCAATGGCACTAAATACCAACGCCAGTGGTAAATGACAGTCTGCTCGCCAATGGCGGTAGTATTGATGCGGATACTCTTTCCCAAGTTTTCAAGGTACGCTTCTCCTGATACATAGCGCGCTGCTGGTCCAGTATTAAATCATTCGCAGCTTGATTTCGTACTTCAACAAGCCTTTCATCCTGCCATGGCGTGCGTTAAGATTTCCGTTCTTGTATGGTATATGGGCCTCTTCCAGACGCGAGGTTTCAGAGTGTCATCCTGGATATTGATAGTCATCTCCGTTCTTGGGTCTATAGCAGGTTCACTGGAGGGTATCCTGCACTGCCATCCAGCTTCCTACTTCTGGGACAAAACCACTCCCGGGGGCTATTGCGACGACCTGTTTCGTCCTCTGTTGAGCGCCGCCCTGGTGGGTGTAGCCACAAATATCTGCATTTTGCTTCTGCCTACATACGTACTGTCTCAGCTGAAGATCAGTAGGGGAAGAAAGATAGCGGTGACCAGCGTATTTTTGCTCGGTGGAGTGTAAGCCTCTTCACCACTCCCGGCCTTCTTTTCCTTTCTTTCTTTCTTTCTTTCTTTCTTTCTTTCTCTTTCTCTTTCTCTTTCTATATCTCTCCTTTTCCTTCAGTGCTACACATCTACTAACAACGTTTTCTTCCAGTGCATGCATAATAGGCGGTATCCGCATCGGCTTCATCTACAAGTTCCGCGACGCGCCGGATGACCAACCATATACTGCGGGTTTTGCTGGGTCCTGGCTGATCTTCGAAATGCATGCGGCCATCATGAGTGCCGACCTTCCATGCCTAGCTCCTCTATTTCCGTGTCTAAGAAACCAAGCAAACGGGGTCGATGAACGTAGTCCTTGGAGAACGAGGACGTGTCCGAACGGTACTGTCGGATATCATAATGCTAGTATAAGGCGTCAGCTGAGTGCTGACTCGGTTGACAGGCTGATTGAAGATCTTGAGATGGGCAGCATGAACACGAACACGTCGAAAAATAGCATGGTGTCAAGTGTCTCGATATGAACATCCCGTCATCCATCATGGCCAGTTGTGCAGGATATGACAAAAGCCTTGAAAGATCTTGATGCTGTCTGGTTGTAGAAGTTTGGGGCACAAATACTAAATACTTCAGACTGAATAGAGACGCTACTTATGCTTTTTGAAATTTTTCCTTATTACCTGCTACCTCGATAACTCATGCCATCAATTATGATCTATGCCGAAGTGAGATGATACTGTAGTTGTAAATCTCATATAGTCAGCGATGTTCGCTTGCTGCTAATTGACTGCCCTGTTGCATGATTTTTGGTATTTTCAAAAATTCATCAGCTTATGCATATTTAAACTTTTGCGTGATGGTAATAGTGTCATTCATTTGGATTTGATGTATGCTTGGTGCAGCGAGTGTCGAGGTTGCCCTGAATACGGCAAGCACGGCACCTCACGCTCCACCTGATAACGTCATTGAAGCCCAAACCCCCCTACAAATAAGACTGAGCTTTGATGCGATTAAAAATGACTGGATATTTTTGTCGTCAATTGGCAAGTAGAACGATATCGTGAATGAAAAAGTTGCAACTTTTCACTTACACGGGACGCGCGTTATGTCCGGCGGAAGCATACAGCCGAACAATTGCCGAAGGAGGGAATCCGAAACCAAAAGGAAAGGCTATCAGACGAGGCGAGGGCGTTCTCCCGCCGCTATCTCTCCTCACGACCAGAAGGTCCTACAACGGCCGACACATTCGGTCAACCTTAGTCGAGTGCAGCCCTGGCTGCGAAGGCTTTCTCTTCGAGGTTGCTATCATGAGCGATCGCACGCCATTGCTCGGTAAGTTGATGCCGTTCTCAACGCGGCGTCTCTTGGGCTGCTCGGATGCACCGCTCTGGCACCTTTTAGCGGGTGGGCCAACGCTTATCTGTCGGCCCCCTTCCCCATCATCAATCTCCAGATGAACCCCATACAGAGATCTATAAACAACAACATCCTTTACGTCGCTGTCCAGTCGTTTTTGCCCATGTAGGGGGAAAACCAGCTAACGTGCACTTATTAGTGCAATTTCCACACAGTGGACACCTAGGACTGAGCAGATACCGCCGGGCTCGGCGGGCCGCCCAAAAGGCGCTCTCATCCAAGGCGAAGCACTGGTTTATCTTGGCGCTCATTATCCTCGACATCGCTGGTATCTTGACAGACATCTTCATTGCTCTTATCACCTGCGAGCTGGGCAGAGAAGGAGAACCTTGGGTGAGGCCAACACGAGATGGATTGACATCGCTCTCCCTGGTCTTGAGTTGTTTTTTTCTGGTCGAGTTAATTCTGTCGTTGTGGGCAGTTGGACCTAGGTAAGTTCCTCTATGCGTAACAGGCAATATGCCGTTTGGAGACTAGAAATGTGAAACTGATACCAGCTATGACAGAACTTATCTATCAAGCAAGGTCACTTGCTTTGATGCGTTCGTCATTGTGGTCGGTTTCGTGATTGATATCGTAGAGCATGGAGATGTCGTTGAGGAGATCGCTTCTCTGGTTGTGATTCTGCGTTTGTGGAGGTTCGTCAAGATCGTGGACGAGTTCACACTTGAGGCTTCGGAGCAGTGGGATGAGGTTCGGGAGCGACTCGAGGCGCTGGAGAAAGAGAACTCGGAACTGAAGGAGGAGCTGCGTAGATACAAGCAAGCGAGTGATGGTGGGGAGGCTTCGGTATAATCGCATAGCACTTTGGCGTTTCTGGTAATCGGTGGGGTGGCCTTAATCGTAATATTTGCATTCGTCTCAGCTATGGTTAAATTACGTTGTGATCCAACAGATTCACCTTCTCTCTATGCAGTGGCACGATCGATCACATAGTTGTAGTGTTCTATGGCTCATGTAAGGCTCAACCACTGGTATAGTAAGGGCTCCTTGGGTCGACTGTAAGTGATAGAATTTTTGCCCAGAATCTAGTGATGTGCTACCGTAATAGGTATACCCCTGATTTCTACGCTACTATAAGTAAGCGTGTGACTTGCTTTCAATCAATGGCATTCTTCGCTTTTTTGTTCATATCAACGTGATGCCATACATCTATTACGCATAAAAGTCATGAATTATCATTACATCGATGATCGCACAACGCAGTACGAGTAGCGAATCTTGTCAATATGCTCCAGTTTCATCGGGATTTCGTTTTCCTCATAATACAATGCCTACCATTTGAGTTCTTGCCGGTGACACTGCCTGGGTAAGCAGGAATGCCATTGTCGCCTTCACCACCTTTAAATACTACTTCACGGGACTAGGTGTACATTGTGGCTATTAGCATGCAAATGATATGCGGCACAATGCTTCTGTCAATAACAGTCGGTAAGAACAAAGTATGAGACAAAGTCAAAACCTCTGAAAAGATGAAGTGATTTAAGCTAGTTTCTCAATTCAAAATTATGGGTTTATATTTAGGATGTTGCGGTTGTTCGCTGATGACTTCGCGGTGGGAGATGCATACAGTAGGATTGAATAACAATTTTACTACGAAATAGCGATTAGATAACACAAAAGGAAGATATTCTGTCAGGAGGATACGTACAATGGAAATTTGTCTGGTTCCCAGATCTCCAACCTCGCCCTCCAAGTGCTCATTCCAGGTGGAAATGTCTTGAAATTTCCTTGACGAGCTTGTCTGAGAAACCATCGATAATTTACATGGGGCGATCAAAGAACTAGAAGGACTATTCCTAAGCTAAAACACAAAGTGTGTTACAGGCATTACCCACACAAGCTTCGGACGAATTGATGTTCGCATCTATTGTGTTTTCACTAGATAAGACTCGCTTTTTTCCCCCATAAATCTCCTGGAGAGAGTTTATGTAATTATACGTACAAGGTTCCTATAATTTGGTTGCATTATAGCTTAAATCTTTGAGCAAATATGTAATGAAGTCAAACCCATAGCCTTTTGCGATATCAAACGCAGGTTGCCCTTTCGGGTAATGAATCGTGGAACCTTTCGCTCCAACTAAGCAATATACGGATGGTCGGTAAGCGTAGCCCGCTCATGTAATGGCAATGGTCAGAATGACACGTCAACTGCAATGAAGTCCAGACTAAAGAATCCAATGGATCAAATGTTTGTGTATTCTATAAAAGAAATTCCATGGCGATACTGTCATGATTTTGGGGAGCTTGGTGCAGAACTGGCCACCCCTCGAAGTTTCGTGCATTAACGTTAGCATGTGGTTTAGAAGTTCTACCAGAACCTTGTGATTCTTCTAACCGTGGCTTTTCAAGAGATTGCTTCTCGTGTGACGGCAATGTATTAAATTTATTGGGCGACTGATATTTCTTGATCTTCTTTGATATTTGTAGCCAGAATTCGCATCTATTAGGACTGCTGGCAGAATCAAAGCTAGAAACACTGGTTGATCTCTTGAGACCTCTCTTCAACATATCTAGCCCCGGCTCAAAGTCAAATAAGTCACTGCCAGAGAAAGACTGCACAACAAGCACGTCCTGAGAAGTTCGCATATTCACTCGAGTGCGTATTTCCACTAATGCATCCATGTCCCGAATATTTATATAGTCGAGGCAGGTCGTGATGATTGAGAGATGGCCATCCGCGACAGTATGACTGGCAGAAAGCCCGCCTTCAGGATCAAGCATCATGAATCCGTTGTAGTGCAAGAAAAAGTCCCTTACAGACTCATGAATGACTTGAACTAATCTTGTCCCGCCGTGCTCAAGATCAAGCGACTCGGCTCCTGCATGCACAGACATGGCTTCTGAAGCACAATCTTGAAACTCAGGAGCCATGCTCGTTACTTTTACTAGACCCTTTGAGAGGTCTATTAGCCGCTTCACCAGCCTGTCGCAATCACCAATGACGTCTTTGTTGTTGAATGAATCGATGGAGGACAAGCGCTGGCCACTCAGGGGCACAAGCAGTACATTTTGCAGGAAAGGCTCGATATCCCGCCATTCATATCAACGTAATGCATTAGTTGCTAGAACTGCCCAACGGAACAAGCGTAATGTCATTGTTTTCCCGGCCCGCTCTATATCCTCCAGCAGTTGGATATATAACTCTGCCAATTCTTCTGAAACTGTCACTAGCTTCTATATCAGACGGCGGAGGGTTTGTCCTCTATCATGTGCTCTGATCAAATCGCCCAAGACTAGAACAACCCAAAAAAACGTTCCGGAGACTTTTGTGAGCAGCGTATCTCGGAAGAATTGCCATTTGGCTTCTTCGCAACTCTTTCGAATAGATAGCTTTCGGTCAATATATGTGGCAATATCTTGGCCATTGTGATGCTCGACATTGATTTCTGCACAATTACTGATGCCAGTGTATGGGTTTGCTCGACTTGCCAGGCATACGCTCAGCTGATTGCTGGCACTGTAACCAGACAGATACATACCTCGCCATAATTCAGCTTAAGCCACTAAGCCGTCAAAATCGCTTCAGGGGCGGAGGGGAATAAGTTTATTGGCATGCTTGCCAGCCAATAATGACTTCAGTACGCTCGCAATTACGCAGGCTCCGTACAGAGGGGGAGTGTTTTTGTTGAGAGGACAACAAATGGTTATTTGCAGATCTTAGGTCGCTTTTCATATGCTCCAGACAGTACGGTAAAGCTGGTATAGTATAGACCTAGAAAGGCTCAAAAGGCAATGCCCCAACTTTGTTCCCTTTGCATTAAAGAAAAAAACAGCTAACCAGTGGTCCGGCGTCTGCTGCTCTCGGAGACTACGAAGATATACTTCCTTGATAAGTACAGATTTACCTTCTCTGGGCTTTGCCTTGAGCCAAAAGGAGTCCTTAGTAGCGATGCTATGATCCGCCATGGAGCCAGTCCACGCAAGTCTGGTATTTATTCATAACCCAGATCCTGGCTACTCTTGAACCGGCACATGTCCATGTGATTGGCTTGTATGGTTTCGGCGCGCTCGCGAGGATCTCCAATTAGGGATGAGTAATCAGGAACGACTTTGCTGCCTAATACACCAAGGCTGATACCGATTAACCTCAGACTTTCTCGAAGGTTTTTGACCTGGAAGTTATGTTTGTTCCATAAGTCTGAAAAAGAATCCTGTGCCCGCTCAAGATCTGCAGTCCTAAGTCTAAGTGTATCGAGAATGGCTGAATTGGTTCCCATTCGCATAGCACTAAGCAAGATTCTTTCAGACTATCCCAAAGAGGCCATATCAGGATTGCCCCGATGTGATGTTCCCTGAATATGACCGACCTAGTAGAACCAACGATGGAGTACGCATCACCACTCGAGCCTGATGACTTTGCGAGCATCTCCTTCACAATTATTCCGCCCGAATTGTTAGCGATGAAGTTCTTGGTTTCGTCCTCGGTCGCCTGCCAGCGCAAATAGCAGATCTTTGCTGTGTTAGTACACTCCGTTCTCATTCACTGCCCCGGTCACGTGCTTGGTGATTTTGGTATCATACCCAAACACCACGATGCGAGCCTTGGAAATCTTTCTAGAAGGAAGTCTCTGGGCCAGAAAAAGGTGGTAGTCTGTGCAACGTATGTCTGATCCTTATCTCTACCCACTCCTGCAAGCCAGACGGCTTCCGAAATATCCTCCTCGTCAGGCCAAACTACGGCGAAGTAATCATGAGCTTTCATAAATTTTATTATTATTATTCTTTTTTTGCATTTGGGTGAAATACCGTTTGAGATGTGCCTTTTCTTGATTGCCTGCGACAAGCCCATGTGTTATATGGGTGGCCTTGTAATCCATGGACGATGAGAATGCTTGCAGCCAATCAGCAAACCCCCGCGTATACAGTGCTTGATCCTAACTCACTCCACGATCGCTTCACTGACATCATGCTCGTAAACAATTGTAATACCAATGCCGCGGACTGCGTGACGTGACATCCTGTATCGTGTAAACTACGGGAGGATGCCGTGGGGATTTCTTGATTTTAGGACATGAGATCGATAAATTGGACTTGCGTATAAATCCACTGTGAGATTCACTGGCCTTCGGTGAAGTTGACCTTGTCCTGACATTCAGGGTTGAATTAGTCCGATTAGACGCCAGCGGTAGAGTGGTAGTGCTACGTATATGTGTATCATTCATTACCTGCTTGCCGCACAGACTTTGAGGTTTTAGTATAGAAGAAGAAAACGATGTTGGCAGGAAACCTATACAATGCCGCATACCAGGAGACGAGATAGGCCAGAGTAACAAGAAAGTGACAGCCATGTCTGCTCTCGCGAACTATAATCATCGAACGTATTGGTTCGGTCCATATTGCAAGGGCCTTAGTGGACTTGATGGGAGAATGAGCTGCCAGTTTTAAAGGTCGATATAGCAGGTTTCGTGGCAGCTTCTCCTTGAGAAGCATCAAATTCAGGAAGGATCGTTTTCTTTCCCGAGATTCCTTTTATTTCTTTCCTCCTCTTATCTATTTCTTGCTTTCAGTATGCAACGAGTTCTGTACGTGTACTTGACCTGTACACAATTCATGTCCACATGGATTAGAATTGCGCCAACGTAAAGGAGTCTGTACACCAAATGCATTGCTGCTGTGCTTTACATCATGCCGGTGGAGGTGCGAGAGAGCACTCCTGAGCACCAACAAAAATTGGGAACGATTATGGCCTCGGATTCCGGAGCTTGTCCTGCCTGCCCTTGCAAGCGCATAATTAGTGCGAGATAGCAGAGTGGAGCCAGAAACTTGGGTCCGGCTCCAGCCAATTTCTAAAGCGAAGTTGACCAATTAGCACCAGGGAGCCCCTACAAAAAAGAACAACACCAAAATTAAACCCTGCGCAGCTCACCTCCAAACCCACAACATCGACCATCTCATCTGCTCGTACAGATTATTTGCTTCACGACTCCATGTGGAGGCTTCATACAACTGTGTTGCTCATTGATAGGTCATGGAAACATGACACGCATCGGAATCTCCAGTCTGCCCTAGGGATTCCGCCAATCTTCGAGAAGGCCGCCGCGGACGACCGTTGCCCGAGAACTTGCTTCTGCATGGCCGGGTGGCTTCACCCGCCTTACGACGCTAGCCAAGCATCGGAATAGACTCGAGCTTATGAGCTAGGTTATTATCAGTGTCACCCTTCAAGATGTTGTTTTGTTGCACTTAAAGCGGACCAAGCAACGGGTGAATTGGCCTTGACCTTGATCCGTAAACCTTCGTGGTCCGGTCGCTGGTCGTGTTTTTCTTACTTGCCCGGATCTCCTCTTGGATAATACATTCGCTCTGTTGCTCTCACTTGACTTCAATTCGTACAATAACATCAAATCTCTTATCCGCTATTTACTTGCTATAATTGCAACCTCCCATTTCAACTCTGTACATCGCAATGAAATCCACCATCTTCGCCGTCGCGGCTTTCGCGGCTGCCGTCTCGGCCCAGACATCCTCTGTCTGCCTTGCCCAGCCCATTCTTGAGCAATGCTTAGTGACTACCCAGTATTACTTGGAACTTTGCACCTCGACCGATTATGCCTGTCTCTGTGAAAAGTACACATCTATCTTGACATGCTTCGACAACTGCCCTAACGACTCGAGAGAGTCCGGCGCCAGCCAACAGAAGCAGCTTAACTGGTAAGTCCCCTCCGATTATTGGTAACTTTGGTTCCGGAGGAATTGACAACGACTTTTCTTTTTCTTCTAGCATGAACGCATCTGTCTACTCCTCCCTGTCTGCCACGACCACCAGCACATCTCCTGGCACTTCTGCGGTAGCTGCCACCACCACCACTACGGGCACCTCCACGTCTACCCGCGCCTCCACTACTAGCACAAGTGGACCTACTGGAACCAGCACGTCCACCTCCTCTGCCTCCACGTCCAGCCAGTCCAATGCTGCCGGTGAGCATGCTATCGGCGGTTCGGGCATGTTCGCCGCCATTGCTGCTGTGGCCGCTCTACTGTAAACCTTCATTATTCCTCGCAATACAGACAAAAGGCATCTCATGTGGGACAAACATTGAGCAGCTAGGATATAACTTGATGGATCAGAGGATGAAGCTAGCCAGATATGAGATGGGTTCGTAAATAATAATTAATTTTGAACTTGAATTCCTTGTGTCTCACTTGGTCCCATGCCTCTTGGATATTTTGTCTGTGTAGGTGCACAGCCATTTCAGGCATGGAAGTGCCCTCCATGCCACTGTGCTCACAATTTAAATTTCTGGATAGTGCTTTGCTAGCTAAACGCGTGTACACAACCTGTACATGGAAATCGGAAACCCACGACGTTTGCGGCGATGGCCGCAGACACGCAGCTGGTAGAATACGGGGCCGAGAACGGGGACCTCGCCGCCGCAGTAGCATGCGCAGAGGAAGTGGTATGAGCTCGTGCTGTGGGTATCCACTATTTCTATGCAGATCGAATATGCAAGAAGATATATGTCGTGTTACTTCTGAGATGGACTTCTGAGATGGACGAGAAGGAGGAAAGGTGTGACTGATCCATTGCTTTACAATTTCCGTAGGGAAAGAAAAAGAAGAGAATTGTGGCTGTTTTGATCTAGTCTAGTCAGTGTGATATTTTTCGAGTTCACTCGATATGTTCATCTTTCTTCTAGCAGTATTCATCGTTTGACATGGCCCATGGCCCATACTATCAGGAAGGTCGAACCCACGTGTAATCTCGAGTGGCAGATCTCCTGTTGTGTTACGATAGAGGGCCCGTACAACCTTTGATTCTTTCAATAGGTTCCTCCATCCGACCTCGCGTATTGTTATGGTGAAAGTGGCAATGAACAGGAATGATATTATATTTTGTCCGGAGTCCAATCAGGGAGATATCGGCGGCCTGAAGTTGGCATTTTCAGTGGCCGGTCTTGATTGTGTTACCTCTGCAGTTGAAAGCCAAATAAACCTGAGACCTTTGTATTCCGTTGGACATCAGACTTTGTAGGATTGCTGACCAGGAGTGCTGAGTCAAGACAACACAAAATATTGACGTTGACGTATGGCAAGGTCACAAAGAGAACTGGACGTGATAGGCTTGTGACCTCATACACGAATTTGGTGAGACAAATGCCTTCATTCCCCCAAAAGATTTCTGACTGCGTTTGTTAAATCCAATTTTGATTTGGCGAATAAAAGCATCTACCAACTCCTCGAATAGTCTACAACCGTTGGTGTATCTGAAGCCGTAACATATGTACAATGCCTCCCATGAACAAAAGAGACGATGCGTAATGACTTGAGTCGATCTGATTCCCTCTACTTCCTGTACCACATCCGTGTAATCTTGGTGTTCCTCATCTTGCGCTGCAGCTGGAAGATACCGTACATCAGAGCCTCACTTGTGGGCGGGCAACCGGGGACGTAGATGTCGACGGGCACGATTCTGTCGCAGCCACGGACAACACTGTAGCTGTAGTGGTAGTAACCTCCTCCGTTGGCGCAGCTACCCATGGAAATGACCCACCGGGGCTCGGGCATCTGATCGTAAACCTGGCGAAGGGCCGGGGCCATCTTGTTGGTGAGGGTTCCGGCGACAATCATCACATCGGACTGACGGGGCGAGGCACGGAAAATGATTCCGAGTCTGTCTTGATCGTATCGCGGTGTCGACAAGTGCATCATCTCGACGGCACAGCAGGCGAGACCGAAAGTCATGGGCCACAAGGAGGACTGGCGTGCCCAGTTGGCGACCTGATCCAGAGTCGTCCTATAGTCAATCGAGTCAGCTCGCATCCCCCCCTCTGGGATTCGTGTCATGATGTGGCGAGCGCATACAATGCATATTGAATAGCACCCTTTGTGCCTTCCTGGCTGGGCAGGGGAACCTCCTTGCGCTCACGGGGCAGTATGCTCGTCGAGCCGTGAGACGCTACAGCGGGTGTAGCATCCTTCTTGGTTGTGGTCGAGATGGCGGCAACGGATCGCAGGGGGACGAATTGGGTGGTCGGCTTGGCTATAACCACAGCTAGTCAGCTACGAGTTCTTGGTGTTCGGCATCAAGGGGTAGCTTGAGGCTGGCGCGACATACCTCTAAGAGCCAGCGAGGTGACTCGTCTTGATGCCAGCATCTTGTCTGCCGATATCAAGGCTATTTGAAGATAATAAAACCTCCAAGGGTGTAAGAGTGGAGAGTGGTCTGTCGTCGGGGGGGCGATTGACAGCTCTTAACAGCCCACGCGAACGGGATTCAATTGCGTTGACGTTGATGATGAGCTTCTTTTCGTCGCCTCTCGCTAATCAGATAATGCGGGGCTCCCATTGGCTGGTGTGAGCCCGAGGGATTTTCCGGGCCCCGCAACGAGACGTTTGAATTGACCAGCCAGATCTGAGGCGAAAACAATCATGTTAACTCCGAGTGTCCAAACTGTCTTGTGCTCTATAGCCATGTATCATTGGATAATCAATCCATCAATGGGCTACCTTGATAAATCATTGAGCCTGACTGCAAGATTTCTTATTTTTTTTTTCTTTCTAATTTTTACTTTATTTTAATATAACCAAATCTCCCGACGTGTGGAACGTGCACACGAATTTCGAACATGAACCGCTCGTTGTCCAGAATATTCTCTGTCGTGGTGTTGGTTTCCAGACTAACATCCGAACAATAGCTCCGTGAAACCAACATGAGATGTGCATCACCTCTCATCGCCTATTGTCGTTCGACGCACACGTCGGCTGCAGATTGAGCGGCGTCTTGCTTTATTTTACCATGCACACTATACTTGTTTTAATATCATACCACGGTTATTCTTCTCCGCAAACACACAATCCCTTGGGCGATTAGTCTTGCCAAACCTGCTGCGTTAGTTTCGCAAGGAGCCATTAGCGCACATCCGGATCCGTAGACCTTCCCTTATTATTCAGCTTCAATGATCGTTCCGCTTGGGTGCCAAGTATTTTTGTCCGTTGCCGCCATCTCATCGACTACACAGTACTTGGCACAGGTGATGTGAGTCTCTACTTTAGACTTCGCCTAGTGACCACAAGCGCCTTTGCCGGTAGATTGCAGCCTGGTGTTCTTTGGACTAGTCTAACACAGTACTGGTGGTTGACTGGCTAGAAATAACTGCAAGTCAGTGGTTTAACCAAACAATGCCTGCACTGTGAGGTTGTCCCTCATGACGTTCGTTCATCGGCATTCCGCTTTTCTGCGTCGGCCACGTACCGAAGGAGGTCGGCTACTGGAATCATTGCAAAGCGAGTGCCGAGCGCTTTCCGGGGTTTGAGCAACGTGCGTGTCTGCGTGCTTGTCAGCCTGTCGACTGTGAACCCTGGCTTGAATTCAAGGCTACCTGCAAGTGTCTCGGCATTTCAGTTCGCATGGCATGGCCATCGAAGAGAAGCTACCGAATCGATAATCTCACCTACATTGGCGTTCCTCCGCGGTCCACGCCCAGGAACAGAACGTAGGGATTGTTGTTGCCGGTCTATGTACGACGGGAACTTTAACGGTGGCAGCTACCATAGCTGCAGATGTGCCTACACCATGTAAGACTACACAATAGAGAGATTTCGCCAAACCAAGCCCCGAAGCGACCTCGCCCGCGGATCATGACTCGATATAGACCAATGTTGTACTGTGGTATCTTGGAGGAAAGAAACTGCTCCTATGCATACCAAGGGGAGGATCAACGCTGCGGGGTCTTGGTCCTAATCTCGCCAAGTACTACTGACCCACAGAAATCTCTTGAAATGATGGCTTAACTGGAGAATGAATATTCAGTAAAATGCGCCTTTTGGTCGATCAATACTAAGCCACTACTTGCATGTGTCTTCGAAGCGTTGGAGTTTATTATCGAGTTGGTGTGAAGGGCCTCGATTTCGAGAGGTCCCAGGTCACAATAAGGCCCGACTCCGACTCCACGGCTGAGCCACTTGAACCCCATGTCCAAGTACATATCCGTCACCGTACTAAGTAGAGCAAGCACAAACAGCCCAGCTGAATGGATGCACGAAATCCGGGGTAAACTACATACTTGGTACTACATGCAAAGCTACAAGGATGTGCTCTGTCGCGACGTCACCCATTCGTCCTCGGAATGGATGCGGTTATGTCATTTGCTCACCCTTGGCGAGCCTAGGAATTTGACCACTGGTATTTTTTCCACGCTTTTCTGCGAACCAAAGATTCATAGGCCCAACTGTTCGGCACCGTGGTTCGTGCGAGAATCGTCTCAACGAAGCTGGGGTAATGGCCATGATTTCCCCATGACACTTGCTCTGGCTGTGTGCTCTCAACGTCCCTACCGCTGTCAAGCTTGGCGCCGTCCTTCCTTCTACCTACCAGTACACAACTTTGGATCCCTGCTCGTCCTTGCAAGTTTCATTCTCCAATGACAGGAAACATGCGGGGTAACAATATTTTCAAAAGCTGACTCGCTGGGTCAATGATATGCTTCGAAGATCACTGAGTATTGAATGACATTGCCCGTTTTCAAACTTCTGAGCTTTCGGAAAGAAATCCCTCGTTCTGTACATCACCAAATAGCCCGCCGCGGCCGACCTCATTCATTGCCGCGTAATACCTGGAACTATCTTCATTTCCCCTTGGCTTAGCATTGACAGCTGTCAATACGAGTCAGTCGGGTACAACATTTCCCCGAATTCGTCTTATTTAGACCGTCTGCACGCTACATGGGTCATTGTCGCTAGATCCGCCACACTTTCACCGTCGAGTCTGGGGTTTTTGCTCCTGTCGTTTTGGAGTTGGAAGGCGCTTTCCTGCTCCTTTACTGTCACCGAGCGAGTCAGGGGCACGATATGTCTCGTTATTCTTCACCATCTCGAACTTGTGCCTCAAGTCTATGGAAGTGAGGACGGTTTCCTTTACGACGAAACACAATATTGACGTATTCACAATGGAGTTGCGACGCCAGCGATAAGTTCACTAAAACAGTACTGTCGCTAGGCGCATTCTCGAAACTCACAACATGTCCACCACTGATGCTGGAACGGGCAGCTTTGAAGACCGTGGGCCCAGTGTGTTCGCCGTCACGACTGCAACGCTCGTCCTGGCATCGGTATTCGTAGCCGCAAGGCTATATACCCGGCTAGCCATTGTACGACAAGTCACCTACGATGACTGGTTTATCATATTGGCATGGTTTCTTGCATTTGGTGTCAGCTTCACGATCGATCTAAGTACTAGACGTGGGCTCGGAAGGCATGATAGTGATATCGGTGCGGATAACTGGAACGCACTGAGGCGCTGTGAATATGTTTTCTCGGTCTTATACGTAAGCAGCCTTCCCTTGGCATTGCTTATGGTGTCTAATCACTCTGATAGAATCCTGCTCTCATGGCTACGAAGACTTCTATTTTGGTTTTCTACCTACGCTTGTCCAGAAACACCCAGCAAGTTCTTCGCATAGCGTCCTGGGCCACACTTGTGGTTGTCAACGTTGCTGGGACAGTGCTTACTCTGCTCAACATCTTCCAGTGCCGTCCTATACAAGCAGCCTTCGACAAATACCCATACCAGGCGCAGTGTATCCCGCTTCTTACCGAATTCATATGTTCAGCACCGGTCAACATTGTGACAGACCTCGCCATTCTAGCTCTGCCCATTCCCGTGCTCACACGTATGAGGTTGCCTTTTCGGCAAAAGATAATTCTAGTCTTCACTTTCACTCTTGGTATTTTCGTCACAGTTGTCGATGTCATCAGGATATACTACCTTCAACAAGCAATAACCTATATATCTCCCACGACGTCAAGCAACTCCGAGGCTACCTTCGGCGACCAAGCCGAGTTTGCATTCAATGCATCTTTCTCTTTGATGTGGTCCGCAGTCGAAGTCAACATCGGCATCGCCTGTGCCTGCATACCCACGCTCAAGCCGCTTATTGTGCGCATCCTGCCGGCGATGCTCGTTGATCCCGACGGTACACGAACAATATCGGGTTCCACGGGGAAACAGGCGTCGGATTCTTCGAGGCATTACAGTGATGATGGACCTATAATGCGACCGCTTCAGACAGTACCCGAGGTCCCCTCGCAAGCCTCTGACGATGCGCATACAACCGAATTGCCCGAACCCGAATATAGCGCCATGGAGTTTCTTACGACACCCAATATGACAGGAATAGGCGATCCAGCTTCACCCACGAGACTTGCGCGAACCTCGACAGCCCTGACTGCTGCAACCACCACTACCAGCGGTGGAGGTGAAAACTCGGTGTATTTTGGCTTTGTGAACATGAAGAAGCCCAAGAGCATTACTCGGACGTCAATAAGAGAATCATGGAAGTACTGCACACTGGTTATTATCTTGTTTGTGCTTTGGGGCTTTTCTTACGGGCTTCTGAATACGCTTAATAATGCTATTGCATCTGTGGCCAAAATGAGTACTGCTCAAACGATCGGGCTCACTAGCATGTACTTTGGCGTTGGATACCTCCTCGGACCTCTCATTGTAGGCGAATGGATTTTACGACACGACGAGCATCGGCGAACGAAGAAGCATGACGGCAGTTCGACAGTTGGCGGTTTCAAAGCGACTTTTATCGTCGGACTCTCAATATACGGAATTGGAACAATCATGTTTTGGCCTAGCGCAGTTCTGTCCTCCTTCCCTGGTTTTATGATCTCTAACTTCGTGGTCGGATTCGGTCTTGCGGTTCTGGAAACAGCCGCAAACCCTTTCATTGCATTGTGCGGACCCTTGAACTACGCAGAGATGCGCCTTCTCTTGGCGCAAGCGATACAAGCCGTTGCCACGGTGATCAGTCAGCTTCTCGCGCAAAAAGTCTTCTTTACAGAAATTGAAGGCTATACAGGTATTGAAGGGAGCGCGAATGACTCCACCCTTCTCTTGGACGTGCAGTGGACATATTTGGCAATCACCCTCTTGTGCGCGGCACTCGCACTTTTCTTCTTCTACACTCCTCTCCCAGAAGGTACCGACGCAGAAATCGAAAGATCAACGAGGTATCTCCCAATTGACCCGAAGAAACGAAGCATAGGAGGATTGCAACTCCGAACATGGACTCTTATTTTCGCCGTGCTGGCACAATGGACTTATGTCGCGAGTCAAGAGTGTATGAGCATTTTCTTCAAAGGCCTCCTGACGCCAGTTGCACCTTCTCAAGGTACTACCGCTCAAACAACTGTTAACCTGAGTGCTTCTTCGAATGATGCGACGAATGGAGTCGATACTGATTCCGCTTCGCTCGCTCTCTCCCTGCCCGACTATTCGCTTGTCGCTCATACAGCGTTCGCCTTGTCAAGGTTCTTGGCGGCGTTTTTGGCTTACCTGTCTCCCAAGTATTCCAAAGTTCCTCAACCGCGCACTGTTCTCAACATTTGTGTAGGACTTAGCATACTGTTCACCATTCTGGTAGTCGTACTACGGCCTTCAAATCCAAATCTGCAGGCCATCCCGGTGATTTTGTTCTACTTCTCGGAAGGCCCAATTTGGCCATTAATTTTCACGTTAGGGTTGCGCGGCCAGGGGAGACGTACGAAAAGGGCATCCGCCTACATTACCATGGGGGCTTCTGGTCCGGCATTCTGGCCTTTCGTCATATATGCAATACATCAGCATGGGGCAAGCTATCACATCGGTTTTATCATTTTGGTGGGCCTCCTATTCTTTACGGCACCATTCGCCGTCTTCCTTAGCCTGAATAAGGATGCGCGAACGCTTGTCGATGCGCGGGTTGGAAAGGAAGAACAGCAACGCCTGCAGTCCGGACAACAAGAGCAGATGGATCTGGACGAGATCATCAGTTCGCGGAAACGGACCACCTACGATGGCACGGGAGAGATGAGCGTGATCAGGAAGATGTCTGTCGCCTTCACGAATCCTTTCAAGAATAGAAGTGTTTCTGATCCGTTATCATTCGAACATCGCGAAGACACCAAAGGTGGAGCTGGCTGAGATGAATATTGAAGATAGTCATATTCTTAATCACATCAATCAAAAGATTTTGCTTCTAAAGAATGATCTATCAGTCCTAAATAGTGTTGTGCGCTAATCAACGATTTTACCGAGTGAGAACAGGGCGTCATTGTTGCCAAAAGGTAAGAGACTCCCCAAGTCTTTCGTCAACGGGGGACTTGGACATTCGACGAAATCGATTGCTCTGGTCGCCAATCGTGCTACCGGTCTGGCTGTGGGCAATCGGGCGGTGAAAACCTAGCTGTCAGTGTCCAAGAACACGAGACTACCCCTGGACAGCAGGGCGAGTGGATAATTATACTTTTCGTATGTACATTCTAAAACCACTAATTACGACATAGCAACTCAAAAACTCGATGACTCTAAAAAGGTCTCTGAAATGAAGATCGCGCCTGACTCAGAATATATACCCTGAAATGTGCTTTCCTTTTTATTTTATCTGTTGAGGGTTTGGTGTTGGTCTTTCTCCTTAACGACAACTTTTCGGTATTTCCTTTCGCGATATGAATGTTATGATCCTGCTGGTGGTATTTTCTTCAGCTTCATCCTTGGCAACTAAATATAGCGACACCCTGGTTCCAGTTTCTACTTTTCCATCTTCGCAAAGAATCTCGCAACAGTATGCGTTTCCGTGTCTCGCTCGTCCTTTTTATAGCGAACATTAAATCATTTATCACACCGTGCAGTACTCAGCCATTCTCGGAAACCCCATAATAAACAAGCAGGTATACTACTACCTATCTTCGTTCACTAGGCGATGCGTTTATAAAATCAACTCTCGTGTCAGTTTATTAATATGAATGCCGTTGAAAACACTGAACTTCTATCCAGTTGTTCGAGTTAATACACTTTTCAAAGCCACTCACACATACCTCAGTCGTCAACAAGACGAAGGAAGCTAGAATAAACAACACATCCTTCTTAGGACAGCTCGTCAAGCATCTCGAACCCGAAAGCATGCCTCTTCGTTTCCGAGCATGGCTGCAGCACAAATTACGGCGTGGTGCGGCCACCAAGACCACTACGACAAGCACGAAAGCTGCTCTACTCTGTTACTCTTCAGCTCCGCAATCGCCAGGTAAACTGACGTATTTCAATCCAACCTTCATTAACAAGACACAACCGTGGCCGATTTCGCTCCTCCAGCCTACAGCAAGCAAGCAAGGCGTTCATTTCTCTGTCCTGATCTATCAAATATAGATGAGATTTTAATCCTGCAAACCGTAGACTCTATTATAAGAGACCTTGAAAGTAGTTTAGCTGAGTGCCTCGATCGCACAACCATTACACCGATCACAGCTGCTGTTTGGGAAAACTGCATTGCTGCCGGCAACACCTTATGCAAAGCGATTTTCCAGGAAATAGTTGATGAGCTAACGACGTCAAGGACGATGACTGTCATCAAGTGGCTAAAGCAGCCATCGCCGCCACTGCTGCAGCACCGAAAATATTAAATTGTTGGGCATAATCACCGTTACCGCCGTAGTTATTACCAACCCTGCGTACCGCATTTGCCGGCATAGCGAATAGACCCGAAGCCTCATGTCGCTGCTACTCAACTAACTTACGCGGCGCAAGGTGTGGCCGCTACTATTAATGCCCGCATTTTTACTCGCAGACTTACAGTTAGTGAAATCACTATGTCCTTGTGGGAGGAATTTCTACGGGGTCCTAAATAGGTCGGATTATCTTGAGCCGATCCTTCCCTAGTATAATAAGCATATGTGGGTTTATGGAATGTCTGTTGTAGCTAGAAAATGGTTGTTGAAGGGTAAGTCGGCGAGCGCTGACTTGGGCTGATGCTGTCCGAAGGCAGCGAGCTTCGCGGCATACTCCTTGAATGCGTGTGCATCAGATCCGGAGATGAGATCGGGAAACCCGAAGTACCATAGTTGTTAATTAGTACCACCATGTTCCTACTATCCCAGTTCCGAAGTGATATCACAATCTCCTTCATATCGGAGTTGTCCTCAACTTTTATCGGTGCGTTCAGCTTGTATCTTCGTCACACTAGTCTAGAGAAACGATGCTGCTTGACTTGAGAGCAGAGGCAGATTTGAAGGAACCTTGCAGAGAGTCTAACGAGGCAGTTCCCCTTCTGCAGCACAGCTAGGTCCAGCAAGTCGACGATAAGTGAACTTATCGCAAATCACTTGATCACTTGAAACAGTCACGTCTATGACTATAGTAATTATTTTGTCGTCTTTGGCTGGACTCTTCAAACTTGGCGATATTCTGTAATTTGGGATCGTAAGTAATTATTGGTCGATCAATAGTACAGCCAAATGTCTGTCAACTTCTAGAGGAGCTCATGGGTATTTGAGGGAAACATTTCTGTGTACAACTTTCGGCGATCAAATGACGAGTTCCAAGCAATCAGGTCTTCAATCGTGGATGCTACTGGAACAAATGTTGGTTTTTTGAACTAACATCAGCTCAGACTTCGGCGAACATGGCGTCAACCCAAGTCAGTTCTGGTATAGGTATTCAAGCAACATTAACACGATATTGGTCTGCAAAACACGACATACCGGGATGTACGCAGCCGAGGAAATTGGCCCTTGACCGCTGCTATTATTATATTAATAACTATATGAGTTGAGTCGGTGAGCACCCGTAACACAAAGTCCTAGAATGAGAAGCACTTTAGATTACCATCAATCCTTGGTTTAATTTGCTCGCCTCTTGCATCGCATATAGACATACAGCACTTCATGTCGATTTGGTGACTGCTGATAAATCTTAAGCAGTCTTGATCGGTGTCATTAGCTCAGTTCTGAATAATTGATCTTAGAATTTACTGGTAACACCGAAGCTAAGCTCATAGTGGAGAAAATAATAGGCAAGAGGATACTTTTTGAGCTCCTCATACTAGAGCTGGAGATTCTGTTAGTGCAAAAGTTAATGTGCCGTGTTGTAACATATACAATCGAAAATAACACCGTAAAACACGGTAGTAACTATGTGCTTTGTTACAACTTAGAGGTTAGCATCCATCTTAGAGGACGAATGAAAGAAATGTTTGGGCGGCTTCTTGTGAGAACAAAAGAAGTAGCTTAAAGAGAGAATGTGGTCTCTGTGGGAGTGACTTACTAGTTTCAATAGAAGATAGTGTAGGCAAGTCTCTAGAAAAGAGCAGCCATGCAACGATTGACGACATCGCCATAACTAATCTATATCTATTCATAGGGAGATGATAATTGACGCCATGAAGCAAGAGATATATTGTGGTGCCTACGCGATTATCTGGGATGTAGCTGTGATTATAATTGGCATTTATATACAAGATAACAATGCGAGTCTGTCATCATCGGAACCGTCTGTGTAGACACCTTGTTTAATGTTGAGGAGAGAGGTTGGGCAATGGCAAAACGGGATAGGCCGGCAAACTGGGTGGATAAACACGGAAATTGCAAAAGCATCAAAAGGTGGCGGCAGTGAAGACAAGGAGACCATTGCGAAACAGGACGTAGATACTGGTGATAACCACTCCCACTGAATCACCTCACGTTCACGATTAATCAATAGCGGAAACTTGCCATTGGGTGTTTTAAGCTCTAAGCATGACGTGCAGGAGTGATTTAGTGTACTAATATAAAACTTGCATTATGAACAAATATTATAACAAAACAATCGCTGTTACTCCTTATCCTTAACACCTGTCTCTTGTTTAGATATCTGGTCAAGGCCATCAAAGAGCACCCATTCAATGGCCACCCGAAGGTACAAGCTGCCCAACGCCATGAACATCATGCTCCTTGTTTACGTCTGTGTTGCCACCCTTAATGGGGTTGAATTGAATTGTCGTAGATTCAACCGATCTGCGCTTCTCTGATGGAAGCTTTCTATGATCAACAAATCGATGAGATGGACTTTCCCAGAAACCTTATTTATAAACGAAAAGCGCAGTCTGGTTGCGCTTGGTGATCTCTGGCAGCCCAGAGCGTAAGGCTCTGGCAACAGAGATGGTGTGTGTTTATTGCAGAGACCACTTGAGGCTCTGCCACAGAGAACTTGGCGACAAATTCTGAACGAAAGTGAGAGGGCTTCAAATCAAGATTGCGGTTGGACTTTGACATGCAGCTACAGTACCCGTTCCTACTCAAACAGCTTCATGGATACCGAACAAAGTAAGGCCTGATTCTTCTCGGGGTACGCTGCGTTGTAGTGCAATAACCAATATCGGCTTCGTTATTGTTGGTCGAATGTGCTGAAGGATTGGTGGAGGCGTAATCATGTTGCCATTTTTGTCGGCTCAGCCTCATAAAGGAAATGCAACCCAGAGGTTCGGTGCCTCAGTCATGCAGATGATAGTAGGGTAACAATAAGCCTAGGAATTTTTTTTCAGCTTTCAACTGGCTACGCGCCAGCCTTGCATTTCCATGATTAGATCCTGCAGAAGCAGCAGCACATCTTGCAAATGCGTTGTCTTGGCAGTAGTAGATTGTGAGCTATTAACAGTCCTACAGTGTGCTTTGGTTGGCGATCGGAATCATTGGTCCGTACTTGGATCGTATCATATGGCGAGCATTGACACATGCGCATGATACTGACGAATTGACCTTCTAGCAGCCATTAAATTGCTACGAAGGCAGCAGACTTATCCACTCTATCAAGTTCGCTCATCTCAGCAACCCTGCAGATAGACTACTGAGAAGGACCCCTTCTTTCCCACAAGCCACAATGCCCAAAACGCTCGGCAATTAAAGCAAGTTATAAGATTGTGACTGTTTTATTCAAGAACTCCAAAAGTTTTGCGAAACCTCAGTGGGGCGGCCACTTGATCTGAGCATTCGGGACAAGCCTCTATGCTTTACTCTCGAAGCCTCTGGTATAAATACAATCAGAAATCAGGTGTCACGTGAAACAAGAACTTCCAAAAAAGAAAAAAGTTGCTAATGAAGGTTGATCATGTCTTTCAAAATGATTGCAAGAACTAAAGTGACATACTATGTACTTATCAGACCAGAATAATGAGTGGGCATAAGTATACTACTAACTCGCTGTACGCAGCTAGGTTAGTAATTAAGGTTGGTACGCTTCAACTATGATCAACATGCTTGGTGGCAGGGCACTTAACATGCGAGTACTAGCCAATGCTTGCATATCGGCATCGACGCCAATTCATCTCAACCAAAAACAGTCTGTTCATCTTGACTTGGATGATCTTTGGTAACTGATCCCCGCATCCCCCGCATTAGGACTCTACACTAACTGGACGGGGGAGGCGAGATTCTAGCGGTCGGCCAGGCATAATCTCTACATAGCTTCGCGGTGTCGGACACAAGGTGATGGGTGATTTGACTTTCTGAAAGCGGCCACAGCCGTATGCAAACAACGTCTTGCGAAGGCGTGATATTATCCTCGAAGGACAAATATTCCAGTTGTAGGCCAGTCTCGAGACATGAATCGGGAACTCACTCTTTTGGGCCGCAACAGCCCCCTGCTCAAGGTCGATGCAAGTGCATGCATAGCCTTCTTTTGTGTCAGCCCAAGAGACAAGCAGTGATACTTGTCTCGTAGGCCTGGCTCTATGCAGGTATACGTATCTGAGGCAGTTGACATGATGGCTGTAGACCCATGCATCCCAAATGAATGGTTACATATGTGGGGCCTAACAAAGGGAAGCTGTATAATTGGAAGAGTTCTAGGGCCTTGAGGAACCCGTCTCTTAACATTCATTTGACATTGATCTTATCGCAAAAGAGCATCACCCAACTTGCTAAGATTGCTGGCCCTCTTTCTTGACCACGCTGACTGGCTACCACCGATCAATAGAACATCGACAAACGTTGCCATGAACTCGAATGAGTATTACCGAAAGGTCTTCGTGGCCTTGATCACCTGGGAGAATCACGACCTTCACACGGATATTGATGACCTGGACGAAGAAATGAACAATGTGGAACATGCTTGTAGCTTTACATATGGCTTTCATGTCAATCGGATCAAGATTCCCAACGCTGCAAGTACCGCACCCCCAGGCTACGGCACATATGAAGGTTGGCTGTCAGCAAAACTGGAGAGCTTCTATGCTGAGATGGAGCGGGAAAACGAAGGGCGATGTCTTGTGATCCTATGGTATGGCGGGCACGGCGGAAAATGTGGCCCTGAAGACAATCTTTTAGAGTGGTGGTCTGGTCCTTTTCAAGCACAGTGAGTTCGGGCACAATCAATACTTGGGTTTATCCGACAGTGTCTAATAATGCTACAAGGAGGGTGATCGGATCTCGACTCCCATCGAGTATCCGGCAAATCGACACGAGCCTTAACTGGACTGATGTCTGGGATGAAGTCAGGCTAGGAGTTGATCCAGACTTGGATCACTTGTTCATACTCGATTGTTGTGCTGGTGACGAGTATGGCGGGACGGGCATATCCAATTTCCTACCCCCAGCATTACTGCAGCCCAGAGCGAGGGAAGTACAACGTCCGACATCTTACCACGTTCTGGTCGCAGCCGACAGCGATTCGGAGGCGGCTTACTCAGGCCACGAATCAGTCACTGTGGTGGCGACGGATCAACTTCGAAATGCAGTCTACTCTAGGAATGACCGATCAAACCCTAACGGTTTGACCATCAAAGAACTGCACGACATGATCATAAACAGCGGCCGATGCCATCATGACCCCGTACGCTACGAATTCGGCCCACTACTAGGCACGAGCACACTTCGTTGGATTCGAGTCCCGCAAATAGCAATATCTGATGAAGATCCCAGCGACAGCGACAGCAACAGCGATGAAAATGAACTGTCTCATAATCGCTATGGTAAGTATGACAATAACCGCGATAAGCGCGATGAGAGTAACGAAGATGATAAGAGTGAAGGGTGCTACGACCGTGAGGGAATATATGAAGAGAGTAACGAAAGTGAGGAAGTCGAGGAAGAAGAAGAGAGCGACGACGCTGAAGGTATGAGTGATGAAAGTGACTAAAACGCATATGGGGAGACCAATGAAAGCGTGGAAAGCGATGAAGATAAAGATAGTGATGGCAAGATGGGTGAGGTCGGGGATAGGCAGCGCGTTGAATATTGAAGCGATGGACACGGTAACGAAGAGTCTTACGAGCATGGCTATGAGCAAATCAATGGTAAATGTGACGAAGAAACCTCCGAGCGCAACAGCGAGTATGGTGCCGAAGCAGGAGCCGCGTATTATCAAGACGATGCATTTTCGAATCTGAAGAAGAATACTGGTCATAAGGCAATCTATAAATTCTTGGTTGTCGACTGAGTGACACTCCGGAGATTATTTTCAATACAAGAATCAAGCTGCACTGTTTATGACAGCAGTTGTGTCTACCTAATACCAATCGGTGTTCCGCCGGGGTGTAAAAGGTTATCAATACCCGCGGTAGTATACACCACGCTGGGTGTGCCACTAGGTGAAATTGACGTTTAAGAATGATGCAAAGCAGCATTTCAGGGTTCTTAACGAGTTTTATATAGATGCAGCCGCGTACGTCTTCAAAGCTTTCGAATTGTAAGGAGCTTTCCGTATGACATATGGTGGGGCTGCAAGCCGGTCCGTTTCGCCACATGCGCAGCTTAAGCAACAGCTCTCAACTATGACAGTCCCCTCCGGACTGAGACTAAGGATTACGTTTGACTTAACTGTATCGAGAAGCTGAGTGACCCGAATCGTGTTCGGTCGCCGTTCGGGCGGATCATCGACATCACCTGGATTGATACCCAACGTCCCCACGACGTGATCAAACGTTGCTAAGTGCAACTCTTTTCCAGGCTGTAGAATGGGTACTCTCTGAGGGTGAGGGTGCGCACATTTTGGGTATCGACTTCGAAACAAGCCAAGGATCGCGTTGAAGGGGTCGATGAGGCGACGGTGAGATGTAGACCGCAGCATCGTGAGAAGTCGGTACGAACGGTCTCCTGTCGAAATCAGAGCCGACTCTACTAAACACATACCATCGTCCCACTCCGTCAGATCTTCATCACTGGGCTCGTGGAGCTGGAAATTGCTCAATGCATCTAGACTTATGCCCGGCTCCAACTCAACTTCTGCTTCTTCACTGCTAATGCCACGTATTTGGCCTTCGCCGAATTCTGCTCTAAAGGCTCGACAAGCGGAAAGGTCAGACGAGAAATCTAGCCAGGCGGCAGCAATGACGAGTGAGCCACGCTGGTATGCTACAGTTGCCGATGAATCTTCCCCGGAACCGCTTCGTTCTGACGATGATGGTATCTTGTTGAAGCTGCCTCCTAGATACACCAGAGCCACCAGGCGAAACCATCGATCCCACTGCAAAGTCGAATACCTGATAATGTCCTCAAAAACTTCTCGGACTGCATCCCTCACAGCATTTGGATCCCATAATCCAGAGACGTCCCGTGCGCCAAAGGCTTCCGTAATACCGTGCGTAATGAGGAGAAGTAATTCGTGAAGTGCCGCTTCTCTTAGGCAGCCCAAGGAGCAAGACCCGAGGGGCTTGGCAGACTTGCAGGAACTGCATGTGCATCGTTGTTGTACCAAATCAAAAACGGAGCTTACCACAGGAAAGCACTCCAGAATTTGGGCAATAGACATTGGCGATGTCTGTTGCATTTCCTCTTCACTGTCATTTTCCTGATGCTCTTGTGGTGGTTCATAGACTGTGCTAAGATTACTACCTCCAATCTCTCCCCAATTCTTGTGTAGTATAGTGGGATATCCGGCCAGCATGTTTTCGAATGTATCTATCTTGTGGGTAGCGTCTGTTGAGCCTCCGACATCTTCTCGGCAGGCAACATTCTCTTGTGAAACAACGAAGACAGGGTTCTGTTCGCTGATGCAGATTCTTAACTGCAGAAGCCATAGCAGCATTGATTTCGCAGCGATTCTGAGCTGAGCGACTTCATTTCGGGACAGTATGCCTCTTTGCCAGTGAGCAAGCAAGTCGTTCTCGTAGAGCTTTTGCCGTGTGGAGGGTTTGGTTTCCTGATTAAAGCAATAGTTCTCGTTTATGATAGTGAAGTGTGTTCCTTCGACTATGGTCGCAACCTTGATGTTGCTTTTCTTGAAATCCCCACGTTGATTCGGACATACCGAACATTTGTTGTAGACAACCAAGATGACTCGCCATGGGTCGGTCCCAGACTGCTCCTCAAACACAACGGTTCCGTTCAGCGATATCTCGAGGACACCATGGAAATGTGTCAATAGCCACATAGCCAAATCACCCGGGAAAAGATCGCATGTGATTATCATGTCGCTCTGCGCTACTGATACAGCCTTGATTATAGCAGATAGTTGGGGCGCGTCCAATGGATGACTGCAGACTCCTTTCAATGCGTTCGGGAAAGCGGAACAGAGGTCGTGTCCAGCATTGACAACATTTAAAGCAATGCTGTCCACAAATTTGGTGACTACCGGCTTCAAGCGCACGCGGTAGTGACTTCTGTGGTATGAAACTCCTTTTGTATGGTCGCTTTGATCCATGGCCAAATTACACAGTACCTCCACGGCGTATGCCATGTCGTGATACATCATGCACACCGCCACGGTGGTCACGACGTAGATGAAGTTCGAATCGTTCAACATCCATCGTCCAATAGACGTTGAAAGCTTCAGTCTCAACCCAGCGACGCTAAGAACCTTCTCTTCTGATGACTGTACCTGATGTTTTATGTCCAGCCCTCTGCAGTTCGGAAATGCTTGAGCTCTCAAGGCCTCAATGCAATATTGATATTCCTGCTTATCAATTCTTTCACGACCAAGCCATTCCAAAATTTCCTCAGCCGCGTTACGTATACTGGTCTCTTTGTTGAGTATATCGACGATTGCGCGGCTGAGGTCGACCGTGCGCGCGACGACGTCCATTTTTTGGATTGCGGTTGTGGGCTGTGGGATGAAAGGTTTGAAAGCAACAGCCGTAAGATTTCATATAGCAATGACGGCACGCAGCAGGTACTGAGATAGATTGATGTGTCCTATTATTTATACTTGTATGACAACTGAAGCCTGATGGAGATGATTGCGGAGTTGAAGGTGGGGGCTGCTTATTTCTTTTGGGTGCACTTTGCTTGTTTCGAAGATGATTGGCGGGCACTGTCTCAATGCATGTTTGTATGTACCTAGCTGAAAGGATTTCCTCGGTAGAGGAGCCTCGCCACGAAGGGGGCAAGGAAGAACCGATTCCATCTTAGACGCCTATCGTGCTTGTTCGTTCCCGATCTAGCCATATGAAATATCGATAATCATAACGCAATGGCCCCAGCAAAACATGTCCTCCTACTTTATAACTGTTTTTGTCCCTGGTGCGAATCAGGAGGACTACTTGGGGTCGGTCTGTTAGTGGGTTGCACGCTCACATCCCATCGGATGTGATATTGCTGAGACCTTTCCTTTATGCTCGGATCATTCTGTGATCGCGACGACCAGCAGACTTGACAGTACGCTGGTGAGATGCGCCGCCACAGAGGGCAGCAAACTGCTGCTGTTGAAGATCACAAACTAGTCGGCGTCGCCAATCTTTGACACTCACGCGGCAGATCAAAGCGGCGCGCAAAGAACATCTCGGTCATGTCATCGCCAATGGGTGTTCGAGCCTAATTGTTGTTTATTGCAGGGTACGGAAATCGATTTGGCGCAGCTGCACAAATTTTTGAAATAAACATCGCCGGGCTCTCTGTGTTGCTGTCCCAAGCAATGCGCTCGCTCGGGGAAAAGCAATCGTCTTGGCACTTTCTTTGAATGTTGGACTGCTTGCCGAAATGGCAATGAGGCCTCAGATTTACTTCATTGTATACAAAAGCCTGTAAAGGTGCAATGGCCTGCAAAATCCTAAGACTAAGGTATTATGGCCTCTAGAGCATCCTAATTTGTTAGAGGGAATGAGAGAAACTGTGAGGCTTTCCGGAGAGGTACAGCCAACAAATAATCAGAATGCCAGAATTTCTTTTAATATACAGATCTGTAGTGTTGGTGAAAAACGCTTGCTAGGTCCACTTGGCTGTGTGGGTTACACGTTTCCATGCCACAAGATGTGGCGTAGCTGGTCCTTTCTCGCCAGGTAGATATGTCTTTGGAGCGCTGGGTTATTAGTGCTCAGACTGTCACCACTGGGGCATCCCCGGTGTTGTATGTTTTTGCATTTTTGTGATTATGTCTATACTAGTCTCTTCATATAATGTGTCAATGCCGTCACATTTTAGCAGGATTTTCAACTCGATGAATCAAGTTTAGTCGTATCGCAGTACAGAGAGGATTCTTCGGCGTAAGGATATACATCTGCAGCTGACAGACCACAAGTTGAAGGTGGCTGACGGGCAAATCTGGTTCCCAGCTCGTGCTTGGTCAGAGAATCAAGCTGCATACTGGTCTACTAACCTTAGTAAGATGTGGCAAGTGCTTTATATGTATCTTTATAAGCCTTTGCCCATGAACGAATCCCTGCCTAACAAAGTGTACTTTTGGGTTGCGCGGAGTGTTTATTCTTTACTAACCTAGGTTAGGTAACTTACAAGAGAGCTTGTCCTGAAAGTCCGCTTACTTAGTCTAGAAGCTAGCGCGACGGAAGTAAACCGCCGCCGGCCATGGCAGCGCGTCGTGAAAACAGGTAACGGTAACAAGGGGACTTATGTTGCCATTGGCTGAGTTTTTGGTTGGCGTGTTCAGTATTTATCTATCATTGGCATAGCGGTGAAGCTCTAGTTCTCAGTCTTCGCAACATCGATCATGCAGAGTAGTTTGCTGACACGAAAGAAGTTTGAGAAAGGGCGCCATTAAGATGTCGGTTCCAGTTCCAGGTCACTGGGTCCACTAACCATCGGACGCGTCGGGAGCGTGATCCCTGTCCATGGACCTGCCAGAAACGGATTACCAATCTTTCCGATGACGATGGAGATACGTTTTTGTTAGGAACTGAATGGTGGACAACATTAATATTGGGGTCGTATCTCTATCTGATTCAATCTGTCTATCCTATAGGGGCTGTTCGGTGTCATTAACGTCATTAAGAGACTTTGGGGTTGTACTCGTAACCGATTGATTGAACGCCTAGATAACTGTAGGCCGTTGAACTGGACCCGTCTCGGTTCCGAGCGCGGCTACGCTGTGTCGTTATCAGAGGGTGTCATCGCAACTGAACTGCACTTCTGTAGGCAGATTCACAAGAGCGCCAACATGCCGGATCACTTGGATGGCGACGATGCGTCGTCACGAGATTACACAACGGTCTCTGAAGCGACGCCGCTATTGCGGTCTGATACAAGTTCGCAGACAAGTCGGAGCAGCTCCCTGTCAGGTGCAAGCAGACAACATAATGCACTGCCGCTGAAAGCCGCCCCAGACCTCGATGAACCGCATGTCAAAGTCAGCCGTAATAGGGCAATTGCTATCATGGTCAGCGTGTATATCCTCATTTTCCTGCAAGGTATTGTCTGCAAATACAAATTCTTTCGGTCGACAGGACGCTAACATAAGCACAGCGTGCAACATGTCAGGCATGACTATGGCGCAAAGCACCATAGCAGAAGAGCTCGATGCTTATGAGTCGGCTACCTGGTTCACTTCGTCGTATTTGATTGCCATGTCGTCGTTTGGTCCCCTAGCAGGTCGCCTGGCAGCTATCTTCTCCCCACGGCTCATCATACTGGTTACCTCGGTTTTCTTCGTGCTTGGCGGACTTGTTTCGGCCCAAGCGCAGAGTTTGTCGGTATTTATTCTTGGGAGAGTGCTCACGGGCACGGGAGGTGCTGGCATCTTTGTTACCGCGATGATCTTGGTCCTTGAGTTAACGAATAAGAGGAAGAGAGGCCTGTTTGTTGGGCTGGTCAACACAGCCTTCACAACAGGCATCAGTTTAGGAGCGGTCTTCTTCGGTGGGTTGATACCAATCACCGGCTGGGTGAGTTGGACTGTATAACGAGGAGAGTGCGTTGAACAATAGCTAACGTTTAGTACAGAGGTTTCTGTTTTGGGTTCAAACCCCGCTCGCCGCCATGGCAGGCCTTGGAGTCTATTTGAGTTTGCCCAAATCATTTGAACCTGGCAAGGAAGGGAAATATATTTCAACGTCTGACAAGCTGAAGAAAATCGATTATCTCGGTGCCGTCCTGCTGGTAAGTATAGTATACCAATGCTTGCTGCTTCTAAGGTGCTAACAATAATTTCAGACTGGCGCACTGATAACCTTCCTATATGGTCTCTCCAACACAATCCAGCTTGTCCCGATCGTCATATCGGCTGGCATGCTTATCGCATTTGTGCTGGTTGAATATTTTGTGGCCGCAGACCCGATTATTCCCATTGTGGTCCTGCAAAGTCGAGGTGCATTGCTCTCCTGTCTCTCACAGTTGGGTTTCATGGCGGCGCGATGGACAATCCTGTTTTACGCTCCCATCACTGCTCTGGCCGTCTTTGGATTCAGCCCAGCCACGAGTGGTAGCATGCTGATCCCCACCAATATTGGATTCGGAGTAGGCGGCCTCATCGTTGGCTGGCTTCATGTTAAGCGCGCCGGAAGCTTCTGGCTGCCCTGTTTGGTGTCGTTGGTGCTTTTTGGTTTATCACTGTTTGCCTTGAGCTTTACCAGCAGCCCGAGTGTACCGACGTGGGTCTTCGTGGGAACCATTTTTGTTAACGGTCTATGCACCGGTGCCGCACTGAATTACACTTTAGCGCACATGTTGCACCTCACGCCCAGCAACACGCACTATATCGCCACAAGTTTGCTGGGCACTTTCCGGGGCTTTGCTGGATCTTTCGGAAGTGCCATTGGGGGTGGTATCTTTGCACGAACATTGCGCGATGGGTTGGAGAGGGGCTTCAAAACACTAGACAACACGGAGCATCTGTCTTTCGATCGGCAACAGCTCATCAAAAGACTCCTTGGGAGTCCAGCTCTAGTCCACGGCGGCGGCCTCGGAGCAATTGAACAACAGGTGGCTGTTCAGGGTTATGTGGCCGGTATAAAGGTCCTCTTTCAATCTGCAGTCATTCTGGCTGCAATAGTCTTTTTCCTGCAGGCTGCGACCGGTTGGAAAGGCCCAACTGACCAGGAAGACAATGAGGAGGACGTTAGGGAAGATTTAGCTGAGGCTGATCCCGAGTATGAGGCTTAAAGATCTAGCACCAAGATAATGTGGCTTAGATATTCGAGACAGAATCAAATCAAATCTCTTCGTCGGGAACGACTGGTCTTGGCCTGCCCCAACTGTGCAGCGCAATTTGAAGCTTCTGCCCCGCGGTTTACACCTTTCATTGTAGACTCATCAACCATCGATTTAGCTATTCTCCGTCTTCCATCTTTCTTAACAATTTTTTTTAAATTTTTTTTAGCTCTTGCCTTCCGCAATACCACCTTCTAGTCTCCACGGAACACTAGAGGACTTGTCCGCGTCATCCCACTCAGTTGCCCCGAAGTGCTTAGTGCTGCGCACCACTCCTTCATCATTCCACGAGCCGTTATTCGAGATCAGTCACTTGGCTTATTGGGCGCATCCTCCTCTGGTAGGCGATCAGACGAGTCGTCGGCGAAGATTTTAAGGACTAGTACTGCAAAAGTCGTTTGGTCTGAGGACGACAAGGAACGAGAAGGGCACCCAACGTGCAAATCAGACGATTAGTGGTGTCCACGTGGGTACTGCGAGTCCGAATACTGCGAATAGAATTCTCAACCGGGCCACAACTGCGCGCCAGTAGAAGGAAAGGCGATTAGGACGCAATTAGTGACTCCGGGAATGGCGCGTGGTAGGAGGTTGGTATTCGACTACATTCAGAAAGATGGTGGAGATAGTTAATAGAAACTGCGCTCATGTAATATGGCAATAGTGCTCATTGGCTAAATGGGCGGTACCGTGCGGGGGTTCGCTAACAACATGAGCTTCGCCGCACGAGTTCTGCCTCGTCGGGGAACGGAAGGCGCAATGGTTTGTAGGTTCGTGGAGTGCAGAAAGACATGATACATTTGCAGCAAAGTGAACGCACGCTATCTTGCATACCTTCTATACCGCGCACAACACCAGTATTGACAGTTTTCCTGTTCATTCCAGAGCAGCCTTGACGTAAAGTAGCTCGATCCGCGCTAGCAGAGTTCCACCACCCCAACCGACAATGCGTCTCCTCCATTTTCGAAATGGTGAACTAAACCTTACCAGCGACTATATCCACGATCTTCCACCTTACGCAATCTTGTCTCACACTTGGGGAATCGATGGCGATGAAGTCACTTTCCAAGACTTGGTAAACAATACTGGGGGTGACAAGCCCGGTTACCGGAAGATCTTATTCTGCGGGGAACAAGCCAAATGCGATGGCCTAGAATACTTTTGGGTGGACACCTGCTGCATCGACGGGGGAAGCTCTGTCGAGCTAACAGAGGCCATCAATTCTATGTTTCGATGGTATCAAAATGCGGCGTACTGTTATGTCTACCTGTCAGATGTTTCGACAGGATCTGACCAAGCTTTGGACTCATGGGAAACTCAGTTTTGGCAGAGCAGATGGTTCACCAGAATCTGGACGCTTCAGGATCTTATTGCACCACAGACTGTGAGATTCTTCTCGGTAGAAGGCTATCTTCTTGGTGATAAACAGTCTCTGGAGCAATTAATCCATGATATCACCGGTCTCCCGACCCGTATCCTCCGAGGATGTCAGCTATCTGAGTTCAGCATTGCGGAGCGATGTTCATGGGCCAAAAATCGACGGGCATCGCGTCCGGAGGATAAAGCTTACTGTTTACTTGGTATACTCGGAATCTCTATGGTGCTGCAATATGGCGAAGGCGAAGAGGGAGCATTTCGAACGCTCAGAAGAGAGATCATGTTTCATTATAATGTAGATCTGGGTAAGTGCTAAAATCTTCAGATCTTTCTCAAGACTTGTAGATCCCTTGCTACGCCCAAAATCTCGTTAACTATAATTTAGGAAGGAATTTCTATATTCCTGAAGACATAGTCGAATGGTCAGACTCTTATGCTGCCAAAGCTCCGGAGAGAGCTGTAGATACAGAGAGTGAATTCTCCGCGCGTGCAGACGTTGAAAGCATATTCTCGGATAGCGGCTCATCAATCTCCTCGAAATCCTCAATTGAACTAAACCCTGTCCGAGTTAGTGGAATTAGAGAGATTGCACGCGTGCTCCTAAGACGCGAGGAGTTCAAGTCTCTATGTACTGCTGCTATTACCGATATCTCTCCAGCAAAGGGTCGCGCTCATATTCGAGGTTTTCTAAAGACCTACGGACAACAACTAGACGTGGAGGCACACAGTCCGCTACAATACCAAGCAGCCAGATTTGTTCAAGAAGTAGCTGGTCGAATTGCTGATGAATTGAAGTGGTCCATCACGGGTTTTGAGGAGGAAAGGTCTCCAAAATCTACGGTCGAGGAGAAGCCGAACCTGGAAAGTTGGCTCTCAAATATTGAGCATGGGTGGAACAATGACCCAGATCCATCTCAGACCGATAACATCGATTTAAGTGGCGATGAATCAGACGACAATCCGAATACCGATGCGACATTTCCAAATATTGACGCAATTAGAGAATTCCTTCTCTCGAGTGATGCGTTCGGGGCTCTTCTTCACGCACTCGATAGCTGGATGGACATAAAGAAGCGAAAAAGGACAAATCCGGCGCCGCACAGCGAGAGATCAAGAGGTTTCAACGATGCAGTTCCACTCAGTGATTCACCCTCACAGTGGGCCTCTGGCAAAGTTAAGGAGTCATCAACACATGACTCCCTTACAGACTCAAATCAAAACTCTGTAGGCAGATCAGAGAGTACACAGTCTCTCATTACGGGGGGTTTTTTTTTCTGGGGCGTTTCATTCTTTTTCTATGATTTTTTTAGAGCTATTCTTGCCTCAAATCCCAGCTGGATTTGAGAGAATCCGATGGCGTTGTGTAAGTATATTGGCAATACTGAGTACTTGAAAAAAGCTTGTCATTGACATATAGCAGTCGTGTAACACAATACTCTGGGGGGATTTTCCAGTCGACGATTCAAATGCCCTGACTAAACTGAAGGAGGATTTGGTTGAAAATCCGAAAGCTGGTTCCATTAATGATACACCAAATCGACAGCTTCCCAGCCTCTCTGATGGACGACTTTCACGAAGTAATGGGAGGTCCACTCATCTAGGTACCACTTTGCAGAGAGTGACAACGTCAACCAACGCACCCAGCTCCTCTTCAAATAATGGACAGAGCAGCAATCGCTTGGGTGTAGCTTCAGGATCAAGCTCTTTATCAGATATAACAGAGAAGCATTTATCGAGCTTGACTGAAGTCACTGTCGATAAGTGCAACCCGATATATTTCGAAGTGTGTACTAATATTGAAAACTCTGCCGTTAAGCATTTCGAACTTGACATTACTCGGACGGCAACCGATGGTGAGTTATTCGAAAAGATTTGGGATGTATACAACCAGAACCGTGGGTTTGGTTTGAGGCGACTATTTCTTCGACCTCGTGACGTGCATTTTGTTCTGGTAAGAACTCATTTTGTCATGACTCGTGCCACCACTGACACGTTTTCTTAGTTCTCAGTCAGTACTAGGCGAGTAGCCCAATATAGTGCTGGCATTCACAAGAAGCCCAAAGAATATCCACCCAACGCAGAGCTCCAAGAACGGCGGTACCACTACCAAACCCCGAAAATTATAATGCCGCCCCACGTCTTCATACATTTCTTACATAGAGCGAGATGGAACGTGTGGGGTGATCACGCGGATAATACTTGGCTGAAGCGGTTACCGAAGAAGCTAAATGAGAGTTTACTCGCGGCACAAGCTATTGATGCAGGTCCAGATCTCATATTTGGGTGGGGTGTACACATTTTGGATGGGCCGAATCATGCCGTTCTAGGGCTACTCTTGTCATTTGGGCTGATAGTCACCTTTGTGAATTCATGCCTGGTTATGGGAATTGCAAAGACACAAGAGCAAGCTTTTGGAGTTGGGCAATATTTGATTGCAATAATTGTCGCATTGTTCTCTGCTGTCTATTTTAAGTTACAGGATCAGTGAGCACATATTCTCAGCTTTGTGCAAGAAAGGAATTAGACAATATAGAACTTTTTGACCTATGAAAGTTGTGGGAGAGGATATTGGAACCTCCTTCATAATGAAAATCACGACGACCTAAAAGCAGATCCATGCATGAATACATAAGATGGAGCTTGAAGTATAATGATAGGAATGAACTACGAAGCATGATCATGTAGAAAGGTATTTGGGTATTACTATATCGACATTTGTATAGGAGTATCGCAAGACCACAAACGAAACTAATCTCTAATCATAAACCTTAACCAACGCGGCGTTCATTATGAATACCTAAAACATAGAATTTCCAACCATTAATAGTACTATTGGAGATGACATGATTAGAAGTTATATTATAACAGAAAATTAGCGCCCACGCCGTATCGTCTTGCAGATAATAAGCTCCCTCAGCTGACTTTGCAGTTGCGAGGATGTAAGATGATTGCAAGCGAATTTTACCTCAAACTGACCGCCCACCTGAGGACAGCGGCAGAGTAAAAGGCACGATGCCTAAAAGCAGCCTGGTCTTGGAGCGAATACCTGAATTCTACTAAAGTGGACTTTGTCCGGATCTAGAAAAATCTACTATTGTAGTAATAGTTATTATATAACCTAGAAGAATACCCCTCGACTTATCAAAATTATCGTCTGGTGATAAGTCCTCTATTGTGTACTCCTATTTAAGAGGTATGGCTATCCAAGCCGTTAAAAACGCCCGTGGCTGACTCTATAAAGAAACGTTAAAGCTGCTTGTTCCGCTTTAGAACTAACTTACCTGATATTCGAATACATTGTGAATAAATTGTCACTGGGTTGGAACTATTAAGTGGCTCTATGGAAAATGCCATGCAACTAATGAAATATGGGTGCTTGGGGCGTCTAGCCCAGATAAAGCTGCTAGAAGAGGCTTGCGCTTTCGGACGTATATTAACAATTTGGATTCTGATCTGTCTAATGACTGCTTAGATGACTTATATAGCTATCGCCGCTTAAGTACTAGTGCTCTAATGTATGCGTTTCAAATTATACACGAGTTTTAATAGTGGTTCTAGTGCTTAGCTATATATATGTTGACAAGAACCACTCCTTCCAACCAATCAGCGCCTCCTTGGCATAGTGGTATTGCGTCGCACTTGTAACCCTTCTGCGACATGCGAAAGTCGGCGGTTCAATTCCGCCAGGTGGCATCGATTTGTTTTTGTCTTTTGGACAATCTTTCTATACTTATGATGATCTAGTGCACAGCAAGAGCGCCGTTTGACGTTTGAAGTTGGCTTTACTCCATGCTTAAAACCTTCGCGATTCAGGAGCGCAAGGTTTGCACTCTAAGCATAAAGCTCCGATCGGTGCTAGGAGATCGTTTTGGTAAACATCTTACATAGTATAAAAAATGTTCAGCTTAGCTCTTAGGAGTCTTACAAGCCACGTCCCAGGTGTCATTCGAAAGCCCTAACCAGCTTATTAATAAACATAAGCCTTTCCTAGCATTTTACGACCGTTTTAAGTTGCGCGATAAGGTGCAAGGTTCGTTCTTTTCTATGTTCCTGTTACAATACCCGCACTCGGGCTGTGCATTCTGCCAGCTATAGAGAGATCTTACAATCTCAACCTAGAATAGTATCTAGTCAAGACTTATTACAAACCCAAATCAACTTTACAGTTCGTGACGTTGTAGGCTTGTTGTCTCGCACCACTATTGTCAATTCTAACAATCTCTTACTATTCGCACCTATACTCTTATAGTTCCTCGATGTAGTGGAGAGTTTCCCCTGTTATAATATGAAGAAGACTATTCTATAACCTCAAATTCTACTCCGATTCGTAATATATAGCTTTTATATATATTTTTAATATTGTGAATATAATCTTGATTTAGTGCTTTATTATATATACTTAATTGGGATTTTACATTATGATTATTATTACAAACTGCTACGAAACAAATCACATACGACCATAGCTCTTAGAAAACTCGGCATCCCGTCCGCTCTGCCCTAGATAAACTGAGAAGCGCTGGATTAGTACTCAGGTGGGTGACCACTGCGGAATCCCCGGTGTTGTATGTTTTTTTTCCCAGTCGATATTCTCCTAGGCTCAGCGGCGTTTGCTGCTCAACAGCCAGCGTCTCTCAACAGTGCCAATAATTACACCTGGTGGTCGAACCCAAGCGACTTGTGTGCAACTGAACCAAAGAACGTACGGTGTGATCGAACCATTCCAAGAAGGAATGGAATCACCCTTTCTCTCTCTTCCTCTCTCTCTCCCTGTCTGTCTGTCTCTTTTTATTTTCTCACAGCAGACTTTGATACGGTGTCATAAGGTAATATTGTTACTGTGCCCTTTCCTTGGGAAGTACTTACCAGGCTGGCTTCTGGATTCATGATTGGTTCAGCCTGTGGTCCAGCCCTCGTGGAGAAGCCATTCTTGTCCTGCTGTATTAGGCGCGTGGCCAATTCTGTGGACTCGGCGGAGTATTTGCACCTCTCCGGGATGGCCGCGCCGTAGATGTAAAAGAGGAAAGGAAACGGTACGCATGCAAGGGCCAGGAATGCTGGAACAGAGGACGCCCAGTGGATGCCGAGGCTGTTGTACATGTATGTGGTAAAGAGAGGGAAGGCTGCGCCAGTAAGTGAACGGAGTACTGAGTTAGCGGCCAAGACGCTAGCGGCGAATACAGTATAGGAATTTATGAGGTAATTCATAATGCTTAAAAAGACCAGAACCATGCCGAAGCCAAAGGGCACACCGGCTGCGACGCTGGCCATATAGTGCACGGAAGGGCTATTAGTCCAAGCAAACCAGAATAAACCAACTGGCAAACATACATATACAACCATTCGGAAGAAGACAAATTTCTGGTGGTGCGATACCTCCTTTTTGTTCTTGGAGTTTCTTGTAATGGTTATTGGAGAATACGGTGTATATAATGGAAATTAGCATGCCCACCATAATGCCAAGAAAAGGAAGGGCACCAACACCCTGGCCCCAACCACGGCCTCGTTGATAAACAATCGGAAAGGCCGCAAACAACATATATAGTGTACCATAAATAATGGCTACATAGATGCTGAGGACACTAACGATGGGCTCCTTGAATAGTAGGGTCCAAGGACGTGAAAGTACTACTTTCATAGACTCAACTAGCGTTATCGTTCCTCAGTCCTGGTCGATCATGCTTAAATAGCGCTTGCCTGTCATTATAGAGAGATTTGCGGCGCGACGGCGGAGTAATATCGGCGCGTACGTTTCAGGCACAGTCAGACTTCCTATTATCCATACTATGCTAGAAAACGCTGCGAGCAAGCCCATAATCCAGCGCCAACCGGCAGCCGCACCGAGGAACCCACCGGCATTATGACCAATAACAGGACCAAGGAAGGGAGCAGCTGCAAAAATAACAGTTGCAAGGCCACGCTCTGATGCAGGAAACATGTCGGCGATGACGCCGCCAGCGTTGGTCAGAGGAGAGGAACCGAAGGTACCAGCTAGAAAACGGAGTAGTAGAAGCGACTGGATATTCTGGTCAGCCGCGGTCCCGCAGTGAGAGCAGTTAGCGCAGCGTTGGTGACAAAAAATAGTACTTGACGACGGAATAGCTCAGTCAGAGGTGCCCATAACAAAGAGCTAACTGCAAATCCAACCACGAATAGCGAGACACCTAAAATAGCGACTTCCCCGCTGACGTGGAATTCCGCGATGATCTGAGTAACTCCACCGGAATATACTGTAGACACAAGGGCGATAGCTAAGGTGGTCATGGATACGGCAAATGTGACGGACCACATCTTGACAGTCGAAAAGTTCTTCGGGTTGCGTGGGTCGTCTGGAATCCAATGTACGATATATTGGTCGTCTCCCGTGCCAGAGCCCGGATAGCAGTAATTGATGACATTGTGAGTGGTGCCCGCCTGACTATATACCAGGCGCCAATGTGGTATTTTGGTTAAAGGAACACCTTCTAAGCGATCTAATCTTACCGCAGATGCCATCTGGCCACTTCCGTATCTAGTGAGGGAGGCAAAGGTGAGCAAAAAATAAGAGACAAGCGTGCTCATATAGAGTATGGCCGGCCAGATTCCGTGAACACAGTCTCGGCTTCGGGGTCTAAATCCTGCCCGAATTCAAGCACTTAAGCATCAACGAAACGATATGCAGAATTAAGCTTTTGGTGTGTCAGCAATTGTATCCAAAACCCCATCAAAAAACTCTACCAACTTCGCATATCTAGCAGAAATTGCGTGTGCTTCTTCTAACTATTAAAAAACACGAGGTTAATATAAACAACATGTGGATTAAAAGTTTCTCTTTTCTCAAAGCTTGTACCGGCGCGACAGCCGTTCTCAACTTTTAACATGACAAGGACTTGAGAATGATGCCTACTTTGGTCGATGAATCCACGGATTTTATGAATAGTCGCTGTTAATAAATTTGAAAAAGAAAAAGAAAAACCAGCGTAAACTAAGTCACCCGGATCTTTCAAGGCTTCCCTTTGGTTCTTTTAGAGGTCTTTAGGTAATATAGTTATCGAACTTGAAGTACCTAATGTGCCTTCATAGTACACAAATTATAGCTCCTAACTAACCACTGGTCAATCAAATGCCACCTGTAGCTCAAGCCATTCATTGTCCCACTTTTAACAATCAAAGCTAATTGGCACTCGCCATAGCCATTATGGAAACATACTTAGTGCGGAGATTTATTACCGCTGATACAGGGTTTTCTTCCACTTATTCAGCCAATCGGGGGTTGTGGCAGATGCTGGTGTCCGAGTCCGCTTATTTAGCACAACTACGCGTCCGATACCTTGCTTTAGCAACATACGCGTATAGCACTATTGACACTGCACGGCGCACCCATTTCAAGCGACCAGATTTAGGGGTCCTGTGGTCTCATCACTGCTCACAATGTCCTACTTATCTTACTCGGAAAGTAAGTTGATGCCGGACGGGGCTTTTCGGATATCCTCAGGCGCCCGGATTGGATTATTAGTATTTAGGCATCTGAGTTATCTAATTCAAAAGGCGCGCTGGGAGTAACTCAAGAATATAAAAGCCTCGTCAACCGACTACAGAACACCAATTTCTCTGCTTAGAACGCAAACCAAGCAAGATGGATGCCAGCACAACCTTAGCGGTAGACCCTCAGACTGCCAACGTCATTGTCGACCATGTTCTTCGTTATGCTCCCACCGGAATCAATGTCAAAATCATCGGAGCCGGTGTTGGTGGTCTCCTTAGTGCACTCGAATGCTGGAGAAAGGGCCACGATGTTGAAGTACTAGAAAGAGCACCTGCTCTGTCACACATAGGTTAGCAGCACCCTGAGCGGTGTATCGTGTTAAAAACTAATAGTTGTCGTGATAGGTGACACCATAACCCCTGGCCCTTCAGGCATCGTAGTATTTAAGCACTATCCTACGATGCTCGAAGAGTATACCAAGCTTTCTGTCAAAGCTAAGCTCTATGCTTATAGCCTAGAGGGACAAGCCGTCGGACGTCCGCAAGAGTTTGAATGGAACCAACAAGATGTTGCGGAACACGTTGCCCACCCTATCCACGTGCCTATGGCCATTAGTCGATCTGACCTCGTGGAAATTCTTTACGACCAGTGTCAGAGGCTGGGGATTCCCGTTCGTTGGGGGGTCTCTATCAAAGATTACGAAGAAGACTCGCATCTGCAAGCTGGTATCGCCGTTTCTGGGGATGAGCGCTTTAGCGCTGACGTTGTCGTTGCTGCAGACGGTCTTGGTTCCAAGTCCCATAAGCTCATCCTTGGTGAGAATGTTCGTGCTGTGCCTACTGGATATACGATTTACCGTGCTGCTCTTTGGACGAGAGATTTGAAAAATGCGCCTCTACTACAAGAAGCTGTACGTGATGGACAAGCGGCTGTCACCCGATTTTACCTGGGTCACAATATCCATATTGTCTTCGTCATTTCAACCCGCTTTATTGCATTGAATATCACTCTACCTGATGTGAGTACTTTCCCCTCCAACCTATGTACCGGGTGATTTCTGATCGACCTAAATAAAGGTTGACCAAGGTCCGATTGTTGAATCATGGTCGTCTACCATAACGAGGGAAGAAATGATGGCTCGTATACCCAACATTGAGTCGCTAGATCCTTATATTGTGGAGGCCATCCGTTGCTTCCCCCAAAACAGTATTGTGGCATGGCGACTGTGCATGAGAGATCCTCAACGAACATGGACTTCCCAGGCTGGTCACGTTGTTCAAGTCGGCGACAGCGCCCATAGTTATGTCCCTACTTCTGGAAGTGGCGGCACCATGGCAATGGAAGATGCAATTACGTTGGCAGAATGTCTAAGACTGGCAGGTCGCGACCACGTAGGAATCGCAACAAAGACCTACCAATTACTTCGGTAGGTATATCGAGATAAGAAATGACCTCGGCTGACTCGCGCGATACAGGCAACCACGCACGCAACTTACTCAGCTCATGGGCCTTAGAAATCGAGCGGTATGGCACACTGCCTCGGCCTTGCAAGCAATGGAATTGCGAAAATTAACAGTCTTTGGGAAATGGGTGTGGATTCACGATGCCGAGAAGTACGCCAAACTCAATTTCCACAAAGCTCGTGCTCACTTGGAAACTGGTGCCGAATTCCAGAATACAAACCTTCCTCCTGGTTATAGGTATGAACCCTGGACAATTCAGAAAGAGGTAGAAAGGGAAAAGAATGGTGTCAAGTCTGATTTAACATCCAATGGCGATTGGAGCCTTGTTTAGACTTGAATGTAGTTGCGCTCTGCGGAGGTATCCTTTTCAGTGCAAGGATCCCCTAGCCCTAAGGCTGCCGACCACTATATAACAGCTCCGTCCGTCTTGTCATCCGTCATTTTAGTTAGTTATTTTCAGTCTTGTTGTCAATCGACTCATTCGTCGCCACACCTTACCAGCTTTGCTGTATATTCGTAGCTACTTCCTAGCTGCTTCGCCTATCCGTTTTCATCGTTTGTAATCCGTCGCAATTCAGAAAACTCTCGTCTGGGTGTTTTATGGTTATCGTCGTTATTATTTTCTTTTATGTGCTTATAATATAATATTAAGTGTTATGAATGCAGGCCAGACAAGGCGGCCTAAAGCAGTCAGCGGCAGCTGGGCCCAGCGGGGACAGCTGCAAACGCCAAACGTTACAAACCTGAACTGAGGAGAAGCCAGGAGTCCACAATAAGTACCATTGACGGAAAAGGATGACAGCTGGCAATGGGAGCAAGCTCGAGATTCTGCAGTATTGGGCGCACTATTTGCAGTATGGATATCATGTTTCCCCGACTTATCTTGGCTTTGCTGTCATGATTTTGCATTCGTAGACGAGCCACTACTTGGTTACAGAAGGCCATTATGCGGGTTACAAGCATATTGCACAGCCAGTGTTTCACGCAAAGACGTTACTACGTCTAGCTATCTCTTTCTGCTCAGTGTTCCTTGGCTTCCCCTCCTTGCACTCGGCAACCATCAAAATCAACGTTGCGACCTCTTACCCGCAGATCTTGATCTGGGCCGCAAAAAAGCTTAACGTGCTTCTAACGTACAAATATATATACACAGCTGTTATGTTCATCGGTAGCCTGCTAACCATGCACGACTCTGGCGTCTGGTATGCTCTACACTTCTTTATAGGCTGCTAGGCGGGGCTGTGTCTATTAGAGACATGGGTGGCGCAAGAGATGTTTATCAAAAACAGAGGACAAGGTTTGTCCAAACCATCTAGCTGGTATGGCGGCTGAAAGATGGCGTAGTGAACGTCTTAAAATGCAACTGGTTTTGTGAATCGGTGCGAATCAAGAATATTACAAAAGCGGTTTGAAGAGGAAGAACTGGCATCAGATGGAGATGTGCACAACCGTTCTGGTGGAGCGAAAACGAAATAATCAATTGAAAAGCTTTAGCAGAGTTAAACCTGCCAGGGGCCGGTTCCAAGGGACTACATATACATGCGTGGATTCAGTGTAGTGTTTGCGAGGCCTAGACATTTATTGGGTGGCATTAAAGCGACGCACAATGATACGGGTTACAGATTTCTTTGTCTGTATATTAACTGTATGATGGGAGGGTCACAGCAGCTTCTCGTGAATCCCTAGACATAATCAGTCTCGTGATCCTACATATCAAGCAATGATCGTACATCTGACCCGCTTCAAGAAGTATCACAGTTACTACAGAAAAGAATTGCTAAATAGTTGAATGTGGACTGACTTTCTAAGAAGTGTTCTTACCATTTTGGTCTTCGGATAGACGATTTGCGACTACCAGGCCCCCTAGTCCGGCGCCAACAATTATGTAATCGTATGTTAAGAGCAATTAGAAGTAGACGAGTTAGAGTCAAGAACCAAACTACTCGAAGACGATATTATACACAAAAAAGCAAAGTGAGACTATGGAATAATTGGGAACATGCCCCTCCAATGGAGGATGGCTTTAATTTTCCGACTCTTGCAAAGCCTTGTAATCCATATTAAGGCGTTGCAATGACGGCTACTTGCTAACCTAGAATGAAAGGTATCCAACGTGTTAAGCATTATATCAGGTTGGCTAGAGGCAATCCGCCTAGGCACAAGTAGGGCTAAGACTTAGCCCCAAGGATCGCCCAATTTCAATACAGCACGACACATACTTGGTTCTAGACACGACCTATCCTTCTAATACTCAAACGGTGATGGGCGTCATGACTCTATAAGGTCATGATACTGATCAAGTGTGTGTATATTAGTCCTCAGTAGAGTGTTGTTCAGTGGCGTGGTTCCTTAGCTATTCTGAGGGATCCCTAAAGGCTATCTATCCAGGGTGGACTGTGCACCTCAGGCATCTATCTAATTAGTAGCACCAGGCAACCATCAAACGGCCCTTAGGATACCTTAGTCGGGACAGCGACGGGTCAGCCTCTGCTTTTAAGGTTAGTCGTTTAGACGACAATTAATAGGCTTTAGTGTGGCAGACCGAGATCTAGCTATACTATGTCTATGAGGATCTACTATGGTAAGCGCCTCAGCCTACAACCTAGAGCCTTGGAACGTACAGTAGTCTTCTGACAGTTTAGGTTAGTGGATCGTTTCGACTAGTTCAAGGGATCCCACTTTCAGCCGCTAAAGATCCCTATTCCAGGCACTGTTGAACCGACGACTATAATTCTTGAACAAGCGTTGGCGAGCTGGTTCACCAGATCCTAAATATAGGAGGTATAGAGGCCGAAATTAAGAGCTTCTAAACTAGTTAAATATGGTGAAACTTGTAAAATATAATATTATATAGTCTTAATCGTTATAAGACCGTATCTTTAAGGGCGCTTTACATGCTTTATTTATATTAATATAATTAATAATTATTAAATATTTTAAATTACTTTACTTTAATGTAACGACCTGGCCAAGGTGCCAGCCTAGCGCTTGAGCAGCGTGCGAAGTACGCCCGTGCGTAGTCGGTGTAAAACCCCCGCTTCGCAACTAGCGATAGAGACATTCCTTTTCTCCTCCTTAGAATAAGTCTCTGAATATAATCGTTACGCCTAGGAGCTTATCATCTGGTGATATTATCGTAACTGTTACATAACCTTAGTTTATTATATAGTAATATTAATGTCTTATTATAATGTAAACAATCAGTCATGTTCTTCTTAAGTAAAAAGTCCGAAGATTTCTTCTTCAAACCCCCTGAGTTTTTACTACCGGAAGTAATTTGTATCCGAGCTATAAGCAGGTCGGATCTAAAGTGTGCCCGGTACATATATAATTCTTTCTAAGCTGTGAATCTACCACGCCATATTAATACACATTGTCTTCATGAATCGAATGTCTTGGGCCTTTGAATTATCGTCTCCTGCAGGGAGTATGATGTGATCACCAATGGCAATAGGATGCTCGGCGCGCTCAGTCATCGACCCAGAAACCTGATTACTCAACTACCGAATGCGTATGGGTCAGCGCAATCGATCTTGGCACTATGAGCAGCGCTGTACAGGTATAAAGAGCAAGTCATATCTCGACGATAACATACCTCTGGCTCATAAGATCAGTCCCACAAAAAACTTCGATTCCACCGGCTCCTCCAAGTATTCCAAGTAACGCTTCCCTATCATCACTGGAACAGCGAAGTATCAAGACTAGCTCTTGTCCGATATGTCACCACCACTTAAGAACGTTGTAGTGGTCGGAGTAAGTCCATATTTCTTGCTGTCCTCCTCAGCCGCTCTTGCACTTTACAAATCACTGACAACACCGCAAGGCCTCCGGCAGCCTCGGCGCACCGGTCGTCAAGGAGCTTCTCTCCCAAGGCTTCACGGTCACAGCCCTGACCCGGGCCAACTCAAAGTCCACGTTCCCCGCGGACATCGTCGTCAAGAGGGTCGAAGACTTCAGCTCGGTCCCGGCGCTGACGACCGCGCTGCAAGGCCAGGACGCCGTCGTATCCGCCGTCGCGGGCGAGGCCATCGGCGACCAAAAGGCCCTGGCCGACGCTGCTGCCGCCGCAGGAGTGAGGCGTTTCGTGCCTTCTGAGTTTGGGTTCAACACCCGCACCATGGCCGAGGACTCTCCAGATCTCTTTGCGCTGCTCGGCGGCAAGACCAGGTTCCTTGACTATCTGATCGAGAAGGTCACGCAGAACGAGCAGTTCTCGTGGACTGGTATCTCGACTGGAAGCTTTGTCGACTGGGTAAGTCCTATTTGCAGCCGGTCTTGGCTAGCAGAATAAAGTGTAGAAAGGCTGCTGACGGTATCGTGTGTGCTGAAATAGACCTTGGGAAACGGACTATACGGCATCGACCTGGCAGCCAGGACAGCGACGATTTACGACTCGGGTGACAACCGCTTCCAGGTTGCGAGCCTTCCTTTCATCGGCAAGGCCATCGCCAGCGTTCTGAGTCACCCCGAGGAGACGAAGAACAAGTACCTCGCCATCGGCGCCAATACCTCTCAGAACGAGATTCTACAGATCTTGGAACAGGAGACGGCCCAGAAGTGGAAAGTCGAGCATGCCCAGACGGCTGACCTGGTCACGGCCGGCCGTGCAGCGCTCCAGAATGGCAAGCACGGTGAGGCGTTTGTTCCGTTGTTTTTGAGGTATGCTTTTGGAGAGGAACACTCCCTGAAGCCCGAGGAGAATAAAAACAGCCTGCTTGGACTGGAACAAGAAGATCTCACTGCGGTCGTCGGGGCATTAGTTCAAAGCAAAGCTTCCGCTTAGCCTGTAGAAACCTATAAATGGATTTGGACAACTCGCCGCCCAAACAGTTTAATTTATCAACAGGTATGCTTAGAGTTTAAAGAGTTTATTAGGCCAGCTAGCATTTATACCACTTACTAGAAAACTTGAATTCTTTTTGGCCCAGATAACTTTTCGTTATCGGCCAATTTTTAAATAGGCATTCTTCATCTGAAGTTTGATAACTGTGTCTATGTCCCGGTAAACTTTCGCGTAGTAGTAAACAAAATAAGTAGTGTGATCATGTACCACTTCTACAGATTGACAAATCAAGACAAGACTCAACTGTCCACTTGATCCTGTAGACTTTTACTCTGACTCTGTTTGCAGCCTGAATTCCTTTGCCAGTTCCATGCGAGTTATACCACTACATATATATATGTGGCTTCAGTAGGCTTCATTAAATAATAGTATAAGTACAATACTATTTCAATTTATCAGTTGGCATGGCCCATCATCATACAATAGTTGAGTTTATCCGAAATATAACAGATGATGGTTGCTATAGCCATTATTATTTATATTCGTTATTCATACTGGTGTTTGTGGGGGGGGGGGGGGGGGGGGGGGGGGGGGGGGTAGATAAGTCTCAGAATCAAGAAAACGCACATCACTTGGCGATCTATAACAATTCCATCACTACTGTTGAATTTCCACCGCCCACCTTCTCACTAGCAGTGTCATATAGAGCTTGAATGTCGCGCTTCCATTGTTTTGTGTAGGGACGCTTGATCCTCCGGTCATACGAGAGCACTGTTACGAATTATCAGCAATCAGGGATGTCAAATTGTGCACACTTTTGCATATGGTAAAAGGAGGGGGGAGGGGAGTTTACTAACATCCGTTGACCTCGCCCTCAACGTCTGTAGTTTGCGTCCAGATGGCACCGCTGCAAGCAAAGTACTGGATCTGCTGGCGGAGTTCCTCGAGCAGAAGATGAGCTCTGTAGTTATAGGCTGCCTCGTCTAGATCTATTTCGTAGGTCTCGTTGATGCCGTTTATGGCTTGTTGCACATTCCAAAGACTATGGAGACAAGGTCAACTGGAGTTCAACGGCCACAACAGACACGTCGCGAGCCCGATTGATACAACCGTCTGCTAATTTTGCAGAAACTGTAATACCACGGGAAACTCAACGGAAAGGAGATAGTGAACACGTACTGTTCGATTGAAAGGTTCATGCCAATGCCACCAAACTCGCCCTGGAGAGCAATTCGCTGCGGATCATATGGCGACGACCGAATTGAATAAAAAGGAGTTCCGCACTGGGGATTGGCGTAGTGGTGGTTGTCCTGCACGGTGATCAGTAGACTGCCACGACATCATGCGCTTGTAAAAATGCCCACAGAGTAGTCACCAAACCCGTTGTCCCACCAGCCCGAAGTAGCACTGATGAGTCGTGTCGGGTCGAGTTCCCGGGCCCTGTCAGCCATACGCGCTTCAGGGTGCGATCCGTCGTCGAGCTGGCCCCAGCCCTCGTTATAGATGACCCATGTGTAGATGCTGGGGTACGATCTGTGCTGGGTAATGAGGAGGTCGAACTGTCGTTCGAACTCCACCTGCTGCTCGGCATCCGGGAATATGTTGTCTGAGTCTTTGGGGTAGAGGCATGGCATATCTTGTATTAGCAAGAGCCCCAGCTCGTCGCACGCGCGGTAGAACAGGGCTGGCTCGACCTTGATCTTTCAAACACGAGTTTCGTCAGCCACGATCTAGGCACAATGTCTTTTCCTACTCACATGTTTTCGAAGCATGTTGAATCCTAGGCTCTTGAGGTACTGCAAGTCGAACACCATCGCCTCCCGATTAGGCGGCGTATATATACCATCGGGCCAAAATCCCTGATCAAGCGTTCCAAAATGGAAGAAAAACTCTCCGTTGAGCAAGGGTCGCTGGATACCATCGACCGTGCCTTTCGAGATTGTGCGAAACCCGGTGTAGCTTGTAACCTCATCAGAACCTACCGTCACTGAGATGTTGTACAAAGTGGGCGAATCAGGAGACCAGAGCTCCGGTGAGTCAACTACGAAGCTGAGAGCTTGGTTTGCCGGCCCCTTGTACGAACCAACAACTTCACCATCCGCGTCCAGGACAGATATACTAACGCTGTTCGAATGATTCGATCCACCTACAGTGTGACCGTTCGAATTTCCGCGCCGTCGATACCATCCAGCTTCATGAGCATTCGTCACGTTCACCGTAATGTCGACTGTACGGCTCATTAGCTCATAGTCCATGACGCTGTAGTACACTAGAAGGAAGAACGAATAAGAAGAAGTGAATGAGATGCGACAGCGGTTGTGCATGAGTGAATTGGTATGAAGTGAACCACCTCACCTTTGCCATACATATCAGCAGCGATGTCTAGGCCACTGATATAAGTCTGCGGCACATGCTCCATCCAAACCGTCTGCCAGATGCCAGTGCACGAGCGATAAAATATATGACCCGGTTGGCGAGTCTGCTTGCCGAGAGGAATGTTGTAATCAGTAGTATTCAAGTCAGTGGGATCGAAGACGAACACAGCCAATTTATTCGTGCCATCGTGCCGAAGGTAGTCAGTGACATCGGCGCTGAAATGCCAGTATCCACCGGTGTGCGTATTAACGCTCTTGCCGTTGACGAAGACGGTGGCCTGGTAATCGACTGCCTCGAAGTTGAGCAGGATGCGTCCATCGTTTCCTAGCCATTCCGACGGGATGTCCAGGTCGCGGGTCCACCAGGAGTGAGTCACGTTAAGAGCCTGAACTCCGGACAGAGCGCTTTCGAGACACGAGGGCACCAGCACATCCTGGTTAAGCGTCTCGTTAACAGGGGCTATCTTGCCCTCGTCCGCCGTTGCGTTCCGGTACTTCCATATACCGTTGAGGTTCCGCCATGAGGGCCGGTACAGAAGTGGTCTGGGGTGTTCAGGCCAAGGGTTTGTCCCGACTTTGTACGTCCAGTCCGTGTCCAGTGGCGGTTTCTGGACCTCGTAACTCAGAGCCGGGATGGCCAGGAGAGCTGCTGCTATGCCTCCATACATACCATAGATATGCATCTTGGTAAGGGCGCCAGGGTCCAACAAGTGGTTATATAGCAATAATTCAGCAGGAGATGCGGGATGGTGACTTCTATCCGTGGGTTATTCCGTGTGCACGATGAAATGAATCAATTATCTTCTAGTTATATTGGACCGCGGAATCAATTGTATAACTCGACCTGTATTTTCTTGTGAAAAAGACCACAAGCAAGAAGATGAGATAACGGAATCACAATGTTTCAGGTTGTGACACTTGTTGAACTCAAGCCGAATCTTAATCTGCCTAATTGTGGGAAAAAGAGAAGATTTATAAGTATGATGAGCAGTACGTATAGGCCGGCAGATCAAGACTAGTCATCTGGTTCCTGGACCCGTATCTCTACAAGTTCCAAGGGCGGCATGTCTTGGTCATTCTTCGTGCCCCATAAGGCACATCGGAGTGCTTGGCAGAAAATGAAAGGCGTGATGATGCACGACATTGTTGGCCGTGCAGACGTCGTGTCAATGAGTGGAGTAGTCCTGATGCTTGCAGGTGCGCACAGAGGTATACGGCTTGGTATCTTGGAAGCTTGTAACCAGCTGACAAGGAGACTCAAGGATCCCAGTGTGGCTGCATCGGTCACTACTTCGGCTCACGCGGAGAAGCTGGGGGTGGAGAATGACTAGGAACAGAAGTACCGGTCTTAGATCCATCCTGCCATGATAAGTTTCTAGGAAAGACACGGGATGTAAGGGGCTAGGAAATCATCAGCCACTTGGCATATATTTAAAGGAATCAAGGAGAGAATATGAATAGACCAGGAAATCGATAGACACAGTGGTGCTCTCAACGAGAACCTGAGAACTTTCTGTTGCTTGGTAGCATTTGCTTCAATCGACTATTCCAATTAGTAGTTCATAATCAAATAAGGCGTACAGGACCCTAATTACTAAGATATCGCCTGGCTGTGTCATCAGCCACGGTTTCGCGGTCACTGACATCTGCCAAGCACATTGCCGTACGATTGTGGAACTTGTGACGAGCCACAAACGTCTAAAGTTCAGTGTCGCTAGTCCAGAACCACTTATTACTTGTTCCTAATTTGAAAGTTGAGGCTCTTCGACAAGGTCCGTTATAAAGAAGGTCTTGATGGGATTTGTGGAAGAACCTTCGTGGTTGTTGAGGCTAGATGAGATAGCTTTTACTATGCCAAAGTATTGTTTCCCAGAGTGAGGGACATGACGTTACAGCATGAGAGGGGAAGCAAATGTGAATCAAGCCATTGCATACTTGGAGATTGATCGATGCACTTGCAATGGGATCACTCGTACGGGCCGACGACCCAAGAAGTCCACATGACGCTGTCTGCATCATGCACGGAATTGTGCTGGCTCTGTATGAACAAACAGTTCACGGTCGGTAGTAGCAACTGCCTTGCGTTTAAAGGTAGCATGTGGACTTTCCGATATGCGCCTTGATAAGAGCAGCGAATTTAGAAAGATGCTCTTCGAACGACCACGCTAGTTTACGGAAGTTCTCACCCTTGAGTTCCGGGCGCGCAACTTACTGATCGCCATTGGTCAAGGCTGTTAAAAGTTCGAACCAATCGATGACTGGTGGGACGTAGTAATAATGATGATGCAGATAGAACCATATACATAGCAAATGCGGTCAGCACATGCAGAAGAAGGTCATCAATCCTGCTCGGGGCATTTTAATAATGCACGAGCCTGGAGCTTGGCTTCGGGAGGCTTGCAAGCTTGTTTCCTTCTCGTCACAGTGGGGCCCAGGATCCGACCCGTGCGGGGACGTTTGCGGGGAATCCCACTACTATCAACCAGGACCTCAACATCGGAGACAGTACGTACAGGTTAGAATCAATCGAGTATTGTTTGCGCCATCCTGGGTTGTCTAGGTGGTATATCACCAAGCCCTCGGTCTACATGGGACTAGTATCAAGATCACGGTCACTCCTAGGGAACTGTGTCGGATCGATGCAACCACACTTGATAATAGCGATTCGGGATCCAACTGCGTACTTGTCTACAAGTCGAGGTAAGGCTTGCGGCTGCATGCCGACCCATCAGTCCTAAACCGGGCGATGGTAGCATTTAGTAATTCTGAATCTAGGTGGATGGTCTGAGAGGGGAAATTGTTCGAAGCAGCGACGTCGTCCATGTGAACTGTCACGGTGGGTTCAGGCGTCTTGCTATAACTTGTCATACTTTTGACAAGTCTGCTCGGATTAGAAACGGTTGTGCACGCAACCCTAAACACGCTGAAATGAAAGTCGTGTCTCGATGGACTGCATGTGCCGAGCTGCAGTCATGTGGCGCAAAGCAGCTAACCTAGTCGATACTCAGTTTCGATATGTACAATTAGTTCCATATTCTGTACAGTACTACTCGGTATCCGGACTTGAGGCGGTAAAGCGAATAGATCGACGAAGATGGAGAAGACTTTCTTTTGGCAGGTAGTATTCGCACCACATACGAGGATTGGTGGAATCAACACTACTTACGAGATTGAGTAAACCACTGCTGTGAATCTTGTGATTCCCCTATGAAAGTTTGCTTTACACCACTTGACGAGCGTATCAAATGCCAAGCACTGGGCAGGTACCGACCATCAAGAAAAGGTAACCCAGGTGGCCTGTAAATAGTGTTCTATTGTTGTCGGCATTGCCGAATTAATTTCAACATTTATGTTTAAATATATTGCCGCAAGGGCTAAAATAGTCCAGCCCTGGGAAAACCATAACACCGGTAACAGCGCTGAAGCAACAAAAAGCTCAGATGCGCTCATCCTTATATCTTCGTCATCTAGATCTAAAGGTTGTGGTAACGCCAAGTACGCGCCATGAATTCCTGCCCAATAACCTCAATTGCCGCGATGACCACCTGTGCTCATCAGTGTGATTTTTTGCTTCTTTTTCTTCTTTCCTCCTCCCCCAGTTCCACCAGGCGTAGCAGGAGCTGAGTTGGCAGCATCAATACCAAATGCTTCCATTTGTAGAGCGATCTCAGCAGGGCCGAGGAACTCATCATCCTTTAGCCAACCGTCATGGCCAGAGGCTTCGGGTATAGGACCAAGGTCAGGAGACCCGGCTACGACTCTAGTACCCCACACAGTCTTGGAAGTAGAAGGACTTGTAGACATTTCAGCAAGTTGCTCAAAACCTGGCCGGGGGTTTGGAGGTGTGGTGCCAGCTGCAGAGCCGAGTGGTTGAAAGTCTTCCGAGCTGAGCGCCGGGCTTGGGTCATAGGAGTCCTCTTGAGCATTGTCGAAATGACGTCGAGTAGTGCGACCAATCGCTGCAGCCTCCATACGCTCAGCCTGGACTCGCTCTCTCTCCTCTTGCGCGGCCTTGTCCCGATGCGATTTCCTTCGCTTATCAAGCTCGCTCGAGAAAGTGCTTAGGGTTTCTGCAGGAACGATGTCCGTCCAATCGCACTCGAGAAAAGTGACCACACAACCATGTGGGAGATGTGCGAGGTACTTGGCCCTCTTCCGCAACAGATCATCGACAACATGGCCAGTCGAGATATGTTCAACCTGAGGCAGGAGCGTAGAGGGGAAATTCGAATAATCACCGAACTGAGTTTTCAGGATGCGAATGTCGAGGGGTGATAGGTATAGATGCGGAGGTGCACTGTAGAAATGAAACGGGTGGCTCGTATGGGGCTTGTTTTGAATCTTGCCCAGTCCAGTCGCAGGTGTTGCGCCGTCATCATTGCTCGGCTTCTGCTCTCTTAGCCTGTCTCTGGCAGTGGTTATTAATTTTATAGCCTTTGTGGTGGAGTCACCATCCTCGGCGCCGAACTGAATCTCGTCCTCTGTATACTGTTTTCGTAAATCTTCAATTTCTCTGTCGTATTCACTTGCCATGTAATCGGGTGTCCCTTTCATGATTCGAGCATAGTCCAAGACATTTGCGGCAAAATGCCACGGAACCTCCTCGCCGACATTGACCGGATCTGTGCCTCCCTCTTTCGGCAGGGCTAAAGTTGAGCCTGACTCCCTTACCATCAAGCGTAAGACGACGTCATGGCCAGGTTCTGGCAGAGGACTCTCCTGACCGGCGTAGAATCGAACTGGCCGGGTTTCGGCCATCTTGAATGTATCCTCACAAATTGGGCATTTCTTCCAACGGGCTTCTTTCCTTGAGCTTATCTCCTCATCGCTGGAGGAATTCAGAAATCGTATCATACAGGGTAGGCAGAATATGTGGCCACATTGCGCCATCCGAGGGGCGACGGGTTCCGAGAGACAGATTGGGCACGAGGTAGATTGTGACTCGGTCGATGCAACGATCTGCTGGACATGGTTCCAGTCGAGATGCTTGTCGGCATCGCGAGCTTGAGCTGTGTATTCCCCATTCGGGTCTACCACGAATCGATAGTTGGCATGTACGAACTTGGCCTTGTCGATGGGGTGATAGCCAGAGCCTGGGCCCCAAGTGGGTTGTCGTCGAGCGGATCTGCGGTAGCCATGGCCATAGTTGTATTCGTCGGAATGGCGCAAGGGAGTGGAGTAGTTGAGTAGATGTGTGATAGAGGTCTGGCCTCTGCGGCTGTTGATGTTTCTCATGGTCCTCTGGTGGCATTCAGTCAGTACGAAAACCACCGGATGACAGCGGTGATGCAGCCATGTGGACTTACAATCTCATCCATGTCATCATCATCATCCAAACGACTGTCTCTGACCGGCCTCCTCTTCTCCTTGTGCGGCTTCCGGGATGCCTGCCCTTTCCTTGGTGCCGAGTACGAGAGGGCTGGACTGGAGATGGCGGAGCGCCGAGAATTGGAATCGAAGCTCGGTGACGGAACAGAAAATGACTGTGATGGGTTGAAGTTGGATACCGATGCCGAAAGGGACTTTCCTCCCACGTTGAACGGGATCGAGTTCATGATGGCCGAGCCTCCCGGACTCGAAGCAAGACGTGATTGATTTGCCGTATCGGGAACCGGAGTACAGCACCAAAGAGCGTCACGGCTGCGATGACGAACCGTCGGCGGTTGTGTCCTCGCGGAGGGTTCGGTCAGCTGTTCGACAAGGCCGCCACCGGGTAGTCAATCGAGTGCAAGAAAGAGACAGTTGTATGAAGATAAGATAAGATACAAAAGATCCAGAGTAGATGAAAGGGGTCCAAGTGGACGAACCCGGGAGGTTGTGGAGGGGAAGAAACTCGAGATGGCAACGAAGAGTCACCCACGCACCGGCGGGGCAAAATGGTGAAATGGATCCTCCTGAGGACCCGAATGGTGTAGGCGCTTCGCCGCTGACAAGGGAATGATCGGGACGGAGCTTGGCGTCGTCCAGTGCCGCTGTGATAACCTGCATGTGAGTAAGTTTTGGCGAATCCTTACGAGCTTCCAGATCAGCTGACCATCTCGTGATCCAACTTGTAATTCTTCCCGTCCTCGAAGCTCTGACGAACTCGGCGAGTATTTCAAGTTTTCTCGGATCAACCATTGCCTCAGCACATCCCGTTTCTAATCATGAAGACCTGATGCATACGCGATTCATCTATCGGTCCTGCGATCCCATGGAAGGAAGCATAGTGCAACATAGTGCAACCACTAGCTGCTGAGTTTTAGCGTATAGCTCTCGCCACCCGCAAAACGTGTGAGGTTAGATGGATCGCTTCGTGTTATGCCTCCATAGCGAACCATCAGGCGACCATCAATTCGTCGAGTTTTCATGCACTTGCGCATCTGCCGCTCATTCAATGTTATCAACTAAGAATGAATCGCAGTATTGGTGCGGATTTGATAAATCTGAGACGCGTTATTTCGGCTCTGATTGCAGTACTTGAGTTCACATAGTTGCACTATCGTCTCACTATCCAACTCGTGCCATGTCTAAATGTTTATTGGCAATGAGTTCAATTTCCATTCACTGTGAGCCAAGCAACTGAGTAGCAGAACGCATCCGGCGTCTCCAACGCTCCATCCTATGCAGCGGTTCCGTTCCGAATCTGATCACTCAGGGTCTCATTTGGAACAATCCACTTCTCCAGACGAGGCACTGCTCCGACGATAAGATCTGCCACCAGCCGACCAAACACGACTTCGCCCCACGAATTGAGATGCGTGTTATCACTCGGGCTCAAATTATAAGTGTGAGCAGCGTCCTCTCCGATCGCGTTCACGTATTTCAGACTGGCAGCGTTGAGATCAACGACCGGTGAGCCTGTCACATTGGCTGCGTAGATCGCTGCTAGACGTTCGTTGTGCAAGCTGTCCGTGGCATTATGTTCGGAAACGAAGTTTCGACGACTCAGGGATGAAGTGAGGAGCTTGGATCCCATTAGACGGCACGCTCACATAAGGATAAGCAAGACGGGGGACACTGACAGGAGTCCCGCCCAGAGACTTCACTTCCTCGGCGAACTTGATAAGGTTGGCCTGATACTCGTCGAACGTCACATTACTCGTCGACTTCTGATCGTTGTGGCCGAACTGCCAGAAGATCAGCAATCATGACTTGGACGGACTAACAAATAGCTTACACTTATAGTCACATAGGTATCGTATTTCTTGGCGTATTCCTTAACATGCGTAGTGATGTTGGACCAGTTGCCTCCTTGTTGATAGGATAATGTTGTGGCGCCACTTTGCCCGATGTTGATGCCCCAAGCCGGATCGCGAAGTGTCGCCAGGAACCCATTGCCCCAGCCACCGTTGATTGCAGTGGTAGAATCTCCAGCCAAGAAGAAAGCCGGTGGCTTATTGTTACTGTGCTTGGCTGGGAAAGCTGTAACCGTGATGGGCAGTACCGCTGCAAACAATGAGGTTGCTGCACGCATCTTGCAGTCGGCTTTCGAATAAACTTGATATGGTATACACAATAACTGCAGTGGAACAGTCATCCGCCATGTGCGTGAAGGCCCTCGTGTCGTTATATATACACTTTGCTATACTCCTCGCTACCGGACTAGGTAATCCTTGCTATACAGTTTTTCCGGCCAGTACAGTCCGAGGCACGTAGGTGTTTCTGCGGTGCCAAGCAATTACTCAACTCTCGTGGTAGTCTATACCGAAGAATCCCTTTTAGCCGAGCCAGCATCTCCTTCTCTCGCGTCTTGAGAACTGCTACTGTCGTGATTAGATTGCCCCGCAAGCTTGGCAGGCATGCATGACCACAAATCGCCATGTTGGGATGAACACCGTCTTGGCGCTACAGATACTAGCCCCGTATAGGTTTCCAGAGAATCAATCGAGCTGCAAGTCCAATTAAGGACTCTTTTGTTTCGCGGTACGTTGGATGACATGTATTATAACATGCTACAGACCATTGACAGGCCTGTCGCCTTGAGTCGTTCATCCAAATACTTCGATCATGAAATGATACTCGATCTTCGTCCCATCCGTACGGCCCCTCGCCGACAACATTCGGCACTGATCTGCCAATATCTCGCCAATGACCGGAGTGCCACAGAAGAACACGCCAACCTTGAGTCGTCCACTTGAGTCCTGCCCCGGCATCTCTTTGTTTCTCGTGCGCATCTTCTTCATGTCCTCATAATGGCTGTTAAGTATCTGCTCGAAGTCGGGCCTGCCAAAATGGGTCGGGTTGATCAGTCCCGTCAGCGGTGACGCGGGATGATCTTTGATCCGGTGCATCTCCAGAAGCCACCTATAGACATGCGTGGCGATGTTCTTCCGTTTCTGCGTCACATGCGTGTTGATGTTGATGGTGAGGTGGCAGTCGTCGTCATTTTGGTGGTGCCAGATCTGAGAGCGGGAGACGGTATTGAGGAGATCCGAGAACCAGAGTAGCTGGTTGCGCTCTCGCACCATCCAGTGGAAGTCGACGCGTCTATAGGGGTCATCAGATGACGAGCCGCTCGCGCTCTCTTTTTGGAACTGCTTCGATGCTGGGGGTGAGTGGTCGCCGTCCACTGAGTCTAAAAGAGTTCGGCTGTTCGAAACTTGAGACTCTGCTTGTGACTGTACCCTATATTGCGTTGGAGCGACAGACAGGCGTCGATCTCCCGGTCCCGTCTTCAGGCCGCTGAGTGTGTCCGGTCCGCCATGGAGCTGGTTGTCTCTTGTTTGGAGGTCCATCAGGATGCCAGAGAAGGGCGTGACGCCTATGCCCGCGCCTACGATCATGGTGTGGTCGAAGTCATAGAATCGCTGGGCAGGCGCACCAAAAGGACCATTGATGCCGATATCTATCTGGCGTGTCCCATTATCTCCCCCGAGCGCTTTCAGCTTTTTTGTCCAACTCCCTTCGACCTTGATATGAAGCCACATTTCTCGCTCCACACATGCCGACACGGTGAATGGATGCCATTGAAAGAAGCTGACCTTCGGGACTTGGAGGAACACGTATTGACCAGCCTGATACTTCCAAAGTCGCTCGCTCGGTATCGTGGCCTTGATCTCGAGTGTCTGATCGTCGAGTATTGAAATAGTTGCGGGAATCTTGTGGAAGCCGATGGCCACACGAACCACTCTCTCGACCAGGATTAACAACGTTGGAAATGCGAGAAAATACCCCAGCATTGGCCATTGCAACAGTGCCATGGTGCCATGCGCGCACAACAACCCGATGATTGGGTACATCAGGAGGTGCCCCAGCTGGAATACCTCATAGTTCCACTTTCGCACTTGAGGAATACTTAGAATTGACAGACTGTAAAGGAGACCCAGCGTCACAATGCCTGACCATCCAGGCAGAGAGCGGACGTATTCTACGTACGGCCGGGGGACCATATCGGGGCCGAGCAGAGCAGCAACGTCAGCTTGGTTCTCGGGTCTACTGCCCCAGTTGAACGAGCCGCTCAAATGGCCGATGGCGTGGAGCGTTGCAAGACACAATGCAACGATCGAAATACGGATGTGGAACTTCTGCGACAAGTCAAAGTTGATAATGCGTGAAATTCGGGTTGAACGCCTCATGAACGTCGAGAAATACCTATGCAGACAGGATGTTAGTCTCTTTCACCGATCTTGATCCTTTGAAATAAGTCATACCGCTTACCTTGACATACTCAACAGTAAAAAGAACATAGTCGGATAAAGCGCTCCAGCACACGTCTTGGCGAGTACAACGCCCCAGCCAAATGCTGCCGTGTACTGCGTTCCAGTGACATATTTCACCAGCTGCCAGAGTCCAAATGCAAGCTGCATTGAGATCACCAGCGCCACGAACAAGATATCAGGGCCTCTGACAGCCCAGTAGGACCGAAAACGGCGCCAGATGCTCATAGACTTGAGCAAATCCTCCTCGTGCTTCTCATCCTCTGATTCCTGCTTCATCGAGGGAACTTTCCATTCCCGCACACGGGAGGCGAATTCTGCCCGCGGGATGCGCTGCGCCTTGGAGCCGATGATGGTCCGCAGGAAATGGTGCCGTGCTTCATCTTTGCTGTCGTGGTGCAGATTGTGTGGCTTCGCGTCTGGTTGAATCTCTTCGTGCACACGATCCAGGCCCTGTTCTACTTCGTCATACTCGATAAAGCTATTCTTGTTCTTGTCTAGTTCATTCAAGAAAGACTCTACTTCGTCGTCATCGAGATACCGCGTGTTACTGCTCATATTAAAATCTGCCGGTTGTTCATGAACCGATAGTTTATGCAAGATATCCTTCGCGATGCGCGTCGAAGGAGGTGATGTTTGATATATGGTGAGCCTGTGTGGATACTACAAACAGTATGTCGCTTGCGTCACATTTAGGGCCCAAGGGCCCAAGAGTTCAAGCCAAGATGATTAGCTTCACACTATCGTATGAGGCACGCTGGCGAGAAGTCAAAAGTATAGACCACTAGCCACGAGTCATTGAGCCAAAGTTGGTAGTGCACCGTCTTCTAATCCCTGGGTGACATCAGCCAAGTAGTGATATTGGCTGGCCGAGAGAATACTGTAATCGTGGAAACTAGTGTCATAAGTCATGAGGTTTTGATTTGCCAGCACAGCCCAACTGGCCGGCTTGCCGGGTTTGTTATTCAACTCTACGGATCTTCTAGACCTCGCCAATGCTTGGTGCGCCAAGCCTCGTCTTTTAGCTTGCTCTTGTCAATACCAAGACGGCAATCATTCCGAGTAATTTGATTTCAACAATTTGGAATATCTTATCAGCATGATCATCTACCTTCAAGCTGTGACACAAAAGTTTGACGGCAAAGTAGATGTGATATGGTATAAGCGGAAGGCGCAGCTCAGACTTAGGATTACGCTCTCAACTTGGCCACCCTCTCCTTCGTCCTAGCAGCATTCGTTTCTTCGTCCCAGATTGAAGTGACGCTTGGGTGCTTGGCAACCTCCTTCGCCCACTTGTCGAAGTTTGGGGCTTTCGAAGAGATTTCGCTCAAAATGCTCTCCGGAAAGATGCCATACTTCGACAAGCTGTAAAGTCGCAGAATGAAAGAGCCAGTTAACACCTAGTAGCATCGGTCAGTATTGCTAGTTGCCTAAAAGAGGGTTCAAAATTGGCATACCTCCGCGAGTGTCAACTTGCTCGAGCCGCCAAAGAATGGTGCGGCATCAGAGAGCAGAGGCTCGACCTCCTTGACAATGGCGTTGACGTACTCCTCGGCAGCAGTCTTCTGTTCCTCGTCCGTCTTTCCGGCGTAGGCTTTGAAGAAGTGGCCGCCGGCCTTGGAGAAGTAGGTGTCAACGAAGAAGGCAATCCTGGCACGCACCAGGGGCCCATTAGGGTCGGTGGACTTGGGAACCAGGTGCGAAGGGAAAGCATCGGCCAAAAAGTTTGACACGATGGCGGATTCGGTGATGATCTCGCCGTTGTATGAAAGTGAAGGAACGAGACCCCGCGGGTTCACCTTCAGATACTCCGGAGTGCGGGGAACACTGAGATCAATGATCTCCTCTTCGAACGGCACATTGAGCTCTGACAGGGCGATGTGCGCGCGGTGTGCCCCTGTGTCGCTATTAGCATTGCTTGAATCCCCCATGGCCAGGCATGATATGAAAAAAGCCACTTACAAGGGCATGCATGGTTTGTGTAGAGCTTGAGCTTGGGGCTTTCAGTCGTCATTTTGCGTTTCAAGCTGTGTCTCTCTTAAACAGGATTGTGATGTAATTTGGTCCGTTGCGAATGACTCTGTTAAACTCAACACGGCTCTCTACTTAGGGATAGAAGGACACTTTATCATGTGTCCATGTGCAGCTGTGTCTCAATGCGGGGCTGTTATTGCGACATTGTCGGTGCATTTCTAATCATAGGCGGAGACCGGACAGTTCGGGCGCACCTAAATGCCCGGGGTTAGAGGTGCTATTCCATGTGCTGATGATGCTGACCAACATGATCATATCAAGTTCACAGGTTGCGATGAAGGCGTTCTCACTTTGTAAGCACAAAAAAAAACCTCCCCACATCACAAAAGGTCTGATATTAAGAGTCAGATGCACGTAGCTGGTGCTAGCCGTTATAGTGAGCCAGGTTGAGCCTATTTGTTCAAACGCGTCGCACGCACCTCAAAATTGCATTCTTTTGCGCTTTCAGGGCAGCTGTCTATTACAACAGCAGCGATTATATCGCAACGGGTAAAGAATCATATAAGCAATAAGTAATGATCTTCACGTGTGCTTACGCAGCAAACAAGCCAATCATAGCACAATACATCTGATCAACTTTTCACAGGACATATTAAGCATACTTGTGGGTTTTCTTTAAAGGAAAATATAAAATATAAAACAATGACTCTGTGCACTGGTTCGATCCAATATCTGAGCTCGTTATCCCTGCCAATTTACACGCTTGTCTCTGAAGAGACTGACCATGCCCATTGGAAACAGTCCTGCATCAACAATATTCAAGCCGCCAAAGCGGTCAATGACCTCAGGGCCATATTGCATCACCACCCACTTCCAGTACGGTTCCATCTGTTCCCAATTAGACATGATACCCCTCAAGTTCCTCTGTCTCTCGAGAGCCAGGATGCTACTGGCGACCCTTTCGTTGTCCAGCTCCAGAGTCTCCTGGTTCGGCTTCTCCAGCAGCGTCTCGTACACTTCGGAAAGTTCGTAGTCGGAACCCAGTGAATACTCTTCGCGCCAGCGACTAAACTCTTCGAAGCTAATAAAGCGTTCCCGGTCCTCCTTGTCAACAGGTTCCCAGTCGGGATCCTCGAGGTCGGACCGCGCTCGTTCGGTCACCTCGCCTTTTTCGAATGCCAACTTAGCACGGTAGTAACAATCGCGTTCGTTCTCCTCGAATTTTTCGACAAGGGTGGACGGATCTTTCAGGATAGAGTCGCGGATTTGTAGAATGGAGATGAAGGGGCTCTGCAGGTCAAGACCGCCGAGCTCAACGGGGAAGAAGAAATACGCATCCGGGATGTCATCCACATTGAAGCGTTTCCCAATGAGATTCTTGAGATAATCGACAACACTTGCATTTTCCGTGCTATCATTGACACTCAAGGGGGAGCCAGGCTTGAATATTTCGCGCTGGATGCGGGAGTGTGTAGCCAACATAAGATCGACATGTTGGCGACCAAAGCAGTTCGCAGCCTTGCCGAAATTCGAGGTAAAAAAGGTTGCAGCGTAAGTATTCCATGTCTGGATAAACTCAAACACACTGCCGTGTTTTGCTTGCAGCTGCTTTCTCAGTTCCCCGATGTGCTTTTCAACCATGGGCTGGTTGATCTCAAAACGTCCATTTTCAGGAGATAGTCGCAGAAAACCCCAGCTGATGGATCCTTCTGGGAGACTTTTGTCAATTTCCAAAACAACATCTGGGTCACCAGAAATGCGAACAGTGCCAGTCTTGGGTAGGTTCAAGCTGGTGCCAGTAACTGCAGCGAACTGCTGAATCGCATCCCACGTCTTGACCGAAACCTTGTGGTCTGGATTCCAAAACCATATATCATCATATAGCCGATACGACAAGGCACCATTCGCCAGCTGATTGATGGAGAAGTCAAGGCAGAAGAGCGTTACTTCACCAAAGACGGCGCTGAGTACATGAGATGAGGGTGCACCACGACGCCGAGTACGCGGTGCAGCTGTCTCATACTGATCCACAAACGTCAAAGGTGCTTCCAAGAACTTCGAAAAGAAGTTCAACCATTGCGTTGAGACTCCAAAGAATTCGAGAATAGTTCGGACGGTCGCGTGGGGTAGCAAGGATTCCCAATTATCGAAAGAGGTGCGAACCGCTGTGATTTCGCCATGAAGTTTTGTGTTGATTGCTATCTCCGTGGAAAGTAGATGGAGCAGTTTCTGCTTTGCGTCAATAGGTTTCTTGCTCGGTGTTGATGGATAACCTTCGTCGTCTGTTTCTGTATCATCCGGGTCCCGCTCGGAAAAGATTTTGCGATGTCTCATCGCGCCACCTTTGCCAAGACCCTTGCCTTGGCCGACAGTTGGCGCTGACTTGCGGGAGATGAGTCTCTCGAGTGGAGCGTCTTCGTCCAGCAACGCATATCCCATGTCGTCGTCGCTCTCTTCGAATTCGGCTTCTTCCTCACCATCTTTGATCTCGATTCGTTGGAAATCGGAATCGAGTAGATGAGAAAGAAAATAATCTTTCCGGTGTATACTACAGAGCACAAGAGCAAGTTACACAATCAATACAAATTCATGACCGAAATAGGTCCTGGTGCCGACGGGGGTGGGATGGCGGGACGTGTATTTATCGGAAAGAGCTTCATGTGCAAGAGGATATGTTGAATAAGAGATTGTCACTGACCTTCGTCGGATATGCTGCACACTAGGTTCCCTTGGATAAGACCCCAAGTAGTATCCTAGCCGTTTCTTGTCCATCGTAGGCACATCAGCGCGGATGTTCTTCCAGGGACCGCCATACGCTCGGAAACGCTTCAAGGCTCGCTTAAAAAAGACCGACCATTTGGTACCAATATATTGGAGAAATATAGCCTGTAAAAGGTCTTCGTGCATATGAATGTTGTACACGCCACCGATCTTCCGTTGCTGCTCTACCGCAACACTGTCGCCCCAAGACCAATTGTCAAGCGCTGCGAGACGCATGTTGAGCACATCAGCAATTTCTGAGAGTATCACAGAACTATGCTGGAAGCTTTTCAGAACTTCGCGCTTCTCGTCAGAAAGCAAGTCGGAGGTGAGAAGGCCGCGGATAACCCAGTCAAGTGTTGTCACGGTGAATTGAGCACGGGGAGCCAACTGATTTTCAAATTCGGTGACTGACTTCCTCATATTATCCAAGACACTCTTCTTCCTTCCCGTATCATCTCTGTCATGGAACAGACTTGCCAGGAAAATACGGAGCTTTCTTTCGTCAACTGGAGCCGGCTCAAACACGGTGCGCTCCCAGTTGAGTCTTGCAGCGGTTCTTTTTTCGTCGGATGCTGTTTCCTTCTCAACAACTAGTACGCCGGTCGATTCGGCTGACGCAGAACCCTGCTTTGATTTCTTCGAAGACAGCCATTCCGTGACGAGCTCAGCGTAGAGGGATGCGTACTGATATTTGAGCGATTGGCTATTCAGGTGGTGAAGTAACGATGTTTCCCAGGCCTTAAATGATTTTACAGAGACGGATGGATCGTATAAAGCTTGCGCAAGCAATGAGTCAAGGTTCTTTAGCTCGATCTCGAGCGCAGGATTGTTAGTCTGGCCTCTCAGAACCTTACCAGGCACTTTGTCTGTTTTGACACCCGAACAATGCTTGACTCCCTCTGCTAGGATGTAAACACGTTTGGCACGATCAGCTTGCTCAGTCTGAAGACGTGACAAAACGGCAGCCTTCTTGCTTTCGAAGTCGGCACGACCCTTGGATAATTCTTCAAGCTTTGTGTTTGTGATTTCTTGAAGAGTCTCCGAAAAGATGTTACCACGCGTCGGCGCCATGGTACCGGGAATTGGAGGGAGCCTATGTCTTTTGATCGACAGAGGAAGACAAAAGATGCGGAGAAGAAGGAGAAAGAGTCGAGTGTGTGCAGCGGACGGATGTGGATACCCTTTTATACGCGGAGGCTAGTGGGGCATGGCACCGCTTGCCCCTGAGGTGAGTAACACGGCGACTCTTTCGTCACAGCCGCATCCTCCTGCACAATTCCCCATATATATATTAGGCAACAAATACAATGGATCACTGGGAAGCTTTCAAATCCTGCGGACCAAAGAAAGAATTGGCTCAAGATCGGAGTTAAGAGAATCGATAGTATTAATACTTGCCAAAATGTATCACTTCCTGATAGGCACGTAACACGGATGGGGCCATTAATAGGTTTACTGGTGGTGTTTGTATTACGGACGAGGAATAAGGCTATGCTCTATTCCTAGTGAAGGCTCCCTAAATGGGTTGCACTAGGTTGATACCTGAGAGATCCATTCCTTCCTCGACAGCCTCAAGCAGTCGCTGATGGTAGACAGTCCTACACAGTGCCTTATCTCGATCAGACGCACATCTAAATGTAATTACTTGCAACCACGACGAACGTCATCTAGCCTCTCTATGCTCTTGCATGAAGACCGTGGAACCCGAGTGCTACAGCCCAATCACACTCAGCCCTTCCGAGCTCTTTCATCGTCTTTGCATCAATACAGACCAAGTAACTCTTCTTACCATGGCCGTCTAAAACCACGCTTAGCAGCACACCATCATCCTCAGCTATCTCGCCATTCTCATCGTTCTTAGGGCGTGGCACAAAGATAGCCTCGCCAGGTGTATGACCGTTGGGATTATCCCAGTAGAGTGTTTGTCGTGTCTCAATGTCTGTCTTGGCAAGGCTGTCCAACAACGTGCTATACCCACGGTTAGGCAGGCTGTAGACATACTTGTATTTTTTTGTAGCGTAATCCGGGTTGATGGTGGGCAATTCACCGACATGTGGTGACTTGATTTCCAGTAGCTTCTCAGCCTTCAGGAACTGTGATCTTTTGTCCTCGATTGAATTTTCCTTCGGTATACTGAACTTGTATCTCACAAGTCGGACTAGGGCGTCACGAGTCTTGCTCTCATTGCCCCAGAAATTTTGAGTCATACCATCGTTACCAAGCAAGACGTCTATCTCATATGATCGTATAATATCTGCATTTGGATATTGCAGGAGGTCGCAGAAAACATCGGTGCCCCCTGTTGATTCATCACGTTCCTCGAAGGAATTGATGCTGTGAAAATGAAAGCCAGCTGGAGTTTCGAACTGTGCCGTAACCCCTTGATCGCCTTTGCGGTCAATGATAAACCATTTGCATACGTTCTTTGTATCGAACGGTGCCAGGGCATCCACCAGGTTTAGCTCCCATGGTATCCACAACCCCATAGCGCCGAAGTGTGTTGACGGAACACATAAAACGACATATGATTTTGTGAGAAAGAATGAGTGGATATATGCGGGCTTGACGTTGCTCTGGGAAATGGTGGCTAGTATGTCAGTGACGCCGGTAGAAGCATTTGACCGAAATACTCTGTACGTTGATACACGGCCGAGTTCGAGGTTGTAGTTGAAATAGTCACCAGTCTCGGGATCTGTTTGGGCATGGGCACAGCTAAGTGGACCTCTAAGATCCGGGTGCAGTTTTGTTTGCAGTGCACAAGTCTTGGATTCCATGGTCTTCTCATCGACTTCTTTCAGTATAGCAACGTCCGAACCAAGCCAGGAAGTTTTGGGGACGGCTTTGTGTCCAGATTCTAGAGGCCTCGTAGCTGATGATAGACCTGGCACTGTACCCTGGACAGTGACACAAATGTTGTCTAACTCTGGGTGGGCAATTGGCGTAGCCATTCGAAATGTGCTCATCAACTTGCCGAAGATCCCCACACAAGGGTCCTGACGTTGCCCAAAGCTGATAATGGACCGCCGGCCATTCTTGCGAATGTCCTCCACCAGCGCTTTTGACTGTCTCCGGGAAGTGTACTCAACTCGTACCGAGCCGTCTTCCGCTGGGATTATAGCAAACCTATGCGAATGACCAAAACCGTCAAACCAGTGAGTAGTACGGTAAGTACCCCGTGGTGTATCCTCCACGTTATATTGACCAGGACCAGTACGGTACAATGTGCCCGCGGCCCACGGCGGGATAGACCCCTTGACACGGAGCTCGACAGGACCTTGAACTTCGGTCAAGCCTTCGAACTAAAGACTATTCAGTTGTTATTCCAGGTGTACGGTTAGTCAACACTCACGCCTGCCTCGTTTGGCCAGTCCCCAAAATCCTGGTTGAGTATCTTTTGGACGGTACGCTCATAATCTTCGTCTTCGTGTTCTAAACCTCGCCGGAGTGGCTCGTCTGCTGCTGACAGATTGCCCATGTTGTTGTTAGTTCCCGAGCGCAAAGATGAGTATCGCCGTTCCCAAAGTAAAGCGGTCGTCTTTTTGTTCGCAAGTATCAGTGTATGGTGATTTATATGATAACAAGAAGTCGTATAAACGAAATGCTCGAGGCTAAGAGATTGTCGTTGTGGCTGATCGCCAAGGCACAACAGCCTGTTAGATCACTCGATTTGCCGAGTTCGCTTGCCCTAGCGTAAGTAACCCTGGCTGGTAATACGGATTATGCACACTCGCTTATCGAGACTACTCAGAGGTGAAGCGTCTCAGAATGGCCAACGAGCGACAGGCCGACAACGAATTATGAGGCCGACAGGGATTGGTGGACTGGAAGTGCTATGAACAGGATGTCAGGCAACGTTGACAATAGTGGGCGTCTAACTCGTCGAAACTAGCTTAACAAAATCCTTCTGGGTAGTACCGAGTTCTGCAGGACAGTCAAGCTATTCGGGGTCAGTACAAAGTCGAGTGAGCTGGTTTAGTGTGGAAGCCGACTACTTAAAAAGCAAACTCAATACCCAAAGCGCGGATTTTATAGGCTATGAAATGTGATTCACTGCGCATGTCGTCGCGAGCTTGCCGGCGGGCCCGGCGACATATCACACCAAGAACAGTAGGTCCCATCACAGCATACATACCTAGTTCAATTATACGGGTCATGCATCAATGCCATGTTTCTGTCGCGGAACGTGATGAATAGAAGTCCTTTGGCGTGCAGCAATGACGGTGACAGGTTAAGTTAGCATCATGAATCATCAGCCCGGCGATTGGGTCCATGCAATTGCCCATTGGATAAACTTGCAAGGAACCCTCCGCATGGAAATCCATGCTAGTGCTCGCCCAAAGGCAGTCTCCTATTCGTCGTGTCTTCGCTTATGGAACACCACGCCACCACCTTAGTCTACCTAGGTCCCACTGTTAGCTTCAAGGCTCAAGCAAATTCACTGCGAATCAACCCCCAGCCCCATCAATCCATGAGCCATCATCACAGCTCGGGGCCATATCAAGTCAACATAGTACCGCCGCCAAAACTATGAGAAATGTGCCTGTTGTCGTCTATTCAAAGAATTATTTCCTATATTAGTAGTCATTGCTCGTGATAGACATGTAGTATGCATGTTGATTTCAATGATATTAAATCAATACTGCACCAAGTTCGCCTTAAAAAGAATCTCAACACCACAAAAATTACGATGTATATATATGGATTCATTCATTCACCCTTCCATACAAGGGCATGAACAATCAAAAAAGACATAGCACAATTCTCTCGATCCGGGAATTGAACCCGGGTCTCCAGCGCTCAAACGATTAGATCTGATGATCTAATGACAAGCTGGCATACTGACCACTATACTAATCAAGATGTGTTGAGATGAGATGAAGTAGTGAATCACTACTTGATTGGTTGAAAGAGTAATCCATTATTTAAATATAAGAGGGAACATGCAGAATTTTCACGCGGTTATCCACATCGTGACTGTATTGGACGAGTGCTCCGTATCTATGGCTCCATCGGCCGATCCCGTGTGTGGATACCGAGCCGCCAACGTTTGTATAAACTACAAGGCATAGCTCAGAGATCTATGTAGGAACAAACTCGAGGTTAACGACAAAAGGAATATGATTGTCACACACGGGAGTCCTCATGTCGGATTCTAAGCATTGGTTTAGGCCTATCCTATCCCATGAACAGCATTACAAAGTCTAGGAGGCTATCTCTCCTTAATTCAGTCTCTAATTCAATCGTCAGTCGACCTCATCGTCAGGTATACTTTGATTGCCACGATAAGTTGGTAATCTGATATATAATCAAGGCAGCACAACATTAAGCTTACTAGTTATAGTTTACCTCTCTAGAATGTAGCCGCTCTTCTTCACTCCAGCGCCCGTGACTGACACTTCCTAGCTCCCTTGTATGCGAGGTGCGTATATGGCGAAATATTTTGTTAGTGTATCACTCAAGTATCCTAACTTTAAGTCTCATTAGACTATTGGTTCTAGACTTGTATACCCTCCTTAAGATTGAACAAAACGACGTGCAGCATGTCGGGACCATTTTTTGTAATAATCTTGAACAATATACCAATTCTTAAAAACCTTCCGAAGTAGTCAACATCTCGAATTGTCGAGTTGTGCCGATCTACACAAGGTTGCATTGGCGATGTATAATCTGCATTGAAAGCTAGTTTATCCCTGTTCCTCGAAAACATGTCGCTTAGGACAATTTGAGAAACCTTTGAAGAGAGATTATAAGTTACAACATTTTCCTGATTAAATTATGAATCCTTTTTTTTTTGGGCTATATTAGAGAACACGTTCCACTCCTAGTGTAGCCTAAGTGGTTGTTATGGACACCAGTGTTTTGTCTAGATGAGTGAAAAGCTGTTTGTGTTTAAAGAAGTGATTTTAATGACGAAAAACACCACCGCAACGATAATAAACAATAACAAAGCCAGGGATCCAGCGCTCTAGCAGTCGTGGTGTTACTCAGAATGAGTGGGGGACAAACGCGCCAAGCTTCAACATTATCAGGAGTTGCGCAACTGTGTTTAAGGTGGTTACCTATCCGGACAAATCTTCACATTTTTGTCAAACTTTCGCACACTTTCATATCTACAATTCCTCTTCGTTTCAGAAGATGATGGTTGCAAAATGGAAGATTGTTAGTTGACAGAAACCCAGGATACAGCGGCCTGTAGACCACAGGCTCATAAAACGATTGTGTGTAACACGAAATGAAGCAACAATTTATTGATTTGAATCTTGAGACCTAGAACCACCGCAATGGCGAACACTGAATTTGTATCTCCGGAGTCATTCAGTGGCTGCAATAAGGTCCCTTTGCGAGTCAATGCTTAAGCTTAGACTCAATCATCATAGAAGTAATAGAACAGAGAGATAGAACTAATGCTTCTGGGTCGATTTGAAATGAAATAACATTTTTATGAATAAGCTCCATAAATTGAGTAATTAAGAACCTTACAGCAGGAGTATCTAAAACCAAGCAAACAGTGTCGTTGTCTGGTCAGAAAAATTCATAGTGGAGAAGCTCACCACAACAAACACAAAGCAAGGCACATGTTGCAAAAATTCTATCAGTGAACGTCGTATCCACAAATTCTGAAGGTGTAACGACGTATAATCTATCACAACTCCTTCATCATTGATAGTGATCCTCTTCCCCCGAAATCATCACAACACAAGTCGGCGACACATCTCACTTGCCACAAAGCTCCTACTGTCCGAAATCATCAAAACAAAAGTCAGCGACAAGTCTCGTTCGTCACGAAGCTCCTGCTCTTTGTCAGGTTACTCACCATCATCATGGGCTGTCCACCTGTCACTAGGCACGAAGTCGAAGAGGTCATCAAGAATTTTCCCCAATTACCTTCTCTTGATGAAAAGTTCTGTCTATACAACCTTCCACGAGTGTATCTAAGATGCTGCAAGGAGCACCGATTTTCCATGAAACACCTCCTCGCGTTCAGAGAAGTCTACGCCGACAACATCTACGAGAACCTTACCACTTTGAGTGAAATTTGGGGGCGTCATGCTGCCACCATCCACAAGCGATGGTCCCGAAAGTATGATGTACAGAAAAGGAAGGGCTACCTCAAGGCTGTGTGGCCATTCATATCCGAAATCCACCGACCGGACATCGAAGCGGCTCATCAGCTTAAGGTTGGTAGATTGACAGAAGCTCCACTTGAAGCCTGCCTATGGCCACACCTCAATTTGGAAGACCTGGCCAAAGCAGAGCCTTTGATCTGGATGGTGAACTCGAGACTCCAGGCTTTCCCCAGTGCTTTCGCCGATGTCGACCACAGCTTTTGCACATATGCCCTGGTGAACGATTTAGTGCCTTCTTATACTGAAGTCAGCAAAGACTTCCAATCCCACCAATTGATATTGCGGGACAAAACCTGCCCTTGCCATTACGGAGAACTTGCCGAGAACAAGGAGAAGGATTGCGGTACCGACTGCAATTTCAATACGAACGTGGACGACGCAATCATTATCCTTCAAATTCAGCAAAGAGTCTATCAGTTCCTTGTTAGCATTTGCCGTCAGATCCTGCAGGATGTCACTAAGGCAGGAAAGGACCTGATACAAGACTTTGAGGCTTTAGAAAAGCCACCCGTGTTCGAACTCGAAACTGGGAACCTCACATCATTGGAAGCAGCTGCGATCCGTGCTCCATACCGTGTACCGGTCAAGATCGATATCCAGAGAATGGTAGATATGGTCAAAGCGAAGAAGCATGCGGCTGAAGACCATCTGCAGTCGATAAGAGAAGACCCTGCTTACTTCGAAGCGACTCTGAAGAATTGGAGCGAGCACAGCGTCGAGCGCTACGAACCGCACCTGGCCGAAGATGGCTCTCGACATTGGATAAAGTTCAAGTCGTGGAATTGGGGCGATGAACTGATTGGTAAATGCATCGCTGGCGCTTTGTACTGGTCCGAGATGTGGCGCGAACTCCTGCATCGAATTCGTCTTTTTCAAGACGCTCTTGACCAGAAACTCGACCCGAAAGTTGACCGCGTTCATAGACAGCTTCCTGAGTACATCAGAAAGCAGCTTGAGGGGCTGCTACCATACCTTATTCATTTCGAGAGCGACCAGGTAAAGCTTGTGGTGTCCTCATTCCTCGTAGCGCCCGGAGTCAGGGCTCACTACATGGAGGACAACATATCACGCGTCAATTCGAAGGACCACAAGCACATATCAAAAGTGTTTGACTTGCTAATGGCGCTGGTCAGTCCTGAAAAGAGCTTGGGCGGCCTCAGTTCATGGGGCATGCTCGACCAACTAGAGCGGCTTCGGAAAAAGGACCCCATAGTACAGAAGGGTATTACGCCCCATGTTGCTAAACTCCTATCTGACCTATCGGTCATCAGCGAATGCAATCGCCAGGTAATGCTCTTCCAGCCCTGGACTGGTCAAATTTTGGACGACCTCGCGCATCGATGTGACTTGGGCGAAATCACAGGGGCTGAATTCAAAAGCTGGGAAGAGAGCGTTTCAGGTTTGATCATGCGCCATATGAGTCCAGAGCTGGTAAAGCTAGCAACGCCAGAAGAAAAGCGGTTTCATTACCCGACACATAAGCGACGCACCAAAGAAGTTGTTGCTCAGCTGCAACTGGCCGAGATCAACTTGGCGAACTTTTAGGAGAAGTACGTAACCATTTTGGGAGATCGTCGATGCATCAACAACTATTTGAAGAATTTGCTGGATAAACCTGTCTATAAGACTGAGCCATGGGACGAATCTGAGCAGACCAATAGAGTCCGCCACCTTGAGCCAGAGATGAATCAGGTCGTGAACACGTTCGCTGTTCTCCATGTGGACGACCGACCACGACATTACATACCTGAACCAGTTATGCCGAAGCCTAAAACTAGAGGAGCCTCCGACACGCACGACGATGGTATCAAAATGCCTACGGCCGTGATCGACAAGACTTCCAGTCGCATTGAAGCCCCAGGCAGCTTGTCACAATCAGCATCGGACCGTGCTTTCATTGTTGACGACCGTGCGGCGGATGTCTTCGACGCAATATTCTTCAGCCCAAACATCTCGGCAAGCCCGGGGGAAGTAGACTTCAAGGAATTTCTGCACGCCATGACCTCGATTGGCTTCTGCGCAGAGAAGCTCTACGGCTCCGTCTGGCAGTTCTCGCCCAACAAAGACCTGTCTTTGACACAGGCTATGCACGTCCATGAGCCACATCCATCTCCCAAGATCCCTTACTGGGTTGCGAGAGACATCGGGCGTCGCATGAATCGGCGATGGGGTTGGACCATCAAGACTTTTGTGAGAACGTAGGTCAGGACTTAGATACCATTGTTAGACTATTAAGCTTGGAGGAATTGGTTCTGGTTAATCAATCGGAAAGAAGACGCATGATCTGAATTGGTGGAAGTCGATGGACTGTTTGTATGTCAGCAACATGAGATCAAGGATTGATCTGATGTGGGGATATTGGAATGGATTCATGTACTCGGGGAAGGTCATCACCGGTCTCCCCAAACGACACACTGTAGATACGAAGCACTTGGCATTAGGCAACGAACTCGGTAGTTGTGGGAGGAATAATTGCGTTCAGGGAAGTCTATAGCAACTGACCTATAGTGATGTGATCTCCATAGTTCAAGAGAGCTCTATCACATACGACTATATCTAGCTTTCGCAATGACCAAATTACCGTGAGGTGAACCATATCATGACACAACACCCAGAATGATGTTGAAGGGCGGATGTTCTTTATCTCCCGAGATCAAATCCCTCTCCCATATAAGGGTAGTTCCCTGGTACACGAGGCCGGACCAGGCGGTAACCTCTGGAGGAGGCAGAGACCACATATCCCACAACGGGTCTTCTATTTTTCGCCGAGCGTGAGTGGTTTAGTATCTATTGCAAGTAGGTATCAATCGGCAAAGTCGGCAATAGCAATGGTTGTACGGTTATGCCCTGTCCTAAGATAATATTCCTAGCTGCAGATGCGATGAAAGAGCCGGTTGCCAACAGAGCCGCACTCCCTTTGTTCATCGACAAGGATGAAGTATGTAGAAAGGGCTGTCTATGCTTAGAGCTAGGCCCTCTCTGTAGTCCAGCCTGACCTCCGGAAATACATTCGCTGGCAGCCATGAGTTGAGATTAGGTGCAGAGTCTTATCACACTAGGGTTGCCGACGTATACTTCTGTTGTTTTTCGAATCAATCAAATTTATTATACAGACCTTTCGTGTTCATTTAGATCTGTGGCTTCTTAGCTACCACTTTGACTTCAACCAGTTGGAAATCGACTCAAGATTCGCGCCTAGACGGTTTCCTGCAGAGTTGGCAGCCTGGCGAAAACTGGGGCGCCTGGGCTGCCGATAATATAAGTCCATCTCACGAACCTCGTAATCCGCGTTAGGCAGAACGAACGATTCACTTGAGGGAAGCGATACGTATGAACCTCCGGAGGCCGATCTATGGCTCTGCAGGTCTGCGAGATATCCTTTATGTTCTGGTTCAGCCAGATGGGTTCCTGAAGGTGTGCGTAAGGAACTGTCACAAGCAAGATGCGTCTCGTCGCGAGAGGTGACGGTGGAGGGCCGTGCGGTGCTCGGTGCTGTGCGCGTGCTCGGTCTTGCATTACGCGGCGGCCGCGTGTGAATGCTACCGACATCAAGGCCTAACGTGCTGGTGTTATCAGATCGCACAGTCGGATTCAAACCACAGTTTACACAGGCCAGATCTTCGTAACCGCCACTAGGTCGTTGCGGCAGCTGCCGTAGATGGTAAGAGCGGCGCTGAAGTTGACGAAGCCCAAAGACCTATGACTCGTTAGCAGTTTCGCCAGGTCTTCTTCCAGGACTTATCACATACTGGTGCTTTCTCTGAAACGGCTCGAAGCCGCCATAGGTTCACAAACGAACAGATTTGAGGAACCAGGATAGCCAGGACCAAGATGACGAGCTCCAGCACAAGTATGACATAAGCACTAAGGCACCTGGATGATATCGATGCGGAAGGTACAGCAAACGGGATCATAAGTGCCAGAATGACGAACCTGCCGGCACCGCAGACAGTCACCATTGATAATGAGAGTCTAGGAACCCACCTCAGAACTGAGATGATGGAGACAACCTCGCAGAGCATCAGGAGTGCGATCTGAGCACTTCCTGAGACCTGTACTGCACCAATCACGATGCCACGCGACGCGGACACACTGAACTGGACTATCAGATAGATTTGTAGATTCCGTTTTTGAATATGTGTACCTCGGGCAGCTTCTGGTATGGCGACATATAAAGCTGCGATGCGTTCGACTGATGTTTGCTTAAAAAGCCAGACATAAGCAGCAAGAACGACGAGAATGAGCAGGACCGCCAAGGATACAAGATATTCAGGTAACAGGTTAATATTATCGAGCTGATATGCCGAGATAGCAATGATCGGTTGCATGAAGTACGTCAAGACTATTCGCAAGGTGTCCACGATCAACTGCTGCAGAGTGGTGGATGGTTGGATCTCGCTCGGAGGGTGCAGCCAGCAATATAGGAGCCGGTGAAGCCAGACGAAAATGGCGGCAACGGCTAGCACGAGAAGTACGAGGATTGTCATATTGATCCATATCTCTATCGTCATTGGCGCGCCGAGGATTTGAATCATGTGTTCCATGCCATAGGTCCCGCCATATGTGCCATTGGTCTCATAAAGGCCATCCGCAATGCCGGCGTACGTGTATCCTCCCAAGAATGCGTTGGAGCTGCTGAACAGACTGAACCAGTTGAGGGACCTCACAGCGGGCTGGAAAAATCCGGGATAGCTTAGGCTTAGGCAAGCTGAGAGAAAGACAAATTGTAGGTGCTGGAGGCAAAAACCGATCCCATTAACCGCCAGCGGCTTATGGTCAGTTTGCCGCAATTGACTATTCGCGCCCAGCTCATCTCGTTCTTTCAGTAGCACTTGGCAATAATTCATGCCCAGCACAACGATCAAGATAACAAGCGGGCCATAGAACAGCGCATCGCGCAGTCTAATGGGAATTTCCGGTGTAATATATGCAGAAAGACACCCGGCATCAGTCTGGTTGGCGGCACGCAGGGTGATTTCGATTTCAAATGTCGACAAGGGGTAAAAGTTGTCGACTCTTTGCGACAGATAAAGCGCTGGTTTGAAAGTATTGAAACTGTGGTTTCCTTCGATATACTGGCTCGTGGCGCAAGGTCCGTCGACGGTAGGCGAATAGGCACGTGTCGAATGGCCAAGGAGCGTAATGTCGGCTGTCGTGCTGTTTGTCTCGCAGTCCTCGAAATTCGTGGGATCAAATACCTCAAGGGATATATCCGTGTGCGACTTGCCCGGGTGAAGCGAGGCTCTCAGGCTCCCGGAGTGCCATGTTGACGGACCTGAAAAGTGGTCGCATTGCTTCACCTGGACATAGGCGCTATGGCTCGGCCGACAGTGTAGAGCAAAGAGCGCCCAGAAGACTATCATAACGACAGGTATTTTCTGTCGTCAGATTCCAACAGGGACTAACCGGGTAAAAGAAATACACCAGATGATTTCCCACCTACACCAACACGGTTGCGCATTGTTTTTCTTCCAGTCTAGTCTACGCTGCCGTTCAGGAGACGCGAAATCCAGTGTCGTCTGTAACGCTTGACGTAAAACGCTAACTTTACTCTAGGTTAAGGTACTAGCTCCGGCTTCTCCGACGGGTGTCTCTGCTGATCAAGATCGACGCCCTGGAATCGGATTTCGGCACGACGCTTTTACTTGATGCAGCTCGAATACAATTATTGTCAATTCAGCCATGCCAATCCCCTTCCATTCTTCAAAGCGTGGGGTTCAAAGGCACTGTACACATGCGGGATCTGAATATCGACTTGAAGCTCATCATCACAAGCTTTCCAACCCCTCTAATCACTGTTGGCGACTGTAGGGTCGTGAAACACATGAGCTCTAACATCTATGGTTTCACGATTCGGATAGTCGATTATAGTTGGGCCAACGATTGCAGAGCGTGGGTTTCGGCTCGTAACACCTAACTCTGAATCGAAGCTCTTGAACGGTGCGACTAAACCGGTGCACTTGATGAACGGTATAGGGTTAAGGGCAATGATACTCAGGCGTCTTGCAGCACTTGCTCTCTATCTCAGGAAAACAAGCCCGCTTGATGGCGTCTGGATGTCGGAAACTGCCACTTTAGTCTCTTGATAGGTAGTGGGTTCTGAAACAATGCTCGTCGAGACTATATTCAGTCTCATTGCCAAAGAAATGATAGACCGTTACTGGTATCGACTCCTTCCGACAGCTATAATCATGAGGCTCGGGCCGAAAAGGGTAAACAGTGGTGGTCCCTTTCTCATACGCCAAGTCTTGCAGTAATCAAGCGTGGTTTGTACTTGGTGCTTTTGCGAGGCTGCTGGAGGAATAGGAACGCTAGGGCCATGTAGCTGAGCTGATGTTGCCATTCTCGCACGGTTGAGAATGCATCCATTCACGAGACATAAGATTGTGTGCTAGGCGCGTACTCAATAAATCGCACAGTACATGTGACAAATTGATGGATCTCGAATTCGCGGTGATAGAATAGAAGTTCGGTTCATCGTGGTAGGTAATCAAAGTAAATATTGACATAGTTTTGCGAGAAATACACGAAATGTGACCGCTCGCGCGTGCCGTCATGACCAGTGACCATCGTCGTCATTGTAAATGCTGCTCGGAAGACCCTTATGATGGGCTTTACAAACAGGAAGATATTACCGCCGAGTAACATGGCCCGCATCAAGACTACCTGTGTCTAGGATATGATCGGTATTTTATATTTACCAAGTTGAGAACTAGCGATGCAATGTCAGTATCCTGTGTTACCACAATCATTCGAGGGGTGTGGTAGCCTTCAAAGGGGGCCAGAAGCTCATAAATACATACACGCTCATTGATTGGGCGAATAATCGATCGCAAAATCAGGACAACAGGATCATGCTACGTCGCTGGCAGCAGATTTCACACGCTATGTGACCTCTGTTGTCTACTAGATTTAACTACAGAGTGTGGCTTCCTTAGTGTCCCCCTTGTGAGGCTGTCTCCCACTTCTTCACTATCTTCTATTCACCTATGGGTTGACCCACGGTATCCTTCGTGCGGTGTGGGTGCTCCCACTCAGAATTTCAGACCCATTGTCTATCACAGGCAGCGCGGTCGACATCGTTTAGTTGGTTATTAAGCTTTGTCAAGGCCTCATCTGGTACCTGAACGCCGTTGATGGCGGGAAGCGGGAGGTGAAAGAGAGTCTTAAACAAGTATATAGTCTCGTATCAGTTTTGTACTCCCTGAACGATGTTCTGGTTCAAGTTAACCATCAAAAACCTGGCGAGTTTCGCGCCTTTTAACATTATTAAAAGCAAGGTAGCAACAAACTGCTAGAGTTACAGGAACTTCTACTTGAAATGAAAGGCTCATCGAAGCTCGACGATAGCATCGGAGAGAGCTTGAGGGGAGTAGGCCACTCCCTAATTTTCCCATTTCGGCAAGCAAAGTTGATCGTACTTCGTCAAACTGCACAGTAACTACTGCAAACTCTATGCGTAGCAGTAAAATAGCATCATTGTATAGTTCTCGATCCAAGTCCCAAGTCCACCCTTGCTAACTTGACAACAAGTAATTTCGGAGTGACGGTTTCCAAGGGCAATAGCAACGTCGAAATTGTGCTGGGACTCCCCGACGAAGGACGAAAGCATCAGCACATCAAGTTGGCTGGGCTCCATACAGATGTACGAGACATAGGCGCACCCTATCATAGGAAAATTGATTCTGCTACTTTGGGAGTTGAAGAACTCCAAACTCAGCTACAAAATCAGAATGTTGGAATATCCATAATCCAGTCGCAAATAGGAGCGAACGCCCGCCAGCTCGAATTACTGGAACAGAACACCAAGAATCCTATAGCTTCTCTACAAGAGGGCCTTATGAAAATCAATTGTAACATCAGAGATGCCGAACGAAATATCCTCAGACAACTAAGCCTGTTCCACATTGAAAACGACTCAAGATATTTCGCAGTGGTTGAGCTATTACAGAGTATAAACACGCAATCAAAAGATCAAAGAGCGGTAGGGAACTATTATTACGACTTTTTCCTCGCTTCACAAGTGTTGACCTTGTTCGGGATTGCAAGTGGTGTGATAACCACCGGGGCGATGATAACGATGATGCCGAAAATCCAGAAGATGAGGACGACGATTACAGTAACGACGAAAATGGTAACGACGCTGCAGAGGACGAGTAACTGCAATGATAATAGCCAGGGAACGAAGAATCGTTTGTGTACCTAGTTTGCTTCAAGAAACTGTGCTGTTGGGAACTGACAAGGCCAACAACTTTTACTGATGAGATCCCGCCTTCTTATCTATTGCAATATCCCATAACTATACGTCTGAGATCACCTGGATATTTTCTGAATTGGGAATTACCCTCTGCTACGATAACCTTTTGTATCCAGAGCTCTCACTCTTCTGTACTTTCAAACTCATCAGCACAAGCTATCTTGCCGGACAGCCATAGAGCACAGCAATTCCCTGGTTGTCAAGGGCGATCCAAACATAGTCGAAAAAATTGGCAATCGAAAATATAGGCGTTATATAACAACTTCTCGCAGCGATCCACCATAAACCATCGGGCGGTCCGGCTAACATCCATGCTTTTGCTGGCCATACTCCCTGACAATATCAGAGTCCACTGTCCCCTTTTCCCCGCGAAATTAACCCTAATCACTTTATCAACAAGTTGAGTTTTAGAATACTAAACAAAGCGGCCTGAGTTAAATCTTCAAGTGTTGATAAGCACGGATCATGTATGATCGCACGGACTTTTGTTTGTTTCTTACAGCCAGCGGGGGCTATGGCCGACAGAAATTTTGGGGCGAGGGGGTTCGCTAGCCGGACTGCTATCGGGGATGGTCCGAGCATAATTACAATGTATACCCATCCAAGCTCGGAGGACTGGGGAAGGAATCACAGCACCCATAGGCTTTACATCGAACGATGAGTGAGTGCTTCAGGCTCGTTTCCATTCGTTTCGGTATATACACTGATATCTTGAGAATATCCCCAGCTCGTCTAACCCGGCACATCTCCATTCAGTCGTGCTTACTTCTAAACCGTCCCAAAAACAGACATGTAAAAAGAGGCACTCGAAGCCACCATCTGTGATGTAGTAACGCAACGCAGCAAGTTTTCTCGTGACGGTATCTATGTTGGGTTTCACTTACTCAACCACTGTGAAATTTTGATATAATAATATTTGGTATGATAAAGATAAAGGGTGGGTATAATATGGTATCAATCATGTCGTTCTCGCTCTCCGCGTGTAAAGCCGTTATTTAAAGTGTCTGCCTTAGGTTCCGGCTTCGGTCGTTAGAATTTGGTGAATATGGTCGCTTCAAGTTCTGAATTGTGACCAGGGTATATGTAATCATTTTCATCTGCCGCCAACATAGTAGAGGTACGGTTAGGCAAGAACCCATTCACTGCCGCGCTTGACGAATTTATCAAGAAGCATGCCTAGGTCTGCCAACACGAAGCGACAGATGTAGAAGCCGAAGAACTCAGCAGCGTGTCTAGTACAAAGCTCCAAGCCAACTTGTGTTTTGTCAGCGTGTCGTAGTCCCGGGTCCTCGACCTGACGGGCGATCTGATCTGTTTTCAGGTTAGAACTACACCTATACAAGCCTGAGAACAAAGACTTACCAAGGGTCTGCGCAGCGTCGAACAACCGCGCAAGACTTTGCATGTATCCGGCATAAGGGCCATCAAATCGAAGGGAAGCTATATCACGCTTTGCAGGACGACTGCTGGGCTGGGCTACCATTGGTAAGCTCGGAAGAGTGCCCGAGCCAGCGCCCATGACTTCTCTCTCCGCTATACGTTCAGCTCCCCCACTAGTGGTTTTGTTGCCATAGGCGCTCGTAAGGTTTACCGCCGACCCCTTACTCCTCAATCTACGCCAGCTGAATGCTGCGGCCTTACCGCTTACGCTCGCACTTCGAGGTACCGAAGGAATGGTCTCGCTGTCTTCACGGTCACGATAAGCGCCTGCGCCTTGCGTCCCGACCTCGTGGCCTAGCTTTCTAGTCAGATTCTGTTGAACTTGCTCGAGGGCGTTCTCCAAGCTCTGCATCTCCTCCAGCACTGCGTCGGCATCCGTACTGTCAACTCTGGCCAGTTTCATCAGAGCAGCTGTTAGAAAGTCACACTGGGATGACTTGTCTTCTAAATTTCGAAGTTTCACGCCCTTCACTTTCCAGACGTCATGAGGCACGAACAAGCGGGTCGTGATGTAACCACCGCGAGGATGGGCGAGAGTCTGGTAAATAGCCCGCATGAGCCAGAATGGTCTCAGCATAACATCGGATGGACAAGGCTCCAGTGGTAGGGGAATATCTGGGTTTTCAAAGCGTATGGAAGAAGGTGAGCGGGGAGTCGGAGAGATAAGGTCCGAGTCAAAGAGATAGAGACCGCCAGATCCACCAACTGATTTATTGGTAAAGGTCGCTACCAGTGGGGTAGGCATGGCAGGTACGGATGGTTGTCGATGCATGGACGAGTTTGTTAAGGTTTGGCTTAGTGGGGTATTTGGTGACAGATCTGATGCCATGTCAATGTTGGACACGGACATTTGACGGATCTTCATGGATTTGAGGCTCGAGGAGGATTGCTTCATGCGCAATACACCACCGAATGGCGGCGCCGTTGGAGAGCCAGTGTGGAAGTCCTCAGAATCGTCTGTATAAGGAGGGTTTTGCGGTGGTGTTGGTGGCGACATGATTGGGTGAGGGCTTGCACCTCTGGCTGGAGAGTCAGGATTGCGCATTGAGAAGGGACCTGGCTTGGTTGAAGTGGCCGACATAGCCTGGCGCTGCTGAGCAATGAAGCTGCCTTGCTTAGCATGCATAGCGGATATGGCCCCAGGGACGCCAGCTGCGGGTTGTCCCAACTTCGTCGTCTCGATCTTGAGCTGCTTGGCATTCTGCCCCGACAATCTGCGACTCCGGACACCTGAAGAATTGCCGGACTGCGTTATTGGCAACTGAGGAAGAGCTTGTGGAGGTGGAGGTAAAGATGGTGGGGGAGGGTTCGTTATTGGGTTTGGCATTTCAGCGACGGAGGAAAGAACCGTTGTCGCGGTGGGCGGACTCGAACCTATCGAGCTGTGCCACGTCCGTTGTGTAAGGCCACTGGAGTCGGACTCCCTCTCTCTCGTAGCAGCCGCCGCTTGATTCGGAGCTTGTTGGCCAAAGGAGAAGTTGTTGAAGGCATAGTCCCTTGTGAAGTCTTCAAGCATACGCTCCTCCTCGTCAGAATCATTCCCGTCATAAAAGTGCCCATTGTAAGTTTGCGAGTCGCGGGTCTGACTAGCAACAGACATCTGTCTCTGCCGCTCTTTCTCCCGCGCGGCCCGTATGACTGCTTCGCGCTCAGATTCTACTTCTCTCTCTGCCTGTCGAACATGTTCTTTCGCTAGCTCCACTCTGCGCATCGCATTTGCTACAACATCGTCATCGTCATCGTAAGGTTCGTCATAGGCGTCCATGGGCTCAAACCCATCGTCATAAGCGGCTTCAACCGCTGCGTCGAGGGCTGCGTCGAACTCGGCTTCGGTACCGCCGCTGATACCACGAATATGCTTCCTCCTGAGACCGAATGAGGATGTCCTCGAATGAACAGATGAAGGCTCGGAGCCCCCCGATTCATCGATAGGATCGAGCCATGATATGGATTCGTGGCTCGGGTTACGGGTGTGGCCATTGCTTGTTCCTGCAGCCAACCGGTCAGAGTGCATGAAGAAATCCTGTCGTGCCACCTGCTCGGGTTCGGGTGTCATTGGTTTGGAGGGTGAAGGGGCCCGTCGAGGAGACAAAGGTGCAGGCATCATTTGGCCCTCGCTTGCCTGTGGAATGGTAAGTGAACCTTCGAAACCCCGTCGCATGGGCGACTTTGACATTGGCGACCTCGAGGAAAACGACGAGGTCAAAGGCGCATTTAGACTTGTCGAAGACCCTCCAAATCTTCCTGAACCTAATTGCGCTGGTTCCACATCGAGATTAGATGAGGACCCCCCGTATCTTCCTGAGCCAAGCTCTACTAGAATTGGCTTTCGCGTGGTCGTCGGAGAGACCTCCTCTTCATCGTCACTTGCGGGTCGCACTTCGAACGCGTTGAACGCAAGACTCTCCGGTCTCGCAGGTAGGGCCTTGCCGCCCGTTTGAACATGAATGGGAACCATGTCGTCTAGCTCCTCTACTCTGCTCGTATAGGTGCGCCGCTAGATTTTCGACTTTAGTACCATAGATCCTGAATTTTCTTGACAGCACAGATTTGCAGAATGTAACTTACGATGGCCTCTAGTTTCTTTTTGTCTTCATCGCCCGTTGTCCTGGCGAGCACCTGCGCCAATAATTCGCATGCTTCATAGTAAGATATTCGTGCGCCCTCGTAATTTTGCGCATTGTCAAGCTGGACAGCTGTGTTCGCTTTGGCCAAAGCCTTCGAAAGCATAGCCTTTTGCGACGGCTGTTTTTTGGTCCTGCCCGAGTCGGAGCTGCTCTTGGCGTTTGAGGAGCGACTCCTCGTGTGGCCTTTTCTCTCAGGCATGGTTTCCTCACGTGTTACAGCAGCTGCTGGAAGCAATGTTGTTGCTGGTTCTCGAGTAGTGATGGGTGTGCGAACAGCATCGGCTTGGTCATTCCGGTCCCAGAAATAGTCCTGCGGCTCGTCGCCCACTTGCGCTGAGAAAGGCGACACTGGCGAGTCTTCAGGTCGACCAGGGCGGCTTGTCCCTTGCGATGCGACCCGCGCAGCGAACGAGGTCGTGTCAAGCTCGAGTGAAGGTAACGAGAGAATCGGAGGCAGATTTGGCGGTGGTACAGGCGGAGGTGAAGAGGGTCGTCGATTGCCGGCACTCGAGGTGGCGCGAGGAGATGCGGCGATGATACTCGCAGTGGAGGGTCTCCGCTTGGTCAACCTCCGAGGAGAATAATAGCTAGATTGGGGCGACTCGGGGGCGATGGCACCTTGATTGAGAATGCCTATCGAGTCTATGCTCATGCGCCGTGAGAAGTTGGTTGTTGACCTGGGGTGCGCCTGCGCCTGCGCCTGGGCGTACGCTGTCGGCGGCGACAGATGTTGTTGCGGCTGGGCTCCAGGGACGTGAGAAGCGCGACTCGATGTCGTTGATGCTGACCACCGGTTGAGGTTGCGAAAACCTTCGCTGATGCCGCTAATAGCCCCTATACTGCCTCCGCGCGAATGCAGCGGTCTGGGGTTGGTCAATGGATCGGGAGGGGAGGTGGGATCATAGTCGGCAATGTTGACATTGGTTTGTCCAGGCCCTACGATACGCGGGGGCGGCAGAAGCGACGAAGTCCTGGGCAAGGTTCCCGCAAAGAAGGATGGCGATGCTGGCGACTCCTCCGCAATTCGTGCAGGCTGAGATAGGCTTTCGTTCGGGGGCGGGTCGGTGGCTCTGATGGTGAGATCGCTCGGCCGTCTATCGCTAGACTGAAATCTAAATTCCCCTATTTCTGAACCATATCCAACTCTGCCACTGCCACTGCCGCTGCCGCTGCCAGTATCGCTATTGCTGTTACCGGAACTACTCGCAGTGTAGCCACTCGCAGCACTGTTCAGCGTACCACTTCGGCTCCGATTGTAATGGAAACTGGCCGCCGGCCCCTTTTGCGAGAAGTTGATGGGTGTCGTGGACCGCGAGTAGGATATCGATTCGGACCTGGCTGAATTGACGCCAGCTGGAGTATAACGTCCTGTCGCAGTATTCGAGCGTGGTGGGTGGTTGTAGGACCCGTTGTAAGCAGCAGACTGAGGTTGGAACTGAGACTGGGATTGGGTTTGGGTTTGAGATTGGGACTTGGACTGGGACTGAGACTGGGGCTGAGAGTGGTGATGGCTCGCTGAAGCACTGGTGCTGTAGATGGTGGAGGCATGTGGTTGTGGCATTCTCAAGACATCGAGTCCGGTTCTCTTCTGGCAGCCGCTTTGTCCACTAAATCGCAGAAAAGAGGCACCAGATGCACTTGCACATAGCACACCACCCACAGACTAGAGCGTCGGTTTGGCGGCGTCCACACACGCTTCCACTTTCGTCGGAGCTGACGCGCGCTATGAGGATAGTATTGGCCCACGAACTGGCGGCTATCCAGATTCGTCGTAGGGGGTCTGCTGTATCGAATGGAATCACAGTAATGTTTCCGTACAGATAGTCGTAAGTGGGTAAGGTGTAGATCCAATTGCCCCCAGGCGGCCTTGTTCAGTGCGTACGGTAGCAGAGCTGGAGGGCTGAATCGTCTGTCGGAATGTCTCCAAATATGACTCCTTGATGATGTCTCTGAGGTGTCAAATGTAGAGAGGACCCTCCAAGAGACCCGTTGACCCCTACGGATATGTGGATGGAGTATGGCAGTATGGATACCGTGCCTGTACACCCAGGCGCTGCGCTATTATGCGCTCAGGAGTGGATAGAGCCGATAGCGCACGCCGCCCTGTGATAGGCGACAACTACTGTTCAGATGGTAAAAGCACGCAAACTGTGCCCACTCTCGACATGGAAATTGGAATTGGCAAAAGTCACTAGCGGTCTGGCTGTAAATCACACCACGTGCGATTTGTAGTCGTGCCGATCCGTATCAAAAGAGTGGCCAACTGGGGTGAAAAACGTATGAGGGAAACTCGGCAGGTGCAACGCTTGGTGGCTGGTCCCAAGCAAGACTCTGTGACAGTTGACGTGCAGGAAAACTCAATCCAAACTGCTGGTGCTGGGGGCCATGGGCGGTGCTTGCGCCTGAACCAAGATTCCAGTCCGAAGGCTCGACTTTACTCTCAATGCCCCAGAGACTCGATCAAATTCCAATGGAATCCGACGCGTTGCTGTGGGAGGGCCGGTCACAGGGGGAGGTCGCAGCCGTGCCCTGTCACTTGTCTGCTAGACCCTGTGTCCCGCTGCTAGCGCGAGCCCCCGTAAGTTGATAAATAGTATGTAGTACTCCGTGTCCCGTACAAGCAGTAGTGGTGGAATACGGATTGTGTTATGTACGCATCAAGTGTGTACCGTACTGTAGGTTAGATAGCTGATGAGTCGGGAAACAAGGGACCCCGAACGTTTTCGAGTCCCGTAAGACACATACAGTTTGATGTCCACGCCAACAGAAGCCTCGGGACTTCCAGTGTTGAACACAGACGACAACTCAATCCAGTGGCTTCATCGTTAAGTAGTTTGGGCCCCCAGGTCAGACAATGGCTGCGTGGTGGCTGCATTGGAATCTGTACATTCCAGGGGTAAAGGCGAAAAAGGACCTGTCTATCGGGTCCCAGGTCCCAGGTCCTTTGGCACTTCGTCAACCTACGTCTATGGCTTGCCTGAGCTTTTCCCTCCAGGACCTTGTTGACCCCTTTGACTCAATCAAAGGTACCTTCAATCAAGTACGCATTCAATTCATAATTTCGTACTCCTCAAGGTTGTATCAAGGGTGTTGCCTGCAAAATGGTTCCCACCATTCATTTTGGCTGCCCGGAAACGAACTGGTGATGGTGGGGTTGTCTGGAAACACAACCCCCAACGCAATCGACAATTGAGCACACCAGCGCATCGCAACATTTACGTACGTAGGTACTGTGCCCCCGATCAGCGACTATGGCGACAACATGAGAGAACTCACCAAGTTTAATTCTTCTTCTTCTTCTTCTTCTTCGTAACTGAACCCAAGCAAATATTGAGACCTCTTAACTGCCGTGCACGACTGCAAATCTTCTCCCTTTTCTGGACTGCTACTTCAGTTTCTTGTCTCATAGATCAATCACTTTTAGGACTCCTAGGCTGCATTACGCTTTACCGAATCCCAAGGTTAGTCGCATGCACCTAGAATACTAATGCAACTCCCTCAGGTTAGTTATTCTTTATGGTACCTTCTGACGCCTCACAACCAAACCCTCTGTCTACATAGTGCACTGATTCTGCAGGGTGACATCGCTGGTTTCTTTATAAAAGACACACCATGGATGCTGAAATAGTTCCGGCGGCATTAATAATTGAAATAGCCAAGAACTTGTTCCTGTCTTGATACTATTTGATGCGTCAAGGCTAAATTACTTGCCCGTCGGTGAATTAGTGAACTCGTCGTTTATCCATGGGCAAGATACGACTCTTATCCAGTAAGGTTAGTGCTGGGCGGTTGCACCAAAATCGTGGGGCATCCTTGCTCGGTGTGATGTTCTAGAAAGAAAGTTTAGGCTGGTCGTCCTAGGATCATGATTATACGGCTGGCATCCGGCTGCCGGTATCATGACCGTCCCATCGCTTTTGGGGCGAGAGAGTAATTGACCAAGCAACAGCAATCCAGTTTTCACCGCCCATATCCGCAGAAGTGCAATTGTATATCCAACTTCAGACGTTGGTTCTCTGCCCATCGCTCGATTGCATGCAAGCACTTGCAAAGTCCACCAGCAGCAGTGGAGCAAACCCAGGACCGGCATTGAAGTCGTTCATCAATTCAATGGATCTGACAGCAACGGTTCCTTGCGCTGCCAAATCATGCATTGGCACGGTACAGTGCACTTCGCAGTCATCTTTGAACATCCTAGGAAGGAGTATCATGTCTCAGATTCGCCGGTACGCATCCTTGCCTAAATGATCCGTAATATTGGGAATTGGTCTGGGCCTGTCCTCCAATTGAGGACGTTGAAATTCTCCGACCAATAAACATGGACAAGTATTTGATACACCCGGCAAAGGGACGACATAAGACGTTTCAGACATCAGCCAACCGAACATGGGAAATAGGCGTTCAAGGGTCTACAATTGGACTTGTCATCGACCAAACAACCTGTTGAGAAGGCTCAAACACACCCGTGGCTCTGATCTCACCTTACAAAAGAAACGGTCCATGTCCTGACGCACTTAGTTTCATGATGCTATCATTTATTCCGGATTGCAAGCCGTCCATGTTTGTGATCAAGCTCTACCAGTTATCGCTGGTTGTGTGCTATTTGTTCGAAAAGCTGCGATTACACGGAATGAAGAATAACCAACATATCCACCCCGAGGGTCAGAAAATCATCGATTAGGAAGGTGGCAGCAAACACTTGTGGAGCCAGATATGCGAATGTGGTACAACTAGCTTCATATTTGACCATGCCCATGGGCTTCTTGAAGGTTGGGGGCCTTCGGGAATATTATGACATAATTACAATTGCAGGAAGTGTTGTGTTCAGACTACACTTACTCTCGGACTCGACAAATGCAAGCAAACTATGAAGCCTGGATTCGTCAACGTGTATGTATGGTCCCGACCATTGCAAGGGGTATCCGCACCACTGTCACCATTGCCAGGGTGCTGCAAGCTCAGTAAGTTGGCTGTCAAACAGAACCGGACGATCCTGCATTCATGAGAGACCCTTAGATTTGTCTCCAAAGTGGAGTATACTGTAGTGTTCAAGCATGTTCATTGCCCTAATCGACGTACTTGCAATACGGCAGCTAGTACATGGTTCTTAATTATAGTATCACCACAGCTTATGCCTAATCATCAGTCAATGGATGTCGTTTTTGATCGCCTGCGAGCGTGACCTTAAAATATGCTTCGGGGTTTCACGACTCTGCAAATGTCCCGCTGTTGGTAGGTTTGAAAAATTGTAGAGTACACACTGTCATAGACACGTCACGTATGGTGATCAATAGTAGTCTACTGATATGGAGTGTGATGTAACGGTGAGGAACTGAGCTATTCTGTGTTCTACTGAAGGCTACCTAAAGTGGTTGCCCTAGGTGTCTACATGGGCAATAGGTGGAGACCTCGGGCATCCATTACACTGATATCGTGACCTACATATCACGGCCAAGATGGCTGAAAAGAAAAGACCTTGACAAAGGGACAAAATAACTACCTATATACCAACTACGCAATTTACACTATACACCACACCGAATGAAGCAAGCTATAGTCCCGCGATTTCCAGAAAGATATATGTACACATATAATATTATCACCACTTAACTAAACTGATGACTCACAAAAGCCTTACCTTGGAATGACAATGACACCGCCACAAACGCCCGGTTGACACTACTATACAGCATCATGATGATTGAGAGTTCAGGAAGTTCACCAAGTTCGTCGTAAAGATCTTGTGTACATTCGACGTCCTAAAATTTGGGTCAGCTCATCGGTATGAGATCCGACGAGACTAGAAATACTCACAGGTGTGCAGCGTTGTACCAGAAATACCTGCTCTGGGGTACGCAGCCATACTTGCCGGGATTGGTCAGCACATCCTGCTGCTGCCAGCCAGAACAGTAAGTCGCCGTGTTCGTGATGCCGTACGCGCTGGGGTTGCTCATGACGTTGTTCAGGAACGTGTTGGCATCGTACACCATGGCCTTGGATCCCGCGTTAGCCGACTGGAACGTGTTCGCCTTGGACGCCAGTAGCGAGTCCCAAAGGTTGACCTGCGACTTGGTCGGGTAGGGTGTCGAGCTGCGCTGGTTCGCGGGGGTGCGGTCGATGGGCGGCAGGTTCATGAACAGGAAGTTGCGAAAGCCGCGCGCGTACAGCGACTTGGCGCACGTGTTGAAGACAACGTCCAGCTCCGCGCCCCAGAAGGACGCGTCCGACCTCCCGCTGGGCTTGTACGTCTTGCTGTCGAAGATGTCGTTGATGCCGATCCAGATGGCCACGAGCGTGCTGCTGCGGCTCAGGTTGACCGGTGTGTTGGTCAGGATAGCGTCCGCGTAGTTCAGGTACTGCTGCGTCTGGTTCACCAGCGGTATGGTCACCGAGAGATGGCGCGGAAGGAACTGCTCGCTCACTGAGGCACCTGAGAAGGCAAAGTCCCAGAGTTTTCTAGGGCAGTTCGCGGGCGAGTATTGTCCGTTGCTAGTCGCACAGCCCGTCAAGAACTCAAGCCAGTTTGGACCGCCCTCTGCTGTGCCTATAACCCCATTGAGCACGATCTTATCGTTCAGGAGCTTTGAGGATGAGAAGCCCAGGTTGTTATAGTCGCCAATGAAGGATCCTAGTTGAGCACAATTTCAGTAGAGTTCATATTTGCGTTAGGGTCTGGAGCAGTTCAACGTCGCGCCATGACTTTGTTCTCCGCTGACTTGATGCAGAAGTTTATGAAGCTGTGCAAGAAAACCCTCATGTAGTGCTACGAGGGCACTCGACAAAATGGATTCTTGATACTTACGGTTAGGACTGCCAGCTGTGCCCAGGATGTAGGAATATGAGTCGCCGAAGGAAACAACGGATTTGGTGTTGGCCCAGTTGAAAGATTGAGCCTCGGAAATGCCGCTGAGGTTTAAAATACCCAGGACCAGGGCTGTGGTAGTAAAAGATGTCGACATTTTGAAGTTCTTGTAATGTGCTATACACTGTATGGATATACCCTTCACGATAGCATTTCGAGGTAGGAGATCATCCTGGCGCGGATGCACGTCTTATATATTCTTTCCACTACACCTACTTCCATCTGCCAAAGGTTCGTCTCTCCTCAATACACACATTTAAAACTTCACACGACAAGCACTTGTCCATATGACTATCGCGGAAGGTTTTGGGTTACAGAAATCAGCAGTGCTACTATCTAACGCGACGTAAGCCGCAATGTCTCAGCCACGTTCAGCATCCACAACGGCCAACCCGTCCCCCCGGGTCTCTTGCTTGGGCTGCAACCGTTGTCTAGCCCTTAATCCAGGAACGATTATGAGTGCTGTGTAGGTGTCAGCGCCAAGGCACGCCATTGGCGAGCGTTTTTGGTGTTCTGAACTAGTCTAGTCGACGGTCCATGCGCTGTGGTGCTGACTGAGTCTCGATTCATGTTCAGTCCGGCTCGAGGCAACGTTCCAAGCCCGTGTTCAGGGTCCAAGCGTACCCCGGTGATGTTTTTAAGTCGTAAGAGAAAATTATGTCTCGGAAGGTCGTCGGCAGTACGTCTAACTGGTTACCAACCTCGTTAGGGTCTATGTGTTGGTTGCCGAGTACGATCATGCTTCTCCAGGTCGTGAATGCTGAATGGCTCGGCAAATACCGATTACTATCGAGCGCGCATGATCTAGAGTTCGTCTAAAGTAGAACAAACTTCAGATATTACAAGTATAAGCTGGCTAACAGTGGGTTGAACTAGACAAGAGCTTATGCTGAGCACCTGAGCATTGACCGTCCGCAATTCAGCTAAGTCTTTTAATGCAAACCAAGTATTTTCGATCTTATGTGTACATAATTTAGCTGCTCCATAGGATATGACGTTCAACTCTGTAGTCGCCGGCTCGACATCGACTAATGTTGACGTGCAGATGCATCGACTGTACTTGTGACAATATTCCCAGCGTGGAGGTGAGATTAAGTTTCACAAAGAACAAATTCGGCACAAGTGAATTGTTGTCGGCTGAAAGTAGTCACTTCAGCAGCAAGTCGTTGTGATCATATGTAGTTCTTTGTTATGTCAGCGTTGCGATCTGCAATATCCTGTAATGGATCATAGAGTCTGAGGCGAAGAGGGATGGATGGGAAGCATGTAAGAGTATTTACACTGCTCTATCCCACAACTTCAAAATGATTAGACATCTTGCAGTAAATAAAAAGACCTTATGATGTATGACTCGCCCTCGTTTATTGTGGTCATCACGTATTGTGTATATAGGAAAATGTGGCGTGTCCATGTGTTCAGGGATCTTTTGCTGCGTCACAAATATTCTGTAGAATGTATATGACTGTTATTATGGTAAATCCATGGTATCTCATAGAGTGGAACTAGAAATGTACAGCTCGATACTTCAACATCTGATTGATATAGTTTCACTGCGCTAGACAAGCCTAGACAAGCCATTGGCCAAGGAGACCATCTGACGTTGTTCTCGAACGACCCAATAACTTGGCGAATCAAGACTGGTCCCATGCTCCACTTGGCGTGTCGCAAAGAGGACGGACAAAGGAGCAGAGGCTTGGGAAGATCGAAGATTTCTGAGTTATTATTAATATGCTCTATATTAGGAGTATATACTTTATATTAGGAGTCTAAGAGACTAGATCCCCTGATGAATAGAAGGGTAACTCTTCGAGTAGTGTCGGTAAAGTACAGATGTTATACTGTTCTGATCATTAATTCCTGAACGATTTTATTCATTAAGTTACGTATGACTCTTTATCAGAGTTTACTGTTGTGCTTCAGAACGACGACGAAGATTACAGTGCAAATGTGGAAGGAAACTGTTAGAGTCACATTTTGAGGACATACAATAGTTTGAATGTCAATATATTTCTATGGGCTCTAACTTATTATGCATTACTCACAGACGTGCTAGGGCTGTTTCTTGTGACCTTCTTGAGCTGGATAGTGCGTGTACAATATCAGCAGCACTTTTACCTGCCTTTCGCCCAAAGATGGCGCCCGAGGTGAGTCCACTCCCTCCTGGGTAGTTCTGATAGAAGAGCCCGCCAAGCATTTCACCACAGCAAAATACGCCTGGAACTGTCTTTCCTGTCAGATTGGATATTACGCCAGAGGTTTTTGGGTCTACGGCAAGTCCTCCAAACGTAAAAGTAACACCACACCTCACACGCACCGCCATATATGGGCCTTTCGTCAACGGCAAAGCCCAGTTCGACTTTGGAATCTTGAGTTTCTTTTGTGACGACTGCGTGGACAATCCGTCTCTAACTGCCGGATCCCACTTCTTCCCGTTGTTTTCTTGCTGGAAGAGCTGTACAGCCTCATTGTATTCTTTTACTTCTTCCGCAAATCGACTGGGGTTCTCAAGGCCTGCCTTCGCACAGTTGGTTGCAAGCTCTTCGATTGAAGCGCCGTGGATTTTATCGACGATCTCATCTCGATATTCTTCACTACGCAGCCATAGAATGCCCTCGGAATCCCAGACCTGGAAAGCAGTGCCACCAGGCTGCCCCAAGATAGCCTTGCCAAACTTTGCATAGGTGTAGTTTCGAAGATCACTACCTTCATCAAAGAAGCGCTCCCCCTGAGTGTTCAAAGTAATACCCAGAGGATAGCCGGACTTCGTGAATTCATTAGATATTATGCGATCTCCTGTGTTTTGAGGCGAGTTAGCATCCCAAGCAGTCGCGTGACATCCAGACCAATGACCGGCTTGCCTCGCTGAGATATCTCGCATGGCGATCTCTAGTACCTCGCCAGTATTGTATGGGGTGCCACGAACGTGGGCTAGATCCCACCCGTGGCCGAGGTACTGCGCGCGCATCCGCGGGTTTGCCTCGAAGCCACCAGCTGCTAAAATAACAGCTGATGCTCGAATTTCAAAACAGCCACAATTTTTTGACTCGACTATCAAAGAAGAGAATGCGCCAGTTTGCGGGTCTAGGTTGATCTTCTTCGCTGCCGTCGAATGTAACACCACAACTCCAAGGCGCTTGCATGCAGCCTGATGATCCTGCACCAGGCCTTTGCCTCCGTCTTCTGTCTTGAGACACATACCACCCCAGAACTTGTAGCGCCCATTGACCTTATATGATTGACGATTGAAGCTGAGTTGATATCGCATACCATGGCCCGCCAACCACTTGATGGTAGCGTTGGATTCATCAACCAAAGCCTCGCCGAGAGCCCGGTCAAAACGGCCATCCGTCACCCGGTGCATATCATGCAGGAAGTCTTCTCGCGTATAAGGATCCAAGTCAATCTCTTCTACCAGCTTATCGTCAACATTGTTGATTATGGGCAACACATCTTTCAGTCCCCCATGAACGGTACGCATAGCGCCAGCAGTGAAATATGAGTTGCCACCAGCCCATTCTTCGGGACATTTATCAATCAGCAGGACGCGATGGCCGGAGTTGGGACCAAGAGATTCGGCGGCAGAGATAGCTGCACTGTATCCTGCATTGCCTGCTCCAACCACAATGATGTCGAAGTTGCGGTGGGAGCCGACCGAAAGTTGTGTTTGGGCGGGCATAATGCTGGTGGCGTAAGTGATCGCTAACAGAAGTCGACTGACGATCAAGCCGACGACCGAAAGTCGTTGAAGGGTCGTTTTGCGGCGTGTCAACCCTTAGAAACTGTGTTATAAGAAGTATTATGTCTATGAAATAGAAATAATATCAAAACTGCGGTTATTTAATACCCCGCTAAGTACGGTTATAGGCTCTATTTAAAGAGGTAAATCTATTAACCTAGTGGTGATCAATGAACCGGAATATGATTGTCCGTGTAGGTTGCCGCGCGGCCTAGTGCCCTTCTCCCTAGCTCTAGGGACCGTCTGGGTATGATTTCGCTACGACACCAAGTGCTGAAATTAGAAGTCAGCTGCGCACAACATGGCTTAATCTTTTTGCAACAGATGGTGTTTATCACCGATGGATTCAATGCCCGTTACCCCTTGTCCCACTAGTATTAGCATAATGTTGCGTAATTTTCGGTGATCAAGACTGTCAGATGTTCCAAAGTACTTTGTAAAGATGCAGTTGGTGGCGTATTATATCCACTGGGAAAATAACGGTACATTTCTGGCCGATACTAAGGCAAACGTGGCAGAAGATACAACATCCCACGTTATATATGGGGTTAATTAACCGTAAGATTTTATTCCTGCATTATAAAGCCAACCTGCCGGTATAAAGCATTTTAGAAACTATACAAACTTGAAAATTTATTAGTAAAACTGTAATAACCATTATCATTGTATATTTTCCTATTGGCCTCTTATTCAAATCCTGTATCGTATTCAGTCATGTTCAAGGTTATACTGTATTTATCAGTAGAAAACCACTAGACTAACCTAGACTAGTGATCGATTTTACCCCCCAGTGGAATTTTGTATCGATAATGCATGTCATAGTGAGAATACTGTGCTGCTCGTACCTTCTTACATAGCAAGATGGAGTAGTTGGGTTAATATTGGGCGTTAGTCAGCAGGGATACTATTCGAAACATTCTATCTAGTGTCCATGCTTTGGAAGCTTTCTATAGAATCCGTAAACCCAAACAAAATATTATTTATCCATGACTCACTATCAATGCCATTCACGTCAATCGATCTTCAGAGCTCCCCAGAGCCCTTAATAGGTGAAAACGTATTAAAAGGCGCGAAAAAGACATGAATTGAGGTGAGACCTCGGGTATATATGAGAAGTCCAAGTACAACGAATCAGGATATTGGGTCACTACATGGAGGATCAGAGCTTTATATTTCACGAGGGGGGGATTGCCTTCAGACTCTACAATGCCATATCTCCACATCAACCGCTTATGATTTCTGCAGGTTTTGTGACCCCCGGATTGGGCGTTGAAAATGTATCCAATGCATTGAGACCAGCACCAATAAGCGAGTGATTTCGCTATTGGTGTGTCCTTTCTCTAAAACTGCATTGCGCAAGTAGGTTGTGCAAAAAACATAAGCTGTATGACTGGTGAGATATGGCGCACCCTTTAGTGTGTATCTTCCTTGATAAACAGACACAAGGCTTGTTATACTTCGTGCAACCACCATACACTTCTTCCAACAAAACCTTGCGGTGCTGGGAGATTGGCTGCGTGGGTACCCTTCAGTAACAAATGGTCGATTGAGTAGAATAATTAGGGGGTGATATGTATTGCGTAAGTTTAGAACGTCGGTTGTGGGAACAGCCTTGTCTTTGGCCACGCGATCAAAGACAAGGTACGTCGGGAGGCGATCGTACCAAGTCGACAATGCCGTATCCAGTACTTGCATTTTCGTGGCAGCGCTCGGCGTAGCTGTGCGTGATGAGTAATATAAATTGATTGACAGATAGCAAAGCTGCTGAAGTATTGTTACGGAATAGACAGCGATGAGCTGGCATGTCATTGCTGAGGAAGGTATCTCAGGATCGGTATACGGTGTCAAACTTTCGAGTTCCTCGAAAGTGTCGACAAACTCGGCTGTGCATTGATTGCCGTGCAATTGCATCACCATGGGACACACAAAATAAAGACCCTGCAGTTTGTCACAAATGAAAGCGTCCCAAAACACTGTTCTTCGGAAGTTTATCTCTTCCAAACTTGTCCTTGGCTTGCAATCAGTTCGTCTCAATGATTGAAAAAAGCGCACCCAGCACTCAGGGGATCGATCGGGTCATCACGCAGATATTGCTTTCAGAGGAAGTCTCGAAAAATAAGGCTCTCCATGTAGTAGATCCCGCATCAATGCGTGCAGCCGGCAAATTGACGGCCGTGAGGTGCCATTCTGGCGTCGATGCCTGACTTGTGAAATGGACGGGTGGGGATCTCTGCTCAATGATCCGCTGGTAAATCAAGCTGGGTTGGTTTCTGACACCGGACCTAACTCTGCCATCTCAGAGGCTCTGCTTGAATTCGATGATACTATTGATACAGTTAAATGTTCGATCACCACCATGCATTGTTGATTCTTCTTTTGCGCAGACTCTAGAACAGCATTTACGTTTCCCCACCCCATTCACAACTGCGCTGCTGTCGGCGTTAAGCTAAGTAAAGGGTGCGGAGAACCTAGTATAGCGCTCCTATCTTCTTCAGGTCCTGCCAAGTTATGGTATGTAGGAATATGCGCATAGAGACAAGTAGCCCACCACGGTTTTCAAGTACTGTAGTCTGCTTTGTGGACCATGACTTTCCGTGCGCCGCAAACCTATGCATATGTTGCTATGGACAAGTCATGCAATACATATATACGATGAACCAAGAACGATATAGGATAGGGAGGGCCCACATTTCGGATGATAAAGTTAACTGAGTATCTAGGATTGATCTATAGTTGCTACGCGTACGCTGTGCAATGATCACTTGAGAAGTTTCACCTCGCAAAGTTAACCTAGCAAGCTGTTGACACAGGTGCTCTCGTACTTTGCAATATAGTCTCTGCCTTCAGGGCTGCCACTCACCGGCCACCCCATGCGGTCGGCAGAACAGCAAGTGCAGCTAATCGAAAGGTAGACAGTAAATGTTGCGATGCACGCCTGATCAAGATCAATCCAAATAGCATAGAATAGCGACAATGAGGCTCAAGATTGAGAGCTAATGCGCCACCTTTATGTGCCTACTTTCCCGTACTTGGCGGCATTATGTATGCATTTTTAGTAACTTCATTCTTCTCACTGCCATGCTCACAGCAACAACCAGAAAACAGCCGGTGCATGAAAACCATTAGTTTGCGAAATTACACAATCGGGGCCCCGCGTTTCGGCTCATACATACAGGTGACGTCGAGGAGGGAAATGAAACCGCCATAGCGCTAATCGTAGGGCTGCAGTAATGACGACATAGCATGCGTCAAGTTGAACAAATTCTAGGGTAAAGAAACTGCCGTCGACTCCTAGTAACAAACGAGATCATTGTGATATATGAGTAACATTCCTGGAATTAGTTTCAGAGCTGAGTATAACAAATCTGCAAACCCACGACAATTCATAACACCTACCGCACAATCTCTAACACGTTATCTCAATCATGGCCTCCACCGGACATTCTCAGCCGCCTAAGGCTACAGCATACCAAACAGAAGGTGTTGGTGTTGACTCAAATCCCGCAGAGCAGCGCGCTGCTCAACATCCTCATAGCCATGGTGAGCCGGTCGACCAACGGGTTCCAGAGTCCCAGTCGTCAGGCTCGCACAAGGCCTTGCCTACGAGTTTAGCTCAAGGTATTCGTGGAGCACCGCCTGGAGAGGAGCAGAGCGGAAAGACACAAGAGGATGTCGGACGACATAAGGAGCTCGAAGGCGAGCAACTTGCAACATTCAGTGAAGGAAAGATAGCTGATAACGTGGAGCGGAAACCTGGTGCGACTGGCTCACAGCCAGATCTTGCAAGTGATCTGGATCGGTACGTGCACTTGTTGCGAACAAGCATGACCTATCATTTATTGACTACGTAAACAGCAAGAAGGCCGAGCAGGCCGAGAAGAGGGAGGATATCAAGCAAGCTAGAGCACAGGGTACGCTGAGTGGTGATGTTGATCAACGCGCCACTGGAAACGAAACTCTTGGGGATGTTTGATACAATCAATAATGTTAGATTAGTACGACAAAGGTGGTCGCTTATGCTGGAGGATTTGCTTTGATAAATTTGATTTTCCATACTGAATCAACGATCAGAGAAAGCTGAAATTATTGGGAAAAATTTCCATGTGTGAACTCGAATGAATCTACCGCTACTTTTTGGTGCACCTATTATGAACTCTGTTATTGCCATTTCTCCCTGGCGTTCTAAATTGTGGGTTATATGCGATGACACAGGGCTGTGCACTAACTTCGGAATGGAACAACGGAAGTTGATCCTGAATCAATTGAACGACACAATATCTGCTGGGTGAAATCACTTGTGAGAGTTTCCAGGGTTTTGTATATTGTTGGTCTCACTATCCTACCCTGAGGCCGCCGCCCATGCTACACACATGGAGCGCTGAGGTTAAGGTCAAAAACAGATACCGCTCACTACGGATTCCAGCCTAAGAACATGGTTGTATCGTAACGCAAAGATGGCGGCCTGTTCAACCCTTATAAAGAAGGAGTTGAAGTTTTCATCTGTGATGTAAGCCTTAATTACTCCTTGTCATATCCTGCCTGCCCTCAGTCGTTTGTTGTTTTGGGGGAACAGCATGCCACGCTAGCCTGAGCGAGAAGTGGAGCAGTTTCCTTGAAGCGCTGCCTTCCAACTTTCCTTCCATCCATCAACCTGACTCGTTTACAACTAATGCTTCACTAAATAGGGTTCCTCCAAGTCACTGACGAAGCCTTTCACTTCACCATGGAGTCACAGATTGTGCTTCAAACTTGGGAGACATTTAGCGGAAAACACTCTGCAAACCTGAAGGCTACCAGCAACAATGACGTCAGCGTGAGTACGACGCGGTCCTTCCGCATTCAGTAAACAGATATCTGACTCCCCTATAGACGAGCGCGGCCACTTCGCTACCAGCAGTTATCGCTGCTTTCATCCCGTCGCTCATCACGGCAGTACTGTTCATGTCAATATTTGTGGTCATACGGAAGCCGTTTCGCAGAATCTATTCGCCAAGGACCTACATTGACTTGATTCCCGAGAAGTTGGACACCTCAACCTGAATCGCTGTCCCTGGCATTCACTAACTATTACAGGCATCGAACTCCATCCTCAAGCGATTCTCGTCTTGACTGGATTAAAGCCTTGTTTAGACTTGATGATAAGTTCATCCTCGAACACTCATCCCTCGATGGATATCTGTTCCTACGGTTCATGAGAACCATCATTTTCATATGCTTCGTAGGATCATGTATAACATGGCCTATATTGATGCCGGTAAACGCCACAGGTGGAGGAAATGCGACACAACTGGACAAGATCGGGTTTGGCAATGTGCGCGACCCATCTAGGCTTTGGGCACACGTCGTAGTGGCTTGGGTGCTTTACATCTTTGTAATGTACGTTGTCGCTCGAGAGCGACTGTGGCTTATTGGTCTGAGGCAAGCATGGCAGTTATCCAAGCCCAACACTGGCCGGCTCTCTTCACGAACAGTTCTATACCTTGACCCCCCTCAAGATGCGCCCTTGGAGGGTGATCTTCATTTGAATTATGGGCAAGAGGCACGCAAGCAATGGGTCATTAAATCAACGGAAAAGATCGACAAAGTCGTCGGCTCGAGGAACTCGAAAGCAAACGAGCTCGAATCTGCCCAAGTCTCATTCTTGGTCAAAGCAAACAAGAAGAGGTCGAATTCGTCCAAGAAGCAGGGCTCCAATGCTTCTCTTTCCGAAGCCACTATCAACGAGCTTCGTCCAGTCCAAAAAGATCTTTATGTCACTGGAAAAAGCACCGATAAAATCAATGGCCTTCGTGTTTCTCTACAAGAAGCAATTCACAAGGTCGATGACCAGCGAGAGTCTTACCCTACTGACACCAGCCATGGCCGTTTTGCAGTTTTTGTCGAATACGAATCCCAGTCAGCAGCTCAAAGGGCATACCGTGCGGCCCCAAAATCTGTCATACCAGTACCAGCAAATTTGTCCATTGAATCCAAGTTGATAGGTGTCATGCCAAACGAGGTTTTATGGGGAAACTTGGCAATGCCGCATGCGATTCGAGTGTCCAGGAAGACTGCCGGCAATATCACAATTGCAGCGCTTATATTCTTCTGGTCTTTTATTTCCGCTTTTATTGGAACCATATCCAACGTCGATTACTTGAGCGATAAGTTCGACTGGCTTCATTGGCTACAGAACCTACCAAGCCCGATCCTGGGAGTCCTAACAGGTCTGGTGCCCCCATTGATAACTAGTACCCTGTCATCCTACGTTCCTATATTCATGAGATGTAAGCTGTCGACCCTGTGCCTTTTGTGTTGTTTGATTGTACCTGACAGCAGTGTTAGATGTTGCCAAAAACTCCGGGGAGCCAACGACTGTGACGGCAGAACTGCAAGTACAAAATTGGTACTTTCTGTTTCAGGTTATTCAGATTTTCTTCGTCACGGCTCTCTCTTCATCAGCAGCGGCATTCATACCGCAAATCATTACACAGCCTCACCAAGTGCCTATATTGTTGGCTCAAAATCTACCCAAATCTGCCAACTTTTACTTGACTTACTTCATCTTACAAGGTCTCGGTTCGTCGGCCAAGAATGTTCTCAACTACTCGGACCTTTTCCAGTATTACTTATACGATATGTTTCTGAACAACACCCCACGAAAGAAGTACAGTCAATATACTGGCCTTAAGGGAATAAGTTGGGGCAAGCTATATCCCAAGTTCACAAATTTCGTTATCATTGCGCTTGCTTACTCATGTATCTCGCCGCTGGTTTTCGGTCTTGCTTCTGGCGGTCTTGCGCTCTTTTATTTGAGCTACCGTCACAACCTCTTCTTTGTGGTTCAGCCGAAGTTGGAGACAAAGGGGAAATGCTATACGCGCGCCCTTTCACAGATTCTCACTGGTGTGTATATTGGTGAGCTGGCTTTGATCGGATTGATGGCGCTTCGCAAGGCAACTGGACCATCCATTTTGATGGCTGTATTGTTTCTTGCAACTGCTCTGTACAACCATGTCTTGAATCGCTTCCTAAACCCTTTGGAGGAACGTTTGCCTGCCAAGTTCCTCAGCGAAGCCAATGGTGAGGAAGATCCGCTGTTGGCAGCCGAGGAAGGAGAAGCTAGTCTGGATGAGGCCCATGAGCGCTCACAGATCCATCACTTGGGGCACGATGTACATTTGCCGGAGAGGATTATTGATCCTATCGCTCGCTTCTTTGAACCCCAGATATATGCCTCACATCGGATCATGAAAACGTATCTGCCTGATTCTGACCCAGAAGCTCCGAAATACAGCGACGAGGACCTGGACAAAGCGTACAAGAACCCGAGCTTGACCTCGAAGACACCAAAGATCTGGCTTCCATCCGATACAGCCGGCCTCAGCAAGAAGGAAATTGAGGCGAATTCGAAAGCAGGTATTGCAACTACTGACGAAGGGGCTTGGTTGGATGAGAAAGGAAAGGTTCAATTCGACCGTGAAAATCTAAGAGCGCTGCCTATCTGGAAGGACACTACTTCATACTAAGGATTGTACTTCTCAGTTACAACAAGCAATAACTGTGTTGCATCAAAACCACACCCTCTCTGATTGAGTATGGTTGGCTTTCTGTTTGTTGGGCTAAACACTTTTACGAGATACGCAGGAGATTTTCCGTGAATGCGCCTTGGCTAGTGGATACTCTGATGGAGATGCGTCTTATACGCTTACAACAATACATGCATCCAAATTGCGATCTTTGTCCTGTTGTCTTATACACGCTTAGATACCTCCTTACGCAAGTCAAACTACCAAGCAAGCATCAACAGTAGATTCTAACAAGCTCTGAAAAATGCAAATCAGTCTTATTATGTTCTTTGTTGTCTTATTTCTACTAGCCGCCACACTTGGTAGCTGTTCTATCCAACTCAGTTCTAATATAAGCCAGCAGGCATTCGAAGAGTTTAATTGGTTCCAAAGAAGGTTTTTTATTCTGAAATACATACATACGTCGACGACCTCGCCTTTTGGACTGGCGCAATCATAACTACAACTATTAACTAAATCAGCAGCAACCATCAATGCGCTTCCTCAGTAACCGACGACATGTCCCTTAACCAATCATCTCTGCACTTGATGAAGCTTCCTATTGAGCCGAGATGTGCCATTTGGGAATTGTCTTCTCCGAGCGGCCCGATACGCCTCGACCTACGTGAAGAGTATAACATCACTGACCGGGACGCAATTGCAATCTTCCGTCTGCCGGCCAAGCAGTGCAACCACGTTTCCAAGCAACAACGACATCGCTACACGATCATGATGGTCAACAGAGAATCCCGAGAAGAGGCGAAAAAGGTTTTCGATATCGTCGACCTAAACCCTATACCCCTATTTCTCCGGGAGCAGGAGCGCAACATTCTGCACTCTGACAGGCAGAAGATCACGGGCAGAAGACTTGCAATTGGCCAGAAAAGAGATCTGATTCACCTCAACCTCGCCCACACTCCCAATCTGGAGAACCTACAGGGCAAGCTCAGCCACAATATCCGTTGGGATAGGGTCACAAACCTGGCCATCGACGGGGACAACGACTGGCTCCGCGACGACAACTACAGGCCCCTGCCCCACGGACAGCAGAGAAGCTTCGCGCGGAGATGTCTCGCCATATGGCGAGAGCAGTTTCCGTGTCTCGAGAAAGTCTACATCGCAAACACCACGATACCGACCCAGCTATCGCTGGAGTACCGCGACCTCGACTGGCGGTCCTTCGTCGACTCGCTTCCGCGCAACGAGCACGGCTTCACCCGAAACCCTGCGAAGGTCATGAAGAGGTGGGACCTGTTCCTCCGGAGCTGCAGCACCAGTCACGTGGAGGATCTGGTTGACCACCATTGCGTGTATGGACCCTGGTGGCGCCACGACTTGTGCGGTGCTACGCGGACCGTGAAGGCTCTGAGATCTGCGGTCAAGGAGACCAAGAGCAGGGTTAACGTGGAGATGGTGGTGGATATGAATCTCCTGTAGTCGTTTGGTCTTGGGGGCTCTGAGGCGTATTTCAGACGGGGCATTGCCGAGGCCAGAACTGGTTGTATCTCGAAGATCCAAGAGTGGCCGATTGGAATGACGGTTGGGTTCCATCAGGGGTTTGATGACTGGCCGCAAAAACGGGCCGAGCGACCGGAGCGCTTTTCTACTGTCGAATGACCGCACAACGTTGTACGACGGATGAATTATGAGCCTAAATTCCCAGCCGTCTGCCAGGAAAGAAATAAACTTGAAAATAATGATGGTGTAAAACTCGAGGCTCTATCGCTCGACAGGTCCAGCACGTCGGTTTTCCCTCCGAGCGCTGCTTGGAGATGGTTCTATTGAATTTACCGTAATCCAGAAGTGGAATTCGTTAAGAAAACTTTAAAATAATAATAATGGATCAAATAAGTGATGGCTTTATGTTAATAATGTTCATTTCCGTGCGTAATTCTATGTTGAATAAGTGCTGATGAAGCAATTCTCTAGCTGCTCATGGAGCTACTGAGCACAATCAATCCTTTACTACCATCGAACATACCAATGACGAGAGGAAAAATTCCAGACCAAACTATAGAATCCAGATTGAACTGTTGAACGCAAAGTCGGTACCTTAAGTTGAGTACTGATTAAGGATTACTATTACCAAAACTGTTTGCTGGGTATCTTCCTACTCCGTTTCTCTCCTTAAACAGGCACTGGCGACGACGGTTCTACTTTCTCTCCCGTACCATTCCGCTTCGTGAGATCGATCTGGTCCAGTGGGATGAGCAAGGGGTGAGACTTACTTGCCCACAAGCTGTAGCAGAAATGACCTAGCCAGAGCTACACGCAAGCATATGTTAGTGTCTTGAATCAGCCGAACACAAAATGTTAGGTAGACTTACAGCGCCGACGATGACGATTCCAAGTACCTGCCGGACGATGACCAGACCTCGCGACTCGTTGTCAGTATCTGTTGGCGGGACCGCTGCGGTAACGACCAGAGATATCAAGCCCGCAAGGCATATGATGATTGATACGACGCTCCCAGCTATACCCATCGGCGAAACCCACTGGAGAACATCCTTGGGGTCTAGGCCCTGCTTCTTGATGGCCATGCGGAGCCGGATCTGGGCAACGTTGATGCTTAACCAGGTGAAGAAGTTACTCGCAGAAGCCAAGGCCAGCAGCCACTCGAAGATAATATCACCGTCAGGTGCGCAGTTGATAAATGCGAGCAAGCTCACAATGAAGACGACTATCAGGGCGTTCACCGGTGTGCCCTTGCGAGTCCGGGCAATGATCTTTGGACCCATGCCTCTGGCACAGATAGCTCTCAAAGCTCGCGATGCTGCAAAGATACACGAATTGGCCATGCTGAACACCGCTACGAGGATAATGGCGTTGAAAAGATGCGGGAGAACGGGTATTTCCGCCTGTCTAAGCGATATGACGAATGGAGAGAGTTTTGTCGGGAACTGCAGGTAGGTACCTGGCCCGACGATCAATCCTGCTGTAAAAAGCGGGATGAGGTAGCATATCACAACACGGATGGCCACTATCCTCTGAGCCAGCGACATAGTTCTCTCGGGGTGCTTGGCTTCAGCCGCTGCGAGACCTAGGATTTCCGTGCCACCGTATGCCAGACCAGCGGTGACAAAGACGTAAAGAAATCCTGGTACGCCATTCTTGAATGCTTGTCCGTCCGTCCAGTATCTGAATTGTGTGCCATGGCGAGGATCCGTGGCGACTCCTCCGGCGGCGATGACGATTGCCGTTATGGCGAAAGTGATGAGCATAAGAAGCTTGATGATGCCAAAAGCATGCTCTGCTTCGCCGTACCATTTTGCGCCTTTGAACGAGAGAGTGAAGAGCACAAGGATGAAAACGGGAATCAGGATGGCAGGATTGAGGGGTTTCCAATAACCAATAACAATGTTCATGACGGTAAGCTCCAGGGGTACTGTGAGGATGTAGTTGAGAATATAGTTCCATCCCATGGCAAATCCCCATGATCTCGAGATGAACCGCATCGAATAGTCGTAGAATGAGCCTGTAGTTGGATACGCGGATGTCAATTCACCAAGGGATCCCATCATTGCTGTGATACAAACACCAGCAATGGCGAATCCTATGACAACTGAGCCGGGGCCGGCGTCCCTCAGTGCAGTATAGCTGCCTATCAGAAGACCAGCGCCGATGGTGCCACCAAAGGCCATCTAATATAGCCAAAGGGTCAGCATGTAGTCATTATCAAGTATGGTTACCTCGGGAGATACTATACAAAATTGACTCGTCTGCCGCCCAGGCGTACGAATAAACTCAACTGAAGGACACAAACAAATCGAAAACGGAACGTTCTTCACTTACAAAAATGAACTGACGTGTCGTAATAGCTTTTTGCAGCTCCATTTCGGGTTCAACCTCGCCTGTGACCTGACTAGATACCGGTTGGACATCGGGTGAGGAGGGGTTTGGCGTCTTCTTGGACGGCCATGGTATCGAGGGAAGACCCATATTGACGATGTAGTGATAAGACTTTCTTTGTGGCGCAGAACTTACTCTCGTAATGTAGCAATATATCCTGTATAAGTAATCCACAGAGTGTACCTCTAGACAATACGGCAAGATAGGGCACTTTCAGGAACGTTGTGAAAGGTGAAGAAAGAAGAAGGTCAGAGGTCACAACGAATTATGTCGTTTCCATTTCCGAAAGCACCGCGACTACCACTCATGGTAGATCGAGCAAGTTTGGATCGGGTACAATCGAAACACGGTGCATCGCTGGGCGGACTGCGTCGATTTGCAAGAGTATCCGTGGAAGCCGCGAACGTTAATCGAGCCACATACCGAATAGTCCAGCTCAACAACTGCGCCATCTCCTGGTAAGAGACACTTAATCCGCCGTATTCACAATGCTCTATGCACGCAAAAGATCTCTTGGCTATCCATAGATGATCTCACGATTCTATTAGAGAATGTGTCATGATGCAGGGCTGCTAGGCGATGGAAGGATCCAGGTCTGGCCCTGCAGGATATGAAGTGAGATTGAACGAAGTACTTTTCTACTCACGAAAGCGAAGAGACCGCGCCGCCCTCAATACCTTCTCCAGCGTAGAGACGTTGCAGACAGGCCAAGGACCGCCACGTAGCTTCACGGCGCCCTCTTGAGCGATCGTTCTCCACCGCCATATCGCAAGTCTAGTACAGTATAATATCGGTACAAGCCCACAAGGTTCGGCCGTTTCGGTGTAAGCCTTTGCCAAGAGCTGCCAGATCATTTCGTCGTGCCGGAAAGCCACAGAGCCAGGTCGAAACTGTTTCTGGCCTGCCAGCGTAACGAGCCAACTGACTCCGTACCACGCGGTTTTGTACGTATTCGGTTTTCCACCAACCCTTCGTAATATGAATTTTGATGAAGGTATGACTGTTTACTCCAGGATATATTTATCGCTATATGTACATATATGTATCTATATAGGCTCTGTGATTGTCTCTCGCAAGCCTCCTTTGTAACCGTCTTATCTCGAGTGATGCACAGCAATTAATGTGGAAATGCGTTTTTCTAGTCCCTGAAAAGAAATCTCTGCTTTCAGAGATGACGTACAGTCGAAACATGGCTAGAGTACACATACTTGGTTGTTCATTCATCATACATTATTGTAACAATTTGCGTTGTGTAGCATCGGTGCACTATACATGATTTCCCAACTCCTGCAGGACACAATTTCCTGTTTGCGCAAGTTCCTTACTCCACTCCTCATTAACTGTCCCTTGATTTATGCCAAGGTCAGCATGATCTCGCCATGTGATTCCTAGTAACCGCTCTGCTCATGGCGATTGTCGGCCTTGGCAGCCTCGCCAGCTTCTTGAATGGCCTCTTGATCACCTCTCAGTTTGGCAAAGTATTCCTTGACATCCTCTGCAGAAATGGCCTTGCCACTGCCTGCAAACTGCTCAAAGAAAGGTTTGAGCTTTTCCTTCATGTGATTGTAGGCCATTACACCCTCGATGGCACGAACACGATCTACGTTGCGTAGTGCAGACTCGCCTCGTTCGTAAATGGAGCCACTTGCATGTGTCGATGCGTGCTCAGACGCCTCGTCGGTGAGCGGCGGTTCATAGGCCTCCTCTTCCTCAAGGAGCTGTGGGTGGGGCAATAGTTTGGGGAAACATTTGGAACAGCGACAAAATTGGTCACGGAAATTGTCCCTTACAAAGAGGGAGAATTGGCCTGGGGAGGCAGAAGGAAGTGAGTCGAGCTTGCAAGCAATTTCCCTCGTCAATTCCTCCTCTGTTTCTATCTTCGATTCCTCCTTTAAATTCCCTGCAACCTCGGCACCCGGAGTGTTGTCCTGTGGTGTTGATGAAACCAGAGGACCCTGCTCTGTTTGCTCGCTCTTGAGGCGCTTGGCTTCGTTGGCTTCATCTCCAACATTATCTTCGTCATCTCGTTGTCGCTTTTTGGGGGACGAGGCGCCATCTCCCTTGTTAAAAAATACGGCAGGCAGAAATCCTGGGACACCTGCGTATCTCTTGATCCAGGGGTTGGCATCGACGCACTTGTAGCAAATAAAGTGGTCGAAGTCGTCTTCGCTTGGGAAACCGTCGGGTAGTGGCGCGTCATCCTCCTCCTCCTCATCCTCTCCGTCAGCAACAGCAGCATTGTCTGGTGGCAGGCCGTCCTCAGTTATAGTTGGTAGCGAACCGTCACCGTTGCGGTTACTCTTGCTGTTGCCCTTGGACGATTCGTACCACTTGGGGCCCAAGCCCATGAGACACCCGGGGTGGTACCAGTCCTCGCCGCACCCGCCGTCCTCATGGGTACCGAGACCCAGGCACTGGAACATGGTGCCTTTTTGCTCATGGGGATTGTAGTCGATAGCGCAAGAGCAGAAGCGGTTGCGAAAGTTGTGGTTGTACTTGTTGTTGGGATCTGCGGGTTCCGAGTGGACACCGCCCTTTGTGTTCGTCTCCGAGTTGATACGCAAGGTGCATGGCTGATCTGAGGTGAATCGCGTAGTGCCGCAATCGCAGGTGAAGTTGCGCTTCTGGAATATCTCGACGAGTTCGTGTTCGCCGTGGCACTGGACCGAGCAGGAATAGCAAACACCAGCAGGAGAATGGGGGGGAGGGTTGCAGGTCAGACAGGCGAAAACATTCTGTCTCAAGGAGCCGAGGGGCTTGGTGCAATTCTCGATGCTCTGAATAACGGCACGACGTATTAGTTGTTGTTAGGTCAAGTGGTCAAGTGCGAGTTGGCGCCCGGTGATGGCAAGCATACACGAGGGCAGGGGAAACGTACGTAAGGCAGAGCTTCACGCGCATCAGCTTCTAGCTGCATCTGATCCCTAATAAAGTCGGCAGCAGTCTGGGAGTTTTCTGAGCGTTGCGATATGCTCTCACGGCGGGCTGTTGTCGACTCCGTCGCAGGCGCATCCGCAGGCGCATCCGCAGGCGCACTCTGGACTTGCTTAGAGGTGGGCGGCGGCGGATTTGACGACATGTTGAGTTGACGCAGCTTCTCGGGCTGGTTTGAGCTAGACGCAAGCTATCCAATTGATTGCGATGATTGTAAGTACTTGTTGTAGCGATTGGAATTTGAATTACAATAAAAAGAAAGAGAGCAGAATCAGGGCGGATTCCGGCTGACGTTTGTGATAGTACAGATGGAAGTGAACCGACACACCAACTCAATTAATTGTTCTGGGGGGTATCACAAGCTGCATACTACAGCAAGTCATACTGCAACAAGACGTCTGACGCGCCGTATCTTAGGGAGTGAACGCGCCGCAGCATGTACCTCAAGCTCTGAACGCACAAGCCATCGGGGCCCCGTACCTTGCTTGTCAGCGCACTCTACCGAACTCTAGTGCATGGGTGGGGGGCCTTCGGCTGGACGAGGTTCTAGCTTAGGCTATAATTGGTATAGTGATTATGCAAGCACTTCCAGCCGCGTTGTGAACACGAAAAAGACGCGCTTCGGCTGGGCTCGAGACGCGTTGCGTGTTACGGGGTAGTCCCCATTAATTCAAATTCAATTAATTGGCCTTGATTTGGTTTGGGCTTTTGCTGCGATCCGTTGCCTGGTCCACCTCCCCGACTCTCTCTGCCTTGACTGAACTGGCCATCCCGCAAGTCTCCCACATTCTTCAACCATCCTCACCCCGTGGCCACCCTCTTTTTGCACAGAGCCGTTGATTGAGTTTCGGTCTATACTTTTTGACCGGGATCATACCCAATACCCAAGATGAGGTCAGTATGAACATTGTGTGTGTGTGTGAAACAATGCAACACAACACCACCATAACCACAGAGTTGGTCGCTAACCATGACATCTTCACAGCTCCCAAAACCCACCCAGCTCGCCCTTGCGCAGCAACATGGCTTCCGCCAACCGGGGTCCTGCGCCCAGAGGCGTCCGGAAGCGCACCCGTGCCCGTGGTGATGCCAGCTCTTCAGTCGCCGCGTCCAGCCCGATGCCCTCATCACCACCTGCATTCGACAACATTGCCCATGGAGGCGACGAGGAAGACGACATCGAGGAAGAGGCTGAGATCCAGGACGACATCGACGAGCTCGACGAGATGGCCGAGGACGAGATCGACCTCTTCCGCGAAGGCTTTGAGCGCGATTACCGCGGCAAAGATGACAACGATGGCTATGAAGGCATCGACATCGACGATGACGGAGACTTCGACGAGATGAACCTCGGCGACAGACGCCGACTAGAAGCACAGCTGAACCGCAGAGATCGCGAGGTTGCTCGCAGGAGGCGCATGCCCGCCGCCTTCCTCCAGGACGAGGATGAGGATGGTGACATTGACCTTACTGCACAACCTCGTCGGCGCCGTCACCATTACGACGAAGATCCCGATGATGAGATGGACCAGGATATCATGGACGAGGAGCTGTCCCTCGAAGCACTGCAGGATGTCAAGGCTTCCAGTCTGACCGAGTGGGTATCGCAACCTGCTGTCCAGCGAACCATCAAGAGAGAATTCAAGGCCTTCCTTACCGAATACACGGATGAGAGCGGATCCTCAGTCTATGGTAACCGCATCCGCACCCTTGGTGAGATCAACGCAGAGTCTCTCGAGGTTTCCTACGACCATCTGTCCTCCTCGAGAGCCATCCTTGCCTACTTCCTGGCCAATGCGCCCGCCGAGATGCTCAAGCTCTTCGACGATGTCGCCATGGATGTCGTCCTCCTACATTACCCAGACTACGAGCGCATTCATTCCGAAATCCACGTTCGCATTTTCGATCTTCCTGTACACTACACCCTGCGCCAGCTTCGCCAGTCTCACTTGAACTGCTTGGTCAGAGTCAGTGGTGTCGTGACTCGACGCACTGGTGTCTTCCCCCAGCTCAAATATGTCAAGTTCGATTGCACCAAGTGTGGTGCTACGCTGGGTCCCTTCCAGCAGGAGTCCAATGTCGAAGTCAAGATCACGTTCTGCCAGAATTGCCAGTCTCGTGGTCCGTTCAATATCAACTCTGAGAAGACTGTCTACCGCAACTACCAAAAGCTCACCCTCCAGGAGTCCCCCGGAACTGTGCCCGCCGGTCGTTTACCGAGACATCGCGAAGTCATCCTGCTATGGGATCTCATCGACAAGGCCAAGCCCGGTGAGGAGATCGAGGTAACCGGTACCTACAGGAATAACTACGACGCGCAGCTGAACAATCGCAATGGTTTCCCGGTCTTCGCCACCATACTCGAAGCAAACAATGTGGTCAAGTCCCATGACCAGCTGGCCGGGTTCCGCCTGACAGAAGAAGACGAGCACAAGATCCGAGCTCTATCTCGCGATCCTCAAATCATCGACAAGATCGTAAACTCTATGGCCCCCAGCATCTATGGCCACACCGACATCAAGACTGCTGTTGCGCTCTCGCTCTTCGGCGGTGTCGCCAAGATCGCCAAAGGTTCGCATCATATCCGCGGAGACATCAACGTCCTCCTTTTGGGAGATCCGGGTACGGCCAAATCCCAAGTGCTCAAGTACGTCGAGAAGACGGCACACCGAGCTGTATTTGCTACTGGTCAAGGTGCGTCCGCTGTGGGTTTGACGGCAAGTGTCCGCCGAGATCCTCTTACCAGTGAATGGACTCTCGAAGGCGGTGCACTTGTGCTTGCTGATAGAGGTACCTGCCTGATCGACGAGTTCGACAAGATGAACGACCAGGACCGAACCTCCATCCACGAAGCTATGGAACAACAGACCATCTCCATCTCCAAAGCCGGCATTGTGACAACTCTACAGGCACGCTGCGGTATCATCGCCGCTGCCAACCCTATCGGTGGTCGTTACAACTCCACCATCCCTTTCTCATCCAATGTCGAGCTGACAGAGCCCATTCTCTCGCGTTTCGATATTCTTTGTGTCGTTCGGGACACCGTCGACCCAGCCGAGGATGAGCGTCTTGCTCGTTTTATCGTTGGATCTCACAGTCGCAGCCACCCAACCACACAGAGTGCTGATAGTTCCGCGGAAGTAGGCCCGGAATCACAACTGGCTCGTGAGAGTCAGGAAAGCCAAGCCAAGAAGGAAGGCGAAATCCCACAGGAGCTTCTGCGCAAGTACATCCTATACGCTCGAGATCATTGTCACCCGAAACTCCTCCACATAGATGAGGACAAGGTGGCAAGATTGTTCGCTGACATGCGAAGAGAGTCCTTGGCAACTGGTGCTTACCCAATCACTGTAAGTCTTTTCCCTGCAGCCAACATTAACAACATGACACTAATATGCGGTACCGCAGGTTCGTCACCTTGAAGCCATCATTCGTATCTCTGAATCGTTCTGCCGTATGCGCCTGGGCGAGTACTGCAGCGCTCATGACATTGACCGCGCTATTGCCGTCACCGTCGACAGCTTCGTCGGTAGCCAAAAGGTCAGCTGCAAGAAGGCCCTTGCTAGATCTTTCGCCAAGTACACTTTGGCAAGACCCGGCGCTGGTGCCGGCGCGTCAACAAGAAGGGGTGGCGCCTTGGCAAGGAGGACAGCCGCTGCCACGGCTTAGATTTTGTCCAGGAGATGTGTCGATGATTTCGGAGTTCAACAGGATAGGGGATAACATGATGACCACGAGCATGAAGCTGTTATATGATTTGGGATAGGTTGATGTGGTAATATGGGGAATGAACCGTAATATAGCATATTAAGGTGGGTCGGGTGCCCATCCTTTGTTTTGTGGGCCTGATCGTGGCCGTTATATAGTGTCCATCAACGCAGCCGATTCCACTATCAGACAGCACAAATCATCGGGCGATAGACGGCTTCGCCCCAAGTCGTCAAGTACATCAACCTTCCATGGCCACACTCAGCCTCAAGTTCGTGAGATAGTACTCCGAGCTCTGGAGGAGCGTTCCAACTCCATGGTCGAATCCCAAATCCATGGAGTGGCCTCTTTTCTCTTTTCTTTACCCAACTCCGTCACCGCCCCAACCTTTTTCTTTGGCTTTGCAGTTCATTCTGCACAAATGGCATCATTGGCATCTCTTTCAGCCAGAAAATCTGCAGAAATCTCAGAGAAAAGGGCACGCTTAGGGGGGCCATTCGTTAGCTTGTGTGTTCGAAAGGATGAAGTACCGAAATGGCAGCGGGACACAAAACAATATAACCACAAGATTCCATGCACGTACACTACGACCCAGCTGCTCTGACACATTGTAAGGGGCTGTACATTTTAGTACGGATAGCGCGGGCTGCGCGGGGCGGTAGGATGTAGAGACTCTAACGTGGAATGTATAAGTAGGTAGGTAGTCTTGGTGGCCGCTCGGCGAAGCAAACCCGTTTGGGAGAAAATTGGATTTCATATCCCGAGAAAAGAACAGTAATGTGTTCTGGTTGACTTAAGTAAGTACTCAATCCGCACTGAGATTCATGATAGGCATGCCATTGGCTGTCTATCCGATAATGGAAGCTCTGGCAGCTGTGGGCATCGCTGGCACTGACGTACAGTTTGTGAGCTTTGCTATCGACTTGCTCCCTAAAACAACGGATATTTACCAATGTACAACGAGAACCTGGGAAGTTTTAAGTATGCAAGCCGTTTGTGAGCATCTTCGGACATGCAGCACACGTTTTCTTGCCGGTGAGTACGCTGCGAATCATCAACCAGCAATATCGGGAAAATCAGATCTCGCCGATCAGGTAACCGCACTGAGAAGTATTATAAATACGTCTAAGGCGGACTGTGACCAGCTGGTAAAGCTTGTTAAGAAGCTGAAGGCAAAGGATATCCGACGTTGTTGGGGTAGCTTCCGTGTTGCTTTACAGCTTATCTGGCATCAGTCTGACATTGTTGTTCAACAAGCGACTTCAACGAACACAGTCTGCATTGACGCTGCACATATGTGCCATATTCAGGTGAGAAGTGTCAACTCTAGTTACCTCATTGATCTCTACTAATAATCGTGTAGCCATGTCTATAGCACGATTGCTGCTGGACTTCTCTTTTTCAAGCCCAACGTTGAGAAGCATCAGATTCAGCATGATGAGAAGCTCGATAACATAACAAGTATACTGCAAGCAATTGAAGGCCGATATTTGTCAGAACAGATTTGAATATGGCAGAAACAACCAGCCCGCTCCGTCTTACCAGGAGATCTTGATCTTCTTGAAAGACAAATGACTGAGTTACAAATAACCACCAAAAGGATATTTGCTTAGCAGCTGATTTTACTTAGTTTGAACTTTAAGAGGTGTGGCATGAGGCACAACCAAACTTCTCAAGCCCATTAGCATAATTTGAAGTGAACTTATAAGGAAATGAGTGATTTAGCTCCTAGTACAGCCCAGATATCTCGATAGTTGAAACAAGAAAATGTAATCTTCTAGGTCTCAGGAAACCCGGGGTCAGGAGATACCGCTCTAATGCAGTTAATCACTGACCATCAAGAGACGGATCGATTGTTAGCAGAATGGGCAGGTGCTAAGCAAGTTCTGAATGCCAGCCACTATTTCTGGCATGCTGGCACTATATTGGAAAAATCACTCCATGTGATTTTCCAAGAAGTTCTCTTCGAACTTCTCCAGCAGTAGCCCCAACTGGTTTCTACAGCTTGTCCTGAAAGATGGCATGAGGCCGCATCCCATGAACGCTCACTGAGTGCCAAACCAATTGACCTCTTTAGCCCTTATCCGGCTTCCAACTTCTTGTCTGCCGCTGACGTAAAGCGCTCATGGTCGCTTGACGAACTACGTCAAATCCTGGTTAGGGTCTCGGATCAGTTTTCTGCTCTTAAGCTTTGTGTTTTCGTTGATGGACTGGTCTAGTTCGACGGTGATCACCTGGAACTATGTACAGAGTTGGATGATTTGACCAGGTCTGGCCAGATCAAGGCTTGTGTTTCAAGTCGGCCTTGGAACTTATTCAGAGATGCGTACGGCGGCATCCCATCAACCGTAATTAGGGCCCAGGACTTGACAAAGGCGGACATCAAGTCCTATGTCAAGAGTCGACTTGCCGAACACTCACGGTCTAAGTACCTGAGTGGCCAACCTAATATTGGAGACTCGCTAATTAAAGATATATGCCGCAGATCTCATGGCGTGTTTCTGGGTTGAGATTGTCATGAGACAACTTTGAGAGGGTCTAATAAATGTGGACAGCTCTTCGGACCTTATGAGACGAGTTGAATCATTTCCTTCCGACTTGGAGTAATTCTTCAAGCATATCCTGGACGCGGTTGAACCGTTCTATCATCCGAAAATGCCGGGCATTACAGATCGCAAATAGCACCACTGAGTCCTGAGGGGGAACATTGGTGTCCTTGAAAGTGGGGTATGTTACAATCATGAAGCGTGTTGGTGGTAAATACAGTCTTGGCGAAGACTCCACAGAGATTCACAAGCAGCTGAAATCCGTGCTGCAATATACTGCTGAAATCAAATATAGCCCATCCGAAGTATCCCATGCGTTGGATGATACCCTGGACCAATTCGATCTAACAATCTGCGCTCTCAATTGTACAGACGAAAGATTATCCTTCTGCTCCGGCCGCAAACACCATTCGCAGCCGCCCGTTTATTTTTTCGAACTAATTTCCTCAAATTCGGCTTGTGCGACTATTTCCTGTGCTGCAGGAAATCAGGCGCAATGCTGATAGATCGAAAATGTTTTATGAGGTTCTGCAACTACTGCTATCAATACGGGGCAGATCCAAACGAACAATACTTTGACAATCTGAAAATCAGAAGGACTCCGTGGGCAGCGTTATTATCCCGCACCATGACTCCAGCAGGCATCAATGGAAAGTAAATGCCCTATTGGGGTAGATCACTATTCCTGAATTTCTCGAGCACGGCACTGATCCAGCAGCGCCCATCTACCGCTTCTAAGATAATGATATTTGTTACTTCTTAACTGTATGGGATGATTTTTATTCTAATCTTTCGACTTGAAACGGAGCTAGGTAAGCAAGAGCTTATACCTGGATGTCCTCAAGTCTTTTCCGAATCGATTAAGCGATACCAATACGTCGTCAATCCTCGAATGCTTACACATCACAACCCCCCATCCGTTTCATCAGTTTTATTTCACCAAGCTAGTAAGCGGAAGTACTGGTTCTGATAACAGAAAATTAAACGGGACTCCGACCGGATCAAAAGCGGTTGGGCATGACTCAACAAGTTCTGTTAGAAGCAATAGAGCCCCAGAGACTTCCATTCTTCGAAACAACTATCCATTTGCTGAATTCACCGTGATATTGCTCCTAAGGCCAGAGAGCTCCAGGTGGCCAATGACCCACGTATGGCCTATATTTGAGCAACCTTTCGGCACAAAGCGATACAATCAGATCAGAGCACGTTGTAATGCCACTTCTACACAAACCATTAATAGTGCAAAATCGAGAAGGAAGAGAAAATGTTATTCTCGTGAGATCTGGACCAAAGTTGAGCCTAAAAAGGCAAAGATATGATATAAACCTCTCTCTTAGACTAATTGACTTCATGTGGATCATGAATAATTTCTTTCAAAAATAATCTCCTGGGGCTTCTACCTGATGTTTTGTTTGTTTGAGGTCTTGCAATAGCCTCTTTGTATCGTTTTCTATAATCCCCTATAAGATTGAGCCGAATCATTCCACCTTCGTATTGCGATAAGCCTTTGGTAAATCGACATCGCAATGTATGAGAGAGCTATGCTCAGAGATTAATTACATGGGCAACTGCAAGAACATGAACTACTCAACCAGATGGGGAGCGCCACATTTCCTAACTCCCGTAATGCCAGACCAAAACCGCCCCTTGCAGTTTAAATAGTATACTCTTGATTAGCCGTTTGTAAATAAATTTAAGGAACCATCTATGGTGCTATTTATGATCTTCTTTCTCACTGGTGGATTAATTAACGTATAAACCGCGCGTACAATATCACAGGTGTAAAAGTCATACTTCACGGGTTTCATGTTGTAGGCTGCGAGGCCACGACAAAGGGGTATCTCCCAGAAGCGGTAGATTAGTACTCAGGCACCGAGAGTTCCATGGTGTTGTACATTTTTATTTCATGTCTTACGTAATTGTACTTTCTTGTAAACTTCAAAATAGTATCAGAACCAAAGTTTCCTACTTAAGGTCCTAAAAAGCGATCGCAACCACAGAAGAAATATGAACAACACAGCAATAGTGCCAGCTAGCTAAGTCGACGTCGATGCTTGTCGTTGAAGTTGATCTTGGCTTACAAGAACTCTAGAGAGTGCATAAAGTATAACGCCACTGCCAGATTGGCGAAGTAAACACATCTGGCTGATCGAAACCCAGAGTTTCCTCGGAACGAGTGGATATGAAACTGCTCTCTGTATCTCTCCCGGAAGGTTTGAAAGTTGCGGCTGGACTCGGACCGCTGGAATTATTGCACGTTAGACAAGAATCTCCATCATCGTTCTCCTCCTTTCCTGATACAGGTGCAACTATTTCATTTGTCAACAAGCGAACACAATCTTTTGGGGAAGTCGAACATTACTTACAGCAAAATAAGAATATAAATTCCACCATCACCGGTCCCCAATTGGCTAATGCTAGAATTTGCCCGACAGTCCACTCTGATGTTGAATCCGTGCCTGAATCCTTGATTGCTCCGTCGCGCAGAAAGAATAGCAAAATTGTTGAGACCCACATCATAAGGAAGCAGCACATAGGCGTCAAAAACTGCCAGAGGGCCATGTAGCGGGGCGGAATCTTCCACCAGTATTGCTCCCGAGGCCAACTGGCCTGACGATGCCACAGCATAAGCAGCAGCGCGACGATACCACCCGAAGCGGGGATTGCGACTACAAGTACAAACAGTGCGCCCATATAGACGCTGTAGCGATTATAGACAAAGTCGCTCAACTGGGTATTAGGCTCTGTCTCAAACCAGAAGGGGGTTTTCCAATCAGGTTGAAGGTATGAAATGCAGATCCATACAATGGACGCCGAGCATAGAACGTACAATACGACCAAGAGAGCCGCTCTGGCGCGACGCCTCATCCCAGATAGCTGCGACTGCATGGTAAATTGTAGGACAACGACCGGGAACATGGAAAATGTCGAAGCGGTCACTAGGAGCTGAGGCTCATACAAGCTCACGTCTTCACCGTTCATCCAGCGATTCTCGACCTCGATGCGGTCAAGTCGGTACATAAATGTTGTCAAGGTCGCGAGGACCATAGCGAAGCTGAAGATCATTGCGCTTGAGAACAATGCCTGTATGGATCCCCTGAAGGCATTCAAAAGCCGTACGGTGATAGGTGCCGAAAAAAGTGACTTGAGTTTGCCGTTGGGGCGATTCTGCATCAGCTTCTCGGTAACGATCAACGCCAAACACATTGTTACCAGCAGTACCTCGATGCAGTATGATATCATGACCTAGATTCGACCCGTTGAGCTTAGCTTCTTTGTGATGACCTGATGACTACTTTGGGGACTTACGCCTATTCCAGCGATATCAGGCTCACCGGCCAGGCCTAGAGCAGATCGAAGTTCTTTATTGCAGACTCGCCGTGGCTCGTAGATGAACTTTTCCACATATGGATTCCAGACATTGGCGCTATCTGGACTCAGTTCATAGGAGGCCTCGCTGCAGAAAGATCCGTTTCCATAATACCAAGCGATCAGCTCGCAGCTGGATGGTTGGAGACTTGGAGGCAATGAATCCGCGATATAGTTTTCCGTAGCAATGATAGGAACCCGACACAGCTTGTGTTCCTGATGCGCAAGTCGGTCAAAGTGGTCTAGTCTCTCAATCGAGTTGAACTGAACGTCGTAACGAAGCATCAAGGATAGATAACGGGCGAACAAGGTACAATCATGTCCTGTGTTGAACTGCGCTGGCGGGGGGACGACCCACTGCTGACTGTTCGCACACAGCACGTCGTTGTACGACATCAGTGGAGAATGAATGATCTTGACATAGTGAATATGAAGCGAGAAGAATTTCACTTGTTATAAAACTTCTTTGCGAGGCCTCACCATTCCAGCGATCTGGTTTTGATATCATTATGTCCAGCATAAACTGCACTAGGTGCGTAGGGCTATGCAGTAAGTCTGGTAGCACATCGATCTCAGCTGGCCCCCGGATCGCTTGTTTCGCATGCATTACCGACAGAGATTGGGGGCGGCTGACTGGCCAATCTGCCACCTAGGCCCAAAGAACGTCGAGAAATCTTACTGTATCGCAGACTTAGGGGTCTCAAATGTACATGAGTGCAATGCTCAGCTAGATACGATTCGCTCGACGATGCAGACCTAGGACACTGAAGCAAGTGCCTAGTGCAGGTACTGCTTGAATTTGAGTCGTCGTCGGGTATATCCAAATAGCCAACGGTACGCCACGATTTCTTCTTGATTATTAAGCGCGCGGATACTTCTTTTGCCGTAACACTATGCGGACGCGATTTCCTGAATAGTTTTGTAGAACTGCGCAGGATCGTGCGCAAACCGGCCAAGGAAGAGTCCATCCAAGCCACCTTTCAGTTTCTCGAACAGGCCAGGGCCTGCGCTTCCGCCATACAGTATTCTTGTCATCCCACTCCTCCTCTGCACACATTCCAACGAGCGCATATCTCTGACGACATTGACCACGTACTCTGCGCCCGCTGGTTCCTTCGCCCCAATCGCCCAGACAGGCTCATAGGCAAGGATGACCTCGGCATCGTCCGGCACAGCAGCCATAACGGCCTCGATCTGCGAGCGGCACTCCTCCACTGCAAGCATCACCTCGCCTTGCGTGCGTTCGCCAATGCAGACCAGCGGTATTATGCCATTCCTCGCAGCAGCGGCGGCCTTGCGAGCGGTATCTTCGTCGGTTTCCTTGAATATCCTCCGGCGCTCAGCATGACCCAACTCCACAATCCGGCATCCAACCTCGGCCAGGACCTGTGGAGACACTTCTCCTGTGTATGCCCCTGAATCCTCGTAGAATGCGTCCTGAGCACCTGTGAGAATCTTCGTGCGCTCCAGCTGGCCGATGACAGATGTTAAAGTAATGTGGTCTGACACAATAAATACGTCAACCTCTTCAAGTATTTCTGGTGATTTAGAAAGTAGCTGAAGAATCTCGTCAACGTATTGCCTGGTCCTGGCCGCAGAAAAGTACATCTTGGTGGAAACACCCACAAGGCGGCGCCGAGGTGGAGCCATCACGAGCGAAGCTGAAGATTTTCTCCTCGTAAAAAACGGAGTCACCGGGTAGATGAAGTATTGCTGAGACCCTCGTTAGTCTTTCCTTAACATGAGCTCTTATTCCCCTCTTGGGGAATTCTGCATGGAGAAGCGAAAGAGTGGGAGGCGCATTGCCTGGGTGCCGAAGTCCCCGCGTTGAAATAGAACGTGGGGAGTCAAGGCTATGGAGCACCTTACCAGGTGGATCATCAGGTCCCATGGTTGTGATCCACCCCATTGACAGTATAGAGTAAGTTCCGATTGTGGCCCAACGTCGGTGATGTAGTATACTCTAGTGGCTCAAGGTATTTGTTACCATATGGAATGGTTCACGCACATCTGGCGTTTGTCACTATGCCTTGTCGCCGTGACCAGACGCGGATAGCAATCAGGACGGCGGCTATAACTTTAATGTTTCTTTGCTAAATTCCAGGCGGGAATTGGTGGAGATGCCCATACTCGCGAATAAAAAAGCAATGTGCTAATAGCGTACGAATTATAACACAACGATCTAGGCCTCGAGCGCCCTCGATTAAATTACCAGCTCAACATGTTCATACTCTGTGATGGCATCAACCTTCGCAGCACTCGCACTGGTTGGATCAAATTGGTAACCAAGCCATTCTTTCGCTAGTTTCCTTGCCAGCTCTACACCGACTACTCTCTCTCCCATACACAAGACTTGTGCGTTGTTACTGAGTACCGCTCTCTCGACGGAGAAGCTGTCATGTGCCGTCACGGCTCGGATGCCTTTGACTTTGTTGGCTGAGATGGCCACGCCTAAACCAGTGCCACAAATTAGAAGTGCCCTGTCGCATTTGCCTTCCGCAACAAGCTTCGCTGCCTCGACTGCTCGATGGGGATATGCCGTCTTGTCGTCTGTTCCATGACTACCGACGTCTACAACGGATTCGACGCGAGGGTCGTTCTCGAAGTCGGCCTTGATCTTATTTTTGTAGCCAACGCCTGCGTCCTTGGCTCAGTTAGCTTGATCTCTTCATTGCATTGCGAAATATCCCACAAAGGATATACCGTAGTTTCTCACTTGACTTACATCGCAACCCATCGCAATTTTCCACTTTGGCGACGTCATATTCTTTTGTTCGTTCTGATAGGACTTTCCTGATCTTGTTACCACAAAAGTCTTGTAACTTAGCAAGGCAAAATGGATATGTTTCCGAGCTATCTCCAAGAGCACAACGGGGTACAAGAAACTTTAGGTGGCGTCATAATCCGACTGTGACATAACAAACTTGCATGTTATTATACCATTTGTCCGACAGCGGCCGCATAATCATAATCACACCCATGACTAGAAGGGGAAATTCGCCTTTCCCCCTCATCATGGTTCAACTTATCTGCCAACCAGAACCCGTATCGCGCACGATTCACTTTCACCCCCACCACATGTTTCTAGCCGAGCCGCGATCCGGGTGCATTGAGTGCATCATGGCGCACCACCATCACATCTTGGGCGTCAAAGACCGGCTATAAGTGATCACACTAGTCAAAGTTAGTCAGTCTGGGGTGCGTTTTTGGAGAAATAGCTTCATGTCCTGCCCCTCGATAAATACTTTTTCCCCACAAGCTCCTCCACTTTCTAACGTCTAGAACCTAAATCATTATTGTTGTCATCCGGGTTGCCGTTTTAGGAAATCCGAGATAAATCTTGTAAGTCAAAGGAGCCGCAATATCTACAGGAGCCTAGAAACACCTCAGGAGTCTCCTGCGGCTGTGGAACACCAAGTCTATCGTCAAGTCAAAATGTCGAAACGTCATCTCTTTGAATCCCCAGAAGGACTTGTCAATAAGGCCTTAAGGGGTATTATCACTTATAACACATCTCTAAGCTTGGATGAGGAAAATCGAGTAGTATTTAACACCGACTACGATAAATCGAAAGTGTGCCTGATCAGCGGCGGTGGTTCGGGTCATGAGCCCGCCTGGTCAGGATATGTGGGCGATAATCTCCTTGCAGCATCTGTAGCGGGAGATATCTTTGCCAGCCCCAGCACGAAGCAAATTCTGGCGGGCATAGATGCTGTCCCTTCAGATAAGGGTACGATACTTGTTGTTACCAACTACACCGGAGACTGTCTACACTTCGGCTTAGCGAACGAGAAAGCCATTGCTAAGGGTCATAAAAGTAGGATGATCATCTGCGGCGATGATGTGTCCGTTGGCAGAAAGGGCAGTCTTGTCGGACGCCGTGGTCTGGCCGGACAGCTCGGCGTATTGAAGGTCATGGGCGGTGCCGCTGGAGCTGGTGCCTCACTCGACCAAGTCTATGATCTTGGTGATGCCTTTGCGAAACAGATCGTCTCCATCGCTGCCACACTGGATCATTGTCACGTTCCGGGACGAACGGAGCATGCCATGCTCGAAAGCAATGAGGTAGAAATTGGAACAGGTCCTCACAATGAGCCAGGCTACCAGAAGCTTTCTCCTGCTCCAACACCAGAAGAACTCGTCAAGAAGATTCTAACATATTGCCTCAACGAGACTGACACGAACAGGGGTTATGTCAATTTCCAGCAAGGTGACGAAACTATGCTTCTTGTGAGCAATTTCGGTGGTATGTCTTATCTCGAAATGGGGGCCCTGGTCGACGAGTTGTTAGAACAACTGGCCCGTGACTGGAATATTGAGCCCATTCGAGTGATCAGTGGACCACTTGAGACATCACTGAACGCCCCAGCATTCTCAGTATCCGTCATCAACGTCACAGCAGCCGCAAAGAACTGTTCGTATACTACAGAGCAGATCAAGGAATTCTTCGATGTCAGAACGAATACGTGCTGGGAGTCAATGGCCGGATCTCAAACAAAGCGGCGTACTCGTGAAGCGCAACTAGTGACACCAATCATGTTACCCAAGAAGACGGTGGACGACGCCAAAGACCTCAAGATCGAGCCTCAGACACTGGAATCCATGCTGCGGAAAGCCTGCGACAACCTCATCAAAGCCGAGCCTGACCTCACTAAGTGGGACACAATAATGGGCGACGGTGACTGTGGCGAGACACTAAGAACCGGAGCACAAAACCTTTTGGCAGCACTTGACTCTAAGCTCGCAGCCAGTGGATCTGTAATAACCGTTCTACAAGAGCTCGAGGACATAGTAGAGAGCAAGATGGGCGGTACCTTGGGCGGCATTCTAGGTATCTTCTTTGTGTCGGTTCGCACAGCATTGGAGCAGAACATCGATCAAGGCACTGGGTCTGAAGGCATTCCAGAACTATGGGGCAAGGCACTTAATCTCGCACTGGATAATCTTGGTCGCTACACTCCGGCCAAGGAAGGTGATAGGACGGTCATGGACACCCTGATTCCCTTTGCCGATGTTATGAAGGAGTCTGGCAGCTTTGATGACGCCGTGCAGGCTGCTGTCCGGGGCGCTGAAGCCACGAAGATCATGAAGCCCAGGCTGGGAAGAGCATCATATGTCGGTGAGCACGCGAGCAGGGACTCAGTTCCTGACCCCGGGGCATGGGGAGCGATGGTAGCCATTCAGGGGTTAAGGGAAGGCATATGAATCATGTCGTTCGAAATATCTGGTGGTAAATCATCGAATGATGACCTGTTGATGCGTTTGCTTTACTTGTACGATATTACACAATACATGAACCGAAACCCATTTTGCCCTATAGACTTTACGCTGGTGATCCTGTTCCTCGCCTAGACATGTACTAGGGAATATTGAGATATTGCATAAACTCCAGACATTCTTCTATGTTCAATATAAACAGGGGCTTGGGAATTTGTTGTATCTCCTCATCATACCTCCTCAAGAACCCCATACCCGAACTATCTGATCCAAAGTGGCTTCTGGTGCTGTCGTTGGTGAATGCGCTAATGCTAATCTTGCGATATTTAATGCTTGGCTACCAAGGAATAACGGCATCTTCAGACGCTGCGCTTCATCCACGGCCTCTTGTAATTGCTGTGCGAGCTTAGGCAGGCTTTCCGCCTTCGCTTTGGACGGCGTTTGTGCTCCGTACAAGCGCATGATTTCAGGTCCGACTGTTTCCAGCATATGGCTACCACCTGCAGCATTGACACACAGATCGAGTACCTGATCTAAGTCCAGCCCCAATCGAACAGCAAAGGCAATGGTTTCTGCCGCAGCACATAAATGAACACCTCTGAGCAGAGTTACCACTAAGGCCAGCTTGTCCTCAATGGTCTGTGCAGTACCAACGACAGGGCCAACTTTGCCTTTTCCTTCCGCGTATACCCTGATCAAACTACTATCGTCATCTGGACCATATCCCTTTCCCAACCCAGAGAAGTACACCTGCTCCGCGGTGCTTGTCATAGGCGTAGGGAAGTCAAGATGCCTTGCTTCTGAAGTAATGATACTGGTATCCTTGAGAATGATCGTAAGTGCGCTGGCAACCGGCTGGAATTCTGGGTGCAGCATTCTCGGACTTCTGTTCTCGAACATCCAGCTCCAGCCTGGAGACTTAACAATTGCTTCCCTCGTTTCGGCGAGATCCAGGCCAAGATGGCTTGCAAATCCCATTGCTTCACTGCCGGACAGGATCTGCACCGCCGCCAGTACTTGATGTACCATCTTCAGATTGCTTCCCGCACCAACACCACCCTTCACAATGTACAGCTTGTTCTGGTCTGACATTTCATGCAGCAAGAACTTCGTTTTCTCGATCGCCGCATCTGAACCACCCGCCATAATCGACAATGTACCATCCGCCGCCCGATACGTCCCGCCAGAGACGGGCGCGTCAACCAGGAAAATATCATCCCGTCCCAAGTCCCTGAGTTGCTTCTCTAGTCCCTGTACGTAGGAGCTTGGTACCGTAGAACACAGCAACACCGCAGCCCCTTTTGACAGGGTGGAGAGAGCATTGTTTGCATCGTCGATCAGAACAGCCTGTGCTTGAGCTGCAGTAGCCACCATGCAGATAACATAGTCCTTCCCCTTGACCGTATCTGCCGGAGTGGTTGCTGTGATTCCGCCAGCATCTTTGAACTTATCCAGAGTAGGTCCCCAAACATCAAACCCAGTCACGCTATAACCCTGATGTACGAGATTGGTGGCCATTCCGAAGCCCATGGCACCGAGGCCAATAAAGCCGATATCAGGCTTTGAAGACATGATTACCGATCAATCAATCGTTTTTGTAGATACCACAGAGACTTGGATCGCAATCGATATCTCTAAGACGATTACAAGGTAAGGACTTGACGCAAGTGCTCCAGAATCGTATAAAGCCTATGTACAAGTAACAAGGGCATGGGCGCATGAACGCCACATAAAGCCATCCGTGACGTCCAGAGTTCCCACTACTCCATTGCATACCTCGTTCGACTCACGTAACATCTCGACGTAACCACCGCATCAATACAAATGATTCGGGCATTAACCCCCAAACCGATTTCGGGGCTCCGATCGTCCTTCCCCGCATCATTCGAGCTCCACTTGCCGCGAGTAACTTCAACTTTAGCCGGAAATACGACGGTGGAGACTCTCGATATGACGCTGCAGGTATTCAGCACAAGCGACAAAACCGGCGCAGAGAACAATGTCTAAACGGGTAATCCGGCTCTGGGGAGTGTCAGTGGTGCGCTTGTGAGCACCTATCTGGGAGATGGCTAGTAGCCAGGTGCAGCTGTTGATTTCGAAGGCGATGACCCCCATCGTCCTCGTCTCGGTTCGGCAGATTGTCCGGGTAGTGGATCATGTCGTGGAGCTCATACAGTGACGTTTTCCAGTGAAGCTATTCACAAATATTCCTCCTTATTGACATGTGCCATTTCGCAAAAGCAGCTGTGAGAGGAACTATCACCCCATAAAACTTCATTATAGCTCTGGGTCAGAATCCATCAACTTCACACGAACAAGTCAACCGACCCTTGCTGCCTGTGTGCCATTTCGCTTTCGCTTCAACATGCCTCGGCCACCCCTCTCTCAAAACCGCTCTTTATCCATCCTCCAAAATGCCCGCGAAGGCGGCTATGCCGTGCCGGGACTATGCTGTTACAATATCGAATCCATTATTGCCACCGTGCGGGCGGCCGAAGCAGCAAAATCACCGGCCATGGTCCTTTTGTTTCCCTGGGCAATGCAGTATGCCTCCGACTCGCTAGTGCTCGCGGCCGCCAACGCGGCGCATACGGCCTCGGTGCCCATCAGCCTGCATCTGGACCACGCGCAGACACCGGAGCTGGTGCGGCGCGCCGCAGACATCCCGGACGGCTTCGACAGCATTATGTGCGACATGAGCCACTATGAGCGGGAGGAGAACCTGAAGCTCACCTCAGAGCTGGTTTCGTACTGCCACTCGCGCGGTATCGCGGCCGAGGCGGAGCCCGGCCGCATTGAGGGCGGCGAGGACGGGGTCGCCGAGACGGCCGACCTGGAGGGCTTGCTCACCACGCCCGAGGAGGCGCAGACCTTCGTCGACACGGGCATCGAGATGCTCGCGCCGGCTTTCGGCAACGTGCACGGAGAGTATGGTCCCCGGGGAATACGGCTCGAGTACGACCGCCTGGAGTCGATCAACAAGGCCGTCGGGGACAAGGTGTTCCTGGTTCTGCACGGGGCGGACCCGTTCGACGATGAGATATTTGCAAAGTGCATCAAGGCTGGCGTCACGAAGGTGAATATCAACAAGGGCATGAACAAGCACTACGCTCGAGTGCAGGAGGAGATGAGGGGAAAGCCTCTCACGAGTGTCATCGAGAAGGGCACAGATGCGATGCAGAAGGCGATCGAGCAGTATATGCACTCGCTAGGAAGCGCTGGTAAAGCATAGTCAAGGGTCGTTTAAGCCTTTAGGGCAATCTATCCACGATTCGCAATCTCGACACCGCGTGCACCTGGCCACAAAAACTTTTCAGTCTATATAGATTAGACAAGTAATCATACGCGAACTGTATTGAGTGACACAAGAGACATTCTCTTCAATCCCCTGCACAGCATGAAGGAAGCATGCAGGGTACGATACATGTTTGCTAAACCTTTTCAAATGATAGAAATTGTTTTTCCCCTGTCCTATCATATTGGCCAGATTTGAAGGACCAGATGTTGTTGTTTGTGACCTAGCTCCTGCTCTGGGACGTTGGGGCCATTACTAACTAGATCAGTAGAAATTGTATGCAACAAGCTTGTTAGGGCAAGGAAACGCACTAGCTGTGGGTCATGACGGAGCACGATGATGGTGTTTTCATACAAACTGCAATGTGCCTGTATGCGCAGTACTTATGGCAGTGGGTGTAAGCATCTTGTGTCTGACAGCCTGCCTATGTACAGTCGGTAGCAACCGCATCGGCAAACCTGCCGTTTGTGGGTTTCATAAAAGCTAAATGTTCTCCAGGGGATCTTTGAGGAGTGGTTTAGAAAAGAATGTAGAAACTGTCAATTATTAACTGTTCTGTTCATATGTTTATAGGGAACTACCCCAGAGACAATGCCACAGCAACCAAAGCACGAGCTTTATGTAGACTTGTAACATACTGTATACAGAATTAGATACATTCGCCAAGCTCGGGCGATTGCAGTGCAATTTCAGTGTGGGACCTTCTGTAAGACACGTCGGCACAGCGGACTAAGGTCAGGGAAGTGGCCCCCCAAGTCACCAGGCAAGGTTCCGCTCCGTGCAGCGACTCCATCTGCAACTCGTGACCCATCTTGGCCAGGGCTATCCGTCACGCAACAACTCAGCCCTACTGCTCCTCGGCCCAATTGAAGTTGGTAACCAGCCGTTAGATGGGGTCCGACTGCTCCAGCCTGGCACAGATTATATCTGGTGTAGCTTTCAAGACTGTCTCGAGCGGTAAGACCTGCATATGTCAGCGTTACTTTGCAGATACCACTTGCGTTGACTCGTTCATCATGCGACGCCGATAGGCTTTATGGTAAGGCTGTGGCGATGAGCGCAGAAGCAGGCAAACAATAGCACGCATTTCCAGGTGTCCTCATAGCCATAATACGATTATATCACCCGCCCTGGCCCGCCGACCTCGAGGTTGTCGTGTTCATGTCTACTTATCGTGATCAGCCAGCTGCACCTACAAGCCCATGTTCCACAACTCATGCATTGTTCGTCATCGCGAAAGAAAGCACTTACTTAAACTTGCCTTTCTACTACGAGCAGGGGCGAAGTTGCACTTTCCACAGTTGTAGCACATGTAAAATTTGTTGTAGTTACTGCTCGTAGAGCGGTCCGACTTCAGCCCACCATGTCTGTACTTTATCCTTTACCCCCTGCAGCATACCCAGACAGCGACGACGAATCGACCGAGCTCAGCTCACAATCGACATTCGTCAGGAGGCCTAAGCCTGTTCCTAAAATGCCTAAGAAGCTGCAAACACCGCAACAGGCTATCGATGAGTTCTGGACCAAGTTCACCACCAAGGCGCCCGGTAAAGGTACGCTACTACAACGTCATCGCCCCTAGGAAGCTGTCCTATACTATTCCCGCCTATATCTATTCTACAGGGCCATATATTTGTTGATCAACTAACCTTCCTCAAAGCTACTACTGTTATTCCGCACAATTCGTATATTCGGCGCGCAGAGAAACATGCCCGCAAGACCGGGATCACCACTCAGGCATCATACGAGGAAGCTGCCGAAGTGTGCAAGGTGAAAGTGGCTAAAATCGTCAAAGAGTGCCGGCGCGTTAACCAGAAATATCGGGACCCTCATTTCGATCTCGAATGGGATCTCAAATGGGGTAAGCGTGACACACTCGAAAGTCTACACAACGTGAAGCAGCCGCCGGAGTCCGATTTCAAGCCCAAGAGTGTAAAGCGGGTGTCCGACATCTTTGACAACCCACGGTTTTATATCGAGGGGCCGACAGCGAACGATGTCAGACAGGGCAGGGACGGTGACTGCTGGCTTATGGCCGCACTGTGCACACTCAGCAACAAGTCTGGCTTGATTGAGCGATGTTGCGTGGCACGGGACGAGCAGGTGGGTGTCTACGGCTTCGTCTTTCACAGAGATGGAGAGTGGATATCGGAAATAATCGACGACAAGCTCTTTCTAACAAAGCCTGATTTCGAGGAGAGCTTTCTCGAGCGCATGCTCTGGGAAGACCGGGAACGTGTCGAGTCCGAGGAACAGTATCGGAAGGCGTACCAGAGTGGCTCCGGTGCGCTATATTTTGCACAGTGTGTACACGCGGATGAGACTTGGTTGCCTCTGCTTGAAAAAGCATACGCCAAAGCGCATGGAGATTATTCAGCCATTGAAGGTGGCTTTACTGGCGAAGGCATCGAGGACCTCACTGGTGGGGTTACAAGCGAGCTATACTCCAAAGACATCCTTGACAAGGAACAGTTCTGGAAGGAAGAACTCATGAAGGTCAATGACGAATTCCTCTTTGGCTGTTCAACTGGTATGTGGGGTATAGGATGGGGCGATCGTAAAGGTATCGTCGAGTTACATGCTTATTCCATCATGAAAGCTGTTGAGGTCGACGGTCAACGATTGCTACTCCTAAAGAACCCTTGGGGTAAGGGCGAGTGGAAGGGGCCATGGAGTGACGGTTCCAAAGAATGGACCCCGGAATGGCTCATTAAGCTCGACCACCGTTTTGGAGATGATGGTGCCTTCTGGATCTCGTATGAAGACCTTCTCCGCAAGTATCAAGCCTTCGACCGCACGCGGCTTTTCGGTCCTGATTGGAAGGTAACTTCTTTGTGGACTACGCTTTCCATCCCATGGTCCCTTGATTATCACGATACACAGTTTGCGTTTTCACTCGCGGAGTCAGGGCCCGTCGTCATCGTCCTATCTCAGCTCGATGATCGCTATTATCGAGGCCTTGAAGGTCAATACCGCTTTACGCTGAACTTCCGCCTTCACAAGGCAGGGCAGGAGGACTATGTCGTCCGAAGTATCAGTCCCTATTGCCAAAAGCGCGGTGTTAACGTTGAGCTCGAGCTTGCCGCCGGTGAGTACCTGGTCTTGCTCAAGATCAATGCAGTGCGCTCCATGGATGTGCTGCCTATAGAGGAGGTAGTACGAAACAATGCTCGCGGTAGGCGCGACAAACTGGTAGCAGCCGGTATGTCGTACGACTTAGCTCACAGCAAAGGTAAGATTGTCGAAATGGAGGAGGAAAAGGCGGCAAAGGCAGAGGCGGAAAAGAAACAGCATGAAAAAGAGAAGAAGGAGCTCAAAGACACATTAATGGCTGCCAAACGTCGAGAACATTACTTGGTTGTCAAAGATCAGAGAAAGAGGCGCGACCGAGAGGCCAAGGCGAAAGCCAAGGCAGAGGTTAAGCAGACGCAATGTGGCACTTCCAGTCATGAACCTACGCCAACTTCCGACACCAGTAGTGACACGAGTTTCAGAACACCGGTGTCAGAGATCACACCTTCGGAAGAGTCAGACCTGTCCTCGCCATCTGATATTTCCGACCAAGAGCTTGAGTATCGGCTTGAAAGCCGTGCAAGGGCTCTCCCACGCCCTCCCCCTGTACAACCGCCGCCTGGGAGCGAAGTCAAGGATGTACAGGATGAATTTGAAAGCAATCCCTGGAATGCAGTCGCGACTGTTGGCTTGAGGGTTTACTACAAGGTATCTGAGGTGGACCGTAATAAGGAAGTCGTGACGCTAAGGGTCGCTCGATACTCTCCACGGTCAGCAGCGGCAACACCTGCAAACGAGGTCCATTTCGGCGAGATGGGGCTCGACGTTGATGATTCATCCAAGGACGCCACGCTAGTTGGCGACCAAGCTCGCAGGAAGCAGAGTATTGTGCCTGTGGAGGGGTCAGACGGTTGAATGTACTTGCCGCCTGAGAAAAACCACGTTTGTCCCAGAGTGAGTTGCTGAGATAGCACTAGACAGAATCATTATCCACTTACTGATATTTCGATATCTATTAATCTTTTTATTTATTTTAACGCCGTGCTGTCCATCCTGTGTTACTGCGTGGTCAACATCATCTTGTATTGACCTGTTCCATCAGCGGAGCCTCGACGTCCGTCCAGTGCTTATGGAACTGTCAACATGCCGCTCGAGGCTTGACACACACTTGTTCGCAACGAGTATATTGTCATCTCATGTCTCGCCTAGTAGAACGCAAAAGACCTGAACAATCTATGTTTCTGGTCGTTGCAGACAACTTTTAGATTCCTTGACAAACCGAGAAACATATGATATAAATCAAAAGGGTATCACTAGGAAAAGCTAAACCGATAACCCAAACGCCAGTTGATCGGAAGGAGCCCATCGTCTCAGAAGCCATCCAATAAGCTTTGCACCTTGCCATGTTCCAGCTCGTCCAAGTCGCCCAGGACCTCGTCCTCGCCGACATCGCCGGCATCGGGAAGCTGTCCCACCCTCCCGGCAACCCTCACGAGCAGGAACCGCATGCGCTCCAGTTCCTTCTCGACCTCGCCGTTCCGTGTCACCAGGTTCTCCTGCACGTCCTCCTCCTCGAACGGCCGCAGCAGCGTTCGCATCCGTCGTAGCCGCTCGACTCGGGCTCTGGTCTCGGCTCGCCGCGCGCACAGGGCCGCTAGGGAGGCCTGCAGCTCGTCGTATGTCCTTGCCTCCGTCGGCTGCGCCTCCGCTTCTCCGGGCCGCTGGGCCTCCCAGGTTTGGGGCAGCGAGGATATCGCTTCGTCGGTGGCTGTTTGACGGGGGGGGTGATCAAAGGTCAGCAGGCGCCATTAAAGATCATCATCACCGCCGAGAGGGCGGGGGCAGAAGAGGAAGAAGAGAAAGAAAGAAAAAGGGTCCGTACTTAGGTCCACACCCTCCCATAGCCCTCCCAAGCCGTCCCTGTCATCCCGGGCCCCTGCCTCACGGTCGCCGCCTGCGTTGAGGAACAGCGCGTCGATCTGCTCTGCGACCTGGCGGGTCGCCGGGGGTGGGTACACCCTCCTCACGTGCTGCTGCAGCCTGTTGTTGAGCCGGTTCAAGGCCTCGTCGACCACGCGCTGCGGGAGGCCCTGCTGCTGCCCGGCGGCGTCGTTGGCGTCGCGCCAGGCGCGGGACGGCGAGGGGTTCTGTGAGAGCTGGAGGGTCTGCGCGGTGAGGAAGGCGGATTTATGGGCGAGGATCGTCGGGGGTGCCATTGTCGAGCTGATACCTCGGCCAATACGGCTGTCTGTGTATTTCGATTACGATGAGTCGCGTTCGAGCTTATAGTAGCCAGTATGTAACGCGTCACAATTACTGCTGTCGCTTAGTGGGACCCCGCTGGTTTGGCGGGGTAATCAATTATGCTGGGCGTTAATTATAGTTGCTCCCAGAGACTGCACTAACCTAAGGTTAAGTTAAGTATACTGTTCGCTCCTGCGCTCCAACCATTTCAATGGCTTACGGCTTGCCCATCAAATGCCTTCCATAGTAGCTTTAATTAATTGAATGAGCGTAATGCCTCTAGAAGCCACCGAGTTGCCTCGCAATCAACCGCCTAACCTAGAACCAACACAACGTTGATCTCGGGCCAAGTCACACATCAATCTGGTCAATGTAGCAGCCAACATAGGCTAATAGACATGCCTCTGTACAAGATGGCGGATTTACTTGGACGCATCGTCCATTTCAAATCTTACGGAGACAGACACCACTGAAAAGCTCATCATTACTAGGTTGAAACCATCACTTACAGACCAGACCACCAGAAAGTCTTCTGCACCTGGAAGGAAGCCTTTACAGCCTTGCCATCCTTCACATCACTACTATCGCTCACAATGATATCATACTCGCCGGCCTCGACGCACCACTTATCGCGTTCCTCGTCCCAGTATGCGCCGGCATATTTGGACTCGATCTCCACGGTGGCAGTCTTACTCTCTCCTGGAGCAAGCTCAACCTTGGAGAAGCCCTTCAATTCCTTGACGGGTCTGTTGACCTTGGACTTTTGCTTGGGCGCCACGTATACCTGTGCCACCTCGGCGCCCTTTGCCTTACCAGTGTTCTTGATGGAAACTGCGACCGTGAGCCTGCCGTCCTTCTCGGAGACGGACAGATCTGAAAATGTAAACGTCGTGTAGCTCAAGCCGTGACCGAACGGAAAAAGCACCTCGCGCTGGGCGAACTCGTAGTATCGGTAACCGATGTAGATATCCTCTCCGTAGAGAACCCTCCCACCCTCTGTGCGGTAATTCAAGAATGCTGGGTTATCCCGGCCGCGCACGGGAAAGCTCAAGCTGAGCTTGCCAGATGGGTTGACGTCTCCGAATAGGACATCCGCAATGACGTTTCCGGTTTCGTTGCCACCATACCATGCCTGTACGACAGCACTGACATTGTTTATCCATGGCATCTCCACAGGCGTGCCCGATTGCAAGACGACGGCCGTATTAGGGTTGGCTTTGCCTACCGCGGCAATCAAGTCATCCATGCCAGGAGGCAGACCCATATGATCACGGTCTGCTCCCTCAGTTTCCCAGTCCTGTGTAAAGATGTCAGTCCTTTAGGACACAAAACGGGTCAAATAACGCTGAAGGGCAACAAGGTTGACTTACGGCATTGAGTCCAGCGCAAACGATGACTTGGTCAGCATCCTTGGCGAGCGCCGCAGCACGCTCGATCTCAGCTTTAGGGTCGATGACTTTGCACCCACCGATGCGAAGAGCACCACCACGCATGAGGACTGCCTGATCAGCAAGTTTGGAAGTCGGAGTTGAGCCAAACTCAACCTTAACGTCGTACGTCTTGCCCTTCTCGAATTTGTAGACGCTCTTCTCCTCAATAGTGCCACATCCAAAGAAGGCGGTGCCCAAAATCTGCTTCGTGGTGTTTTCAATAACCAATTCGCCGTTCACATATAGGTTACCGCTTCCACACACTACTAACCCGAGCTCGAACTTGCAGTCTTCTTCTGCAGTCAATGAGCCCTCAAGAGTAGCATAGAAGAGCTCCGACTTCAGGCCTGGATGATGGAAGTCGACAAGGAATGTGTCTGTCTTCAAGATCTCCAGTTCCTGGAAAGGCTTCCTGTCGGAAACATCTGGCGACTCATTGAAAATCTTCATGGTCATTCCTTGGTTTCCGTTAGCCGACTTTGTAGAGAAACCAAGTAGTGGAAGCATCATGTGCGAGTATTGGCCAACGGTGTAATCTGGTTCCTTTTCGAGCTTCTCCTTGATGCCGTCAAATGGTGTGACTGCGTAGTAGGAGGCAAGGGCTGCGGAGCCTCCTCCATGATATGTTGCAATCTTCGCATTTGGGCCAATAACCACCGTCTATTAAGCTGTCATCAGAACACAAATCAAGAACGATAGCTTCGCGTAGACTGACCTTCTTGTCCTTCTTGAATGGCAGTACATCATTCTCGTTCTTAAGTAACACAAGTCCCTCGTTACCGATTTTGCGAAGCACCGCGGCTGTTTCCGGTGTGTCGAGGGTCCCCTCTGGAGCATTCTCCTCGACGCCGCTGGCGTAACACTTCTTGACGAACTCGAGCACAGTCTTCGCCCTCTGATCAATAATGTGCTCGCGAACTTTGTCTGTCTGGGCATTGAACTTTAGAACATCGCCACGGAAACGCGTAGGGCCAGGCATTTCCAGGTCCAAACCGGCCAAAGCAGCCCTAGCATTCAATATCAGCCAAAGGTGTACACGGAAATGCCAAACACAGAGCAACCTGCGTACCCCCCCGCCGGGGGCATGACAGAGGAACGCGTAAAATGCATTACTTACTCGGTCGTGCTATAAGTGCCCCACCAGTCACTCATAACCAGCCCTTCCCAACCCCACTCCCTTCGTAGCAAACCATCAAGGAGCTTTTCGTTCTCGCTACAGTATTTGCCGTTTACACCATTGTATGCGGTCATGAAAGCTCCCGGGTGGGCGTCCTTGACGACTAGCTGAAACGGTAAGGCATAGATCTCACGCAGAGCTCTCTCCGTGACCATGACCTGAACAGCATTACGCTTATGTTCATGGTCGTTTGCAACAAAGTGCTTAATCGTAGCTTGAACACCCGTTGACTGGATACCGTTAACAAGAGCCGCGGCCCCCAAGCCGGCTAAGAAAGGATCCTCGCCCAGGGACTCAAAGCCTCGACCACCAAGGGGTGATCTTTGCATATTGATTGTTGGACCCAAGATGCAGTGTACACCCTTGGCCTTGGCCTCATCGCCCATCAACTTTCCAGCCTCTTTCAACAACGCGAGATTGAATGTTGCGCCGAGGCCCGTGCCGCATGGGAAGCATGCTGCTTTGATCCCATTGAAGAACTTGGTTCCACGAACGCCGTTGGGGCCATCGGATGTTCGTACTGAAGGGACGCCAAGTTCGGGAACAGCCTTCGTATGCCACATGTCGATGCCTGAGAGGAGGTCGACCTTCTCAGACAGCGTCAGCTTCTTCAACACCTCGTCGACATTGAGGTTGGCCATCTTGAGTCCCGGCTTGCGGCACGCAAGCAGAAACGAAGCTTGGAGTGAATTCTAAAGATTTGGTAAAAGAAGACGCAAGCAATGACTCTCTGGGACAAGAGAAGAGGAACGGATATGAGAGGTATATGTCTTGACTGCGGCCTAGACTAGTTTAAGTACTTTATTTATTCGCCGTTATCACTGCGGGCTCCACGGCGGCATCAGTACATCCGTGATACATGGATGACAACGACAACTCAGACTCCAGAAGACACTCTCCTCAGCCGGCCGGACCCTCACTTGAGAGCTCATCATTACTCGTTCGGTAACTCGAACTTCAAGATCCGGGTGCACCTTCGTCCGCATTTTACTGATTGACCTGTCAACGTCTGACAGTCACATTCTCATGTACGCGCTTTGTGATGATCAGTTCTTGGAAGTCAACGAGCAAGCGAGCCCCTCATCGCGGTATGCAGGAACAAGAGGTTAGGCGACTTTAGCCCAGCTCCTGCTGTCGGTCAGCGGGCCGTTCATCCTGAGATGGCCGGAGTTCTACCATTGAGAAAGCATAGTCCGGAATTCTGACGCGTCGGCTGCAAGAGGGAATTCCACGTAATGGAGCATTCTCCTCCCAGATGGCGTGACCCGTTATGTTTTTGTAATGGTTTCTGATGACTGGTTCAGCTAAAGCTTTTCGGTCCCATCTTCGGTCAGATCGTACTCAGGTTGCCCAGCCATCTGGCTATTTATTCCAGCGTCTAGGCCAGAAGCTTACTTCGGAGTTGGGGAACCAATACTAGGTTAGGAGCTTGCAGGGCGGCCCGCCACGTTTGGCTATCACTAAAGCCGCACTTTGCGGGGTAATTATAGCAGAGGACATTTCGATGGGAGACCATAAATCCTGCAACAGCGCTGGAATCCAGGCGAACTATCAGGCGATGTCTGCATAATCCAGAGCTACAGAGCGTCAGCTGCATCATTCTTGGAATAAAGAATATTCGAGAACCTCAAAATCGATCTACTGAGTCATACCGATGACTTTGTTATCATCATCTTTAATTGGATGACAGGAGAACACAACAGATCCGGGCATAGTCACAGGTATATTTTCGAATCGCAACTTAAGTATTGCCGAGCCGCAGCGAATATACATAAATCTATTTGAAAGCGCGATAGTGCCCAACACCAACAGCATTTTACCCGTGATTGTGTTTACCCTTCCATTCTCGACTGCAGTCTGGCTATAATAACTTCGTATTCATTAATTCGACGCATCTTGCAGAATGAAGTATCGTGGCGGATATAATATCAAAGACCTTCGGAACGATTTGGAGGGTGGCCTAGGATGGGCACACTCAACTGAAAGTGTCGCGCACTATTTGGAAACAGTTGCAAGTCATGATGCTCTATTACACGAACTTCTTGTAACCTGAAATCCAGATTCCCACGGTGCTCGAAGCCAAAATCAAGTACGTCAGGTTCAACTAGTCGTTTAAGTGCAACTACTTAGGGTACCAGAGGTTGCTTTCGACACACGTCTAGTCAAGACAAAACGGACCCGAAAAAAGTTGTCACTTCTTCCTTCTACAAATCTAGAGGCGGCAAGCTGGCCACTTGCCATGCCCATGGGGACGGTACATGGAGCATCGCCTTCACTCGCCTAGGCAAAGAAGAGCTAGCAAAGCACGCTTCGGAGACGATCAATAGCAAACAACTCGACGTGCATGTCCGGGCAGAGGTCAAAGATGATGGCCTATATCACTATGGTGAAATGAAGAATAAGCCACTCGCTTGTCGTGGTCATATCTCGCTCAACAGTGATGAGGCACATCGGATGCACCACCTCGACGATCAAGCACAAGTTGAAGTGATCGATACGTCAACGACAATTATGACTACGGTGCAGACCTCGAAAAAGAGCTCCAACGTAGGTTCTCAGGATGCCACTGGCGGGGCACGAGGAGCACCAACACACTGGACTCATGAACAGCAGATCCGGAATCAATTGAACACAGAGCAGACTCAGTTAGCAACCGACCTGGATAGGGACGGTTTAACGAAAAAAGAAGAAAGAATCCTGTTCCAAAAACTTAAAGCGATACCGCGGGAGCTGCAAGAAGGGGTCCTAAAGCAATCAAAGTTATTACAATTAAGAGCCAAGGCTTGAGAGTCCAAATAAAAAAACACATCATTAGGAATCTGGATAAGTCAGTACTAGAAGTGAATACTAATGGTAACGACATGAACAGGCAGGAATCTCACTCGCAACCCACTGTCCGCACGATCGTACGCCGTCGCAAACTAACCAGGCCACCGAGACAATAGATTCCACCAAGCTAACATACCACTAGCATCGCCGACTCTGAATCTTCGTATCTATGACGCAGCAGTTGAGGCAAGTCGCGTCTATGGGTACTGATACGGTGGTATTCGTTGCGATACCCAACTCATCTCACAAGCGGTCACAACCTTGTGCAGTTAGATGACTGAGAATATACCATATTTGGATTTCCTGCCGCATTAGCTGCGCATAGTCCCAATAAGATGCCAAATCATTCTCGCGCAGGATATAGGCTCAGAACTCGGACTATATTTTCCTAAAAGTTCACTGATCATCTGTACTCTCCCAATCGACCTTCTCATCATACCTGTTTCAACATTTGCATCGAAGCTCTTTTGGATATGGACACTTCCTCAGAAACCCCAGGGCCTGACTTCGACCACTTCCTAGCAATACCATGGTGCGCAGACTATCTCCGGAAGCCCGATGTCAAAGCATGGACGCCTTCACGAAGCCGCGTTCCCAACACAGAAGGGGAGCACGTAGTCTGGTCAAAGACGCTGAACGACCCGGAGGCTTTCTCGGGCTTTCTCGCCTTCTGTACGGAGCCTGGGAGGCCAAATGATCTGCTGGACCACGTCAACGTCTTTCTGAGCGTGGGAAACGGCCTCCAGGGCCACCCGGGCTTCCTGCACGGTGGAATTGTTGCGGCGATCCTCGACGAAGTCTCGGGTCTGTTGCCTACCATAAATCGGAGCCGCAAGGCTTTGCCCAACGTGTCTTATATGACTGGTCATCTCAATGTGGTATTCAAGCGGCCTGTGAGGACGCCGGAGACGCTCCTGGCTACTGCGACGGTCTCGAAGGTCCAAGGAAGGAGGCTGCATGTGAAGGGGACTGTACAAGATCAGAAAGGTTTAGTGCTGGCAGAGGCCGATGTGCTCTTCATTGCCCTGAAGCATCTTCTATAACATATGTTACCTTCAACTTGTGCAAATTAACGCCATGGGAGCCCTCGAGAGCCCTCGAATAGGTATTACAGGCTTGTTGGGTTCATACCTTTAAGGTCACAAACGGGCATGAATAGACTTCTGACAATACACCTCGAAACAGCCTTGAAATATACTACAACGGCACGCAAGTATACCTTGATTACCCGAGCTAAAAGCTCTTGGTATTTTGTTGGCTTTTACGTTCACGCTACTGGATTTCAGCGTTCATGTGATCATATATTATGATAGAAACTTTTGTGTGTATTGTGTACCAATCCTTACGGCGCGGTAGACGAACTGAAACTTGTAATTCAGGCCATGGATAGCTACTCTAATATTGAAATGGCGATGCGTGATCCAGACCCGTCCAAATAGTTACGCAATTTACACAATACGTTTTTAATTTGCTTGTTCTTACTTTTTGAAACCGTGCGCAGGCTTCAATGCAACTCACACAGGTCTGCTCCTCACACAGACGCCGCAATGACTACATCATGGACGATGTAAGCACTGCTGAAAAGCTGTGTTTAACCAACTTGGCAGCTTATTTCTCCAGTAAAACAAATTACCAGATGATATAACGTTCCCTGCCGCCCACATAGGACTACGTCGGTGCATGTCACTCATTTTCAGGCTCGTCATCGATGCGCTTGCTACCAGGTGGTGGAAATCGTGACAGGAACAACACAGTAGTAGCTATAATAGCAAAACCCTATGTTTTGTCAGTTTCCGAAGGAATTACTTCGACGCGGATACCCAGTCAATGACTTACAGCATTACAGAAGAAAGTCAACCTTGGCTGGCCTGCCTCGGAGAAGGCGGCAAAGACTATGCCAAAAAGACCCTGCGTCAACAACATGGCTGCACTTTCTACTAGGGTGATTCCAGCAATTGCATCTTGCCGCTGGCTTCGAGGGCACATCTCGGTCATAACACCCTTCGCGGCGGGGGCAGAGCCGGAAGCGAACGGGAGGAGGAAGCCGGCTTGTTCGGTTAGCTATAGTCTTAACCAATAAAATATGACAGGGATTGGTTCCTACTCATATAAATTTGCCAAGGCTGACTGGAGAAAGCCGCAGTAGCCGTGACAATGGAGTCCACGACAAGACTCCAGCGCACGAACAAGAGATCAAAGCTCGTGCCGGTGTCTTCTTCCTCTTCGTCCACCTCGGGTACCATGACCGGTTCCTGAGGGACATCCTCTCCAGTCGCGGCAGGAAAGTCTTCCGGTCTAGTTGGTATCCTATCTTCGTGCTCGTTCGTACTTGTTGATTCATGGTGCTTCTCTTTGCCATTGATCCAATCTCTTCCAGTGGATATTATCCTTGGGAACATAAAAAGCAAAAACAGACCACGAATGAGGGAGTTTCCAAACATCAACCATCCGTTTTCAGTGGTGCCAAAGTTAAATTCAGAGGTTGCTATTGGAATGTTAAGTCATAGCTGTGGCTTTAAAGGGTTCTTGATAGGCATTACTAACCGTACATCTGCAAAAGCGTAGGTGCATATGTCGAGGCAAACTAAGATAATTATTAGTAGAGGTTCCAGCAAACAATATCTCTTACAAATACGTACCACTCCGAGGAAGATACCAATCGCTAGGAATATCAAACCATAGCTGATGTATATTCTGCCGTCCTCGAGGGCATATCTGCGGGGGACTATCACTTTTAACGGGGCAAAGAAAGAAGCAACACCGCTAGGACGTTTCTTCTCAGCTTGGGATTCAGCTGGTGCCGTTGGTATGAACAGTGCTCCATAGACACTTGATACGATATACATGAAAAATGCAGTCTCTGATAGGGACATTATCTGTTAGTATTTATAGAGTGAATCATTCTGCCATGAACGCAGACATGGAAATGATCACCTACCGAATGGGCGCCGTATACCCCAGACATCACCAATCACACCACCCACTTTGCCTGTCAGCGAACTTCAAACACGATGGAATGCATGAAGGAGGAAAGCTTACACAGAAATCCAAAAGCAGTACCTAGCATAATTGACCCCTGAAGTCTACCAAAAACTGCAGTGCGTTCTTTCGCAGGAACGATGTCGCTGACTGCTGTATTGAGTACAAGTCTTGTGAAACCATTAGTTAACGGCACATCATCGAGAAAGAACGAGAACTTACTGAAACCCACGTGGCCCGCCAATGATTCCTATACTCTGAAATGCTTGAAAAATAATGATGCCGCTTCTACCCCCGACTGTGACGCCAATCACTTGTGTAGCCACCCGGATGCCCAGGAGTGATGTTTGACTGACAAACGCCCACCTGGACCCCCAAAGCTTGATGAACCATCCGCATAAAAATAAATTAAAAACTCCACTAAATGAGGTTGACATCCCCAGGATTGAGACTTGCGTCGCAGTTCCTGCATCGATTTCACGTCGGTGGCACCGATCGCCGATACCTTCAAAAGGTGGGTTATGACTATAAAAGACTTCACATTCCATGACACGAAATACATAGATAATACTATAACAGATTAGGCTACACGCTATGACTGCACACCGAGAATCATTGGTTACTTACGGGACTTGTGTAATACCTAAAGTGAATGCCATCAGAAATCCAGCAAACAAAATCCGGTTGGCGGGACCGAAGAAGCTTTTGGCCTTGGCCGATACGGACTTCTTCTGCTCGCCATTGCCCAAAAGAGGGGTCGTCTCGTTGGCTGACATGCTGGAATTCGGAGGTAAATCGCGAATTTGAAGCCAAAATGATGAAGAGCAGTAATAGATTCGGTGAAAACTCACCGCTCTCCAGAATAAGGAAGACTGCAGATTTTGTTTCCTTCACGGAGTACGCCCGACATTGCCGATCACCTCATCCAGATGTGGTGGGGACGTCTCCGATGCAGCGGAGACAGTCATGATCGAAATAATTGGGTCTGCTTGCTGGGGGCACACACTGTTGATGGCGAGAATAAAACCGTTGGAGCTGGCTGGCCGTCGATCTCACATCCGCAGCTTTGACTATAAACAACTCTACATAGAGGACCTTCAAAAAGAACTCTACTAATTTTGGTGGCGGCCACTCATGAAGGCGTCATGATGGACCCGATCAAATGACTGCGTGGCCGTCTGCGGAAGGTCCCAGCGCTAAGCTTCCTCGGAATTGAGAGTATTATCTATCCCCTGCAACATGCAGCGGATGGCGCCGCTATCGCCTCCGATTACCGACAGTCGCGAGCATGGGTTTTAGACGCTGTCATGAAGCCATACTCTCTCTCGATAGAGGACAACGAGGCTCGGCACATGCAACCGGCGGAACAGAACGTGAGTATCAGACATAGAAAACCAGTCGCTCTGCACGCATACTTTAGAGGCCTAGAGAAGGTCAAATTATACGGTCTTTGCCGGATATCCCCACGAACATGCGCCGTTCGCTGGAGAAGAATGACGACATCGAGTCGGTCAAACAACATGATTTCCAGAGTCAGAACGAAACCCCCCCGAAAGTTTTCAACAGCAAAAGTATAGCCTTTGAAGAGAGTATGTCAACGGCTGAAGTCTCAGCGGACAGCAAGCCACAAACTTCTATCAATGGTCCAGAGGCTCCACCAGTGGAACCAAGCATTGGCAATAAAGGAATGGAGTCAGGAAACGCTTTCTCATGGCTTCGCTCGATCACTTGGATCCCTGAGAGATGCCGTTATGATCCAGAGAACCCTCCTCAATTTTCACTACCAATGAACATGTTGTTGGGTTTGGTTAGTTTTTGGCAGTGCCACGTTTTTCTTTGGCTGAATTGAAAGCTAAAAATGTGCCTAGGCTGGAACCTTTACTGTAGCGAACCTCTATTATCCCCAACCTGTAAGTTCTTTGTACTACTTCGGTGTGATTCTTGGCAACTCTTCTATACTGTATTTAGGATACGCTTAAACTGCAGACTATTTATTATTTCACATAATTACTAACGCCACAAACAAGATATTGAACATACTGGCCGAAGAATTCAACGTTAGCTTTGAACGGGCATCCACAGTAGCAACACTGTCACAAGCTGGATATGCTGTAGGACTTCTATTTCTATGTCCGTTGGGCGATAAGCTTCGCCGGCGGCCTTTCGTGTTGACATTGATATGGCTTACAGCTACGGTGGTGAGCTATGCAATCATATATCGAGAAATACCAAGCGTGTAACTGACAGTTTACAGTGGCTGGGTCTGTGTCTTACCAACAACTTCAGCGTCTTTATCGCATTATCTTTCATATGCGGTGTCGGGTAAGTTTGTTTTGAGAGCTCAATTGAGCGTCAATGGAAGTCGGAGGTCTTGAAGTGAGATCATTCTCGCTGACCGTGTACTATCACCTCAGAACTGTGACGCCTCAACTTATGCTTCCCTTAGTAGGTGACTTGGCCCCTCCACACAAGCGGGCGAGTTCGTTGTCTATAGTAGTATCCGGACTCGCTCTTGGAATGCTCATAGCTAGAGTTCTATCGGGTATTCTGGCAAATTTCACTTCGTGGCGAAATATCTATTGGTTGGTAAGTCGGGCTCACCCATCACTCTTCCGTGTTCCTGTTGGCCTGACTCATAATCAGTCTTTCGGAGCCCAGTATTTGATTCTCATTCTTCTGTATTTCTTCTTGCCAGAGTCAGTACCCCCAAGCCATTTTTGTCAATCGAGAAAATACGAGTCGATGGCCTTCTCAGCCCACAGGTCTTTTGAAAAGTGAGACACGTGGTCTGACCAGGCCAGAACCCTAAGAACATTCCCCAACCTGGTGAAATGATTGACTGACTGGGAGGTCTTCGTAACGCAGCTACCCTGCTAAAGATCCGGATCTTTCATACTTCCAGCTATTGTGGGATATCATCACGATGGTAGTGAAGGAGCCCCTTTTACTCCAAGCATGTCTCATCGGATTCCTCTTGAGCGCTGCATTCACATCCTTCTGGACGACCTTGACCTTTCTCCTTGCATCGCCGCCTTACTCATACTCGTCTCTGGAAATTGGATTCTTCGCCTTCATCGGTATTGCAGTTATCACGTTGGGTCCTCTCTGGTCACGGCTCATAACCGACCGCTTCATGCCGCTGTTCTCTGTCATCCTCGGCCTGTGTTTCGAGATCATCGGGATCGTCATCGGCACGTTCATCGGGCAGTGGACCGTTGCGGGTCCCATTGTTCAAGCCATCACAATGGACACGGGCGCGAACTTTGCTCACACTGCCAATCGGACTAACGTCTACAACCAGCTTCCGCCGAGGATGAGGAACAGGGTCAACACGGCGTACATGGTCTTCAGTTTTGCTGGGCAACTCACCGGAACTGCCGTGGGAAACCGGCTCTATGCACAGGGCGGGTGGATCTGGAGCGGGAGTTGCAACATTGCTTTCATCGGCTTCGGTATTATCTTGTGCTTCATGAGAGGACCGAGAGAGACAAAGTGGGTGGGATGGCGTGGTGGTTGGAATGTGCGAAAGGATATGATGCTAGAAACCGATGAACCCACCCCCAGCCCAGAGCGGATGGCAGAAGAGGCCGGTTCTGTGACAATAGAAGGCACAGCACAACGGCAAGAGATCAAGACTTAGCCTGGAATTTTGCAGAGTCTCATCTCTTCCGAAACTTTAGATATAGATTCTGGTAGATTCAACTTCTACCAATCCTTTAAAAGAATATTCCACAAGGTCTCCAAGTGGACATGATTCGCCTGACGAACACTCATCTGGAAATTCTTATGTAATAAACATTTGTCCACTTGACTTCTCTTATAGAAAGTCACTTGTACAGACTTCCTGGCCGTATAGAAGTCGCATAACTTTATCTTCTACTGGTGTGCGGTAGATGATCGACTAAATCCTATGTTATGCAGTTGCTTTTTAGTAGAGTCAGAGATGGCTCAACATCATTTTTACGAAGACCGCGTCGACCAGTCTCGCTTATAAAAATTGTGTATCCAACATTTACCTAATTTAAGATATTGATAGTGTGTCTATTTGTTAATATTTGGAAAGTATAGTGTATAATACAGAAACAGGGCTAAGCGCAAGAACACCAGACATCATTATTACAGTTAAGGGAGCAAGCAAAACTGTGTGGTGGCGGAGGTTGTTAGCCAACCTTGTGCCCATGTTGTTTATAGAAATGATTCTATCTTTCCTCAAAGCAAGGGACTACAGTTATGTCTCCTTGCCGAAATCGCTACTTGCCTCATAACGTGCCTATAATAGGCATTTAATTATTTAACCTTTTTTTCACATCAAAACCAACGCTTTATCGTAACAAATTCAATATTTCATAGCCATGAAAACCTTTACCACTCGACAACCTTGTTGGGGAAGAACTCATTAATGAGCTCCATATAGTAAGGCTGCGAATTATGTTAGCAAACTCGATTCCAGAATATGCGGCATAAATTGGTACTGACCTTGAGCTTCTCGGCGTCAGGGACGCCATCGCTCTTGCTATACAGATCGTAAGGGTTGAAAGCCTTAACAGCCTCCAACATCTGGTGGTCATGTTCGTCCATAAGGTCTCTGTAAGCACCCTCCTTGTGCCATGGGTAGAAAGAGTGGTAACGGATCATGGCCAGAGCCTCAGCGGGCAGGGTGGACTGCTCCTTGACAACATGGTAGAGATATTCGTCGTGGCCCCAGGACAGCATGATGTTGTCTAAGCCGCAGCCCGGAGAGTAAATTCCGAACTTAGTACTGTAGATAGGGTCATTGATATCGGGGTTGTCCTTGAAGGAACCGGGGTAGATGATCTTTTCGTCGAAAGCACAGCCGACGGGGAAGGTATCACCGACGACATCCCATTGGCCCTGTGATCCGTAAAAGTAAAGTAGCTTTCCAAGGTCGTGAATGAGACCCGTCAGCTGGAACCATCGGGGCTTGCCGTCGCGGCGGATGGCCTCTGCTGATTGAAGGAGATGCTGAATCTGGGACAAGCTCGTATCAGGGTCGGAGTCGTCAATCAGAGTGTTTAACTTCTCCATTGCCTCCCAGATGGTCATATGGTGCTTCTCCCTTGTCTTGAAATCGTTTCGTGCCTTCAAGTTGTAGGCAACAGTCTGTTTTGTGTGCTGCTCGAGGTAGAAATTCTTAACGCGGTCACAAGCGTCCTCGTATTGCCTGAACTGTGTCTTGTCCTTCTCTGAGTCGAACGCTGACTTGGCATTCCAAGCATCCTCTTCCTCCTTCTTCTTGGCCAAGGCGGCCTTCTTCTGGTCCTTCAGAACATTGACAGCGTCAATGTCGTCGGAGAGCTCTTCGAGCTTGCCACCATCACGGTTGCTAGTATCGTGGTCGACGAGAGCGCCTGGTGCCATTGTATCTGAAGTTCTTATAAGGTGATGTGCGGTAATTGAACGGTTTTAAGGATACGAGGAGTCAAGTTCTTATAGTTGATGGTGTAGAGCGGTCATGAATTGAGATGCCAAATTCAACATCACAGGGTGCAATTCCAGCCATCGATATATACTAGATCCCATCACTTCTAGTGGGGACTGATGTAAATGCACTTGCCATGATTTGCGTCGAATAGTAGACGCCACATGCGGTGAAAATCGCCGAAAGCCAGTCTCGCTTAGGCCAGTGAAGTACTGAGGTACACACCCTCCACTCCAAGAGAGGCCAAAATCCCCGATGCACGACCCAAAGGGAAATCGTTTGCAGCAGTCCACGGAGAAATGCGCGTTATGCCTCCCACTTGTACTCCAGCCCGCATGGTAGTTCATCGTCTACTCCTTTTTCGATCGCATCTGGGCAGTTCGCTGAGATTTGCGGGGTAGAAAGACGTCACCCGGGGATTCCATCAGAATTCTAATCTGCATTAAAGTCGGGATGGCTAGTATCCCTGCTGGTTCAAAACCGCATCAAACTCCGGCGTGCGATGTATTACCAAGCATTTCCAAGCCTCTGACGGGTTGATCGAGTGAATCCTGACTTTCCTCAATGGTCACGACGGGCATGTATTTTGTCAATATTGTCAGGAATGCGTATTTTCTAGCCATCTTCATAGGTCGGTATCCAACCCCACCCTCTCATCAGTTGTTCTTGAATTGCTTTGGTTGGGCGCGCATGGTTTGTTTCAGTCTTTCTAAGTACTTCCAACATTGCTTCCTGGTCTATTCTTTCTTCAAACTGGTCACCGACTAGGCAAATGTGAGCCGAAGTCAATCTCGCCGATCTGGGGAAACTTACACATGGCAATGCCCATTGAGGCAGTAAATAAAGCGGGAGGGGTCCACTGGTTAGAAGCTCCAATGCCGCAGATCTGGCGCATCAAATAGTCGACTCGTTTCTTTCAAAATCAGTCAAACTGTCCTCGTTTTTGTCAGTTTGAAACCTACCGCCATAGCCTTAACTGCAGCTCCTCTCCTCGTCCCCACTCTTGGTATTGCAGGATCGAACTGGGCTAGAAACAACTGAGCTAAAATATGGTGTTGCACACCAATTACTGCCAGTTCGTCAATATGACTTTCCTCGGATTGCGTTAAGAACATCAACTCACCATGACAACTTGAATGATACCAGATCTGTGGAAAGGTATCTGCAGCCATCCGTTCTCTAAAGAAAAACGGCTCAAACGATGGCGGCCGCATTTCATCCCACTTTGTACATTGCTCATTAAGGTACGTCCAACGTGATGGTGTATGATTGACCTCTGAAAAGCAGAAGTTGAGAACATCCGCCAGGTTGACTACCGCACGGTTCGACCAGGTGTAGTCGTCTGTAGGCTCAAGGGAGCGGTCGACGATGCAATGGTTAAGGCTCATCTTGACAGGTGATTGTGTGCTCATAGCACTATAAATCTCCTGGCGTAAACCAACCCAATATGAGGCGGCACTCAAGCTACCTGGTAGCATGATCTGATCGCCTACATTTACAAAAGCATGAATTCCAAGTAAATGGCCATGACTATCGTGTCCTGAGCAGGCTGAGATTCATAGTTAGCTGCCGTGGGCTGGAAATACTTTTCGGACTCACCATCCATTTCCTCCAACATCCGCAGAATAATAGTAGCAGCGAACAAGTTCTCATCGGAGACTGTGTATGAGTTGTTCAACATTGGTATAAGATAACCCAGACATTCGTCGTGGTATCTATTCGAAGCCAACGGATCGTAGTCACTCGTTTGGCTCAAATGTCTAGCTGCGATCGCGAATATTGCTTTTAGCAACGTTGGACACATTATGGCACGTTGCGGCACCACTAGTTCAAAATTACGCAACGGATCGCAAAGGTCAAGCTAGAAGAGATGTCAGATAATGAAGCTCAGATGATGATGGTACTTACGCAGACGGCTAGCTTCTGTACGTAGTGCCGAAACAGACACGCTTCTGCTTCGTTCATCAAAGAAAAGGGACTATTGAGTGGCAGATGGGAAAGACTACCAACGCTTCTAGTCGGCGTGGGCAGTTGGACGTCATGTGAGTGCGATCTATGGGTCTTCAAAACAGGGCTTTCAGAAACACCTCGATCTGAGTTATCCACCAATACCCTATTGGGCGGTGATGGTTGTGATCGTGGCATAGTAAGAACTTGAGGTGAGCTGCCGGTTTGTCGCATCTCCATTGGCGATTCACTCGCCGAGATATAATGTCGTGGCTCAATTTGTGCATGACTACCGGACCTTTCAGAGGTGTCATCTTTGAGAGAGTCAGGCGACCCAGTAGAGTCTCGTTGGTGCGTGGAAAATGCTTCGGGCGGGTGGTCAAGTATCAACGACGTTGTCTCGTCGATATATGTTACTGTAGAGGTCTTAGTTCAACATGAACTACAGCTGGCAAACTACTCACAGCGTCTAGGAACCTTGAGCCATCTCTGATTATCCTTGAACCTGCCTAAGCCGGAATTAATTTGGGACCATGCTGGCGCCATGAGGACGGGACATACCTTTGGCAGGCTTGAACTTGAAAGCATGTTTGCACTCTCGGCCCGAGTGAGAGCACCGAGAGCACCTCGGTATCAGCCGGTCACATTTCAAATGGTTCTCCCGGCACGGAAGACTGGCAGCATCGGGGAGGCTATAGTCAGCGAGATGTTCCACTTAACAGAGTTGTACGGGAGAGGACACGGAAGTGAGAATCGTACCATGGTGTTGCCAGTAGCTCCGCTTTCTCGAATGAGGGCATTCGCGTTGTCGTTCCACGGGCAGGCGTCCACTTGTAAGCCGCGAATATCTCATCACTTCTATGGATTCTCGAACACGGCCTGGGAACAGTGGTATTAGAAATGATCGTCCAGAGATGGGCAAAACGGCCGAGAGATACCGCAGGGAGCGGCAGGGGTGAGCAAGCCTAGCTGACTGACTGGGCTAGGACCCCAACGTCATGCGACCTGGAGCGCGGGGAAAGTACAACGGGCGGGCAAATAGCAGCATGAGAAACTCGCATTACTGCCAGGTAATTCAAGGCAAGTCCCCGCAAAGCCCACTAACGAAGCAAGCCCAGGGTCTTTCCCCGGCTTATCTCAAACCCGTCAGACTTTTACTTGCCCCACCACCACATCCAACTGCATAAGTGCACTGCCGCCACAGCACAATAACCCCCAGAGGTGAAGTCAAGCGTGATTCTCGGCAACTGCGAGACCATCGCCATGCTGTGTCTTTTTATGTTGGGCTGAGCACAACAGGAGCATGCGATGTGTTTCTGGGTCGAGTGTCGAATCGGCATTGCAGAATCCCGACCCGAGTCAGTCATGGCTTGGCTTCGCTCCATAAGTTCTCTCCACATGGTCGACGAACCCATGTGGAGACGAACATTGGGTCACACATCGCAAGAAATTTCGAATTCTTCCTTCGCTCCCAGCACGACACGCCAATCACCCGCATGTGCGTTTCAGGCAAGTCGATACGAAGGTTTGCCATAGATCAGCTCCCCCACACGCTACTAGACGCAGCCTCTGTCGTCTCACTTCGACCTATACCCCAGACACGCGGAAATGGCGTCTGTTGTAGGCCAGAGGCGTGAGGAGGACATGGCTGAAGAGCCCTCAAAAGCGCCGTATCCACCGGAGAAGCAACAAGATGAGCACGCCCAGCAAATGAGGGATCTCATCCAAGATGCGAAACAGGCCACAGAAAAAGAGCACCGGATGACCCTATTGCAGGGCATCCGGCTCTATCCGAAGGCTATTGGCTGGAGTGTCCTCATATCCACGTGCATTTGCATGGAGGGTTACGATGTCTCCCTGGTTAACAACTTCTACGCGTTCGAGCAATTCAATCGGAAGTATGGAGAGCAGCTACCCGATGGAACCTGGCAGGTACCTGCTCGATGGCAGGCAGGTCTTAGCAACGGTGCCACTGTAGGCGAAATCATCGGACTGTTGCTGAACGGCTGGGTTTCCGAGCGTTTTGGATATCGGTATACTGTCATGGGGTGTCTCGTCCTCATCATCGCCTTTACCGCCATCTTCTTTACGGCACAAGATGTCGTTGCGCTGCAGATTGCCGAAATCCTCTGCGGTATTCCCTGGGGTGTGTTCCAGACGCTCACCATCACCTACGCTTCAGAAGTCTGCCCGGTTGCCCTTCGAGGATATCTGACAACGTACATTAACTTCTGCTGGGGCATCGGTCAAGAGATCGGCATTGGTGTCATCATGGGAAACATGTGGCGGACGGACGAATGGGCCTATCGAATCCCCTATGCTCTACAGTGGATGTGGCCTCTTCCACTGCTCGTCGGAATCTATCTTGCCCCTGAAAGTCCCTGGTGGCTCGTCCGGCGGGAAAAACTCGATGACGCCAAGAAGGCTTTACTTCGATTGACGAGCTTGGACAAGGAAACCGAGTTCGACGCCGACGAGACAATTGCCATGATGGTTCACACGACAGCCCTCGAGCAAAAGATAACCAAAGGAGCAAGTTATCTGGATTGCTTCAGAGGTACCGACCTCCGCCGCACAGAAATCGTCTGCATGGTCTGGGCAATTCAGAATCTCAGTGGCAATTCCTTCTCCAACTATTCCACTTATTTCTTGGAGCAAGCCGGCTTATCCTCAAGTAACGCCTATGCATTCGCACTAGGCCAGTATGCCATTAACTGTGTCGGCGTCTTCGGTGCTTGGGGACTCATGAAATGCGGGATTGGTCGAAGATCACTGTATCTTTATGGCCTTATAATGCTGTTCTTTATGCTCCTCATTCTTGGCTTCCTAGGACTAGCACCTGATCGAACCAAAGCATCTCTGGCAACAGGGGCAGTCATGCTGGTTTGGGCCCTGTGCTACCAACTTACCGTCGGAACTGTGTGCTACTCGTTGGTATCAGAGATTTCCACAAGAAGACTGCAGATCAAGACTGTTGTTCTTGGGCGTGTTCTGTACAATATTGTCGCCATTGTTTGTGGTGTTCTCACGCCCTATATGCTGAACCCGGGTGCCTGGAATTGGGGCAATTTCACAGGGTTTTTCTGGGCCGGCGTCTGCTTCCTGTGTATCATATACACATATTTCCGGGTCCCAGAGCCAACTGGTCGAACATTCGCTGAGCTGGATCTCCTCTTCGAGAAGCGCATCGGGGCGAGAAAATTTGCTTCTACCGAAGTGGACGTTTTTGGAGAGGCATTAGACCCAGGGCTGGCCGACATATATCGGGACCAGATTGCCATCGCCAATTTGGAGAAAGACCTGAAGCTGCAATGAAATGCCGCTGTAAAGGGTTACATGTTGCTATTGATGACCATATACTGAAGATTGTCACGTGAGCTTTCCTACCTTTTCATGATGCATATGCTGCCATAAGAATCCTATAACAAACAATACTGACTAGCCATAACAGTGGAAACCATGCAAATGTAATTATATTTAGAGTTGAGTCAACACTCTGTGGCAAGTTGAACCTCGCGGGAGCTCGTGCTACTTGCTTAGAAATAATGTCATGACTCCAAAGTTGTCCGCTTACCCGTCACAACACCCAAATGTACCATAATTACCAACTTGAGCCAAATTAACTTCGTCAAATATTAAGATCATACCACACACCACCCTTCCTCCTCCGCCTCGAGAAACTTGTCCTTCTCTTGTTTTTCGCGTTCAGCTTCTCGAATCGAGTGCCACATGTTTAGTTTGACATAGCCGAACGGGTGAAAGCCTGCAGAGGTAAACAACCTGGCGCTGGAAGCCGTTGACGTGAGTGTCACAACATTATAGCCCAAGGAAGCCGCCTTCTGCATTGCGTATGAGGTGAGTGCCCCGCCGATTCCGTGCCCTCGGGCCTCTGGTAGCACATGTATCGCGTGAACAGAGGCCACCCCAGCAAAGCAATGGAGGAAGCCCGTCCCGACCGGATCTCCGTTCCGCTCGGCCATGAACAGGCTGAACTGGTTCCGGTGGAGCGATTTTAGCATCGAGTAGTACGTCCGAGTCCATTGTCCGATGCCTGTCTGTGAAGCTTGCGGCGCCCAGGTCTGGACCCATGTCCGAACACCCAGGGCATTGACGTCTGAAATAGTCACCCCGCTCGGTGGTTGAACATAGCGCGTCATCTCCCTCGGGCGTAGACCAATCGCCATCGTCGCGGCCTCGTCGGCGACAGTGAAGTTCTTTTGCTGGAGAAAATGCTCGAGCCGCGCCTGATCGCCGGGGCCGGTGACCCAGCTGAACTGCCTGTTTTGTAGAGAGTGCATGACTATATTTATGGCGGTGGAGATGTGCTCGTCTGGCACATCCTGATGCTCCAGCAGGTTGTGGACCTCAGATCCCGGCGGCGCCTTGTGCCATTGAACGATCCAGTCGCCTCCGCCGTACCGCTGCGGCTCCGCGCCCACGCTGGCGCTGACGTGTCTGGTAAGCTCGAATTTGTTCTTCACGTACAGCCGCTGGAGCTGCTCCTTTGTGAGCGCCTCCAGCTTGGGATACTCCGTCGGCAGTGTATCCATCACCAAAGAAGTTATTGATGCGTGCTATCTGTCCTGGGGAAATCTGTACGTAAATGCCTTTAATTTCTTGAGCAATGCGATACGTGTAGAATCTCAAGGTTCATTGACACAGGTGCAAGGAGGGGAAGTATTGCCAGTCAGCATAAGCTCATTGAAGTGGGGTAAATCGCAGTTATCCGTAAGCTGCGACATGGAAAGTTCTGCCTTGACCAGGTCTATTCTCATTTCAAAGCTAAATGTTTTACCCTGGCGAATTGCTGTCAGTTTCAGGAATGATTCTTGCACTAGAGAAGAAGAGAATGTCAATTATGGAGTGTGGCTCCAGGCGTATACAAGATAGTTCAAAATCGTCTAGCTTCCAGCGCCACACATCACCTATGCTTGACCGACTATTTGGACGGCCAACGAGGCAATCGTGACAGTTAGGCTCAGCTCAAGCTATATAGGAACGGCATATTGATAAACTATGATAGTATAAATGTACCACATGTTCGTGTTTTGGGGTTCGAAACAGAAGTCACGTAGTCTTTGATATGATGGCTTCTGCGAAGAACCTTGGTTTCTCTACTAACTTTTGTCCTCAACAGCTAAGTAGAGTTGAACTGCTTTACTGTCGACTGGACAGCAATTCAACAGTTATGTCGACCGCGAACTTATTAGGCACAAGACCATGATCGGTTTGCCCCTTCGGATATCACCCGCCTCAGCTAGGGTCTACGCTTCCACCCCTCCTCAGCCGGAAAGAACGACATTCGTTGAACGTGGCAGATGAATACATCAGTGTAGTTGAGTCATTATAGTCTCGTGGGTGTACAGAAGTGAGAATCGATAGTAAGGAGGTTGACTTCATTCTGCTATTTGCATGACGAAAATTAAAGGTAAGCACACAGTGAGGGAGCGAGCTGCCGTCCATGGACACATAAGCCATACTAGCCAGCGCAGTTGCAAGAACTTGAGCATCTATCGCGGCGGCTACCGCAAATATCATAATTCCATATTAGCATACAGCCTTTCCAACTTATGGCTATGAAAGGCTGGCTGGACTCTACTGGCTCCCAATGTTTGCTCCCCATTATATCAGGTTAGACGTAGAACCAGTTTCCAATCTTGACGACGTGGAGAAATCCTGATAAACATCTTGGTCCAGAAACGCAACATCGGTCACATCTGCTTGCAAATAGTCACCACCCCAGGCAAATGCCGTGGGCTGCTATTGGGACCACGCATTGCCGATGCCGAGCACGTCAGACATGCATGCTGCCCCACCTACTATAACAGGAATGCGGGATGCAGCGAGACTGCGTGCATGTGTATGAAACACTTTACCCGCGGTTTGTGCCTCTCGCCGTGCCCGTCTTAAAGACAGATATAGCTGGCGATTTCGAACTACAGACGCAGTTCTTTTGTCCTTAACCAAGTGGTCTAGGAAGCAGAAACGTGACAAACCACGATGGCAGACTATACAATCCAGAAGGAAGCGTCGCGCATCTTTCGAGACGTTCTGCTCCAAGATGAGCGCCTCGGTCTCCCTTCTGAAGTGCATGAAGCGGCGTCCCGAACCATAATTGATACCGAGACACCGATCGCCAAGCCGTTCCTCCCTGCGCCGACAAAGGCCAGCGAGACAAGTACAGCGCTCTGGGCTCTTCTTGCGACGTACGGGAACGCGATCACGAAGCAGCGCTTCGGCATCGAGCAGTCGGTCACCATAAACAGCGATGTGGCAACGCTATTCATCTTTGCATTCATGCTGATCAAGTTTGGGGACAAGAGCATCGACGACCCCAAGATAGTGCCCCGCTACCAGAGGTATGACCTGCATAAGCAATATCTGCCATGGCGGCGGCTCTGCACCAATGTCTATCCAACTAAAGATGGAAGATGGTTTCATCTGCATGGGAGTCTCGACTCAACGAAGAGTTTGCAGATGGTGGGGCTTCCCGCTCATGACGATGAGAAAGATGAGTTGAAGATCATCCATCGATATTGCGACAAGATCAGAGAATACGATGCGGAGTGGCTTGATATTGAGGCAAATGAGCACTGGAGACAAGCAGGGTGCATCGCACTGACAAAGGAGGAGTACCTTGCGGGTGAACATGGTAAAGTGGTCGGGCAGGACCCGATATACATAGTCGAGGCATTCCCAGGCAAAACATTGCCGCCGATTCCGTGGCCGGAAATCAAGAGTAAGGACTTTCGACCGCTCGAAGGGATCAAGGTGCTCGATCTCACCAGAGCCATAGCTGGACCAACCATTGCCAGGCTCGCGGCGCTTTTTGGGGCCACTGTAGTACGAATATCTAACGATAACTTATCAGAGTTGGGCGCTATCTTGGTTGAAAGCAACCTTGGAAAGACAGACGTCGATCTAGATCTTAAGTCTGATTCGGGCCGTGTAGCTTTGCTTGGTCTGCTTGAAGACGCCGACGTAATCCTTGATGGGTTTCGGCCTGGCGCTCTTGACCGTCTCGGCTTTGGCCCTAGATACGTCCATGAGTTTGCAAAAAGACGGGGCAAAGGGATCGTATATGCACGCGAAAATTGCTATGGTTGGAATGGCCCACTGTCCCATCGTAGCGGTTGGCAGATGATAAGCGATGCAGTGGTTGGTCTGTCCTGGGAAATGGGTAAGTGGGTTGGTGTAGATGAACCAATCGTACCACCTCTGCCGAATGCCGATTTCCAGACGGGCATCATCGGTTGTGTGGGGATTATGAACGCGTTGGATAGAAGAGCAAGAGAAGGTGGAAACTATCTAGTATCCATGTCCCTCAACCAGTACAATAGCTTCTTGTTGTCTGTAGGGTCTCAATCCCCGGATGCCCAGGAAGAATTGCGGGAGAAATGGAAGGATATGGATTTCCGTCACTATGACAACATGAACAGGATCTTGCGAAAGGTAAGTGTGCATTGTCTTCATGTTATTCAACGCCACTAACACCGGAAAGCTCGTGCCGGCGATTCCGAAAAAGGTACCAGAATTATACTCGTCGACGTATTTCGAGACAATATCAGCGGACTGGGGCATAGGGCAAGAAATGACCATCCTCCGTCCAGCCGCAGAGTATGAGTTGACCAAATTGAGGTATACCCGTGGGAGTTCCGAGAAAGGAGTACACCGTGCAGAATGGTCAGAGTAAGAGTGTTAGAGAAGAGCCCAAATTTGGAAGGCAAAGAGTACCTAGTGTTGAGCGCCAGGTGAATTTCATCGTACAATCTTTATGGTCTGAGGCGTCCGCTATCTCAGTGATGAGGTCTGGCCGTAGTCTGAGGATCACCAAATTATATCCAATTCTCACCTTCACTTCAATCGTCTTCGCTCATGTCAGTGTCATTATCCTCGTCGTCATCTTGCATCCCGTGGTCCCCTTGGTCCATCACATGAATGGGCATAAACCTTGCGGATGGAGCTACTGGCTGTGAATTTGGTGTCGAATTCGCAGTTTGTTTCGCAGCCTGAGGTGTATGTGCAGTAAGCGGTTGCCCGGAACTTTGAGCATTTTGGGGAATGCGGACTCGCTCTGCTTCAACTGTAGCGATAGCCGCTTGCCATTGCAACGCTTCTGCCTTCATCCATCTTCTCGAGCGAGGAGACCAAGACCGAACTTGACGTAGCTTATCAGCGAAGGTATCTGCGGTGGTGTGTTGAGGTGGAGGAGGAGGAGGAGGATGAGGTGTCAACTTGCGAGCCTCATGCTGATACTGCCGCAGTTGCTGATGCAATTTGTCCTTCTTCTGTGATTTTGGACCTGACTGGATCTTCGGCAATCTCGGTTGGAAAGACCTTGACCGTATTCGTCCGTTGCCCTTAGCTATCATGCTCTTTTGCATTTCCTCTTCCGTGATAGGATCATTGGTACATTTCTTATACTGGTTCTGGTATGTACAACTGGCGCACGCATGCTTGATAGCACTGTTTGCCAGAACTTCTGGGGGCGATACTATGCATCGCGCAAAGGGCCCATTCTTCAAGAGACAGTTACGACAAGGGTTTGGATTAATTTGGCCGCATACGAATATCATTATAGAAGCAAAATCATGAGCGGTCCGTGGCACAAAACTCCCTTGGTGGCGGTAGGGATTCCACTCAACCTGTCTCAAAGTTGGCTGATGAACAAGGGCTGTTGCTAGAGGGTGTATGGGTTCAGGTGTGCTCTTGAACTCAGGTGGGAGGCTCTGAAGGGCTGTTTGCCATGCTGATATGTCGCTACCAACCTGCAAGCCGCCAGCATCCATGTACGACCGGCCCTCTACCAACGGAGAAGCTGTCTGGCTTGCACTTGCGGACAAGGACTGGTCTGTTTTGGGATTAGCAGCTTCATGGTCGGCTGGTTCGTTTCAACTTGGAAGCCAGAAGTCTTGAGAGCAAGACATACCATTATGTTGCAGGTCACTGGAATTGGTAGATTCTTGGCGCTCAGCATACCAGTCAGCAGCAGCGGCGTCGACTGCGGAGCGGAAGTTTGATGGCCGCTGTGAACTTGTCATTCTCCAAGATTGGGAGGACACAGACTTCCTATCGTGTCGTGTCGCGTCGCGTCGCGTAACAAATTATTCAATAGTACCCCTCCAGTGATGCTTTCAGTCCTCAAAAGTTTGTACGCATCGAGATTAGATGTTTCCTAAATGTCACGGAAGGCTTGTGACTCGATGAAGAACGATGGCAGATGTGGGCGCCCGCATCAGGAAAGCCCCTCTGGTATTCGCGCCGGACAAATTTGTGGTATTATGTGTAATGTAGCGTCTCCAGGAACGTTGAAGTTGCAGTCGCACTGCCGAGGATCAAGTGGAGTCAGGGAACAGGCCTACCTTGGGAAGGCTTGCTCAAGGCTCGCTACATATACACAATTACTGTAGTAACTAAGTTAAGCCAAGGTTCCTGGAAGTATGGAGGCACTACCATAAGTAATCCGCGGGTGGCTCAGGCGTGAGGGATTGCACTAATCGGCCCGCAAATAGCGCCTTTCAGCACCATTCAGTGATTTACATTGTTAGGCTTCCATATCTTCAAATGCCCTGTTGGTAATCACTCTGCACTCGTCCTCATGTTTGCTCAGAACAATGAAGATGTGCAATACGATTTACGGGTCGCTGCAGGCGGTATGAACTGTGGTTGGAAACGATTCGCTTACGCCGGGATAATGCATCGGGCCTACGCCTAAGAACACGCTTTTTTCGTCTCAACTTTGATAAGATGGAATGCTTTCCACCTTGGACCGTCTCGATGACAATCTGTCTGATTATGGTTGGGATCAACTCTCCGAAGCTTTAAAGCCGCGGGTTTTTCCTTTTAAAACAGCGCTGCAACGGGATAATTCAATTTGTCTCAGATGTCAGCTGCGTATGGTCATACAACGGGCGGATATGACCATGGTGAGTCTATGCTTGCCATGCCTGACATATGGGCATATGAGGTATATAAATATATATATGTAGACATTGTTCTTGTAGCCTTCCGTAGTTTTCTGTATAAAAAGCATTATCACCCAAGTATCAATGCAATTGAACACTTCACCTAAACATCAAACTGCTACGATCAGAACAGCACCACCATGCGTCTTTGCAAGAAATTCCTTGCGGCAACGACTCTGTTTCCTTTTGCCTTTGCAGACTTTTGGATCTTACATGGAATGGAGGATTTCTACATACTCGGTTTGTGGCATCTTTGGGACGGCGCACATTTCGTACATCCGCAGTTCGATTGCCATGCAATAAACGCCGCAAGCCACTGTGCTTGGGAAGATGACGTGAGCAGTGATAAAACAGGTATCCGACTTCAGGGCACTGTAGACGATCCTGAACAGATTGAATTTAACAATGACCTTGGCCATTACAGTGAGTCAACCCTTCCTCGGTGACGGCTTTTGGTCAGGAGCGGTGCTGAGACAAGCTGGTCATCGCAGCGATCTACAAAGACCGAGGCTATGCTATGGTTGATCTTCGAGGTAACAAAGTGGGGAATTGGTTGCTGAACACGACTTTACAATATGATTGTAGAGTGAGTGATTTTGGCCATTACGGTAACACCATGGTATTCTGCAGTTCAAACATCCATGCTTGAAATTTGTCTATGAGTTTTAGTGTGGTCGCTACCGGTGTAACAGCACTATTGTAAGCACAATAAATTGTGGATGAGTTGCTGCGTGAGGAGATGATGAATATGATCATGTCACAGTTTTGAAAGCGAGTATATTTGTCTATCATGACTGCTCTCACTTGAACCAATTATCCACAGACACACGTGTATGATCTGTCTAGGTCAACTTTAAAGGCTCCAGATTACTCGGGACCAGATCTACCCCAGTATGAAAAAAAGAAATTTAAAAAGAAAAAGAAAAAGAAAAAGAATGACTAACACTACGAATGTAAAGGAGCGAATATCTCGGTGCTGTGAGGAGATGGGTCTTGATCTTAGGCTTCCAAATTGGATGACTGCTGAGCCGCCCGCGAAGAAGGGAATGAAGCGACGAGCAACTTCTTGGGCTTGGCGGTTTGGTTTGTCAAATAAGCCATTATTCTCGTCGCCTTCAACCAGCAATATAAAAATTATAATGTCCAAATTATTAGAAGCATGACCTGGCACAGCTACTATGAGTCCCAAGACTCTAAAAGCGCCCCAAACTCGGCATATCTAGCCGTTGATCGGGGAGATAGTAGCGCCCGCACCGGCAGGACGCGAACCGCCTCATTCAGCAGTAAGGGTAAATGAGTATAGTGAGCAACACTGAATGAGAATGTATTGATAGCCTCTTTTCAGTCGCCTTCTTCTCGTCCTTCGTATCATTTGGACGTCCTGGTGAGCAGAGTACTTATCCCAGTCAAATTGCCCTTATGCTTGATCTTTCCTGTGACAAGTCTAACCTTGTACTGTTCGTACTAGGTTAGACTAGTGGCGCAATCAAATGCGTGAGAGAATATACTTCCCCGCAAACCCAAAGAAGGGATAAGGAGTCTATCTTCGGAGGATCGAGGCTGCCAAGGATTACATATGACATCAGAAAAACTAAAAGCATCCTCGTGTATATGTCCTAGTTATATATATACGGGCCTTTATAGCTTTTCGCTGCTAAAATAAAGCCTTTATTTACACCTATAATAGACGCGAAATGGCATTGTGAAGTTATATGGTTGCAAGGATATAATTTCTATTGTACCCTCTGCGTTAATATCCGTAGATGGCGTGTGGTGGCGTCGACTTTCGATCATGGACTCTCTGAGGCTCAAAATATAAAATCCCAAAATGCTTAACAAGTTGTAGAAGCTCGATAGAAACTTATATATCTTTCCACACAAAGAAAGGACCTCAAAATCGAACCTTAGTAATACACTATGGAGCCTTTCTATATCATGTACAATTTCCAATGTGGATATTCAGAACTGCGGGAGCACAATGAACGACTCCTGCAGGGAATAGTTGCAGCGAATATTGTTTACGCATGAGACAAGATGTTCCTCGCTTCACTGTCTACGTCCGCCAGATTAATCACTGTCCTTGCTACCAGCAAACAATAATAGGCCGGAACATCCAGCCGGTGCGCAACACCATAACATTTGTTGACACAACAAACGGTTTGAACTCCCAGCATCAGTACGGAATAACCTGCAAAACCATAACCGGGAGTACGCCGGTAGCCCTTGAATCAGCGTAAGAGCCTTCTGCCATAACGAGTGCCAGAGAGCTTCACTTCACTTCTTGCAAGCTGTGTCGGGTAGTGCGGATCCAGCAATAGATCCTACGCTGTCGGCACAGACAACACAGCGCACTCATGTTAAGTTCATGTTTGATACTTACCTCATGGTCAAGCTCGACTAATGTGCTTAAGATAAGCTTCTCGAACTTGTGGCCCCAGTTTGTATCTATCTTGTTCCAGAAGAGAAAGTCGAGGTTTGGTCGAATGGAGCACAATTCGATGAGGATATCATTAATGACCTGCGAGCGGCTACTAAAGCCAAACGTGGAAAGTGGAAACTAGGTATAACAGGGCTGTGGGTAAATGGATAGCGGAGTATAATCCTTTGATCAATCAAGCTACTTTGAGCATATGTGCGTTCCAAAATTCGCTTTTCAAGCTATTAACTAGGTTAGTACATTGCCCCAATTCCAACTTTGCGTTTTGACAAGAATCTGAACCGCATTTCTGATACACCGACGCTTGACCATAACCACCACAGATTTGCTTCGCATTACCGCCATAGTTGTATTCACACCGACCCATTGTTCCATTCGCTGGCATCCTCTCGGCAGCAATAGAGTTTCCACAGAAGCACTGTGTCTTGTACTCAAGCCCGGAATAGGTATAGCCAGCGTCGTCGCAGTACTTGATACATGCGTCCACCGTCATGTCTGGCTTGTCCTGCTGAGCACCATCTAGGGTGCGAGATTGGCCAGCCGGATCTTTGACGCAACCTATGTACCCCCATTTCAGAGTCTGCGACATATCGGTAAAAGGAAGCACGGGGTTGCCGATCTCGTTGACTGCTCCGCAGTTTTGATATAGGGCCGCTTCCTCTGGGCCAGCTTGAATTGGATTGCACCCTGGTAGTGCAGCTAGCACGCCATCGGCCACGTCCTCCTTGACACGAGGTAGGACCTTGCAAGCAGCCATATCCTCATCGGTGCGAAGATCGAAGACGCCGCACTTCTCAATGGCTCCACTATCATCTGTGCATACGGTGATGGCTTTTTGCAGCACGTCAACATCCCAGCCGTTCAAAAAGTCGCCGTGGTACCCGTGACCGTCAGGATCGCTGTTTGGTGTTTAGATCAACTACGTGAGTCTAATTTAATAAGTGGACATACCCGTGTGAGAACACAAACGGCTGTTTGTTGCCATACCATGAGTCTTTGAAGTCGTCAATGTCCCAAGTGACTTCGTAGAAAATGGTGATGAAGCGCTTCGGGTGCGCGCTCGGACAAGCGCCGCTGTCAGTTCCAGTCGGGTATGCCATATGGCTTTTGTGGTCTGGCGTGTCGAGATCCTTCCCGTTCCAACAGGAAGGAAATATCAATTGGGTGCGCAGGCCATTGGGGCAATTGTGTCTCGGTAGTTCAGGGGTGGCCGGTTCGGTGATGCCAAGGCACACAAACGACACGGCGGATTGTTCGATCGAGTTTGAAAGGTTCCTGTTCATTGGATTGCCAGCTATCATTCGGAAGTCTTTGGGAAATGGGATAAGACCTTGATTGAATTCGGGGTCTTTCTCGTCTTGCCTCTGCCTCACAATGAGTGTTAGTACACATGCGCTCTCTGCAGTCCTAAGGAAACCTACAGATAGTAGATCAGTGCTCCACCTGATTATTTCACCGAGATGAAGCTACCATTCTCGGCGTGATAGTAGAGAGTAGGAACCCAGTAGCTCGATTGATCCTGCTTGATTTTACAAGTCGAACATGTCGCGGTCTGCGTATTGACATATGTCATAGAGAAGTTGAATAAATTAGACCCCATCACTGTGTGTGCGTGAGTCGAAATAACTCCTGGATCCATGATGGGATCGGCTCGCTCGACCATGACCGGAGACGAACAGGGCAGACGCCAAAAGGCGTCAACATCGGCGGCAAGGATCGCGATCACACCCGCGACCTTTCTAGAAAATATGTCTCGCATCATTATTGTTAGTGTTCTTGATTGAAAAGTTCATCGCCAACTCAGTCCGCGCCGGCTACCCACAATCAATTATTGATAAGGTTAGAATCGCCGGCAAAGTGACAGACAAAGATCGAGCATCTTTTTGTTCTCGGACTAACAGTGCACCCTTGGTTGCAAATCGATAAAGCCAATCAGCTTTGGTTTGATCGGCCTGACAAAGGCAATCTCACATTGACAACATGGCGAAACGAATTACTGATGCCAGTGTTGGCGATGAGATAGCTACGTAAATATTTCTGATGTTTTTTGCCCAAATATGGCGTACTTCATAGAGAAAAACAGCAAAACAATTAAAAAGAAAGTAGTAGCCATTTCTTGTCACATCCAGAAAGTCATTATGGGTTTTGAAATATGCGGTCGGTGATTATGAGAAGATCATTCTGCGCCAATATAAGCTAAGTGTATTTATCGTTACTTATAGACAGTCACTGGAAATGCAGAAAGTTCTATACATTATCGCAAGCTGTGGCACACTAGTCCTGGATCATATTCTCCCTCAATTAATGTTTTGATATAAATATGAAATAGTTTACAAGAATCCTTGAAGCATCGCTACCAGATAGTCCTAATGACTAATAGAAGATAATTCTGATGCTAATATCAGCGATTTTTTAATTCATAAATCCCGAGCCCTCATATGGCCCATTTGCGGGGGTGACATTAGGTGTTTGAACATAGATTGCGCGACACAAGTTTACCTTATTTCCGGAAGTTTCATCCTTTCCGAAAATCCCTAAACGCCAACGCTGGGGGGTATCAAAAATTTGACCAAATGCAATGCTGCCCATAAAAGACCCGTACTTCAAGTAAAATCATAACCTGCGACGCGTCATTCTCCTTTGGTCTTTGGCGTTCTCGTCTGCATATGTGTAGTGCCGTTGGCCAGCGTAAGGCTCTGGGTATACCGCATAGCCATTATGTTCCTCATCAGTCGAGAGTGATTCGAAAGCATCTGAATCCGGATACGGAATCGGTGTATCTCTTTGAAAAATTCTCGGTGGCTGGTGTTGCTCTGCTCGTCTATACTGTGGCTGAGGTTGCTGCCTTCGCCGCCGTCTTTCGGCTTGCACACGAGCTCTTTGTTCCTGCCCTTCATGGAAATGGTGCACTTCAGACTTCTCACGATCTCTGCGTTGATGTGATTGAAAAGTCTCCTGCTCTCTGCGCTCAGACTCGGCTTTCTCTTCACGCAACTTCGTAGCTTCCATCTCCCAATGATCAAGGGCCTGCTGTAACTGTTCGGTTTTGCTCTTATATCGAAATCTCGCGGTAGAGAGCTCGTAGAGTGCTTCTTCAGCAGCTGCTCGCCTTTCATCCTCAATCCGATGCTGTAAGCACAATGGACTCCGTTTCTGACCGGTTGCCGAACGTCTCAAGCAGCCCGGCTTGCTGCATGCGTGACCAAAGTGATCGCAGTAGCCACCTGCGGCAGTAGCAGCAGCAATGCAATGTGGAACCTTACATTGGTGATCTTTGCAAAAGGCAGATAGTTCGCTTGTACGTTTCTTAGAGCAACCGCCCTTGTTGCATTTGTGCAACTGGCAAAAGCCATAGATGACTTCAGCGCGACGCGAACAGCCACCTTCCTGACACTGGTGACTTTCGCAGTACTTTGCTTCTGGGTTTCCAGGAGGAAATCTAGGCTGTCGGCAGCTTGTAACCTTACAAATGTCTATTACGGGGTTAACAACTACTGTCTCTCGGGTAAGCCTCTCCAAGAATACTTACGGTGCGTGCACCAGGGCGAACCGCTCTGTCGGGCTTCAGCACACGTCCTCGATTCACACAAATGATCCAAGCAGTAATGCGTGCCTTCCTCTGCGATTTTCCTGCACCCAGAATGTGAACAATCTTCATCTGCACTCAGTCAGCATAAGCTCGAATTTTATCAGCGGCCAATGTCTACTCACGTTTCGCACAGAATGGGTCGCGTTCTGAAGCAAAGCCTTGACACCCTGCTTTCCGACAACCGATGTGTCGCACACACCTGCGAGTACAATCGCCAAGTTGGGCGCACCCAGGGATCTCACAGCCATGGACTTCACAGTAATAGCTATTCAGTTGAGCGAATGCTCTACAGAAGTCAGCCCTACAAGCAGGAGGTGACTCCAGATAGCAATGGCTACTGCAGAAAGTTGAGTCAATGGATCTCTGCTCTCGACAATTCTCCTCTGCGCATTGGTCTGAAATCTGTTAGCGAGTTTCACTGGGTACGGGTGACGCATAACGTGATAGGCTTACGATCTGCACAAATATAAGGCAGACTTCTGTCCACGTACTCGCCATGTCTGGAGCAGTTGCCAGCAATGCATTTCTGATCTAGAGCAAGTGTTCATCAGCTCCACCCCGAGCAACGGATTTGACTCTAAACGTACGCTTTGCGCAAAAGAAATTGCCATTCTCGATGCGATGGTGGCAGAGAGCACCTTTTACAAACGGTTTCGCCGCCTTGCAGTTGTCTATATACTCCGTCAGAAACTTGGTGATAGCATAAACAAAAACAACAACACCTACGGAATTTGCAGTATTTCGAATGCTCCTTCCTCGGCTTTGGCTCATCTGTTATGGCGAAGCATCGATTGTAAACGCAACCAGGCGCCTTGCACTGATGCTTCGGATTGGTAGCCTTCTTTGGAGACATGGCTGAGAGTATGAAGCTGTGAGGCGGGTGTGTGAGTGGTGGGTGTTCTGCTTTGCCGAATATTGATACACTCTCAGCGTGGTAAACAAATAAGAGTTCCAAGTGATTGCATACACGCTAACCTATAAAGAATGTACTTTGCAAAGCTTCAACCAATCCATCGGTATCTCCACCTGGGCTGGGCGATGGTATTTTATTATGCATCATGAGGATCTCATGTCTCATTGATAGTTGCGTCTTGTGAAGCCGCCTTGAAAGGGGGTTCAGCTCGCTTTGGAGCCCTCAGGGTAAGATCTCACCTATGTTGGCTGCTACACGTGAACCACCTTGGCAGCATACTCCGCCCCACCTGGCAGTTTTTCCATTTAGTCTAGTGGTGTAGGGGCATCACTCCCAGCTTGGAATTTTACTCAACCGTCAAAGACCTGGTCTCGCTCTCTTGTAACACCAATTTTTATGAACAAAGACACTTCCAGAACCAGTTCGAAAGACCATGGAAGGTTCGGCCATGGGACGCGCATGGCCGGCCGTATCTAGTGAAATTGGCCATACGATCTGCCTCCTGGTCAGACGAACCTCACAATGAGATAGTGCGCCTCTCATGCCTCAGATACCAGACCACAGGATAGATTCATCCATTCTGGCACCCTTCATTTGACCTCATTAAACTACAGGATTTCTGCTTAGCTCTAGTACAACACCACCTGGGCGATCTACTCGCCCACGACTGTACAGACCGCCTCGGAGGGCACACACAAACACATTATCGAGCCGTGTCTCTATACGAACGCAGGTAAGCGAACATAAGCTTCGTCCTTTCAGTATCCTTGCGCCTCCGGCAAGGTGCATTTCGCTATATAGTTACGAAACACAACTGACGCGACGTGGCACGGCTTTGTTTTGTGCAAACACCACTGTAAACGCAAACATCGTCACCATAGACATCATGTTTTTCGCTGCCTAATTCTTTGTGTGCGGCTCATACCAAACGCCAACAACGGACTGCAATTTTGACAAATCTCAGATATCGTGGCACTACACGGCTCTAGATTCGACATAGAGTTTACAGATGACCCCCCCCCAAGCCAACAAGCGCGAGAATCTTAGGCCCTGCCAGCTAAGTACACCCTTCAGAGCTAGGAACGAGACCTTGTGATCAAGGTAAAAATGAAAATGGCGAGCTTGGATCTCAAGCGCAGCAGTTGCTATTACAGATGCGGCGCTTCCGTTCTTACTTTTTGAGCCCTCCCTCCCAAGCCAAGCATTTGGGTGAGCTGGCGCGTTCTCTCTCCGAGGGAAAAAGTCAGGCCCTCGTGACACGCTCCAAACACTGGTTGTTCATAGCGCCGCATTTTGCGCTGAGTAATTGCGCGTGGGCTTTTCGTGGAGCTATTGATTTCCGAAAGCCATGTCTTGCTTCCGCGACATCATGCAAACAAGGAGGAGGGGGGGGGGGATTGCGCCGCATCTTGCTTGTTGGGGGCCAGCTCAGCCTTGCCCTGGCTTTGTCCACTTCCACTGCCCATGTAGCATGTCAGTAATGGCGGCGGCTGAAGTGGCCTTGGGCAGCTGCGCCATTTTGACAAAATACCAGATTATGTTCATGCCAGAAACACGAATCCGTCAGATCCTCACAGGCATCCTAAATATGACGTGGACTCCCCCTGGCTGCGGGTGCCTTGGGCCAGACAGATATCAACGGATATGACGTACGCAGGAAGTTCCAGGATAAGCACACGTTTCGCCTGCAGTGTCTCTTGTACTTCATCGCGTGGAATGATTCAACACAGCCGCATGCACACGTCTGGTTCCTCTGCTGATTCCAAAATACCATACCAAATCAACATCCTTGTCATGTTCATAGTCCCACCCATGTTTGTGCAATAAAATGAAAAGCGTGAACTGAATACACATAAAATATATTGAGGCCACGCATTGAAATCATGTTCCGTGGCCTGACTTATTGACATGAGCCTCTTTGAGAATATATTTTATACGAGAGCGGCGTGCTGCCACGGCGGTACGTTTTGGCCCGTACCGTCAGAAAAGTGCTCAGCCAGAACCTGAAGAGCCAGTTCTCCGCGCGCAGGGTAATCTCCTCCAGATGTGGATTGATCGAAGTCGATGACAAGTATAGGGGGCGCGACGCGCCGAGAACACGCCCGCAAGTACTAGGCGTTGAGTCCAGGTTGGTATTCACGTTGGTCCAATGTGTAGTCGCATCAGCCAGACCGGCAGAACGGCCGCGTCAGTGGAATTTCGACCAATCTAGTGTGAAAGTCTGCCGGTACATGATCGATACAGAACAAGTTTTGTGCGGATGCTCGTGGGTGAAGATGTAGAAGCGTCACTGCAATGCCTAAGTATTCACTAAAGCATTTCGCTGAGGGACCATGTCAATTGGCAACCGCGCACGAGATGCCGTGTTGCGAACTACTTGACATGCGAATCTGAGGTCTGCCCTGGCCGCAGCCATTGCCGGGTTTGTTTTTGTGATTTGTGCGTATAGACCCACAGGCCTCGGTTGATCCTCAGATTGCTCTTACAACTAAGAGTGTTGAGGACTTCTGGAACTGTGCTGATCAACGGCCAGTCGTCCATGCTGTTTCGAGTGTGAAGGCGTATCATCTCCATGAATACGACGATTTTGAAGCCACCGGCCTGGTCGGCCATGGTGCTATTTGTGCTCCATTGACTATCCGCTGCCAGTTGTGGAGGGGGGAAGAAGCAGGGTCGTAGGCCATAATGTGCGAGGTACCAAGAACCGTTCAGTTCTAATGAAGAATGACTGGTGGTTCGTCGGTACGAAGTCGAGCTGTGAGCTAACCAGCTCACGAGAATACAGATGCAGTCGGACGTAACTAGGAGAAGATCGCCAGACCGCAGAAAAGACGGTCGTAGCCTCGACAACAAATGATATGGCAAAGAAACATTTGTAGACCAGGGCTTTCATCTCTGAACACGATACTGAGGTTCACATGGGGGTGACCAAGTAATTACGAAGAACAACACATGTTGGCGGTACCGAAAAGTTGACAGTGAAAAGATTAATAAAATGCCGTTCCCTACTGCTAAGAATGGATTTTTAAAAAATTCCATATCATACTAATACTTTTGTGGAACGCTTCTTTTGGCAGGCTGTCCAGACTCCTCGTCACTTTTTCGTTTCGTCGACATGTTGCTCTCATCGACTCCGGGACCTTTCTCGAGCGAGTAGATTTCGACAAATTCCTTGTCATCCCCAAGTGTGAGCAAGGGAACCGATATCAGAAGACGATGTTGCCATCCTGCTTCCCTCAATAAACCAAAAAGCGCCGTCTCGGAGTCATGTCGTGGTTTCGTTGACAAGATTACCTTTGATCTCGTTGCGGCTTGTTGACCGATCGGAGCAAGGCTCATGTTATGTTTGTGCAGAGATGATAGAGTACCCACCAGCCAAGGGAAAGAGTCGACGTTATATGTGCAGTCAGATAGGACAACGTAGTCCCAAAAGCGCGAGGACACAAGCGGGCCAAATTCACCCTTTGCGGCGTCCTCCCAATCCAGATTCTCGTAGAGAATGTTTGCCATAGGCTCGGACGGTATTCGGCCTTCGTGTGCCCGCTCAATATTGGCCCTTGCGCGCTCTTCTGCTTCATCTAAATCTGTGAGGAGCACAGTGCCCTGGCGGAGGTTGACATTCTGGGCACTAGCTGCTCTGTGAAGGATTATGGCGATGCCAATGCCGAGGATACCGACACCGCTTCCCAATTCGAGGATGTTTACTTCTGGGCTCTGTATGGGTAGGTAGGAGCTAATTTGGTACCCTTCACTCTTCTGTTTGCAAGCATCGGCCAAAAGTGCCGTAGTCAGAAACCCGGCATCCCAGATGTGACGAGCAATACTCTCGCCAATCTCTTCTTCGACGTTCCACTCTCTGATCAAGAAGTCCTCAGGGCTGGCCATGGGAGTAAGATCGACCAGGAGCGGTCGCATAGCGACGTCCGAGCATTCACCGTTGTCTACTTCGATCATCAGAGGCACCACCAGGCCGCGGGTGGTCTCGGCTGCATGCCATGGCAGTGATAAATCCAGGTCGCTCGCTGACGGCTCAATCTTCCCAGAACGGGCGCAATCGATGACAACGTGGATGCGGTCACGGAGCATGCTCCTATCCAGGTGTAAATCTACCTTGAGAACACGCATGCCAGCCGTCCAAATGGCTTCGGCTCCATTGGTGGTAGGACCAGCGACAGGCTTCAGCGGTTTGTCGTGATGAATATTACTGCTCTTGCTCATGAAACAGAGCGCGGCTGGCTCAGCTGGCGCGAGATACGTGTCCCCCAGATCCGAGGTGATTGAGATTTTTAGCGACAAAATTGGCGCATATATATTCGAGTTGTTGACGGCTGCTGGTCGTACGAGGCGTATGTAATGCATGGTTAATTTTGCGCACTTCAGCCCAAGAATCGCGCGACAAAATGCTGTGATGACTTGTGTTTAGAGTCTTGGGATCTCAATGGCGTCTCTCACAGGAAGATCCCAGAAGGAACTTGAAGTACTGATTCGAGAATCTGGTCAACGACCTCCGTGAGTCCAAGCAAGGTGCAAGGTATTGGTGTTGTACCGACAGATTGGGTGACGGATTGATTGGTCCACCCCACTATTCCATTTTGGCGGATTTTGCAAGAAGATCAGATCTCACACGCTCTCAACCGTGATTTACTCGAGTGCGTTATCTCATAAACATCTAAGCATGGTCAAAAGTCCTCTGGATGAAGTGTACGCGCTCCGTGGGGTCTACAGATTTCTGATGCCGTGCCATGGTAAGATCTAAAAACAGGGTGGGCAAGTTTGTGAGATTTGTGACTATGTATTGTAGGTCGTTCAATCTCTGTCCCGCACTATGCACGAACACATGCAAGAGAGGTGGTTATGAACCTCGGACCAGAAATAAATCAAAAAGACTCCGGATCGCGGAAGCCCTGAGAGACAAGCAGTATCACATATTTCGACTTTCCAGAATGATTGTGGTCTCCTAAATCCAATGTTGCGGCGCTCCCATGTTTCTACTGGTTCTAGTGGTTGGGGGCATGCACGACTTCAATAATAGTTGCTACCCCCACACTAAAATTCTAGAGGAGCTGGAAGAAGCAGTACGACAAGGATCAACTTTGTGATTCGTCTGTCCGCGCAGAAAAGCGCAAAACTCTCAGAGGGGGGTAAAAAAAAACAAAAGTTTATTGATTTGTGATGTATGATACATGTTGAAGTGCTGGTTTCAACAAAACCAAGCTTAGTGAGTGATGTGCTTCCACACCCCCATGCAGTCCTTTCTGCAATTGCCAGGACAGAATTTGTCTCCTAGCTGTCCCAACCAGTAGGTATCCCTTCCAAATGACACCTACCCACATACGCATTTTGCGTTGCAACACGGGTATTTCTTCTGAACAACAACTCCTCCGCGACTTTTCCGTCAAATCAAACACGGCGCCATAGAACTCTTATGGAGGTGAACAATATGAAAAGCTCAAGCGGCAATGGCAGCCTCGCCTGATACGCTTGGGATCTGCTGAGCAGTACCAGCGAGGTTCGTAGGCTTAGCCTGGGGATTCTTGGTGTAGTAGTTTGAAATGGCAGACTTGATAGCATCCTCAGCGAGCATGGAGCAGTGGACTGGATCCATGTTAGCATGTTGCGTACATCGGCATGTGTGATGTTATCTCGGCGACTTACGCTTCACGGGTGGCAAGCACAGCTCCTTGGCAATCTCTGTGTTCTTGACGCGACCGGCCTCCTCCAAGGTCATACCCCTTACCAGCTCGGTGAGATAGCTGGAACTGGCGATGGCGCTACCGCAGCCGAATGTCTTGAACTTGACGTCGGAGATGGTGTTGCTGTTGGGGTCGACACGGATCTGCAGCTTCATGACATCGCCACATGCCGGGGCTCCGACAAGACCAGTTCCAACGTCGGCGTCGCCCTTGGACATGGAACCGACATTTCGCGGGCGGCTGTAGTGGTCAAGGACCTTTTCGTGATACGAGCGGCGTGCGACGTTGGCGGCAGGGTTCAAGAGTTGCCTGCTTGCAGAGGCGGCAAGGCGAGGTGTGGTGGATGAAGTCAAGACCCGGCGAGCGGTTGTCGATAGTGTTCGGGAGAACATGATGACGTGGGTGGTGGGTTGGTTTGTTTGTTTGTGGAGATATCAAGCAATCTCAATTTATCGATTAGGCGGTCGGTTTGATAGATGCTGTGTGGTGGTTGTGGTTGATGAGAAGAAGATGTGAAATAGGCGATTCGAGGTTGGTTGGTCGATCGATGATGTGCAATGTTTCGTGCTGATGAGATCAGAGTGCGGGCTGTTGGCACTTCAAACGAAAATGAAATGCTAAAGTTTGGGAGTGCGGCCTTTGTCGGCGATCTCGGGGCCAGGATCAGGATTAGTGGCGGGATCTGATAAAGCTCGGGGTTGAAATCCGCACTGTATTTACCGAGGCATTAGCGTGCAATTCTGGTTGTCAAGGGTTGTAAATGATTCCAGAACTGCAGATAAGCTGCGGGCGAAATGCGGAGCAGAATGTGAACACTGTGCTGCACTCGCATTATCAATCAGATCTGGAGCCGAGCCAACCAATGGCTATTGAGCTATCCAAAAGCTTCGACGCCCCGGAGCTGTCTTAACCCCGGAAAACCACCTAACCTTGGTACTAGCTAGTTAAAGGACCTTTTTTCATTTTCTTTCCTTCTTGCATCTCCGCCATCCATCAACTCACCGTACATGGCTCAAAAGATGTTTATTGTCCACGTCCAGCAGTGATGCAGGTCAAGGGAAAAGGTGGATGCCGATGGTCTTGGGTGTCCTGCCATCGTTTACACGCAATCAAAATCAAGCAAACCAACAGCATATGCATAATACAATACACATGTATACCTGAAGTTAGTGTACAATACCATGCAGACGTCTCCCATCTGGAGAGGTGCTCGTAGATTCTACCTACCTACTTAGGCTTTACGCGATTGACGTCAAGGGGGATATCTTGAATTCGTTTTATTGGAGGTCGAGGTGGCAACCCCCCGACTACCTTAAACAGCTGACAGGCAACGCGGGGCAGTTTTCCTCAACCGCGTCATTGGGGAGTCGCCCGTACTCTGGGCCTGGACCACCAAAACAGTCACGTTAAGGAGCTGTTGTGGTTAGATAACAGCAATATCATGCAGCATGATGGGACGGCGAGTGCCGTACGGTAGTAAATAAATACAATTCTGCAGTCGAGGCATGTCATTATACTGTACTGGGTTGTGAGTTTCCGTACTCGACTGCATGGCAAGTAGGCAGGAAGTGGGGGTGCGTATCCCGTACCTGAACAACGGCCATGGATTTGCACTCTGCGGAAAAGGCCAGAGCTGAGCTGTCGGCCTTCCTTTCGTCAGACCAGCTGCCTAGCATAATTACACCCAAGACTCACTTGAATCATTCCTCTCCTCTACTCCAATAATTCGCGAGGACCTTGGTGGCCATTTGAGAAGAACTCCCCTCCCCCCTCGATACTTGCGTATCCAAGACCGTCCACCGGACAGCTCTCCCATGATGGCTTGTCCGCACGTTGACTCCATCTCTCTCAGCCCCCCAACACCAGCTCACTCCGTATACCGCGAGGACTGCACTCAGTGTTTCGATTCTATCGATGAGCCTGCCGGTCTCGATGTTTGCTTGCAGTGCTTCAACGGCGGCTGCCCTGGCGTCAAGACCCACTCGAAGCTACACAGCATCGTCCGCGGCCATCCGCTCGTTCTCAACATTCGCCGAACTCGAAAGCAAGTCGTCAAGGATGAGCCTCGCGCCAAGATCACCAAGCTTGCCATTGCGGCTGAAACCGAGGCCGACCGTTATGACACCCATACCGCCGCCAGATGCCTCGAGTGCGACACCGACATCGAGATATTCCACCCCAAGATTGCTCCCATTGTCGACGGCATCATGAAGGCAAACACCTTCTCCCGGAAAGAGGAAGTCAAGGCATGGGAACAGGAACTCACAAACTGCGACCACGTCGTCTCCATACGGCAGCACGAGGGTCGCCAGCTGCAGAGCGCCTTGGGCCATTGCTCCAAGTGCGACTTGAACGAAAACCTCTGGCTGTGCTTGGAATGTGGTAACCTGGGCTGCGGTCGTGCTCAGTTTGGCGGTGTTGGAGGCAACTCTCACGGTTTGGCACATGCTACCGAGAGCAGGCATGCTGTCGCAGTCAAGCTTGGTTCCATCACCCCCGAGGGGACAGCTGATGTCTACTGTTACCAGTGCGACGAGGAGAGAGTTGACGGCGACCTCGCTGCTCACCTGGCTCACTGGGGCATCATCTTGTCTGACCAGGTCAAGACGGAAAAGAGCCTGACGGAAATGCAAATCGAACAGAACCTACGATGGGAGTTCTCTATGACGACGGAAGACGGTAGAGAATTGCAGCCTCTGTTCGGCCCGAGCCTGACCGGACTCAAGAACCTTGGAAACAGTTGCTACCTCGCTAGTATTCTACAATGCCTATTCGATCTGCCAGCTTTCCAGGACCGATACTACAGACCTGGAGCCGACCTCCCTATCGTTGAAGACCCTGCCCAGGATCTGGAGACCCAGCTCTGCAAAATGGCAGATGGCCTTTTGTCCGGACGCTACTCCAAACCCGAGTCAGATGTTGTGGCATCCGAACAATCCACCGAAATTCCTCACCAAAAGGGCCTTGCGCCAGCCATGCTGAAACACTTGATCGGCCGCGGTCACCCGGAATTCTCGACCATGCGTCAACAAGATTCTTTCGAATTCTTGCAGCACCTCATCAAGTTGATTACCCGATCGCAACATCCTGCACACCTCCGTGATCCTACTCACAAATTTCGCTTCATCATGGAGCAGCGTCTTCAGTGCCTCAGCTGTAACAAGGTACGATATCAGACGAACGAGCAGGATAGCATCTTCATCGACGTTCCCCTAGAGAAGCTGCCTGCAGTTGATGGCGAGGAGGAACGCTACAAGCCTGTGTCCCTGAAGCAGTGCCTGGACAATGTTACTGGCACCGAAGCCGTAGAGCTCACCTGTGCTTCTTGTGGTAGCAAGGACGGGTTCACAAAGCGTTCCCTCTTCAAGACTTTCCCTGACACACTGGTTGTCAATGCTCGCAAGATGGCGATTGAGAACTGGGTTCCTCGTAAGGTGGATGTCCCTGTTCTTGTTGGAGACGAACCTTTTGACTTGGACCCGTACCTCTCCCCAGGCCAGCAACCCGAGGAGGAACTGTTGCCGGAGGAGGAAGCCGCCGGTGGCACGCCTGCCTTTGTTGCCAACGAGCCGGCGGTGGAACAGCTCATGGCCATGGGCTTCCCCAAAAACAGAAGCGAGAAAGCCCTCTACGCCACCGGAAACAATGATGCCAATGCAGCAATGGAGTGGCTCTTCGGCCACATGGAAGACCCGGATATTGATGACCCTCTTGTCGTGGCCCCTGCTGGTGCTAGTAGCGGTGGGGCCACAGCTGATGATCCTGCCAAGATCGAAATGCTTACCGGTATGGGTTTCAGCGTTCCTCAGGCCCGCAAAGGTCTGAAGGAAACTGGCGGAGATATAGAGCGAGCTGTCGAATGGGTTTTCAGTCATCCTGACGATCTGGGCGATTTTGGCGACGAAGCACCTCCTCCCGAAGCTGCCGAAAGGGCAGAGGCAGCAGGCATATCAACCCTTCCCGCTAGGTTCCAGCTTCAGAGCATCGTCTGTCACAAGGGAACCAGCATTCACGCTGGACACTATGTTGCTTTTATTCGCAAGATCATTGATACCCAGGTACCGAAGTGGGTTCTGTTTAACGATGAGAAAGTCGTGGAGGCCGGAGATGTGGAGGAGATGAAGAAGACGGCTTATGTCTACTTCTTTAACCGTGTCGTGTTGACATAAGATAGCCCATTGTGGTTGTCTCTGGGCTTATTGCATGGAAGGAGCATTGGCGTTCAAAGACACGATCACGAATACACTTTGGTAGATGAAACGAGGAATGTAATATAATCAATTGGGCACTTGGTCGATCCCAGCTCGTGATAACGAACGACCTTGGCCATTCCAAAATATCACATCCTGCTGTATGCCTTCTGCGGTCTCGAGCTTTTGAAAATCATATTGCCGCTGTTCTTTTGTGACTCTCCTAATGACATGGAGTTAAACCTAATCGTTTCAAATGGTGACTACGTATCATACCAGATCTGCTAAAGACAGAGGATTGCGGTATCTGCATGACGTCTGCATGTGCTTGAGGCTCACCGAAGGTGGGGTTGATCGAAAAGATGACGGCGATTTTGCACACATGGATCACACTCCGAGGATTTCATAGCCTTTTGTGTAGTTGGTGCATAGTGGGTGTTGTGCTCGAATCGCCCATTGACATTGTTACAGTGAAGTTCAGAGATGCTTTGCTGGACAAAACATGTACGGTTGTATGAGCTCGAATATATACTCGCTTACTCACAATAACCCGTCTTATTCGATAGTATACTACTAGTTTTCTACAGGAAAGCATGACTCGATTCATTAACTCCCAAGTTAACTAAAGAAAAGAAAAGAAAAATAGTTTCTTTTACAACTTGTGTGCGCCGCTAGCTTAAGCGCTTACTTGGAGGATAACATTAAGATATATACTTAGCGCCTTAATAAGTAGAAAGTGTATATATAGCTCTTATAGCGCTCATCCCTTATAGCTGCTTTTAACGACGTAGAATTTAACACGTAAAGTGAGCATAAATTAATATCGCACGAGTAATACGCTAGTAAAATAACTTATAACGAGTATTCTTAATATAGTGGCCACTGCGATTTGTAGTGCTCGTCTGCTACGATTTGGTTAGGCGTCAGATAGGCTGGCGCGTCGTGGATGTGCTTTTTCGATGGGGGTAAGTGAAAAGCGCTTGCCGCCAGCGTCTTGCAACGCCAATCCCTTGATTCCTCGACCTAACTTATAGGGCTGCTCGGAAGTCTAACACTCTCATTTCCATCTTCGGAACAGCCTACGGCAGTAAATGTGCTGTCTATATAGTAGTGGACGACCTCATCTTGGTCCGACAACTTTGTCATTAGGAACCTTCCGCTTTCCGAGTTGACTCGTGGTGACAAGGCCGAGGACATGATCCATTCGATTTAAATCGGGCGACCTAGCCCAATAAAGTCGAAACTGACGGATTCAGCCAAGAGTGACGCTATCTTCATCAAGGATCCATAGCAGAGCCCTCGGGTATTGGTGGTACGAATCCATCCTACCTCAAACGATCATACCAGGCTTGGTTCTGAAGTAGGTATCTTGGCGGCTCTGGCCGATTGATTCCACTATTACTCCAAGACCGAAGGCACTGAGCATGATCGACGAGCAGTCTTGTAAAGTGATTCCTCGAAGGACAACGTTCTGTACCAAGAACCTAGCCTTGACCACTCATACCCGGATCATCTTCGGATTGCCAGAGATGGCGGCCTTTCCCGTAATGGATAAAGTCTTCGATAACCCTTGAAATTCTTCGTATAGTTAGCGAACTTGTGGTATCCCTTTTATCCTTTCGCTGTTACCACGGCAGCAGGAGGGCCGGTAGCTGATATTATGAAGGCGGTCGGCGCAAAACACCCTTCATCGATCCATGATATATTATCAACCCCGTTTTAGCCACCGGCAACACCAAAACGGCAATTGAAGGCGTGGGAAGTATAAAACAATAGCGAGGGATAAACACCACCTGGGTTTTCAGGCTAGAAAGCACCTAGAAGATAGTTTTTCTTTACTGGCAAAGAAGGCAGAGCTACCGATCAGTGCTAAGACTTGCAAGAGAGTTTTGCAACGCCACCACCATGGAAATTGGAGGAAAGCAAAGAGGATCCTGTTAACGGAGGAGAACGCTGCTGAACGGCTGGCATTTTCCAAGAGCTACCTACGCGCTAGGGAGCTGAAGAAGCTTCTATTAGCCCTCTTTTCAGACGAATGCACCATTACTAACGCACCTGGCACTAACGGCCACTGGGTCTTCAGATTTGCCAACGAGAGGTATTGGAGGGATCTGGTGGACCCTGCCACCTATGGGAAGCCATCGATCTCGACCATGGTGTGGGGTATGGTGTGGTCCAGGGATGGAGAAAGAGGGAGGTCTCCGCTGGTGTTCTGTAAGGGAGATCTAGCAGCGCCACGCCAAGCAGTGAGTTCTAAGTCTTATATGGAGGTCCTCGAGGAAGGCCTGCTTCCGCTCTACGAAACAGATGATCTTTTTATTCAGTATATAGCTCAAGTTAATAAGAGTGGTCGAACAAAGGAGTGGGCTTGCAGATTAGGAAATCACTACTTTGGACTAAACTACCCCTTTTATAGCCCGGATCTAAACCCAATCGAACACGTATGACTGGCTTTGAAGAGGCAAATCTACGCAATAAAACCCAAGATGTATAAGCTCAAAAGAAACCTGGCCCACGAAGCCTACCTTCGTAAGATAGTTCAGTTAGCATGGTCATAGATCGATATGGGCCTTATCGAAACCCTGATCAGCTCCATAAGGGATAGGTTCAGGGCAGTAGTCAAAGCTGGTGGACGGTATACTCATTATTAAACTGTGGTTCGAATGCATAAACTCCCAACTAAATTGAATACAAATTGATATAGAGACGTGTCTTTGAATATGTTGGGTGGGCTGCTTATAGTGGTGCACGGGACCCTTCTGTAGGTGGATAATGTGCCACTGACTGTAGTAGGTGTTTAGCTTATTCTTATATACGTCTTTTTACGTAGGCTATCTACGTTTAGGCTTTACGTGTCACTAAGGGTTAGAGGGGATTATTCAACGAGCTTGTTCATGTTATAAACGAGGATAATACCGAAAGGAAGAAACAAATATTGTGCATTGTCTGCTTGAACCATAGAAAAGGGGAAGTGCTAGTGGCCCGGGCTCTTATCGATGGCACGACAGGCTGAGGAGTACCGGGCCGTAGCCCGTGACAACTTTTTGCACTTCGCTTACTTTTTTAGTAATTAAGTACCTTATAATAGAGTATTGTCTCTCCATTTAAGACCAGTTTGTCACACTAATGTTTTGAAGGCAGTAACTTAAAAACAACGAGCAAGTTTATATCCGCTTTGAGTTAGTCGACCTGTTATATCTGAGTCGACCGGGGGTAATTCTGTACAGATTTCTAATTCAAACACGGCCGAAATTATCATTTGGATACATTCTGGTGGCTACTAGGGGCCGCATCTAATGCGGGGTGATGACCTCGCTGGGAATTCTCTTGGCCAGAATTTCACCACGAACGGTTAATGCGTGCAAGGTAGTTCGGCATACGGATCCTTCGCGCTGTGCGATACATAAGGCTCTAAACCAAGGAAACGCAACACATCAGTCTTAAAACCCAGCTCCTCTCCCACCTAGTTGCCCTTTGTTCTCTTCCAGGATTCGGACATCGACGTCCATCACAAATATGAAAATCGCCTCCAGATCGACCAAGGCCGCCGCATCTGCGGCTGTTATTGAGATCGTGCTAGCAAGACCGGATCTCTCTCACAGTCAGAAATGCGTGAGTAAATATGACGAACGATGCAGTGCTCGAGTTCGTGAGAATGATAGTGAAGCATCCAATACGGCTGACAAGACCTCATATTTAGTGCTATACTCTGGCAGCAAATCCTATATTGCAGAGTAGAGTCGTCTACCCCAACTCGACGACCTACGAGGATCGTGTTGAATCGATCTGGTCGTTGGACGCAGCTCTATCGCCCTGGTGCATTGTCCTACCAGCATCAACTGAAGAGACTGCAGCAGCCATCAAGATTATCGACACCAATGAGTGTCCGTTTGGCATCCGTAGTGGTGGCCACGGAACGTTCACGAACTCGAACAATATCGAGGACGGTGTAACAATTGACTTTGGTACACAATGCGCCAGGAAACCAAGATTTTACTGAGCAGAAGGACATGCTGTACTGATTATTCGCAGGTTATATGAATTCTACAACCTATGACCCAGCAACTAATACCGCCTCTCTCCAACCAGGTGGCAGGTGGGGTTCTGTCTACAAGGCATTAGAACCATACGGCGTGTCAGTCGCTGGCGGGCGACAAAACCCCGTCGGAGTCGCCGGCTTTCTACTGGGCGGCGGCAATTCCTACTACAACAATGCGCACGGATGGGGCTGCGACACAGTCAAAAACTTTGAGGTCGTACTTGCCGACGGGCGGGTAGTCAATGCCAACGCAGCAGAGCACCGCGACCTGTGGATCGCGCTCAAGGGCGGCACCGGCAACTTTGGGCTGGTAACGCGGTTTGACGTTGAAGCTATCGCCTATGCCGACCCATTTGATCCAGTATTTTGGTGTGGTACACTGTCCTGGGGCAAGAATATGTCGGATAGTGTGATTGACGTCCTGGTCGAATTTGCGGACAATGCACCGAATGATATCCGCAGCACCTCGCATTGCCTCATCCCGTACTTACCCGTTGGCGGCTGGACACTCGTCTGCGCGCTCGTAAACATTGATAATAAGCCCACAGAACCAGCTTTTGATGGCTGGATGTCTATACCCTCTCGTCTTGGGTCGACAATGCGACACGATACAATGTGGAGCATTGCCGAGGAGGCCTCGGGACCCGGCGGAGCTCAGTACAGTCCATCCCTCACAATCTGCAGCTCCCATGATATATACTAATCGATCCTTTTTCTAGTAATTTCAACATCCCTTGCGCCGTCAGGAACGACCCTAGGATTCTGAAATACATCTTTAAGCGGCACGAGGAGCTTGTGAAGCAAGTTACCGAGACCGTTCCGCCTGACACAGTTTGGTATAGCCTACTACAATTTCAACCTATCACAGTACCAATGGTAGCACATGGCAAAGGACTCAACGCCCTTGGCCTCGAGGACGAGATAGCTACGGGCCCCGGGATTATGAGTAGCATAACAATGCAGATGGCTACGCCTGAGCTTGAAGCTATAATGTATACGCTTGCGCTGAAATGCCAGACAGACATCGAAGAGTACGCCGCGTCGATGAATGGGTTGTGGGAATGGAGGTACCTTAACTACGCTGATCTCACTTATGATCCGATTGCGAGCTATGGAAAGGAGTCTGTTGAGAAACTTCGTGAAGTTTCTCATCAGTACGATCCGAAGGGTGTGTTCCAATACTTACGCAAGTCAGGGTTCAAAATTCCCAAGTGAATCAAAATGAAGGATATCTCCGTAGGTTCTTCTAGGTTAGCGCTCTGGAACAGGACTTTGGTGCTAACGCGACGATATCTTCTCGTACGCACAATAGCAAAGACTCTTGTTTTAACAAGAATAAGTCTATCTCTAAGAGACACCCTATTGTGCATCCTTGACCACCTAACGTACCCTTAGTGATCTTTACATTTCCATAACGATTAATGCTCTGATTAATTTTCGAGTTAAATATTTTCTTAATAAAATTAAACTTTGTTTTCAGCATTTTGAATTACAATTTTATAACTTTCTTTCACTTGAGTATTCAGGGAAGGCTATAGAGGGACAGCACCAAAAGTCGCCGATGAGCGATGAAGGCGTTGCGCTCACTACCAGTGCATAACTAGATGAACTGTCTATGTTGCCCTCGACTTTGTCGAGATGATCAGCCATACCAAAATCTTTGAGACACTTTCAAGGACACCTTCATTAGACCAGCACAACGTTGATCGTGGACAGCGAGATCTTGAACAACTTTCTCGCCAGGCCAATGACGACAGCTACTCAACTACGCAGATATAGACCTTGGGTTGAGAGTGATTGAGCATAGAAGGTACTTGCAGATTTGATACTGGCCCCTAGTATCCTATCAGGGGTGATCGCACGCATGCTCCCACCTTCCGGCATCTGAGCACGAACAGCGGTTTCATGAGGACGAGGCCCTGTGATGCTGCGGCCAGTTGCGCCATCCGTGAACACCTAGTTCGGTAATAGGGTTGCCAGTCTTTACATGATTAACTAGCCACGGTTTTAGAGTGTCGTTCGTGCGGCTAGTATTCTAACGATTACGTATGAGGAGATACACAAGACCAGCAAGAACAAGAACACAGCTCGGCTCGAATGCGTTAGCTAGCACGCCAAGAACAAAGTCCGTAACCGAGAAAAAAGACCATTCCTGCAAACCGTCGAGGAAGATAAGCCAACCTTTGAAGAAAAAAAAGGAAAAGTCCATCACTATGTAGTAGTAGGTAAGCCATACCAAAAGGTTCCGCGCGGGTAAGTTGCAAGGATGGTCATACTCCAAAAAGAAAAGGAAAAAAACCATCTGACGTGCTCGCCATTACAAACACTCCCAAGATCATGCCACATGATGACCAATCCCTAACGGCCCTAACGTGACACCAATGGACGTTCTCCGTGCCGCTGCCGGACATGGATGCTATCGCGTCCACGGGTCTGCAAATCTGGGGTTCCGTCGCTAGGTAAAAGCTTGGCTCATGACCCACGGCAGTACTGATAGGATCATCTACTTTAAATGCTGCTTGGCTTGGCCGCAGGCCGCTGCCCAAGGCGTATTGATGCTGATAACCCTGCAGGTTGATTGACCAAACCAGTTTCGGAAATGGTCCCGGATCCTTATGTAGTACTAGGATCGGACCGCAGAAAACCTACTGTGGTAATGCAAGATTATTGTGATACTGCTTGGTACTACTGTACTATGGTAGCACGCTCTATAAAGCACAGTGGGGCGGCAGGGGGAGAGTTCCGGAGCTCAACGCTATAGAGAAATACTCATGCAGACGGGCCGGTACGTTGCCCCGCTCTTTCTGACAAAGCAAATGGTTGCCTAGTTAGATAGAGGAACTGTACTGTGTATCTATAACTGCGTACTACTCGTAAATGGAGCGTTGTTGCCTTGAGTAGGAATTATTACATTGCAGATGCCATTGCACGGTACAGTCCTCTGAACGCATGTACAACGCAACGATCATGATTACCAAACGTTAATAGTGTCAGGAAGGAGATGCTTACATGGCGAAATATATAGATAAGCGAACTATAACAAAACTCTCTACGTTCACAAGCAATGCAATGTTTAGATACGATGGGCACCAAATGCAGGAGCTGAAGATCTCCAGCTCTAAAATCTACAAGATGGAGGATAGATAATCTCTGCCATATTTTCATTGTCGGATCCTTAAAAGAAAGCGCTGCTTCTTTGGCCTTTCTTGCAGCATTCGGTCACTTGTCAGTGAGTGGGGGATCGGAGTCCGGGATAACTCTGCAAAGTTTCGCTTTGGTTATTCAGGAAATGTTTCGCATTTAGCACAGCAAATCTCAATTATGCGCCAGCTCCGCGATAGTCACAAATCCCTAATTATCAAGTCCTGCGCACTTGTTCACAGCAAATAAGGAAGATCGGATAAAATGGCTTCCAAAATTCATTCACCAGGCATATGGAGCAAACCGGATGACCAGGTTACAGGCAATGACTGTATCGTTGACGCTACGAGACATGCTTCTTTGAACACAGATCTCTCAACCCAGGCAAGGCATTATGAAATTTCGACTGCATCGCAATCACATCGAGAGACGCAAAGCTCCATGGATCAAACAGCCATGGTTCACATGCAATTCCCAGACGTCATCGCCGCTGATGAGCGTCCCCCCGGCGCATTCCTCGAGCTCGCTCACCTTCAGAGCCACGCTGGCGACATCTCCACTTGCCGTCCCTCCCACGCCGGCCCAGTCCAAGAACACGGTAGTCCTCGCCTTCCCAGGTCCCAAGGGCTCCCGCCTGAGCTCCCGAGCCTTTTTGCAGAGATAATCTTCGTCCTCGCCTGCACAGGCGGCCAGCTCGTCGCCGCCCTCCTCATCGGCCAGGTCGCCGTAACGCAGGGCGTCTTTGGCAACGCACTCGGCATCCCGCCCTCTCAAATCCCCTGGCTCCTCGGATCCTCTAATCTTGCGACAGGCTTATCAGTCATAATTTCTGGCTCGTTGGCTGACCTCGTCCCACCGAAACCGCTCATAGTAGGTGGATTTCTCTGGGAAGCGGTGTGGAACGTGATAGCGGCTGTAGCTATCAGCCCGCGGCTGAAAATCCTGTTTTTCGTCGCAAGAGCAATGCAGGGATACCAAAGGCGGAGGAAAAGGAACATGTGCATTGATTGATGTGCATGTTGGACCATACCTGAATAGACTATGCTATGGTGCAAATAGGTTCAACAGACGAGCAAGGTAGTAAAGCCGAAGCCGTGGATGCTAATAAATCCACAGACTTTGATCATTACATTACATTACATATGACATTTACCAGTGTGCCCTCGTGCAGAGGTTACAAGCTCGCTACTTAGAGTGCATAAATACACTCTTAAAGCCGAATTATGCGTCACCTTGCTTCCAACTCTCCAGGAGTTAGGGATATGGTTTTGAATGACACCCGACGAACATGTCTCTTCCAATTTTAGGCTACATGACTTTACGATCTTAAAAGTTTCCTTTCTGCGTACAATCTCACACTAAGCTCTTCATTTCCACCTAGACTCTTAAGGATTCCTCGTTACAAGTCCCAAAACACGCATCGAAAGCCTCAAGCTCAAACTCAATTGCTTCTCAGTGTATATGCCTTCGTGTTCTTCATATTGGACTTAAACTTATGGAATTATCGCGGCACCCCTTATTTGCATGCGTTTATTATTAAGTGCCTCCCTCTCACTTCACTCATTGCTACTGCAAAAATCCACTTGGATGACTATGATTTGCGCCTGCCAATGAGTCGTGAAAATACGTAACGAGATGCTGGACATCTATCTCATTCCACATGGCAGATGCGATCTGCCTACTCTCTCATGCTAATTTACACTCAAGTCAAGCGTTGTACTTTCTACCGCCCCTAAGTAGTCGGGCAGAATAAGATACAATTCTTGCCATGATCTATTTCCTCAGTATGACTACCTTCTAAGCTCTAGAGGGTAGAAAGGCGACGCATTGTGATCGGTTCGCGAATCATCTAGGAGACAAAAGATTACTGCTTAGACCCTGCAGGAGTTGGATCAACGACTAGATGAGGTTTGCAAATAGCAGCTCAAACATCTTACAGGGCATCTAGTCGAGACTTTTCGAACCAGGGTCGATGGTTTGATTGTGTATCGCGCCGCCCGTATTGTCCTCCATTGTTGCGCATTACTTAGAGACAATATACATCGGTCAAATACCATATCCATCTCCACCTACTACTCCAGACGATCGCTCCGATCATACGGTTCGATATCAGTCACTACAGTTTTCGAAATAATTCATCCGTTCAGTATCAATCGGTAGGCTTGTGAAGCGATCGGAATCGGTATCGGCGACCTACCAAAATGGTCGGTCGGCCAGTCCATCGCCATGCCTGATTGTAATGCTATGATGACCGAAGACTGGGGGCTCAGGAATGCGAAAGCTTTCAGCGCTGTTTGTGGACCATGTTCAGCCAGAACTCTAATGTTGGTTCTTGCCAACCAAGCTTCCACTGAAAAGCGATCAGAAAAGGGGCGTAGTAGAGAGCGACCAAAGTGTATTCGCAGCAGATCTCGTCACAGACCAAATTGCTCGTTCTTGCGACACATCTTTGGACCACATTACAACTTCGTCGCTCGCTGCAGGTTTGTCATCTTTGAGCCGCTTCTCTCCCAACCGTGTCCTCGACCCTCCATCGGTGGTGCCCGCTTTCGCACCAATACGGAGCTGTTTCTGCTTCCATAAAAATATGAATCAGAATGTACGCATCCAAAACGAACGAAGGGACGTTGTTCAACATTTAATATATGCAATGGTTTCCCGGTATGCTCGTTCTTGGGCCGTCGACGGCATGGACTCATAGTGTGCGTGTACTGTATTTGACCTCGTGGCGGCCCAAATGCGGTTTCTCGGAGGGTCATATACACCTCCGCCAGGATCACATATGTTAGCGCAGGTACAACGCTATACCACTTTTGGCAATGTATTCTATCGCTACTACAGTACGTTTAATAATTAAGGCGTTCACCTTTGGTACGGAAAACTTCACGTAGTCGATGGGGCATCGACCGTGCCAGCGTTTCTAAGAAATCCTCTGGTATAGTTTGAATATGTATACGGCCATCTCTACTTACTAATTGTCATAGATAGAGCTCGCAAGGACTATATAGTATCTCTTCAAAGCCTGAACTAGGCTTTTAAAGTGGGACTGCAGGATATTTCGAGGGACGCATCAGCACTAGAACTCACTACCAATCCTATTGGCAATAGGCAATCCCACACCCTTTTGGACCAAACCTACAGGATCTCATGATGTTATTTAATGTCCTGGTGGTCGGCCTTTAATTTGATTATACTATATAGTCCATGTGAGCTGTATTTATAACAATAACCGTTTTCAAGGGGTAATATAAATTTCGAAACGGACTAAAAAGATTCAAAGGTTTATTATAAATTCGACGAAGCTGACAAAGCCGATAAAGCCAATGAAGTCGACGATAAACCGGGAAGTTATGATTAGTTTGTGAAGTAAATATTACCAAATTGCTTCGAACGTAACATGATAACCTCTGAATAGCTTTACTTTTGGTCAAAATAAGGGGATATCTACCTCCCCTCAAATTCTTTTGTATGCACAAGTAGCACCGGCGTGACTTGGCATTTTTACGATATATAATTGGATGATAAACCCTGCAAGCGCCATTCCACTTTAAAAGCCTAGTTCAGTCCTTGAAGAGATATTCGAATTGAAGGCCTACCACCGGGACATTAAATTACATCATAAAATCATGCAAGTTTGGTCCAAAAGGGTGTGGGATTGTCTATTGCCAATAGGATTGGTAGTGAGTTCTAGTGCTGATGTGTTCCTCGAAATATCCTGCAGTCCCACTTTAAAAGCCTAGGTTAGTTCAGTCCTTGAGGAGATAAGGAAGGGATGAATCATAAATCACCCACCAGGATATTCCACCTTTGTTTAGCCTCGAACCTTTGCCAGATCGCCCTTTCCTTGGGCCCCTTGTTTGTTCTGCCGGCGCAGTAATCACAGCAATGTCTTCACCAAAGCTCACAATCCTCTTCCTGCACGGCGCCTACCACCCGCCGGCATGCTATGCTGCCCTGACGGCGCAGCTTGAGGCAGTGGGACTCGAGGTCGTGGCTCCCCGTCTCGCATCGCTGGGCGCAGACGCCAGGGGGACACTGGAGGACGACCTGGCCGTCGTCCGCACGGCGGCGCAGGGGCTCTTCGACTCCGGCAAGAACGTCGTCATCGTGGCGCATTCCTACGGTGGCTTCGTGGCCATGAATGTGGCCGGCTCCTTGACCGCCGCGGCGGCGGCGCGCGAGGAGAAGGGCGGCCTCGTGTCCATCGTCTATATCAGTGGCTTGCTCGTGAGCAAGGGTAGCATTGCCCTCGTGGGTTGCAATCCGAAGCTGGTAGGAGAGGGCGAGCCCGACCTGGCCGAGGTCTTCGATGTTCAGATCAAAGATGGACTGGTAAGCTTTTTCATTTCTTTCTCGAGAGGCTTCTGGAGAAGTCTAATGTTGCAGCGAGCTGATGTGAACTTTAGCCCGTAGCCACGTTGAAGGATAACGAGAGGACGAGGTACTACTACCATGAGCCCGCGCCCGCAGAGGATGTGGATAGGATCGTCGCTCTGCTGGAACCGCAGTGTGCGGCGGTCTTCTATATACCGTCGCCGGTCGGGCCGTCCGATGTCCGCGTGCGTCAGACGTATATCAGCCCTGAAGAAGATCATGCGGTGCTGCCGGAGGCCCAGGAGCGCGCTGTGGCAGAGGGGAATATGAAGGTAGTCAAAATACCAGGTTGCGGACATGCACCTTTCCTCAATAATCCCCAGGAAGTCGCGGGCATCATAATTGAAACAATAGGGTGGGAATAGCAAACACGGGGTGAGTCCAGGGGTAGCATGATGCTATAATTGAGGTTGGAGGGTTTGTTGTGGCAATATAGTAAGGTCTTTCATCCAGCCAGGAATCTTAACCTATGACTGGTAGGACAGTATCAGACACGAAAGCATACCGTTTGGCTTGGAGGTAAATGGGATTGAGCGTTTCTTTGCATGAACAACTGTCTAGTAATAATCACTTGCTATAATCCTGAAACACACTAAATTGACATTAGTCCTGTAGTATATCTGATTATCCATTGCGTTTCAGCAGTCCCAGCGTGATGCTCAGTGTTAAAAAGCCTTTATTTATTTATTTTGATTTGAAATGGTTGCAGCTCTCAACCATGTACACAGTCCCTGTTAGATTATATATCCGTTAAGAGAAAAACAATTCTCAAATTTGAGCCGACGCGATTGGATTAGTGCATGTCAATGATTGACAGCCAAGTAATGAATCAAGAATATGCACGTGGAACCTCTGCCACATATTCCTGCCTCGTAGTAGATACCACCTTCCAAGTCATAACAGCAGTATAATATGTCCTCTGTGGTTCTTTCGTGGCCCTAGTAAACGAGCTCATGGACTGCCTACGTTGCAAGGGGTATGCATTATCGTCCTTCAGGTCAGCCATGCCGTCCCAGTAGCTTTCGACTACATCACCGTGTTTCATCAATACCGCATCGCGCCCTTGGAGGGGGAAGACCCAATGTTGGGCCCTATCCAGCACTTTCTCCAGCTGTTCTTTCTTCAACACGTCGGTCTCGAACTCAATTTCCAACCTCTGAAGACCCCTGACCAGCCCGACTTGATAGCCCCAAGTCCCATCGGCCATCTGTTCGTGTATTTGTTCATGCGAGAGCACGAGCGGTTGCGCGAGCATATCCTGACGCGATGTCCGGCCCCTCAGCCAGGGGCAGATGCCCATCTTGTCCGAGCTCTCGGCCGGGCTCTCCCAAGACCACCAGTCCGAATGGCGAAAGGTCAGGCGCAGGCTCCGCGTGGCGATGGAGCCCCATGACCTAGGAACGGTGGCGCCACCGAGACCCTCGAGGGCAAACTGCTGCGCGAAGATGTGCACGTGCTGCACCGCAGCCCTCTGGGGCTCCGAGAGGCTGCGGGCCCACAAGGCCCAGTCGCCCTGACCGTGGACCCCGTTCTTCATGTAGCGCCACGGCCCGCCGAAGAGCCAGAAGTAATGCGTCGCTTGCGCTACGGGCATGAGCCGCGTCTCCCGGAAGACGAGCTTGCACGTCCTCAGGAGCGCGACGCGGGTCTTTGGGTGGTGCCGGAGGTAGGGTCTGTAGAACACCCGGTTTGGTGCGTAAGGCTTTTTCAGATCAGGATCTGGTACGAGAGCATACTCGAATATGATGGTGCGCACTTCGGCAGGCAATCTGGAATAGAATATGCAGTCCGGCTGCTCTGCTGTGTTGCTGAAGTCTATCTCTGCTAGATGGGATCTTGCGGAGTGTCGGGACCTGGGGGCAACGCCAATTTGGCCGAATGTAAGTGCAGTGTTCGAAGTCATTGTGTTTCGATTGAGTTGTTACATGCAGAGAGGAGTGCAAGAGTAGCGAGGGATGGGAATATTATCCGCAATCTCAAGTACTTACCTATCGGAAGTTTGGCGACCAGGCTATCTCTATGGTTGCCTGGGCTCCCCGCATGGGGTCTCCGCTTGATAATAGGCCAACACTTACCACATGCCGGCAGCTCGAAAAGCTAACATTTGGCAGTAGACCAACCTAAGGTTAACTTAGGCGTTTTAGTCCAACAACTTCAACTATTAATTATATTAATTATTAAGTTCAAATAAAAGTAATGTTATTTAATGATTATATTGCTAGAAGGGCATAGGATTACATCTTATTAATGAGATTGATAACAAATTCTAGTGTTAAAATGTCCTTCAAAGTATCTTGTAATCTCACTTTAGAAGCCTGGTTTGGCCGTCAAGATGTTAACTAGGTTAGGTTAAAGGAGAGCTGTTATGACTAAGGGTATTAGAACTTCGTAGCCTTCTGTCACGTATAACTGCGAACCCACTGTAGTATTCCAAGGTGTATAGCCTACGATACACGCTCGCATCCTAATTGATTGCGAGCATCCTCCTTTTTACGCAGTATGCCAGTGTGGCAGTGACCACAGCTTGACACCATCGTAGACCTAATAGAACTATGCCTCTTCTCAACTACTTTTCGCCAACTGTAACAATGTCAGTGGGCAGGCCATTGCGCTAACAGTCAAGGACTAACCTAGCTATCTGCGACTACCGATATACCCACTATCCCACTATATATGCGCGCCACAGCGGACGCTGCACTGTAGCCAACATCATTCCACCTACCATAGGTAATGTTCACAATTTTCTTGTTTTTTTTTCACCATATGTAATAGTCTCTTAAAACCTTATGTATTTCTACGGTATCTAGTTGGATAATGTACCTTATAAGCGCTGTTCCACTTTGTAAGACTACTTGAAGTTTTAAGGGGATAGCCTTATAGCCTTTTAACATTGTGGCCTTAGACTTAAGCCGTCACCATTTTTATAGTACTTAAATCCACTCGCTCTATAAAGGGTTGATCGACTTAAAACATTTATAAGGAATGCTAAAGGGAATGACACGGACACTCAGAACCGAAGGAGATGACATACGGCAACTTACATTCGACTGTGAGCAACGCGTATAACTTCACTAGTTCTAATAGACAGAAATAAATCGCGATGATGGGAAGCAAAGTTATTCTCTTCCAGTCTTGAAAAATATGAGGAAGGTAGCGAGACAGTTGACTGGTGGTGATAACAGTGAAAGAAGCAATTTCTCATGATTTCTATAACAGCTCATTGTCAAACCGAGTTCTCTGCCAACCTTAAAAAAAACCCCAACTCCTGATGCTTTGCAACGTAAGTCGCTTCAAAGGCAGGTGTGAATGTTTCCAAGCACCACACCAACTCATTGTGGGCAATGAAGGGGCATCGCCTGTCTAGAAAATTAACCCACAAGCACTAAGAGAACCCTGACAATTACATACCGCCAGATTGTTCTGTGTAATAGCAAGCCATTGATGTCGGCTATCCAGTCACTTCTGGACCATCTGACCAGCTGCGGTAGGTGACGCCAGGTGAGCCTTGGAGTAGACTTCACATGGCAACCGTAGGGACTGCCGTTTTCGACCAGGCCGACATCCCATCCTTGCTGGCATAACCAGAAGCTAAAAGACTGATCATCACTAGCATGCAGCTTTGATCTCATGAAGTATTCATCAAGAAAATATGAGAGAAATCACGGATCCTGCACAACATGCGCTCTGTATGCTGCGGTTGTGCCGCTAGCACAGAATATTCCTCCGTCAACGAGAACCGACGTCCTGATGTCAACACAGTTGCCCAATCAACGAATCGCCGCCATAAATTCCCAGAAGTTGAATTTCTTGTCAGCTGGTTGCAATTTGACTTCCGGGAACACCGCACCAAGACGGCCGTTTCTTGTAAAAGCCTCTAAGAAAGTTAGCAAAACAGTGGGATACCACTGAGTATCGTCATCAGCAACGACCACAACTGCGGTCCGACAAGCTTAAAATCATGCCATATATTGATGATTTGCTGTGTTCCAGGTTTCCAGCAGAATATGCATCCTTTGTAAGCTTTTACGAAGCATTCGGCAAGCCCTGAGGAGAGTAAGAGTCGGACAAGAGTTACCGTGGTAGACGTGGAGAGGCACTTACCTGTTTCGTAGGATATGTTGAGATTCTTTATCTTGTCCTGGCTGCAAAGACTCTTTGAGATGCCTTTCGTATGGCACCTGACAAAATGAGGTCCTGGTCCATATTAAGCAAATTTATCAGACTCAAGCTTTTGTATTGCAGAACAGTAAGATCATAACTCTACCGTAGCTTTGAGATAGTTGCATTGTATATAGCTTCCATCCTTTCGAGCTGCTCAAAAAGAATGGAGCTTCTGGCTGTCTAGTTGTCCTCTCTTTCCAAGCACTCGTGGCACGTGTCCTTTGAAATCAGGATCTGTGTTAATAACCCTTATGTGTGTTCCTGCGCTTATATGTAGAAACTCAAGATGAGCAGCTGATTGACGGATAGCGCGGAACTATGAGCCGTTATAAGCAGCAACAAGTGTTACATGCCGGGTACTGCGCGCCTAACTTCAATGATGGGTGGCAGGTGATATTGTACTTTGTTCCGGATCCTTACCAAAGTCTTCAGGTCCTGAGTGCACTAAACTTTCTACATTGGTTCTTATGGTTCCTGCACGTCGTTTTCGACTGGAATACTTGTTCTTAAATTGACCAAGAGACAACTGGCTTTTATGACCTTGGTCGTTCTGACGATACGGGCTGGCATTGCGGATATGATCATGGAGTTTTGCGGCAGTATGGCTAGACTGAGTTTCCAATGGATTAAGCTCATTGTCTCAGGAAAATCGACCCAATCTGAAATATGAAATGAATCTTCCATAGGATCATCTGTGGTTGCATAATTAGGTTACCACGAGCTCGTTTGGACTGAAGCAACTGCTGGAAAAGATTGACGTTATTAAGATGGCGCGACATCCTAACGCATGATTGGCATGGTTCGCAACGACCTGGTGTATGGACGGTGCACTGCCTTGTGAACCGTTTGGCCAAATCAATATGCAAAACAGTAGAGTATGCACTGTTACCTTACATCGACTGGTGAGCATGAGTGGCTGATACTCGTGTTGCCTCAAGTCGCCCAGTCACTAATGACGTGGCGTCATGTGCGCACCAAAACCATCCGCCTTGCAAAGTCATTTGCCGAGATGACTGAGGGCGGAACATAATCCACTGCCATTCTTCAAAGAGCATCACGACTCTGACAAACAGCAAACATTCGCACCCTCTATCACTACACTGGATTTACATAGTTGTCAACTCATTCTCTGACCCTTGTGCAAAATTGAACTAGTTTGAATGGCAGTCTACGAGGAGATAGTCTGTATTGTTTCGACTCACGTCTTACTCAGTATTTCATACCTCAGCTCCAGTCTTACGCAGCCTTTAAAGCTTCTCGCAACAAGAAAATATCCCTTTCTTTGATGAAGCGACCCAGTTCCGATGTCGGCTCTGCTTGCGACATCAGTTCCAGAGCTTTGTCGATGTGTATCCACTCGTGAACGAGTCCATCAGCCAACTCGTCTTCAGTCAATGCTGGCGCTCCAGCCTCGTTGAGTAGATGCGCGATATAGCAGTACGAAAATTGGTGTAGATCATTCCGATACTCCTCTGTCGTTGCGACAGGTGCACCCTGAACAGAAACACTGCAGCCAGTCTCCTCTGTCACCTCGCGCTCGGCTGACTGCTGGTGGTCTTCACCGGCCTCCACGCCACCTCCTGGCAGCTTGTAATAATTTCCCTTGTTCACTTTGATAACAATCACATGATTGTTTGGGCTCTTAACAACAACGCGCACAGCCGTGCGCTCGGTGTACTGGATTCCAGGTTGTTTACAACCGATTACTTTGGTGGGTAGGCCATAGTCCATCAATCCTGGTAGACCAGTCAGCCAAGCTACTGGGAATGTAGGTAGGGAATTACTCAAATACAGACCCTGATGGCTGGCCATTGCAAGCTGTAAGTAAATACTTTCCTGTTAGCTGTCTTCTGGACGTCTAGTAGTATAGATTGGCGATTGATTTGGATTGATTTGTATCAATCATGTGGATCAGTGATGTGCGTCAAGTCAGGTGGTTTGGTTGAAGGGCCGTGGAGGAGAGTTGTTGGGAGGTATGAAAGATCGATGGGTTTACTATATGTGGGGCGCCTACCTAGACTAGGCTGCCATTAGACAACGCTGCGAACAATCCCATACAGCTGAACATTTACTTGATCTTGAAGAGCAATTATCGGCCGCTAGCAATCTGGCTCTCATATAACTCACTTCCTCTCTTGTTATTCTTCGTATCGTCCCCTGCGATTTTCAGAGCAGGATCTATATGTCTTTGTACGACGCCAGGCAATGGGGTGTCACCACTGCTTCTTGGGTCCTAAAAACTTGTTGATTAGGCTTTGTCAGTTAATCCTCTTGACTAAGGGTGCATTCGGCCGCAGGAATTCAGATTCCAATTATTCACTTACGGCCCGAGTAGATACATGTAAGCTACGGATCCGTACGTTTCACGAATCAGCGAAAAACTGCCAAAAGGCAGTTTCCAAACGCCGCATAAATTAATTAAATAAGGCTTGTTTATTAGGTGCATCATTAGCAAAACAAATTAGTGAGTTAAGTTAGAATAATATGCCTAATGTGCATGAGAATTGTACCGCCATAGCTGCTTTGGAGCTTTTCCGAGCGCACCCTAAGAGGCGCTGAGTACATCAACGTCAGTTGGTGAGAAGGCACCTGCAACCACAAGGCGACATCGACGGTTTCGTTCCGGAAAAGTACCGGGAAAGACTGGCCGATATCGTCGGTAAGAGGCGGCTATTGATGGCTAATTTTGATGGTCTTCGAACTATCGATCATACAACTATTTGCAACGCGCTATCAACCTCACCTGTCGAGAGCACGAAATATGTTACTGGCCATCTGCATCCCGATGCCGATGCCGTTGTCAGCTCCATTTTTGAAGCGACCCGGTGAACCCTAGTCTATCCACACAAAACATGTGTCGCTTGGGCGGAGCAACTGCCAATCACGATATCGTACTAGTTGACTGCACACCTTGGATGGTGGTCAGCAGTACCAGGTGAAGTCGATCATGGTTCATCATATAATCACGAAGAAATTCCCTTATTACGTCTCTCTTAGTCACGAAGTATCTTGGTCGTCTACAATTCAAGTCTACATCAAGCTGTTGGGTCCAGGTCTAGATCTCGATGCTTACACTGCGAGGATTTTGACCGAAGTCGCAAAAGGTAGTAGGTAGCTGGCAGCTGGTAGGACGCCCGTATGAAAAATTGTATATATTCTTACGAAGTTTACTTACTTGTCTATTATAGAACTTTGACAACTAAATTTTTTTTTTAAAGATTTGAAAGTCAATATTTAAATAGACTAACCTAGATACTTGATAATAGTGCTATATTTTTGGATTTGTATTTTAGAATAGTTTGGGCGGCTTATAAGCTGCAGAAGACGTCGAATTCTAGTGGAATGTGTGTAATATTCCATGCGGGCGTCCTAGCAGAAAGCGTACAATAAACGTCAATTCAAGTTGCCTAACTTTAACGCTATAATTGACATTCTAGCAATGTTCATATTACGAAATAAAACGTATGTTTGATAAAACGCGTTCGCCGTTAAGGGCGTTATATACGGAGGCAGTCGTCAGATGTGAGGAGTTGCCATACTTGTATCTTGGCGTTGGCAGCAGCTGAGGCGCTCTCAAGTTAGTTGAAAAGCCGGAGCGGCCAGGATTAGCCTCAGCTGCGAACAGCTGTGTGTCACGCCAAGACATAAGTGGGACAGCCCAATACCTTTTGGTGTCTACCTCCCTACGTCAATGTGTGAATTGATTTCTTTAACTACGGTACTGATTCGGAATGGTGTCTTTTACAGCTTTGAGGCAGTTTGCGGCACAAGCTTTCTTAAAACCGTAAACCTTGTCAGTTCAAGACAGTTTACGTTACTCACACTGTTACATATTCACAAGGATTTCGCGACTGTTTGCTTTACAATAATAACAGAGGTACATTCATTTCTTTTTCCAAAAAAGGCTTTCTATATCAATGGCAGTTTGCACTGTCGGTATGTCCTAGGTACCAATCCATCGTTCTACTCAATCTATTCAATCTTTGCAAGACTTCAGAGGTGTTACATAGTGTTATTCAATTTCGCCTGTATCAGATTCGTGGCGTCAGCTACGGAAATAGCCAGACCAGTCGTCTCAGACAACTTCGCGAATGCCGGCCCAATCTCAACCAAGTCTTCCTTGTCCTCCATTTGTTCACATTGAAGGAGTTCCAAATTTTCGAGATATTGGAGGCTATCCTATCGCTCGGCAGCCCGGCAAATTCATCTGCAATGCCACAATTTATCGATCGGCCAACCCTTCCGGAGTTACCGAGGAGGGCATCACCCGGTTACGGGGACTAGCAATCACCAAAGTATTCGATCTTCGTTCAGACCGCGAAATCGAGGAAAGTACGAAGAAGGGATGGGGGGCAATCAAGGTGTGGGATTCTGCGGCAAGAGTTCCTGCCTCTGTCTTCATGGACAGCGACTTCGCAGACGGACATCGCGGCCAACGGGATTACAACTTGAGCAAAGAAGGACATGACGTGAGGTAATTGACATGTCCGCTTCGTACAACCCCTAATTACTCGCAGGGATTCATCAGATATTATTGGGATATACTCAATTCAGCATCCTCAGCCAACAATACGTTACAACCATTTGAGAAGATTTTGACCCATCTGGCTCAAGAATCTTCGTCCAAACCTGAACCGATCCTTATTCATTGCTCGTTAGGGAAAGACCGAACCGGAGTCATTTGCTCCCTAATTCTGAGCCTATGTGGCGTTGCAGACGACCTAATAGCGCATGAATATGCATTAACGGCTGTGGGTATCAGAGAAAAGATAGCACAGATCATCACTGAAATAAGACCCAATGGACCTGGGATTTCTGAAGAGGAGAAACGGTTCTTTGGCTCCAAGTAAGACAGTTTATAGCAGTTGGAATGTCTATACTAACGTTGTTACAGGAAGGAGGCTATGCAAGGATTTCTAGATTCGATTCGGCGCAATGGCGGGATGGAACAATACGTCATAAGGTCAGGAATCTTAATGTCGGAGCAGGTGGGGCAGTTACGAAGAAATCTCATGACTGAGCTACCTGTTGGTGAAAAAGGAACAAATTAATGAAGGCAGCATTCGCCCATCTGGCCTCTCCACCAGCTCATGGTCTTGGGATTGCATAGACTGCTTCGTTCCAGCTGAAGTGTTTTTGAGATTGTTGAAATCATACATCAAAGTACTTATGGCCGTCGATTGTAGGGTGTTGGCAGCGGTCATGCTTTGGATTCGACGACGATCTCGAATGCCACTTGAGGCACTTCGACCTACAATTTTCGTGGTTGGATGCACAAGGTTGCGATATTAGCGAGGGGCAAACCAACTCAGCCTGGCGTCTCCATCAAGTTCATTGACTGGGTAATGTCTCTAATCGATGACTGACTTCCCACTGCTAGTGGTTCTTAAACCTTCTGCCACCTAGATGCGGAGTAAACCGTGGCCGACATGGACTGCTAGGCCGATCCCCCCAGCATGTAGAGGGTTACAAGATAGGGGATAGGCAGTAGGTAGATTGGATGCAAACTGAACGCTGTTTTGTTAAACTCTTGAGTCTGAACACCAATTTACCCCGACTGTGTTGCATACGGCTGACGCGGTCTCGTCTCCCTCAGTCCGGGCTAAGGTGTGGTTCGGGGATTTCGAGCCGTCAGCGGTGCTTGTGCGTAGCTGTTACAGATCGCCTCTGACATGGGCATAGCCGTGCACAAACAGCGAGCAAGTCGTATACGTGTGATAGCATTCGCCATATCTTGTTTGATGGCGCCGGCCATGAAGTGTGAAGAGGTGATGATACTGTGCAGAAAGGATATATACGACGGAGTAGCAGGAGATGTCGAGAACAGTGAAGCCACAGAAGTACAGGATGTTTAAATTCCCATCCCAAGGTCTGGGAGAGGCGCAAGGTATATTTCAACACCGACGCTTGGCTGGCATTTGTTGCGTGTTGTGATTTGTTGGAGGAAATGAGAGAAACGGTAAGGCTTTCGAAGTGAGAACGATCATCCAACGAACACATATATTGCCGGATGAAACGGGTTTGTACCTCCCTCTATTGCGCGGCGTATAAGTTACACGTTTCTGTGTTGCAAGCTGCGGAGCAAGTGACCCCTTTGCGCTAGGTCGGTGACCACTTGGGAACCCCCGGTATTGTATATTCTTGCATGCTTCTTGTATTTTTGTGTTATTCTGTCTATACTAGTTGGGTGTTTGGAAATATTGAAGGTGAGGGGATGCGTACCACAGCCATAAACTCGCAATGATACGAACGAATAAACTTGCTGAGCAACTTACCACATATTTCGGCCAGTTAGTTTTGTTCGCAGCCTACCGGACGCGACCCTGCAGATTTGCGTTACTTATACCGTTTGACAAGTGGTGTCCAATCGACTGGTTCGAGCCGACATAACCACTTCATATCTACAACCGCCAGACAGGGTAGTTGAGACGAGAAATCGACTGGGGGCCCAGTGCTTTCAAGTTCAAGGTCGGCAGGTATACTGCTAGTCTAGTGCCAATCTCTCCGAGGACTGATACAGAACTCTTTACGACGAGGCTACAGATGTTACTGAAGAAGTCGTCGAAAAGAGCGAAAAACAAGCGAAGGACAGCAAGTTTGAACAAGTAATGCTAATCGAGGATGACGCCGAGGAATGGCCTCAGGAGATGGGTTGGTACTACCGCGGCAAAATATTCAGAACAATTGATGCCGAAAGCCGGGTCAACTACAACAGTCTTGATTGCTCTAACACATACTCGCAACCAACAGAATCATCTGCCCCGCACTATATGAACATCGGTATCTAGAACAAAACCCTTGTTCACTCATCCGGGAGTACCATGCGGCTGGACGTGAAATGGCAGAAGATCATAAGCCTGGAACGCCGGACAGGGCAACCCCAGTTGTTTGAGTGGTTCTAGACAAGTGGCCAGAAATTTCACCGGGACGTGTTCCTGAATCTGGAGCACGCATACACCATCAACATCAAGCAGCCAACGTTATACCGTGCAGACGAGTAGTGGGCGACATGGATGAATTGAAGAACAGTCATGTTCCAACGTACAAATCCATAATGTTGCGAAATGAGTTAAACATTGACAGGTCTGCATGAAGAGTGAACTAACCTAGAACTATCCGATTGCCGATTGAATGTCGACAGGATACAATGTACAGCGGTTAAGTTACAGGTTTGAGGAATGTTGAGAGTCTAAATTAACTCCGATTTGGTAAACAGTTCTATATCATTAACATTATATAACGCAAAATATTAACAGATCGCTAAATGGTGACATGCAAATCCTTAGCTCTTTTGTTGAGGCTCCTCTCCAGTCTTGCCCTTGCCCTTGCCCTTGCCATTCTTCTTGAACGAGAACGCGCCAGCGTTCCAACGATGCACGCGGAAGAGATAATATGTCAAGACAGCAATAAAAACATTGAAAATCACAAAGGCCCACATGATGCCGAAATTGCGCCACCTGTGTTCCCAGGACATGCCATTGCCGACTAGGAACTGGTCGGCGACCGAGATAGAGCAGTACTGGCACTGCGAGGTGGCGTCTGGGTTCTGTAATGTTCCTGGCGCCTGTGTGAGATACTCGGCGAGGTATTGACCACAGGTCTGGCCTGAGGGCGGATCGAACACGGACGTCTCTGTGGCGGAACACGTGACCTGGCGGCCGTGTAGCTGAGTTGAAATCATACCGTCGATCCAATAGGTGAATGGTGAGACGCGGTACATGAAGATCCAGAAGCCCGGGAGAGCTTGCGGGGCCTGTAGGGCACCACAGAAAATCAAGCTCATCATTGTCAACAAGGTGACGATGGCTCCGGCCGTTTGCGCGTCGCGGAGTGCAGCAACCGTCATCTGAGCGAATGTGGCCGCGTAGACGAACAGCTGGATACAGAACAGAAGAGTAAGACCCTGTCTCTCAGCGCTCTGAATTCCGGCGACCGGGTAGTAGAAACAAGCCCAGGTAAGCACACCCATAAGTACCTGCCACGGAATTTCGACGATGATGTTGGCAATGAGGAACACCTGCCAGGAGTATGCCTTCGATGGACGTTCTCGGACTTCATAGAGGGACCGTTGAGTGACGAACACGGGTTGGATACCCTGTACCACGGAACTGAAGATTGTTGTAAGCATGAAAGAGGCGAACACAACCGTCTGCATGCCTGCCAGAGTGGTGCTAGCTTTGTAGAAAGAGAAACCAACGAAGAGACCGGCCGCGATGGCGAGGAAGAACTTGGAGGCGATATAGCTTGGAGTTCGCCAGTATTGTTGGAATACACGACCAGTAACCTCGGAAAGTTGTGTCATGAACGACATGGCGAACTCGCTATGGCCTGCCGCGTCTGCACCACCAGCGGCAGCCTCGTTCTTCTTTTCATCATGGATTCGACCGATTTCTGCTTGTACAGCTTGGGCTTCAGTGCTGTCTTTCCAAGCCGAGTGCCAGTCTCGGCCGTGACTAGCTTGAAACTTGTTGACGATTTCCAGCATATATTCAGCGGGATTCTCTTCATCATCGCACTTCCTGGCTCCATTGGTCTCGAAGTAGTCCAACAGGGTTTTGGAGTTCTCCCCAATATCTCCGAAGTACACAGTCTTTCCGCCCCTTGCCAAGAAAAGCAGGCGATCGAATTGCTGAAACAGGAGAGCGCTGGGTTGATGCACCGTACACAACACGGCCTGGCCTGCATCTGCAAGCTTACGCAGGAATGAGCAGATAGCCCACGAACTTTGAGAGTCGAGTCCACTTGTAGGCTCATCGAGGAAGAGAAGTAGCTTTGGTTTGGCTGCAAGCTCAACGCCAATCGTAAGGAGTTTGCGCTGCTCCACGTTCAAACCTTCGCCAGGAACACCGACCACGGCATTTGCGAAAGACTCCATGTTGAGCAACTTGATGACTTCCTCAACATAGTCAAACTTCTCTTGCTTGCTAACAGATTTAGGTTGACGAAGCATGGCGCTGAAGCGTAGACTTTCACGAACGGTTGCTGTTTGGAGATGGAGATCCTGCTGCTGTACGTATCCGGTACTTCTCTGGAATCCGGCGTCGAGGGGGTTTCCGTTGACAAACATACCACCAGTGATGACACCCATAGTTGTTCTCTGCGCCAGAACATCAAGCAAAGTCGTCTTTCCGGCACCCGACACACCCATTAGAGCCGTAAGAGTTCCGGGTTTCACCCAGCCAGAAACATGATCTAATAGTCGTCGGGGTTCGCCTTTGATCTCGATATCGTATACTACATCTTGCCACGTGAAGATATCTGTCTGAGGCTCGATTGCCCTCATATCACCAGCGCCAGTCTCTTCTTTGGTCTCGGGTGCTGCGGCTGCTTCCTCATCGACCGCGCCGTTGGCTTTCATGAGGTGGGCGGGCACATGGCCACGCTGATACACAAGGGCTTCTGCGGTGCTGGTCGTGGTGGAGTTGAGTTCCGACGCGACAAAGTAGATTGCCATGAAGACGACGAGGAACGCCAAGATGATACCGAAGTTGCGCCAAACATTTGAATAGTAATACTGGTAGTTAGCAGCGATGTAAGCATCTCCACTGACATAGTCCTGTCCAGCTACGGCACCAACAACAGAACAAATCCAGGAGTCGCCGACAGGGGGTGAATATCCTGGTACAATACTCGAACAAGTAAATTGTCTGCCGTGGAACTCGTTGGCCATTAGAATTTCAAACCCCCAGAAGAGCGGGTTGATGAACCGAATCCAGGAGAACCATGGATGCATCAGCGGTACCGAGATAGTGAAGCCTGTATAAATGACGAGCGCGAGAATGAGAACACCACTGAGAGCCAGTGCTTGCGAAGCCGTTTTTGTGACAGCTGCCATTGTCCTGAAAATGGCGGCCATGGCAAAGGTTTCACTAATAGTCATAGTCAGGTCAGTTTGTCCTTATAGCGTGCGACATGGGATCGTGTCTGATACTTACATATAGGTGATCAAGAAGTAGAGGAAAAATTGAGCGGGCTCACGACGTAGCCCAACCATGAAATAGAAGATGATGTTGAAAAACACGGCCTGGAAGAATTTGATGGGAATGTCGGACACAATACCAGCTATAGCTTCCGTTGAAGGGTGGTAGAAGGCGTACGATGCATGCTTCTCGACAATAGGTCTTTGGTCATACAAGCCGCTGATTTCAGAAATAGCCGTAAGGCCGTTGATTAGAACTGCTAAGAACAAGGCCGACGCCTTAGACTGAAAGCCGGCTGATGCATCCGGAGTGCCATAAAACACAGAGCCAACAATAAGGGCAGTGATGACTTGAGACACCATGGTTGTCATGAGCGCGGACCTGTCACCCCAAATCCGCTGATAAGCTCGCTTGGTATTAAGACGGATTTGCATAGGGACACTGATAATGTATGGTGATTTTGGGCGGACGTGCTTGGCTTGAGCTGCGTTCTTCTGCTGGCGGAGTGTTGCAAGGCTTTGACCACTCTTATCCATAGGATTTGCCTGTTGATAGTGTGCAATCTGTTTCTGCAGGAACTGAAACTCCGGAGACTGACGCCAGTAGCGCTCAAATTCATCTGGTGTTCGTGGCACCTTGTTTTCCATTCCGGGACGTGCTGTTCTCTCCGATGCATTGGTGACCGAGGTGAGAAAGTCGCCGGTTGTCTGTCGTGGAGGGCACATCCAGCCCTGTCGCTCGAAGAAAGCCCTGGCGTCTTTTGCAGGACCGAAATAAATCTGCCGCCCTTCGTATAGGACAGTAGCTTTATCGAAGAGGTCATAGATAGCCTGACTTGCTTGGTAGATGGCTACCGCAGCGGTCGAATCGCACAAGTCGGCACCAAGTCGCAATGTCTCGACGAACTTGAGGGCAGTTGCTGCATCTAGACCTCGCGTACTGTACACCATTAGCATGTAATAATACAAACAACTTATCGAAAGTTACCCACCTGTTATCCCATGCAGCCAAAGGTGAACCAGCTAAAATCATCTCTGCAATACTGACTCGCTTTCTTTCACCACCTGACACGCCACGTACAAAGTCGTTTCCTACTTTTGTGTTATAGGTGTGGCTCAGACCACAGACAGCCATGACAACTGAAGCAGCAAGCTTGGCTCTTTCTTCTCGTGACATGTCGCCGGGACGGTTGGATCCCATGCGTGCCTGTGCAGCGAATTCCATGGTCTGGCCAACGGTGAGATGTGGGAAATGCTTGTCAACCTACATTAGGCACAGTTAGCATCGTATTGATGGTGAATCTGAAGTTTCGATACGTACTTCTTGGTTGTAAGGAGTCTCTCCCTTGAATTCCTTCATCATGACCTTTTGGGAGATACCGTCATAACTAAGCATGGATTTCTCATCCACAGATAGGCCATAAAGCTGTCCGGTCATTGTCTTTAGTAGCGTGCTGCAACCTGAACCTGGTCGGCCGAGCACAATGAGAAGTTCTCCGCTCTTGACCAGGCCATCAAAGTTCTGTAAGATCTTCTTCGGTTCTTTTCTGCCACCACTAAACATCTCGCCGGGTCGCAAAGGCGCTGTCACCATGCTACCGATAGTGTCTTGGAGCTGTAGGGCTGAAGCTGTTCCGGTGACATTTAGGTTTTGGTATGCAATGCCTGTGCGCTTGAGCTCGACTCCCTCCGATTGTAATTCGTGGAGAACCCTTTTGAGCCATCTCGAGAGGTCAAAGTCTTTGGAGTCTGGTTGTAGTCTTGGGTCGTTCTCAGCTATGCTTGTTATTCGGTCTAAACCTGTTGAGGCTCTCCGAGTGCCCGGTCGTCCTGCATCTGATTGGCGCCTCGAGAGTGAACTGGCCAATCTGTGAAGTTCTGCTCGCTCTTCTCCTGGAATTATCGATGTGACTCTTTGTAGGTCTTCTGTGCTATCGACTTCAGTTGAACTGGGACTATGGTCCAGTGTGTGACCGTCGCTACTCCTGCGTGTCGACATGTTGAAGTGTTATTGGTCAACCTCTCTGCAGTGAAGGGGGATGAGGTCTGAGTGCGGATGTTTGAATGAGATGATACGGTATGGCCAAAAGCGGATGCAGGTGCAAGAGTTTAATATGCTTTTTTTTTCTCTTCCTTTTCTTCTTCTTTCTCCTTCTTCACAGCCCAATTAGCCACTACGTAAGCCTAACAGAAACTCAATCCTAAGCCTCATCCGCCGGGCTCGGATTCATTTCCATAACATTGCAGCGGGAAGTCGTGAATGCGTTATAGGCGGGCTCGGGGACTTCGAGGCTCCCGAACAATGACGGTAGCTTGCGAGCTAGCGGGTCGCATTAAAGCCCCCAACATGAGAGCGTCGATCAGCTCAGCTAGTGCTGACCCTAGGGCTGTTGAAGTGCCGTTCGGGTCCCAGATACTCTACGAAACCCGGACTTGGTAAGCCACAAGTTTCATTCTGCTTGCATCTATCAGCGGAGTTGGGCTAACCTAGAAACTCTCCACTAGCCTAGCATGACTGGCTCGGTCTCACCCAAAATCTGTGCTGCGAATTGGATGGAAACAGGAGTCTAGAGCAACTGAGATGGGAGTTGTGAGTTTAGATTTGAAGTAGCACACAGTTGTGCATAATGGGGTGTCAGACTCACGCAGGCAGTCGTCGACCATGACGCGCCTGCTTGTGCGACACAAGAAAATGGAGCTTCGTAAAATGCAATGCGCTCGCGGTATTCGCACTCCTGGCAGCTGCCAAGACTCTGGAACATCATTATAAGCTCAAGCTTCAGCAAGCTAATGCTATGCTAGTAGCGCCATGGCCTCCGACATGCCGACAGTTGAGAAAAGAGACTTCCTTACGTGCGTCATGACCTTGGAAGTTGGTGTAGCAAATGCGAGAGGGTCGTGCAACCTTCAAAGTACCAACCCAGAAGCTGAAATCTCGAGCATGTATCTAGACCAACATTGTGGTCGATCACTATCGCCTTTCTTCACTGACAGATCACAGCAGCACGCAAGGATTTCTGTTTCGTAAGCATATCGCACCACTGCTTCGTTTTTACTGCACGCTCGTAGCTGCATACACGCACTTGTAGTGTATTGTATTGCCAATAGTGAATCTTAATAAGGCCTAGGAGGTGAAGAAATTAAGGTTACTGGGCTACTACTGCTTATAGCTCGCTCTGTTTGTACAGGGTGTGACCCGATCCCTGCACCTGATCCCTGACCATACCTATACCTGTAAATCATGTTAGTAAGTTTAATCGAGCTGTGTTCATCGTCGTGCGCCGTGAGGGATCAAATCAAGGCTGCCCGAGGCTCGTACTCTTCTCTGTCTCCCAATCCTTGAGCCACGCTGTAACGAACTCCACTTCGTACTGTTGGTTTTCCTTTACCGACGGCGGTGGTAGCTGAGCCGTTGTCTCGTTAGGAAACAACCCATTTTCATCCCAGTGGTGGACACCTCCAGAGATTAAACGGAAAGGTTCACTGATTGTGTCAGGGCGCTCTAACCCTATAGCATGAGGTGTTGCTGCACGCCATGGGTCCCACTCTCCGTCAATAAACGCGAGACGAGGGTAACTTAGGCTGAACCCGCCATGCTTGTTGATAATCTCGACATCCGACGGGGTCGTGATGTTGAAGGCCTCAACACAGATCTGTGCATTGTATGCAATGTCAATCGTTCGCGAGATCAGCGGTAGCTGGCCAGCCGGCACACCGCTGCCAGTAGTCAGATATCCCCACTCTGTGCAGTATTGGTAAGGCCAGGACTTCCAAGTCTGAGAAGCATCGGTCGAAGTATACAGCTCTGGATCACTTGTGCCGAAACACACATTCTGGTCAGCTTCCGTGCAGCTAGCCACTGAAGACTCTCGAACATAGCCGATGAAATTTAAGAAGTGATTGGACAGCTTCTCGGTCTCGTTGCCCCAACCACCAGCTTCGATGAGCTCCGTGACAGTAGATCGCAAGGATTCGGTACTAGCATAGACCACACTGTCATTGCCAACAATGGCAGCATATCTGAAGAACTCGCTTGAACTCTGAGTAGGATCCCAGTTATATGATTGCAGGTACCCCAGACCATTGGTCAAGGTACTGGCGAAATCTGCATCCTTTGTCACGCCGCCGAGACCGAAGACCTCCTTCAATTTCTGAGGGTATTCGGTGCCGTTCTTGCCAATGAGAATGTTATCGACCACGTTGGTTACCTTCTGAGTAGCCTCTATCCCGGCCGTGGGGCCATAAATGCGGGCAGCCTCGAAATACTGCCAGTAATCGTAGATAGCTTCGGTAACGGCAGACGAAGCAATGGATCCGAAGTACACATCAGGATACAGCTTCCGAAGAATAGCAACGAAAGCTCCGGCGTAGGAGCCACCGTATGCGATGTAAGCAGTGTTGTTTGGGTTGATGTCATAGCTCTCCAAACCTGGGAACTTCCCATTCTGCGCAAAGTAGACAGCATCTGCTAATGCTTGGTCGGTAGACAGAAATCGCATACTCTCGGTGCGTGTATCATTGACAGGCCAGCTGGTTCCGTAGTATCTGTGCTCCAGAACGACACCGATGCCGTTTGTCGCATTGGCTATCTGGGCCACTACTCCTTTCTGAATGAAAGGCAAACGACCAGTGCCAGATGTTTCACCACCAGCTAGCACAATGACCGGCCCGCCCGGCTTGTAGTATCTTGCATCGAACCAATATCGCATGTTGTAGAAGCCGTCCGAATGAGGCTCATATCGAGAGTCATTGTGAAAATGGTCGATCGGCGTGGAGAGGGTATAAGCAGGGTACGTTGCGGCGATCTGGGCCTCTTCTACAGAGAAAGTGTTGTGTGCTTCCGCCTGTAGCCGATTAGCATGCAACCTGGGAGTCATGTAATAATGCCTACAGTACTTACCTGCTTGCGTAGTTGACTGGCGGGCACAGGAAGTGAGCCAAGACCTAGCTGAACAGCCTGGGCGAGCAGTGGCAGCGAGAGCAGACTCGCCGTGATTCCGTGGCGAACCATTATTGGTGTTGATACGCTATACTGGTGATCCGACTTGCGGCAGTGAAGACGGACCAAGTCTTCTCAGGTTAATTGGGAGGATAACGTACCTATAGAGCACCGGGACTGAGGAGCAACTGCTGATGTAACGTTCAGTGGTTGCCGCAATGATCTGCTGAGTTCTGCAATGCTACGCGCCGGCAGTGGTTGATTTTGAAAAGCCGTTACGAGGTTACCGTGGACTGTAGATCTCTAGTGATCACGACAGTTGCCGCCACATTTAGCTGTACGGCACTTGCCCAGTCGGGATTATGAACTTCATCCCATCGGAAACAGCTCTGGGCGAGCTAGATTCAAGACGGAAGGTCAGATGCTATGAGGCGATCTCGGACAGGGCAGGTCTCAGCCGATCAGCCTGCAGCGTAACCGTTGCGCGGGTGGCTGGCCTACAGTGCCGCTAAACCTTATGCTACCTCGCGTGAAGAGAACACCTGATTCAGGTGCTTGGTAGATAATACCCAGGCCTGATTCGTCCTCGCGAAAGTATGCAGCATACTTTCAATGCTAACCTTAGGTATGTGTATAGTCGTCACTGCTTAGCCAGGCCATTGGTGTCACCTACCCTCTTTATACTCCTTCATTGAAACGGGTAAATGATAGCTCGCATGGGCCGCGTCTATTTGCGCTTCGAACCGCCTCAACAAAGTACAAGACGGATATGGCAAGTAAGTTGTCAACAATCTAAAACTCGACACAACAAGAGCCATGTTACAACCTCGGCTCGTCTCACAAATCAGCTAAACAGTACACATACGCGTTCGACAATCGTCTGGCTTCAATTTGACTTCCTTCAGCACTGAACAAAGCCATCAACGATTTATGGCTACCTAGTCTGGCGATCTCCCGGACTTGGGGAGTCTGAGCCGATCACGCAGGGCACAACGGATCTAATCTTATCTCCACGGTTCTGCGGTCCTCCCGCGAAGCATGGCAAACCCGACCGTAAGCTCCATTCAAGCAGTCGTGTGCCTGGTGCCAAGATTGAGGGCCGAAACTTGGGTTTGCCTAGCGAGTCTAGAATTGAGTGCTTATGAATCATCCCGAACCCTCGGTATCGTCGAATAATAGTGTCGGTTCGAGAACAATTCCAATAAGCCCAGGAGATTGGGACGGAGTTCGGGTTCGCAGTTGCATGCCGTCTGACGTTAGTCTAGTCGGGCTGAAGCGTCATCAGGGGTGCGCTCTACATAGTTAGACCGGCCTTAAACTCCAGCGCCGATTCAAGACAGTGCGGGCCTCGTGTTCGTGCATGATCACACTTCTTGGGGAATGCTTCGTCTTCAGTAGTCTTGATATACAAGATGCTGCTTGAGGACCTTGAAATACTTGAACATCTCATCACCAATGAAGTTGTACTCAACCAGCCCAGCAGTGACTAATTACACAGCGGCGGTTTTTTTTTTTTTTTTTTCGTTTGTGGATTACAATTTTAAATAAATGATCTTGAAGGCGCGTCAACCGAGGAGCCTCGGCAGGCTGGACTTAGCAGCCGCCCTTAGCTGATAAGCGTGGGGCCGACCTGTATAATTTTCATAAACGTGCAGGCCGGAGGACCCATAAACCGGGGTGATGACGTCGCGCACTGGCGTTCAAACGGACGTTTTCACCAAAATTTCACAAATTCTAAAGTCCGGACCCGTAATGGTTGCATCTTAAAGTGCCCAAAATGGGAAAAGGGTCGGTGCCATTATGCTATCTTCCCCGATCCCGTCGGATTCGCTTTTATCGTGCTGGGCTGATTCAGATTTTTGTGAAATCGCCTGATTGCTCAGCAGTTTTGAATCCCGTAGACCGTGGTATATTATACCTCAAGGCCCCTGGCGCAACCCTTTTCCTTGTAGAGTTTCCATATCTCGATATTTCTAATCACTAATCTAGCGATCGCAAGGATTGTCTCTTTCGATTCTGTCTATACCATCTGTTTAATAGACCAACAGTTTTCAACGACAACTGACTATATTCATCTAAGCCGGCGAATCCAACCAAACCGTATCAACATGGCCGACGAGAAGTCGGGCGAGAGGGGGGCAGTCGAGCACTCGCTCCCAACCCGAATCCCATTCTGGAGAAAGGTTGTCGACCAGGCTGGAATCACGGAATCAGTTATGAACCATCCTTACCCTGGCTCAGGCACAGCTGAGGACCCATACACGGTGATATGGATTCCAGGCGACGAGAGAAACCCTCAAAACTTCAGTGCGGGTACAAAGTGGTCCATCACCTTCGTTGTGGCCCTCGCGACACTCGCAGTCGCTCTGGTGTCCTCTGCGTACACCGGTGGACTGAAACAAATTATCATGGAGTTCGGCATCAGCCAAGAATTATCGGTGCTGGGTGTATCGCTTTTCGTTGTTGGTTTCGCGGTTGGCCCGCTTTTGTGGGCGCCGCTGAGTGAGGTATTCGGCCGACAAATCCTTTTCTTTGTGACGTATGCAGCCTTGACTGCTTTCAACGCTGGCTGTGCCGGTGCTCAGAATTCGTGGTCCCTCATCATCCTGCGATTCTTTGCTGGCGCTTTCGGCTCTTCACCTCTGACCAATGCGGGAGGCGTCATTGCAGATATGTTCTCAGCGGCCGAGCGTGGCCTAGCAACAAGTCTTTTTGCCGCCGCTCCTTTCCTGGGACCAGTTCTCGGCCCTATCATTGGTGGTTTTCTGGGAGAATCCGCAGGTTGGCGATGGGTCATGGGTTTCCTTGCAGCTTTCTCGGGTCTCTTCTGGATCGTCGGCACGCTCTTCGTGCCCGAGACCTACGCACCCGTGCTTCTGCGCAAACGTGCCGCAAAGATGTCGCAGCTTACCGGCAAGCACTACGTTAGCAAGATTGATGCTGATCGTGGCAAGGTTACTCTAGGACAATCGCTCAAGACTGCCTTGTCACGCCCATGGATCCTGCTTTTCAGAGAGCCGATCGTGCTGTTGCTGTCCATCTACATGGCCATCATCTACGGAACGCTATATATGCTTTTCGCTGCCTTCCCCATTGTTTACCAGCAGTACAGAGGCTGGAGTCAGGGTATTGGTGGACTCGCCTTCCTTGGAATTATGGTGGGCATGGTCTTCTCTGTCACCTACAGCATCTTCGACAACAAGCGCTACATCAAGACCGAGCAAAAGCACAACGGTTTCGCACCTCCTGAGGCCCGTCTCCCACCTGCCATGATCGGCTCTATTGCACTTCCCATCGGACTGTTCTGGTTCGCGTGGACCAACTACCCTTCCATTCACTGGATGGCTAGTATTGCCGCAGGTGTGCCCTTCGGATTCGGCATGGTGCTAGTATTCCTCAGTATCCTAAACTACCTCATCGACTCCTATACAATCTTCGCCGCCTCCGTCCTGGCAGCTAACGCCGTCCTTCGTTCTCTTTTCGGAGCTGCCTTCCCACTTTTCACCACCTACATGTACAAAGACCTCGGTATTCACTGGGCTTCGACGATTCCGGCTTTCTTGGCTCTGATCTGCGTGCCCTTCCCATTCCTCTTCTACAAGTATGGTCCGGCCATCCGCCAGAGATGTCACTACGCCGCGGAGTCTGAAGCGTTCATGCGCAAGCTCAAGCAAGAGGAGCAGGATGAAGCAAACTACCAGGGCCCAACTTCCGGTAGCGACGATGAGGAGGAGGAGCACGAAGGTTCGGAGAACACTCTCACGCCATCTCAATCGGCTGCTGGACACTCTACCAGAAGATCCTCGCTAGCGCGTGTGCAAAGCCACACGCTGCGGAGATATGAAAGCAATCCTTATGATGTTGACAGAGTTAACACCAAGGACGAGGATTTTGCTGTGAGGCCGAAGTCTAGAGCCTCGAAAGTCTAACGGTATTTGGACTGGTGATCTGGGATAGAATTGATTCCTGTTTGGTTTTTTACTCTACGCATTGGATGCACAGCGAAGGCGTCGATCTGATTTAGCATGTGGGCATTTGGGGTGATGTTTTATACCATCAAAAGTTGTGATTTTTATAGATATACCATACCACTTAATTAAATCATCAGTATTCACTGAATGGTCTTTCTGAAAAACAACTGGGATAGGTCTGATCCTCGTTCAGATACACATGCAATGGATTCCCTCTGCGTTTTGTACAGTCACGTTTCAGTCATATGGAGTAATTTTAGGAACAAAGAACACGATCTTCATCACTGGCTCATTGTAGCGAACTTGGCACTGGATAATAGATAGCTCAGGGTGGTATTTAGCGTGATTGTCCACCATCCCCAATGTAATATATTTGCAGGGATTATGCCTCAGATTGGCGTGGTGTGACGGATGTTTGCATATCCACGGCATTATTATCAAAGAGTTTTGTCTCGTTCTCACAAATGCCACGGTCTACTAGATGGGCAACGAAGACGAGTACAGACGAGCGTATATTGTTACGGTACGTACTTGTGACTTGATTGGTAGATACAACGCTGCACAGTCACTTACGATATGCATGCATCAGGCATGTAGGGGCGAGTCGGAGACAAGCTCTGTGGCTGAATGCCAAGCCACAGTCCGCAGCAGCGGCCATCTCCACAGCCGCAGCCTTGGACTCGTCGCGCTTCTCGAGTGAGAAGTGAGGACCTCATGACATGGAGCCCAACCCCCTCCAATAAACGCTTGACTGACGTCGAGTTATCCACGATCCGAAACGCAACAGGGAATCACGCTGGCTGTGGATGCGTGGATTCCACTCAACGGCTGTGACTTATGGATACTCAGACCTAACGTTATTTTCTATAGATTGTTCCTGGATTCCGAGTCTCTCTCATCTAAACTTGATTGTAAACACTGCATCCTTCGTTATGCTTGTTAGTTGACATTCGCTATAAACATTCGTTTCTACAAAAACCATACGAGCTAAGAATCCGGGAACAATCTTGAACTATAACAATGCCATTTATACCCAACACCCCCGAGTCACTGATTGCACGTTCCGACTCTAAGAACCCAGACACGACATGTCGAGGCGTCACCGGGAGCGGACGCCCCTGTCGGCGTCCACTCGCTGCCTCCCCGTCTGCTTCGCCAGCCTCGTCGCACATGCAGGTGCCCAAGAAGCAGCAGCTCCGCGTTGATGATCCTGCCGATCCCGAATCCTACTGCTGGCAACACAAAGATCAGGCGAGCTTGTCTGCTCAGTCCAGCCCTGGCCCGAGGACGAACACGACTCCAATCCTCGAACAACGGGAAAGCTTGGATACCCTATTCGATAGACTGGGAATAGTAGAGGCGCAGCAGAAGAAGAAGAAGAAGTCTGGAAAAGATGGAAGGACCTCAAGCAGTGGAAGCAATGGCCACGCCGGCGACAAGATCACCCAGACTGCATCGGGGAACTTGGAGAAGCCTCCGAGGCGGAAGAAGAAGCAGTCCACGTTTTGCTGTTGCTTCACAATCCCAACCTTTGAGGAGGAAAGGCCTGCGAGGCCGAAACCTAAGCCCTTACAATCTGCGCCGGCGGCAGTAGGAGGTTCCGCCAAGTTACCATCTGGCCAGTTTCTCGCGCCATCCTCGGCCGGGCCGCGACCAAGCGTTGGCAACTCCTCTAGACGCTCCTCTGCCATGTCGCAAACGTCGCAGTATCTTTCGCTTATCCCGCCGCACGCTTCGCCTCAGACGGCATCGCAGCTCATGGCCGAGCTCGCGAAGCCGATATCACAGCAAGACGAGGCCGGCTACATCTACATATTCTGGCTTACCCCCGAGTCTCAGCCGAAGACTCCACCGGTCGAAGCTGCCCGGGACCTGCTTTCGCCTCCGCCTGCACGCGGGAGCGGACGGCAAAGACGGACAAGCGACGTGTTGCAGTCTTATGCGGGCCAGGGAGACGGCACCTCCAAGACAATGCTGCTCAAAATCGGACGGGCAAACAATGTTCAACGACGCCTGAACGAGTGGACGCGCCAGTGCGGTTTTAATATTTCCCTCATTCGGTACTATCCCTATGTATCGAGCACCACGCCCTCCACACCACGAAAGATGCCGCATAGTCACAAAGTGGAGCGCTTGATCCATATCGAGCTTGCGGGTGCCGGACTTCGGGTCAGCGACAAAGGAAACTGCGAATCTTGCGGCAAAGCGCACAAGGAGTGGTTTGAGGTCGATGCAACACGCAAGGGTATCGAGACCGTGGACGAGGCAGTCCGGCGGTGGTCGGACTGGGACGAAGGGAGGGCTTAATTGAGGTTTGTATTTCCCACTTAGTGGTGCATTGGGCGGGCGTTTTGGGGACATAGACCATTGGCGCACATTGAGTGCAGGACTCATCATCATCATCATCATCACCACCGATACAATCGGCAGTGGTTACTGGTTAGCATTAGATATATAAATATGAGAAAATATCAACTAAGCAGTGCTTCCAACAACAGCAAACATGGCAAAGTGCCGTGACAAGACTCATTAGAACCGACACTCATCCGACTGGTTCTAAAGGGACAACTGCAGTGCCGACCAATGACTCGCCCGAATTAGTGTCACACTTCCTCGTGTCAAAATATTTGCGTGTTGTGAGACAGCGTGCGATACTGCACAATGTATCCTTGAATTTAGTTGAAGGCTCCGCAAGCTAGGCATCATCTTCAGCCAATATCGATAAGCGACCTATTCAAACCACGGGTCCAGTTATTAGGGACTGAAGACGGGAATAAAGTACAAACTCAAGAGGGAGACAACATCTAAAAGAGGATATATCGGGACTGCAGCTGGACAGGGTTGCGTTATCCAGCACTGCCTTCAGCTCATAGGTCATCTGGCGCCAATGAATTCCGGCGCCAAGGACCGAGAACAGTCAAGAAACCTGATTTTGTAGCCTTCATGGTACCACAACCTTAGTTCAATCAGGTAAGAAACACTCGTCAGCATTGTTCGTACACGAAAGTAGCTAGATTCACGAATTTTTTGTCAACACCCATTGCAGTAGTGGCCGCAAGAATTTGTCGGCGAAAAGTCTTCTAATTCCGACATCAGATCAGTAATGAAGCGCAAGGTCACTATGGTATCGAGCCTAGAAAAAGGCAGATGGGGCGAGTTCGTTCGAGGAGGAGGTAGAACTGGCTCGGAGCTCAACATCGCGGGGAAACAACCATACAATCGACTCGGTACTTGCCCCGTTACCTTCTCCAACCCTACATACCATAGTAGATTTCTAGCTGAGAATGGTCATGACCACTATAGTCCACTGTGTTGACCCTGTCAACGGTTTCAACCACAACACACAACTGTACTTCCATTCTGATTTACCCTCTGTATATGAGTACCAGTGCGATGTTGGAATCGACACTATGCGACCTTTATATGCCCAAAAACTGTCCAAGTGCGGATCAGTTCTTATACGGCTCGCTCATCGCCCGTCATGTGTTCTAATCGGTACTGGTTGACAAGGTGGCTCTCACTATTAGCACGACCTCTTGCTTATGACTATTTTTGCATTGGCTGCTTGGTAGAAACGTCGGTCACAACCGTCAGAATAACCAATCGAGACTATGACAAGATGTGATGAATCCATTGGTAGACCGATCTTGATGGACACTCTCCCGACGGCGCGAGTTCCATTCCATCGTCTATCGGCGCTATTGAGTTCCCAAACGTTGCAGACAAAAACAAGGCCATGTGACTGGTTACGCTCCCTAGAAAAGGGATCAGAGATAAAATTATCGATAGCAAACCTTCATCATGAACAACCGGCGTGTAGAGGTATACTGAAAAAAGGGGCCCACGAGACGCTTTAGCGTGTTCGGATAATCATCTATTATGATGGATCACAACGATCACTGATATAAGATACTTCTATATGAAGCTATCAATGTGTAAATATACAGGATCTTTCTTTAGTACCACGTTTTTGCGCGAGTATATCTATTTCTTTTAGTAAGTTCTTATCGTTCCAGCCGTATGCTCAGTGGCTCAATTGGAACTTTTGGAAGTGTTGAGACTTTTCAGATCAATCTGCTCAAACACACTTGTCCAGCCGCTTGCGCACTGTTACTTTGTAACTCGGATCAACTCACCATTCGCTTAAATATAAATACAGTGTGCGCCGAGCGAGTGATATCCTTGGGTAACCCGGTCATCAAATATTTCACCTAAGGCATCCACTCTGTTGTAAGCGCCATTCTCGTTCTCATAAATTACAAATACCCTGTACGACGAGCGAGTGATATCTTAATATCTCACCTGAGACATCCACTCTGCCAAGTAACAGATTCATTCTCGACATGGACCAATCCCCTGCTCCTTGCCAGCAACGAGGGCTTATATTCCTCCCCGAAGAGTTGATCATAAAAATCCCGACTCACACTACACCAGTGAGTTTCGCCTGTCTCAGCCAGGCATGCTACATGCTCCGGCGGATCGCGCAAGATGCTGGAATTGAGAATCATTGACAGTACTCGGAGGGCCTTCGATGCATTCTGAAACAGGATAACCACGCCCTTCCACATTGGACTGCCCATGGAGAGCGGGACGTGGCCAGACTAAGTGGCGAGTCTCAAAAGCGGAGCGAAGACTTGGGTCAGATACTAGGAAGGAAACTGCTATGCCAGACTTGCCGAACATATTCGATCTCTGAGAACGATCTCTGCAGAAGCAGGGACAACGCCGGTCTGTTTAAGCCGAAGGTCTGTACTGCAAGTAATTGTATGGTTCGCGGCAGTATTCCATCTCATCCGGCCTGGCTATTCAGGGGCAACGAATGCCCGTCCCAGAATGGGTTCGTTCGGTTCTGTCCACACGTTTTGGCCTCGGGGCAACTGCTCAGGGATGCCACAAAGGCATGGTACACCAGCAGGAGACATTGTCAGACATGGGACATGGAATCGACCTTGGCACCCGTGGTAGAGCTTCCACCGGCGAGGGTACCATTCGGTTCTTCCATCGCGGATCCGATTTTCCGTCCACACTGGAGCCGCAGGACTTCGACGAGTTCTTCACAGTTGACAACATGAAGCACGCTCTCTCCGAATCAAAAATTGCCAACGCCTACGTGTGTCCGCATGTCGCGTCCCGCAACCGACGGCTTCCAAGCATGGTAGAAGCACTTATTCACCAATTGGTGCGTGATGCCCCGATCCTGCTTTCTGAACAGCTCAAGCTGGTGGAAGGCGTTTGCACCGGGGCAGACGCAGACGGGGATGGAGATGGAGACAAGCACAGGCACACCGCGCGCTATTGCGATGCTGGATTCCCCGTGACATGTGAATGTGAGCGCCCTACGAATGCTTGGTTAGCATGGGCCAGAAGGAGTGCGTGGCGGTACGCCTCAGGACATGGTGGAAGACAGCATGATCGGGATCATTCGCAGCGGTTCCCTCCATCACGCTCGTTATTCGCCGGGTTTGTCTGCTGGATAGGGCGACAAGGCGACGTGGCTCGAGGACACTTTGAAGGCCGCGAGCTGTTTTTGGGCAGGACAGACTAAATCGCGGTAAATCGACACTCGCAAGACCATATGCTCCAAGTATCTCCCTCACCCGCTGTACTGTCGTCGCAAACCAGCTCAATCCCCGCAAACTTGCTCAAAACGGACAGAGCCATCAACGCTGATTGGCCGACGGCACCAGACTTGGCGCGAGCTCTTTTGTCCCCCAGCTCCACTCTGCGCCGTAGATCTGGACTTGTGACAATGGATCAAACCTTCTCGGGGGTTTCGTTGATTGAAGTCTCGAGGGGACTTGAAGATCGGATCGTAGGGAAATGGGATTATATAAGTTCACTGATGTGTCTCAGGATGTAGAGTTGGTAGAATTCAGACAACCTGCTGAATACAACCAATCAATCAACCGGTTAATTGCCTTACATACATGGTCTTTGCATATCAAGAGCGTTTTTGCATAGATAGCCATATTCTTCTCTTGAGAGCATAAAACATAGAATCAACATATAAACATATACCCTCACAACCGCCCTCGACCCCCCAAAAGATGTGCGGACCCCAAACCCCGCGCCCGTCACAATCACTAGGCGGAGCCCTAGCAGTCCTCGCCTCTCCGCCATCCTCATCTTCTCCCGCACAACTCCCATTCTCCGGCCATCTGATATTCCACACCATACCCGGCAGATCGAGCTGTGGATCGCGAGCAACCCACGCGACATTCACATCCTCGTCGGACGATGCATCGCTGGAGGGGTGCATGATCGGCATACACGCCGCCGGCGACCTGAGGATGGTCGGGTGTCCCGAGGAGGAAACGATGCTGCACCGCTTCGACTTCAGGAGGGCGCGGCCATCGCTGAGCAGGAGTTGCTCGGCCGAGGTCCTGCTGGACGAGCCGCTCGAGATTGGGGTTGGTGGACGGGGAATCATTGGGCGGAAGGTGTCCGTGTGGAGAGATCGAGGTGGTGGGGAGGGCGTGAGGGTTGCGGAGGGTATTGTTGGGTTCAACTAGGGATTGCAAACAAGGTCGTGTTGTCAATTCTATTCTCTAAACAATAGGGGCGTTTGGTAAATCACGGGCATTAGCGGGCAGGTGTTTTTAAGATATAGAATGATTATCCGGGGGTGATTGAGTCTAACCGTCAAGGCCACCCATCACCTCGAAGTCTATGTATATATATGGTGGTATCGTGCATAATTCATGGTGTTTGAACGCCCCTTTTCTTCCACTGCAGCAAAATTCAACACGCACCCCAACACCTTCAGCGCCGGTTGATGCTACACAATTCATGCTTTGGGGGGAGGGAAAATTGGTTGAGAAAAGCTGCTTTCGGGGGATAGATCTTGTCCGAGTTTGAGATAACAGCGACAGACCGAGAGCTGGGAGATTCGTGTGCCACTATACAAATCGCACTTCGTTGAACATCCCGGCCCTCACCTGCACCAGAGCGGCCAGCTCCAGCAAGAAAGACTGGAAGATGATAACATTTGTGAGAACGTGCGATACAGACGCATCTTCCGCTTCAGTTGGTGTCTGCGTTTCAGTTGGTGCCGCAACCGTTACTTCAGCTGTTGCCTCCGCCGGTGCTTCCGCAGGTATTTTCATCTCCACGCCTTCTTGCGGCGACTCGCCCTGAGCTGGCTGTGCCACATCTTCAACATTTGCTACCGGCACTTCTGACTCGTTGGTGGCAATTGACTTCTTGCCGAAGTCTAAAGGAATAGGCGCTACCTCCAAAGTCGGCAACCTGACTTTTCGCGAGAGAATGCTTTGATCAATAGCCGCAAAAGCAGCCATTTGACTGGCCACCGGGCTATCTCGTCCGGTTGCTTGGCCGCCTGGGGAAAACGATCTTGATAGCCCAGTTCTCGTTGGGCTCTGATGGTTTGTGGGAAATTGCTTTGGTGGTACCGCTATGGGCTTCGAATTTGATATTGTCGAGCCAGTGATTTCTGAGGTGCCGGAAGAACCACTGATGTTGCGACCAGATTCTTTACGACCACGGGGACTGGCAGATCGACTCGGAGTGCCAAGTTCGGATAAGAGGCGTTGAGCGAAGCTTTCCAGTCCGCCAGGCCGGGCTGGTGAGCTAGCTCTTGCTTCGAGACCCGGTCGATCTGGGGCAGGAGTGCCTGTCCCCGAAGTCGTTCGTGCAGGTGCTGGGTTCGCCACTATAGTGTCGGCTGTTTGGAATGCTTCCCGCCGCTGCTGTAAAAGCTCCTCAAATCGCGGGATGGTGTTTTTGAAAGCCACAACCTGATCTGCTACAGTCTCGAGCACCGCCAAAGCTCTGGGCAGTGACGATGTTTGCCACCTCGGCCTCCTCCGGCATAATAGCATCGCCTGTAACTTTTGCGATTCTGAGGTGGAATCCGACGTGGAATCAATAACAGGTTCAGGGAGCACCTCATCGTCATCATCGAAAGAATACTTGTGAGGATGTCGCAGAAGCCAGCCTTCGATAGTAATATACCCACAAACACCAAGGTCGATGATCGTCTCGGTTAAAGATAAGTTCGTCTCGACGGGGTTCAAGAAGAATGTTTCTAGGAGGTCCAGCAAAGAGTTCAGCAGAGGATCCTCCGGGCTCAAGGTATGGTGTGGGACATCCCGTGGTGCGCCCGGTAAGCTGTCTGGTATAGCAGGCAGCTTATGATTGTTGACCGAGACTTTCGGCGCCACTAATTTGAGTGAGCAGGGATGGCCCTCTAGTCGCGACATGGTGTCTTTAACAATGTTATCGTAGATCTCATCGAAGTTGTCTTGCCCTCCAACTGATCCGGCAAGAGTAGTCAAAAACTCAACTTCTTGCTCGTGCGCTCCACGGGTGCGGTGACTGCTACTCCCGTGCACGCCTTCGGTCTGCAACAAAGTGATGACTGCATAGCGATGATGCCGCTTAAGGATGACCGCCAGTAGTTGCAGTGTTACACATACTGTTTGTTGATTCTTCGACTTTAGACACGAATGGATAAGGTCGACCAGATTGAAGAGCAACGGGCTGTAGCCTAGGCCGAGCTTGGAAACTTCCATCATGGTTGCTAGGTCCATGGACTTTCTCTTACGAGCAGCGCTGATTGCTGGTTCCGCCCTTACTGCGACTGGTGCGTCTGCATCGGGCAAAGCCAACAGATAGTGGAGGATCAAGTTGATCATGTCAGGATGGTCAAGTGCTTCTAAGATGCGCTTCAAATAGGTCAGAACAGCGACCGAAGACCCGCCGTCCACGTCGGAGGATTCTAAGAGGGACGGATATCTACATCTGTTAGCGACAGTCTTTTCAGATGACCACTCTACTCACAAAAGTTGCTGTAGGAAGATGACCTGGAAATGTTCCAAGAGGGTGGATTTGACCTCGGTCGACCGACAGTGGTTGAGCACATCCTGCCAGAAGAGAAGATGCGCTAGGAAAGTGTCCAAGTGTAACTTGAAATCGGGCGAGCAGGAGCTGATGATCTCGAAAGTAGAGGAGGGATGCTGATAGTCTGAAAGGGCAAGAACCGGGGGCAGCTCTTGTGGTGGGTGGTCGATAACCAGCTTTCGGCTCAACTGACTATACAGGGCACCGAGACCGGTTGCCATCAGCGTCGACAGATCACTCTCGACTATCCATTGTTCCAGGGCAGCTGAGTTAGAGGCCGACTCGATGATGTAGAGCAGACCTGTGCGAGCAAAGTCTCCCACTTTTCCTTCATGATGAATGTAGTCCATGAGTAGGTAGAAGAGGGGGAAGTCTTGCTTCTGGGTCTTGCCGGCAAACTTTTCCCGCTGAGCTCTCGGGTCTTCCTGTTGCGGGTTGGGGCCAGAGCCATGTTGATGCGACTTGAACCATGCGGGAAGAATATGAGGCTCTAGTCTGATCTTGGTGGTGATGTTAAAGGCCAACTCGACGACCCTGACTTCTGTTTCTGCGGCTAGCCGTATGCTGTTGGCACCGGTGATGCGAACGAGCAGGTTGGTCAAGCTTGCGGAGAAGGCTTCGTTCTCGACAAAGGCCTCCTCCTCGCTCTCGATGAGGGTGGCGAAGAAGGAGACGGCCTCCTTGATGATCCACTCGTTGTAGGATGTGGTGGCTATCTTGCCTATGGGTACGTATATCTGTTTCGCGGCGGAGAAGGAAATGCACGGGTGCGGAAGTGGTCGGCGGGACTCGTCGGCAAGGATGTTGGTGAGCTCCTGAAGTCGGATCTCGAGGTTCTCGGCGGCATCGACGTCTTTGGCAATGTTGGACGTGTTTCTCCAGATGTGCTGATGTTGCAGTTAGAGGGAATCGGTTGGTAAACGGCAGACGGTTCATCTCACCAGTAACTGGCTGTACTCCTTCTCGAAACGCTGTCGTCTCCTGATGGGATCTCTGGTGGCATCCTTGTTGGAGCCGCCCGACGATAACGGGGCTATGATGCGTGACCACTATTGATTGTCATGTTCAGTTCGATTCAGTTCAAGCATCTGGACAGTGAGCGCGTCGTTGGAGCCCCGGAGACACGTACAAAATCCATGGTGAATACGGCATCATTGCTCGTGATGTGCGACGAAAGATGCTGCTCAGGACAAGTCCGGATCGAGCTCCATTTCGCATTGAAATCGGATGTCTGAGATGCCCCCCAACTGACTGAGATGCTTGCCGTATGTTGATTAGCCGGGGCCTCATCTGGACCCTGTTTTAATGTTCCATGTTAATGCAAATGCAAATGCAAATGCGAATGCAGTCGCGGGCTTGGCGCAATGTGGCACTTGCTCACAATAAACTGTGGCGCACGTACGGATCCGTAGAGATGTACACCGTTCCCTTCACTTGTGGCGCCTGCGGTTTGGCAAGACCTCGAGATCAGCCGCTTGCACGTAAAGCACCATCCCCGTTGAGGTTTGAGCTTTCGCATTGATGTCTCACGGCAACTGACATCCAAAAGCCCCGGAATCCACCTGAAATGACCCTCATTATCAAGGCAGGGCCATTACCTACAGTAGGCAGCATGATGAACTGATCAGCGTCGACGCAATACAATTGTTGGTGATCCAACGACATTCCAGGAGGTGGGCTTGAGCGCCCAACGAATAACGTCTTGTGAGAAAGAATCTCTGCCTTTTCGCATGCCAGGAAGATATACGAATCTGTAGAGACCACCTGGCTCCATGTGGTGGTTCATGCACGAATACTTTTGAACTGTTATTCGATTAACGAAATTTAGTGTATGCAGATCGTTGGCTCAATGGAAGCACAAGCACTAGCCATGCTCTCCGGGGCGTTATGGTAATTGATCTACCACGTTCAAGCCCAGACAAATCACAGGTCGATTGCAGTGGACTCCCGTTTATGTCGTGTATAGTTAGATCAAGGCTATGCACTCGTATCAGTCAATGAGACCCTTGAAGAGACCTTTGCGGCACAATTTAAGACAACAAGCGGCTACTTTTATAGCCAATTGGTGTTAGTGTATATACAGCTTCATACACTTTTGTCTCCAGAGCTTGTCCACGTTTAAGCCATTCATTAAGCAAGATACATACGACGCATAACACGGTCTATTATTGAAAATTAAAATCTATAGGGTAACCATTTTCTTCGCATATATATATATATATTGCAATCAAACTCATTAACAAAAGTAATGACTGATTTATGTTGCGACCTAGCCTTGTCCTACCCAGGTAATCTCACGATGGGAAGAGAGGGCTTCGTGCCCTTAAGGTCCGATCAGTAAAAGTTGAGAAGACATCCTTATTCTTTAGAACTACATATCACGTCCGAAAGCTGTAATGTATTCACCGTCTTCTTGTATGAGTCATATGACTCACGAACTGCTGTCTTCTCAACTGCATTAGTTGAACATCATGTCCGGGGTATAGTCTATTCTTGCCCCACCTTCGACGACGAAGCGTGGGCAGCAAGGAACCTTCAGAGTTCCGACTGTTTGAATTTGGAATTGGCACATAGGTACGAAACCCCAGCTGCTACCCACCACCGTCCATACATAAGAACGTAATGCTGTGTCACCCCAAGACGAGGTTTACATTCACCATTTCGTCGTTCTCTGGTGGAACCAGGGCTCTATATGTTACTGTAATTATCCAACCCCGCAAGAAAAAGCGCGGCTGGTACAGCTGCATCTGCAAGCACTATCACGCCAAAACCCCCCCAAAGCTGTAGAGTCCCGACTACGCCCGAATCAGAGCTTGCAGAGCTTCGGGTCTGCAGTAGTCTCTATTATCAGTCGAGCTATGGCGACCATACAAGACCAGCTACCGAATTACACCTGCATGAAAGTGATGCTCCATCCATTTTCACCTTGTGGTTCGTCGAGCTTCGCACCGCATAGGCCTAGCGTCCTCGCCCCCTTGCACAACCTATTGGGGCTGAGCTGTCCAGCACCAGCGAATCACAGCCCGTAGGCGTGCCTTTTCTGGGATGCAGGTCTGTAAGCGGCAAGGCACACCCGCTGCAAAACGACCGGCGCCGGTAAGCTTCACAGGGCTTCAGCGCTTCCATGCTGCCATTTTGCTGTAGCCCGTTTTTTAAACTCATTTATAGCCACATTCTGGGCGGAATGCTTTGTCACTCTCGTAGATCTTTAGCCTCGCCTCGTGAGAACACCGCAGTGCACTGTAAATCGAATCGTCATCTGTGCTGGATCGGGGCAGTGCTTTACTTGTTAGCTCTCAGCTGCAATACACCGGACTTGCCTGAATTTCCAGATCTCAACGCTTTCATGCAGGGTCTCAAACTAGCTCAACACCATGGGATTCTTCGGATCCAAGAAACGGCGACAAGCACCGTCGTCGCCTCCGGCACCGAAAGTCGATCATCTAGGATATGTTGTAGGACAATCAAACCTGCCTCATCCACCTCCTGAGCGACGATGCCAACCTCAAACTCAAACTCAACCCCAACCCCAGCCACAGAACAATGTGCAAACACTTCAGCCTGCAGGTTATGTGCCGTCACCACCTGGTTGGAATGCTCACCATAACACTCTTCCACCACCATATCAGGAGCAAAGGCCTTATGGACCAATCATAGTAAATCAGCATTACTACCTCAATCCCCCTCCTTCTCATCATTCAAGTTGCACATCAAACCCTCTTGGAAAACTCCATCTAGGTTCTGTAGTAGATCTGGCAACCCAGATTGTTCCAGTCAATGTTGTGCACCAGGTCTTCGACGATGGCCTGCCAAGATGGCACTGTCACGCAACACAATTCCTCAACCAGGGCGCTGCACTTTACGACCAGATCCAAACAAAATTCAATGACGTGATGACTTCGATTGACTGTGAGCGATTCGCTGGGAACGAAAAGGACCTGTTCCAATACCAGAGCACGCCTTCGCTTCTATCACGCGCCTCCTCGCCGCCCTCTCCGCCGCTAGAACGAGGGCAGCCGAAGAAGCGCAGTAAGAAGGATGCACCTAAAGGGCAGACTACAGCTGTCGCATCGTCGATGATTTCAGGGGGCTATTTTGCCAAGGTAGAGTTATATGCAAACTCCCGGTTGCCAATGGATCTCCCTCCTCTGCGACTGTAAGAAGCCAATCCTCATTCCGCAGCCGATCCTCAACTTACTGATCGTTACAGGTATATCCCAACGTGGCCTCTCATTTGTTTAGCGGCGCAATATTCAGAACGAGTTTATGAGAGAGCAAGAGGCGCCGAACGCGATGCGCATGTGGACGCGGACTGGCGGACAGGCACAAAGGCAATGTGCATCAAGTCCGTTCCCATGGATCACATGCACACTATTGTATTTGCGATACGTGGAACCGCAACTTTTATGGACTGGGCTGTAAACCTCAATACTGCGCCGACATCACCCACCGGCTTTTTGGTGGGTAGCATTGCAAATGTTCGTGCGTAGATCTTCAACTGACAATGTGGTATAGGATGATGCTAGCAACTTTTGTCACGCAGGCTTCTTGTCCGCTGCCAAAAAGATGATAAAGCCAGTTGCAGCACGTTTACGTCAGCTGTTGGAGGAAAACCCGAATCGCTCGTCCTATTCCCTGCTCATTACTGGACATTCAGCTGGAGGCGCTATTGCATCGCTGCTCTACTCGCATATGCTTTCAATATCACAGGCAGCCACATCAGAATTGAACATTCTGACAGGCTGTTTTAAGCGGGTGCACTGTATCACTTTCGGCACCCCGCCCGTCTCGCTTCTCCCATTAGCAAAGCCAGATCGTGCAGAGTTGAAGAAGTCCTTGTTCTTGAGTTTTATCAACGAGGGCGATCCAGTGGCGCGAGCTGACAAGGCGTACGTCAAGAGCCTCCTTGAGCTCTTCGCAACCCCTGCTCCTGGAGACAAGCAGTTGAAGAAGTCTAGCGAGAAGCTTCTCACTCCCCCGCCAAGTCCGCCATTGAAGCACAGCAAGCCGAAGGATAAAAAGTCCAAGTCAACACTGCCGTCCAAAACTTCAAAAGCGTCGGTAAAGCCACCGCAGACGAAACCACCAAAGCCAGTCTGGAAGTTGCCTCCAAGCACCTTGAGCAATGCAGGCCGACTTGTGGTTCTTCGATCCGGTGATCCTAAGGCGAAAATCAAGACGAAGAAGACAGTCGAAGAGCGATTGAACGAAGGTGTCGTTGCGCAGGTCACCAATGATGAACAGCTGAGGGGCGTGGTCTGGGGCGATCCAGTATGCCACGTTATGAGGTTATATGCAGGACGAATTGAGACTTTGGCGGTGGGCGCAGTGACCGCTAGGGGTTACTTGAGACAACTTGTGTAGGGTCCTCGGAATCTCATGAGGCGTTTTGTTTTTGGACATTTATGATACCATTTGATTTGGCGGTTTGGTGGAAAAGAAATACGAGTTTACGACTTTATGATAGCAATTTATTTCACTGATTCCAAACAAAAAACCTGTTTCAACGTCACATAGATAATTCACGGAGCTACAATGGATTCCCGATAAACTTCCAGTACTAGGATACGGAGTAAATCTTGAATGTTATAAAATTCGATAGGTGCTTTTCAGTAATAGCCCGTTTAGTAACATGAGATAAAATGGGCGATCCCAATTGGGCCGGTAAGCATTCAAGTTTACGTGACTTCGTAGATTTTTATATCCGTAGCTTGTAAGCTTGTGGACGTCCTTGTCCCAAGACCCGAGTCACGCAGAAGCAGGTATGGCCAATAGGATCAAAGTGGATCTGTAGAAATAACTCTCTCGGAAGGAATCAGCGTCCGACGAGTGGTGTTCTTGGTGAAGCGCGCAGTCAAGCCGAACACACATCGTCACATTCATATTCACACGATCATTCAATTCGTTCAATTCATCAAATCTTCATGTAGAACAAACCTGTCTTCATCGACCACCGGGAACATGGTTGGTGATGGCGGGGTTGATAAGCCCCGGCGGCAGCGGCACATGGCTCGAGTGAATCAGGTACGCCAAACTCCCCTCCGATTGTATCTGCCCAGTCACTGATCGCATCTCTGTAGGCCTGTCTTCGCTGCAAAATGAAGAAAATTCGCTGTGACGGTAAAACACCGACATGCACCACCTGTGGGAAACTTGAAGCACAGTGTGAGTATGCTCCGCTCCAGAAGAAGAGAGGACCGGGGAAAAGGTGCGTAGGCTGCTCGCGGTATGACATTGAATCATGAGAGCTGATAGTGTCTCCAGCAAGCAGTATATTCAAGACTTGGAGAGCCGCTTGGCGGATATGCAGAACTCACTTCAGCGAACCGCAGTGTCCCAGACAGGAGCTTCCATTGGAAGCACACCCCTCCAGGCCGAGCGTGAAAATCAGCCCGCAGAGAGCGCCAATATATCCGTAGTGGAATCTTCAAGTCAGCCGTCCAAGTCCATAACGGTCTCGAAATCCCCAGATCCCATCCAACAGCAAATCCGCGCAGCCGTTTTTCCATCCAAAAACGCGGATATTTTCCAAGTCATCAGAAAACGCGTGAAGAACCTGAAAGAGCACATTCGATTCGAGAAGTTTCAGTCGCAGGTATTTGCTCCCCTGAATTCAGCACAGCCAAATGAAGACTACATGGGACCCATCTTTGACGAGGTCATCGCCCCTTACCCACTGTTTGAGTGGGCGTCGTTCGAGGCTAAGTTGAACGACCCGAACTCCTTCGCCGACACAGCATGGCGAGCATGTGTCTACGTTGTGCTTTCTCTGACGACCTGCTTCAGGGCAGCAAATACCGCATTCGAACATCTACACGGCGGAGCATGGGCGTATTTCAAGACTGCCTTTGGGATGCTCCCGGAGCTCATGGTGCGAGGTAGTGATCTAGATGCCGTAGAAGCCGTTACTGTGATGGCCATGTTCGCGAAGACCTCGCCCGATACGCAGACTCTCTCGGTCCTCATAAACTCCGCGACCCATATCTACCAGATGCTGCACATGCGCGGTGGAAGACCATCAGCTTCCCCCGACCCCATCGAAGCTCGACGGCGACTCCGCGTGTCTGCTGCGTTATGTGCGCTCAGCCAGGAGCTCAGCTGCAGGTATGGAGTGCCGCCAAGCATGGGTGTCGAGAATCTTGAGGCTGGCCTCACGGAGGTAGATGGTGCGGAAACGCCCATGTCAAAAGCATTTTACAAGCGAGCCAAGCTGGTGATTATCCACTCCGAGATCTACATGCGACTATATGGTAGCCAGAGGACCCGTCAGACGAGACAGAAGTTGTTTGAAATAGTTTGCGAGCTCGAGATTCGCCTGATACAATGGAGAAAGGATTTATGGCCCGCGATGGACACAGATCCTGACGTGTCAATCTTTGCTGACCTAGATAAAGCCATGACGATTCATATTATCGATTTATATCTGGCGGACCATAATGGTATCCAGTTGATGCAATGGACGTTAAGGGGGTTCCGAACGGGTACTGCGACGGGTCCACCGCGTGTTGTACTTGGCGACGATCAACAGGGTATGGCAATTTCGAGGATCAGATCCGCGAAGTCGGCCAAAGCTACACTATCTCTAATCGTGGCCCTAGATTGGGTACCATTTGCTACTCTATGGTAAGACTCTCGGGGCGTCAGTAACTTATATGAGTCTAACGTGACCAGGTCTCTACTGGGCTATTTTGTCTCCGCAGTTGTCATTTTGTTTGCAGTTGCGGTGGATCAACCTGCTGCACCAGAGGCGAATTCGCATACCTCGGCATTGGAGAAGTTTGTAGTATCTCTCGGGCTCATCACGAGAGAGCACAGTTTCGACCTGAAAATGATGCTATCATTTTGCGCACAGCTGACGCGCATCGCGCGAGGCGCTATAGAAAAATCCACCGAGGCGCCGGCATCTTCACAGACTACTCAATTGGCCGAACGGGCACAGGTAAGCGCTTCATATTGCTCTAGATCTAGCTCGCCAATTCTAAAAGAACTGACATTATTCTAGACAGTTCTGAGGCTCATCGACGAGGCGGCCTCTCCTATGTCGTTGATGCACAACTTCATGGGCAACGTAAAGAACAAAGACTACGACATCGCAGCGACCCTTGCCGAAGAGCTGGGAATCCCCTGGAGCCCAACGCAGCGTTATGGGCCTTTTGTACCAGAGTCGCTGATGCCTGAATCTTATGCATTTGATTTCGAAAACTCGATGGATCCACCCATCTGTGGGAGTGTATTAGCAGGTGCTTGAGGCTGTCGTTTCGATTACTACCTACGTGCACAATGAACTTGAGAATCATCTTTTGGGTTGTAAAGAGCCGCTGAAGAAGATTATTCATAGCTAACAGAGAAGGAAAATTCAAAAATATGCACAAATCATCATATTTGCCATATTATTTATGGCTTCATAATTAATCCTTGGGGGGCTCAAGATGCCGTCGGGTCCCGCGTAATCTCACGACAGGCCGCCGGTGTGTACGTACATAATTATGAAGTCCATGAAACCGTTCTGGTGCAAGCCAGAGTGCCGACAAAAGACGGCGGTCTGCTGGTACTGTACTGCTTGTCAAGGACATCGCTAGCGCCACCACCAAGAATACTCGTTGGATCAATGTGATTGGCGCTATATGATGGATATTATTTCTTTATGAGAAGGGCAAGTTACACATGACGATGGACAAGTTGGAGCACTGGTCGAACAGGCCGAGACCCTTTTGTTCAGGTTGGGTCAGGCCCTGTGAGGTTGCTGCAGGTACTGGTACCCGTTAGGTATAAGTACATCTCGTACTACATGCTTGCCGTCTAGACTGGCACTCCGGCCTGCACGATGATGTCATCCTCAGCATCGGACTGAGAACCGAGAACGGGTCGCATTTGCGATAGCAATAGAGGCAGCGATGACGAGCTTGGCGAAGTACATATTGATGATTTATCCTGGCTTTTCTTCTGTGGACAGCTGAAGCCACGACAGAAATTGTGACAGAAATTCAGATAGCATCAGCTGAAGTTGAGTCGTGAGTTTACTGGTTGGATGCTGGTGACGATGAAATGGGATTTTTTTGATTTTTTTTTCATGGACGGAGATCATCCCCAGTTATATGCTGGGCTTTCCCTTCGTGCTCGGCTTGCTCTACTTTTTGCGGTCATATTCTGGTGTCACCTCCGCGTACTCTTCGTCGATAACTGTCAGTGGCATGTCTCCAGTGGAGATTTGCAATTGCAAGAGTTTCAAGGATACTTGGTCTCTTCGAAGAGCCAATGAAGCAGTACTATCTTGATCTTTAACTGAGTAGATAGCCTTCTTACCTGGTCACGCATCCCTGCATCAACATGATATGATGGAGGTCGAAGTAATGACCAACAAAACACTGTGTAATGTGAGAACTAGACTATGGCGCCGCGAATAATTAATAATGTGTGCAACGCCATGAATCTAGTTGCCCCGAAAGATTTTAACAAGCATATATGTTGTTCGGATTGATATTCTCCGGTCTCGTGATGAAAATATTAGTTGGACAATTCGGCGGTATGCGCGGTCATTGGCCCTCTAGGCGCAGGGATAAGACATTCACAAGCGAAATAATATCAGTATGTCTGACTTTTATGTCAAACAATCGCCGTGATGGATACACAAGTATCGTGGTTATCAATAGCCTCAGCTGATTCTAATAAGCTGCTTGTGCAGTTTCACTGAAGGACAGAAACCTTCAGGGTTTCCCCAGCACGTTGAATATACTTATACTTGCAACAAGTGTATGTACTCAGAGTTAGATACAGAGAAATCTCAATGCTTGGTTAAGATTAGAGAAAACCAAATCAATGAAAAAGATGATATTGAGTGCAGAGGGGTGTTGAAACATCTTAGAATTCGAACCTGGGCCCTCTATGGGAATCAACCTCGACCAGGAGACCTCCCTGAGTACGCATACCGTGGGCACTTCCACAGGAGCCAGTATACATCAGGTACTCACACCCCATGAGATGCTCTACCACGTAGTTTCAGTGCTCCTGAAAATTTGGTCGAATGCAAATTACCCTGCTAGTAATTATAAGGTAAAATGATCTACACAATTAATCGAACAAGCTGTTCACACATTAATACCCTTACTACTTTCAACCTTAGCATCACTCACAGCAAACTAATGGTCTCACTTTACCTCGAGTAGCCATGAGCGTTGAATTTTCTGCTGACCATAACCAACAGGATGTGAACGAAAACTTCTGCCTACATTCATTACCAAGCCTGGTGTGTAAGGAGGTAACTTGCCGACTTGTGTTGATTGTACTTTGGGTGACTGCTTCTGCGGAAGATGAGCTTTGTAGTGCAAGTCCCTACCCGTTGATCGAGGAAAATATTTCTTGAGTCCTATTTGAGCAGAAATTCCGATCGGTCCATTATATTATGACCAGTCATATGTGTGAAGTTATTCCGCGAGTCATGGCAGGTAACAGCAGTCCTTCCGGGAGGCATCCCGTAACCTCTCGCCACTTGTTGCTCGAGTGCTTCCTACGAGACTCTTGTTCGAAGACGCAACGGCCAAAATTACAAGGTTATGCCTCACAGACAGGCCTCAATAAGTCCCTCAGATTTGTGAGAGTCGTTAGACAGCCACCTGTTGCTCTCCATTCGCCGCTTGCCGGCTCTCAGCTGGACTGGAGGCAACTCGAAGAGAATACGATCGTTTGTCAGCCTCGCTGACGCGTGGATTCAAGATATTAAGCTTATTAGATCGATAGTCGCATGTTTGTTACGTTGCACATTGTCTCATGGTAATTGGTCAGCTGTTGGTGGCCAAATGAAAGGAGTGAGACAGGGGTCTGGTAGGCTCTCGGCGTACATCTTGATCGGATTTTTCCACAAGCAGCTGGATGGCGATCATAGTGAGATCGTGGTATGTTGCATAGTACTGGCAGCTGACGTAAATGGTTGGTATAATGCCACTGATGATTCCTCATCAGCGACATTCGAGTAATATCTAATGTCCCCGGTCGTGCTGAAGTTGTTCACCTGGCTCTGGATACCAATAGCTTGAAGTAGCAGTCTTCTCAAAGATGCATCAGCACTAGGCTATTAAAAGCTCGCTCTCCAGCTGCCAGATTCCTGCAGTGTTTAGCGGATGCAGTATCTGGGTTCCAGCATGTGCGAATAGCTCTAGCCATCCCATCTCTTGATATTAATGCAGTGAGCAACTCATAAAAAGTTGGTGCAATCCGACTCGATGATGTCCTTGTACCATTGCATCTGTAAGCAGTGAAACCAGGGGCGGGTGCCTACATATCCAGCCTGCGGGCGGGTACAAACAAACTCGTGTGCATCCCAACATGGGCGGTGCGCAAGAAAAGAACCGAGGGACGTTCTTATCAAGTTATTGTGTCTATATATCCAAAGAAGCATGTGATAGAGGTTATCAGTGGCATTTTCTCTGTCAGGAAGAGGTATTGGAGATTGTTTTCTCTGATTTTTCACCATAGCTCGCATATGACTACACCAAACGGACCCCTACAGGCAACACGGCTGACCGCGGCGGGATGCCACAACAATATTCCGATTTCTTGGTTAGCATTCTCATAATTGCGGAGTTTCGTCCCTCATCCAATGTACTGAGGCTGAAGCTCAATTTCATCTCGTTTACAGCCGAGTCAGGGATGCTTCCAATATTGTAATAGCATCAGTTCTTGCCAATGATCTCGAAGCACAATGTTTGTTCATCCTGGACCTCGTATTACCACTGCAGGCGTCCCCTTCCGTCTAAATTCGACTCCCACAATCGAACGAGGTCTCGATGTCAGTATTTCTGCCCACTTCTAATGCGATTACCTTTTCAGGTTGTTAGCCCGTCAAGGGTTTGGTGATTAAGATCAGGCTTAGACTGCCCGGCTCGGTCTTGGCAGCGTAACTTCGAACCGTTTTTCTCCCGTCGATTGATACTCAATTGTATATCGAAAAATCTGAAATCCTCATATTGCATGTCTTGGAATCTCGGTGCTGTCGGGTCACGATCCACCAAACTTTGGACAACCGTGGCTTGCAAGGAATGATAATACTTGCGCCACTCTACTCAATCTGAATCGGCAGTAATTTGGCTAGGCTGTGAAAGTAAGCTTGACTATACGGGAGGATGCAGTGGTGCTGAAAGTTCCCAGGCTCTTTCAATCAAGAGCCGGGTTCTCTGTATATGCTAAGTCAGCGTCCTCATGTTTTCATAGCTACAGAAGAATGCTGCGTGCCGAGGCAAACAACCCTTTTCCATATCAGAGACATAGGCACGATCTGGTTATAAAGAGCGACACCGCTTTCAGACAGTCTCTCTTCACAAGACTCATCTCCATCCTTTGCCAATTCGGGGCATCCACACTCGTTTCCAGTGCCAAAAACGCCTCGGGATCGCAACAATGCACATCAACACTTGTTTAGGCCTCCTGAGCCTAGGGTATAGTCATAATGTTCAATGAGAGAAAGCCCTGTCTTACTGACAACTTCGCAGTTCCAGCCTGGCCGGCGCTCTACCTCAAGCTCCTGGAGCTCCAACCGTTACGGTCTGTGGCAGCGACTGCGCTTCTACCCTCACAACCACAGTCACTGTCTACACCGGGTGCTCTGAGTCTTCTTCAGTGCCCTTCACAAGCACCTCCTCATCGATCTATACTGGTACATCCTTCACCAGCCCTGTCTCTTCCTTCGATACGTCGAGTATCCCTTCGACACACTCCTATTCTTCAATCACCGGGTGGAACTCTACCTTGACAGTAACGTCAAGCATTATTTCAAGTGTTTTGATCACGGCCAGCCAGTCGTCTTCCACTTTGGCCTCAACTTCTCCCTCCAGCTACAGTTTCAACACTTCCAGCACCAGTAATGGGACTGGATTCTTGACCACGTCAAGCTCCGTCGGTTTTACCACAAGCAGCAACTCTGGAACCACAGGTACCGGGATCTCAAGCTCAGACTCTACCACCTGGTAAGTGGGACTAGATTTTTCAACAGTACTCCCGCTAACCACGCATCTGCAGTACTGAAGAGACTGGAACTACCAGTCCTGTTACCTCTGCATCATCACCACCCGGGAGCGGCAGCACTCGCACATTGACCAGTGCCCTGTCATCCAGTTCAGGGGTGACTACCTCCAGCAACGGTGCAGTGACTGGCTCAGTAAGCTCGTCTGCCAGCAGTGGTGAACATGGCACCTCAAAGAGTTCTGCGACTGTATCGAGTGTCACTGACTTGAGCTCTTCGACCATTGACAGCACCACCCACAGGACCATCACTGTCACAAGTGGAGTTACAATAACAGCCACCAAAAGTACATCGTCTAGTGCATTCGCGAGCACTACCATAACCTCAACTGCAACCATTAGCCTGTCGACGACAGCTACCGGCATGTCTTCATCTTACTCATCGACACCGTGGAGCAACTCAACCTCGTCCGGTTTGACGGGAACCTTGTCTACTGGCGCAAGTACCGGCTCCTTGAGCACTTCAAGCTTGACTGTATCGACCGCTAACAGCACTGGTTCCACTTCAGCAATTTTGACCACCAGCGGATACTCGAGCTCGTCTAACAGTGCAGTCACCGGTAGCTCATCCTCTGATATTACGTCCACTGTCGTAAGCACCACTCTGACAAGGACTTCCTATAGCTGGAACTCCACCAGCATTATTGGGTCTTCCAGCTCCAAGCCTACGACTGGGACCGGTGGCACCGTCACTACGAGGTGGACGTGGTCTAGTTCAAGCACTGTTTCTGCTGGCTCATCATCAGAAACCGATGGTTCATCAATCCCTGTCATAACGACTTACTCTAGCGGCATTATTTCGATATCTTCTTCGGCCGGGTACACCTCCAGCAGTGCGACCAATTCAACCGCCAGCAGCACTGGACCGATCTCCACGACTGGTACGGGATCCAGTAGCGCAACAGCTATTACTTCCAGCGCCTCTTCCGAAACAACCAGTACTAATACCGACTCATTGTCTACATCATCTGGTAGCGCCAGCATATCATTATCCACGACGGCATACATTACCACCTACACTGGCATTCCACCACCATATACCAGCTTGACAAGTAGTGCATCACCATCTTCAGGCAGTAATGTCACCACCAGCTTTGTCTCAGCTAGCACTTCAACTATCACGGTCAGTGAGTCGGTACCTAGTTCCACTATCATCGGCAGTTCTTCCACCCTAGCAACAACAGGTACCCAATCCTTGTCTAACTCGATCGGACCGACTACTACCCAAACAGGGAGCTTATCAACTTCAAGCCAAACTTCTAATAGCACACACTCTATCTCATCGTCCAGCTCGCAGGCTGGGTCAACCCTAACATCGATCGTGACAGTGACTCCGACAACCACGACTTCCATTTGGAGAAGCTCATCGACGCTGGCGACTGGCATCACGTCTGAGACTGGCAGCTCTGTCACTGTCTCTTCCACGACAACCTCAACCACTGCCTACACTGTCATCCCGCCACCCAACTATTCCACCACTTCTTTCGGTACTGAGTCGGGGTCTGTCAGTACCACCGTGATTCGAAGCACTTCTACAGTAACGGTGACAGCGTCTACTTCCGTGACTGGTAGCTCGTCTGTCTATTCCACTGATGCCAGCTCGTCTGTAACAACGTCGAATACATGGACACCTACAAACTCAGCTACTACACTGACCATTACTGAATCCTCGACGAGCACTCTATCGACATCTTCAACACCATGGGGAGATTCATCGACCCTTGTCACGGGCACGACATCCAGCAGTAGCTTTTCTAGGACTGTGAGTAGCAGCCGCACAGATGGTATTTCTTCGTCCACTCCTACAACCGTTCCGACGTGGACTACGTCAATTCCAGGACGTACCTCATCCTCGAACGATGCGGTCACCCACTCAGCCTCGTCTTCTACAACATCTGCAACGCCCATAGTGACCACAACTTGCGTTGCGAGGGGGTACGGCGCCCTCACGTGCTATCCTGTAACAATTGCCCCGACCACTACTCTCACCACAACTTACCCGGCCGTGAGCGATAATAGCTGGTTCTGGCAGAACAAGAACCACGCTGATTGGCACCATGGACATTGATGAGCCACCTCAGACCAGACAATCGTGAGAGCAGGCGATGGGTGGCTCGGAAAGGATCAGTCGAACAAGGGCGAGAGGGGCGCAAACACATTAGGGCGGCTGTGGTTTGATAACATACACTTCTTGTCTCTCCTTAATCCTCTTCACATCTTGAATAGTCGGTACTTGCTTTTTTCTTCTGAAAATCCATGGCCTGGGATAATTGGAAATTCGGAAAAATAGATATGTAAACTTGAGATCATGCTCAGCACGAAATGAACACGACGATTTCATTTGTAACAGGAAGCATCCCCCACGAAGGGTGAAGCGACAAGCAAGTGAAGCGTGACGCAACGACGATGCGAATAATTACACTAGACTCATTCCAGCTCGTCGGCGCCATGCTCCGCAGTCTCCACCGAGGACCGCTGGAGGACCCTGTAGCATTGCCTCTTTCGGGGTCTAGCCGGCGTGGCTGCTGGACCAGCAGTATTCCGCCAATGGCAGCACGATATGGCCTCGACGGAATGCCGTTTTGGAAAGCCTGTCTGGGGTGGGCAAGGGGGACGATCAGAACCAAAAAGACAAAGGTGATCCCGTTTATCATTGAGCGGACAATTTCTGAATGTTCTGGTGGGTAACAGCTCGTGTATTCGAAACTGATGCGTCAAGAGATTGCTCATGATTGCCTTTAGCTACGGTATCTAAACCTTAACGTTTGCGGTTTGCGGCTTCGAATCGTTTGCAGACGGTTATCATGCCTTCAATCTGGAACCTGCTGCCCGTGTTGGCGGGCCTATCGCTCTGCGAAGCACAAATTCCTGTGTATGGGCAATGTGGTGGTTCAGGCTATTCAGGATCTACAGTCTGCGTATCAGGGGCTGTGTGCTCATCATATAATGCATACTATTGTAAGTATATCGGCCTGGTTGCGATCAGTACATGAGCTGATGCTATTGAGACCAATGTGTCATTGCAACCGCGACAAGCACCACATCTGCCGTGGTGACTTCATCCAAGGTCACGAGTGCGACTACTACGTCCACTACTGTCACTACTAGTACCACCACAAAATCATCCAGCGCGGTAGCGTCACAGACGTCGACGACCAGCAGTGCGGGTGCATCTGCAACGTCTGGGACGAAGTATCTGATGGTGTTGTACGTATTATTGATATATCGGGAGACCCTAGGGTCCGAAACCTATACTAATACGATACATCAGCGGGGACTCGTACTCTACGACAGGCTCTTGGATAGGCGGCGACAAGCCATCTGCCAGCAACCCTATTGGCAATCCCGGACTTCCCGGAACGACTACTTCTGGTGGACTCAACTGGGTTGGCCAGACAGTCAGCAAGCTGAATACTTCGCTGGTCTTGGCATATGACTTTGCTGTGTCTGGCGCAGTAACCGACTCTGCCATCGTCGATGGCTATGCAAGCTATAACTTCGATGACCAGGTGGGCTTGTTCCAGACCTATCTGTCAAGCAAACCCAGCTATGCTACGTGGACGTCTTCCAATACACTAGTCGCGGTCTGGTTCGGCATCAACGATGTGGGCGAGTCGTTCTGGGACTACAAAGCGACACCAATTGCTGCGGTAATGGACCGGTACTTTGGGCTGCTTCAGACACTTTACGACGATGGTGTCACCAAGTTTGCTCTCTTCACCATTCCGCGTGAGTTTTGATCCTATCTTGTATTGTTCTTTCGAAATATCTTTCAACCCTTCTCCCTAGGCACTATCTGTTATGTCGACTGACCAGACGGGCAGCATTCGATCAAGCACCTGTCATGATTGGACAGACGACTGATCGTCTGAACGACTTGCGCTCGAACATTACTGCTTACAACGCAGCTCTAGGCACCCGTCTTGCGACATTCAAAGCAGCCAACAGTGGGGTGACAGCGCAGGTTTTCAATACGACGCCTTCGTTCGAGACGGTATTGAAAAACCCAACAGCTTACGGCGCTTCATCTGATCTGACATGCTACAACTCCGACGGCACCAGCTGCGTTTGGTACGATAACTATCATCCTGGCCAGGCGATTCAGAAGTTGGTCGGGCAAGCCTTCGTTTCCGCGTTCGGTGGCACATTCTTCTAGAGCTACTGGTGGCCGTTTTTGGACTTGGAAAAATTAAATAAACCTCCCGAGCTCTTAAGCTGTGAGGCTCATTTTCGTAAGTCTAGCAAACATATATATAGAGCGAAGGTCGCACCATGTGTACTTCGAATTCGAGGCCCTTCGCAATCGTGACTACACGACAGAATGTCATCAGCTCATCTCGATTTTAGTAATGGTGGTCACAGATAAATCATTCTGATATGTCAACATTCAGACCTGCTCGAACTACCGAGCCATTTTGAGTGGATCGAACTATTTAGCTATTTCAATTTTATATGTTACCCTAGTAACCGTGTCAACTACAAAACTTGACAACGTCAATCTTTATCCATTAACCTCTCATAAGCCATTGATACATCGGACTTGGTGGTTCTCACTAACACCTGGTTTGTTAACTTTTCCCCGTTTGTGTACTAAAATCAAATGCTCGCCATCGGCAGAAAGTTGAAGGTAACTACGGATGGTTTTCTTTGTGAGTTATGCGGAACCACCGCCTCAAAAAGTCTTGGGATCACTGCCTTGCATCTTCCATTGGGTAGGGATTGGATAGCCTGTGTGCAGCCTAGCTCTGTCGCATTACTATACAGCGCCATCGGCATTCGACCACCATACCAATACGAAATCGATTGCAAGCCATATCAACGCAATATTTGTAAGTTATAAAGCACCTCCTCGAATTTCAGTGGGCGCCTCCTGGGCACGATATTAGGACATTTTTAGCATAACAAAGTAACAAAGTACTATCAAGAGCACACTTCTTAGACTGTCAAGGCAATATAAACAAAGAAATATCTAGATTGCCTTGGCCACCATTGCTCGGAGGACCTGGATCTGATTTGCCCCTCTAAATCTGTGGAAGCAAAATGATGCAGCGTAAAAACAACCAGCGCCTTAGCAGACCGCCCATGGTCGCCAATCTTCCCTGATGCTTCGTTTTATTCTGTACAATTATACACGGTGGTCCTTCCAAATTTGGCCGTTTGTCGCCTGAGACACAAGCTTGTTGATTTTTGGCATCTCCACCTTACATAGCAAATTAAGCCCGTATATTCGGCGAACCACCCTTCCCAGTCCCTTTTCGGGTAGAAGAGCATGTCCCGGAGACGTTATATGTCAACCTCCCCATCAGCAATGGCAAGTCTCTGCTTTGCTGTCTTGGCTTTCTTGCCGCCAGCACGCCGTTTCTTCGCAGCAGGTGCTGCCGGAGTATCGCCCTCGGCCGGAGTGGCAGTACCAGAAGGTTTGTCGCCGTCGTTGAAATGTCCCTCTCCTGTGATGCCGCAGATTAGTTCATGTTCCAAGGATATCATGGCAGCAAATATCAAAAAGAACTTACCCTCGTGGTACATGTCATCCAAACTGACTGCTTCGCGCTTCCTCTTACCACCACCTCGCTTCTTGGCCTGCTTCTCTATTTCCCCACTCTCAAGCAACTCTCTCTCCCGGCGCTCGATCATCTCAGCCTGATCATCATCCGCCAGCCACAAAGCAATATCTTTGTTTCTATTCTCGGCGGGACGACGGCCACTAAAATCGACGCCACGCGAACTGCCACCTGTGATGACAACGCGTTGCACTTCTTCCTTCTGCAATGCTCGCTTGCGAATACGCTCTTCGATGGTTCCGCGTGTAATAAGACGGTAGACGGTAACTTGACGCGTCTGGCCAAGACGATGAGCTCGGTCCATGGCCTGCGAGTCAATGGTGGGGTTCCAATCGCTGTCGTAGAAAATAACAGTGTCGGCGGACGTCAGGTTGATACCCAAACCACCAGCACGGGTAGACAGCAAGAAGATGAAGATTTCAGGTCGGGTCTGGAAATCCGCCACTGTATCTCGACGATCCTCTAGCTTGGTCGAACCATCCAACCTACAATATTTGTAGTTTCGGTATGTTAAGTATTCCTCCATGAGATCAATCATACGAGTCATCTGGAAGTACAGTAGCACACGATGGCCTTCCTCCTTGAGTTTGAAAAGCAGCTGATCCAGCTTGGCAAGCTTGCCACTATCAGTGACGAAGCGGCGCATGCTCGGGACAGTGATGTTAGTGAAACGTTTCTTGTCGTTGTCGGGCGCAGGCAGCATTGCCGGCGGAGGATAGCGCTCGACTGGGTATTTCTGCGTGACAAGGGATTTCTCTTCGATAGGAGTTGGTCCGTATAGAGCTCGTCGGATGGGTACATTAAACAGTGTCTCCTCGCGCTCCACTAATGGTCCTCGGGTACCTTCAGAAGTAAGTTGAACCGGTGGGGCAGTCGCTCCAGGCAGTGCCGCTTGTTCAAGCCGGCTCAAGCTTGAATCTTTCCAGTCCGCTCTGGAAATGTTCATGAGTTTGTTAAGAAAGCCCTCGTTTGCGACATCAGCGAGAGGTTTGCGATCTGCCCGAGCCCTGATCTGGAATAGAGCATGCGCAGGTGTGTAAGTCTCATCTTCCGGCTCATCATAAATGACGTTCATGTGGCCAAGTCTGTTCTCCTTCCTGACTAGATTGGCCGCACGGGCGAAGACGTCTGTATGACTGGCCTTGTAGACCTCATTCGGACTGGCATCGGCAAAGCGCAGGAACGAGAATGCACCATTGTCACTCGTGCTCTCCCGAACATTGTCTGGCGTCCAAATATTCATGAGGTGATTCAGGTACTTGTTCCTGAACCCAGCCTTGACGTTATCCTTACCAGCCTTGTACAATCTTCCGCCACCAGTTGATACCAGGCGCGGCAGATTATAGTCGATGAGAGACCGCGTCGAGTATCCAACTGAAACGTTGGATCCCTCGCGCAGGAAGGATCCTGTCTCGGCGAAGTGCCCAGAGAATAAAGGGCTCGCCGTGTCAGCTCGCTCAAACAAGTCTGGATGGTTGCAAACTTTTCGGAACTGCATGACGAGGTTCATCAATGTACCAGAATCCTGGTCATCTCCAAGTGTGGCCTTCTCGATGAGATCCATGATGCTGATCTGGTTGCGGAGATTGCGGTAGTAGGCGCGTTGACGATACGTCAGGTCACAGTAGACGTCAAGTTCGATTTTGTCTCCGAGTTCCTTCTGCACATGCTTCTTCACACGTCGCAACATGAATGGCTTGAGGATCATATGCAGCCGCTTAAGCTGGTCCTCATTAAGCGTTGTGTTGCTTTGCGCGTGAGACTCGATGTCCTTGGAAAACCACTCGCTGAATTCATCATGCGAATCGAAAAGCGAAGGCATGATAAAGTGGAGCAAAGCCCAAAGTTCCTGCATATTGTTCTGGATGGGTGTACCGGTCAGTAACAGCCGATTACGACAGTGGAAACTCAGAAGACACTTCCAACGTGAACTCTGGGAGCTCTTGATGGCTTGGGCCTCGTCCAGAATCATGTATTGCCAGCGCATCTTCTGGAAGTATGCGACATCGGAGACTACCATCTGGTAAGAGGTGACCAGAACGTGAAACGGCGAATCTTTTCTATACGTGTTGTGCTTGCGATCCCAGAACTTGCGAAGAATCTTCCGGTCGCCTGCAGTACCCCAATATGGAAGACATTTGAGATCCGGCACGAACTTTTGAAGCTCCTGCTGCCAGTTGTGCAACGTCGATGCTGGTGCAACTACCAGGAACGGACCCCAAATGTCATGAACCTCTGCCAGGTACGCCATGACTGATATGGACTGAACGGTTTTGCCGAGACCCATCTCGTCTGCCAGAATACCGTTGATGCCTTGTTCATAGAGGTTGGCAAGCCAGTTGAGGCCCTTGATTTGGTATTCCTTGAGCTGGCAGTTGAGTAGCTTGGGTTGTTCGATCGAGACATCACCCATTCCGGATGGGTTCTGGAAGTTCATTTCGCCGTCCTCATCCATGTCATTATCCTTCTTGTTGAACGCACGTGCCTTTGCCTGGGCTTCAGCAATAGCATTCTGGGCGTTGGCCACAGCGGCCTGGCGCAACGTCTCTTCATCTTCGGCCTCAAAGGTGAGGTTGTCGAAGTTAGTAACTTTGGCGCCGACCGGGCCTGTAGGCTCATCGATGTCCTTCTTCTCCGCCAATGGAACATCGCCAGCTGGTGCAATTTCGGGGTTATCAGTGCTCCGCTCGACCTCGTCTGTTTTGATCTTCTTGCCAATGAAATGGGAGTACAGCTCGGTCTGCGAAATCAAGAAATTGAGCTTCCTCTTTTGACGGGCTGCTTCGCGGTCGGCTTCCTCTTTGCGTGCATTCTCGATTTCCTGTCGTTCAGCAGCCTTGCGAAGATCACGCTCCTCGCGCTCGTTGCGTTTCCAGAAGCTCATCATGTCTCGCATACATCGCTTAGCTCTGGCCTGGAGGTCCTTGGTGCCCTTGTTCGTACGTAGCTGCCAGCGCTTAGCTTCCTTCGATGCAAGGATGGCAGTCTTCTTCAGGTTCGAAGCCTTGGTCGCGTATGAGTCAACAGCAAGCTTGTAAGTACGAGTGACATCCTTCCGGGCGAGGTCTCTCCAGATCTGATCATAGATCTGATTGTAACCCTTGGATTGGAACTTGGATTCCAGAGGGTTAGCCGGCAGCTCCTCAACGACCTTCTCCTTGGATTCCCTGACGGTGTCCTCGGATAACTCCCTTTCCTTGTCTCTGATATCCCTGAGGTTTGAAGTGCTCTTGCTGAGCTTGATCCGGATCTTTTGCTCTTCTCTGGCAGGAGGCAGCTCCTCGCCGGCATCGATAGCTGCTTGAGCAGCTTCGGCAGCATCCTTCTCGGCCTGCTTTTGTTCCTTAGACTTCTTGGGTCGGGTGCCAGAACGTTTACCCTTACCCTTGGTACCAGGTTCTGCATCGCTTCCTAAGGAAAGGACCAGCTGAGTACCACCCTCCATGTTGATGTCGGCGGGAGCAAGGTTGCGCGCAGGCCCTTTGATGCCCTTCTGTAGAATCAACTTGGTTTGCTGAGCCTTCTTATTAGCACGCTCGGCCTCACGAAGGTGCTTCTGTCGTTCGCCTTCGTCCTCGGCAGCTAATGCGCGGGCCAAAGCAGCTTCCTTTTGCTCAATGGTAACCTGCATCGACTTTTCACGACGACGTTTGCGCTGCATATCCTTCTTGCGCTCCTTTTCGGCGTAGACCTCACGCTCACGAACCTCTTGTAGAGCTTCTTCGTAGTGCAAGTCGTCATAGCGTCTCTTGCCAGACACAGCTTGGGCAGCAAGCCTCTTGCTCGAGTATTTGACGGTATCAGAGCGGCGTGTCTCGTTGTCTTGGCTCTCGAGTTTCTCCAGCTCGAGGCGACGTCGCTTACCGCGGCCAAGATAGAATTCATGCTCGATTTCGAGCTCGGACAAGTCGACATCATCGGCCTGGGAATCAAATTGTTCAAGCAGCTTCTCGATCTTCTTCTCCTTTTCTACGGATAGCTGTTTCGGCTTGGCCTGCCCATTAGACTGGCGCTTGGCGCCTCTGCCAGCCACTTCGTTGGGAGCATTCGAGGAACGACGCGAGACCTTCTTGACCTCTGCATCGCGCAGATGTGACTCGCGGCCTTTGCTTTTACGTGCAGGTTTCTCCTTCTTTTCTGCCATGATGGCGGGCCGGCTGGGCTTGGGAAGCGGTTCGGCGCTCGAAAGAATATTTGAAAAAGACATAAGGTCTGCCGCACGACTTGGTGTCTGTATTCAGCGATATTAGTATCAAGTGCCGTCATGGGTGATGAATACCAAACGTGTGGATGACACGGGCAATCGTCGGGGGGTGTTCTTGCCAAGTGCAGGAAAGTAGGACAGTCTTGGGATGATGTGATGTGATGTGATGGGATGGGATGGGATACGTACACTAGAAGCAGCAGTTGGCGTTGGGGCAGGAGCAGGAGCTGCTGCTGGCTCAGGGTTCAATATCGATGACATTGATACAGCTGGTGTTTTAGTTGACTGTCGAGCGGAAGATTCTTGCGCAGGTCGATGACGCGAGGGAGATGATGTGAGATTGAGCGCCTTGTTGGTTGGGCTTGCAGGATCGGCACTGTGGCCGTTGGTGTTCTTGGGGTGCGAATGCGAGTGTGAATCGGAATGAGAGTGTGAGTGTAAATGTGAATGGGGGCTTCGCGTTCGTGGGGGGAGATTTGTTGCATTCACTGGTGAGGCAGGCGAGCCATATCCATTACGGTAGTGACTTGACTCGATTTTTGGCTGTGAGTGATTGTAAGCATCAGATCGCGACTGGAAAACAAAGCGTGTTGGAGTTGACGGCGAAATTTCATTGGAACGACTGTTTGGTAGATGGAAATGAAGATGAAAAGAAAATCAGGTCGAGGAGAAGGAAGTTGGCGCCTCGCTGGTTCAATCCGTAAAAACAAGCAGACGTGTGTCTCTGATCGTTGCCTCATTTTTTGGGTCAATTGCCGCTTTCTAGCTCCTTGCTGCTGCTGCTGCTGTTACTGTTGCTGCTGGCGGGCTGCGCAAACCTTTGAAAAGCGTGCTACAAATAAAGTACAAGCCCCCTTCCACACCCGCATCACTTGAATAGGCCATGGTATGCGGTCAATGCAGAGCAGATTGAGAAAATGAGATGAGTTTAATCGTAACGAAAATCAGTGGAAACAATTTGGTGATGATTGGGCAGTGGTGTGTTATTGGAAAATGAATCATGGGTCGCCTGCGAAACGGGCAGGCAAGTATAGCGTCATGATCGAGTGTGGTGTTGTCAAACATTGATATAGTGGGTTTTGTGTAGTAAATCTTCAGCTTACCGGCTTGTTGCTCGACCATGAGTTCGATGGTCTTCTCTCTTTTGTAGTATCCGTCAAGGGGTCGTAGAAGCTACCCGAGGTCTTCTCTCGAGCTGGTTGCTGGTACTCCGAGGAGGAAAGGCGACCCGATGTTCGCGGCGGCTGCAACGGTGATGCATGATGGGGTGCACCTCCACCGTTTGTGCCATGCGATGCCATGATGGGCCCCAAGGCTCCTGACGGAGGAGCCAGAGGTGGTAGGCCCGTTGATAGCGACGATGGCGCTGGCAGCGGTGATACAGCTACAGATTCAGATCCGGGGCGGGTGGTGTAGTGCGCAGACGCGCCCGTGTTAAATGGGATCGGAGGTCGCGTCAAAATCGCCGATGTCGACGGTGCAGGTGCAGGTGCAGGTGCAGGTGCAACGTTGGAAAGGGGATTGTGATGCAGAGGTGGTGATGCGGATGACGATGATAAGGAAGAGTGGTGACTGTGGTGTTGAAATGGCGCGGGCTGGCGGAATTCTGCTGGCGATTGCAAATTCAATAATTGTGTCGACGCTGTCGGGGATCGCAAGCCAGAACTCGCGCCATTGGCATTCGTCGGCATCGCATGGCCAGCCGTGCGAGAGCTGGAACTGTAACTGGAATTGGAATCCACATGCACCGCATCCAGGTACATGTGAAATGAGGGACGATGTGGTCCTGGCGCACTTGCATTTGCACTTACATTCGCTCTTGTTCCCGCGCTGTCTCCTTGTTGGAGATTTGCTGTCGGTACCTGAATTTCAACTTGACCTTGGCCTGGTCCTTGTGCTCCTCTTCCGATATGTGATGAGCGGTGCGATCCCAATGGAGATCCTATTAGCCTGTCTTCTTCGAATCCCGCGTCTCCTGGGCGCTGAAGCACCGTCGCGTGGAAATTGTTTGCCGCCATCCTCTTTTCAGTTGGTTTGTGGTGTTCTGACCAGGGAATTTAAGTGCACTCCCTCGCCATCGTCCCTTGTACAGACGGCGATAAGAAGACAAAGACCGGAGCTATACGGGGCGAACCTGCAGCTGAAACTTTCAGAGAGGCAATATACCACACAGAGCGGTCGCGAGTAGGAATTAAAGTAGACCGTGAATGCCCCAACACTGAAGCTCTCAAATCCTCTGGAGTCATGTCCGGGTAACTCCTCAAGCGCAGGTACGCGGACGAGTGACGTCTGATTGAAAGAACCCCAGAGGTATCTCCAAAGGAATATACGTGGGTGAATGTACATGCGCAAAGCCGAGATCAGTATCCAGATGGCACGGAATCGTCGAAACCCGTATTTCCGAGCTCCTCGAGGCTATGATGGGGTGAGTTGGTCATCAGAAGAGCACAGTCTAGCCCAGGCGACCACCAACAGTACAGATCAGGGACCTGCGATGAGAATGCGACGATAGTACTCGAAAATATGGGGGGGGCGATGGAAGATGGAACGAATCCAAGTAAAACTCGGCGGTGGTGCAAAAGGTGTGGAAGAAACTCTTGTCTACTGCGCTCAACATTTTCCCTTTGTTACGATTTCGCAATTAGCCACTTTTCCCATGCTGCACCGTCCCAGATTCCGGGTCTATCTTCTGTCCTTTGACGCAGCAGGAGCAGCACTCTCAGCGCATCTCTCGCCAACTCTCTCCAAAAGAGGGTCGAGCCTTGCAACCCGCGTGGATGGAGATCGATGAATCCAGACACACACCAGGTCCGTCTCCACAGCCTAGATCCCGGCCCCAAGCATCCAATTAAAACCTTGGACGCCCTGTCACCCGAATGCCCCGGACAAGGGCTTCTCATCGTCTCAGCCCCAGGAAATATGGCATAACGACACTGCTGCAGCACCTCGACCCACGGGATCATCTGTTGTCGCTTATCAATCATGAGGGGAATGCCCTTGCCTGCTTGCATGCTACAATGAAGGATCTTGCACAAACCAAAGCCTCGTTTTGGCTAACGATCGACCATGTGTTCTCAATCGTTGGCACCAAAAGAGAGAGCCTGGAAACGGCAAAACCCCACGTCTGTCACGCCTGCCCGAATTTGACACAACTGGATCACCCCCTGGCGCATGGCGCCGCAGTGGCTGCGGACTGGCTTGTGCATTCGACATGGGACATGCATCCACTTTTAGAAACACCAACCGCACTACTTGCTCCGGATCGTGACGACTTCAAAGGCGATCGACGAACAGTCAATGGCGCTCTGCTTCTTTCAGATTCCTGCAACTCGCCACCACACCGTCATCACCAAATATGAAGATGCCGAACTGCATCATCACGTGTATTGTAGCTTTTTAAATATCTACTAGCTATTCTCATCCGATTGACGCTGAAACGATCGGTCCGCATATATGTTTAATCCGCGTTCAATCGCTGCACCACAATACCAACCAACCACCCACACAACAACTTCGAGCAGATATGTTAACTTTCAGTCATATCCTTTCTGCCCTGCACAAAAGTATGTGGTCGGGTCTTTATAGCCCATGCGATTACGACTTGCATCAACGCTCCACCTGGTACAGGTTTAGGCCTTATCGCCATGCCAGTGACTTCAGCAATGCCGACATCTTCGATCACAATCACTTTCTTCCGTGATTCCGGATCTGTGGTTCAAACTTGTGCTGTGCCAACAAGCGCTCTATCAAACCCGACCGGGAGAATGGGTTTGAATGTGTCCGAAGTCGAAGTCGGAGAAAATGTTCGACGCGTTGTGCATCTAGCCATACTGTCCACACTTCAAGCGGCTCGCCTATGAGCCCTAGGTAAGGCTCTGCGACCCGTATCATGACAACGCGGGCCCCGTCCTCGCTCATGGCCACCGTGACAAGCCTCCATCGTAATGGCCGATGCTCGTGTGTTGACCCCAACGTGGTGCGTACTGTCTGTTGGTCTAGTCCTGTATAGTTCCACCAAGTATCAAGCGTGGTTCTGGGAACGAAATGAAATAGCATCCACTTTGGATCCTTCATACCGCCTTGTTGAAGTTTGATCGTATCTCAGTCTTCCCCTCTCTGTCCAGAGCAACTGATGCTGGTTTGTGGGAAGTCGCACCTACTATGACTTGTTTCGCGCGAATTCCTCGGGCGACATATCCATATGACGAGTGCGACTTAGGCCCACCGGAGCAAGCCTTTGCGCCCGCTCGAGTGTCGCGTGTGTGTACGTGGTAAGACGGTTCCTCGTCCGGCGGTGCCATCGGAGCTCGGAAACAGCTCGTACCTCAACGGGCAGAATCTTACTTTCGATGCCATAGAAAATAATAATATCATGAACAATGAAGGTCGCCATCGACCGGCTGGAAATTTTCCGCGACCAGCGAACCGTGGATGAGAGGACAGCAAGAAAAGAAATCCCCGCCTATCGTTGAACGACAGTAACCAGGAGGGAGACGAGGGTACGGAGGAAGACGTTGTGGTCACCAGAATTGGACGTGGAAAAGAACCAGCACCGGAGTTGATTGTAAATTAATGCCGTTGGTCACGCCCCAGGTCATGCCCCAACCCAGGTGACAGCAACCTCCGTCATCTTTGTTCATTTCTAGGGTTAGTCGTTTACATTGAATATACAATACCACATGTAATAAGCAAGCCCACCATTGCGTGGCTACGCGTGTTGCGATCATACAGCAACTTCTGAAGCACATGTGTAGCCGTGAGACGAATAGATAACAGCAAACTGGATTAAGAATATCGCAAGAGAGAAACACCTTGCATATTTGATGCCCAAGGCCAAGGGATGCACAAAATAATTACGTGGATGGATGCCAAAAAGAACAGAAAAAAGAAAACAGTCTGAAACTGGCAATGCATTTTTCTACCCATGAAGCACATTAACGCGCATAATATCTAAAACGTGGCTGTAATACTGCACATTCTATAAGCCACGGTGCAGTACCTGATTCCTCATCATGCATGTAGTCCATAAACCGAATGCTCCTCGTTCCATATACCAAACTTGCCGTAAAGATAATTTCAATCATAAGCAGGTATCACTTAGACAGCACCTGCTGCAATCATCTTCTTACGCAAATAGTTCTTGTACTCTCCGATCGTACCGTCCCAAGGCTTGATGGTCTTGTTCTCGCAGACCAGAATCTCCTTAGCAATCTTGTCGAGCAGTCTGAAAATGGGTTAGCATTATAATGGAAATTGAGACATAGACCTCGACTTACCTGAAATCGTGACTGACGACAATGACACCACCTGTATATGTCTCGATAGCCTTGGCAAGAGCATCAATAGTAGGAATATCCAGACCGTTGGTAGGCTCGTCAAGCAGAAGCATGTTGGGCTCATCAATGGCCAAGAGCGCGAACACAATTCGACTCTTTTGACCCTCGGACAGAGTACCCATCAAAGCCGTTTGAACGTTACCAGAGACACCGTATCTACCGAGTTGGCGGCGCCAGTACTGCATATCTTGTGTCTTTTCGGCATACTTGTCGCGGACAAAGTCCAAGGCGCTCTTTGTTAAGTCAAGCTGCTCAGCACTGTGTTGGGAGTAAAGACCGAGCTTCAAGTGAGTGTGCTTCTTGACCGATCCTTGTGTAGGGCTGATCTTGCCAGTCATAAGACGCAGGAGGGTAGATTTTCCGACACCATTGGGTCCGACAAGACACGATCGCGAGTCCATGTCGAAACCCAAGTCGATGTTGCGGTACAAGTCGTCCTTTGCATCGCCAGAGTACGAGAAAGTGACGTCATCAAAAGCAAGAACAGGCGGGGGGAGCTTGTCAGCATCACCGAACTTGAAGTTGAAGTCCCTGTCGTTGTCGGGCTTCTCGATCTTGTTCTCCAGGATCTTGTCTCTGATCTTCTCCTTGGACTTGGCTTGCTTGACCAAGTTGGCGTAGGTACCAGCACTGGCAATGAACTTGTTGATGTGCTCAATCTCAGCCTGCTGCTTCTCATAGGCCTTCAATTGGTTGACCAAGTTCTCTCGGCGGGTCTTTTCGTAGGAGTCGTAGTTACCACCATAGTAAACAAGTTTGGTCTTGTCGAAGTCGATCATGTTGGTACAGACACCGTTCAAGAAATCCTCAGAGTGGGAAACAAGGACGAGTGTACGGTCCCACTTCTTCAGGTATTCCTCGAGCCAGACGCAGGCCTCCAGATCCAAATGGGCGGTGGGGTCATCAAGAAGCAGGCACGACGGCTTGACGAACAGAGCCTTGGCAAGTGCGACACGCATACGCCAGCCACCGGACATATCCTTGGTCTTCTTCTGGATGGTGTACTTGTTGAAACCAAGACCGGTCAAGATCAAAGAGGCACGGGTAGCAAAAGTCGAAGGGTCCATCTTGTCCATGTGGTCGTACAGGTCCATGAGAATAGGGCTGTCAGGGCCTTCTTCTTCCAGAAGCCTCTCGGCCATTTCGTCAAGACGCTTCATCTCGTTCTCGGCCTCGTTGAGCACCCAGTCGAGAGCACCAAAGTCGGAAGGCGGTGCACCCTCGTTGAGGAGGTAGATATCGATGTGCTCAGGGATTGGGTATTCACGGGCGGCGATGGCCTTGAGCCAAGTACTCTTACCGCAACCGTTCTCACCAAGCAGACCGTATCGTCGGCCCATGGTCAGCTCAAAGGTGCTGTCTGTAATAAGGACTCGTCCGTGGAAGGTCAAGGTAGCATTGCTGATCTTGACGTCCTTGCTGGCCTGGGTTGAGGCCAAGACACCGGTTGTTACTCTGTCCGACAGACCGTGTTTATCCTTCTGGTCAGCAAGCTGCTTGACCTTTTCCATCTTGGTCGAGTCGGTTGCAATATCGTCATCTTCGGCATCCGATCCGGTGGCGCTGGCGTTCTTGGAAGCAGCCTTGGAGCCAGCCTTGGAGCGGGAGACGAGAGTCTTCTTCTCGCCCTTGCCGGCGGCAGCCTTGGCGGCAAGTCTCTTTTCCTTGGATGCGGAGACCATGTTGACTAGTTGTCGGTTTGTGCTTGAGTGTGAAAGTGTCGCGATGGGGGGAAGTTATTCGACAGGTGCGGTGGGAGAAAATGGACCTAATCTAATGGTAAGAGAAATATTTACCCCGCTTCGAATGCGCAGAGGGTTTTAAAGCTGGGAAGGAAATCACAAGTGAATGTGACCGGGTTCCAGCAGATGACAGTGGAGTGTATTATTTGTTCGACACGAAACTGAGGGTTTCGTGGATTCGAAAAATATTTATATGATGGAAAGGAAGTTTGTCCAAGTCCAAATTTCCCTCGGCGTCACAGCAAAGGAAGAGGCGAAGGTGGGCTGAGGTGGGCGAGTCGCAGCAAACTTGGTGGGATGCATTTCATGGTGGGGTTATGATTTTTTTTCGCCCGCCTAAAAACTCTGATAACCGCGATAAGAACACGTCTGATTGGGTGGGCACCTCTCTCCTCTCTCCTCTTTCCTCTCTCTTTTTCTCTGAGGTCTCTGAGGTCTCCTTGCGGGCACCTGGGCACCTGCAGTTTCAGGCACCAATAGGACCCACCGATGTAGACAGTGCTGACTGACGTCAGGGAACAGCTTCAGGCTAGAGCACACACTGTACTCGAATGAGTCGCATCTACATATTAGATTCCTGTTGTCCGCATCCTCGCCACGGTTTGGAGCCCGGGGAATGTGCATAATTCTGTCAATATTACCATGATGCTGCGGACACAGGAAGGTACGTGGCCGACTGTAGCCAGTACATATCGAAGCGCCTGACCTCATGAAACTCCCTGTAACACCAACGTACGTCTACCTATCCATGGACTAATTATACACAGTTGTAGGAAATTTCTCTTACCAGACTAACCTAGTTGACCCTTACTACGATAGAGTTCTATATGATACATACTTACGTATTAAAATTGGAGTACAGGTCAGACTAACCTAGTCCCAGCCGGAATGTTTTACTGGAATCTCTGCACCTCCAGTTGGCAAGGTCTCCGGATTCCAGTGGGGAACACTGATGTGGTCAAATTTGTTGTGATGGATGTTGAACAGCATGAATAGGCATTACCGTATAATACTAAGTAAATTTGAGTCTCAATATTCCCCACTGGACTACATTCAACCTCTTCAGTGCGGCATCGAAAGTTGCCAACACGGCTCTAGCATTTGGCGAAACAGAAATGTGAAACGCTCGCAAGTGCATCGGGCTGTCATCGCTCCAACAAGCCCAGCAACATATCATCGTGAATTCTTGATTATTTCTTGGGCGGAGAAGCCGCATCTTGTCTCATGCCCCGGTTGGAAAGCCCAAGTCGTTGCCAGCGACGGGTCTGGAACTGATGGCCGAAGAAGCATGTCTAGACCCTGGCTTCTTTCCTTGGCTGGGCAGACTCTGCAGCAAGCTCTACATCTCCAGCATTTATAAGAGCGGCGTCAGTTCGTGTGAAGTTGTGGTTTCGTCCGCTGTGGTCGAGGCGTTATTGCAAATGGACCTAGGCGATACTCTTTGCCTCGAGTTATCCGCGCTTGTTGTAATGGCCTGCTATCCTTGAGAAAGAACAATGCAGAGGAGCACCTCATCAACCGATTCATAGAACGTCACTCATCCCGTATTGTGTTCTCGTAAAGCATTTGGTTGCTCTTATTTGATAGTCGGCCGCTGTGCTGCTTCGACCGTTCCGCCGGATGCTCCGAGTCCTACTTTGGTCTTTGGCCTTCCTCGATGCGACACGTCGAATTCACGTTGAACTTCCGCCATCCCGTATCACAACTCCTGGGAAGTTCGCAGTGGTTGAAGCTTTAGTGGATATGTCGAAACTCAGCAGGTGAGAAGTTTTGAGGCTGCATTTCGCCTCGTGCAGCCAACACCTCATTCAGAGCCTCTCCTGGCTTGGGCTCCGTATGATTCCCGCATTTTGAACAAGTATGTACGTATTGGACTATGATCTGGGCCGGTTGTGCCTGAGGCTGGTCTGAGTAATTAGGCAAGTCGATGCTTCCGTCGCCGTAAAGATCAGTGCCCCGAATCTTCTCGGAACAGAAACGCGAGAACAGTGTAATGTGAATGCACCTATGTATATTTTAGCGCTTCTCTGGGGTTCGGGGGCCGTGATTTGGGCTCGGGGTGTCCAATATCGTTCTGGAGAGCCAAGTTCCAGTACGTACGTTACAATGATGACTCCAATCATCAGGATGCCGTAGCGCGCTCCCAGGCCATACCATGGGTTGATACTGACGGCGTAGGCGAGACCGAAGCACAGGGCGAGGCCGGTGACCATTGCAAGGCCCTCGCCGACCATGAGCATCTTCGAAAAAGATTCAGGCCCTCGCCCTCGGCGCAACTGCACAATACGCCATGTATCCCAGATCCCCAGCAAAACAGCCTTTGAGCTATGTTAGTTCCGTGCGGTTTCGTCTCAAGTCGGGCGCGGATACTTGCCCACGGGATACCGGTGGCCGTGTCAATGACGCCACGGTCCCAGCTGAGAATCGCGACAAGCAATTCGCCAACGACAATTAAGATACAAAGGGTGAGCGAGGTCCCTCGTAACATACTCTTGTAGATCATCCATCGTATAGGATCAAGATTCTGAGCCGGTATAGCGGCTGTGACCGCAGCTTTGATGCCATCTTCTGTCTGAGGTGAGAGCCTATAACTCTGCGTTGAGGACTGCTTGTTTGTGTCGGAATGTTGAGTTTGGGGAAGTTGTGGATCAGCCGAAGAAGGCTGAGAGGCTGCGGCAGGCTCTGTAATACCGTCCGGCCCGATGTCCACTGGAGGCTGTTCGGTCATGTTCTTGGTTCGGGGGCCACTTCCAAGACTATCTTTCCACTATTGCATGAGACTCTTTTCATATTCCAGGCAACAGATCTCAGGCCAGCGGGAGCAACATGGAAAAAACGCGCTGGTCAACGCGTGGGTTGCTCGCCAGACTCTACATTGAGTTAGGAGACAGTCTCCCGCGTCGGCATTGTTGCCGTTCGCTTACTTGGCCAATGAGCCGACCGACCAAACATCAGGGGCTTCAGGCAGCCGTTTAAAAGCATGATAGTGCCCAGGTGACCCTGTCCGTATGTGGAGATCAACATGTTAGACGGCTTTAACGAGCTTTCTTGTTTTGTCACAAGTATTGAGATTTGGTTTGTGTTGGTCAGGTGTAATCTATCGATGTTTTCGATGTTTACTGGCAAGCAAACGAGTCATCAAGTGCTTCATCGTCACGTTCTCGACATGCAGCTTATCAGCAATGAGCTGACTTATTGCATACGGATCATGCAGCATTAGCTCATAGCGGAGATCTGCAGACTTTGTCAAAATCCTCCCTATGGCTTGGCCGCTTGTTTGCGAATTGTCGGTGCGTGGGTAGAGGGCTTCGCCATGTGTTATCTGCGATACGATCCTACCCGTTTCGTCATGTTCCCTGGCAATATGCCTTACACAGCTGCGCCATCTTGAGTAAGATGAATCGAGGATTTGAATATGAGTATCTATGTAATTGCGTGGCCCGAAATCTGAGTCGTCTAATTGGCCAGAAACTCACCATTATAGGAAAGCCGTTGGTTTCTAGCGCTTGCGGTGGAACGGGGGCCAGCCAAACAAAGTTTTGTCTACCACTAGAACCGGCACATCGACGTGGAGATCTGAGCATAGATAGAGTTAGAAATAAGGTTAATGTTTGACTATGTTGAAAGTTTTTGATAATATACAAAGAAGATAAGAATTATGAGGTTCAAATGAAGCGTTTGGTATTGTGTGAGTAGATCGCGAAATGTTCGCGCTCTCTATGCCAGGGTATCCGCTCTTCTAAAAGAATTTGATGCAAGCCAAAACAAAACGCCGTCGCTCAATGCATTCAATGCCCTGATGAGAATGTACTTTTTTCTGTCCAAATGGTATAGATATATATGAGACACTTCCACCAGCCCGCTAGTCCAAGTACACGTTGTAGTTTTCCTCTATTCTCCGTTTCGAGCCGTTGTCTGCTAATGCGCGTGCGAACAGTATCGAATGGCAGCCACTGTTGGTGTAGTTAGTTTGCAAGCTTCTCTGCAGCAACTGGGTGAGATACTCACGATATTACGGCGCAGAGCCCTGTCACAACCGCGAACTCAACGATGCTTCTGTATCCTCGGAACACAAAGATCTCCCATACCGAGAGTCCCGTATATGCGAGCGCCCCAAGTGCAATGATGAGCTCCATGATAATATGCGCCTTGGGTGCAATGCCTTGGGTGCGTTGCACTGCAAAGACGAGCAGTTCTGCGCATTCCCAAAGGCAGATGACAACGACGAGCGGTAGCCATAATATCAAGCCGCTCAAATAACCCCTAACGCTGCATCCTGCAACGACGCCGCAGAGAAACAAGGACACAATGCGCAGACCTATTTGCGCTACCGCCCAGTCGGACAACTGTTGAGATTCTGTGCCAAGATGGTAATCCGGTATTGGTTTTTCTTTGTAATATGCATCGTACGGGTATTGTTCCGAGTAGCAACTATCGGAATAGCAACCTGAGTCGCGCGGTGAAATGCGTGGGCCCACACGGCGACCACTTTGCCTGGTGCTGGTGCTGGTGCTGGAGTCTGAGGACAAAGATCTGGTAGACATGATGTCCATCGCGACCGTGTCGTCTGATGTTCTAAGCTCGGTGTAACCTGAGCTACCGTCCGGTTCCCGTTTGTTCGTGGCCGGTGTGCGTTGCGCTTTTCCCCCAAACTTCGTTTGATCCTGCAATTAGCGCAATTGGCTGTCTACCAGCGTTGTCTCCGTTGTTTTATTCGTTGTTGCTCGGTAGACTTCTTTAGATTAGAGATTATGCCGGTGACAGCGCGCCGAGCGGCTGGGGGCCAGGTGGTTAAGTAAGAGTCCAGGGTATTGAAAAAAAGCTACCAATCTGCGCCGCAGCAAGAAACCACAGATCGCGTGTGACGAAATCTGCAGAGTCCGCCTCATGGATACCTATTTAGGATCTCAGGCAGGCAGGCTGGGGGAGAGGATCTGACCGTCTTCCATAAGGGGTGGGTTTCAGCTGCACGTTATTCCCCACGACCGCTGCAAATGCCACGGGGCGTTGAACCCTTTCTGCTGTGAGACGGAAAGGCTGTGCGTTGGAAAAGGACACGCTTATGATGAGAAACAATGCCAATCAATGGGGCTGAACTATTTTTGAACTTAAAAAGCCATCTGTAGTCTGGAGAAGGAAAGGGGACAGACAAACCTAACCTAGGAGATTTGCAGCGGATCTGTGCAATCATGGTCGAGTCCGCCGTGATAGAAGCCCGCAGGGACTCCCCGGCGATCCTGCCTTTCAACATAGCCACCCCCAATCTGGTTACTGAGTATGCGCAACCTGGTTCGTGATGACAGCCAAAAACTTAAGCGAGCCAATTGCTCTGATTATTTCGAAAAGGCTAGGCTGATTCTAATGATCATAGCAGCAATGGCCGACGGCTGCGATGCAAGATCGGTTACTTGGGGCATTGGACAGGAAACTATTTCTTGCCAAGGCTTGGTACACGAACTGTGAGGCGAATCTTCCTCAGGTCCCATTCGCGATTTGATGCGTGAAATATTGCAAATCCAACGCAAGATGGCAATGCCCCGCTCTGTTGTCTGTCAATTGTAGAACTATTGATCTCGATTTCGGCGTCTTAATAAGTCTTAGAGTCTTAGAAGATGTGCTATGCCGCCTCCGCTTGTTGTAGAATCTTAGTAGATGTGCTATGCCGCTTGTCCGCATCCGCGACCGCTTTCTCACGACATGAGATGACGTGGTAAGCCCTTCGAGTCAGCAGGCAGGTTTCCTATCCGAGGGATTGTTCCACAATCTGTATCAGATCATTGTGATACCGCACATCAGGACAGGATCATATACCATGAGCATTACATGAGAGTCTGCGCAATGGCCGCGGACAACTATGATGTATTGCTGCAGCGATGTGCATTTTCATTGGCAGGCAACTTCTCGGTACAAGAATCCACAAAAGCCGCATAAACTTGGACATCAATTGGTCCCTTGTTGCCCTATCTTATTCTGTATTATTCCTACCATAGTGACCTACTGGCCTTTTATTTAAACTACACCTCTGCCAGGATCATATATGTTAGCGCAGGTACAACGCTATACTACTTTTGGTAATGTATTCTATTGCTACTACGGTACACTTAATAATTAAGACGTTCACCTCCGGTACAGAAAACTTCACGTAGTTGATGGGGCATCGACCGTACCAGCGTTTGTAAGAAATCCTCTGGTATAGTTGAGTACGTATACGGCCATCTCTAATTACAAAGTAGCTCTTAGGAGCGAGGCTGTCGTACGGTAACAGGCTTTTTTTCACGTTGTATTTTGCAGACGGTAGTGCCGTTTGGCAGCTGGGCTCTCATGGCATGGTAACTGGTTTACCAAGGCTTGGATATCCATAATAAAGCCGGTCGACGATATAGCTGTATTGATGTATAGCCATATGGCTGGCTGGCTGGCTGGCTGTGCTGGCTGGCTGTATGGACAAATTGTACCGTTAATATTTTGTCTTAATGTTAATATTCACGAGCGTACTAGAAGTTTCCAGCTCTCCCCGACCAGAAGTATCATGTCATACTATTTAGTATGGGGAGGTACTTACCGGGGGAGGATGGGACCAGTGGGTGAAAGAGTTGGGGCTTGTAACGATCTAACATTTATAATCCTGGCGGGGTGTACTTACCGATATCCCGTGGTTTTCGATGTTGTTCCATGCTATAGTAGTGGAAGCCGAGGCGGAGTCAGCTAACCTATAGCATCCATGAACTTTTATATGCGCTATTTGGCAGGTTACATCAGCGATTCACTTACGACTATAGCACATCTATTTTGATGGTAGTCGGTAGCATAGAGTTTCCATCAGCGAGTTTGTCGCATGTTAGTTCCGGTTTTGCAGCATTGGTTGCTTCGGCAGTAGCCACATGAACGTACGGTTTGTGTCACAAATTTTTGAGATTCCCCTGGTCGCAAGGGACCGACTACTCAAGTGAGATCCTCAAAAATCACGGTCCTGAGGCCTGTCATGCACGTGACCCTCATTTTGGTGATGGGACGCTTGGTATCAGGTCCAGGGTCAGAGAACAACGAGGCAGAAAAAAAACCCGTGTTGTTGGGAGTGACAAGGACTCGCGATGCAGGATTCGAGGCATTGTGATCATATGGACTGCGCTCTAGGGTTGGAGTGCCCATTTCTATCGTGCTGCATGACGCCGAATGCAAAACTCCTACTCGACGCTTTGGTCAATAGCGTCATTCGACTTCGCAAACATGGCAATTGTGTAATTCTTTTACGTTTACTATATAGCATACATTCCGAGTGACACCTGACTGACCGATGTCGTTGGGGGTTCAAGGATTTCATCAGTCTATGGCAAACCCTCCCCAGGAAGGTGGTGTTAGTTCTATAGGTCATATCGCCTCCGGGTCACCAAGCTGTGAGGCTCAAGATAGCAGGTTTAAAAGGAAGACTCGAAGTATAAACCTAACGCCAGCAAATTTTGATGTAAATGACACATCTCCTTCCCTTCATAGTTAGAGTTGTGTAATACCCATCTATAGTCCTCTAAGTGAATATGCGGTCCTGTGACTGCCCGATCGTAACATGTCACAACTCATTAGGAAGAACCTTAGTAAAGGTAGTGTGCTTATCACGACGTCAAAACATTACTCTTGGGGAAACTCTTCTTTTTGCCATGTGATCAGCCATGGAAATACCAGTAGACATTAGTGGAATGCTCTGAACACATGGTATTCCTACTTGCTGGTCACAAATAGTAGTTCATGGCTTCGGGTTGCCTGGATCCAAGATTATCAGGCAGTCGTATTGATACCACCAAGAGAAAGCGGAGGATCTCCGTCCCTGCGCAGATAATGCCTCTTGCTGCAAAATGCATTGGCAGAATATACCACTTCGCTAATGAGTGTACACGCACCCATTCAGACCACGAATGCAGAGATGAGATCATTTTGTACCGGATCATAGTAACCGTTGAACTGCATGTCAAAGATATTTGCAGGTTCAAACTCGGTTTGCTCGACAAAGTTCAAAGAATCGCATTCTCCACTTTGCAGGTACGGTCGAACAATATGGTCGCTAAGCTGAGGAATCACTGGAAGCGTGTGAGGGGGTTGAGTTGACATAGCTTGTAAAGGTTCCGGGGCAGCGACTGTTCGAGGACTTATACCTAAAGCCGGTAGGTCTATGACAACCCCGTTCTGCTCAGAATATTCGGGTATCAAGCTGTGTAGCGAGGGCAGATGGTGTAGATTTGGTTGTGGCCCACGGTTTGTCGGCTTTTGCATATCTCCTGCATTTTGGCCGAGGACTTGAAGTAAATGCCCAATGTCTTTCAAGCAACTCTCGACGCGGGGATACATCTTGCGGAGGGGTTTTGCCAGATCCAAGGCTCCATAGAGACTAGCTTTGACGTTTTGCAGGCAGTGCGGTCCATTTTGTGGCAGAAGTTGACAGAGGTGATTTATTATTTGAGTAACCTGGTAGATACTAATGGCAAAAAATACATCGTTGACTGGCTTCTGAAACTCGAGCTGGGCGATTGCAGTCCACAGATCACACAAGCGGAGAGCACTTTCTAAACAAGCTTTCTGGCAGTAGTCGACGTATTCGGTTGGCGTGTTCCTAAAAGCATGACTGTCCACAGACTCACGAATTCCTGGAATGAGAAAGCGGTAAAGATCGCAATGACACTGAAGCCAATGGATATGTAGCATGTTGTAGGCTTGCGCATCCTTCGTATGTGACATTAAGAGCAATTGGTCAGAGGTCAACTTTAAGTCATCTGGCAGATGCTCTAAGAACGTCTTTAGCTCCTGCTCGAGAACTTGAAGAGTGGGTTTTGTTAATGAGGGGGCGCTGCCCTCACGTCGTATCCTCTTGGTATATCTAGAGACGGCTTGAGCTGCTTGGTTCAACACGGTGGAGAAACAATCTTCAACTTACCTAAGGATGCGGTCTCTGGTTGCATTCAGTCGAATATGGTATGCCAGGATACCAACGCTTAACGCGTCGCTATGTTCATAGTCGTTCAAGCGCGGTGCGCGTGACGGAATGTCGCGATGAAAACTGTGGTCGTCGCACGGAAGACGGATATGCATTCGCTCCACGGGACATACAGCAAGATCCTCCACGCCGCCTGACAACATGCGGTCGAGCTGATAGATAGCCCACAGCAATCGTCTCTGGCTTTCTTGCTTGGCCGGTTCAATTCCATGATGCTCATAGTTGAGTCTTAAAGTGAACGCCAGTCGTGCTGCTAGGGAGATCAAATTCCAAGTCTCTGGAATATTAGATATCAGGAAGTGATATTGTACCAAGAGAACTATATTTTGGAGTTGGTCAAGCGTTTGTCTTTCAACATGAGCCATTATTCTTGACTGAACTGCCCTTACCCAACACCGAGACACATCGCGATGCTGCTGCGAATGACCGTTGTGTAAAAGTCCGAGAGCACATATCAAGACTGTCAAATCGTCGTAGATCTTTCCACGACTCCAGTCCGAAAGCACTTTTGCTCTGTGCAAAAAAACACAACTTATTGGGTCGATATTGTCAAAGTAGGCTTCGATATATTGCTTTACGGCACTTCTATCAAGCAAAAGGACATTGACATCCGCAACACCCGCACTATACGTTATTTCAAGAGAAGCACTATTATGATTGTTAATTGTGCATGGCTGTTGGCCGCTGCTTAATGGATTTTCTGTAATCAATTCGCAATTCTCGCCGCGTGCTTGGCACCTCTCGCAAGGACCAGTGCCCGAGCACCTTGCTTTCTGCGATCTGCACTGCTGACAAGCATTTCGAGCGCGTAGTCTTTTGATACCGGCCTCCGTCACATGTGACGCTGGCTCGCGGTCGTCGACGGATGTCAACTTGTTGTTGCCGAAGGAGCAGTTCAAGCGCAAGCGAGAACAGGCCCCACAGCAGTGGCCAGTCCTGTCGCACTTGACTTTTCTCCTGCGGCATTGTTTGCAAGATGCCAATTCTAGAGGTATCCGTTAGTCCTCTTCGCCTTTCTGCCGCCCACTCCACCATGATATAATTTACACCAGCGCCTTCAAAAGAACTAACCTTTCGTTGCCATCTTTGGTTCAGTTTCGCTGAAGGACCCATTGAGTTGGCAGTAAATTTCACAGTTATGTACACAATACCGTGCGTGCAGGTATTAAGGCCGTCGAACAAGTGAAATAGACTCAAGAAATTCAAAGAGGTGTTGAAGACCGGCTCGGTGCGGATCTCGCCATTTTCTGGAGTAATGCATACATGGTGCAGAGGTGGAGTCACTTATGGCATCATTTCACGAGACTGAACTGCGGTGGACACCTGAACTAGTTGTAGGATAATAGTTGTCTCCTTTGTCAACTCAATGTACTAATCTCTATTTGATTCATTGCTTGTACTTGGACAATCCAGTTGCGTTGGTTGCTAGTGTCTACACCATCAACTTTCCTGATCGTCCGCATGTACCCGTGCCTTGTCGCTCACAAAATGGGTCTCTGTATGCATCATCGATGTCGTACCCGTCTTTCCAAAATCGCGAAGCCTTACGCCGTTCTTAAGCATCAGGTCAATTTGTTCCAAGCTCTTGCCTTTACATTCCGGAACCGCGTAATACGTGAAGATGAATGATAAAACAGCCATGCACCCAAAGATGAAACCAACTTTGCTGCCAAGTCCGACATACGAATCAGAAATGAGGTAAGGTATCATGAAATTGACCGCGAAACTATAAAAGCGGTCAGTATGCGCCAGATCTAACGTGCGAGTTTTGGGTGAAAAGGGGGGGGGGGGGGGGGGACCTACTTGATAACAACATTGACACCAAATCCTAGTCGAGCAGTCTGATCACGCAGTCGCAGCGCTGATACTTCAGTGGCGACGACATACGTCAAAGGACCCCACCCAGTCGCAAAGCTGACTCCGAAGAGTGACAGCATACCTACGATGCCCCGTTTTCGCTCAGTAGAAACTGGCGACTGCACACCCAAGCCGCCCATTGCGAACAAGCAGCCAAGCATTGCAACAGAAGATAGCATGAGGAGTGACCTGATCGCAAACAGAAAGGCTTAGTTAAATTTAGTAGAGATCCCGAGTAGAGTACAGCACTTACCGTCTTCCAATACGATCTGTAAGGAAAAGCGTTGCTGTCATTGGAACAAGACTGATGCAGGAATTAATCAGACTAAACAGTTGAGGATTAATCGTCCCTAACGATCTGACATAAATAGCACCATATTGTGAAGCAAAAGCCTGGCCAGTAGCTTGCTGAAAGAAATTAACGCCAATAACGATCAGTGTACGCTTGATATTGTGCTTGTCGAATAGCTCGCGGAATCTTCCTTGCTCTTGTTCTTGTTCAAGAGCCAAACGAAGCTCGGCAAACTCGGATTCGATTTCGTCCTGGGTAAATGCACTCTCGCGAAGCTTGCGCAAGCTGGCTTTGGCCTCGTCAATCCGGTTCTTTCGGAGCAGCCAGCGAGGAGACTCGGGAATGAACAGTACTAAACTGCCGACGATGGTTGGAACGATGTAGAACAAGCCGATAGGGATCCTCCAGGCCCGGTTGTCTGCGAAGCGGCGGGCGGTCCCGTAACAGACAGAGTTGATCACCAGTCCACCGACGAGGAGACTGAATTGGTACGATCCGACGATGAACCCACGAGCGGCTGCAGGAACTGTATATGTATACGAATTAGATCTCGTCAGACGCCTAAAGGTCATGTAATCTAAAAGGACAATGAAAAACTCACCAAGTTCTGATTGAAATGTAGGAATTACTGAAAGTTCCATGCCCACATAAATGTAGTTTAGAATACGTGCTGCCATGATCTGCTCCCTCGTCTGGGACGTGACAGCAATAGTAGCAGTCACCAGGGCATAGCAGCTCATGGAGAACATACACCAGCGACGACCCCATCGAGCCGAGACCATACTTCCGATGACAACGCCTGTTCCTGATTAGAAAAGATTACTCACTATTTGGAGATGAAACAAACCAAATGCAAATCCAATGTAGTTTAAGCTACTGAAAAGAGATAGCCAATATGCTTCCAATTCGTAAGCTCTACTAGTCTCATTGTAGACACCAAACTGTCTGATGAACGGTTCCATAGACTGAGTGGTGGCGAATGCTTGGTTATCAAAGCCATAGTTGAACGTCGAGACGGCTACCAGCGTCACCGCCAGAGCTAGATTGCGGTTGAAATATCGAAACTTGTCAAACAATGAGGGTGCCATCGTGGCAATGATCAGTATATTTTGCAGGTTATATCTGTATCAAGTGAAGCATATCGAGATAGCCGGGAGCCTCGATATATAGCTTCTGGGTGCCATTTTCTACAGCGGTATGGTGTAAGTCGGCAATGGGAGCATTCGTGTTAGGCTTCACACGCCATCCTGCTAATAACTTGCGTGCTTTAACTAGATCGCAGGGATCACAGCAAATGGAGATTCAAATCCTGTCAAGAAATGCCTAATATTGGTCGTTGTATTGGCTTCCGGACAGTGAAAATGTGATGAGTGGCGTGGTTAATGTCCTAGAGGGCTACCGTGCATGGAGTAAGCTACGGGTCGGTGCGGGGGGCGAGATCCGGAAGTTCCTCATCTAGACCACACCGAACCGGTGGCCGAGCCGGACCTGCCCTCACATATCAAGCCTCGTGCCTGTGTAGAGTCTAGTCATCTATGGCGTGATATCGATAGAAACAATGCCGGGTGATTAAATGCGTTCGTATCTCTACTAATTAGATCTCTCCACCCCATTGGATCATCTCGAGGTCTTCGTTGACCAAACCTTCTATCCGGAGCCAAATCTCACGTATTAGTCAAAATGCCTGAGCCATACAAACAAGCGCCAAAGCCTCAGCCGCTTCAAGTCAAATCCAAGAACGGAGGCAGCCGTCCTAACTATATAATCTTCATGCCAGACCAGCTGCGGTACGACTCGCTCAGCTGCACCACAGACGGCAAATCCTGCATCAAGACGCCCAACATCGACGCATTCCGGCGCCGAGGAACGCTGTTCACCAACTGTTTCACGCAGGCATCCGTGTGTTCGCAGTCGCGATGCAGCATGTTCACAGGCACGTACCCGCACGTGAGCGGGCACCGCAGCCTGGAGAATCTGATCAAGCCGTGGGAGCCCAACCTGTTCCGCAGTCTGAAGGAGAACGGGTACCACGTCGCGTGTCTGGCACCGCGGGGCGACACCTTTGCGCCCACCGTCACGGAGCTTAGCGTGGACGAGTACGGGTTCCTTGAGACGCCGGAGTTCGTGCCCAAGTTCATGGGCGGCCAGAAGGCTGAGGACAGGGATGATGTATGGGGAAGGCTGTTCTACAAGGGGCTTCGAAATGCTAGCGAGGCCATGGATTACGATGACGCGGTGGTGCGCTCGGCACTGACGTGGTTGAAGTGCCCACCGCAAGACAAGCCTTGGGTGTTGTTCATGCCACTGCTTTTCCCGCATTGTCCGTTTCAAGTGGAAGAACCGTATTTTTCCATGTACGATCGCGCCGGTGTATCCAACCCGTCACATCCAAGGGAGAAGACAGGTTACGAGCCGCGTTACATGAGTGTTATGCGTGAGCGGTACGGTACAGGGCGGGCAACGGATGAGATTTGGAGAGAGGTCAAAGCTACATACTACGGCATGATCTCGCGGTTGGACGACCAATTTGGACGAATCATACAACTCGTCGATGAGCTTGACTTGTGGAAGGATACGGTCACAATGTTCTTCACGGACCACGGCGAGTACCTTGGCGACCATGGTCTCATCGAGAAGTGGCCATCCGGGCTCTCAGAAACCCTAGTTCATGAGCCACTCATTGTAGGCGGGGCTGGACTCGATGAGAACCAGACCATCACTGCTATGACTGAGATGGTAGACTTGATCCCGACAATGTTCGAGATTTCAGGCATTGGCGAGCACTTCCCCCACAACGGTCTTTCTTGGGTGCCGTTACTACTTGGTAATAGTAAAGAGCATAAGCAATACGCTTTTTCTGAAGGTGGATTCCTAACCTCGGAGGAGCCTTTATTAGAGCAAGCACCGTATCCGTACGACATCAAGGCAGGTCTGCAGCACGAGGACACAACTCTTGTAGGAAAGGCGATTTCCATCCGAGACGAGCACTGGACATTTGTGTACCGCCTCTATGAGCCGCCGGAACTCTACCAAAGACGCCAAGACCCAGAAGAGATTCACAATCTTGCAGAGGAAGCCCGGTACTCAGAAATCGTTGATAGGCTGCAGAAAGCTGTTTTGCAATGGCTTGTAGAAGGTAGCGACTTCCTACCCTGGCAAAGAGATGACCGATTCCCTCATGTCAGCCTCAAAAGTCCTAGAGAGCAGATGGAGGAACGATTAAAAGAGATTGGACCGCACTGAGGAGGGCTCGTAGTCTTGTCAGAGTGTGTTGTGTTTGATTGACTGCTCCTAGCCGAGTTCGGAAATGACGATTGCCTCGTGTGAAGGGATCATCGGTTGGGATTTCCCTGTAACATACAAGTAGCGGATATGAGCTCCTTGAATCATTAGTCATGCACACCTTGCGCGGCTAAGGCAAAGCCGCGCAATGATTTCTCGCGCTTCACAGTGCAATAAAAGCCAACGAACTCTAGATCCGGGGCGGAGCTTTTGGTGGCAACCATCTGAGGTGCTTTAATTACATGTTCAGCCCCCGAAACTGATACGTACGGGCCGCGTGTATCGGGGAATTGCCAGACCGATCTACTAGCCTCACGCGATCATGAAATGGTTGGCCTACTGAGTTAAATTGCCGTTAAACCTGTGGCGAACGGTTCTGCTCTAGGTTTGGCCTTTAGTGACAATGACATGAAAGGCTCTGGCAGTGCAAAGCCCAGTCGTGATGTTTACCAGTTAGGTGTTTGTGCCTGATGTGTTCTGCCTATTGTATCGGAGCTCGCAGCATTTTCCACATATTGTACATGAGATTGTTCTTATCTCTGCATGTGAATCAACTCGCATACAACGCTCCAGTGAAACTCGAGAACCACCAACCACCAACCACCAACCCCGCAAATATCGTGAATAAGCTCTACTAAGTAGAAAGACGTAGACTTGTGGCACCGGAAGCGGTGACCGGGCTAGCTGCATCTTGAGGATGCATGGCGTGATACGCCAATCTCGAACTTTTGCAGGGACATTTTGCGAGCATGGTTTGTGATTGACCGATATGTTGCTTTGGACCAATCTGAAGCGCTGACGGACCAATGTGTGGTACTTTGCGGTATGTCAGACGGATCTCGCTTGGACCGAATCGTGGCCACACAAGTAACGTCTGTCCATGCCGGTGACTCAGCGGTAAGATCTGATTCATTATTATTGTATTCGATCAATCGCTACCTGAAGCCGGCGCTCTCGATGAGGCAGGTGTAAAAACGGTCGGGGCCAGCAGAGGAGTCATATGGAGCCGCTACTCGATCTCGGGCCTCCTAGGGTTCGGAAGCCGTTACCGTGCTATACATTGTACGTACATTATGAACTAGACCGTATGATTGATTCTAATGGAGGGATTGGGTCCATCCGTGTGCTCGCTGCCCATCTGGCAAGGAGGATATAAATGGTAAACAAATAAAATGAAAACGAAGCGGACGAAAATGGTCATGTGTCACTCACTAGTTAGTCTCGGCAAAATAAGAAAGCTTCAACCATGACCGGGAGGAGGCAGCGGGAGGAGGCAGCGGGAGTAGGTACCTGAAGATTTAAGATTTTATCAATTGAAGAAGACCTATTATTGTTATTACAGCAGGGACCCGTACATACCGGCAGTGGAAAAATGCGCTGGAATCAAACCCATTCGGCAAGGTCAACCGTTGTTAGGTTTGAGCTTATGGGTGGGGTAGCTCCAGATTGCTTGAGTTTGGAGATGATGTCAGTTCACAAGGTCAAAACAAAATTGGCCAGGAAAAAAAAGGGAAAAGGCTGCTGTCACTACTGTTGTTTCCCACTGCTTGGCGCGTCCTTCATTTCCTAGCTATGAGCCTACATGGGAGTCTAGGTAACCATAGCTGCTTACAATGGCATTTGGGAACCATGGCACGAGCTCATATTTTGACGGGAAGCACAACCTGTAGGGAAGCACGCACTCATAGACACTGCTGCAGTACGAGTATATATACGGATCCGGTATGGTGCTCCACCGCTTCTGATGAAGCACAGGCAGCGAATTGATGCCAGTGTCCTGGGTCAGCGTACCTTGTTAGCGCCTGCTCTAGCGCACGAATTTTACTTGTGCTGCACCTGCTGCATGGACTCCGTACGGAGCAGGCACCAAGCAGGAATTCCCCGCCAGCTGCACGAGGCCCCGCAAAGTACTTCACAATTCTGTGCTGGAGGGCAACCGAACCGAAAACGAATTGCGACATAAGATACAAAGGGCCGCGCAATCGCAGAAACTCGAACATTTACCGGCATGCTTACTTTTTGCTTGTTCGTTCCATATCCTACCGCCGACTTTGCAGTCGCGAGAGATCGCTTGCCCGACTGAGTAGCGAGCTACGGCTGTGTCTGCGTCTACGTTCTACTTCTACGTTCTACGTTCTACAGCCTCGGCACTGAAGCTTTGAAATTATTTCGTGTTGCGGAATACACCAAGTGGACGTCCTCTAGGTAGCAGCTAGCGACCCCACCGGGCACTGGAAGAGACCTCACAGGCTCGCACAGGCTTAGCTTTAGCACAAACACAGCGGGCAAAGGTCTTTTGCACGGTCGTTTGCAAGGTCGTTTGCGTGCAAGGCTACAGTAAGTTAGGTTAGAGCTATGACTGTTCTCGTTATTTCTCCCCACCTCGTTGACACCATTGATCAAAGGGCCTGTCTCGTCTCTCCAATCTGAGTTTTGACTGTTCTTGGACCTCACCCGCTGCCTGCCCACCGTCCAGCCGTTGCCGTTTCTTTGTCTCATAGTTCCGATCGACACCAACGTCGTGCATGAGAGCAGAGCCGCGACAATGACAGGAGAGGGATTAGGGTCGTGTGGATGGCCAATATGGCGAATTGACGACTTTACCGTGTGCTTTCAATCCGAGTAAGTCATGATATCATACGCCGTGTACACTATCTGCACCAACAAACAGTACACTCTTCACCTTCGCCTTCACCTTCGCCTTCACCACGCAGACAGACGTACATGCTAACTTGTTCCTTCTCAACCCCCAGCTACCTCAAGATTCTCTTCCCTGCAGTTATAATAGGTCTTTCCCTGGTAAACCTTGTCGTACAAAGTATTCTGCGAAGAGTCAAGAGAAGCCGCGCCAGCAACTACAACCAAATACCACAACATCTAGATCATACCGAGCTACCGCCTGAAGAGGAGGACAGTCTAAGTACAGACGACGATGAGGAAGGTCTCTCAATCGCTCAGAATGGCGGCGGCAGGCTCGCCCTGGTCAAGACCACGACAAGAGGCTCTATCGTCCAAGCCGACACACCGCCTGGCCAGCAGATTTCTGTTGTCATCGAAGAGCTGGCTATAGTCGGACTGCTGGCTATCAACATCTACGCTTTGGTCGCGCACGCTTACCTTGGACGGGGTCAGATTTCTGCCCTCGTGGGTGTCGTGACCTGGGTCTACGTGCTGTCGCTTGCTACCTTGCGCCTCTTCCTCGAGCACACGAAATGGCGCGTACCGCACGTTTGGAACCACACGGCCACCATCTACGCCTGCCAGTGGACCTTCAGCCTCATTCTCTTCCGTTCCGTTCTTATCCATCCCAGCTCCCAGCTGGCTCAAATCCTCACCATTGCCGATTTTGCTTTGACGACCCTGCTGTTTGGCATGGCTATGACCACTAGGAAGGGCAACAAGACCGTCTTGTTGGAGTGGGAGGGCGAAATCGAGCCATCGCGTGAACCTTTGGCTTCAGTCTTCTCGTTGCTGACTTTTGGCTGGGTCGACGATATCCTATGGAAAGGATATAAGAAGACATACGAGATTGGAATGGTCTGGAATCTGTTGCCAAAGGACAAGGCTGCCAGTATTTTGTCAGATTACCGCCAAATCAAGAAGACGACGAGTCTCGCATTACACCTGGCCAAATATTTCAAAGGCCCCCTAGCCGTACAAGCTATTTGGGCCGTTGTGTCTGGAGTACTGACCTTTATACCAACGTTGCTGTTAAAAGCTATTTTGCAATACGTCGAGCATCCCGATGACGCGCCGATTAACGTCCTTTGGCTTTATGTTATCCTCCTGCCCGTCGCGGACATTATCAGATCTGTGGCAGATGGACAGGCGCTATGGATTGGACGTAAGATCTGCATCAAGATCAGAGCCATCATAATTGGAGAAATCTACGCCAAGGCACTGCGCCGCAAAGCAGCCAGTGCGGAGAAGGCTGCACCCGGAGACTCCAAGAATGTCAAGGAGACGAGACTTCAAAAGCTGAAGAAATGGGTCGGTCTTGGCAAGAAGAAGGACACGAAGAATACGGATGGTGGAAATACGCCCAAGGATACCGATAATGACCCAGCGAAATCAGCCGACGAGCAAGCGAACCTCGGCACCATCATCAACCTCATGTCCGTCGACAGTTTCAAGATCAGCGAGGTTACGTCGTATCTTCACTTCCTTTTCGCACATGCCCCTTCTCAGCTTATCGTTGCCATTGGACTTCTCTGGCAAGTGATGGGCCTAAGCGCCATTCCAGGTCTCGTTGTCATGCTCTTCCTCCTTCCAGTCAATATTCTCCTTGCCAAAGGTTTCCATGTCACCCAGAAGAAAATCATGGCAGCGACCGACAAGCGCATCCACACCACAAACGAAGTGCTCACAAACATCCGCATCATCAAGTATTTTGCGTGGGAGCAGCGATTTAGTGAGACTGTTAACGATAAGAGGAGTGCTGAGCTCAAGGCTTTGCAATCCCGTTACATGATATGGGCACTTGCTGTTGCTATTTGGAACACCGTGCCTGTTTTAATTACCTTCTTCTCGTTCCTCGTCTACACCAAGATTGAGAAAAAGCCCTTGTATCCTTCCATTGCCTTCACTGCTATTTCCTTGTTCATGCTTCTTCGCGTACCGCTAGACCAGCTTGGTGACATGCTAGCCCATGTTCAGGAGGCAAAGGTTTCAATTGATCGTGTTGAAGATTTTTTGAATGAAGAGGAGACTGAAAAGTATAAGCTCCTGGGCCCAGACAACGTTGATGAGAGCGGCAAGAAGGCAATCGGCTTCCGCGATGCTACGTTCATCTGGGGCAACAAGGATGCTGTTGCTGAGGATGGATCTGTGGCTTTCCGCTTGCTGGACCTCAACTGCGACTTCAAAATTGGCAAACTCAATGTAATTGCAGGCCCTACTGGATCTGGAAAGACTTCATTGCTCATGGCATTGCTCGGCGAGATGTCTATGCAAAAAGGCAAAGTCTACCTTCCCGGTGGTCGAAGCAGAGAGGATGTCCGCGCCGATCCTGAGACTGGCCTCGCCGAGACTTGCGCGTACGTGGCCCAGAGCGCTTGGTTGGTAAACGCAAACATCAAAGAGAATATTCTGTTCTCTGCGCAATATGACGAGAAGCGATACCGGGACGTCATCATTGCCTGTGCACTCGAGCGGGATTTGGAGATTCTGGACAACGGCGATGAGACGCTTGTTGGTGAAAAGGGCATCACGTTATCCGGAGGCCAAAAGCAGCGTATCTCTCTCGCTCGCGCCGTCTACTCCAACTCCAAGCATCTTCTCTTGGATGATTGTCTGAGCGCTGTTGATTCGCATACTGCACAGTGGATTTTCGACAACTGCATGCAAGGTCCTTTGATGAAGGACCGCACTTGCATACTCGTGACCCACAACGTTACGCTTTGTGCTCCATCATCCGAGTACGTTGTGGTCCTCGACAACGGTCGCGTCTCCGCTCAAGGCTCGTCATTGGAGGTAATTGGAAGTGGTGCCTTGGGCGAGGAACTTCAAAATAAGTCACGGCCCTCGTCAGCTCACCATGTATCTACTATACCATCTCGTGTCCCTTCTAGTGTTGGCGAGGAAAGCGATGAAACCCTTGTGGATAATGGAGGCAGCGAGACGATCAATGGCAAACCCAAGGATCAGAAGAAGGAGAAGAAGAAGGCTGATGCAATGGAAGAGACCAAAGCCACAGGTGCCGTCAAATGGTCTGTTGTCAAGCTGTACCTCAGTGCTATGGGCAAGTGGTGGTTCTGGGTCATTGTGGTTGTGGTATTTGCAGGCCAGCAGCTCTCCAGTGTCGCCTCAAACCTTTGGATTAGAGAATGGGCCAACCAGTACACAATCGACGACCAGTCTGTTTCCAAGATTCAGTTCAGCACATTCTCCCAGACTCCCATCAGCTCAACCATCTCCCCAACCTACTTCGCATCCATTGCCACTTATGTGAAGGATCAGCAGATTTTCAGCCCTGCGGAGTATTCTGCGGCCAGCGCTCCCAAGGAAGTCAACGTGGACTACTACCTCTTCATCCTTGCGGTAATAGGAATTGCTGGCGCATTCTTTGCGTTGGTAAGAGACCTGTGGCTGTTCTTTGGCTCCCTCACGGCCTCCAAGGATCTGCATAAGAGGCTTATGGGTTCTGTCGCGAGAGCGAAGTTCAAGTTCTTTGACGTCACCCCTCTCGGTCAGCTAATGAACCGATTCAGCAAGGATTTAGAGGCCATTGATCAAGAAGTTGCACCAGTTGCCATTGGTGTTATGAGCTGCGCACTGGCGATTGTGGTCACTGTTGTTCTGATTGCCGCCATCACACCGGGATTCTTGATTGCCGGCGTTTTCATCACTGGGCTTTACATTCTGGTCGGCATGTTCTACCTTCGTGCATCGAGAGATCTCAAACGACTCGAGTCAGTCCACCGCAGCCCCCTCTTCCAGCAATTTGGCGAAACACTGTCTGGCGTTACCACCATTCGTGCTTATGGTGACGAGAGACGTTTTATCCGCGAGAATCTAACCAAGATCAATACCCAATCGCGTCCGTTCATCTATCTCTGGGCCGCTAACAGATGGCTTGCGTTCCGAACTGACTGCTTGGGCGATCTTGTGGCTTTTTTCGCTGGTGTATTTGTCATCTTCAGTATCGGACATCTTGATGCTGGCTCTGCCGGTCTCTCACTCAGCTATGCCATTGGTTTCTCTGACAATATTCTTTGGCTTGTCCGACTGTATGCCATGAACGAACAGAATATGAACTCGGTCGAGCGCGTCAAGGAATACCTCGACATTGAGCAGGAAGCGGAGCCTATCAATGAGAAGAATCGCCCTGCGAAGAGTTGGCCGGCACAGGGTTCCGTCGAATTCATCGGATACTCCACAAGATATCGAGAGGACTTGGACCCTGTTCTTCGCGACCTGACTTTTAAGATCAAACCATACGAGAAGGTCGGTATCGTTGGCCGAACCGGTGCTGGCAAGAGTTCCCTAGCCCTTGCCCTCTTCCGTGCTTTAGAGGCTGAGAAGGGCAAAATCTTGATCGATGATGTCGATATTGGGCAGATCGGGCTCAGGGATCTTCGAGAGGCCATTACCATTGTGCCCCAAGATCCAACCCTCTTCACCGGAACTCTTCGAACGAATCTTGATCCTTTCGATATATACACGGACGAAGACATCTTCACGGCGCTACGCAGAGTACAGTTGATTGGGCCGGATGAGAACCCTGTGACGCCAGTCACCCCAACAGCCACACGGCGAACATTGCCCAGTGATGCTGAAGTACAAGCTGGTGGAGTTTCGACGCCAACTGCAACTAACAAGAACATCTTCTTGGATTTGTCTTCGCCAGTCGCTGAGTCGGGGTCGAACCTGTCGCAAGGACAGCGACAGCTGCTCTGCCTTGCTCGTGCCATGCTCAAGCAACCCAAGGTTCTAATCATGGACGAAGCAACGGCCTCGATCGACTATGCCACGGATTCTCAAATCCAAGCCACCATTCGTGATCTGAAGGGTACCACGATAACCATTGCTCATCGACTCGCAACCATTGTAGACTATGACAAGGTTCTTGTTTTAGATCACGGCGAGGTCAAGGAGTTTGCACACCCGTGGGAGCTCTTGAAGAAATCAGATGGAATCTTCAAGTCCATGTGTGAGACCAGTGGCGATTTCGAGAGCCTTCAAAAAGCTGCCAAAAAGGCCTTTGAGGCGAAGCGACTCGTCGATGATGAGTAGGAAACCCGACAGTCTCAGCTACCCAAGGCTCTGGTGTGTCGCAGCTTAATAAAGCGCACTCGTGAGAGTGTTGACGCCAAGAAGTCAGGGAAGCAGAAGGAAAAGAGAAGTGATGGGTTGTCTGAGTATAGTATGGATGATTTTGTGTAAAGCAAACCCATTCATGAGTTTGTGCGAGCGCGTTATAGTCGCCCCGCTGCTCAAAAGTGTATGTTTAGCATCATAGTAGATTATGGGTCGGTTTCATTGCCACGGAGTTTCCATTGTCTAGAGAGTCAAGGGGCTTTTTCAGTTTCCAACCAGTTCGTCATTTCCACTCTGTCCACGTCTTGCTGGTATTAATTGGTTCTCCGGTGCATCACGTGGAAGCTGTCACGACACTCCAGCGCTATATTCTGCGTGTATTTGATGTGTACCTCTACAAACCATGTTTCCTGGGCAAGCTGACGACACAAAGGCTTACGGGTCGCATAAGCACGCTCATCCATCGGCCCGATGTATCCCTATAAACCTCTGGACTCCCGAGGTTATTCCATATTGTCTCTCCTAACATGCTTAACATGTCGCTGTCACGCAGGTATCTTGAGAAAACTAGTCGGCAGTGGATAGAAACTCTATTTTGGGTGGACTTGACGCTTAGTAGTTGCTACATGTCAAGTGGGGATTCAGAAGTGGGATAAATTGTTAGTGGGATGTTAGGCAATGGCATTGCACCGCGCCAGTGATACACGCCGGTGTGACGCTACAGATGTGATCTGTTGCAAAAAGACAAACCAACAATTCCATGTTGTATTTGTATGTATTCGTTAGGAGTAAGATGAAGCATCCGGAGATCTTTGTATGAGCTACTTGCCAGGAAATACTGGAACAGTGTAGATTGGTACTCGCTCATAGCGTTCTGTATTCGGACCGAGGAGACAAAACAGAAACACCACTCAAATGTAGATTCTGTGATATTTAGCTGAGACCCCCTTACTTCTTGTCGTCATCGAACAGGATGGACACGTTTCTAGCTCGTGTTTCACGACGGATATAATCAAACATGCTCTCGATGGGCAACATCATTATAGGCCAGTAGAGTAAGGGTGGGCATCGCGAATATGTGGCCTTGGAGTTGATCACCCACGACCTCGAACTACCGGGAGTTGCCTAAATTAGCAACTACGCTATTCTAAAGCATTGTGGTGATTGTATCTTGCTACTTCGTGTCCTGCTATTGGGCTAGCATCGAGCGAATTATTTCCCATCAATCTGGGAAAGCCAATGAAGCCATTCGATGGTTTTGCATCAGCCATTTTCCAGTCGTTATTACACATTTCGTTATCAGGCAGTCTAAACCGTGGTGTTTGTTGACGCGGATGTGCATTCAACCGAATCTCCCCAGCACTTGAACCAAATTCCAAATATGATGGGTGCTCATGGTGTGATTCCAGTTCTACAACAGCATCATTGGCATGAGGCATTTGTCTAGTAGCGCTCATTTAGGTGAATGATATCTGATGAAGCGAGTCCTGGTTTGCGCCATGCAAGACTTCGTTACCGTTCAGTTCCATTGCATCCGGACTGGCTTGTGTTGATTGGCCAGTAGTGCTTGTATACTCGGAGATAGTTTTGTTCGAGTGTGCGTACCCGGGACAGCTTTCTGTTTCGGTGACCTCATTGTTCATTAAATCTATGACAATGCGTCTGCGGCGTTTCGAAAGAAGACGAAGAAACGCAATGAAGTAACCATGAGAGTACCAATCCGGCTACCAATCCGTGCTGGTGATGGAGAATCAGCGAGCTCTTGAATACGAATACGATTGACAACGATCATCTCATCATATTCATAATCGCCCTACCATTTCTGGCCGTTCGAAATCTTCGTAAGTTGTGTTTACCGTCTTTCATGACAACACACTACGAGAACGACAGGATTCAGATTGGTTTGGGAGGTTCCGGCAAACATGAATTCAATGGATACTGTGTATTTTACATTTGCCTTGGTTTTGAATTGATGTCTCAGAGAATTTTCCAATCGACACATGATTTTCCAAACCTCGACATGCTTGCATTGCAAAGAATTCCTCGGCACTGCATATAATCCCCGCTCTAGCATGTACGGGGGACATTCTGAGATAGTGGACGCTTTGGTTGATAGATAGGATGATGGGGCCGGACTGAGTCTCGGCTTGATAGCAGAAGAGCGCGCGGATGTGTCGCTTCGCATGGAGCTGGACCAACTGTAACGCGTTGCGCATCACCACCGATTGGATGTGTGCAACCAAGGTGGAAGCCAGAGGCACAGACTGCCTCATTCAAGGGAAGTCGGGCGAATAAGCCGCGTGTCACCCCTCCAGTCTGCATAATGAATCACAAGCGTCTTACTACACAGCCTCCGAACTTGGTCTGCGTCCAACTTATCATTTCCAGCCTCACGCGCGAAATCGAGTCAATGGGGAATACTTCTCACATGCGTTATGTCTCCAAATTATACAATTCAGGCATAGGAAACTTATCTGTCTGGTGAGTGAGAATAGGGTCTAGTACATTCAGGCCTCTAAATGAGGACATGAAATGGAAGATTGTGGCTGCATTCTTTTATACTCTGTATTGTCCCGACCAAAGGGAGCTTTGGGATAACTTCTTCGCACATTACCAAAGGAACTCGGTTTTATACAAATTAGCATTCCCGCATGAGCAACACATCTTCTGAGCTGGAAGTTGCATCGCACGATGACAATATATACGTTCTGGAGATGGTCTATTCGAAGACAGACAGCCAGAAAAAAAGACATAAGAAGAGGCAATAAAACACCGCTTCCCTTAACAGATACGTCTGCCATTGTAGAAAGGAAGGGAGGGGGGGGGGGGGTCATTGATGTTACCCTACGTGTGTGGCTAATAATTAATGTTTGTGATGCGGAGGAGGAAGACTGGACTCGCAAGTTAGCCATTGAGTTGGGCGATCAAATGCCGCTAAGAGGGCTAATTAACACTATATTCAAAGAACTCACATCCACGTTTGAACCCAGGACGAGACCACTTGATACTTGAACGACGGAATAAGAAACTATGGATATCTCCTAACAAACCAATTGTTACGAAGTATCTGAGTATGACCAGTGAAAGACAGTTGTTAGAATTTTTCGTCAGTGCACATTGATAATTACTGATTATGTAGTACGAAGAGATATACGTCGCACCCACAGATAGTTGGAAATAATTACGGGCGAACAGACGGAACCGTCATCGGTGGTGGATCGTTTGGGTAGCTGTCATTATTTTGACATGATCGGTTGTATCGTGTATCATCTCAATCATCCAAGCAGATGCATCCGTCAAGAGCCTGGAACTTCAATTGGCCTCCTCAAGTTTGCTGGAATCGCTGAGTGCAACGATTGGGGACAGCCAATAGCTGCTGCGTAGTGCATAATCACCAAAGTCGTGTAGTGTCGACGACTTTATAATTAAACGATAATTATCAACCCTGATAATCGAACACGTCAGGCTGGAGATAAATCATTGCTCGTAGAAACCATGGCGCAGCTCGTCCGTACCAACCATGACCACGTGGGAAACAGCCGCGGTTAAGTAGATGGGTTGCTGCTGGCTTTGCCATATAGGAAAACTTGTTTGTCAACGGAAAATCCTCGTCCTTTAAGTTGCTAGATTGTCTCTTCTAAACATAAAGTCGACTTTTCTTCTTCTTCTTTCTTTTCGAAGCCCATCTTCGCGCTGCAGCCTGGTATGGCTGATGGACATTTATGAGTTCTAGGTAAGTTTATGCACAGTGTGGAAAATTATATACAATGAAGAGTGCACGATAATGTTGGTAAATCATCATCAGTCGCCTAGTAATCATACTCATAACACAGCAGACCGTTCTGAGCGTTCATGACATCCTCAATGACAACGTCGTCCAAGATGTCAGCGACGTTGAGTACATAGTCCAGGGTCGCCTCTGTAGCAGCCGGTGCATCCTTTCCGGTCTCAGTAAGGTACGTTTGGTTGAAGGTCGTGCCGGAAATATCGTACATGCGAGAGTCAGGGTTGGCTGTCTGCCACTGCCACCACAGACGGTCGATGTAATAGTGGTGAAGGAAAAAGATCGGATCGCCGGGAGAAGTGTCCTTATCGCCCATCTGTCGGATGTGTTAGTTCGCCGCCAGATTGCTGTGGAACCCCTTTGGCTGATACTTACGAGACCTCCTACAGCGGTATGCATACCCTTATGAGAGCTGGCCGCATCGACGGAGCAGCGCCAGAAGTTCTCATAGTCATCATGGCGGGAGCAGTTTCGGACGGCAGCGGAGTCGGTGGTCCGAATGGCCCAGGCGTTGTCCCATGCTCGGTCAAGGCAGTAATCCGTGTCCGTTAAGCCGGGGCCAATGTGCTCGGTGTAGTTTGCGAATGCACCATCGACGACGCAGAGATCTGAGCCAGTGCCGTTACCACCAAATGCATCGGAGTTCCACATCTCGGAGCGGAATGCGTTGCCAGTGTCCGAGTCAAGTGCCTCATCCCACCAGGGGATGGGGCCCGTGTAGTTGCACTCGTTCCGCAACATGGTCTCGTGTACGTGGATATAATATCGGTGCCAGGGAAGGAATTGTCCCTTTCACCAGGATTAGTCATGTCAAGTGTGATGGTCAGAAATTATGGTAACCTACAACACTGTGAATAATGTCGCCAACATAGACTCCGTTGATTGTTGTGTTGGTTTTATCGCGGTGCAGCGCCTGGAGGTCACTGAAACGGTTGGTGACACCGGTTAACGATGTCCCCGCCGGAAGTCCAATTAGGCAGTTTTGGGCTTCGAGATAAGCTGACTTCTCCTCTGCGGCCAAGTTGCGCCATTCTTTTCGGATAGTGAGGTTGTCAGCCGTACATGTATTGTTGAAGAATGTTGGTCGGTCAGAGATAGACGCGGCGGCAGCCAATTTTGCTGGGGTCGGCGCCCCAACGCAAGCCGCAGATGCGACAGTGGTAGTACCTATCAACAGTACGGCAACAGCGGTCTTCATGGTGAAAAGAAAATAGAAAAAGTTGTTTGTATTGTGTGCGACAATGGGTATACCGCATGCGAGATGCCAAAATCAGTCAAAAATGAAACACCAATGGTCCGAACGAAGCGAGCGATGAGAAATATAGTAAAGAATGGAACAGCTAAAAAAAAATTCAATGATAGGAACTACATACTTCAGACTATATATATATATATGCATATAGTTATTTGAGTCCATCGTGAATCTACATACAGGCAACGGGATCTAGACTAGTGGCTAGACTTCTGGCAAGGCCGTTTTTAGCTCAGCAGGGATGACGAGTTCATTGCGGCCAATGCCGCATAACGCTGCAACGACTTCAAGAAACATACAGAATGAAACAAAGTGGCGCTGATGAAAATGGCTTAGATCAAGAGAGAACAAGGGTCAGATGGCCAAGTTTGTCTGTCTCGATCTGTCGGGAATGGCCAAGCCTCGAGGCTTCACAAGCCTTTTCCTGACAGCACGGGTGTATTGCTCCACTAAAGATTAGTTGTGTCGAGAGACTAACTAGGCAATTGGGTCTCGTCTCTGGAAATTACCACGCTACTCCCTGCTTATTACTCCTTGCCTACTCCCTGCGCCCCTCGCTGTATACGTATTTGCACTCCACTATCTTAAAAATTCAGGAGGCTCTGCGGATTCATGCCGAGACCCCCAGTGATACAGAGTGCGGCTGTCGCGACTAGTTCTGGAGGTGACGACGTCCACCAGTGCCAAGAGATTCCGCATGAGACTTTTGCAGTCGTTGCTGCCAATCAATAAAGCTGCCGACCATGGATCCTGGGTTATGATGGGTACTTGCTGACTTGGTATACCAGGGCCAAAAAAGCTTGTTAATGCTTACGCATGCCTGCTGTACTGATCTGAGGATGTCCACTAGACGAAGAAGTGTTATAAAGAGATGAAGATGCCAAGACAGATGGCAACGTAGCACATCCATAATGGCGGCAACACGGCAACCTTACATATATCGGACGTATCGGCTGCGAGCTTGAAGCCGAGAGGATATCCGAAACTTGGTCATCACAATCAACATTCAGCCGACAAGAGTTGAACATTATCCATCTGCGTTGAAATGCCGGCACGGACGCAGACGCAAACGCAGACGCAATTGGAGCCCGCAGTGATTTGGCTCATCTAACTACAAATTCAAATCCCGAGACAGCGGACCAGCATATACGGTTTACGTGCACTATCTTGGCAGGTCCTGAAGAGTCGTTATTGCTAAGCTTACAAGGCAACAAGTGCGTGATCACGGTGGTAGGCTACATCGACAAGAAACGCGCTCGAAATATTTGCATTTGTTTCGTGGTATTTTTTTCTCTCAAGATTCAGAAAGTTTGCTCGGAGAATAAATCAACTTCTCTAGTCTTAGACGCACCGATAGCTTTCGGGGACGGTAAATTAGAACAGAATATACTATGAGTGCTCCCTGTCAATTAAACTTCCGAGGGCGATACGCTCTCTTCGCTTTCGCCGATCATCACCAACGGATAGCGGCACCGTCTATTACATCAAAGAACTTGCCAGGAGTCTCTCTGGGAATGCATTTTCGACCATTGTTTCATTTAAATCGTGCTCACGTGGGAATGGGGGTTTGGATGCCCAGAAGCTTACTGTTTTGATGATGGATTCTGCAATGTTGTCCTCGGTGTCGGGAGTTTTTTCCAATCCCATGCGGATAAACCATTCCCTTCTGTTTTTCTTTTTTCTTTTTGAACGAGACTGATTCTTATCAACTTGGATACCTCGACTGGAAAACGGCCCATCATTTGCCCAGGATACAACGCAAAGCTATAAGACACTTCCTCCCACAGTAGGCAGACCTTGAGGTCAATCCTTGGTACTACTTTTGCAAGTTCAGACGCTCAGGTTCATCCTCGCAATACGTCCGGATGATTAGTGCTATAAAATGCTGCAACGCTAGGCCCAAAGCTTCCATAGGTCATAGTGAGGCAATCGCGGTCCTGATCTGTACCCATTTGGCCATTTTATTTCCTTCAGGAGCCGCTTCAGCGCCTTAATAGAGGCACAGGGTCTTAAAGTATCCACTCGAAGACATATCATGCCATATCTAGGTCCGCAGCCTCTAGTGATTGAATGGGTAGATTGATTGATGTCAGTTGCACCGGTCTCCTTGATTGCATTTTCTGGCTCGGAAAAGAGGCGGACTCGATTGTGACAAATATAAGCTTGGATTCCCCTGCAGCAGGGAACGATCTGGGCTCGGCATCATCAGCATTGTGGTTACAACTGATTACTCCATCGTTCGCTTTTGCCAAAGACACTTTGCAAGAAGCTGTTGATACCGGAAGAGACACCTAAAATGAAGATAACAGTAATCATCGCTAGTTATGAGACGTGAAGCAAGAATATGCTGTTAAATCTAGAAATAGCGTACGGTTCGAGCAGATGAAATTGCCCGAAATATGACGATATTTTTGAAAAGGCAACCCACCGTGACGCAAATCTAGGCCAATCATTTGGATTCTGAGGACACAAGATTTGCCTAAAATGTGGCAGAGCTGTGTGATAATAACTCTGATTGTAGTTTGCTAGGTCAAACCTACCTGCCTTTGGTGTTGTTGCGAATTGGTGCAGTATAATACATCCGCATATCCAAGTTTTGCAGCTTTTAACATCGACCGGAGGTTGCGTGACTTGGTTATCGAAAATTGTGCGGTATAATGAATGATTCTGTCAGGTTTTTGCATTCTAAATATATGCAACTTACGCTTGAAAGCATCGCGACGCCTTGTGGCCTAGAATCTCCTGATGATCCGTACCGTATGAATACCATGTGCACACCATATAGGAGAGATCGATCAGTAAATGACAAAACTATCGTCTCCTATTTCATACCTCTTTGGCGCACATGTGATTTTACCCGGGCCGTAACATATTAGGAGTTCGTTGATATGATCGATCCTAGTAATCAAGTTGTGCGCCTAACCACCTCTAGGCCTCAGAGCCCACGATCTGCATGCTAGTTTACAAACGATACTAAATTATAGTATGATTGTTGACAGATTCCCTCGTACACTAAACCTGATTGGGACGTCCCACCTGACAACATGATACTCAGCAGGCCCACATCAACGGTTCTACCTCGACTGAATGTCGAGGATGAGTGGCTCAGGAATCTTAACTGCACTGGGGATTCTATTTTGAAAGTTGCGTGCTTGTTGAAAGCAATGCGTGTTAGTGAGAGACATTTGACTTATTCCAGATTTATTTTGTTCCCGTTTGGCTGTTCGGGAAAGGCTGGCAGTCCTGTAGCTTTTATTGATAGGTAGGAAATTCCCTAGTAGGAACTGCTGTTTTAAGGTAACTTAGAGAAGTCGATTGGAATCCTCGCGGGTAACATTGGCTGTAGACTTGACCAGCGACCACTTAGCGCCCACTACGAGCCCCTGCAACGTCAGCTTACCACCATTCAGGTTAGCATGTCAACACTCCACTTATACGATATACGGCCGGGCTGAACTTGCAGGTAAGCACTATGTATTGCTAGGCAGGGGGAAAGGTAGTTTATAAACTGTCGTATCCCATACGTCCGCAGGTTTACATTCGCAGGAATGGTCTGCATCAGTTCTGTTCAAAACTTCGTGTGGACCGTCCAGTATCGGTTGAACCAAGCAATCGAGGGCAGCTACAAGTGCTTCTTTCTCAACTCATATTGAATATCTCTTGGACCTCGGCACAAATTTAGCGCCGCGACGACCAAAGAGACTTTTGATAGAATAATCTTATACTTTCAGAACCACGTTGCCAGATCATCTTTTCCAGCGCGGCCATGTCACGAGTAGCAGTTATAGGCGCTGGCGCTCTTGGGCTCATGGCTCTGAAGAACTTCCAAGAAGACGGCTTCGACGTGACAGGCTTCGAGGCTCGCCCTTACATAGGCGGACTGTGGAAAGAATCGGACGATGACAGCCTTTCAGTCCATTCGACGACCATTTTTAATACCAGCAAGTTCCGGACCGCCATTTCAGACTATCCGTTCTCTGAAGAGGCCGACGTCTATCCCACGGCGGCGCAGCTGCACAAATATCTGAACGACTACGCAGATCATTTTGACATCCGCCGGAGGGTCAAATTAAGCTGCCGTGTGAGCAACATCATCCGTACAAACGACAAATGGGAAATAACGGTGAAAGACCTTAAAAACGGGGATGAAACCAGAGAGTACTTTGATCGCATCTGCATTGCGACGGGAAGTTTTTGCAGCCCTCGGTGGCCCAAACTGAAAGGTCTAGAAAAGTTTGGCGGACAGGTGCTCCACAGTATCAATTTTCACGGGTCTGAACCGTTCGAGGGACATAATGTCTTGATCCTTGGTATACATGCGACAGCGCAAGATGTGACCCACGCGCTATCTGGGTCCGCAAAGCAGGTGTACCTGAGCCACCGTCAAGGCTTGCTTCTCGTCCCACGATATACTGGTTCAGGTGTACCAAGTGATGCCGCGATGAAACTTCCTGTCGTCATGCTTCAAAGCTTCATGGATAGTAACTGCCCATCGCTTTGGTATTGGCTTGTTGACAAAGTAGCTGGCTATATTTCGGACAAGAATTTTGGGGATATCCCAGAAAGCTGGGGCCTGAAACCTCGTCCGTCAATGGCAGTCGCTACACCGTTGATGGCCGACACCGTTTGGCCATACCTTAAGTCCGGATTCGCAGAGCCCGTAGCTGCAGTGCAGGAGATCACTGGCCCGAGGACCGTGGTGTTAACGAATGGGCGAGTTCTTGAAGATATCGACACAATCTTGTATTGTACCGGCTACGACCATTGCCTACCAAGCGACCTGATTCCTAGGCCTGGAAATTCCGCAGATAGGACCCCATACGAGCCGTACCCCGAAGGCCCAGGCAAGAATCCGCATTTGTACAAGAATATCTTCCCGCTCAGCCCGGACTCCGAAGTACAAACATCCCTCGCCTTTATTGGTCAAGGCGCTACCTTCTTTCCGGGCTTCTTGCAATTCGAGCTCCAAGTCATGGCTGTGTCTCAAGTCTGGCGCGGTCGCAGCACACTTCCTCCATACCACGAAATGATAAACTGGCATAAGAAACATACTGCCCATCGCCTGGCGCTAGCGAAGAAGCACAGGCTGCCTGACGACGGAACCACGTTTTATTCGGGCACAATCCCTTTTGGAGACTTGTTCCCGTGGCTCAACGAGATGGCGGGAACAGGCATTTTTGAAACATTCGGTGGCAAGTGCAACGGTCTGTTCAACATAGCTTCCTGGAAATTTTGGTGGGAGGATCGCGAACTGTATGATCTGTGCACAAAAAGGTTGCTGAGCCCGGCCGTCTTTAGAGTTGTGGCGACGAGCGGGCGCAAGGCACTGGACAGAAGCGAGGTGATGAGAATACTGACGAGCGACAATGCGATATTAGATCGGGCTGTCAAGGCAAAGCGGGAGGATACGAATAAGGATGGAAAGGCTAAAATGACTTAACTAGCGGCCAGATATTTGTACACGTTTAAAGCAAAATCCCGCGACCGGAAATAATCTGTGAAATTGCACTTCGTCTCTTTCATTAGGGATATATAAGTTAGACCGGGACGCTGATCGCGCATCATTGAATCAATTGGGTTTTATCCGCTTAGACTACGCATTTTGAACATCCGCTAAAACGGTTGGCACTTGAAATTAGATGGTCAAACGTTGGCAATGTTGCACTATGTAGTGGACATGACTCCTGTCAGTCAACTAATCCTCAATTGCAAGAGTCAAACACTGGCTGGCATCTATCGAGGCGGTCAACTCTTGTGATCATCTCCTACACGGGATCAATCGGGAAAGTTATTTATAGTGTTATAAATAAAGTTTAGACTGAAAATATTTTGTTTAAAGAATTCACATTATCGGTGTTCCAAGTCAACCACCGATACTCCACTAATCCATGATTTTATCGGACGCTTCAACGCCGTTATGGCCGCATAGAATAGTTTAAAGGTCCGACCGCCGTCTGTTATATCCTTCATCTCACCCAGCTCGGAAGGCTCGCGCTTTTCAAAGATGCCGCTTAGTAACCAAATGATCGCCGGATCACACCAATCTTCGCCAACGATGCCCACTATAAAAGTATAGGGGGTTATGCCACGCAGATCTAGCGCACGTTTGGCGAAAGTATAATTACAACAAGCATCCGACCAGTTTACGGAACGGCTCGAGTCGATCTCTACTATACGCCTTGCCTAGAATCTGCATCAGACTAGACTAGACTAGAGCGCTTGGCTCAAATTTACACTATTACGGCAGCAACACGGTACTCAACATAGACGCTGGCCATGGGATCTTCCACAGAGCCTTCGGCGCTACGCATCCTGATTGTGGGCGCTGGTATAGGAGGCCTATCTGCAGGACTGGCTCTGCGGCGACAAGGCCACCAGGTCACGGTATGCAACTCATCCAATCATTCGGCCACGGAAATGCATTCGCCGGTTCTATGTTTCGTGCTAATTGCAAAGGTAGCTGTTTGAAAGGTCAAAATTCTCGGCGGAGATTGGCGCCGCCATCCACTCTGCTCCCAACTGTAGCAGGGTGCTTCGCAGACTGGGTGTGAGTCCTGAGGATTATGGAGGGACGCTGATGAAAGCTGTAAGAAATATCAAAAGATCTAGGTTTCTCGCTTGATATACTTGGTTCTAAACTTACTAGTTCTCGTTGTGCGACCATATCGATGGAACTTTCAAGAGTTTAGGTGACTTTTCCGAAGAACGGGTCAGTTGACATTTCGAAAGCATCCAAGAAAGTGACTCTCAATACTAAAATGCCCTTAGGAATGGTATTTGATGCATCGTGCCCAACTGCATTCTGCATTGAAGGATACAGCACTATCCAAAGAAGGCCTAGGCATCCCCGTCCAGTTGCAACTCGCTTGCCAAATTGTCGGCCTTGACATAAGTACAGCGACCGTGACGCTCAATAACGGGCAATCATATAAGGGAGATATGGTGATCGGAGCGGATGGCGTTCATGTAAGCATTCCCAGGTCTGACTTTTTATCACTTCTGTTCGATGCTGGAGAAATCTGACTCTAAGATCTCGATGACAGTCATGGACAAGGACGTTCATTGACTCGACCACGAAGCCGTTCTCAACCAACATGGCTTGCTATCGATGGATAGCGCCCAACGAAGACCTGGCGAAACATAAAGACACCGTGGAGCTCAGCAAGAAGAGAAACCATTGCGTCGAATGGGTTTCTGATGATCGGCGAATCATCTACTATCCTTGTTCTGACCACACAATTTCGAATTTCGGTGCATTCGTTCCTACCGTAGCCAGCAAGAGCGGCACTAATTCGGGTAGAATATTCTAACCCCAGCATGCAGATTGAAGCTAATTGTTCACTCACAAAACAGATTGGAACACTCCCGGCTCGAGGGCACATTTGCAGGAGGCTTTCAAGGACTTCGGGCCCATGGTGCAACGGCTCATTCAAGATGCACCAGTTTCTGAACTCAAGCTCTGGGAACTACTGGACATGGAAACTTTGTCGACTTGGCATAAGGATAGCCTGGTCTTGATTGGAGACGCAGCTCACCCCTTCCTGCCCTTCATGGGCCAAGGCGGTGCTATGGCCATCGAGGATTCGGCAGCACTGGCAGCGCTCCTGCCACTAGGAACGGAAGCAATCGATATACCTGCTAAGCTGAAGATTTGGGAAGACTGCCGCAAGGAGCGCGTGGAGCGGATCCGAGATTTCACGCGACGGAACGGGCGATCCCCAAATGATCCGGCAGCACCCAGGCCGAGTTGTGAGTATATTACTCTCCTAGTATCACGATAATTCGGGCTAACGTGTTGAAAAAAAGATGAGGAGACCATGGAAGTCATGTCTTACTGCGTCAACTACGATGCATGGGAGCAAGCTTCGGGGGTGCTAAACAATTGAAGTAGACTGGCTCGACCACTAGCCACAGCATTGCCGCTCGCCAGAGTACATCCTTCAAATGTGCAGCCCCACTTGCCATCGTCGTCGACATAATGTAGGAATCAGCAGCGCAATTGTCGTTGCATCTGGTCATTCAGATATGGTTTCCATGGTGTCTAAGATGGTGATGAGATTGAGTTCTGTTATAGTTTCGAGCATATATGTTTAAATTTTATATAAGGAAGAAATTTGCCAGATTATGGTTCATCTTTTGCCACCAACCAGTATAGATTGCAGCACGGAGAGTGATAGGGAGTCGGGTATGTAATGTCGACAAAAGCCATTGCTACGAGCGACCACGACGATAGAATATTGCGATTTAGCGCATGTAGGGGTCACGATTCAGGTTTCTTGCACTAAATCGTGAAGTTCACGTCCTCTAGGTAAATCCATCGTTGGTAGTCGTATTGAATCTCTGCTCCTCAGGTAATTCCTACTCGTCAGTCTCGCGAGTGGAGTCTAAGCTATTACGAAGGAGTTCTATAGCAACATCAGTAAATATCATAAATGTATTTATACTCACACTCACCGTTTCGTTCTGAGTCTTCATGATCTTGTTTTGCTGCCTCATCGTTCAGACCAAAAAGATGGGACATTTCTTCAAGTGTTCGACCTTTCGTTTCAACTACCGGCCAGTCAGCTGCAGATCATTTCCATCAGGATCATGTTTACTTACCGAGCGCATATCTCACGAAAAGGAAAGCAATCAAACAGAAAAATGCCAACAAGATATAGAGCCCCCAGCCGATAGCACTGGCTATCGGCGGAGTCGTTTGTGCCACGATGAAGTTTGATATCCACAACGATGCCGTACATAACGCATTGCCCTTTGCCTGTTATTCCGATGTCAGCCGAACCAGTAGTAAACTTCAACAAATACCAATCTGGCACTTACTCGGAGTGAGATTGGGAAGATCTCCGCGGCGTAAGTCCAACTACCGGAGCTCCAACTCATATTGAAGAAAGTGTAGAACAAGTAGGGGAATGCCACAATAGCGTTGTTGGTTGGGCTACCAGGGTGGCTTTCCGCGTGGCGCAGTAGCGCTGCTATCCCAATCAAAGCACCAAACATACCAGCCGTGCCGATCTGAAGCCACGTCTTTCTCCCGAGTCTATCGAAATACACAACTGGTATCCAAGCCGAGAAGAACAGAACAACGCCAACTCCAGCCGTTGCTAAATTCGCAGCTTCGGCTGTGAGGCCACCTCTCATGAAGAGGGTCGGGGCGCTATTGCTGCAATGAGTAAGAGCAACGGGATCAGGGGGAGGCCGAAATATACTCACTAGTAGAAAATGGAGTTTGTACCAGTAATTTGTTGCAAGAATTGAATGGTGGTACCAAGGAACGTCACCCAGCGCACGGGTCCCTTGAGCATATCTGCCCATGTGCCCTGCGATGATGCATCCTCGATAGATAGGGACTCACGAATCTCTTTTATCTCAAAATCCGCAACGTCCGTCCCATGCAATCGTGATAGGACTTCATGCGCACAATCATACCGGTCTTGTGCGACAAGCCACCGGGGTGACGGGGGAACCCATATCCAACAACCCACTGCAAGCACTATCGCAGGCAAGATTTGTATTGTGATTGGATACCGCCTGGTGCTTGTTAGTGACATTCCATCTAATGTGGCTTTGATAGAAACTTGGCCCCATTACTCACCACCAGTTATCGGAGTTCATGAAAAAGAACCCGTACACCACGAAGAATACTACCATCTCGGCGAAACATAGAATCATCAGATTGATGGCTCCAATCCGCCCACGGATCGCAGCCGGTGCAATTTCTGTGATGTACAGCGGGACTCCTGCAGAGTAAGCCCCAACACCAACGCCTAGCACTAAACGGCCAAGAGTCTGCGAGTATGGTTAGAACAACATAGATAGGAGAGATGAATATAGTTCACCATTTGTGTTACCGTGTATGAGGCGGCCTGTAGCAACGCTCCAGTTATAAAGACAATACTCGCCTCCAGTGCAGGTTAGTGACATAACGACAAGGACGATGCAAGGGAAGATGCAATTGATTAGACTCACCAGGGAGATCGTTCGTTCTCGACCGACAGAGTCTGCCAAAAAGCCAACCGTCATGGCCCCAAAGGCGCAGCCGATATTGTAGATACTCACGACGAAACCGATGGTCCCTATGACCAGTAAGCTTTTAAGTCAACCTTGTGTAGTGCTGGAAGTCAGGCAACCCACAATCGTTGGCAGGCTCCATGATCTTCAACCATCTGGCATCAGCGATAATCATGGATAATACACCTTGATTCCATCCGAAGAGAAAAGAGCCGAGACAGATGAAAGAAGTAAGTGTGTAAACATATTTAATATTAGGAGGTCGTTTCTGATCAGACAGGACTTCCCCTTTTGGAGGTCTGATAAGTTTGGTCTGTTTGACTTGAAAGATGCTCATTATCGAGAGTGAACGCCGGCATAACGCGAATGCCTGAATGCCACGAGAAAGAGCGAATTGAGACTCAGAAATATCTCAGATATGTACCACGGTGGTACGGTGCAAAGGAAGGGACATTCAGGTACAGAACTCAGCACCGATGTTTTGCAAGAGGCATTGTTCAGATTAACGGAAAAGGAATCTGCTGGGCGACGTCCATTGGCCTGAGAACCCCATGGGGGGGTTTGATTAGCGCCATAGAATTGGTAGTTAGTGATTAACTTAAACGTCAATAGCCCGGTCGGTATTTAGGTGCATTGTATCCCGACTTGCCCGACCACCGAATAGACACACATCAAAAGTTCGGAGATAACAGTGCCTTGACTTAATTAGCCACTACGGAAGCAATTATATATTTAAGAGCATTCATGAGAAATTGCGTTCCAGATAAACTGATTCTTTATTTTTGACGAACAGCTCACGATGCATTCAACAGACACAAAACGCATGAGACTGGTTGTATTAAATTGCCAAGCTTGTCCTATGTCGCGAGTGCCCTGAAGAGACTGCGACTCCTTCAATATGGATGACGAACTATTAGTTAAGCTTGCTAACTATTTCTGTCCGTCTATCTCTTCTCATAATCGCCTATGTTACCTGACTCGGACATTCAATTCGAGCATTTGTGAATAATACACCTTGATGTGCGCATCACGTTCAGATTTCTATCAATTTAGATAATAGCTGAAGCCCGTTGTTGTTACTCGTTATGTCTAGATGTCCACTTTACCAGTGTGATTATCTCTTGGGTGCTTCCATGAAGAAACGCTGCTGAACAACAAATGTTTTTGGTTGCTACAGCGTAGGCTGTTGGTCAATCCGCATTTGCCATTTCCGATAAACCTAACTTGGTCTGCCTCTTAACAGCTTTGGGACATGGCCTTGTGGTGTTCCACCTACAATGCACGTAAGTCAATATTGAGCTCATAACTCTGAGAGTTCACTATAGATTGTAAGCTCGACTTGTTGGGACTTGTTTAGGGAAACAGTTCGTTATCGTGTTCAAGGCCAACATTGAAGCTGCAGATTGCGCCATGTTGGATGACGATCCGCACTGTATCTCAGAGCCCCACGCGAACCTTGTCCAAGGCCCGGGATGCCAACCCGCCACGCTATTATGCCTATGTAGGGATCCGTAATATTGCAGCAAGGAGTTTTACTAGGCCGGCAAGCTTGCCGCATTAGCCCAACAATGGCTGAGCTGTTGTTCCGGACGTGATATCAATGACAACTTTATTTCACGCCCAGCAAGCATACTCGCAATATTCTATAATAATTTGAAACTTGCGGATATGACGTAGTTTAGTCGTTAGGATGTGCCATAAGCGGACATACAGTCGGACCTTAATGTCCGGCTGTTGCGCCACTTGCGCCAATATAGTGGGGACTTTAGAAAACTTAGACCTCGACGGCTCCATTGCTTTTCCCGAAGACGTTGATTCTGACCCAGTTATGATCCCGCTGTTCTACATCTGAATCATACATAAGGTGGGTATGGCAGCCAACAGCAGATTCTTCAGCACTCGACGGTGGATTCGTGATTCGTATCATTGAACGCATATGTGAGACTCAACGCAATGAGCGCGCTCAGGAGTCTATGCTCCGTTAAGCCTTACCGATGATATCACCCTTACCACCACGACGTATGAATAACAAGCATAATGATTGCTACAATGACTCCGGAGCCCGCCCGGAAATATGGAGATGACAGAAACATCGGGGCACGGTACCCAAACACTCGGCCCTGCCTTGGTGCTAGAAGCTGGATGGGCTCCACGCATGGCGAAGATCAAGATAAACTATGGAATCGGTGATGAGGCTGCATTGGCTTTTATAGGCCCGGCCGCCTTCATTATTAACTGGTTGCGCGTTACACTATTGTCGTTCTTCCTACTCTGATCTCTTCATTCATACTTAGACATGTCTCAACCGACCAATACGCTCCGTGAACAAAGCCATCAATCTGGCAGCGAGCCAGTCCAGAGTCCTGGTAGTGCAACTCACCATCGACTCGCTAGACCGGCTTTGAACTTGCACAGGGGCCAAAATTTCAGTTCATTTGCTGCGAGTGCCTATACCGCTGGCCGGAGAGACCGTGACCAGCAATCACACCAAGGGACTCTGACAAGCCAACCTGATACTCAACGTCTCAGCTGGATTGATGATGAGTATATAAAACAAAACCCTTGGCACGACAAAAGCAAGGACAAGCCTGTGTTTAGCTTGGGTGGTCCCTTGCCACATATAGCGCGTGGATCAAAGAAGCACAAAAACGGACGAGGCCTCACAAATGAGGAGCTTGCTGAAAGAGGCGAGCTACAATCAGATAAGTCGGGGTCAGAGCAACACCTGAGGAGTCCATCGACCCAACCAATCAACCGAGATCAGGGCGCCAGGACGACTGTTGCTGGCACAGACCACGGGGGCGGGCGGAATGCTGGAGGCCAGCCTGTCTTTGACTACACCCACGGCCAGGGCTCGCATAGCCCATCAAACACCGACAACACACAACCGGAATTCAAAATCGACGGCGAACCTCTAGGCAAGCGAGAGCACGACGATGTTGTGAATGAAGATAAAAACCCCGACGAGTACAGAAATTGGTGGGCAAAGGTCCGAGCGAAGCACCCAGAGCCTCTTGCTGAGTTCCTAGCGGTATGATGACCAAATTTACTCGCATAATATTATACTAACCCGACTTCTCAGACACTCGTTGCTATTTTCCTAGGACTGTCGGGCACGCTGTCAGTCTTCCTTTCTCAGGACCAAGCGATACCTTACGGATCATATGAGACTTCTTGTTGGGCCTGGGGATTTGCATGGATGTTTGGCGTGTATCTCGGAGGCGGCGTCTCTGGTGCACACATGAACCCTGCGATATCCATTAGCCTGTCCGTATTTCGTGGGTTTCCGTGGTTACAGTGCCTCATTTACGTCATAGTTCAGTTCATTGCTGCGATTGTGGCAGGAGCACTGGCATACGGTGTCTTCTACGACACGATGCACAATGTGGATCCTACACTTTTGCACTCTTCAAAAGCTTTCCTCTCGACACCTCAAACTTGGGTTTCGCCAGGGAATGCGTTCTTGAACCAGTCTGTGGGCTCTGCTATCATGATGATCGTTGTCTTTGCCCTTGGCGACGACCAAAACAATCCACCTGGTGCCGGAATGCACGCTTTTGGTAAGTCTTACCAGTGATTATTGTTTGTATAATGCTCAAAGCTAATAATGCCCGCAGTACTTGGTCTTCTTGTCTCTGTTCTCAAGATGACACTCGGATTTAACATCGGCTCCGCGCTCAACCCAGCTTCAGATTTCGGACCCAGGGTCATTGCGTATGCCATCGGTTATCGCGAGGCCAACGTCTTCTCTGATCCTTGGTGGTTCTACGGCCCGTGGGCCGCAACGCTGGTTGGATCATTGGTTGGATGCGTGATCTATGACACCTTTATTTTTGTTGGATCTGAGAGTCCTGTAAACTATAAATACCCACCTACGATACGGAAGAAGATTCAACAGAAGGGCAGTCAGGTGTTGGACAAGCTGGGCAGCTCATGAGCAAAAATGGACAGAAATTTAATGTTGTATATCATCTCCGAATTTCTATGTGCTAGAAACGCATAAACTTCCAAAGATTTATCGAAGCATAACGATTTGACTAAGGAAAACAACAGAAGCTGTAGGGGTACAGCTCAGAACAACAGAATGCTGAATAAGTGATCAAGTCTAGCAGCAAGTGTAGGCAGACCTGGGGGATCTCCATTGGTACCATATTGATTTATTTGTTTAAACAATGTTTAAGGTTACCAACAAGATTGTGGAGCCGTGCGGCTAGATAGTCGTTTTCATACATGCGGCAATGCTAATTCCACATTATAGTCTTAACCGACTTTGATGACCATTACCCATTTGGCACTAAACTTTCACTTTTAGTTCCAGATCTCAATCAAGTTTATTAAAGCCCGCTGTGTGTACAGACCTTACTAATTTTGCACTAGACTAACATAGATCTACACAGCTAACAACAGCTATGATCGACCGCCGTCTTTCGCACATGCATACTGACGGTACACTTGGTCATCTAGCCTCGATCAAGTGGCGCGGCTGTTCACACTTGCCCCATCATAGACCTTCCTCCTCAACTTTTGAATCACATTTCTGTCAGTCTTTCAACCCATTTTTAAACTTGACGCACCCCTCACTAAAAGTTTATTATTTTATACCTTGTCGCTTATTGTCTTGTCAAGGGCCAGAATTGCCCTCCATGTGTAGCGAGAACTAACTAAAACTTTACATAGTATATGTGGCAAGTGCGATGAATTATTGTTGCATTTCCAAGCCGATTGATCAAGTGCGAGTATAGACGATCACAAACCGTATGCGTTCGATTATTGTGTCACTTTCTCTCTTATTTCCCGAATATCTTTTCCTGAAGATAACTACCCTGGAATGACGTCTCTTTCCATATCAACTGCCGAGAGAACTCCTCAAGGAAGAAGCAGTATCATACTACCTTTCAGTGGTAACGACCAGCGTTGACTTCCTGAGTAATATATGGGATAAATTCAATGTTTGGATTCCATAAGAGTCAAACTCGTTTGCTCGCGGCTGGCAGCATGTGGCGCTTGCCCAAATCACATCTTTGGATTTTGTAAGATCAGTATCGTCTCATACAGGTAGGTCGTTGAGATATAAAGTTCCAGCTTCGAGCCAATCACGATATGGCCAACTTTCTGCTGAACTCTTCCATATTTATGTTGAGCGGCAACTTCAAGCACGAACCAAAGGCAATGTGACTTCAAAGGATTCCACGTCAACACTATTATCACATAGCTAGACCGTTAGACAGATGTGCCCTTAAATGGAAGCAACAATAGAGTCGCACAACAATATCTGCAGTTGCCATTTGCACGCTGATGAACCCGACGCCTGGGTCATTAATTGTGCGGATATTTCCATGGCACATCCGTTCCAAGGGCCATCAGTGCCGTAGTCATTGGAACATACCCGACTGATTCTCAAGGAACTACATCATGAATATTATGGAATCAATGGCGCCCAGTAGATGTCGTTTAACCACTATCGTATCCAGTGTAACTTATCGATCACTGCTTCGGATACTGCCATAATTTGAATGATAAGTACTTTAATATTATGTAATATATGCGACACCTTACTCAGCTACCAACAATGAGAATATCTGTGAATCTTAAAATGGCCATGAAGCCGCCCAGCAATGAAATCGTTCATCCATCAAAGCACCCACAGTCGTCGGGGTCTTTTGAAACTTGCTTGTAAAGTCACTATCCTGCGATGATGAGGGGTGTGCTAACCCCGGCACACCCAGCTGAACAAGGTCGCCAAGCCTGCCTGTCTGCGTGCGGCGAAGCAACAACAGGAGCACACTCATACGCGCGTCGAGACGCAAGGGCCATCGTCAAAGAGTGCCAAACGCAAGATGGCAAGGAAACGGAAAGAACCATCGCCCGAGGTGGTCTTTAACCTCACCGGGTTGATTGAATATAAGGTCGTTGAGCTGATCTACGACGGGGCCGGGCGGAAGCGCGCCAGCCTTTATCTAGTGGAGGTCCGTAGACCTGTCAAGGCGGCACGGGATAGGAAGTCAAGGCGCGTCGCTTCCAAGACAAGTGAATCCGCGCAAGGGGTTTATGTGCTCAAGATTGTAAGCTTACACCCCTATAACTTGTGGTGCATATGATGTTATTGACAAAAACGGCAAACTAACTGCTATTCTTGCAAGTTCCCAGAGTCGCGCGCGAATGAAGTAGACTACGAGGCAGATTTGGCGGCGAATATAGAGCTCAGTCGCACATCGGTTGTCCCAGACGCGGAGGCGGCATGCGATGCTATGCTACAGTCTGCGAACCACAACCTAGGGGCTGTTCGCTGGCCGCGGTGCTATGGTACCATGACAGTAAGAGCGAATCTGACCTGCGGGCAATGGGTTGCTGGCGAGACGGGGCCGTCGACATGTCACAGTATCCTTTTTGAGTACTTTCCCGGACTTGAGGCGCTCAGGAAAGAAGATGTCACAGAAGAGTTGGCGGTTGACTTTAAGAAGCTGCTTGCGGACTTGCACAGTATAAGGATCCTGCATCGTGACCATATCAACCATGCCATTTGGCCGGAAGTTGGCTTCAATAATGTGTTCCTGCGTAAGAATGCTGCCGATTGCAAAAAGGGTACGGGTCTTTTCCTTGCTTGTTTGTTTGATATCTCACTAATTCACATATCAAAGACCTCATTATTCTAGATTTCGACAAAGCCAAAGTCTTGGGGGATGGTGCGAGAGACCGGGCTCTGTTTGCCGACGAGTTGGCACGCATTGACGAACTGCTCGAACAAGCATTATCTGGGAAGGCATTGGCCGGCTCGACTTCAAAAGAGGTGCAGAAACTGCTTGCAGGCCACCGGGTGTAGTGTAGCCTATCCAAAAACACAAGGCGAGACGATACAAGCGAATTCCAACCGGGAACTGAAGCCATGTAATATATTGAGACTCTATGTGCGTGTACTTGTTTATTATAAGTTGAGAAGATGCAACACCATCACTCTAGGCAGGGCCGGCCCCAACGACCCTTCCCCTTTTTCCCCCAACCAAAAACCCTGTCTAGAGCGGGAAATAATCAAACGAATGAGTGTCTGAATCGAACAGTCCGTTGTCTCCCATCATCAGTTCCCCCACAGAGATGCCACGCCTAGTTATGTGGAGCACCAGATTCACTGCTGGGCCAGGCAGACGTGGAGTTCCATTTCGCAGCGTCCGGGGTGAAGACCCGTCGGGCCACTACGAAAGTCACAGGTGGCGCGGAGCTGGCAGGGCGTGAGGACCAAGTACGTGACGGGGCAGCAAATACGCCAGTGAACGAGGTCGCGAAGGTCGTTGCGGGAGCGGAAGCGGTAAGGACATGCGGCGCCGCGCTCCATGCGCCAGCTGAAGGCTCAGCTTGCGGAGCGGCCAAAGCACCAGCAGCGAGAAAAAAAAGCGTGGACAAGTGCATGTCGTCGACGTTGTGATCGAAAGACGATTTTCGGGTGAGTAGTCGGTGAGAGGGAGATTGCCGGCTTTGAAGACCGTCTTGGCTGAATTGTAGCGAAGAGTGCCTGAGATGATCAGCAAAAATAAACATCTCTTCATAGACGATTCGTGAATCTTATAACCGCGAAATAACACCCTCAGACAGCACGTGGGTCAGTATGCATTAGAGTGACTGCCATTCCCGAGCGCCGCAAAGAATAGTCACGATGCCGACTATGCGACCCTCGCCTCATCATTACCTAGTGAGACATTATCTAGTCGATTGCCTTGGCGTCTTTTTCGGTATACAGACAGCTCTTCATTATGCAGGAGCAGACCTAGTTGTCGATACCTAATTCTGCTCTGCACTTGTTATCAATGATCCACATCAATACCTTTGCCAACTGCTTCCAAAAGTGGAATGAGGCCATGAGTCCAGAATTCCGAATTTCAGTTCAGGGCTTAAAGCCTACTATAAACTCTAATCGTCCTGCGCGTGAACCCTTTGCCCTGGACTAGAGATGTTTTTGTCACAAACCTAGTGACCAACACGTCGTGGCACACCCGGTTAGGTTCAGCAACGCTTCGATAGCCCCGGTGTCGGGTTTGATTAATGTGAAGGCTTCACATGTGTGTAGGCCGATATGTGTATCTGAACTTACTTTTTTATGCTTGTCAAGATGTGATAATTGTGAAAGTGGCGCAATGAGAATATCAATGGAGTGGATAGATAGATAGATAGGCATTGTAGCGTGGTTGGTGCATGGTGTATGCAGCTTTAATGCTCTGTAAAGTTCGACGTGCCGGAGACGCCTGCGCAAGGCACATTGTACGGAAGCTCTTACACGTCACCTCGGGGTATCCCAATGGGCTTGGTTATCTAACAGGCTTTCGGTCCGCTTTCAAGATGCAGTTAGCTTTCCAGACACAGCGTTTTCAGGCTTAGAAGACATTGGTCGTGGACTAAAACGGTCACCAAGACTGGCGGATACAGTAATATTTGACGGATATGACGCATCAGGTATGCTACCCAGTTCGCAACCGGATAATCAGACACAAGGGACGATCATAGGACTGTATTAGGAACAAATGATATAGATTACACTACAAGCTACTGTAATACGTTGCACTGCCAAACCCAATTCCGCTATGCTCCATCGTTCATTTTGGTATCCCTTTTCGGTCGCTAACATATATGCATTTCCTGTGTCATGATTCGTACAAAGCTCATCATAATTCCCAATTTTGTGGAAACCAGACAACTTCTTCCATTGGCAGCAATTTCTAGTTGAAGTTGCCAAGCCAAATACACCAAATAGAGCATATTTCGCCAAGCTCTTCTCGTGCCTCTTCGTGGTAAGGAAGGTCTAATATTTTCTCGGTTGGCCTTTATGGGTCGATCCGGCTGGGAAACCCATGATTTTACTAGCCAGCATTCCGCCTACCAAGCTCTCGGCCATACCCTTGACGCCGCCCGGCTTAGTACGCCGTGGATCCTTGTCGATGAATGAATCAATGGCCGCTGCACCTAATGCGGCTGTCACGACCTTGGCGCCCTTCTGACCTGTCCAAGATCCGGGTTCCTTGCGCAGACGGAAGGCTGTCACGCCGCCTGCTTCGAGGGCTGCACGGGCGGCGAGCTGCCATCGGTGAGCTACATCTGGATTTGGAGACTTCATCTCGTCCTGGTAGTGCTTCATATGAGGATGGCGGCTTGATTTGGATCTCGTAGGGCGTACAGTTGAATCGCGACCGTGGGAGTAAGAACGCGCGCGTCGTCCGCGGCCGCGATGCGACGGCGAGGGGCTAGGGCTCGGCGAGTGCCTATGGTTTCGTCGGCGGCGACGTTGACGATCTTCGTCGGAATCGTGACCTCTACTTCGAGCTTCAGGGGACATGCTGTACGACTTCTGCCTTCCATTCAGGGACGGCCTACGACGGTCACGGGCGCTGCGTTTCCCCGTGCTTCTGCGCGGCGGTGATGGGGAGGGACTTGGAGTGCGGTGCCGCCTGCTGCGTCGCGATGGGCCGTCATATGGGTCCTCATAGTACTTGTCGAAGTAAGGATCACGTCCACCGGCCCGGCCTCTTTCGGTAGCCGCTCCACCTGCTTGAGCTGCTGCATATGCTTCGACAATATTCCCCACCGTCTTGAGGCCTTTACTACCATATGATTTCATGTTCTTGAATGCGGGACGGTCGACCCATTGGCCATATTTATTTTTCTTGGTCCCTGGTGGCATTCCGGCAGTAGCAGCAGCAGCATCACCACGGTCTTGCTTGGAGAGCCTTGGCGGCGGCGATTCATCACGCTCGCGTCTTGAGTGCCGCCGCCGCGGTGGAGAATCGGAATGTCTTGACGAACGTGCGGGGGGCGAGGCAGCCCTCCGAGTCCGTGGTGGGGACGCATTAACTGAGGATCTCGGGGGTTGCGTTGATGCTCTGTTCGATTTGTGTCTGCGACGAGAATCTCGAGGGTCTTCTTCATATCGAGGGGGTGGGTCCGGGACGGCATCGCTGCCGACATATTCATAAGCGTCGTCGTTCACGCCGGCATAGGGATCCGGGTAAGCCTCTCTAGACATGTAAGGGTCGTCATCTTCGGGTCGATAACGTGAGGGTTTACGGGCCATGATGGCTCTCGTAGATGATTCGAGTGTACAAAAAAGAAAAAGGCAGCTGTCGACGGAGATGAGAAAGATCAACTCGATCTATACACTAGTAGGCTGCAACTGGGCGGCCTCTTCTGGTAAATAACTTTTAGAGCAATAGCTGGAAAACCAGATGAGCAGCTAGGTTAGTCGGTTAACCTAACCTAACCTCAGTGAATCATATGTCGTCCTTGACGTGACAGACCGTTTGTACGTTGGGCAGGTCGGGGATATAGCCCCAGCCCCGCTGGCTTGTGTGGTGTGGTGTGGTGGGAACAGAAGCCGCGATCGAAGCAAGAAGGGTCCAGCCCGATGGATGGCAGATGCACCACGACGTAACACATGCAAGTCGCAAAGATTATACTGGCACGACAGGGGCCTGACCGGCTGGCATTCTGCTTTGTGGCAGCGGTGTAGCGAATGATTGTGGGGAGACAGACGGCAGCTCATGTGCACTGCATGGGCCGGTGATGTCAGTTGGGGTCTCGCCCCCGTGTCCTGATTGCCTCAAGTATGCGCGTGTGGGTTGTTTTTGACGGACCCTGCGCTGGCGTGTGTACAGTAGGCTCGGAGGTAGGTTATGGTTGGCCTCTTCGTCACGAATGATACATGCCCACCTCCCCGCATGATCTCACCCTTTGACACAGGGCCAGTGAAGCTCGTGGCGGAACTTTCTAATCATGTGCCGAAGGGAAAGAAGAAAAACAACACGAATAAAAATTACACTTTGCCTGGTGAGACCATTGCCACCGACTCCCGCGCATTTCATTTACATCTGAGCTGCCGGAGGTAATCCATAGTATTGATCAAGGTACTGGCGGCGAAAGACATCAGTGAAGAACTAAGCACAAATCATCCATGTATGGCTGTGGTGGCTTGTGTGTGGCGGACCGTGCTCCACGGGCTTTTGGCAACTGACTGGGTCCCTCCGCAACTCGTGGGATAGTCCAAGAGAGCTCAATGATAGCGCTAACCTAGTCTAGTCTCTTGGACTATTATCATACGCTGCGAACGGACGCAGTCGTTTTTGCATGTGTTTATGACCGCAAGTATCATGCTCCTGACTCTGATGGCTACGGTTGCATTACCCGACCGATAGCGCTTGATATGGACACAGGCCACAGCTCTCGTGAAATCATTGCCCGAGGAAGCCAGTCCGTACTTTCGAGATGAATCTTCGGAACCGCTAGTCAAGTCCGTATCAACCCGTCCGGAAGAGCATTGTTTTAAATGCCAGATGGATGACTTTGCGAATGGGAAAGAAATATAACAAACCCCCACGCTCCGGACACAAGTGTTGCTCAAAGCCGCAGATTATATCGGTAGGTTAGCCAGTTCCCACCATGTCCTGGCCTTTCACGGCAAATTGAAGCCAGACGGCTGCAGCAAAGTTGGGGAGAGGGGGCTCATATGAAGATGATTTAGTCGTGTCTGGGCCATTGGCAACATCTGCAGCGCTTTGTTGATCCTTCTGATTTGACTCCGCAAAAGTACGTTTAACGGCTGCATTCGAAAGGCATGTAAGCGAAGTAAGATCGGTCCATTTCTTCTCCACACAACTCGTTACGAATTCCTCTTTTGTCTGTCATACATCGGCGTATGCTGTCTTGCTCTTCACACATTGGAGCCGTTGGACGCCTCTCACGTGCCAAATCCTTACAACTGCACATATCCATTTATTGATACCCTACGGATGAAGAAGATCGATAACATGGCGGGACTGGCTGCTACGCTTGCTGCCTCACAAAGAACCGCTGCAGCGGCACTGTTTGTGCGATTGACACAAAATATTTCAGACGGACACCGGTCACTGGCCGCTCTTTGCGTTCGGGAACAAGCTCCGTTCAGATTCAGGAACCTGATGCTAAATTTGGGCTGACGCTTTCCCCCGCATTTTGCAATATGCGTCTTGGAGGTAATTTCTAGGTCCTTTCAACCGTCATAGGGTGAATTAGCCGAGAGCGTTGCATTTTCCATCATTCTTTGCGGGCACAAAACCACCAATGCTCCCGTTTTCGGTGGTTTAGGTTCATGTTCCGCTCGTTTCTGCCAACCTGTTGTCTTGGCATGCTGACTGTCTCATTGAATACGAGGCGATCCCCTCGACCTTGCAGTTACCGAAGGCTAAGGCCATGTCAGCGTACAGACACAATAAGTAAAGCTCGCTTACAACGTTACGTATCTTGTAGCTGAGGAGCAAAGCTGAGAATCTGTACTTCGTGGTTGACCAATCATGTTGGAATGCTAATGGCCTCATACGATCTGTGCCTGAAAACAAGCAAGAGCTAATCATCTGTGTTAAAAAAAAAACATATGAAGCCAAGAGCTTTCTCACATCATCGCGTACGATGGTACTCACTAAACCTTAACCTAACGTTTTGCCAAGCTTTAAATGTCGTATCCAGGTCTTAAATGGCTCGCAAGGGATGTAACATCCTGCAGGCCCTGGATAGACAAGGTGAGCGATACATAAGGCCACGGCACCACCGACTCTTGGACGTTTATACTCTAGAGCTTATGTACTCCTAGTAGCACATCCTTACAAGCTCCGATCACGCAATGTTATACTACGCTTTTACTACCTTGGCCGTCATATCAGCGGCCTTGGCTCTGCCAACCGAAGAGTCGCAATGTCCTCGTACTGTTTGCGTTGATGGCGTCAACAGTTGTGGTGTTCGCTACGGGAGCTGTTATGATGCATGTACAGCATCTCTTCTTCCCACTGCTCCGAGCTGTAGTGTTTCTACTTCTTCCATTTCGACGGAAAATTGCAGCACCCGGACTGTGTGGTAAGTGATTACTTTCCATCCATTGAGTAATCTATATTAACTTCGAGTGTCACAGTGCTGATTATGTCAACGATTGTGGCATTTGGTATGGCGGGTGTTTCCCAGACTGCACCGTAAGTTATCACAAGGAGAGTCAGACTCAGCTCGTCCAAAACAACATCAATGAACAGAATCGTTCAACACGTATGAAATATGGGGGCTAATCTACCTGTTATAACTAGCCGTGGCCAACCTTCACAGCTCCGCCATGTACTACTACCAGTGCACCATCGATAACTCCTACCACTATCACAATACCACCCACCACGGACTGCCACACCCAGACTATATGTACTGACTACATTGATGATTGTGGTAAGCGACTTCTGGCATCGAACTGCCCCCGTGGTGTGATCCGGGAGTGCATGCCCCTTATATGGGGTGTTGGGCTTTAACAGCAACACGCAATGCCTCTAAAAGAATGTCAAAGAGATAGAAATGCAGTAATCACTAACTTTCGCGGGATGTTACAGGTCAAACATATGGCGGCTGCTTCTCCGCCTGTACGGTGAGTCATACCTGTTGGGTTTTCTTCTTCAAGGACATGCGAGTTTTACTGTCTCACTCTACCACCATCCGAAGGGGTCCATCTTTCAAGTGTGGAGGTTGAAAGCTGATATATTGCTTTTGAACTAGCCTTGGCCGACCTTTACAGCTCCCCTGTGCAGTCCGACGACTACGACACCCCCGGTGACGACATCCACAGTCTCGACGATCTGCTATGATTATTTCAAGACCTGTACTCAGGGCACTAGTACAGCTGTTCTGACTTACGGAGGGTATGCTCTTTGAATCTGACCAATATCACGAACAATTCTCACTAAAATATGTCAAGATGTTTCCCAGCGACCATCCATCCAACTTTTTCGGAGCCGCCATGCCCCACCGCCACGACAACAACAACAACAACTACTCCTCCAGTGACATTCATCACACCGTCTGCCACACCTACTACAGTCTGCGCCGATTACTTGAAGACGTGCATCGCCGGTGGCACTACTTCTGTTTTGACCTACGGAGGGTGAGAGTTCCAATGATTCAAACTCGGATGTAGTACGTACTGACATTATATAGCTGTTACGAACTAGGTGGCCCCACTCCAACATTCTCAGAGCCTTCATGTCCAACGGCCACAGTGATTACCGGTGGTTATCCCACCGCTGCCTAAGCTACGAGCTGCGAAGGTTATGGTCAATTTTCACAAGTTAAAAAGTTCGCTTTGCTATTTAATACGAGAAATTGACGAACAATAAACCGTATATCCTGTCCAAAAGTAAGGGCCGCTGATCCGTTTTGCAAAAAAAAAAAAAAAAAAAAAAAGTCCTGGCCGCCCGCTAATCTACTTGCCCTGAGAAATGCCACAACGCCTGATTCCTCCGTATATTTTGTAATTTTTCACGTAAGTCCTATAACTACAACATCAACGCCGCAATAAACCCGGCAACCAATCCTGCTGGCGCGACAATATTCGCCACAGCACCGGCAGTGACGAAAGGCGGGCTCGTAGTCGTTGGAGATCCTCCAGTCGGGATGATGGTCGAGTTGCTCCTGATAGTTGTCGGGCTGCTGACCGGGTACGTAGAGGATATCCTGACAGAAGACGTTCTGGTCGACGTAATTGTTGATGGTGGTGCTGTTCCTTCGGAGCATTGGCACGGGGCAGTGACAGTAACGGTAACCGCTCCTACTCCCGCTCCTCCTCCAGTCGTAGATAAAACCTCCGACTCCGTCGCGATTGCTGTCGCAGTCGTAACTTTAGTAGTGCCTGGGACCTCAATGGTGGCCGATGCTATGTAAGAGGCGGTGGCTGATGCAGCACCGCCCGTTGAGACGCCAGAGTTGCCGCACTGGTCTGGTGAAAAAGCAGCAGCGCCCTTATCCAGTGTAGTCTGTAGCCCACTGGCGAGACTGGCAGCAAGGGTTTGTGCCTCTTCAGGTACCTTCGCCACCACGGCATCGATGAGCGATTTTGAAGACGTGCTGATGCTGCTGATCGTCGACTGGACAATAGTACATAGATCAGACTGTTCGAATTGCGTTTTCTTGGCGGTTAGATCATCCACAAGACCCTGTCCGGCTGTTTGTAGGGATGTGATTATGGACTGCAGGCTGATTGCGTCGGTGAGCGTGAGGGCGGCAGAGGCACCGATAGTGGTGACGCCGGATCCCAACGTCTCCACAAGGGCTGCTGCATCTGATTTGACTTGTGACGCGTCGCCTTGAAAGGACTTCACCGACGAGTCGAGTTTTGTTATCGCTGAAGATACTTGAGCTGCCACTGAACTGACAGTAGCAACGTCGCGGGATACTCTTGTTGGAGGGCCATTAGGTATTGATTCTGCGATAGTAGTGACAAACAAGGTCCAATTAGATAAAATTGTTGTTGTCTTCATTTTGTGAGTAATTCTCAAAACCAGGCTGTAATATGATCGTAGCGTGGTTAGCGATTGTAAAGATATGCATTCTCCACGGATCCTCAGATTTAGGAACCGGGTGACACACGTTATATGCCTCTAGAAAGGGGGTGCCGATCCTCCATCGTCAAACTTGATCAAGATGCAGCCCGAACACGTACGATCAACGATTCACCTGGTGAATCGACACAAGACGTCTGCCGAGAGTGTGCCTATACCACATGCGGGAATGCATTGACAATGCCACGGAGTTGACGTCAAATAAGCTTCTTTGGTTCAACTACCAGATCGTCAGGGACCAGTCCGGGGACGTTCAGCAGCGAGCAGGGTATAGCTACTATGCATGGGATGATACCCATATGACAGGGTTTCACCTGGCTCGGCTGGTTGGCGATTTCCTGAAACGGCGAATCACAAAGACGATAGAGGTTTTGCTCATTCTTGGCCCGCTGAGCAGCGTTATTGGTCTACAGCATAGATGTACGAAAGCATGCATATGGAAACCAGTAACCTTGGCGGGACCATCGCCTTGCACTAGAATGCCAATCCTTCGAGAAAGCTGTGCTGGCGGTTATCTCTTCTGTTGTGAGCGCTAACGATGATTTATTGGTTAAGCTAACGCCAAAGGCTAGGCGCCAGGCGAATAGTGGCTCCTGGTCGTTCGTCCTATGGTATCTTCATTCGTCGCTGACATCAGATCTTATTGTTTCTTGACGTCAAAACTACAGAACCACTAAGACCAAATGGAGTCCAATAAGGCAATCGAAATGTGCATGAATATTGCTAATGAACATGAAACGCCATGCGTCTCGGGAGACTCCCTGTATCGCGGGGCTTAGTGGTTAATCCCCCGCCGCTAGGGAGTTATACAGGCCTCCGTACGCCGCCAATCTGGAACCGCGTTGCTGGAGGCCAACGTCATCGATGAAACATGCCTGGGCCTGGTGAGCCGTTAGTATCAAGTCCAAATATATCTACTAACGTTGAACTGAAGATTAGTCAGACTTAGGCGACATCGCGTCATGATGTATCAAATTGCATACCTTAAGAAGGCTGTGCCTTGCCAAGCAGTGGCCTCGGCAATCAGCACAACGCAGTTGCTCAATCCTCTAACATTGCAGAAACAACTCTTCATCCCTCCTAATTACTACGAAGTGGCCAGGGCTTTTCCCCGGCAACATCGAACGATTTACAGATTGCCGAAAAGATCGGTTACTCGATACCATAGTATGGAACACTGGCAGCACGCTCGAGACCGAGTTAACGGCGAACTGGGACCAAAAGCCTGGTTGATCGGTGACGCTTATCCAGTCTTTCAAGACCTAACAGCTTCGACCGCCCCTCGCTTTAATTTGTATTAGATAGGTTCTAGATAGGCTAGTAGTCTAAAGCGATCCGTACATATTCAGCCTTTGCTTTCATCTTCGGCTAGGACCGCTGGAGTATTTAGGGAGTCGCCATGGAGGAACGTCCAGCGTCACCTTGTGGTGTTCAGTCGAAGGTGCTCGGCCCGGTCTGACCTTCAACCGACCTGTCAGGCCGGCCAACCGTCCGGCACTTAGGGTCACTGAATGGCATGTCCCAGCCAAGCCGTGTTTCGTTACCCGCTTAGGACCATGCTAGGACTCGGGTCCCCTCAGCCTCGTTATATCACAGTCACTGCGCGTTCTTCTTTGCCTCTGTTCGACATTGGTTGGAGGCCTTCGTGGCCAGCCTTATACCGACCTAGCAGGTTGTGAGCGGGTAGCCCCCTTTGAGATATATCGCGGCTACTTCATCGTGCTACATACACGAGTTGGAAACTCATACAGTCCCTGCACAGCCAAAAGTTCTCCTCTCTGGATACTCTAAATTATGTAGTTTTGTAAAGAAATGTGTAATCATTCTCGAAGGAACGATGGCTGTAATATATAAAAGCACTCAAGAAATGACAGCAAGATCACGACTTAAGAGGCACAGTCTGATGTAACAAATGCACCCGGCCAAAGATTAAGGTTGTTACAGAAACCCCCCAAGAAGAGCATAAGGCTGTGTTCGTCTTTCCAACATACTATGCAGGGGATTAATGGGCTAGACACCCCCTGCTTGTAATGAGTAGACTCAAGTGGAAATAAACTTTTTATTTTATTTTTTTTACTTGGTCGTCCTGGTCGAAGTGACCAGATTGAGATATATAAAGGCCACTTTGGAAGCGGTACTGAACGACGCTTCTTTTCAGCAGATCACATCCATTTCACACTTTTTTCCACTGCCAGGTCAACGAATCTGGAAGTATGTCTGCTCCTGGGAATTATCCAATAGAAAGTGGCGAACCAGTAGGACAGACGGAAGGCGGCGTGCCTTACGAACATGATTCTGCATATGAGGACTTGCCAGAGGAAGCACTGACTGAAAATCCATTCGACACTGAAAGTAGTCGCATCCTATTCAATGCGATTGACCAGCTGCAAAGCTGCGATGCAGGTCAAGACATTGACATTCCGCAGGTGAGTGGAATATTGTGCGAATATCGGTTCTTAAACTCATACGAAATACAGCTAGTCATTGTAGGTGGCCAGTCTACTGGTAAATCTTCGTTGCTCCAAAGCCTTGTAGACATTCCTTTCCCAACTGGTCAGGGATGTTGCACTCGCTTTGCCACCCGTATCGTCTCCCGCCGCACACCTCCAGGCTCAAAGAATGAGTGCGTCATTACGATTGTCAAGCCGGACTTCGACATCAAAGACTATTACAGTCTAAATGAGCACTTCAACTACGACATCCGCCCCAACCATCACACCTTCAGGTACCAAAGCGAGACGCTCAGCGCGCAAGACTTCCTCCATGTCATGAAGGAAGTGGAGGAAAAGTACATGGGCATCAAGTCGGGCAAGCGCCGAGGAGCAAAGAACTTCGCAACCGAGGTACTCAAAGTTGAGCTCAGCGGACCCAAGCGATCTCATTTCAGCATCCTTGACATCCCGGGAGTTTTCGCAACGCCAGTCGACGTCAACGTTGAAGAAATGGAAGGTGTCCGGCGAATGGTCATTGAGTATCTGAGAAAGCCGCAAAATCTTGTTATGTGAGTACATCCACACACACATCGAGTGCGCTAACATTTTAAAGCTGTGTCGCCGATGCTGGCAGTGATCTAGCAAATCAAGGTGTCTTCACATTAGCCGCGGAGCACGTCCAGAAGAGCCGGCTCATCGGCGTGTTCACAAAATGTGACAATGTTAGAGATCCAACAGATGTGATCAACATTGCCACCAAGTTGAAGGAATCTGGAGACGTCAGCTCAATGCAGCACGGTTGGTTTGTTGTCCGTAATCGGAGAGGTGACGAAGGTATTTCCTTCGACCTGAACGCTGCAGAAAGAGATTTGTTCGACAGTTCCCCATGGGCTGCCATACCCAAGACGCGACGAGGATCCAGAATGCTAAAGAAATTCCTGGGAGATATCCTGTGTTCTCGAATCCGTCAAGAGTTCCCAAGCCTCCAGCAAAAGGTCAGGGACTTATTGAAGGAAACATTGGCGGCCAGAAAATCATTAGGAGACCCACGACCCACTCATCATCATCGCGTACAGTACCTTGTCGACATCGTGCAAAAGTTTCAACGTGCCGCCCAGCAGGTCAGTACCCAAAGTTATTCCATTCTCTGTTTGCGATGTTGCGATAGCTGAAGCTTCTCATGAGAATCATGAATGCTCACCTATGCCCCCAAGAAAATTTCATTAAACAAATTACTGATACGCCTCCATGGGATAGGCTTTAGATAGTCCTGGTCGGCTGCCATCAAAGGAGATGCGCGTTCGCGGAATCGTCGCAGCAAAGAATCGCAACTTCGACGATGAAATGAGAGATCAAGGACATTACTATGAATTCGAAGAGTTCGAAGACTTCTTTGGAAGTGCTAGCAAAGACATATCCACCGACGAAGGGGTTCGCAACAATGTAAGTAATGCTATCTTCGTCGGCTTCCCAGACGTTCGCAACACAAAACATGTCGGATGAGACCGAATTTTAAATTCAATAACAACCAGCACCATAAAGATGTACAAGTCTTTTGCCTATTTACCGGGTATAGTCATACTAATGTGTTGCTCAATAGTTCCCTGATTCAACCCCTCTCCACGGTGTTTTGCCAACTCCAGACTTAACGCCGAGAAAAAAACCTCAGAAGAACCCAAACGTCCTGGAGTCTTTACCATTCAATACTGAAGGAGTATCGGATATTCGACAAGAGATCAGGGAGCAAATAGAAATCTTCCGAAGCAGTGGACTCCCTGGATTGTTGAACATTGATGTCTTCCCAGTGCTTTACAAGATCCAGACACAAAAGTGGCTTGATATGGCAACTGATCACCTCCATGACGTTGCTAATGATACAATTTTGGCGGCTACAAGTATTCTGACGCTTTTGAATCAGGAATATCACTTGTGTCCCAATGCACGGGATGGCTTTGTCGAGATCATTCAGGACTTCCATCGGTCTGCGCATGACAAGGCTGAGAAGCTATTGATAGACTATATGGTGAAAGAAAAAGAGTTCCCACTTCAGACTACGAACCCGGTATTTGAAGATAGGATCGAGGGTCTAAGGACGATGCGAATCCAGGAAGCCACTCGGGATCATAAAAAGGCCATGGAACTGTGGATTGAGAAGAAACTTAAGAAGGACAAACTCACCACTCCCGCCGTTATGGAAATGGTCGATCACGTGTTGACATTCCTGCACTATAATGCTGATACAAGAATGGAGAATGAAGTGCACGATGTGCTCCGAGTCTACTATGAGGTACTGAAATACTTATTATTACCACACCTACACGTTGCTAACGACTCTGGTAGCTGGCACTGCAGTCGTTCATCGACTTCACCACCAAGCGAATTATCGAGGACTTCGTATCTAGCAAGACAGGACCCCTGCTTGGTCTGTCCACAGATTACGTTCTCAACCTCTCCGAGACCGAGGTAGAGAAGCTGGCACGCGAGGACGACAGCGTGTTGTCGAAGAGGGACAAGTACGACGAAAAAATAGCCAGACTTGAACAATCTTATGCCATTGCCGAACGAGCTTGGAAGCAGACTACACCCCATTAGGGTGAGATTTTTGCCTTATGATCTATAGCTATCCAATGTCTCTGGAGGCTTATGTATTATTCTAAATTGCAGTTGATGACAGAAAGGACTGGTTATATTCTCCAATGTTATTATATGGGGGGAGAAGGATTCTTTGAGAGAATAAGTGTATAGGTCATTCATTTGCAATGAGTATGGTTGGTTTTCTCGAAGGCGAAATTAGGGAATGTTGAAGCTCAGGTAAGCCCCCATACTGTACATGTGTTTAGTCGCGTAGTTCGTGATTTTGTTAGCTGGAATTTCGTATCGCTCTTCCCACAATAATTAATTTTAGGGATTCTGACTTTGCCCTTGTCCATGCATTTTGTAGCGAAAACAACAGAAAAAGACACTGTAATTGCCATTGTGTCTCGATAATCGGATGTTCGACACTGGTCACTTCTTGACAAATGTTAGATGCGTGGCAAGACCGGCAAAATGTCTGGCCAGGAAAGGGACTATCTCCACCTTCTTCAAAGAGTTTGGTTATGATAGCGAGCATGTTGTGTAATGTGTTCATGCCGTTAAGGCGCATGGATAGTCTCGATCCCTGACGGAGGGCTTGGCTGCATGACGCAGGAGGCAAATTGTCTCGTTAAATAGGTGACGTTTGCACCTTTGAATTGCGTTATACTGGCAGGACCTTTCATCTCCCGAGTCCAATGTCTTTCTTTTTATAGGAATCTTTCGCTAAAAGGTTATTGCAACTAACCACTGCCTTTTACGACGGCATGATACATACTGCGGGTTTGGTCGTTTGGCTAGTAATGCTAATATTTCATTTTCATTCAGACCGGAATCGGTTTTGGTCTGCCGTTATGCGAGACTCAATGTAGTTGGCCTCGCTTCAAATAGTCTCTGATGCGAACGCAAATCGGAGAGGACTTAGGTAGGGAAATCAGCCGCTTGCGAACGTTGCTCAAAGCGTTTCGCAGCGAGCTTGCGGTCTTGGCGGTCAAGATCCAAGACACTGAATTGCATATCCTGCTCCTGACTGCGGAGGTGCAACACCAAAAAGGGCCAGAGCGTGCAACTAAGCACCGGACTGCTCGACAAGAAGAAGCTGCCATGATGGGAGCAAATCAACGTCGCCGCATGGCCATAGAGAAAGAAGAGATATTGAAAGAGCGTCAAGCGACCAGAGGTGCTCAGAATAGTGCCGTGGGAGCTAGAAAGGAGGCGGAGCACGCAGAGCAGTACGCTCGCGATGTAGAACACGCCAAGCATGCAGCCTGCCAGCACATGAGTTGGCGGGGTAAGATCAAAGACTGTCACACTTGCAATGTCTGCTATAGATTAACCGGAAAGAGCTCGTTCCAGTGTCCTAACGGCTCAATAATTGTGTGCACCGGGTGCAGAAACATTCTGAGCAATCGCAGAAAGTAGTAGACCCGAGTCAGACCCGGGTTCTTTCAACGCCGGTGAAGCTTCCTTGATGTCAAAGCCTTATTCCTGATTGATTTACCATTGATCGTTTACTCGTGAAAAAACAAAGGATTCAGAAAAACCCATCACATGTAATTAAAAAAATATTTCTTGTTACTTACTACGTATGAACACTGAACTCTACCAGAGCTAAGCGGCCGAGTTCCTAAATAGCAATGCACAACGCTAAGATCTGGTGACGTCGTGCTATGATAATTTCTAACAACAACTTCGTGAGGGCTGTCGATAAAACTCGTTCTGTAGCTGTAATAGGTAACTAGTCTTACTAACCTAGTGGATGCGAAAAGTTCTGGCGCTTAATTCGCCCGAGTCGAGCTTGGCAATTGCCTGTCCATTCATCAAGCCAGCCACATACGCTTCCCCAAGAAGAATGTAGTTTTCTGAGCTGTCCTGTGGCCTCAATATGAAAGGTGTCTCTCCACCGAAGATAACACAAATTTTGTCACCTTTGGCTGCACCGGGCGGCGCCATCAGCATGTAGCCCTTCTTCGTGACTGCAAACTTTCTGTTACTTGAATGTTCAGCTGCCACCTGCATCCAGATTGAAGGTCTGGTCGATGAGGCCTTGAAATCCACAAGTTTCCGGGAATCACCTTGGCTGGGAAACCAAAACGACGAGAAGGTTTTGCTCAATGCCGCTATACCTGACGCGTACGCCATCGCTATCGGCGAGACATCTGCGACGCATTTAGCTGGCGCGAAGACGTCCAGGAAGACCTCAAGGCTGTCTAAGTTTGGCTGAAGCAGATACTTGGGCTCGGTTCGAAAACCGGGCTTTGAATTGGAATAGCCAGGGAACGTGCTGAAGGCCATTATCCAATCGTCATGGAGCTGCTGGCTTGATGATTTTGACGATAAATTGAAGCGGTGGTACGTGTCTCCGATTTTGCTGATGGTATCAATCACGATGCCGCTCAGTATGAGCTGTTTAAAGTTGCCCTCGAACCGAGCTATGTGAGATGTATCTTTAGATGCACTATATCTGCCTGGGTGGCCAATCAAATTGCCCGGAAAATGCGCAGAATGCCAACAGGGTACCCAGCTGGGCAGCGGGGGGGATGTTGGTGAGGTCGTCATATTCAGGATCAAGAGGTAGGGACTGGTTCTCAGTATCCGAATGGCCAACTCATGGTAGATTGCATGTACAGAATTGTCGTAGTCCGGTTCAATAACAACAGCTTGTTCTGATTCGACCCAGGCTGAGTAATGACCGAGCTTTGAAAATATATAGTCGCGAGGATCAGTTGCAGAACTCCTAGCGCTCAAGAATAGCTGATAAACGAAGTCGCTGTGCGCTCGGTCACCGCGATCTTCTGATGATCGTACGAACCGCCCATGTAGAACAGTGATACACTGGGTTTCTATATCGTGGACCTTCTTGAGTTCCCATAGACGGTCTAGGTTCTTCATTGCCTGGTTCAGCACATCCCAATCAATATGCATTGTCCCCCAATGAATCTCCGCCGGTGTTTCGGTGCCAATTTCCTGTGGTATCCATACTCGTTTGAACCAGGGGCGCTGGGTGAGTTCTCTGAGGGCTTTCCAGTGCTTCTTTGGTATCCAGTTGAATTCAGCACCAGCCTTCTTGCAGAGGGTATAGAGTAGGCCATCCTCCACTATGGAGGATATAGATTGGCAGAGCTGAAATGCTTTCGATGCGTATGCTTCTTCATCCGGACCCAACCAGACTAGAACGCGTGTTGCTTCTCTAAATATAGCGTGCATTAACTGTACTTGTTTATTTCGCTCAAAGATGTCTTTCTGATTGATGCATATTTGATCAACCCACAAAAGGCGTCGGGCTGTTGGAAGACGAAAGTGCTTCAGGGCGGTCGCAAGGCTTGGTGTGATTGCAAGGCGCTTGCCTTCCAGCAGGATTGTCTCTGAGAAATCCGGTGCTCCCCAAACATATGACAACGCACTATAATGCTCGGCTTCTGAGATAGCAAATGTTCTCAAATGCCCTCGAAGAGGTTCTCGGTCTATTCCTGGCTCTAGGACCAATCTCCTTGTTGTATTAGGCTCATATATGCGCTGGTACTTGTAGAATTCCGACAGAACTGCCGGCTCGAAAGCTTTTGTCGCAGATACCTCTTCATGCATGGCTCGCCGCCGCTGTTCCTCCTGAGCTGCTGCGTTGGCGAGGTTGAGCCTCGTTTGGTCATATTTGACTGAGAAACGATCCATATTGGCAAAATGAGTTCGGATCGGTCCACGACAATACATAAAATTAAGCTTGGACGCAAGACGATTTGAAGAAGCTCACTTTGTCAGCTAGAAAAGGCTGTATTTGCGGCTGAACATGTGATTTGCGATCGCACTGCATGCCTTGTCAGCAACATGCAACTCACCCTGGTTACTCCCCATCTTGGCTCTGGTGCCAAACAGTCCCATTCCAAGTCGAGATGTTGGAGGTCTTTCTAGCAATATTACTCGTAGTTTTCCGCATTCTCACCTAAATCCCCACTCTCATTCAATCGCTGCACTCGGCAAGCCTCCGATCACCACAAACCTTAAATAAAACCACAATAAAGGCCGGATTGTAAGACTACCACGTACAATAAGTTCCAAGGGCATTTTAGCTCAAAAACAATTCGGGTGTTCTCATAGTCAATGAGTCCATCATCAAAGAACAAATCATGCACGCAGTTTTACGTGCTTGAAAGAATTCTGCCTTTCTCATTAGATACACTAGCGACGCTATATCGATTTGAGCGTTCCGCGTAACTATATATACTTCTAGTTCTTGGTCGGGATTATTTAGTGCTGGCAATTCCACCAGCTGGAAGATGTCTATGTCTGCTACCTAATCTCTAGTTCTATTACAAACCCAACGGTGATTTCACGACCACAATCATGTATAGAAACACAAATAATACACGATGATTATCATAACAGACAACTGATTGACGAGTCCTAAACTCTCCATCCTCCAGCAAATCCGTACAGCATAACACAACGAGTCCTATAGTTTTCAACGCCCCATAATTCTCGGGCAAATCCAGGTCTGCTGCGGATCCGAAGTACCGAAGACATTGAGAAAGAATTAATGTTCTGAATTGAAAACACCTGGACAATACAATTCCAATTGTATTGCAACATTTCTAACGTCGGACTAGAATCTTACAGTTGATGACCGCTGCCAGGGACCCCTTTTTGCGCCCTACTTTGCGCCCATAATCTGTTTCTGAAAAATGTGTACCAGACTTGTGATTACACTCCTCGCGAGCAAGGGTTCAAGGCATAATAGGACATGTTCACAGGAATTAATAACTTGATACTTGGTTCTGTGTCAATTCCGACAGCTGCGCATTCCAAAGCGCTATATTGTGACTCCGTTGCGAAACCATCAAGCTTAAGCAAGACATGCACATCACTTACTGTCTTCAAACGCATCACACTACCGCTCAAGTCAGTTCAGGTGCAGTTTTTCAGCAGACACAAATGATGCTTTTAGCAGTTTGATGAATTTTCTTCACCTGCTCTATAAAAATATCGTTTGTCGAGTCAGCAAGTAGCGAAATGCCCTTTATTTGCTCAAGTCGTCCGGTCACACACAGAGTGCAGGTTAAAGTGAATTCTTGAATACTAAGAAGTATCTAACACGGATGGATCAGTTTTAGACCATGAGAGGCAACTAATTATAATCCTGTCTTAAGCACAACCCCATCATCGATATATTTCAAGTACGTGACGTTTTCAAAGGTTTCATGTAACCAATTGATTTAAACAACAATCGATTTCCCGCTATCCTAATGCAAAACATGCATTCCGCTTTGGTATGGCTCCTGAAACTGATACCAGAATCGTGTACTTTCGAAAGATGTAAAATATTATCCCTTAAGCCACCACACGATACCATATTTGTCAAACCAAGCCAAGAGGGTTAACAAACAGAGACGTAAGAATTCTCAGCATTCAGACAGGATGCCAGTTGTACGGACCTAGGCTATCTTGGACCAGTCGACAGAGGCTAGTGAAACCTTGACTGACAACAGCGCATGCACTACATCAATCACACCACCAAAGCACTTTCGCTGTGTTAGGTGTGACCAAAGGAGGCAACTGAAGTCGAGAGACCCAACGGACCCAACTAAATACAGGGATTACGCTCTGATAAATCTTGAAGGCAGGTCTGGAGGAGGTGAAGAAGCTAAAACTATGGACAAAACTAGTGGTGCGTAGTCACCCTTTCAGCGGAGGGTGATGCATTTCAGGGGGCACAGTCTGCATAGCTATTGCGAAATTGAACCAGACATGGACGGCGATCCAATTGTTGATAGCCAAAGTCGGATATATTGTTAACAAACTTTTTAACCGATCGTTCGCGAATTCTCATTATATCGTATTTACGTGAACTTGGCCGTAGTACATGCTCCATTTCTGAGCCCCCTGTGAAGCAGAAAAGGTTCCCTCTCTGAGGTCCGCATAATGGTCTGGCCATGGCCCCGATGGAGTCATCAGAAAAATGAAAGAAGTAGTGTGCATCTGCCGATATGATATTCCTCAGCCACTTCGCGTTATGTTCCAGCACTTATGCGTCAATTGTCTTCGCAACATATGGAGGCTTGCGGCGCCTCTTGCCATCAATGTCGTGTCATCCCAAGCCATCGTCCTGCCAGAAGCCACTTGCGGCACTGTTGTGCCAGATCCTGTTGGGCCAAGCACAGTATTTTGAGCGCACCCATACGTCGTGACTTAGAAGAACGTCTAGAAGTTGACGGGCCGTTGAATCTTCATTGTCCGGCGGTTCGAACACCGCAAACGACTGTTCAGCCTGGGCAACGTAGTTGAGCAGCAATGCCAGACTATCCGAAGCTTCGCAGGGCAGGTGGAAGCTTGGAGCAGAGGCCGGAAATGTTATCAAACCCAGTACATCTACCTCCGGCTGTTTTATTCCACGGACAAAGTAAAGTGAGCCCCCAGATGAATTTCGTAGAATGTAACACTACCAGAATATTGTGTTTTCAATCCAGCACCCAAGACGGAAGTCTTTTGGTCTCACCAGAATTTGTACTGATGGTAGTATGGTGAAAACCTTTGTTTTCTTCAACAAGTAAATAGCGTGGTATGTCAACAGATCTACAGAAGACCGAGGATAGTCTGACCGCAGGCTTTAATGGAGGTCTTTTTGACTCAAAGCCCACAAAAGGTAGGCATCCTCGAGCATCACAAACGACAGGTAGGAGAGACTGCATGTGAGAGGTCGAGTCTTGCATCGCTTTAGCAAAACCGCGAGGTAATCACAAAGGGGCTGATGACATCATGTTCTAGTTGCGCCAAATTTATTTTCGCAGTGAGATGTCCCATTTCTAAATACAGTGACGTTAAATCGTATATTGTGAATCGTGATTAAGTTTCATCCACGGCTTTCCTGTTGGACTTTCTGAGGAAGTTTTTTAGGGAATGAGCAAGGGTGGAAACTGACGATGGTATAAACTGACATTCTACTCGGTGCGGTTCGGTCCGTAAAGCAAACAATTGGAGACGAAGCGCTGCCGTCAGAACCAAACCATATCAACCATGTCACATCCCCGGGATGTGCGACAGGTGGAAGAAAGTACACAATGGCAAACCCGCGCCCCATCTCAAGTGCCGAACCACATGGATAGCGCATCGTCCCAGAAAGGGAGCTGCCAGCTGATCTACTCGTGTTGACCCCTGAAAGAGCGGGCGATCACCCCCACAATATCCTTGACCATGTTGCAGCGACTATGCAAAACTCTGAAACGACGACCTCCCTTCGGACTGGGGAGCCATCAATTCGGAACAAGGAGCCTCGCGATGTTTGTTTCTTACCGCATGAAATATAGTGATGCTCTCCAGGCAATATAAGAAAGCCATGTATTCCACGACCAAGCAAGCCGCCATGTTGACATTTTACTTTGACTTGTTCTTGAGCTAAGTCGTCCATACTAACATACTTTTGAGGACATAAAGAGCAACTCTTGAGATGGCGACTAAGTTCTGTCTTCTCTCTCTGCTGACCTTGGCAACGGCATCACCTGCCGCCTCGATCCACGAGCGCGAACTCAAGAAGCGCGCCACCACGCTCATCCCAGATACCTGCTTCAGCTCTCAATCCACATTCGAGTCGTACTTCTCGTACAACTATCCGTGGGGCGATACACATAATGGCGCCGCACTCATGAAGGAGTCGCAGGTCTCCATCATCCATGACGCCTACCTGCAGCTGATGTCCAACTATACCGGACCGCAGTCCGACGACAGCGATCTCAGCTACGACTCGGGCACCGTGTACGCCAAGCAGCACTTCACGGTAGATGCCAACGGAGGTCTAGACTTCCAGGCGAACTTCGTCGCGCCGGTCGCCGTGGGCACCTGGCCGGCGTTCTGGCTCACCGCCGTTCAAGGCTGGCCGCCGGAGATCGACCTCGCGGAGTGGAAGGGCACGGGCAAGGTGTCGTTCAACACGTTCAACACCAGCTCGGAAGTAGCTGCCAAGGATGTGACGTACACGACGCCCACAACGGCGTGGCACACGATCCTGGTGGAGCTGCGGGCCGAGTCGGACGGGTCGACGCTCAAGGCGAACTTCTACATGAACGGCGCTCTGATCACCACGCAGTATGGCGCTAACATGGTGGGCTCTGCCTTCTATCTCATCATCGATTACCAGATGCTGGGAAGCAGTGGCAGTAGCGGTCCGCAGGAGACCACGTACTTTGATGTGCAGTACTTAAGTGTCGTCAGTTATAATCCTTAAGGATAAGCGTCGCTGAGAGAGGCTTTCTTTGTATACTTTTATTGGTGCGAATACATAAATGAGACAGCCTAGGGCATAAGTTCTTGAGTTTCGTCAGATATTCCTGTTGATTTCCTTTGGGGAAGTTTGATTTTCTTCACCTCGTCAAGCATTCTTCCATTTAGCCGAGGACTCGTTCCGCTCAATGTACACATCCAAGCCCTCTTGCACGACGAAGAAGGATGCATGAGCCTTGAGCTCTCTCCCAGGGTGCACAAGTACGAACTTGAAGTCCCTCAGCAATCTCGGGATTACCTTGTTAATCTCGAGCAGAGCCAAATTGCGTCCGATGCAGACGTGTGCACCGCCGCCAAACTTCTCGATATTAGCCAGTTCGTCGAAGCGAATGTTCGACTGCAAAGAAAAGAGCAGGACTTGCCTGGAACATGAATCTCTCCATTTTCTTGGCCTGCTCCTCATCTTCAAGCCATCTCTCCGGCCTGAACTCATTAGCATCCTTCCCGAAAACATCAACATCTCGATGCAGCACCCAGGCATTCAGCGCCACGCGCGTGCCACCAGCAAAATTGATGCCGTCGAGTTCGATGCCACTGGCGGGAACATGTCTCGTAATGTTGAGACCGACCGCGGGACGCAGTCGCATTGCCTCTTTGAGGCATGCCTGGAAATACGACAACTCCAAGGATTGCAGGTACTCGACATTGCCCTCGGTAGGGACCTGGCCCGCCTTGATCGCACGCTCCATCTCATCTAGGAGGCGGTTGTAAACGTTTGGCACGGACAGGATGAAGTGGAAAAAGGACTGCATGGTCGAGGCAGTCGAGTCGGAACCTGCGAATCTGTGGAGAAATGGTCAGTACCATCAACCAGAAATCGGAGGCGAAGACTTACATGGCCCCGTGCGCCACTGCAAACACGTCGCCCTCACCAAACCCGCTCCCTTCCTTCAAGTGGCCCTTGATCAAACTCCCCAGCAGGTCGCGCCTGCCATCACCGCCGCTCTTTTCCTCTTCCGCTTTAAAAGGCTTTCTCCTGCCGAGCTCTTCGGAGGCAATTCTAGTGATCAACGCATTCCCCGGGTCAAAATACGGGATGATCTTCCACAGCGGGTTCCTGCGCAGCACGTAATCCCACTCGGGGACCTGCCCGACGATGCCGTTGTACGTCTGACTGTTGTCGATTGTCCTGATCGCCCCTTCCACATCGTGGCCGGTGGCCAGGAAGCCGAATGCGCGTGAGAAGGCGACCTCCCCCAGGACGTCGAAGGCAAAGTAGTGCAGCCACGCGCCCAGGTCGACTCGGCCCTGGCCTTGATAGTCGACGCAGGACTCGCCCAGCTTGGACGCCAAGAGGTCGATCGTGTCGTCGATAAAGGGACTCAGCTGCCTCATGGCCGCCATGGAGTATGGCACATTAGCCACTCTCTTCTTGGCGGCGTGTACATCCTCGCGTATCTCGGTGAAGATATCCGGGTTCTCGGGCGGCGGGAAGACCCAGTAGAAGTCCGTCTTATAGAAGCCCTTACCGGCGGAGAGGACGGTTCGTGCGGCTTCTGGGGAGGAAAGAGATATCTCACGCGGCGCGATACGCACAATGGGACCGTATCGTCTATGCAGATCGATGTGGTCAAGATGTGTGCGTCCGCGGACTGTTGAGAAGACTTTCCAGAGCCGCGTCACGGAGGCGAGGAAAGGTCCTGGATACGAGCGAAGTGGTGAGGCATAACGATTATGAAGAGCGCGAAGAAACAGGTATGCAAGGATGGAAATACACGGGTGCGCCTTTATGAACGACACGAAGGAGTGGAGAACCACGTGCAAGTAGGATGACAACGTTTGGTTTGCCATGATGGAGGTTGAAGTCCTTGTAGCAGGTTCTGCGAGTAGTTGAATGCCCGCAGAAGCGTGTTGTATAGCCTTCGGAGGATTTCAAGCGCTGGAGATTTATTGGCAACAAAGGCGCCTTTCAAAGCACTTTTATAGATGGATTTGATATGTATATCAGGCACATGATTCATACGGCCATAGTGGCTGCACATGCAAGACTGCATCTCCGTCCCCCACAGCACTGAGAGGAGATATAAGTGAATGCATCGATAACTGTCCGCAGCAGATCTGAATGTTTGGAGATATGCTAAGGTAACCCACACAGAGTTCTGGCGTCACATGGAACTGAGCTGAGTTAGTCCTAATTAACCCATACGTGTCGACCAAGGGCCAATCAGCAATTTGCCGGTTGTTACTCAGGAATAGGACAAGCACTCCCCGCCATCTGAGAATTGCGGAGAATCCGGGGATGTGTATGTGCTCGATGAGGCTGACGCACTGCTACATATCAAATCCTGACATGACACGAGATTTAGAGCGATCTATTGTGCGATACTGATACCAATGACTTGCGGGACCCTTTTCCGGCGGGACCTTTAGGCAAAGCGGGACATTATTGTGCTGACGCACTTACTTCATGGACCGATAGACCAATGCAAAGACCACCAGTATACCCGATATCCCCGCACCTTATAAGTGCAGAATGTGGACCGTTGAGCCGATTCAAACGAGTATAGCTAAATTAGAAGCGGGCGCAAGTCGTTCATCCAACCATTTTATCATCCGTCCTTCTTCTCCAATGGCCTGAATCTCGAACTTGACATTCAGCATTAACATCAGCTGCAGCTCGCAAATCAAGTCCAACTCTTCAGCTCCAAGGTCCTCCTCGTTGTTCAGCGTAGCTAAAAGGTTAACGGCCTTGTAGCGGTCGTTCATGGAAAGCGCGCTAGTCTTGTAATCGGTGGTCGTAAGGCGAGGAACCACGGTATGGATCAATCCTGATGCCGGCATGTCTCTGTCATATTGTGGGTTAAGTTGTGAGCTTGCTTCTCGCCCACGTGGAATGGAGGCTTTCTCCATGATTGACGGTAGTGGGGGTTGCGACAGTGACTGTTCACAGTCTATATGATAGGCAATATCGCAGACCTTGACACCCATCCAGACTAAGCTGGGGATGGTGACGTTCTCTTCATGTTGCAAGCTGCGGCTACCTCGCTTATACGTGCGCATGATGCTAATACCATCAGGGTCGAAGTCCACCAAGGCATGCACTGAAGCACAATGATGTTGATGGTGTATGAAGTGTAGGAACTGCCGAGTGGCCAGGTCCGGATATCCTTTGGCCTAAAAATGCCGCGTCAGTCAGGCGGAACCAGAAAAAGAAAAACACCTTCAGTGCAGCGGGAGCGTACCGTGACGAGTAACCCAGGTCCAGCAGCAGAAGTCTCGAAATATCGCGCTGCTGCCAAGCTGCGAAATGTCGCCTATCAAGCTTAGCAACATAGGACTGTTTCCCAACAGTAAAAAAGGAAAAAAACACACTTCTTTCTCGATGATCAAGATCCATTGTATTTCACGTATGTCGATGCCCTCTAGAGTACTGGTGTGAGGTACTGAGACACCCTAAAAGCATGGTCAGTGGTGGTAAACACATCTCATGGATCGACAAACATGGTGACCAGGCACATCGAATGGCCCACCAGCGACGAGTCCTTTCGAGGCAGCAACCTAGACTCAATCAGTAAACGGTTACTTAGCACAGATGGCTATACGCACGATGTTCAGGGCATCCCTACTGACTCCAAAGGTGAAGGCAACATCATCCACGAGTTGATTGACGTAACTTTGGGTGCCAAATAAGTCAGGATGCTGGTAGTATATATGTCTGTGGTCTTGATCAATGACATTGAAGCCCTGTTGGTAGACGGACACGAGGGCACAAGCATATACAGACCTTTTGGTAATGACGGTGCCGTGGACCAGAGCTTCGTGGCAGTGGTATAGTACCTGAAGTAGCGCGGCTGGACACAGTTTCAAATGTGATTAGGCAAGAGAACGATGGAGGAGTTTAGTCAAATATCGGCAGGACGCACCGAACCTCCGAGCTCCAGAGGACGACGCCGTAGGAAATAGCACTTCTATTTCGTTGCCGGTTCTGCGACTTCGCATCGGAATGGCTAGTCGACGATTGTCTTTGAGAGCATCAACGACACTTTCGAGTGTATTCTCGATTCTTGTGATAATCGGGGCCGCGGGGCCTTGAGATACGTTTTCAGGCTCCTGACGAGGACTACGTTGTGGTGCACTTTCTTCGTAACTTGAGCAGAACGCTGGTATAGAAGACGAAGGTTGATGTCTGACTAGTGCTGAGCTGGATGATGCCATGCCAGAGGAACTGGTGAAAAACTCTTGGTCCATGGTGGTTGACTTGTTCACGGCAAAAATGAAATGGATATGGAAGTCCAATTTCAGCCCTCAAGTTTCTTCCTAGGGGCAGTAACTACAGGGCGCGGTAGCTTTAAGAGTTGAGGATGTCCAGGTGGATGCACGACGTGGTTGAGCGTATGGCTGCCAGGCTATGTAGGCAGCTTCATCGCTCCAATGGCAGTAATTAATGCATACTTGGCCCCAACAATCAAACCCGATAATCTACGTGGTTCAAAAATCAAAATGGCCCATAGATGTTGACACGGTGAAGGAGAGGTGTGACTCAGGTCCATGCTGTTTTATTACAAGTAGGAAGGCATGACCGTGATGGTGAACACTCGCGTCTCGTGCGAGCCAGCAGCCGGAAAGAGCCAATGGCGATGTGCTTGGTGGGTGCCCCCTGTAGGTGCCCTGCGAACACTAACGACGGCCCCTGAAATCCGGAGCCCGCGGCCTTGCAAAGAACCAGAACCCCTCACTACATAACCTAGATACGGATACCTACTAACCTAAGGTTACTGTGATATGTATACGTATGTACGGTACTAGGTTAGCGCTCGCGTGCTGACAGCCCCAGAAATTTGCTTGATCAACTGAAGTGGTGCCACCCTCGATTTGTCCTGGGGGGTGAGTTTCCGAGTTCGCGACTTGAAGGACGCCAGCGCCAGCGCCATTGAATCCATTCGAACTGCCTGTTCACTTCGCGAGCGTTCTGAGAGCCATAAGATGGTCACCACGCGTTCTAAAGCAAACGGCACAACTACCGCCATCGCCAATGGCATCGGCAATGGCAATGGCAATGGCTACGCCAAGGCCAACGGGTCGCTGAAGAAGCGGCGGAGCGACACCGACCTCGCACCTACCGAGTCCAAGCAGCCAAAAGTCCGCGAAGATACCGACATCACTCGATGGCGATGTTTGGACGACGACGGCCGCCTCACGTGGCACTACCTCGAGGACGACGAGGATGCAAAGGAATGGCCACAGAGCTATGCCGACAAATGGTATCTTGGGCTCGATCTCGTACGTTTCACTTTCTCCCATAGCCATGATTGCCCAGCAACCTCAACTGATGCGCCTCTCTGGCCGTAGGGTCTCCCTGATCTGCCGAAGCCCAAGAAACCAATCGATGCTGTAAAGAATGGTCTGGCCTTCTTTGAAAAACTACAACTGCCCTCAGGAGAATGGGGAAGTGAGTATGGCGGTCCCATGTTCTTACTTCCTGGGGTTGTGTTCGCATGGTATGTCACCAAGACGCCAATACCTTGGTACAAGGCGACTGCCATCAAAAACTACCTCAAGGCGCGTGCGCACCCCGAAGACGGTGGTTGGGGCCTCCATATTGAAGGAGAGAGCACTGTCTTTGGCACATCCATGAACTATACAGTCCTGCGCTTGGTGGGGGTTGACCCAGAAGAGCCGTTCATGGTCAAAGCAAGAGCTACGCTTCATCAGCTTGGAGGTGCTACCCACGCACCACACTGGGCCAAATTCTGGCTCAGCGTCTTGGGCGTCGCGAAATGGGGCATTGTGAACCCCGTCCCACCCGAGATCTGGCTCCTGCCTGATTGGACACCCATCTCTCCTTGGAAGTGGTGGATACACATTCGACAAGTCTTCTTGTCCATGAGTTACATCTACTCCAAGCAATGGACATGCGAAGAGACGGACGTCATCAGGGAACTGCGACAAGAACTTTTTGTTCAGGAGTGGGATGACATCGATTGGAACGCACACCGAAATACCATTGCTGCCAAGGACAATTATCACCCCAAGTCATGGCTGCTCAATACCGCCAATTGGATGCTCGTTAATATTTGGAATCCCTATTTACGCACCAACAGCTTAGTGGAGAGAGCAGAAGCATGGGTCAGCAAACTGATCGACATGGAAGATGAGAACACAGACTTTGCCGACCTAGCGCCTGTCAATGCTGCCATGAACACTATCGTGTGCTACATCCGTGATGGACCAGGCGCTTATACTGTACGCAGGCACGTGGAGCGACTCGAAGACGCCTTGTGGGTCAAGGACGAAGGAATGCTCTGCAACGGTACAAACGGCGTGCAAAACTGGGATACGGCCTTCGCTATTCAAGCTGTCGTGGATGCAGGACTTGCCGAAGACCCCAGGTGGAGGCCGATGCTCACCAAAGCTCTCGGGTTTCTGGACAGTCAACAGATCCGCAAGAACTGCAAGGACCAGGATGTTTGCTACCGCCAACAGCGAAAAGGTGCCTGGGGGTTCAGTAACAAGGTGCAGGGCTATGCCGTGAGCGATTGCATTTCCGAGGCTTTGAAGTCGGTGATTATGCTGCAGAGAACACCGGGATATCCTCAACTGTTGGAGGATCAAAGGATATTTGACGCCATCGATACGCTCCTGACGTATCAAAACGCATCTGGTGCGTGCTCATCGTATGAGCCGACTCGAGGCAGTGAACTTCTGGAAATGCTCAACGCGGCAGAGGTGTTTGGCAAAATCATGGTTGAATATGACTATGTTGAGTGCTCCACAGCAGTGATCACGGCACTATCGCTGTTCAATAAGTTCTGGCCCGACTACAGAGCGGACGAGATCAAGCACTTCAAGGCCAGAGTGCTTGCGTTTATCAAGCGAGCACAACTCCCTGACGGCGGATGGTACGGAAACTGGGCCATCTGCTTCACATATGCCACCATGTTTGCTCTGGAAAGCCTGTCCAGTGTTGGTGAAACGTACGAGAACAGCTCCAGCTCGAAGAAGGCTTGTGATTTCTTGATCTCGAGGCAAAGGGCGGATGGAGGGTGGTCGGAAAGTTACCGAGTAAGTTCCCACGTTTGAATACCGACCTAGGGCGCTAATAACCATGATCTGCTAGTCTTGCGAGAAGGGAGTGTACGCGGAACACCCATCGGGATCACAAGTGGTGATGACCTCGTGGGCGCTTATTGGGTTGATGCATGCTGAATACCCTGATATCGAGCCAATCAAGAAGGGTGTCAAGCTCGTCATGGAAAGACAACGACCGAATGGGGAGTGGCTTGCTGAGGCGATTGAAGGCGTGTTCAACAAGAGCTGCATGATCACATACCAGAACTATAAGTTCACCTTCACATTGAAGGCCTTGGGCATGTTTGCCACTCGATTCCCAGATGAAGCAGTAGTATAAGAGAAAAACTTGTCGAATACCAACCATGACGGCAACTGTACTGCATTGGAGAAGGAGCAACAAGTACTAGACTAGATTAAAACAGACCAACTAATCTACAATAATATTAATGAGACGAGAACATGCCAAACACCCACAGTATCGTTGCAAGTCCAGTTGAACGAACAGCGTCATGTGTAACAAGTTCAAACAAACAAACAAAGCAAAAACCGCGCCATGGTAGTCGTATAGAGAGAGAAGCCCGTGACATTTACTAATAGACTAGACTTAGTCTAACCTAGCTGCCTGGGCAGAATTTAGGCTCAAAGGTCGCAGGGGGGTGGAGCCGCTGGAGCTTCCCAACCTAGAGCTTCGATACCCCCACCATGATCTGGAACAAGCAGTTCGACATCTCAGAAAGTACAAAACCATTCTCTTTTTCGTCCTCAATCTTCCCTCCAATATACACTGTATATACCTATCTGTGTGGTCTGGCTGGCAGGGCAGATCATTAAACCTTGCAGTCCCGTTCTATTTCGAACATCCGGCATTCTACCCTCCCTTCTCGGCCCCCCGCTACGAACATGTCAGCCCACGTTCTGGCAAGCGAGGGCGTCAATCTCGTCAAAGCAAACAAGTACAATGAAGGCATCGAGAAGCTCACACAAGCTCTGAAGTCCCAGAAGGCCCCCATGTGGCTCATTGAGCGATCCAAGGCCTATCTGCGTACCAATGACTTCCAGCTCGCCCTCCATGACGCCGAGCAGGCTCTCTCCATTGCCTATGACCGAGCCAACCGAGACCTCATGATCGAAGCACAGATTCGAAGGGCCGTCACCTTGTTTCGCTTGAAGCAGTACGCCGACACCGACGTCTGTGCGTACTGGGCACTCAAACTCCTTGACGGCGCCAAGGCCTCAGAAGACCATGGCATACAAAACAGGGTAGACGAGAGGGGTGATTACGCTGTCACTTTGGCCGAGGCTCAGGAGCTGAACGCCAAAGATGTCCAGGCCAAGAAAGAAGCTGGACTCCAGTCCGCCATGGCATCTGGCAGATCGAAGGACTCCACCAATCGCAATCTTGCTTTCTCGTGGCGCATCAACGCTTTGCAGGCCATGGAGAAGCTAGAGGCGGGCGCATCGGGCCGCAAGGTCACTGTAGTCCAATACCCCAAGCCTTCCGACACACCCGCTGTCGCCACCAAGAAGGTACAGTCCGAAAGAATTACGGAGATCGAGGATGATGATCATGATGAGCCGGAGGAAGAACAGAACAAGCCAAAGATTCCGCAACACATTCTCACCGGAGAAGCGCCCCGCGAAATCGTCCCTTGGACCTGGGATGATGTCTGGAACCAATTCCAAGCCGAGCACAGGAAGCACGATATCCGCACTGATTGGTACGAGACAGACACCACCGCTAATGTCAGCTTGTTCGTCAAGAATCTGCCCAAGGACAGCGTCAAGGTGGACTCGCGGGAGCAGAGTGTTACAGTCAGCCCTATTGCTATCATTCCCACAGGTTCTTTCACATTGGATCTTCAGGGCAAGATCAAGCCTGAAGAAACCACTTACACAGTCAAGTCGATGAAGGTTGAGTTGGTTCTCAAGAAGGAAGTCCCCGGAAAGTGGAGGGTTCTTCGCAACTCGGATGCAGATGTTAAGTTCCGTGAGCGGTCTAGTTTCGTTGCCCATGCAGAGAACCTAGGATTTGAGCCCACAGCTTTCCAAACCGACGCCTCCAACGGCGACCTTGATGCTTGGTACGACAACATTTACACAAAGTTGTTTTCCAACACTACTTCTGACAGTACGGCAACCTCTGCCAGTCAGGCTAAGAAAGTCGATGAGCCGAGTGCAGCCCAACCAACCCCAGAAGCGAAACCATCCGGACCCGCCTATCCGACTTCATCAAAGTCTGGCCCCAAGAATTGGGAGAAGATGGATGTGGACGATGAGGATGAGGATGAGGCGAATGTGGATGATTTCTTCAAGAAGCTGTACAAGGATGCGGATCCCGATACTAGACGCGCTATGATGAAGAGCTATATCGAGAGTAATGGCACGAGTCTTAGCACCAGCTGGTCCGAGGCGTCTAAGAAGAACTACAAGACCGAGCCTCCTGAGGGCGCGGAGGCCAAGAAGTGGGATGAGTAGAAGTGATGGAACAGGAAAATTGATGGGAGCCGCAACTACCAATCCCCTTGCGGCTAATTCACGTTGCGCTTATCTTGCATGCACCACAGGGAGCGGACTGTGTTGCGATGTTCTGCTCTAACCTTAGCGGCTTGAGTGGGAGACAAGAGCATTTAATGGGTGCGGAATTGGTCTGGCGTATTTACACTGATACCCATTTATGTCGTAGTTAATGATGCACGATCATGATACTGAATCTGAATACGCAGTGCATTGCTTTAAATTTAATTTCGCTCTTCTTTTTCCCTTTTTCTTCTCTTTTCCCTCTTCTTTTACTTCCATCTGATAACTTGAAAGCCCCGAGTATCCTCAACATGAAGACTTGAGTCTTTGCCATCACGTGACTGGCCCCACTAGAACTGAGCCGTTCCGATTGGGGCTTTCTCTTCTTCTGAACATCTCAACAAGTAAAAATATATTATCTAGAGTCTTTTTTTATCTTGATAAAATCTTACCGTATAAATCTCAGGCTTGTTGGATTGTAACTTTGGCAAGTTACAAGCTGAGTGGTATCTTAGTTGGGCATCTACAAACTCCTCACAAAAATTTTCCCACCAGCTCCCACTAAAGCGCCCAATCAAGTGTTCCGGAGGTAAAAAAAAAGGGTGTGTGCACAACCGCATTGGGAATACCTGATCAACTCGTTGAAAGAACAAATTACAAGTGAAACAAAGTATTCACCATGGCGCCAAAGCTTTCGGAGGATGAGATCGATGATTTGATCTACTTGGCGCGAGTCGGGGAGGACACAGAGCTCACGCAAATGCTGAAAGAGTTGGCGGAGCGGGAAAACGTCACCATCGCTGACGTGTTGGAAACCGCACGGGATGACGGAAAGGCAACCTGCTTGCACATGGCAGCTGCGAACGGCCATTCGAGTAAGTTTAGGTTTCCTTTTTTTTTTTTTTTTTAATTCTATGGTTTTCTCTGGGCTGGCGAAGAGAAATGCGAGACTGAGCCGTTTTGCTATCATCCTCTAAAATGAGACGCTAAGAAGGAGCAACTCCAACGTCGCAACTTCACCCAAGTTTATTTTCTGACACAGGATAAAAATAAAATGTAGAACAAAAGCATGCTGACAACGATGACAGGGACGGTAACACACATCCTCTCACATCTCCCTACCTCATCACTCCCTTCTCCCTCACCTACAAGCACATCCCCCTCCGCCTCCCAGGCCCCCGCGGACTCCTACATCAACGTCGCCAATGCCTACGGCAATACGGCGCTTCACTGGGCGTGTCTAGGTGGACACCTGGACACCATCAAGCTGCTGCTTTCGCGGGGCGCCATCCCCACGCTGGAGAACGCCAAGGAGCAGATCCCGCTGGACTGCGCGGCGTTTAACAACCATATGCAAGTCGTGGAGTACTTCTTGAGCCAGAGCAGGCAAAAGGAGGAGCAGAATGCGAAGGAGGGCGGATTGGAAGGGGCTGTTAAGGATGTGGAGATGGGTGAGGGCGAGGGTGAAGGTGAGGAGGAAGTTGTCATGAGAGCAGGAGGCGAGCAGTGAGGCTCCGTAATCTCTTTGACATAGATGAGAAATGGTCGATATGATGATTTATGAGATCAAAAACATGCAAGAAATGACGCCTGCATCGAGACGAACGCGTCTGCTTGCCATCGTCAGGGCTATAGGGATATGGAGAGCAAGAGCTGCATAGGTACTGACTGACACGGCCGCGAACAATGAGTTTGGTAAAAAAGAAAAGAAAAAAGCCTGTGTGTTTGATGATCTATCTATGCCAAATCTCTCATCGAACTTGCCTCGCTCAAAAGGTATCTATTTCCATCTTTTCAGTTACCTCAAGAAATTCAACATCCTCTGCACCAAATCCTTGACTCCTATGCCCAAATCAAACAATCCATGAAACTCTAAAACCATATATCTTGCTATGCAATCTCCCCGATCGCAAGGAAGGCTTTATCACCTATCAGACCGGAAAGCGACACCGATGCCTCCGCCCACCGGGCACATCATTCACGAACCTCTCCGTGACCTTGACGTTGCCCAGCGAGTCCATCTTGCCCCCGAACCTCTGCTCCGCCCGCGACGCGCGCGAGGCGGCCTTCTGCTGCGCCGCCATCAGTGCGTGCTGGGCGGAAACGGGCAGGCTGGCCAGCATCTGGGCGTCGGAGGCGCGGGCCGTCAGATGGCGAGTCGTCGCCGCCAGCGCGCGGCGGCTCTGCGGCGAGGTCTGTTGTGCCGGTGGGCCTGAAGGGGCGGGCACATGATCGCCGCGTTCCGTGCTTGTGGGGCTCTGCCGCCGGCATCGTGTCGTCGGCGTCGGCGAGGGGCGGGACGAGGGGACCATGGCGCAGTTTCCTTGAAGCTTCCGCTGGGTGGGCGGTCTCGCCGGGGTCGATGCTGGCGAGCGAGGTCGGTCCTGCCGGTGTGTGTTCTTTGGTGCGCCCGCAACCAGTTTGGAGCGGCGGCGCCATATTGTCTTGCCCGAGGGTAGGCGTAGTGTGTTGCCGTCGGGGCTTGCTGCAGCTTGAACAGAATCCATATCCGCCGTATCATTGAATATGTAGTCATATTCGAGGTCAGGTGACTCGAAATGTACCTCGTGGTGTCCATGTTCCGGCACGGCTATTGGCTCGACGTGCATTGATGACTTGTCATTACTGTGAAATATTGATGCCGGTTGAGGCAACTGTGCCTTATTGACTATTGATAGTTCTAGCATTGTGGTGGTTGTAGTGGTAGTGGTGGTTGTGGTTGTGGTTGTAGTTGCACCCAGCATAATCTATAGTATATACTTCAAGTCGCTCCAAAATGTTGGTCTCAAGTGGTTGTATGGGACTATCACTATGTAGGTGAGAGCGTTGCTGTAATGTCGTGTCTTCGTGTTAGGCATCATGCGAACACCAAGACGTTATATAAACAACCATTTTCATTGTTAATGTTCTATAACTGATCTGAATATGTATCTATTACCATCAAGAGTGAATCATTCCTTTGCATAGTCCTTGCCAGGCGTTATTTCGCTGCCAAGCTATTTGAATCATTCTCACTAAGCCTCTTACACCTTAGTGCAGATGAATCATGATGATACTGTAAATTTTGGCGGCGAGTTTGTTCGACGGCTGGTGAAGTGAGCATAGCCTCTCGAGCCATCAAGAGATTTCATTCGGAAAATAGATCGATATAACCTTACACTTGTAGAATCCTTAGCTGTGATAGGTTGTGTATTTGATGCTTTTCTTGATGGAGTGCTATAAGACAGAGCGGCCGACAATTAGGGGTATGATCGCCGCTAGTTTCCTGTCATATTCAAGCCCGATTAAGGTATGTGTTAAAATGACACGGGAGAAACCAGGCTGGATCGTCGCCCTTGCATTGAGACGTCGCAGCCATCAAATGTGTTGCGATGTCTCGTATCTCGTTGAGGTGCTTCATACTTTATATTCAACCTCTCTGGGAACTGTGATTGACTACCACAATACAATAAAAATGCAGTTTTTTTCACGCTTCAGTCGCAAGTCTATTGCCGATTGAAAACGTGTTTATTTTATTTTATCTATGTACCACATATTTGCGTTTCAAAAATACTTAAGTATTCGAAGCACGTGATGCTACAACTACTCATTGCGACAGAGTTGATGGCTTCAATCTTGTCTTCATTCGATATGCGCATGTACAACATATCTGAATATTGAGTTTATGGCTACAATGGGTGAGAGATGCATCTGTTATAGGAGAGCCAAAGCATGCTGCACTTCAGTTCGCTGCCAACTAGCCTTTGGTGTAGCCATTTCTCGAACCTGATAGCCTTGTAAATGATCAAATATACCGTAACTCATCCTGCAAAAGATTATAAGCCGCCAAGAAACGTCAGGTGGAGTGGCAGAGAAGACTGAAAGAGAGGTGCACTGATTTGAGGACTCAAGAACTTGGGTCACGTTGAAGTGGTTAGTCCTCAAGCTCAGCCTGCCACGAAGACCTTGCTCCATTCAAAATTCTGTATCTCTCTCTCCACCATGGCAGTTTCTGCGCTGGATTCGATGGCGATGTGAACGAGTACTCCTCGTGGCTCTTCGTCCAATGTTGGCCCTTGATATGTAAATACAAACGTACCATTACAAAGGGTGTGGTGTACTTGCATGCAGAATCGTGACGGTGACCCGTCCACTGGTTCATGTTCCATTTTGGATGCTGGAAAGCAGCGTCAATCGTACCTGGTCGTTGTGATAACGCCATCAGCCCTATCACCAAACCAACCTGTCCACCGAGACCAGCTGATTGAGGCGCATTGGGATCAGCGTTCGCATAGGCTTTCGGCAGGAGCACATCAATGAAGCCAGCGTTCTGTCCAGCAACGTATTTGTAACCACCATTTGGACTAGCTTGGCTTATCCCGCCCACATGACTGAAATGTAAAGCACGCCAACCGTCGAAACAACCGTCATCTTCGGATACGTCCCCGGCTCCGTAGATGGTGGGCAAGAATGGACCACAATTGAACATGCTGAAGTCCGAGTATTTTTCTAATGCGCAAAACACCTCCATGGGGTTACCTAGTTCATCGCTACCCATTTGCCAAAAACCGATCTTTCCAGCGAGGCCAAGGCCTGGACGGTGCCAGGTATACGTCTCTTCAGTACTGACGATGCCACCGCAATATCTGAACACTCGGCCCTCATGTTCTTCGGCGTAGTCTTCCCACGTTTCAGGAGGTACTATATTGCCCCACCGGTCGGCGGCGGGCGCGTGATTAGGATTCAGATTGTACTCGTTAACGACAAATAAGAAGTTGACACGCTGCTCATTCTTATGTTTAGAAGTCGACTTCACTTTTCCCATATTGTCGGGGCTGCTGTCCGAATGCTTCAATTTGTGAGATTTTCCATGACTATGCTTGCTTGACGGCTACATTCACTCGTGTTAAAAGCCTTGAGTGCAATAGGTACGATGATTGAAATTTCTTACCAAGATGCTTTTCTTGGTGTCAAGAAGGCCCATTGCTACTGAAGCTAGGAACAAGTACACGAGTATTGTGTGCTGTGAAGAGTGGCGGATTTTAATCGCATGGGTCGTTCTAAAACCTGGACCATGTCAACTAGTCAAAGTTGTTTTAGCTGCTATCCATGACTGGCTTCATGTATGGCGTCCGACTGCTGGCTTCGACCGACGTGTGGGTCAACTTCAATTCAGTTATATTTCCCCTAAACGGAGTAGATCTCGCCTATCGATTTAGGTGGCCAATGAAATGTGATATGCCACTCGGAGGAAAGTCCGTAATACGCTCAGATTTAGACTGGGGGAATGAACATCCGAAAGTTCAGTTATTGAAGATAATGTGAGAGGCACCCAATCACGAATATGTAGGGAGGATAAGGCCAGCCACTCAAGAGCTCTGTATACATCTATGCAGTGTCAAAACATCATTTTGATCGAGAAACAAGCTTCGAATTTTCAAATGAGACGTAGCACTCCACACTCAATGCTGCCTTCCTCGCCGGCCGCTGTCCTCTGATGCAAGCCCCGCTGCCAACCAGGAGCCATTAGGCTGTGAGCGAGTGAGACAAGGGGATACATAGTAGGGAATTATCCTTGCATCAATCCACTCCAGTATACCGCACTCCATCTTAGAACCAATCGTTCCATGAGCGGTGCTTCTGCTTGAGACCCAACGGAAAGTGCGACATTCGTGATCTGCCCATGCTCGGATGACGTATTGCACAATGGTATGTGACATGGATCAGCAGGGCTGTAGATGCAGGTTTCCTCACCGTTTTACCAGCTTGCTGGAAGCGGAACCCATTGGCTATATACTTTTGCAACGGGCAATAAGTCGTCTCTTCGGCTATGGTCACCGCAAGAAATAGAGACAGCGCAACATGATGAAAGCACCAGACGCAAGCCAAGCTTCTTGTGAGTGTTGGTGGCTCTGCGCAGTTGGTTGGAGCTGGGCTTGTAAAGCCGCGGGGCTTGTGTTGAAGGTGGCATGGTCATCTGTGAAGGTCAGTTAGAGTGCATAGACCGGTTTGTAGGCTACTGCGAGAAGCGTGGGATTTTACGCAACTTGGTAGTGCCAACGAGTACATAGTCATAGCAGTTGTTTTGGATTGCCGGTATACGCCAATTCTGAAAAGAACAAGTGTCGAGCTGCAAGCGATATATCTGCGAAGCATGTGTTGAGGCTGGAAGGTCAGCAAACGATAGTCTACTCTCTTGGAAATGGTCGCTAACAACCAGCAGCCAAGGTTGAGCCATCACACATTGCATTGCGCAGTCACCATGGCAATAGACTGACTCTGCAATATACGCCGGATCATGCGGTAAATTGTCACATCCCCAAGTGTGTCGACTCATTCTTCGAGCACCGCAAGTCCGATCAGCCCAGCAGTCCTGAAGTGCTTGCGTCCCCCTGCTCGCACATGGTGGAAGCATCCTTTTTGCCAAGATGTCCAGTCGGCCGTAATTAGCATAACCTTGAAAGTATGCATACCATAAGTGTCTTACCACGTAGTAGAACACGACAAAGTGACGATGATTGGTGCGTCTGTGCCCATGTATCTGGCCGTTCACAAATACGATGCGTGCTGCTTTGCAGGCAGGCTTTTGAGTGCCTGTAAGAGCTACTAGCCCCTACTCATGAACCAAAACTAGCGTGTGTTATGCCTTGCAATGGGACAAATATCACCGCGGAATCACCGCAACTTCGAGCAGTCAATCGCTGAAGTGTCCTTCGGTCAAAAGAGAGATCATGTGAAAAGTCAAAAATTCCTCATGAGTCCACAGAGCCAGTCAACAAAGTAATTGATGTCGGATCTCGAGCTTCAAGAATTACTGGTCGAGGATAAATCGATGCGCTGTGTGTGGCTTGATTCTTCTTGTTGACAAGCAGGGTTTCCCTTGTCGGCCGACTGGGCGGTCCGGGGGTGTGCACCGGTCAAGATCAGTGAAATCCGATTCTGGCACGTAACTAGATTGAGGCGTACAGTAGAGAGTCATCTCGATGTTGAATATATCCCTTCATTCACGCCATGCGGCTTTGCGAGTGAGGATGACCGTAAGGCTGATTATATATGGGTCTCGGCCTATGCCGTCATGGCGATTGAATGTCCGTCGACCTCCGTAGGCACTGGCCGAATTCAGAATCCCTGGGGTCCGTCCTAAACCCACAAGTATCCCAAGGGAATCGTGTCCCTGCCCTTACGCCGGTCCTTGTCCTTCCGCCCTCCGTAACCTCAAACATCAAAGGACAATCTCTCGTCCTAAAGTTCAGTAAGCGAGCGAGGAACTTGGTAAAAGCACGCTTCGAAGTACGAACCGTAAAATATAGGATGATCCATCGAAACCCGAGAATTCTTTTTTTATATTATGTTCTTATTTTTTCTTGCTAGCCTGCCCCATCATAATGGGTGATAAGGACTGCGAACGGAAACATCTCGGCGTCGCATCTCGGCCCTGATCCACACAGGGCCCAGTTTATCCACTGGCTTGGGCTCGCGCCATCGTGGTGCCAGGTCTAACCGCCAGTCGCGACCTGCGAAACATACCACCGATGGATATTGTGGTTCCTGAAAAGAGCTGGTGTTCCTCGCAAAAATCCACTGCTATGTAATCGCGTTTTCCTCGGGATCTGGTACGGCATTGGAACCTGGGCTAATGACCCGCCGCCATAATGGTTAATAAGACTTGGCCATTTCGCTGATGGTGAGATTTTTGATATTTTACCATGTGAATATTCTGCTGCAAGCGCTTCGAGGCCGGAAGCTGCCAATTTTCATTTGATCCATTCGCAACAGTTTATCAGAATGGCCGACGTAATGGAGACCCGACCACAAATAGCACCGGCCAGCGAGCCGGAACGGAACACGACGACCGAGAAGGACGGAGAATTGAAGGCTCCGGAGTTTGACCTATCCCATCGCCCAGATGGCGGCATCACGGCTTGGCTACAGGTTCTGAGCGCCTGGTGTGTGGTATTCAGTACGTTTGGTCTGGTCAATTGTTTTGGAGTGTATCAAACGTACTATGAACAAGTCTTGCTGCCATCGAGCTCCTCGTCTTCGATCTCATGGATTGGGTCCATTCAAGGGTTTTTGCTCTTAGCTGGCGGCCTTTTTTCCGGACCTCTCTTCGATATGGGATACTTTCGACACCTGCTTTGTAGCGGACTTTTCCTCATCATCTTTGGCCAGTTTATGACATCACTGTGTACAGAGTACTATCAAGTTCTCCTCGCGCAGGGAATATGTATCGGCTTGGGCTGTGCCTTATGCTTTTCTCCGTCCACGGCGATCTTATCACAGTACTTTTCTCGGCGCATTGCCTTGGCGACAGGCATAGGCTCATCAGGATCGCCCGTAGCCGGTGCAGTGTTGCCTATCGCGTTCAACCAGCTTGTTAGTAGAATAGGTTTTGGCTGGGCCACGCGGGTCATCGCATTTATCCTTATGGGTGTTGCGGTGATCCCTTTGCTTTTCTTTAAGACAAGACTCCCTCCATCAAAGCATCGAAGGGCATTGGTTGATATGTCTGCGTTGACCGATGTGACCTATATGACATTTGTCATTGGTGGATTTTTCGCCTTCTTGGGCTTATACGTCCCCTTCTTCTACATCGAGCTCTTCACAGTCGATCATGGGCTCGCATCCAGCACCTTCGCCCCTTACATGGTGTCTATCATGAATGCTGCGAGCGTCTTTGGCCGTGTAGTGCCTGGAGTCGTTTCCGATTTTACAGGCTTACCGACAATGGTCATGGCCGGATGTGCCCTTCTGTCTTGTGTTCTGTCGTTTGCTTGGATTGGTATTCGGAACTTCGGAGGCTCGGTAGTCTTTGCTATCCTGTATGGCGCGTTTTCCGGAGGCGTTGTCAGCAGCCAGCCGACAGGAATATTCTCATTGACTTCGGACCACAGTCGCATCGGTACGCGCCTAGGTATGGGATGCTTCATTGCCGGAGTAGCACTGCTGATAGGCACGCCAATTGCTGGTGCAATGTTGGGCACCGGAACGCGGGAATCGAGTTGGGAAGGACTAATCGGCTTTTCAGCCACCGCCATGTTCTTGGGTGGATGCTTGCTTCTGACGACTGGAATGATGGTGTACTTGCGCCTGCGCCGCAAGATACGTGACCAGCTCTAACATGGCTCGAAGCTGATAATTAATGTACACGAGACAATAAATAATAAAGGTAATGCCTCAAATATCTGAACGACTATATGACTCTTGGGCCTCATCGTATTTTGTACGAATGCTGCGGGGTGGCTGTGGCGGGTCTGAGAGCACCCCGGCACTTATGTAGGGACGACGTGAATGGTGCATGTAGGCAACCTGGAGTCCGAAAGTTTGATGAGCATCAGCCCTTGGCAGTGAGACTTTCGGCCGATTCCACTAGATTTGGACTAAGTCTCTTGAAAAAGTAAACATTCGAATGATTCTCGCTAAGCGTGCCTTGCTTCATATAAGTATATATTTTGCGGTAATGACTCCATACCCATATCGTAGATATTATGACAAAACCCTTGCTGCGAGACCACCAAATACAGTATGAGGACGCCGCCCGACCAGCGTGCATATGATTGTGACAACCTAATCATTCATTCACTGCTTGACAAAACGTGATGTGTTGATATTCAGCGAAGCCTACAGACTTGTCCATGTCTTTTCTGACAATCTTGACAATGCGTAACTTTATTCGAATATTAATCCTCTTTTCCCTACCATCATAAACCCAATGATAACCCTGAAATTAAGAACTGAGGATTTGTACCCAAATTATCAAGTATGCAAACTATCACACACCATGAGAAGGGGTGACGGCAGCATGTAGCTGATTCAGGGTGACATTCCTGGGCTTGTTATCAAATATACTCTTTGATCTGGTTTGTTTTGGGCGACTGCAATACCAGAAAATATCTCTGAAGGTGGAGAATCATTTTGGTGTAGGGTTGTGGGAAAACCGTCATGGGGGGGTGCATCGGACTAGCACAAGACTCGTACTCCTTGCTGGGTATATTCAATGCACATATAGCAGTGGTTTTTCGATAAGGGTACAAGGGGTTTTATCACTTATGAAAAGAAATCATAAAGGTCATTCATGATTGCACCATCCTTGCCGGGGACTCGGCCTGTCTTCCGCAGACCCTGCCCTCCAAGATTCATCGACGATCTGGACTCTATTAAGCAATGGACTCTAGGGAAACGAGATACTGGAGCGGCCGCGAGCTTAGCTGATAGTATTGAGGACATCACTGACTATCCGATTCAATTTTCGGTTCCTCAGATCCGCTCGAGCATGTTAACGATAAACTTCATTGTTGCTAGGGCAATGATGATTACCTCGAGAGCCACGCAATTGACGTTGTGTTGCTTCAACTTTTACGAAGGCCTCACTATCAAAAAGCGCCATATATATCCTCTTTTAACGGCGATCTCTAACATGTCACTTAGACAAGCCTCCATCGACTCGCTTCGAAGTATGTAACAAGTCAAGAAAGCCTTGGATACAATCCAAATAAGTGTAGATTAAGTAAACCAAAGCATCCGTTTTATTAGGTTTGAGATCTGGCAATCTTAACCTTGGATTCATCCATCGCTTTACAACTGTTCCACGTAAGTTTCAGCAACTATTCTTATGAACAAGTATGCTATTTTACAGAGCACTGAATTTGACTGCACCTTATTCACGTGGCTCTTGGTACCAAACCGTTTCCTAGCAAAGATCAACGTCTTCTACATTGATGACCAAACAGCATATGTACTAACACAGGGCTAAGGAGCTTTCTCGTAAAGGATCATAAACTCATCCATTTATGTGCCAATGTAAAACTACCTGAAACTTACAAAGGCTGTAAATTGTTTGATATTATCACCAAAAGAATCAAGAAGTCATATCATTATCCATTAGTATCTTTTGCTATAAAACGGCCGACTCATCAGTGAATATCTGCAAAGGTGCTTTCTTGGAATAGGGTAGGGTGGATGTTCTGTGAGAAGAGGTTGGAGGAAGTGGAAGTCCAAATCATATTCCGGTTTATTTGACCCGGCGGGTTCGTTCTTTAGAAAGGTAAAATGTCAAAATTGTGGATGGAGCCGCATTTTGGAAGCTTTCAAAATAACTTCCCAGCGATCTATCGTAGGGTAAGCTTGCGGGTACATTATGAGCTGCACTGATGACCGTCTCGAAACTTGCGTCTCAACTCGTTCAGTGAAACCATCGTTGTTATTCTGATCTAAGATGTATTGCTCGTGGTGTTAGTCGGAAGATCAGTAAAGTCTGTGAAATCGTATAAGTATGACGTGAAATCGTCGGACACGAAAGGACCGAATAATTGTGTATCCATCAATGAGAAGGCGCCGCCCTGGGCTGCATCGTCTGGACATGACGGGAATGCAGTTCCGTCTCTCTCCCAGGACCCAGATATGAAGTCCTGGTTAAGGTGGAGTTCGGTGGAAGCTTGAGAACCTCCCGATGGAACCCTGAGTTGTCCATCCTGCTGAACATCAGTCATGGCTGACATTGATGCGCCCGCAATTTGAGAGGCTAGACTTTCTTGTTGCCAGAATCTGCTCAACATTCGACCATAACGTCGAGCAATGTGCAGTTTGTTCGGCGATACATCCGCAAGAGCCTCTATAAACGATGTGACGGCTTGGTCGTCTTTCACCTGCTGTTCTTTGGATTGATATATTCCCGCACGGCGCGCTTTGTAGAGGAATACTGCGGCATACACCCCATATCTATTTAATGATGCATCAGCAAGTCGTAGATATGACATTTCTCACTTGAACCTACAAATAATAGCGCCAAGGTAAAAAGCACATATCCGTAGATGGATCCAGTTTGCCCATTAGTCGGAGAATGTTGAGTGCTGCGGCGATGGCGTCGAAAATATACCGCGCATCGGGTGAAGACATGATGCCGCAGTAAAACAGGTTCACTGCCGGAGCTCCGCCGCTCTCTACAGGGTCACGTCGCTGGGACTTACGAGAATGTCTTGTGAGAACCGCCTGAAAAGCGAAAGCATTAACATAGAGACACAAGTACTGATATGTTATACGCATTGTGTGCTTGATTTTGGATGGCATTGAGAACGCGTCCCATTTCGAAAGCCACGCATATGACGCCTTCTGAAAATCTTCAATGTAACGGTTGTAGTCGCCGGCAAATACCTGGAGATAATCAGAGATCAGTACTATTATTTTGGGCCAGAGGTAAAGACAGTTTTACATCATCTAGTGGAACCACGAAACAAAACGTCCAATATTGACGATCAAGCAGTGGGGGATCACATACCAAGGCAAGCTTTCGGCTTTGGGAAGAGAAGAGGATATCATGTGCATTATGTAGGAGTTGAGTAAGCTCAATATTAGCTTCCAAGGCAGATGCATAATCTTGAATTGACCCTTTTTCCCGTATAACCAGACTTGGAAAATCACCAGCGACGAACTTTGATGAGAGAGAAGGTCCACGAGACCAGAAGGATTGTCCAAGTCGCACGGATATTTGCCGGTCGGCAATATAAACATCTAGTTCCATCGTCAGTATTTCGCTATCGTATATATAATGGCACTTACGAGCCCAGATTAGTTGATGATGCTCCGTTTGTTGTTTGGTTTTAGAAGTTTGGTTCGTTTTAAATGCAGCCAAGTCAAGCCGTTGCAGGTAAGCATGCCTTACCGCGAGACCAACTAGAGACCATGCCGTAGCATCTTCGGCCGCCAAGTCGCTATTACGACTAAAACCAGAGTGACTTGTTTGAATATGCGGCAACCATTCAGCGAGAAGAAGTAGTGCTTCTACTGTTCGGGGTGTCTGCGTATCGGGAGAGGCTAAGACCACCTTAAGGAGAAGACTCTGCGTATAGTCCCAGCAGTTGCGGTGCTCTTCTATAAATTGCATATCATCCCTTGAAGCGATAGTCAATACAACAGACAGAAGGAAATCATCTGACGTGGCAATGCGCCTTTCTTTTCTACACTCGAACACCCAAAGCGGCACAATCGGGCAATGCGGATGGTAATTTACAACGAATCTAGCCAATGTCAGCTGAGGAATATCACTATACGAGATTGACAACTTACATGCCCAGAAGCCTTTCCAGAACGTCTGGGCTAATTGTGCCATTCTGAACCAACTCATACTTGTGGGAGGAGGGCTTTTGATCTGTTGCCAAACGAGACTTATCGCAACCGCCGAGAACTACTTCAGCAGATGCACCCTCAGCCAAACGAGACGGCGAATTGACATGATCCGATTGGGCGAGAAGGTTGAGGGCATCAGCAGGATTTCTAAAAGGGAAACCAACATCTTCATCTTGTTCAAGTGATGATTCCCCGCCCAAGTCAGAGCCTGGCGTACTGATGTTAGAGGGGCTGTTTTTACCACTCCGCCCAGAAGTCAGGCGATCAGAGATTTGTTGTGAATTTCTTGGGTTCTCTCGCCGAGTTCGAAAGTTTCCGCCACGACGAGATCCGGCGAGAATACATTCTACGCCAGACCGCAGACAGGAAACACATGGTGGCGTGTTTGGGCCTCCGGAGCCTTGCCTTACATGACATGTGAGCTTTACTCCATCCCAACAATCACTTCTACTCACAACTCACATCGTGTCTTTCGGCTTCGGCACCGCTGACACGCGCGGTAAAGTCGTTTCCCACTACTCTTTGTCATTATTGCATTTTACTGGGATCTCAGCTCACAAAGCCATGATGCCTCCGCCAAGATGTAACCATGTCGGACATTTACCTAAACTTTGGAGCGACCCCATAACCGTCCATAACCGAATAGCAAGGCATTCTGCCGCTACTTAAGCACCTTGTAATGCTGCCAATAGACTTTTTCGCTGCAAATCTAACCTAGTGCGAGTCTCACTAAACCACGACTGCAGTATGCCTCCACTAAGCTACCTGACACTTCAGAGTTTCGGAGTGGGTATAGGCGGTTATAGCACCGCGCCTCCTCAGCAACGACAAGCTGCTTCATAGCTGAATACACGTTGCGTCTGATGATCGGCTGTAGGCAGCTGGATGGGCAAAGCTTACTTAAGAACTAAATGTTCTAACGTTCGGTAACAGTCGCCTATAGATGCGAATATCAACGACTACAAATTGCTAAATAAAAGACGGTGGTTCACCCCCTAGATAGAGATAATATGCATTCACTGCACATGTCTTTCAATTACGAATTGAAATTTTACCTGGGCATCTAAACTGAATGTTTAATTTCAACCACAGGTCATTCCCAACAACCAAAATGGCCATACAAACAATGACGTACTGTGATACTATTGAAATTAACGAGGTTAAACCGGGATTTGGTGCTGAAATTCGCGGCCTGGATTTCGTTGATGGCGTCACGGACGAACGATTCGAATTCCTACGAAGGAATGTAACAGAAGTGAGCAGTCCTCATCAAGCTTGATTTGTTCTCAATGCTAACCGTACTACAGTACGGTGTCGTCATCATCCGCGGTACAAAGCTCACTGATGCTACTCACGTCCAGCTTGCCCGAAAATTTGGAGAACTCGACGATGTCACCCCCTACACTGCTGCAGGGCGGAATCATCGCCTCAAATATGATGAGCTATTCGATGTCAGTAATGTCGAAGAGGATGGCTCCATTGTTGACCCTGAGAGTCCCCGCGGCCAAGCCAACAAGGTATGGAGATAAGTAATCGTCCGGGAATTCTCAAGAACTTCGACTGACATGGAGACTACAGGGGAATGCTCTCTTTCACGTCGACTCAAGTTTCAATCCACGCCGCGCTGGATACTCGTTATTGCTCGCCCACACACTGCCTCCAGCCGGAACGGGTGGCAGTACGGCTTTTGCGGACACACGGACGGCTTATGAAGACTTGGATCAAGCCACGAAAGACGAGCTTTTGAGAAATGACTATGTTTGCGCACACTCTATCTTGCACTCTAAGAAGATTGCTGCGCCCGAATTTTTCGCACACATCAACCCAGCCGAATATCCCATGGGTCGTCATCAACTTCTACAACACCACGAGAGGTCTGGAAGAATGAATTTGTATCTGGCGGCCCATGTGCATCATATTGAAGGATTGAAGCCTGAACAGTCTATTGAACTGTTCGGTCGCCTGTTCAAACATGCAACTTCGGATAAGTATGTGGTTGATATCAATTGGGAGAATCCAGGCGATTTGGTGATCTGGGACAATACTTGCACGATGCATCGTGTGGTCGGCGGTTCGTTCCAAACCAAATACAGAAGAGACATGAGGCGTGCAACCGTCCACGATGACAGTAGTCAAGCTTGGGGACTGAACGAACATACGGACATCCGCCAAGGTCTTCCGTAGGGATTCAACAGGACTGGTATTATCTGTCGACACCAGCCGCCAATGAGAGCTTTGAATGGATTATTCCGAAAATCGTATTCGATTCTACCAGGACGAACTTTCTAGTCGAGCAAAGGCTACTAGGCAGCAAGCATTGACACATTTCAAGGTTGATATGACTGCAGATATGTAAGCAGTGGGATATAGGAAGATTGCTGGTGGTTGTACTCAGAGGCAGCAAAGGGTCACGGTACCAAGGATGCGTGCCGGCTTTAAAGGGGCACCTAAAACTCATGTTCATGGTATCGGCAGTGATGGTGTCCTTACCGCTGCAAGATCTGTGCTAATCCTAGTATATTTGCCGTCAAGTTGTCGACCGGCCTGTTCCAACATATCCACGGCATTTCCGGCATTATTGGCCTCCTCTAGCTTGCAAGCGAATCATTTCATCATACGGGCTGTCTTCTTGAGCTTTTTGTTCGAGCATGATGTGTTGCATTTTGAACTATCAAAAATGGTTGAGAGCTTACTCAGGCCTTCTCGCCGCTGGCAAATTGCTAATTGGGCTACCCTTGCCAGCCGTTATTCAAAACTGAATATTCAATCAGAACTATTTCCTGTAAGACGAATCATAGTTGTTTTGGAGAAATCTGTTTTGCAATTGTCGCGGAGTTCCCCAGACGTGATACATACCTGTCGTAACCTATGAGACACCATACTTCCTGGTACCCCGAGGCTCGCATTAATTCTCGTTTCCTGATAATTTGACAGTCACGATATGGGCAAATGGGCAACTTCGACCGTTGCCATTTACACACGGCACTCATACATAGCAACGGGAACACTCATATATATGTGCTACAGCGACCTCTTGGCCATCAATGATCGTCTCACTACTAGTGGTAGGTCTCCTCAATGTCGCTGCTACTGATCTCCTTGCTACCTGTGGCACATTCTCCACCGGCTGTATCTCTGCCATCATTGGTCTCCCTTTGACACGTGTTATAGGCGGAGATCTTGATTGAAACTTCAAAAAGAGCCTGGCAGCCTATTTCTTGCAGCATCTGAGCACCAGATCTTGATAGTCGCTGCTACCGCGTTGCGCAACTTTACTAAATGAGTGATACACTCAGGTTTTCCACCATATGAGCTGTAATATTGCGCTTGAGAATGTTCCAGATATAATGCGTGGTATATTTTAGAGTGCGGCGAAATGCTCGGAGCTCCTCTATGTCTTTGAACATTATTCTGAGTCCACATGAAACCTGCATGACCTTTAAGGCTGAGATCTGGCGTCTGCGATCACAATAATTTAGGTAACTTGGGCGCTCACTGATGCCTGACCCTCTTCGTCTCCGGGCCACCTAGCTTTAGTTTCGTCATACACATCTAAATAGCTTCACGCATGTTTACAGTTCTTTGAAAATTTACCAGCGCCTTCGACGTTGTCTGTGAGTGAAGTTTGGATGCTGGAATTGTCAGAGATGGTGAATGCGCGTTCCGCATTGTCATTGGCATTCTGGGCGCAGATTTTCATGCTGTAACATGTGGCTAAAAAGTCCTAATTTTTGTGTCATTGTACCATTAAGACAGCTAGAAGATGTTGTCTAGCTCTGTCTGATTCATGCCAAAGCTTTATATGCGGGTATTTATATGTTTTTCCAATGCTCGCAATTGTATTCTATCATGTACGCGCTGCCACTTGTTACGGGTCCATCTTCTGCATAATCCCAATTTATTGAGTCTACTTAACATTAACTACATAATCTAGCAAAAGAAAAAAGAGATATTTAAGAATGAAAATCAGCCGCCTTCGAACAGTACCAGGCTTAAAGGGTTACACGACGCCTACGAGTTAAGCTAATGATTTTTCTTCTTATAATAGATAAAAACTCCTTTATTTAATTTATTCCTTTAACTTCAACTTGACACACGTCAGAGCTTGACATCTCTTGTAAATTCAAACTTGACGGGTAAAGTCCCACGCTGCTATGCATGCCGCACCTTGTTGACCTCGCCGAATCTGTAGAGCATTGTCGTCGCCTCAATAAGTCTGGTGCTCTTGTCCATCCTAATTCTGGCTGATCTCGTGGTCTTTCTCTGGTTGTCTGGACTGGGTTGGGTTGGGCTGTCTCTCGAAACCGAGCGTTGAAACTCTGCACCTCGAAGATGCCGCTGAAGGTTGGTGTTTAAGTGAGTGAGTGCTCCGTGAAATTATGAGGACTGGGGACAAGTAACCTGGACCAGGGTTAAGTCACCGCCGGTACTTGGTATTGCTGAAATGTGAGGGAATCGATCACTGGAGCTCAAACCTTTTTATCCCGTAAGACTATCTTGGAACACCTCATCAGGATATTTGTTCTTGCTCATGTTCATGTTGTGTGGCTCTTCCAACATGTGTAAGAGGCGGCTTGCACACCAGTGTCCAGATCTGTGTGACTGCTGCTCAGCGTGAGAGTAAGAACCGATTTGTATGAAGACGGCATACGGCTGAAACGGTATCCATGGAGAGCAGAAGACGAGGCGGCTACATACTGAAGAGCAAGTGTCTGGTAGTCCAAGGGCATTTTGAACGACTCAATTAGTAGCTAAGAGTACTTTGACAGAGGAGATCGTTTGTATGGAGTACTTAGCACCAAGTAGAGTTGGATTTTCAATGATGAGAGTGGTGTAGATATGATGGAGACTTGTTGATGAGACACATGGTTTAGCAGTATATCGGGTATCAATATCAACTCTAGTCAAGTTGACTGCCGTTTTAGCAAACTAATAAAGATGTTAAATGATTAATATTCTGGTATGATTTCAATGTGACAGATATTGGTTGTATATGAAGATATTTCTAAGAAGAAGCTGTCTGTAAAGTACAGGCGCTAGCTATTAGTACCTTGGTTAGACTAGTACGAGGATCCTCGCGTTCCTATAGTCCTGCGACAAGATAAATGCTAAACCTCTCAGGGACAGCAAAACAGAAACAGTCAGTGCCTTGTATGAGGAGGCGTCACAGGGAGGCGTCACAGGATGATCTTCGTAGTGATGTTGAGTTAAAGGATATTGTATTAGTAAAAGATTTCTCCGCTCAAGCTTGCCGGGTGGAAAGAGCCCTGTCAGGTAACTAAGGCAGCACCATGAGGATTGCACGACATTGAGAAGTTCGGCTGGGAAATGGGTTGTGATGCTGATTAAGTGGTAGCCTTGAATAGAGAACATTGGGGAAAGAACACACGAGGATGAGGTAGCAGCACGCTCGCACTATATTGCATACTCTGTTGATATTGTTTTACACATTACTTGGCTATTGGCATTGGGCTGCCACGAACATTGCCTTGAAAGAATGTTTATGCCATGCGGGTTCCCACTTGCAGCACGGGGAACGTGCTCCAGGACGTGACTTTCAACTAACCTACATCATCTGACGGAACTGGGATTATGACCCGCTACACATAACACGAACCCGCATCCACTAACAACGCCTAAGGTGTCTTTCGTGAAGGCGCAGACCAAAGACTAAATGAGGAGTCACCGCCGCATGCTTCCATGATCTGGAACAAGGCTGCATGAGGGTTTCGTTGTCATCTTAGGTGCTCGCCGGTGCTTCCCGTGCTCGCCGGTCGTGATGGTGGCGCGGGCAAGCTGCCTTCTCGTTCCATGGCGACACCGCCGAGGCTGCTCATGTCTAGGTGACCAGACCCATCTTCGCCTTCGCTGTCCTCGCTGTGTTGACTGTCGCTGCTGCCCAGACCGGCCAAGGCCTGTTCTGCGACCCTCTTCTCGACCTCCTTGAGCCTCTCCTTTTCAACGGGGTCAACTATATCATCATCGTCGCTCCAGGCCGTCTCGTCGTTCTCGCCGACCTCGGGCATTGCCATGCGTTTCCAAAAGCGGATTTCCTGCTTCTTGGCCCTCTCCTCGATGCGCCTGTCCATGCGTACGTCGTCTTCGTCGTACTTCTTTCTGAACTCGCGCAGCAACTCGTTCGCTTGGCCTGCGTGCTCTTGCATGTCCCATATCTGTTCCCGCAGGCGGGAGTTCTCGGCACGTGCCTCGGCGAGTTGGGCGCGATAGGAGCGATGCCATGCGCTGACGTCTGCTATATGTTTCTGCTTGTAGGAGTGGAACTGGCCGAGGAGGTTGCCGAGCGTGCGTGCATAGGCGTTGACAAGAGCAAAGTTGGCGTCGCGGCTGTTCTTGGCGCGGTCGAGGGACTCGGTGAGGACAGACAGCAGGGTCTCGATGTTGTCTTCCTGTCCTGGAGGGGCAAGGTGTTCAGTATTGGAAAGAGTGCACTGCAGTATGATAGATTTGTCTACATACCGTAGATGTCGTCGGCAGCCTCTCCGAGGAGCTCATCATTTCCCAAGCCACGTTCGCGTGCCCGACTCCTCACTCTACCAATGCCGCTGACGATATCCTCAGTTTGGCGCCTGTTTTCGGCCAGTTGTCTCGACAGCTCCTCGACAAGTCCATATATGATGTTCAGCTCGGCTTGATGTCCGGCAGGTGTAGGGCCAACGGGCATTGCGGCACCATTGACGCCGGGGCCCTGCATGCCGGGGCCAGCTCCGTTCATGCCGTTCATCTGGCCTCCGAGGTAGAGTAGATTCTGGAGTTGGATGTGTTGGTGTTGGGCTTGGACTGCGCGAGCTGTGGCGGTCGCAGCGGCCTGCTGGTCCAGTTCCGACGGGTGTTCTTGGGCTTGTCGGCTCTTGCTGGTGCTGGGGTGGTATCTGAGTACAGGCTGTGTTTCTGGCAGTTGTTGCTCTTGGGGCGATTGTAATTGTGGTTGTGATTGTGACTGTGGTTCGTTGGATACTGTCGTCGTCGCGTAATCTGACGCTGTTGCGGTCGTTTGGACTTGGGCTTGGGCTCCGGCAGTGGCAGCTTGCGCCTGTACCTGTGCCTGTACCTGTGCTTGTGCGTGTGCTTGCGCTGGCGCTGGCCCTTGTTGGCCTGGAAGAAGGTTCATTGTGCCCCCCGGCAAAAACCCCCCCGCTGTTACCCACTTCCTCCAGCGACTCCTCTCCGAATGACCCCTTGACACTAAACAAAAGCTTCGGTGCTGACCTCTAATAAGCTGTCCTGTAGCTCAATCAAGAATGCGCATTGGCCATGTATGTAGATGTAGATGTAGATGTAGACAGCCGATGATGGTGACGCCCTGCAGTCTGTCGCAATATCTTGTTATGTGGAGGATATCGCCAGCATCTTCAAGCTCTGGCGCCAGTATATTGCAGTCTTGCAATGACTGATACCACACTGTATCTTGTCACCTCACAGCTCACAAAAGTTGTTGTAGATTTGACAAAGCCCATTGCGTTTCCATGGCATGCCCAAAATCACGTTGTTGATTGTCACCTACCCGCGCAGACTGTGCATGCGCCCAAGTATGGATTGCATGGCCATGAGTGGACGAGCACAGTAGTATTCAATGCACACCCCCATACTGATCCGTACTTGTCCATCCTGTGTTTTCCTGGCCTACAGTAGGCTAAGGTTAGTCTACATTATCTGGTCATCTCATCTTTCCGGATAACATCGAGGCCGCAAGTTCGTCCAAACAATCAACATTGCCATCAAACGCACAAAGGCCCGGTGGCAGCAATCTAACATGCAAGTCAACGCTACAACTATAACCAAAAGAACATTGATCATCATCATGTCTTGTTTTGACTTGTCTTAGGTTACCAAGTGACTTCCACAAGCGACTATCTGAGTCGTCAGTTCGGGTATGCCAAGCCAACCGCTAAAGTAAAAAGCATTACAGTACATACTGTAGCAGTGTGTTTTCCTCCAGGATTAACTTGGACAAGTGTATGGCTCACAGCCTCAACGACTGGGACCAAATTCGCTAACCTTGGTGATTCGACTGCCCATCTGCAGTCCAGCTTGTTGTATTCAGCTCCGCCATTGGCAATACTGACCGTTGGGTTACTCTCGTCCCACAAGGGCTATGTAGCATGTCAATCTTAGAAGCCCCATGCATGGGTCGCTGGAAGCGGTCCGCGTCGGCACCGTCATTTTCCTGCTTCTATTTTGTCGCTGGATTGTGATAAACTAGGTTAGTCACACTCATACTTCTCACTGTAGCCGATGAGCGTGAGCTCTTGCAACAGCGCATCTCGCAAATGATTCGCTTGCTAGACTAGAATATAGTTGGCCATGATGTACACACTAATCTTAGCACTTACTTCTCACACAAATATTAGAATCTCCTCTAACATTAAGACCAAGCTACTATCCCATAACATGTAGCGCCGGCTATACTTGCACAAATTCTGAAAGCTACCCTCGCTGTTTTGAAGGCAGCGCGTGCTCTTCTTCCGCAGGCTACTTCGCAAAATGCCCTGACTCAACAGCGGTAGAATATTCGGTGTCTGGGTGGTGTGGGTCCGAATACTATTTGCTGGTAAGCGCTCAACCATATTGGTACGTTGGTGGACACAGTCTCTGACAACGAAAACAGTACATATTCTGCCAACTATCCATATTGCCTTACATATTCATGGTCCACTCCGGCGTCCCCGAGCAATGTTTTGACTGAATTCAACTGCAACGTTTCGGCTTACTCTGACAGGATTTTTCAGCGGCAGAGGCGCCATCAACTACCACAACCACTAAATCCGCAGTCACGAGCAACTTTTCGAGCGACCTCCGGTGACTTGAGTTCTAGTAGTAGCTTAAACAACGTTGGTGTTATAGTTGGAGGTGTGGTGGGCGGTGTAGCCGTACTCACGTTTACCGGGTTTGGAATTTGGAATATTCTTCGCCATAACAACAAGAACCGCTCACTAGCCCTTCAGAACCTCAAATGGCTCAATTCCTTGGTCACCGATCACCGCCTCCGCCAGAAACTCCCGGCTACGATAATCGATACACCTTCGCTTTTTCACAGCTCAGCTTTTCAGCCCAAGGATATTTGTCGTCACATGTGAGTCCAGCACCATATTATGGAAGCCAACCAGCACAGGGGTATGAGACCTGGCAAGGTCGGAATCATGCGGGATACAATTATCCAAATGACAATACTCTGAAAAACGCCCCGTATAGGGAAACTGCTGCTGGCTATCAGCCCATGGGAAACGCGTCGTGGTGAGGGAGGCAATGCGCACAGCCAAGCCAACTTCGCATAAAGCATTGGATACAATGGTCATAACTTCCAGAGAGTTGAACGGCTGTAGAGTTGAGCAGTGTCTGATTTCAGCCCCTTATAAAAGACTAGCTGATAACTCAAAATCACCAATGACTCTCCGTACGCTACCATAATTACAAGCAAAACTCCTTTTTCATAGCATCATTCGATCAAGCAATCTTGCTCTCTATGAAACCAGCGGCAGTAGGAACGCTGCCAGTATAATCAAGATGCGCAGACGTGATAATCAATGACCCGTTACAAACCAAATCGCCGTCATTGCAGATGATCAGGGTCTTCGAAGTATCGAATTCAGGGATCTGACCCCCATCCTGTTCGTTCATGGTATCGCCAAAAGTCACCGCCACGGCGATCCTAGCCTTGACAGCATCCGACAGCCCTGGGATAGCACCGTGCACTACGGCGGCTCCCTGGCTATAGCCAGAGACTACAAATTGCGCGTCTGGACACTGCGATGCGGCCGAGGTGATGTTGGCAGCCAGTTCGTCCGCGTACACGAGGTTCGTTCTGTCGGGAAGCAGGTTGTCCAGCAGCGCGGCGGGATAGTTGACCCCCTGGGCTGCTATAACGCTGTCGCCGAGTGCGCTCTTGAGTTGCGACACCAAGTCGGGACCTGGCATGTCTCCCTGGCACTCAAGTCAGCAAACATTGTATAAGAGTCCACCAGAAAAGATCATGTGCTTATTGGGCATACAATATTGCCAGACTGGTCGGTGCCTCGAGCAAAGAAAAGAATGACGTCTCGGCACCCGCCCTCATAAAACTCGTTTTCAGTCGTGTCATCCTGGCGAATGTAGAGGGTGGGTTCAGGAGCGAAAGAGGCAGGAGCGGCAGAGACTGTAGAGGCCAGCACAGCGGCCAAGACAAGAACGAACGACTGCATGATGGCGGCGACTAGCGGTGATACCAACGAACCTGGAACCCTCTTTGTCCATCCACAAAAGCAAACTATGTCTGGAAGATGTCCATATTTATACTCGAAAGATGCAAAAGCGCTTCACGATATTCAATATAGCACGTGTCAATGCCGGCATTTACCTTCACCCTCACCCTTACCCCTGCCAAGACGCTCAGGTGATGCGGGGAGCATAAGTCGCAAATCTATACTCCTCCAACTCAACGAAGATCCGCCAATAATAACGCAGGGAAATTTCCCCGCGTTTACGTCCACGCATGTGCCCAAGCCAGGGTCCGTTTGATGTCTCGGCACATGTCAAAAGAGCGTATACACGCATATGAATTCTCCAAATCGCTCTATTCACGTCGCAATAAAGCCGTCAATCATGTTGGCTAATGAAAGGGGCTCAGACTCTATCGTATCCGCGCACCGGTTAAGCATGTGCTCCCGAGTCTTTACTGAGGATGCATACTACAATGGAAACCTTTATCAAGCAGATTCGAGACCAGTAGTGTAAAGCGGCAACTGTGCCTTGATCACGCGCACGTTACGAATATTTCACTAGCTTGTTCACCAGAATAACTGGACTAATTTTACTCGAGATATCTGCCTGTGATAAATTGTGTCCAAGTTGTCATTTTTGAAAATTTCTCTAGACCTAAGGTCTACGCGTCATGTCACCGTAGCAGTGTGGCTTTCCTGGGGGCTGGTAACAAGGCTTCTCAGTGATTCTTCGTCATTGCTATACCCACAGTGCCCTGGTCGTCATGACAAAAGGTTCAAGAGCTGCAAGTGTACCAGAGGCTTTGTAACCTTTTCAAGTGATCCAGAATTTCTTCTGCATCCGACCGGATTGACCCGTGCTCTAAATATTGCCACTCACAATTCTTGCTGTTTCTCGGGTCCCTAGTGTTGAGCACTGCATGCTGAATCCCATCGATCATATTTGCCGTTTCTGAAGAGAAGTCTGCGTCTACGTGCATGTCGCTCCGGTAACTCACCGCCCAGATGGGCTTGCGGGCTTGGAGAATACTCTCGGGATACATGTTTGCTTCCCACCTATACTCGGCCAGGTTTTCGGCAACGTTCCTCAGAGGTATCAAATGACAATACTCCTCGAACATCCATTGAAACACCATCTCGCCGGCAAAATAAATCTGCACCGCGCCATCCGTATTACACTTGGCGAGGAGATCCTGTCTCCAGCTTCTTCCCGAGACAGCATCTCTCACAGCCCAGGCGTACTCCGGCAGTTCCAGCGCTGCCCGCTCCGCAGCCCACGCCGAGGCCTCGTTCACGCGGCAGTACATGGCCTCGTGCAAGACGGCGTAGAGGGGTCTCCTCTCGAACCCCCAAGTATCAGTTGCGTCATACTGTTTCAGCGTATCCGGCCTGATGCGGCCGTATATTTTGATGTCACTGCTCATCTTGACGATGAGAGTGTGCATCCTGGTCCAACGAGAGTGGTTGCCCAGAATCCGGCCCAGGCTGAGGAAGCGCCTCGCGCTCAGGATGCCGCCGGAGGGAGGCACGACGGGTAGGCGCGGCGGCTGCGCGAGCAGGAAGGCGACGATCTCCTTCACGCGCGCGACGTCGTCGGGGTGCTCGTTGTAATACATTTTGTTTCTGAGGGTGACGTGCTGGAACAGGCGGCGGTATACGTCAACCGGTGTGCGGACGATGGGAGCAAGACCCCCCGTGATGGCGCACTGAGAAAGCCCGTCCGGGTAGAGGGCCAGATACGACAGGGTGATCCAGCCGCCGTACGACTGCCCGTGGCTGGACCACGACTGATACGTGTTCGGAGGCATGAACTGATCCAGAAGACATTTGCGTATCGCCTCGAGGTCGCGAACGATGTTGTCTTGTCGAAATAGCCTCAGAAGATCGGTCATCCGCGTCTCCTCGAATCCTGTGAGCTGGGACTGGGTGCCAAGGGAATGGTCCTGCGGGCGGAGAAGCCTCATGAACTTGGCACACATGGGGTCCACGGCGCCTCTCTCGTTTCTGATCTCAGTACTTCTACCTGTTCCTCGATAGTCAGGGAAAATGATGACGTCGTTATCATCGAGATACGTGTCGTTGAATTCTGGGTTGCAATCTGGCGGGTTCTGTTCACCCGGCCCGCCGCACAAATAGAGTCTGAACGTACGCGTCTTCCTGGCAATGAAATCTACGAGTTCATGCTTGCTGATCGGCCGTCGTTCACCGTAGTAACCAAGGACGATGTTAACGTTTAAGACGATACTGTAGTTATAAAAGTCATTTGTCTGTTGGTGAGTTAGACTCGTTATGAACTTTGCACTTACCATCCAATACATACGGTCCTCATCTGGACCACGTTCTGGCCAAGGCTCCACGGAAAGGAGCTCGGCAGGTGGAATATCAATATGTTGATTTTTTGTTGTCATTTCGATTTGAATTATCTCTGTACAGACTAGTCGTCGTTGTGATCTGATACTCAATGGTTCCCTAGAGTTCATAATCGTGACTATATATACTTACATGTCCTGATAGTCTACAAGAATAATATATCTATGTTCTATTGTTTCGATACACTGCCGAACAAAATGAACGCAAGAAGAAAAGGAAGAAAAGAAATGTCCTTTTATTTCTCCTTGCATGTTTGCTAATAATGTCATTGTATTTCAAGTATATCTCGAAATATCGCTTTGTTCCTTGCGTGGATGAAACAAAAGCAGCCAAAAGAATCAATAATATGGAACGATTTGGCATTTCAGTAAGGAGAGGCACCGCCTCTAGCGCGAGGCTGTGGATTCGGATCTTGGAAACAGGCACGGGGGCGGATAGGGACGAGTCTGCTGCCGTGCGACAATCTGAGTAATGCAGGGTCACATTCTCTTTACGGGTTAATGTAAAATGACTCCAAACATGGTACACAGTGAGCACAAAGAGCCGGCGCAGTTGTGTCGAGCCGCATTGCTCCTGGCAACACCAGAACAACCCACTGAAATCCCGCGGCGTATTTTTATTCTTCCATCTCACCAGGAGTGAGTAGCCGACAAGCCACAGAGTCTGAACTGATTTCAATGCCTAAGAACAGTCATCGATAGCTTTTCCATGTCGTTTTTATTCCTTGAGTGGACGCGCAACACCAGGTACAAACCAAAGTGCTAACGGAGAGTGTCACCCAACTGTTGGCTATATCTACATGTCTATAGTGGTTCCAGCAATATCTATCTGGCTCAGCGACGGGGGATCTTGTTTAGCTTAGATCAAGACTCCATGAAAGCCCAAAGCCCCGCTGACGTATGCAAGCAGCTCAACAAATTTGCTTTTCTGAGCGTCGTTTCTTTTATCCCGACCCCAAGTATCAAATCCATCCCATGTCTGAATATGTGCGTGGCACCGTCCTGTCCACTCCGAATTAAGACTTCCCCAAATCCTGGCTGAAAATGCGCTGCCAGACGTCCAACCACTTCTCCTGTTGGGGCGTCAGGAGCTTGCCGGGCATCTTGAAAGACCGCGTAAGGATATCACGAAGCCGCGAGCGCAAGACCTTGATCACAAGCATGACCTTCCAGTCCGGCACGCTGAAACGAGCACGGTTACCATCGAGAATGATGACGCCAGAGTACATCTGTTATTTTAATTAATGACTAGAAAAAGGAATTGGAACTAGCAAACTTACATCAATTCGCACATCGCCGCAAAGAAGTGCGATGGCAAAGTTTTCAACAGCATTCGTCTCGTGGGCATTTAGAAACCTAGAATCGTTAGCAAACGCCAGGGTTACCACAGTCGAATGGTGCACTCACTGCTTTGATTGCATGATGTTGTAGTAAGACAGCCACTTCAGTTCCATATGGCCCTTGTTGACACTTGACGGGTGCAGGCTGATGCTTTGATTGTTGCTGACGTTGCGCCAGCCTTTATTCTCACGCATGAGCAACTTCGGATAGAAGCTCCAGGAGATGACAGAAGCAGATACCAGATCGTTGTCGCTATTGATGTTGACGCGCTGTGGCAAGTCAAAAAACAGGCGACGTCTGCTAGCATATCGCATTCTGTTCAAAGCTCGTCGTTCGTCCTCGGTCAGTTTCAAGAAGCTGGAGTCAACGAGCGACACCACAAGCTGACCTTTGAGGTCTTCGATGTTGGAAAGTGTCTGAGAGGACAAGAAGTTCTTTTTGCAAAATGCAAAATCATGCGATTGGTCTTGGCATACTTTCTTCCATGCAATGTATGCGTTGTATACGGTAAGTAAATCTGAATCCGCACGCCTGAAGGCTTTTCGCGCTTGATCGGCTTGAGCACGCTGGCCGAAAGGGGCAGAGAAAGGCGATTTGGATGAGAGAATGGCTGCACACGTAATCGCCATATCAAGACACTTGAAGATTGTGCCTTGGAGAATGAGCTTGCCTAGGAAAACATCGAGAGGTACGCGTGCAAGCTGAGCACCAAGTGGTGTTAGCTCTTCCGTGACCGTTAATGCACGCACGTCTATAAGAGCGTCAATGGCACGACGGATGTTCTTAGCTGATGGAGCATCCAGTGCCTCAGCCAAAGTTTCCTCGATACCACCCATCTTGCAAACCTTGACACGCATGGCCAAGTCTTGCAAAGATAGTCGTAGCATTTCGGGTGTCTGTTGATCGCTCATGAGTTTGTCGTGGCGATATTTCGTAAACAGGTGGAAGCACAGGCCTTCCTGTACACGACCAGCTCGACCACGACGCTGCTTGGCATTTGCCTTGGAGATAAAGGTGTCGATGAGACGGGACAGCTGCCGCTTCTCATCGAATCTTGACTCCCGATGCTTGCCAGTGTCGATGACGCAAGTGACGTCAGGAATGGTAATACCAGTCTCGGCAATATTGGTTGCCAGAACGATCTTTCTGACCCCAGGAGGGGGTTCCAGGAATGCCCGCTCCTGGTCTTCCGTAGCAATCGTGGAGTGAAGAGGATATATTTCCCAATCTCGCTGGAAGAATGGTTCCCCTAGCAAGGCGTCATTGAGTGCACGGATCTCGGCAATACCAGGGAGGAAGACCAATGTGGCCCTGCTGTAGTTTATCAACTCTGGATGAACAGCAATCTGTCCAATCAGCTGCGTGATGAGCTCAAAGTCGATCTGATATTCATCGATCATTGATAATGCAACTCGGGTTCGCGGCGAGTATTGGCGCAGGTCTTTGGCCGCATCAACATTCGAGTTGCGATCCGAGTCGCTGTCTGCGGGATCCTCGCCCAAGTCTGTGATCCTTTGATTCGGATTGCTCTGTTCTGGCGCGTATCCAGTAAGCTCCAGGGCATCCTCCAAGTACCTAACCTGGACAGGAAACGTGCGGCCTGGAACATTGAGCACAGGTGCCCCGCCCATATACTTGGAGAACTTTTCTGCATCGACAGTGGCAGACATGAGAACTACTTTGAGATCTTTGCGGCGATTGAGAAGCTTCTTGAGCACAATCAGGAGGAAGTCGGACTCGATTGAGCGCTCGTGGACCTCATCCAACACCAAGTGGGTGATTTCACCGAGATCGTTGGAGCCTTCGAGCATTCTCATGACGATACCAGTAGTGGCGTATACTAGTCTCGTCTCTCTAGATGTATTGGCTTCCAAACGGATGGAGTAGCCGACTAGCGACCGTGGCGTTCCAACATCGCCTCTGCCTTCACCAAGCTCTTCGCTAACGCGGCGTGCCAGAGATATGGCAGATATACGTCGCGGCTCGGTACAGTATATTTTGCATGGAAGACCTCTCGATAATTGATGTTCCAGAAGGAATGAAGGCACTTGAGTACTCTTACCACATCCTGTTTCACCACAGATGATAACGACCTGGTTTTGGTCGACGGCATCAAGAACCTGTTCCCGGAAAGCCCACATTGGCAGCTGCATGCGAAACTGCAACATGTTGTAGAACCTGGGGGAGTTGATCTTGTCCGCCCAGATTCTCTGATAGTACTCGGGACTAATAGAGTGACCATGCGCTCTGTCCGAGTTTGCCTGATCCCCGTTACCATTACCGTTACGGTTGGCTCCGCGGCCCTTAAATGCACTCTGAAGAACAATGCCTTCCTCCTCCTCCTGATCGAGCCTTTGTCGGACTTGGCTGCGTAACGACTTGATGCTAGTGCGGTCTTGAGCGTCGGTTTGGCTCTTCTTGGCTTCGGCCAGCTCAGTCCACAAGTCCTTCCACACAGGTGGCAGTCTCAAGTAGACCTTTTCTTCCTTAGTTGAGGAGCCAAAGATGGCGAAGAGGGCAACAGTCGCTACATAAGCTTCTGATTGTTTGGAGTCAGGGGTTGCCACTGTGGACATCTGGAAACAAAACTGCTTTGGATACATGATGGCGTCAACATTGGCTATGTCCGGAGAAGTGACCTCTTGAGGTTTGGACCACGAAATGATGGCCATGTGTTGGTTGGCGAATCGAGCTTCGGAAACAACTCTGTAAGCAATTTTGACGCCAGAGTCTCTGTGCCAAGTGTCAGTGTCGTTGAATCCGAGCTGCCTTGAGGGTCTCACCTTGATCTACACGCTTCTTCTAGGGCTCTCATCGGGGTGACGCCTGTCCATTTGGTCCCAAAATCACGAATGAATATCTTGGAGCCGTCTGCATTGTTAATCACACTCGACGTCTTGCCAGTCTTGGGATCGGTCTCCTCCATTGGCAGGCTTGCGAATAAGTCAGATAGAGCCGCATCTTCATCTGAATTGTCTTGTTGCAAAATCTCTTGGGCCATTTTCTGTGCCTCTTTTGTAATTTCATCATCTGAACTATCTTCTGGTGGTGATGCCGCGGCCTCCTGCAGTCGGTCGACCTGTTCGGTTTTCTGCTGTCTCGTGGCGGCAAACTCTTGCTCCAGGATGATCCTATCCGACTGCCATTGATAATCTGCCAAAGGCTTGTCAAATAGTGGATCCTGTTCAATTCGATCAATTTTGGCAATCAGTTTGGCTTCTTTCAGTTCGTCTTCCGATGATAATGGCTCCTCATTCATGGAATCGGGCCCGTTGGCAGCAGCCGCCTTCTTGGTAGACCGCGTCTTCTTGGTGGCCTGCCTGGGGCGCTGTATGTGAAAGAGCTTGGTCTTGGTATCGAGGTATACCGGAATCAGATCGTCAGGTTCGATGTCACTGTCACATGTGACGGTCATTTTCTTTCTGGGTGACGGTTCCCGTGATGACTTTGACTTCAAGCCCTTCTTGGACTTCGCAGGCCCGTTCCCGGTTCCGTTGGGGTCGAGGAAACGAGGAGTCGTGGCGCCTGATGGCAGAGGGCTATCTTGGGGGGTTTCATTCAGTCCAATGAGTGTCTTGCTCCTCTGCTCGTAGTCGGGCAGTTCATCTTTGGCACACTCCCTCGCCAACCAATCAAGGGCCTCTTCCAAGCCCCAGATGCTGTCCTTGGCAGTCGTTGCTATGCTAGGCGCAATGTCCAAGACATATTGCAAGACGGACTTGACTCTCCCATCGGGGAAACCGGCAGGTGCAAGAGTCTGCTGCAGCGTCCACAGTTTGACGGTCAAGTCTTCTTCGGGCAGCAATTTTCCAGGACTGGTGGAATCTGCGGCCAAGGAAGACGAGGCAAAGCGGGTTTCGGCCTTGATGAGATCCAATATCTGGTCCATCAACTCTGAGGGGAGCCATTTCCGGGTGTTGATGGGTTCGGCCTGACCGCGGAGCAGACGTCGATCGGTTTCGAGTCTAGACTTTTGGCGTTGAGCGTCCCTCTTGACCTTTTGTGCATGCTTCTCCACCAGAATTTGTAGTTCTGACTCCTCGAGCTGTTTCTCAAACTCCTCAGGACTCAGTTCCTCCTTTCTGGGGGCATTGGTCGGGGAATCGGTAGCCGCGGTTGCAGCAGCAGCGGCGGGACCTACAGCTTTCGCATCGGTGGCTGACGCTGGCTTGCCGGTGGGCTTCAGTGAAGGCGCAACGGTGTCGTCGGTAGTTTCAACTCGAGCGACAACCTTGGCAGCCACTGAGGTGGTGGCAAAACCCCTCGCTGGGTTGCCAGCGGGCTTTGTCTTCTTCTTCTTGGCTCCCGCCATGCGCACTGTCAGGAGGGACCCGACGGAATCGGAAGGAAATGGGGGAGGTCAAGGTGAGGTGAGGTGGAGGTCGAAGAGGTAAGGGTATCGAGGGCCCTGGACGGATGGCTGAAAGACGGTGTTTGTGTGTGAAGGGCGCGGGCAATGACGGAGGGGGGAAATGAGATTGTAGCGACAAAACAAAAGAATTGGAAGCTAGACTAGATCATGCCAGCAAATAGCAAGAAACGAGATAGGTCGTTGGACGTGAAGATTGTTGGTGTCCTCAGTCTTTCAATAGACGTCCAAGGGTGAGTGATGTGTGCACAGGTGTGCCATTGTCGTCTATGTGTGTGTGTATGTATGTATCATGTATGTCTGTGGTGGCCGGCTGAGTTAGTCAGTATGAGCGAGTAGTGTCAATCAAGGGCAACAAATCGCCGAACTTCTTTTGGAGTTTTGGAGGGGTCTTGACAGGGGTCATGGAGGGGCAGCTGTCCGCTGACATCACTGGCTGCTCAGTCTCCAGCGCCATCCCCCCACCTACAGATCCCGTATTCTCTCAGTTCACATTCACATTTACAGTCCTCGTCCCCCCAGTCCGAGCTCTGCCCAGGGCCCCCCTCCCCAAAGTTGTGCCTCGATTGCACATTGAGTCATTCCCGAAAGACAAAAAAAAAAGAGCGGCAGAATGTTCCAACAATACACCGCCTACCGAAAGAGCTTCGCCGGGCTGAAGAACCTCAACTTCATGGAGCTCCCCCCACATAACGCAGAACCTCATGATCCACAATAGTAAAACAAGTCAAGCCCGTCCCATTTCATCTCATTCATTCGGAAAGACGGTCGCATGTCACGGCGCTGGGTTGGTTTAGTGAGGATTTCACGTTCAAGATTCAAAGTTCGCCTTTCTGTGTGCTCCAGCACTTTCCTATATTCTATAGCATATGCTATGTGAAGCTTTGCATGCTTCTTCGCATTCCCTCGCCATTATTTGTCTTTTCCCCCCATGTTATGTTCAAGTTGTCTTTTCCTGGCAACTAACTTGACAAACCGCCCAAAATGACAATGACGGATGTGGGCGCAAACACAAACGGTGCCGCCCAAACCACCATTGACTTGACTGCCGCCAAAGCCGATCTCAGCTCCTCTTCCACCAGTCGCAGGGTTGCCCAATTGAAGTCGCTCAGCGACAAGATCAATGGCAAATGTAAGCATGCCGCTCAGCATGGCAGAAAACAATTACATAGCAAGGCGCTAATTCCCCGTACCTCCGTAGCTGTTGACCAATCTTCCATACCCAAGCTCTCCAAGCTTCTGTTCGATACTCACCCTTTATATAACGACCGACCTTCGCGACGTGCGGTAGAGACATGTATCGCCTCGATATTCACCACCACTAGCGACCCCAAGTTGCTCACGCCCTTCGTTACTGCCCTGCGCCAGGAATCCCAGAAGCCGGCCATCGCCCCCAACAACGCTTTCGTGCTGGTCGAGTGGTGCTGCTTGCTGTTCAAGAGCCTCGCCGGAACTCCCCTGTTCGACCAGTTCAGCGTAGACATCATCAACGCCAATGCTGCTGCCCTCGAGAGGTGCTTTCAGCCGCCCACAAGACTCTCCGTGGCTCATTCTGCTCTTGTTATCACCCGACGAGGACTAAGAGCCGCCTTCTGGCACAAGGAGTTCAGACCCAAGGCTGTGCAGGATACCATTCAAGCCCTCACTGCCAAGGCAGCCCAGCCCACCGCTCGAAATGCTGTCATGCTCGGCGTTGTCGCCGGAGTCTGCTCTCGCCATGACCAAGCAAAGACCCTCTTCGAAACCAAAAAGACGGAATACTTCACTTTCCTGACAAGGGAAATCATTGGCTCCAAAACTGCGCTACCGACCCATATTGCCGACGGCTTAGGCGACTTCTTCTCCGACTTCGTCACATCCGAGGACTTGACCAAGGACGTTATTCCGCCTATTGAGAAGGGTTTACTACGAGCACCCGAAGTCGTACTCAATATTGTCCCGGCCATCATCAAACCTCTATCTAACGGCATCGACCTCGCAGCTGTCCTCGCCGGCAATCTCATAAAGCCCTTTCTTTCCAACGCCAAGTCCAGCAACCCCGCAATTCGACAGAGCGTCCTCGATGTCTTCAAGGTTGTCGCTATCAAAAGCCACGACACCACAAGCCTCGAAAAGGTTGCCGACGAGATTATTGGGCCACTCAAATCTGGCAAGCTTCCATCCGCCGACCACCGTGTTGTCCATTCCGAGATGCTTGTCAGTCTTCCCTTGTCAGGCTCCATCGCTCAGAAGATAATCACTGCTCTGCCGCCTACTGCTGCCAAGGAAGGTAACGAAGCAGCCCTACTCGCAGAGGTCGCCGCCATCAGCAAGGCAGTCTCCTATGAGTTGCAACAGGACAGAGAATTGCCAAAGCCCCTGTTGGACGCTTATGCTAAAGGTCTTGCTGACAAGAAGATCAACGCCCGTCGGATATGGATCCTCAAGACTGGCGATGTCTTGTCAACATTCAGCTCGCAGCCTCTGCCTGCCAGTGTTGTCAAGTTTGCGGAAGCAGTCGTCACGCCCTTGTCTGATTCGTGGGCCGAAGTCCTCAAGAACCCACCCGCTGCAGTCCAGAGCAATTTGATCACGGGTGCTTATGTGTTTACCACTTTGGCATACCAGAACTTTGCCAACATCGACAACGCTGGAGTCAAGGCTGCCCTCAAGAAGGCTGCCGTCTCCAAGGAAACTCTCGTATATGAGCCCAAGCCTTCTTTCCTCTTGAACCACCGTGTCTATGGCCGTCTAACTGTAGAAGACGATCTGAGGTGGTTCTTATGTGCCCTGACTGCTTCTGTGGCTGGTCTCGAAACTGCAGCACCAGAAGTCCGGTCCGCGTGGTCGCAAGCATTCATTTATCTCGCCTCGTCACCAACCGTACCACCACAGATCAGAAAAGAGGCATCTGGCACGATATCAAAGTTATATGCCAAGTCCCCTACGGTCATCGCTGAGGCCGTCATTGCTGGCCTTTGGCAGTGGATTGAGTCAACCGAGACTGCTGACAAGGAAAGTATAGCTTCGGCAGCAAAGTTCGACAAGACGCACCTACACGTTGCGACTCGATCAATTTGCCTCAACAAGGAAGATCTGACACGGATGGGGTCTGAACCAGATGTCGAGTCCCTGGAGAAGCAAATGTGCTCGCTGCTTGTTCTGCTACGAGATGATCTTATTCCTAGATGCAGCTGGATCGACACCGTCTTACGCGTTGGTCTGGATCCTGCGAGTCTCGCTTTAAGGCATGAACAGGATCTATTAGGAGAGATCATCAAGAGAACAAGCTTTGGGCAAGTCACGTCGATAAAGACAGCGGCGTGCAAAGCAGCCGCCGACCTTGCCTTTGTGGCACCAGAAGTGATGACACCGAAGGTTATTGAAATGCTTCGCCGAGACTTGGACCCGACGGATTTGCAAGATGTAGGACCTGTCGAAGCAGCAATTTTCCGCACTCCTGAGGGCACTGCCTTCATCGACGTTCTTGCGAAGAGCAATCAAGCTCTGCCAAACAAGAACACCAAGGATTATGACACACTTAAGTGGGAAGAAGAGCTTCGAGCTCAACTAGCTGCGAAGAAGGGTACACAGAAGAAACTGACAGCGGACGAACAGGCCAAGGTCAATGCGCAGCTCAAGAAAGAGTCAGAGATCCGAAAGTCCATCCAGCAGATAGAGGCGCGATTGCTTCGTGGTGTCGGAATTGTCCATGGCTTAATCACTGGACCCCCGACTGAAGCCAATTTATGGATGGGTCCTTCGGTCAATGCATTGCTCAAGGCTATGGAAGCTGGTGCTTGTCAGATCACCGGTGATGACGCACCGTCTGCATACCTTGCCTGCGCAGAAAAAGTCACTACCCGTCTTGGTTCCGTCAGGCCGTTTATTGGTGTCGCTACCCTCCGCGCTTTGGGTATCACGGGTCTTCCGGACAACCTGGTTGAGGAGGGTCTTGAGGAACTTGTGACAAGAGTGCTCTACAAGCTTCGCTTTGCAGGAGAACAGCGGCCGTTTGATGCTATCTCACTTGTCTACATCTTGTCTCTTCTCTTCCTCGTCCTTCAAAAAGGGGGGTTTGCGTCAGCAGCAGATGAGAGAGATGCTCAAGTAGTCCTAGCTATTGAGATCCTATCTTTCCATACGGCGGTTTGCTCTGACGAGTCTGTCCCACGATCAGATCTGATCTCGATATTGACAAGCTCCATGCAGCAATACAGCCTGCATTACAAGGTCATCAAGGACTGCTTCCACGACTTGATCCGCTGTGTAGCGCCAAACATCACACTAGCAGAAACTGCAGTCTTAGTAAGAGGAGCGATCGTGCCCGAAGCATCCGTCAGGGAAACAGTTCTGCAGGTCATTAGTGCCGAAGTCGATCTCAGTGAACTCGAATTCTCGGAGGAGATTTGGCTGGCATATCACGATGACGTTGAAGAAAATGCAGAAATTGGCAAAGAAATCTGGGAGGAAAGCGAGTTCAAGCTTTCGAAGGATGTTCCTTTCAAAATGCTTCCTTACCTCGAAAGTCAAGACTCGCAACTTCGTGGGGCTGCGGCGCGATCACTCGCAGATGCCTGCAAAGCCTATCCCGCGACCACGGATGATGTTCTGGCAAAACTTCAAGCTTCATACGTGGATTTCGCTAAGCCACGCAAGCCGGAGCTAGACCGTTACGGAATGCCTCTTAAAAATGACCTCAAGGATCCTTGGGAAGCCCGACATGGTATTGCTGCAGCATTCAAGCACATCGCTGTTCATCTAGAGAACGGCCAGCTGGATGATTTCTTGAGATTCCTCATCGAGAAGGGACCGTTAGGCGACAAGGATCCCAACGTGCGCAGCGAGATGATCCACGCGGCAATTACTGCCATCGATCTGCATGGCCGAGCTCTCGTTGACGAGCTGATGAAGATGTTCGAGACAACCCTAGAGGCTCCGGACAAAGGCTCGGAAGCTGGTGATCGGGTCAATGAAGCTGTCATCGTCATCTATGGTGCTCTTGCGAGGCACTTGAAGCCTGGAGATGCGAAAATTCCTGTCGTAATTGAGAGACTATTGGCGACCCTAAGCACTCCCTCTGAAACGGTTCAATATGCCGTGGCCGAGTGTTTACCATCGCTTGTCCGTACATGCGGTGACAAGTCATCCAAGTATTTCGAGCGAGTCATGGATACCCTACTGAACTCCAAGAAATACGCCGAAAAGCGTGGCGCTGCGTACGGCTTAGCTGGTCTTGTGCTTGGAAGAGGTGTCGTAATCTTCCGGGAATACCGCATCTTGATCACGCTGAAGACCGCCACGGAGAACAAGAAAGAGCCCCAGCAACGTGAGGGTGCATTCCTGGCATTTGAGTTGTTGCCGTCAATGCTTGGTCGCCTCTTTGAGCCATACATTATTCAGATTGTCCCTCAACTGCTGACAGGCTTTGGCGATACCAATGCAGACATCAGAGATGCATGTCTCGCCGCCTCCAAGGCCTGTTTCGGAAAGCTCAGCTCTTATGGTGTCAAGCAGATCCTACCCACATTGTTATACGGACTCGACGATGATCAATGGCGAAGCAAGAAGGGAGCATGTGAACTGCTGGGTGCAATGGCCTACCTAGATCCCCAGCAACTAGCTCAGAGTTTGCCTGACATCATCCCGCCGTTGACCGCCGTCCTCAACGACAGTCATAAGGAAGTTAGATCCGCTGCAAACAAGAGTTTGAAGCGCTTTGGTGATGTCATTACTAATCCAGAGATCAAGAGTATCTCCGATATTATCCTTAAGGCCCTCAGCGACGCAACAAAGTACACCGACGATGCTTTGGATGCTCTCATCAAAGTTCAGTTCGTACACTACCTCGATGCTCCTTCGTTGGCATTAGTCACGAGAATCCTTCAACGTGGTCTCGGCGACAGATCCAATACCAAGAGGAAGGCCGCTCAAGTCATTGGCAGTTTGGCACATCTTACGGACAGAAAGGATCTCATCGCTCATTTGCCCGTCCTCGTCTCTGGCCTCAAGCTCGCCGCAGTCGATCCTGTGCCAACAACTCGTGCTACTGCTTCACGCGCTTTGGGATCTCTGGTGGAGAAGCTTGGCGAAGATGCTCTGCCAGATCTCATTCCAGGTCTTATGCAGACACTCAAGTCGGATACTGGCGCTGGAGATCGTCTCGGTTCCGCACAAGCTTTGTCCGAGGTCTTGGCCGGTCTGGGCACGACCAGACTGGAGGAGACTTTGCCCACCATTTTGCAAAACGTCGAAAGTTCAAAGTCTGCCGTCAGAGAAGGTTTCATGTCCTTGTTCATCTTCTTGCCCGTTTGTTTCGGCAACAGTTTCGTCAACTACCTTGGCAAGATTATCCCTCCAATTTTGGCCGGTCTTGCCGACGATGTCGAATCCATTCGTGAGACCGCACTGCGTGCTGGTCGTTTACTGGTCAAGAACTTCTCCGCCCGAGCTATTGATCTGTTGCTACCTGAACTTGAAAGGGGTTTGGCAGACGACAGCTACAGAATTCGTCTCAGCTCTGTGGAACTGGTGGGTGATCTGCTGTTCAATCTCACCGGTATCACTGGTAAAGAAGATGCAGAGATCGAGGAGGAACAAGTCAAAGAAGCAGGAGCATCGCTACGCGAAGTTCTCGGAGAAGAGAAGCGCAACAAGGTGCTTTCGGCATTATACATCTGTCGCTGTGATACGTCTGGCGCTGTACGTGCTGCAGCTATTGCTGTTTGGAAAGCTCTGGTCGCGTCGCCGCGAACACTCAAGGAGCTTACGCCAACGCTTACTCAACTCATCATCCGCCGCCTGGGTAGCTCCAACATGGAGCATAAGGTTATCGCCAGTAACGCATTGGGTGAAATGATCAGAAAGGCTGGCGACGGTGTTCTCTCCACCTTGTTGCCAACTCTGGAGGAGGGCCTGCAGACCTCTATGGATGTTGATGCCCGCCAAGGTATCTGCTTGGCATTGAAGGAACTGATTTCATCTGCTTCTGACGAAGCCTTAGAAGACCACGAAAAGGTTCTCATTTCCGTTGTACGCACTGCGCTTACAGACTCGGACGAGGACGTCAGAGAGGCCGCAGCCGAAGCCTTCGACTCGCTGCAGCAGATCATTGGCAAGCGCGCAGTTGATCAAGTCATGCCATTCCTACTCAACCTTCTGCGGTCCGAGGCCGATGCAGAGAATGCCTTATCTGCACTTCTGACGCTTCTTACAGAGACTACACGTTCAAACGTCATTCTTCCCAATCTTATCCCTACCCTTATTGCGCCTCCCATATCAGCTTTCAACGCAAAGGCTCTGGCCTCGTTGTCAAAGGTTGCCGGTGCGGCTATGAACCGTCGCTTGCCCAACATCATCAACTCTCTCATGGATAATATTGTCAAATGCCAGGATGAGAGCCTCCACGCCGATCTTGAGGCATCCTTCGACACCGTGATCTTGTCAATTGACGAATACGATGGTTTGAATGCAGTCATAAATGTTCTGCTGCAGCTTGTCAAACACGAGGATCACCGCAAGCGAGCCAATACCGCGTACCGAATGGCGACCTTCTTTGAGCAGTCTACTGTCGACTACTCGCGGTACAACCAGGATATTGTCCGATCTTTGCTGATTTCGTTTGATGACAGAGACAAGGAGGTAATCAAAGCTGCCTGGACAGCACTCAGCGCATTCACGAAGAAACTTAAGAAGGAAGAAATGGAGGCCCTTGTGCCCTCTACACGCCAAACTCTTCTCCATGCTGGTGTCGCTGGCCGTAACCTTCCTGGCTTCGAGTTGCCAAAGGGTATCAATGCCATTCTACCGATCTTCCTGCAAGGTCTTATGAACGGTACCCCAGATCAACGGACATCTGCTGCCCTAGCTATATCTGATATCGTCGACCGCACAAGCGAAGAGTCTCTCAGGCCTTTCGTCACCCAAATCACTGGTCCATTAATTCGTGTGGTATCCGGAGGCTCTACCGACGTCAAAGCCGCCATCTTGTTGACACTCAACAACCTCTTGGAAAAGATGCCAACAGCCCTGAAGCCTTTCTTACCTCAACTTCAGCGTACATTTGCCCGGGCCTTGGCAGATACCACGAGCGAAATGCTTCGCTCTCGTGCCGCAAAGGCGCTTGGTACTCTTATTAAGTTCACGCCGCGTGTTGATCCTCTCATTGCTGAGCTTGTTACGGGTTCCAAGACGACTGATCCAGGTGTCAAGAACGCCATGTTGAAGGCTTTGTACGAAGTCATCAGCAAAGCAGGCGGCAACATGGGTGAGAGCTCACGTACAGCTGTTTTGGGTCTCATCGACACGGAAACCGACGAAATGGACTCTGCAATGACCATTACAAATGCCAAGCTGCTCAGTGCTCTTGTCAAGAACGTTCCCGAAGAGGTTGCCACGAACCTACTCAAGAACCGTGTTATCACCACACATTTCACCACCTCTTCCGTTCTAGCACTAAACGCCGTTCTGGTGGAGTCTAAAGAGGTTCTACTTGAGAGTTCTCTGGCAGAAGAGCTGCCCGATGTTCTCTGCCAGGGCATGTCCAACAAGAACGTGAGTCATTATACCTGATGTTCTTATTATATACTCAAAGACTTGCAAACTAACTAACGTCATAGCTCTTCGTCGCGGACAACACCATCTTGGCAACGGGCAAATACTTGTTATCCACAACACCAACATTTGAACAGACCAAACCTATCTTCTCAACTCTCGCCTCGATTATTGCCCCCGGAAACCCTGGAGATAGCCGCCGGTTGGCTCTCGTCGTAGTGCGCACCGTATGCCGTAAGAACATGGAACTTGTTCGTCCCCACCTACCGCTGCTCGCAGGACCAATATTTGCGTCTGTCCGTGATCCAGTCATTCCCGTCAAATTTGCAGCAGAGGCAGCATTCATTGAGCTCTTCGACGTTGTTGAAGAGGAAGGAAAGGTATTCGAGAAGTTTGTGCAAAGCCCCACAGGCCAGGAGTTGCCCCCCAACACGAGAAGGAGTATGGGTGACTATTTCAAGAGAGTTGCATTGAGACTAGGTGCCCAAGCTAGGGAACGCAGAGATGTGGAAGGTCTTAGCAACGACGAGGCTGAGGATGAGAGGGAGGTTTGGAGTGTTGGACAAGTTGAGACTGGAGGTGGCGTCTTCAGCCAAGACTAAAGTCTTTTCTAGGAAAACAGAACAGCTTGCTTCAAGCTACGGGTAACGAAAACTGCATATGTGATATCATTATGCAAGGTATTACGCATTTCATGGTAGATAAAAATAACGATTGCATTTAAACGATAATTCGTATACCCACACCCAAAAGATTTTTGAGATTTCCTGCTGTGCGGTCATTTGAAGTATACGACTTACCCAAAATAACAGCCCCTCATCGTAACACCTTGGAAGGCAGGGCCACTTGAACATCTTCGAGACGTTGAACTTGTTCGATAGTCTGGCCCTCCAACTTGACTTGGAATATCATGTTGGTATGGGCGATAACCCCCCCTACACCCAAGTCGTCATCCTCCGCTTGGTACTCTGCCCGAGAGCAGTCTTGGCGCCTGACGGATCCTGTAACAGGCATGGCATAAGAGCCCACTGAACAATGCCACACTAGCTCCGCAGTGATAGTGGGTGAAAAGGGCTGTGGGATGCTACTTGCTCCAATGCTTGGCCCCGAAGGCGGGCGAACGCGAACCATGTATTTTCGATATTAATGGTGATGGTGCAAATCACAATCATGGGAAGCAACTTCACACCTTGGTCGGCTGTTCAGCCAGACCTGGTCCCTTGAGAAGTGTGCATCGTACTGAGCGGAGGGTTCCCTGGCCGACATGTTATGATATAAAAGCTGTCCGGATTGCTACGGGTATGTATATGCACTCCAGCCAGCCGATAGCGGCAATCAAGGAGGGGCTTCACGTCAAGTGCTAAAGGCCACTGATCACGGACTTGGGTAAAATAAAGCATCTAGGCTTTTCTGAGTGGAGCAGTCTAGCTAGTCAAAACCAGGCCCAATCTGTGGTTGACCTAGCAAAACATCACCCTGAACTCAGGGTTATGGCCGGCTCCTCGACAAGATCCTGAAGGGGAACGCCGTTGGCAGCCCTTTCCATGTTTGTCCCAACACCTGCGATTTGAAAGACCGTTCCTGGATTCTTCCTCTGCTACCTCTCTCGAAACAGCGGCATCTTCGTTGACTGTGCTGTCCATGATATCTACCTGTTGCTATGATACCTTGGCAATCCTACGCTTAGAGTATGCTGGGCCGTCGACACCCTTCAACACGACACAAAGCTCAAGGATCTCTCTGATGTCGCTAACGCTGTCGGTATGGTGGAGCAAGATGGCCCAACTTCTACTGTTCTCGCACCCGAGCCCATGGCCATGATACCTGTACCGAGATTACCGGTACAGAGAGCAAGGTGATGGTCAACGTGATGCCGAAAACCAACGATGTCGTGCTGGCCGGTAGGCTCGGCATAAGGAACAGGGTCCAAACCAGAGTACTAGCAATGTTTCGAGATTGCGTTTGCATCAAAGGCGAATGATTTCGTGGAGAGTATTGTCAAGGACAAGCCGGTACCACTTCCCTCGGAGTCGGGCATCTAGTTGATGCAGATCGGCAAGGCTCTCCCGGATGCCCTCCTCAGCGGTGATGTATAACGTTTCAAACAAAAATGGAGAGCGACTGTGAGGGGCGGACGGGCTATTATGATATACATACTAAGAACAATAGACGTCCATTTCCTGTCCATGAATGGTCGTTTGACATGTAGTAGTGAGCCTCCGATTATTTACGCAAAACCCCAGTGCCTTATGCCAAGTAGGATGCTGCAGAAACACCCATCCGGTTCAACTCTTCAGGTAGTTAGCAACGCTTGTTCGATCGTGAATACTGATTTCGAACGAAGTCGGTAAAACATTATACCCGCAACTTTGTGCATATGCTTTGCCCGGCTCAACCGGTCACTGTATGGTACGGAGCATGACCCAGTGGTATTGGTGACGCCGCTCCACGTAATCAGTGGTCCCCCCCCCCCCACTCGTCGCTGCTGGATCTAAAAGGTCGCCGATGTTACTTCAGATATATCGTGCTTGCTTGTGTCGATTTGAGTCCCTTGGCTCGATTAAACTAGGCTGCTTCGGAGACGTTCCTTTGCGTAGATCCTTCGATTAAAATCATGCCAAATAGTGTTCCGCCATCAGGTGTGGACCCAGGCACTGAATGCATATCGCAAATCTGCCTGACCTCTGGCCTCTGATCCCTCCCACAGTCATGAACGACGAGAAAGACAACAGCGTTGATCTTCTGAAACAAAGTAAAAACATGCAGGATGATGGCTCTAGATCCTGCTCGCATCGCCCCTATCATCAACCGCCACGATCCAGCCTCTCGTCTGCTTCCTTCATGGCTTTCACATGAAACTTCCGATGTTCAACCATAAGATCGTCTGCCTGATCTAAGCGTTCATCCGCCTCTTCCATGGCTTTAACATGGAACTTTCGATGTTCGACCATAAGGTCATCTGCCTGATTTAAGCGCTCATCTGCTTCTTTCATGGCTATTTCGTGAAATTTTCGATGCTCTACTAAGCTCTCCTCAGCGGCTGCTAGTCTCTCGTCGGCTTCCTTCATCGCTCGGGTATGGAACTTGCGATGCTCGACCATACTTATATCAGTCGCGGCCAACCTTTCGTCTGCCTCCTTCATTGCTTGCGCGTGAAATTTCCTGTGCTCCTTGATGCTATCCTCGGCAGCCGCCAGCCTCTCGTCGGCCTCGCGCATGGCCTCTTCGTGGAATACGCGATGCTTGACCATGCTGTCATCGGCTGCATCGAGTCTTTCATCGGCCTCCTTCATGGCCTGGGCGTGCCAGATGCGGTGCTGCTTAATCTTGTCTTCAGCTGCTGCGAGACGTTCATCAGCCTCCTTCATGGCGTCCGAGTGGAACTTCCGGTGCGCCTCCATGCTTTTGTCGGCTTCCGACATCCTGGTCTCGTGGAATTCTTCGAGCCATTTTAGTCTCGCATCGTTTTCCTTCTGCTCCCAATCGTATGGGCTAACGCTGTTGGGTGGCATGACTTTAGCCATTTCGTGTAGACGCCGCCTGAATGCTAAATGAGAGGACGGTTGTCTATCTGTCACGTCGCAGATTTCTTTTCGTGCAAAAATCGGTCACATATGGGAACAATAATGCCGACTGTAAGCAAATGCGCGGGCTCTCAGAGATTCATAGGCAGGTTGAATCGGATTTTGCATACGTCAGTTTCCAAGTTTCCTAGCATGACGTCACCCACTTGTTCACGCCACAAACTCCTGACTTTGACAAGATCTCTAGATAACGTTTGTACTTTCTCAAAGAACGAAACGCTCTCGAGTTCAATTTATCTGCCATAATATTTGTATATCACCTATCGAGCACTTTTACTCATTTCGGTATTCATCTGATAATCTCCGCTAGGTTAGTGCTTGACGCAGACACCCGCTACATTAGGGTGGGCGATCAATTACTTGGTGTCAGCAGCGCTATACCCCTTCGATCATGAACGTCGTGCAATTTGGCTTTTGTGGGACGCTGATAAATGAAGTGGCTTGCATCGTTGTACTTAGCATCTGAATTATGTACATTGGCTATATCTTGAAACAAGGTCGGGTAATTGTGGGTTCGATTTCTTCCGCGGTGGCAGCCTGGGTATGATCACGCTCTTAGATTTGCATATTTCTGGTCGGGTTAGATGTCAAACTCGGGATCAGTGACTGTCTAACCTTAGTAAGTCCATTGCGATGCACGCTGGCATGAATGCGGGCTGATCGAGATGTGTGGAAATTGAACATATGGTATTTGCTTGGAAATTGCTTGCTTACTTGAAATACTATGGAAAGAGAAAAATAATGATGTCTACGACTTATATGATTGTGATCACAACTAAAGCAAAGCGGAAAACTAGCCATAACTCATTACAAGCCACCGTTCATAAGCCATACTTTGGTCAAACACGCTGCAACACTTCAATATTCCCATCAAACTCTTAATCATGTTCATTCGTTCGACTGCAATCGTCTCACTACAGTCTCTACACCTATCAATTGATGTCTTTGTGTATGCCAAATACCTTGCCAGTCTTGAATTAACAGTACTAATAATTGCTTCTATTATTAAATCCTTTGCTATCATTTCCACCAGCAACGACACACTATGCCGCCGCAGGATACTCACCAACCCACTCCTCAAACTGGCTGATCGCAGCTGCCTGCGCAGCCGCTACAGATGGGTGGACGGAGTTCTTTTGAAGCAGATCGTTACAGTGTCTAGCCCCTTCCATTATAATGGCAGGAGTCTCTGATGTTCCGTTGAATGGACCGCCAGGCCTGAACTCGGAAGCTACTGAAGCGGACCGCCATGGGTCGGCCTCTCCATTCACGTATAGGAGCCGCGGGAGGTCGGTATTGTACCAGCCTTTTGTTCGCCTGTTCACGGAATCCGCAGTGAGGCCTCTGTTGCTCCCATAAGTATTGCGCCCTTCACGAGGGAAATAGAGACCGCATTGACGATCATAGTATTCCGGGGTTGCTAGGCGCGTCATCACCGTGGGAACATTGCTCGGTGCACCGCTAATAGTCCAAGGCTATCAGTATATCGCAATCCTATCTCTGCATGTCCAAGCACAAGTGGGGAGAGATCACTCACGTTTGCCAATAAAATAGCGGTTCGTTACACGTCATCCAAACCCAAGTTCGGCCGTTTGGGCTGTCGACTGACCAATCATGGAAGATTTGCATGGAGGTGTTGTATGAATCCCAGCACTGCACATTGTAATCGCCAGACCAGTCATCATAGCCATAGGAGGCGCAATCTAAAGCTGGAGTCAGCACGCTCCACCCAATTTTCGGGCCCGTTCTGTAGTTGATGTAAACTTACAACCAGGAATATATTCTGTTCTGTACCAAGCAGCAAAGTTTGGCAAGGCTTTGTTCAATCCAACTCCTCTGGCGCTATAGTTGGTGTAATTACCGGTGTTGTTCGGGATGACGCCCTCGATTGCGTCGCACATCTGATAGAAGGAAGAGTAACCGGAGTAGAACTGAATGCTCTGCCATGCCCAAATTGGGGACGATATGGCGACAGCGGCGTCGTCGTCATGGGCAACGTCTTCAAGCAAGAACATTGCCTTGAGAGCAATCTTTTCTTCTTCCGTGCCTTTAGTGAAGACAGTATCTATATGATCGACAATGGCTTCATAATCCAGACTACAGTTCTTTGGCATACCCTGCAATCAATTATTAAGATATGGTCAGCCTTGTCGTTTACGGGGTACCTACCTGTTGAATCGGTTGGAAGTACTGCCAATAGTCGTAGATGACCTCTACCGGGCCACTAGTTGAATGGTACGCCCAAAAGGTTCCGGGAGACAACTGCATGAATTATGAGTGCATGCCTCGGTTTGGAATCACGTGCTTTATAAGGAATGATATGTATCTTACCTCTTCGATCCATGCAGCCAGGGCCCCGGAATATGAGCCACCTACCCAAATCCATGGCTAAGGACGTCAACAAGTGCCACAAGCAATGCACCGATTATTGTGGACTTACCGCTTGATCAGCGCTGCTGGTGTTAGCTGTATCGAATGGCAAGGGTGCATTCTGCGCGAAATTGACAAAGTCGTTGACAGACTGCTCAAGTGTAAGATGTTGTAAACACGTCGTAGTCTGATTTGTGCATGGGCTGGAACTCCCCCAGTAACGATCTGACCACTTTATTAGTCACTTTTCATCCAGGTGAAGGATGAAGGTAACGCACGCTCAACCATGATGACAGCTCCACCAACTGCAGCCGCAATCATGCCACTAAGGGTACGCTCCGTCAAGTATCCAGTATAGCCCGCAGCTGGAGCTTCGCCCGGTGTGAAGACAATCACCTGCTAAGAGTCAGCCCAAGCACATTCTCACGCCCACCAGGGTATCTGACGTACGGGAGAACCAGGCCCTTTCCAGTTTGTCGCGTTAAACCAGTATGAAGTAGAAAACGACCCTTTGGACGGGTGCGCGTGGTCAATCGGCTGCTCAAAGGTGCCGTTGCCCACAAGCGTTACGGCAGAATCCAGCAAGGTAGCCTCCTCTGCTTCGGTGAGGGTCATCGGTGGCACCTGTCCTGTGGGTGGAAAGACACCGTGGACTCCGCCGAGCCACAGAGCCGTACAGGCCACTGCACGGAGAACCGACTTCATGCTGGCGATCAATCGTTTCCTCTGCAAATCAAGTGGAAGTGATGACTAGTCCTCGAGCCCAGAAACACAACGACCCGTTCTACGTCAGTAGACCCTTTATACGAACGTCCCTTGCTCCTATAAATGCCGCTCTTCGTCATAATGTGCAGTAGCCATTTTGAATCAGACCTCTAGTCTGATCACATCCTTACGGCTACTGGGATGCGAGTAGGCTTGTGGATGCGGTGCTCCCATGCTCCCATGCTCCCATGCTGGCGATGAGATAACAAAAACACCAAGTGACAAATTTGAGCTGAGGCTAATTGGTGGAGTTGGCTGTCCGCCAGACATACTCTTGAGAGAGCCACGAAGTGGTTGACCATCGCTTTGCCAAGTTAGGAAGGTGTCGTGCATAAATAAGTTCGTGCGCGATGAACCCCACTGTCAATGTTGCAGATCATTGCAGGTACTTTGGCCAGGGTCAAGATAGCATCAACCAGTAATAGAAGGGTCTGCCAAACTATATTGCGGTTGTGAGCGGGTTTTGCGGCTGCGGAAAGCTCCCATGCTGCATAACCGAAGCCATCCGTATCGAGGCTGCAAGTGAAAACTATGTGAGTACACAGTAGACCGCCACTAGCCTCGTGGTTTAATGGCAGAATGACACAAGAATATGACACAACGATTGGCGGTTTCTTCTGAGGTATGAGAGATATACTGCACCTAGTTTTCTCGTATTTGATTGAACGCTGTGATGCGGACAACATGAGGCTCGGGTCAACTTCGACACTTGGGGATGAAAATCTATGCAATGGTATTGCGGGTAACACAAAACATAACAAGCCTAATCATTTTTTGATGACGGCATGATCTCGTAAGACATAAAGATTACCTCGTTACAGACAGGACACTTGCTCACTTCTTAGGGAAAACATATACCGCAAGCCACAGGGTCAACTATTATACTGACCAGTTCACAAGCTATTATATCCTCCCCTAACAACATATAACGGCGCTGGAAACCATGGCATTGGATCGGCACAAAACCAATATTGATTACAGCACACAATTACGCAGAGAAAGCTCTGTATATCGAACATTTGGTTCCTCTTCACAAGTTAAACATAGCAGCGATCCTCTGGGTAAGTAGGCGATTGGAATATGTACGATCTTGTTACACTTGGGCGGAGCAAGGCTTGAGTTTGGTCAATGGTTAATTACCGACAGGGCTGGCGGCAGACGAGCGATGATCAAGGAGAACAAGTAACAAGACCACTCGCATGTGTCTAATGTCTTATGGTTGCTAATGCAAAAGCACCTAGATCAAGCAGGAGGCAAGCACTCTAGGAGAGGCATCTAGCAGCGACGACCATATGGGAAATTCTGGTACGTGGACGATGCCCAGAGCTCATAGCTTGGGGCCATTAAAAGGGCTGCATCATCTTCCTCAGTGTTGGTGGTAAGCGACGTACCACGGCACGTTGAGGACGGAAGGACGTGACCTGGCAATGAGCACTCCCAGTAGCTGTGTAGCACTGATGCAGATCACCGCACCTCTATGATAACAATGTAGCAGACACGTCAGGATACCACTTATTACAGCACTAACCAAGACGGCTCAGAGAGGACAGGAGCCTCATCAACACAAACAAGCATTGGCTGAATCGTGAAAAGCATCAAGAAACGCGGCGAGCCAGCTAGATTTGTGACGACCTAACCTTAGGTTAGAAGCGTGCGGGGAAATCTCAGAAGGTCTACCGGCTATTGTTAGCTGCATGTGCTCAAAATGTTAGCGCTGTGGAGAACGAATTAGGGCCACTATGTGCTGTTGCTCATTGCTCGCAACCACTAAAGCATTCGAGATAACATCCACTCATCAAACGTGAAATAAGATAGACGATGGTCTCCTGAGAGCTTCTTTTGCTATTGGATCACATCTGCCAAATCATGTTTTCCGAAATACTCTCTAGCACCTACAGGCAATACAAAGATGACACAAGCGCGTTCACTACGTGGCTAGGACGAGCCGCCGAGGCTTGTGGTTATAATCCGAAGGTCAACAAAGTGCCCGAGACTGCTCCAGCTGTGAAGGCACTTCCTGATGCTTCCAGCCCGTTGCACCAGCGCAGGGACTCAAGGGCAAGGCAAGGAAATTAGCATAAGAAAAGTCTGCTGCAGCTCCTGAGCCACTTTCCTCAGCTGAGGGTCTCAAGACCCTCAAGTATGTGGTCAGTACCCAGGAACTGATAGCCTAGATAAGTGCAATTCACCAGTCGAAAAGTAACGTACCTTTACCATCGTCATTAAAATAAAATAAAAAGGTACTACAACGAGCTATAGAGGCTAGGCGGATATGTTTCGATTGGTATGAAAATGCCAAAACAAAGAAAAAAAAATACTGGTTTGTCTGAGAACGTCGGACACGTCATTTTATTGAGGTCTTGTAAGATGCCCTCGATAGACTAAGTTTAGAAGCTCCAATACAAAATTCAGTGGGCTCGGGTCGGTCGACATCTTCCAAGAACAAAGCGTTTGAATTTGCTTGAGTTCTCCTGACCCTCGTCCGTTAAGCAGTAAGGCTAACGTATAACAACAATCGATTTTCGCATCCCGAGTGTGAATGTCTATTTCACGCTAACACCTACGAAGGTTGCCCTAATCAGCAGACCGAAGCAGAGCCAACAAGACTTTCTTGATATCTTTGAGCTGGAAGCTGGACAGAACTTCGATGGATCTTGTGCCATTTTCTGCTTCTTTGAAAACTTGTATCGTATCCAGGCCGAGCTGAAATAATTATGGCAAGATTGTAATTCTGACAATATTAGCCTTATTGGGGCTACGATCATAACTCAAACGGCTGTGCATATGATACGCCGTGCTGAGAAACACATTTACTCTGTTGTTCTGCCAAATGGTTCTATGGAAACTATTACCAGCCTCTTGCCAACATGATGGTGGTTGTGAGTCCATAACCAAAGGCTTGAACCCTATGGATGGGTTTAGAGTCCACGTGTCACCCTTTGACGACTGCATCTTCCTGCCAGCCGCAAGTACCCTGATGAAATTCAGCTCGACTGCCTGTAAATTAATGGAGTCCAACGTTACCTGGCCGGCTCCGATCATGCCGTTAAAGATCAATACATGGACTCGCCGCACAAGGCAGATTTGTCTGAGCATTAAAAGTTGCAGCGCGACGACGAGACCTTGTCACAATTACTTCTCGGCCTTCAGCTTACAGATGAAGACCGTGGCTAAGCAGTCAATTTCTCTAGCTCTATAGCGCCAGTAACCTCAGCTACGGAGCTACAAAAAGCACTTTTAGGCATGACTTACTTCATTGTAATTTTCCATACATACTATGACAAGGCCAAGTCAAAAATGGCGGCCGCGTTTGCTGAGCAGACCCTGAAAATGGCATGCCTGGCGCACTGGAAGTCGTCAACGCTGACAGAGATGACATGCGGGAGGTCGCGAAGCAACACATCGAAAGCTGGGATACCCAATCCTTCGTAGTTTTGACAGACGGGAAATGAGTCGCCGTTAATTGTAGATAATTAATTGAGGAAGAGGATGTCATCGGCCTCAAAGCTGCTGTAGAGAAGCTTTCCGGCTTGGCCAAGAAGAGAACTCGTCCACAATAGCACACTCTATCATAACCAATGTGCACATATAGCTTCAATACTATGATTTGAATTTCAACTATTAATCTCCAAAATTATGTCATCTGCCCGGAGATACCAATACGACTCTCGATTCCATGTTACCGAATAAATCAATATTGGAACTTTTGCCCTAAAATGTCTTCACTCAACGTCCACAACTTGTCAGCCTTCTCATAATCAGTAGCAAAGTCCCATGCCTTTCCGATAGCGCCATTAGTCAAGTATGCTGGTGACCTTGCCGGAACCTCAGGATCAAGCACCGCGACAAGTGTTGTGGCCGAACCTTGAGTCAATGTCCTCCGTAGCGCTTCGGGGTCCGCCCAGTCCCAATCGCGACCAGTGTTCCTCTTCACAATAGTTCCGATGTCATTGAAGGCTGTACTCGCGTCGAGGTGATCGCCAAGCCCTGTCCCCGCGATCATCCCTGGGTGCAAGGCCGTTGCTGTGACACCACGGTCCTTAAGGCGCTTTGCCAGCGCCCATGCGAAAAGGATCTCGGCGGTCTTTGCTTGTCCGTAAGCTGTCCATGGGTCATATGTTTTTCCGTCAGAGAAATTCCAGTCGTCGAATCTAAACTCGCTGGACCTGTATCCCACGCTGGTGACGTTGGTAATCCTAGAGTTGTGCCCGGCAGCCAGGATGTTCGGTAGGAGTAGGTTTGTCAAAAGGAAATGGCCAAGGTAGTTAGCCGACAACTGGATCTCAACGCCATGCTTGTCAGTCTTGTACTCTTGAATCGCCATAATACCGGCGTTGTTGATGAGCACATCAATCTTGGGCGCGACGGCACGGATCTTCTCAGCGGCTTGCCGTACGGAGTCGCGGTCGGTTAGGTCGAGATGAACAAAGGTCGTCTTGATGGAGCTGTCAATAATTTGGATTTCCGATAGCACCGGCGCGACCTTTTCCTCGGTCCTCGAGGCAATGATGATGTGAGCAGGCTCTCGAAGGGCTAGAGACACAGCTGCGTGTCCTCCTAGAGATCCGTAGGCGGCACCTGTCAGAACGAAGGTCTTGCCTTTGACATGGTCTCCGAAAGCCGCAACGACCTCCTCGCTGGTGGTCTTGATGTTGAATGTAGGCATGATGTCTGATGATGAATGCGTGACTTTATATCTGATGGTGAATGCGTGACTTGATATGTCGAATATGAGCGTCGTGAGGATAGTTATTAACTGATGAGTTTCTGAGAAGACCTCTCATCTGAGAATCATCACGACTTAAATAGTGTTCGATAACTTGCGTGTCTGTCTCCCTCTCACCGCAATACGTAGAATGATGTCGGTTTTAAGCAGAGCAATCATTAAGTCCATTGCAAGAGAGTAGAGACTGTGTCCAGATCTCTCTTTAGTGAGTACTTCCTAACCCAAAATTTCAGAAACATATGACTTGGAGGAATTAAGTCCGTGATTTTTAATCAAATGCAGGGCAGCACTTTTGCTTCATCTAAGCCTGACCGTCTCTCGTATGCCGTGTACAACATGACAAGTTATCTCGTGATTGGCCCAATATCTTATTGATGAGTGGACCATGGAAGCTTGCAGGTTCGTAAGTTCGCAACAGGTTTTGATTGGTTCAAAAAGAGTGAGTGGACCATGGAAGCTTGCAGGTTCGCAAGTTCGCAACAGGTTTTGATTGGTTCAAAAAGAGTAGTGTGGTCGCGCTTGAGGCGCCGGTGTATTTGTAAGATGCGGCGCAGAATCGCGCCACATTTTTGGACGCCATGGATAAATCCTGCCATGATGGCTTAACGCCGCGACACTTCAATTTATTTATAGTCCCAAAAATGTATATTATTAGTCCCCGATTCAAAAAAGAAAAAAAGATTCTCCCCAGAGTCATACTTTAAAGGGTATGTGAGTGTTATGCCACGCGCTTGAGAACAATGCTATATTGTAAAGAGCACACAACCCGCACAGGCTCCACGTAACGAAAGCGTCAATTTCACTACCAATTAGGACGTTAAATTCCTCACCCACTACTCCATAGACATTTTCGCGAAATCACCTGAACTCCGATGTGGCTCCTAAGACACTCCTAATAAATTTGTACGCATGTGTTGCTACTAGAAAGTTGTCTCTCACTATACTCATTTGTGTGAAGTTGAGTCGGCTACCCAACAAACGAGTTACAGAGAGTAAGCAAGGCAGTTAATATCTTACAATATGTTCCGTTTCATCCAAACCTTCACAATCAATGCTTCATTCTCGAGATAGCGATCATGACGAACAGTCGCTAAACAGCTCTGGCATCCTTACTTGACTTCCAACGAGTCCGAAGCCATTTTACTTACCCCAGTTTATGGCGCCTCCCAACACTCTTGGCACCCGGTGGACTATATGTACTCGTGTTACATTCCGCTGACCCATACTATCCACCAATGAGCTGTTTGACTTGATTTGAAGCACCCGAGTGCAAATTTCTCCAGCAAGCCGGCCTCCTCCAGAGATCCGGGATTGAATACTTGATGGGTATGATAAGTCCATTGGACCGAGATGGTCCCATTTTCATTTTCAACAAAGTCTCTGGAAGAACTTCTCACACACGGGGTAATACTTGACAATGCCAATCGTCCGGTTTTCCGTGCTTAGTCCGAGTGATGCTCTATGCTATTTATAAATGGCTGGCGGGTTGTCTAGCTTAAAACACTCTTCGAAACCTGTACTCAGCTTATACTGAACTTACCCTTGTTCTGCTTCACATGCACGCACAATGAGGTACTTCGAGACTATCGCGTTGTTGGCGTCGCTCGGTTGCGTCCAAGCTGCAACAGTAGTGCGCGGTCCCAAAGATCCTTATTTCCTGCTCGTCGGAGACTCCACGACCGCGCCAAATGGCGGATGGGGAGATGCATTTTCCGATCTCGCCGAGAATGGCGCTGAAGCTGAGAACCGTGGCAAGAGTGGGTCGACCACTATATCTTGGAAGACCAATGGGAGATGGGATGACTTGTTAGAGACAGTCGCGAATGTCAAGGCAGATTACGAGCCCGTTGTCACCGTTCAATTCGGCCACAACGATCAGAAGTCGCTCACCCTCGACGAGTACCGAGCAAATTTGTTATCCATCGCTACCGACCTTAAAGAAGCCGGAGCAACTCCTGTAAGCATCACCACGACCTGACCCGCGATGCAATTACTTTCGGTCACTGACTAGTCTCACAGATCCTCGTCACACCTCTGACAAGACGTAACTGGGTCGATAATGAACTGCAGCAGGATTTCAAGGATTGGCGTGGTAAGGTGATCGCTGTCGCCAAGGAGGTCGGTGTCAAATACCTCGACTTGACGCTGGCCAGTACCAAATACGTGAAAGCTATCGGGGAGGAGGATTCTCAGTACTACAACTTGTCAGAGGGTGACGGCACTCATCTCAACGAGGCCGGCGGTATCATCTTTTCTCGTATAGTGGCTGACCTCCTGCTCCAGAAACGCTCTGACTTTGCAGGTTATCTGAGAGCTAACGAGGCATTGAGTGACAAGATTGGGGCAGGCAGATTCGCAACTGGCGATGAGTGAGCTTCTGGCCTTGATAAACTCTCCATATCAAGCACTTGAGTGAACTGTTCGCATAGTACGGGCGTGCCGTATACAGGAAGGGATCTGTGAACACAGGAAATGCTAGCCAAAGATGATTATGTATATTATGTTTTCGCAGATAACAATCACGTATTTCTACCCTAATGAATGCTTCAGGTATCCACCTAGGGCAACTTACTCAGGTAGTCTTTACCAGGAATAGAGCATAGCTTTATTCCTCGTCAGTATCACAAACTCCATCAATAAACCTACTATTGATAACCATACAAGTCACGTGTCCATCATATCCACACCATGAACAGGCCAGGCGCTTTAATTTACATCGCCGTATGTAGATGTAAAGGCTGTTCCAAGTGTCCTGTCGTTATTACTATCAGTCTCTGGTAGTGCTGACTGGGCATGTGTATGGTCCCGACCTGGTTCCGATTCTCACTGGCATGTTTTCTTGGGTCCGTAACTATTGAGATAAGAACGAATGGGGTTACTGTTCAGTGTAGCACATCGGCGTTTAACACTAACCACGCATCAAAGCACTATATACCGTCCCAAGTCGTTTATTGCTGCACTCACGGCAGTGGAATCTGGGCAGTGGAAACCGCGCCTGAATATCATAAAGTGTTTGCCACTGAAGTCAGAGTGACATTCCGTTTCCAAGACATATTACAGAGGCTGCTAGGATTGCGCATTTCAGAAGTGGTACAAAATGACCGCCAAGTTAATTTTCTCTTTGAAACATCCCCCCACTTGATGCCAATACTTCCACAAACGTCAAGATTTTGCGGGGATATCCGAACAGTTTGCCAAGCACGGCGGATAGCGGGTGCTAAGAAACCCAAGCCAGCCAGTGAAAAGCAGGCGCATCCTTGGAAAAGCTTAGGAGTTCCCATTCAGATACAGCCAAGGGGGGGGGGGGCACCTTCGTGTCCGAGGTGGCGTCTGACAGGGCAATGATTTTCTACACAAAGTCATAATGGTTCGTTATATCGCTTGGCTGTCAGACCTAAGCTTTCGATATGGTTTGGCCAAGGTGGGGGGGCATGCTCACACCATTGTTGGAACCTCTGAATTTGGCTTGGTCGCCCTGTAAGGTCCGTAGAGTCCAGTCAACATCCCAAGTGAACGCTCAAGGGTTCACTACCAAAACCTGCGCTACATGCATACTGGACAAAATGCGGGAAGCTGCATCGCGGATGATTAGCTAGCTTTGTGTCCTTACAGGAAGAGGCCTAGCTTAGCGCCGGCCTAGCTGCCGCGCTTTGTCCTTCATGTCCGATATCCAAAAATTTCCAGCTACCGTAGGGGGGTCCATTTGCTTTTTGCATGTCCATTTTGGGGATATCAACCGTACGCAAGAGACCCCTACAGGAGACTGCCGAGACTGTGTCCATCTCTCTGCATCAATTGAGACTATAGTCTGTATAATGCAATGGCAGATTCGTACCTCGATATCAACCCTAGTCGGTCGTGGGTTCTGGTGCATGTGTGATAGTTCACTCAGAACCAGCCATAAATTAGACTCGGTGGTCCGATGGCCGTTCAGAAGAGCTTCCATGCAGGTTCGAGAACACGAAAATTCTCGAAACGCCACAAAATAGAGCGATGACAATCGAATGGATATCTGCGGCTTTATTACTTCCACTGCGACCTATCAGGAATACCGGGATGTAATGGTTTGTTATTGCGTCACGGTTCTGGATTTCCATGGGCAGAGCTAACGATGGCGCAATGAGGATTCCAACGTTGCGCAATCGATCTTGGCATCCAAATCAGAATTGGTCCCACTGATATACGTACGAACGCTGGGCCAGTCGGCGCGCACCTCCTTCGTACTTAAAGGTCAGATGTGAGAGATAAGATGGTGTCGGCTGCTACCATATCTTGCATCCTTTGCATTTAAGCTTGGTTTGTTGGTGTTCTCAACGTTACAGCCGATTGTTCGCCAGTTGCCCAGTGTTGCAACTTAAGACAACAAGGCGATCAGGGCTGCCCGTTTCCGACTGTATATCCTTGTGAGCTCGAAGCCTCTGAACTCGGGACTGATCAACTATACCCAAGAAAGATGGGTAGGTATTCCGACCCACCCGTTTTCCACCATTCAGGCAACTAACACATTCATTAGCTGAGAACGTAGTTGGCTTGACCGTCCAAAAGGTCGTAGAACCTGCTGCCGATCAAGGTCTCCATTCCGAAAAGGCACATCTTGGCCACACAAGCGCATCTATCACGGCCGATGCCACTCTTCATGACCACAACTTGGAGTCTCAATCGCGCTCAGAAGACGAGAATGCCCAGATCTTTGACCCCGCAGAATATCCACCTCCGACTGAGGAAGAGCGTACGACGCTGCGCAAGGTGCACGACTCCATTCCATGGGTCTCATGGCTACTTTGTATCGTCGAAATGTCTGAAAGGGCTTCGTACTATGGTGTCAAAGCTGCGTTCAACAACTACATGCAATTTCCTCTCCCGGAGGGCGGACCTGGTACTGGCGCCGTCAACCCTGCGAAGCCCAATGGACATGCTGGCGCTTTGAACCTAGGGCTGCAGACTGCATCTGCATTGGGTCTTTTGTTCACCTTCTTGGCATATGTTATCCCAATCTTTGGAGCATGGGTCGCCGATGTCAAGATTGGACGGTATCAGGCTATCATTTGGGGTGTTCTGGTTGGCGCCGTCGCTCATGTTATTATGGTTGGAGGCGCTGCTCCCGCTCTTTTGCAGGCCGGGAAAGGTGTTGCGCCCTTTCTCATCAGTTTTTTCCTCCTGGCTATCGGAGCCGGCATCTTCAAGCCGAACGTTGCGCCGACTGTCATTGATCAGTACAAGTATCAGAGGGAGTACACGAGAGTGCTCAAGTCGGGTGAAAAGGTGCTTGTCGACCCAGAGACGACCATCAGCCATATCATGCTTATCTTCTATGCATTCATCAATGTTGGTGCTTTCTTCGCCATCGCTGTCGTCTATATCGAGAAATATCACAGCTTCTGGCTTGCGTACCTGGTCCCGGGGATTGTCTACTTCTTGCTGCCAGTATTGCTTGCGTTCATGTACAAGCGTACCGTCAGGACACCACCTCAGGGCTCGGATCTGACCCGTTTCGTCAAGATCACCATCGCGGCGTTGAAAGCGAGCAAGGGCAATATCTTCTCAAAGAACCTATGGCACAACGTCAAACCGTCCACGTTAGAGGAAAGAGGCACACGCGTCAGTTATTCCGAAAAAGACGTTGACGACGCTCGGCGGACTTGGCAGGCCGTCCAGATCTTCCTTTATATTCCCATTTGGAACTTGAATGATGGCGGCGTTGGAAATGTGCAAAGCAATCAGGGCGCTGCTATGACCTCGGATGGCGCGCCGAATGATTTGTTGTCGCACTTCAACCCTCTCTGCATCATTGTTTTCTCTCCATTAATGGCCGAGGTCGTGTACCCCTTCCTCAAACGCAGAGGCATCAAGTTTGGCAGAATCAGCCGAATGACCTGTGGTTTCATACTCGCGACTTTGTCTTCAGTCATCGGTGCAGTCTTGCAATACCGAGTCTACGAGACCAGCCCATGGTAAGTTTTCACCGGGACCTTCTTTTCCATATCCTGCTCGTGCAAGACTAACATTAGCCCCCTCACAGTGGTTACTACGCCAGCGACTGCGACGGCGTGTCACCTATTTCGATCTGGTGGCAAGTGCCTAATGTTGCCTTGGGTGCTATGAGCGAAGTTTTCGTGAATGTGACGTCGTATGAGCTCGCGTATGCTCGCGCCCCAGAACACATGAGGTCCACGGTGGTTGCGCTGTTCTTGTTCATGACGGCTCTGAGCAGTGCGCTTGGCGAGATCTTGATCCCCGCTATCGCTGATCCGACCCTAGTATGGGCCTGGGCTGCTCCTGCTATTGCTTTGTTTGTCCAGACTATCATCTTTTGGTGGAGGCACCGCAACGTCAATGACGATGTCTTCATGACACATGCCGAGGATTTTGACCAGGTCCAACATGAGAGCAAGGTCATCCAAGAGCCAGAGAAATAAGCGAGTATCACGTGGTCTAGCGCGCTTAGAACGAATCCTCACTGTAATCTGTATTATCTTAGCGTCAATGATATCCCAAGCGAGAACTCCTCGAAGCAGTCACGCATTTGTTCATACGAAGCCTAGAGATCGTAAATACAAAACCAGCACTGCCTATCAGACTCTTTTTTCTTTCTTTTTTTTTGTTTTGGAATATTTATGTGGATTTTGTTAAGACCAAGCATCAAACAAGCTAATCACGTTGAAGGGCTCGACTAAATGGCCGCGCAAACACCCGGGCTCTGCATAACATTCAGCTGTATTGCGCTATGACAATAAGGCATAACATGCGCTTCACCACCAAGATTTCCCCGAGGCAAGCTATACACGAAGCACACAAAGTCCCCTATCACATCTCCACACATATATTATAACGTTCAACGGCGTCAGTGTATACGTGTATTTACACATTCGGTTTCGTACTACACCTTGAATTTTCTTACTACGCTCATTAAATTTTATGTCCCAAAACTTCCGACCAATTTCACAGGATTGGTAGAAGTACAACCGGCCGGCTCTGAAGTCTGCGGATGCTCCATCCGCCGTTTGTTAGGCTCGTGGCGTCCATTCTCGCTTACGTGGCGATGGTAGTTACTCCGAGTTTAAGATATAGCGATTGTCACTGTTTCCTTTGAAAGCAGCAGCCAGAGGAAGGAACTCACGACTGCACCCCGAGCACTGCCAAGAACCAAGCAATCATGCCAGATGATTTCGGTTCAATTCGCTGGGTCAATTCCAGGACCTAGTATATATGCACCGAATATTTCTGGCGCGCGGGTAGACAGCAACGGGCGGTTTGCATGCTGCAAACCGCTTGGCACGCACTGCTGGCCAAGTGAGACATTGGATGCCGCAGTTGTGGACAGGAACACGAAAGTTTATGTCAACAGTGCAAGCAAAAATCCAATGTGCTTCTGGCCGTGTGACCTACTACCCGCATGACGACACCTAAAAGATAGACGTTGATTAGGGTGATCGTTAGTAACCACCGGGGCCTAAGCTTCAGCATGATCAAACGTAGCTCCCGTGAGACAGGTGTTTGCGCTTGCTATATGCCCCTGTGTCTTTGACGGATGGCACGGCTTCTGCATTCCGCCGCCGGTTCCAGAACGACTTCAGCGTTTCGCCCAAAGAAAAAAAGGAAACGCAAGAGATACAAGAAAAGCTTGATGCGATCGAAACACCTCCAATTTTATCTCCATCCTTTCTTACTGATGTAATGGTAGTTGGCTATGTCAGAGTCAAGGACCGAGAAACCACGAACAGCTCGAGTGGCCAATGCTGCAGTCTGCAATATATTCTCTTCGTCAGGACCCGTTTCACATATGTAGATGGTAATGAAAGCTCACCCTATAGTATAAGAGACCTACACGGCGATCCTGGACAGCCACCGGATTTGCCGTATACAGCCAATCGACGCGGTTTAGGGCAATAGCGCCTACACGGACCAAGATTTCTCCGGGTTCTGGTTCTGGGATCGGAACATCATGGACAGAGACAAGCTTGTCCTCGGGAGTCACAACTGCAGCTCTCATCGTGACCATGATAGTTGCAATAGCTAGATTCCGACTAGCCGAGGTTTATCGTGCCGCCAGGTCACAAATATGGTAGTGTACGGTCGAGTAGCGGATTGGGATACAATATATAATTTATACTGATAAGTAATAGCCCCATTTGCCCAGGAAAGAGCTCCGCCCAAGAAATGAGCGCACAGGAAGAGCTCAAAAGAGGGCGCCAACAGGGCCTCAGGTCTCGATGCGTGTGCAAACATACTGGAAGCTCTGCTTGCATGTTAACACAAAATTGTTTGCATACATTTATTCTGAGGTGACGACATTGCTGCAGGGCGAGCCATGATCTGGGCACCAATGTGCTCCCAACATTACGCTTCGGGAGCAACATGCCCTTAGCTCCGTTAAGTCCGACTCCTCTCTGAATACGACGAATAGCAGCGGAACGCGTCCAAGAGATTTGATCTCGATGACAGTCGAGTCTTGCGATGTGGCTGTTAGCTAGCAGGAATGATGATCACTGCGCTCCACTCGTGTGGATCATAGTGTGAGCGACTTTGAAGTACTCTCCGAACATATTTAAGTAGGGATGTCCTCTAGCATGATCATGCTACGGCATATCCTCGCACCTAGACCATTACACAGGCTCACATATAGCTGCCATGGCTTTCAGACCTGTTGAAGAACCGAAAACAGAGCTTGGCCGCTATCGCGTCCTCTCTAGCAATGCTGGAGTACGTGTCTCTCCCCTGGCTCTGGGAGCAATGTCTTTGGGGACAGAATGGGCCCATCTCCTAGGCGGAGTTACCAAAGAGGACTCGTTCAAGCTGTTGGACTACTACGTGGAGTCGGGCGGCAACTTCATCGACACCGCGAATAATTACCAGAATGAAGAGTCCGAGACAATCATCGGGGATTGGATGTCTGCCCGAGGCAACCGTGATCTGCTTTTCATTGCCACAAAGTTTACCAACGCATTCCGTACCCACGATCTTGGCACTGGAAAGACTGTCAACTATGGCGGCAACCACAAGAAGTCACTTATGCTTTCGGTCAATGCTTCTCTGCAAAAGTTACATACGGCATATATCGACCTACTTTATGTCCACTGGTGGGATTGGACTACCTCTATCGAGGAGTTGATGGATTCACTTCATATTCTGGTCGAACAAGGGAAGGTCCTGTACCTGGGCATCTCTGACACGCCTGCCTGGGTTGTGGCTGCCGCGAACACTTACGCCAAAGCACATGGCAAGACACCATTCTCCGTCTACCAGGGCCGCTGGAGCGTGATGGATCGTGACTTTGAAAGGGATATCATCCCCATGGCGCGTCATTTTGGCATGGCGTTGTGCCCGTGGAATGTGCTGGGAGGGGGAGAGCTCAAAAGCAAGGCGCAGCTCGAGGCTCGTAAGCGTGAGGGTGACAGTGCTCGATTCAGCGAGCAGAGCGAGTATGCTCAAAAGGTCAGCGAGGCTCTGGCGAAAGTGGCTGCCGAGCACGGAACCGATAGCGTTCAGCAGATTGCTCTGGCGTACGTGATGAGGAAGGCTCGAAACGTCTTTCCGCTGGTTGGGTGCCGCAAGCAATCGCACCTAGAAGACAACATTAATGCATTGAGTATTCACTTGACAGATAGCCAGGTTCAATACCTCGAGAGCGTCAAGCCCTTTGACATTGGCTTCCCGCTGAACTTTATTGGCGACGATCCTAAGGAGACCGGTGGATACCCACAGTTGATGGAGAGCCTTATCGGGGCCAAGCTCGCGTTACCAAGCCCGCCAAAGCCAGCCGGTTACTAGGAATGTTTTACTGACTAGAGAATCTTGGAAAATAAAAAGTTTACTGGGTTGAAGGAGCAACTGGATAAGACATCCGTTCACAGCTGTTATTGCGTTATGCTCCAGTGTGAACTTTTCTGTGGGCGTTTATCTTCAGGCCCCCTACGAATCTTAGATGAGTTCGCAAGCTGTGCACCAGACCCGAGTCGGACCCTCAACAGTATCTAGGTTATGCTAGTTTATTGAGATGGCATTCTCAATTCTACAACGCGACTTCAAATCGTTTTCACAGTAAACTCGTATAGCAATTCCATAGCAAATCTCAAACATCTGAACCCTCCCCGCCTCCCCCCTCTTCTTCAATAACAGCAACAACAACACCACCAATGGGTATAGTGGCTTATCATCCAAGCTATACATTGCCGCTGCGGCGACGCCTTCCATGACGCCAAGACATTGGGCGGGAACATGAACCGGTTGCAGCATGCAGTGGTATGCTGTGAATACCTGCCATGGTATCCCCAGTAGGCAATAATCTCAGGGAGTGAGCAGACAACTGTCGCCTCGAGTCCTTCGCCATTCGGGAATAAGCCTATCCCCGTTAGCTTGCTATAGCATCTAGCTGTGGGGCGATAGAACAGTAAAGGATCCAAATCCACAGAACGTTGAGGGCTGGGCACGTTGAACATATCACGTGAATAAGAATACGCGTTATGTGCTATTATCCAGTGGTTCCTCCAGATGTTGCAAATCGGAAGGGCTTATGGCGGATTTAGCAGTCATAACGCCGAACATAGTGACCCCGATGCAAACTTCTAGCATAGCAACCAGATACTCCGTAATCACGGATGTGACCGCCATTATTTTTGGGTTTGCCAGTTTGATTGAAATGATCGTTACCAACGGATCCACTGCAGAGCATAGCCATCACTGTCCATCATGAGCCTCGCTGACGTTTGTCATTCACTCGCGACCCATATCTCACTACCTGCGAGCTGGTGATAAATGCCATCGCTCCCCAACACACAACGGCTGCGGCTCCCGTTGAGAACACGTAAGACTTCTCATCGCAATCACAATTTGAATACATAGCGGCTCGTGGACTTATATCCCCACTTCATTTTCCCTACTTCTAGCAGTCGAGCTAAGATTATGGCTTCCAGCAAGAGGATCATCTTAATCACCGATATATACGCGCAAATACTCTTCGCAACGTTTAGCTTATTGTATACACACACCAGGCCCCCACAACGGGATTGGTTTCAAGACTGCCTTAGCGCTGGCGCACCATTCAGCTGACTTCCATATCTTGCTGGGAGCACGAACGGAGGATAAGGGAAGGGCGGCTGTGAATGAGCTCTTGTCTGCGCAGCAGAGCCCTGTCAAGGCCTCCGTCTCGCCGATCCAGATTGAGATAACCAATCAGAAATCGGTCAACGCTGCCAGAGACCACGTAGAGGCCCAATACGGTAAGCTCCATGTCCCAGTCAACAATGCTGGTATCGTCGTATATCAGGATGTTGACAAATATACTGCCTTCCGACAGTCGTTCGAGACCAACGTCCTCGGATCTATGAGGATGACTGAGACACTCGAACCTTTGTTCCGAAAATCTACCAAGGCATATGTTATATATGTCTCTTCGGAGCAGGGCTCTATCTCTCTGCGTCTCGATCCAACTCACCAATTCCGCAAAATACAGGGTGAGTCATATCGTACGAGCAATGCAGCCTTGAATATGGTAGCAGCTCGTCACCGATATAACTATGCTGATTCCAGTATCCAGGTGTTTGCCTTAAATCCAGGTTGGTGTTTGTCGAACTTGACTGGCGAGCAGGGTCGCGAGCGTAGTTCCGTCTCGCTAAATGCTTAAGCAAATCTACTAGTAAGGACATTCGTGACAAAGCCTCACGTTGTTCTTAATCTGCCTGCAAGGGTAATTTCCAAGGTTAAGTGCTACATGCCAAATAAGCCTCCGGTACGATGATATGTACTTTCGGAGATCTCCCAGCCATAATCTTGTCGCCCCTGTATTGTTTGTATCCTCGATGGCTTATGATAGCTTGACAATATGAGGCTTGCTAACCTACTAAGGCGCCCGTTGCCCCTGTAAGTTGAGTCGATTTGTACATACTTTTCTTTGGTCTTCTGCCATCAACTCATCGACTGACGATCTATTTTTAATTAGGTTATTTGGTGCAATCGTCTTGTTCTTTGTGACGCTGATAGTATCCTCCCGTACGTTTGACGTTTGGAGATCTATATGCAAAAACCTTGTTTCCTACATAAACGTAGTATTACCAATTCCTGTTTACGATTGCTTAATGATGATGGGGTCAGCTATCCCACTCGGGCGCCAGGTCGCTTTAGGCCCACCCGCGTGCCCTCTGCAAGTCTTATAGCCCAAACCAGAGAGGATCCAGCTCATCAGTAATTCAGCACGCAGTAGGACGCAAGGCTCTTTTCAGGCACGAGCATATGATAATTCAGCGAGAGGTGGGATGGAGAGTCTGATTTCTAAAGGCCCGCCTTCGGCTTACGAAGAATTGAGTTCGTAGTGTCCGCTAATTAAGTACGCCACTAACAAGCCACCGAAATTTGTTCAACCCCATTCTTTGTTCCGCCGGGGCACCTTAGTGACCACAATACTAGTCTGGACAGTAGGCCTGGCTCATCCTGTTTGATACAGTTTTTTCTTTCTGCTTGTCTCTGTATTCACCAACCCCAAATCTTCACAGCCCTAAATCTGTAAGTATAGCATTATGTGATCTGTGCACCCTGTTTGGAAAGGCCAGTGTTCATTGAGGTCAGCATTAGCTTGTAATTCATATCCAGTCTAACATAGTATTAAATGACGTTTGAAATCCCGCGAAAGCCAAGCTCGCATGACTGAACAATATACTGCCTCAAATGTGGATCTGTTTACTGTCTTTGAGCCAGGATTGCCAGTATGACACTCCTTGCCGTCCGGGCTCAATGCGACCTCAATGGTTAAATAGGACCTCATTTGGGCATTTCCAGGTTTGTCCATATTGGAGGCAGCTTACGAGACATTATGCTGGTCTCAACAAAGGCAGGATTTCCCATTTCTGGAGATCACAATTGTAGGTGAAGACTTATAGAAGACCTATATCGGATGGACAACTCCGACTTACAGCACTTGTCGTTCATACATGGGCCAAAGGGAAGTCATAAACTCAGGGTGTAGATCTCAGCTAGATATAATATATTCATGTCGGCAACCAGCAATTCTACATGCCTACATGCTGTGCTACCCGAAGCACACTCCTACTTCAGCTCGGGGAGCTTGAGGCCAGACACAGCCTCACAGGCCTCGACTACCTTCTCCTGAAGAGTCACGTCCTTGGATACGGCGAGCGGTTCACCCAAACGCATTTTCGGTTCAAAGTATGCGCCAGTCAGACTCTGGTCATAGTCGCCCTCTGCAAGTCCCACGTACGTCTCCACACCATCCTCCAGCTTATCTGGGGCACCTTCTCCGCCCAGCTTTGTCGCGACCCAGCCGGGATGGACAGAGAGCACCGAGACACCAGGGAATCTCCTCGCCACAGCATTTGTCAGGAGAATGACATGCAGCTTCGAGTCGCAATAGGCCTGGAAATCCTGGAAATCGGCCTCGCCGCGCTGTTGCCAGAAGATATCATCCACGTTGGTATTGGCCTGGCGGTGCAGCTGGGAGGCGATAAAGATCAAGCGCTTCGGGATCGGCAAGAGGCAGGCCAACATGTAAGGCGCCAGGACGTTGACCGCGGCCATGGCGGGGACACCGCTATCGGCGGTCTTGCGAAACGGACCGTACAGCATGCCGGCGTTGTGTATGATGGCGTCGAGCTCGCCAACGGACTGAACTTCCTTGGCAAAGTTGTGGATCTCGGCCATGACTGACAGGTCTGCCACGAACACTCCAGCGGCATCCGGGCATGCTGTCTTCGCGTCTTCTGCACGCTTCTGGTTGCGAGCGTGTAGATAGACGGTGTGGTTCCGCTTAATTAGTTGGCGGGCAGCCTCCAGGCCGAAGCCATCGGCCGAGCCGGTGATCAGGACACGAACCATCTTTGGCGGTTGATGTGTTTATGTTGCTTCTCGTGTTTGTATGTCAGATCACTGCAGTTAACCGTTTTGCAGTAGGAAAGGGGGGATTCAAATACTCATGAATGTGTCTGTGCATTATATACTCTTGATGCGTCTGTGGGCAATTTGCGGGGACGAGCAATGCCTTCATGAATAAGCAGGGTGTTCACTTTGCCACTACTAAAGCTATTTCATCCCACACATAGGCCGAACCGACGGTTACAACGAATTGTGGGATTTGCTGTTAACGCTATTTGTCATAAACCTCTAGACTAGGTGAACCTTAATTACATGTCACTCCGCGGTGAACGTTACAAACAATACTTATCGACCAAAAGTATAGAATAGAGCGGAACTTAGAAGTTGTGCGATAGAGGAACTATTATGAAGAATTTTTATTGGATATCTTTGTACCGTTGCTTACATGCGTCTCATAAACGACCGCAGAGGGGGCGCAATTAGGCCAGCCAGCTCCCACGTTTCCTCCTCCGGTAAGCAATTTGCGAACCGCTCGATCCAAACATCGGACGAACATGTGCAAAGAGTCTTGCCCTGGAACAAAGCCGGCCCATCATATTGAATCCAAGCTTCGAGTACCGCATCATCTAGCCCCCATGACTTGATTGGAAGGTCTAGATGTGCAGCAGTCGTTCCGCAGCAGCATGTTGAATATTTGTGCGCCAGCCATCCGTCTAAAACGAGGGCACTAAGTGCTATGGTTATGTGGGAAATGGAACCAGGAAACGGATACTCCAATACAGCGCTGTGCTCCTTTAGATACACTTGGGCAATGCTCAGCATAGCAAGCGCATGAAGCAGGGCTGTCCTGCCCTCAGTAGATCCAGCCCAACTCTCAAGCACAGACTTTGCTTCATCATACCTAACTCGCTCATCCTCCTTTATACTATCTAGATTGATCGCTGCCATAAATTTCAAATGCTCTATGATCCGCCTACCGACGGACAACAGGAGTTGTAGCAGGTGATATAACATAGTCACCTCATTGATCATACTCTTAACACGAGCTTTGACAAGCCGCATATCCAAAGGGCGGCTCCTAATCTCATCCTCCCGATCGAGATATGTAGATATAAACTGCATGTCTGCTAGAGAAGATCCGTCAGAGCGAGACTTTTCGGCCAGAGCTTTTAGATGCTTAGCCCAAACAGCAAGTCGTTGCACAACGCCGTCGCGCATGGCTATAGCTGAGGGGTCATCCCACGTGCCAATGACAGCTCGAAGCTGCGCTTGCCTGAGGGTATCGAAAAGTAGACCGCAAAGGCCGAGATGTATGTCTTCAACCAGCACTGCATTGGGGAGGAACTTTTCGGGGTGCCGGATCATCCTCAGCATCTTGACCTGACTGCGACTCGGGTCCTCGATTTTCCGGCGATGCAAGAAGACATCCATGCGAAAACAATTTCGTAGAGCAAAGCTCGATGGTAGGAAGGCATCGAGTTCGTCATCGAGTAGTCGGGGGCGTTGATGGTAGATGAGGGCGATTTGTGTTTCCACCTTGAAAAGAGCACATATGATTCTGATTGTCCCGGCTTCAGTACTATTGATCAAGGCTCTCAGACTGGAAGCAAATGGAATGGTGACGAACCTTTTCCACTCGTCCAAAACCATATCTATCCAAGGGACATAATGCCCGGGAAATTCGCTCTGCTGGATATGCTGCGCATACGACTGGAGAAAGAAGCCAGTGTGTTGTAGTGTCGCGATCAATCGTCCACATAATAAGTTAGCCCTCGCGATTGTTCTCTGTCGCTTCATATTGTTGTCGTTAGTTCTGAAAAGTTTCGATGATCGCGCTCAGGAGCAGATCAAGTACGCACACCTAGATATAATCCAAAGATGATGTTCAATAGAATAGCTTGATAGGTCTCGAGTCGTCTCACGGTATTTGAGAGCTTTCCCTCTTCTAAAGCGGAAGTCTGTCGACTTGTTAGCGCTTGGCGCCTGTGTTCTCCATACGCAACGCCAGACATTGATTAGGCGTACCAACAGGTGGAGGTAACGATCGACCAGCCGATCATGGATGTTGACAATCGTACCGGTCAGGTCTTTACGGTGTAGGAAATAAGACCCAACCATGACCACGGATGCCGCATTGTCAGGGGGCTTCTCGGTGAATTCGTACGTGGACGCGGTGATGATATGCCATCGGTGATGGAAATGAGCGATATATGACCTAAAGCACGCCAAAATCCATTTATCCAGCGTACGGGGCGAGTTCGCATCCTGTAGAGGGGTTGACTTTGGCGGCGATGTGGATAATTCTTCGAGGATTGTATTCAGGTGGACAGGACCTTGAGATATCTCGTCCTCTAAAATGGGCTCGCTTGCAACGGAAAGCGTGGCCGGTGAAGCATGCTGATCGGATGAATTTTCTCTTTCCAGGTCGAGTGTTCTATTCGCCCTGTCCTTTGCGGCAGGCAGTGCATTTTGGACAGACTGGTCTGTCGTAGCAGGTACGCCATGCTTTTGTGGGATCGACCGTGAGCCAGACCAGAGAGTACTCTGGTTATTCAACCGGGTAGGAGAATAAACACAGTTCAACGATTTCCTGACACAAAATGAACAAGGTGAGTCCCCAATGCCGTCGCACTTGGTCTTGTTTGCATGACAAGTGCTGCAGGCGCGTTGTTTAGTCGGACGAGCAATCACATGACTTTTGGCATGACGCTGGAAGATGTCGCTGCAGATCGAGTTAGCCGTGCATTCAGCCTACTAAACATGCCGAACAGCTTTACTTGCGCCAAAAGGCTCGCCCGCAGACGTGGCAACTGTAGGGTTTGGTGCCATTGCTGTGGGTAGTTTGATGCCGCCGTAGATGCTCTGGGCGGATGTACGCCTTGCCACAGTGGCAGGTGTGGCGAGGAGAAGCAGTAGGAGGAGGAGGAGGAGGGCCTAAGAACGGGGCATCAACGCCCTGCCTGAATTCTTCCACGGTGTAGATTACTAAGGTCTGGTTACTAGTTTGAAACGATGTTGACTGCTGCGTGACCAATGCCGGTGAACGGGTCGTAGCCAGCCAAGTTGCACCACAGGGATACGCACCTGCAGGATCGCTGTGTAAAGTGACACGGTGCGGACGAAAATTTGGTTGTTCATCCATACTAAAGGATCGGGATCAGTGTGGGATGATAAGCATGGAGTCGTACATGGTAAGATATGTGGACTGGAACTTTGTATGTAGAAGTAATGTCGATGGCTTTCAATTAGCATCGCTTCCGTAGCGTCGGCATCTCTGTGGGATGAATAGAGTTTATGCATGCTGTCACTAGTCTAGCAGGAGTTCGAGAAAGTGGGGAGTGGGAGCCGCCGTCGGTGTTCTTGGTGGGATGATTAGTTCCACGCAGTCAACAACCTTGTAGGTAGACGCTAACGCGACGTCGAACGTCAAAAGTCCAGGCGTAGATTACAAATTGCCTACGGCATCGGATGCCAGGACGACGTGTGGGAATCAGCAGCTCCAGATGGACATGCACTATACAAAACAGACGTGTAGTGCCAGAACCTCGTGCCCAAGAGTGCTCAATTCAGATAATCCCGAAGTCTAAGGCACATCAAATACGTCGTACCACCATCCCCCTGAGATTGAGACTTTGACTAAGCACACCGCTCTAATTTTAGAGACTTTCGAGGATCTATGTAATTCTAACAAATATCTAGGCTATGGGCCAAGTCGGCAAAGTCTTTACGGAATATTTTGTGGAGTCTCAGTAGCAGACTTTGACTGCACTTACCCGCGTAGGGGGTAACACCACTGTGTCGGATGGAGTGAAGCTGGCTTTCGTCAATTATGATGGTGAGAGCTCGCTGGTTGCTGCGTTAACTGAGCAAGACTTTGTCAGTCACCACTCTGGCACTCACCGCCGCCTCGGACACCCACAGCAAGTTGGTTAGGGCAGCAGCAAAGGCGGGAGTGAAAACATCGTGCCTAATGCTTACGGCGTTAACTTCTATGGTAATCTCAAACTACAAGACGACATCCCAGCGCTCAAGCACATCCTTGCGAGTGTAAAGGAAGTTAAGGAAGTTGGTGCGAATTGGATCGCTATAACACCCAACTTTTGGTATGAATATAGTAGGGGGTTAGGTCCTTTCACATTTGGATTTGATTTCCCCAACAAGAGCGCCACCTTTTACGATGAAGGCAAATCGAGAGTCAACACCACTACGTAGCCGCAGACTGGGCGTGCATTGGCTACGCTGGTCAACTTAAAGAAACTCCCAGAGGACGAGAATGACAATTCCGTAACTCTGGCACAGTTTTGTAACATGCCACTATATATTTCCAGCTTCACGCTTAACCAGCGTGAGTTGCTTGACAGCGTCAACAGACTCTTGGGTAAAACCGACGACGACAGGAAGAACTCCTATCAGCCTGCTGCGGAACGTTCCAAGGAGGGGCAGGAAGAACTTGCCAAGGGTGACGGAACAGGCTTTTTGAAGGCTCTGTACGCACGTACATTCTTTCCTACTGGCGAAGGAGTGTTCGAAACTCATAATAACATTCTAAAGTTGCCAAAGGAGGATCTGGCTGAGGCTACGCTGGCGGCTCATGAATGGGCTGTTGCACAAGCGAGGCGAGCTAAGATATAAGGTGGATGTAATTGGGAAGTTTTGTCCGGAGGTATGAACTGGTTCAAAATATATGTATTAGCAGTTCATAGTATATGTGCTTCATTACTATAAGAAATCATGTCGCTTCCGTTCCAGCGCGTCATAAAAAAAATAAACTGGCATTGTGAAGTACTACTTTACCGCATTATAGTACAGAAAGGCCCCGAATGAGAGCCAACACTATAAATTACGGTTCTTCCGATCGGAGCCGAATCTATCAATATTCTTTTACGGAGTTGTAGTGCGGAACAGTTGGCATAGGTCGAATTTAGCTTTCAAGGTAACATGCTAGGGTGATGCTACGGCCTGCTGTTTATATTATTAGCACATCAATTGATTCCATCGCAGCTGATACTGATGTCAATTTGCACTATATGATGCTGCAATATCTGCCATAAGCTTGGAACATATCGCCACTCAAATAATTCATCGTGAGCTACATTCGCGGTTATGGCACCTATTCCAAAGCAAATGAAGGCAATCCAGGTGACAGAATTCAACAAGCCATACTGTTTGATGACAGTTTCCGTTCTTTCGGATTTATGGCCTTACGATCTCCTCGTCAAAGTTGCAGTGGCTTCATACTGCCATGCTGATTCTATGGTAGCCTCTGGAATATTTGGCACCGAAATTTCTTCAACGGCATCTCATATAGAATCCGGAACCGTTATACTCATAGGGTCCAATGTCTCCGATTTTGCGCTCGGTGATCGCGTGATGTGCGGGCTACCGCTGCATCGTTGCGGTGCGTGTGCCATGACTGCTTGGGACCTGAAGAGAGTACTCGGCAGTACTGTGCTAGCCTGGACGGCCATATCGGAGTGCAGGTTAACGGCTGCTTTGCTGAGTATGTCCAGGTCGATTCCAGACACACGACATTATTGCCACATGGGGTTGGTTTCCTATCTGCGGCACCATTGGCTTGTGCGGGCCGAACGGTATGGCGGAGTGTTTAGGCTTTAATATAAGCTGGAGGCAGGTTAAGTTGTTAAATATCCTAGAAAAGAAATCACTTGGTCTTTACTCTAGCGCCGCGACGAAAAGGGCGGAGTGCCAGGGCTATACTAGTCGACTAAAACAGCTTATTTTAGTATGGCAGCACGATGAAATCGCCTTGAAGTCAAGGAGCACAAGAGTCACAGCCAGTGTGGTCTATGCGGATAACATGGTCCAGTGAAGATGTGGATTCGGAGCCGAAACGGAGAAAGAAAGAAGGCGTACATAGGTGTGGTTGTACGATGGGAGCGCGGTAGTTCGGCATGGACGGGCGGTGGAGAAGCAATCTCAGCTGGGCACTTTTAATGTCGCCAAAGGCTTGGGGAGGATAATGACGACACAAAGCACGCCCGGTGACAGGTCTAGAACTCAAACCCGTGAAGCCTCCATGGCCTCGCCCTTCGAGGCTGCGTTCAGATTGTTTGCATTTGAAGGAATGGATCCGGCGAGACCATTGAGGGTCAGGGGGCTCGGACACGGGCTCACTGGAGGGTTCCAGGGGGGGAGGTTGATTGATGCTACTTGCCAGTGGAGGTTCAGGGGTCAACGCCTATAACAGTGAAGCTGAAAGACATGCTGTCACTTGGCTTTGCAGGAGCCCCTTGGCCCCCAGCAGGGTTGAAGACGATCTATTCTAGAACGGACGCGACGTCTGGCAACTGGTGAATGGGGAAGCGGAGCAAACCCGGGAGCTGGAGCCTTTTCAAGATACCTACTATTCATTCATGCAAGGGTTTAGTGGTGCGGTGTCGCGTTGAGCATGGGCTTAGGAGATGGAGACAGCCTCTTTTCGTGTCGAAGGACTTCAATGCTGCTCGCCAAAGCAATTTGACCTACCTCGCAGCTTGGGGGGACCGAGACAGCGAGACTTTCGAGGTGTGCTGAATGTGCACCACTCACTCCACTTTTTCGTGGGGATGGCAAAAGGTTTGGGTTCCAGTTGGCCGGTGCGAGAAGGAAAAAAGTGAAGCAGTCGAGAAATTAACAGTTTCATTGAGCCTCCTTTTGGGCCACAGTAGACGATATTATGTGTGTCGTTACTACATGGATATATAGTACACACCGTATGTAAGTGTGTGCTCGATGGTAATTACTCACAGTCAACCAGCTTCCCTGCACCTGGTAGGGCGCTGTAAGAACGACATGAGTCAACGAGAGCCGAGCCGAGTCGAGTGTCGAGTCGCGCAAAAGCCAAGTCGGTTACAGACGCGCAGATCCTGGACCGAATCGAGCGGCGCTCTCCCTTTCCTTCCCTTTACCCTCCTATCCTGGATTTTGCGTCGCGGACAAGACATACGGGGTCGGTATACGCACGTGTAGTGCAGAGCAGAGTAACCGAGAGTAGAGCAGAGGAGACTTTTGCCGGTCGCTCAGGGACAAGATAAGGATTTGGGCGCACTCGGAAAGCCGTGCGTTTCCCGTGTGGACGAGGAGATTTAATCTCCGCATGAGCCGCGGGCAGAGGCGGGATGCGGTAGCATACAGACAGAGGGAGAGGAATGCAGTCCGTTTCAATGAGTTGGAGAGGAATGCAATCCCAAAACTCGAGCAGCTCATTTGAACTCCGTGGTCTCCTCTGCGGCAGCCCAGCCTTGTTATCCATGTTCATGTCCGTGTTTAATGTTGATACCTACATTGATATGAACATCGATATTATACTAGGTTAACCTACTAACCTTGGCCTTCCCTGGGGGGAGAGCATACTGGCTGACTGGCTGACTGGGAAAGCAGCGGTAGGGGGGGGGGGCCCGCTCCCCGGTTTTAATTCCATCTTTAATCCCATGCAGAGCCGTGTAAAGTTACGGCAAACGGTAGTCAGGACTCAGCAGTCGGCGGGAGTGCTTAGCGCCGACTAGCCCGACCTAGACTGCGCTGGGTCTAGCCTGGGAATTTCCCAAAGCTCAGTAGGCAGGCACCACCGCCGACGCTGGGCCAATCCACTCCCCAGCTCCAACAACAAAATCAAAAAAAGCAATCTAAGTAATTAACCGAATCCCATCCGCGTAAACACATGACGGACGCTGTGTCTCCCACCAACCACTTCGAAGATGGCGACCCCCGTTGGAGAAGATAGTTGGCTCGACTACGTCGACGAAGAGACGAAGCGCGCAAAGGACCTCGAGGGCCGCGTCAATGTCGTCGAGCTCTTCAAGCGGGCTGTACAAGCAGAGCCCAACAGCCTGAAAATATGGCTGGCCTACTGCGAGTACTACTGGTCCCTCTTCATCGACTGCCAGACCAGCGAGGCCGGGTGGCCGGACGAGGAGCGCCAGATGGGCCGTGAGCTCTTCACCTTCCCCTCCGCCCTGAGCCTCTGGAGCGACGGCTACGAGCCCATCAAGTTCCGCCTCAATGACAGCCACGAGTTCTGGGACCGATGGGTCTCCATCGAGCTCGAGCAGCTCTCGAGAACCCGCACTCCCGTCGGCGTCAAGCGCATCTCCCATCTCTTCCGCGACCGCCTCCAGATCCCTCACGCCCGCTGGGACAACACCTCGCAGATGTTCTCCAGCTTTCTCAGCGAGTACAACAACGCCGCATACGAGACCGAGTTCAAGGAGATCACTGCCATCGCTCAGCCCGCCAAGGATGCCTACCAAGCCCGCGAGCGCCGCGAGCTCGAACTCAACAAGTTCAGAAACTCCCGCGATGACCAGGCCTACAAGAGCGCCATGAAAGAGTATCTCGACTGGGAAATGGTCGAGACCATCATAAAGACCCCGCAAGACCCTGCAATGCCCGTCGCGCTCGCCATCGGGCTCTACAACCGCGCCCTCACCGGAGTCTTTGCCTTTGACGATGTCATCTGGACCAATTACGTCGTCTACCTTTCCACCTTGCGCGACTCCGCCAAGGCTTCCCAGATCCAGTATCTCCTGCCTGACACCTTGAATGTCCTTCAGCGCGCCACCTCTCATTGCCCGGGCTCCGGGTCGCTGTGGTCTCGCTATATCCTCAGCGCCGAGGAGGCTGGCTGGGGATTCCAGGAGGTCGAATCAATCAAGCATGCTGCCACGACCAACGCAGCTGCTCTGGACAAGAACGGCATGCCTGGCGTCATTGACATGTATGCTGCTTGGTGTGGTTACCTCAAGCGCAGCGCTCTGAGCCCCAATGCGGCAGATGATGCTGCCGATGTGGCCGAGTTCGGCTTGGTCTCGGCGATAGAAGATGTTGGAATCTGGGGCAGACGGCTGCACAGAGACGACTACCACGGCGACCCCAACTATCGCGTTGAGCGCATCTTGATTCAGTTCCTCACCGAGAGGCGAGGTGATATCGACGGAGCACGATCCAGGTGGAAGTCCATGGCGGACAAGTCATTGCACGGAAACAGCTACGACTTCTGGCTCAATTATTACCTGTGGGAGATGAGAATATTCTCCTCTCAACCTCGTCAACGAAGCCCCACGCCTGCCACTCCTGCCAACGGCGCCACGTCGCTCAGTGTGCCTACAATGGCCACCGATGTACTGCTACGCGCCATGCAGCAAAAGGATATCGACTGGCCGGAGCGTATCATGGAAGTCTGTCACCAGCACTGCAACGACTACGAACAATCCCAGACTCTCCGTCGCGCCCTAGACTCCATTCACAGGGCTCGCAGAAGAGTCGAGAAGCGTCGAGCACATGAGAGAGAGCAAGCAGAGGCCGCCTACGCCGCGCAAGTCCAGGCTGTGCAGTTGGCGACACCAGGAGACGAAGACAGCCCCGGCAGTAAGAGGAAGCGTGACGAAGCCATGGACGAGCAAGTGACGAGCAAGAGGCTGAAGAACGAGGAAGCCGCCACCGACGAGACCCTGAAACGGGACAGAGAGAACACCTCGGTTATGGTCCGGTCTCTCCCAGCGGATGCGACCATTACTGCTCTGCGGAAATATTTCAAAGAATATGGCAGTGTCGTTAACATAACTACCAAAAAGGGAAAGGGCGATTTATCCGCTCTCATTGAGTTTGAATCCCCCGACGAGATGCGATCGGCTTTGCTGAGGGACCAGAAGTATTTCAGCGACAATCAGATTTCCGTCAAGGCAGGTACAGGTCTGACAATTTATGTGACCAACTACCCTCCGACAGCTGATGAGAACTACATTCGGAACCTCTTCAAGGAATGTGGCGAGGTTTTCAGCATTCGGTTCCCGTCATTGAAGTTCAATACCCACCGCCGCTTCTGTTACGTATCGTTCGAGGACCAAGAAGGCGCAGCCAAGGCCACCCAGCTAGATGGCAAGCTCATAGAAGGCAAGTACAAGCTGCTTTCCAAGTACTCGAATCCGGCCGGGAAGAAAAAGCGAGAAGGGGCTGTTGCTGAAGCCCGAGAGCTTCGAATCAAGAACATCAACCAGAAGACAACTGAGGACGATCTGGGTGCAATTTTTGGGCATCATGGAAAAGTTGAATCGGTCAAAATCTTAAAGAACCTCAAAGGTCAGAACAGAGGCACGGCTTTTGTTATCATGGAGAGCAAGGAAGATGCCGAGAAGGCCGCGTTTTCTCTCAACAATGCCCAGTTGGGCTCTAATATCATCGATGTCGAGGTCAGCAAAGATACCAACTTCAAGCCAACTGCTTCGAACAAGGCTGCTTCGCCGGCACCGTCTTCGGTGGACGTGGAAATGACAAATGCCGATTCGTCTAGTACGCCTTCCCGAGCCGAAATCCAGGCACGATCTATGGCTGTCTTGAGTTTGCCTGACACAGTCAACGATTCTCGCGTACGCGCTCTTGCTGAGCAGTATGGGGACATCGTTAAGATCGTGCTACGACCAGACCGAGGAGGAGCTGTTATCGAGTTCAAGGAGACTGCAACTGTGGGAAAGGCCATGCTGGGTCTCAATGGCCATGAAATTGCTCCTGGCGAGAAGCTCCGCACTGGTACGGTGGATGAGCTGTTCAAGGACGGCAAGTCTCAAACCAAGCCAGTCTCCCAATTCATGCCGCCGACGGTAGTTCGAAGACCGGCAGTTGCATCTGGCCAAAAACCAAAGCAACGGGTCGGATTTGTGGCTGCATCAAGTGCCGAGTCTGGCAAGACGGAGGTAAACGGTTCGGACAATGCGTCCAAACCAAAGTCAAACGCCGAATTTAAGGCGCTGTTCCTCGGCAAACAGCAATAAATCGGATACTCAAGCGAAACAATGTCGCACGCAGTCGAGCAGGGTCGATCTGCAGCTAAGACATCAACAGATGCTCGAAAGTTTGTCGTTGGTTCGGTTGCGTCTGTCCTTTACTCGAATGACGGTGGCTTCTCGTGATGAGAAGTCAGCTCTGAAACCTGTTGGCCAAAATGCACACTGGGATGGGAATGGCTTCCCCACATGATTAGTACGACTCGCAACTGGGATGCCGGCTTGATGTAATTATGATATTAATTATACCCTTGGCAGGCAAAAGAGTGATGGAAAACGGAGAATGGACTGGCCTCATTGGTTGGCGTTTTTGGAGTTCTGGTAATGAAGATGCTAGTGCGACTTCATATGGCTACTGATTTCAAACAGCATAACTCAAACTAATATCATAATGGTTTTGCCATATCAAAAGTTTTTTCTTTTTCTTTCATTCATACCCGTTTTGCGAAGTCCTCTCGAACTGCTACAGCTTATGAAAACTACAGCTTATAAGTTGCGGTCTCAGCGATACGTGATTCACAACTAGTTGACCGAAATGGAAATCCGGGACTATATTCGGCCAATCATGATGAATGTGGGCCACCCCACTAAAGCTCCTAGCTCATGCAAGTGTTAATTTCTTTTTGGCCGTGAGCCTCATCCGTCAATGCCGCGCCGATGACTTCAGACGACTGCCGATCTGCCCATGATACCACTTCTCTCATCCATATTCTACACCATGTAACCCAATGAGCAGTTGAAGAGAAGATTTGTCGGAGTTAGGATTTAATACACCCCTGCTTCTCCCTGTCAACGGTCTCGGTACGCCTGCCGAGCTGGATGTTGAAGTCATGACGTAAGAATAGCATGCGCGACAACAGCAATGTTTGGTTCGACGTCATACATATATCCGCAAACCCGAACCATGTGCGCATTGCAATTCCCCCATTCGGTAGCATCGCGGGGTACTGGGCCTTTCGTGTTCGTTACGTGATGCTATGTCATGCCATGCGAACCTTCTTTAAGCATAAAGATGCGGCCCCGCCATGCGCTCGAGGGCCACTTACTTGTTGACGATAAAAGCAACACGCAGACCACATCTGGGCCTCTGTCTGGTATCACCGAACGACTATACTCAACAACGCTGAACGAACACCGAGTAATACAGTAAAGCATATAACATACCAACAAAACTAAATAAGAAAACACGCAACCATGGCCACGTCACAAGCAGCCTACGCGGCTGAGAAGGCCATTGGCCACGAGAAGGGAGGCTCCATCATACAGCAAGACATCTCCGAGTACAGCAAGACCGGCGACCCTTCGCACACCATGAAGGCACTCGTGTGGATGGGCAAGAACAAGGTCGAGGTCCACGACGTTCCCCGACCCAAAATCGTCGAGGACGGCGATGTGATTCTGAAGGTCACCGGCAGCACCGTGTGCGGATCTGATCTCCACCTTCTCCACGGTTCCGTCGTTCAGCTCAACAAGGGTGATATCCTGGGACACGAGTTCTGCGGTATCGTGGACGAGGTCGGCTCGGCCGTCACCAAGTGTCAGAAGGGAAAGAGATATGTGGCCAGTTTTCAGATCGCATGTGGAGATTGCTTCTTCTGCAAGCAGAAGCTGAGCTCGCAGTGCGAGAAGACGAATGCCAACCAGACCCACAAGAGCATGTACGGCACTCAGACCGCCGGTATGTTCGGCTACAGCCATTTCGTTGGCGGTTTCGCCGGTGGCCAGGCCGAGTACGTCAGGGTTCCCCTGGGCGACGTGAACCTGCTGGAGATTCCCGACGGCGTCCCGGATGAGAAGGCCCTGTACCTCAGCGATGTCCTCCCCACAAGTTACAACTGTGCCCACGACACGGCCATCTACAAGGGCGACGAGGTCGCCATCTTCGGAGCCGGTCCCATCGGGCAGATGGCGGGTGTGTTCGCTGCCAACGCCGGCGCAAGCAAGATCATCTTCGTCGACACCGAGCCCAGACTCACGACCATTAAAGACAAGTGGCCCGCCCGACACCAGGACAAGTTCGAGTCGATTGACTACAAGAAGCTCAGCTTTGGCGTCACGAACAAGGAGACCGTTGTTTCGAAATTAAAAGAGATGTGCGGTGGCCGTGGCCCCGACGTTGCCCTTGAGTGTGCCGCTGGAGAGTATGCCAAGGGTTGGTTGCACTGGCTGGAGATGCAAGTCGGCGCCGAGACCGACACGAGCGAGATCCTGAATGAGATGATTGAGGGTGTCAGGAATTTCGGCAGATGCGGTATTACCGGTATTTATGTCGGATACGTAAGTTCTCATCTCATCCATCCCCTGCATCGGGTTGCCGCGATGTCGTCATGCGAGTCCCTTGATGGCCCTCCCAATGCAGCCTTTACCGTTGGCTATCCATGGACATCGAATGCTGACTATCATAATACAGACCAACCACTTCAACATCGGTTCATTGATGGAGCGTGGTGTTCGCCTCATTGGTAATGGTCAGGCACCTGTACACAAGTACTGGGAAGATTTGATGGAGCAGATCAAGACTGGCGACCTCGACCCTCTTCAAATGGTCTCCCACCGTTACAGAATCGAAGATATCGACAAGGTCTACTACGCATTTGAGAGCCAGAAGGACGGCATCCAGAAGGTCTTCATTGAGACCAAGTTCTCGCTGCCGGCTTGTGAGGGCAGCCCCAAACTGACGACTTTTTAAATGTGATACCCCAGGTTTAATGGGCTTGTAAGCATGCACACAAGAGATGAAGCGCGAGCATGGTAGTTGGGGGAAATGGACGACTTTATGAATTGAATATTGATTATCATCCACCTCTCGTCTTGTTGTGATGTTGTACGCCACCACATGCACCCTATACCGGCTCCAATATCAAGACAGTACTCCATAAGTAACCAAGTCGATTCAACCCTTCAAACCCAAGTGACTCAACATTGCCAACAATGGTTCTTCCTAAGGCAGATCTACTCCGTTCGTGCCGCCTCCCAGCTCCGGTCCCATTCCTGCACCATGTCCTGGCCATCGCTCCGGCCAGACGGCAGGCCAACAGCGACCATCTCATGTGTCTGCGGGTCCATCATGTATTGTTGTGTCCATTCAGAGGACTGCGAGCTCGAACTCTTCTTGTCTTGTTTCTTGGAGGATGAGGACTTCTTGTTCTTGGAGCTGTGTTGCTTCAGTCAGTATTCATGCAATGCAAACCGATCAAATACGGGATGCCTACCTCTGCTTAGCCATGATCAACGGTGTATGTTATGGGGTTAGAGGTTCGTAGGCCACTGGAAGTGCGATGCGATAAGTTTGTGGGTTTTCCGAAGGGGCGATAATCGTCAAGAGGTTTTGATATGGAGTCAAGGCGTGGATTTGATATTGATGACGAGAACAACTTTTCATAACTAGGGAGATGAGCCGCTTTTATCTTTTCGCGACCACGGTGAAGAAGCCCGTAGGGTGAGAAATCCGAGCTGATCGTAATCCCCGTTGTGCCTCGTCCCGCCAGGCCGATCAACTTGTGTGATCTCATCTACGATGGACGATGACCCTACATCCGCCCTTGTCTGAGTATCTCGAGGCGACCAACAGGCTGGACCTCTCACCCTGTGGGCGCACGGGGTGTTTCGACGCCAGCCGGGCAGGGCTGGCGGATTCCCTTCCTGCCACTACACCGCGAAAGGCGCACAAGAACAAAGGTCCCAGGTGCCGTGAGCCCACCAATTATAAAGCCACAATCAAAAGGGTTGAAGGTGCCGACCCTGTCAAGGCCAGAACTGCCTTCGGCGAAAGGTGCAAGCGGTCTTGCTGCGCTGCTGAGTGTCTCTAAAACAGGGTGGAGCTCGATGATCCACCCTTACGACCAAGCAGGCATCTAGAAATCCAGAGCCGGACAGACCTGGGCTGTAAGACCCTTTTTCCTGCGATACGGCCGTGCCAGGACATACGGCGACGTCAACACGCCGCCGTGTTTTCTCTTCCCGCACAGGTGGCGTCCTGCCTCCCTGGGCCCACTGCTTGGTTTACATGTGTCATCGTGGCCTCCAGTCTACGACAGAATCAACCTGCAGCATTCCTAACCCTGAGATTTGATATCGTAGTGGTAGTCTTGCTCGAGTGGCGAGAATTCTTTGGTCGACTTGCGATGGTGAGGTCGACGGATGTTTTACACGATGCTGATTTTGGCAGGCAATCAGCGAATCGGGACAGAACAAATTTGCGGACGACCTATGAGTCGGAAATTTCAATGCTGGTCTGGACGTCACATGATTTATTTCGTTTACACTACATTATTCCGTCACATCATGATCACACGAATGCTTTGTGAGTGTTTGCAAGTTGCCTAGTGTTGATATCATTATATGAGAGATATACCGCCAATTCAGTAGGAAAGAAAGCCCACAGTCCAGACTAGGAAAACGTCATTGGATGAAATCATGAGAGAGCCAGAAAGAGGAATCTCGAAAGACATTTCAGGGGAAAATGACCCTCCACGGAACATAGGAACCCGGCCAACAAAGACTTTCCTACAGGTTTGCAGGATACGTTCTGCCTCACCTAGACGCCAACCCCGCATACGTCTTGACCTCAACATGAATGGACGTCACACAAGTCACGTCGATCGTAATGTCCTCTTCCTCGGGGCACCATGTTGCAAGTCGCCGCTACCGACGCCGACAGGACGTTTCTTGGGCATCTGGTGATCTGCGTGGTCTCTTCTGAGATGAATCGTCATGTTGTCGTGCCGGGTGAACTCTTTGTCGCACACTAGGCACTTGATCTTCTTGTCTTTGTGAGTCTTGATATGCTTGCTCAGGTACGCGGCGAGATTTTCGGTCTTCCCGGTGGGCTTGTATGGGCAGTCAGGTTCAGGGCAGACGAGCTCGTCGTCTGACAACTCCTCTGCATGTATGTCCGAGGCTGTGCGAGACGTGTCTGATTGGTATGACGGTCGAAAAAGTGCCGTCGGCTGTGGGTGGCCTGGTAGAGAAGCCAGACTGTCGATCAGATGCCTGTAATCGCCAAGATCACTGGGTAGAGTCTGGGCCGGCAGGCTGATGCGAGCGGCCTCGGTTGACTGGACACCAAAAGGCCAGGCGTCTGAATGTCTGAAATCAGTATGCACAGTCAACCTGTTTGAGTGTTGAAGGCCGGTAGTGTAGCTCGAACTACCTGCGACGACTCGTGCTTGGTCATCGGCGGACGGTAAGCTGACTGGTCCCGTTTGATATGTGTTATAAGAGTTCCGGACAAGCATTGGAGCGGTGTTGACTTGCTGTGTAGGACACAAGGGTACATCACCAGGAAGTCGTCTACGTGGTTGATTGTATCTTAACAATCTGCCGCTGGTCTTTTGACTGGCCGATCCTTCAGAGGAAGTCGGCGAAACCTCTGTGGAGCTGCATGAGTCCTGTACTGTCGATGGTGGAGATACAGCATTTGGAGATGTATTAAATGAATTTGAGAACGACGAAGTATTGACAGACGCATCCACTAGATCAGTAATGAAGTCAGAGAGTCCGCTGGAATGCTCAATTGGGTTTGTGCCGGGGAAGGCCATCCCGACGTTCTGACCCGAGTCCATCTCATACATCGGTGTATCAGTGGGAAATTCGGACAAACCGGATGGCGCATCCAGTTCGGAGACATAATCCAGTTGCACTTTGCTTGGTGGTAACAGATCGAACGTCTGGTATCCGTGATCGATGTCCGGTTTAAAAGGCGGCAGTACGTCGTCCCCGCTCAAAACATGCTCGTCCGGGTTATATGGTGTTTCGTCACAATAGGCCGGGGCATCAGGCTCTGAATTTTCTTGCAACGGATGACGACAGTTTGGACATTCGATCGGCTTATTTCTCAGTAGGCGAAAAAGCTTGGCCGGGGCTTGTAGTCCTTTCTGGAATTTCAAGCTGAATTTCGTCCTGTTCCAAGAACACCTTTTATTCCAATTCGTTCTGAACTTCTCGAGCTCGTTGCAGCAAGGGCAAATGTAGCGACCTTTATCGATGTATGCGCACTCTTTTAGGTGCTTGACCATTTCTATGGCGTTCGCGAAAGGGCGGCGACAGCCTCGCATAGGACACAAGACGTCATCATCGCACTGTTTCTCAGTGGTCACGAAGTAGAACTCCAGTATGAGAGCATAGAAGCGACTAGCGTGGCATTCATCGACGACGTTTGTCAAGAATCTGTAATGGTTAGATAAATCTCCCGGGAATATAAACATAATAGCTATCTTACTGGCATGGCTTCTTCGGACTTGAGACGGTGTTGCTGTCGGTTAGTTCCGATCCGGCCACAATTTTGATTGGTGGCGGAGAAGTGTACGAAGTCCCAGGGTACGGGTATGTCATACTTCGATCTGAGAGTAAATTGCTGGAACTAGTAATCATGCCGGGGCGTCCAGCACCAAAGTGCATCGAAGCCTGGGAGACGTTATGGAAAGAGTTATTCATTTTCGCCTCAGATTCACATGCGCAGCACGGTATTAACGCAATTCAGATCTGGAAGCATTTCCTTTCTCATATTACGCCGCCGATGAACCCATATCAGCTTCTTTTAAACCTCATAGTACGCTGACAGCAGTCCGCTGTTGGAATACCCTGCAGGATAAAAGGACCACAGGGCACCAGCCGCTACACCGAATTTGCGGAATGCAGGCTCACAGGCCGCATAGTCAACTGCAATGCAGATGATTATTTTCCCTTCATATAGTATAGTCATGTTCTTGCCTGAAAATCTCAGGGAAAGTGTTTCGCGGCCCGAACCGGTTGCCTCGTTTCTTGCGCCTTAGGGGCCACGATGATAGATGCGGTGGTTCGATAGTTTACTTTCCAAATTCAGCAGGGAAAGTTGCCTCAAAGCCTGCACAGTATGTAACGGCCTCAAGGCACATCGCTCGTCGCCATTCGTTCCTCTCCTATCAATGTTGCTGCAGTGGCGAGCCAAAAATCTTTTGGAAAAATATTGAAGAACGCCCGGTCAGTAAGAGTGCGGAGATTAGGAGGCAGCCCAGAAGGAGGGAAAAAAAAGGCACTTAAGGCGAGGAGATATTGAGTGATGATTGATCCGGTAGATTTGAAATTATACGGCATTTCTTTCATCAGGCCAGAGAAACAGAACGAGGGGTGAAGCTGGCAAACATGTCTGATATACCTTTTTGCGACACCGGCCCCCATTTTTGTAGGACTTGTGGCTCCAAAGGCTTGTATATCACAGCAATATCGATTCTACTTTTAGACAATTTCTTGGGGCTATTTCGAACTAGAGACGAGGTCTAGTAGCATATTGGGGGCGGCTATGGGGGCGACGATGGGGGCGAGAATGGGAACTGTAATTGGAACTCTGCCCGCCTGCAACCACGAGGTGACTTTTCGCTTGTAGTAGTTGCAGAATTTGTAAGGCTGAACAATACAATCTCCACCTGTAACCACGTAAGCTAGTATTCTGGACATGCAGAGGTACACTGATCAAGGCGATACCAACTTCAAGGCGGGCGAGAGGTATTCTCCAAGTCAAGATGGTCCACGGGACACCACGGTCTGAGATACAGCCTTGGGCAACTTGGAGCACACCCTTCTTCTTGACGCCGTCTGTATCTTGAGCCTTCCAATAGCCACCGACTCTAGGCAGGCTCTACTCCGCTCATATGCCGACTTCGTCATGGGTTGTGGGTAGGGGCGTCGGTTCATATATGCATGAGTGGCGACAATGGATAGAACACGCATATGCAGACCCCACCTTTAGCTTTTTGTGAGGCGTCGACAGGTTCGCTTCCTGCCTTGCCTTTCTTGACGGGCGCTCTCACCACTCCCGTCAACACTTTAATCGAGACTTGAAGAGACCGAGCGCGTATGACCATACATTGTCGCTCCCCGACGGAGAATTTCCCGCAACAGATGGGTTGGTGGAAGGCGGGCCCGTTCCGATTGTTCTGCTCACCGTTACCTGTAGAGATTGGAATGATGACTACGGGAGCACAAGGCCCCCATCCAGCCCGGTAAGTCCAAATCCAAGCTGACGGATAGAGTAGTCTGATCAAACCCAGTATGCCAGTCTCGACCCATATATCACCGGTCGAGGTGTGTTCTCTTCATAGGATGGCCATTGGGAGCTCGAAGTCTAGGAGGGCTACTTATATGCATGTAGGTAGCATTGAAGGCAAGCCAGACACGTCAGAGTTGACACACCTATGACTATGGGGTAGTCTTGTCTGTTCCTTTATATGCTCGGGTCGATTTATGACTGATGCCACTCGCAGTAAGCGAGGTCATATTCTGACACGAAATGGTTGCGGGTGGTCAACTGCTGATTTATCGCATTCTCAGTGTGGGCCAGGAACATTAGCTGTGCTTCTCAGTATGAAACCAGCAAGTGCTCAGTAGGCGGCACAATATCTGACAGCCAAAGATCAAGGGCACATGTTCGACAGGACAAAGTAGTTATATAGACGGCGCATTGAACAATCGTCATGCATCAAAGAAACTTCACGTCACGAAATGATCGAACAAGACCATGGGCTGAGCCGAGCCGAGCCGAGTCGTAGTAGTAGTGGTAGTAAGGTGTTGCCAGGCGTTTGTTTATTTATTTATTTTTCAACTCTGAACAATGTAGGTTTGTACAGCTATGAATTGACGTCCTGCGACCTGGGATGCACAAGGAACCGAACAGATGAGGATGCTGGCCTTGTCAAATGGTCAGAATGGGGGCGAAGAGTTGTATCGATGTTCTGGTGTGCAAAGAAAGCGCAGTGATCGGGCAGTCTGTGGAGCCCAACGAAAGAGAGCTCTTCTAGATTTTGTGGGCACCTCTCTGGCTTGTCGCCACGTGACGGCAGCTGCCGGGCTGGTTCACACATTCAGAATGGAATCGGGAGCTCAACCGACCCGTTCGTTGCTAGGAACCCCCGCAGCAGTTCGACGGGGGTCACCAATGGGGTCACCAATGGGGTCACCGATGGGGGTAAGACTGATATGATAGGCCGGTCTCCTTGCCAGGGAGCTCGAGCTGACATGGTTCGCGAGGTGAACAGTGAGAGTCGACGGGACAAGGTGAAGGAAGCGTGGCTGGCTATTGGCGGGGCTTAGCCGGCTTAGCAAACAACTGAATTGGTGACGGCGACACAAACCGACTCCATCCAGCACGACTCACCCACCGACTTCGCTATTGCCATTAGCAATTGGTGTTAGACTGTTTCATTTTTTTGCACGGCTCGACCCGAGATGGAAGCACAGATAAGATAAGAGGACTGTAAGTCATGCATCTCAGATGTTTCTATACCCCCAAGCCCGCCTTCCTCTCTCGAGAAAACTGTGTCAATCCATCCGTCCCATAGCATAGCATAGGTAGCTGACTCTAGCCCCCCTCTCTGCAGATAGCCATGTCTCTTGCCACTCTCCGAGGCACTTCGCGTGCTCTCCGCACCCTGCCGAGATGGGCGCCGCCGACGACGTCGGTAATCCGTCTTCAGGCCGGTGCTCGCAGGGCCCAGTCATCGTCGGCCGCCTCACTCGAAGGGCAGCAAAGTGTACGACCTGAATCTACCTCCGCTTCTGCTGACACTGGACTCAACCCTGGTCGTGCTGATACTGATGTTGCTCAAAAGTTGTTGTCTGCTCATCTGCGCGAGGCCGATCCCGCCGTCTTCGATATCATCGAGAAGGAGAAGAAGCGTCAAAAACATTCCATCAACCTCATCCCCTCGGAAAACTTCACCTCCCAGGCCGTCCTCGATGCCTTAGGCAGTGTTATGCAAAGTGCGACCACGATATGTCTTTCCAGCTACAAAGGAGCATTGCTGATAGCCATGAACAGACAAGTACTCGGAGGGGTATCCAGGTGCCAGATATTATGCCGGTAACGAGTTCATTGACCAGTCCGAGCGACTGTGTCAACAACGAGCACTCGAGACCTTTGGTCTCAGCGAGAAGGAGTGGGGGGTCAACGTGCAGCGTGAGTGCGATTTTACGCTTAACGATACGAGGAACATGTCTGACTGAATGCTCGTGCCTACAAACAGCTCTCTCCGGCGCCCCAGCAAACCTATACGTATACTCGGCTGTCATGAACACACACGACAGACTGATGGGTTTGGACTTGCCCCACGGCGGCCACTTGTCGCACGGATACCAGACACCCACCAAGAAGATTTCAGCAATCTCCAAGTACTTCGAGACCGTCCCCTACCGGCTAGACGAGAAAACCGGCCTGATCGATTACGAGAAGCTGGATGAACTGGCCCAGATATACAGACCAAAGGTTATCGTGGCAGGAACCAGTGCCTACAGCCGCTTCATCGACTACAAGGCCATGAGGGACACAGCTACCAAGGTCGGCGCATATCTGGTAGCAGACATGGCTCATATCTCTGGCATGGTCGCTGCCAAGGTTCTCCCAAGTCCCTTCAACTACGCCGACATCGTAACAACTACTACGCACAAGAGTCTACGTGGCCCACGCGGTGCCATGATCTTCTACCGCAAGGGTGTGCGGTCTGTCAACAAGAAGAAGGAGGAGGTTATGTACGACCTCGAGGGCCCGATCAACGCCTCCGTGTTCCCCGGCCACCAAGGTGGGCCGCACAACCACACCATCACGGCACTCTCGGTGGCCTTGAAGCAGGCTCAGGCGCCTGAATTCCGCGCCTACCAGGAGCAAGTCCTCGCCAACGCTCAAGCATTTGCCAAGCGCCTTAGTGAGCCGAAGAACAGCGGCGGTCTCGGATACACCGTCGTCAGTGGTGGTACAGACAACCACCTTGTCTTGGTCGATCTCAAGCCTCAGCAAGTCGATGGTGCCAGAGTTGAGCGTGTCCTGGAACTTGTCGGCGTAGCCAGCAACAAGAACACCGTCCCAGGTGACAAGTCAGCCATGGTCCCTGGTGGTCTGCGGATGGGTACCCCTGCCATGACTACCCGTGGCTTCAACCAGGATGACTTTGTTCGTGTAGCTGACATTGTCGACCGTGCCGTGACAATTGCGGCCAGGGTTGACAAGGCTGCCCGCAAGGCTGCCGAGGAGAAGGGTGACAAGTACAAGCTCAAGTTCTTCTTTGACCACCTTGGTGGCGGTGAGGATGACTCGGAGATCGTCCAGTTGCGTTCCGAGGTTGCTGACTGGGTCGGAACCTACCCATTGCCATGGATCCAGGATGGCAAGGCATAAGCTGCTGTGGTTTTGAAACCAGCGCATATTTCCCACTAACCGAGATGGGCCAGTCATATCCTCGAGGCTGTATCATTGCGTTCTAGCGTGACATCTTCGTTGCTGTATATGTATTCATTTGACTGCTTCGCGAACCTACACGCACTTTGAGAAAACTGCCCACTTTGGCGGATGCGCATACAAGACACATCTCACATGGCATTTGGAGTTCAAGGGTTTGTTTGATAGTTACTCAACGCAATCAATCTCACATAACGTGTGCATGAAAATTTTTCCGTTCATCAAGTATTTGCTCGTGTTTATTCCCCATGGCCTAAAACACCGTGTTTGATGGTGTGTCCCCTGTTTCAAGCTGCTCTCCCAACAGACACGCTAGAATCAATAGCAGCTTTGAAGAAGCGTCACGGGTCTGCATGGTTCTAATGTCATGTATACAGCATGGCGGTTAACTTAGAATACTGATTCGTAGCTCTGGTCTTGCAAGAAAGTTTTGGGATTTTACAGAAATGTTATGTTATGGACCGAGGCCATGGGCCAACGAGCCAACGAGGACCGAGAGGTTGTCGTCGACGACCTAAGGCTATGAAACTCGTGACAGCTTCGCATTGATCAAGCTCAATAACTTCCATAGAATCCGCTCATACAAGCGACTGTAGCTTCATAGATTCAATAAGAAAAAGAAAAAGGAAGTAGAAGAAAAAAGGATAAAAGGTATCTGCATGTTGTCTTAAGGGTAAGTTGGCATGAAAGACATGCGAGACACAAATTGACGTGACAATGACAGATTATCAAATCAGGATTGTATCACTCCTAAAAGTGAACTCGGGATGTACTGACACTGAGAGTAGCACTGTGTTTCCACTGGCACAACTCTCACACAACGTGCCCCATATTGAAAACCGTTGATCATATGTATGCAAGCAGGATGGCTCGACTATGCCTTGGACTAGATATGGTCTCAATGTAGGCGGATCCACTACATTCCTGGAAAAGCAGATTGTAGTGGAGTGCATTTGGTGGGAGAATGCCAGGAGTTACACGCCAGTACGGCAGGCGTGACGCTTAGAGAACTACGGGGGGACGGCTCGTTGTGGATTGTTAACAGCATGGCTATGTGAGATGTCGATCTGAAGAGGGCTGTGTCTCATGATCTCGATTGACCGAGTTTGTTGCCGGTGTGAAGGGGGACTGATCTCGATCTCTCACCGGCCCACAGAATGCTCGGACAAGACGGGGGGGATGTCGTCAATATATCTGCTGTCCCACGATACCGGCTGGCGGCCGGCGGACGTTGTACAGAGGCCAGGAGGTGGTCTCACAAGGTCCACTGTCTAACCGCGGCCGGTGGGTTGTTTATTGTGATACCCGCAAGTTCTACCGGGTCCGGCCCCGATATTCTGGCAGCCCTAAAAGTGTCCCACATTGACTTGCATTATCTAGAGACGACGGGCCAACGGGAACATGAGATAGTGGACGAACGGCCGTTGACGCCATTCTGTCGGGCTCGAACTCCTTAGTAAGCTAGACGATGATGGCATTTGTTTTGTTAGTGGAGCATAGACTGGGTGCTGGGCGTTCTAGGTCAGCGGCTACGAATGGCTACAACCGCGATCTTCACCTTCATGGACTCGATGTTCCTTTAGACGGTCTAATCGAGCGGACCACGGTCCCGCATGATTTAGGCTTGAAAATTATGCCTGAATTCCAACTCAGCAGACTGAAATCTGAGAGTACCTGTATCCGTCGCTTTAGCTGTGCTTGTTACCAATTGACCAAAACAGCATAAAATAGAGTGTGCACAGTTCGCGACTGTATGTCAGCTGCATGACGAGATCGCTTAGGTGCAGCAATCAGATCATCTTAGAGGACCAACCTTGTCGCCGCCTGTTGTGAGCTTCCCGTGCTCGCAGTATTTCGATTTCCCCCTGTATACCAAACCTGTTTGATACTGTTCCCCATGAAAAGTACTCAAAATCTTTCTGAATGCAGGGGATACTGAATGAGCCTGCAAGACCGTGCTACCCGACTGTTGTTGCACCTGCCTCTGAACGGGTGTACGCATTTGCAGACCTTGTCATGGTGGATCAGGTTCTTGCGTGTTAGATCTCGATAAACAATTGACTCACAAATTTGAGAACCTCGATCCAACTACATCGGAATCAAAATGCTAAATGATATCACCACCGCTACTACGTGCCGATGTTTCGATAGGTGGCCGCTCTCGAGCCACACGTCAAGAAAAGGCCCGATGGCACTTGGTAACACCTTCGTAATCTTCACTATTCCTGGTAGCGCTAAAGTATTACTACTGCCCTAACCCACGTAGCAATGGTGCTTACCGCTGTCAGGACATAGATTGCGCTGTATAAGCATTAAGCACGGGCAGTGATAGATCAATTCGTGCTGCAATCCTCGGAAACGAAAGGAGTGACGTTGAGCATGGTTTGAAGCTGCAATGGTGATCGAACCCTTATTCGGGAAAGTGGCTGCTCTGCGGGATAAAATTCTGTCAACTGCATGTGGCACAAGCCTTACAATGATTGGAAGAACCGTGCTTTCATAGCTCATCCATGGAGGGCATTCCGGCGGATTTTTTCGTGGAAGAATGATTTGGTTCTGGCAGCAATCCGTTGTTCGCTATGTACTTAGGCGGCAACGGTCCCAGGTCTTACATATTAGACGCATTACCCACTTGCCATTCGGCGGCTGTACTATGGCCGTCATTGAGTAGAAACTCTCAAGATATCACATGCTTCTAACGTTTGTCGAGTGATCTGAGTGGCTGGAGATTATCTTCTCACCCTTACAGGTGCCCAGGCTTTCACTATTGTTGTGATGATGTAGGCCGGCGTCATCATACCTGACTTCGTTTGTGGACTGGAGTCTTACAGTGTCCGTTAACATCCTGTTGCACCGAATAAACCGATAATGCGACAACATCAGTCTCGTTGAGCCGCCATGCAGCCAGATTGACCCGCGAATAGCCCAGATGAATTGCCAGTCCGCTCATAACATCGAGGATCTGCGCTATACCTCACGGCACACAGTAGCACTCAAAGTCATTAGAACAATCCGACTTGATCTCATCGAGTTTATAACTCCCCAGTTCTAGCCATTTGTCCGTAACCGTCAACCTCGTTTTGAAACAGACTACGGGCGCTACTAGCTAGTGATGGTATTTGTCGAGTCAAGATAAAAGTAACCGGGTGTTGATCCTTGACAACGGATTGTGGGAAGACAATAGATTGCCGAAACATAGATCGACGTGTAAGGCAGTTTGCGGTGAGACAATACGCAGCCTCGAAGCTGCACCACAAAGGGGTGCAACATCCGAACTAGTCTAGGGTCATGAGCCTCAATACATCCCTCTACTTTCTCGCACCAAATTGATTTTCTAAAGGAGGGTACGCGACGGGTGCCCGGCCATCTGCTGAACGAACGCACAAACAGGTCTTGCGCGCTTGGACTGAGATTGAGTCGAAGCTCATAAATCGTCTGGTTGAAAGCTAATGCCTGACTTCAGATAGCAAACACTTTCTCATGTCTCCAAAGTAAATAATATGCCGGCAAGTCAACAATGTGTACCGAATAAAAGCCTTGTGCAATGGCGGTTATGCATCGACAAGTCTCGAGGGGCAGGGGGCCATATCGATAGAGGGGTTGAGGGGTTGAGGGGCTGTACAGGCCCAAGAGTCTCGAAGATGCAAGCTAGACGCACCTAGACGCAAGCTAGAGTGCTTGAGAGCCCCACCAGTTCCCGCTTTTCAGGAACGCTTGACGTCATTGTCGCTTCTCAGCTTTTGATACTTCCGATGCTGCAGGACGGAGAACAAGCATCGATATTGACTGGCGTGATTTTCACGAAGGGCCTCATTGGCAAGAAAAGGTCCCCTGAAATTAATAGAAGTAGAGACAAATTTTTTTTCCGCACCGACCAGAGAAAAAAAAAACATTAAATCTGGCGTCATCGTAGTCTTTGAGCAACACGCGATGGATATGCTAACCATTCCGCCGGCTGGGGAAATGGAACTGTGTATCTTTGCCATGTGGCCACTATCTCCAACTTTAATTCCCCAGCATTATTCGCAAGATCGTAGATCATATGGAGAGAAAAGCCCAATTCTCAGTGCTGTCAGTCTCCTGTTGCTGCAACAATATGGATCGCTGTGAACAGCGGGCATGTGAAAAACGGGTCTGAAGGACGTTGGATGATGGGTAAAGGTGCCAAGACGTGTTACGCCAGAAAGCACTCCTCTGATCAATACCAATCCAGGCTATGCAGTCATCCTACGGCTTGCCGACTCATTCTCTTGAGCGAGTACTGGTCGGGCCTTCGGGGACCCCTTACATTGATTGGCAAGCGAAGATAGCGACAAACTAAGTTAGGCAAACCATGCATTAGATGGTTGCTATGACGGGTGATGACTGACGGCAGATAGACAAGGTGCATGCCTCATTGGTCAGAAGCATTCCGCTGGCCTGCCTCTTGCTTATTAAAGGCTGCAACAATACCTGGCTGACAAGGACCCTGAATCCACAGTCGACGTCGCCATGCGTATTCCTCCATTACTCTGTTTATGAGCGTACCATGTTTTCATTCCATGACCGGTACACACCACTGACACCGCAGCACGGCGAACACAACCTGGCTTGGCTACCTGATTCATGCCCCACCATGGTTCCACGCCGTTCACAAACCGTCTCCTCGTCTGGATAGGTACATCCTCTCTTTGCAAAATGCCATTGTACGGTTAACTTGTCTCGACTATTTGCCAGCGAGTGTCCACATTTACTACCCACAGTTTCCCAGTTCTATCTGCATGAAAGGAACATAAATATGGGAACCCCCAGACTGTCCCCATGTTGTCCGCCCGTCTCCAGTTCATCAATCTTAAATAAGATCCAGAATCCGGGTTCAAACCGAGTCAGTTCTGCATTCTTCCCAACTACATTTCTTTGTGATTTTACTGCGTGTCGAGTTCGTTCCTTACAACACAACCAATCAAAATGTCTCTCGAACCAACCGGATCCGGAAGACCTTCCTTCCACCGTGGCAGCTTTGTTGACGAGCTGGAGAGCGCCCGCTCGGATCTCTCACACAAGTTATTGACCGGAGAGTCTCCGGCCGAGACCCCTTCCTCTTCTTCGTCGGGTTCGGCTCCGTCCTTCTCAGGAAGCTCGGCACCATCTTTGAGCCCGACTCAGAGTGCAACTCCCTCAACACCATCAACTGAGCCTGTCTCTCCACTTGGCGACCTCGTCGCCGACAGCTTTGCATTTGCCTTTGATATCGATGGCGTACTCATCCGAGGTGGCCGCGCCATTCCAGAAGCTGTCGAGGCCATGAAAGTCCTCAACGGAAAGAACGAATACGGGATAAAAATGTATGTTAGCAAACCGCTCTTTATCGTGAATCAATACTAACATGTAATAGTCCGTACATCTTCCTGACTAATGGTGGCGGCAAGTCCGAGGCTGAGCGCTGCCGCGATCTGTCCAAGCAGATGGAGATTGATATCTCCACTGCACAATTCATCTGCGGTCATACTCCAATGTCAGAAATGGCAACCAAGTATGGCACTGTTCTAGTTGTTGGCGGGGAGGGTGAAAAGTGCCGCCAGGTCGCCGAGTCTTACGGCTTCCAAGATGTTGTCACTCCTGGTGATATTATCAAGCACAATAGCGCAACCACGCCCTTCCGCAAGCTCACGGCTGAAGAGCTTGCCAACTCCAGAGAGCGAGACTTTAGTAACGTTACCATTGATGCTGTTTTCGTATTCGCAGACTCCCGCGACTGGGCTGGTGATCTTCAGATTATCCTTGACGTTGCCATGTCCAAAGGTGGACGTCTCGGCACCACGTCTGAAACCTTTGATGAAGGTCCACCCATCTACTTCTCTCACAGCGACGTTCTGTGGTCGGCAGCCCACGATGACCCCCGTCTAGGCATGGGTGCCCTCCGAGGTATCGTCGAATACACATTCAAGGAGGTTACCAAGGGTAAGACCCTGACCACCCACGCTTTTGGCAAGCCTCAGATCGGCACATTCGAGTTTGCGACTCGTCTGCTCAAGCGGTGGCGTAAGAATGAGCACGGTCTTGACTCACCGCCTGAGACAGTCTATTTCGTCGGTGACACTCCTGAGAGCGATATTCGGGGCACCAACAACTACAACGTCCAGGCTGAAAACGATTGGTATAGCATCCTCGTCAAGACTGGTATTTACCAGGAGGGCACTGAGCCAGCATACAAGCCTCGTAACACTGTCAACTCTGTGCTTGACGCCGTCAACTTTGGTCTCAAACGTGAGATGGAAAAGAAGCAAAACAAGACGACGTTGTCCCTGGACTCTGTCGACAAGATCCCCAAGCCAAGACTTACAGATTTGCCCAATTGGCTTCTGAGCAACAGTGATTGCGCTGTGCTCAGTCCCTCTGAGGAGCGTGCGCTTGAGCTGGTTGTTACCTAAACGACTATATCCAAAGCCTTTACGTGTTTACGATGATACCATTTCATTTCATTTTATTCTTTCCTTCGAAGACTTTTACACAAATCATAGAAATATGATAGAAGCTGGCGCCTCAGGTTTTCATTCACTGTTTTTAAAAGCGCGCGGCATCATGTTCGCTCTTTAGTCGAACATTGGACATAAACGGTTTAACTCATTGGGCGGCGTCTTAATTATCACTCAGATACGGTTGCAAGCAGGGTTGTTCGGAGAGCAAAGTTGCGATGGAGGATTTAAAAAAGGATTTCATAGCCACAACTGATAAAGCAACCTCACGTTATTGACTCAGAACTAATGTCATCTGTTGATTATATTTGTGCCCAACCGCCGTAAACTCCTTCATTTCGCCAGGACGTTCTGCAATCCTGATCAATTTAAGAGTGCAATTAGCACCCAGACATGTATTGCCGACCTACTAAATAATACTTACAAACCTGCAATTGCATCATGGGGGAATCAAAAGAAGCCAATTCATGACGTGAGGTTGCTGCTCATTGCAAATTAACAAACAAGCCTCCGTCAACCAACAACTGAGCACCTGTCACGTATCCACTAAGCTCTTCACAAGCCAAAAATACCGCCGGCCCAGCCATGTCACTGGTGACACCCGTCCTTCCAAGCGGTATACGACCCTCCATATACTCCCGCTTCGTGTCGTCCTCCAGGTCCTTGTCGTTCAACTGCGTCTTGATCGTGCCCGGCAGCAGCGCATTGCACCTGATCTTGTACTTGCCGAGCGCCACGGCCGTGCTCTGCATCAGACTCAGCACCCCGGCCTTGGTGGGCGTGTAGTGCGTCTGCAGGCCGCCGCCGACGAGCGCCGAGATGGACGAGATGCCGATGATCGAGCCCCCGGACGGGGACTGGGAGGCCATCTGCCGGGCCGCCGCCTGCACGACGTAGAATGCGCCGTCGAGGTTCGTGCGCACCGTCCGCGCGAACAGGTCCGGCTCCATGGTCAGGAACTCGGCGAACTGGCAGATGCCCGCGTTGCTGACGCAGATGTCGAGGCGGCCGCCGAACTTGGACGCCGCGCGCTCCACGAGCTTCCTGCCCGTCTCCGGGTCCGTCACGTCGCCCGATAGGTGGTCGAGCGTACCTGCGGATGGGCTCGCCGACTTGATCTCGGAGGCTTCGGAGAGCAGCGAATCCAGATGCGGCTTGTCCTTCTCCAGATCGAGATGGTTCACCACCACGTTGGCGCCCTGCCGAATATATTCAATGGCGATGGCCCGACCAATACCGGTGGTGCCGCCGGTAATGATGGCCGTCTTTCCGGTGAGGAGGTTCGCGATGGGCATTGTGAAGACGGCAGGATCGTTGATAGTGCTTTTGTTTTTTTGGGGGTTTTTTTTTGGTGTTGGTGAGGGGCACAGAAATGATGGAGGGGTTAAGGTTGGAGTATGTTGCGTTGCGTATAGGAGGTTTCTAGAGAACAAACAACAGAAATAAGACAAATTAGACAGTATGACAAGAAGGGTAGGATATGCCAATGCCAGTGAGACAACAAAAAAGGTTTCGTTTTACTGCAGAGTATTCTTGAACACAAAAGTTTCGGGAGGTTGCCATGGATTCCTGTCCAGCCAGCCCACTTACACGCCCCTGCCCCTCATCTCTAAACACTATATAGGTACGTCCTTAGCGTACCGTTCTCCATATCAAATCACACGTCAAAATGGAAGTGGGCGAATATACATGTCCATAATTATCGTAGATGCAAATGATCCAATTCGAGCTCCATCTGCGCTCTCGGGAATCCCGCATGCCCGTGTGTCGTTTTCGTGTATAGCGCGTTCGGAAATAGTGGACCAGATTGGAGGCTTGAGAATGCCCCGCGTATTCGGGTCAACGACCACCGATCGTTCTTTCGGGAGATGCATCGACGATGTAAAAGCGTACACCATAGGTATTGGGCTAGGGTAATCTTTTAACCAGCACTATTTGAGCGGCAGCGCTTGGATCGTGGAAGCTTGGAGTCTGAAAGAAGGAGCACCTATTGAACGTGTCTCACTGGAAACGATGAGTACCTTGGGTTTTCATAATCCATGTTCGAGAATCAATGGAATTTCATTGCAATGCCTGTGGTATCATGATCGTTTTATTCATTCTAGTTACGATGCCTGGGTAAATAAATAGGCCACATTTCTCCAATATATACACATCTGCTCTTAACCCATTCGACACCAGCATGATTCGTGAATGTTAAAGCAAAGCGACGTTATCCTCGTGACAGTTTATTGCTATTTCTAAATACTCTATGCAGCGTGGAGATCCTTGACGCCCTCCGTGAGCTTTTGCACAAGGCCGGGCTCACCATTAGCCTCGGGCTCCTTCTTCTGCTCGGCAGGCGGCGGCAGGCCAGCAGCGGGTGGCGGCGACAAGAGGTAGGATGATGAAATCAGCTTCGATCGTACAGCAGGGTTTATTGTAAGTCCGAAACCGGGCTTGTCCAGATCGGCACTCGTCAAGAAACCCTGAGTGGGGATTGGCTCATCGAGGAAGAGGTCTCCAAACACAGGCAAGACGCTCTTTCCATCAGGTGAGTTGGCCAAGTATTCCTGGAATGGTGAGTTTGGTTGCGAAATGACGAAGTGGTAACTGTAGGGGCCACTGGCATGGGGCACCACGGGGATATCGTATGCTGCTGCCATGGCGGAAACCTTGAGCAACTCGGTCAGACCACCGAGCCACATGACATCAGGCTGGATGATATCGAGATTGCGACCCTCGATAAGCTTTCGGAAACCGTATCTCGAGTATTCGTGTTCTCCGGTTGTGAACTTGACGGTAGGGTGAGCCCGCTTGATCTGCTCGAAACCATCGGTGTCATCGGGACTCAAGCACTCCTCCCACCAGTTGATATTGAGATCCTTGGTCTTCTCGACAATCTCGATAGTGTAAGAAACATTCAAACTCATGTAGCAGTCGACCATGATTGGGAAGTCGGGCCCGACACTTTCTCTGTGCTTGCGAAGAAACTCGATGTTCTTTCTGATTCCTTCGTGGCCATCTGCTGGGCAGTAGGGAAGAGGCACCTTGCCTCCCCAGAAACCCATAGCCTTGGCTGCTGTTGGCTCAGGGCCAGTGCAGTAGAAGTTGAGACGCTCTCTTGCGGCACCACCAATCATCTTGTACACGGGCTCGTTTCGGATTTTGCCCAGTAGATCCCAAAGGGCAAGGTCAATTACCGAGATGACAGCCACTGGAAGACCTTTTCGGCCGTAGAACATGGAGGCTCTGTACATCTGCTCAAAGAGCAGGTTCGTGTTTCGAGGGTCGGCGCCGATGAGGAAACGCTCGAAGTGTTGGTGAACCAACCAGCAGCCAGGAGGACCTGCGGCGCATGATTAATCACAGATTGATCTCATCACGTATTGAGCTGCGAGAACATACCACCAAAGCCGGTTGCGAAACCCACTGTGCCATCTGTAGCCTCGATCTCAACCAGGAAGGATCCCAAAACATTGATACCCCAGCTTGTCCGCGATTTCTTGTATTGATCCCATATCGAGCAAGGAGTTGAGATGTCAGAATCAATCAACCTGGGAGGGGGCTGTCAGTATTTCATGTGGAACGCACCCGGCATCCTCAAACTCACCAATGGCCACCCTTGACATTGTGATAATCACCACCAGAGCCAACACCACCAATTATATACGAGCGGATCGCCTTGATTGTTGGAAAATCTCGGACAGTGGACATCTTGAAGTACAGTCGATCACGACTATGGCGGGGTCTTCGCGATTGGATAGTTGAAGAGGATACTCAGTTGGTGTGAACAAATGGGAAAAGATGAGCCTCCGGTTGAAGGTATATGGCTGGAAGGTTTATGTAGTTGAGTCCGGATGTTCCGCAACTTCAATTGAACATGAACTGATCTCAAATGTTAAGTCACGAGGTCGTGGGGGCATATGCAGCTCTTGAAGCTTCGAGTTTCTCAACTCATGATGCGAAATACTGTTGGTCCGTCGGGGTCAGATCGCCCGATAAATGGATACAGTTTAACGCTTCTCCCCGCCGTGCGGCTTCAATTATCAGATTGGCAGTCTTAGCAAGTGTCTACTGTTTGTATCCACTGCATCGGTCCGTTCGCCAGGAGCAGGAGTCCCAAGGCTAGATCTTCGTCTTGCACCCCGTGGCATTTCAGTTGTTCTAGAAACAGTCCCTAGCAGCCATTCGTGGCCGGGCTAGAAATGTTCGGGAGAGTTTCCATCGCAAACCATCCTGCCAGAGTATGTATGCATACCTGCATGTTTATTACAGGTCGCTGGCACCCGGTTGCACTGAACGGCGCTATCCGCATGCCGGCAGTCTTGTTTCCTTTGGACCCTTTGGAGATAGGCAATCAGTCAAAACTTTCCGATGTCCATGCATACAGCAGCTTCATGTCGTGTCTCGCAACAGAGGCTACCGGGTAGAAGGGGGAAATTACACACAATTGGCAGTATACAATAGACGACTTAAGCTCGTTGCCCTCGTTTCTTGAATAACTACTGCTGATCGTTATGCAATCAACTGCTAAGAGCAGACCCGGAGCTGACTCCCCCGTCTTTACCGAGGTCTCCGGGTCAGCTATACCGACCAATCATGCACCAACCAGAAAACGATATGTGATGTCGAAATTAATCAGCATCATATCCCTCATGCCTAGGATTTATCAGCTGAAGCAACCTTGTGCCTTGCATAAACTTGTAATCTCGAATAAAGGACGACCAACTCCGAACTTTTGTTCAAGGCGTGATCCAAATGATATGCGGAGATTAAGAGAAATCCCACCTAGCGCCACACGTGAGCCATAACCCCAGATCTCCAACGGATCCAATGGTTGGAGTGGTTCATGATCTCCGCACCGGCTGGACAAGCTTCCCCGCACCAGTACAGGGAACAAAATGGGAGGGCCAAACTCTACAGAGTCCAAGCACTTCTGGTTTAGTGGTTTGTTACTTTATTTTATATTCATCTGATGCTGCTCCGACTTTCGATTCTCCTCTGATGCAGAGGTCCTAGATGGCTTTATATGCAGCGGAGTCGGCCACAGAGTGGGAATCGGGCATTAGGAACAGGCGTTTGGCTGTAGATCCGGAGAAAGGGATTTACTGAGGTCTTGATCTGGTTGGTCCTTGATCTCCAATGTTCACGGAGGCTGCCATTCGATACGATGCCAGCTCCGGACTCCCACCTCTGCAAAGGCTATGCCGCTCAGAGCTAGGTATCGTGTAACAGAATTTGCCAATCAAAGAGCGGCCAACGATCTCGGATGAGGCGAGGCGCCGTGCGGGCAGGTTCAACTCGTGAATATTAAGAGAAACCCGCCCACATGGTCTCCGTCGTCCGCAGACCGCTGGGCGTTGGCGCTGGCGCTGGCGACCCCCCTGTTCTATGTAGCTGTAGCTGTCCCATGTCCCGAGGCCTTGCCCACAATAAAAAATCCCCACGCCCCGAATCTCCATCTCCCACTCTGCCCAACATTACCCCGAGCTCCCAGTCTCATCGACCGCGACGGCTGCGCGCAACAGAGACAGCCCGAGGGTTATGCTGCAACCCGTCCAATGTGCCATTGCGCTTGCACCGAGACAAGAGCTAGTGTCCCAGTGGTTGGACTGATCTCGAACCCTAGAAAGAAGACTTACAAGGTCGCCGCCAGGCCAGGCCCCCAAGATGCAGCCTGTCCAGCCTCTGAATGGCACACACCAACACGTGTCGCCGCCACTTAGCCATGGTAAACAGGAGTACGACAGCGATGATGGCAACGCTGGGAACAGCGGAGATGAAAATGACCCCGAGGATGATCACGATGAACCTGATACTGCACGCAGCGGCAAGCGCAAAAGGCCAATATCTGTATCGTATGTGCTCACTCTCACTCATATTACTCAACCCTCATTATTCCTTCTTACCCCAACATTTTGGCCTGAACCCCTTGCTTTTTTTTCTTACTCTTTCTTCTCCTTCTCCTCCCTTTCTTTGCTTTGCTTTGCGCCCTTACCTCGTATGCATCCGCTTCCTTGCTGTCGCGTCCTGGATGCCACAATTGGCTTCCCCCTGGATGAACCGTGGGCATGTCGCCGGAACCATCCCGAGGGAACTCAACACGCCCGACCTCTCCGCAAAAACACCACTCCGATAACTCGGACTCTTCAGACCATGAACCCGAGGCGAAGAAATCTGCTAACGCTACTCTTATCCCCAGGTGTGAGCTATGTAAGCAGAGGAAGGTAAGCTTAGAAACGGCACTTTGTACTTGAAATCACGCTGCGCGCCAGAACCACCCAGTCAGCGCGGTAAGATATAACACCACTAACTCCGGCCGTAGGTGAAGTGTGATCGTGGTCAGCCATCATGCGGATGGTGCAAACGAAATTCAGTGCCGTGCGAGTACCGGGAAAGGAAGAAGCCAGGGCTGCGGGCGGGTTATGGTAGGGAATTGGAACAACGTCTCGACAAGCTTGAAGAAGTTCTCCGGTCACACTCGGAGATCTTACAGCACAACTTTATGAACAATGGGCCACATAATGTTGCGCCAAGCGTACGTACCAGCAACCCGAGCGTTCCCAGCGATTCAGGGACTCCTCGGGAGCACCACTCAGTATTTCGACAGAACGACCCTGTAAGGACACCGCGGGCAGAGACAGCCTTGTTCTTACAAAAGCCGTCCTCGTTCATGCCCGTCACGCAAAGCACCGACTTTGGATTGCCGCCACCCACACCCTCAATACACTCCATGCCCGACGCATTCCAGTCGCAGATGCCCATGTCCGGTATATCACCAACAAACCAGCTGCCCGCAATGCCGCCCAGTGCCGCGACGCAAGAATACTACGGCAACCAGCCCCTCCAGTCGCCCAGTGTGGGTGTTACACATGGGCACATGGCAGACCAGGACCTACCCCCATACGACCTGCTGTATGCTCTGGCGGATCTTTACTTCAAGCACATTAATACCTGGTGTCCCATTCTGCACAGAAAGACGACACTTGACACCTTATTTGGCAGCTCTACCTTGGACGAGACTGATCGAGTACTGTTACATGCCATTGTGGCCACCACCTTGAGATACTCTACAGACGCCAGATTGACCGAAGAGAGGAGGCGGCATTACCATGGCATCTCAAAACAACGGGTATTGCTATACGGAATGGAGAATTCATCTATCAAGGCCTTGCAAGCTCTTGTGATTCTTGCACTCGATCTCTGTGGAGATAGCAATGGGCCGCCGGGATGGAATATCATGGCGCTTATAACCCGATCAGTAGTCCAGATCGGCCTGGCTGTCGAGACTACATCGTTCTCTGTGTCGCCCAATTATGCTTCCATTTATACGCTCCGTGCGATGATCTTGCCGGAATCGAGGGATTTCATCGAGGACGAGTCCCGGCGAAGACTCTTCTGGATGGTTTATCTACTGGATCGATACGCAACGCTCGCCACTGCATTTGAGTTCGCGCTGGACGACAAGGAGATTGACAGGACTCTTCCCTGCAGAGACGATCTCTGGATGAAGAACCAGAGAGTAGAAACTAGGTGGTTCCAAGCAGAGGACCATCCTACTGATCTACCAGATCATGACATAGACAAGCCGGAAAACCTCGGCGCTTTCTCATATTATATCGAGATTCTCGGCATACTGTCCAAGGTTCACAAGTTCCTGAAGCAACCGGTGGATATCAGCGCCCTGAGTGACGTTGAACAATGGCAGATGAAGTATAAAGACCTTGACAACCTCCTTACCTCCTGGAAATTCGGTCTCCCCGGAGAATACGGCAATATGGCCAAACTCTTTCAACCAGGATGTGGTAAAACGATGAACTGTGGATGGATCATGCTTCACGCAACTTACCATACCGCAGTCATCAGATTACATTCTTCAGCCGCATACCCCACCACGCGATCGCCTATATTTACGCCGTCCTATTCCGCCAGCCAACGTTGTCACGGAGCCGTCGAGAACATCGCAGCACTCGGGGAGTTTGTTGTCCAAAACGGAATGCTTACCAAGCTTGGCCCGCCTTTTGCATTCACCCTCTGGGTTGCGGCACGTTTGTTACTCGTGCATGGGTCCACGGTTGAGCATAAACTGTCACCTCAAATCGCTTTCCTCGTGGAAACTTTGAGGGATATGGGACGATACTGGCCAGTTGCCGCGAGGTACTGTCAACTTCTGCAGCGTGTGCTCGACGAGCATAGCGACAGCGAGCGAGCTGTTGGCACGACGGGAGAGAGGGTCACGCCGTCATCGGTCAGGATACTGGCAGATATGCGAAGAACGGCATTTGATCTTGATTTTTTAATCAGTCGGCAACCTGGCCATCTTGCTGGAGGGCCTAGTCGGATGCCTAGTGTGACTCCGGCCAGAACGCCTGCCCCCCAGGAGCTTGAGTACTTGGATGTCTTCGATTTTTTCAACGTCCCACGTTTGCCTTTCAACAGTGGTGAGAACCTACAACAGAACGGAAACAGCAACGAAATGAGCGTTGATCAGCATGGCCCAAATGGCGGGAACCCAAACGGCCCTGCGAATGAGTTCAACATTACGAACTTCATGGTCGATGCGAATAGCGATTGGCTGTTCAAGCAGCCTGCACTTAGTAACTAACTCTGCGATGACTTCACGAAACTTTGAAGCATTTACGGATAAGCGATGTGGTTGAATTAGGAAGGCGTTGTTTTAAAAAGGGGATTACGTTATACCCTCGTTCTAATGCAATCATGAATTTCTGCACAAGATACCAAAGACATTACTATCGCTGAAAGCAATATTGCTTCTGACTACTAGGCCATATTCACAGCCTTCATCACACGTGTGATATCTGCTTGCCCAGTGACATGCGGCCCCGCCATACTAGCCATCATCTACTACGATATATATCTGCTTAATCAACGCAAACCACGGACTAAAGCGTCGATCAATGCCAGAGTCTCAGGCTATCCCGATACGGAACCTTCCCAGGATCTCCTCCGGCTGGTTTCACCAAAAATGGGGCATGCCGATGGCAACATTCCAGGATGATGCCTATTTGGGTTTTGAGTGTACTATGTAGGCTCTGGAACGCAGACCCCATATTCACATATTACCGGAAGGGTAGCCGGTCCTCGGGTCGCGCTCAGCTATTGCTGGGGCGGTACCTCGTATTTCGTTCCCACGTCAAAAACGAAGCGGATATTCGAAGAAGGCATCCCTATTAAGAGTTTCCCGCCAGCGTAAAACCAAGACAAGAAGAAAGAAAAAAAAAGGAAAGAGGAAAAGAAAACGCCCGAAAGCTGAAAGCCCGTCATGGAGTTTGGATCGCTCTTGGAATTGACTTGAACGAGTATATCCATCGGGATTCGCTCGGTGCTGATCACAAGAAGCCACCCACTAGAGGTATCGACTGCAAGAGGGTTGGTCGCGTATCAGATACGGATGGGTTTTGGCGCGTTCATGGAGCTACACTAATTTCCCAAGCACTACGCACACCACTTCCTCAGGGGTCGACGTCAAGGCTGTCGAGGATGAGACGGCGAATTCCCAAAATATCAGTCCCAAAAGACCAGCTAATTTCAAGCGCGTGACCAGTACTGAGTTGAGTATCGGACATGGGCTACACTCGAATCAGTAGTTGGTGGCTCGGTATCTTATGACTGGGTTTTCTCACGTCGAAATTATCTTCTCGGTCGAGTCAGTTCGAAATCAAGCCTAACAGAAGGAAGTAGATAAAACAGAGTATACCAAGATCGGGTGACTGAAAGCTAGACGGCGAAGCATGTCTCAGAGGACAAAGGTGAGCTGTCTGATGTGAGTCCGGAGGAAAATGGTGGTATGAGGAAGGCTTGCTGATCAGTGCACTGTTGTCTGAACGAACGCATGGGATATTTGACTTCGATGAAGCTCACATTCGCGTCATGTCACGACGAGAAACGAAAGCTCTCCACAGGTCTTGGCTACTTCTGCTCCATCCCGAGCGGCTACTTGGTCTTACATGGTGAATAAACATTGCGAGTTGCTAAATGCAATTTCCGGGACTCCATCGAACCCATCTACAATAGGGTTGGACACTGAGGGGACCCGCTTCCACGCAACAACGTATAGGCCGCCAGGGTATGGCTAGACATTGGCTTGTAGTTTGCGTGACGGTTTGCAAACAGAGATATTTACCGTAACGCTCAAGGCATTAGCTCTACGAGAATCCAGGCACCTGGTGCGTCCCTGCGGGTTACCAGGGCTCCTATGGCATTTTCTCGTGTTAGCCTACAGAAATAGCCTCGCAGCAAACACAAGCTTATCCCTCTAGGAAACTTGCTCAATCGATGCAATCCAAACATCTCAAAAATGGCCTGATTATCTGTCCAATATTGGTCGATCCATACAGTGCAGGGCGAGTGAATTGTCCATGCACATGTAGTAACAGCCCGTGTAAGCGACCGTTTACTTGGCATGAACCACGCTGGGGATCCTCAAATCAGTAGACTAACCTTAGTCCATTCCCAATGTTCTGGGTCGCACTCTAACCTTATATGAGAGGCTTCAAAGCCCAAAGTCGTTACCGCTGTAGGGCTTGATGCTAAATGGTCTTATCATTAGGTGGTCTGACCCGAGGTGAGATTTGGGGGTTTTTTTTTATGTGCTCAAACCCGCGCATGCAGCCGGTGTGTGTATGTCTGTGTCTTATCACCCCTAGCTGCAACCAGCCTCCATTACCCAGCTTCCCGGTAAGAACCCGAGACCTGTAGCCTCAAACTGTGAAAATCGGATAGCACCGGTGTCGTGAGAGGGTTTTCGGGTGTGGTGAGCCTCTTGTATCTTCCTTGGCGAGCAACAAGTGGACTGACTGAATGCGTGAAGTTGGCAACAGCTCGCTCTCACAGCAACTGCTCAAACCCAGCTGGAGCCCTTTTTTTTTTTTTTTGTTGTAGCCGCCTTCAGACTCTTTGATAAAGAGCTTGAAACGCACACCACCAACCAAGCATTTGCATCACAAGTTATTTGTTTACTCAAGTCCCAAACAAATATCGAGAGAGAGCAAATCAAATATGGACATGGGAACCATGAGCATGGACATGAGCGGCACCTCGACCACGATGGACATGTCCGCAACGTCAACTGCTGCATCCGCAGCCGCGGCGACGACTTCGGCCATGTCCATGAGTATGGGCGATGGAAGCTCATGCAAGATTTCGGTACGTACCTCTCTCATCATATCTACACCTAGGACAATTCACGTCGGCCATCTTCCACTGGGGCCAGAAGCAGTATGAAGCTGACCGGTCGATGCAAAAAAAAATGCAGATGCTATGGAACTGGTACACAATCGACTCGTGTTTCATCGCCTCCTCCTGGCATAACACCTCGTCGGGCATGTTCGCCGGGTCCTGCATCGGCGTCATCCTTCTCGTCATGTCCCTCGAGTTCCTGCGCCGCGCCGTCAAGGAATACGACACCTACCTGATCCGCACAAACCGTGTCAAGACGAACCCGACTGCCTCGGATGGCAGTTCTGGTGACGGGAAGACAGCGTTCACCGACAACACTGGAGTCCGTCCCAATGTGTTGCAGCAGGCTGTCCGGGCTTTCCTGCACACGGTGCAGTTTGCTGTTGCCTATTTTGTCATGCTGTAAGTATGGGATGCTTCGGACTGCGCACAAGTCCATTCGAACCGTGGGATGCTGACGACAAGATTACAGCCTCGCAATGTACTACAACGGCTACATCATCATCTGCATCTTCATTGGTGCCTTCCTAGGTGCTTTCGTGTTCCAGTGGGAAATTCTTGGAAAGTAAGTTGCACAATACGGGTTAGGGTGATTTTATCTGCGCATATGAGCTAACAAGACATCCCTCGCTTCTCAGGGCATCGTCGACGAGTGCCACTAAGGAAGCTACAGTTTGCTGTGGTTGAATACTGGGTAATCCATTTGTATTGTAAGCGGCCCAGAACGACTGAAACCGGCAGGCGGACGGGGCATGTATCCGAATACGAAGCAGAGTTAAGAGTGGAAAAGCAAAAACCAAGTCCCATACAACAGGACGTACTTAATTAATCATGGCTCAAAAATTACATAGGCCCGTAGTCAAACGGAACGCTCAAGCTCAAATACAATATGCTTGTAAACTCAACTGGGTATCTATTGATGCGCCGATAATGCAATGTCGTGTTTGCTCCAGATGCCATAACCCGAAACGTGTCTCGGGATACCACATCCACGTATTTATGATTCAACGAAAGTCCAATCCACACTTCAGAAAACGGAACATCTCCAGGCAACGAGGGGAGGAAACCTCATGCCCGTAGTTTGACTGCGGTATACCTGCCAGCTACTAATGGAGCTGTGTTGGATTGGGAATAAAAGCTCTGCGGGCCGAGCTTTCTCAGTCGTTTCCTCATCGTCTGCTGCATACTTATACTGGGTATGCCCCACGTGTGGACGAATAATCCACGAAAAAGAAGTCTTCGGGAGCTAATATCTGCTCGGGACTCAAGGTCAGGTTGGCGATGGACTGTGAAGTTGGCACGGCTGCAGCATCTATCTCAGACAGGCTTTGATATGGCGTGCCAAAGTCCTCGTAAGCGTTCTGGGCAGAGCGGATGTATTCCTGCGTCGCGGCATTGAAGGGATGGGCTATGCAGCCAATACATTCACAACCCGGACCACAATTGCACTCGTGGATAGTACCCAAGCCAGTCGTATCACTAGCGCAGCCGCCCATTGGTACTGTGATGGCTGTGACGGGTGGTTGTCTGGGATACTCTGGAGGCGGTGCCACGTTCATGGGTGGCGGTTGCTGTACGACGTATACAGGACCTCCTGTGCCTGCAAACCCCACCGGCTGTGCTAAAGCACCAAATGGCAGGTAGATCAGCATGGCGGGTTGATTATGGCCACAGTTTGTGCATGCTGGAGGATGCGCTGTGATTGGTTGCATAGACATTTGTGACACCGGGCTCTGTACCATGACTGGAAAGGGGTTTCGGTTGGCCGTATCTGGTATTGTTTGTGGGATTGCCCCGTTCCGCGAGGATGTATTTTGTCTACGATATGGTTAGATGGCCATTTGGTTAAGGAACCGAGGACGTGTATGATTGACATGGTCTTACCTGTCCATTCTCAATCTTGGCGTCGTCCTTGACTTTGAACTCGACCGGGAGTGACCGGCGTAGGAGGAAGCACTGGACTCAGGCGAGGTAGTACCAGGACTGGGGGCAAATTGCGTAGTGCTACCTGACCGCGTCGAGCAGCAGCTTGATCGAGCCGGAACTTCATCATTTGTACTAGAGGAGCTTGTGTCTTCGCCAGACGTCCTTCCCTCAGCCTCATCGTCTGAGTCGCTCTTCTTGGGTCCTGGAAGCATTGAGTGCGCTGGTTGTGAGGGCTGAGTAGTTTGTATCGTTTGGTTCACCAACGGAGGCTGTGGCGTCTGAGGGGAGGAACCCGCAAAGCCCTGGAATGGATAGCCAATCGGGGCTTGGTTCAGAGAAGTGAAGTTCAAGTTCCAGGTTGTGTTCCATTGAGGTGCACCAGTGCCATTTAACGGCGTCAGCGGCGTTTGAGTCGCTGGGTTGGGGACGGGAGCGGGCGCCGGCACCATTGGGATGGATACGGTTGAGCCTAGGGGGATGTTTGCTGGTGAGGCGGCATGAACCTGGGCCTTGGGCTGACAACATGATGATACCTCACTCGGTTGCTCTTTAACAGGCGTCGCACTTCCGGGACGGGAGGCTTCGGCAGAGGTCTGAGTGATTGAGGTTTTCGGGGCTGCAGACTTGTCGCCAGCGCACTCGCATTTCCTCTTGCGAGGGATAGCAACAGTGAGGTCTCTGCATTCACAGTTGCTGCCACGCGGATGGGGGCATTCATTCAGCGGCCTGCCAGGTTTGCGAACAGGAACCATGACACGCTCACTGGCGTGGTTGCATGTTGTTGATCGGTGGCCCCGAATGCATGGCTCACTACATTTTGAGTTAGCAACTTGAACGAACGGGTTGAGACGCGGGCATCGAGGCAGAATGCGGTGGTTGCTGAGAAGATTTGCGCAAATCGGTGGAGATAGACAAGCCAGAGAGAGATAGAGACAGAATAAGAGAGGGAGAGGGGGGGAGAGAGAGAGGCACGCACCAGGCCATCTTTTGCCCATTGATCAGCGGCATGGCGGTCAGCAGACTTCCAAGAGTCTAAAGAGAAGGCTGCGACCAGTTATTCAGTACAATAAGATGCAAAATAAGCGTTTGTTCTCAATTCAAAGAAAATATTGCTTTGCTTTGCTTTTTGGGGGGGTTGACTCGTTGGCCTGTCGTTGTCTGATTCCCATCGGCCGAGACTGATATTCGATGTCGATGTCGATGTCGATTTCGAGATGGGATTCCGACAAGCACGGACAGAATTTGTTTTACGTTAGAGTTGTGGTACCAACAGGAAAGTGCAGTTCCAGTTCCAGTTCCAGTTCCAGTTCCAGTTGCAGTTGCAGTTGAAATCACTGTGACTCTTAGGTTTTGGTACCGTTGGCCACTGCCACTGCACACACCAAGGATTCAGATGATCCGCACCGGTTGGATCTGGGGAAAGAACAAGTCAAGAAAGTATTCTAAACACTGTGCATGCCCGCGCGTACCTCAGCAATGAAAGTTTGGCGGTTGCAAGTTGAGGTGAGAATGGGCAGGCCTGGCAGTGAGCGGCGATAGGGCCTGTGCTGTCGCATGCCAATGGAGTCCCGTCGACTCTTTTCTGGACTGGCTGGCCTCGTTTTGCTCCTGTTGGTGAAACTAACTGCTGTAGCCACTAAAAGTCCGACTGGAGGTCAGAGAGCGGTCCGTCACTTGGTTTATTCTCCGATGCCATCGGCTCGAACCACCGCTGAACGAAATTCTTTGCTTAACTTGGTAAAGATTAGCTGCGCCGGATAGAGATGGACAAAAGGGCCGTCGAGTTGCTAACTTCCAATTGTTTTGTTACGAAAATCATAGCACGACCTAAGGTTAGAGGGGGAGGGGTCCGGGTCCGGGTCTCGTTGAGATGGTGCAGAGAGGCGCATAATTGTTCTGTAGACTTTTACGTTTGCGCGTTCGCGGGAAAGAGGGGCCTAACTCCTTACCTCCTAACCCAGGCGTGTACAAGTACCAAGTAGCAGCGACCGGCGCCTGTAGGGTATCACCTCTAACTGTCTAGCTCGGCCTAGCAAAGATGCTCGTGACATGGTTCAACCCAGGGCCGGGGTTCAAGGTAGGGAGACACATCGTCTTTGAAGCAATCTGATCATAAAAGATGCATGGTCAGTGGCTGGCGCCTCAATTCATGCTGACCCTGAGCATCCAATCCATGCTGATATCTGCTGTGCCAGGTGAGACGCCAATCGGGCGTCGGCCTTGAGAGAATATGAGCAAGTTTATTTCAACGCCGCCAAGCCCCACACTATGCAGCTCCCAAGACTTGGCACTATACCTTCCGCATCCGTGGTCCTGGTAAGTGATTCAGTTTAGAAATTTGGCATTTTTTACATTCTTCGACACTTTGCTTTGTTTTAAAATTCCACATCTTCCAACAACTTTAAAAGCAGCCGGTCTCTCTCGTTCGCTTCTCGTGCTTACCGGCCAGGCCAGTGCCAGGCCTCGCATTGTGCTGTGTGCTTGTCGACATGGCGTCAAGATGTACTCCATAAACAAGTAACGAGAAGCCGCTTTTCCTGAAGCACCTCCATTCACCTGCAGCATCCATGGTGGAATGGAGTGAGGAGCCCGACGAGCCCCGCGCTGGTAGACGCATGCAGCCGCAGTACTAGAGCCGACAACATCCATACCTCGTTCACGAGAGCACCGCCAATAACCCGACGCGAATCATACCCGAGCCCCAATTCGACCTGAGCTATACATGACCCATCTGCGTCATAAGAGCGTCTGACTCGGTCCTGGTTTTCGACAGAAGGCAACTGCTTGGTCATGTGGAGGGCTCAGCCTGCACGCGCTATAACATCTTATTTGAGCACTATAATTACCTCACTATCTTGTTCAAGCACGTTGCCGACATTATACAGGTAATGTTTCAGAAAACATGTTTCTCCAGCTCGCTCAGTGATTCAGCCTGGGCCATGCACGACGCCTCTGCCGCCTGTCGTTATGGCCACTCAGCCAGAAAGAGACTATGAAAAATCAACACGCCTCACCCAGAGGACATCGCAGAAATATCTCAATCAAGCCTCAAAAACTCGTCATCAACGCTATGCCTTGTGAGCTATCAATCGTTACTGATTGCTCTGTGGGCAGATTCATTCCTATGCTGTTCATGTTCGTTCGGGCGCTCTCCACTTACTGTCATGTCAGAAACTCCAAAATCGTCATGATCGAGGCCAGAACTCTCAAATTCGGCCCAGCCAACAGGACGCTTATCGTACGCGCTCCTCGTAACAAAATCCGATGAGAACCTGTTGGCTGCTATTATCAACCTGTAATGCTCCACTCTTCTCATATTAGACACACCATGATAAAGCGGGATGCTACAATCTATCCGGACAGAGGGCTTTAACCAGTCTTCAAAATCGTCCTTTATTGTATGGTATACAATTCGTTCTCGAAGACTTCCGTGCAAGCCATCTATAAATAAGTGCTTCCCTATATCACTTACGGTGGCATGGCCTTTGCACAAGCAGCGGTTTTCAAGTAGAATAGATTATGCTGTAGGATCTAGGAAGCTGTCATTGTAAGGTTGGTAATGGTGAATTTGCTATCAAACGCAAGGAACTATTCTTCATATTAATTGTGATTGGCCGCGACCTCATCTCAGTGATAATGGCCAATCGTCCGATTGCAAGCTCCTGGACTGTATTTTGTACATTGTGTACTGGCACACTTGATGAGTTGTTTTGCGGGCGTTTGGGGCTTAAAGTCTGTCTATGCCCAGCATGCGCTGCCGCATTAGGATGAGGATTACTGGAGTGGCCAGTCACGACATGCCACCTGAGCGAGATGAAACTAGAATCATCGCGGCGATGCTTTCACCCTCAAAACTGCTCAGACAGCAGTGCTTCCGGTAGGGATCTCACTGGAGGACTTTCCGAGTATGTGAAATGTGAATCGCGGATAGCCTGACGCGTTCAAAGTCACGCGTGAACTTGTTAGTCTCGGGGCTGACTTGCCAATGCAGTAGAATTCGCTCATTCCCGCTCACGTATGTTGATGACCACATCCTTAACACGAGGCCCTTCTCATAGCGGTAGATGCGATGTAAATCATTGCAATTCGTCGAGTGCCATCTGGATCCCGGAAGGTTCTGATAGTGGAGCCCTTGAATATGGTATGTATAGCTAAATGACCGTCTGATGTCGGGGATATAATAGTGGCAGCTCAAAGTTCTATGGCACCACCCGAAAGACGAGCGACAGCCACTAACGTATATGTTCGCATTCTTGTATTTGCCTCCGCAGATATCTCAATACCAGTCGATTTCTGGCTTCTTTCATTTACGCATTGCCCACGCATTGTCATCATCCAGAATGGTCAAAAATTTGAACACTCATCAATTTTTCAAAGCTCTGTCGCTCACTATAGAGGTTGTATTGATGCTTGTCATGGTAACTCTGTTCTGTTGTGCCTACTCAGACCATTACCGAACGTCACTGTGGGAGGCTGGCGGAGAAAAAGGTTGGAATTCTAACCCAAGGTTACGGATATATTATTACGCAAATCATCGTGAGCCCCCTGAAATACCTCTTATATGGAATCAAAGGTACGGGCTGCTAGGTTTAGCATTGAGACGCTCGGTGTGAGGGCATATCCTTTGCTAACGGTTGGGTAGTCTGACGACTTCGAACTTGAGCATAGCCCTTGTGACAGCTGGCGTCTGCCTTACCAGACTTGTTCTTATATTCTTCGAGTTGTATTGGGTAATCATCGAGACCTTCTACGATATGCTTCTTACGGCGCTCTGGTGCTATAGTGTCTCCGCCCAGTCATCTGCTGACCTGACCGATTCGAAACACCCAAGCTACTACCCTTGGTACCTACAACGTCGATGTTGCGAGGTCAACAAGCAGTATTTTCAGGCATGTACTATCGCCAGGGTGTCGTTTTGGCTTTCAGTTGTCCTGATGTGAGTGTTGCATGTACTCTGCTCGCGCTCTAGCGGACCACCAAACTAATGAGGATTGGGCACAGGATATTCTATGCAAGTCGATTTGCGGTTGCCATTTTCCGTCTGGCGTACTGGTGTGGTGAGCACAGACTAGCCGATATCTGTGTTGAGAAACTCCATGATTGCGTTCTACGGTATCGTAAGGCAAAGAAATACGACCCGATTCCACAGGACGCGGAGGAAACAAGTTTGATGAGAGAACTAGGCCGCGAATCATGCGACTTGCTATGATTCTCCGTCAACATCAGTACTATATGGCGTAGGGGAGATGTTTTTTTTTTCTTTTTTTCTTACCTCCAAAGCTTGCAGGGTTCTCATTCACGAGGTGGGGTAGAACCATTGTTTCTTTCAATGACACACTGGATTGTCTTCATCGTTTATAGTTGCGATACTTGTTCATAATAGAGTTGGAATGAGGACTATATTATACGAATCTCTATGAGCTCGAAACCTATCAGCGTAACATTAGCATGTTCTGAGACAAGGCCTGCATGTTCTCTCTATTTAATTTCACAATTACGCCAGAGCTGATCTCATTACTCAGTACCGCCTTCCATGTGTCATGTTGCCGTAAAGTTTGCACTTGTAGTGCCTGGAATGAATGGCGAGGATTTCCTAAGCAGACCTGACCATGGCGATGTACGGATCCCCCTTCTGGAGCCTTCCAAAGAGAAAAGACAGCCCCCGGAATATGAAGTTGCTCAAGACGCCAAGATAACAAATAATTTCACGGCATGCTCGACTGATGGTGGGCACATTGAAAGCCATGGTGGAAGGAGTTCAGACTCAGGGGCAATTTAGAGTCTCGCGTAAGTCCTGAAGACTTGCATGAGTCTCTTGGCAACCATGTCCCAGGCGAATGACTTATGGACGACGAAAACAATTCCTTGTCTGCGAGTCCAGCTGTGCTCAAGATATTGAATAATCGGCTAGGTACAATGGGTTGTGAACACACAGAAGCATCGATGAATCCGCAGGGCATGTGTATGGACGGAGGCACTGGAAGTGGCTGACCTGAGCAACGCCTGGCCTATTTTGAGGAAGGAAGGTAGACGGACACGAAACAAACAGCTCAGCGCTAGAGGGCCAGTAGCTTGAAATCATAGATATTTAATTAATCGCTGGCAAGTACTAGTCTTCCATGATTTCTGTTCGAACCACCGGAGAGCTTTGTTGGATGCCGTATTGTCGAATCGCTTCGTCATATTTGCGAACTCAATTCTTCTGATTACTTCTTCTCCCAAGTCAGTTCTTCCGGCGTCTCCTTGTTCAGCGGCTTACGCGGCGACGTTTCCTGCGGCCTCAATTAGTCCTTCACGAATAGCTCTATCAAAGGCTGCGAGCCTCAAGTCGCTCATCTCCATCCTCTTTTGAGCCGCCCGACCGGAGATTGCAAGGCGCATTGAATGCTGATCTTTGTTCCTGCCATAAATTGCAGTTTTTTCGCTGACCAGTTTATACCACACCGGCCATTGAGCCTGGAATTCCGAGCTGGCTTGGTAGATATCCTCGTGCGCACGTGTGAGCCAGCCAGTTACGGCGTAGAAGGTCACATCTTCCTGGACAGGAAGCGGCCCAAAATATGCATCAAAGGCTTTGGCTGCCGGCATCAGACTCTCTAGGAATTTCCTCGTGTATAACATGATCGTGAAGTCGTGAAAATTGCCAAACGCAGACATTTCCCGCCGTGTACTGTCAGGAGTCGGATCTCCTACGAGCCTTGGATATGCTTCATCATCTGTAGTAGATTAGCCCGGGCTAGATAGGTAGTCCTTGAACGAGTACCTACTCAAGCAGATGGCATCAACTTCCTGGTCTATGAGTTCAACACTGATTGCATGTACCTCATTCACCAGATAGCCTATGAGATCCACAAGCCTTTTCAATTTGCTGCCAATCGTACCGCCTTCATTATTTTCACAGCACATCACAAGCTCTACGATGATATACCTCAGTATCGCAGCATGATATGTTTGCAAGCGGTCTGCACTCTTTAGTTTGAGCCTTGATAGGATGGTCTGACACTTCCTACCTCGAGTCATAGTCTGGGAGTGTTGAACCAGTCCATGTTTGACTTCTGCTTCATACGGTCGTGAAAGGGCAACCCAATTATAGAGGTCAGCGACGAGATCTTCAAAATCATGAAGCTCGCTGGGATGAAGTTTTTGGGCGGACCAGTCTGTTGTCCAGCGGGCATTCTCTGCAGCACCGGCCATTTCGATGGATGGGTTTCTCGTCTCTGAATAGAAAATCGCAACGGTGAAGATTATAACGAAGTAATAATAACGAGCAAAGAGCTTCTGTGCTGTGCCTGACCACTAGGCAATGCCTCATGAGGGTTTATTACGTGGGGTAATGGACGAAGTCATGCTCTCTATCTAAGGCCTAAGATTGCAGTGAAATAGTTTTCCTGAGCGCTTCAACGTCACACAGCATCGTGCAAACATGAAACACGCGTGAATCACAGCACTATTCTGATGATCGCAGGACATCAGAATCACCATATGGGTGATAGTCGCACTGTCTGTTGGGAATCAGAAGTATTTGTGCTTTGGTCAGTTGAAACTGGTGTTGCCTTCAGCGACTCTTCGTCGTTCCGCGCAAAGAAAGTCCCCGTCGCTTGACAATCGGCTGATGCTAAGACATCGATGTCGATTCATCGGACACCTTTCTTTTTTCTTTTCCTTTCTTTGGCATCGACAATAGTATTTGTGTGACGGCTACAAAGGCCTACGAGGCCTGCAGGGCAACATTTTGACGCTATTGCGAGTCGTGTAACGCCAAAACCCCATGCTTCAGTGAAGCATGCTGTGGCGGGTATTCAACCCTCAAAACGGCAGCAACGCGAAGCTGAATATGATCAGTCGCCCGGCACTAAGTCAGCGATATATCCACTAACAAAATTGCCATTATTCAATAACAGCCGGCAATCGTCAATTCGGGGCCGGCAAGCCCCTGATTGCATATAATTATCGCTATCGGCCTGAGTTATGCTGGGCTTATGCACCATTGCCCCACCAAGACCTGGAAGTTCCGAATCACGACATCGCGACCTTCGCTTGCGATAAGCAATCTAGAGCTCACTCGGCCGCCCCAGACACATCTCATTACCCAAACGTAGTCGCAATCCTCGTCAGCTCAAGCACAATAGCTCACCATGCCGAGGTAGTACGTATGATATCTGCTGTCCGACGCCGGGTACCTCCGTGTTCTAGTGATTGCTGGCCCTCTTCAGTATTGATATAAGGTTTGTGGTGCCACCGCCGCCCGCCCTTTTAGAATGGACGTGGACGAAGAGTCAAGGCCAACGCAGCCGCTCCTCGCCATGGACCCCAAAGATCAGATTTCAAGCCATTACGGCGCCGTTGCGCCTGGGCGTGATGTCGAGACCGGATCAGCATCGAACAAGATCGGCGACGATCATGACGGAGACCTCGTGACATCGAATGAGAACCGCGATCTCAAACGTGGCCTGCAGCAACGCCACCTGTCTATGTTGGGTATCGCGGGTGCTATTGGAACTGGCCTTTTCCTTGGTCTCGGCAGCGCAGTCGCGACTGCCGGTCCTCTGGGTGCGCTGCTTGCATATGCCACTATTGGCTTACTCGTTTGTGCGGTGCAATTCGCTCTGGGAGAAGTGGCCGCCCTTCTGCCCGTCACTGGTGCCTTCGTCCGACACGCCGAATTTCTAGTTGATCCTGCATTGGGATTCGCCATTGGTTGGAACTTGGTTTATGGAAACATCTTGTCTATACCCGCTGAGATCACCGCCATCTGCGTGCTTTTCGAATTCTGGTGGCCGGATATCAGCCCCGCCGTGTGGATCGTCGTCTTTATGGTCCTTACAGCCGCGATCGGATTTTCGTTCATTCGCGTCTTTGGAGAAATCGAGTTCACATTTGCCGTCATCAAGATCCTGCTTGTGATCTTTCTGATCATTCTCGGGTTGGTCATCAACCTCGGCGGTATACCCGGGACAGAGAGAATAGGCTTCAGATATTGGCAAGATCCAGGCCCATTCGTTGAGTTGCTACCGATTGCCTCCGGCAACTGGGGCAAATTCCTAGGTTTCTGGAGCGTCATGACGGGCGCTGTCTTCTCTTTTGCGGGTGTGGAGTCGCTGGCTATGGCGGCAGCTGAGGCTCGAAACCCGAAGCGTGCGATTCCTCGGGCTTGCAAGCGAGTGTTTGCACGTATTGTGATCTTCTACATCCTAGCAGTATTGATTGTTGGTATGCTGGTGGCAAGCAACGATGAGCGTCTTGGCGACGACTCTGGAACGGCTGCGCAGAGTCCTTTTGTCATTGCAGCTTCGGCAGCTGGTATCTCTGCCATTCCGTCCGTTGTCAACGCCGTTGTTATCACTTCTGCGTGGTCTGCCTCCAACCAGGCCCTTTTGTCGGGAACTCGTGTGCTGTACGGTCTCGCACTAAAGGGCCAAGCACCCAAGATCTTCCTACGGACCACCTCGTGGGGTGTACCATATGTTTGTGTTTCATTGTTCTGCGTGTTCATGTGCTTGAGTTTCATGAGTTTGAGCAATGACGCATACACTGTGTTCTGGTGGTTGGTGGATTTGACTGCGGCCGGCGTGTTGATCAGCTGGTCTACAATCCTCTTGAACCATTTGAGACTCAAGTTGGCACTGAAGAAGCAAGGGATTGATGCAAGCAGGTTGCCATGGAACAACTCTTGGACTTGTAGGTTTCCGATATCGGTATGATGAAGTTGAAAGATGCTAACAGCTTGCAGTCTACAGTTCCGCTGTCGCGTTACCCTTTTGCATCTTGGTGCTCCTGACCGGCGGCTTTACGGTTTTCTGTGAGGGGCAATGGGATGCGGCCAGCTTCGTCTCGTCCTATTTGTAAGTGTTTCATGATTTACTTAGACGTGAGCGCCATACTAATACTCTTCTTATTCAGGGACATCCCGCTCGTGCTCGGCGCGTATCTTATCTGGAAGTTTACCAAGAAGACCAAGGTCGTGTCTCTCAAGAGCATACCATTGGATGATGCTCTTCTACAGGCAGACCAGTGCCCCGACGAACCGGAGGAGAAGGCCAAAGGTTTGGTGAAGCTTGTTAGCTGGATATGGGATTAAACCATGGCCGATAGACAAAAGAGATGACAGAAATGCTAGAATTTCAACAATTCATAAGATATCACGTTAAGATACCATTTGGTCTTTGATAGTTTCGCACGGCCTTCGCCGTCTCAGACCATCCATTTTGTTGTGGCATGAACGATGACGGGTTTTGTTCTAAATTGGAAAGCGGTGATACTATGCTGAGCATAACGATAGCAACTCCTTGTAGCATTGATATTTGTGACAGGTTGATCGAAATGAGGATAAGCTGCAAACACCAACTAGACTACCGTAAAGCATTACTTTTGAGTGCCCCCAGAGGTTGGGGGCGAATCAGAGTGTTAATGCTACATGCACGTATTTTCCACGGACCAGATAGATTCTCCAGAAACTGCTGTTCCTAACTACCTATTGTTGTATGTCTCGTCTGGTTTATTCTGCCGCACGTCCTCTGATCAAGAACAGAGAGCAAGTACAGTGCGGATCCGTACTACTACTGTTGTATGTATTTGGGGCTTTGGGCATTCCACCTCTAACCTAGTCTAGACTAGTACGAATCCGTGTGCATACAGTAGTAGATGGACAGGTCCAACTGTATTTCTCTCTTCAAAAGCGAGAGAAGTGGTCAATGCGCTCTCAAGCCCTCGCCCTCTCGCTCCAAGGGCTTAGCTCGCCTATTTGGGGTTAGAGTCCACAAAATCTGGTTCTTGTCTGGCAACTGCGAGGCGGCCAAATTTGCAAACCTGCAAACGGCGGCAGTCACGGGTTTTGGCTTAGGTCTGGCTTTTGGCTCTCTCCTCTGAAGCGACTTCACCAATTTCGAGCCCCTCTCGATTTTTTGTCTCCTCCATCCAGCGACAATACTAACCGACCATCACCACAGCAGTCATCGAGAGTCAAGATGTGAGTAAATCACCCAGAGTCCATCTCCCTGACATCCAACACCGAATTCCACGACTTTTCCGACCTTTTCGAGATGCACCTCCAGCAATTCAATCGTCTGGGAGACGGGGTAGTCCGACCGAAGTTTTGGTTTTGCTTTGCTACGAGGTGGCAATCGCCAGGTCTCGTCATAGATAATAATTCGACACCAAGAAACAAATCGTCTGCAAACAAGAACGCATCCCGACCGATTGATGCAATCCCCCATTACATGATGCATTCATCCTTTGTCTTGAATGAAATCGAGAACAGTGCGGGACCCATGGGCTGATATCGTGCTTCTCTCTATAGGGTCAACTTGCGAACTCAGAAGCGCCTGGCCGCCTCGGTCATTGGCTGCGGCAAGAACAAGATCTGGCTCGACCCCAACGAGGTCTCCGAGATCTCCAATGCCAACTCCCGCCAGACCATCCGCAAGTTGGTCAAGGATGGCCTGATCATCCAGAAGCCCGTCACCATGCACTCGAGATCCCGTGCCCGTGAGCTCAACCTCGCCCGCCGCGACGGTCGCCACCGAGGCTTCGGTAAGAGAAAGGGTACTGCCGATGCTCGTATGCCTTCCCAGGTCCTCTGGATGCGCCGCCTCCGTGTCCTCCGCCGCCTTCTCGTCAAGTACCGTGCCTCCGGAAAGATCGACAAGCACCTCTACCACGAGCTGTACCACTCCAGCAAGGGTAACACCTTCAAGCACAAGAGAGCTTTGGTCGAGCACGTATGTCATTCCCCACCCTCCCCCCAGTCTGCCGGCAAGGCCACATATGCCGTGTATGCGAATCGCCCATGCTGACTCAACTCTGTACCATAGATTCACCGTGCCAAGGCTGAGAAGGCTCGTGAGCAATCTCTCAGGAGCGAGATGGACGCCAAGCGTGCCAAGACCAAGGCTGCCCGTGAGCGCAAGCTGGAGAGAGTCGCCGCCAAGCGGGAAGCTCTGTTGGCTGGCACTGAGGAGGAGAAGTAAAGGGTAGATCACGAACAAACAAATATCATGTCATGGTCATCAATACATGGATCTACGGATACCCTAAGCGAGACGTAAAACGGTCTGGTATCTGAGGACGGCTGCATTCGGAGTCATATGGTTTGGGTCACCTGATTTTCCCTCTGATCAAGAGGTTCGCGGCAATCGATCGTACTTAATACGAATCAAGTCACGAGCTTTTTGCATGTAGCATGAGAAAACGTATGCATTTCACGCGCCCTTTTTGGTCGATGCTGTCGAATACATCATGTGATACACGTTGCCAATGAAACCCAGTTATAATTGCTTTTTCGGTACACAGCTTCAAGGGTGTCGAAGCTCACAAGTCTTGCTACAACTAGGAGTGACTCCGGGGACCCTAATAGAAGCATGGGGTTCAGGAATACGCAGGTATCAGTTCCTGCGTTGGAGCATCAAGGTCGCAAGCTGCATGACTGGCTCAAATCTCCTTTACCATTCCCTCGGCATCAACACAGCTCAGGGTGCAATCGAGTTTAACACCTTTCAAGGAGGCTCCATATTGTATCAGCTGCAGACAGCTAACAACCAATTATTCCCACCGTGAAACCTCTGTATCTCGCTACTTGTGTTATCTAGCGGAATGCCCAGCCAGGGAATAGTAACAACAGCCATGAGTTTTCGTGATTGATGCACTTGTTGACGATCACCTGTCTCAACGTTGACTGTTGGCCTTGTGGTAAGTGTCCCTAAACCATGCATTAGACACTCAAAGTTGCTTCAATCACATGTAGGCATTTACTTTTCTCAAATCACCACGACTAAGCTGCTGGAGCGCGATCTAGCGTACTCCCCCCTCCCCTGAGCATAAGAATATTGCCCGGACGTCGAGAAGCACGGTGCTTCCTTCGTCACATATCAGCTGCAACACATCATGCCCCGACGGTTCCCTGTATCTCGTAATGGCTGTCCACAGGCGTGCTGTTAATGAGCAACTAAACATGCACCCATGTCTTCTCGTTGTGCAGCACGAATCTCTCCGCTCGTCACAAGAAGATGTTGGAATTCACTCAATTGGTCGATGTTGAAGTTGAAGGATCGGAGCTCTACGCCGTTGTAGCTTGCGTCAAGATACTCAGATGGAGGCAACCGGAGGCAGCACGCTGGACTCCGAGCAATAAAATAAAAACAACCTGGTAAGAGTCTGCAATTACGAGACCAGCGCCCACAAGCACAACCAGGCTGTCAGGGAAACGCGGCTGATGTACTGGCGTAAACACGTATACAAGGTGTTTCACTTCGAAGATGAGTCGGAAAATATCACGGTTGTCAAGAACGTTGCGGGGATCCAAGACGTCGCAACAAAAAGCCCTCAGGATACTCGTGATTATACAACTGAGCACTCATACATTTCCAGTGGAGAGGAAGCCGGAACCGTTGCAATGACATGCCACCCGGACAGTGCGCTTTCTGTCTACCAGGCCTTCAACGTTGACGCGTATTGGAGCAAACCCCAACGAGGCTCGAAGCAGGCGCCTTCAGAGAAGAAGGGTTGATGGCACAAACACGATACCGGCCATATGATCATAGGAAGGCAATGTCGATCACGTGCAGTGCCTCCTGGTTCTTGTGACATCAGCGAAATGCTCGAATGGCCACGTTTTGTCTTAGGGAGGCGGCAGGCTTAGGTAGCCTGTTTTCGATCCATTTAATTTAGTGGTAAGCATGAACGTTCAAGCTGCGGCAGATGGAAAGGTGTCGCGATGTTTTCAACGGAGGATGGGTTTTTCATACCACCGGTGGGCATCTGGACAAACCCATGTGCGGCTTGTAGATGTATCCGTGCCGTTTTGAATTACTGATACTGGGGTTGAGAGCAGTCAGCTGGGGGGAGTGCGTTGCTTCGAGACCTTGCTGCGTGTCAGAATCAAGTGAAGTCGAGTAAGCAATGGTTTTCAATTTGCAAGATGTCGTCAGCTCAGTTTTACTCCCACTATCCTGTTGAGCTGTTTTACCGAGTTTCTTGGCAATGACGGTAGTTGAGATATTGGAAGAGCCCATTTGTCGGGGTCAGACCTCATAAGGATTCGCTTCGCTGATCCAATAGGATTCAGCCGAGTTCAAAATAGTACCTGCGCCGACCAAACTTGGTCAGCCGATCCTGGCTGCGGCACGTAATCCGGGTTCCTGAATATCTGTTCACAAAGCTGCAAGGCACTGGCACATATTGCTGGATTGGAGTATGATTGCCTACCGTCAACTTCCAGTCGCACAAACCCCGCGGAAATGTCGATGGACCCCCTCGATGCAAAGCTCTGGATGTGTGCGCGTCAATGACTGACAATGATAAGTTACGAAAAACTGGCGAGGTTGACAAGTCTAGTGGCGTAGCTTTTCGTTATTGTATGCGTGCGTCTATTTCGAATGTCACTCATAGCATCGTGGCGAGCAGAACGATAAACTCGACAGGTTCGTGGCTCAAGGAAGCATGAGCGCACCTTGATCATTGTCAATGAAAGCCTAAAAGGGAGTGGCTAAGCCCAGTTAGGCACGTGTGTCTCAGCTCGTCCTACGAAATTGTTCAGATTGGAGGGGCCTAGATCGGCAAATATGGCCCTCAGTGTGACGGGTAAGGCGTACAGCACAGTTCAGCTTGTTGGTTATAGTTTTGATTTGTCTCAGGTCAATCCCGGACTCGAGAAAGCCACTGCATATTAACGTGATATACGTGTCTGGTGAAGTGCACAAGTAGACGTGTGAGGTTGGTGATGTTGTCCGGGGCCGTGACTTGCATAGGCGCCTCACCATGCAAGCAATATAACGCCCAATCAGGGCTAGTGGCAGCAGAATAAGAATAGGTCTTGGCATTGAATCATTGTCGGGGGTCCGATCTGCCAGCATTGCGCCTCAATCCTGTTGATCCCACAGCAAGCCCACGATGTCACGGGAAGATCACTCAGGAACCCGTCAGGAACCAAAATTATCAACGCGTTGTGAACTTCACGTGCCAAGTTCGAAGGAGGCATTCCAGGAAGCCAGCAGGATCAACAATGATTACCAGAACCCGTGCATATCATCAATCTAGGCCTTGACCGAAAGATAAAGAACAAGTTAAGAGGATCATCTGGCTGATTTCAGTATCAGTAAGCTAGTCCCATGCTTGTTTCCCATGTGGCGTTGTTGCTATAGGACTAAGAATAACCAGCCCCCAACTGTCAACCACGCTCCTATAGAGAGAGCCGCGACTCGGCGAGCATTCATCAGCCCCCTTGAATCCGCCGATCCTATATTTAATGTTAGCTATAAGATGCCGCCTCTTCAACGTAGATCGTCATTACCCGATCATCCTTATACCAGCGTAATTCAGCGACAAAAATCTTGTCCGCTTGAGTCGAGCCGATTGTAACTTCAGTCCATCCATTATAAGCTGAGCTAGTTACAATTCGTTTCGGCCATGTTCATATCCCTTCTTACTGTCTCCTCTATATTTGCCGTTGCGGCTGCTTTCCCAGCTAGCGATGGAAGCAGTACCGTCGCACCTAGGGCCGGGAATTATATTGTACAGAAAGAAATTAGCGGTACCTGTTGGTATCCGCCCGGGAGCACATCGAATTGCCCAACCAAGTCGCAACTGATCACTGGCGATGTTGACAACGGCGAGCGCACAGGAATAATTCTGCAAAACTTGGACTTTTCCCCGAGGAGCTTCTTCGTGTACAAGAACAGCTGCGAATGCATGCCAGTAAAGTACATTACGATTGGGGCGGGACTCAAACGCTTCGTCGCCTTCGACCCCGGCTTCCAGGGACGCATTGTGCGCGGGACAACCAATGCTAATCTCGACGGCAAATCACACGCCCTGGGCACGTGGATGGAGTTCTCATGGGACCTCGATGACGGCACGGGCTGGGCCGACGTCTCGTTGATCAAGGGCTGCGATGGTGCTGTCGACGTGGAGGCTCTGGATGACCTCGGGGCGAAGACAGGTTTTAGCGATAATGTTCTCGACGGTGCACCGCAAGAAGCCTATAAGCAAAAGTCCTCGTCGAAAGAACTAGTCATCATGGAGACCGAGAGCCTTACCAACGCTACTGTGATCAATACCGCGGCCAGGGATTGGCTTGCGGGCAAGCTAGGATACAAGAAAGCCTACGTTGATGACCATCATGGCAATCCTGACATTTGCTCGACAAACGGACGTTTCCTCATCAGATTCTGGCCAGGACGACCATGAGTAGCGGTGCATGATGACTGTTATGGCTTGATGAGACACGAATTTGGTCGGGGATGGCTTATACCGGCCTGACAACGCCTTATTCATTGTAGTTTTTAGCGCAGCGTTATCGATTGATCTATAGATGGGGTGGCCACCCAGAAACGGGGACGGGGACGGGGAGGCGTGGATGCAAGTGAAGTCATAATACTCACTTAAGGGATGTTTCTATTGTACATACTTAGGAAGAACTGCAAACACCGTGCAGAGTCAGGGAATCCGAAAAGAAATCCCCAGGTAAATACGCTAAACCAACAGCTTATATTCCATACCGGCCCAATTGTTGTACATTCTGGACGACGTGATGCCTCGAGGGAGGTGGATGAGAGCCCGCTATCCACATTCTGAGCAATTCACTTCCTCTGAGTCGGGTTTCCGGATATGTGCAGGTTTTTCTAATCGACTTGTCCTGTTTGTAAGTACTAACCCTAGCTGCCGCGCAGCGTTGGCTGGGCCATCATGACCTGTTGAAAGTCTTGAAGAACATGTGTCACGAAGAGACAAAGTCACATGCAGCTGAGGCTAATCATCAGCCAAGGGACTGGGAGCCCAGACCAAGGGTAACGTGCTGGAAAATTGGTTGACATCACGATGAGGCCCACTAACTAATCTGATCGCGGTCTAAGTAGTATGGGGTTAGTATGGGGATCTGTGGGGCGTATTAGGGATGAGTCCGCTTACGGACCTCGGCTCCCTTTCTCGAAGCCCGAGCTAGATACCGGGTAATGATGACTTCTTAAAGTCCTCATGTCCCAAACCCTCCTGCGTTCCAGCTTTCCCGGCAGGTTATTATATTCACAAATCTGATCCATTAACAAAATGCCTTCGAATCCAGAGTGGGTCAAGAAGCTGGTTCCGGCCGAGCCGCAGGGGGCCAGCCTCCTTGTCAAGGAACGCGAGGGAAGCAACCTCAACGTTGATCAGCTGGCCGATTATATGTTCACCAAGGAAACTCTTGAGTTGAGAGAGCGTATACTCAAGATTCTTGTTGCTGACCCCGTTTTTGACAAGTCGCAAAATTACTTCCAGGGTCGCGAGGATCGCATCAAGGCATCCCTTGCAAAGGCCAAGCGATTGCGCCAGTTGACTATCAAGCACAAATGGAGTCAGGACGAGCACTACTGTGCCAACGAGCTCTTGAGTGAGCCAACTCCCTATGGGCTTCATGCTAGCATGTTTCTTGTCACGCTTCGTGAGCAGGGTACCCCCGAGCAGCACAAGCTTTTCCTGGAGAAGGCTGAGGACTACAAAATTATCGGGTGCTACGCCCAGACAGAGCTTGGACATGGCTCCAATGTTAGGGGATTAGAGACTACTGCTACTTGGAACCAAAACGACAAGACCTTCACCCTGCACTCGCCACACCTCACGTCCTCGAAATGGTGGATAGGATCTCTGGGCAAAGCGGCGAACCACGCAGTCGTGATGGCTCAACTCATCATTGATGGCAAAAAATACGGCCCGCATCCATTTGTTGTCCAGATTAGAGATCTCAAGACTCATGAGCCACTAGAGAATATTCACGTTGGCGATATTGGTCCCAAGTTCGGATACAACACCATGGACAATGGCTTCCTCCTTCTCAATCATGTCAAGGTCCCACATATCAACATGCTTGCTAGATTCTCGCACATCGACCCCGAAACAGGGAAATACAAGCGCCCTGCGAACCCATCGTTGATCTATGGTACTTTGACCTACGTACGTAGCACCATTGTGCTTCAATCAGGTTCAACCCTGGCTCGTGGTGTCACGATTGCAACACGTTATTGTGCTGTCCGTCGCCAATTCCAGGATTTGGATGCCAAAGGCGAAGTGGGCGAGAACCAGGTATTGAATTATACCATGGTACAGGTTCGCCTTCTGCCTCTTCTGGCCGCAACATACGCTCTCCACTTCACAGGCCGTGGAATGCTGCAGCTCTACCAGGAGAACCAAAAACGAATGGCAGCCGGTCGCGACGCTGGCAAGCTAAGCGACGCAAACCGAAGCCCCGGCCCAGAGGAGCTCAACCCTGGCACTGATCTCTTGGCCGATCTGCACGCAACATCCTGTGCGCTCAAGGCTTACGGCAGCACTGTTGCTGGAGAGGGCCTAGAGGTGTGTCGCCGAGCCTGTGGTGGCCACGGTTACAGCTCCTTCTCGGGTATCGGTACATGGTATGCTGACTACCTACCGACTCTTACCTGGGAAGGCGACAACTACATGCTCACGCAGCAGGTGTGTCGATACCTCCTCAAATCCGCTCGTGCAGTCCTGTCCGGTAAGGGTACGGAGAACGACACCACACGCATCCTCAAGGCATATCTCGATCGCCGCGACACCGGCGCTGCTTTTGATGTGCTCGCTTCCGACACAGACCTTGTCGATGCATACGCATGGCGCGTCGCATACTTGACCTTTGAGGCACTGCAGCACCGTGACGTTGAAAAGCGCTCCTGGAACAGTCTGCTCGTTGACTTCCACCGCCTTAGCACGGCGCACGCACAGTACATGGTCGTCAAGTCTTTCCACGACGCTCTCGTGAACGATAGCGCCACGCAGAGCTCGCTCGATCGACAGACCGTGACCGTCCTGCACAAGCTCTTCCGTCTCTTCGCGCTGCACACGCTGGAGCGTGAGGCATCCGAGTTCTTCTCCAGCAGCGCCACCACGGTGCGACAGATCACACTTGCGCGGAAGGCCGTCATGAAGCTGCTCGAGGAGATCCGACCCCATGCTGTACGGCTAGTGGATGCATGGAAGTTCTCGGACTGGCAGCTTGACTCAAGTTTGGGTCGATATGACGGAAAGGTATACGAGGATATGTTCTACCGGGCCAGCGAGCTTAATCCCTTAAACAACGTGGTATTTGACCCGTATCCCGACAGTCCTGTCTTGTTCAAGAAGGATGAGAGAGTCAAGAGTAAGCTGTGAAAAGTACAGTGGCAACTGCGGCGCAACGTTTCCCACATAGACTAGATATGTACCTTTAGCAACGAATAGAATTCAGCGTTTTGCATTCTCGATCTGAGTTGTGGCCTCGTAACAATACGGTACGTACGAAGGTTTGAGGACATGAACTAACTTCAAGGTAGTATGCTTTCGTAAAAGAAGGTCTTGAGAGGTTTCCAGCCTACACATTAATTTGCTGAAGAAACCAGACCTCGGCACAATGTGACCGCGCGAACAAGTACATTCTGACCGCCGTTGCATCTGCTACAGGGCAGGTCGGGTATTGAACCCATCACAAAGGCTTGGTCTCAGTTCAGGATGAGTCACAGCTACGATGCTATTCGGTTTCTTGAAGGATCTCTCATGGTGTGCTCCCGGTGAGTTGTTTCGGAACCTCGACGAGCTTTCCTTGAGGTTCCTTGAACCAACTTCAGTAATATCCCCATTATTCCCAGGATACTCTTCAAATAAACTCTTTGTTGTGTTACAACGTCATTACCAATAACTGTCATCAGGCTTACTGCAACGTAACGATATCTTAGAGATTCGCGAATTTGCGGAACAACACTGTGCTACACTAGACAGACACGAACTTGTCCACGACTAAACTACTTCGGTCGACAAGGTACACAGTGTAGCGGGTTATATCACTGCACGTTAACTCGGACTGTTGCTCGACTATATTTCCAGTGTAGGAACATGTACGGTAATCCCTCATGATGCAGTGGAGGTGGCACGCATGAAGAAGCGAAGGCACCTCCACGGCAGGTATGATTGACTACGCAATCTTGGCGCTCGCGCATCCCAAGCAACCTTTTATCCCAGGCCACGGCATATTTTTCTCGGACCATGGGAATCACGGTGGGCTGTCTTCCACTGTGTAAACGGGCACCTGGTAGGTCCCGTCATTGCCGAGGCCAGAGCAGGCAGTGGCAGAGAGCATGAAGAGTCTGTACGATCAACAGGCCCTCCTGATTTTTGAGAATGCCAGATGGATTTTACCTTCGTACTTCCCATGAATGCATCATAGAAGGTGCTAGACGAAAAATCCCGATGAAGATGAGAGTTATCCGAAAGCAGTATCTTACAAGCCTGTGAAATGCGATAATAAAGAGAACCGCCAAGAGAACCGGCGTGTACGAGCAATAGTGTTAACCAGGATGTCGGAGTTAGTGTAGCTGATTATCAGCACATCTCTCGGTGCCTAAAATACAATAAAAAACGCTGCCCAGCTCAAAAGCGCCTTTTATGTAACCTTCAAAAGCATTTGTCTGCAGTGCTGAGGACCAGCTTAGGCATTGAGGAAGGGAGAAACCGCAGGAGAATGTTCCGTCGGCCTTCCCAAAAGGGTTGCCTTGACGGAAGATATGGGCCGTGATTGGTCAAACGCTACAGCATCAGCTTGATCGATGGTGCCGGCGGTGCAGTGCAGCCTTCCGAATCCGGTCAAGCAATGAACAACAGGTAGGCGATTAGTGGAAATACCGAGCAGACGGAACCGACGTGTAAAACAAAATTTGTGTGCATCTCAAGTAGCACCTGGGAATGGCCTAGGAAGGCTTTGACGGTCTCAGCTCTGAGTTCTTTTGGGATCGAAAGCCCTGGACCACAAAGCATGAATGATATAGACAGGGGTTATTGTGGCTTATGCGGCAGGTTGACGACTCTGTTCCACATAGCAGTGAATCTTGCAACTTTTAGGAAGCATTCCGAGGTCTCGAATGAATAAAGTTTTGACAAGAGATGATTGTGGCAGATACTATACTGGTCAAGCCGGCAATGTCATTGCAACGGGAGTGGTCTTCCGAAAGCAGACGTAAATCAAGTGTAATAAGCGCAATGTTCTCTGTGCGACAAGTTAATAGGGTCCTCTTGCGGTAGTCTCAACCTTCAATCTACTGCGTAAAGGCATTGGCCAGCGAGCATTTCGGTACCACTTGGTCGAATCACTCTGTCATCAAGGTTGCCAAAGACATCGGCACGTCAGCCATAGTGGGCCAGAGTTTTCTCTCCCGCAGCGCATTTTCTCATCATAAACGGGTTGCTCTTATTCGGGGGTCGAAATATTGTGGATAATATCAAATGCACTTGCATCCTACGCATTCAGCTCCCGCGCAGCACGAATGCAAGCTTTGGGTCGACCGTTGCTTGGCCAAGTGACGGTGAGGACCTCTTGTAAGAACCGAGCTTCCTTCTGCAGCCCCAAATTATTGTGAAACGGGTGCGCGGCTGTAGGTGACGACATTAGTCCCTCGCACCACAGATAGATTACACGATGCTAGGGTCCCCGTAGTGATCGCCCCATTGCCGCAATGCTGGACAGCCCGAGAAAGAAAGGAAGAGGAAAGAAAAGAAGAAAAATGCAAAGTCTGTGACACGCGGTAGTGGCATGCGGCAACGGCCGGTCAAGACGGTAACGTTATCTTGCAGACTTTCCTGTATACTTTGGGTTGACCATTTTCTTTCTGGAAGTAGGTGAGGTGCGCAGATGGCTGTCTTGCGTCGCCAATGCGTCAGCTGAAACGAGGAGCGGCGTTAGTCTACCTATTGAGCCTTTGCCTTTTTGGCAGTGCAGCGGCACTCAAGGTTTGGCTAACACCTTTTCAGCGTTGCCGCTTCCCACGAGTCCACTATCGGAAGGGGCACTAACATTACCGTTGTGTGGTGTCGCCCATCGAGAAACAGGGATTCGCCCACACTTCTGGGTGAGCAATGCGTATGATACATAATTAGCGTGTCGAAACGAGTAAAAGATGGGACGGAGCTGCATGAATGATGACCGGGCCAGATCCTAGAAGGAAGCTTCCATTCTGGGATGATGAGCCTTCTTACCAGGACTTGGTGAGCATGACAACAAACGTTGATGATAGTTGAAGGCATCAAATCTGAAAAGAAAGAAAAGGTAAACGTAAGCTGCAGATATCTCCGATAACATTCATCTAACCGTTGACCTAGTTGTCCATAGCAATGACCTTGAGCAATCAGACATGGCAGTATCCATGGTTCGGATCGGAGATCGCATCTCCAACCGCCAGGTTCAGGACCCGTTAACTTGGTCCCTTGCGACGATCATCCATTCTTGGCTATGCGACGAGTCCCAGAAAGATTGAGCGGCAGGACCAATCCCGGTCACGAAATGCAAGCACCTGATGGGTTGAGGGTTCACTGGAGATGCTGGCCCCGAAAATGGACATGAATACTACCCTACTTAGTCGTCAGCTTCGGTCGGCACTGCATGTGAGTACGTGGACCCGACCGGATATTGTTTCCTGCTCAAGCTTCTTTCATGTCTGGGTATGGATTTGATGGTTCTGACGCGCTGCCGCTGGGAGATATAGGAGGCGGCCGGTATGTTAGTATAGTGGCAGCGGAATAGTGGTGGCGGAGCAAGATCGTTAGACTAGGTTAGAAATCGTCGAGAAAGCAAAGAGGATCTAGGGAAGACGCAAAGAAAGCCTGTTGACTTGGACTCAGCTGGAATGACAGCGGCCCAGATGATTTACCACGTTAGATAGTCGATAACGCGAGAAAGAGAAAAGATTAATTGTTAAGAACTATCGTGTCAAGTACTATATCACTCAACTAGAAATCTCCCAGTCTCCATAACACTTATTGCTCCGAGCCCTGTCATTAAAACCAGGTTCTACGTAATATCTCTTGCGTACTTCGCATAACAGACAAGAAGCAGGCGGCGCTCGTCGCAGTATGAAGGCGAGCGATCCATAGTAATGTCGGCTGAGAGCGGTTGGCTGAGTCCTCGGGTTGGATAGTTCGATGGTTCAAAGGTCGATAAGACCTCGACTCCATGGCCCCCCGCTATTGAACCAAAGATGCGTAGTGTTGTTTCTTGAATGACTTTGAAGCCGGAGCATGGGGATATCCAACCTTGTCCATGGCTGCAATAGAGCTGCACATGGTATCGATATTTCGTGCATAGCCATCGATATCACCCCATCCCAGATGCACGCACAGGGTGGGCAGGCTAGTCTAGCCATGTATCAAGATCCCGTAGTTTGCCCCTTACCGATGAGCGGCGTGGCTCTGAGCGACATGGCACAGAGCGTCAGATCTGGAGCTTGGATGAGGCAGCGTCCTACAGAACATGGGTGTGAGAAAGAACAAGCAGCACCGGGGAGCCACGATTCGCGATGGCTGTCATATCTGGATGAAAGTCGACGGGAGATGCCCGCCTGTCAACCCTGATCGCATACCTAGTACTAGTTACGGATCCGCAGTCTAGTCTTGAACCAGAGCCAAGCCCCAAACTCCAGGCGACGAACCCCCACCGTTGATCGTTTTAGGGGACGAGCACCCGCCGCTAGCCACTGGAGCGACCCCTTGAGGGCCCCTCGATTTCCCGTTACAAACAGGAAGGGAATATTCCGTACGGAGTACAGCGCTGAGCTCTGAGCTTCTAGTCTAACCTTAGATCCATCTTATAGACGTTTGGTGCATCCCGCTACTAGCCTACATACTAGCCATAGTTGATGGTTCCCTCCTTCCCGACTGTACTTGATGCGCCAGCCAACCCGCATCAAAACCACCAAGCAAGCCGGCAAGTCATCGTATCGTGGCCAGCTCGTGCAGGGTTGCATTTGCGCAGACATCAACTCACCTTCCTTTCCTCTCCCGTGCCATGCCTTCCCGTTGACTTTTCGGTCACTTCTTATTTTTCTTCTTCCTCTTCGTCTTCCTTTCCCTCTCCTCCTTCTTTTTCGCCTTCTACCGGGGGCAGAAATGATGCTTGTTTTCATAAAACATCCAAGTTCTCCATTCGATTCTTGAGGATATTCGACTTTCACTTCTGCAGCCCAGGTACCTGTTTCCGTTCACGCTCGGCCGCGCCCAAACTGCCTGTTCCTCCTCTCATTCAAAACAAAAGGTTGTACGGCAGAACTCCCTAACCTAGTACATTGGGACACAGAAAATCTCATTTACGTTCAAATCGGCCCTGGTTATTAGGTCAACGCCACTGTCGACGTCGACGTTGCCAGCCATTATCTATTCTAGTCAGCTGGGTTTGGTGATCAACCCGAAGGATTCTCAGCATCATTCATTATACGGAAAGATTGGCGGCAATCGTACCTGCCTCGGGGGAAATTGACAGGTTGCCTGATCGCCAAGTTCGAAAATCAATTGACGCTCTTCTATTACTCAGAGCAGTGCGCGCTTCATCAGTGCCAACGTCAACGTCAACGTCAACGACAGCAACACAAAACAGAACAAGATAACAACTCCGCCCAAAACACGGCGTTCCTCAACTCGCTGAACACTATGGCCGCATTTGTGAGACTTTAACTCAATTCATCGTCTTACACGGTCGATTTTCTTTTCTTTCTTCTATTCAGACTGATTGCATCAGTTCATTTTGAGATACCCCCTTCTCCCCAACTCTTCCCCCGCAACCTCGCCTGTTTATAGAGTAAGTAGGTGAGGTCGAGGTCGAGGTCCTTTTCTCAGCATCACGCCAAATTGGCCCATCCGAAACCCACCTGCAAAGAGCTCCTGCTGTATACGAGATACAAACACAGCAACCCAGCAGTTCACCCCCCACACTCGGCTCGGCACCGCCTCGATTTGATCACGAGTATTGGATTCTGCTTTATCGTCAGTCATGGTTCGCTTGCTCCCGGTTCTCGTGGCCCTATTTTTGGGTGCGGGCCATGCAGCTGCACAAGACAATGGTGTGTCGGCGTGTTCGGTACGTAAGCTTCTGCCACACAGACATGCCATGCAATGGTTTCTCTGATTGGCCAACATGCACTAGGCATTTCCTTTTCCAGTACCTACAGTAGCTAACATGAACCTAAACACATGCAGGCCGGCTGCATCAGTCAGGTCTTCGGCGACACAACCAAGTTGTCATGCCCCGCAAACGACAGTGTGTGTGCCTGCAACAATGACAATTTTTGGTTCGCCATCAGAGACTGCATCACACAGGCATGTACTGGAGAGAACCTGGCCGCCCAGCTCGACGAAGCCAAGACCTCCGCTGCTGTCCAGTGCGCCGCAATAGAAGCTTCGGCCGGAGTCACTGCTCCCCTTAGCTCTAGCACAACCGCAACCACGGTGCCCGCGACGACCCCTCTACCAGCAACCACCGCCAGTCCGAACACCAATACTAGTCCCGGTCCTGGTCCTAGTCCTAGTCCTGATCATGGCTCAAACGCCAGCCCAACCACGAGCACGGCGCCGACCACATCTGCAGCAACCTCTACCACGACTCCTGTGGCTACCACGGCCAGCCCTTCCATAGACGCCGCGTCGAGCTTGCGGACCTCCACCACCCAAGACACTGATCCGCAGAGCTCAGCCGCAAGCAAGACTAGCGCCGTAAGTACCACCCGGGCACCAATGTCTAGCGAGATAGATGTATGTTGTACAATGCCATGAAGCGTATCACTAATCCACATGTAGTCCGCTTCGTTGTCCTCCACAAGCTCCTCCACGTCGACTTCAGGGGCTGCCAGCGTTTCCAGTAGCTCGGACGTTGACGCATCCTCAACTGGAAACTCGTCGGGTGACCTTGGTGTGGCAGCAAAGGCAGGTATTGGCGCTGGTGTTGGTGTTGCCCTGCTGTTATCAGCGGTTGTCGCTTGCTGCATCCTGGCCAGGAAACGGAAGCGTAGTCCAAGCCGCAGCCCCAGGTCCTCGCGTATTCCTACCATGCAGATTTCGAGGCCCCTCCCCGGCTCCGGGCGCCAGTATGCGCATGATGTCGAGGCAGCCAAGATGTCGTCCTTGTCGACACAGTTCCGCAAAGACTATCCTTCCCCCATCCAACCCATTCTTTACAGTCCAACGGCCAGTTCGTCTCATTACTCGCCGAAATCGGCTTACGCGCCATCGCGACCCTCACGCGACGACGACTTCAACGTACAGGGTCGCCGCTATGAGGACATGTTGCCCAGAACACAACCTAGAACCATGATATGATATTCCTCATCAAGGAGCGCACATCTCTGCATTCATATGAATTTTACGTTCACATGGCGTTTTCGGCATTTGAAAGGTTCTAGATCTAGAACTTCTAGTCCTATGGGAATACGTTGCATACAATGGGAATGGTAATGGTGACTTGTCAGTCTGGGCACCATGGCTGCGGGTATGGGGTTCATAAAGGAATAAGCAGGACGATAAACACTCTAAAACCCAGAAATTATTCGGAGAATTGACGATTTACGACTCGGCTGTGCAACATCTGCTAGCTAGCTATTAACCCAGTCACTATGGTAAGATCATGACAAATGTGCAACAAATTAGACTATGGAGTATCAAACGTTTAGTTGCCAAACACGTCGCCACGGAGCTTCTGTAGTGTGTGTCGCACAGGTTTTCAATCTAAAAAAATATTAACATATGCAGTGGGAATCAGATATTCGGTGCTTCATTCCTAGTGGTTCAAGTTACACGGACCATAGGTTCTTGGGACTGTACGCGAAGTGACAAGGGACAGTCATAAACCGATGACGCAGACAGCGCCGTCACGTATTTCGCCACAAAGAATTCGTGTCTTGGACTGTGGTTGGACCTGTGTCGAATTGTTGCAGACGTTGTGTAATACTGCAGGTATTGATTACTGTGGCGCAGCACCACCAGCGGCTTGACGGCCCGGCTTGCTATCATTAATATTTGCTAGAATCATTCAGCTCTCTGGTGGAAGACTACTCAAAATGGATACAACACTATTCTGCAAATCCCGAGATTATGCATGCAACTTTGCTAGGAGGCTGCCTTTCGAGGCTAGTCCTCAGTCAATATGCAGGTTCACAGTGCAATATATTGAAATAGCGACATTGCAATTGGTTTCTATCTACAATTTCAGAAAGCACTAGACTCTTCGTGCTCCTCTGATTTCGGCCGTATTCAAAAGCCACGAGCAGTCCATTTGATCCCTCCTTCACGTTATCCACTCAGACTTTGTCGACAAGTCACTTCAACCTTGTGTTAGCTGAGCGATACCAGGGGCACGCAAGCCCGGAGTTAGCCAGGACAGCTCCAGGGACACGTCCTTGCTGCCCCTCGAATCGAAACGATAACCACCGTCATTGTTGGAGATGAAAAGCTCCGTCATCGTTTGCAGTCTGCTATGAGGCGTCTATTTACCTTCCTGTCCAAGGTGTGGAAGACCAGAGGACGCAAAAATGTTTATGATAACAAGTACGTAGGTGTGGATTCATGATGGGCAGATGGGCTCACTCGTGTCGCTCGCCGTCTTGATGGGAGTGTTGTTGCCAGTGTGGACACTCGCATAACACTACGACCGAATCATTTGTTGATGGTGGTGCTGCCTCCAAGAATGTCAATGCAGCAGTCCTGGCAGCAAGCACCAAAATCTACCACGACCATTCTGAAGTCAAAAAAAGTGCTTACAGAGATGTCAAACGGTATAGGGAATGCCTTACTTCTCCTGAGGAATGATGGCTCCGTCGGCCCAGCCCTCCAAACCCCTGGAACGCCAAGACCACCGCGCCAGGAAAACATAAACTACATCAGGCGAAAACTCGCTCGCTCGACCAAGGTACCATCCCAAAGGTTGGCATTTCAAAGAGAAGCCTACTTAATGCCAAACAAAACGGACGTTGTTAACACTCCACGAAGCCACAGGTCACAGTGGTCTGGTGGTTTTCCGCTCTCCTAAGAATCAGCATCATTATCTCAAATTTCTTATCTCCTGGCTGAGCCGCCCTCCCTCAGCCACCCTTCTTTTTACATTTTTGCAGGTTGCGTGTTCGATTTCGTAAAGTGTCTCTACGGTGGTTTTCATATCTTTTTCTTTTTTTCTTTTTCTTTTTTTGGGTTGGAGAGGAGGGGGGGGGGGAGGTAAATTAATCTTTACCTTTCGTAAATTACTACGACTCAAGATCACGAGGTAGTTGATGTCCGGCTAAGCAGGAAGGTCCGATTGATATCATACCAGCGCGCCTGCATGAGCATAACGGCGCTGCGCTCCTAGGTGTGGCCGATTAGCTTGGTCGAGAAAAAGTGGTTGCGGTAGTTGCTGCGCTCACAGAGACCGATAGCAGGCAGTAGGGCTCTGATGAGGAAGTTCGGCACAGTGGCGAACCTCATTATGTACGAGTTTGCTTTTCCATATGGTTTTAACAAGAATAGATGCCTGTTTTAAGAGTGTCTGGCTAGATCGGTGGCTTACATTCGTCAGGTTGCGTTTGTGGGTTTGTGCTTGAATGTCTATGGTTGCGTTTGTATTTACCATGGAGTGAAAGTGGAAATGACCACCGGGGAAGAGGGTAAGGATTTTCAAGTTCAGATGAGTATATATGAGTGTTTTAGCCTATGATTTGACCACCGCTGAATATATCGAAGGAGATGTATTGCTATTCAACTTAGTACTCATCATGCGCTAGTATTGCTCGCAATCTTGGATTTACCAACTTATCTTACTGGCTATGATTACAATTCGGAAAACCTCGCTCCTCCCCCGATACACTGGTTTTACACAAGAAATATGATCACAAAGAATACATATTAGCATCGTAATTTCGGCAGTTTGGTTGCCCACTTGCAGCACTCAAGGTCCTATCCTACTAGTGGTGGCATACGTGCAAATGTTCTCTGGACGGAACACAACTTATGGCTTAGCCGTCACCGAGGAGCTTGTAATACACAAAAAGGCTTCTGAGATACCAAGACGAACGAATGCAGCCAATACTTTACTCATGATTGTAAGGCGTCGGCATTACCCCCTGATCCCTATCTAAACGTCCCATACATCGTAGATACACGCCGTCAAGGTACTCAATGTGATCGCCTCTCACGGTACATTAACAAATGGTCTCAGAGGCAGCATCAGAACTCAATACTCACAACTTATCATACCATAATGTCAAATACGGGCAAGGCCTCCCGTACTAGGTTAGAACCTACCGGTTGGTATACGTCTCCTTGAGAATTGATTGGTGAGAAATATAGGAAGCTTTGTAGTTGGAAAAAGGAAAGAAGTATCACCGTTGTCAATCAGACGATCTGGGTCAAGATCTGGGTCGCGGGCATTGGTGATAGCTGCTGTTCCATATAGGTAACTCCCCCACGCTCTATCAAGTACACTCTGACGACCTCGAGGTCATTACCTCTCACGACCCATAGCAGTACAAAATGCATCAACAGCTAGGAGAGCGGCCCAAACTCAGACCAATAGAATCTTCAATGAAGACGATGGCGTATTTTTCATGTTACAAGTTCACCTCGGGCGTGCTCAACCAACTCATGTATAAAACCAACGAGCTATTTACGAACACTCGTCCTGATGCTGAATCCAGACATAGTATTCAACAAACTTTGTGCTTTCATATCAAGCAGTACGTCAAGCAATTCCCAGAAGGAGGAGCGCAGATTCGCAAGGCAGCCGCTCCAATTCTGAAAATGCATCTCGATTTCGCGATAGACATAGCGGGATGAAATCGTACGCAAGGAGAAATGCTTGGCTGGCTAGAATAGTAGCGTAGACTAGATGCAACATAGAGCATAGACAAATCATGCTAGGGGAAAGTTTGGACTGATGAGTGATATGTGCTAATGGCAGACCGATTCTGGAACGTATTAGACTTGTTGCCCTACGCAATCAGCCGAGCGCGAAGTCATCATCGGCTGGCCTGTGGTAATGCGCCCGCGCTAACCAGAATCGGCGCCAAAGTTCAACTTGAGGATTTCCCCTGAACTATGCCAGCGGGCTGTCAGGTGATTACTCACTGACCAAAATTCGGTTGCCCCCCTGATCAGTCCTTTTGTAGCAATTATAATTGAACCATTATTTGATCTAGTAGTTTCATTTCGGCGTGAATTTCTTTGCTTCGTGTGTGCCCAGCAGCGGTTCACAAGCCCAACCCAATTGTCAATAGACAGTGTTCAAGAATCTCCGTCTCCACACTGTTTAATTGATACGTCACTCAACGGACAGGCGCTACTAGATTTCTTCGTACTGCATACGACAACAACCGCTACCAGGCTATAAGTCATCAGCTTGTATGGCACAAACAACATTTCTACTCTCGACAGCTCTTCTCATCAATCTATACTTCTTACAGCCCTGCATGCATCATTCACGGCTTTCAGAGAGTTCGCCTCATCCGTTTCAGAAACAAATTGTAATACTCCAGCATTTCTCTCAAAGCGATCGCGTCTGGTGACGAGCGTCACGGGCGATTACCGTAAGTCACCCACCAGGTCCAACGCAGAGAGCAGATGAGAGAAGTGAAAGGGAAGTAGATCCCGGCCGTCCATACCATAGTCGATATACTGAACGGCGTAGTTCGTTTACCCAAGCGCTAGACCGCATCTTCAGACTCGCGGCCGTTATCATAGGTTATTGGATGCGCTGTATTCAATTGTTTTGTGGGGGCAAAGGGCGCTCCTATTGACACTCAAACAACCGCAAACACCTGCTCCCTCAATGTTCCCTCATTGCGCATTGTCACTGCCTCGCCGTTCATTATGCCATCAACATAGACCTCGCCCAGAAGCTGTACTATCATCTGCCCCGTGGTTGCTTCTACTGGCCTCAGTACGAAAGGGACTGCGCTGCCGTAGACCACACAACAGAGATCTCCTCGCTTTGTGACCTGTGGACCAAGGCCATAGAACCCCTTTTTTGTAATCACTAGTGCTCGACCTTGGAAATTGCCTCTCTTTCTGATCCAGTGATAAAAGGGTTCGCTCCAGTGTGAGGAAGATTGTAGGGATTGTTGGCTCTGGTATTGGCTGGCCCATTTGTTCCACGGTGACTCCGAGTCTAGACTGCCTCTATCACAGCAGAGTATCCGGGCGAGTGTCGTTACCAACGGGTATGAGTATGCATATTGTTGAGAGCATTGAAGTTTTCTGACGAGGTCGGCAAGGTAATAATAAGTCCCACTTGGCATTTCTCGGAAAAAGACGTTTGTCGAATTTGAGGACACCCCCATCTCGAAAACAGTCTCAACACTATCCACCACGATACCTTTCACATGTAAAATGTTACTTTCTACCAGCGCCGAGCTTGTTGTTTCTCCGTGTGCTCGGAAATCCGTTGCTGGATGGGCGTATATGTTGTTCATCGAGAGACTTGTGTCCCAACGAATGACCCATGATGGGTAGCCATCACATAAGGTTTGAACGGTATGCTCAACAGAAGAAAATACTCGCACGCCCGCATCCTTCAACAGAAAAACTGTAGTTTCTTGATATATCTCAAGTTTGGACTTTGTGTAGTCTGGGGCTAAACGTTCGATATTCTTGGCGAGAGGATGACTCAGAAATGCGAAGATCCGGTCTCTTGGGTCCTGACAGTCCAATAATGCGCCATGGTCTAGCAAATCAACCAACTTATAGTCTCTATGAAGACTGTTTTCGAGCCACTTATGGGACCAGTCTATCCAGTTCGTGTGTATCAAATAAGCCCCGAGACCTATGTGGAAAGCAAGCTCGGTAGCACCGGTTCGAACCCATGCAACGGTAACCATCAAATCTCGATACCTGAACTCTTCCGGCCCGTATAAGACTCGTGGGTCCTTGGCTAGGCCTACCTCTTGTAAGACCCAGGCGCGCTCGAACCAGGAAGACGTCATCACGAATGATAGCGCGATCCACCGCCGTAGGTCTTCACCTGGTCGCGGAAGCAAAACATCAGCCACATGTGATTGACTCAATAAAGGCCCGTATTCATTAAGGAGCGACGCAACTTCTTCGGCCCTCCCGTCTGGTGCTTCCCCAAAACAGGCGAGCACAAATCTGGCATGGGAGTATATTTTAGCCATCAGCCCAACCTGCCTGTTCCTTTCTTGTGGATCGCCTTGGTTGATGCACAGAGCGTCCGCCCAGATCAATCGCGAGTGATGCGGTAGACGAACTCTTGCCAACGCCTGGTGAAGGTTCAACGTCACATCAGTCGAGAGACCGTCGCAGCAAATGGGCGCAACCTTCCTTACGTCTCCCCATACATAAGAGAGGGCATCATAAACTGGGCATGACTCAATGTTTACCAGTATCAGACTGATGGTGATCGGTGTCCGAGCCGCTCCCGGCTCTAGCCTGGCGAGCCTGATCTCGCCGGCGTTCAGGGACTTGTACAGCGTTGTCGTGTTTGCAGGGTCCAGCTCCATCAGCTCCATAATGAATGCGCGTGCAATTATTCAATCTTATCACATAGGAACCCTAATGCCAAAAATCATACAATCGTACAGTCAGGCTTCTTAACAATGATGTAACATTGCATTTTTACTTAAACCAACATCCTAAACGGGCTCTCAAAAAGAGAGATTAAGAACTGTGCCGTTCCAAATGAGCTGACAACAACAGACAATTTTCGCCCCCGCACTCTCCCTTCAGCTCTGGCTGCCATTGCGCCTTGGCGCCAGTGGTGACATAGGCCGGCTAACCAGCATTTTTTCTCGCTTACGGTGACAAATCTATATCTACCGTAGCTAGGAACTTGCACTCTTTCCAACACGTGTAGGCTTCTTCTTTGAAGCGACGATCCTATACAGTTGTCCCTTAAAGCCTTCCTTAGATTTTTGCGTGTCAGGTTGCTCGGGCTTCAAAGAAAGCGTCTCAGTGTCGCTGCCCCATTCCTGCTGTCCAGACCATGTCTCATCCTCCTGGCCAAACGGATTTGCTGAACTCTCAGAAATCGATTGACGATGTTGGGGGGCGGTCGACGAGCTAGATGGAAGCTGCGACTGTTTGTGGTTCTTGTGGTGCCGTTTTACTGGTGCAATGTAGACCGGAGGATATGGGAAGCTTGAAGCCATGATCGAATAATTCGAGAGTGTAGTTCGTGGACTCAACGTAGTTGCGATGCTGATGGCGGTTTAGGTAGTGCTTTAATTAGGTTTGTACTGGCTGACAGTTTCGAGTTACTTATCCATAAAGAAACGAACAGACTCAAGTCCCTCTTTATAATCGATGGCTGATTCAAGGTGTAGACAGTACCATTTACGATGCTGAGTGACTCAGAATGCTTTCCCGGTCTGGCGGACATAATCTGAGTCTTGACACGTCTGTTTGATTTCTTATCACCGCAATGATTCAGACATAGCTGCACTTCCAATTCATTCATGACATGTACAATCCAATTGATGATCCGAGAAGCTGCATTATCAGGTGAGATTCACCAGTCAAATGATATCAGGTATCTATCCATCGCTCACATCAGGGAAGGACTGCTTGTGATACACTTGGATAGCCGGTTCCACCAGCCGGAGCGGCGACCCGGTAGACAGGCGCGGAGACTGTACCCGAAATGCCAAGTTTTTTTTCGATATTCTGAGTGAGTCAGAATCAGTGAGATCATCGCTTGTAGACCTATATATGACCAGTTGTATATGCCAAGGCGGCGAAAGGCGGCGATAGTGTTATGTCCACTACATTGATGCAAATTAGTTGTCTTGGAAACGTTCACCAGGGAAATTTTCTGCGGACCAAACGCCATTTCACAGACCTTCAGTCAACATACAAACTGGCAGCTGGCACCTTCGAATGAGCGGTAAGATCTAAACCTAAGAATGAGTATAGCCGCGGACCGAAAATCCGATCTGATTTGCAACTCGTGCGCACATAAGAAGCACGAATGCTGAGAGGGTGTCGAATGGTCTCATCGTATGGCTTGTCGAAAGGCCAAAAAAGCTTGGATATTGCCGTTCCGGGAGAATATTTGGATATGATCTAGCATGGGTATTCAAGATTTCTTTTTCAGTCCAAGGCTATCATGGCCGCGTTGGAAGTGATTGACTTCTACTTGAGATTTCTCAGCAAAATACACATTCCCGAATTGTCGATAAGATTTGTTACCCGAACCCTCCCCGATACCCCTGGGTCCACAAATAGAAATAGTAAAAGAAGTCAAGAAAAATCCTGCCACATCGTTCCGTGGGCGAGGGCCCATATGCGAGCAGGTGAGATAGAGTTTACTGAACCGAACATCATCCTCAACTGCATGGTTTTGCTGTTTCATACATACATTAATGAATAATGGCAAACCAAGGCTACCAGACAGTGGTTCAATAGGATCATAAATGAATGCTAACCAAAAGAACGCACTGTAGTTACTGATATATTAGGATATTACTCAACCTGTATGTCAAACGAGCTGTCGTGTACAAATTTGTACTGCGCAAATTATGAACTGCCTATAGAACTACCATCAACTTATCTCATAACCACTCACTGTTGCTAATTACTGTCCCGCGCCTTATCCATCTAATTTGAGCTGTTTGTGAATCCATAACACACGCGAAATGTGTACAATTCTCCATTATCGCAACGATACGACGAAGAATCGCGTTTGGTAAGAAGCTCAGTATCTCGTCGAAAAGACCTCGCAGAGACCGCATGCGTGGGCCGAAATTTTCTGGTATCTGTTCATAACGTGTGTCTGGGGACTTAGAAAGGTCAATCCGGTACGGAGGAATATGCTTGGGACCAGAAATATTGTTACGCCGTTGGGAGCTTGGGTCGATGGGCGAAGTTGGCGCCATCTTGCCACGAATGAGAAAAGTGTTGTAGCAGATATAGACAGCACTGCTGTTAAGAAATATCTTTATCAAGAAAATCAGTTGTCCCCCTGGGATAAAAGGCGTAGAAAAGTTACAAAGCTGGCGCGTTAGTTGTTGGTGGCCTGATGAAAAGGCAACAGCGTAGCACGTGCTTCCTGGCTGACTTTACTGGAGCTACGCATCCGTACAGTGGAAGTAGCCAGTCTTGATCATCCACATGAGATACTCAGCGATACTAAATCATACAAGCATTATCAAAGTATATCAGTTCTTTTCAAAAGTGGGATGATTGAGTTCGTTCTAACATGCGATTCATTTCCCGGGTAAACCACAATTTGCTTGGCAGCAACTGTGGAGCTGCACTGGTACTCGTTCGGGGAGCGTTTCTAAGTATATCTCTTGGGAGACCGTTGGAGCGGGTGAGAAGGACTGTGTTGCAACGCAAAACGTGATGTGCCAGAGGTGCTTTGGATTCATCGACCAACGACCTATAAACTCAGACAGTCTTATGAAGTTGCGTCCCTCTTGTTTGTAGAGATAGAAGCCACTTGGTCTAGTTTCATGAATATGGCAGTCGCCAACAGTTGTCAGCATGTCTCATTCTCAGGATAGGGTACTGTGTAAAATGCGTGGTAGTGCTCGCGTTTTCATAAGCTCGACTGGGCGGTGATTTGTCGTTCTCGAGCAGTCGGAAATGAATGTTGGTAATAAGACACCAGCGAAAGCTGCGTCCGTCGGGTTTGGGCTGCGTTGTCGCCCAGCAGTTGCGCTAGGAGCGGGGGGTTTTATTTCTGTCTTTTCCACAAACCCCGGTCGGCTTTCGGCCGGTACATTGAGAAGAACTAAAGATACTATCTGGATGATAACAATTGTCGGTCCAGCAGGAGTTTAGAAGTGAGGCGCTGTTCAGTTGTGAATAGCTGCCTAGTCTAACCTTAAGTAAGCTTGAGTGTGAGATGCAAGAATGTTGAATCACGTTGACGTTGGAGGGGTAAAAACTGCTAGGTCACAAATGATTAATTATCGCATTCCTGTAGAACCAAGCCCGCTGGCACTTCTTTACACTTAATGATAAAATCAGTGCTTGTTCCAGATCCTTAAGGTTCAGGCTTTAATCAACCACTAACCATCACACCAATCATATTACCAACCATCTGGACTAAGGTAGTGATAACCATTTACCCGCATTACGCTTCTAAATGTCTTCAGGTCGCATCAAGGTGGTGGTCGACACCGACATCGGCACGGATCCTGATGACGGGCTGGCACTTGCTTATCTAGCTCTACACTCAGCCTGCGACCTACTCGGTATCACCATTGTCACTGGCGATGTCCAAAAGCGCGCAGCTGTGGCAGAAATCTTACTTCGCACATGCGGACGAAGTGATGTGCCCATTCATCTCGGACGGCGCGAGCCTTTGCTCAAAGGTGCTGGTCAACCTCTTGTTCAACAATACGACTTCATCGAAAACATCCATCACAAAATAGCACGTCCGGAGAATACAGCCGTCCATTTTCTACAAAGCACAATCCGCAACAATCCAGGTGAGGTCGTGTTACTCACCATAGGCCCAATGAGCAATGTGGGCACGCTGTTCGCTCTTGACCCTGAACTCCCAACCCTGTGCAGGGACATTGTCAGCATGTGCGGCAAGTATTTCGGACCTGAAAAGCATAAGAAGGAATGGAACATGCTCGTGGACGAGACGGCTGCAGGCATAATGTTAAATACCCCACGTCCACGACACAGATTCGTTGGCCTCGACGTCACGCGACCCTGCACGTTGCAATCTGCTGATGTGGAAGACCGTCTGTTCCGAGACCTAGGTCCGCTAGGCACCTTATTTCGTGAATCTGGGGATTGGTGGCTTCGGAAGAAGGGCCGTTTTACATTTCATGATCCTTTGGCGGCTGCTATGATATTTCACCCCGAGATATGCCAATGGAAGAAGGGACGCGTTTCGCTAGACTCGGGAAACGGAGCCACGAGCTTCGAAGAGGGAGATAAAGCGTCCGACTTGGTGGCTGTTGAAGTTGATCCCGAAGCTTTCTTCTCTCATTACTTTGCAGTGGTCAAGAAGCAAGAAGCATGAATATGATGATACCTTGTAGTAATGGGACGCAAGTTAGCAAAACTTGTGGTGGTGCATACGAATCCGGATTGAGTTCGTCATTTGCCTAATGACTAGTTCACTAACTTGGCAAACTGATGGCAGGCCCTCCACACTGTCATATCTAATGGCGTATAAAGGCCCCCAATATCCGTCGCTACAATGCAGCTAAGTTGACTAAATTGCCCCAGATACTTGAAGGTGAACGAGTCAGGGCTAGCACACCAGTTACAATTGTCTGCTGTGATTGCCGACAATGATGATGACGCTACCGGATGATCACTCCTCGGCTGTTGGATCATGTTGGCATGGGGCCTTGGTTATTCTTCGCATAATTGAGTGGCAGGTGTCCAAGGACAATATTGAGACGCGGTTCGTCTTAGTTCGAAAGGTTGTGCCCATTGAACTTCATGAATTATTTGTCACCGAGCATGCAGGAGGTATTTCGCTGCGTCGGAGGTTCGGATTGTATTCTGCATACGGATCCGTATTTGCGCTTGATCCAAAGTAGGTAGTCTGGTAGTGAACCTTCAGGGTTTGGAAACTACATAAGACTAACCTCAGAGCGAACGCACGACTCAACAACTCCCACAATTCCCAGATGATTGTGACAGGAACTGGAAAACTAAAATGGAAGGAATGCTGACCGCCGAATGCTCATATGGATCCGAGCAATCATCTGGGTGGATTGAAACACGCTTGTTAGATATGCCTGACCACCTTCGAACACATCGCCTTAATCTTGCGCGCGAATATGGATGGGAGGGGTGCGGTATTAATAACAGAAGTCATAAACCCGAGAGCGAGACCTTCTTATCTGTGAAAGCTGACCAATTTCTCCACGTCTCGAGTCACAAACTCGACCCACAAAGATTCAACAACAGACATTCGTTGAGGATATCCCGGCAATCAACAATACTCTCTGTACGGATCCGTGAGACTCCTACCCGGCAATGAGACCCTGCATATGCATACATAGCACATACACACAATGGCATTAGCGCGCACTACAAGTAGGAGAGCCTCAGTCTGGGCAGGCAATGCTAGGCATGCCGATCGTTGCGTGCCAATAGGCACTGTTCGTCTTGGGAAAGCTTGTAAAGCTTGTGTGAAAACGGTGGCCCCAGGTACCCGTTTCGCGCGCCGCCAAGCTGGCAGCTAGCCAATGTAATGGGACCTGACGTAGATTTGATTACACAATCTTTCCTGGAAGTGGGCTCATCCAGCCGACCTCGCCTCTTAAAATTTGTTCTTTTGGAACGTCCACGACGCCGCCCGCTCCCTAGCCGCGGTTTTCGCGGAGGCAGTGGAGATCGACCCATGAACTATAGCTGACTCGCCGAGAAAGTACCGCATCTCGTAACATCATGCCTTAACAACGCTAATCAGTAGTCTTTGATTCGAGCGCACACTCGTGATGCTGATCTCATCAGTCTGGGGGAACAAGGTATGTAGTAACACCAGTTCGGCCTTTAGTACTACTGCACTCGGTGTCCACTTCCAGGACTGGGTTCTCCGTGGGAACATTTATCCCCACGATGCTTGACCGACTTGACATCAGCGCGGGGTCCTCCGAACACGCTTTCCCCGGGCCTTGCGCAGAAATCAGAATGGTCAGAGGCGGGTCGAGATGAATCGTATTTAAAGCCGCGTCCCAGAGGCATGGGGGCTGCTGGTCCTGCTCGACGTGCCACTTCACTGCCGAAGTCTTGTCCCCTTACGCCAGACAGACGCCGTCGAGATGAGTTCCAGCAACTACTTCGGACTTACGGGCAAAGCCCTGAGCTCAGCTCAAACCGCCTTTATCGTCGCTCCAGCTTTCATCTTATTCGGTTACAATCAAGCCGGAGTCGGTGGTCTTCTCACCGAGGAGGATTGGGTCAAAACGTTTCCCGAGATTGACACAGTCAACACCAAGGGCGCCCTCAAGAGTCACAACAGTACCATTCAGGGTGTCGTCGTGGCAGTCTTCGTTATTGGCGCTCTTTTCGGTGCTTTGTCCTGCTCTTGGAGCGGTAACGCTTTTGGACGTCGCAATGTCATCTTTGCTGGTGCGTAACTCTCTTCCTGTAAAACCATGCTTTTCTAATAAGAACCGCAGGTGGTGTCTTTACCCTTATCGGCTCCATTCTGGAGGCTTCATCCTTCGGCCTTGCCCAGTTCATCGTCGGGCGTATTATCCTAGGTGCTGGTGTTGGTCAATTGAGCTCCATTGTCCCTGTCTGGCTGTCTGAAACTTCCGCGTCCAAGGATAGAGGCAGACAAGTTGTCCTCACAGGTCTTTTTATATGCCTCGGATACGTCCTTGAGTCTTGGGTTGATCTTGGTTTCTTCGAGTTCCACCATGGATCGGTCACATGGCGTCCCCCTCTAGCCATCTCTATCGCATTCTCGTTGATGCTGATGGGGTCCATCTATTTCTTCCCTGAGTCGCCCCGATGGCTTGTGTTGAAGAACCGCAGCGAACAGGCTCAATCTGTCATCGCGGCTCTTCGTGGACTGCCAATCGACTCCATGGAGGTTCAAGCTGAGGTGTCTGGCATTGAGTATTCGCTGGAGGAAACAGCTGGAACCGCTGTCAAGTTCACCGACATGCTGAAGATGGGCGAAGACAAACTGCTTTACAGATTCTTGCTTTGCATTCTTCTCCAGTTCTACCAACAGATGTCGTACGTATTCAAATCCTTGATTCCAACACATACTAGATCGTCATTAACATATCCAATAGTGGAAGCAACCTTGTCAGTGTTTATGCACCAATTCTTTTCCAGCAGAATCTTGGCCTGAGTGCAGAACTGTCACGCGTCCTGGCTGGTGGAGCCCTGACTTGGAAGTTCTTATCCTCCTTCATCGCATTTTTCACGATCGATCGATTTGGTCGACGCGCAGTCTTTATGATTTCCGGTGTCGGCATGTCATGCTGCATGATTGCTCTGGCTATCACAACTTCCTTCCCCAAAGACAACAAGAGTGCACAAATTGCAGCTGGTTGCTTCATCTACCTTTACAACACTTTTGTGCCGATCGGGTTTTTGGGCGCCAACTTCCTCTACTGCACTGAAGTTGCACCCATCAGACTGCGTATGGCCATGTCCTCTGTCTCTACAGCCAACCACTGGCTCTGGAACTTTGTTGTTGCCATGGTGACTCCCGTCGCCATCAACACTATCGGATGGCAATACTACATTGTCTTTGCAGTCATTGCTGCCTGCATTCCCATGTCCGTATACTTCTTCTTCCCAGAAACAATGGGCAGAAACCTCGAGGAGATCGATCTTATGTTCAAGGATTCTCCTTCACCTTGGGCTACTGTCCAATTTGCGAAGAACCGACCCGCTGCCCTTCCTCAAGAGTTTGCGGAGAAGTCGGACACAAAGTCAGCGCACGTCGAATAGGAGATCACTAAATTAGGATATGTAGAACATGAACATTTGACGTCAATCCAAAGCATTAATTACTACATTCAAACTATGCGGTGACACGCGTTCAATATGAAGATCTAGATGTATTTGTCATGTGAATCCGGAACCTTATCATTTGCTCTATGAACTCACCAGGTCCAACTCTAGGGAGGCATTCTCTTCAAACTCTATTTTCAACTGAACGTCTATTGGGAAACGCATCAAAGCAATACTCTGCAGACCAGAGTCAGTACAACGTACAAGCTCGTGTTCTCATCTCAGGTATAAAGTCTACTTGCCTGCCCAACCACGAATTAGTCTGCAACAACGAACTGACTGCCAAGTTCTTCAACGACGATCCTGACTCACGAGACGAGACGCCTTCTTTTTTCCTCCATACGCTCAAGAGTAGACATCGCCGCAGCTTTAAGCTTATCCCAACTCGCCGGGCGTGCAATGGTCCCCACCACAAAGTGTCAGAATCCGCCACGTCTCAGGTAACTATACTCCGTTTTCAATCATTAGAACGATGTGCCCGATTGGCGTGTCGGTCACAACAAAGTCTCATGACCCAGTGTTGTCCAGATTCGCTCATTCTCTCTAAAAGTTACGTTGAATTAGGCGGCTGAGATCTTACCATCATTCTATCTAAGAAAAATAGACTATCTCGCGTTCTGATTCAACTAGCTTTACCACAACATATAGAGAGCCTCGTTGCAACAGTCTTCAGGATCTCGTCAAGCGGCTCTCTGGACTTTACCTGCCGTACCCGGATGCGCGGCTATTTCACCACGCCAAAACATTGCAGCTTATGGAACATGACAAGTGCGCTCTTCTTAACACGCTACCCTTCTTTTTACTAAGTAGTTCCACAACAGTGGCAACATTGAGTGGCTTTTGGGGCATAATTGCCAGAATTTGGCGAAATTTAGTCGCGCGGATATGCTTACGGGGATACCTTAGAAGATCGTGGTACAGTTTCGGTGGCTAAAAATAGCGAGGGTGTTGATGCCGCCACTCATGTAATTGAGAACTCTGTGCAAGGCGTACCGTCCGCGTTATACCAAGCCAGCATCAAGTTTGGCAGGCATAAACGAGGATTTGATCTTTGAAGTATATAGTCTGCGAACCACGAGTCCATGAATATGCATCTGTAATGCTACCATGTTCGAAGCAAGTATTCAGACAAGGTTCTCGATAACACTTCGTGGCTCGTGACTACGTATCTCGTCAGGACACCTCGAGTCCAGACTGTTGAATACGACCTGATCTTCTCGGGCAAATTCCATCAGCAGACATCAGCAGCGACCCAATCTTGATCAGGTCTGTCTGAGCTCGAGCTCTTTTCAGCCTGAACGAACAGCGTTCGCAGGTGATCCCTGAGAGCCATCTTCAGCTGCGTATAGGGAAGCTCGCTATCTCCATTGATGGTGGCTTAAGGTTAGGCAATATTACAACCCCGCTTGAATTCACCTCTGTCTAAATCAGCCACGGCTAAGAGGTTCGGTCCCTTAGCGGCAGTCTGCAGCCCTGAATGAAGGTACTATTAGGTCGTCACAGGAATCTCAAGCGTCTTCTCGCGTCTTGTGAATTCCGGCAGCGAGTAGAATCGAGACGGTTCAGCCACGATCTGGTGTACGAACACGTTTTCGTAAACTCCGTGGGAGCACGATCAATTAAGCTCCAGCTTCTCTTGCCTGACGTGTGTAGTCCATACATAATTGTACATCAATCAGTGTATCAATGGGACTAAAAAGGCGCGCTATAGCAACACGCACTAACCATAAAGGCCAAGTCATCTTTGCCCATGTTTGCAAATGCTTTGCAGACATCTTTTGTTCTCGACTCACGCACGGGAGTTTCTGTAAAGATTTTGTGATCTGCCAAAACTTGTATAAATGGAGAAGACCTAGGGTTGGTCCTGGCTGCTGGCACAGGCATTGTACCAGGGATATCCTTGCGTGTGCCTGCACAATTGCCAGGTCCGCAGCGGGATCTGCAGCACGTGGTCCGAATTTGCCGCTGAAGAAAAAGAGTTGCTCTGAAACTATGGGGAAAGGCGCGTCCAAAAAAAAATTTAAGAGAATAAGACTCATCCGCGGAAGAGTTTCCAACGAGCCAGTGAGCCCTGGTTGCTAGATACCATCTGGCAGGCTGGTTCTCACAGTCCTGGAAACTAGCAGCCGATATCCTGTCCCACATGGGCTGATGGCAGAATTGAGCATCGCCTTTCCTTTCACCAAATTGTGGAGGTAATGAGTTTGGCACCAAGACTGACCATTTGCGGTCTTGGGCAAACGAATTTGGAGGTGGTCTATTCTTGTATGTAGCGCTTAGAAAGTTTTCAAAGTGATAGAAGCTACAAAAGGAATTGTCCAGGGAATTTCGTTACTAGCAATCCCCAAGGCCATATTTCCTTCAAGTCATTGTTGCATCAGCATCCCATCATGTCCAACCAAAAAGGAACCTTGGCTACCATCGTCCTCATAACGGGCGCAGAGCGCGGCATCGGCTTCGAAGTCGCACGAAAGCTTTCTTCGCCTTCGTTATACAAGGACTACCACGTTATCATCGGTAGCCTCCGGGCTGACGATGGCATCAAAGCAACTGCCATACTTGGCGAAGAAGACGCCTCCCGTTCACTGTCATGTGTACAGATTGATGTTACCTCAGACGAGTCAATAAAGACCGCTATTGACAACATCCAGCAAGAGTTTGGTCGAATAGATGTGCTGATAAACAATGCCGGCGTGCTTCTCGACGGGTTGGAAACAACAGACATTTCCAGGCAGCTTCTGGAAAAGACCTTTTCCGTCAATTTATTTGGAGCTGCTGCTGTAACAGAAGCAGTGATTCCCCTTCTCGAGAGGTCATGGTCACCATGTCCGAGGATTGTCTTCATGAGTTCAAGAGTGGGTTCATTGTCTGTGAAGTCGAATGCGACCGATAGGTCGTCCATGCGATACTTTCCAATGTACAGGAGTAGCAAGTGTGCGCTAAACATGGTCATGCTTCATTATTCATCGCTTTTCCGGGACAAGGGTTGGAAGGTAAATTCGTGTGATCCAGGATTGACGGCCACTGCCCTCGCAGGAGACCAAATGAATATGGGCACCGTGGAAGGTAAGTACTCTCGTAAAAGCCGCTGCCCCTTTCTCGCGATCGAGATGAAGGAAATAGGCTGACACGCACAGACGGCGCGAAGAACTGTCTGAGGCTGGCGACTTTGGATGCACAAGGGGAGACGGGGACTTTTACAAATAAGGAGGGTCCAATTCCGTGGTAATATATATATGCTGCCAGACAGAAAGGAAACACAACGTCTCTCTATATTTAGACTTCTGGAAGTCAATCTACGAAAACCACGACAGTTAGCAAATACACAATACGATAGCTCTCGATGTCGCCTATGTTGCAACTGCCGTAACTCTAAACCCCGAAACGTGTGTTGTATTTGCTGACATGCAGATGCCCCATGGACTAGGGCTAGCGTACGCAACCCCAATGCGACCCCCAAAACCTGAATCAGCTGGACCCTGGAGGTCGAGTCCGGTTAGTGAGTGATCTCCACTGATGCGGAGATTAGGTAGGATGAGGTGCCATCCCAAGGCTACTAAACTTCAGTCCATCCAAACCATGGCTGCGATAGTGATTCAGTGCCATCAAAGTTGGTCAGCAATGTTGGGGGACTATGCCATAGGAGTCCACAATGTCATTCACGCCCCGAGTCTCTCAGCGGAAGCCGCTCTCGTGTAGTGAATGCACCCGGAGGAAGCTCCGTTGCTCAAAGACAATTCCGTGCACATCTTGCCTTGACCGGGGACTTGAGGCTACTTGTGCGCGTGAAAAGGTCATTGTTCGCAAGAAACATCAACGCTCCTCATCAATTGGCGATTCATCCAGCCATGCAGCCACAGCAACTACAGCAGCCACAGCGACTCTTTCGCTCTCTTCGGAGGTATCCGGCAGTCCTTTAGCTACAGACTCTCAAGGTGATGAGTCTTCACCAGATGCGTCCAAGTCGCAACATCCCAGTGCCACGATCCCAGACGATGCCCCTGTGACGTTGGAAAATCTGGCGCTGGGACGTCAGAGAATTCTCAACATGCAATCTCCTGCCACGGCAACGGAGGCCGGAACCGCTGAGTCGGCATGGTTGGCCCCGGAGGTCGACTTCTTTGTTTCTCTGGAACAGGCGAGAGTCTTACTCGATTATCATACCAGTAACTTAGCTTGGATACACAATGTGCTGCATATGCCTACCTTTGCGGGAGAATGCGAGACAGCTTTCAGTCAGTATAGCTTTAAAAGTCGTGCTTGGATTGCGTTGTTCTATGCTTTTATCTGTGTAAGAACTGCAGCCTTACATGAGACAAAACCATCCACTTATCAAGCCAAGCACACAGTATATCACGGACCAGAGACCCTGCTTGCAGCTGTAAACCTGCTTCCTCAAGGTGAGTATTGTTGTAATTACACAGAGTGTTGACTAAGGGGCTCAACCAAATAGGATCCTCTGTCGAGCACTTCTACACAAAGACTATAAAAGCGCTACATGACGCTGACTTCATGGCTGTACATTCCGTCCATGCAACACAAGCGGTTTGTCTCGTCATCCAGGTACTTTTCTGCTACGCACATACAGGCTCACATGTATTAGAGAAAGTTCGATGGCGCCACTAACACCAGAACAGGTCGGACATAATTTAGGTCGGAGTGATTACGTGTTCGTTTTGTTGTCGGCTACAAATCGTATTGCCCAGTCCCTCGACTTCAATCACCTAGGGTCTGACTCGAAACGATGTCAAGACCCTATTTCCCGTGAAGTCAAGAAACGAGTATGGTGGTTCCTAATCAAGCAAGATTGGAGTAAGTCAATTCGAAGGCAGTGCCGTCATGTTGAACTTGATTGTCGGCGTTGTTATGCAGCCTTCATTATCCAGACGGATCGATCATGGTAGCATGACGTTCTCCACATGACAAGAGTGAAAATGCTGACATAAAAGCTGCAGTGCAGATCCCTTACGGAAACATGTTCACGATAAATGCTCTCCATTTCACCACCCCTCCGCCACTAAATTGTTTCGAAGACCCAATGCAGATGTGCGGAGATAATGGAATCAAGGCTCTAGACTCCAACGTGTTGACACAGTCCAGCTGGGCTGGTATACACAACCAGAGTGCGCACATCCTCAATTCTGGATAGGTTCAAAAAGCTAAGTCATAATAGTTGCCATACTTCTTTACAAGACGCACGATCGGATGTGCCGCCATGGGCATCCCGGGAGTGATCCAAGAAAGGTTCGGATGCTTTATGATGAGGTACTGGCAGCAAATGCAGAGCTTCAGCGTTTATGGAATAGGCGTCCGGACTTTTATCGGATGGAAGCCCCATTACGCCCGGAGTGGCCTAATTCCGTGCCGCATCTCAGAAGGTTGTTTGCTATATCGTTTGCCAGGTCGGTGAGTTCAAACTCCACCACTATTTGCTTGCGCCTGTACCTCTAAAGTTTCGATAGTACTTTGCAATCCATAGGCATTTCCAACTGAAGAGCTTCAGGGACGACGCCTACTCGGTAACAAGGGTATGTGAGAAAATATCAGAGTGATACAGATCCACAACTAATCGATTCCGAAAGATCTCATGTCTCGCTGCTGCAAGGAGTAGCCTTAGAACCTTTATTGAGTGGCCTGATGATGATGAGTCATTAGTATTCAAGAAGATGTGGACAAACAGCAACAATTTGGTAGCTGCTGCGGTGGCTTTGCTCTTTGGCGTACTCTTCTCTTCCGAGCAAGCAGAGGGCATATTCGAGAAGATGGAAATGAGACAACTTTTGACTGACTTCTTGCCTTGTCTCCGCAGGGTAGGTGTCTACAGTTCTGTCGCCAGGAGAGGGGCTGATCTAATATCTGTCATCCTGGATTATGAACGGGCGATTTCCGAAGGAACCAGAGATAAGCTAGACATCGACGAAGTCATCGGGCACGTCAAAACAAGTGGAGTCATTGGCATCGTGCCATCCTATACGGATTGGAGCCCGTCGACTGCCCAATATGACTTCATTAATATGGAAAGTTGGATCGAACTGCCCCAACCAGGAATATAGCGTCAAATAGTTTTACAGGCTTGAACACTTTTACTATAGAGTCACAAAAAACTCCATGTTGTTTTGGTGAATATCATTGCATGCATCCCCGGAGCGGATAAAAGGCCCCGTGTAGCAGCTGCAGCTGCAGCGTCTAACGACGGTTTAGATATTAGATGTATCAGGTCGGTTGCACAAGCTAAATAGGGGCTTCTGCATGCTTTGATCTAGGAACTACCATCAGTCAGGAAAATAATATGTTGTCACAAATGCGGCGTAATGCTAGCACAATCGCTTTCTCTACGCCTGGAGCCGTCGGCTATTTGCATCATGAATATCAGGTTTATTTAATTGTTTATGTAAAAAAAATTGTCTCAGAGAAGAACCACACTCGCTTTGACGTAGCTGCGTGTAGAGATGTCCGGTTTGCTGGCACTTCAATTCTACAGGCTTCCACGCCGCTGATGTCTCTAGATCCTTGGGCAACTCTTGGTGCTAAGGTGTGACAGTAAGGAACTCAGAAGCTGTAAATAATGATAGCTGGCCTGTTATAAGATGTACTCATTGCACTCAAATACAGTATGACATTGTATTTAAGTTCTGTGTGCGTTTTAGATTTGTGCTCATAGTCAGGATGGCATTTGCCGATTAACCCAAACGATGGGACCTTGAGCAGGACACAAAACTCGGAAATCTCGATACAGGCTCCATCATGATCAAACAACCAAGAACCGGCGCTGTCGGGAACCAATTGCATAGAAAGTGGTCGATGCATCTTGAAAGACTAGACAATCTAGCCGGGCAGAACCCTTACACCATTCTAAGGTCGAATGAGCTCCTCGAAGCTGCACATAAGAACGTCTATTACCTTCACGTTGGCTACGCTCCTGAACTAGCATATCGGTGGCAAACAGAAATTCAGCTGTGGGTTATAAGCAATGATATCATCGATCCGGAGCCAGTCACCATCAAATCCTTCAGCAAAGAGAATACGGTCAATGCAAGGACCCCCATCTGTTCAAGGAGGTCAGGCTGAAAACGTTTCATAGTCGTGCACAAACAAACCCTAGTATCTGTGCGAGATCTTGAGCGCGAGCTGGCACATGTGAGGCAAGAGAAGAACCAACTGCAGTAGTCCTTTGACGAATGCCAACAGGAACTGAATTATCTAGGAATCGCGATTTCCAAGGTTGAGAGTCAGGATTATAGAAATTCTCCGCAGCATGGAACAGCATCAAGGAAGGTAGTTGGCAGGTTGCAATAGGTGTTCGAATGGTGTTTCGCAATATGTACCCATATGCTGAGCACGTCATAGATTTCCACCGACTTACGGTGGCTAGTCGAGTCAGGGTTGCTTCACGAGGTCAATGACACAGCAGTGAAGTCTTTCTTTCTCCCGGTTCACCAGGTTCAACAACTCGATTCGAGCCAGTGGCTTGAAAAACTCGACGCAGAAATAAACGACTAGACCACTAAAACCTGCGTCTCTTTCTTCTCGGACGAGTTTTTTTGAGAGCTGGTCGGACGGTGGTCTGAAAGCCATCCATTGCATCAACCAAGCCCTTTGCGAGCTAAGAATTGAAGCTAACTAAAGATCAAAGGGCCAGTGGGGCACAGTTGGTGAAAGCTGGATACTGACTGGCATTAAACACTGGGGTATTCCCAGTGTATAGAGACGGTTACGGAATAGCTTCTTGTAGGACAGCCTCCGCGGCAGCGAGGTTCTCTCGGTTGTGTGAGAATAATGAAGATGGCCGGGTGCTACTCTAGAGATTCTTGGGTTGGGTTGCTCGGAGCCAACGGGCAAGGACGCTCATATCATATCGACATACCGCACTTGCTGCCGCGCGTTATCTGTGCTTAGCCATGCAGCACGTAATCCCACACCTTCTGATATTATGCATAGACAATGCCACGTCCTGATTGTCCCATCCGTATGTCCTCATTCCCTCGTATATCATAATGCTGAACCTAAACATAGTCGCGGCGGCAGAACTTTTCCCATTGCCTGCAAGCAGTATATTTGATGACAGCCTTAAGGCGCATACTTCTAGTCGCGCCGCCGATGAAGGCACTAACCTAGTTTACAATATTTTCAGTCCGTCCAAGTCCATGGGGAGAATCGGACTGAATTGCCGGTAGTGGCTCGTCCAGGATAACCATTGGCATCTCCACAACCGACATCACTAACAGGGGCTCGACCACGCGATTTCCACTATTACGACTCCATAGATAGCTTAGATTGGACGGTGGCGTCAACCCCAGCTTACTTGGAAAATTGCTGAAGAATGGAAGGATTGGTTCAGGGACATTTCGGGTCGGTCCCTTGTCCTCCACGGGTTTAGCTACGTTTGTTGGCACGCGCAATTAGGTTAGATGTCGCATTGGGTTGAGTTCGCTTGATATAGATAGTAGTGGATTAGCCCCCGGTGGCTAATTGTTACCCCGGCTTTTTCTATCACTTTCTTCTGCTTGTCGATACTCTAGTCTGAGTCCAGACGAAACAGCTGCCGCCGACGATACTGACGCAGGCGGCGATCACAACATCATGGCGGCTGCTTTGGAAAATGCTGTTTTTGGCCTACCTCACCCGCTGGATGAGAAAGTGGTATCCGAGGATGTCACCGCTGAGTCCTCGCTCCGAAGTCATGACACTGCAGCGGACGTCTACCACCTCGATGCTAAAGGAGACCGTGTGCTCACGACCAAGATTGACTTCAAAGTGATTCCGATCATGGGCTTGCTATACTTGGTCTGCTTTCTGGACAGGACAAACATAGCTAATGCTCGCTTGGCCGGCTTGGAGAAAGACTTGAATATGCCATCGACCGGGTTTAATACAGCATTGTGGATGTTCTACATTCCATTTGTATGGTCCGATAAGCTGCAACGGCTGCATTCGAGCTAACACTCAATATAGGTTCTTTTTGAGGTTCCCAGCAACTGGATTATGGGTCTTCATTGGATCAAACCGAATTTGTTCCTAGGTGCACAAATGTTGATTCTTGGTAAGAGTGATCCATTTATGTTTGAACATAACACTCGACTAATCTCATATAGGTGTCTTGGCCATGTGTCAGGGTTTCACTCACTCCTACGAAGGCCTCCTCGCCATACGGTTCCTACTGGGCATTGTGGAAACAGGCCTGCCTGCCGGTGCCGGTCTACTAATTGCTTCATACTATCGCAAGAAGGAGTTATCACTGCGATTCGCCCTTTTCTTCTCTTTTGGTCAGCTGGGGGCCTGCTTCAGTGGTGTAGGTCTTTGTCTGCTTCTGATGAATTAATGGAGGCTGAAGTTTGACACAGTTACTTGCATATGCGCTTATGAGCCTAGATGGGACTGCAAACTTAGCAGGATGGAGCTGGTGAGCACGATTGCCTCGACAATCCACTACCAAATGTCTAATATATACAGGATCTTCGTTGTTGAGGGACTGATAACTGTTGTCTTCTCAGTCTTTGTCTTCATCTTCACGCCACACTTTCCGGCCCAGGACAAATGGCTAAGCAAAGAGGATCAGTCCCAGCTCCTTGCCCGCCTCCAATGTGACAAGGGCGAGGAGAAACAACGTTTGGCTGGCAGGGTCAACTGGAAAAAGATTATTTTTGATTACAAAATCTGGCTTCTGTAAGTGATATTCATTTTCCCCTGCCAAGCATTCACTAATAGACCCAAAAGGACTCTTCTATTCTTCTGTGCCGATATGTCTGCTGGGTCCCTTAGCTCTTTCAATCCCACGATCTTGAGTCAGTTAGGCTGGACCGAGCGCCGAGCTCAGGTTATGACGATTCCAGTGTGGATTGTCGGTATCGTCGGTGCACTAACAACAACTTTCTTTTCCGGGCGCCTCAATATGAGGTGGCCGTTCATTATCCCAGCAATTCTTCTTAGTGTAGTAGGATGGATCCTTCACTTACTACAAGTCAACCCTCCCGGCGTGCGTTACTTTGCCCAGTTCCTGATCGGCCTTGGTACCTTTGTCTGCATGCCTCTATACATTGGTATGCTGACTGCCAACCTCCGTGGCCGGGCTTCCCAGTCCTTCGGTACTGCGATTGTGTTGGGTATTGGCAACTGCGCCAACTTCATCAGCAGTAACGTCTTTATCACCACTCAGTTGCCTCGTTATCCTGTTGGCTTTGGTACGGGATTGGGCATCACTGCACTTAGCCTCCCGGTGATGTTGTTCACCATGGCCATTTTTAATTATCACAATAAGAGGATCGACAGGAAGATTGCCGCACTACAGCCAGGCGATGTATTGGATGACCAGGTTGACTATAAACTCGTCTATTAATTCATCTATTAAGCGCGGTTCTTTCTGGTATCATTCATTGTAGTCGTTTCCACGATCTTTAATTGGTACCTCTCTGTAAAGTCCAGAATTGGACTACCTTCATAGGTTATTATCGTGAGAAATTGGTTAAGTCTCGACGATGCCAGTTTTCTCGATCTGTCCTCTACTTTTGGGACTTTCTACTGATTTTATATTCACCTTACCAATCAGGTTTGTGTCCTAGATGTGCACTCATTATTAACAAGTTATGCCAACACTTTAGGCGGTGATATGCACAGAGTTTGGAAGATCAGACTTGAGGAAGAACAGGAGTCTGTGTATACAATGAATTTGGACTTCCACGTTTGTTTACCAGTGCTGAAAGGTAATATAACGACCTTATTTTCAATTACTGCTCGGCATAAGTAGGCTGGTAGTTCATGTGGCAAGGGAACCCAACACCAAAGGCACATTACCGTTTCACAGGACGAATGATTTTAAATTGTGTATATCGCGGGCGAATAGCCCATGCGTAGGCAGGCCATCAAGTACGAAAGCTAATTATAGCACTTTGCGATCAAAGTGTTTACTACATACAGTCCTTGGTACATAAGCAGTTTAATCCAGATTTGCGAAGATGAGTCTACAAGGTTTTGCTAGGCCGAGTCCTGACTGGTGCATGCGAAGTGGCGCAAGCGATCGTGGCTATATCCACAAAGCCAACCCCTTCCACCGCAAAATCGCCAGCACAACATAGTGAAATGAATAGGGATTAGTAAGATACCTATAAAACATTCTTGCTGCTTCACGTTCGCTTCATCGAAGAGTCCAAAATAACGTTAGTTTGTGGTGTCTCGCTAACTCGAGCACTGCATGCGCGATTCTGTACCACGTCAATATATATGCTAAATAGTACCGAAAAATGAACGGTTTTGCATGAAAAAGAACCTGGCATGAAGCAGCAGGTATACCTGATGAAGGGACACACATATCTAACCTCTTCTAAATGCTGTCTTCCCCTAGCAAACGCCGAGTCATTCGAAATCAGCTCAAAAAAGCGCAAAAAATTTAGAATCAACTCCAGGACCGAACGTGGATCGAACAAGTGATTCTACACTGCATCGAATGGGTTGGTTCTATGTGTTACCTGCGGCCATGAACAAACACATGCAGCATTGCCAAAAAGTTATGGACAGGACCGAACGTGGATCGAACACGTGGCCTTAGGATAATTGGAGTGTTCAGGGAACGCTGATGAGGCGGACACACTGGTGATACTGCAATCCCACGCTCCTGGAAGATGTTAGAATGTGTCGGTGCGAGAGAGAGGCATCGTCGCAACTTACTACCACTGAGCTACCGGTCCAGGTGCTTGTTGGAGACATTATACTAATTATTAAATATATCGGAAATATGTATGGGTACGCTCGGAGACTTTGTAGCCGCCATCGTTGGGGATACCTCGGCTAAGCTGTTCAGCAATGAGCTACAAGGCGGAGAAACTTCGGCGCTAGGTAAACCAATCAAAAGATGCTTATGGAACTGGTTTTATCCCTGGGTGTTGGCATTCTCGGTGAGTATAGGCATATATGACTGAGACAGGCGATATACACTAGAACTTCACGGGATTTTGACGGCCATCAAGTGGAAAATGGTATTCTTGGTGGTTTTCTAGGCACAGGCCCCACAGATTATGCGTCTTTGATACTCAGGAGGGAGACATAGATAGTACTGCTCAATCGCATGCATGCATTCCACCGCGACACTGATCATGCACCACCTGTCAGATCCCTGCTGACTTGAACCAAAGCGCAACGTTTACAAGCTATGTAGGGTATTGGAAACTTGAGAAGATGAGTTCTATCTGTTTTCTCGGAAAACGGAGAGTTCACTGCCGTTTCGTGGTGGGCTGCGACTGAGTCGTATTGCGCAAGAATGCGACCCTGTTTTATTCCCATGCTAACTCAAAGCCCTAATATATTATCAGGGCCACATCATAACAGCAACACGAATGTAAACATGGAGCTAGATAGGAAAGGTTTCCATTCGACGACGATCTGAAAAGGGGGTAGTCAGTGTAAGTGCTTATCGATAGAGTATGCAATTGTCTATCTGTCGGATGCTCCTTCTTGCCTCGAAGACATGGACGCTATTGCCCGCTGCGCAATTGCTGAACCGCTCTGGGGCTACAACTGGCCGCTAACAATTACCTTGACTAATTCGGCGAAAACAACAATCCTTATGTACACGGTAATACCATAATACCTATGGGGTGTGTTTGATTTGTTGAACGGTTACCAGTGACTGCTGCACTACCAGCAGCATTCTGCATCGCTCGAACTCATTTCTCTTGTTTGCCTGATTAGTATGAGCAATCGAAAGATCGAACCTATGCATAGTCCCTACACAGGGTGCAACTCTAGACTTGAAGCGCGCTGTCTAGCATCACGCCACGCCAGTAAATTTCAAGACTCAGGCTTGTTCCACTACTGAACACCACCAGATGTAATTTGTCAGCACTGAACACAATATGTGCTGGGTTTATACTCATTCTTCTGCCACTTCGCAAATATATGGTAAAAACTGTTCGTAGACCTGGTGCCCCGGGCACCTGTGCACAAGCGTTGTGCTTAGTCCATGTGCAAGTTGATTTTCGGAAGGTCAAATTGAAAATATTTCACCTCGTGTGTTCAGAGTGGTTCTTCGAATGGCAGTTGGCAATAATGCATTCATTACCTGACAAGTCCTGACGAGGAAGCACTGTGCCCGATAGAATGGCATGTCTGAATTGTAACCATTCGGCAACTCTGGCTCTACAAAAGACGCGAGTTTTCTGTACCTCCAAAATACTGACGTAATGGACTCGAAATTAATTGCCGTCACACGTTAGTAAAGCAGAGCTTCTCGTGTATGAACGTCTTCTACGCAGATGTGTGATTGCGTGTTGCGTGAGCGTGCGGGGAGTGGGATAACAGTCATGGGAGTTAATTGTATAGAATAGTATAGAACAACAGTATAAGGCAAACAGATGTTATTGCATTGGACTGAGCAGCATTCACCTCTATGGTTGATGCGACAACAACAAAATGAGGAGGGGGTTCGTACATGAGTGACTGTAACCCACTGTCCAATAATGCCCCCCTGTCAAGCAACATGGACCCAGTCCCCATCCGCTGGATCCACAAGACTCGCAATGGTCGGACCAGATTTCGTTGTCAGCCTGCCTTTATCATCTTCATCGTGTCAACTACCGTTTCTGACACAAGTTGGGTTCTCCTGAATTGCTGGGATTCTCATATTCGGCACAAAGTTGCGGTTGAGAAATGGAAGAAATTGAACTGGTCGTCATTGGCGCAGGTAGGATTCATGCTCTCTGGTTTTACATCATGAATACTAATGGTTCATATGGCTCAGGGTGGTACGGGCTTGCCGAAGCCAAAGTATTCCATGAGATCAATCCATCCAAGTCGTTCTTGATCTTGGAATCTGCAGCAACGCTCGGTGGTGTTTGGGCCGCGGAACGGCTTTATCCTGGACTGAAGACGAACAACATGCTTGGGACTTATGAATATCCAGATTTCCCAATGAAAACCGAAGTTTTCGGTGTAAAGCCAGGCGAACACATCCCAGGGGCAGCTGTTCACGATTATCTTATGCAATATGCAGAGAAGTTTGACATTATTGACCACATTCACTACCAAAGTAGGGTCGAAGTCGCCGAGCACCAAGAGAATGGTGGATGGGTCTTAAAGGTCCTCACCCACGGAGAAGATACAAACAGTAGACGGTATACAGAGATAAGGGCGAGAAAGCTTGTCGTTGCAACAGGCCTGACATCTGATCCGTTTCTCCCCGACATTGACGGCCAGGAGTCTTTTGGAGCTCCAGTATTCCATAACAGCAAGCTTCAGCAACACGCAGACATTCCTGACGATTCTAAGAGAAGAGTAACGGTGTTTGGTGCGACAAAGTCTGGGTGGGATGCTGTGTATGCCTATGCGACCAGGGGCGTCAAGGTAGACTGGGTCATTCGGGAATCCGGGCACGGCCCTGCGTGGATGGCGCCGCCTTATGTGACACCCTTGAAGAAATGGCTCGAGAAACTTGTGAATACTCGATTGCTGACTTGGTTCAGTCCCTGTATCTGGGCTGCAGCTGGCGGTTATAGTGGCATTCGGTGGTTTTGGCATGAAACGTCCATCGGTCGCGCAATCACGAACACCTTCTGGTCTATTCTGGGCAACGACGTCATCACCCTAAACAAGTATGATTCTCATCCCGAGATGGCAAAGTTGAAACCGTGGAGTCTACCGATGTTCACAGCGTCGAGTTTTTCTATACTCAACTATGATACCGACTTCTTCGAGCTAGTCCGCAACGGAACAGTCAAGATACACATCGCCGACATCACCGGGCTCTCGGATCACACCGTTCACTTGTCCGATGGCCTGAAGCTGCAATCCAGCGCGCTGTGCTGCGTTACCGGGTGGAAGCATCTGCCACCTATGCGATTCCTTCCGGAAGGCATCGATAGGGAGCTTGGCATCCCGCACACTCCTTCAGTGTCTGACCCTTCTGCGTTGGTCGCGAAAGCCGATGAGGAGATCCTCAAGAGGTTCCCTCGTCTCAAGGACCAACCCGTTCAGAACAAACACCTCGTCCCGCTCCTAGAAAACAAAGGCATATCGACTTCGGAGCAAGTCAACCCCTCAACAAATCTCACACCGTACATGCAGTACCGATTCATGATCCCGTCATCCGCTAGTCTGCTCAAACATAGAGACATAGCTTTTGCTGGCATGTTGATGAACTTTTCAACCTCGATCATGGCACACGTCCAGGCGCTGTGGATCAACGCATACTTCCGAGATGAACTCGACTTTCCTGATTGGACGTCTTCTGACGTGCTGGAAAAGCTTCAGTACGAAACTGTCCTTTTTAGTCGTTTCGGCAAATGGCGATACCCCGGTGGACACGGCGCACAGCAACCCGACTTCGTGTTTGATGCAGTCTCTTATCTGGACCTGCTGGTAGCCGACCTGGGGTTGCAAGTACATCGCAAGAAAGGACATTTGGCGGAGATCTTGGAACCATACGGACCAGAGGATTACAGCAACGTGGTTGCAGAATGGACGGAGAAGCGCCACGACCAAGGCCGCCCGGCATGATCGAATTTGTCAATACGGTAGTATAAACCCACCGTCGACACCCCCATATGTTGGGTTTACGATATAGTTACGTGTTTGAAGCCAAAAGTCTGGTGATGAACTTAACGCACGGTTTGCTGCTAGGAGTGCCTAAGATAACCTGAGTAAAACAAGTGTCCAGCTTAGTTAGAATACATATAGCCTAACAGGTGAAGTTCTGTAGTCATTCAATTGACGTATTATGTAGTCGTTCCGTTCGATACCAAATTGTAATGTCGTGCCGTATATATGGACTCACAAATACGAAACATATTTTCAGTTATCGCAGCTCCGACCGAGAATTCGCAAGTCATTCAGGCTTGCAAGTCAGTATTTGAGATAGACTGGTACATAGTATTCAGTATCAATTTATAATAATACCCTCCATCGAGCAACTACTCATCCAGCAGGTTAAGTATTGTGAAACCCAGTTGAGATTATAACGGGGGACTGAGAGGGGGCAACTCTCAGAGGACGCATCACGGGGTGTGTATATGCGCAGACGAACTCAACCTAGTGTTTTGACTGTATAGAGCAAGAATTCCTTGTTTTGCCCTATGCTGAAGAGCTGGTGGCATAAATATCAAGAAGATGTTGTGGAGGGGTTTTGTGTTATTTAATGCTAAAGCATGCTTGATTTAAGCTTAGTGGGTTTCAGTGGGCCAACGGTGTTGAATAGCGCATCCTTTGGCGCCGAACTGATGGCAAGCGCCCAGGGCCCCCTCGCTCTGCCCAGCAGGCAATCTCCTCTCGAGCAGAGGGAAGCAAAACGAGACGCAATCTCTTTACTCCAAGTAGTAAAACTGAGGGACATTAATTCCCAATTGCTTCGGCATTCTTTCACTCCTTTACCGCGTTTTGAGAAACTATCACATTTGCTATTCAAAAGACTCATAATGGTCACTCGCGCGGGTCTAGTCCTGGCCGCGGCGTTGTTCGCGGCACCTATCTCGGCCAAAACCGATATGGAGGGTTGTGTTTCGTCGAAGACGGTTGCGTACGGCGGAGCAAGTCTGATCTGGTATGTGCCAGACACTGGCGAGATCTGCGCGTTTCTTGACTGCGGTAAGACACTACTCTAGACAAACTCGGTACACTTATACGGATCTCTTACTCACGTTCAATATAGGAGGTGGTCGGGCGCCACCCAAGACTACGGTTCCGGGTTGTGGTGCGTACTCGGGCACGGCATCGTACTCTCCATCCTACCTGGCAGGATATGGTAGTGACTCTGTAGCCTCTTCAACCTCGGCGGCGGCGGCGGCTGGCTCCACAGAGGCCTCTGTGACCACAACCACGCTCGCCACTGGTTCAAGCGCGGCAGAGTTGCCTACCCTGACTGGAGATTCTACTGCTCTTACTGGCACCATCTCACCTACGATTACCTCGGCGGCGAGTCTCACCACGTCGGTCAGCGGGTCGACAGCAAGCCAGGCCAGTGCGTCGACATCGGGCTCAAGCGCAAACTCGAGCTCGAGCAGTGCTTCCACCGCTGCTGGTGCCATGGCTACGGCTGGCCCGCTGGGAATGTTTGTAGGTGTTGCAGCAGGAGTCGTAGCTATGTTCTAGTTAACGCCGTATCGATGTGGCGTGGACAAGAATGACAAACGGACATGTAGGATTACACACCTTAATGTAGACGCGATTATATCGAACACATGCGAATAGTCTGTAATCCGATTCATTGAAGACACTATTGCTCATTGTGATCACCTGCCAATAAAGCAGAATGTCTCGCATGTGCCTCTTCTAGGGACATGAGAACTATAATCGGGTTATATGACGAATTCTTTTTCACGTTTAACAATTAATGCAGAGATTCGCACTACGTCTGGGTGAAACCAGTCAACCGGAGAGAAGCTGCTGAAACTCTAGAATTACAAGAAACTAGTTCAGTAATGTGTCCAATTGTGTAAAGTCGATAAAATATTCTCCAAGAATAATCTATAGGCCCAGATGAATACATCAGTTGCGCTCCTGCACAATATAGGTGGTTCAGTGTTTTGAGTCGCTGGCATCTTGAGGACTGCAGTCTACCACTCCCAGACTGATGACTGACCTATACCTAGTCAACCAATCTGCCGGATGCATTGGAGCTGCTTCTGCCGCACTACATGGCCCATCAGTTATAACCACATGTTACATTTCAGGCGCTGTGGTTAGACACGGGTTTGAAGTAAACGAGGGTTCGTGGTGGCGAGAAGGCAATCATTTATGACACTAACCTTAGTTTATTAGGAACAATACGGGATGATATGACCGAGCTGGGTGCTACAACTCTGGGATACATACACAAGCGAGGCAATAGATTGGCACGTCTCCTACTTGGATCAACCAGCGGCAACACTGGTGGTTGATGGCGGGCGAGTGTTTCGACCTCTTTCACGAGTCTAGCTTCCATTTGTTTTCAACTCATTTTGATAAAATATTAAATATCACGTTTTTCAAAGTCGGAAGATTTTTGCGAATTTTTTTTGTCTTCACAATGGCAGAGCTAAAAACGCACGAAGATTTGATAACAATCCATATCTCGTGAACGTGTCGTATTAGCATAGCAGCATGAGTCTAACCGCGGCAATGCTAACCATCTTCCCTTTTTTATCGTCAACCATGGCACGTCGTCAGATGCGCGTACAAGAAAAACGTGTGTGTATGATTGGCATTTCCCCTGAGAAATTGATTGACCAAATGACAATGATGAAGCCTATCCCTTACGCCCAGTCAATGACCGACAAGTAAAACCCCGGGTTTTCCTCCCAAGAGATTACTATGCTCTCGACATAACACCCCAAGCACGGATGATGTTGTCGGTGTAACCAGCGAACAGAGTCTGGCCATCAGCAGACCAGGCCAGAGAGACGGGCTCGGGGGCACGGCTCTTCTTGCCAACGGAGGCGAACTCGACGATGAGCTCGTCAACCTTGCTCTTCTTCTCGAGGTCGAAGATGATGATGTTGCTGGCGGTAGCGGCGCAGAGCCAGTATCGGTTGGGGGAGAAGACAAGAGCGTGGATCTCGTCACCGGCGTTGAGGGAGTACAGGTGCTTGGACTCGTTGAGGTCCCAGAGCATGGTGGTACCGTCCTTGCCACCGGAGGCGCAGAGAGAGCCATCGGGGGAGATGGTGACGGTGTTGATGTATCCAGTGTGGCCGATGTGGTCAGTCTGGAGCTTGCAGGTGGAGAGCTCCCAAACCTGGGAGATTGGAGTTAGCAAACATGACTTCGGGCAAGGTCTTGGAGAGCCCAGGAGACAAGAGATTTGCGCTTCGTAGATAAAATCAGGGCAATTGGTGAATAGTGGTCTCATGGCAAGCCGAAGCAAGCTCTGAAGTAGCAAATACTTTTTTTGCGTAGCATCATGTAGAACAAAGCGCGTGCAAATCTCTCTCTCCCTAGGGGTCGGGGGGGTGGGTCATCTTACCTTGACGAGTTTGTCCCAAGAGGAAGAGACAATGACGGGGTTCTGGGGGTTGGGGCTGAAGCGAACGCAAGAAACCCACTCGGTGTGGCCCTTGTCGGTGATGGTGTACTTGCAGTCACCGAGGGTGTTCCACAGCTTGATGGAGCGGTCACGGGAGCCGGAGACGATCTGACGGTTGTCGGCGGAGAAGGAGACGGAGAGAACGTCGTTGGTGTGGCCGACGAAGCGGCGGGTGGTGGTGCCGGTGGCGAGCTCCCAGAGGCGGAGGGTCTTGTCCCAAGAGGCGGACAGAGCGTAGGCGCCGTCGGAGGAGATGACACAGTCGGAGACGATGTGGGAGTGACCGTGGAGAGATCGCTTGGGGTAACCGTATGACGACTCGTCGCGGGTCAGGTTCCAGATGATCAAGGTCTTGTCACGGGATGCGGACAGGAGCATGTTGGGGCTGGTCGAACAAGTTAGCATCCTGCAGATACGATGGGATATCTCGATTTTATTCGATGTCGTCGTAAACGTACTTCTCCATGGAGGTAGCCAAGCTTGTGACCCAGCCATTCTGGAAATCTTTGTTAGCCAGCTGCCCGGTTTTGGTGACGTGTTGCAGTGCAGCGCAGAGCAGAGCAAACGAGAAAACGAGAAACAAAGACGAAAAGAGCCATTGCTGCCGCTGCCGCTGATGTTGTTGCTGCTGCCACGCTGCAGAGATCCTCAGTATCCTCCCAAAGGCGGCGTTTGCCTTGCAACCCGGGTTGCTTGTGTGTAGAGCAGTGCAGCGAGCAACAACAAAACAGCGGCGGCAATCAATGAATTATTTCTTCATGTCAATCCGCCACAAAAGCGAGCGAGCAAAGAAAGAAAGCCGCAAAACTTACGTGGCCCTCGAGGGTACCCTTGAGAATCAGCTGCTCAGCCATTGTCGGGGTATGCTTCAAGTCTGCTTCGACACAAAGAACCTGAATTGGAGTGGGTGGTAGGAAGATATTCGTTGTCGTTGGGCTTGAGACTATCACCGTTACCGAACTCGCTGAGAGTCTGGAGCTCGAAATTCCGAGAATTTTTGTGTGGTTCGCTTTAGGGTCAAAAATTGATCGCTTTGGGAAAATGGAGAAGAGAGCAGGGGGGTGGGGCGTAAGGTGGTGTGTGCACCTGGTGCACCTCGGGAGCAGGTGTACTTTGTTGCAGGTGCAGCCTCGCGGGAGGCTATTATGGGGGGGGGGCCTGCTATCCACCAATCAAAATCAATCCTGACGAACCTACGGAATCTGTAGAGCAGCTGGCAGCTGTGGAGCCCTGAGATTATTGAGGTTCAAAGTTGGCAAGGTTGGGCACCGCCGCCCATCAAGTAATCTGTATCTGGAGCCTGGACATGACATGCATCGAATCATCACACGTGAGAAAGCAACATGGCAACTGTAACTAACATCTTCGTTCTCATACTCTGCTAGTATCAATCTACTTTCAATCAGGTACGCCTGGACAGCCCTAGTCTGAGCTTAAATGGCCAATGCCAATGTTCTCTATTCTCGCTTGCCGATGCTACCTAGTGCCAGTACATTTGTTCATATGGGGTATCTCAAATGGAAAATAATAAAAAATAGAAAGCAAAAGAATAACGCCTGATGCAAATGCCCTTCACTCGAAACCCCATTGCGCCCTGTCGTGCTGCATGTCATCAGCTCTTGCTTTGCACAGTCCCAAGCGGCCCCCTGTTGCTCGTTCTTGGCACCTCCCTGCGCCTGAACCGTACAGATGAGTCCACGATCACACTATGATCTGCAATCTCCTGCCGGTCCCGCGAGGATCCTGCCTGCTCCGGCATCATCGACTTCATCATTGCCTCCCACGCGTCGTAGCGTTCCTTGCTCATCGGGTTTCTCTGCGCCAGGTCCTTGAGCTCCTTCTGCTGGCTCATCTTGGTTGCACGATTGATCGTCCGGAGAGCCTTCTCCCCCTTCTGCGCAGCTGCCAAAGCCTCCGTCCGCTTCTGTGCCGGGTCCACCGCCGCCGTCTCCTTGGGCGTGAACCTGTACGTGTGCTTGCTTGGGAAGGCCGGCAGCCCATCTGGAATCCACGACTTCTCTTGCCTCTCGGCGTCGCCGTCCAGCTCCTCACCCAGCCATGCTGTTGGGGTCGTCCGGAAGTAGTCAGTCTGCGGGATGATGGGCAAGGGATCGTAGTAGTCCACTCGGAGCTTCTCCTTGGCCACTGGATTCTTGAGATGCGGCTTCAGCGAGACAATGGGGACGTTGTGTTTGCGCAACAGCTGAGCAAAGTCGGTTGGCGTAGGTTGTCGTCTCCTGGCAGATTCGGCGAAGCGCTTGACGTGTTCCACAAACGTCGTCATGTCTTGCCCCTAGTTAGCAAGTAGCACAGACCGTAAACAAGACCGGCACTGTAGTTACTTACATGTCTCGGTCGTCGATGTCAGACTCTCCAGAGCTTCCTGCGATGACGATTCAAAGCCTACATGCTGCAGGGCGAGTACGATAGATCTTTGGAGACCTTCTCGCGCAAAGTTGGCTTCACTGGGTCTGTTTAGTTTTTCCGAGGCTGTCGGGTCGCTTTGAATGTCAGAGTCGGCAGTCGCGGTGTTCGGCTCTTTCTCTTGCTCTTGCTCTTGGTCTGACTCCAAGGGAGCTGCCCGCTGTCTCTTGCTGGGGTTCTCGTCCTGTTGGCTACTCTCATCTTCTTGAGATGGTCGCTTCTGTCCTAGCTTGGGCGACGCGCTTATATCCATGACTGCTCAAATGAATTGGGTGATACCAGGCACGATTGCGCTGGCCAGAGAGCTTTCCTTACAAAGCCTCGATGGATTGGGCGAATGACTGGATTCGATGCGACGCGGGAATGTCGCCTGAGATGAGAAGGAAATTTAATGCTGTAGACGTTTCGGGGCCGGGAAGGAAGGAGAGGGCCTTCGCGCAAATAAATACTATTAGCAGCCTGATCAGAGAGCAGTCGGCACAAGGTCAAGCACAAAGCTCACAGCGAGTCTTGAGATGCTTTGGGTCGAGGTCGGCAAGTCACAGCATTGTGTCGCCGATGCAGAACAATCCAAGTTGAGCTTGGACGGCTGGGACCGCTAGAACCGCTAGGACCGCGTGGGGTGAATGGAGCACAAGCACAAAAGCATAAGCACAGTCACAATCACAATCACACAGTACGCGACAGCAACGCGACAGCAACGGGACTGTTTGCACTAACAATTCATTGAGCACTCCTGAGCTCCAAGCACGACCTCGCACAATCTTGCACTAAGCATCCAGCATAATTAGCCATCAGCACAACTTGTCCGAGTTATTCAAATATTCATTATTATTATTAGAGTCCGCTCAGCAGATGAGACAGGACCCTCAGATACTATCTGCAAACCAAGAAAGACTCCATCCAGCCTTTGTTCGTCAATGCGCCACTGTGCAACGCCTCCAGTTGGACAACAACCCTTCTTGAACAGTCGTGCACAAACAGAACTAACCTCATCATTTTGTTCCGCCCAAGAATAACTGCGTTACTAGGTAATGCAGCGAACACGTCTAAACTTACGTAGTGGCATGCGCTCGTCACGCCAGGGGCATAGTCAGCCATAGTCATAGTCATAGTCATAGTCACTCACAAACATGGTCGCGCAACTCACGAGCAGTGCTATCAAGTAAATCGTTTGTTGCAGGCACGTTCGTTCTACTCGCACATTGGTTGGTTCACATCTTCTTTCCATTTCGAGATGCAACTTTATATTGCAGGCCCTGCTGCTTCTTACCTCCATTTGACGCGGCCCCTTAGACTGGGAGGCTATCGATTCAGTCAGTCTCACACGGCTAGTTCCACTTAATATCGGTGAGCGACCACAGATGTCTCACATCTGAATCTCTGTGCTATCGTTTTCCTCTCTTCCTGTCGCTTTCAATTCCTGCCAGTCCTCAAATCCTAAGTATCCCTAATCCTTCCTCACGCCAACATGGGCGACCTCGCGTCTTTTCCGGATCAGCAAAATCCCATCAAGAAATTCAAATTGTCGGTACCTCTAGATAAGTTCCCATCCCACATATTCGACCATGCAGCGACCCTTGAACATCTCGACCTCTCTGGCACTGGCATCTCCAGCTTGCCGGACGATTTCGGCAAATTCAAAGAGCTGAAGATAGCATTCTTTTCGAACTGCAACTTCGCAATCTTCCCGAGGCAACTAGCCTCGTGTCCGAAACTCGAAATGGTTGCCTTTCGTTCCAATAGCATGAGAGAAATTCCAGAAGACGCTCTGCCGTTACGCCTTCGTTGGCTCATCTTGACCAACAATGTGATCGAACAGCTGCCGAAAACCATTGGCAATTGTTCACGCCTCCAAAAGTGCATGCTCTCTGGCAACCAGATTCGTACAATCCCCACGGAAATGTCATCTTGCCAGAAATTGGGTCTTCTCCGACTATCGGCAAATCGCATCGAGGACCTCCCTCATTGGTTATTTGAAATGCCCGAACTGGCTTTTCTGAGTTTCGCCGGCAATCCATGCTCATCTGCAGCCGCTCATAAGGTCGGTGCAGCCTCAGCCCTTCCGAGCGTATGCTGGACGGACATCGAAGTGCAAGAGCTCCTGGGCGAAGGCGCCTCGGGCGTAATATCCCAGGGCCAATGGAAAACTGCCGGTGGGTTTCAACAAGTTGCTGTCAAGCTTTTCAAGGGGGATGTTACCAGTGATGGTACGCCGCTGGACGAAATGAGTGCTTGTATTCATGCTGGCTCGCACGACAATCTTATTGACCCTCTTGGGGAGATCCAAAGTCATCCCAATAAGAAGGGTCTTGTGATGCAGCTTATCCCACCATCATATATCACGCTAGGTCTGCCTCCGTCTCTCGAAAGCTGCACGCGCGACTGCTTCCCCGTTACGACGAAATTGAGCGCGTCCCAAGGACTGAGGTTACTACAAGGCATTGCCTCAGCTGCCGCTCATCTCCATGCTCGAGGGATTGCTCACGGAGATTTGTATGCTCATAATATTCTGTATGATGCGGAAGGTCACGCGCTGTTGGGCGATTTCGGAGCTGCGTCTATATATGAGAATCATCACGGTATCGAAAAGCTCGAGGTCCTTGCATTTGCTCATCTCATTGAGGATGTGCAGAACCTCATTTTTTCCAAAGCACTAGACAGTCAATCACCGCTTGTGAATTCTGCAGCGGAGGCCCTAGCTGGCTTGCGCAAAGCTTGTGGTGCTTCAAACGTTGACGAGCGTCCATCCTTTGCTTATATTGGTAAAAGTCTGGCCGATTTTCTTCGGTCGAACGACGACTGTAGGACCACCAGTTACGATGGATATGACCTTGCTTGAATCTGAAACTGTGTGGTGACTCCAAATGGCACAGGGGCCAGGGCTGATACGTTCGGTCGGACGCCACTGATGACAAACGCAACATAGAAAGAAAGAGGGTGTGTACAAGGAGCAGCCGCACAGAAGAGTAATCCCATAGACATAGACGATCCTGGCTACATAGGAATGTGCACGGTTCCTCATACAGAACAACAAAAGATAGATTTTCACAGTTGGCTTACAGTTGATGGCAGAGAATGCTTGTCGGCAACAATTAGGAGACAGGGTCGTAGACAACAAGATCATAGACTCCAAAGCTGAGTGCCGATGGATGTTTACCGTTGCCATTTAGACAGTCTCGATTGTTACCCTGGTAGGGTTGAACGGGGGACTGTCAAAACGATGGAGTACGAGGGCGCTTGTTATAACACGGGACGAGATAGATTCTTATATCCATTCCAGTAGAGGTTCAATGCTTCTGCGATTGTGCGGACTTAAGTATGGAGATCAGCTGACAGTGTTCGCACCTCTCGGTTATCGCTCGGGTCTCGCAATGAAGTGGCAGTAGGCTTTTTAGGTGCCGCAACTTAAAAACCGCCATTTGTCAAGACGTAGGAAGGATGCATTTGTTGCAAGTGTCAAGTTCGAGAGGCGTGGCGTGGCAGCAGCATGCACCCGCGCTGGCGGCTTGGCCGAATGGATCCTTTACCCTGTCACTGATCACGGGGCCGTCCGTCATGGGTCAAATGTGTCGAGCTTGATACCCTGCTGCAATCCCGCAAACTCATCCGTGAATTCGACAGGTTTCGACATACTCATAGTGATCGCATGGCCACATTTGCTATGACCAGCATTCGAAGCCGGCAGCTTTGGGTGATACAAATTACTGTGTAGTTTCTGAATTGTGGGGTCGTTGGATAACGGCGCCGCTGCCGCCGCGGCCATCGCAATGCTGCAAGGCATTGATCCATCACTATTCCCGGTCCTGAAGACACGAAGGGCACTCGTGATTGTGGACGCACAGAACGATTTCCTATCTGCGGATGGGCCTTTACACATAGACGTGCCTGGCAATCTGACGGACCGCATCATTCAACTAGTCACAGGTTTTCGGCCATATGGCGACATAGTTTGGATTTGGAGCGAGTATAGCCAACCACGGCCCGCAAGGAGCGAGCAGATCATCGTTTCTGACACACCAATCAAAGATTCAAGGCGTTCGTCATCATCCAGAGGCAAGAGACAGGCCAATGGCGGCGATCAGCCTCCATCAAGATGCGCAGAGGCTTTCCTCTCAGGTCCCGCACCGGGTCGGCCGGAGTGTGTCAGGAAAGGAAGTGACGGCGCAAAGCCTCCGACTACCATTCAAGAGCTTATGGGAAAGAAGGACATGTCCTTTGTGAAGACACACTATTCCGCCTTTCAAATCCCAGACCTGATCCAGCGCCTGAGGATGAAATTTGTTAGTGAAGTCTTCATCTGCGGATCTCTCTCCAACATTGGTGTCATGGCCACCGCGATCGATGCGGGGTGCCATGGTTTGGATATTGGCATCATCGAAGACTGTTGTGGTCGTAGAGATGACAGGCGACATGCTGGAGCACTTGCGCGCATACAGGAGATGACCGGCTGCGAGGTTTTGTCCACCGACAAGATTCTGGAACGCCTCAAACCCAAGCCCAAGGTGCAGAGACAACTGGCAGCTCCAATACCCAACCCTTCTGGGAGGCGCTATCCAGTTGTCTACGATGCCTCTTCTGGTAACACCGATGGGAATGAAGAAATGAAAGCGAGCAACGAAAGCTCATCTTCCACTGCACCAGCGACGGCAAACCTGGCTTCTTCGATGGCAAAAATGTCACTCTCTAATCAAGCAGAAGATGAGCTACCACCAATAACATTTACTCGCGCCAGAGTTGCGATACGTGGCCGGCCAGCGCGCCCTTTGCTTGACATCGAAAAACGATTTGGCGAGCAGCTCAGAGACCCAGACGCCATGTACGATAAGATCAACAGTAGTTTGGGCATTGGCAGTGAGTCACATAATGGGGGGTCCGGATTGTCAGTGGGCATTGCACAGCCACAAACTACCCCAGAAGCTAGAAGACAAGAGAAGGTTTCTGAAGGTAAGCAAAGCATTGTCAATACATCTGAAACGACAAAAGCAGATAGCGTGGCCATTACAACGAAAATATCAAAGTTGGACTACGGAGAAAGTGCTCAATCAACAGTTGTGCCCAGACAGGCGCAGACTTTTCCTAGCACAATGGAGAAAGCAACTACGGTCATAAAAGCGAAGACCCTTCCTCCCACAGATACGACGACCGTAAGGAGCACATTGGACTACTCGCAACAAACACCAGCAAATATAGGTGCCAAAGAGGAAATCACTAGAGAAGCGAACAACATGAGTATCGGCGAAAGCGAACCTTTGTGCGAGGGTGACACCAGAGTGATATACAATGTGCTGCCACATCCACTTTCTGACAATATATTCAAGAAAATCAAAGATGAGGTCGAGTGGAAGCGAATGTCGCATCAAGGAGGAGAGGTGCCGCGACTGGTAGCTGTCCAAGGAGAGGTGGATCAGGAAGGCAATACTCCTGTCTATAGACATCCCGCAGACGAATCGCCACCGTTGCTTCGGTGGACACCAGCCATCAAGGATATCAAGGACGTGGTGGAGCGGAAGGTTGGCCATCCGTTGAACCATGCACTGATCCAATATTACCGCGATGGGACCGACTACATCTCCGAACACAGTGACAAAACATTGGACATAGCGAAAAACAGCTTCATCGTCAATGTCAGTCTCGGTGCCGAACGGACCATGACCCTGCGTACCAAACGTCATCCCAAACCCAAAGACGCACCTCAACCACAATCCACCGTGGATGGCCCGAAACGTGAGGTTCAGCGCGCACGGCTGCCGCACAACTCCATGTGCAAGATGGGCTTGCAGACAAACATGCGATGGCTTCATGCCATTAGGCAGGACCATCGACTCGATCGTGATAAGACCGAGGAGGAACTTGCATATGGGGGCGCCCGCATCTCGTTAACGTTCAGGCAGATAGGCACTTTCCTGGACCGCGAACAGAAGATGATATGGGGCCAAGGAGCCAAGGCGAAGACGAAGGAGGCAGCAAACGAGGTCATCAATGGTCAGACGCCCGAAGCAGTAAAGATGCTCCAGGCATTTGGCCGGGAGAACCAGTCCACCGAGTTTGACTGGGAAGAATCTTACGGCTCGGGTTTCGATGTCTTACACATCTCCGCCGCTCCTCGATTGTTCACTAGCAGCGACCCAGTAGCCAACCTGCGAGTACAGCTCATGCTTGCCGAGCTAGGTGTTGGGCACGCAAAGGGCAGCCTTGCCCCAGTTTCTACCAGCCGGGAACGGCAGGAACGTCGATCGGGAGATCCTCTAATCAAGCTAGCCGACAATGATCAAGCTAGGACGACTGTTCGCGGAGATGTAGCGATCATGATGTATATCGATCGTTTTTATGGCAAGCACAGCGGCGACTCATCCGAGAGACCGAACATCGCTCGCGCATTTGAGAGGTTCCAAGAAGCCCTAACCCTAGACCCAGAGCGAAGCCATGATCCGAAGTGTCTGGGGTTATGGGAAGCTTACGCCGAACAGGCAGATTACATTGCTGGAGGAGCTTCTATCAGCATAGCTGACTTTGCTTTTTGGCCCATGCTTCACGAAACTCTGGGAAGTAATAGTGACTCTAGAGCAGCACTCGAAAACTTTCCCAATCTCAAGGCATACTACTCGCGCATTAGGGCAAGCGACACTATCGTCAAGATGATCGGGAAGGAGAAAGAAGTATCCAGCCCTAAATCATCCAAATTGGTGTCCCCATCAGCATAGCAAAAGAAATTACAAACTAATTGATTTACATTCTTTGACATGCCTGCACTTGCAAAATCCCATGTTACCCGAGGCTCAGGTGCGCTGATTTTGATGTTGTGCACCGCTCCCATCGAAGGCTAAGTGTTCCGTGATTCAGATGCAGACGACAATACCCAGTCGCAGTGCTAATGTACCCTGTCTCTCTCCCTCTCCCTCTCTCTCCCTCCCCCCCTCTCTCTCTCATGCGTTCCCTTGACCCCATGAATATACGCCTACCCGGCTCCGACCCTCCCAACCCCTTTCCCGAACCCTCTCATATCTCTTGTCCCTCTCCTCCAGCGCTTCCTCGGCACTCACGCCCAAGCCGAAAGGGGCAACCTCCTCTCGCTGCACGTCCATCCAGCCTCTCCATCCGGCATTCACGTCGCCCCCGCTGCCACCGACGACGAGAGTGCCCCACCACACCCGACCGCGCGACGCGTGAGCGCCGTAGAGCATATGCTGCTGGGCGGCGCTGATGGCTGCCTGGGTCTGGTTGTGGGGAGGGTCGCCCGTCGCAGCAGAATGGGGCGAAGACCGGGCTGGGCGGTAGATGTAGATGTGCGCCAAGTCTCCCGGTCGGGCCGGTAGGTTCCTGTCCGCGGACGGAGCGATCAGGCGTGTCACGTCAAATCTGTGGTCTACGTCAACAATGACGATGGCGTGGCGATGCGGTGCCGCGATCAGCGTGGAGGTGAGATGGTAGAGAAAGGGGAGATAGCGACCGGACAGGGAAAGGACAGGTGGTGGGGCCGACTGGTTCGCATGATGGTGTTTTGATATCAATGTTGAGAGAGACGTGATAGGGATCTGGGGGTTGAGAGGTGGGTGGCCCTGTGATGGCGGGAGAATCGAATCGCGAAGGCGATTTAACAACTATGTATGTGTCAATGCATGTCGATAATGGTGTGGAATCTGACTATTGTATGCACTATTCCGAAGTGATCAAGCAGCGGCGTGCAATGATTCGAAGGGGGCCATGTGTAAGCGGAGGGTGCTCGAGCTGATAAGATAAGCCGAAGCTTTGACCCCGGAACTTCGGAAATTTGAAGCTCGCAACCCTCCCAAGCCTGTACATCGCGATGCATTTTATGGTGTAGCGGGTTAGGACCTCGGACAGATTGTGCGCTTACATCTTCAAGGCTTTCCTCCTCTACCTCGCCTAGAATTCTAGCTCCGACGTGCTTGGCGGCGGCGGCGTCCATTGCGCTCCCCTTGTAAACATCAGGCTCTTTATTTATATTGTCCCCTACTCCCTATCCGCAAACCGACCAAGATGACGCCGCCCTGCAAGATCTTCAAGGCCGACGAGCTTGAAGACGCGGTTCAGCTAAACTTGGCACAAAGGAAGCGCAAGACGGCGGGCGGAAAAGATATCGATCTAGCCCAGTGCCCACTATTCAGCATGGTGCAATATGATTGCCAAATTGAGCGGCCAGATCTACCACACAGTCCAGTCCAGTGCTTCGAGGTACAAAGATGGTTCAGGCGGTGAGTTTCTCGTTCTCTGTCGGGACGACGGTGATGAAAGGATGAGGTCTGAGACAAGCACATGGAACTATGACATATATCAAGTGCGGGGCTTCCGGGCCCTGTGGGATCAATTCAGACAATGATGCCAGGGGCTGACAAACGCTTCAGATGTCAAGACAAGAAGGGCTCGTTTATGGTTGAGACTACGAACTGGGAAGGCAAGGCCGAAAGAGATGTGTCCATTGCATCGTCCTCTGCAGCTGCTGCAGCAGCAGATTCCAGGAAAGTTGGGGACCAGAACAACGGTTGGATGCATTTGTGGAAAGAACGGGAACTAAGCCACGATGGCCAGTACCGGGAACGTTGAGTGGACAATGTGACCATTACAATGGCTGTATGTAATGCCGATATTCACGGGTTGAGATGTTTGGCAGTGAACGTCTGGCATGGGACTGCATGTACCATCCATTTCATATGACGTCTGCACTAGGAGCTTTAAGCCGTGACAGACCTGGAGGGTAGCAGAAAAGCTCCTTGATTACGAGGGATACTAAGGTCATATTGCAGCATCATGATAGTCCCAAGCCGACATGCTTACGCATAGCGACGCTCGCCTTGTGGCTCGACGCTGATTTGCATGTACACCAGACCATGAAACTCTAGGATTCCTCCCGAAAGGGCGCCCTGGCAACTGATCCAATCCAGCTTTCCCGGCCCGGTGTATCACAACGAGGCTCCCGCGGGTAGAAATAGCATGCAGGGAGATTTAAATGGTTGATCAAGTCTGGATTGTCGGTATCGTATTATACAGTTGAACAGCCCCAGCTCGGTCCGCCCGCCATGGCTTCTTCATCTCTATGCAGCCCCCGAACATAAGAAAGTTGCTTCTATGCATGATGTGATTGCCGTCCTCTGCCCCTGGTCCTGGTGGGTGCCTTGGATGGAACGGCTTACTGGCCCTGCTTGGTAGCACGCTCCTTCTCGAGGGCGTTGTAGAAGTTGTCTCGGCCGTGGGTGCGGGGCATGTGGTATCCGTGCCTGTTTTGTGTCAGTTGACTCTGAAGGGATTGATCGGGCCCATGGGGAAAAGATGTCGGGGTTGTCGTACCAGAACAAGCTACCCATGGTGGCGCCGATGCCTGGCGATGCAAGTCAGTCAAGAGCCTCTCTTCATGTCGTGTGCGGTGAGGGAGAGTGGGAGAAGCCATAGTGTTGGTATGACAGACGTACCGAGGGCAATGGCCAAGTCGGTGACGAGGCCCTTCTTGAGCATCTGCAGTTTCAATGTCAGTCAATGGTGAGTGCGGCCCGGTTTTGGAAGTGTCAATTGGTTTCGGGTGAGCGTACACCAGTGATGGGCTTGATCGCGGCCATTTTAGCAGTAGTTTGTGAGCGGAGATGGTGGTTGAGAGATTGATATGCTTGACTTCTCGGATTTGTTCCAAAGACAAAGAATCGAACGATGATTTGACGTTATTCGCGCTTCTGACATTTGGAAAGCTCCAAAGCTGCCGGGCAAGAGGACAGGGCGCTATGACCAGTTATTGTGTTCAGGTGCAGCCTCATTGGTCGGCGAATCGTCGGAAACACTGTCTCTCATTCATTCATTCACCGTTGGAGCTCTGATAACCTAATGAACGCATGTACTAGTATTTACATAAGTTATTATGCTATTACATATATGTATGCATATACGCAGCCGGAGGGACGTGCCCCCCTGGCGCCCGGGCCCCAATCCAGGAAAGAGAATAAGTGGGGGTCCCTAATCAGTCGCGACGACGCATGGCCAGGGGACCGGCCGACTGGGACCTTGAATTTTTTGGAGCTTGGCCATCGCTTGAGGGTGAGACTGAGACCGAGAGTGACAGTTCGACGTTCCGAGTTCGCGACAGACAGACAGCTGAAATCTCAGAAAGCCTCCAGCTGTCGGACTCGTATATCAGCCCAGCATGAGTCTACATTTGCCGGCCAGAAGGCTGGCACAGACCGGTAAGTCCATAGACCTTCCAAGTCTTTCGTTGCTGGCCTGACCATTATCCCATGTCCATCCAGCCCGGTCTGGTCTCCTTCCCCATACACAACGCCGTTCAATATCATGGTTCAACTGGGGTGGAAGTGCGACCAAGAAGTCCGCTCTGACTGAGGAGCTCGACAAGCGGGATCAGCAAAAGAAGATCTTCGACAGGATGCAGGACCGGACAGCTGGCGAGTCCGTCTTCGATGAAGAGATCAAGAAGTCGGACGACGGCCAGAAGAAGTCCTCCTCCCCAGACGCACAGGTCGGCATGTCCCGCGCAAAGGAGCACATGCAGCGAGCCCTCGACCCCGATCCGAGGTGGAGAATACGTTGGCAGCGAAAGAAGGTCATGCAGATGGTCCGCAACGGCGGCAAGATGACCAAGGACCAGCGCATCAAGATGACCGAGAAGGAGCTCACCCAGAAGAGCGAGAACCTCAACACCAGCACCAAGAAGCTGATGTTCCTCACCCGCCAGATCCAAGGCAAGACCCTCGACGACGCCCTCACCCAGATGCGCTACAGCAAGAAGAAGACCGCCCCCGAGATCATCTACGTCCTCAACGAGGCCAGAGACAGAGCCATCGTCGGTCGCGGCATGGGTCTGGGACAGGTCAACGGCGAGGTTCTCGCCAAGCCGCGCAAGGTCCTGACCAAGGACGGCAAGTGGATTGAGGTCGAGGATCCCACCCGCTTATACATCGACCAGGCCTGGGTTGGAAAGGGTCAGAACAGGGGCATGAGGATACAGTATCACGCAAGAGGGCGTATGAGCAGGATGATCAAGCCTTCCGCCCGTAAGTCACCCGCACGAGATATTCCACCGACCTAGCGCTTACTAACGTGCAACCAACCAAAGACCTTACCATCGTTCTGAAAGAAGAGAAGACGAGACTACGCCTGCACGACGAGAAGGTTGAGAAGGAGGCAAAGGCGAAGCCCTGGGTCCACCTTCCCAACAGGCCAGTCACCGCACAGAGGCCATACTACAGCTGGTAATTTCATCATGACGCTGCTGCTGTCGACTGGGTCGGGAAAGGAGTGTACTGTACATACTCACCTGTAACAATAACTGTGCATTACACACTGTAATACAACATTGGAAGACAATTCCTTTTCTCCACCGCCAGCCTTTTACGTAGTGTTGCTGGGAAAGGAGACGTTTAATGGGATAACAAGCCAGCCTCTCAACATCATCGAAAGCGAATCGCAGTGGAATGTGCAGATGGTCACATCACGTCATATTTTCAAAGAATCTTCTTCCATTGTCAAACTATTGAGGCCCTCCATTGGAACTACAAGGCCTCACACCCCGATTCGGATACCATACACGTTTCTCATCTTGTGTATAGGACGAACTTCAAAGCCAACCACCTTGAGCTGAAACGAATTCTCCATCGGTCTTGATGGGGGGGGGGGGGGGGGGGGGGGAGCCAACAATATCTCCTCGCAGCCGGTTGCTGCTTGCCAGCGGTGCGAAAAGTCGGCCTTGTGTCCTACTAGGTTCACGCTCCAAATTGTTGTATAAATCAAAGTAGGCGCAAAGGGAGGGATACACAATCGAATGGCAGAGACCTCCGAGCCCGCCATGCCCGACACATATGCCTGCATCAAGAGCACCTCGGCCTGCGTAGCTTGCCTCAAAGTCCATCCGCATCGAATACAGTGATGATGCACAGGCTGTCGTCTACCGAAGTGGCAACGTCCTAGTCCATCATCAGTGATGCCGACCATGTACAAATAAAGTGATGGAGATGCGAATTGATGCGGGGTAGCGTTATTTGTAGATCCGAAAAGAGGAAAGCAAGGGGTGCCAAGCAGAGAAATATGCAGCCGCTCGCGAGACTATCGAAAACTGGCGGCCGTATGCGGCAGCGATCATCACGAATGCCGAACCCTAATTTCACATTTGTCAAAGGGAACTAGATACGAGCCAGTAGTGTCACTTGCCGAGACTATATGTATAGGCCAGACTGGACAACTAGTGGTATTGTAGCCCAAATCATTTGATATGAAGATTTTATGGCATTGCCCCTGAGATGCGGTAAGCTGCATGCGTCTTGTCACCTGTGCATGAGTTACCGAGCATGGCAGATTTGGTGTCGATCGCATGCATCCGGTGATTAATTGACACCCGACAACCAGGCCCCGAGCAGGCTGCTGCATGCCGCTGACACGATGTGACCGCGTTAGCCACTAGCAAGACGCATCTATAAGTCGAGACAGAGTCCCAGCCCAGACTCTCACCGTAATCTGCTGAGATCAAGTAGCCTTCGCGAGGTTATTCTGTGCCATATCAAGCGGAGTCTAATAGCAGTCAGTCCTATCATATATGAGCCTTTGTACGTTTGACGTCAAGTGTACAACTTGCGCAGACAAAAGATGTTGTTAGGGTCGACACTGTCCAGCCTCGCCGCGATAGTCTATGCTCTACCTATGTAAGTGTCCCATCGAGCATACCTATCACGTGGATATTGACCTAAGGTTCTTCAGAGCGGCTGCTACGCTACATCGGCACAACCCCATCCTCCCCAAACGCCAAGCCTTGGACACAGATTATGACTATGTAGTGGTAGGATCTGGACCAGGAGGTGGCCCTACAGCCGCTAATCTGGCAGTCGCTGGGTACAAAGTTCTCTTGATTGATGCCGGAGGTGATTCAGGCACAGCACTCGTGGAATCGGTTCCGGTCCTCTTCCCGTTTGCCACAGAATTCGCCGATACACAATGGGACTTCTACGCCACTCGTTCTCCAGACCCGGCTACCCAAGCCAAGACGGCAATCACGTCGTACCGTCTTCCCGATGGAAGCATCTACACCGGGCTCGACCCGCCGTCGGATGCCGTAGCCATCGGAACGCTCTATCCTCGTGCAGGTACACTGGGCGGCTGCTCCCGGCACAACGCCTTGATCGCGATTCGCGCGTTTGATAGTGACTGGACAGCCGTGGCTGACCGGACTGGAGACACGACATGGAGTGGTGCTACATTCCAGAGACTGTTCGAAGCCATCGAGCACTGCGACTATCTGCCCAACTCTGTGGTGGGCCATGGTTTCACAGGTTGGTTCTGGACCGAGGTCACCAGTCTCGTCACAGCTGTACAGGATCTGAAGGTAGTCAGTATCATTGTTGGCACTGCGAGTGCTCTCGGAAAGGGGTAAGTGGGGACAATTCAGACCAACACGACCGGTTGCAGGAAACTGACCTGGAGGCAGCATTACCGGCATACTCATTGGAACGGTTGCTGGGCTGGCCGAGATTTTGCTCAAAGATGTAAACGCGCCGGGTAGCACCATCAGCACTGGCCCCTACCAGATTCCCCTCTCAATGAAGAACTCGGTACGTGGCGGGGCTAGAGAGCACATCTTGGAGGTAGCCAACGCCGTCGACGGGAACGGTAACAGGAAATATAGGCTGGACATCAAGTTGAACACACTGGTGACCAAAATTCACTTCGACCAGAGCGCCAAGCCTCGGGCGACCGGCGTCGAATATCTTGAGGGGCAGAGCCTGTACCGGGCGGACCCTCGCTGGGAGAGCGGAAGTGCCACAGGACAAGGTATAGTGAATGCTTCCAAGGAAGTCATCATCGCCGGTGGTGCGTTTAACACACCGCAGATCCTCAAGTTGAGTGGTGTTGGGCCTAGGGCTGAACTTGAGAGCTTCGGTATCCCGGTCGTGGTTGATCTCCCTGGTGTCGGTGCAAACCTGCGTGGTAAGTAGGATTGCAGCCCCCTTTTGTCCCAATCTCACCCAAGGGGCATTTTCGAGGGACTCTCGTCTCGCCTTTCCCTTTGCATGTGCATAACCAGTCTCGACTGACATGGCATATAGACCATATCGAAGTGTCGACCATATTCAAAGCGTCGTCCAACTTCAGTATCATTGAGGGATGTACCCTTGCCCAAGGCTATCCCGAGGTACCCGACCCTTGCTTGGAGCGCTACCTCAACGGTGTAACACAGGTCGACAAGGGCATCTACGCGAGTAACGGTCTTGCCCTCGGCGTCGCTATTCGCTCTTCTGCTGCCGACCAAGCCGACCCAGACCTGTGGGTCTATGGCGGCCCTGCCAACTTCCCAGGCTTTTACCCACACTGGGCCGAGGCCGCCGTGGCCGATCACCGCCACTGGGTCTGGGTTAGTCTGAAAGCAAGCACGAAGAACCGCGCAGGTACCGTTACGTTGGCCAGCGACGACCCGCAGGATGTGCCGGTCATTGCGTTCAATACCTTCGAGGATGATCTGTCGGCGGATCAAGATCTGCAGGCGAGTTATGAAGGAATCAAGTTCGCAAGAGATGCTATGGACAAGATGATCCCGCTTGGTGGATCGTTCGTCGAGGAAAAGCCGGGCCGGGCTAATGCGCCGACCATAGATGATGTGAAGGAATATGCCAAGACGCAGAGTTTCGGGCATCATGCGTGTTGTACGGCGGCCATTGGAGGTGACGAAGACGAGGGCGCAGTCCTGGATTCTGCCTTCAGGGTCCGAGGCACCACAGGTCTGAGAGTTGTGGACGCCAGTGCTTTTCCGGTTGTGCCTGGGTTCTTCATTGCATTGCCAACTTACTTGCTTGCTGAGAAAGCCAGTGAGGCGATCTTGCGCGATGCTGCGGCATGGTAGTTCTTGGGGCACGGAGCAGCCATCATTGGGAGAGGTATTATTGCAGTTGCGATGAGTACATTTATTGTTAATATTATTGTAGCGAGGTAACGATTCCGTGCCTTTTTAATGAACGACGACCCGATGATGTTATCCAACTCACGCCAGAATTGTCGTGTGCTTTAATTGAGATCTATTCTTCTTGGATCTTCGTTCTTCAATTAGTCATGCCTTATGGTCACTTTGTTATTGCGACCAACGAATTCTTTTACTTTACTAGCTGTGCCGAAATATGCATGATGGTCAGTACTCATATGAGTACACCGATATCACGACGTCAATGCATGCGCAAGAGCCATTCAGACATCATGTGCATGTGAAGTGTGCTACATTGGATGGTATGATGTGGTCTTCGAGACCGCATCCACAAGGCAGTCATAATACAAAACCAGCCAATGTCCATAGTGTTCCTCACACAAGTAAAGCCATGACTTGAAACGGGAGGATGCCTTGCTCATTCGAGTGTGTTGTTTAGCCAAGAGCAGGCTTTATTTTGCAAGTCTTCGAGTTATCATCAACACACCTAAGACGATATTTACTGCGTACTGCCGCCAGTGGGACATGGTGGCCCTGCAAATCCTAATCAACGAAACCACTGAAGACTTCAAGCCATGAGTGGTGCTATATTCTCCAGGTCAACTGGTATATCATTCAAGAGCTGATACATATGATAGACTGGATTTTCACATTTTAACTAATAATAGTACTTATAATTATTACTATACTCATCTTATCTACAACTCATCATGATTATGTGCGCATGGGCCAAGATTAGAATGCGCATGGCTAGTCACGGTTCTTTTGACCGCCTTTGCCCGGTCAGCGGCCCATCTCCTCTGCACGATGTTCACTGGCGGAAGCGTGGCAAAGCTCAGAGCGTACTTGGCCACAGCGTCCGCAATTCCTTTCGAGATGGTCAAATAGGCGTCCTGCGCGAGATTGTCGATAGTATCGCCAGCCTGGTGGTAGTTGGGATCGTAGGATACGCCCACCTCACCGCCGAACAACGCTGCCTGCTCCGCAGTCTTGATACCGTCAGAGCCCGATGAGATACCTCCAGAAGGAATGCCGTTCTCTATGAATCCGGCATAGTCGGAGCGGCCGGTAAACGCATACGCGATGGACGGCGTGTTCTTAGTCTTGAAGTAGTCCTCAAAGGTCTTCTCGATGTCTCCCGACCCATTAGGGCCGCTGGAGTTGAAGGCATTCCCATCGCCGTCGTAGATACCGTAGATAAAGTTCGGACTGGCGATCTTTCGAGGGGGTCAGTGATATGCCACGCGAGAAAAGAAACTCCAAGGTAACTTACCATATCAAAGTTGAGATATGCTCGGATCTTAGCGAGCTCAGTTTCGGCTGTCGCAGAAGTGTTCAGTTGCTTTATGTAGTAGTAAGAGCCAAGCTTGCCGTACTCTTCAGCACTCCAAAAGCCAAATCGCACGGCATTCTTGATGGTGAATTTCGACAGAGCGGTGGCCACCGACAAAATTCCAATGGTACCGGACCCGTCATCGTTAATGCCAGGCCCAGCTGCTACGGAATCAGTATGTGCCCCTAACATGAGCACGTTATTTTTGTCTCCAGTCTTCGTTTCTGCAATGACATTGAAGGTCGTTCGGTTCTGTAGGACAGCATCAACCCCGAATTCTGCGATGACCTCTCCACTCTCGAGAGCTGCAATAAGAGTAATGCCCTGTTCTTGTGTAATGCCGACAACAGGCGCATAATCGTCGCTCACCGCGCCGAGAGTCCCGCTTACTTTGCCCTCCTGGTTGTTGTAGACGACGGCTGCTACGGCGCCAGCGGACTTTGCGTTGGTGGCCTTGGCCGCAAATGAACAGGTTCCTCTGGAAATCAATGCGACGCTCCCTTCGACCTCGGGAGGAAAATCAGTGACATCGCAGCCAAGGTTGGACACCAGCACCAACGGCGCACTGAATGTGCCGCCAGGACTATAAGTCATGCTTCCTGGCTCGTATTCAACGCCGTCGACAACCAGCGAGGCCTCTGCGGAATAGAAGAGCTCTACAAACGGCTGCTTGTGTACATCGTAATACCCCAGAGCGTTCAGCGTGTCGTAGATATAGTCGATTGTCAGGTTGTGACCAGCGCTGCCAAATGCACGGTTGCCATCACTGGCGTCCGCAATGTCCTGGAGTTTCTGAGACCCTGCGAGCAGGTCGTCGAGGTTGATGGACTCCTGCAGCGCATCCGAACTCACGTACGGCTTGCATTTTTCCTTGGCCAACGCAAAGGGTGCAAGCACCAGGGCTAGCGCTACGACCGAATCCGTGGACTTCATTGTGGCTCGGGCAGGAGGGGCTTGTGATGAAGATGCGGCAAAAAGATTCACCAGACCTCACAGCACGGCATGCGCACTATTTATACATCTTCCCCAGGTGCTTCAAGCTGCATCATGTTGTGCTATCGCAAGATACGATCTAGACTCGCTAGCTCCATGGGACAAGCCTCCCAATAGAGCAGCCCCCAGCGAGATGCTTCGTCGCGAGAGGTCGACGATGCCGGTTTGCATAATCAACTTCCTGAGTGGGTAAAGGTTCAAGTGAGCATTGCGGGGATTATCACTTGGCACACATTGCGTTTAACCAGCCTCATGCTTGGCTTTGCTTGGCAACAGTATTTTACCGATTGCCCTGCGGAACAATTATATATCAGCGTCACACGGTTTCAAACACATTTGTGTTTGTGATTACATTCCAGGCGAGCCTTGTGATTGGGACTTAACGTTATCGATCTACAGCCATTACATCGCAACTATCGCTCTTTCGCAGCACACTCCAGGAGTTGGGCATGGAGGATGGGGAGGAAGTGACAATGATACATACTGGTGTAATATGTATCCTGAGTACGAGCTGGCGGAACCATGAAAGTGAAATATCAGATTATGGAAGCGCGGTGGCAGTGTCAAACTTGGGCGACATCATGAATGATAGCATGGCCTGACCCATTCAAGTATTCCATCTGATTGCTGGAATGCCTTGTTCCTACCCGTACTATGTTGCACCTATACCTGTCGTTTATCGTGTCCGGCACTGCATCGTCTTGGTATTTTGGGTTACTGGCCAGAGCAGCGCTGGATAGCTCACCCTGCGGCTCAAAGCATCTCCAAAAATCTACTGGTAGATACTGTAGACTCAAACATCTTCTCCCATTCGAGACCGCCAAACTCCGCCTAGTGGAGTAGCGATTCAAAGTACATATCCTGCTCTGCTTCTTTCAGATCTATTGGCGCTAAAGGCCTGGAGTTGTTCCATGTCTTGGTTTCATGCCTATCCGCCACGTGTCGATTATACCGATGATGCTGGCTCACAATTCTCTCGTGTGGAGCTCTTCGGTGGGTGTGTTACGACTCACTCTGCGCTCTCCATGTTCGGGGCACCTGAAGTGACTGCCGGTTCTGCCATCATGGCTGCCTGCCTCGCTGTGACCACCTGCTTATTGCGAGAAGCGTCAGCACCTCCATCCGGAGTCGGTGGCCACTGTTCTTTGCCTCCAATAGCAAGTTCGGCTTTCAGGCAGGCGGAAGGTTGTTGACCAGGTGTGTAAGCATCGCGCCGAGATTAGCTAGGTGCGCAAGGTCACTACAGCACCATCCCACGGGCTGGATAACGATGCTGTTGATGATTAGTGGTTTTTTAGGTTGCAGATTGATTCAAACCTTTTTTTCTTTTATTTTTATTTTTTCCGGCAATGAGTCGTGCTCCTTTCGGCAAGCACGGGAAGGGGCAAGTTTGACAATAGTTTTACCAAAGAAGGTGCGCAACGGACTAACTGATTCCTGCTCGCGGTGCAGTCCACAACGGTGTGCAAGTCGTACAAATGAATCATTGACCGACTTTAGATAAAGCCACGATAGGACATTCTACACACATGCCTAGTGCACAACCGAATGCCCAGGCCCCCAACGCCAATGCCAGTGCCTTCAGAGATGTCATCTCGATGCTGCTGGCCAAGGATATATAAAGTACATTTGTCGAAGTGAAGAACACGCGGTTCCACGGGCGATTGGGCGATGGTCTACTCTCCCAGGCGATAACTCACGAGGGTCTCGACACGGTGGTTGCTCGTGCTGAAGCCTCTCAGCTGGACCTTCTCGCCGTTGACGATCTCTTTTGCGTCGGAATCGCCCCATTCGACAGGAACGTCACTGTCAGCGTCTGCGTAGACGAGGACATTGAAGGTGCAGTCGCCCTGGAGCTGTGGCAAGAATGTGACACTGGCGGTGATCTGGCGGAACAGAGCGGCAATCTCGGCTTGTATCTCGGCTTCAGTCTTGTCCGTGTCGGGGACGGTGCTGCCTTTGGCGGCCGCATCGACGTTCTCGTCTGCGGCGGGCGGCTCTTTCGATCTGGACTTGCTCGACTTGTTGAGGCTGCCAAAGATCTGCACGTCAAACTGCCACCTCTCGATGTGCTCGCCGGTATCCTTGTCTGTGATGACAATGACGAGCTTGCTGATCTTGCCGTGTTGCATCCACTTGTCTAGCTGGGACATGATCTTCTTGACGTATGCCTTGACCTGGTCATCAGCCGAGACCAGCATGTTGAGGCCATATTTCTTGACGGCGGTGAAGTCTTCGGCCGGGTAGACCCCACGTTGGAAGAGGATGGTATGGATGGAGTATTGAAACTGTAGGGCCGTTTGATTGTCAGTGTACTATAAGCAATACGCACCCCATATACACATCCATTTTCAGGTCAACTTACGAACTCGGCAACAAGTTTGGCGCTGCCTTTCAAGGCTAGTTTGTGGACCTTTGACTTGTCCTTGTCCTTGTCCTTTGTTTTGTCCTTTGACTTGGAAGAAGATATCTTATCGGCCATGGTGGATAAGATGTGGATGTGGTTGAGAGACTTTTGCTCTCTCTGTGTACTAAAGGTCAAGTGTACGATGGATGACCTGGAAACAAAGAGGGTGTTTCGTGGATTGCCCGATTGGTTTATTTACTTACTTTGGTCTCAGCTCAGAGAGAGGGTCGGACTGTTTGGCGGGGTGATGTGACGAGGGCAGCGGGGGAGCCGGGGGGAAGGGGAAGGGGGGTCCCTCGAAATGCAATTAATGAGGTAACTTGAGTAGTATCAGACACAGATCCGACAGTTCAGTTAAACAGCTAGACTACGCTATGTGATAAAATAGCATTGAGATATGTATGCGCAGTATATGCATATATCCCTCCTTTGAGGGGCAAACGGCCATGGGGGGCAAAACGGCAAACGGCAAACGGCAAAAGGCAAACGGCCAACAGCAAGCAGGACGGAACGAATGGAGACATCTTCTTATCGAACCAATGACAAGCTTATCTGCCTTATCGTACGAAAAGTCCCAGAATTTATTTTTTTATCAATCGCAGCTCAATTCGGGGTCCCTATCGTAAGTTCCGTCGCATTTGGCAACTGTCACAGATCCATTCTTTTTTAGATAGATTGTTTCTGTCTTGCTGCCTCGTTTTCGGGCTGTCCTTTTTTTTGCAATAGGCTTTTTGTTTGTTCGCAACTTGCAGCCATGTCCAAACACTCTCTAGAAGATGTCGAGGTCGAGGTCGACCTTCCTCGCAAGAAGTCCAAGAAGGACAAGAAGGACAAGAAGGCCAAGAAGGAGAAGCTGCGCGACCAAGCGTCCGAGTCCGTCCCTGCCTCTGCCTCTGCCTCTGCCTCTGCTTCTGCGGCCCCTACCCCCGTTGAGGATGCAATGGATGTAGACACGGACGTCAAGCAAGAAAAGAAGAAGAAGAAGGACAAGAAGGACAAGAAGGAAAAGAAGCGCTCCGGCCAAGACGTCGTAGAGAGCCCCGAAGCCGAGGCGGAAGCAGAGCCCGAGACCGCGGAAGAGCCCAAGGAGAAGAAGTCCAAGAAGGACAAGAAGGAAAAGAAGCGCAAGACAGACGATGCTGAAAAATCTACTTCAGAGCCGACCCCCGAGGTCGCCAACGCCCCAGTTGCCGCCATTGGCAATTATCAGCAACCCCCTGCTCTTTCTGCAGTTCCCGAGTCCGAAATCGCCTCCTTCTTGTCCACCCACATGATCACCATTACCGATCCGCTCTCTACCACAAACCTCAAGCCCATCACCCAGTTCACCCACTTGCCCTCCACTACTCTCGTCTCCAAGAACCCCTTCGCCTCCTTCAAGACTCCCACACCCATCCAAGCCGCATCATGGCCCTTTGGCCTGAGCGGTCGCGATATCGTCGGTGTGGCAGAGACGGGCTCTGGAAAGACCATTGCCTTTGGTCTTCCCCTCGTCGAGGCCGTCCTGGCCATGCCCAAGCCTGCCAGGGGCGCCGGCCGCATTAGGGCCGTCGTCGTCTCCCCCACTCGTGAGCTGGCCATGCAGACCAACGAGGAGCTGACCCGACTGACCGACCTCGTTGGCTTGAAGACGGTATGTGTCTATGGCGGTGCCTCCAAGGACGAACAGAGATTCTTGCTCAAGAAGGCCGACGTCATCGTCGCTACCCCCGGACGCCTCAAGGATTTCCTCGAGGAGGGCGCCATCAAGCTCGACAACACCCAGTTCGCCGTTCTCGACGAGGCAGATCGTATGTTGGACAAGGGTTTCGAGGACGACATCAAGCTCATCCTCGGCTCATGCCCCACCAAGGAAGGTCGCCAGACCCTCATGTTCACCGCTACATGGCCCATGAGCGTCCAGGCCCTCGCCTCCACCTTCATGAAGTCGCCCGTCAGAATCACCATTGGTAACAACGAGAGCGGTGACCTCAAGGCCAACGCTCGTATTGCGCAGACAGTCGAGGTCGTTGATCCTCGAGACAAGGAGCAGAGACTTCTACAGATCCTCAAGGCCCAGCCAAAGAACGACAGGGTCTTGGTCTTCTGCCTGTACAAGAAGGAGGCCACACGTGTCGAGGGCTTCCTACAGCAGAGGGGAATCAAGGTTGTCGGCATCCACGGCGACTTGAGGCAGGAACAGCGGACCAGGAGCTTGGACGCTTTCAAGAAAGGTGATACACCAGTCCTCGTTGCCACCGATGTTGCCGCGAGAGGTCTGGACATCCCCGAGGTCAAGCTGGTTGTCAATGTCACTGTAAGTATTATTCCTTCGCCCGCTACAGCCTTGCGCGATCTGACATGTTTCTAGTTCCCATTGACTATCGAGGACTATGTGCACCGTATTGGTCGTACCGGCCGTGCTGGCAAGACTGGTGTTGCCCTTACCCTCTTTACAGAGCACGACAAGGCACACTCTGGAAGCTTGATCAACATCCTCAAGGCAGCAAACCAAAATGTTCCTGATGATCTGCTCAAGTTTGGAACGACGGTCAAGAAGAAGGCCCATGGCACATACGGTGCTTTCTTCAAGGATGTCGATATGAGCAAGAAGGGTACCAAGATCACTTTCGATGACTAAATGCTTCACAGCCATGTTGATGGTTAGTATTACTGTAGATGAGAATTCACGGCGCATGGCGTTCGGTAGATAGTCTGCTCGGGTGTTGCACACATATATATATCATTTATCACTTTTGACTCAAACTTTTTGCCTGGTTTTCGCTCCATGCGCCATGGAGCGCGAGCCCGGACTCTATGCTTGCAAGTAAACCGCCACCTCAAAAATGACGACAGAACGGTGTACACTATCTGGACCCTCGGAAAGACTGATAGCCATCAATAAGCAGTCCCCTTTCCATGTATGCCATCAATGCAACGTAGGGAAGCGCCGAGCCTGCCACCTTGACCACATCTCGGTAGACATGATCTGAGACACCCCCAACAGATACATCGGCGACCTGGACTAGAGCCTGCCACAGCGCCGCGGTACTTAGGGCATAGATAGCGGACCCCCGAGGAACGACATCGGCCCAGCGGAAGGCCACGCCATTGCTGCCAAAATACTGCGATATAAATTTACCACTCCAGATAATGCGGCAGAGCATGTTGATGCCGTTGGCATACACCAGACCCACCGCCCCGAGATCCAGAACCCGTAGGAACACAAACCCGGCGACACCGAACATGACACTGAAGGCGCCCATCCAGACGCTCTGGCGGTGTACTTGACCCTCGGACGCCACAGAAGATACGAAGGCCTCGCTGACACCGTTGAGCGCCAGAAGCGGGATGTAGAGACAGTATTGGGCCAGGACCGCGCCCGCACCGCTTGCTGCCCACGACCTGCCCGCTATAATCTGGACGAGAAGAGGCGCGCCGAATGGACCGAGGGCGACAACGAGAATGCTCAGCAAGATGTAACATTTGAAGAGGGATTGGAGATTATCTCTTGCTTGGACGACCTTGCGCTTGCTTGTATTCGCCGGGTCTGACTTGTTCTTGTCGACGTCCGTCGAAGATGCAGCGGCAGAGAGCAGTTTGCTAAAGTAGTTCCGACTGCTCTCCTCCACTGGCTGGAAGACTAGTCGAGCCAAAAGACTGCCATAATTATTGGCAAGCGCATATACGCCCTGTGATTCGGGGCTTGATAGGACGGAGACGAGGAAGGTATCGCCCTGGGTGAGAATATGCTTCACGAATGACTGGGCCGTGAGGCTCGAGGCAAGCTGGAGAGTTGGTCTGTAGAAGTAGCCGAGGGTGTAGTCGGGCGTAGCCGCCCTCGCCGGTGCACTCGTCTTCTCGTCTGTGCGTGTTATCCTTTTGGGAAGCAGGGAGAATCTTTCAGACGAGGCCAGGCCCCACCCGTACCAGATGTAGACAGCCAGAAGAGCCGTACCGTATCCGAGCTGGCCCAGGGCGAACGGAAGTACACCCAGCTCTCGACCGGAGCGCCAAGCCCAGCTTGCCGCCCCGAACGTGACCAGACATCGGCAGAATGTGGCGATTGCCTCGGCGGCTGCACGGGGCCCAAAGCGAAGCCGATGTTGAAGAACCACGAATGCTGGCTCTGAGAGGAGCTCTACGATAGCAGCCAGCCCGTATATGTACAAGGCTGTGCTGAGGTAAGCGGTAGAAGCGGTCACGCTGTCGACGTAGTGTAGATAAGCACCGCCAAGGCCGGCGGCGGCGCCCAAGCCGAGGGCCAGGGCCAGATGTCCAACATTGACTACGGACTGGCTTTCATGACTGGTGCCTTGTCTCTGGATAGCAACACGCAGGCTTTCCCGGGCGAAGAACAGAACGGAGAGATAGTAGACCTCAAGCTGAGTTGAGACGCCGAGAAGCTGGGCAGTCAAGAAGCGGAGAAGCAGCTGGTTGGCCACGAAGGTTATGGCGCGCGAGACGATCTGAAGGACGATGAGCAGCGAGGCACCGCGGACAGCAGATGCCTGTTCTGATGCCGCCATTCCGATGCAGATATGTAGTGCATGCGCTCGTTGCGTCTAGACCGTTCGTCCCAGCAATAATGATCGAGGATGGGATTAAGATTGGTTGGCTTCCAATGCCACTGCCACTGCAGCATTAACGCGTCGTGTTGCCTAGAAAAGCTCGCTGAAATCCACTTGAAATTAACAACATAAAAAGAGGTGCTAGCTGGGTTGCATGCCGGGATCCATACTTTGGTACGTACAGAGTAGGTACAGGCCAGCAGAGAGGGCGACAATGCAGAGAGAGGTACGGGTCCGTACAGGTACTCGTACAGGTACCCAGGCAAACCGCTGAGACACAGACGCTAGAGCAGTTTGGGCTAGAAAACATCGCCTGCAGTCTTCCAGCTCCAAAGACTTATAGCCCAGGCCTTTCAGCTGGCAATTACTGTCTGAAAATTCAGAGCAGTGAGACATGCAACGTGCACAGCACGTTCGCCTTGCATCATTCCCAGCTGCTGTCATGTCCTCATCCAGATTGACCCGGCAAACCTAATACTAGTGATTGAGGCCTAGATGTACTCTATCGCGATACACAGCAGCTCAGAGGGCTGCGTTGCGTGGTCCCAGCAGGGTGGGTGGCTTTCCTCGCTCGAACCCTTTCCCCACACCCGGCGCGCTGCGACACACAACTTACTTTCTGTGTCTCTGAAGCGTCAACTCAAGTTGTCGCGTACATCGCATCGCCTACTGCAGTTGGTTGGTGTGCAAGCTGACCAGTATTCCCGCCTTCTCTGGCGGCCGTTGGGGCGTCCCGAGAAAAACGGCGAGCCTCACATGATGGTGGGGTTTGTTCCTCCTCGTCCACCCAGGCCAACGACTCCTGGTTTTGCAATCTGCATCGCGATTTAATACCGCCGAGGTCCCTCCTGGTCCGCTTTCCCCAAGTCCCCAGTTTGCGGAGAATAGTTCGAACCCCACCCAGTGCAGTGCAAGTGCGGAGGGAATACATACCACAGCACTACAGTATGTATGTACTTGATACTACGTGTAGTATGCACCATGATCTTACCTGGGCATCTATCCAACACAGTACTGTTCAAGCTGTGTTGTTCCCAGGTCTGGATCGAAGGCACATGAACACACGATGGTAGCAGTTTCCGGGGGTTTCCTTTCTAAGAGCAACTGCTCGCGTGCTTGGCTTGTTTAATTAAGGCTCGAGCTAAATTAACCTACCTTACTCCGCATATAAACTATTCCGCCTCATAGGTACATAGGTACATGGTAATATCTTCAGAATAATAAGAAGGAATGAGGGGTCAAAGAATGGGAGTTCGCACGCTTCTCCTATCATGGTGGACCTGAACGTTGTCATTGTCAAGTTGTCCCGTCACCATCTGCTGTAGCGTACGTTATGATCATGCTAATTATTCTTTAGCACATGATCTGCACATCTTAGCATGACTCGTGATTCACCACCCCCCAGTGATCGCCACTGTCATTTGAGGTACTACGGGATGTTTCTGTCCCTCTTGGGCCTTTCCTTTCGTGAATAGCGACGTGGTTGCAGTAGGAACATTATACAGCGTATGTTCCCGCCTTCAGCTACCAGATGGCAACGGGTTTACTTGCTTGGTCTACCCATTTCATTCTGATCAGGAATGTGAAGCTTCACGTCCCCGCGGCATACCCAACCAGGTAAACGGCTTGTCCGGTACTGTCCCTAGTTAGTATGGTCAAGGATTAAAAAACCCTGTTATACAGTATAGCTGCTCAATTGTTGGCTGCAAGCGCGGCACTTGGACACACCCCTGCTGCAACCCAACCCTGGCTACCCCGAGTCCACGCATTCATCGATGGAGCTACCGGTCTCGACCGTGCATCTCGCCAAATTCAAATGTGTCATGATATCATGACCACTATGTACTAAGTTGCAGTCAGTCGGATCACGAAATCACCGACGCCCCCAGGTTTACAAGATAAAATGGCTATGTATATTAGCGCATGAGACCGGGCCTCGTTAATCTCGATATCATCTCCTGCGGTTACGCTCTCGTATGGAGTCGAATCACCGCATCTTCACTCGCTCGTCACTGCGTCACCGCCATGGGGGAGAACCCGCTTGAGCGTTGTCGATTACTTGCAGTACGTAACTACACCGGGTTCGGCTGAGTGATTTATCTTTCGTGATTGGTCATGGATGCTCATGCTGTCCCTTTTCTCAATGGAATCCACCACTGTTGGAGTCGTTCTGGATTTTGCTGCACTGCATTCGGACCGGCCGTAGCAGCTAAATCCAACTCTAGTATAAGTCGATCATAAATTTAGTTTACTGCCAAACTTTAAACCATTCCTTGAGACTGCATCCGCGCAGGCTAGTAGGGGGCCTTTCTGCATGCATCTCTCCACGTTTAGTCTTCAAGCTAAACTAGCTTACCCCGGAAACTAATTTTGCTCAAGATCATTCTTAGCACGGTCGTCTCACGTTTGAGCATGGGCTGTTCTGACATCTAGTTTGCATCGAGTCTGCTCTGGTATCGTAGTAGTATCTTGGCTAGCCGTGACCCTGGGATGCCCTGCAGCTCATCCTCTATTTATATCAAGCATGATTCCCCTCTTCACAACCTCTTCCCCGACCATCATTTAACTGCTGAATTATTATTCGCAGAAAGGTCTGGCTGCCGTCTTTCTCATATCTACGCATATTAAATATAGCCACCATGGCTCGACGGCTTTCCATAACTAAACCCCCTGGCGAAGAAGGCAAAGCTTGGCCTGCCATTTGCATTGGCTTCTTCGTTGCTTTTGGTGGTGTTCTGTTTGGGTAAGTGTCCCAATACTGACAGGACGGACATTGTTCACTTACTTTTCATTGTAGATATGACACAGGCACCATCTCCGGTATTCTTGCCATGCCGTATTGGATGAGCCTTTTCTCTACAGGGTACCACAACCCACAGGGGCACCTGGATGTATCTCCACAGCAATCTTCAGCCATCGTATCTATTCTATCTGCTGGTACTTTCTTTGGTGCGCTGGGCTCCCCACTCCTGGCCGATAACATTGGTCGACGACTTGGACTTATTGGATCCTGTGTGGTTTTTATCCTGGGCGTCATTCTGCAAACTGCTGCAACCGCCATTCCGCTCTTCCTAGCAGGCCGTTTTTTTGCTGGCTTTGGAGTCGGTCTTCTCTCTGCAATGGTGCCTCTCTACCAATCCGAAACTGCCCCTAAATGGATCCGAGGTGCTATTGTTGGCGCATATCAGCTTGCCATTACTATTGGTCTACTATTGGCAGCAATCGTTAACTATAGCACACAATATCGAAATGACACGGGATCTTACCGCATTCCTATTGCCATTCAATTTGCTTGGGCATTGATCCTCATTGTTGGTCTGCTGCTTCTACCCGAAACGCCACGCTACCTGATCAAGAAAGGCAACCATGCCAAGGCTGCTCGGGCGTTGAGCAGGCTTCGACGACTACCAGCCGACTCCCCTGCCATCAAGGCCGAGCTCGACGAAATCAGCGCTAATCACGAGTTCGAGATGAGCATTGGCAAGGGTACTTATCTTGACTGCTTCAAGGGTCAGATGCTCAAGCGTCAGCTCACCGGTATGGGTCTTCAGGCGTTGCAGCAGCTCACTGGAGTCAACTTCATCTTCTACTACGGTACTCAGTACTTCAAGAACTCTGGAATCCAAGATGCCTTCGTCATTTCCATGATTACTTCGTGTATCAACGTTGTCTCTACCCTACCGGGACTCTGGGGCATTGATAAAATTGGTCGACGACCACTGCTTCTCTGGGGCGCCGTTGGCATGTGTGTCAGTCAATTCATTGTGGCCATGCTGGGCACCTTGACCACCGGCCAAGATTCTGCTGGAAACACGATCGTCTACAATCAGCCGGCACAGAAAGCCTCGATCGCCTTCGTGTGCATATACATCTTCTTTTTCGCATCTACCTGGGGCCCTTTGGCCTGGGTTGTCACTGGTGAAATTTTCCCACTGAAGACCCGAGCCAAGAGCTTGTCCCTTACCACAGCTAGCAACGTAAGTTACACGGTATTATACTATGTCCCGTGGGGCGGCCAGTTTGCTGACATGCTCGTTTAGTGGCTCTTGAATTGGGCTATTGCATACTCGACCCCCTACCTTGTCAACTATGGAGCAGGCTACGCCAACCTGCAATCAAAGATATTCTTCATTTGGTTCGGCTTCTGCTTCATTTGCATCGCATTCGTATACTTCTTCATTTACGAGACCAAGGGATGGTCCCTCGAGGAGGTGGATGAGATGTACAATGAGGTTAAGTCTGCGCCCAAGAGCAAGTACTGGACGCCTAAGACGACTTTCGCTCAAAGACAGAGCGTTGGAGGCCAGGGTGGCGTTTTGGGAGGTGAAAAGGCCGTTGGAGGTGATGAGTACGAACATAGGGAAGCATGAAGAATGAAACAATTACGATATGAGAGACATTTCCGGGATACGGTAGCATTGAATTTTGTGATGGTTTGCAATCTGTTGGCCTATAACTCGACTAACCTAGGTTAAGTTATTTATCTAAGCGGGGATGTAGCTTGATGTATCGATACGCATATATTTTCAAACAACGATATATCGTGTTCCCACGTTTACCTTGCTCCAGAATCCATACATAACTCGCAGGACATAATTTCGGACATGGGCTTGGCTTCAGACATGTATGCAATCAGTCCTAATTCCTGCCCATCCATTTTACATTGACCTCTGTTGTACATTTTGATTCCGCCCCTGGGTACGCCAGTGGGCCTCCATACGCACCTGGAATAATCCTACTTCTTGGGTGTAACTCGAACTACCAACCTTGTGGCTGGCGTGCCTGTTGCTATTGTTATTTCTATTGTTGTTATTATTATTATTATTATTATTATTATTATCGCATCAACTCGAACTCCCATCCACGATGTTGAACTGCCTCGCCCGAGGTAAGGAGACAACATGTCATTGCACTGCGCTAGCAGTGCGTTTTCCACATCGTGGATCTCTTAATACCGGCTTACGTTGACCATTTCTGTGGATGACGGCTCGATATTTAGAGGTGTAACTATGATCAAGGCATGAAATCAATGTAGCCTCCGCCGTTATATCTCCAGGCCATGGACATAAAAGCCTTTGAAGTCGTGTGAACTTGAACATTCATTAGTCTAGCTACAGTAACAACCTCCTTCATTGCGCATTATACTACTGAGTCCCACATTGAATTGCTTTTTTCCTTCTTCTCCATCCGGTGACTTCCAAAGTCATTCTGTCATATCGCAGTGGAGGTATACTGGATATTGAATATGAGATTCGTGGAGTGTTAGTATGTGTCACCTGGCTTCCTCGTGAGATTCAACGGACTAACGACAGCGTATGCGTTTTGTCAACCCCCACTCATTCAATCTCCAAGAGAACGCGTAAACACATAAACACTTAGCAGTTTTCGACTTACCCAATCAAGTGGCTAACATCCATGTCAACTTGGATACTCTCATGCATGCTTCACGGATTTTGGTCTGCCATCTAAGTGCCCATAATCCGACGGGTTGATCCGTGCACAACTCCTACGCGCCAGGTATCCATGTGGCATCACTGTTATCATGCAGGTCACCAGTGAGCCTTTCAGTCCATCAATAGGCTATCTTTGCTTGCTGCTGTGAGTTGCAGTCATCTCACTGGGTCTACTGAGTCTGTCGTCGGAATTGGGCCAGATTTCCTTAGTCTCGACTACCCAGAACTAGTAACATCCGTTTGTTATGTTTAAGGCCAATACAAAGAGATATCGCCTTGATCGTGAATGCGTAACTTTCTGTAGTAACCTGTTCTCGCAGACTGCCTTATATCATAATAGTCCAGCAAAAGTAGTGGTGAGGATAGCGTTCAGTCTCTAGTGAAACCGATGGGTTCGCGGACACTCAACTGAAAACCTCCATTGCCAGGTAGTATTCAGTTGGTGGCGTCTCGAGCCTGAAGTCACAGGCGGACAGAATCATCGATGAAACATGCAACGACTTAG